AAAAAATAAAAACTAAAAATAACTATATAAAAACCTAACGATTATATTTTTATTTAAGTTTCCTTAAACTATAAATAGAAAAAAATAATAGTTATTAGGGTTAAATAAAAGTTAATAAAAGGAATAAAGTTTAATAATAATAGCTTTATTTACTTTTAGGAAGTTTATTTAAGCTTTACCCTTTGGCTAAAGAATTAAAATATTAAAAATAAGATCTTTACATTTATATTAAAAGTAAAAAAAAATAATTTAAAAATTAAAAAAGTTTATATATAAAAAAGTTTCTTTTTATATAGTATTTTAAAAATATATATTAATAAATTTAAAACCTACTTTATTAATATATTAATTTTTAAAAAGGTATATATTAAAGTAGGCGCTAAGAATCTATTAACCTTTTACTATAAGACTCCTTTTAGTAAAACCCTAAACACCTACTACTATTTTATAACCTTTAGGGAAAATATAAAAACAGGCTTTAAGCTTTTTAACTGCTTAACCTTAACTAAATTAAAAATACAGTAGCCTAGGATTATATAATACCCCCGCTACTTTAGCTTTTATAACCCTAAAGGCTGTATTAAAATTAAAAAGTATATAAAATACAGAAAACTAACTACTAATTATAAAAATATTATAATTAACTGCTCCTCCTTTTTATAATATATAAACTGTAAAAGAGTATATAAAGCTAATATATTTAAATATTATATTTACTCTATAATAAAAGATAGAATTAAAATATATTTTATTAAAGAATAGCTTAAAGCTATTAAAAAACTAAGTTAATAAGAATTCCTAAAAATTAACCTTTTTAAGCCTATTAAAAATAAAAAAAAAAATAAAAAATTTAAAAAAACATTAGTTAAATATATTTATAGCCTACTGCTTTTAAACTTTTTAATACCCTGTAAATAGCTTATAAACTGGGTTATTATAAGCGTAAATATAAACGTAGAATCTTTATAGAAAAGCTCTTTAGCTTAGTTTAAAGTATATATAGTAAATTTTAAAAGTAATAATATTATAAAAAATAACCCTATATTTACTTAAGGAAGGTAAAATAAATAATAAAATATTAATAAATAATAAACAGCCTTTATTAAAGTTATTAAAAAAATATTAATTTTAAAATCTTTTAAATTAATATAAGGAAAAATAGTTTTATTTAAAATACTGCTTTATTATTAATATAAAAAAGCAGCTTTAATATTATATTTATTTAAAAGCTTTATATTTAATAAAATAATAATATAAATAAAAGGTAGATAAAAAACTACTTTAAATATTAAGTATATAATTTATTTAATAATTAAAGGGGTATTAAACCTTTAGTTTTTACTTATATTAAAATCTTACTTAACCTCTTTAATAAATAACTTTCCCCTCTTAGCTTAAAAAATAAATATATTTACTAAATTAAAATATATAATTATATAATTATTAATATTTACTATTATATAATAAACAATATTATTATAAAGACTTTTACTAAATAAAAATAACCCTCCCTTAGATCTATTATTATAGGTAATTTTAATACAGTTTATTAATTATAGTAACTAAGTAAAAATTTAAATACAATTAATAATAGGATTATTAAATAAGTAAAGAAATATAATTTTTACTTTTCTTTTATAAACTTACTAATAAAATACTTAAGATAATATATTAACCTAATATTTTTTAATTACTTAATTTCTTTTAAAGTTAAACACTTACTTAATATAAGGTTAGACTATTTTACTATAGTTATTACCCTTCTTAAACTACTTTATATTATTTTAAAAGTAGGTAAAAAATATATATTAATAGAATATTAAGAAAAGTTTAGTTAATTTATATATTTTTTTATATAGACCCTCTTTTTTATTAACTTTACCTCCCTTTTTAAAGATAACTTAAATAAATATATTAAAGTATTATAAAACCTCTTTAAATATATAATAAAAGCAGTAGGTAAAACTAAATATTAAAATAACTATAGTACTTTATAGTAAATAAATAAATATAAAGTAGTTTATTAAACTTTTAATTATTTTAGGCTTAAATTAACGGAGTATAAAAAAACTAAGAAAAACCTAAAAATAATTATTTACTAAATATAAATAAATATACTAAAATAAGATTATTACTAACGCTATTATAGTTAAAAGTATTAAAATAGTTATAAAATAATATAAAGCTATAAACTACTTTTAACCTTTTTTTTTTAATTAATAAAGATATTAATATTTTAGACCTTATTAAAAAAATAATATATTTTAAAAATAAGCTTTTAAAGTAAAAAACTATAAAAAAAGATATATTAAACCTATAAGTATAGGAGTTTTTTATTAATAGGAATATAATATAAGATATTACAGTTATAAAAGTAAAGGTTAAAAAAGCTACCATTAGATTAAATAATATAGCCCTTAGGGCTAATAAAATCTTAGTAATTTTACTTTAATTAGCTTAATTAATAGTTAAAAAGTATATTACTAACCTTTTTAAAAGCTATTTAACAGTTAATTATTACCTACTTTTTTTTAAAAATATAAAAATTACTATTATCCTTAAACTAAATAAACCTAAAAAAACCTATACTATTTATAAAAAATATAAATTTATTTTCTTTTTTTTTTATATTAAAAAAAAATTTAAAAAACTATTAGTTAAAAAAGTTTTATTTTTAATTATAAAATATAAAATATTTTTTAAATAATATTTTAAAGCCCTTCTTAAAAGATTAATAATAGATTTAATAGTTTATTTTATTTATAATATTAAAATAACCTTTACCTAAGGGTTAATTATTACTTTATTAACTTTAAATATCTCTAAAGCCTTTAATATTATTATATAGAACTATTTTATTTTAAAACTTAAAGAGTAAAACTAATTTATACTTTTTATAAAGTAGGTTAAGTTTTTTATAAATAACTATAAAATATTAATTTATAATAAATATAATATAACTCTCTTAAAAATAGAATTAAAATATAAGGCCCTTTAAGGCTTACCTATTTTACTAATTATTTTTATATTTTATTTTTTCTTTATTTTAAAAATTAATAACTTTAGTATATATTTTAGATATATTAATAATGTAATAATCTTTATAATTAAAGCTAATATTAAAGAAATAATTAAGAAACTTTAATAAAAGCTTTAAAATACCTTAAATTAAAGATAATTTAATATAATATTCTTTAATTTAAATAAAGTAGAGTTTATTTACTTTTACTATATTAAAAAATAAATATATAAAGAGAATATAGACTTTAAGGGGAAGACTATTATATTATAAAATTTAATTAAATAGCTAAAGGTCTATTTTAATTTTAAACTCTTTTTTAAAAAATATATAAAAATAATAATTAAAAAAGCCTTTAAAGCAGTAAATTTCCTTAAGTTATTTAATAAAATATAAAAAAGCTTTTTTTTAAATATAATTATATTTACAGCTAAAGCTTATATTACCTTAGTAGCTTTATATAATATAAAGGCCTAGTAGCTTAAAAATAAAAAATAAAATATATTTTACCCCTTTAAATAAATAATTACTAATACTTTAAACTTAATAAAAAAAAAAAATAAAGCCTTTAAAATAATAACTAAAGTAGTCTTTTTTATTTAAAAGATAATTAATATAGCAGTTATATATAAAGAATTTAAAATCCTATTAGCGCTTATAGTATTTACTTAAGTAAAACTTTAAATAGCAGTTAGGTTTATTAACTTAAATAGAAATTACTTTATTAATAAATATATTAATAAAAAGCTTTTATTTAAACTTTTTATAATTAAATTATAATATATAGCTTTTTTAATTAGTAAAATAGTTAAATTTTTTCTTTTTATTAAAAATAATAAAATAGTTTTAATAAAGTTAAACTTCTATAGTTTATTTAAAATTAAAGCAGTAAAAAAACATTTTAAATTATTTAATGCTTTTCTTTAAATTATACTTTTAATATACTTAAATAGGTTATAAAATAAAATAAAAAATATAAAATAAAGTATTATTATATATTATAACTATAAATATATTTTATTTTATAGTTATTTAATAAACGCTAAAGTTTATAATATAGAAATAATTAAGGCTTTTAAAACTATAAAATTTACTAAAACGTAAATTATATTAAACTTAAATATTAAAAAAATATTTTTTTTTTTAAATAACTCTACAGTAGTAAATAGAATTTTAAAGATTATATTAATATTATTATAAAGTATATATATAAGTTTAAAAAAAATAATTAAAAAACTATAATTATATATTATTATTAAAGTAATATAAGTTCTTAAATATAAAAATATATTAAATAATAAAAAAGTAAATAAATTAATTAAAAAAGGTTTAAAACTTTTAAAATATATAAACAGTTATATTATAATTACTTACGTTAAAAAGTAAATAAAAAAAAAATAAAAGTTAATATTAAAAGCTTATTAAAATAATAATTTTTTATTATATTATAAACGCTAATAGTTTAATACTTTTATAATATTACTTAAGCTTTACCTTCTACACCCTATCTTTTATAAACTTTTAATTAAAAGATCTAAATATAGTAACTTTATAAAATACTATAAAAGGTTTAGCTATAATATAAAACTTATTTATAAATACAGTAAACTTAAAACCCAGAGATATTTTATAAAATATTAAATAATTATACCTTTTTTCTTAAATATCTTAAAAAAAAACCTTTTATTTAAAGCTATATATTTTATATATTTCTTAAGTTATAAAAGCTATAAAGAGTTTTAGAAATTAATAGAGGAAATAAACTTATATAACCCCCCTTCCGTAAATATAAATTAATACTTCCCCCCCTATTTCTTTTATTAAATTAAAACATAACGAATGCAGGGTTTAAATAACTGCGGCTCCTACTGTCTTAGTGCTTAGATAAGGACTTATATAACTAGTTTACTTAGTGGACGTTAATAATAAAACAAATAAACAAACAATTCTAACTATTTCTTTCACTAATAGTGCTTGACAGATGGCTTCGAATCCTCCTGGCCCTTGCTGTTTTACAGGCTTCAAACATGAAGGCACGCCCATAGGCGTACAGGACTCGATAAAAGGAGGTAGATGGCCTGCGCCCTTGTCGATACTCTGGCCCAAGCACATCGAAGCCTTGATAGAGATAGATGCTAACATTACCCCTTTCCAGTTCAAACATACATTTCGCGTCCCAAAGACAATGAAAAGCCTAAGGCAGCGGTAATTATTGTTACCGACGTATTTGGAGTGGTGCAAAACAGCAAGCTTCTTGCCGACGATTTTGCAGCTAATGGATATCTTACCTTGGTTCCTGACATCTTGGACGGGGAGTTCCTTCCTCTGGATGTATTCGAGACAGGCTCTGTGGATATTCCGGGTTGGGCCTCCAGACATGGCCCAGAGCAGGTTGATGCAGTTCTCGAGAAGGTTATTGGACATTTGCGGAACGACGTGGGAGTAGAGAAGATTGCTGCTGCAGGATACTGCTTCGGAGGAAAGGTACGTCTATATGCTTATAAGATGCTATTACTTATCTTACTCCGCCTTTCTTATCATTGGCCCTTGTTATTTTTAAGTTCAAAACATATTGATTGTAATCTGCAGTATACGGCTCGATTTCTTAAAGCAGGGAAGCTGGATGTCGGATACACCGCTCATCCATCTTATATCACATTTGAAGAGCTTCAAAGCGTAGAAAAGCCATTCTCCATTGCGGCTGCAGGTATGCATTGGAAACGGTATATTATCAGCTCAGTACCTGAAGCTAACCACAGGTTCTTGACGAACAGAAACTGATCAAATCTTTACCCGAGAATTGAGGCATAAATCAGAAGACATTCTAATTGCTAATGGAACCCCTTATCAGATTAACCTCTTCAGTGGCGTTGCTCACGGGTTTGCTGTTCGGGGAGACCTCAGTAAGCCTGTGAATAAGTTTAGTAAAGAGCAGGCATTTTTGCAGGCCTTGGCGTGGTTTGACCACTACTTATAAGCTCCTGCATCAGCGCCTCAATATTAACTCCTTAGCATTTAGAGCTTTTTAAATAAAGTACATATTCATTAATCTACTATAAGGGAGCTGTGATTCTCATTAAGATTCTACCTGCCAGTCTTCAATGCTTGATCCACGAGGGCAGTTGGGTTATTGTGACGTCCTGACTCAAATACTATAATAGTACTGGATAAGTTCCCAAGGTAATAGTCTAGGTCAATATTGTATGTTAGCAAAGAGAGCAGGGAGTAGTTTTAAGCAATAGAGTCACAAACTGAATAAGATATAATAAAGATATATTCTTGTATTCAATTCTAATACTTTGTTACAGTTGGGACCGAAATGGCCGTTTTGTTTAAACACAAAGTCCTTCGTAATTTTACGCACAGACATATATATTCTTATTTAAAAAGTTTAGATAGCTAGTTATTAATATAATAATTAAATTAGATTTAAATACTGGATTTACTAGCTATGTAGATATATAGAGATTACCTAAGTTGCAAATGGACTTTGGATTGGCAATGCAGTTTCTCTCTCATTCAGTTGAAATTTCATATACTTGTCAAGATCATCGGGACCTGTGACAACGTTGAATGGTTCCTGAGCCTTATTTTCCGTGGCATAGTCACAAGCGAACGCCGCCCAGACCGGCAGTAACCGGAAGTCGTGGAGGTTACGTTGTAATAATTGTCTATTAGTCTAGCCTAATCTATTCGCTAATATAAACTTAGTATATGGTTTATCCTTGAGAGTCCCTTCTATTACTAACAATAGGAAACTGGCTTATCACACTATTACAAAAGACCAAATTATGATATTTCTGCTGGGATAAGGCCCAAGTTAACACAGGCTAAAGGCGGAATTGGCGTCGGAAAATAACTTTTTAGTATATTACAGTCTTGGCCAGTAATTAACAAACAAGGCTGTCGCAACTACGCTAAACCCCGCAGTAAAAGTTACTAGCGGAGTTCCTTGCGGAGGTAGGGTAGTACTAAGTCCCATTTATCCCATCAATGCGATGCTACGTAGCTTGCAGGACACGTGCGAAAGCGGTGCTCCTGGTGGATTTGTTTACTTTGGTACAACATCGAGAAGATACCGAATCCTCGAGGATCTCGTTAACCACCTACGAAGAGCCCGAATGGTACCCTGGATAACTCGGGTTGAGTGAGAATTTAACAAACCGAATTCACGGTGCTGAATGAGACTCATCTACTAGGCATTTGGTCGCAGACTGGCGGATGTCTATAAATACTCCCCATGGTCTCTTGCAATATACTCATAAAATGCTTCTCCTACACCCTTTCTTGATTCCGTAGACTTGCCATCACTCTCTGATATCTCTCGCCTTCTGCGCCACTCTTGATTGATAGGCAGTCATGAATCTTTCCAAGATGTTGGCACTTGGCCTTAGGCTTCTTCTTGCTGCCCCAAAGATGGCAGCTGCTCTTGGGTCTGGTGATGCAGTGAATATGTTTAATGCGTTCAACAACGCCTTTCTGTCGAACGGTAGCAGCACCTTCTACAAGACGTCGCTGCAAAATCAGTCCCCAGACGGATACTGGGTAGGGGCACTGGACAACCAAGCGGCTGAAGATGCTTACGACGTGACCGGCGATCCTGCCTATAAAACTTTGGTGAACAGTCTCTGTGAGACTTGGATCGCCAACAATGAGCCGCCTTGGGACTACGTTAACTACAACGACGACATTGGTTGGGATACGTTGGCGCTAATCCGAGGCTACCGAATAACGGGAAATCAAGACTTCCTGAACGTAGCCGAATACGGCTTCAACTTTGCCTACAGCCGAGGGTGGGACACCCAAAGCAACGGCGGTGGCATCTGGGAATGCCAACCTTCGGCTTGTGGTTATTCTGAGAAAGATGCTTTGTCCAACGACAGTCTCGGCAAGGTCGCTTGCATCCTCTACCAAAGCACGCATAACACGACCTATCTGGACTATTGTCGGGGGATTTACGACTGGGTCTGGAATAATATCTATGACCCGAGCACTGGTGCGATGAACTTCGGAGTCTACCCGTCTGGCCAAGTCGACACGGCACTGAACGCATATAACCAAGGGACATGGCTCGACTATGCCGGCTTGGTTTACGAAATCACAGGCGATGAAAACGTCAAGAACGACGCGCAAAAGGTTCTCGACTTTGCCAGGAACAACCTGACGTCGAACGGCATCTTCAGTAACCAGGACCCGTCTCTTAACACCTGGGCAGACGATATGGCGCATGGTGTCGCACGTTTTCTCTCAGACAACCGACTTTGGGGCAATTATTATTCTTGGGTGGTCGATAATGCAAATGGAATACTAGCAAACCGACGGCCTGATATTGGTCTCACGTGGAATGCATGGAACCAGCTTACGCCAGAGGATGATGCAGGCATTCCCAGCATCTACGTGAGTGCGGTAGCCTGGCTGTGGTGGACGCCCACGACACAACCGGATCAGAGAGTTGGGATCCATACTATCGTGAACCAGGAGACGGGTCTCGCGATCGATAGTGCCGGAACCTTTGGGAACGGGGCTCAGGTGGTGCAATGGGCCCTGAACAATGGCCAGAATCAGCGCTGGCAGCTATCCCAGAACTCGGACACGTCCTGGAACATCATTAGCCTTTCGACCTGGGAATCGCTTGACTGTCCTGGCGGGAGCACAGCTGATAATCTCACAATGATCCAATGGCAACCCAGCAGGGATGACAACCAGCGTTGGTGGATTGATCTACAGTCCGACGGCACCTACAAGATATGGAATAAGCAGAGTGGGAAGGCTTTAGATGGAGCTTCTGCCACGCAGAACGGGGCACCTTTGATCCAGTGGGATTGGAATGGTGGGCCTCAGCAACGATGGATCCTTCAGTAGATAAATGTTGGAACTGCCTGCTAGCTCATGGCCTGAGACTCGGCAAGCTGATTGCATAGAGAACAGTGAGTAGTTATCAAGTAATACGATCGCCTCGGTTAATGAAAATGATGAGCAAGAAAGATCATCTATCGTTCGTGCGGCGTATCCGATAGTAGAAGCTTAAGCAGAGCGGAGGGCATGAGCTGCGAGCAATTGTAGCGGACTGGTGGCTCTCTTTGTCAATATTACCTGTGTGATAAAGAAATTCCGCCCTCAAATCCGCCTGTTTTGCATATAGATAAAGATTTAGATCCACTCTCGCCCCTCGAAAATACACCTTCCCGTTGACAAGGCGCTCACTAGTGTCCTAATCTCACCCCTGAGATTCCACCTGTCGTGGGGCTCATAGGTAAGCTTGAGAGTTTTTCCAGAGAACCCCTGTTTATGCGGGGAAGTAGTAGTACCTCTTTCTTAACCCATTTAGTGGGAAAAGGGATCAATTCAATAAAATCCTGGACACCTTCTCTCCTATCGAGTGACACATCGTAGCCTTGCGGCGTCTGCAAGTATGGGGCAATGGTAGCGCCGGGGTGGATCATATACGATATGCAAGGATTAAAGATAGCGAGTTGGTTGCTGATGATCGGCTATTAAAAGAACAACCATTCTCCCTGTTTCTCCATAACAGAGCCTGTTTTTATCTCCCATGTGCAAGACAAGAAGCAGATAATAACCTCTAACATGGCTAATTCGTTCCCTTCATACAAGCCAGACTGGTGTAATCTACAAGTCCTGCACAAAAATACTCTACCACCAAGAGCTTCCTTTTTCAACTACTCCACAGTCGAAAAAGCCCTGACTTATGATGTGGCAGCATCAGAGACACTTTGCCTAAATGGTGTCTGGAAGTTCCATCACGCGCCCTCTCCATTTGAATCCCCAAAGGACTTCATATCTCCGTCTTTTGATGCATGCGAATGGCAAGATATTCCAGTTCCGTCAATGTGGCAATTGGAAGGCTATTCAAATCCGCAATACCTGAACATCAAATATGGCATTCCAGTGGACCAACCAAATGGTAAGATGGCATCCTTGCCGGCTCTTGAATCTGCTGACAACTATCCAGTGCCGTTTGAGGGAAATCAAACCGGAAGCTACATTCGCAAGTTCACCCTACCTCAAACCTACAGGGACCATCAACTGCGCCTTCGGTTTGAAGGAGTTGATTCTGCATTTCACTGCTGGGTGAATGGCAACGAGGTTGGATACTCCCAAGGGGCAAGGAACCCTTCAGAATTCGATATTACCGACTTTCTCAAGCACAATGCGGAAAACACCATTTGTGTTAAGGTCTATCAATACTGTGATGGTACTTACCTCGAAAATCAAGGTACTGGATCTTTTTCTTGTCGGTTGATCGGTACTGACTTATATTCCATAGATCAATGGCGATTGTCGGGAATATTTCGAGATGTCAACATCTTGGCCTTCCCAAACTGCCAAATTCAAAATTTTCGCGTCTTGACCGAGTTCGACAACGATTACAAAGATGCAGTCCTGCTCTTGGAAGTGGATACGAAAGGGACAGGAAGCTTGCTTGTGACACTATACGACGAAGATAAAACCACCGTCGTGGCCAGCGAGTCACATCCTGTTGTGGGGGGAAGTGAAAAAATCAAGTTTTCTGTTCCTGTTCAATCGCCAAAGCACTGGACAGCAGAGACTCCCCAGCTATACCATTTAGTTCTCCGCTTTGGGAGCCAGACGATAGCGCAACGAGTTGGCTTCCGCAAGGTCGAAATAAAAAAAGGATTAATTCTGATCAACGGGAAACGGGTCGTGTTCCGGGGCGCGAATCGACATGAGCACCACCCCCGCATGGGTCGCGCTGTCCCTTTGGACCTTCTTCGCCATGATTTGTTGATGATGAAGCGGCATAATCTAAACTCCATCCGCACCTGTCACCAACCAAGTGACCCCAGGCTCTATGACCTTGCTGATGAGCTAGGGCTATGGGTCATGGACGAAGCAGATCTTGAATGTCACGGATACGACGTCGTTCAGCAACGCAGTCTATCCCGTACCGAACGGATGTTGGATCCACAAGAGCGGCAGGAACTCTCCTATCTAAGAGCCGGAAGATGGCTGTCGCACAACGTCGACTGGCAAGAGGCATACGTCGACCGGGCACGGCAGATGGTGTGCAGAGATGTAAATCACCCGTCTGTCGTGTTGTGGTCTCTTGGAAACGAAGCATTCCAGGGTCGCAATTTCCAGGCTATGTACGACTGGATCAAGTCCTATGATCCAAGCCGCCCTGTTCATTACGAAGGGGACTCTGACGCACGGATTGTCGATGTGGTCTCCATGATGTATCCCTCTTTAAGCAAAGTGCAGAATTTTGCTGAGAACTGGGATGGGAAGAAGCCGTTGCTACTCTGTGAGTTCGTCCACGCCATGGGCAATGGTCCTGGAAACATCAGGGAATACATAGACTTGTTCCATATGTACCCGTGCCTTCAGGGTGGATGGATTTGGGAGTGGGCAAACCATGGCCTTTGCACCAAGACTTATGATGGTGTAGAGTTCTACGGCTATGGCGGGGATTTCGGAGAGACGCTTCACGATGGACATTACAATATGGATGGAGTCCTGGATTCGGAGCATCAACCGGGACCTGCGCTCCTCGAGTACCAAAAAGCACTGGAGCCAGTGCAACTTGTCGAAGGATCCAAGCTCGATTCAGTGCGGATCGTCAACCGCTACGACTTCATCGACCTTGGGCACTTGAAATGCGCATACAAAATCGTCGGGGATGGATTCTCAGCAGCGGGGACACCATTAATGCTCCCACACGTCCCCCCAGGGGAGACAGCCCTGATCTCTCTTCCTGCACTGCCTCTTGACAAACTTTCGAAAAACAAGGACAGTTTTTTGGAGATTTCATTTGCTCACAAACACGACTCACCATGGTGTAAAACGGGGGATGAAGTAGCTTGGTTCCAGTTACCGATTGCAGTCAACTCTCCCTCTCCGAAGGACAAACCTATGATGACGGAGGAACCGGCAGTTACAATCGAAAGAATTGGACAAATCGCTCTCGAAATTACATCTCCCGAAGCCAGTTGGACATTTGACCTTGTGAGGGGTCGAATCGAGGCTTGGTCAACCAGTTCTACCAACATCCTCCGCCGTGGTCCGGAAATATCTATTTATCGCGCCCCTACTGACAATGATATATCCGCGGGTAGGGACTGGGAAGAGAAGGAAGTCAAGCATGCGAAACCGCATACTCGTCATGTCACATGGACCACAGCTGCCTCGGACGGGACTGCACAGATTCGGTGCGTTCAGCGGCTTGCTCCCGTCGCCCTTGAGTGGTCCTTCGAGACAATCACCTCATACACATTCATTGGAGCCCGCGTCACCATCCATGTTACGGGAGATCCCCGAGGCCTCAATCTCCCCAAGACATTGCCTCGTTTAGGCCTTACTTTATCGCTGGCGCCCGAATTTACCTCTGCAACATGGTTTGGTCGCGGACCTGGCGAGAGCTACAGAGACAAGAAACATGCACAGAGGTTTGGTCGATTCTCATGCGCCATCGATAAGCTGGCACCGAAATACGAGTACCCTCAGGAGTCGGGAAACCATACTGAAACACGCTGGGTCGAATTCAAGGCACCTGATACGGGAGTCAGCCTGAGAGCAAGTTTTGTCAATCGACCCGATGGGTTCGACTTCCAAGCCTCGCATTTCGATGCCCTTGATGTTGAAAAGGCACGCCATATGTATGAACTGGAGAGTTACAGGCGCGATGAGGTGATTGTTAGACTTGATGCCGAGCATCACGGACTAGGGAGTGAAAGCTGCGGTAAGTCTCCGACTTGGGAGACTTTGTTGAAATCCCATTAATCGCCGATTTTTTTAGGACCGCCCACGTTGCCTAAGTACGCTCTCAGGACCGCCGCGTTTCACTTTGCTGTTGTGCTCGATTGTCGCGATTTGGGCTCAACCAAATGACAAGGAAAAAGGGCTAGCAATGATATTTTTTGGGGATAAACGAGTGCAACTTATCAACCTAACAAGGCTAGGGCTATTTCCTGCAGATTTTGATCAGATCCTTCAGTCATCCTTTATAATCCCCGTGAAATTGACATAATGCTATACTTTCACAACAAGAGAAAAGCTGTATTTTGATTTGTCCAACGTCTAAATAATGTACCTTGCTGAATCTATTCTGCTCTGTCCTAATTCACTTCTTCTCCTTGTTGTCTCAATCAAGTTTTCTTCCAAAGCTACAGTGGGGTGTCAAAAGTCTGGGTACACACACTATTTTATACTAAAACTCACACATTTTAAATTATTATATTTTATTACATAAATATATCATAAATATAAAAACTATTAGTTTTTTATATTAAATATATTATTTTTAGCTTTTTTTATAAAAATATTATATAAATCTTTATTAATAAGCTATTTAATATAAAGTATTTTTAGTAAAAAATTATATTATTAAATATTAACTTATTAATAATATTTTTTTAAAAAAAATATTTTATTTTATTAATATTATAATAAAGTATATAATTTTAATTTTAAAAATATTTATTTTTTATTATTATATAACTTTTTTTTAATAATTATTTTTTTAAAAAGTTTATAAAATTAATAATCAAAATTTTTTTATAATATTATTATTAATTTTTAATATTTTAATAAAAATACCCTTTTTTATTTATTTTTATATAAAATACTATTGTATTATATATTTTTTAAGTAATTAAATATTATTAACCCTCTTATATTTGAATTTTAAATGCTTAGATTATTTTTTTATATAAAACTATTATTATTATTAATTTTAAAATTATTTAATTATAATTTACAATAGTTAATTTTTCTTATTAAATATATATAATTTAGTTATTAATATATATAAAAATATTTTTCTATTATTTTTTAAAGCTAATTGGCGCTATTATTATTAATTTTATTAGATAGGTTGTATTTCCGGGTAGCCTAAAATCCGTTTGTACCCAGACTTTTGATACCCCATTGTACATATTACCCAATTTGGCTCCACTAGTCCTTATAAGTCTAACATAAATGCCAGGAGCTGCCAGTACTGGGCACTTCTGGGAAGAGATCCAGTTTTCAGGCAAACTGAACACTCGGCAGCTGTTAAGTCCCAGATTTCTGGAAACAAATGGCATCCCTAACGGCAATTGCTCCAGACATAAGTCATGGCACATTAGTAAAATTTGATATATTGAGACATTAACAATGCGTAAATGCAAGAGATGGAATAGCGGCCTGAATCGCGTTAGCTCGATAACATCCGCTTAGAGGGAGAACACGTGCAAACGGGCAGTAGTTCTTGAGCAAGCTGCTGTTTGATCAGGGCGGGGTTCTCAGCAGGTCTTCCTCAATCAAGGAAAAGTGGTATTTCTCGTCCCAGCAGTGATCAGCTATCAGAGTCTGTCTCAAGTGTGGCTTGTCCAACCAATATTTTCTGCCAAAATTACAAAATAGTGGGGAGAGAGCAGTGGCTTATTTTCAGTGCATCAATCTACTGGTGCAGTCTCTCGACGCAAAGCCTTCGATGAGGCTGAGATCGGCTTGCGATGCTTGCCGGTAGGTGCCCAAATGTTCAATGCTACGGGCTTTCAGTAGCTGATTGCCTGTCTTTACTTGCAGCGACCGCCGGAGGAGGTGCATTCGGTCTCGGCAAGGAATCAGCTGTGATTTCTGTGTCGACAAATGTGTGCCGTGTGTTTTGAGCAACGAGACTAAGATTCAAGAGGATGGCTACGAGCGTTTCATCCCACCAGGAGTGAGTGCCGTTGTGCCAAGCTCCCAGCTCCTGCCGCCCATGGTCTTGTGCGAGGAATTGATTGGTCTCTATTTTCGATATATCCACGTTTCTTTCCACACTCTATTCCACGAGCCATCCTTCCGGACCGCATTCCGCTCCGGAACCTTGCCAAAAATTCTCCTGTTTGCAGTCTTCGGCATGTCGGCACGCTTCTCGCAGCACGAGACTTTGGCAAGCATACCGCCTCGAGAAAGAGGTAGACCGTTTACCAAAGAAGCTGAGCGCTTGTTGAACTTGCACGATGTGTCGCTCACCACCATTCAGGCTTGCCTCTTATTAGGGGCCTCGGCTGTTGCAGAGGGAGGCGGAGCTATAGAATCCGTCTTCTTCAGCATTGCGTGCCGCATGGGTTTACTGCTTGATCTTCCCAACGCTCCCGTCGCGACACAGATCCAGCAAGAAGTGAATTACAGAGGTGACAGCTGGCCCATCCTACTCGTTCGTGATATTAGAACTGACATTGTCAGTATGGTGGACGTTGTACGAGACGGATACTTGGTCATCCATTGCAAATCAGCTACCCAAGATGACACCCTTGCGCAACATACCCCTACCCATGCCGGAGAAATGGTTTCTGGAGCTTTCTGATACTGCGATGCCCGATGAGAGTCCATTTCAGGAATGCACATTATCTGATTTCCCTCTCGCGATCGCGCCGTTGGGTTCGTTTGCTGCATACTCGGTCATTCTCAACCATATTTTCCCCAAAATCGACCAAGCAAACGCTCAATCAGTGTCTGATAAGGTTTCACAATTCGACCTAATCCAAGTTGTAGAAGAGGCGTCGCATGACCTAGATAGGTGGGCGTCTGCTCTCCCATCTAATATGGTCAGCACGCCCCAAAACCTGAGTTACTGGGTTGAAAATGGTCTCGGCAACGTATTCGTTATCCTCCACATGAACTATCATCACCTATGCCAGCTACTTTTCTACCAATTTCTTCACGGCAGCACGAACCAGAAAAATCATGTGCAACTCACAAGCCATTATGCACAAAAATGCCGGCAACACGCCACGCAGCTCTGCGATCTCATACAGCTGGCGAGCCAGACACCAGGCGCAGAACTTCTCAATTCTTTTGTTGGCCACGTTTTAACTATCGCCTCTACTATCCAGCTCCACGTATTACTCTTCAGCGAAGATGACGGGGAAACACGCAATGCCCGCCGACTTCTCGGGCGCAATTTTGAGCTACTCATGAACTTGAAAATGTACTGGCCCTGTGTTGACTTATCGTTTTCACGATTCAATGCATTTCACCAGGCATGCTTACGTTCGCAAGACGATTCCCAGTTTCGGATGGATCGGTGGATGCTGAAGTTCATGCTCGAATTTGCTGCTCCACTTGCCGAAAGAGTGAAAGATGAAGATATCGAGGGTATCCTTCAGCGTCCGTGGAGCCAGATCAGTAGAGCTCCTTAGCAAGATATCAGGAGACAGATATCTCGGGCAGGTCATTGCCTGTAAGTGTCGCACAATTCTTGGCAAGCTATTGCTTCTCCCAGTCCACACTATGCGTTGAACATTGTGGTTGATTTCTCCCCAGAACAACAGCAGCTCGGAAGTCTGCGGAGTTGCGGTTGCCGTACACCTCAAATTGCAGAATTGTTCATCAGCAATATCAAGGCCGCGTCGCAATTACTTATGCGAGGTAAAGCGTTTCAGCAACAATGCCTAGAGCTATCGGGTCATCCTGGGCGCACTCTCTGTAATTGGTTGGGAAACCCTTGAGGCTCGTGCTAGCCTAGCCGAAAATCCTCGGCAAAAGGCTAGGTGTTGACTGTTTATTGTCCTCGCACATGTTTTATGCTTAACTTGATATCTTTCTTGTACCACCACACTTAAACCAATAGTATTGAGCGACTGAAATCCATGTTGCCAGCTTGACTTGATCTTTGTCAGGCTCTGATAATCGTACTAATGAAAATTCCTTTCGTGGACTTGAAATCGCGCTTCCCCAAAAGCCTATGTACTTTCTCGGTTGAGAAGCGTCTCTGAGAACCTACAAACTCCCACATTAAGACTTCTGCGTCTAATTCGCTCTAGAATCACGATGCGTTCGCTTCTCCAGAGTACAAGGTGACTGTCAGTAGATGTATCCTTCTAGTCGCTCGCGGTCGGTTGTCCCAGACCAGCACGCTTTGTTTGTGCAACGACGATCTGATTTAAAATGAGCTGTCTCAGCCCAGACTAGTAGACTGCCACATAGTCATTTGTCCATTAATTTCACTTGAGAATAATATCTTATCTTGGGCCATTATTCCCGACATTCGCATTATAGATACCAAGATCTCGGGCTGGATGCCAGAACAAATACGGCAAAGCTCCTCGGCAAATCTCCTCTTCATTGACAGTGCCCTGCCAATGCCAAAATCTACACAGTCCCTGCCCTCGACTCTACGTCGTCACGCCAACGATCCACTGTACACAACTCCCTGCTTCAAGTCTGCTGCGCCGGGAGAGATGGTTCCAACCTGAAAGGACCTCAATGATCCCCACAATGCTGCCAATCATGGCAACTCCACCTAATAGCTATTCGGTCTACGTATAGCCACAGCTAGGCATGCCTCCAAAAGGTGGATTGATGAATCATCTTGCCAACCCTTATGGTCTTAATAAGCGGCCTATAGGGTAGGCAGGCGTCGGGTTATCCCTAGATGAACCGACTACTTAAAAGACAGTTGTGCGTAGTTAATACGACTAAACACTATCAAGGCGTCCCAAGTCGACACAACTTAAAGATGAACACGTCCAGACCAACTGGATATATAAATTCACGTTCATACGCTCGTTTATATAGCTTAGATAGCTAGCTGTTAACGTAGAAATAAGGCTGGAATTGGTTCACCACTCTACTAGCTACGTGATACGTAGAGAACGCCCGTAAACGACTTGACTGCACCGCCAACATAAACCTAGAACCTAGAGGTTTGTCCCTTGGGAACAGCTAACCTATATCGGCTTATAGGACCCGGTTCGTCACACTTGGTACGCAAGACACAGCCACAGACCTTTGTGGAGCTCGGAAGCCTGGCACGGACCTGATACTTGTGCAAATGTAGGATAGCTACTCCAGACCAGACGCTACGCATGCCTAAGGTCGTCGCCAATTCGTGAGAGGTCATTGATTTGCCTCATGTCCTCTGTTTGATTGTTAGTTGCCAATCGCACCTAATTCCGCCTTGGTTAGGGCAGGCAGGTCGCCTGAGCTCCCCGGCGACGATGTGACACGAGCGTGCTAATAGATATTTTCCAATCACACTCCGCCTTTGCGGTTGCAGGTGGAGTAAAACATTGGCTCAACTGTTACACTGGACTCGGCCATGATTCCCCCCTAAGATAGAGAATCTGCACATAGAAAACAGCCCAAAAAACAGTCTGTCGTAAGCGGCCACTCACATTGTAGTAAATAGGAAAGATAACCTTCTTCTGGGTGTAGAGATGCTGTATCCTGAGTACCGAAGTTGGAAGTTGAGCCGTAGTCCATACAGCAGTGAGCGCCAGCAACTTAGGTGTGGATCGAAGGTGTTCATGTGCTGACCCAGATTCTAGGAACATCCGTTGGAGGAGGTAAGTGATCGGGAAGGGGGAAGGGGTGTTCTGCAAAGCCCCTCTTTTCGCTGACAGCTTGAAGCTCAAATCTACCTATACCACTACGTGGAAGACGTGAAGATATGGGGGTTGTGTGCGGAGAACGTCCATATGGGGGCATTGGCAAAGTAGCGGCGGAATTGGACACGGAGAACGCTAGTGAACTGTACTCCAACGGCCCAGGCTCGAAAATCTGGGGGTAGTTTAGCACGCGGATTCCGGTGACACTAGTTCATGATAGTTCAAAGATGTAAGCTGAACACTTCGCATGTTTACGAACAGGTATGTATAAAGTCTCCACGTCCCTCAGATCCAGCCGCGGACTCTTCTTCCAACCAAGCAAGCATATGACCCATCGCCTCTCGAACGTTGCAACAATTTTGAAGTCACAATGGGTGCATCAAAAGAGGGGATCGCTGACCAGAGTGGTCACAACCCAGCTCTGGACGATGAAGAGATAGGGGGACAACATGGGACCAAACTCGTCGCGAATGCGGCGCTTAGTCAAGCGACGGCTCTTCAGAATCCCAGCTTATTTACTAAAAATATGTTCTTGGTAAGTCCCAAGTTTGCAAGAGAACCTGGCTTTACCAACTCCATCAAGAATTTGTGCCAATTGAGTCTTCCTAGCTCTACGGCTGTCTGCTTGTAGCAACGCTCAACTCATGCATCAACGGCTACGATGGTTCTCTAATGGGGGCTATCAATTCATACCCCCAGTATCGAACTTATTTTGGCTTCCCAGTCGATAAAGGGACTCCGTCTACTGGTATCGTATATGCTATCTATACTATTGGGAACATTGTTGGGTCTTTCGCTGCAGGGCCTGCCAGCGACTTCAGGGGTAGGAATACGATATAACATGAATCTGGATTTTTCTGCTTCCAGAAGCGAGCGAAGCTAATATCCGCCATTTCCCTAGGTCGGCGATATGGAATGTTCATTGGAGCCTTGGTTATAGTCATCGGAACTTGTGTCCAAGCTTCGTCTCATGACTTGGCAGCTTTCATGATTGGACGGTTCATCCTTGGCTTTGGGGTCGCTATCTCGACCACTGCTGGCCCAGCTTATGTGTCCGAAATGGCGCACCCGTCCTACCGTGGTCTCATGACTGGGCTATACAACACCTTCTGGTACATTGGCGGTGTTCCGGGGACCTTTGTTCCCTATGGAACATCAACCATCTCCGGCGCAAGTGCTTGGAGGATACCAATCTGGCTTCAAATGTCATTCTCGGGCATTGTACTTGTCTTCTCACTCTTTCTACCAGAGGTAAGTAGTTAACGCATAACACAATTACTTATTTGGACAAAGATTTAATGTTAGTCTGTTACATGCTAGACCCCTCGCTGGCTCATGGCCCATGACAAGACCGAAGAAGCACTTGATATAATGGCTAGATATCACGGCGAAGGTGATCGCCAGTCACCCATTGTCCAATTAGAATACCAAGAAATGAGACATGAGTCGATCATGCCCGTGGTTCCCGGACCATCCGCCGGTACCTGCAGCAGAATGCTGATTCATCTGACAGTGGACATCTCTACCACGGGTTCAGACAAGAGATGGTGGGATTACCGTGAGCTCTTTAATTCGCGAGATGTACGATATCGGACCATGCTGGTGTTTGCCATGGTAAGTTTACCTCAATTTCTGCCTACTCCTGAATTCCCACCAACTCAGCTCCATTCTAGGCATTCTTTGGACAGTGGTCAGGCAACGGCCCTGTTTCTTACTATTATCCTCAAATGCTGCAGGGTGCTGGAATTACGGACAATAACACCCGGCTTCTCTACAACGGTTGCCAGAACGTCGTCTCCTTCGGGGGTGCCGTTTTTGGCGCTGTCTTTACGGACGCATGGGGGCGTCGTCCGCAACTGCTAGTCAGTACTGGCATTATTGTGGCTATATTTTGCATCGTCACAGCAATCAACGCTACAAATGTCTATGCTGGCCCGGACGGTACACTCCTCGCCAAGTCGTCCTCGGCTTCCAAAGCCGAGATTGCATTGATATTCATCTTCGGCTTCGTGATATCTGCCGGCTATACGCCTCTGCAAGCCCTGTATCCCGTCGAAATCCTGCGTTACGAATCGCGAGCCAAGGGGATGGGCTTTTATAACTTTTGGGTCAACATCGCCTCTTTCTACAACACTTTCGTCACTGGTATTGCCTTCACAGACGCAGGATGGAAATATTATTTTCTATTTATCTTCTGGGATATTTTCGAGTTCGTGTTCATTTACTTTTTTTTCGTCGAAACTAAGAACAGAACTTTGGAGGAGCTCACGGAGATTTTTGCGGCAAAAAAACCGGTCAAGTTCTCGTTGCAGAAGACCGAGGTTGAAGTGATATCGGATGAGAAAGGGCGCGTTGTTCACGAAGTCGTCGAACATCCTCCTTCAGAGGCTTTGGAGACTATTTGACCTATAACAATTAGCTCACTGCTTATTGGAAGTCTAATTGAGTTAAATCGATAATAGCTTAAATCAATTTAGATAAGTGGATAGCTATTATATATACGTGCCCGCTATATGATAGCGAAAGGGATAACTAGAAGTACGCAGACTCTTCTTACTTTGACAGATCGGTCGTCCAGCTCTAATGTGTCTGACTCTAACATTCTGCAAACTCATCATGCGTTATTGTTGATCCCGGGTTTGACGGGTTGATTGCAGTCTATTTCTCCACCTTATCTTATTCCTGCTTGACGAGGCCTGCACTCTCATGGACGGCATAACCCGATTGAGTTGCTCTTAAATCCACCATGCTGCCGAATTTAGCAACTTTTTGGCTAAGAATCTCTAGATGCTCTTCTGGGCAGTGTATTTCAACACCCTCGAATCGAGCATCGATAATTGCCTGCAGCTCATCTTCACACAGTAGCTTCGTTATGATGCAGATTATGCGGATTCTACCGTGTAGCAAAGGATGTGGAAAGGCAAGACAGGTCGTGCTATTCTCTAGCAAGCCAAGGGGTAGTGTCTGCATGACACCGTCCACCGTCCCGGGTGCTTCTAGGGATATAAATAAGCTAGTTTCAGGGGCTGTTTTCGGAGCTCGCCAGAGATGGCAACCCTCAGGGATAGGCTGTGATATTGCCTTGAGCATAGGGTCGAGTATCTTCTCTTTGATCTCAGCAGTTGGTGACCCTACGCACACAGTGGCCTGCCTGTTCATCAATTTAGGTTGCATAACCTCTCCATACGCATCGAGATAATCTTTCGACCCGGCATGTTCATAAAATGCACGTTCGTCGAGATATAGCTCCGTGAATTCGAGCATTACGGGCGTCTGCTGCATATGATTAGGTAAGGGCGTCTCCTGATCGAGATCGAGAAGGTAGGTGTCGATGGCTCTGCGTCTTAGATCCGCCAGAACGGCAGACCTGGGAACACCGAATTTGAGCTTCTTCAACGCAGCTTGCAGTTGTGCATGCTCTCGAACTGTCTTGGGTTCCTGGCTGATGACCGCGCTGCTCAGGGAGCAGATTCTGAAATGGTAAGTTGCCACACATGGTGTGTCGCGATGCGTTGCTTTCGCACACCGCCCGAGGGCTTCGAGGAGGATTCGAGCGGCAGTGATGTCCGGAGCTTCCCAGAACACGTGGAGGAGAAATATTTGATCGCGTCGGTAGATCATTTTGCCCTTGGGTTCTTTGAGGAGTTCCCGAAGGGACATTGCTGGCTTGGTTTGTTCCATTCGCCCAGATTTGCAGAGATTAATCTTTAAAGCAGCCAATGGCCAGAGAAGAAGGCGAATGGCAGGTGAATTTTCATCAACAGTCTATGACTCTCCTTTTAAATTGGCACTATTTCAACACTGAAGCTTCTAATCGCATGGTCAATATCAACATTGTCAATATTAGGTTTTAGTTGCTGCCTTCCTAGGCAGCCGCCGCGTCGCCATCCTCCAACCCTGCGCGTCATGTCAATTTCCGGGAAGAGAGTTCTAGTCAGGATATCAAACTATGCCAATAGCTATCGCGGGCTGGAAACTTAAGCAAGGAATAAACTCTCGGAAAGTTCGATGGCCCCGAGCTCCCGCTATTAGAGTGGATTCGTAATTTGACCTTTTGCAACAGGAACACGCGTACTGCCTTGAGACGAACTAGGTAGTCTTAGGCATCTACTTAAAACATAAAGGTAAATCCCCACCAAGCGTCGCACCCAACCAACATCACACTTTGCCACACTGCACTATATTTCCTGGATGAGGTGAGCGATGGCTAGGTGGCAGTGTTTCAACGTTAGTCGCGAGTTTGAGCAGTACCTGTCTGGCACAAAGAAAGTCCATAGAATCACGCCAAGAGCTGTCATCGGACAAGCAAACTCCATCATCATGTGTTGGAAGTGGGGGAATTGTGTCTCATCGTATTGGAATCGAACTGTGCCTGAGCCGTCCGGAGGAACGCCAAGATCTAGAAGGCAACGAACTGCGGCCCAGTTTGCTGAGAGGGCGGCGATGAGGACGAGGTCGAGAAGGACAGGTATAAGATCTCGCTGGGCGCACAGCTTGCATGAGTGCAGTATCTCTGTGAAGATTTTTCTGGTTCGGGAGGTCTGGCGAGATGCCTCTCGCTGTCAATTCCAGGGGGATTTGAAAATCCCCCGTCGACACCGCATAGTGCAGCATCGTATCGTCATGGTGGTTCAATGGGTCGGATAGATTTCGTATTGCGTCGATGAAAAGTCGAGTCTGGAATGGCTTTCGACTGTTTTCGCTGTACGTTTTTTGGTAGTTTCGTAGCAATGCCTCGTGCAATGGCTTGTTTAGTAGGGCCAATAGGTCAAGAGCCAATATACAGCCATAGCCTTTAATGAGGTCGCATAGCCACACCTCAACCTCTGGGGTCTGGGGGAAGTTTGCGGCCAAATGTCTCGTAAACTGGAATCAAAGGTAGACGCGCCCTTTGATCTCTATTTCGTGCCGCCAGTGCGAGCCAGTCAGTGGCCTCAGCTTCCAACTTCTCCTCGTGGCCAACTTCGGTGCATTGTGGAATGTGAACGCCTGAGCTGTAGCAGACAGCTAGCTCAAATGCTGCTGCCGCAGCTCGGGGATCATCCTCCTTCCGAGCCACATGTGTGAGAACTTTGACAACATGTCTTTCAACGGGTTCTTCGATTTCGGCAAGAGCATGTTAGAAAATGGATAAGCCCTAGAGAACCGTCAGTTCGGGCGAGGCGATGACCACAGGACGCCACTAGTTTTACCCCTATTGATCTCACTCTGTCTACCAAGGTGTTTGTAATCGCTTCCCGCCTTCCTCGCAAACAATTCATAATCACCTTTCAACTATGGGGACGAGCGTACATACCATACTTGAACAATGTCTCTTAATTTGGGGTTTTTCTTGACAGTAAGGGATAAAATGTCAAGCACAGTGTCGATCTGCTATGCTAGGGCCTTGGGGTGAATTCATTTCCGACCACAAATACTAAGCATGTTATTGTCGTACTTTAGTCGTCTCATTTCTGTGTCCTCACCGCGGTGTACCTCAGCAAACAGATCTTTGCCAACCATCAATCAAGCAAGCAATAGTGCGGCCGTACGAGTAGACATCGGCCAACTTCAACTAGCTGGTAAGTTGGGCATCCTGTCATTAAGTATAGAGGTCTGCCATACACGCTAGAAGCGCAACGAAATCATTGTTCTCTGGATCTCGAGATGGAACGACCGCAGGTGCTTTGCCGCTTGAGTCGCAATCTGGCCCGAGGTTCGAGTTCCATGCCGAGTAACACAGGTCTTTGAGATTGAAATATGAGAGATCTCCGAGCGACACCGACATGGTGTCACCCTGATACGAGTTAGGAGGGTCGGTTTGGGGGCGGAAAGAGTCTTGAAGGGGAGGTTTGCATTAAGATGAATGGAACTAGGGAGACAAAATTGAACGCCTGTTGACTTCGGGTTGCGAGTTGGCAGTTCGTTATGCTACTGCTAAAGACAGATTCTTTTGCTGCTTGCTGGTCTTGCAGTAGAAAGCATAATCACATTCAGTAATAACAATACAACCCCTGCCCAAAACCCTTATTTATTAATCCGCTAAGAAATAGTCTCCGCGTGATTGAACAGTTATTAATAGGCACTTAACGGCCGAGGATATATTGAGTCTATAAGTACCTTGCGAGAACCACCTTGCTATGCAAACAATAGGTGTTTAAATAGCCAAGGTTCGCGTGTCTACGGAATAATACTAGACTTCAATCCATTACATTTGCATGGCCTGCTTTGACAGGATATGTCCTATGCAACGTAAATGTTAGCCAGTTAGCCCGCTGAGTAGCGGGAAGCCAGTCGAGTTCGACATGGCCAAGGAACCTCGTATTAATGATTGCCGACTGTAGAATCTGCAAGGTCGTCGATAAGGGCCTCCAAGATGGAGGCAAATCTCCGGGATAGTTCCCAGTGCCCTTGACGACGAAGAAGGTCGGTTATGTTGTACAATGTGCTCGGATCGAATTGGCGAAGGCTGGCTGTTGGTGGCTCTACCGAAATTTGCGCCGACACGCGTCCAACATCGCTCGATCGCAGCTCGGGAATATCTACATCGCCATGTGGCGCTTCGGTTGACCGAAACTTGGCATAGCAATATAAAACCAGCCCTGCGGAGAATAGCGCCTTTGGGACGTGGATAGCCGGCTCCGCGCTGATGGGTAGTGCCTGTAAGCGCTTGTGGATGAGCATTGCGTGAACAACACAGCGCTGCCCCTCCAGCGCTGCTACCCAACTGCGGATACGTGCGATATCTCCGTCCTTCATTGACGACCCTTCGCGCCCTATCACGCGTTCTAACAGGTCAAAGCATACATATAGCGACATGAATGCCTCGTGCCAGAGCACAATGAGGGAATGGGGATCACGACTCGAGTAGCGGATACTTGGAAAATACGCTTCGTACCAAGTTGTTAGACGGTACCGAAAATCTCCAATCATTGCCTCGTTTAGAGTTGCACACCGTGCTTCTTGTATTGCCGCATTTAAGCCGGAAAGTAGGACGTAAGCGTTCATGAATGCGTAGGAATTCGACATTGCAGTCATGCCAACAGAAGCACGATGCTGCGGCTCGCTTGAAGGTGTGGAACAGTGTAGCGACCTGATCATCGTTTGCCATTGAGCAGCTGTGGAGGCGACGAATAGCTCATCTATGCAGCATCGTGGTAGTCTTCCTGGCTCATGGCGTAATAATGGCTCGTGATGAAAAATGGCTGCGAACTCAGAGTCATGAATGTGCAGAGCCGCCAGCACACGGACAGTTTCCTCTACTTGGGACCATGATCTCCAAGCCGTTTCCAACTCCTCATCAGAGTCGAGATGGTTGGCATCCAGTAGAGAATCTTTGATTTGAAACATCCCAGCTTGCCGGGCCCATGCAATGATGGTGCCATGGAAGCTCTCAGTCATCAGAAGATCGTTTGGATTGCCAGAGAGCATTCCAAATGTCTGACCAAGAGCAACTGCTTGCGCCATAGCTAATGCTTCGCGCCCGCCTCGGTAAATATAGACTTCCCACTTGTACAGTTAGAACTGGTCAGGTAGCAAATTTATGGTTTATGAAGACACACCGATGCCAGAATTGCCTTGTTCAGTTTCTTGAAGATACCCCTACCACGAGCAGCAGCGCCGGCAGATCCCACGAAAAGGGCCCCTAGCGAGCAGATGGAGAGGAGTAAAAGGGCATTCTCTGAAGAGGGTCTAAACGAAGGGGCGTGAACGATGGGAAAGATGGGCTGGAATTTGGCAAAGTACAACTTGATGCATACATTCTATGGCGCGGTCAGCTTGAACGGTCATGGTTCGGTCTCGATTTGCTAGTGAATCTCGTTAGGGCATACCAAAAAGTCAGCAGATGGCAAAACATCATCATGAAGACAGGGCTGAAGCCGACTTGAAAGACCAGCTCGATATGCTTCGTCTACCCGGTCCAGGCTTTCCGGTTTCTTAAGTGCGTAAGGATACGCCGATTCGATGGCTGGCCGCGTGTGCCATCGGTTTCGGACTAGAGTCCGGATGTTGTTGTCAGTGATCGGTTCGTCTACGTCATGAGCTCCATTCGAACATTCGTTTGGTTGGCTTTGGGTGAGGTTTGCAGAAGCATCGCCATATACCCACGGTGAACCAGTTGTTGAGATGGAGGAAGTAAGAGCATTGATATCAAAGCTTCCTCCAACCAGCCAGGACGGGTCATAGGCATTGCCTCCAAAATCGAAGATATCCAAATCTGTCCAACTTCCCCAGACATTGGACGCCTGATCGACACTGAGAGAACTGGTGTCCGCGCGTGTAGAGGAGTACATGGAAGGAGAGAGATAACTTGTATGTTCAATATCTGTTCCAGAAGCATCCCAGTGATTACTCGGGTGACTCTCATCAGCCGCCAAGTCAACTGGGTCGGTAAAGCATGCTGGATCATTCGCAGACAAAACGTCATCATGAATATTGGACTGCCGGTCGGCCGACGAATGGCTAGCCGCAACATCCGCATCTGCACCTCTTATCAGAGAGCGGCTACTTAAGAGGAATGGCGGCGCGAGTCTCTATTGGACATACCTGAAGGCAAGGGTATCGGCGGCCCTGACATCAACGCAAGGCTGCCATCTACACGGCCATGTGTTCTCGCGTGCCGGATCAAAGAGTCTCTACAACTCTCGGGTGTGAGGGGCCATTTAGAAAGCGGCGAGTGAGCGAGAACCTACCGGCGCCCATAGCTCTTGGAGCAAATGTCACAGGCAAATGGCCTCTCCTTTGTATGCGACCCAATGTGCCGCACCATGTGTTCTCTTTTCTTGAAGGCCTGGTCACATTGCGGGCATTTCCAACCCCTGCATTGCCGACTCCGCAGCTTGCGCTGGAGCTCTGCCTCAGAGTGTCTTGCGTTCTGGTGTTCAGCAGCTTCTGCGGCCATGCCGTCTGCCGGCATCGTGAGAATCTGGGGTTGTGGGGAAAGGCTGGTGGTGGGAGGCTGGGACGGAGAAATTCGCTGTGGGAGAAGCATCCCCGCATTCCACGAGATTACGCGACGATTTATAGGTGGCAGCTAATACGCTACAGAGCCAAACTTCCGCCACGCACTAACGAAAGCCGTCGCCAAAAAAACTCCACTCCCAATCAGAGCTACGGGAGCGGAGCCGGCATATCCCCTAGAGTGCGGTGAAGGTTCCCGTAGTGACCTTTTGTCTTGGAAATTGTTTTCCAGGTTTCCTTCTTAGTGTGCATGTATCGTTTATATCGCGGTATCGGATTAAACACCCTTTATTCAGTGCACTTCTCTAGACCAGCAGGGCCGCTTTACCTAACCCCGGTTCTACACCAACTTTGATCCAAGCGCTAGATGTTGGGGATATAATTGAACACTGGGGTCGGAGACTTCGGACCGCTCGTGGGAAAAACTTCTTATTTACGGATACATCTGCTAATGTTTATCCCATGAATTCTAAAAGCCCCCTCAGCCCGCAAGCCGTACACAAGTAGTATAGAGTAGATAGACTAAAACGAATGCACTTTCGAATTTCGCGTCCTGCGCCTACAGCTCTTACCGTAGAAGATCAACGCGACCATTCCTACCAACGTGAAGCCAGCCGTCATTGACATAAGAAGCATTACCGGCGGTACAAAGCCGTCAGCGGTAGCCCAGTCGTTTACGAAATATGTCATCCCAAACTATGAGTAGCCTCGTAAGCATATTGTAGCAATAGGCCAGATCATTGTACGCGAAAGGAAAATCCGCTTACTCCAAAGCTATTCTTGCAGACAGTAGCAATAGCCATAATCTCTCCCGATATTGGCCTATAGCAATCAATGGCGTACGTGATGGTGATGGTGGGAATCGCGACGACTTGGACGCCAACGAAGCCGAAGCCAATGATGATGATGGCTGGCCACGGCCATTTATCCTGCAGACCAACGCCGAAAACCTTTGCACACAAAATGATTAGTTTAGTTTGCCAAGGTGGACAGATGTCCTCACAATTAACCCAATAATAACGACAGCAATAAATGGGCTCAGAGACACGAGTCGCATCTCCGGTTCCCGAATACCATTATTACTCTTCGTTGCTTTCCGTGAGACATAATCCGACCATGGTCCAGCCACGGCGAGTCCAAACACACCACCAACTACGAGTGCAAAGTTGGCATATCCAACCTGCGCCGGCGTGAAGTTGTAAGGCGGCGCAGCGAGGCCTGGAGACTGCAGGATGTTGACTGCCAAGAGGGTATTCGCCGCTGAGCCCATCGATATCGATGCCCAGAAGATGATGGGAAAGAAGAAAATATACACTGGGGTGAAGAAGTGCCGGAAGATTGATCGCCAGGCAGTCCGGTCGATCGGTTGAAAGATGTCAAACTGGGATCGACTAGGCCTTCCACTCCCCCGAATCTCTGTTGGGAGGTTCTGCACCGGTGTTGGGGTAACAAATTCGGCATGTCCTGAGCTCGTTTCTAATTTGGCGTTGTCCACGTTGGCTTCTTCGGATGTTGGTACAGATGGGATAGAACACGGCTCTCTCAAACGACGTGTCTCTGGGAAGAAAAACAAAAGTCCAATGATGTTAAGCCCCTGAGCGCCAGTACAAGCCCAGAAGAAGACTCGAAAGGAAACATGTTCCGCGACAGCTCCTGATATGATAGGGCCAAGAAAGAGACCCATAAAGTAACACCAACTTGGGTCATGGGTGAGTAGGGGTTATCAATTTGGATAAAGTTGCAACTCACAAGTAGGATCCGACATATTTACCGCGCTCATGGAGGAAATATATATCGGTAACAACGACGTTCATGATACTCTCATTCGCGGAAGCCCCGGTCCCCGCGAGAATCCGGGCGGCCAGGAACGAACCGTATGATGTTGCCTTTGCTTGCCAGATACAAGCACCAAAGTTCAGTATCGCGCAGATAAGGAGGGTTATCCGTCGGCCAAAAATCTCACAACTAGGGATGATGATGAAGTTGCAGTAGCCTAGAAGAATGACAGTAACCCCAGTCTTGGGGGAGTTAGCATCACTATTCCAGCATTATTGTTTGTGTCAAAGGGGCAAGCCATCAAAAGACTTGCTAAAACTATGCCGTCCTATCTCAAGAGTGCAGAAATGTGACAATACGGCCATAGGAATGAGGGGATATCGCTGGCTCACCAACAAAGCGACATCAGCCAATGACTTTTGCCATTGCTGCATGAAGATTGGTGTTAATGGCGCTATGGACATTGTGGGAATGACGCTTGCAATCACGAAGATGCCTTGGTTGACAATAACCAAGGTTTTCCACAAGGTGCTCCAGTTCTTGGAATTCAAGTTAGCTCCTAATTGACCTATCAAAGTTCTTTTTTCCACAAGGAACCAAATAGTTGGAAAGTGCAGATGGCCACTGTCAAGGGACTCAAAAGCAGGGGTACGGGAAGGGTTGTAAAAGAAAAACACAAAGACTAAATTGTACTGACCAGTGGATCATGAGGATCTGCTGTAGGCTGCGGAATAAGGACGATTGTATCTTGATTACCGGAGTCGTGATCGAAACTCGCTCCATCCATGTTCGTCATGACCTCCGTGCCCGGCACAATGTCGACCTCAACCTCTCTCTCAATTCGGGGCGCCATTGGCGTCAGGTTGGAAACATGTTCAGCTCGCTCCATATTCACTTTTAGGGATAAAAATATAATCTCTGAGGGTTATTCGGAAATCCTCGATGACCTCTCAACTCCATTATAGTAGTAACCTTGCTGCTCTCTTAATGTCCTTTTTAGATCCCTTTCACCCCACAAATTGGAAGTGGCGTTTGTGGGGAAGATAAACTAGACAGTGTGGTTGTGGGGGCCCCAACTTGTGCCCCGCGATTTCGTGGAAAGATCTCCGTGGTCGCAGTACGCCGGGGAACTGTCCTCCCGATCTCTATGAGCCTAGTTTCAGAAGTAAACCAGAGCAAGGGCAATCATTCTTCCGTTTAAGCTATTCCTTAAGATATCAGATTCGGTCACAAGCTTCTCTGTTCATGAAGAACCAGTTGTTCCATAATGTGCACTAGAATACCACGAAATGGTATCTTGGCCTGCAAATTGTCAAGGCTTTATTCAACCTCTATCATAACTCTCCCTTCAACTCTATCCAAGTATATATAGGCTAAAACTGGAACAATAAAGCAACACACTTGAAATACGGACGAAATCCCCGTGACAATACCCTCTCTCGTTAAGAATAACACAGATCATTTTCACTTTTACTTGAATAGAGCATTTCATTGTGGCACCACCCAGGCGTCGTGCGCACGATCCGAGTCTAGACAAGCCAGCTAGGCAGGACCCGATTTGCAACTACACACCAGACGTACGTACTATTGTTCTATTTTCTCAGTGCCTCAACACCCAAACAGCTCACGAGGAGAGGTGCGGGTTAAGTAAAAGGAGCGAAGTGGAGGTAAATTACTCATCTCCTCGGTATATAGTTCTATAGTAGTATAATTTCCAACAGTATTCGCTAGGGTTGTAGCTTTTATTACTGCTGACTTCCTTAAGAGATCTAAGGCACTGAAGACACATAGACATGTACAGTGTTTGGCCAAGTCTTTTCTCGGTTCTATATAATGTCGTATTTCACCTTGTTCACCAGCGTTCCAATCTTTTCAATCTGTATCTCAATTCTGCCTCCATCCTGCAAGCTCACACGTGGCTTTCGAAAATACCCAATACCAGCCGGCGTGCCAGTCAGTATGATTGATCCTGCTTCCAATGTTGTTCCTCTAGAAAGGTCAGAAATTTGCTTCCTGACAGAAAAAATCATGTCCTTCGTGTTGCCGTCCTGCACCGTCTGACCGTTGTAAATGGCCTTAATGGAGAGGGACTGTGGGTCATCAATGACCGAGGGAGAAACAAGCACCGGGCCTGCAAGCTTGTTAGTAGGCTTCCATGCGACAATGGCTAGTTCAAAAACACACCTATCGGGCAACTGTTGTCAAGCCCCTTTGAGAACGACCACTGTTTAGCCGCCAACTGGAGGGTTCTGGCCGAAACATCGTTTGACGCAGTGTATCCAAGGATGTACTCCAGAGCTCTGTCCTCAGGAATATCTCGACCAGTTTTGCCAATTATAACACAGAGCTCGGCTTCATAGTCGCTTGTTCCATCTTGGGCGCATTTTGGAATGGTAACGGCTGCAGGAAATGGGCCTGTGAGCGCCGCTCGAGGCTTTGTGAAGACCTCAAGTTCGCCAGGAATCGGGAAACCTCCTTCCTGATACATGGTCAGTATGTATTGTTCACGAATAGGAGTGGGGGGTGGTGGTGGGGATGTTTGGATATTTATCTGTCTGCCCTTACCTCAGCGTGATCTTTGTAGTTGAGTCCGAGGCACCTAATGTAGTTACACTGCTCTCGGCTGACTGGGGAGAGTAACTTTGCAAGCATCTGTCAGCCTCTTCACAGTCTTGAGGGGAGTTGTTACTTACGTGGTCTACGGTAAGCACATGATCGGTCACTATGCCGTTGAATATGTCTCCATTAATCAAGAAGGCTTTGACCTCAACACCATTCGCGCAGTCGATTCCAACATCTCGTGAAGTATCAATTAACTGCCCGAGGTGAACTTGGCCATCTTCAACGGCCCTGAAACGAATCAAGTGAGTCCACTTCGTCATCTTGGCACTCAGCGAATGAATCAAATACTGCTGTTTTTCTCGCTGACTGTTGTTGGCTTTGCTGGTGTTGATTTTTTGCTGGTGTTGCTGGGGGTTAATGTTCCTCGTCTTATTTAGATTGTGCGGCAAAGCTTTCCCCGCAAAGTTCCCCGCCTGCCCCGCGAAGTCCCCACACAACGGCATCTTGTGGCCACGAGCAAAGGGATGATATGCTGAACACACTCGGATATTTTATACCAGTATCGGCAAACTGGACTGACTTCCTTATTCACTAAACGAGCAACCATGACAGGGAAAGACCTCATAGAGACGACCGACATCATTGTGTGCGGCTGCGGGCCAACTGGCGCTATGCTGTCAGTCCTCTTAAGCCAGTACTCGATATCCCATGTTATTCTCGAAAAAGACAACGAGGTGAATGCAGACCCACGCGGTATTGCACTCGACGAGGACGGTATCCGCTACCTCCAGGCTTGTGGGATATACGACAAGATATTCACAGAAATTGGCCAGTGTTAGTTTACCAGTTGTCATCATCAACTTCCAAGTTAGCTTGCTCACGACGTCTCTAGGCATGGGCAACTTCAAATTTATCGGCAAGGAGCATCATGACCTCAACAGGAAGCCATTTATGATGATGGATTACAGCACGGTGCGTGGAACAAGGCAGCATTTCTCCACTCTTGGACCCAGATGCAAGTTGACTAAAGATGTCATATAGACCGAGGGCGGTACTGGCCATCCGGGCTTCATGTGCCACAAACAGCCATGCGTTGAGAAGCACCTGAGGTCACAAATAACAGCGCTCGGTGTAGCTGAAATGCATCTGGGAGCAAAAGTCACATCCATCTGGGAGGACGAAGATTGGGTATATGCACGCTACACCAATACATCCAATCAAGGAGGCACCGTTCGTGGCAAATTTCTCATCGGTGCGGATGGCAAGACGGGCTTCACGCGCAAACAGTATTTGGAGCCTCAAGGCATCACGCTGGATCAGGCCATGAGAATGCCCTACGAAGAAACATGGGTTGCCCTCAATTGGAAGATCTCTCTTCCCACGCCTAAGACACATCCCGATTTCCCCCTTTGGGAGAAGGGGTATACGCCCCAGCAAGTCTACGATGAGTTTTTTCCCACTGACTTCCGATTCATGTGTAACCATGTACGGCCTGCCGTTTGTGGCCGCTTCGGACTCGATAGTGACAGACTTTGGCGTTTCGAGTTTGTAGTTCGGCCAGGCGAGGACCCTGGGGACATGGCGAAGCCGAACCAGATTGCAAAGGTCGTTCACCCCTACATAACTCACCCCGGTAGTCGTTACGGGCTCAACACAAAACAAATCATATACCCGCTGGATTGCGTGGAGGTACTTCGCTGTCGACCATTCAAGTTCTCGGCAAGAAGCTGCAACAAATGGTCGCTTGGCCGAGTGGTGCTCTGCGGAGACGCTGCTCATGTTTTCCCTCCCTTTGGTGGCCAAGGAATCGCGTCGGCATTTCGGGACGCCATCTCGCTGGTGTGGCGTCTGCGCATAGCAACCAATGTCTCTTCTAGAAGTGGGGAGATGCTGGATTACCGGACGCTACTCAAAGGCTGGTATGTAGAGCGAAAACAACAACTTGACAAGTCGCTCCGATCCACGGTTGAGAATGGAAATTATGTCACGGAGTCTAGCAATATCAAAATCTTCCTACGCGACTGGTATCTCTGGCTTATCCAGCTCGTTCCGAGCTGGAAACACTGGTTACAGCTGGGAAATCGCAGGGATGGGATGGTCAGGTATCAGTGGCAGGAAGGAATGGGAATGGCCTTTTTGCCTAGACTCGGTGGCGGCGGGAACTTTCCCCAAGTCTATGCTGTTTCCGTTGCTAATACGCCGCGAAGAGAAAAGGTCCTCTTCACTGACGACATCATCTTCAGTCCTCAAAAGCAGGGACTCTTTCAAGTGGTTGTGATACTACAGCCCCACGGGAATGTCGACGGCGTTGAGGCGGCCCTACGCGGCCTCCAAGGTATATCCAACGGCGCTATAAGGGATGGTGAGGCCACAGTATTCATTAACACTACTAAAGCTGCCCCTTGTGACTTAAAGGGTCGGCACGTGTACCGGCTCGCCACCGCTGCGGAGTTTGCTGATGACCCAGTCCTAAGCGCAGGAAGACCCGAGCCTAAGGGTTATGATCCGCATCGCATGTCCAAGGAAGTAGGGAACAAAACTTTTGTGATACTGAGACCTGATCGGTTTGTTTTCGCGGCTTGCGATACGAGGTCTGACCTGGTCTACGCTGCTGAGACGCTTCGTAGGCTAGTTGCGACTGGGACACTGTAGGGTGGAGGTAGCATTACAGAGTGGACCGTAAGTCCATGAATTTTCAACCTATTGGAATATGTTACCAAGACCTTTTCTTCGTCTCCTAGGCAGTATAGTTGCCAGCAAATACATACGGTCAAAAAACTTCAATTAAACCAAATTGAAATCAAGTTTACAAATTGCAAGGGTCAACCCGCCTAGTATCCGAATATCCCAATTTGATTAAAAATACAGTTACCGGCCAATCACCACCGGTTCCTGCGGGGCAGTTTAACCCAATCTTAACTAACGCCGCTGAGTGGGCTTTGATAGCGGCCGCGCTAAAGTCCCTTAAACGGTTATACAGGGTAGGCTGGTATGCGAAATTGCGGTACAATAAACAGATCCAGAGGAATGCAAATACAGTCAAATCAAATCAGATCAAATTTATTTTGAGGTTTTATTTATACAACTTAAATTTATTAAGGCTTATTAAGGTTTTACATTTATTTATTCACAAGCCGGGCGGAATAATTATAGCTCACAATGGTCACCTCTTGGTACATGTAGCCAGTCAGCTACACAAAGTTGAAGATACGCTGAATAAACTTCGGGTCAAATTTTGAAGATGCACAATTACACCTCTGTAATAAATAATAGGGATCTGGCACAAGTTAGAACCAGTATTGCTTCAAGACTCCTAGACTAGAATGATTCAAAGCTGCTTCATAAGGATGGAGGCCACAACTGTGCAACAGAAGGTGATAATCAATCAGCATTCTCTTACCCACTGCCGCCTCTAATCTAAAAATGCCTGCGGCACCTCGGGACCCCATACCGCCAGGCTCTCGTTGCCTGCAGGCAGATGTCCAATAGGCGTATCCTGGTTGACTAAATCTCCGTCCGCATAGTGCTCAATCATGTTACCAGTTGTGTCCCACCAGTAGTCAAAGATCTGGCTTCCCAAAATATGGCGGCCGACGCCCCACACACTCTTGTATCCTTTCCCAGCTAGCCATTGATGACCTAATTGCTGCGTGTCGAAATCATGAATCTCGAATGAACAGTGATGAACGTGTGATGTTTGGGCTTTGCTTAGGAAGATGGTGTGGTGATCCACAAAGTCATTGCCTCTATCAATGTGGGCGAAGACAGCGACATTCTGGTCGATGTTGTTCTCATCTCGGACATAGAGCAGATCGGTGGGTACGAAATTGAAGTTACGAGTATACCAATCGAGCTGCTCAGTAAAGTTTCGTACACAGAGGCCGTAGTGACCAAGCTGTTTCATTATCCTCATTAGTGGGCACTCAATCAAAGGTACAGAAGTTGCAAGGATGTGTTCCAACCTTGTGCACCGCAGCCGGCCCTTCGTCAAAGCGCTGGAACCTTCGCTTGCGGGGCTTGTCGGTCTCGTAGTTGACAACGAGTCTCTCAGGCATCTTGCCTGTTTTCGCTGGCTCCTGGCCATGGATAAAGTTGATTGGGATTCCCTCCGGGTCGAAGGCGGTAACCAAGGAACCGCCGCCAGGTGCGTCATCCAACGACTGGATTGGCCCAGCGCCGTTTAGCTTGGAGGCCTTCACCAAATCATCATATGTCTCCACCTCAAAGGTCCCGCCGAGAAACTTCTTGGGTCCCTTCTGTGCGTAGTATACGTACTGGTCGACTCCATATCCTCGGAACCACACGCGGTCTTCGGTCTCCTTCACAGAACGCATACCAAAGTCGTGAAGAAACGTGCTGATGCTCTTTAGATCGGGATGCTGGTAGCGCATATGTACTAGCCTGACAGTACGGATCTGCTGCGATGGATGAATACCACGCTTTTGTCTCCACTCCGCAATACTCTGTCCATTAGGCCCATTTGCTTCCGTATCCGGAACGGAAGTGCCAGCGTTGAAGTTGATGAGAGTTTGGTCCTTCAAGGCGGATGTTAAAGTGTGTAGCTGTCTGATAGAAGACGGGGTATACGCACGCTGCTCATTGTGAGTTATAATGTATCCCTAGAAGAACTTCTGAGGTGTCGTTCTGTCAGCCAGATGGTGGCCGCGGCTTTTCTGAACCTGGTCAGGGATGTTTGGTTAGATCAATTCACAGCGTATTATAATCAACATTGGCCATTCCAATAAGCAAGAAGTGGCATGTTCGCTAATAATACCCAACTACATAGGTACTGCGGCTTGTTTCCCACAGTTTGCGGGGCAGGCCCTCAAACCGCGGGGCACTTCCCCGTTTTGCGGGGCGATTCATAGTGTCTTTGACTACATTATGTTTCCCACCACCGACACACGCAAACAAAATCAAGGTAAATGCTATTACATGATTTACGTAATTAGGGACGGCTTTAAACAGTATAGCTCCTGGCTTGGATAGTATTACTGAAGCAGAGTTGATTCTGTACTAATTAAGGCTAAACCTGCTAATATAAACTGAGTAGCAGAAGGTATTTGTACTAAATACACTATAATATAGCACTTATTTCGTATAATATAGCAGCAGTCCACTAAAGTATAGTGGTCTTTTACTATAATGTACTATTATTCACACTATAATATAGTAGATTTCTACTAAACTAAAAAACTTCTTAAGCTAATTATAAAATTTTATATATTCATTAATGTGTGCTTCTCTTATTTATTAATAAAATATTATTTATAATTTTTTATTATAAGTTATATTTGTTTTTTTACTTTTTTAGTAAAATAAATATTTATGAAAATATTTTTTTTATTTTTTATTTTTAAAAACATTTAAAAAATATTTAACGTATATATCAAAGTTAATAAAATCTTCTTTTTAAGTACCTATTTAAATAAAAGTTATTTATACATAATAAATTAGTTTCCTATATATCTTAACGAGGGCGTTTAGTTAGCTCGTAAACTATCGATACCTAGGCTTAGTAACTAGGCCAGGTGAAGACCAGCTCCTTGATATTAAAGAGGAATGCTCCCTTAAGTCTGGATAGAAAAACAAGACAAGTTTTCCCTTCAAAAAGACCACTAGCTGCAGTAACGGCCTTGTTGCTGGGGGAACAAAGGCACAGCGGCTAGATAAAATGATTCCCTGACTTTTTCTCGTGCTGTGGTCCTTATAGCGGTCAGACAAGCTAGGTTTCTAGTACGGTGTTTGGGTGTTAGTTAAGCCAGTTCAAAGGTGCGTTCCCTAGCGGTCAACAAACTAGGTTATTACAGTTTTATATAATATAATTAGTAAAGCAGTAGAAACACAGTCTATTTCACCTAGAATTACTAGAGTAGGCTCATCATTATAAATAAAAGCATATATTTCCCTCAAACAACCTCCTCGCCGTCCTTGATACAACACATCTCTCCACCTCTATCCGCGCCCCTTTATCGCCTAAGCCATGCCGTATAATAACTTCAACCTCCATCAAGCCAGAGGGGTGCTCGATCTTTACCATATGCGTAGCATCATAGTTCAGCATTTGCCTCTCTGCTGTACCTACTAGCTGTTCTACCACAGCCCCCCCGTCCGCCTTCCCTTCACTAAGAGAAACTGGGCTCGGTGTCCTCGACGGCGTCGGTAGCTCTTGTTTATCTCCCGTCCGCTTAGCCAGGTTAGTTAGACGGCTCGGCACCGTGCCGGGGAGACACATGCCCGCGCCGAGACACACGGCGCCCGTCAGCTGTAGCGATGGGTGCGGCTTGCCCATGCTGAAGGAACGGACTCTGATGTCCGCTTTGTCGTCCGGTGCAGACCAGAGAAATGCAATTTTAGGGGTGCCGCGAACTTGCGCCGCAGCCTCGATGGAGTGCGCAAGGCTCATGCGCACGGCACCTTCGCGGCGGATGGATTCTACCAGGGACAGATATAAAGCATCATCTCGTTTTGGGTCTTGGAACTCGAATGGTAGGGTTGAGGCGTCGACTAGGATGAATGGGTTTGCCACATCGAGTAGGGTTGCTCGTATGGTGAACGGTTTGCAACCGCTTTCGGTGGCGGGAATGGTGAGATAATCCCATGGATTGTTGGTTGGAAATAGCTGGCCGGTCATACTGCCGGCAGGGTTCGCAAAAGCGACTTTCACTTCGCTCCCAGTTATGCCATGCAGGCCAGGCATGGAGTAGTTACCAACTTCCTGGACATTACCGTTGCCGTCCACCTCAACGGTCTCAACGATGACTCTCTCCGTATTGGTGTTAAATATGCGTACATGAACCTAAGCCTTTTGTCAGTCTGCTGACACAGAGAAAACTCGACATATGGACCAAGTACCTTGGTCTCACCATTCTTTACTTGTTGGACCAGCCCCTCCTGGATTGCAAAAGGGCCAACTCCAGACGCTATATTCCCGCAGTTACCACTGAAGTCTACCCTTCCCCCGCCGACTGATACCTGCGCGAAGGTATAGTCGACATCAACGCCCTCCCTAGCTGATTTACCTACGACAGCCACCTTGGACGTGGTGGAAGTGGCACCGCCGATGCCGTTTAGTTGACGAGAGTCGCGCCCCATTGCAGCAAGTAAAGGTCCGATCCACTGGGTTTGATCCACAGGTAGATGCTCCCGCTTAATGAAGAGTCCCTTCGAGGTTCCTGCCCGCATCCATACAGCAGGGAGCGTGTGCTTGGTCATAGGCTGGTGAGCCATTGTTGCCGGGTAGGTGAGGAGGTGTGCTAAGCGATCTGGCCGTTGTGATATGCCAGTAGCGTACGTCGCGAGACGGCTCACAGGAGAAAATCTCATGTGCTCTCAAGGTTTGGTCAATTCATCCGTGAATACAATGTCGTGAAATCTACGTAGTAAATCTACGTAGTAAGAGGTGGTTGGTATAAGCCAATCTAGAATCGAATAAGCGAACAGCACGCCAAAAAGGCATATGTAACCGAAGGAAAGACGAGAGTTATAACTTGTGTTGGAAATCCACATGTCGGTGGACTCTATAAGGGGGGGGGGGGGGGGGGAGGGCAGAAATAATTCCCATGAACCATGAGTGGATTGGATTTGTGGAACGATTTAATCCTGCATAGAGTCCCTTTCACTGTAGGTCATTACATCGACACAGCGAAGGCAGGCCGTGGCAAAGAGCCTGAAGAGAGAGGATTCTGGTGAATGAGGTTGTTCATTCCCGCGGGTGAAAGTGGAGGTCAATCCCGCGGAGCTGTTGAGTGGGCGTTTAAAGTATCCCGCGGGAGAGAATGTCGGAGCGCTTTTCAATCCAAGAGAGACGTCAACTCATAACCGGACAGGATGAAGACTTTCCTGCCGGTTACATCGACTCCCATTCGAGGAATTGGAAGCTATCCAGTGCTGAGCCATTAAAGCCGAAAAGCAAATCATCCACAGAACTAGTTCCGACTATGTCGTCTGTGCCGGGATGATGCCAAGTTGCCGCTTGAGTCTCGCCGTCTTGCCTTGCAATATGGTCCCTGGGCTGTGAATGCATTATTTCAGGGCCGTACTGAATTGACTTGGGAGTTTGAAGAGAAGCGGAGCCCCTCTGTACCGATGATAAGTCGTCCTGTTGCACCATCGGTTGAACCACGCTATTTTTTTGGCCGCATTGTTCACCTTCACGAACAAAACTCTGCATAATCTCGTCAATGTTAAGCCAACTGTTGCTAGGGGATCCAGCTGGTCGGCCATCACTGGGGGGGTTTGCTGGGAGGCTAGCCCCTTGTGCTGAGCCGGCTGACCCAACCATGGGCAAGGCAGGTCCTGCCTCCCTGTCAACGTGGATACGCAAACCTTCCTCTCCCTCATCGATGGAGACTCCAAGACGCTTCATCAGATTTCTAATCACGAGGTTTGCTCTCCTGACCGCCCAGTTTGTTGCTTGGTTTTCACGGAAAACGGCAAGACAGGTCTCGAGATTACGATGCTCTTTGGACGCATGTGCACGCTTGGCCGCTATGCGAGTATGTATTGTTGCCGCTACGTACGTGGCATACGAGATCAGATATGGAGCCCGTCGAACTGAAAAGGCCTGGTCGTATGCCCGGAGAAGAGAGACAATATTGGAGGCTGCCGAGGCACACTCGATGAATGAGTTGACCGAGATGGAGCGGGACATGTTGTGGAGGTGACCGTCTGCGACAAAAGGCCGGTGGAGGAGTATGATTAAAACGTAGTACATTGCGCTGTAAAACATCACGTTAGCTGGGAAACAGGTTTGTGACTCCCTAATAAGGAAGGCCTACTGCAAGCTGAGTACATGAGGCGGAGGACACGGGTATTCATCACCACGAGAATTGATGACCAGATGTGGGGGCAATGCGTCTCTCCAGGTGGTAAGCTTCGAGTGGAGGCTCTGAAGCACCTTAGATAGGTCTGTTGTGGAAATGCGCTCTGTGTATATATTGCTCAGTATGTCGCTCATCACGACCGACAGCTTGCACAAATGAGTAAAGGTCGAGACACTGTGGGCTGCTGAGCCGAGATAGGGATTGGGCTGGGGGCTGTAAGCGAACGGCTCCCAGAACTCAAACTCTTCAAAGGTGTCAAAGAACTTGATCGGGACCAAGGCATCCAATTCCCTCAGAGTTGCTGGACGTCCTTGATAGAGGCTTTGGATCTTGTCGACGACTTGCAAATGAAAAGACGTTAGCCAGAATCTCGAGATATAAGTCAGTTACGAGGTTGGAGTTTACCAAAAGCTCCCCAGAACACTCGCCGTCTGATCTCGATGTCTTCATCGGATAATCTTCTCGTGTCTGATCTATCAGTGATATCAACGTGTATTCCCAAGTCGATAATCATTCGAAATGCCAAGCCAGAATAAAGCCAAGCAGCATTCCGCTCATCACCCAACGCAAAGAGGGAATTCGTCATCACTAGCAATGCTTGTATTGTAGTGATATCACTGCGATCTAGAGAGCCACCTAGAAGCTCGCGTACTCTCTGCCGAAATTTCCAACCTGCTGTCCGGGGATCATCGGGGTCTTTTCGGACCTCGAGACGAGGGCTGAACTTGGCAGCGCCAAAGTAGATGGCATTGAGTAGCAATTTGCTGAAATACGGGCCGCCGCAAGCCATGTCCCGCATAAAGGCTGGCCGGTAGGTGATGAGAAACGAGTGATGCTGCCGATTCCAGTGGAGCGACAAGAGGTGCATTCCCAAGTCGGGATCAACCGTGTCGAAATCTAGTTTGCCCGCGCGGAAATTGAGCTCTTCGAGCTGGCCTGCTTCAATGTCAGCACGCGGCCAATGAACTCAACATCGTCATTTCAAGTTGGAATGCCACTGACGCTGTTTCGCTGCTTCTGCAACGAGGCCTTTCTCAACCCACTCATCTGGCATGCGCGGCCGAAACTCTCCGGGCAGCCGATCTGGTAGGTTTTCGTCAAACAATGCGCTGGTCCGGCCGTGGTAGCTTGACACGCCGTTGGCGGAGACTACCAGGCGAGAGACGCCGGGGGATACCAAGCCTTCGCGGCTCTGAGGGCGGTGGGGTGACTGCCGGTCTTGGTGCACTGGAAATGTCGTATTCGGGCAGGCCGGGTCCTGTTCAAGTCCGGCGGGAGAGACGGCTGCAGGTTCATCATTGCGTGGGACGCGAGACCTGAGTCTCCTCTGAGCGGCCTTGGAGCGGTGGGACGGCTGTGCACGTAGCCTGCCAGGCGCTGGCAATTGGGACGACTCACTGAGCGGTTCGTAAATGCAATCCTTGCCGTACGTCCTGCAGTTGGCGCATACAGGCTGTTCATTATTGCACTTGATCTAGTCCCCGCCGGGTCAGCAAATCTTTCAAGGGGAACCAAAATCACCTTTGGCAACGTCGTCCTGCCGCGGGAGGAGCAAATGAGACCGAGACAAAGCCGCCACCCACTCACCTTGCGCTTGCGACAGAAAATGCAAGCCTCCACGGCCCGTTTCCTGGGACGTCCGGATGCCGTTGGCTGGATTGGGTCATCCATGGCAAATTCTCTTTCCCTTTTCTCGCCAAGAACGCTATCGACTATGGCGGTTATGCGATGGGTGGACGTGAAAACTTGAAGAGGATGGCGGGTTTCCCGTCGGGCGAGGAGCGGCTCTTGGTCATTTATCCGGCTCCCGTAACGAGGCTTCCCGCGGCAAGGTTAGTCCCATTCGCGGGACTGTGAATGGCACTAAACGCCTAGCTTTGTCGTGGCTTTTCGCTGGCCAGGCCCGATTCCTCTTTCGGCCCCGGTTTGCACCTGCTACGGAGTACAATATCTAGGTCCATGGCACGTTGAAGTTGGAGGCAGGGATGTATCTGCTTGCGAGGTGAAGCTGGGGTGAAGCTGAGGTGATATCTCTTCTGTTACTTCACACAGAAAAAGTCTATAGACTATCTTTTCTTTCACTTCTTCTTTTCCAACCTCGTATCTACTCCACAATGTCAGGCCTTGTTTCCTCCAGCCGCGAAGTTGCTGTGCTCGTTGTGGCCGCCGAGCCGGCTGCGAAGAAAGCTCAAAACTCCCCCGCCATCTCCCTAATTGCTGGCGGAAGTGCTGGAGCAGTCGAGGCAGCTGCAACAGTAGGCATCATCATTCCGAAATATGAGTGCTATCGTCTAAGAGATAATGAAACTGACATTTGCGGTCTTTAGTACCCATTTGAGTATGCAAAAACTAGAATTCAGCTAGAGCGAAAAGCTAGGGGTGTATCAGTAAATCCTTTTACAGTGCTTATTCAAGCAGTGAGGGATAATGGTTTCCGTTCGATATATACCGGTTGCTCGACGTTAATACTGGTAGGTGAATATCTTAACCACATCTGGACTGCCAGAGCTAGCATTTGTCTCGCTGACTCTCACTAGGGCACGACGTTCAAAGCCTCAGTGCGTTTCTTATCTTTTGACTTTATTAAAAACACATTAGCCGATGAGACGGGCCGCTTGACTCCTGGTCGGGGGATTCTTGCTGGCATGATTGCAGGATGTGCGGAGAGTCTTATAGCAGTGACTCCCACAGAGCGTGTAAAGACAGCACTGTAGGCATTCGACATTATGATTCCCTAATAAGTGCAGTAATTGACTCTAGGGAAGAATTGACGACGCAAACTCTGCCGTTAGACGGTATCGGGGAGGTATACACGCCACGGGCATGATTATTCGAGAAGCAGGGGTTTCGGAATTATACCGCGGGCTACTATCAACTACTCTGAAGCAGTCCGCAACTTCTGCAGTCCGCATGGGCTCATACAACGTGCTGAAAGATCTGTGCGCAGAGAACAATGTCCCGAGAAATAGCGTTGTGACTTTCGCTACCGGTGCTGTTGCAGGTGTCATAACAGTATACGCCACTCAGCCCTTCGATACGATGAAGACGAAGTCGCAGAGCGCGCGGGGAGCAAGTACTATGGAAGCTTGTAGGATGGTATTTGCCGAAAGTGGCATCAGAGGGTTCTGGAGAGGGAGCAGCATGAGACTGGCGCGACTCGTTTTCAGTGGCGGCATCGTCTTTACAATATATGAGAAAGTCACCGCGCTATTGACAAGGTAGTACACGAATATTTCTTGGGTCGACAAAGTACATAAGTAGCTATGACAATATAGACATCTGGAATCAGAAAGAACGAAATTCTGAGGCATCCATTTTACTCTGTGCGACTCTTGCGTTTAAAATCTTGATCAGGGCATTATAGATCCTATATCAAGATCGGCTGGTTGATGCTGTAGTTATGTGGATAGTTAGGCAAGGTGTTTGTGTTTAGGAGTTGCACTTACGAATTGGCTGTGGTGAGATGGTTAACGGGTTGAGGGTTTAGATTGTAAACGCAGAGCCAAAATAGATGAGGTGAACGATAGGGATAAAATTGTGGGCCAATAGAGAAGAACCGTTTTTCCCTATATAGGTCAAGCAGAGAGCAATTCAAATAGCATTGTGGTAGTCTCCCAATAACCAGTTGGCGCCTAGCATCTACTTTCTAAGCTGGATTAACCCCCTATATCCATGTCGCCATAGCCGCGTTATTTGAGCTATTTCTCGATACCGACCGTCTCCTAAGGCGTAGAGCGAGCATATTGCTCTACGTGTGTTATCCCACCCTTCTCCTCATCTGCCTTAGCGTCATTGCCATCATAGTATAAGTGATCCACCGGTGGCATGCCAAATAGCGCATCTATATCCTCCAGGCTGACATTTTTAGTCTCGGGGACAGAGAAAAACACCCACGGAATGGCGATTGTCATGAATGCCGCGAACAAAAAGTATGTGCCGTACCCAATGTTGGTGATCATGTACGGAACGCTCCGTGCAATGACGAAGTTCATGATCCAGTGGATGGCCACACAAAGAGAGATACAAGGCGACCGGATACGAAGCGGGAAGATCTCTGCGGCGTAAATCCAGGGGATGCCGGCCCAGGAAAAGCACCAACCAATGGCGTAGACGTAAATCATGACAACCGCTGCATAGCCGCCAGCTGTTATCTGCGTTGATCCACTGGCTGGAGGCGCAGCGATTTTGATATAAGCTCCGATGAACCACATTGAGAATGCCTTATGAAAAGTGTTAGATTCAAGAATCTTCTCTCGTTTGTCAAGAGAAGCTCACCATAACTGCGCTTCCTGCCATGAGCGTCTTCGTCCGGCCAAAACGGTCGACGACGAGTAGCATAGAGATCATAATTGCTACAAACCGAACAACACCATATATGCCAGTGGCAAATAAGCCGGTATTCGTTCCCGTTAGGCCAATGCTTCTGAAGATGGCAGGCGAGTAGTAATTGATGGCGTTCGATCCAGCCATCTGCATGAAGATGAACATCAGGGCACCAATTCCCAAGCGCCTTCTGTTTCCTGCCTTCGCAATTTCCCTCACGATGGACTTGAACCCATTTCCTTCGACTATTGCTTCTTCATGTTCGAGCTGCTGGAAAATACTGTGAGCTTCTTCGAGAAGGTATGGATGATCATCTGGAAGGTTTCGGAGCCGCTGCAGGACTTGTAAACAGGCTTCTCGACCTTTTTCCCTTGCAAGCCATCTGTAGCCAAGTTTTAATTAGCTTAGGTGCCGATACAATGCCGATCACGCTGAGACTGTCAATTTCTCACCTAGGCGACTCTGGAATGAAGAAAATCCCAATCATCAATAGCCCTCCTGGGATTAATTGGACGGCAAAACTAACCATCCATTGGGTCGACGTCGGCGGAAGGTTATTTGCAAGGCCATAGTTAATCCAAAAGCCAATCATAGTGCCCATCGACACTCCAACTTCATAGAGGCCGACAAGCCGGCCTCTAATGTGCGGCGGAGCTGCTTCAGCAACATAAAGGGGGACAATCATGCTTGCAGCTCCGACGCCAATGCCGCCAATTCCTCTTCCTACAAGCATAAGAGCCTCGGATCCACGAGCGCCGGTCTGGATGGCCGACCCCACATTGAAGAAGACAGCCGTGGCAAAGAGGGTGATGAGTCTCCCATATCGGTCACTGAGCGGTCCGGCCGCAAGAGATCCAAGAATACAGCCTGCTTGCAGAAGCGAGACGACATTGGCGGCGAAAGCAGACTTTTCAGATGCAGACGCATGGACGAGTCCGAAGTCCCTGTTTGTATGTAGCATTGATCAGCCTCCGTTGTTTTGCACATGACAAGTCAGCTTCTCAGGGACGGGGATTCTCCTTACTCCTTGAAAGATTCCAGCTCAAGCGCGGTTCCTATAAATCCGAGATCATACCCAAACATGACCGCGCCAATGCTGCTGATCAAAGCGAGGACATAAACACGGTAGTTGTAAACCTCCTTAGGGGCCGGTATGCCTAGGTCTACATTCTGGCGTGATGCTCGCATGGCGTTAATTTGACTTCAAAAGTTGGGATTTTGATTGTGCCTCTCAATGGTGACGAGAGTTTGCTGGGTGCGAATCAAAAAGAGAATTCAGGATACATCTATAATATATTCTCCCTCGCCCCCCCGGTTCCCCAGAAAATGTCTTTGAACGTGTGGGGAGATGCGGAGATGCGGAGACGAGGGATGTCTAGAGAGAGCCCAAGATCCCTAGCGTCGCGCTTGCACAAGTCTTCTTGCTGCCAGAACTGCTCCCGCGGGTGTAGTGCTTTTACTCCCGCGGGAAGTCTCCAATTACGTACGTATTAATTCCTTGGAAGAAATTGGTGTGTATGAAGAAGATGGTTTGTCGCCCTGTTGGTAAGTCCTGTGATGATTTTGCCTCTTGAGTTACAGCAGCATTAAGCACCCTTTAAGAAAAATTACATTTACATTTGTAATTATCTAATATTTATGCAATTCACAGCTCCATATTACAGTCAATCATTAATTATAGCTGCCTCTTAATATTTAAATCAGAAGATCTATAACTCATTTATAAGAATTATAAGAAAAAGACCTTGTTATATATATCTCTAGACCAGGAATACAGTAATGTAACGAACCGGTTTCCTATAGGGTTGGTATAAATTGCTTTCCAATGGATAAACCTCTAGTGCTAGGTTTACGTTAGCAGGCAGTTAGGTCAGTAACCAGCAATATAAAGAGGTATCACGTAGCTAGTAGAGTAATATCTAAATCTAATTTAATTGCTATATGTTAATAACTAGTGTTACAGTCCACTGACCATTATGCCAAACAGGGCAAAAGATTAGGCTAATAGTCTCAATTGTAGCGATTATTATACTGTAACTAACTGCACGTGCTTATAAGGGATTGCTGTTACAGCGGACCGGATTGTAAAAATAAGGTAATTAGTTGCTAAGCAGCTTAGATAGCTAAAAGGAGCTTGTATATTCCTTCAGTTCCTGTATATATAATAGTTTAAACAATTTCCAAGGCGAAAGGTATAGGTTTGCCTTTAGGACCAGCTGATTGCTTATCCTCGCTACCCTTAGTATATATCAGCTATAATTCCTGCTTTTCACCAAAATTTTATATAGCTTCTAAATTATTGGCAAGCATTAAGCTCTAGTTGCGCGGTAGAGAGAAATTGCAGCCATCTTGGATGCAGTGGTGCCTCAAAATGCGAGACAATGTATTGGATGTGGGAAAAGGAGAGTGGGCCGGAAACGGACTCTCTAAAACTCCTCAACGAGACTTTTCCACTATCACGTCAGCCTCCTTGGGTCTCTGAATCAAGAAGTCAGTGGCATACGTACGGGTAAGTAGTCTTGGCAGAGTCCATATGCTGGCAAATTGCTCGAGTTGCATGAGCAGCACCCTCTCGGGATACTCAATGGCAGAGTGAGGGCTCCGCACCAACGCACTAGCCGACTTTTTCTGCACATCAAGGAAGATGAGCGCAGTGAAGATGATAATTGATATCGCCGGGTCCACTGTGAGGTTATGTGAGCTGTTCCACTGCTCGGAGATTGACGCCAGGTCCTGACACGCCTCAAGAACCCGTTGCCAGTTTAGAATCCATTCATCATCCTGCTCTTGCCTGACACAGCTTATGATAGAGAGAAGAAACTGCGTCATGGTTATATGGAATATTGTGACCAGCCTTGCGTGATGATCGCGCCCTGTCTCGTTTGAAAATGCATTTCGTCTGGTGTTGAGGTAGTTGGCCGGTAAAGAGAGACGAACTGTCGAGAGGTGTCGTTCAGTATCGGCTAAACAGCTAACCCCTTGTTCCTGTCGCAGGTTGTGCAAACGTATAGGCCGTCCCACCTCACGCAGGATAGTTATGGTGATGATGTGGAAGTTGAAAGACGAGATCTCCCGAGACTGAGTAGTTATGACAGACAGGGGCTCCCAAAGGCCGCTATAATGAGATGGCAACAAGAGCTTTTGTTGCACAGAATCATGCTGATGCTCTATAGAAGCCTGTTTAGAAGCATCAAGCAAGAGGGAGGTATAAATAAGCCTTTCGTCTATCAGATAGGGAGTTCCAGACGAGATATTAGTGTACGAGTCTAGTCGATAGATGCACCACCATATCAGACGCCACTCATCCAGCTGGTGTTCCGTCATAGCTCTCCAACTGGGACATTTAGACTTGAGAATCTCCAAATGATCCAGCCCTGTCCACGTGGCCATACGCGTCAGTTTTCCGATGCGCATCCAGGCCTGCTGTCCCGGAAACTGGTGGAATTCGTAAAAGGCTAGTAGGCAAGCCTTACGAAATTGGTCGATAGAGGGCGAATTGCTAAAAATATCCTCTTCATGAGACCCTACGCTCAAAATCTTGTCAATGAGGCCATCGATGTCGAAGTTCTCAGCAGTAAAGGTGTATCCTGTAACTTTGGCAGTTATGACCACGATCGTTAGGATTAGATCGCGACTGTATATCGAGTTTCTGCAATCGGAGAGAAAATGCGACTTCATGAATAGGGGAATTGCTTCGTGAATGCTGTCAAGATACGCTTCCAACCTGGTTTAATCGCACAAGCCGAGTCAGTGACGGGTCTGAACAGTCGATAAGACGAACATACAGGAAGGTTTCTTCCTCCACAAGGATGCCCAACGGGACCGAATCATCAGAACTAGGGGTGATCTTGCCGGGAGATATCGGCTGTAGGGGGTCGGTTTGCCCATACCAGTTGGGAATGGAGAACGGAGAAGGCTGAGAAGGGTCCCCGGCTGGAACTGTTGCGGGGCTAGTCGACCGGTGTGGATGATCTTTCTCGTGGAGAGGATGCCATTAACAGAGGATACACATATGGTACAGTCAGTAGCTCGCGTAAAGCTGCTGTACGCAACCAGCACGATAGGGAAGATCGCAAGTGTTACAAAGGGACAAGATGAAACTCAGCTACGCACTGTCATGGTTTGGATGATTCGGCGTCTCTTTCGGCGCATGGCGGGTCCGATGAGACCCTCTTGCAGGTCCAGGCCGGCGCCGTGTGGACGAGTACACACAGGTATAACCATGCTCGGAGCAGCGAGAGCACGTTGGTCGCTGCAAATCACCTGCGACAAGCTCAAGTCAGAACAAAGGGGCCCCGGAGAGACTCGATGTGGGAGTAATGACGGCTCGAAAGACGCCACACATACACTTTATCTTCTTCCTATCGGGTTTCGGGTTCCTCTGTCAATAACTTGCTCGCTCGGATAGCAAGGAGAGCAGACATGGTCGTAGGAAGCGAGCGGACTCACCGAATGCAGCGATCGCAAACCCGAGAAATCAACGGCCGGCCCTCACTGCCTGGTGAGCGCGGCGCATCTGTAGTCCCGAGCGAATGTGCGTCGGCAGGATAGACACGACTGGTCGCGTCTTGCTCATGGATGAGAAGCTGTTGCTCCATCACGCTTCATCCAGGCTTGACCAGAAATCATCCGGTTCGATGCCCACCCCAGGATACTTAGTGTTGCTACTTTTGCCCGATTCTGCGTGAGCAGAAGTGAAGTTGTCGGACGAAATGTGCCGATGCGTTTAGATCAATTAAAGATGCTCCGAGGACTAGTTAACTAAGCACCCCAACTTTTACATAAGTAGGTTTTGCCCCACTGTCAGTTCGAATATCCTCCGAAATGCTTTATACCCCAGCTTGGTGAATGTGACCCTCGTGCTTGGCAATTTGCGGGGAGTTGTGGGCTTACGTACGTCAGCAAGTTAAGTCTCGGGAATAGCTGCATTGCCCACCAGACCCCTGTGCTTATTCTCTCGCCTGTCGACCGCCTAAACTCCAAGAGATTTACTCACGCTAGAAGTTCTTCCGAGGAAGCTTTTCCGAAATACCTAGGCAGAAATAGGAGTAATTCTAATGGGGATGAAAAGGACATATATTCTCTGACATAAATGTAATTGAATGGCCTTTTTTGGCGGCATGCATGTGATACACCCGTCTCTTAGTGTACCTGGCCACAGAATCTTTCTTTCTTGCAACTGCTTCCTTGCAGCTCTTTCTTGCCATTCACACTGTCGATATGTCGCCGTTCTCGCATCTGATTCGCTTCGAATGCGATGAGGATGGTCAATCCTTCTTCGCTGATCTCGGCGATAATGCCAATGGGCCGCCATCTCCAGGAACAACTCTAGGCGCATATCCATCAGTGAACGAGCTCATGAGCAACACTGGGATGAAGACTGTCACAATACGGCGAGTGTGTTCTCCCCCCCGGCTCTCTTTAATATCTCCCTTTTGCTGGACTGACTCAATTTCTCTCACAGCTATTAGCTCCGCTCCCCCAAACTGGGGCTCCTATATACTGCGTTGGCCTCAATTATCGAAGTCACGCCAAAGAAGCTGGTGTACGGGAACCCCTGTCCTCGAAACTTCCGTGTGATGACGCAAGCCCACGACTCTAATAACATTTGTTGCGCCTATTAGCTCGACATACCCTCGTACCCTCCAGTCTGGACGAAGCCAGCGGCAGCACTTGCACATCCTGATGAAGACATTCCCATCAATGATTTCTGCGCTAAAAGTCTCTTGGATTACGAGGTGTGTATCCAGTGCGCTAGTCCTGCTAGCTGAGCGTGGCTGATGGCTTTTTTTCTTGCGCAAAAAAGGGTGAGCTGGTTTTCGTTACCTCGAAGGAATGCAAGAATTTGTCCCCCGAGCAGGCTAAGGATTACATCCTAGGCTACACCGTTGGCCTCGACCTGTCCTGTCGTATGTTCCAGCTTCCCAAGAACCAGGGAGGCCAATTTTATTTCGCCAAAGCTTTTGACAAGTTTGCGCCAATCGGCCCGAGCTTAATCAGCCCAGAGATTTTTGGCAATGGCGCGGCATTCAAAATCGTTACTAAGGTCAATGGTCAAATCAGGCAAGAGGCAGACTTTCAGAAAGATATGATATTCTCTCCGGAGAAAATCCTAAGCCACATGAGCCAAGGTCATTTACCTCTGCGCCCTCTCTACTGGCCTCGGACTAATCAGCCACAGGCACTACTATCCCTGCGGGAACCGCGGTCATGACAGGCACTCCAGCAGGTGTTGGGGTATTCATGAAGCCTAAGACTTTCCTGCAAAACGGAGACGTGGTGGAAGTTGAGATGGCGAAAGTCGGAGCACTTCATAACAAGATGAAATTCGAGTAAGCCATCGGGCCCAAACCGATAGGCATCCCATACTTACTGCTAACGGGACTGGCGAAGGATAACAACATGGACATGGTTCATCGTGTACCTACAGATGACTGCAATCAATTTATTCACGAGATGGTTGTGATTATGACAAGATGATTTCGGCTTTTTTTTAGATATGGCTCTACATATTGAACGAGGTACCATTCAACTAGTTAGAAGTAGTATTCCTGGACAGCTACATTTATTTCCGTATCATTGTGCAACAAGTCTTCCGCCTGGATATGAAAGATTAAACTATAGTGCTAGGAGAAGGTGCGCACTTTAAATTTAGCACGGATTTGAGATTAGGGCAAAGATAAACCAGTCGTTTGCTCAAGCTTCCGGTTGAAGCAGGAACTTGGAGATAATACAAGATATGGATGGATATTGGTAGTTTTATAATTGTACACTGTAAGTTGACCTCTAACTTATTTATTTCTGCAATCATATGTATTATACATATATCAGGTTTTATTTTTCACTTTATAACTAACGTGTCAATTTAGGAATAATATAACGACTAGTAATATAAAATTTTGGTCTCTAATATTTATACAAATAGGATGGCAGTGTGACTAAAATTTATCTATCTTACCCCACAATACGTCGTTGGATTCCCAGTTTGACTTAGATATTGTACTGTGTATAGCATAGGGATATTTAGCTAGTTATCTTTTGGTCATTTTAAAAAGCTATGTACCTAGTGTTTTAAAGAAATTAGGCTTGCTTGGAACATTCTTGTGGGAGCTTCCCAGAAGCAAATTCAGAGCAATAATGGCAAGCGATCTTTCAATCCAGAACGTGCACGGAGTGCCAAGGTTATATTAGCCTTAAGCCGAATCAGGAATTGAACTCGCAAACGACTCAAAGTTTCTATTTGACGGCTATGCAAGGTAGCACCCTGACGTTTGCTTGCTTCTAAAGGGCTAACTGCTTCTTCAGCAGTGACAAGCATCTCTCCAGCTCGATCACATTCTTACAGCAGGAAAACACGAAAAAGTCAGGGCGCAAGATGGCAAACTGCGTCGATCGTCCGAGGCGGTCCATATATGAGTGACCATCTTGTTGAGGGTTTGTTCTAGCCTGCCCGTTAGGATGCACGGCCGGTGAAAACGCGTGAATTTGGTCTCCGTTGTCCAATTCGGTTGATTCGATCGCACTTCCGCTGTGATTAGGATTGAGCAGCACGACTGATGATTCTGATACAATGGCTGGGTCGATTCCTGACCTCCCAACAGCTTCTTTTGCGTCTTTGTGAATTCGGCCATCGTCACCCCCGTTGCATATGGCTAGAATCGTAAATATACTATCGCAGGGTCGCAATAGGGTATCCGATAGAACCGCTTTGACTTTATCCGATTGCACGTATATCTGCGTAAGTCGAGCACCGCCGTGATAGTTCTCGAGGAAAAAGCCCCCACGTACGTTGGTGAATCCACGACGCTCCACAATAGCCTGGGGATCCGGAAGCTGAAACAAGAACCGAGAAGACTCGAGAAACATGGCAAGAAGTAGGAGACCGCGGAGCCAGATCGATGGCTTGTTGTTGCACAAATATCCGTTTAACATTGAAAACATGGCTGCATCATCCACGCTTTTCCGTCGTTCAACAGCCCACGACTCGAGGGTGCCATTGGCCAGAGCTTCGCCTTGATGTTTGGTCCGGAGAAGCAGGGCGAGTCGCCACGCCAGCTGGTGTGCATCTCTCACGCCGCTCGCTATCCCCTGACCGGCAAAAGGCGGGAACACATGCGCCGCATCTCCGATAAGAATGACCCGTTTGTGAAACCAGCGATTGACAACTTTATGGGTGAATCTGTATGGCCTACAACGGAGAATCTCGATACAGTCCTCAGGATACTGCACAGAGCCAGGGAATTCGCACCCGCGATTGTCGTCCCTTTCTCTTGTGATCATTGGCTTTATGTGCTCCCAGAACAGAGACTCTGCATCCATAGAGTCGTTCCAGTGGGACTGGCATAGCTCGTGACGCCACGTTCTATCCTCAGTTGGGCCAAATCTCCCCGTCGCTGTTGCCTTGCCAGGAGGTCCACAAAAGTGCCATCCTTCTGGCCAGAAGAGGTTGTAGACCTCTTCAGGGGAGTATCCGAGACCCCACAGGGGATAGGTCGGGTGAGTCTGAGGTGTTGGAAGCGTTATTTTCAAATTAGCCGCAATCCAAGTTCCGTTGTACGGATATTTTCCTTCTTCCTGTATGATGCCAGCGGTCGGCTCCAGAAAATGCTTCCTTACGATGCCTACTTTCCCGTCGGCTCCTACCAGCCATTCACTCCTGATCTGATGCCATTTTTGTTGCTCATCGATATACTCGACGCTTGGCAAGTCATGACAAGATATACTCACCACACGACACGCTGTGCGGAGTGTACAATATTCAGAGCTCCTGACTTTCTCTCGAAGTGCAATTTCTAATACGTCATCATAATTAGAACTTGGTCAAAACATGCCATATTAGAGTGGATGGACAAACCGAGACGTGGCTGACTCTGCAACATTCCTTCTGGTACTGCCTGTTGTAGAGCGTTCCGCGTACCGATACCCATCTCGTAGAAGGGCTTCGTGCTGAACGAAGATTGATGAAAGTTGGCTTTGTGAACCTCTTGATGTGTCTCTCAATCAATTTACAATCTCCCAAAATCCTTCAAATTATGGTCTTTCACTTACCATGTCCAATAGTCGGCACCTCATTCCCTAGACCCAAGTCGTAGAGGATCCTTATAGCATCTCCGGTGAGATATACGCCACGAGGATCTTTGGTCACCTCGCTATCTTTCTCAAGGATGACAGACTTTCCCCGGATTAGCGATGTTTGCGTGGAAAATGCATATTGGGGCCTTTACTCGAACTTGAAATCGGGCCAATGCAAGACCAAGAGCCAGGCCAGAGGGCCCAGCACCAACAATGATAACTTGTGTTTCCTCCATTAGTTAATTGCCTCTACGACACTTTGTTGTTTGTATTGATGGCGGTGTGTATTGCCCTCTCTCATGATACTTGATAAGTAGGAGTACTTATACATTTCGCATCTACTATCAGGAATATACTAGTGGATCTTTTCAATCCTACGGAGTAAGCCCCCTACGTGCCTAACAAGCTAACGTACCAATAGATGTTTGTACAAGTATGTATCCTACGAATTAGTACCCTACAGGCTAATGTGCAGGGGTCAATTAGCTGAGTAAGTTCATGGAAGATCTTAAGCCGCAAAATTAGTTAGTTACGCCGCGGTGTATTTTTTGTGCGGGGAACAAGTTCTTCCGACGGACACGGAGGCAATTGGATGACACGACCCACAAGTTATCCTGACTACCGCGGTCCCTGGTATAAGCTGGACGAATATTTGCTGCGCCTGATCTCTTCGACAAATTGTGCGACTGGCGTGGATCTTGGTTTCACTATCCAACAGGCGCTTTAATTAGTTTGGGCGTCTTGCCGGGGGTGCAATTTGTACGTCATGCCCTTTGATGGGAGGCGGCAAATCCTTTACAGTAACAGTCTCCAAATGGTGCAAAAGCACGTAGAGTTTCATGCAACATGTTCCAGATGATCTTTAGTGATTCTAAGTAAACATCAAGTTGAGTTACTAAACCTATATACTGTAGCTAAAAAGCATGATAGGACGCATTTCCAGAGCCTAGGTATGGATCCAAATGAGAATCTAACCCACAAGGCACGAGAAGATCTATTTTCGTGGCATTCCCAGTACTACTAGAGGCAAAAGTGAACTTAACATGAGCTTATTATAAAGTTGCTATGGTGTCTTCCAGCAAAGTGCTTCGAAATGACAACCGAACTATGTAGTCACTTAGTTGGTACTCGATTCAGGAGTTCTAGCTTGTACACCCTAGAAAGGATCCAATTCTATGGATATCTGTGTAAGCGTCTGTAATGATTTGCGGTTGTAAGGGGCACGAGGTCAGCTTACCATAAAACGCAGCGGCCAAAGGGTAACAAGGAGACGCAGCCTCCATGCCAGCGTTCCTTCCCATATTTCAAGACTCGGCCTTCGACAAGTAACTTTGTCAACGACAATCCGAGAGAATTCGCGCGTGTTCATGCCATTTGCGTTTCCTTCGTATTTGATACGCTCGATAGTGCCCTTTATGGGTAGATATAACGAATTCTCCGGGGCATATAGACCATGATGCAGGATATTGCTGCGGACGAAGCCAGCAACCACCTCAATGACGTCAATTCCAAAGGGTGCTATCTCCTGCGTTTACATGTCAGAGATCGGTAATTTCGGCCTTGGAAGAAAAGACACCAGTACTCACAAGTCGCAGTGTCTTCGTGTATTGGCTGAGAGCGGCCTTGGATGCATTATAAGCCGCTTGCCAAACAACCGGAACGGCTCTCGTCACGCTTCCAATCTGTACAATCCGTCCATGAGGCGCTTCGCAGAGTAGCGGGATAAATAGCTGACATAGTTTCATAACTGCAAAGACATTGACCGCGAACAGCTTCGCAGCTTCTTCCACGTCGAGATCAAGGGCTGTGGCCGCGTAATGTGTGCCCGCATTGTTCACCAAGTAATCTAAGCGACCGCCCGTACGGTTGTCGATTTCGGCTTTTAACTTGTCGATACTCGCCATGCTGCCGAGCTCTAGAGCAAATGCCTCGATGTTTGCATACTTGCTGGTGATATCCTGGAGGGACTCAACTCGCCTAGCAGTGGCCAAAACGGTGATTCCCTTCTCAGCAAACGCAATTGCAAGTTGTTCTCCTATGCCACTGCTGCATCCCGTAACAAGCGCGAACGGAGGTCCATTGGCCATTTTTTGCTGAAGTCGTCAAGGGTTACGAGGAAGATTCTCTGTTTTCCCTTGTTATCATTGGTGTGGAAAAGTCGGATATGTGAAAATGGGAGCGATTGAGTGTAATTTAGCCTCTTCCTTCGACCCACTATATCAAACCGACATACCTGATACTCTCAGGCCAGCAACATACAGCGGATGGAATATCTGCAACTGGAGGACTCCTCTGAGCAAGTTAAGTGGTCGATTATAGAGTTGCGGCGTGTGGGGGCCTTAAAGAGCAGAAGAATGTAAGATTTTGAGATCCTCCGACCGGAATGCCGAAGAGTGATCTCGACATTCAAATTCATTGTGACGTTCGACATGATCTCAGTAGCACATTGACTTAGACCCTTGTTAGATACCACGCGGCGAGGAATATCTGTAACATTTTCTCGGAGGGACTGAGCCCAAGCATGCAATGCAGTGAGCGCTAGTGGAGATACTCCACGGAATAACTAATTGTAAGACACGACCATACTTGCCCGACTTATAAATGATGCAGAGCAGGCTACATCAGGGTCTCAAAGACTTTCCAAGAATTTGAAAACATGCCGCTCGCCCTGGAAATTGCGCTCAAGTTACTCGTAAAACTACCAAGACCTCTACGCGAAGCCATCATGCTGGACATGCGCATCCCGCCAATCTCGAACAACCCATCAAAAGTTCAACTCTCCAGAATAGGACATGTGTATTTCGAACATCCCGACCTCGAGAAGTTCAGCGAATTCGCAAAGGACTTCGGCTTTGTGGAGGCTCACAGGGTGAAAGACAGGATCTATTACCGCGGATACGGGAAGGACCCGTTCATCTATGTCGCTTCGCAGAGCCCAGATGGCAAGCCGAGGTTTCGCGGTCCAGCGTTTGTGGCAGCGTCGCAAGCTGAGTTTGACAAAGCCGCGAAGATAGACGGCGCTATTGTTGGATCCTTAGATGAGGCTCCAGGCAAAGGGCAAATCGTCACATTCAACCGACCCGATAAAACCTTCTTCCATGTTATCTATGGTCAGGAAGAGCGAGTAACAAGTGCAGAGGCACCGTCAGCAATCCATGAGCAGCTAGGTCCATTTAATAAACCGTTTGACAAGCCAAGGCGAGGTCGGTGCTATCCTTATTTCCCATGGCCTAGTCATGCTTGTGTTAGCTAATGATGAATAACTAGGCAAGTTCCAGCGGTACCACGAGGGACCAGCACTTGTCCATAAGTTAGGCCATTTTGGCTACGTGGTCCCTGACTTTGACGCCGAGTTGGCGTGGTATACCAACAACTTTAACTTCGTGCCATCCGACATTCTCTATCACTGGGACTTTTCGAACATGGACGTGCTAACATTTATGCATCTCGACCTGGGCAAGGAATATTCCGACCACCATTGTTTCTTTATGCAGCGAGCCGAACCACATGTCAAGAAGATTTTCCTTCATCATACATCCTATGAGGTTGAAGACTTTGACACGCAGCTTATTGGGCATAACTGGCTTGCAAAGAAAGGCTGGAAAAGCATTTGGGGGGTAGGGCGTCACATACTTGGCAGCCAGATCTTTGACTACTGGGCGGACCCCAGCGGCTTTAAGATAGAGCATTATGCTGATGGAGATGTTGTGAACCAGGATACTGTGACTGAGAGGGATGTTGTTGGGCCGTTTTCCGTATGGGGTCCTGAGGTACCTAAGGATTTTGCGGACAAAGGAGATGTTGCTTGAAAGATACCGTTTTCTGATTTGGACGGTCTCTTTACAGATATCTTCATGTCATTCATAAATATATAACATTAATGTACAATATTGTAGTCTCTGACAAATTTATACTCATTACTAACCGATAGGTACCTAATTTATCACGGCTATAGTAAAATATTCCTTTTTTTTCTTTTCCTTAGCTAAGGGCGAGTTAAATCCCTTTGTTAAACTATAGTATCTTCATAACTAAGCCGTCTTCAAGAATCCAAGGATACTATTTGTATCAATGAAATTGAACTCTTTCAATGTCTCTTCCCATAATCTATTCATGATTATTTTGCCTTCAGCAGTATATTGGAATGGTGCGTATCTAGATTGTGATTTAGCAATAGGAGCAGCTAACGAGGCAGATGAAATAGATTGTTACTGACGGTGCAATATCCCAGTTCGTAAGGACACATCCATGAGATTCTTTCCCTTTCACGATGGCAGCATCTATATATGTCGACGCACCGACCTTTACAGACCGTGCGCTGATAGTCTTGAAGAGATTGAGTATAATCCTTGTGATACCGCTGATGTCGCGTTGCAGTTCGGTTCCTTTGATGAATCCTGGTTCGACAAGATTTACAACAACATCGTCTGCAGATACCATATCTGTAAGCTTCCATATGAACAATTGGCCCAAGAACTTTGAAGTTTGGTAAATGTCGTAAGGATCGAACAAATCAGCTCTGTCAAATGCTGGAAGAAGAGGAACCTCGCTCTTATTTGCGAACTTGGCGGTGATCGAGAGCATTGACGTAACTATTGTCAACCGTCCAGGCAGTCCCACCGGCGATTTCTTCTTCAGTATAGGAAGAATGAGAATAGATAACAACATTGTGGACAGGTAGTTGACTTGTAGATTCTCTTCATGTCCTGTATCTGGCGAAGTAGAAAAAGCTGATCTTCCCATCCCGGCGTTCAAGATGGCAACATCGAGTCGAGGCAATTCCTTATCCAGTCGCGCTGCAAAGGCTCGGACGGAATCGTAGGAAGACATATCTAGCACCCATACCTCAATGATGGATTTGGGATACTGTTTGCGAAGATTAGAGGCTGCAATCTCGCCTTTCGCTGAAGATCTGACAGCTATAATTAGGCGTGAAAGTTTGTAAGAAAGTAGTTGACGAGCACATTCCAAACCCAAGCCGGTATTAGAACCTGTAACAAGGGCGACTTGGTCAGAAAGATTCGTGCTATGGGGAGGAAACCGAGGTTTAGTAAAGAATTGATTCTTGATGAATAAGTTGGGAAAAAATGGAGACGTAAGAGGAGGCAGTTCTTTTGAATGCGTCATAATGAATTGAGTGGTTGATATATTCGGTCTGAGGAGAAGTGTGAAATAAATTATATGACGAGGAGATTATTCCAATCTGATGTATGGATTTGACACTTTCGCAGAGCTATCGAGGAGAAGAATGCAGGTGAAGGCACTACCCATATATATACATATGTGCGTGGACACGATTCTGTGGCGACAGAGATAAGAACTTTTAAAAGCCTTCTCATCAACATCCTTTGATGCTATGTGTTGTCCTGCAATCGCCTAGGGTAGCGCCAAGACCAAATTGCATCGTCAAATAGGGCGCTCGAATGAGGCGACGCTAATGCAGGATATTGATTACTGGATTAGGTATAGTGTATGATTTCATGGTTTAAATGAACTTGATTGGCCAGATATTGTATCATCTCCATACAGTGCACACTGCCTGTCTACGTAACGCGCAAGAGGATATGTTTCGAACCATCTTGACACTGAAAATTCATTTCAACGCTTGCCTTTTATCAGAAAACAATCAGCTGCAGATCTACCATTGCACAAGAGAATGAACTCTATCCAGGTCATCTTACCACGCGCCTCGCTTTGGTAATCAGCCGAATTACCGATTTCCACTATAATTTGGTCCAACTCATAATACTGCCTGCCCGAAACGGGGGAACCTGATATCTTAGATGGCTCCTGCGGATGGAATTGGTACGTTACTGACATCTGTATGTACCCAACGCAGAACTTACTTGTCTAACAGAGCAGGTAATGATTCAGTGGAGATGCCATTCATTATTTCCGATGGAATCGGAAGCACAGAGACAGATAAGCGAAAGATGATCCGAAGATATGTCATGTTGGGGAAAAATCGTGGCAAGACTCGGAAAATGAAGCAAGGAGACCACCAGCCGGTGCCAAGTGACTTGGAAAGCTACAAAAATAGCGAAGCTATGTCGATAGGATTGTCGATCAATATGCGTTATTCGCATATCCCTCAAAAAGTGGGATCTGAGCTGTCTTTCACTCAATTTGCGGATTCTGTGGAGCCAGCGTTGATCAAGGACATCTTGAAATGTAACCATCACCCCATATCTGCCTTTGCCCAGCCGAAAAGCGCACTGCTAATGCCTGCTTCCGTTGCATAAAATTAGTCTCTTTTATTGCCAAAAGAGTCATTTATCCTCTGGAGAGATGCATCAACTTTGATAGAAAGGACAACTTTGATAGAATGTGGTTTGAGCTCATGACGCAAGACGCCGCATATCTTCATACCGTTGTTTTCGCATCCCAGACGTATTTTATGCATACATCTAACCAAGAAAGTCCTGAGGCGGGAAAACGGGCAATCATGCATCATTCTCGAGCACTTCAACTACTCCGCGAGAGATTAGCGGCGAAAGATGAGGAGCTCAAGATATCGGACCCCACGATCTTGGTTGTTTTAGCCCTCGCTGGCCATGCCCATATGGTTAATGACTCTGAAACAGCCAAGAAACATATTGATGGTCTACGCAGGATTGTTGATCTTAGAGGTGGTTTGTCCACCTTCAGTTATCACCCGAAGCTCTCAATCGAGTTGCTGAAGTAAGTGATGGCAAAATTCCGGAGCTAATTTCTCGTTTGCTAAGCTATTGCTGGCCTCTAGATGTGATTTGGGAATAGCGCTTAGCTATGGTACTAAGACTGTCTTCTTCACTGAGCCATCGTCAGAATCCTTGATGCTATATCCGGATTTTAAACAGTTTATGACACAACACTCACACTCAGCTCAGAACGAGACGTATTCTAATCTAGAGCATCTAAATATTGATGAGGAACTAGGAAAGAGCTGGGATGCATTGAGAAGATTCTGCTCGGTAATCAACTCCGCTTCGGAACACAAGCGTCGACTGCCAAAGGAAATTCTCTTAAATACCATGGCGCCCATAATGTATCGTTTGTTCAATATGGCATTCGAGTCGGGTTCTTTCAATGAAGTGATTCGATTGGTCCAGTTGGCATTCTCATCACACGCCTTCCTCCACTGGCAAGGAGTTAAATATCCGCATACCTATCTTCCGGAGAGCTATCGAAACTGTCTCCTTAGACTCAAGTTTCCAAGTGAATCCTCACCTCATATTCTTTGCTGGCTACTTGTGATGGGAGCCATATCCATATTCAGTCCTGCTGATGATGTTTGGCTTATTCCTTGGATACAAGTCAACTTGAAGCTCTGCGAAGCTGAGAGCTGGAATATGCTACGTCATCAGTTAAAGCAATTTCTTTGGATTGACATCCTTCATGATCATCTTGGAAAGTCAATATTTGACGTTGCAAATTCCTTACATAAAGATGACGAAAGCAGTGAACTTCACGAAGAACAAACCAAAAGATTAACGCCAGTGCTGGAAACATAAGGTTAGTTCATATCCTACACATATGCACGATACAGTGGATTGATCTCAATATATATTCTAGATGCAAACATTCACTATTGTTTCTCCTCCATTTTAAATGGTAGAAGAGTGGATTGTCGGCATTTGTGCTACCCGCAGATTGTCCATGATCGGAATTTACCTAGCTCCTATCAAGATTACTGATCTGGAAGCCAAATACCAGAGCAGTTGGACGAGGACACTATTTAGTTTCATCTAATCTAAGGTTTCTCAGTCTGTTATTTTCTTTTCTTTTTGCTTTTTCTTTCAACAGGAAATCGGTCGGTATTGAAAGGCAGGCTTTCCTCTACGTCGTTCGAATCGCACAGATTCTGGCGCCAGTTTCTTACTTCCGCTGATGTGCTTACTGTTCTACGAATTATGATAAGGGCCACACACACCCGCAATCTCTAACTCCACCCCTATTATCCCTGTCAAGTTCAGCTGTAACTAATTGCCAGCGTGAACAATAACAGCTGCTGATTAAGAAAGATTGCAGTTGCTACCTAGGTATTTAAGGATATGATACAGTGCCAGTTAATAATCGATGATACACTTCGCTACTGCCAATGTAGATAGCCCTTGGAATCTTTCCCGATTTGAGGAAGTTGTTAAGTAATTTCTCCAAAGGGTTTGAATGCTCGAAGAGTAAATTGTGGACTCAGATTCAGGATGTACGGCTTTTGGCTTATTTCTCTGCACACAGTGCGTAGCACATCCCTGTTGTATCGACCGGGTCCGGGATTTACGCTAGCGGAAATGCTGTTGTTTTGCACCGCCCTCTGACTTGGAATTAGCATCCCTACCTAATACTTCTTTAAATCACTCCGACGTTAATCCAAGGGGGACACGCCAAGATGCCAGTTGGAAGCGATGCAGAGAAGCGATATCTGCTCGCTTCGAAGGAAGTTGAGGGCAAAGGAGGGGTATATGCCCCCGGACCTACCAGCAAAAGGATCTTCTGGAAGGTTTTGTTGCCGACCGGACTGTTTTGCGCATTGCTAGCCCTAGTAGTCCTGACGTACCCTTCCTCAGGCAATCCCAAGTCCAGCTCGGTGTCACCGTTGGAAGCCTGTGCTTGGAATCACCTCGAGCCGCACCTCTCTTTGCTATCGGTTCCACCGATTCGCCGATCCGAGTTTCTTGGGCGCCAGAAGGCCCTAGCACTCGAACTGGACTCCGCTGGGGTTGATGCTTTCATTGCTGAACCATCTGCTTCCACGTCTTATTATGCAAACATTTCTTCAAGCTTTCACCTCTCAGAGCGCCCATTCCTGATGATCATTGGCAAAGATGGCCAATTTACAACGCTAGTACCCAAGTTTGAAGCTGGTCGCATTGCAAAGCTCGACATGGTTTTCGACAACAAAACAACAATCACGTGGATCGAAGAAGAGTCGCCGTATGAAGCACTCGCTCGAGGCACGGGCTACAAGAAAGTTATGATTGATGAGCATGCGCGGTTCATGATTGCAACCGGTCTGCAAGAGGCGGGAATTGAGGTGGTGCCTATGTCAGAGACCATTCAGTCTCTCCGATCCGTCAAGTCGATGGACGAAATCGCTCTACTGAAAGGGATCAACTCGTTCACGCTTGCACTGGTTCAGTCCCTGCAAAAGTGTATCCGAATTGGTATGACTCAAGAAGAAGTTATTGACGCCTCACAAGCACTATTCACGCGTGCTGGGGTGGGTTATGGATTTTGGGTGCTGGTGCTGTTTGGCGATCAGGCGGCTCTACCACATGGCGGTGAGACTGGAAGAACGCTGAAAAAGGGTGAATTTGTCCTTATTGACATCGGCTCGGAACTTCATGGGTACTGCAGTGATGTAACACGCACAATCCTACCAACTGGAGCCACCGTCAGTGACCACCTCATGGCCGTCTGGCAAATTGTACGGGAGGCGCAGTCGGCTGGTTTATCGCACATGAATGCAGATGAAGCTTGCTCTGCAATTGACAGTGCCTCTCGCGATGTAATAAAGCGTGCCGGGTACGGCCAGTACTACACCCACCGATTGGGACACGGACTTGGCTTGGAAGGACACGAGCCGCCATATTTGAACGGTGCTAACGACCAAAAGTTAAAACTGGGTGAAGTGGCCACAAATGAGCCGGTATGATCTACATATTGAGAAAAATATCCCAATATCTCTGATATTGTTAAGCTTGCTGACAACCAATTGGATTAGGGTATTTATGTCACTACAGAAGAGGCAGCCCTGCTTGGAAAGAAAGCGGGCTTTGGTATAAGATTGGAGGACCCCATCTTCGTTACCGAGAATGGTGGTGTGTTACTGACTGGAAACCGGGCACAATCTCCTTGGAATCCTTGAAATAGTGCTCGCTCAATTTCGATTGTCTAGCGCTGTGGTGCCTCTACGGCTTCTATTTGCATCTTGTGGCATTGTTCGTTTGATTTAGCCCGATAAGAGATGATGGCAATGACCAACAGTTGCTCTTAATTCATTTCTGTATATATGTTTTTGATATTCACGAAAGCAGTGCTTTATATGCTATTGACTAAATTGACCCATAGGATTTGTGGAAAGACTGGGCGTAGATGCTCGAGGTGATGGCTGCTGGGGATTCATAATCCCAAGATTATTACCCATGCCTTGCCCTGGTACATGCATACCGGGATTCCACTGATTTTGGCCCATTTGCATTCCATTATACATCTGGCCAAAAGAGTTCATAGGAACCGGTGATGGTACGTTGGTAAAAGGTGCTGTAAAATGGGGCACAGGTTGCCCAAACGTCGACTGAGGGAATGGTCCAAGTCCTGGGGACGGTCCTCTCTGTGCGGCTGGATGGCCTGGCATATCTGGTTGTTTGAATTGGGTCCCTTGCATCGGGGTCCCGGCATATGTCCAGTCGTCCCTCCTCACCATATTCATCATATTCCATTGTGCATCTGAATTGCGCTGCCTGACCATCCACACGTAGTTGCTAAATTGATCTGATACGTCGAAAACTTGCTTAAAATATTTCGTCTCAAGTTGTATTGGCCCGCCTGCCTTAGCATGGAAGCAAGCTAAAGCTACGGCGCTCTGGAAGGCATTTCGGATCTGGCGACCGTTCTAAACTGGGCCGAACTGCGGATCGAGTTGGCGCTCAAAGATGTCGTTGGCACAGAGAATGAGTTGTTCACTGTCAATTTTGATGCGCGGATCTTGAGTTGCCTTTTGGATATGCGAGTTCCAAATTTTGAGCGTTTGATCTTGTTGAAGTGGTGGGTAATATAACGAAATGTGGATTCGAGATTTAAAGGCTTCATCAAACACACCCACACGGTTTGTAGTAAGGAAGAGAATGCCTTCATAATACTCAAGTGTTCTCAGAAACACTGTCAGATAATCTCTCGTTAGTTTTTCCATAATGTGAATGACGAAACGGCTGCTTACCAGACACTAGGGCATTTCGTTCTGTATCAGTCGCAGTTCTCTGGGCTAAAAAGACATCTGCCTCATCGAGGAGCATCACGCAGCCCCATGCCTGGGCTAGCCTAAATATATGCTGTAATTTAACCTCTACCTCGCTTGGAGTTAAGCCAAGATCACCTAAAAAATGATTTATTAACTAATTGACATAATTTTCAAGTCTTTTCATTACTCACCACAGATGATGGGTAACAATGGTCTCCCATTACTCTCGGCGGCACATTCTGCAAGACAACGGTTAGATGAAGCCACTAGGTAAATGGATAGATTTTAAAAAGATAGAAATACCTGCAGTTGAGGTCTTGCCGACTCCTGGCACACCATGAAGCAGAATAATGACTCCTTTTCCTATACGTATGTTTGATGAGAATGAAAGTTAATCTGCAGGATGGTGGTAGTTGGGATTACCTTTGCCTTTCACCAAGTCGAAGTGCATTTGTTTGCCCACATTGTTGGAGAAATGGGATTCAATAAGAGACTGCACAATTTCCTTATGGCCCAAAGGAAGCTCGAGATTGTCCCAAGGATGATTCTGAGGTATGATTTCCGTCAGTTGTTCTTCACCAAACGCATTCTTTCCCAAATGCAGACAGGCTTGATACGCAAGAGTGTTAGCATATCAATTTTCTTTTTTCCTCTTTTTTTCAGAAGAGGTTGACATTACCCCAAGTTCGAGTTTTGAGCACAAATGCAAAAATTCTATCTGGCAGTAGAAATAGGTCCTCTTCGTCGGTTGGTCCGCTGCCTTTTTTCGCCCATTGATCCCACTTCAAGGTCTCAGTAGCGATGAAATCTTGAGTGAATTTTCGACTCCACTGGCTGTCAGGGTCCGTGTCGCTGGGCCTCTCATGATTGTCATCAATGTGCGGCTGGAGCGAGGTGCCCGCTGTTGGATTCCACGACGATACTTCTTGAATGGCCCTCTGAAAGTCCACTATGATTTCACTATCGATTCTTTCCGAGTATATAGAGACGTTTTCTAATGCATTAGTGCCTAATTCTAAGAGCTTTGTGCCCCATGGAGTCCGGTCCTAACTTCTTCCGCTATAATGTCGATGGCTGACCTGTGTCAATTCTTGAAATTTTGCCGCGCGTGCCAACCACTCCTCTTTGATAACATATCCAAGATCCAATGCCGTAGTAAACGGAATCACTGGTAGGGTAGCTGTAGACTGGATTCCTGCGAAGTTTGTGATGCTGAACCTAGCGTAAACAGGCACATATTCGCGGCCAGAATAATCAAGGTAGTAACAATCCAAAACAAAATCCGAAAAGGCATTTTCATTGGAGCCCTCTGAGACTAGGGGTGCTTTTGACATCCACTTGCGGCCGCCTGCAGTCTGAACAACCCTCCAGATCTTCTGTGGAGTGTTGTTGTCGCGAACATAGACAAGAGCGCCGATGGGAAATAGAAACCACATGTCCAAGAAGCGAACTGATGCAGGTGCGCTTGCCAGATGGAGTCGTTGAGGTTCAATGTATGTGTCGATAAATTCTTCGACGCAGCCAAGGTCTAATAGCCAACCCGTCAAAGTAGATAGGTCTATGAGCGACTGGTTCTGATATCCACGCATGCCAATATCTTCCGCAGGTTCTTCTTTATAATGTTTTACATATGCTTCATCAGAAGTGTCCCACAATTTTCTCCTAGCAAGCTTAAAGCTTCGAATTCGTTTCTTGATTTTATCCCGCAGGTAGACAAGCATTTTGAATGGTCTTATTATGATGAAAGGGTCTTCTGTCGAATAAGGGAGCGTCCTGTTGAAAATAGGGGCACCGACTTAGGTATCGGTACTTGATTAAACAGGGGTCGGTCCTGCCACCAGGCATAAGTAGGAGGTCTACACCCAGCAAGTAATAGTAATAGACTAAGGCTAATTGATATATATTTTATTAGGTTATAAGCCTGGCTTCCACTAAACTACTAAATACCGATACCTTTAAATTAACTAATAACTAATTTCGCTAATGCTAGCGTATCTAAATTAGGACATAGGTAAATAAGAAAAATGACCGGTAAATATGAATTTACTAACCCAGATAGTCGGTAAATAAGATTACTATCCTTAGATAACCTAATTGCAGGGCCCAGACCCCTGCAGCAGTCTTAAAGAATAGCAGAATACTTTAGGAGAACTGGGAAGAAGGAGATTAAATAAAGGATAACAGAAGCTTTAATATAGAAAGACAAAAGACCCCAGAACCCATAAATAAAGACTTTAAAAATAACTAAATATTAATAATTCCATTACCACTAAGTAACATTAATATCTACAGCTGTAAAGTCTATATACTATAATTAGACGAAGAGCTAGGTTTACTATATTATAATCTAGTTCTACTGCAATCTAACTTAGGTATACTATAGTCTAAACTTAGTATACTGTAATCTAACCTAGGTATACTACAGCTTAAACCTAATATACTACAACCTATCTATAATATATCTTAATAAAGAAACAACACCAGAGATAATATTATAATATAGGGACGGTTAATAATAATAATAGAGATCTAATTAATTAATATTTATGCCCTGAATTTACAATTACTGCTAAAATTTAATAAAAGAGAGGACTACTTTATCTAGGAGTGTAGAATAATGCTGGTTATAGATTTAATAGGTATAAAGGATTTACTGAACTACTACGCAACGGTAAATTAAGTCCCTAAGGACCAGCTTAAAGTCTAAAAGACTAAGCAGCACTAATGCATTAGGATTATAAATATAATATTCTTAATCTTAATGAGTGACCTAATGGCGAACGAAAATACTTTTAATAAAGTGTTTAAATACGCAAAGGTAGAATTCTAAAAGTCTAAGCTTAGAGCATTATAAATAGCGTTCTATAAATAGGAAGATTATATTCTCTAAAAGTTAGAGTCTGTTTAAGAATTTATATAAAAGATTATTACTATATAAGAGAAGTTTATCTAAGCAGGGCTAGACTATAAGCTTCCAACTAACTATCTTATCCTAAAGTTTATTAATAGTCTAGGTAAATAATACCTAGTCTAAAGTATAAACTTCTAGGCAACCTATAGTATAGCAGTACTTTTAATACTAAATAGGATAATATAAAGCGTAAAGGTAAAAGAAGTAAAATAAAAGGGCAGTATAATTAACACCTAGGCCCTATTAATTTAAAAACAACCTCCGCCAACCTAAGATAATAAAGTAAAGTTAATTAAAGTAAAGAAATATTTACACTACAGTAAAAGGGGCTATATATAAAGCAGCTGCTAGTTTCTTTTCTTTAAAAAAAAGCAGTTAACTAAGTAAAATAAAACTAAATAAAGTTAATCGTTAAATACACCGGTAAAGCAGAAAAACCAAAATATACCTAAATTAATTACAGTAATAGTATATTATATAAAAAATAAACTCTTTAGTAATTTTTAATTATAATAGACTGCTTACTTAATACTGTTTAGATCTTTAACTTAGGTTGTGGATAATATACTATATACTGTAAGGAAGAATTTATTCCTGGGATATTAAGACTGTACAGCAGTGAGCTTAACGGTATAGGAAACTTAAAGATTAAAGTTAAAGGGATCGGCAGTATGACCTAGAAATATATAAATAAAAACTCTTTAGTTACAATTACATTCTTTAATATTCTTTTTGTATTAAACTTCGGTTTAAACTTATTATTTATAACCTAGCTCCTTAATTTTAGGGGGAGAATAATAATATTTTAAGACAGCTGGACAATTAAGAAAAACAACATTAAGTTTACCGTAAGACGCTTTAGAAACCTATTTACTTTATAGATAGATATATTACTAATATAAGCATTAATCTTATACTTAGTTAACCCTAAGTTATAGATATAGTATAAGTAGATAGGCTACTTAAGTAGTAATAACTTTAGTAGGTTAAAAGATATAGTTAATAGAATAAATACTACCTAGGAATACTACTTTTATAAACCCTACTTATAAAGAAAAATAAAAGAGAAATTATATAACGGTTAACTATAATAAATAGAGTATATAGGAGATATAGTATATATTAATATTTATAGCCCTTTTTATATAACCAGCTATAATAAGAAAAGATATTAAATTACATTAATTAACGGCTACAGTAGGTTTAGCAGTAGTAAGGCCATTAAGATTAAGTAAAGGGTATAAAAGTTTATCTAATACTTTATATAGTTTTTTAAAAACAGAGAACTATAAAGACAACGTTGCTGAGTTATATATATAGACGGAGCTAAAGAATTTAATAGCTTAGAGTTTAATTAATAAATAAGTAAATGGGGTATATAACTAAAGATATCCCCTATAGAATAATATTAATTAAATAGTATTATAAAGAGCTTTAATATTATTATATATAATAAGCTGCTGCCTACAATAATTAATAAGAATATTTTAAGAAAGTATTAGTTAGAAATCTTTAATACAGTTAATTATCTAAGGAACAGAAGTCTATACAAAGTATTTAACAAAATACCCTTTAAGTTTATCTATAGCTAACAGCTAAATGTTTTAAATATTAAAACTGTAGGTATAGTAGCCTGGCATTTAATCCTATAAGCCTAATGTAAGAAGCTAAATGATAAAAGTATTAAATATATTTTACTTAGTTTTGTTAAAAATATAGGATATTGCTTGCTAACCCTTAGGGGGAGAGTTATTACCTCCTCTAACGTTTATTTTAAATCTAAGGTCATTACTTAATTAAAAATTGCAATAACTTAGAGTATTAGCATATAAATAGATAACTAGGTATAAGGAGAGAAGCGTCGCTGAAGAGTAAGCTCTGTTTTATCTATAATAGAAGTGTTTTTCCTAAAACTACTAACAGTACTTCCTAAACGACCGAAGTTCTAAGATGAAGTCCTAGGACACTTAAAATTGCAGTATCCCCTTAGAAATAAGCACTCCCTATATAATGCCTTTAGATTAACTGCTGCCCCAGAGTCCTTAGTTAACGATATTAAACTATAAACGTTTTAGGAAGCTAAATACAGTTTTTTCTAAGATAAATAGTATAAGGGGATAATAGAAGAAATATAAGCCCTACGTAATAATAGAACCTGGGACTTAGTTTAACCCAACCTGTGAATAAATATTTTACGTAGTAAATGGGTATATAAATTAAAAAGAGAACTAAATAATTAAGTTGTTAAGTATAAAGCCTACTGGGTTATATAAGGCTTTAAATAAATCGCTGGAATTAACTATATGGAGACGTTTACGTTAGTTATAAAACCGATAATATATAAGGCACTGTTTACAATTGCAGCTACCTTAGATTTAGAAATAGAATAAATAAATATAAAAGCGGTATTTCTATATAGGAATATTAATAAAAATATTTACATTAAATAACCAACTGGGTTTTTTAATAAGTTAAAAAGAGTTTATAAACTTAAGAAAGCTCTCTACAGTTTAAAATAAATACTATAAGTTTAATATAAGACACTTATAGACTTCCTTACTACCTTTAACTTTTATTCTATTTCTTTAAACAGCGGCCTCTATATTAAAGAAGGTATTTTCATTGCAATCTATATTAATGATCTACTTTTAGTTAATAAAGATAAAATTAAAATCGCTGAACTAAAAAATGCACTATATAGTAAGTTCTTTATAATAGATCTAAGGCTGTGTTATTATTATCTAGGCATATGAATTTACTGCAATAAAACGGCCTATATAATTATTTTTAACTAATAAAGATACATTCAAAAGATCCTCTACTAATTTAATATAATAGACTGTAAGCCTGTGCTGATTTTAATAGTAGAAATAAAGTTGTAGAAGACTAAAAATATATATATATACTACTATAACAAATAGAAGGAGTATTAATTAATAGTAGGATCGCTAATATATCTAATGCTTAGAACACGCCCGGACCTAGCCTATATAATATCAGTTATTAGCCAATACTTAAGCAATCTGGATAATACATATAGGTAGGCTGTAAAGTAGATCCTAAGATATATATAGGGAACTTAAGACCTATACCTTATATTCTAAGGCAATCTCTAACCACTGCAAGGATATAGTAATTCTAACTGGGCTAGTGACCTAAATATACGCAGATTAACCTCCAGTTATATATTTAATATAAGAAGTGGAAAAATCAGCTGGTTATTTAGACAGCAGGCTATAACAGCCCTATTAAGTTATAAAGCAGAATATATAGCTTAAATAAATGCTATAAAGGAGGTAATTTAGTTATAAAGACTCTTTATAAAATTACAAACCGATCTTTAGGGAGAAAATACAGTAAAGTCCTTACTAAACATAGTAATTATCTATTATAATAATTAAGGCGCAATAGCATTAGTAAAAAACCCAATAAACTATAAGGGGTTAAAGTATATAGAAATACAATATTACTTTATTTACAAGAAAGTAAAGAATAAAGAGGTTAAACTAAAATATATCCCTATAGACTAGATAGTGGTAGACGGACTGACTAAGCTGCTTAAAAAAGACCGCTTTAATAAGTTCTGTAAAGCCCTAGGACTTAGAAGAATCGCTAATACCAATATTACCGCTAAAGGGAACCAGACAATATTAAAATCGGTTCGTAGGACTGCCTAAGCAGTTCTAGGAGACAACGGCAACGTCGAGGTCAGCGGGAGCCTGTTTGCAGCTCACTGATAACTATTTTAGGAAGGGTACAGATGCAGCGGGAGCTATAACTAAGTTGTTGAGCGGGAGTGTTAAAAATAGGGGCACCGACTTAGGTATTAGTACTTAATTAAACAGGGGTCGGTCCTGCCACTAGGCATAAGTAGGAGGTCTACACCCAGCAAGTAATAGTAATAGACTAAGGCCAATTGACATACATTTCATCACGTCCCATCGCAGAATTCGTAATCGAGGAATCTCCTCAGTCTAAGTGAATTAACCAATAGCCACTCAGGTAATTTACCTATGATATCATGAGTGCCACCTTGCTCAACTGCATTATCCAGAGAGGTTGCAATCTCAGACAAATTGCTTCCAGCTCGTGTGAGTTCAGCACCTTATTTGAGATGATTTACTCTTGGAAGATCGCTGTTGACTTTTGGAATCTCAATGGAATAGTGAAATTTGTTAGGGTGAAGCTACCGCTTGGTATCTTTCATATCAATATGGTTGAGGATAGGAATAGAAAACCATGTAACCGCGCAGTCAACGTTTTCAATGTAACTCGTTGCTTCAGGAGTCAAATCATTCATGTAGGACGTGCCATAGCTGTCTCCACCATCAATCTCATGTAGATGTGCCACAAGTGTCCACTTGAGAGGACTATCCGGGTTTTCTTTTCTTGCTTGCTTGAATAAGGTTTTTGCAAGAACGTCGAGTCTCTCACCACAAGTTTTCAGTTCATCTTGGGTGCTCTTGAACATAACGACGCGGCTCCGTCCATCAGTCATATCTTTGAACCATTGTTTGAGGTTTGCATTTGCATTGCCATTTGCAGCAACCAACAATTCTTCTCCAACAGAGCTGTCGTCAGCTGATCCAGTATCATTCTGGGTCTTGGAAAGCTCAGACGATTCGCCTGCTAGGTCCATGAGGAAGAGAATCAGGAAATTATAAGTATGTGGGAAGGAAGGGGAAGACGTCTATGAAAGGGATCAAGGCAAAAAGTAAACTGAAGTAGATAAGACAGCGATATGACTTAATGGAACTTAGTTTGCCAAGGGAATTTATCGCATCTAATAAATGGGATATGTTGAAGGCATACATCTAAGCTAAAAACTTCGTGGGCTCTGACTGTGTAGAAGAAATGACGTATTTATAATATGTGATTCCGTTAAAGTAGCTACCCGATGACCAGCCTCTCAGCGATTTCAATTTAAGATAGACCTTGGGCTGCTGAAGGTGTGTAACACAAAGAGGAGGCGTGGCTGTTTTGTGCGTGTCATATTTCTATTGGTACGGCTATATTATTGCCAATCAGAGCTGCAAGCCACAACAATTTACCCTTTCATTCTTGGCGTTAGCATTGATCCTACGGAGTACTCATATTGGCTATCAGCAAATAATTGCCCACGTTTAGCGAAGGCAGCGCTGATTAGGCATCAACTCATTTGCAGCATCCCCCCTCGAGTACTTCTCATTATAAGAACTTTCTTTCCATGGATGCAATGCAAATTCAGCTCAAATCTCTGTGTTTGAGCAGCAGTATTTGAACTCATCAGCCATAAGAAGGTGTGATACCTGCAGTCTAGAGAGAGGCATCATCCTTTCTTGTTCCAAAACACAAAGAAACTCACAGAGTATACAATGGCACACACGGCAGATAATGTACGGCAATGGATCGAGCACAAAGCTCCTGAATATGACCCGGCATGGGCGTGGAAGAAGGCGATGGAAAAATACACGTCGCCGCCTGCATCTGAAAGGTGACGCAGGCTGTGTGTAGTCCTATTATATTGTGGTGCACTAACGAATGGCAGACTTGAGAAAAGAAAGCACAATTTTCTCTGCTTCATGAATAAGTTCTTGGAAGATTATCAAGATAAGAATGCAAAGGTTGTTCGTTTCGACGGTTCAACAACCTGGGAGGAGGTCCAAGAAGAAGCAACAGCGGCGTTTGATGAATATGCTCATCAAGGACGTAGCTGGAGGCACCCATTCCGCAGCTCTGGGAGACTCTTTGGAGTAGTAGCTTGCAGGATCGAATTTCTTATACAGCTCATTCCTAGAGGTGATTATCTAGGGATACTCTGCGCTGGCCTTACCTTGGTCTACAATGTATGTTCAAGGCTTTCTCAAGGAGACCTGGAAATTCGAGCAACACTAATATATCGATTCGCTTTAGGCCGCAAGACGTAAAAAGGGTATTAGAGGATTGATTATTCGTGTTCTGGATTCACTTTCTGAACATATCGAGGGTTCCAAATCCTACATCCGGATGTACGCCTGGAATGAAGATATTCGGCAAAAGACTGAAGATTTATACATCGCCATTCTCGAGGCCGTGGAGGCCATTACCAATTGGCTTCGACACCCAATCGGTACACTTTTCCCAACAGTTGTACATTTTTCCCTTTGCTGACTATCGTAATCTTAGGTGAATCGTTCAAATGTTTCATTCAACAGGGTGACTATGGAAAGGACCTAGAGGAGAAGCTCACTGTGAACATTCAGGACAAAGCCAACGCCTTCAGTGGCGCTGTATCTAGTGCTTTGCATGCCATAGTGCACACGATTCACCACAATGTTCTTGCAGTCGCCCAGAACGTAGAAAAGATTGACGGCGGAGCAGCATCCGTGGGGCGGGGGGTAGATGAGGTTCGCGGTGATGTAACGCGGGGGTTCTCTGCGGTGAATGATAGCATCGAAGCATTAGGATTGCGCGCCTTGAGCTCACTAGAAGAGTATTTTTATGGGCTATCAAAAGACGTGGAATGTAAGCAACACGTTTTCTTTTTAAATGCCACTGTCCGAATGCTGACGGATGACCTTAGGGCGGTTTGATATGCTCGAGGAAAGACAACGTAGCTGGATTGAAGCAACAAAACGAGATTTTCAAAACGTGAACTACGTCAACTTTACAGCCATTATCATACCTCAGTTTATGCAGCCAGCTATCACAATCCCACAGCTTCTTGGACTGCTGAGCCAACAACCACCTGGCTCATCTGACAACCCTTTTGAGCAAACACTGGAACGAATCCGAGTAGAGCGTGATTTCGTTCTTTTCCTAGGCCGAAGTCTTAGTCCTAGACGCCAAGCTAGTATCTCATTTGTCATGCAAAACTCTCAGTTTCAACAATGGTTTAAGTCAATGAACTCTCAGACGCTGGTCATTCATTCCATGGACTTGGATTTTGGACCATCCGAAATTGTGTCGCCGTTAAGTTACATGTGTGCTATGTTGTCGCAGGCTACTGCCATACACAGTCATTCATACCCGCTTGCTTTCTTCTGCCGTTTGCACATTGACCCAGAAGACAAGGCCCGAGGAGCTAAAGGGATGTTGAGATCACTTACTGCTCAAGTTCTGGTTGCCCTAGCTCACACTCAGCAGCATCCTGACCTGAGCTTTTTGGGTTACGTGGAACTCCAGGCCATTCAAGCCCAGGATCTGCCGTCAATGTGCCGTCTTTTTGAAGAGCTACTGAAGCGCATTGGGACAGGCGTCATATTGTGCATACTGGACGGGAGTTCGTGGTTCGAGTGCCAGTATTATGCCCCTGACATGCATATGGTGATGCAGTTCTTTAACAGCTTAGTGGAAGCTATTGAGAGAAGCCATAGTGGCCTTATCTTCAAGATATTGCTTACAAATGCTTTGATGAGCCAGTATTCTAGAGATTGGTTCCCAAGTGGAATGGAATTATATACTCCAGCAAGTGGGGTAATGGAAGGGATGACTTTCAACTCTCTTGCAATGCTTATAGAGCAGTAAGGAGTTGAAACCTCCTTACACTATGTTTGTCATAATAAGACTACATATTAAAAAACTAAATACTACCAATCATACAGACTGCTGATTAATTTTATACTGTCCGCGTGATATCCAATTAAGCTCCTAGCGAATTAATCCATTTACGTTTTATGCAAGATAATGATTCACCGAACTATTCTCCATATTTAAGTTGCAGCTTCCTGCACCAAAACCTGGCATCTCATTATTGGTTATCTGCCATGTTCGGTGTCCCTCGCACATCCGATTGCTCTTAATTCATCTCTGTATATATGTTTCTATTTCCATTACCACCCCCAATATCATCAAGATTTGGAAGTTATATACTATAGATTAGGTATAAACTAATTACCTTAATAGCAAAAAGTTAATTATATAATAAGGATTTTCCTATATACATATATATATACAGTAAGCCTTAATGCTTCTTAGAGTATAATGTTAAAGATATAACTTTCCTTCTGTATAAGAAATATAAGTCCCTGCATAACTACTGTTAATAGTAGCCTTATAAACAAAAGCTAGGACTACTTTAACACTGTCTTCCGGCTTCATAGATACTTGGAAGGTAGGTGAATAGCCCTCTATAACTCCAGTAGTAAGGACCAAGTTAAAATGTATTTTGCACTAGTGGTTAACTGCGTTGCAACGAATCAAAATTGCAAACTCTTTGATGTTACAGTAATTAAGTACTATGGAAATCTAACCCCCTCAATGCTTAAGTTGTCGGTGACTGCGCCAACACCACAGAACTGTACTAAAGTACAAAATGGAAATGACACGTATTAAATGGTGAAGCTTCGACGACTGCGCCAGCAATAACGTTACCTTTTTGATACTACAAGGCCGAAATCAAATCTTTTGAATGGTAAAGTTGTCAATGACAGCGCCAGTAGAGTAGATGCGAACACCAGCCATGCCCTTCTTGTACGTCGAGTCGCGGTACTGGATGTAGGGATTGCCGTCGACCCAGACGTTGATGGAGTCGCCGATGGCACGCACCCTCAGCCGATACTTTTGGTTGACGCGGATGCTGACGTTGTTCTGGTCGAGCTGTTTCCAGCCGCCGCCGGTCCGGCCCAGGAGGACCCTGCTGGAGGCGTCGATGCCGACGTAGTAGCCCTTGTAGGCGTCGGGGCCGTTGCCGACGTCGGTGGTGCGGAACAAGAAGCCAGCGTTTCTATTGTTGCCGCTATGCGTCAGGGCCACGTCGGCCTCGAGGACAAAGTCCTCAAATGTGGCCTGGTACGCAATTTTACCGCTGGTGACGTCGCTGGCCACCAGCTCGCGGGTGCGGGCATCGAAGCCGCCGTCGTAGATCTGCCAGTTTATCAGGTTGCGCTCAAAGTCGTCAAACACGACCGTCGAAACGAACAAGTCGTCAAAAACCGCCTCGGTCTCGTGCGTGCGCACACCAACCTTGCCAGAGCGGAAGGTGCCGTCGCGAACGGTCAGCGCAGGACGGTCCACGTTGTTGACGTAGACGGCGATCTGGTCGCCCGTGGCCAGCGCCTTGATGGTGAAGGGACGGTCGGCAGAGACGCCGACCTTGGCGCGGCCCAGCTCTCTCCAGTCGTTGTTGGCGCGGCCGAGGACCAGGTCGCCGGCCAAGTTGACGCCGGCATAGTAGCCACGGTACTGGTCGGCGCCTTTGCCAATGTCCGAGGCGCGGAACATGATACCGGCGTTGCCAGACCGGCCGGCGCGCAGAGTCACCCGTGCCTCAAAGGCCACGTCGTTGAAATTGACGTCGTAGTAGGCCTTGTTGCTGAAGGAGGTCATGGCCAGGGCCTTGGACGAGGTGTCGGCGCCGCCCTCGGCCACGATCCACTGGTTCTTGGTACCGTCGTCGAAGCTGAAGCGGCGAATGGGATCAACGCAAGCCCAAGTCTGGCCAAAAATGCGAGAACAGTCGCTGCCAGTCTTGGGGTTCCAGTTGGTCAACTCAGAAACGGTAACACCGTAACGAGAAGCAATGTCCTGGCAGCTCTGGCCGGATTCCACAAAATGGAACCTGTTGCACGAGTTGATCATGTCGGGCTGAATGGGGGAGGGGGTCTTGACTCTAGAATAATTGTCAGCTCAGTATGCTATGATTTATCAGATACATGTAGTATAGTAGTACGGACGCGTTGGGAGGAGCAGGGGCAGTTGGCTTGCCCGTTTGTGAGCCAAGAATACCGACGCAGGTATACGTCTTGGCCCAGAGCCCCGTGCATTTAGGGCCAACTTTGGGGTTCCATTTGGCGAAATCCTCCATGCTGATGCCGCTGTTGGTGATAATGTCGGCGCAGCCATCGCCTTCCTTGACAAAGTAGAACTTATTGCAGTTGTCGACCATGCCGGGCTGAGTAGGCGTGGGGGTGACGACCCCGTTGCCGGTAGTCGTCGTGGTCGACGGCACGGCCGTCGAGCTGCCGGTCGAACCAAGGACGCCTACGCAGGCGTATGTCTTCGCCCATAGACCGGTGCACTGGGCGCCGACCTTGGGGTTCCATTTTCCAAAGTCTTCGACGCTGATGCCGTTGGCGGAGGCAATGTCGGCGCAGCTCTCGTCCTCCTTGACGAGGTAGAACTTGTTACAGTTGTCAACCATGTTGGGCTGGGTCGGAGTAGGTGTAATTACGCCATTATCGGTGGAAGTAGCGCTAGGTACGGTAGTTGGCTGGGTGGTTGTGCTCCTGGGAAGACCAAAATTGACCTCGACGCAGTACGAGTTGTCAATCTTCATGCCGCTGCAGTCATCTTTGACGAGGGGGTTCTGCAGCCGTGTTAGTACATAATCGACACCACCGCCTCTCAACAAGCTCGAAAACCCACCCACTCGCGAAAGTCGTTGGCCGAGATGGACCACGCAGCTTGGAGACTGTCACAAGTCACAGAGGCATCAGTCTTCTCTTCCCAGTACGTGCAGTCCGAGGCAGTTTCGGGATCGACCTTGCCGACGGGCTTCTCACCGCGCTTGGTGCGGGCGTGAGGAGCGGCCAAGATGGCCGGGACAATGAAAAGCCCATTCAAGAGAGCTAACAGAAGCTTCATGGTGTATGCCTTGTGCTGGCGCTCATCTGCGGAATACTACCACAAGCAGAACACGAAACTACATAAACCCAACTTATATGCCATTTCGGACTTGCCCTGCTGCTTTTTGCCTTGTTGGCCTTCCACTCTGCGCCCACCCGTTCATAGGGGCCGACGGGTCGTCGGTGGATGCCAAGCTTATAGGATTCATGATAGCGGAAAAGAATAACAGCAGACAATTATTCCTGCACGAAACCTTGCTCCTCATCCCGTTGACCGGGGTATTGCCAACGATTTTCAGTCATGAGAAGAAAAGAAAATTTTTCTTGTTCACGGAGTTGCGGTACGACGAGCCGGATGATGGCCGAAATCATGGTGGAGCCGAACCTTCAATGTTGTTATACGGTAACCCGCAGCATGCCGTGCTTGGCAGGCTGTTGGGCGGATGAAGAAAGTTGCAGTTGGCTTGTGACATAACAGGTCAGGAGGCCAACGATAAGTAAGCTTAATAAATCCTGCGAGCTACCGGACGGTGGGAACTGAATCCTACGACGGTGGTGGCAGCAACTCTCGTTGCTGAAGGAACATGAGGTTGATGAGAGTGTAGGTCGCCTTAGAGCCACCATTGATTAGTTAATTGTAATGTCAACATTGCAGATGATCACACGCGAGGAAGAATAGTTCTTGATTCCAGTAAGCATCTTATTTCTAAAAATGACTGGGGCATGGCGAGCAGGAGAGTCTCAAGAAAGTTGTAATTTACGCGAGAGGGGCACAAAGACGGGACCTGCGGAAGTGAATGTCGAAGGGCTTATGCCAGTCCATGAATCAATTTTAACTACATGAAGGCACCGTTACATAGCGCTGCGGATCACGGTTGGTCGCGTGTTAGACACGGACTTGGTCCCAGCCGTGAACCGGGTTTAGGCAGTACCACAGGCCAGGAACAATCTTGCTGTCACACTCGGCGACAGAGCCGAGTGAGGGATTAATCTTCAAGAACAGGTCCATGGGCATGGCCCGCTTGGCAAGCAGGCTCGGGCACCTGATTCCCTTCTCGGCCTGGATATACTTGCCACAGTTGTTGGTCGTGCCCTCGGCTACTTTGGCCCCATCCGGCGGAGCGACAACTTGGTTAGCGTAGCCGTCACCAGAGCCTCCCTCGCCGCCAATGTCCCCGTTGCCAGGGGTAGTGCCGGGAGAGCCAGGGTCGGTATACTCGCCGCCGGGTTGGCTAACGCAGATCACTCGGCCCCAGAAGGGATCGGTGCTGTAAATGTTCCGGCAGTCATCCTTGAGAGCCAGGTTCCACTTGACAAGCTTGGCCCACGACGTGCCGTACCGCACGCCAATCGCCACGCAGTCCTCATCCTTGCTCTGGACCTTGTATAGCTCGCTGCATTTCTCTGGCAAACAGAGCTCCAGGCCCGCGGGCACACTGCTGCAGTTGAGCAGGTTGGGGTTGAGGAAGAAGAGCGACGCCGCCGACACAGAGTTTGCCAGAGCAATACTGTCGCAGGTGTCGCCGTTGCGTGTGCTGTGCGTCTGCTTGCTGGTGCACACGCTGGGTCTGGTGACGTTGACGTTGATGGGCGGAGAGAGAGTATCGGTTGGCCCTTTGACATTGCACCCTACGACAAGTCAGCATTCGTCATCTAGATTTGCAATTGAAATGACCTCACGCTTATTGACAATTTCCAGTGCCTGAGCAAAGAGCTCGTCGTATGCAGAGTACGGCGACTGCTGCATCATGCGTAGCTTGGCTCCGTAGCAGTAGGAGCACAACTGCGCGTCAGGCATGGCTTCGAGACTATCGTAATCCTCAAAGGCATCGATAATGTCTGCGTAATACAGTTAGCCGACAGAAAAGACGCCAGAGCTATGGTGGCGGCGCGTCGACTCACTATTGCAGTACTCTCCAGTGTCCTTGTCTTTGAGGCAGGTTTCGTTCCAGCCGGCAAGCGTCGTTTCGATAAGCGTCGCGACGGGGTATCCGGGGATCAAATCAGGTGTTGAAGCGCAGACGGCGGCAAGGCGTCTCCTAGTGTTGAGTAGAGATCTCTCACAGGTGGCCTGGCAGACGCTGTCGGTCAGTGCAGGGCTGTCGAGAGAACCGCGGTAGCCCCTCTCGCGAAAATTGGCGACGTATTCATCGCACTGAATTGCCTGCTGCAGTAACTGCTGGCAGTTGGAGTTGAGTTTAGAGCCTTCTAGCTGCTTGTTGGTAACGAGCTGGAACCCGGTAGCGCGGCTATTGAGCGAAACAGTAGCAGCAAGGGGGGCGAAACCGCCCAGGAGGGACAATACAAGCAAAAGATTCTTCATCATGAACATGTAGAGTTTCATAAAGTCAACGTTTAGATGCGAGTGTGTAAGCGGTTGATCCTGAATCTCTCGACGGGTAAGGCTCAGCTGTTATGTGGGCAGCCGAAACTTGACCGAGGGCCGCGACCTTCTTCGGAATGGTAATGATTCGGCCCCGTCTTTTGGCCATATATTTCTCATTATCAACGGAAGGTATTATAAGGTACAAGGGGCAGGGAACCTTTGTGTGCCAAGGCCCAGCCTGCAGGATCGGGGACCCTCAGCGGAGCAAGGACGGTGAGTATGTTCGCAGCCGTAAATTTGGATTCTTTGCCCATGGTCAAGCGCGAACCACCTGAACAACACATATCGCTTGCCTCCTCGTCTTGGTAGAATGGTGAAAGCCTGGGTGTGATGCAATGAGCAGGGGTATAGAGTAAAAAGTCCTTCTCTGCCCTCGACCCATTTGTTCAAGCCAACGTTTCCCTGCATGTGAAGACGGCCAAAAGCATATTTTCCTTCCCGCATGGCCAAAATTTTCTCTCGTTATCCATTTCATTCTTCACTTTCTTGTTCGTGAAAGAACAAACATGAAGATTCTTCTGACCTTCACATTCTTGCTGAGTGCTCTTGTCCAGCTCTCCGTGCAGCAAGACGGCGAGTGCAGCGCTACCAAGCTCTGTCCTGAAGGATGTTGTAGCAGCGCAGGCCATTGTGGTTATGGACCTGACTATTGTGGGTAAGTAGATCTGAATCAGCCCATGTGTATACACGTTGCGCGTATACGTCTATCGTTGCTCTCAACCTGTCAACTAACACATTTGTATAGAAAGGGATGCCAGAGCACCTGTCATCGCAAGTCTGACTGCAACCCTGGTTGGGAGAGCAACGACTTTAGCAAAGGAGATAAATGCCCCCTTAATGTCTGTTGCAGCAAGCACGGCTTCTGTGGCTATACCGAGGAGTTTTGCAAGGGCAATGAAGTCAGGAGGCCCTCGTGCTCCATCAGTGACACTCCCGTAGACCGAGTTATTGGCTACTATGAGGGGTGGGCAACTTCCAAGCGCCGCTGTAATGCCCTGCGACCAGAAGAGATTCCCTATGGTGCCTACACCCATCTCATCTTTAGCTTCGCCACCATCAATCCCAAGTCATTCGAGGTCTCGCCCGGCAACTACGAGACCGAGGACATGATGGAGAGAATTGGCACCATGAAGCTCCTCCAGCCCGACCTCAAGATCCGGGTTGCCTTTGGCGGCTGGGCGTTCAACGACCCCGGACCAACCCAGACAATCTTTAGTGACGTGGCTGCCTCCGAGGCCAACACTGAGGCGTTCCTCAGCTCGCTAGTCAAGTTGATGGATAAGTTTAACTTTGATGGCGTGGATATTGACTGGGAGTATCCTGTCGCTACCGACCGCCACGGCCGTAGTGAAGACTACGAGAACATTGTCACTTTCATGAAGAAGCTCCGAGCACGCATGGATAAGTACCGTAGAGGCGTATCCATGGCCCTGCCTGCTAGCTACTGGTACCTCCAGCACTTTGACATTGTTAAGCTTGAAGAACATGTCAACTGGTTCAACCTTATGACGTATGACATGCACGGCTCCTGGGATATCGACAATAAGTGGACTGGTCCGTGGGCGAACTCGCACACCAACCTAACCGATATTCAGCTTGGCTTGGATCTCCTATGGCGCAACAAAATCAGCCCCAGCAAAGTCACCATGGGAATGTCCTACTATGCGCGTACCTTCACCCTGACAGATCCCGGCTGCAACAAGCCCGGCTGCCGCGTTAGCTCACCCGGCGAGGCAGGCAAATGTTCTGGGACGGCCGGTGTGCTGCTCCACCCCGAGATTCAGGACATCATCTCCAAGAACAATTTGAAGCCTGTGCTTGACCGGGAAGCTGCCGTCAAGACCGTCTCATGGGGTAACCAGTGGACCTCGTTTGATGATGCTGCAACTTGGCGCCTCAAAGCTGACAAGCTGCGCAGCCAGTGCATCACGGGCTTCATGGTGTGGGCCATTAGCCATGATGACGAGTCCGGCACCAACGCCGAGGCTCTGGCCTCTGTTCTAGGTCGCAAAAAGCCTGACTTTCCCAACTTTACCATCCGCCCCAAGGTGGAAGACAGTCCCGATCTTGAGTCCAAGACGTGCCGTTGGACAAGCTGCTACGAGGGTTGCCCGTCTGGATTTAAAGAGGTCCAGCGCGACGGCCACAAAGAGATTATGCTGGACACAACGCCCTGCTTTGGCAAGGGTTACGGCTTTAGTCGTCTTTGCTGCCCGACGAGCGCCAACTCTCCTACGTGTACCTGGCGTGGCCACAGAAATACTGGCAAGTGTAAGCCCGGCTGCAACGACTTTGAACTTGAAGTCGGCTCACTGAGTGTGGGCTGCCGTTCGGGGTACCAATCAGCTTGCTGCAGCGATACCTTGGTCACGTCCCTGTACAGCAAATGCGTCTGGACCGGATGCACTGACCAGGGCAAGGATGCTTGTACGGGCAATAACCCGTACTTCCTCACTTCCAGCAGTGTGGGCTCTGGTGGTATGCAAGCCTGCAGCAAGGGCAAGAAGAGAAGTCTCTGCTGCGTCTCCCCGGCGCCCTACGATGTTGCTGGCAGATGCGAGTGGCGAAAGAAGGCCGGATTTCTCAACGCGGAGAATGAGAAGCTCCTCTGCGAAGGTGCATGCTCGTCGAACCAGCTGATGATGGCCCGAGAGAGCGGCCTCATCATTGGTAACGAAGGTGGCGACGGCTGCTACGGTGATCTTGCCTTCTGCTGTACGGAACCCGAAAAGTTGAAGCCTCGAGATGAAGACCCTGGCTCGTCACAGGGTCGCGAGTTCCAGGCCCTGATCCGTAAGTACATGGAGAACCCGACCTGTCCCGCTACCATTCTCTTCCCGCAACTCCATGATAAATTTGTTCGCAAGCGCTCCTTGGAATTTGAGGCAGCCGAATACAACGTGTTGCGCGCCAGAGCGAAGGATTGCACTCTGGATACCTGGGTCCGGCTGCTTCAATACGCAACGCTGGTGTTCTCGGTCAGCCGCCCTGGCATGGATCCCCTCGTTAAGGTCTGGGATAAGGAGTTTGCAGGCAACTATGACAAACAGCTAGAGTACAATAGCCTCCACGCATTTTTGCTGAAGTATAAAGATTACGACCCTCGCAGTGTTGTGGAGTGGGTACTCTACAACCCAACTCGAGCTGGGCCAGGCATCAGAGGTGCGGATGCCGCCAGCCAGGCACTGTGCCGAGTTCCAGGCTCCAAGGCCCGTAGCATTCCCGAGTCCACCATCTCTGATATTGACAGCAGAAAGATTGACGCGTGGAAGGGCGGATCGGGTTACATTCCCACCTTAGACACGATCCTGACTGCCATTATCAGCGGAGCCATCTCGCTCCATTATGCTCGCTGGCAGTATTATCAAAACTCCCAAAACGGAAACGTCCCAGGGCCTATGCTTGAGATGGCGTACTGGCTTGGCCGCCAGCCTGGCCATGAGACCAGCGAAGACGTTTCAGAATACCAAGATCAGACGCCGCGACCACACTGACCATCAGATCGCTGGGTTCGTAAGTTGCACATTTTTTCCACTCTGCTCATACTTCTAGCCACGTACTAAAGTTTCCCTCAAAGTCTTCCACCTTCACATCGATCCATCAAACCGGAACTGGCTGATAAGTGAAAACGGAAACACGTATGTCGGCGTCAGCAACTTCCGTGTCATGCACGGCCAGTACTGGATGCATGGGAGGAACAGCCAAGCGTGGCGTGTATCTCACAGCAACGGCAGGTACAACTCGCGTGACGGGTTTTCCTGTGAGGAACAGCTCGGTAGCCTCTGGTACGTTGGATCCAGAATAACGCTCCCAGACAATCAGCCCGAATGGGCAAGACGGCTTCACCAATGGGGTGAGATGATCTATCGTCAGGGGTACGTCAGCAACCGCGGCCTGAGAATGATCATCGAGCCGCCATCGGGTGGAAGCCGCACCGAAGTCGACCCTCATAACCCAGGAGAACTGTCTCGTGGGGTTATGGGTACATCGGTCGTCGGAGGAAATAACCCGTATGAAATCAACTTCATCTTGTCGGAAGAAGGATACGAATTTGCCACCCCTGCTCCCCCGGAAGATCGTGAAGATCCAGACACTCCGGCCTGAATGGTAACGCGTAACGATGAACTCGCACTGAGGCAATCTGTAGCTTAGACATATAGAAGCTGCACAACGTCATGATGTGATAATTGTTTTGATCTCAACGGCATCTGTTTCTTTTTTTATGTGGCCTGCTGTTGCTTTTGTGAGTACTCTACGCTAGAATTTGTAGCATCAACCAAAATGCGTGTCAATCTCGCGCGTATATCTGGGTGCGTCTGTAGCAGTGGCGAGGTGTTTATCAGATCAGCTGGCCGGCAATTCCTCTCATCAACAGCATTCACGTCCGCTCCATTGGCCAACAGAACCCTTGCCAAACCGGCAGCGCCATGAAACATGGCCCAGTGTAGCGGCGTTCTATCTTTGGTCGTCGCAGGCGACTTGTTACTGTTGGGTTGGAGATGCTCAACGACGCGAGAGCCCCAGATGCCGACCTCTCGGTTGGGCACACGGAGTGATTTGCGACCAGAGTTTGTGGAAACAGCCAACATGGTAGCTCGAGCATCAACGGGTATACCCCTTGTGATGAATTCCTTGGCAAGATCTGCCAACTCGTTGTTATTGCCATCGCCATCGTCCAGGTAAAGCGACAAGCAGTGCAGCGGTGTCCAGCCCTCGGCTGTGCATGCAAGGGGATCAGCTCCATGGTCCAGGATAATTCTTACCGCCTGCAGTGCTTTATAATAACTTGGCACAGAAGTCTCGGTCGCGGTTGACGGGGCTACAGCACACATTAATGGCGTCCAGCCATTGTCATTGGCGGCGTTGACGTCCGCACCGGACAATAATAGAAAGCGTAATATGTCGATCTTCTTGCCCGCAGCGGCCCAGTGAAGAAGCGTCTCCCCGCTATTGTTTTTGATTGATTTCAATGCGTCGTTATGTGGGCTATCAACTGGCAGGCCGGTGGTGTAGAGCGAGAAAATGTGCATATTAGATCCAAAGGCAGCGAAGTGCAGCGGTGTGTTGCCCAACTCATCCTGAATCGTGACGGACGCACCGTGTTGCAATAACAAGCGAATACCTGTTTCGTGCAAGCAGCGCTTGGGACCCTTTTTAACATGCACCGGCGACCCCAGATGGTGAAGGGCGGTTTCTCCAGCAGGGCCGCGTCCGTTGGGATCAGCGCCCTTATCGAGAAGCGCCTTGAGAGCTCCCACCAAGTCAGCCCACGTTGCCGCTTCAATGACGATATTCAGCCCTTCAGCATTGCTGTTTGGGTCGGCCCCTGCACCAATAAGGCAACCGATGAGCTCTTGCTGGTTCACGTAGTCCAGGCCGTTGCACTCAGCACGAGGAAGGCTGAGCAGGTCCGACTTGAAGTCGGCTGCACGGCAGAGAGACAAGTTGATGCATAGCGGCGAGTATCTGAAACGGGCCAAAAGAAGCCGAACCACTTCGACGTGCCATCCTGACACGGCGTCCCCAAGAGCATTCTCCAAGACAGCTTCCGACCAGCCGTCAGCCCAACCCAGAACGTCCTCGACCATGGCAGTCTGACCATGGATAGTTGTTCGGTTTAGAAGAGCACGGTGAACCTGTTGCGGAATTTTGCTGTCTCCCAAGACCGTTTTTTCGCACATACGAGTGAACATGTCGCGGTTGCCTGTCTGAATAGCCGTTTCTATGGCCGAAGTTTGCGGCTCAGTGAAACCATTAGAAGCCCAAGGGTTAGCGCCGGCATCAAGAAGAATGCCTGCCGCTGTCATGTTATCGCACAGTACGGCGACTTGAAGAGCAGAGCCAAAGTCCGGGTCGCAGTAATTGAGCTCTAGGTCAACAGTGCCGCAGAGAGGGACGAGGTTTCGCAGTGCCGACATGTCGTTGTCGCGGACGCAGGCGTGCAGGCGCGCTTTTGGGTCGTCATTGAATGCATCCTTCATTTGCATCCAGAGGCGTCCATTCATGCCCGGCGGTACGAGCCGCGCGGCTGAGGATGGAGGCGGCATTATTATTACTTACAGCTGATGAAGTTTAGTATAGACATTGGAGTTGGTGTTTAGAAGTGTTGGTCCGCCTTGCACGCAGCACTCCAGAATGCAGTGCTCGGATAAAGGAATCAGCGCCGCCGATGTGCGGAGCCGCGCACATGATGTACGAGTATAATACCTACGATACTACTCCGTAATTAAAGCCTGGATACGGAGTAATTACCAAAGACATTGATTCATAGACTATCACAGCGCAGGCAGACCGCCAGACTACTACGAGAGTGGGTTCATGATGCTTTCCACCGGCCCCGGAAGGCGGATCCAATCATGTTTGATCTGAAGCGCCTACACAGTCGTTCTTATGCAAATCAGCATAGTCGCAGACCACTAGACAAGGAAAATTATTCATGGGGCCAGCCGCCTCTGTCTCAATGCATAAGTAGTCTCCTAGGCGCTGTATTACCTCAGCCCGGTCAGAGGCATGTTTGATAACAGTGTTGCTGGGAGCGATGAGGCCGTAGTGAATCTCTGGGTCAGTCGTGTCTCAATCCTCTCGCTCCATCTCCTACAATGCACCATATCAGCTGCAGTTCTTGCCGCCTATATAGCTGAATTCAGGCCGAAGCAGCCTGTCGTACTTCTTCCCTGACAGATATAACTGATGTTGCCTGGCCGTGCTTTGGCCATCCGAACATTTTTGGCCAGCATGTCCTAGACAATCTCCGCGACTTTGGGTTCTTGTCGCTAGTACTGTGCTTTAAGCTTTGTGACTACGTTCAGCAGAGCTGCTGGGTAGGGGCGAGAAACCTTTCAGCTCGAATCAAGTAATGTTAAGGCGTCCCACTACTTCATAAATAACTACAAGTGGATGTTTAGGATTGTAACGTATTTCATAGGATCTCATCTCATTCCAGAGACAAATAAAGGAATTACAATGATAAAGAACCAGTAGGCTTTGTAACCTAGCAACAGGGTATCGTCATAATCCTTCTCAATTAAGTACTCAATATGGAATCTATGTCTCATAATAATACTGCACGGCTAGAGTTTATCTTTGATCCAATTTCTTAATGCAGCCTCTTGACAATCATCTCCCATTTGGTCTTGATATCGTACCGGCTTTGGGAACAGAGGTGCAACATGGATCTCGTTTTTCCCAATAACCAACTTCACATCGACACCCTTAGCACTTTCCTTCAGTCTCTCCACCATGGCGATGACTGGATCTTTGAGACTTTCGAACTCTCCTACTGTGATAATGAGATTTGATGTCTTCAGTTCAGACCACCAATTACCAGGGGCAAGCTCTGGGACAGTAAACTCATCATCAACGATGTTCTTCCTCTCTCCCTTGTAAATTTCAATGAAACCGTTCGCGGATGCTGTAGTGACAACATCAACATTACGAAATTGGTGAAAGGATTCGAATTTCGTTCCGTCGGACGAAACCCACGGTGCGATCAAGATGGCGCCTTTCAAGGGTCTGGCCGACTCAAGTGGCTTAACGATGCTGGTCTGGGGATGTGGATGGCCGGAAATATGACTCAGAACTGCGAAAACGAGATTTCCTCCTGCAGAGTCTCCTCCGATGAGAGTTGTTTCTGGTAAGCGGCTCGGTAGTGAAAGCACATAGCGAAGGGATTCCACCGCCTGTCCTATCTGAGTTGGATATACTTCATCTGGAGCAAGAGTGTAGCAAGGGCAGAATACTGCCAAATCGCCACCGGACCATTCTACAAATAGTTGGATCATGTCGATATGATTGACCATTCCAGGGTATACAAACCCACCTCCATGGAGGTACAACATGACATATTTCGCCGAGTCTTTGTTTCCAACCCAGAAACCTTGAATGCTTGTGTTTGGTATGTTGTCTATCATTGGGGCTAGCTTATGTTTTGCGGACCAACTCTTGTAGGTATCGATAAATGGCGCCGTAATCATTCTATTCCACAACACATTAGTAGTCATTCTTGCTCAAACTTGCGGTATCGGAGAAAGGGGATTTACTGTATTTGCCCCGGTGTCAACGTCCAAAAAGTGGTTCTGATTATTGCACTGATTATGTGACCCCTATAAGGGATTCCACGGTGCTCTCTAAAGGCACCAGTCATTGCAGCATAACATCCTATAATAGTCACCAGACCGAGTGCAGGCAGAAGCATAAGCTTGTCCATCAATGAGGCCGGCATATCTTAAGAATAGGTGTTCGGTATATTATTTAGTCGAGCGAGAAGGAAATACTGCTAATTCGAATATCAATTATTTAGTTGCCTTCGTTATTCACAATTGGTTGGTTCAGTATACAAGTAGTAATTTCAAATTGCAGACAAGTGGTAGCTCAGACCGTGACCACGATTCCATGAGCAAGGTTTTTAAATACACTCGAATATGCATATGTCCAAGCATGTCTCATAGAGTGTTTATTATTCTTAATCACAGCAATTTTATTACCGCAGTTTAAATACCGCAGTTATACGGTCAGACAATCAGCCCGTCTCCGGAGGTCCATTTACCCTTTTGAGGTGTCTCGCCACTCGCTAAGACAGATTGGCAAGTCCAATTTCAAGACCGGAGACGGTTATTTGAATGCTGTGCTGTATTACCCAACTAATCCACCGGGTTTATATTTATAGTTGGCCTCTTTTGGTTCTCTCAAAGCCCTACTAGTAGCTCTGTTCGAAGGTGCCCTCTAAACTTTGATCAGGGGTGCCACCTATCAAAAAGGAGCCTAAGTTTTAAGGTGATCCTCAACTAGAACCCCGATGTTTGAATGTCCGACAAACCAAGTCAGACAAGCTAGGTTGAATGTCCGACAAGCCAGGTTTGAATGTCCGACAAGCCAGGTTTGAATGTCCGACAAGCCAGGTTTGAATGTCCGACAAGCTAGGCTGCATGCCTTACAAAACGTCCCTTCAGAATTTATAATACGCCGCTAATTAACCCAGGTGGGTAGTCCTAATGATGTCGTTGTTGACATTAATGGATATATCCTCTTTACCGATCAGGGAATGACGAGTCTGCAAGACCCGACCCGTCGCGTTTATCCCCTCTATCAAGATGGACGTATGGAAATTTTGTTGCGCAATTGCCATTTAGCAAACCTTCTAGTTCTCAATAAGGACGAGACAACTCTGTTGTGGCAATCACTCACGACAACAGCATATGGCACGTTCCTCTTTATCCAGACTCTTCAGTGCAGAGGACTGGGCGCTTGTCCAACTACTACTGGCTTGGAGGACCCGATGGAATAACCACGGATGATGAAGGCAATTTGTTTGTTGCACATTCAACTTTGTGTGTTGTTTATATACATAAAAGTACTGGCGAACTGTTTGCATAGATCGCGAGAAGCGAAAGGAAGGGTACGACGAATCTGACCTGGGGCAGACCGACAAACAATGCCTTTTGCAGTACCGAGAGTGAGTCGGGTATAGTTTTGAGTATTGATTAGCATTATTCAGGTTGGTTAGGAAGATCTCATTCGGACTTGTAACGATGCATAAGGAAATGAACTTCATTTGTTAGGCGTATAATGTCAAAGCTGACCACCAATAATCTGGTCCATTCCAAAATCTTGTCCAAAGTCAAAGATGGGTTGGAAGTCCGTGAAGACGCCGTGCATGATAGCATTGACAGCAGCGGGGTCAGTAAAGTCAATTTGATCGGTGAGAGTATCAGAACCGAACAGGGAATTATAAAAGCCGGGCTCGAAGGATTGGCCGTCAGCGTTCAGGTCAAGTGATTGCGACTGATTGAAGCTGATTTGCTGGCGCTCTCCATCGTTCCACAGTGTGGAATTTTCGTTTTGTTGCATTGATAGAGTCGTAGGTTGAGCTTTTCTCAAACTACTGTTATCATTAGAGGATCCAACGACATTCGCGCCAATCCCACTTCGAGTTCCGGTTTCCAAATTGCGTGCTCTAGATTCTATGATCCAGCGGATTGTAGTGCCTGAGAGCTCGTCTAAAATGTCCCTTGTGCGCTTTGCCTCTGACCAGTGTTCGCCTGTCGCACTAAGCACATTCGAACCTGCTTTCAAATCTGCCATTAAGATTTCTAGCTTGATCTGCGCAGATACCTCGGGTACGGTCCAGATGCAATGAAGCATGGTGATTGTGCTCAGGAAAACAGAATGAACGGTCGCCCAACTATAAACCAAGAGATCCCTCTTATAAAGCTGGTTATATAGTCGTATACTTGCAACGGCGCTCTCGTAGCAAGACTTGAGTGAATTGACTGATGGATTCGGAATTGCTGGGCTGGGACGTAAAAGAAGCATCATGATGCCGTGATACTTGATCTCGCAGAGATGGGTCATATATACCCGCTCGCCGGTAAATTGGGGTATTTGGGTTTGCCATTCTTGAAGTCTCGCTATGATTCCTCTTTGCCACTGGAGCACATCGGGAATGCTTGGGTAGGCATACGGGGGCACCTCATGAGAAATGCTGTGGAGAACATATTTGATTTCGGAATTTAGCTGTGCAAGCTTGAAGAGATGGATCGCGCTGCTCATCTGTGTTGGTTGTTCGTTTTCAAGCCGAGGATGAATACCCATTACCGTCAGTTTGCTGTCTTCTACATCTGTAGGCAGCTTTGAACGTCAGAAATTATACATCACAGTCTGAAGATATGACTTACTCGCAACTCGCAGGCTTCATCTCTTAATCCAATCGGCCGGCCCATCATTGTCGCAACGGACCTATCAAGGCTATAGATGACCCAAAAGACTCGCGTTCTCAGTTCTTGGTCAAGCACTGACATTGTCTTCCCAGATCTCACATCTCGTTGCAGCCCCAGATCTAGCAACGCTGCTATACACTGATAATTGAGATACCACACATTGAGGCCCATAGAAGGACTATGTAGTGCGTATACAAGCAGCAAAAGGAGACTTTGTAGACCTTTGAGAGAATTTTGGATACACAACTTATCGAAATATTTCATTGCACTTGCACAGAAACCTTCGCCAGAGAGGGGGATCTTCAGGCGTCGGGAGAGGACTGTTGCTCCAATGCCCAAGACGAGATAAACTTGGAATGCGGCCATTGGATTGGGCTCTGGTTCAACATAGACGTGCTCAATAAGTCTCATGTGGGACGGCTGATGAAGGAAAGGATACTGGGGATGGATCGTTTCAAAATATGCTTCCGATATCTTAACAGCATAGTCCATGTCTGGTGGCAATGGTGTAGGAGGGATTGATAACCCTCCTTTTGGGAGTAGACCAGCGATACGATTTTTTGCGTTTTGCTGAAGCTCTTTCGGTGGTGGATCTCGTTGGCCTCGTTGCGCACATGCGAGGACTAACTTTGCAAAAAAGTAGCCGCTTGAAGGGCCGATATACTTGGGATCTGTCCCGGCACATGAGGAGACAAGGCCAATCTCATGTGCAAGCCCGGTGTCCTGCTCGTGCTGAATCGTTGGGATGTCATGTTTCGATTGCACATTCTGACTTGACGCAGACGGATCAGAAGGTGCAGGACCGCTGCCACTCCCTGGTGTTGGATTCAGATTAACAAGTGACAGGCCGACTTGGGAACTTTCGCGTTCAGTCGCTGAATTGTCCTGACCAGATTCATCCATAACCGGCCGCCATTGCTCCAAATCAATATCTGGGCAATTGGCCCGAACGATAGACCTAAGCCATTGGACCTGACGTTCCAGACTCAAAATGTATCTGAATAGGCATGTCAAACTTGATCTGATAGCGCAGATACTTACGAATACGAGAACTTACGCCCGTGGTGACTCAATGCCATCAAACTTTCCTCCATCGATACATTCAACACCTGTCTTTGAGCAAGACCCACATGAAGGGACAGCTCCGTCGCACTAATTACACCCAAGTCAGCTTGAATCACCGGGCTGATAGCAGGATCAGAAGGAAGAAACGACTGTACCCGTATTTTTCGACGCTGACACCGCAAACAGGCCACTCGAATGCGGAGAGTCCTTCGGGTTCTGCGCTGTGGAGTGTTATGGGCGGGATTGGCAGGATTCGCCGCCGTAAGCGCGGGAGATGGGCCAGGCGATATAACCATCATTCAACGGAATTTGCGCTTGCTCGCTATATCGAAAGTCTGACATGAGAAGACGGAACAAGAGAAAGAATGAAGACGGAGAACCGAAGTAAGACCAAGGAGATCGGAGGGTTCCTGTATGTTGAAGATTGGATTGTTTCTCCACTTCCCAACGTCTTGCGGGAGCTCCGATTGGCTTGAGGGCCGAAAGACGGAATGGCCGACGGCTTTCCGTCCGCTGACTAAGCGAGCCGTGGGCGCCTCCGTCACTTTTAGGGCTTATAGCGTATGGATATGCTATAGTGACAGGGCATTATAGTGGGCTGGTCGCTAAATCTACAGGGTACTCTGCAGACGGAGTCGTCCGCCTTCGTAGGTCAACGTAGGTAATAGGTACATACATAATTAGTCGACTGGTTCGAAAACATTGCACGATGTAATGACCTAAAGCTACGGTACAAAGCCTCTTTCTATTCTGGTAACCTGCAGTGATAACTTCTTATCGGAACACCTTCCCTCCTCGCGTCACATCCCTTCCAAACTTCGCCATTTCAGAATGACTGTTATTCACATTGGTTTGTATACACCTGCAGTTTAATAACTCTTAAACTTGGCTTTGTGTTGATGATCATGTATCTGCAGTTCTCTTTAAGTTCCGTCCAGATGTCTCCTCGGCGCACAAGTCCAAATTCGTCTCCGAATTAAAAACCCTCAAGACCTTACCCTGCGTCCTAGACGGTCGCTTGATAGTCGGGGGACCCTCAATTACGGATCCCATCGAAAGGAGTAAAGGATTTGAGTTTGCGCTTCTAAGTTACCATCGCAATCGTGAAGCCCTGGCAGAGTATCAGGCCAGCAAGGAACATCATAGGTATATCTGATTACTGGAGGGTGATGGCGGAGGCAGTGCTAACAAACTGTAGGGTGACGAGTACATATATGTTCCCGTATAAGGAAGATTTGTTTCGGTTCGATTTTGAAGTTGATAGTGAGGATGAATATATGTGTCAAGGGATTGGGAATGCACTGCTGAAAGGACTGGTGGCGCCGCCGTCAGAGCAAGAGGAGAGAAATCAGAACGGAGAGAGAGAGAATAGAGTTCAAGTCGAGAAAAGAGTATAAACATTACTAGCCTAGACAATTTGATGATTGATGCATCATACTCAGCCGTAATGTTCCCTCTCGGTGCCTGGGCATTCATAGTTTGGAAGAAGGATCGGAATGCTGCTATGTAGGCTACTGGTAAATCTAGCACATTGTCAAACTTAACAGGCTCTAGATCCCGATGTCACCAGGCTCGCGGTCACTAAATTCCAGCACGAAAACCCAAACCAGTTGCAGTTAAAGGCCGCAATGTCCTGAAAGTTACATCTGATTTTCGTATCAATTATATAAGCGACATCATGTCTTCTCGTGTCCTCAAATCAGTGCAACGCCAACGCGCTCGGCTTCAGCATTCAGCGCTACAATCTCGGCGTCCACAAGTGGTATTCCATCCCGCAGCCTCTCTTCATGTCTCAACTGCTCAATCTCACCTGGAAAGTAAATCCGATCGACACCATGCATCTTCTCTGAGCCAACTACGCGTTGGTACAAGTAATCCATTCGTTCTTTGAAGTCATCCAAGCTCATGAACAGGTCTGGTTTGATCGCGATGAGAAAGTGCCCGACATCTGCTGGTTTTGAGGGGTCGTAGGGATTTGTCACATGTCCGGCGAAGGCAGACCCAGACAAGACGCCCGAGAAAACATCCATCATTACTGCGAGAGCCGACCCCTTGGGGCCTCCCATTGGTAACATTACGCCCTCCAGTGCCTTTTCAGGGTCGTCTGTTGGCTTCCCTTCGCTGTCCAGAGCCCAATCCAGTGGGATCTTTTCGTCTCGTCGTTTGGCCTTGTAGATTTTGCCCCGCGCCGCAATTGATGGAGCCATATCCAAGATGAACGGCGGCTTTTTGCCTCCTGGGGCTCCACAAGCAATTGGTGAGACTCCCATAAGCTTGGACTTCCCTCCCCACACCGGAAGAGCAGGCGACGAGTTGGTAAAGACCAAACTCATCATTCCTGCGTCGAGGGCTTGTTGTACAACCCATGCAGACATGCCAAAATGATTTGAGTGCTTGACGGATACCATGCCGATACCGAATTCTTTTGCCATCTCAATCGCGCATGCCATGCCCTGGTGGGCGGCCAGGAACCCAAATCCATTTCGTCCGTCGACCTTGCAACACTGTCAGCTCTCCAGCATTCAAGGCGAGGGGTTCGGCTACTCACTTGAGCAACAACAGGTGTTATCGTAGTCAATGAGGGTGTCGCCTTTGGGTCAAGAACGCCTTGGCGGACTCGAGCCATGTATGATGGGATTCGATTTATGCCATGAGTATCCACGCCACGTAAATCAGCTAGCACAAGACACTTTGCAATGATTATCGCGTTTTCTTTCGATACGCCATTTCCTGTCAGGATACCCTCCACTAGCGATTGGGCTTTCGATGCAGTGACTTTAATGTACTTGGGTTCGTTCTGAGAAACATCCATGCTGATGAATTGATTGTTGGCTCGAGGTTGTAGGCGATGCAGTAAGTGACTCACTGAGCACGGGGTTGATGTGGAACAATAGAAACAGAAAGTTAGCGGCTATCACAACTTGAGATCTGAAACTGCTTTCAAATACTGTTTAAATAGACAATTTTCCTGCCGGAAGGTTGTGTGCGGTTGTTGGATTCATTGATTTTGGGAAGAGGGACTTTTGTGGAGTTCAAGTCGGTCATAACGGTGTCGCCGATCGGGATTGGGTAGCTCCCTCAAATAGCGGAAGGACCTTCCGTCCCAGAGACGGAGCAGCCCGTGTACTTGGGAAACATGGAACAACCACTTGCCTACAGGCAACTTTGGTGATGGTTTAATTCTACCTATCTAGGAAAGCGATGATTAAAGGAGCAGAGAGAAAGGAATATGGATGTTAGGCTGTCGGGACGCCTATACGGCTAGAAGTTCTGCATCTTCCGAGAAGTTATTCTGCGGCATGTTGGCATTATTTCTACAAACGAGTGGGAGATACATTATGAACTAATCACGTTCTCCCTGTGGAAGACGTGATTCCCCCATCTACAACAATCTCCTGTCCCACAATGTATTTTGCCTCATCCGACACCAGAAACAGAGCTGCGTTCGCAACATCCCAAGCGTCTCCCATCTTCCCAGTCGGAACCTGTGCATTCCTCATCTTCATGTATTCCTCATGCTCGCCGTCCTTCGAAAACCTCCCGACTAGGTTCTTGGTGTAAGGGGTATCCATTAGCCCAGGCACGACTGTGTTCAACCTCACTCCTTTGGGCGCATAAATGACTGCAGTTGCCTTCATAAACTGAATCACTGCAGCTTTTGTCGCTGAGTACCCTACTTGAGGTTTTCCAATATATCGCAGCCCAGCAATGCTTGCAATGCTGACTACCGCCCCTGCCCCTTGCTTCTCCATGATCGGTAAGACATGATGGCAAGTTAGGAAGACACTTTTCAGATTTATATCAACCTGGGAGTCCCATACTTCCTCAGACATGGTCGCTGGACATCCTGGTTCAGAACGACCAACGTTGTTGACGAGGATGTCGATTCGGCCATGCTTTGCCATACAAGCATCGACTAGTCTCTTAACGGACTCCGATGAGGCGACGTCCGTCTCTACTATGTCGCAAACTCCACCTTCTTCTTCAATTGCTTTCTTTGTCGAGATGGTTGACGATAGAGTGCGGTTGCCACCAAATATTCTGGCTCCTTGTCGAGCGAAAAGAACCGCTGTAGCAGCGCCAATTCCCCAGCCGCCAGGCTGACTTTGACCAAGGCCTGTGATGAGAACGATTTTGCCTTCAAGACTCAACATATTTGCCCGCTCCACTGATTTGAGAGGTATAATTGTGAACAAGAAGAAGGGCAATATTATGTAATGGCAAAGAATACGAATGAGCCTCTTCAACTCACTTTTCGCTTTTTTGACTCTATTTATCTACTCACTTTTGGCGGAGTTCCCGCCCGGATCGCGGAACCTCCGCTTTGCTTTTTCTAAACTTCTGGGGTTGATCTTAAATACCCCACATATCTATTCATCTTCGCATTCGCCGCAAATGTTATCTCATCCTTTTCAATATGGCTCAATTTTCGAACAAAGCAGAAAAATTATCGCTCGGTGACGATTATGATCTATCGAAACCTATTGATTCTGCCTCGGGTCTCCGTCAGGGGCTGACATCTTACGGCGACGCCCATTTTTCACTTTTCCTACGCAAGGTCTTCATCAAGGCACTCGGATATAGTGAAGATGCCCTTTCTAGGCCCATTATTGGCATTATCAACACCTACTCTGCTCTCAATCCGTGTCATGCAAACGTCCCACAACTCATTGAGGCAGTCAAACGAGGTGTCCAGCTCAATGGCGGTCTTGCTGTAGACTTTCCCACTATTTCTGTACACGAGTCATTCTCTTCTCCCACCAGCATGTTTCTCAGAAATCTCATGAGTATGGATACTGAGGAAATGATTAAAGCGCAGCCATTAGATGCCTGTATTATGATTGGAGGTATGTTTGGTCGGGTCTTATAGCGGTTTCAACCACTTTTTTTTAATTGCATTCTGACATATTCAGGCTGTGACAAGACAGTCCCTGCTCAGTTAATGGGTGGGATATCAGCAAACAAGCCAGTTTTACCTTTGGTGACCGGACCTATGATGCCGGGGAGTTACAAAGGCAAGCGTCTTGGGGCGTGCACTGATTGCCGGAACAATTGGGCTGCTTACAGAGCTGGCACCATTGATATGGAAGATATTAGCATGCTCAACGAAGAATTAGCACCAACTGTAAGTATTGGACTGAGGCAAGCCACATGAATTCACTGACAATTTACAGGCTGGAACTTGTGGTGTAATGGGAACAGCAAGCACGATGGCCTGTATCACAGCGGCGCTGGGCTTCATGCCACTTCGCGGTGCTTCAGCACCAGCAGTGTCATCAACTCGCCTCAGGATCGCGGAAGAGACGGGAGCAAACGCAGTAGCAGCTGCAGTCTCCAGGCGCACTCCGCAAGAAATGCTCTCGAAGGAGTCCTTTCTCAACGCTATTACTGTCCTCCAAGCTATTGGAGGTTCGACAAACGCTGTGGTGCATCTCATGGCAATCGTGAACAGGCACCCCAAGCTCCACGGCGAAATTACTTTAGAGACCTTTGACGAAATAGGAAGGAAGGTTCCTCTACTGATCGATTTAAAGCCTAGTGGAGATAACTATATGACCGATTTTCATAATGCGGGTGGCATGCTCGGCCTACTGCATACCTTACGGCCCTTGCTTCATCTTTCAGCAATGACAATTACTGGCAAAACTTTAGGAGAAGTGCTTGATGCCTCACCCTTCAGTACTTTCCCATTCTCTTCTGAGATTATCCGTCCACTGTCAAACCCTCTCTACCCCTGCTCATCATTAGTTATCCTCCGTGGAAATCTCGCGCTAAAAGGAGCAGTCATGAAGGCATCCGCATCGAAAGACCGGCGCCTTCTCCAACATTCCGGTCCTGCCGTTGTTTTCAAGAATTCTGCTGATCTAGCAAAACGCATTGATGATCCAAACCTCTTGGTTACTAAAGATTCCGTCCTAGTTCTCCAAGGGATTGGACCAATTGGTAACCCGGGTATGCCGGAAGCAGGACTTATCCCAATACCGAGGAAACTGGCGGCAGCGGGTGTATCAGATATGTTGCGTCTTTCTGATGGGAGGATGTCAGGGACGGCAGGAGGGACTATTGTGCTTCATATCTCACCCGAGTCAGTGATTCCCACGTCGGTTTTGGGGGTGGTGAGGGACGGGGATATTATTACATGCGACATTGGCAAACGACTTCTAAAACTCGAGGTTGATGAGGAAGAGATCGCACAAAGAATTGCCGAAAGGCAGATACTTGTTGAATTGGAAAAAAAGACGAGCGGAGAGACAGGAGTATGGAAAGAACGGGAGTTTAGACGCGGATATCGGGGATTATATGAGCGCTGTGTAAATCAGGCCGAGAAAGGAGCCGACTTTGACTTCTTGACCGCTGCTGGTCCAGCACGTACAGATTACATGGAGTAACACAAATTTCCCCGCGCTCAAAATCACAACAGTTCAAATAAAGAGCTTCAACTTTTGTCTCGGGCCATATGTTGACTGGATTCTTTCTGCAGTATTACTTATCGCTGTCTCAGTGTCTCAGCCAACAAGCAACCAAGCACATACTATTATATTATAGCACATACTTCATTAGGTAAACAGCAATGCGTTCTTTCAGATCACCTCCCTCGGTTTCTTCCGCAGAGCCGCTCACCGTGTAGTCCGCAGCACCATTGGTCGGAAACTTTACGACCATACATGTAGTCTGCAGGTACTGGGGCAGGGCCTTCCGGCGGTGCGATACAAGTATGGAGTATAGCTGCCCAGCTACAAGTATGTACCCTGTTCAATAAACAGCAGGGTAGAGAATTAGCCGCTATAGGCAGCGACGCAATCACAATGCCAGGTAGCACGCAGGTAGCCGAAGTTACAACTACTAATACCAATGATATATATATACCACAGAGTAGCCGCAGCATATTAGTGACGATTTACATTGTCTGCGTCTATCCAATAGGGTCAACCAGCGCAAAGGGGGTGCATTTGGGGCTATAGCAGGCCCAAGGATTAATCTTAAGCTCTTATGCAGCTAGGCGGCTCAGCATTGGCACTTGCTTTAGGGCAGCGCCGCTCACGAAGCTAATGGTAGCGCTACAGGGTAGTATCTCCTCTACCATATCGGCCATTAGTCTCATTCCGGTGTAGTTCTAGACGACCCTAAACCTATTCCACTTAGTGTTGCCCAGGTTATCGGCCATCAAACCCATCGCTTTGCCCTAAGCTCGCCATTTCTCTACCCTGCATCAGCAACGTTAGGGCCCTAGACATCCGTATAATATCAGAGGTGTTGCCAGAAGTACTCTTGTCAGCCGCTGTTTCCGGTACTGTAGTTGGCATGCTCGCTACGGGGAATGTCGTCTATCAGGTCTATCGACTCACCTACCAGGCCGTATCGCAGGCTGCCGTGAGCATCAAGGTCCCTAACGTGCCAGAAACTTACATTCTTTTCTTTTGGATGATTGTTATGGCACCAATATTCGGCATTGCATATATTACGCTAAGAGCGGGATACTGTATTGTGTCCTCCAAGGCCATTCAGAGTAAATCTGCTGTAGTCAGGGTTGTAAATTAGTATTTTTTAGTATTCGTTTTAGTATTTATAAAAAATTACATAATAAAATCAACATTAAGTATAAAAATAAATAAAAAAATTCATTAAATAAATTATAATATTTTATATATAAAAATATAAATTTTATTATTATTACTCCACTAATTATTTAATAATCGTTAATAATTTACGAATACTAAAATACTAAAATACTAAAATACTAAAATACTAAAATACTAAAATACTAAAATACTAAAATACTAAAATACTAAAATTTTAGTATTTTAATATATTTCTTTATTAGATTTTTTTAAAAATATTTTTAAAAAATATTTAATTATGGCAATAAATACTTTATATAGTAATATATTTTTTATATTCTTCTTATTATTAGTGTTAATTTTATTAACAATTTTAGTGTTTTATGTAAGCAAAAATTTAGTAACTAATTTACAACCCTGGCTGTAGTGACATGGGTATGGTATTAGATGAAATTACCCCGTCACTGTACGGGCGACCACTCCGTCTGGAAAAAAGACCCGGCACATGGGTTTACTTGCATGTTGTTCTCGGCTGGTTTTGCAATGTCGCATCAGTCTTGCAGAAATGGCTCGGGATTGTTGTCTTAGGGAGTATTCTCTTTGTGACACTGGCCGACATGTTAATTCTGGTCGAAACGCTTGTCGGCTGTACTTTGCTATCTAGGATGGTGCTGGACCATTGGCGATCTCCCAGCACATTGGTCTTGTATCTACTGTTGTTAGTTAATGGCGACATTTTCGAGGGTATACAATGTCCTAGGAATCATGCATTGGGTTTGAAACCGAAGCTCAGTACTACGAGTAAAGCTCCAAACAGCGAAAGTCATGTATTTCATCAATAACCCGGGCTTGAGATTCAGGTGCAAAGCACTAGCACAATCTAGTGAGCATTAAATTAACAAAGACTATGTACATGAGTCATATTAAGTCCTCTGGCGTGCTCATGTCATCTATATATAGTTAAAGCTCAGCCATTAGATGTACTTGGAGATGTTAGCTGCATCATAGATATCTTTCCTACCCATGTACCTATGAATTCTCGTGTTCTTTCTTATTACAGATGCTATTGTTTTGGCTGCTCTATGCTCAGCCAAAGTTTCGAGGTCGTTACCCTTGTAGTGGGATAGGCAAGATCAATCGTGATTGTCCCGAAGCATGTAATATTGTGTGTTTTGTTGAGCGCATATCTAGACTCGTCATCCTGTTTTCTCCAGTGCCCAGATTCCTCGCATATATCGGCCATGAGCCACCAGCAATGACCAGTCGAATTCTGGTTCCCTTGAGGAAACGATGTGCACAATCACGTAATTCAACCGTCACGGGGGTTTCAGGGTTCCTCTCAGGATCAATTACGCGGTATTCCTCTGTAATGTTGTGAGACACGCCTTTCAAGTCGACCTCGCTCAGCCGGATCCAGAGATCAGCATGGCCAGTATCAGAAGAATGCATGAGCTGAACTGATGGTACACCCAGTACCAATAAACCATTATCGTCCTCAATTGGAGGGCTAGTAAATGCAAGTACATCAGTGCGGGTGGCATAAGCACTATCATCAACGCGACCTGAGATTGGGAACAGTAATGGTCCGCCTAGGGCCGGAGTTGGATTTGCTGGGTCAAAGGTGAAAGATGTAGAACTAGCCGTCTTTGTCGGTGGCTGATCCGATATACTCTTGTCATCATCCAGATACATGACAAGCGGTGAAGATTTCGGCGGCCAAATTGCCATAGTTTTCCACTCATCGGATCCAGAAATATAGATGTGGGCTTGCGGAAGTGTCGGAGGTTCAGAATCTAGCTGCTTGCCTCCGACGGTTCTCTCAATGAAACGAAAGACGTCTCGACCAATCTTTGCCTGGCCAGCTTCTCCATGATTCCAAGGTCCGACGATCAGCTCGACTTGACAGCCACGCTGTTGTAAGCGTTGATACTGCCGCAGAGTCTGCTGAGCAAAAGTATCGTACCATCCGCTGGTGAGCAGTAGTGGCATGTCGACGCTGACACGTTCAATAGCCTCATGATGCTTCTTGTTCAGCCAGTAAGGGTCATCTGGAGATGGCTTCATCGCAGCATCTATTGCCGATGACTCTCCTTGCGCAAGTAAAGTTGCCATACTGTCTCTCACAGGGAGAGACTCAAGTGCGGTATCGGCAGAACGTTTGATTGAAGGCAGGTGCAGCAAGGCGGGAAGAAGGCCAGGATCTTCTTGGTGAGTCAGTAGATTTGACCATGCCACACGTTCAAGGCGAAAAGCGCCAGATCCCCAGTGCCAGTCCCAGAAATCATAAGGGCCTACTGAGATTGCTGAAGCCACACAATCTCTTGGAGGGTCACGCAGCAGTGCCCACTGCGCCCAGCCACAGAAGGACGCTCCCAGAGTTCCAAAGCGACCAGGATACCACGCCTGGAGTCTCATCCAAGTAACGACGTCTGCAGCATCGTCTGCCTCATTTTCGCCCGGAGTGCAGAGGCCATCAGATCCAAAAGTGCCGCGCATACTAACGATGAGGACATAGTAGCCTCGAGCGGCAAATGCATGCCCCGAGGACAATGAGGTGAGCAGCCCACGGCCATATGGCGTGAACAAAAATAGTAGTCCAGATGGTGATATTCCCTTGGGTAACCCGACCGGCTCATACAAGTCGCCACTAAGTTCGATGCCGTCGCGCATCGGGATACGGACGGGTTCGACGCACCAGCTGCACGACTCGCGCGGGAGTTCCTGTCTCCATCCAACCAGCCAGTCGATGGCTGCAGTCATGTAGCCACGATTGGTCTTTGAGGCAGGTGCCATGACTTCAATATTGGCGAAAGCTGTGGAATGGAATTGCCGGATTTGTGTTGGACGTGATATAGAGACACTTCGACGTATGCTTCATAAAAGAAGAATGAATCTCCACTACAGCAGCACCAAGCCAATATAAACTATTGTAATTCCGACCTAAGTGGTCATATGTAGGGAACTCGCTCTGCATAGACAAGATTTGCTATTTTTTACTACTTAACATGAACACCCAGTTAAAAACCGAGCCCGCTCGGAAGCGTTTAAGACAAATTGTCCTTGCCTCAAACTGCAGCGCGTGCTGACGGGCTGACAGTACTAGGCAGAATACAGTTCACAATTTGCAGTCGAAAGCGGAGAATATCCAGGTCCGTCTTACGCTAAACTCGTGACATGAATCACTTCTACCAACTCAACGAGCTTAAATAGAAAGTCTGCCATGTGCGGGGATAAAAAAGTGAGCTGAACACCATTATGTACCCTTGGATAAACGTAATTGTTTATGTAAAATAGCGGCTTAATGTCCGCTGCTACTTTCAGTCCTGGGTTAACAATTATTGGATTTTAATTTAAGCCTTCGAGTTTTCTTCTTATTTTACATTGCGACCCGGCTCATGGGTTTTCTTCTATCCAAGCTGCGAGTGCGCCTCCCGGCAGGAATGCATGTACTGTGGTATATCCTCTGTGATATAACCGTAAATACGAGAAAATAGAAGGACATTCTACTCTTGCCCTCAGTTCAATCCACCATATACTGCGACCCGCTTTGCGATACCATAGATACATCAATAAAAGTGCAATGGGGTCCTTTCTCTGCAACAAGGATTTGAAAGGCCCATGGATAGAGCGCGTGAAGACTTCTGTTTGCCCTACGGTGACTTGGCGATTTGGGAGCCGTTGGATCTGAGACACGGCGTGGGCGGCTTTAAAATACGGGTTATTTTCCGTCGTTGATGAGTCTTCAAGACTACACACTTGAGCCAAGGGTATTAACATATCACATATGCCTTTCTCTGGTAGGGGGGAGTTCATTTGCGCGAAAGTCGTCGCCATAACACGGAAAAGGCTGTCCGGGCGTAGCGGGTCAGCTATGCGCCACAGAGACATTTTGCTCGTGTTCATGCGCAACCATTCCAGGTCCGTGGGCTCAGAAGGTTTTAGAGGCCACGATTTTTCAGGTGTAATCGCATCAGGGGTCGAAAAACTCAACACGGCCAACGCAGCTGCTGTTCCCCAGATTGGATCCTTATCCTTGGTTTCAATTAGCTTATTTAACCTTCTGTTGAAAAGTGCTGTGCTTTGAGACCAGTGATAACACTCTTCTACCGAAGGACGGCAGCCTGACGAGCGGCTCAAGTGGCGGTCATATGCAAAGGCCACCGCAAGGGAGGCGTGCATCAAGAAAGGATTCTGCAGTAATTTCATGTTATTATTAACTCCAGCTTCATATATGTTGAGTATGGGCAAGACCCGGTTGATTAATAAGACTTACAGCGAAGGCTAAGGCCAAGAGGCGGCGATTAACTTGCACCATTCTGGGGTCATCTGGAGTTATGAGACTTCTTCCTAGATACCGAGTTACAAACTCCTGGCATTTTGAGTTCAACTGATAGAAGTTTGATCCATCAGTTGTCCACACAGAGCTGCTGGGAGGTGGTTGAAGCACCCCTTGTCTAACGACCTGGAATGCATACATGGCAGGATCACGGGTGACGGGCTGCAGGTCAAGAACATCCAGTCTGAAGTTGCATATTACCCCAAATGAAGCACATCGCTTGCACCGTGGTTTGCTTTCGTCACACTACAAGTCCAGAATGGGGTCAGCTACGTATCATTCTATTAACAGCTGAGATGTACTCGTACCCACCTTGACTTTTCTGAGCTTGCAATTTCGGCAGCCAAATCTCGACCTCGTCATGGGTCTGCTCCCCCGAACCGTTTCTGGGCAAGTAGGCGCCATACTTGGTTCGTTACTGATGCTGCGGAGGAGTAATGCTTGTTTCAACTGTGAGAGTTGTTCACAGTTCGAAAAGATCTGATGAGCTTCCATCTCCCCCTTTTAAGTAGATATACAAGTCTCTGATTGGCGGACAGCTATATATTGCCACACACTGCAATTGTACGCTAACCCTCTTTCGCTTACTAGCAGAAGTCTGGATTTTCGTACTAGCTGTTATTCGGGTGCGGAAGGCTCTGATTGGCCGACAGTTCTCCTACAACTTGTTTCGCATACTAGAAAGAAGGCGGTAGTCATAGCAGCATCGTAATCTCGCAGCCGCTTAGAGACATTGAATGGGTATTTAAGGCTGATTTAATCCTCCTAAGGAATTTGAATAACCTTCAACCTTCTATCATTACCCTTCAACCTCAAACCAAGTAGTCAAACACAACGGGGATCTCTTAGTAACCCCCAATCCTAAAACCTACATCATGGCATCCCCCTTCTCACTCCCTGCGGCCCTCAACCCACCCATAACTGGCAGAGAGGGCGTGGCGGACGCTATATATCGCTGTGCTTTGGCTTGGGACACAAACGACACGGCCCTATTCGACTCCAGTTTTATGCCTGACGGCGTATTCGAGGTTAACGACCACACCATGAATGGCCTACCTGAGATCCATGCCACAGGGCTCGCTCTCATCTTCAAGCTCGACACGACGCACCTGGTCACCAATGTGCGTGTCCACATGGGAGAGGATAACGAAGCCAGTCTGACCGCTACCGTGCTGATGCAACACTTTGTCAAGGGCAAGGGCATGGAGCCCAGTCAAAAGAGCCTGATGTCGGGTAGTCTGTACTACGCCGAGCTAGCCAATGACACAGATGGGCTGTGGAAGTTCAAACATCTAAAGATCAAATCTATCTGGGTGGAGGGCGATTATGGCGTGATTGGGGACAATTTTAGCGAGGTTGGGTGGTAAATAGAGTGAGGATCAATTTCAGATACTTCCTGCGTATACCCTATAGATATACTACATAGGCAGTGACTATATATAACTATACTAAAGTAATACTTCTGAAATGATATACTTATAAACAGCTAGTTCTATTAATAGCTGTTAAGACTAACGGGAGAACTTTACAACCTATGCCAACTGCATTAGCCAGCATGCCTCAACGGAACAACCAGCGACGGTACTGTTCCATTGGGGGCTATTGTTTCTTTCTCTTTCTGCAAACTGTACCGAGACTCATTCACAGTTACCATAAAAAGTTTCCTACTCAGTTTCTGTTCTCTCACTGCGGTGTTTTTTACATTGCAGCCTTATTGCTTCCCCTGACGAGTTAATTATAAAAGCATCACATATCTAACCTGGCGTCGTTGCAACTGATCTCAACGGAGTTTCTGATTTCCCGAGCCAGGAAGATGGGAATTATTCTTCCGTCCAGAATATCGTCAAAGCGCAAATGAACTAGGCATTTCGCCTCGTCAACAGGCGGTGACATCGAGTATCAGCATGGAAAGAATGTTGCCGACGCAGTTGCGACAACATGCGAAACGCTAGACCAAACCGGTTTCTTGGTATCTATGTACCCTAAGCCATGCGACTCAACACAGCCAAGGGCGATTTACACTATTATATCATCTTGATGCCAAGGCCAGAGTTTTCCCCCTTTACGTCAAAGACAAATACCCTGAACTTGCAGCAAAGATGCCGTGCATTCAGTCGGGTTTCTTTTTTACGAGTTTCAACTTATTTCCTGATTCTTATTTCCAGAAGGTCGGTAGATGAAGAGCATTATGTCAAGATATCCCACTGACGAGTGCCAAGCTTCCTGATGGGCGCTTTGAGATGAGATTTAGCACCCATCCAGACGTACCGGTGCCGCATTTGTTTCCAGTCAGCGACATGGGTAACTTCACTTTTGCCGTCTACCAAATGCCACCGAGAGGAGAATATATGGCTGAAGGTACCACTTGCAGTTGGACGGATTGGATGAAGATTTGGGGCGAAGTCACGGGTGAATCTGCGCCCTATCGTCAGATTACTCATGATTAAATAATCGCGACAATTCCTGATCGGGAGTGTGGCATTGAAGTCGCAGACATGTTTTCTTACTCAAGCGACCCTGGATACGGTGGCGGGGCACCCCTTTTGACTGCTGGCGATATTCGCAAGGCGAGTTATCCACTGTCGCATGGGAGATTCTGAGCTAATTAAAAATGTAGAGTGGTATTGCATGCCCAATGACAAGTTGGAAACAGTGGGCAACAAGTCATGACTGGTCACCTGCACTGAACAAAAGTTCTCGATCGGAGGCATGGCCGATATAAAATATTTGGGACTGATAGGGTAGCTGGCTATGCGCCTCGGCGTAAAGCTAGAAGGAAAGATTGTATCTTCCAATTGATGGCGTCAAGGTGAAGCAAAACCCTGTCTCCATTTCCAATTACGCTTTGGATGAAAATACTACTAAAGTATCTGTTATGAAAGAAAAAATATCCGACCTGTTCGTAACAGACTGCAATTGCGATTATTCATATCATCTTTTGCCCTGCTGGCGCTACAGTATAACAGAGCACAGCACCAAGTATTAGTTGGTCGGCCTGTAGTTTGTCCGAGATCCTAGCAGAGGGGCAATTTAAAAGAAGCGGATTAGATGATTTTTGGTAATATGCTCCGTATAGAAATCAGAATACGACGCTAGCCTGGCCTAGCCTGGCGTTGAATATGCGGCCGCAAGAGCAATTTAAACAATAAGACGTATAGACTGTAAACAAATGAAGCATAATCAAGCTGGTGTTCTAAGCTTCTTTTAGCTTTACGAGGCGCACAGGGCTGTGTAAATAGGGAAGGGGTTGCTAATTTGTATCCGCTTTTCTTTCCGGAGTTCCCTGAGCCTAGCAGCATTTCTATGCATAATAATAACCCTTGTGCATGCAACTAGAGCTGCAAAACTTATTATTGCCGAGGAGTTTTGAATGAAATATTATAGTTTAGCCGCTATATTTGCGAGACTTGAACCTTTAGGGGGTTTTGTGGGTGACGATGAAAGAAGAGATCTGCCACTCTCACCCAATAGTAGGATAATGCTGGTGACGATATTGCAAATCTACTGCCAAGGAAGCTTGGCATAGGATCGATCTACGAGAAACTATGCAATACAACCGACCATTGCATATAAGCTTTTTAGGTACTAAAGGCTAGTAGAAAAAATACGAGATTGTCATAATCTAGGCCTAATCCAGCTAGGTAGCTGTAAATTTCGGTATTTCACGGGGCTCTCCTACTGTAGAAGCTTGATCGGAGAGCGCGGCTAAAAACTAATAGAACTGCACCTTAAAATACTCGTATGCTAACTAAAAGAGGGCGGAGAGTTACAGCAATGCACCAACTTATTCAGGGCGGTTTTTACAGTAGATATTTTAGTAAGCTCCCTGTCAACGCCATCATAAATACGGAGTACTCCGCATATACATTTACGTTAGTATATTAGGTACGATATTATATTCGAAACATGTCAAGTACATATGCAGGATGAACGGAGCTGGACGGAGTATACTGCAGACAACCTATTATACAACATATACATGGAGTATATGGGCTGCTCGGACTACTGAAATATATGCTTACGCCATCGCTTTATAAGATTGCAGATACATTTTTATAGATTGACCGGTCAAATTCCCCCGTTGTTCATTACGCTGAGCTTGTGGCTTAGCTAACACAATGGAAGAAACGAAAATTTTTAACGCTTTTGGCCTCTTTAATAAAAGAACAGAAGAAGCGGTCAAGCATAAATACATGATCCAAGGAAAAATGGGTTACGAATTGCATCCCCGCTGCTATCGTTACTGCTAGTCGGCTTCGCACCCGACTTCGGGAGCAGTACCGATAATTTATCCACCTTCGCGTCAGCGCTATAAATCTAAAGTAAGGGTATCAAAGTTCTGCAGCCCATAGCCCTGATCACACTTTTATAGACCCTTCCTCATATGGCGCGGTTTATATCCAGAGGACTACGCAGGGGTGCTCTGAAGCGTACCTAATAGCCACGACCCAGTGAATTACACGTTTTTATTTTACTTGGTACTTGTAATTATATTACTTGAAGAAAATAACCTTTTATTTACTTTAGTATGATGTCTTGTATAAATTGTCCTTTCTGAGAAATCTCTTGTTCAATAGCCTGTCTGGTAGCTGGATAATATATTAGTTTTCAGCATTCTACGATACCAGGAGAATATAAAACTAAATCTTCCATTCGCGTTTTACTTGCTATATTTTACATGTGATAATTTGTATATTCTAGTTTCAGAGCGCCAATAGTCTTTCTTGTGTGGCTTAGACATCTTACTAAGCGCTTATCACGATGCGCAATTTCCAATAGTTTGGGACTACGCTTATATGCAAAAAGAAATGACAAATTATATAGCCCCAATTGGTCAAGCATTCGGAAATCCATTGGTCCTAGAATGCTATGGTACATCAACACAGCATGAAAAGCCCATCTACCTACATCTCGGTCCGTCTAAGATTTTAGTTCCGGAATAGGCCCACCCACGGTGAAGGTACTTCTGTTTGTAGTTCGGTCAAGTCCGCTTACAAGTCGCAATGTGCATTCATCGGTGCGTTGCTGCAAGGCCTAGGCCTTACAGCTGTATCCTCGGATGCTAATCGCCTGAGGCTATGGCATCCTAGTGTAGAGACTTCACAATATCTTAGGGACCTTTTGGCATGTCAAATACTACACCATTACGGAAAAATATAAATATGTCTCAAAGATCCCATTTATATTACAGAAATCTACTCAAAAGATCATTAGTTTACTATTAATCCAAACCGGCTCGCTCTGGTAAAAATCTCAGTCCGTACTTGATTAATCCAGCAAAATGTCTGCCAAATTACTTTCACTTTCTCTTCTCGCCTTTGCAAAGCTGGGGTTGGCAGCCCATGAGTACAGCGATAATGATTGGGCAAACAGTAAGTTCACCCAAAGAAATCCACTAAGAAGCGAAGTCTAGCTAATCTAATCCGTGAAGATCATGACTATGTCATCAAGGACCTTGCACCGTATGCTCTGGGAATGATCGACTTTAAACTATAAAGAGACTTGCTAACTATACCCTAGTATTTGGTTCTTTTCAGACGGCGCTTGCTATCCTCAAGCCGCTGAAATCAACGGCCAGCAGACAAATGGAAATGGCGCCAGCGGCTGTGGTGTTCCTGCCGGAAGTCATCTGGATTCTGGCTGCCAGTCTCCTGGCCAATGGAGGGGCGCAGGTACCCAAGGCACCTCATTCCCGACGTACTGGACTACTACCGACTGCAATGACGGCACAAGACGCGTTTGCTACGATATTTATTTCCGTCATGATTCGGGACACGAGTCGGACTGGGAATACGCATGTGTAGTCCTGTCCAGGGACAGAAACGGCTTATGGTTCCGTAACGGTATCATCTTAGAGGAGGATCCTAACCAGGCATATATCTCTTGGGGTGACCTGGAGACCTGGGACAACGGGTAAGTTTACATCCTCACAATTTTGCTCCAGTCTTAATATGGACTCGATGCTGAATCCAATTATTTTAACTAGGCAATCATTCACGGACGGGAGCAAAAGGAATGGTAACCATGCTATGATCTACTCGGCCAAGTTTCATCATACTATGTTTGCTCACCAGTACACCGGGCTGGGCAAGAACAACTGCGCTACAACTGTATCCGAGATGTTCCGCAACAATGACTTCTATTGGCCCGCCGCCAATAACCTTCAGCCAGGCACAAATATTCCTCGCAACTGGAACTGGGGCAAGGCTGCGTCTAACCCCCAGGCCTTAGCTAGCTCAGTCTGCGGCTACCATCCATTCTAAGACTGCAGCTGCTATACTAGCAGTAGTGTTGTAAAACTGCAATGCTTAGCCTGCAGCCATTTTATATTCTCCAAGACTACAACTATTATATTATTATTGTGATTATAGAATTCCAATATATTTCTTTATTTATTTTTTTATTTTGAACTCTGTAAAATTGTTAAGGATATTGTAATCCGGATGACTCAACATGGGCGGGAAACTCATAATCTGCCCCCTGCTAGACTACAGGGCCACCCATGCGGAATCAATATAAAATAATAGCAGCTGGGTGTGAATGGTTTGCCTCTGAACGGTCGGAATGCTAAAGCTTTGGGCCAATATGCTGGTGACTCATCTGAACCAGAATTGACTTTGTAATAAAACCAAACATCAATACTCGCGTTGTGGCGTTTAGACCACCGCGGTTGAACGGCAAAAGGAAAGGTTCCCCCTTGTTGCAATAGTTAGCTCTTACGAACTATTTATCAAGATGTCATACGCTAGGATATGCCAAAAGTGGATCAGCAAGATTTACTCTTAACTACCTACTTATTCAGGTAAGCAGCTGGATGCAGAATAGTATAATAAGTTTCTCCTTTAGGAATAGCTAACGTATTTAAGAAAATAGGACCTAGTTTATAACACTACTACTTAATTTCCTCTGAAGTTAATTTATTATTATGCTGGCTCCAAAGTGATGTCCTGGAAGTCAAAGTGTGACTCAGGTGACAAGCTACTAGCTAATGGGAACAGTGGTATATTTTGATTTAAGAAATACTCTGATAAAGCGTCAATAGAATTATCGGTAGGGCGAGGATATTGTACGTCTCCTAAGTTACTGTTATACTGAGTATAATCCATTGGTAGATTTCCGATTTGCGTTGGCGATAGCCCGGATATTGGTAGTAAGGACTCTTCTTGGAAAGTGTTAAAATTAAAGGAGCGAGGTGTGGTTGGTTTAAACACACTTTCGTTAGAAGGTACGCTCCAGCTAAGTTGTTGTGGGTTCTCGGTGTGATCCACAGAACTCTCGCTGTAGCACCGCGGTTTGGATGAAGCCCGAAGATCTCCGAAGATACTTCGGACTACTTTGTCATTTTCCGAAAGCAAATTGTTATCCCTTCTCATTGTATAGATGGCGACTGCTTCTTTTAGCTGTTCGCAGATTCCAGCAAATCTGGAAGCTTGTGGATTTAGTTTTCCAAGATGGACCAGTATTTTGATTGCTCGATTTAGCAACGGATTCACGGGCCAGGTATGACGACCAGAATTGTCTAGATAAGCAAGGCCTAGACATAATGCTGATATAAACACGATATTGACAACAATAGGTTGCCGGCTTGGGGAGTTTAGCTCGAAGACATACTCGTAAGCAATGTCGATGCCTTTTATAGCAGAGTTGACGCAAGCGTCAGCGTAGGTAGCGAGGCTGATCATGATAGCAGAACTCTCGCTTTTTGAGAATTCCTTACCCGAGGCATGGTGGACCCGGAAGGTCAGAAAAGGCTTCGTAAGCAGAACAATAGAATAATAATATGCCAACGTGACGATGCATGAGCCTTGTTTTGGAGACAGACAAAAGCTTCTCGGAGATGCACCGTGATTTTGCTCTGCGTCTGGTTCATCAATCCCATCAACCATCAGCATTCGCGGCAACTCTTCGGTCCATTGTCTATGCTGCTGGGAGATACTTCTGGCCAACTCAAGGCTTATAGCCTTTTCTGCATAAACTTCGACCAGTATTCGCTCAAAAACATTGCAGATCCTAAACATCGCTGAGAAGACTTGTCCCGCCACGTCGGGGCGTTCGTAGTCACGCGAGGATTTGAGTGGCACCCAGGCAATGTTTGATACAGCCTCTGTCGTCGCAGGCGGTCTCCCTAGAGAAGCCGCCAGGAATAGATCACATACTCGCAATGACTTCCAAGCACGCTCTCTAGCTAGGCCTTCCTCGCCGCCGAAGGCCTTATTCGTCTCATGGAGATGAATTCCAAGTGTATAGGCCGCCCTGGCAGCGATGCCGAGATTTATAAAGGCGGCGTTATACTGGCATGCCGCTATCATGTGATAAGTGATTAATATAACTGCCTGGACGGTCGCCAGGCTGGGGTCGTCTATGAGGTTGAACATGGTAAGTTGGCGCCCGAAGGCAAAGCATTGCTCAGAAAGTAGATCGTCTAAGTCGCCGTGAGCTCTGCCTTGGAACCCTATGGCGAGGGCCAGGTGGATGATGGCAGACTTGGCCTTTGTCATTTGTGAGGGTTGTTCGGCCCAGTCCTGCAACTGGGCTAGCAGCCAAGGTGGGTCGAAGAAGTCCAATATCCCGCTTACAGCAAGGAAAAACTCTTTTGCAATACTCTGGGGGGTGGCTAGATCTATTGATGGCTCTCGGACCATCTCAAAGCGTATTTTCGGGGTGGTCTCTAACATAGGATTCCGAGCAGGCTCATTGGTAAAGGGGCATGGCCCTACAGCAGCCCGTAACGTGCTTCTCACCGACCCTAGAAAGGATAGAGACGCTGAATCCCCTACGTAGACTGCAATCTACGTCAGCAACAATGAATCTCTTGCTTTAGCTTGCGTTCGGTTCCGACAACATACTGAATTTACCTCTGCTATCCGTGAGCATTTGCGAATCTTTGGATACAGAACACAGGTTTGAAACCGGGATATCGATTTGCTTTGGTGATGGAGCTGGTGATGTGGGATCAAGAGGGCCCGGCTCGCGTCGAGCTTCTCTGTTAGGAAGTCCCCTTGACAGCTGGTTCTCTTGTGAGGCTGGTCGAAGGTGTCTTGAGTAACGGCAGGCATCCTCGACTCCACGAGCCCTGCAGTGATCACAAGGCAATACGCCATTACACTTCGACTTGCGTTTCTTGCAATTCTCGCACGCTTGGGCTACCCGCCTCCGGAAGCGAGGGTCAACCTTCGGGCGAGGCATTGAGAGGGACACTGCGACTTTGAGGACGGGTTGATGAATGAGGAAGAATGCCTCGAACCAATATGCCAACATCACAGATGTGGAGCGCAGCCACAGTAAATGAAGCGTTCCCCAGAGTTAAACTTTTTCGTTTGTAAGGCGAGCTGTTGAGGAGGTAGGAACGAAATACAGTTAGGGCACCCTGGTCTAATCTGACTTAAGTCTAGGGTTGGCAAATCATGATTGCGGGGAAATAATCTTGGTGGATCAAGACCATGTGATCTGTTTGAGACAACGAAGTACCCTGGCATACCGTCATCTATGTACGTGGTACTCCGTAATCTGCAAGGGAGTAGCTCGAAAGACTTTATAGCACTTTAATCTCCGGGTTTGCCGAGATTTGTGCATTTGTTTCCATCCCGACAATCCTTGGAGGACAGTTAAGTAGGTTGCTTGTACAGGAGTAGCAGGCACGGACACTCGGCACACATTAAGCCCCCTAGCCCGCGCTCAACAATACTAACTACCCTAGTTCTATGGACTTCCTCTATTAGTGGGTAGTATAATGGAATAACGAAAAAAAAAAAAAAAAGTGACATTTCTTTACAAGCGTAAACTCAAGTAACTAGATACAAGTTCCAATACAGAGACTGTAGGCATCTGTCGGTCCTAGTTTCTATCCCACACATTTCTTGATCTTTTGCTAGAACCACTACTAGTATAGCAGCTAACTGTATAGAGTACAGAGTACTGCGGGGGCGGGGCGAGGAGGAATGGTGGTTTTCAGGTCGAATTCAGAGTGTATTCCATGCCAAGATGAGACAACTTGATACCAGCCGTAAGCGGTCACAGAATTCAGCGGCATTACGAAGTTAAGTTCCGTGTATTTCTATTTTATCACGAAGGGAACTAGAACAAAGCATAAAAATCGAGATCAATTTCTCTATCTCTCTACATTGACATACTGCAAGGCAGTGCTGTGAGATCCATTGTTGCGATTCGCCGCTTAGAGGGGGTTATCTTCTGATACTAAAGGCAACAGCTCCTCTTCAATCCATTGCGAGAAAAGCTCTTTGTTGTTGTATATTGTTGTATACTGTTGGGTGTTGAATTCCACCGTAACATTCGGAATATAGAGGCGCCCTCCTTAACTGGCATTTCTTCCGTCCCATGGCACGTGAAAGATGATCTTAAGACTTAAGCAGAGAGAGACGGGGGAACGAGTTTGCAACCCTGATTACAAGGTAGTTAACCCACCGGGCGAGTTGTGGCCTACCTCGCGCCTAATCCACTGACCCCCAAATGGCTACGGCGCTGTGATTGTCGCAATTGTCCCATGCTAGCTTAGGCTAGCAAGAGGGGCAGCATCCGACGGCTGTCGAGCATCCGGCCCATACACTATCCGGTGCGCCATCCGGACAATGGCGACCTTACTACTCCGTGCCGATTATAACTTGCTGCTGCTCCGTGCGGCCGGCGGATTCCTGTGCAAGCCCTGAGGCCGCCAGCTATTGAACGCAATCATGGTTGCCCCGCAGAGTTTTGTCTACAATATCTCCCCCAGCCGGGTTGTCTTTGGGAGTGGAAAGCTCCGAGCACTGCCCGGGGAGATGGCGAGGCGTGAGTTGCGCTCCCCATTGATCCTGACTACTCCTGGACAGATCCACCAAGGCGAGATAGTCAAGGTTACTTTAGGCGCTGGACACATGTTTACCGAGGCGACTATGCACACCCCAACAAGCGTCACTGAGAGGGCCCTGGCGTATGCGAAGTCCGTCCTCGCCGACTCGATTGTTTCTATTGGCGGAGGGAGCACTATTGGACTCGGCAAGGCTATCAGCATTCGCACCGGGCTGCCCCACATCTGCATCCCGACAACATATTCTGGCTCAGAGATGACGCCCATTCTCGGCGAGTCGGCTGACGGAATCAAGAAGACGAGGAGTGACCCCAAGATTCTTCCCGGGACAGTCATTTACGATGTAGATCTGACTATGACTCTTCCGGTTGGCTTGAGTGCCACTAGCGGCATGAACGCAATCGCCCACGCAGGTATAGCCTTCTTTGTTATCCTTTCTACTGACGGAGTGAGGTCTTGAGAAATTTTAACTAAGTCTGTAGCGGAGGCGTTGTATGCTCACGACTCGAACCCAATCATCTCCCTGCTCGCCGTTGAAGGTATCAAGTCCCTTGCAGAATCTCTCCCTGCCATCATGGACTCGCCAACAGACCTGAATGCCCGATCTACGGCGCAGTACGGCGCCTGGCTTTGCGGACTCTGTCTTGGGTCCGTTGGTATGGCTCTCCACCACAAACTCTGTCACGTCTTGGGCGGGAGTTTCAACCTGCCTCACGCTGAGACGCACGCTGTTGTACTGCCCCATTCTTTGGCATACAATGCTCCAAATATTCCGGAGGTTATGAAGAAGCTGGCGGATGTGCTCCCAGGCAGTAATGGCGATGCTGTCCAGGGACTCAACCTTCTTTTAAAGCGCCTGAAATTGCAACGTGGATTGCAAGATTTCGGGTTCAAGGACGAAGACATCGATAAGGCGGCTGGTATTGCAGTTAGTAATCCTTATTCTAACCCACGTTCAATCGAAAGGCCTCTTATTAGAGAGTTGATTAGAAGAGCGTACGCCGGTGAGGATGCAAGAGTAGATATGTGAAACAGGCTTAATCTCAGCTACAAGACTGAAGCAAGGTAACAGTGGAAACTTTGAGAAGGAAAAGAATTGGCTAAAGAACACCAATGGGATCGACTTGGCTAAGCAAACTTATAAGTGTCATAACTGTGACGACTGGGTCTATTTCCGAAGGTAAATTGGTCATTGGATTTATGTAAGTAGCAAGTTACGGTGAATTAGAGCAATTGTGGTTATGAAGTATTTAATAAGGGTTAGTTTCTAGTGAAAGAGTTATCTCAACGGCTGTCTAAGATATATAACGATGAAACGGAGTATGTAAGGATGAGGTTTTTGGATACTGAAAGACGAATTCCATTGGGCCTTCGCTGATGGGTTGTTTTCGGTGTCCTTCTGTATGTGGCGATTTTTGGCTTGATTTAAAAATTATTGTCCTGGTAATTGGGGCCAGTCTTCTATTAAATGGCCCGCTGGATTGAGTCGTATCAGAAATTGTAGCACAAAAAAAGGAGGAGTAACGAAGTCAAAGAATGCGGTATACAATAATGACGGTAATTAACTCTAAATTCGTTTAATACGGAGTAATTCTCTTCTTGATATAGTATGATTCAAGCCACAAATCCAGATTGAATATGCGTACCTCCTTTCAGCTACCCAGCTTCCGAGTCTCTGACAATTCGTCACAACAGCGCAGCCTCAGTGAGTATTTATTCAACAGTTATTTCAGATTCTCCTACTTAAATAGTTTAATGTGAAAACGGGAGCTGTCTGTACTCAACAGTTTCTTCCGGGTATGGCCACGCTGGCAAATCGACAAATGCCGGCTGTAAGAAATGTGCCAGCTCGCCATCCTCGGGGTTGACCTGGGGAGCAGACCAACCATCTCCAAGCCATGATAGCCGGTTAGTCTGGGTTTCTTCACTGTATACATAATTGAAATCTTCCCAGCGTGGTGATCGAAGAGTCTCCAGTGCATGCAAGGCACTACCCGGCCAGATTCCCACAATTCGGTCTCCCTTGCCACCATTACTCTTATACCAACTGCTGCATTTATCGATGTACACGGTATCTTTGAAGTACCTATCAATGATTTCTGAGAAGTCTTTCACACGGGCGGACTTTGGTTCCATGCTCGAGATATTCTCCTTTTGAAGTTTCCGTATGCATTTGATAATGTAGTCCCCCGTCTTCTCGATCATGGTCGTGAGTGGTCCCGTGCCGATGGCTGCATTAGGACCTAGCATCATGAAATAATTAGGAAAGCCATCAGTAGCCAGAGATAGATAGGTCTCGGGATACGGTTCAAACTTCTTCATCATGGTTTGGCCATATTTCCCAACCACGGGGAAAGGTGGCGGCGCCGAAGTCTGAAAACCAGTTGCGCAAACCAAAACGTCCAGTTCCTTGATTTCTCCATTTTGTAGCACAATACCAGTGTCCGTAGCTTTAGAAATGGGAGTATTGATGAAGTCGACATTATCTTCACCAAGCGCTTCAAGATATCCAGGGCCAGGTGTCAGCCTTCGGCAGCCCACACTAAAGTTTGGCATTAAAACTTCAAGAATGTGTGGTTTTTTTGCCAGTTTTTCTTTCATAAGCGCTGCAAAGTCCGTACGAGCAAGCTTCTGCATTTCCGAATCTTTGAAGGTAAGAGAATGTACCGAGTTGCCATCTCTTTCGATAATGGTTCGGAAATTCAGGTAGTATTGAGGGTCATTTGTGAATTTTGCCTTGTGCTCCGGAGAAACTACAAGATGTTAACCTTCCCAGTCTTCTTTTCGTAGCGTCGCGACTCGTAATCAATTGAATTGAGTAAAACTTACAATCAATGCTTCCTAATCCAAGAGTCTTCATTGCCGAATCTCCAAACGGTCTGGAGATCCATGTCGTGCTCCGAATAAAGCAGCTTAAATGCGTGCCACTTGCTCGCTGTAAAGCAGGAATAATCTGGATGGCGCTACTTCCGCCACCAATAATACCAACTCTTTTTCCTTCAAAAGTAATACTAAAGACAAGGTTAACATTTTCCTTTTTCAAAAAACTAAATAAATGAATAAATAAAATAAGGAATTGTTCATACCTATCGTCCCATACAGCTGAGTGAAGTACGGGGATTTTCATTTCACCAACTCCTGGAATATCTGGCCAAGAAGGTTCGTTTAGCATTCCCCGCGCACTGATGACAACATCGGCTATATCAACTATAGTCTCTCCAGTTTCCAAATTCTTAACCGTAACCTCCCTAAAAACATGTTAGTTCGAAACATGAGAAGACATATATATATATAAATATCTCGCACCATTTTGAGATATCCTCCTTCCACTTCGCGCCGATTACTTTATGTAGTGTCTTGATGAATCGGTTCACAGAATATTTTTCCGCAACCGACTCCAGATATTTGCAAATTTCTGCCGCAGGGGCATAGAACCGGCTCCAATTCGGGTTGGGTGCAAATGTGTACTGATATGAATGTGCTACCGGAAGGTGTTATACATTAATGAGATCTCTTCAATAGCGGATATAAAACATACCAGGAATGTCGCAAGCACAACCCGGGTAGCGGTTCTCATGCCAAGTGCCTCCAATCCCGGAGTTCTTCTCATATATGGTTAGTTTCACGTTGCGTAGTCGCTCTGGTATCCGAACGCCGCAATAGATTCCCGAGAAACCGGCGCCGATGATGATAACACTCATTGGTCGAAAATTCTCCACGACTCGAGGGTAAGCTGTAGATGCCTGAGACTTGGGTTGCGTCGTGTCAATTCTGGAACCGTTCGTCTTCTCATTAGTAAGACCAAGGTCTAACTCTGCTGTTGGTGGAGGAACCATGTTCATTAAGGCTCTGAAGTCCGCGAAATATAAGTGACTGATTGACTTTTTTTGCGAAGTCAAGAGAGACTGAATCGAGGGCAATTAAGGGAATTTAAAATCTTTACTGGGCCTCTTTACATGCCCATGGTTGCTAGATGACATAACTTGGTCGGATTCCTCATGCGCATAAATTGATCAATAATGAGAACCGGGCCGAGAACATCTTCATGTGCCGCGGGTCGTCGCCTACCCACGGAAGCAGGATCCGTATTACTGGACACCGTGAAGCCTGAGGGGAAAGAGGGGACGCCAAAGCTTAAGTCATCTAATTTTCTCCTTTTGTCCAGCAGCATTAAGGCGTTTTCAGGGAGACAGGAACGGCTGTTACAGAAGAGCTGAAATGACTAGAGCCTGACTACATGTTATTTCATCCCGGGAGCCAAATCGAGAGATGTCTTCGATATACTACTGCTTTCCTCTACTCTAAGCATTATTTTTGAAGTATATCGTGCAAGTGCAGCTAATTAAAGATTGAAGGAGTCTGTTCGATGCTGTAGGCATCTCTTAATCTATATCCGGTACAGGCAGACCGTTTATGTACTGCATTTGCTTTCCCTGAGCCTTCATCGCCGCTTCTGCATTTCTGTATCGCATATCGATTGCCTCCTGCTTTGTAACAAGAACAAATTCGTAATTTATTAATGCACACCCGACATCAACACCATACTGTTCAGCAATTCCTTTGTCCTGTACTGTCTTCAACTCCACCACAAGCGTACTCTTAACGCCAAAAACTGCATCTGATGTTTCATATGGATCATTCTTCAAGTATAAAGCACTGCATGGAATAGTTAATTGGGAAATTTACAACAGCGTAGAGCGGATGTATCAGCGCGATAAACGTACGTGATAAGGGGATCATAAACCGGGTGGTCAAACATAAAGTGCATGTGACTTGGGCGGTAACAATGTCGATTGAGGGTTCCAAGAATTTTTCCTACCGGGCCATCACTTGGAATTGGATATGGGACCGGGACAATGGCTTTGAACCAGAAATTCCCGTCCTTGTCGCTCGTAAGGACAGCTCGTCCGTTAATGATCTGCGTATTGAACATCATAAAATCCCTTGGAGTCGGTCTCCCACACATCAATTCTGGCATTCTCGATTGGCTGCCCTGCCAAGTTGCGAACTTTGCAGATGACAAGAAGTGGTTTTCCCTGAGGATCAGTCGAGATGTTGGCACCATTGGTAACATCCTCCGCTTCGTGAGTGTGGAATGGTCCTAATACTGTCCCTTCTGTCGAGCCTTTTGGCTTGGGGTGGTCAATCGCATCAACAAGTAAAGAAACTCCAAGGATATCCGAAAGTAAAATGAATTCCTTGCATAGGCATATATTAGTGGTGGTTGATGGGATTGTGGAACATGTATCGTCACACTATCCGCGATGCGCTTACCTGACGTGTATCAGTACATGTTTGACCAACTTTGGTGAGGAACTCTATTGCAGCCATCCACTCTTCCGTACTGAGTCTCGGTTCCCGTACTAAATCATGGAGATGAACAACAAGTCTTTCAAACAGATACCTAACACGTCTATCGGAACAGCTAGAATTCGCGATTTGAACATTCTCTGTGATGTTTTCAGTGGTGAGGTCTAGCATTTTGACCATTGTATTGAGCGTTTTGTGAGCCGACATGTTGATGGTAGCAAATGATAGAAAGCAGAAGTAGTTGTTTGACTTAATTTGATGGGCTCTCCAGTTGAGGTCGCGCATCAAATGAATTAAGAAGCATATCCCCTTCAAAAGTCTATAAGGCATAGTACAACACTATAAACACTTGATACGCTGCTATATGCCGCGTAGCCTCTTTCTCCTTGCCAATTTATTCGGGACGCTAGCTCTGCACCACCCTGGAGAGCTTTTCGCTTGGCAGTACAGAAATCGGATCTGGGAGTTCAGAGGGCCGACGATGCGTGTGGGGCGGATGCGTTCGGGATGGTTCTGGTGTCTTTCCGACCCGGGTCCGAGCCATTTGCCTGTCATGCAATCAGATTAGTCTGAGAAACCCAAATTCGTCGTTAAGGCTTGTCCATTTAACAGCCGTCAGAACGCTAAAGCTAGACATTGCCAAAAGCCACCAAAAGACACTTCCACGGCCGGCGACATACTCAAGGGGCACACATTTGTCTCCTCTGTATTACGCAGGACGCCTTGCCAGCCTTGAAACATCCTACGAAAGGCAAAGCGAAGTATCCGTCGATTTCAATACCCTTATCACTCAAACGTCCGCAAAAATGCCCCTCTTTCAAGAAACCTCCTACAATGATCGCAGCCTTCGAGTAAATCCAACAAATGAACCGCCCTTTGCCAAGGTTGACTTCACGGCCACCATTAGCCACCGGTGGTGAAGATGAAAAGTATGAGGTCATCATAATTGGTGTAGGTAAGGGTTCAGACAAATTTTGTGCAGATCAATTGATAAGATAATGCCAAGGCAGGCCCTGCGGGAATGATGTGCACATTAATGCTCGCTCGTTGTGGACTTGGAAAAAAAAATTGTATGCTGTGATGCCAAACCTGGAATGCTGAAAGCTGGCCAGGCCGATGGTCTTCAGCCTCGCACGTTGGAAGTACTGAAAAGCCTGGATGTTGTTGACGAGATCCTCAACTATGGATGTCATATGTCCGAGGTCGCTTTTTGGAACTCCAAAATAAACACATCGCCTCATGATGCTCCCGGAATTGGGCGTACATCCTTTGCACCTAACGTGGCAGTGGCAGCAAGATATAAGCACGAGGTTACATGTACCATACACCAGGGCCGGATCGAACGGATCCTCGAAAGCAACTTCAAATACTATGCACCGGACTTCATTCGTAGAAACGCCCGATTCATAGATTCTAGATGGACGAAGTAGGTGATGCTGAGTTTCCTGTCAAGGCGGAGATTGAGCTTGAAGATGTTGTTGGCGCTAAAGCACGCAAGGCTGCACGCGCCAAATATCTTAGTGCTAGTCACCAGCCCTGTCTACAGTTGCTTGGAACCTCGGACGGGAGACTTGTCGCGTGGTTCCCCGTCTCGATCCGGGGGGTTTTACATAGATATTACACTGCTCCACTTCCCCAGGTGAGATTCCTATATCGGCTCTGTTCGGATACGGGCTTGTTCAGTGGGCACGCAATACTGCATACTAAGCTTCGGTTTCCAGGTTTATGTCTCATGTATATGTGCAGGATTATATACAAAGGCTCCTGGAACTCCCGATAATATCTTTCTTAGTTGAGTGTTCTATAGTACAGCTTTCATTGGCGTTCTGCATCAGTCCATTGAACTTACCAACCCTCATGCGTGGGTTGTAGCATCTATTTTCATTATTCCTCTTCTCTTGTTTCTTTCTCTTTATTATTTAGTACAAACTACAGACTAGCTGCATTACGTCTAGACGTATTTCAGCCTCCAAAGCCTTTCATAATGGGCGACTACTCAGAGTCATGGCTCAAAGCATGTAGATTTCAATACATATACTTGCCAATGAAAGGAGGTGCCTAACAAATCCAGTTCGAGGAATACCTAGGCGTTCGACCGATCCTCAACGGCACTGCTGATGAAATGCGCGTCATGCAAGAGGAGATGATGGCGGCACTTGCAGCACAATACCCCCCCATCCCTGATTCAATCAAGACCCATGATGGCGTACACGATTCTTTCAACTATCGCATTTTTTGCCCGGCCGCCGCCAAAAGCGACAAACTCCCTGTTGGAGTATACTATCACCCCGGGGGTCTTGTCATTGGACCGTCTATTGCGGATGACTATTTCTGCGCCGCTGTTGCAAGCAGCAAAATCATCGTCATTTCGATAATGTATAGATTATCACCAGAGCATAAGGCACCAGCACACCTTGAAGATGCGCTCAGTGGGTTTGAATGGGTAGGTCTTATGTCACAAATAAGCAGGGCTGAAACTGATAGAGCTAATACCTACGCAGGCGTATAACAATGCTGCTGAATTCGGAGGCGATTCAACGAGAATATACGCCATAGGCGTCTCGGCCGGAGCTGGGCTTGCTATTTCTGTCACTCGCAAGGTCCTTTTGGGCCAGTCTTCACTGCCACCTGATACGGTCAAAGGCATTGCTGTCTTCTGTCCCGTTGCGTTGCACCCCGACCACATCCCGAAATATTACAAGTCAACTCATACATCTTACACCGAGATGGAGAATAATGTGCCACTTTTGAACGCATCAACAATGCGACTATTCTTCGACCTTGCAGGAAATAATGCTGAATCTGAGGACTATTTTCCAATTCGAGATTCGAACATCTTGGGGCGATTATCACCCATGTATGTATGTACCAGCGAGCTGGATCCAGTGCGAGATGATGGAATGGTGTTGGTGGCATCCTTGAAGGATTCCAGGATTCCCGTCAAGTCTGACCATTATCTTGGCCTTCCACATTGCTTCTGGATAGTTCCTTCTTTACCCGAGACTAGGACATTTTATGAGAATGCTATTACTGGAGTGCAATGGGTTATTGGGATATAGCCACCACCGCCTCAAGGCTTCTGCTATTATTGTGAGATAGAATTAAGAGGAAGCTGAAAAAAAGAAAATCGCTTGAAAATATAGACATAGCAACATTGAACGTTAGCGATGGGCTATCTAGAAGGTCAGCTTAGCAGATTTCGAATTGATGTAGTTCCTCAACACTGAGTATGTCTCGGCGATTCAGCTCCAATATAATGTAACGTATGTACCGTCCCATGTTTTTCCAGAGAGGCCAATAATCTATATGCTAATTCGCTACAACAATGGCGTTGATTAGGTTTCCATTCAATGCCGACGATACCCCGCAGGACATTCCTATTGTAGATGCAGTTAAGGCAAGAGTTCAATTAATGCCGCAATGGAAGATCTGCTTAGTTAGTAGATATGATATCAATAGTAAGTCTTCACAGTTACACCTCTGTCCTAGAATAATGCGTCACCTTATCTTTCAAAGTGAATCATCCTATTTATGACGTTAATCGTGAGCAAGTTCATAATCACGGAGAAGCTTGCGACCAGAAGATAACAGGAAGTTCACGAACAAAACGCACCGCCAGCGTAATTACAATTGAATAACCACAAAGTCTGAATGAACCTCAGACTACAAAACGTAGCCTTCTAAAGTCTCTTTTGTCCTCTTCTCAACCGCATGATAGCGATTCTCTTCCCAGATCTCCCCTCCTTCACCAAACCGATTGCTCAAGCGTCGCAAAAAGAAGTCCATATTTTTCACAGCTTGTGGAAAGGCATTTTGGAACGTACTGTAGATGTGCTCCACGGTCGGCTTTGTAGCAGCCTGAGAGATCTCGTCTTTGAAAAGCGCCAGGTATTTGCGATTGTGCTCCAGGTCGGCGGCAGTATCAAGTGACCATCCATCTTGGAGATGACCAACAATGATCTTGGTAGGCTTAAGCGACTCAATCAATTCAAGGACCTGTAGACACCATATTGTAAGAGACCTCCCTAGAAAGCGTTAATTCACAGAGTTCTTACCGATTGCCACGCATGGAGAATTTCCGGCGTTTCAATTTCCTCCGCCCTGTGCCGTATCGATAAGGACATGATATGGCGAATGTTCAATTAGGCGCTCTTACCAGAGATGTGTGCTTCTCCCATACAATACGTCACCGGTGATGACGGTCCTCTCCGTTGGCAGCCAGAAAAGCGTGTGATCCACTGCGTCACCTTGTACTGGCCCTAGAAGCATAATTGGGCTTTCTGGATCTTTCTCGAGAATGACAAAGCTGTACGGGTAGGGATCAGGTTTCCTGGGCACCTGTGGAATCTCGTCTCTGCCAAAGATGGTTGGCCAATGTTTAATCTTCTCATCGTATTCCCTGTCAATTCCCGCCCTAACATAAGGTGCGGCATAAAACTTCGCGGATGGGAATGCCTCTAGGATAGGATTGGCACTGATGTAATGGTCGGGGTGGTGGTGCGTAACAAAGACGGCCTGCAAAGCATTCGGGGTTTTGTCCTTGATGAATTGAACAACGCGAACGGCATCCGAGATCAATAATGGAGGGTCAATCAGCATAGCAGATTTGGTGCCAACAATGAGTGTCGTGACACTTGATAGGCCCTTTTCAGATGAGGATATGTGATACGTTTGAAGTGGCATGGTGGTTGAAGTTGCAGCATAGGAGGTTGTAGCGATTTTTATGCGTTCAACTAGATGCTAATCACCAACTGTTCGAGAAGTATGCAACACGATTTGGACAACAACGCCCGTCCGCTAAGCTATATATATACCCAATAGCGAAGTTTTCAGTTGTCAGATACGCGACGAATTTGGTGCATTAGGCGACAGAAAGTAAGCAGTAGGGAAGTGTTTCATCCGGAAGGGGTCTGGTGCGACGGCACGAGACCTTTAAAAAGTCTGGGGATTCGCTTTGCCGCTGGGACCTTGGGTCGTATCCTCTCAGCCGGCTGCAGCGTAAGCCATATCATCACGGAGGTAAGCCAACTAGTCTAAATTAGGCTTTGCTCCCTGGCTACCTAGCTTAATTAGTCCAGCTGGATCTGGCTAAACCGGGACCTATACTACCACCTCCCCTACCTGTGCACACGGTCTACATTACCTATGCCATGATCCAAGAATTCCAGAGTGCGTGGGAAAAAGAAGGCCTCCCACTAAACACCTGCCTTGACGTGGCCGAAGTTGTCGCGGCTATTGCGCTGGAAGGAAATTTAAATGGAGAGAGTGTTTATATGGAAGGTGGAAACTCATGACTCTTTGAGGAGAACCTCCGGCGCCTTCAGCCTCAATGGCTTGGTGAATTTGCCTTCCGGAATTTAAGAAAAGGACAAACTTATCTGGCCATGGTATGATACGATTTTGCCTTCAGTTTTAAGCGATCTAACCTCTTTATAACAGCTAACACATTTGCAGGGCTCGAAGTGGAATATAGTCGGGGAACTCTAGTTTCAAATATTGCTTAGATTTTTAAGGCGCAAATGGCTAAATACGGCTATGAAGGCACAGGAAGAGTAATTTAGTACGTATCTAATATCTCAGATAACATAGCTATATTACCTTTTTCAGCAGTTCTTTCAATCCGTTCATCAGTGTGACTTTTGTATTGCACCTAAGAGGGACAATGTAAAAGGCAATATATTTAAGGCTATGAAAGAGTATGAGTTGCTGTTGTAAAACTGAGAGGAATCGTAACTTGTATATCTACAGTATATCCAAGCTGTATGCTTTTAATACTTAAGGAAATATTTACAAAGAAAATTTGTGATATGAGAAATAAAGCTGTGTATGTAGGTTATGATTAAGCAGTAATAAACGCTAGTATGTGATAGATAATTTAAGATAGGTAACCTTGCTGTGGTTAAGGTTTAACGTAGAGGATATTAGTGTAATTTAAATCAGGGGCTAGTTGTATACTCCCTTAAAATGTAATATATTTTTTGGGCTATTTTTGGTTTAAAAATGTAAACTGCAGATGTCAAGCACTTATATATAGAGGTTAAACTTCATATTAAGATAGGCTATGACAACTATATCATCAACTGATATCCCAAAAGGCAACAATTCTCTACGGCTCTAGATTATTTAACCACGCTATACTTGAAGCACGCTGCTTTATAATATTTTCGGGCTGCTCTATGTTGACTATAGATCGAGTATAATGCCGAAGTAGTTAAGTTGCATTGCCTCCTCTAATGGTAAGGCCTACGTAGTGTATGCCGCTAGTATTCTGTCTTTGTGGTCCGGTATGAACTGAGCCATGTTCTTGATCACCTTGGTCTTATTGCCGGGATGATAGTCAAAGACGATAAATTGCGTATTACCAGCAAGCTGGTATTCCCCCCCCAAAAAAAAAAATGAAAAAAGGCGGTACATTACAGGGAATTTCTACGGGGATTCCACAAAGTAACGTGTAGAGAAAAAAAAATTATGTTTTTCAACGGACTACGGCGTCCAATCGGTGCAGTAGGATACTGTACTAGCCTGGCGCAGAATAGAAATCAGGTCTACGCATATTTTCGGCAGCTTGGTTATTTCGCCGAAGTTGCCAACTTGACGACGCAGCTAAGAAAATAGTAGACCCGCTTTGTAAAGATATAAAAAAGACTACCCTAGGAATGCCTATATATTATGACAGCAATCTATTTTGTTCTTAATAATCTCTACGTCTACTTCAACCGTACAAAATGTCAACTTTTTTACATCAGGCACCAGGCTTGGACGTTGTGCATGAGCGCCTCCGGCTTGAAATTGATGGAACTCAAGTAGACCTAGCACTCTTCCGACGAGCCGGCAAATATACGCCTATCTTGTTTCTTCACGGCTGGGGTAGTTCCAAGGAGGACTATGTCGACGTCCGGCTTTATTCCGCATTTGATGGTCATTCATTTCTAGCATACGACGCACCTGGATGCGGCGAAACCTGGTGCGCGGATCTGTCGAAAGTGAATATTGCCTTTCTCGTTGAGACGGCGAAAGCAATTCTCCATCACTTCCAAATCTCTGAGTTCCACGTCGTGGGACACTCCATGGGTGGTCTGACAGCCCTTGAGCTTGCGCACAGCAACCCCATGTCCATCCGCAGTTTCGTCAACATTAAAGGCAATCTTGCTTCTGAAGATTGTTTCATTAGCCGACAAATATTTGATTGGGAGGGCGAGAATATGGATGAATTTCTCAATGGCTTTATGTTGGGGTGCCGCCAGTCATCCTTCTTCTCCATGGCCTTATATGCTTCTTCAATTCGGCAGCGAGTCCAACTTGGCGCAATTAGAGGCATCTTCGAATCTATGGTGCAGTTATCAGATAATGGCGATCTTTTGACAAAATTTTTAAGCTTTTCGTTCCCAAGGGCTTTCATGTTTGGCGAACAGCATGCAAATCTTTCGTATCTATCGGAACTCAAAGCTACTGGGGTTGAACTTATGGAGATTCCAAAGTCTGGCCATTTCCCTATGTATTCTAACCCTGTAGCTATGTGGCTGGCGATACAAGATTTTATATATAGAGCAGAAAGCCGCGATCTCTCTCCGATCCGGCAATAAGAAAAGCAGCGTAGCGTCTTAGTAGTATACCTCGACAGGCCCGCTGGATGGCCGTTTAATAGAGTGTAAATATACAGTGGTTATTGCCTGTAAAACACATTTCAAGATGCTCAGAGCTCAAGCGATAATAAATATTAATTTAATACAGCGTTTCTATATCACTGCTCGAAGCCATCATCGGCCAGTAGAGTCCTTGGGCGCTATCTATGCTTAGTGAAGCATTGATGAACTCAAGGTCGGGCATTGGCTGAGAGAGTAGATCGTGGAAAAAGGGTTCAGATAGCACCATATCTGCCGTTATATCTCCCGGCACGGCCGTTGGGCCGAGACCTCTTCTTCTAACACTCACGCTGTGTGTAACTTGTTCTGGCGAGGCAGATGCGTGCTGAGCCTTCATTTTCGTTTCAACAGGGGCAAATAGAGCTGCCATAGCATCCGCATGTTGCTTGAACTCGGCAGCCACAAAATTGCCATTACCCTTCAGCTGTGAGAGAAACTGTACTGCCATTTCAAAGGATTCTCTGTCAGCTTGTCCGTCTTTGGCATCAAGCAAGCTTGAGATAGCTAAGACTGTTGCTGCGGTGAAGAGGTACTGGGTATAAAAATAGTCGAACATCATGAAAGTGCCGCTTATCCATGAATCGGTAAGGATTTGGCATGAGTGTCGCGCACACCGGATGCATGCATCAGATAGAGCGCTTGCAGACTCTGGAATGTCCGAAGTTGAGTCCATCTCAACACTCTTAATACGTGTGCGAAAGACCTGAAGAAGGACTGGACGAGTAGCAAGTATCACAAGCTGAAAATGTCATTACTCATAGCTAATTGCTGATAATTGACATGTGGGACTTTACCTGGTTGAACAGTAGGTACAGGGATTCTGCCCTTTGATCTGCTGCATTGTCTCGTGCTGAGTCCATCTGTAATGTCAAGGGTAAATCTTTGAGCCATTGATGGAGATCCGATAAGCTATCATGGACTCGTTGCGATAATGAGTCTTGCTGAGAGCTTTTGCCGTATATTGAATGAGTTATTCGCCCTGATATCCTTGCTAAGCCTATCATTGCGACAGAATACGAACAGTCTTCAAAGTCGCTGTGCAAGACCTTGTTTGATGGAAGGTCTACGTCAATATCGCTGTCATGAATTGCGACTGGATACCCTAATTTTGTTGCCCACATTCTATCGAATGTATAAGCAGTCCACCAAACTCGAATTCTGTGCTCACGCGCTGCAGGATCAGCAAGAAGAGGCTCGGGGACGTTAAAATTTAGACCCATTATAACGGAAACTCGCATGGCGAAACCAGCTAGGCTGTAGGCAGAATGTCGTCGATTCAGACAAAGAGAATAGTATGACTATGATGCGGCGTTAATATGATTTTGTATTACAGCTGCTTTCATAACTTGACATACCAGCAGGAGCCACGTCTCTACCATTTCAACGGTTGGGCGCTCACTGATGACACGGAGAACTTTGGTGGATTTAGCAAAGTACTCCAGTCCAGGGAAACTTTTACATGTAGCATATGTTCGCGTTGAATACATCTTTCCGATTGCAAATAGCACCCAAAGTTTACTCTGGAGGAGAACCCCCATGGATTCAGGATTTTGTAGGCTCCGCTCGAGCTCCTCAAGGACCGTGCTGCGGCAAACAATGTGGTGCCAACGTCCAAGACACCTTAATGCAGCATTGACAAGAAGACGCGCCTGCGGTGGGCTAGGCCATGCACAAGCCGCATCACTCAAGGCCAGGAGTTGATCATCCGCTGGAAAATTTACTCGAGGTAGATGGCTGTGTTCAGAATCAGACATTGCCTGGCGGAAGCGCGTCGCAAACGCCGAATCTGAGGCTTCGGAGAGAAGGATAGGTGTATGGGGGACAGCCATATCAATGAACCAAGGCGTAGACGCTACATCAGGGTCCTGTATCGGTGACGCCGCAGCTTGGAGGTCTGCACCTTGAATGGTTTCCAAGGAATTTCTATTTGGTGTATCAATTGGTGGTCCCAATTGAGATACACGACGGCGAAGTCGTTCGTTTTCTTGAATCAGCTCGTCAATGTATCTACGCGGTCAGCACAAATCATCGTCCAAGGATATCGTATTGTCATTGTATGCGGCACAACTTACTGTTGGCTAACTTTTACTAATCTATCCTTTTGAGGATAGATGCACTCTACAGCCTTGTTCGCCCGTCTACAGTTATTGCAAGGCTGGCCCCCAGAGCATTTCACTCTTCGCGAATGGCATTTACGACAGCTGATGGCGTATTACAATGTTAGCATATAATCATGGTCATTGCCAATGCTTTCCGAAACCGGGGGTTTGCCATACGCTATTGACCTAGCCTTGGGCACATATGGGGCTTTCATCGCAGAAGCAGTACCCAGCATATCCTGCTCGACTATTCCTGGTATTGCGTCAGTTATTGCACCTCGAGCCAAGACTTTGATTGTGTCAAAAGATTAAGAGTGTCCAATGCTGACTTGCAGGAAGAAACTGATAAAGCAAGGCAAAAAAAAAAAAAGACTCAAGGGTATGATTAATACGTTGAAGGCGAAATCTCGGCATATGCGCGTTTTGGCCGACAAAAAGTGGACTAGTTTTCGGTAAATTGGTGATGTTGCCGAAAAGCTAGTACTAACAAGGTTAAATATCTTGAGCCCCACTATGGCCACTTTGGCTCAAGGCGAAACATTCCGCCACTGAAGAGCCCAATTGGCACCAAATACCTGAGATGGTAAAGTCACATCCACAGTCATCTAGTAAATAAATACCTGTATTTATATTGGCTCTTGTGGCGAATTGGCATTTGGGCAGATGTTGATATTTTTTCCACTTCAACTTTATTTGTTCTGATTCTATTTGAATCATTGTACTAGATACATTACTACGATTTTGTACTTGATACCTAGTAGGTACCTGGCGAAGGGTTCGCAACTTCTTTCTACGTCAACATCGCTGATTGTTGTGTCATTTACCTTCATTGCTTTTTTCTTTGTATCTAAACTTTTAATGCAGTTCAGAAAGCGAACTTAGACATAGAAAGACTGCCATTAATGCAGAGTATCATTTTCGCCAGTCATGACAGCTGCCATTCACAATCCGCAACTACGATTGCTCAATGCTCTCCGAGCCAATTCTAAACCTATCATGACATTTTTGGGCCTTCCATCATTTCGTACAGCTCAGATTATAGCTCAGACTGGCGTCGATGTCAGTACCTCTGATCTTTTATGCTCTGGTCTCCCGCTGACAATAGAGAAGGGTATCATCATCGATTGCGAGCATGGACAGATTAGCGATGATTCTATGCATTCTTCAACTGCCGCTATAGCTGCTTTGGGGGTATCGCCCCTTGTTCGTCTAAGAATGGGCCACCCAGATTTAATCAAGAGAGCTTTGGATGCTGGGGCACAGTAAGCGGCATACACCCTTTCCAATATGTATACTAAATTTGATGCAAGCGGTATTGTTGTACCTCAAATCAATACTGTCGAAGAAGCCAAGACCGTTGTTTCCCATTCAAAGTTCCCTCCGCGAGGATGTCGAGGGCAAGGCTCGGCATTTCCAGCTATTGCTCATGGTATCGATCTCCCTACGTACTTGAAAACAGCAAACGAAACACTCATCACCTGCCTTCAAATTGAAACGAGAGCAGGGGTGGAGAATGTCGACGCGATATGTGCTGTACCTGGTGTGGGTTAGTGATTGAAGCACTAAAATTTCTATTTAATACACTAATTTCTATCAAGATATGATTTTTATCGGCCCTAACGATCTTTCCTTGTCAGTCCTTGGCTATGTTCCTGCGAGAGGTGACGAGCCAGAGTTTCTCGACGCCATCGAAAAGATTGTGGTTGCGGCCCGAAAGCATGGCAAATGGGTTGGCCGGCTTTCAAACAACGGGCTATTGTGCAAGGAACATCTGAAAATATTCGATACAGTGGCGATGGGGTACGATATTAGGGCAATTCAAAACTGGTATACATCCGAGTTGCGAGTTGCGCGATCGTGATACGTTGCGAAGTAGGAGAGAAATGCCACATGACTGCATAGTAATGAACAGGCGTATTAATTTGCATCCATGCTGCATGTACTGAATTTAATACAAAATTAGTTTCAAGGTAGTCACGGCAATTAGCATTTAATGACAGCTACTTAAGCATTTGGGACATAGAGCAATAGACCAACGTGTTGAACTCAAAGTTTAAGAACAGATTCGCGCTCGACGTCTAGCATAATGCATATAAAATATTTTAGTCTTTGACTGCCTAATAGTAGAAATTGATCTCCATTTGTAAAATAAGAGAATGTGACAGTCGACACTGTAACTTGGCTAATAACATCTCCTCAATTTTCACAACTCTAAAAATGGTTTACCACTAATCTTTATGTCTTGCGCTGAAGCGTGTGATAACCGAGCTTTTCTCGAGCTTCGGCTATTGTGGCTCCTCCAGCAATCATTACCTGGATACTGGATTCAATCTTCTCGATCCTTTGAGCCACTTCGGCTACCTCACGGGCTCTATCTCGCGGAACAACAACGACACCATTTGAATCGGCAACAACGATATCGCGCGGTTCAACACGTACCTTGCCAATGCCAATAGGCTCATTTATACCTCCAACTTGAACCCTGTCCTTGCCAGTTCGCATCCACCGTCCAGTAGTAAAGAGTGGATAATCATCGGCGATGACCTGGGTTACGTCGCGACATACGCCGTCGATAACAGTTCCAGCAATGCCTCGCAAGCCGGCCCACCGTGTCATAATATCGCCCCAAACGGTACAATCCGTGCGGCCATTGTTATCGATGACTACAACATCGCCTTCGGCAACGTCGTCAATGAAATCACCAACACTTCCTGGCGGATCACTGGCCGGTACGTAACGTACAGTGAAGGCCGGCCCTATAGTAGCCTTTTTGTAGTTGCTCAAAGGCATGATATTGAAGACCTGCCCGGGAATACCAAGTTTGTCAAGCGCATCAGAGACCCCAGGGGTATCTAAACCTGCGAACAGCGCTACCAACTCTTGATCGCCGGCACTGGATTTCTTGGGGTTGCCCTTGAGGGATGCCACACTTGTCTGAGACAGACTATCTTCGCGTATGGCTTCAAATTGTGTATCGTGCATCACCTCTGACACTGGATGACCTGACAGAACAGCCTGAACCATATGAGCCTGGCGACGTTTGATCCGCTCACCAAATTCCAGAACCTTATCGATGTGCTTGGCTGGGACAAACACCGTCCCACAGGTGTCAGCGATTACAAAGTCGTCTTGGTGGACAGTGACGCCTCGCATCTCCAGCGGCTTGCCAGACTCGACTTGTACCACTCGATTGCGTGCGCTTATCATAGTCACGCCGCGCCCATAAACTGGGTAACCGACCTCGCGGCTGCCGTCGATGTCACGACTCATACCATCGATGATGGTTCCGCGGATGTGTTTCTCTTTCGAGGCATTGGAAAGAATATCGCCCCAGCATGAAACGCCGTCTATTCCTCCAGAAATGACAAGAACACGATCGTCCGTTTCTACCGCATCAATGACTGGAGTGAGTAGATGGACTGTGGGAGTCGTATCAGTTTTGGGGCCAACTTTTATTGTGCTGGCCCGTCCCACAATTTTGGGACAGTTCCAGAGTGGGAGTAGGCCGTAGGTGGCGCCTTTGAGGTTGAGAAAGTCCAAGGCATCAGACACTGTATTAGTGTCGAGAGCTGAAAGTCTGTCCAAAGTGCTAGATTGACTCATCGTATCGAATGCGGCGAATGAAGGAGTATCCAGATAATAAACAAGAGAAGGAGGATGAGGAAATTATTCCAGGGAAATGGCCCAATTGACTGACAGGGAAGAGGGGGTTTATAGAGAGAAAAGGCCGTACGTGGCAATAGCTTGGAGTGAGGGATGGCAAGAGTCTTATTGATTAGACTATATGATCCTATTCGGGGAAAAAGTAATGGTAATTGTGGTACTACATCGCATCTAGGCCATTAAACTCTATTCGCCGAACTATATCCACCTCCGGACACACAGGTCGGTGAAATTGTCATGCGGCCGAAACTAAATTCGGCGAGATGGACTATTGAGCGGATGAATATACAAATTAGGGGTCAAAACTGGCCTACTGAGGTCATCATATAATGTACAGTCCTATATGAGACTTCTGTTGATGACTCTATCTCTTTCATACAAAACTGCTTTGAATAACTTAACCATGTCGCTCTTTGCTAATCTCCCCGAGGCGGCAACTGATGCCGCTTTTGCCTTGATTGAGGCATACAAGGCAGATACTTTCCCCTTGAAAGTTGATCTTAGCCCTGGATTTTACCGAGACGAAGATGCAAGGCCATGGATTCTGCCGTCTGTAGAGAAGGTAGCCTTGACTATGACTGCTTGGAAATTGCTACCTTTACTTACTTTATGCAGGCCAAACAAGATCTCCTGAATGACTCGACTGCGGATCACGAACATGCACCTATCCTCGGTCATGAAGCACTCATCCATAGCGCACAACGTCTCGTATTCGATGCAACATGCGAAGATACCGCAACCATTGCCTCCATCCAGACTATCGCAGGCACTGGAGCAAATCACCTTGGCGCCTTGTTTCTGGCCAAGGCTCGCTGCCCTCGAACTGTCTGGATCTCAGATCCCTCGTGGATAAATCATCAAGAAATTTGGCAGCTAGTGGACAGCGGAATTGAGCGACAAACATATCCGTACTTCGATAAGCAGTCATTCATTATCGATTTCGAAGGCACCATATCGACCCTCAACTTGAAGGCCAGAGAGGGTGACATTGTGATATTGCATGGTTGCGCACACAATCCTACCGGACTCGATCTGACGAAGGATCAGTGGAAGGCAGTTGCTGATGTCTGCGAAGAGAAGAAACTTGTTCCTTTTTTTGACGTTGCCTAGTTAGTGATATTATGAAGTTTGAAAGAAGATCTGGGCTAATACAAGTGTAGCCAGGGCTTTGCTACCGGAGATTTGGCAGAAGATGCTTGGTCCGTACGGCACTTCTTCCATAACACGTCTCTAGAAATGCTCGTGGCACAATCGTTCTCCAAGAATTTCGGTCTGTATGGCGAGCGTGTGGGCGTACTTCATGTTGTATGCCGAACCGAGATCGCTAGGTCCAAGGCCACCAATATGCTTTCACGATTATCTCGCGCTGAAATAACAACTGCTCCTATCAACGGGGCCAAGATTGTGGCAAAAGTACTTGGAGACACAAACTTAAAGCAACAATGGCAAAACGATTTGCTCCACATGAGTCATCGTATGAAGTCAATGCGAAAAAGACTGGTGGATGCGCTCTTGAAACGTCAAACACCAGGTGCTTGGGAGCATATATTAACAGATGTAAGAAAATTTCTAGACATTCAGTATGAGACGTTACATAAAGTCGCTGAGACATTTGCAGATTGGAATGTTCTCGATGACAGGCTTGCAGCCGGATCAAATCCAAACACTGAAAGAGAGGTATCACATATATCTTCTACCATCGGGAAGAATATCTATAACAGGCTGTTCGTATTCGAGTTTCCTTCTAATTCCGTCTACCCGATGCTAATTTTCACTTAGTGACAGAACACAATGTAGAATATGTTGCAGAAGCGTTTCATAAAGTAACCGTTGCTACTAAATTTGTATAACTGCCAAGAATGAATAAAAGAAGTCTTCCGAATGGAAGCAATTATCCGAATGGAAGCAATTATCCGCCGTCGCTGCGCGTGATCTAGCCACTATTGATCTAGTGAATGAATTCACGGAAATGTGTGATTGGCATGTCAAAATCCTAGACGCACAAACTGTTTAAGGCTGGCGCGGTCGGCAGGTTAACGTGGATGATGTTCTAAATTCATCTAGCAACGCGAAGCCAAGGTGTAAAAAGCTTACATGTACTAGTAAAAGCTGTGAAATAGCGATAAGAGGCGAGATTACAAGTATTTAGTGCTGCTCTGTGCGGTCAAAATGCTCCTCGGCATGCTTCCGTTGGACCGCAGAGTTCTCTCTGTTAGACTTTTTGTCCATCAGACTCCCCGCGATCGATTGCAGAAAGTTCCCGGACCGCCCATGGATGAAACTCTTGGGCTGGCCCTGAGGTTCGTGGGTCGTTACAGCACTAACGAGTTCCACACACAGATCCGCGGATGTGCGACTCGCACTCAGCTCGCTAGGGACCGCTCTGGCTTCACATGTTGGAAATACTTGTCCGGTCGGACAACAAGTTGCGTAAATAGTCTCTTGACGTAGTAAACTGTACAAGAGAAGGGAAAGCTTTCCTCATTATACTTCTACATCCAAAAACCACTGTTAAGAGGAATTTATTGGTGGCTACATATGATACCCGTCTCGCTTCGGTCCGTCGGTGTACTGTTACCACCTCTTGTTATCCACCAGACCCAATCAAATTTGGTGTAACGAACCCAGTCGTAGCCCAGGAGCCCCAGACTTCAGGGCAGGCAACATGGTATCCTCGTCTTCTCTATCGCAGCGGGCATCGTTGAGTCAGATGTCTGTTCTCGAGAAATTGGCAATCATCCCGAAACTTGGGATCCTGCGTTGGTTGGCCCGTATCAAGCACATAAGGATCATGCTGAGATCGTGACAGTGACGCACTTAATTTTAAACTTGCTTTCAGACCTCTTCCGGCGGAAGCACACGTTAGCTTCGACCCTCTTTCGTCACATCCAATACAGCAAGATACGCGCAATTACAGACTTTCTATCTATCCAGCAAACACAGTTAGTGTTCTCTATATATAGCATGTCTTGACGTATAAGTTCTAATGCTGCCTGTTCACTACAGCTTTATCAGCCCGCCTACAGATGATGTCTATCTCCAGCTTTGCAAGCGCTACCAGACGGCCCCTAACAGCGTAGAACTCAGCGATGGTACTCAAGCCCACTGGATTGGCCCCAGCTCCGCAAGCAAGGTCATTATCAATTTGCATGGTGGGAAACGCCAATCTTTCATTTCATGATCAACCTTGGCCTCTGAATGGAAGGCTGACGTTTCTAGGGGGTGGATATGTGCTGCCAGCAAGCGAATTTATGGTAGATTACATGTTCAGGCTGCAGAAACTTGTCAGCACTTCTGCCCAGCCGGTGGGGATACTCTTCCTTTCCTATGACCTAAGTCCAACAGTACGATATCCACGGCAACTAGAGCAGGCAGTCGCACTTGTGCGATACGTCGTTGAGGTCCTGAACAAGGCTCCCGAGGATATCATCCTGACGGGAGACTCAGCAGGTGGGAATCTAGCGTTGGGGGTGCTCTCTCATCTCTCGGTCGCCCACCCCTCTCCAGCCATCCCTCCATTAAAGCTTGAGAGCAAGCTACGCGGCGTAGTCCTTGTATCGCCCTGGGTGTCGTTCGATTTCAAAGATGCTTCCTGTACGAAAAACGCACGTAAGGATCTCTTGTCCATTACGACACTGAAACGCTGGGGCGAAGCTTTTATGGGAACTCCATCACCGCATACCGACAACGTGGAATTGTACAATGCACCCCTCGCAGCACCAGATGAACACTGGAGAGATTTGATGGCCGAGAGAGTATTGGTGCTCGCTGGGAAGGATGAGGTCTTGGTTGATAGTATTGATCAATTTTCGCGGAAATTGACCGGTGCACTGGGTACCGACAGAGTGACTGTCTTGATTGCAGAAGGAGAGGCTCACGATATGCCGAGTCTGGATCTCCAATTCGGGATTGAGGTCAGGGGAGAGCAAGCGAAACTGATGGCGGACTGGATCATTGCAAGTTTTGGAAGAGAGGGCTGAAGAGACAGAAGAATGAATGCAGTGCTGATGCGACACGCTTATTGCCCACTGGGAGATGTTTGCGCGAGAAAACCACAAATAGTGAGGATGAATGCCATGCGGCGACTTTGCTACTACAGATTCAGAGTACGTCTATACAATCTCTGTCCCTACTAGCCTATGATGCGAAGAAATGTAGAGTCATTGGGGAGAAACGAGACAAGCGGTGCTCATTCATACAAGCACATGGGTACGCACATCTAATGGCTGGCGACAGAGTTTCAAATTCCTAGTTCCAAGCGCACACAAGTCCAACAGCCTGCCCAGATTCAACAATTGCCCAGGAGTTAAGCGATGGTTGGTGATAATTACCTCGGCAAGCCACGCGTTGCAAGCCACAACCAGCAGACGGTGCGAAGCATACAAAATGCTGCACTTCTCGCTTGTTTTGGTTAGCCCAGCGAATTGATCCATGTTTTCCTCTTAGTAATAGAACTTGCCCCAACGAATCGGAAATCAACATCTACATCTGGCAGGGATATCTAGCGGGGGGCTAGGATGTGCGACTCGCACCTCATCCTTGTCGCCCCCGCCACCGCTTGCACATGCCTTGCCGGTCGCTGTCCGCGGACGGGTTACCAAGAGTCAAACCTCCGTTGGTGATTTTGCATACGACATGTGAGGACTCCCTATAGGTAGCACCTTGGTAGATACAGATACAAACCATTGACCTCCGTTCGTCCGCTGCAGTAGAGATAGTTCCGTAACGAAATACCTAATTAGTAGTAACTTAGCACGAGACTGAGGCTTAGATTGATCGTCGAAATATCGATTGTAGATCCGAGGCAACAAAGAGCTACGCTGCCCTTATATCTGTCCTCCTTCAGCAATGCCTGATGGCCTCAGACCACCAGATCTATCATGATTTGGTCACGTGGCTTTAGTTAATCTTAGGAATGTGCTTCCTTACACCCGAGAAATTGTCTTCTTCCGAATCGGCTCATGACGCACCAATCCCGTGGTATAGTATGTGTAAATTTTAGGTAGCCTATTATGATATTGTTCGTAACACTCTAGTATGATGTCGCTGAGAGAGGAGCTTGCAACCAGCTGCTTGTACGTTTGTTTGAACTATTACTTGAGCTCGACGTGGCAGGTTATTGGTCGCCAAAGGCTATGATCCGCTTTCTAGGCCGCGGGAAAGCTCGGTCTAGGGCTCGCCCCTAGTAGTAACAAGGCGTTGTCGCCACATGAGCGCAAAACATCCTACCCCCAGCTATAGTCAGGGACTACAGTGCATTACGAAAGTATTGGCTAACTATGGTCGAGGAGACCTTAACAAACGGTAACTTGAGATTGGTATGGTTTGGCTCGTTGGCGCAGAGTGATAGAGAAGGCCGAGATGGTCACTTTCTTGCATCGAATGAGTCCCAAAGCAAACTCTTGAGCAACTTCTCGAGCCAATCGGGTGACTGGTGCCGCCCCTGGAGAATATTGCCATCTGGATAGAAATTGATCTGCCGGGGTGGCATCTTGATCCCCCCGCCCGCTCCCCACATTCTCCCCAGACTTTGCTAATAGGTGACCCTACCCCAGAATATCCCCGCTCTGCATCTCGATCCCACCCAACGCCTATCCAACGCCTATCCGCGGCTACATCTTCGTAACCTAACAACAAACGGGACCCTTTCTCTCGTCAACCAAGCCTGGCCTGCCTTGAAATCTACGCAATGAGCTCGCCAGAGCAGGATGTATGTCTGAAGGGAAAGGGAGGCCAGCGCGCCTTGGCTGGCCGCACATGGTCGTCTGGACGCCGCCTCACCGAGTCTCAGCGTGCGAGGAAACGAGAGCTCGACCGAATCAGGAGCCGGCAGCACAGACTGGCAATGGTGAACCGCGTTGCTGACCTAGAAGCCAAGCTCCGACTCGCTGTCGCAGGCGAGTCAGATGATCGATCCGATAAGGCAGATTTGCTTGTGCAACAACATGAGCTTTCCAACTCGCCGCGGAATCACACGGGTAAGCATGCCCAGATTGTGATGGATGGTTTTGCTTCCCCTTCTGACACTTTTCCATATCATTTGCCTCCGACTCTGACTTGGGATCTCGATAGGGTTAGCTTCTGCACACTCTTTCGGCCACAATTCTGAGCACCAGATGTACAACAACAGCACGGTGGAATCGGACAGCTTTGTCCTATCCCAGTGTTCTGTGGACATATTGCCGGCAGGCAGGAGATGGCTTGGCGAACACAATACCTCCAGCCGAGACAGCCTTCAAAACCCACAAGACGAATCGACTCTCTTTACCGAACACACATCCGATCACACTGGTGGCTTGACCAGCGGTGTTCAACCTTGTATCTTTCAATCTTCACCTCAGCCAGTCTTGGGATCTCCCCTAATTCCAGCGTTACTGACCACAAGCGCGCTACATTCAACCACTCAAATGTTGGCGCACGTCCAGCAAGGTCGCAAGGCTGAAGTATGTGTCGATGCCAAACTAAATCAACACCTCTTGATACGGGCCGTCACGCAAGGGTGGAGCGAGGTGGAGACTCTCTGTCCAATCTGGAAGCTCTTGCGCTTCATCGATACTTTGCTTTTTCGAGGTGCCAGTCCGATCACTCGGTTGGTTATGCTCCAGACGATTCATCAAATGCTGCTAGTGAGTACAAGTCGTTCTCATTGAGAGCCTTTTTTCGACTTCATAATTGACTGTTCTAAGTTTAAGGGAGGCTGCACAAAGGTAGACCAACTGCCCTCCTGGTACAGACCTAGGTATGCGAATCCCGTAGTTGTCTCTAATCTTGTCATCTGCTTATTCCGAGCATGGTAGGCCAACCCAACGGATGTTTTGTCATGATGAAATTGCAGACTTCTTCGCCTGGTACGTCACCAAACGATGCCTGCTGTTGATTTACCCCATCTAGCCGTCTTTTATGGTGGTCAAACATGCCGCTGAGAAACTTTCATAATATAGGCCTGGAATGAGAGAGCGGCTTGTCCTCTCGTCAGACTTTCAGCTAACTGATGAATTTTGGGAATGCTTTTCAGGGCACTTTCGCTTCCTATGGCCTTTCCCTTTCGAGGATATATACGGTATCGACCTTTCGACGGGATATTTCCGCTTCTCGGCTTTATTCGAGAAGCGCCTACAAGAGCTCACCATGTGGCAAATGGAGAAGCAATTCTTTGCACTGTTCCCAGATTTTGTAGATGATATCAGTGTTGCCGAAACTTGTTGCCTCGAGGCTATTGAGAATCCCCTTGGAACACAGAGCAGAATGCAAGACGTGGATCTCCGCAATGGCGCCACCGAGATCGGTTTTGGTCAAGCCGAGGACTTCGCTCCTGACTTGGTCGTATCGCCAGAGATATCAGGCCAAAGTTCTTGCAAATTAGCTTCATTCAGCGGTCCGAGTTACACTTTATTAAATTGATGTGGGCGAGTCTCCCCTTCAACCGCTCTTGAAACCATTTCTAGACTGCAGCGGATGAGCAGCTCTCTCGACCCACAACGATTGACCATACAGTGCTAATTTCGCCGCAGGCCATCAGTGGAGTGTTGCATGTTGTACTAGTATTCAGAATTTCTTGAGGCTTATAGTATACATTGTAAGCGATGTGGGGTCGATTGAGATGAGTCTTGTTACCACCTAGACTAGGAACTACTCGGCCTCAAGGAGAGGAGAAGTACGGGAACCTAAGGGAACTATGATCCAGCTATTTCAAACGCCATGCCTTCTCATAATTATCCTACCGAATTAGATCACGCACTGGCCAGGTTTTTGCCAATCCGACTGCACGATTTGTTTCGTGGCATTCCATTCTCTCAGGATTCCTTGATGGCGGTCCTCCCCTCACCATTAACAAGCTCACAACTTTGTAGCCGCCAACCTCTGTTTCCTTTTCAAGTCATGGACCATCTCCCTGCTTATCCAATCGCAAATTGCCATGGTTGTGACCATGGGATTCACGCCACTGGCGCTTGGGAGGACACTCGCATCAGCAACATACAACCCCTCTGTCCCCCAGACCCTTCCCTTTACATCCACCACACCCAGGCTGGGTTTGCTTGACATGCGGTTCGTGCCCATCTGATGTGCTGAAGCAAATGTCGCCGCTGGGGGGGCATTTCCGGCACTCTTCACTTTGGAAAGCCAAGCAGAAAACCGCACGTTGACATCTTCTTCACCTTGGGCGGGGGAAGGAGACTGGGATTCGAAGGAGAGCGGGAAGCTGGGATCCGGATTTCGCACAAAGGGCTGCACACCAGGAAATCCAACGTGGATTTCTTCTGCACCACAAATGAAATTCCGTGTCGCTAATGCAATTACACCCTCCATCGTGTGTCTTCTGTCAAAGTTGCTTGGCGTATATCGAATCCTCGGCTTTCCGGTCTGGGGATCCCTATATACGCAACCCGGATCTCGGTCTCGTGTGAGAGATATATAGCTGTTCGAGTGTCTGTATTTTAGAACTTGGGCTTTAAAGTCCAGCCCTGTGCTCCAATTCAGGAAGGACAGCGCCAGTGACGGAAGCATGCAGCTTGCTTCGAGCTTCGTGCCATGACCGTGGCCGTCAAGGTTTTCCAAAGAGCTGTCAACAACAGTCAAAATGGGGCCTTCCCAGGGTCGAACATCTGATTTGTGGACGGCGGTAACAAAATTGACAGGGTGGAGGTGGAGGTTTTGGCCGATATGCTTGTTCTAAGAAATATAAGCGTTAGCGACAAGCGAGAACTACTCCAAGGCGCAATACTCATACCTTCAGGTTGCTATTGAGCAGAACAATAGGACTCCAGAGTGAACCACAGGACACGATTACCTTCTTCGCATGTATGACGACTTCCCTCGTTACCTTGTCCTTTCCGCTTTGTGGGTTACTAGTCCATACTCCTTTGGCGCCAATCACTGTTTTCTGACTCTTGCTGTCGTCAAACAAAAGATGATCAACCTGCAGTCCTTCCATAAAGGTTGCCCCAGCTTTGGCAGCGTCGGGTAACCAGGTGATGGCGGGTCCTTGTTTCTCTGCACTGGCACATCCAAGCGTGCAGCGCCCACAGAGATGGTCACCTCCGGCAATATTCTGCGGAGCTGCCTTCACATGAGCCCCCAAACGACGCGAGGCTTCCATGAGAACCCGGTTGCCATGGTTGTGGCGCAGGCCGTCCGCCGTCACCCCCATTCTCTCACATACTCGATCCAGAGACTCCTGGAACTTTTCGGAAGTAAAGAACTCCAAGCCTTTTTCCTCAGCCCACTCCTTTCTCACAAAATCTTGCGTCTGAAGGCTCACGCTCCAATTGATCGTTCCTCCGCCCCCCCACGTAGCGCCAGCCATGACAGCTATGCTCCCGTCGTCACTCTGTATCGTGCCGCCGTTTTCGAACAGTTGCTGGAAGCCTGTTGACTCGGACATTGGGAAGTAAGAAGAGGTGAAGTGATAGCTCTTATCCACGACCAACACACTGTGCCCCGACTCAGCCAAGTTCTTAGCACAGACGCCGGCACCACAACCACTGCCTATGATGAGAATTTCTGTGGTTATGTTGGCCGTATCTGATCCAGGTGGAAGCTGTAAGAACTGGAATTCGTATTGATTTCCAGGCTGGTGGTCTGGTGGAACCTCCGGGTATCCTATCATCCTGTACACCGTAGGTGATGTCTTAATCCACGTGTTTTTCCCGAGGAGAGTCATTTGTTTGAATAATACTTGGAGCGAAGCGAACCGGGATGTACGCCATGCGTTAAGGATACTTGTTCGGTTTGCGATAGATTGTAGATAGAAGGGGGTGATGGAGCCTGTCAGGACTAGGCTGCCTGCTCTTGTACTGCGGTTTGGTAATATTAGCATTCCGTTGCTGGCTCATCAAATACGAAGCCTCGACATGGCTGGAGGAATTGTAACTGGAAGAAAAGCGAAGGTGGGAGTGGGAATGATTCAGTTCCATCTTCATTTGCCCTGAGTGATTGATCCCCTGCAGTGAAGCTAGTGAAAATTCGCTCTTCGGCTGGGGATCTATCATCTATGTACTGCTATATATTGCAGCTCTACACATGTAGTGTAGAAGGGGTAGGCACGAGTATCAGTCGTTTTCAGCAACTTACTTCAATGTAGACAGCACAGCTTTGAGACTGGCTTGCATGCTTGGTGGTGAATATACAACTAGAGTCCTTAGGAGAAGCTCGTTAAAATCTTTGTTGCTGCTAGGCCTTTCTTCGAGATAGGCCTCGAGGTCATGTCCGCGCGGGGCATCCGTGACTCTCTCTAATACATGGTTCTCCAAGGCCGAATATTCGACCTCCGTAACCAATTGTCGAGACTGGTCGTCACCAAGCCTGTGCGAAGTAATCTTCCCGACAGACGGTACAACTGTATCCATGATAGAGAGCAATGTCGTCCATTGTGCCGTAGAAAAGGGCTGTCCGTCAGGCGGAGGAGCAAGACGAGTGGGGAGTGGGGTTGAATTAGCCATTAGTTTTTGAGTATTACCCTTTTGTATCTTGCTAGATGCCTGATGTATATGGGGAGTTTCAACTGAGTGCGTAACACGTTCCTGGCTTGACTTATGTAGCTGTGCCTCGAGAGTCACATTCGACTTATCGCAGGTCACGATGTTTCCTGGAGCCTACAGGGCCGTTCTCGATCATCCTCCTTTGTCGAAACTGAGGCTAGCAAGGGGTTTAATGGTTATCGATGCGACGGTTACCACGCTACCATGGGGGTGCGAGTCGCACAGGACACTATAGTGCTAGTTGATGTACAACGAGCCACCAATAGCGGCGCGCCACTTCTTCCCCGGCCAAATCTCCGCATCGGACGGGTCTGGCGGGCCCCGGTGACCCCATACATGCTCTAGTGTTGATCTATGTGAACGATGTGAGGTGCTCGAACGAGCAGCTTTTACATCTCGCATCTTGTTTGTTCCATGACTGTTTCTTCTCGGGATCTAAGCAAGCAAGGCGCGAGTCGCACATTCGCTTAGTGTCGCAAGTTACAGATACCGATGGCCAACTACAAGTATCGATACTACCTCATTTATCATATAAAACTTGCCCTCAAGAAGCGCTATCTGGTAATCTTAAATCCGCCTTAAAATAATACGAAGGAAGTTTTACTCTTGCCATTCTCTTGTAGCTGTCTACTTCCTCAAAATCGACCCACCGGACAACTGGCACTTTCGCTGCCACTTAAGAGCTCTGCCGACAAGATGGATACAAATCTGACCAGGGATGAGCCAGCAGTGGTTATCATTGGTGCAGGGATATCAGGTAGCGTCTTTTTAATATGTGCCAAATTTTGAGCTTATATCTGATCACTGGTAGGGATGTGCGTTGCCATCGATATGATCAGACGAAATCATAGCCGCAACTTCGTTATTCTCGAGAAGGGTTCTCGTGTTGGTGGAACATGGAGTGACAACCAGTATCCTGGGTGTTGTTGTGATAGTATGTCTCCCCCAAAGCTGGTCTAGTATTTCGTTGGGTCTGAGGGCTGTTCATGAGCCGCTCGACCCGTCCTGCGTTCCGCAGCCTCCATCTTCGCTTTCCCACCCAACATATTCGCTAATATTTTCTCCCCACGCCAAAGTCTGGAGTCACTTGTACTCGTACTCCTTCGAACCCAATCCAAACTGGAGCACCATGTATCCGGGGCATAAGGAGATTCATGACTACTTAGTTGGCGTTGCAGAGAAGTGGAATTTATTCCGCCATATCCGCTTCAACAGTCTTGTGGAAGAAGCCAGATGGGATGGCAAAGCCAATCAGTGGAACACGAAAGTCAAAGTCATAGGTGGGAAAGACGCCGAGTATACACAAACTTATACCCTCTCATCGGACTTTCTGGTCTCGGCGATAGGGCAGCTTAACTACCCGTATTACCCCGACATAGACGGTATGGACTCCTTTGCGGGCAGGACAATGCATACGGCCCGATGGGATACAAACTATGACTTCACTGGCAAAAGAATAGCCGTCATCGGAAACGGTGCTTCGGCCATTCAGGTAATCCCCGAGCTTGCCAAGTCTGCTGCATCCGTCGTTGTCTTCCAACGCAGCGCGAATTGGGTCACTCCACGATTGGACAGGCCCATCAGTCCTCTGATGCAGTCGATATATCGCTATTTGCCACCCATCCGGCGGCAATACCGCAGAATGCTCATGGATTTCCGAGAGAAATTCCATGGTTTCATAATTGCAGATTCGGCTCTCAACGACTATGCTCGGGATAGCTGTCTCGACATGATGAAGCGACAGATTCCAGAGAACGAAAAGCTGAGGGCAGCCTTGACTCCAGACTATACGCCAGGCTGCAAGAGGGTTCTGCTCTCGGACGATTTCTACGTTGCAATGAATCAACCTCATGTGAGACTCGAGACAAGCCGGATCGAAAGGTTTACTACCGACGGAATGAAAACCACAGAAACTGAATATGAGTTTGACCTTGTGGTGTTTGCTACCGGCTTCCGCACTACTCAATTCATGTTTCCTATGAAGATATTCAGCGCAACTGGGAGCAGTGTGGATGAGCTCTGGAGCAAACAAGGTGCCGCTCGTGCCTATCTGGGCATGACAGTTGAGAATCTTCCCAATTTCGCCATGCTTTACGGACCAAACACGAATTTAGGTCATAATTCCATCATCTTGATGATTGAGGCCCAGTCACGATATATCAACACCCTCATTTCCCCGATCTTAAATGCACGCAAGAAAGGTGCGAGTTTATCAATGCAACCCAAACAGGAACGTCTCGTATCATACAACGCGGATGTCCAGGAACGGCTTACGAAGACTTCTTTCGCAGACCCAGGGTGCAGTAGTTGGTATAAGAATGCCAACGGCGTCATCACCAATAATTGGTATGGGACTGCTGTAGAGTATCAAAAGTTGACATCCATCGTGAATTGGGACGATTACATCTTCTCTACTCCGAGTCGGCAGCAGGCTCTACCCAAAGGAAGGGTCAAAATCGGCCGGGTCGTCGAGGAATCCAGTTATCGGCCAGTCGAAATCGCTTTGCCAATCGTTGCGCTGATGACAGCCATATATGGTGGATTCTATTCTGGTCTTCTGGCTTATCCATTCGAATTTTGGTCCTAAGATTGCGAAATCCTCGCCACCGGGGCACCTCTGGTGGAAAGCACGAATATTCTGGTCCCCAAGACGCTTATATTGAAACGGAGGATGGGGGTAAAATTTCAGAGGTCTATTAGAGTGGTGTAACTAGTGGAATACAACCAATTCATGTTGGCAATAGCTAATCTTACTATGACGATTGCTCTCATACCGTATGAAACATAGTTGAATCCAACATAAAGTTCGGTGAAACAAGTCGGCTGTAATAATTAAACTGATTCACTTAGTTATAATACTAGCTGCTACATTTCATCCATAATTCTCCGCGCTCCAATAGATCCAGCACAAATGGATGGAGCATTTGGCCATTGATTGGCCATGACCCAACCTTCCATTACTAGCCCAGGAGTCAAGGCGTATAAGTGCAACCAATAGGATTGGTGGTACCACTGGCAAAAATGCAACTTGAGATACGTTTATTACTCTAGTGATAATATATTTTGGAGACCCTCGGCAAGGTATAGAGTATACCCTCTACGGAATACAAGAAGCTGGATAGAGAAGTCAGGAGTAGCATCCTCGACGTGCGCAAACTTGAAGGAAAGGACGCTTTCTAGCTGATTACATGTCAACATTTCCTATAAAGGTATACTCGAAGGACAAGGAAGCTAAGTATCTAAATTATCCTAGGTGGGAGGAGGAGTAACTTGGAATTGCGGCGTAGTGAATATGTCCCAGTTGTCTGAGTTTTGTGGATTGGTGCTGAATGGGCGTAGCGCCGCCAACCTCATCGAGTACGTTCCTGGTGTTAACTGAGATCCATTCGCGAGCTTACCGAACCAAAGCCACGCATCTGAACCACCGATACTTCTTGGTATGTCTGTAAATGGTGTTGCAGTGACGAGGCTCGTGTTAGGAATGAGAAGTGGAATTCCATTCAACCACAGTGACGCGGCTCCAACGTAGCCCTTCTTACCGACGACAGGCGGATACGTCCAATCTTTCTCTTTCCATGTTGAGTCAAATACGTCCCAGCGAAACTCAGTTGTGTCAAAGTTGAAGGCAAGGCGGAAAGTGGGATAGGACTTGGCGAAAGGGTTGACATTGAAGCTCCAGCTAGGAGAGTCTCCGATTGGTGTTCCTCGTAACCCAGATGTGATGACAGGAAGTCCATTGCCGTAGTAGAAAACCGAATCTAGGTCTTTATGAACATTCGCACCGACACCCATATATGGCACTGCGAGCGACTCCCCGTTACTCCCCGCGATGATGATCTTGCCACTGTACAACGGCAAGTTATTTGCGTTCAAGCCGGAGGGATACATAAAGTTGATATTGGCTGTTTTTGTCTTGCCTGGCTGAACGGTAAATGTACCGCGAGGTAGCGAAACAGACGGGATGGCAGCGTAGGGAGCAGCAAAGACTTGAGTGTAGACTCCAACCACAGGCTTTCCCGAGGGGTCCTGGCTGGGTACCATCGTATCTATTGCGCCGCTAGCTTCGAAGGAAAAGGTATAAGTAATTGGATGCGGGCTGTTGTTCGTGATGTCGACGCTGTGGTACCGTTCGAAGTTGTGCGTGTCATTGAGCATGAACTTTGAGAATGACAGGCTCGTTTGGTAATTCAGAATTTTAGATGCATTCACAAGTCCAGTGCCAACCTGGAAAACAGGAGCTCGGAAGTCAGAATTGCCAGGATTCAATGGATCAGCGAGCCAGTCAAGCGACTTTCCAGACGCAATGATTCGCATGGACAAGTCTTTGGCAAACCCAGGGCCATGGACCTTTCTACCTCCGTACTTCCCTATATAGAGCGCCGCAACACCAGCAATGTAGGGAGTAGCCATGGAAGTACCACTTAGAATCGCCCAGCTATCGTCAAGCCACGTCGAGAAAATGTCTTCACCGGGTGCTGCGATGTCCGGCTTGAGTGCTAAATCATTTGTAGGGCCGATGCTGCTGAAATAGCTGGGCCTTCCACCACTAGAAAAAGCCGGGCTCGGCAGAAATTTAAGATACTCGACAGTATTCTTGAAGTCTGCTGTCACTTTTACACCAGTCCGAAGAGCCTTCATGATGGCCTCACCCGCATCGAGAGGGATATAGCCGACTGTACTATCTCCAGAGCCGTTGAAAAATGCGCTAACGGGATACTGAGAAGTGTATATCAGGATAGGCAATGTATAATTATGTAAAGCGTTAAGAACAGACAGTTTCGTCTGCCAGCTGCATGCACCATCGGTGACGAGGACGATGGAATTTGTATAGTTGAGATTCCAGCCGTCGTTGAATGCATGGCAAGCATCAGTTGGGGCAGAAGCATTAGTATTAAATGGAACAATGGGCCATCCGTTATATGCAGTCGAGTCCCAGAAGTCTGACGCTTGGTATGGGACGGTGATCTTCTTTGAAGTATTGTCTCCGAAGGTAGCCTCGAAAGCGGCCTCTGCAATCACATCGGCATTGACAGAAGCCACGGCGAGAACATACTCACCGTTCGAGCCATTGCTCTCGCTAAAAGGGCCATTGGCACCGTCGTTGCCATTGGCAATAGTGACTACTACGCCTTGTTCCGCGAGACGAGAAGCTGTCACCGCCCATGGATCATCCGAGAAGCCAGATTGGCCGCCAACAGATGAGGTGATGATATCGGCCTAAAAAGCGTGGCATATTTTTATTAGGACCAAAAAAAAAAAAAAAAGAACAGAAGAGAAGGGACAAAGAAAAAAATGCCATGGCTGCCAGGCAGGATTGTAGGGTTCAACATACCCCATCTCTGTACGCCATCAGGAAGGCATCAATAAGTGTGTCGGTTTCGGTGTAGTCTGCATAATCGCCGAAAACTTTGTAAACATACAAAGAAGCCTCAGGTGCTACTCCGACATAACTGAGTTGAATTAGTTATAAGACACCCACCAATAGCTTTGGGCCAGTTGACTAACCTGCCGGCCTGTCCAGCAATGATTCCCGAGACGTGAGTTCCATGTCCAAGGCCATCTAGCGGATCTGGCTTCGGCAACTTGTCCGAAGTGTTATAACCCCACCCTAGGGACTATAAGTAGGTGTTCCATACCCCTAAGAAGATTTTGAATACGTACAAGTGCCAACAAGATCATATCCTCCAGCAACTTTAAAGCCATGTCCAAAACCGCCCCCGAGCTGTTGAAGTGTGAGCTTATGGGTCTCGTATCATCAGAAAATAAAAGATTCTCCTACTGCAGGGTGTGGATACCAAACACCGGTATCGACAACAGCCACTTTAGCACCCTTTCCTAAAATGCCGGCTTCGTGAAGCTTGTCCACACCAGTCATGTGGTGGACAGAGAAGCCGGCACCTGCCGCAGCAGGACCAAATGTCTGAGGCGCTGCAATAGGGGCTGTGATTTTAATCTTCTTAGAGTGCCATGATCGAAGGACTGGTGCAAGCGACTGTAACGTGTCCAGATTATGCGTATCCGATATAACTGATGCGCCACTGAAGACATCCGAGTCAAAGATTTTGAGCACAGTAGCCCCGGCATTCACAAGATCACTAGCCGCCTGTTGAGGATTGACGCCCTGATCATAATCATAAGCACATATACAATGGGGGAGAGAACGTTTCCCATGGTACACAACTGACCTCTGCAAACTCCACGATATAGCGGTTGGGAATGGGGGCAGATGAAGTGTCGTTGCTGGCAATGGAATCGTCACGTCTCAACAAGGAGGCTTCAGCAACAAATCCACCGGCAGCAGCCGTCAGAATCGGCAAAAGGTTTGATACACGCATGTTGGAACACGCAGCAAAGGAACAAGAGGATGTAACCTCAGATCAGAGACGATCTCAAGGTCAGCTCTTTTCTATAGTATTGCTGTCGAGATTTCCATTTATATAGGACAAACACTTGATACTTATACATAACAAGAATCTCAGATGAGTGTGTATATAGCGACCAAACCCGGTCGACACCCAAAGTAAGCGGAACGTTCCTGGATCTCCGAGAAACGTGCGGTGACGTTGGGGTATGACCCGCACACAATATTCTAGCATATACGCCGACCCAAACTATCAGTTCCATTCCTCGTCGAGTTCACCAAATCCCAAGAAACCCGCGTGTAGCCTATCCGTAAGCGTCCAAAAACTTGCGCTCTCTAAGCCATTTTGGTGCTCGCCCAATATTCCCAAGCGTGGAAAACTGTGACCAAGAGATGTGATCACAAGGAATTGAAGCATGTCTAATGCTAAAAGGGAAGTTCGAATCGACCAGTCAGATGACTCGAGACGCCCCTGTCCCCTTATTTTGACTTCCGGGAAACCATTCAGTACATTCCACGGAAGTTGGTTGACCGCTTGGAAGTAGGTGCTTGTAAATGCCTCAAATCCGAGCGTTTCCTTCTGTTCCAGCTACGAAGTACAATTGTTTAGTACCTGCATATAAGAGCGTGGCGGACCGTCATACCATTATGCCAATAAGCAAAAGATTAGGCTAATGATTGGATTTATAGCAATGACTAGAAAAACACCATCTATTATAAAATATCAATCAGGTCAAAGAGGGGTCTGTATTACTTCTATTTCCACGTTGGCTAAAATAAATTTGGTTGGAAAAAACAGACCCATAACTATCGGGATATTTCTTTGATACTGTACCTAGAGTCCTGCATGCACTAAATGCCTTCCAAAAATGGATTAACGATTACATATCATAGGGTCTTGGCGATATCCAACTCGGCTGTCTCTTAGCCGATTTAAGTGCGGAGGGACTCGTACCATTGGCACCCGAAATGGACTGTGGGAGATAACCCGGGGCAAACTCAATACCGATCGAAGGTAATGTTCAAGACTCCACAGATATCCAATTCCCCTTGAAGTTTATGATAATGTCTTGCTTACTCTCCCTATCACGCCGGAGCGAACATTGAATTTACGGAGGACACTATTCTTTGAATATATATAATATTAGCTTGTATTAATAATAGTCAAAAGTCTCCTCTTTACCTTAGTCCAGAGGCGATTATATAGCTAAAATATAGTTAAATTAAAAATAAGTGGCCTACTTGCTTGTATAGCTTGCTTGCCTGTCGACTACATTTTGTTTTGATATCGAAAGCAGCAGAGATTTACTCTTTGTCCACTATACAGTAAATGAAAATCTGTCTTTGGCGCACTGGTAGCGCCGCTAGTGCATAGGGTAGCTACTGTATAGATAACATGCCTAGCACTATGGGGCCTGTAATAGGTTTACAAAAGTGCAGTTATCTGACAAAAGTGCCAAGGAGATACTAAATTTTGCCTATCATGGAGAACCTTGTCACGTCAAACACCTGCATTGGCATGGGTTGAAGCATCTATTACTGAACCGTTATCTATTCAAGCATGTTGGGATGAAATGAGCTATTTTCTTCACACCTACTCTACACATTGCGCGTCTTTCCCTACTCTCTAAGGGAACTGACATTATGGCAGCCGCCAGGGCAAATACTTGTAAAGGACTCAGTAGAAGAATTTGTTGAAGGCAAGCTCTGTCGCTTCCATCAAACTTGGGAAAGGCCTGAAGAATAGACACCGCCCGCCCAAAGAATGTGAGCGAGATTTCTAAGCGTGTTTTGTCTACAGAAAAACAGGATATTCCTAATGGAGCTACATACCCAATAAAGTATTTCTCGCCCAGGTTCCGTATATAGAGCGAATGGCGCAGTCAGGGACCTCATTCATACTAACATTTGTCCCATTAATCTTATTCTACATCTAAGACGTTTTAAATCTAACCTTCACTTCTGCGGCCAACGTGTGCGCCTCTTGAGGTCTGATCCACTACCTGTACTTACTCGTATAGGATGCCTCTGGAAGACACTAGCGCATCCCTGTCCGCAAAGCTATAAGTCTTTTAGGCTGATTCTCCCAGCGGCATGTAACGCTGCCTATCGCCCTTCACAAGTTTGTCTTAGTGTTACCATTAGGGAACATGGGCGAAGACAAGATGGGATCAGGGACCATGAAATCAGGGACAAAATGGGATAAGCGAAGCCAAGATTGGATCAGGTTCTTGTTTCCACAAACTGTGCGATATGATTGGTGACGGAAGAGATGACCATGGCCCGCTATAATGCACCGGCGCCCCTGGAAGAAGGCCGACTTACGCTAAGGTCACCACTGCTGCAATAAGTACGAATGAAAGATTCCCAAAAGCAGATAGGCGGCTTGCTTAAACATCATTATCAAATGTATCAAAATTCGTATTCCTAAAGAGCAGTAACTAGCACGCCTGAGCATTACGGCGCTACACAACCGACTCAAGAATTCCATCGAATAAGCGGCATGGAGGCCTACGCTTATACGGGGCAGTTTACTCACTGTGATGTTGAGTCGCAAGGTCCAAGGGCACGAAGTATTTCAGGAAAGGAGGCCTACCCTGGAGCTAGCATGCTCATATTGGGTATTATACCAATCGATTCTTCGGGTTCCAATAGGGTCACTCTGCCAATGTCTGGTTTCCACTATTCATTTTCGCCTAAAGAGAATCACTTACCGCATCTCAGCCTTTGTCATTGGTGATCCTCTTCTTCTGAGATTGAAGCGCTTCACCCTGCCACCGTACAGCCGCCGGTCACCCCAAGGGCGCCACGAAGACGAGAAAGAGTATAGAAATAAGAAGTTATCAGGAACATGGAAGCAATACATAAAGCGCTGGATCAATTGCCACTTACCTACCTCACGTCTTCATCCACAAGAAGCACATGCTTAATAGTAGCGTAGGATCGCTTTTCTGGCAGGTTGGAACCGACGTAGTGTAGCAAGAGATACTAAGTAAAGATAGCTACCATCATTATGAATCTGACATATGTAGCCCGTAGCAATCATGCAGTAATTGGCACTCATAGCTGTTATAGCGACGCCAACGTGCGCGTTACAAAGAATGGCTCTGCCCGGATAATTACGGTACAGGCATATTTATGGATGATAACGGGCCAGTCCTGGTGGTGTAAGCCGACGGTTGTATTCCCTACCTAGTAAACACTAGTCATGAGGAGTCTTCGCACTGCGTCGCTAGTGCTAATGAGAGGGGTTGGAGCATGACCTCATGGGCTCGATTTCCACCTTTCCAAAGGAATTTTGCAAGCAGCGAATCACCTCTAAGTGAATGGGTAATTTTGCCCTGTTTGAATCCATTTCGCTCCCGTCTGCTTATATCTCCTGGTATCATGCCCGCCCCTATCTCTGATTGGATTGCCAAAGCACAGAAAGCTGCCGAAGAGGGGGACGCAGCTGATGTTGAGAATGCACTAACAATGCTGGGCCTGGTTTACCACCTTGGATCCTTAGCATCACTAGACGCTACCATCAATGAAAATACTGGCGACACTATCTTACACGTGGCGGCCGCAAATGGACGTCTCGCTGTGATTAAAAAAATTACTACCCACGTATGGAGTCGTTGTCCAGACTGGCCAAAAAGGGTTCAACGCTATTGCTTTGCTACAAAGAGAAATAAGGCAGGGAATACGGCTTTACATTTAGCGGTACGACAGCCTGATATTGACATTGTACGAGCTGTGTATCGATTTGCACAAAACGATTTCCTACCAGGAGATGACAGATATGGACACACACCTGTGGAAGACCTAACTGACCGTATTGATGATGAAGACTTTGGACCTGCGTTAGTGTTACTTATGGCAAAAAATTGCGAGGGACGAGACGCAGCTGCAGAGGCTCGTTGGATGGGACAGGAGGCAAATGCAAAGTGGTGTGAGGATGTGATAGAGCGGCTTGACCCAGAGCACAAGCACCAGTCTGAGGCAGAGGTCAATCGCCTGGGGGACTTTGTCGCTGGCTTATATTCTTTAGAATAGGTACTAAAGCCAATTTTATTCCTTAACACATCAGTGTACTACAGCACTATCAAGCCTCACTTGCAAGGGCAATAAATCCTATTGTAACTACTTAACTGTAGGACTTAAACTTAACCAAAATACTGCTATAAATAAATAAATGTCCGTTTCAGTCTGTTGTGTTTAAGGAAAAAAAGCCATGCCTATACTTAATTTAGGATATATTGTGACTGAGCTGTGAATAATTTACCTTTACTTGAGCGAAGAACACCAGCCAGGAAAAAAAGCCAATTTATAACACGGTATTTAACCAGATAACAAGACGTAGAACTAGTTCCTTAAGTTCGCGATCCAGCCAGCTGTATATAATAAACAATTCATTTTATCGTATTTTGAGGATAATCTCACTCCTTGAGGATAGTCATCGATCCGAGAGATTGTAGCAATGCACTTGAAGATTGGTGAAGAAATTAACCTTCCTTTCTGCTTACTTTCAGATATTTGTTATGCTTCAGTTGCTCTCCTCTTCAGTTTCATGGGAACACCATCCTTGATGCCCTATGTAAGCGCTTGTTGTCATTATAGATATTCCTGAAATCGGGATAAAAGAGGTCTTACCATGTTCATAGCAGCAAGCGGCTCATACACCTTACTGTCATCCGATAATATCACGTCAAACCTTTGAATAATGGCCGTGCTGATAGCAATGGCCTCATAGGTAGCTAAAGCGCGCCCGAGGCAGCTGCGCGGCCCGGCATTCCAGGAATGGTACTCTAAGCGTCAAGCATCAGTTGTTCACCGAAAACACTATCGTTGCATTTAGTGGAGGGGATAACCTACTGAACGGGCTATAGGAGATACTTTGTCCATCTTCTTTAAACCATCGGTACGGGTTAAAAACAGCGGCGTCTTTCCCCCAGACTTCAGGCATTCGGGCAAGCACGTAATTTTGGTAGCTAACGATATCACCTCTACTTTCTATTAGCGAACATCACTGCTATCACAAGTAAAAGCCAATGGCTTACTTTTTTACGTGACGAGGTGGAATACCAAGCTCGGGAATTGCAGGCAGAATATCATCTCCTGCGGCTTCCATTTGCCCGGCCGGAGAAACAGTATCAAGGCGAGATGTTTCGTTCCACATGGCGTTCATAAATCTCATCTTCTTCAAGGTCAAATGTCAGTACTTTGTATCAGTAGTTTGGTTCAATTGGTGGTGCCATTACCGGTGCATCCTCATACGTGAGGTAGTTGCCATCAACATGAAGCTCCCTAGCCTCTAATCGGATCTTCTTAATGGCGTCAAGATGCTTATTGTCTTGGTGGTAGATCTCTTTCATTAACCAGGAGATGCCATACGCAGTTGTATCACCTATGGCAGACGATAAATTGTTAGTAGATAAAAAAGCTCTCAGCTTTTAAGCTCCAGTGACTCACGGCCAGCCGATAGGAATGCAAACACCATTCCGCTCAGTTTGTACTTATTTGTTGTCGACTGCAGGAAGAGGTCAAGCAAGTCAACTCCCAAGTCTGGATTAGGTTGGTAACCATTCTCCATCGCAATGAGGCGTTTCTCAATAAGTTTCTCTATCTGCACGTAGAAGAGATCCACAGCTCTCTTGGTAATCTTGTCATCACCCGACAGTTTCTCGGTAATTTTCCACAGAGGGTCGCGTCTTCTTCGGTCAAACACTGCCGTATGACTACGTCAGATAACCGAGAAGCCTCAAGAAGGAATAGAAATAGCGTACGAATGGTAGCCTGGTCCAATGCTTCAATATAATCCGGCATAGAGTCCAAAACTTTTGGGTCATCTGAGAGAATATCTCGGGCAAGCTCTTCCTCATGGAAAGCAAGCCTGAGGAATAGACAAAACATAAGACGTCCCATCAGCTTTTGAAAATCAAATTCCACCTGCTTGTTAGCAAGGTTGGACAAAAGGCCCATAAGAATATCAAGCCAATGATGAACAGACTGCGTAATGTGAGTTTCAAAGTTTCGTTTGGTAAACGCTCGAGTTGCCGCCTTGCGCTGGAAGTACCATTCTTCACCATCAACTACAAAAATACCAGATCTATGTAGCCCATCGAAAACATGACGTGCAAATGCACCACGAATATAGCCATTGCTATTATGCTTTTGGATATGCTCGAGATATGTTGGATGGTTAATAATGTGAAGACGGAAGAAGGGTATTGTCATCTCAAAAGCGGGTCCGTATCGAGTATAAAGAGAATACCAAGCTTTGCAGCTCGCAGCGCCGTGCGTTTCAAGCTCCTCGACATTACCGCGTAGGAGCTTTCCTTTTGGACCAGAAACCCACTCCGAGTTGGCTGAGGGTGGTGTCCAGAATGCCCTGTGACGATATGTCCAACAGATACCTGAAGATGCGGCCTAGCATTAGACATCATTGAAACCTAGTCTTGGATTTCTGAATATGAACTTGCCAGCGATCACAATTGTAAGAAACGCAGCCGCATATTCAACAACTGCAAGCACCGATGACTCTCGGGGTAGTATGATGTGTTTGAGCATGTTGCGCGCACAGGTTGGCTCAGTGTTATCGCGTAGCTACAGTAAATAATACAGTCGGTTCAAGCCATTCGATCGTTCATGTCCCCTCTCTCTAGGGTACTTGGGGAAGCCGTGTCACTTTATATTTTCCAAGCCAGCTCGAGCAAAGGGGACGTAACACGGACGTAGTACAGCCAACCCTCAGGCAATCTGGGCTCCATCAGTATCCTGTCCGGGCTAGCAGACTTGAATCCAGCCATTCTACCCCGCAACCTTCTGCCTGGAATTAGGCTAACAGGCAGTTGCCACTGTAAGGAGCACATAGTAGGACACTACAGACTCGCGGGAAATGGTCGGAATCCATTATTTGGTGGGGGAGCATAATAGTGCCCCAGTATGAGTTGTGTATGGCGCACGGAAAGCATAACTCATTCGACTAGAGAGGCAGGACCTCCGCGTTTGTTCTCGTTGACTTGGCGTGGGTTCGAAGAGATCCAAACTCCGCTTGGAAATTTTATGAGTTGTGGGACCGCCAGTCAAGAAAACAGAAATTGATGACCATGCCTGAGATAAAATTCAGCATCGGGCTCTTCTAGGCCGGAAGGAGAGTGGACAAACTGGCACTTATCTGGTGTTCAACTCAGGGAAGAATAGAAACGCAGTCCCTGAACAGCAAAATATATACGACTACGTAAGAGTACGATGCATAGGAAATATCAAAAGAATGAGTGATGGGCTGAGGTGTAATGGTTGGAAAGTAGATGGAGGCGGTGCTCGCACTAGGAGCTTTGACTTAACCGTGAACCTTCTCAAGCGTACGTTAACCTCCATACTTACATGCGCTAAGATGCAGATATTTTACTACACTGGTATACTTTTTTGTCATATTATTCATATTCTTAGCTGGCTTCTACTGTTCAACCAAATAACTCACATCTTGTATTTAAAAAGCGGTACCCCTGCTATCCCAACATCCACTCGGAATATTGAGCCTCCATAGCGTATGCTTCTTTCATCACTTCCATCCTCATCAGCTGCTGAAGTAATTAATAGCTCAGTACCAACAAATTCCACGCAAGTAATATATCGTGTTGGAAGGCGGATCTCCCCTACCACACTACCATTGGGACATATCTTAAGCACCCGAGACTCGCCGTAAATTGCCTGCCATATATTTCCCTCCACGTCAATACGGAAACCGTCTGGTTCACCGTTGCCCTGGTGATTGTAAAAGATCCGCTGGTTTGATGTTACGCCTGTTGCTGGATCGTAATCACGGGCCAGGACCTGTCGTTTTCTCGAGTGTGTCCAGTACAGCGTCTTATTATCAGGTGACCAGCCAATAGAGTTGGGGGCATTGATACCCCTCTCAATTTCCTCTGCATTACTGGCACTAAAACACCAAAGGGAGCCTATAATCATCTCCAACTGTAAGCACTTGAGTAAAGTTTCTTGAGAAGGGACGTCCATACCTTCATAGAGAAATTCTCCCTGTTCGAAATCCGTCATACTACCTAACCAGAAACGACCATTTGGGTCAGCAGCACCATCATTGCTGCGAAGACGCTCATTGCTCGGCTGACGGAAATACGCAACCATTTCGTAGCTACCCGACTGACGGTCCAAAATGGCAATGCCATATTTAACACCGATAAGGATCTTGTGGTAGGGGTCTATGCCTTCAATATCGGATGTTACTGTAAGAACAGTATCAAGCTGGATGAGCGGACGTAAGGGGGAGCCATCAACCAGTGAGACAGTATGGAGCTGCCTCTTCTTAACATCGACGAAGCGCAGCGAATGTGTCTCCTCCTCATAAAAGGGACCCTCTCCGAGAATACAATGAGTGTCCAACCAGGGCTTTGCTACTGTCCATAGTTCTCTGTATGTCACAGTCATGTTGTGCAATTTGAGCTGCGCACTGCCGTCCACAGATTGGGGTAATTTTACAGCAAACGTTACTCTGGAGGCTGGGCGTTTCTTTAATAAGGGCCATCAAGACAATGCTCCTGCTATACATATCAATCCAGCTTCACCTCTTTCCAGCTAATCTAGGCATATATGCAATAATTGGTAATCTGTCTCATTGGAAACCTAGTCCTCCTTCAAACCGGTTGTTGGGGTTAATCTGTGACCCAATTTTAACCACCAATGTAAGGAAGTTCCGATGCGGGGGATAGATTAGGGTAGTGCAGAAAGCTGGGGTTTGATACAGAGACTATGAGAATGACTTCAGAAAGAGGAACTGGATTCCGCGAGTCAGCTGACACCAATGTGAATTTCGTTGGCGCCAGTGGAGACTAGCGCTCAAATTCAATGGACCAGAAACATAAAAGGAATGCTTCTCCGTAAGCATGGGCTGGATCAGCGTTTGTGAGCCATTTCAGGTTTTCCGTCTGACGATGTCTCTTCGCCGGGGCATTGGAGTCAAACGAGGCTGGTAAGATCTGGAGATATTCGAGAGCAATATGGGACACGAATATACTATTAGCTAACACGAGATAGCGAGTTATGCCGCGAGACCCACTCTAGATGTAACAACCCACCCTCATTTACAGACGATTCATGGAAACAGCCCTTGATATAGGTGATAAGAAGAAGCCCAGATGTAGTCGATGCACGTGGCTGGGCAAAGCTTGCATTAGAGAACCGGCGTATCGGTTCTTGAACACCAGTGAAGGCAACTCGGACATTCAGGGTTCCACTCTGGAGGGAAACCCTTCCTTCAAGTATCCCAGAAACCAGATTTGGGTTGAGACTCCGAAGGAATGTATGAACAAATCCTTTGATCATACACCAACTGTCGTAGACCTGGCTAGTGTTGACTATGATACAGTACAATTTGTGTTCGAATTTCTTGACAACTCTGGTCCGAAGCAAGGTTCGCAAGATCTGAGTACTGAGGAATTACTTTCCTCAGACACAGTCTTTAGCAAATCGCCGTACCCCTCCCCGTCGTCTTCCCAAGCGTCTGCTCCAAGTAGCTCTTATTTTGGAATAGCAACTTCTGCCATTCATGATGATGATGAGAGCACACATAATGGTGCTCACTCGGCCCAAATATTAGTAGGCGTTAGAAGCGATGGCCACTCTACGCCCCCTACTGCGGAAAGCTTATCATCAACGGTCTTGAATACTTGCACCACGAGTCTTCAAGAAGCTGCGTCAATATCATTAAGTTTGGCTGCAGAATGTGCAGCCTCTTCGGATTCTTCTAGCTCGACACCTCAACAATATCCTCAGTTTCCACAAAGACATAACAATCCACCGGCACTCTCAGCTTTATATAGCAGTTCAAAAACAATATGTGAAGTGACTCCATGGCGACTGAATGGTGCTGATGAACCCATGTTGCTACGATACTTTGTCACAAATCTTTCTCGTTTTGTAAGTGTATTTGGGAATTGCATTAAGGGTAAGGCTATCGATAGAATAGTTGACTAATTAGCGTAACAGTTCGACTACTGTGACCCAGAGAGATCATTCTCAACCACTGTCGTTCAACGCGCTGCAGAATGCCCGACCTTATTACTTGCTATTCTGGCTGCCTCTTCGCGGCATCTTAGCCTCACCAGCGGATACGATTCTTATATTGCAGATCAGTACCACCGTGAATGCCTCTCCCTGCTAATCCCTATGCTTAATGACCAAACTACCCTATTGGACGAGGCTATTTGCGCTGCCACAGTCATTCTACGTTTGTATGAAGAGCTTTCCGGTAGGCCATATATATCTATTTCTGGCATACCTTCGAAACTGATGTCAGCAAATCGCTTAGTGGCCGTAGTTGGAAAAGATACTTGCAGTCACCTATTAGGTACTCACATCTTTGTTCTTGCTCAAGAGTATCGTACATCAGGCATTCGCCAAGCCGCATTTAGAGTGGCCCTTCGACAAGAAATTAATGTCGCATTCTGTACAAGGAAGCCTATGAAGCTACTGACAAAGTACATAAATGTTGATCGCTCTACTGATTTAAAGAGTGATTGGGACTGGACAATTCATATTATTGTTCTCTGCGCAGAAGTTTTGAACTATTGCTATTGTAACATTGCGCAGGATCCTGCACAGGCCTGGGATGAACTCTCTACAAGAGCTGAGGACTGGTTACGTAAGAAACCAAAGTCGTTTGAGCCTCTTCAATGCAAAAACTCGAATTATGGCGACCGAGTATTTCCAGAAATTTGGCTCTTAAATGACTGCCATGGTAAGAGAAAAGTTCTATTATAGTATCTCATCTACTGACTGATAATTATAGTTGCTGGTCATATTTATTATTTGATGTGTCATATACTCTTAACGGCATATAACCCTTCACAACCACGTCTCGGACCGGAACGGGCCAAAGCAATGCGTCTGACTGATGTAAGTATATCCAGGTATTGGTATAAATAGTTGTTAATTGATCCACAGGATATTATAAAAGACGACGTGAGGAAAATATGTGGTATCGCCTTGTCTAATCCGCATGCAGAACCATCGCTGTTTAAAGCCTGTACTGTGATCCTACTATGTAAGTTAATCAATATTTATGGGCCTACGAAATATATATGCTTACTATGTGAGGTGAGGTGGCGATCTATTTACTGATAAAACAGAGCAACAAGCCCTCCTGGATGTACTCATCAAGACTGAAGCCGATTTCGCATGGCCTACAGCGAGTTCGCAAGAATATCTCAAGAAACGGTGGGATTGGAGTTGACTTGAGACTATGAAGAGATCCGAGATGCACTCAAGGTAATCATCAGAAATGTTTACTTTTTTAACACTATATGCAAACTCTTCGAATAACCCTTCAATACGGTGTCCATCACTGTCTGCGACCTCCGAGAAATCCTTTAGGGGTTCAAAAGAGTGGTATGAATGCTGATTAAGGGGGGTGGTTGTATGATAATGTGCTCTAGAGATTGGCAAATTTGTTGACGAGTGCTTGAAAATGGGCACATGTTGTTAAAGAGCCGTGGATCACTGAAGTAGCTCTAGTGTTTTTTGTTGTTTTGCAGACTCCACTGCCGTGTCGATTATGCGCTGAGCGGTGCGACAAAGGGCAGGGTCGAGCGGCCCGGATATCGGCGTGTTGGTTTCTTTGCAATGGAGCACATACTCAATCGGATTGCGGAAAGGGCTTTTTTGGACATCCACCGGAACATTGATAATTTGCCGCTGCTCTTTTGTCTGAAGTCCAATATGAGGCTCAAAGTCATAGCTTGAAATTGTACCTCCTGTCCCAACCACAACAAACCCGCACTTGGGCTGGGGCTGATGGGTCCAGGGGTCAGTAAAGGTGCCCCAGCGGGTCTCAAACTTGGATAGTCCGGTGCTGTATCGGCAGACGGTAACTGAGTGCTCATCGACCTCGAGATTCTCGCTCGCAGATGTTATGGACGTCACTGTCAATGGGGCACGTCCGTTCATAAACCAGGTTCCCAGCGTTGCACCGTAGCCGAGATAGTCCAGCAGAGACCCGCCGCCAGAGGCTGCCTTATACCACCAAGATGTCGGCTTCTTTTGCTGCACTTCCTCATCAGTGACTTCGACCTTGTCAGCGAGGTGATAAAGGGGACCGCGATTTCCGTCGTAGAAATGTACTTCAGTAACATCACCAATCGCTCCTTCATCAATCAGGCGTTTGGTCGTGGCATGCACAGGATACCATCTCAAAGGCCAGTTGATTGCAAGACGTATGCCGGCTGCCAACATGGCCTTGATGATGCGATCAGCATCTTGTAGGTTGGCTGCAAACGGTTTCTCCATCAAAATGTCTACTCCATGACTGCAACACTGCTCGACAGCGATGGCGTGATCAGCCGTTGCCGGACATAAAACGATGAGATCAGGCTTTGTTTGGCGGATGCACTCGTTCACATCAAAAAAGACTGTCTCCGGTCTGATGTTTAGCGCCGCAATCGTGTCCTTCATTCGTTCCATATCGCGATCGCAGATGCCGACAATTTCCGCGTTGGGATGATTGAATGCATGGCGCAAAAGATCGCCCATGTGCATATGATCAAAGTTGATTCCCACTATTCTCCATGGCGGCGCCATGGTGTATGCTATTTCAGTATTAAGTATCGAGGGATAGTCGAGTTATGAATAAAAGGGCTAGGATGGAAGACATGGAGGGCTGAGAGAAGCATTCATTGAGCCAGTAGAAGGACGGCTATTATACTAAATCTCTTTGTTTCCTGATAAGGCAACCCAGTGCTGTGTACTCCGTACTGTCGTTAAAGCTTCCGTTAGCGTTTTACCCAAACGGGTGAGTAGTAAATGTATGCTGATCGGGCTCTGAGACCTAATTCGGCGGCTTATTTTAGTAGATTGATATCCATATGTACGTGTAATTAAATCTCGCAGACAGAAGTCTCATAGTGAGGCATGTATGGCTGCAAGACTAACAGATGCATCCATCCCGGCTTTGGGCAGTTCTAATGGAAGGTACCCATTCCACCCACAGGGTGGGCAAATAGTTTCTGGAGACGGTTGCTAAGAAGCCATTTGGTATTGCCATTCTATGATACTTGAAAAGAGATCACGTATCTAGTACTCTTCAACAACGACTTCAATACAATATAATTCGTTGGCAATGTGAGGAACTTGCGTCAAGTGAGGTGCCTTGACCATATTTGACATTTGACCATGATGAGCTCAGCCGTGGTTGGCTATCTAGTTACGCTACGGATTTAGGAGATGAAATGTGCTAACTGTTTGATGAATACATTTAAAGGGAGCAAATCAGATGTAATAGGGAATATTAGGTAGTATAACTAACTACATTATAACCAACACAACTGAGCCGTGTTGAGTATACGTCTATTTCCTCATCGATCCGTCAAGGTTCAAACATTTGCGTGCGTAGAGATGCCAAGAATGCTCACTAACTCTTGAGATGAACATCTATAGGCTTACCATCAGCAGCACACTGGTATATAGCCAATAGGACAGCGTAGTTAAACGCAAGCCTCCTAGCTGGCAAGATAACGCTATCGCGACCGGCAACTAGGTCAACGAATGCGAGCAGCGGACGACCGTGGACTTCATCCCACCCAAAAGCAGGGAATTGCTCCAGCCTCTTATCAACTTTGCCCGCCACATCCACGTAGTGCATCAGCTGGACTGAATCGTTCTCAAAAGGAGGACACCACTCCCAGGACAAGCCACCTGTCGAGCCGTCAACGTTCAGTATCGATTGAGATTCGCCGTGAAATCCGCTCGCGCGCTCAAAGTCTAGTGCTACCGTGGCACCATTTTCCAGTTCCAGAGACATTGCTGCACCAACGTGCGACTCCACAGTGATATTACAATCAGGCGGATCAGCTCCTGTTGGTGGTGCGGCGGTATATGCATGGTGGACATGCACCGCAACAGGGCGTAGGACGTCGAACAGCATCGAAAGGTCATAGACACCCCAGTCAAAGGAGATGCCGCCGCCAGCTTGTGTCTTGTCCAGGAACCATTTGCTTTCCGGCTGGAACTCAATACCTGGACGGATTCGAGGGTTCCGGTTAACCAAGCGTGCGTGATAGGGAGATCCAATACCCCCAGACGAGACAATTTCCCGGGCGCGGCCTAAAGCGTCGTTGCACAAGAACCGGACGCTGCAGTCACCGAAATGACGACCGGTATTGCGGGCAGCAGCGAGCAAGTCATCGAGCTCAGCTTGCGATAATGCCACTGGCTTCTCGCACAAGACGTGCCTCTTGGACCGGATGGAAGCCAATGCCGCCGAATGATGCAGCCAAGGAGGCACAGCAACGACGACTATATCGCGATCCTGTGCCGGGGAGCTAGCTAGCATCACCTCTGCGTCTTCAAACACTTTAGCATGAGGAAAGGCTTTTGAGAAACTCTCACGGGCCTCATTTGAGGGGTCGGCAGCAAACAGCTGGTACCTGTCAAGTTTCTTGGCTGCAGCTGCGTGGAGGCGTGCGATGGCACCAGCCCCGAACAGATAGATCCTCCACGGAGCTTCCAAATTACCAGTTGGTTCCAAGGCAACAGGCGATAGAAGTGGCTCAAGGTACTGGATCGCCAGTTGATGGGCTTTCACCCCACTGAGTTCGGCAGGTGTTCCGGCTTCCATTGCTAATTCAATAGTCATAAGGGACTTGACGTGGTTCTTTTCCAGATGTTTAATGAGCGCAGAATAATCTATGTCTCCTGAAGAAATGGTCTCGCTCCAGACGCCATTCACGGACTGTCGCAAGTGGAGGAGGCTGATCCGGTCGGCATACAACGTGATGATATCATGTACAGCTGTTTGGCTATTTCCAGCGCCACGGTAGACCCAGTGTACGTCCAAACAGAGCCCAACTGACGCAGGATCGGAATTGACCATCATGTTGTGAAATTCTCGAGCGCCTCCTTTCATCTCCGGGTCGTGCGTATGGTAGAGCAAACGGCTACCGGAGGCGGACAGGGTTGCACCTAGCTCCTGGAGAGCAATGCTCTGTGTATGCAGTTGAGCGTCCGTCTTGAGCGCCCCTTGAGGGAGCGGGTCGGGGTTGATGATGAGGTTGCGCACTCCAACAGCGCGTAAGGCGTCGGCTATCTCAAGAGCGTTTTCTGTGGCGGCCTTGGCGAGTTCGGGCTCGTGGAAAGCTCCAAAGACGTAGGCTGTGTGCATCTCCAGACCCTGCCTGGCAGCGGCATCAGCGACTGATTGGACTTCTGATGCGCTGCGGAACGCGTGCTCCCATCCACGGACGCCGGCAATCTTGGCCTCAGCCATGGCACGGTCCAAGTCCCAATCATGACCGTCGCGTTCTGCCAGCAGCGTCCAGCCGTAAACGTTGGTTGCGAAATACATGTTATAATTAGAGCTAAGGTATCTTGCAGCAAACTACATCCGAAATCGAACGAGAACTCGAAGAGATGCTCGAGGCGATGTTAAATACTCAATCGATTCATTGGTGTAAAAAGAGTACCGTATCCAGTCCAGCATCGGCACCAACCCTTTGCTCAGTACATCAATATACTAACCGCGCTCACCCGAATACTAGGTAGGCTGCTATTCTGTCATCTTGGGACGCTCTGATGTTAGGGCGCCGGGAAGGGTTTCCTAAAGCGAAACGCTATCTCCATGTTGATCACATACAGTATGTAGTTCAACTATTTAGCGTGGAAGCCTTGCCCCAGACGCTACTGTAGCTTGCCCTGGGTGGTACTTTACCCCATGATGCTAGCTTGCCCCAGACGCCAGCATTCTTCGGGAGCAAATTTTGGGTGAGCTTGGAGGAATCAGGATCCGTCTCCATAGGAAGCGCCTAGTAAGGAGAGACATTCCGACACGTGGCCGGGCCTCACTACTACTTTTGGTTGGACGGGTTATAACCAAATCTAATAGAGCAGCAATGCTTGCAACAGATTCGGTTCTTTGATTGTGAACTTACTGCATTCATACCCTATCGCGGGTTAGGCGCAATCATTGGAGATCGGAAACCGTATCCTGTTGCGTCATCTTTTGCACGTCCGCACAATTGATAATATCCTGCTTCGGAGTAATGTGAGAACATGTTCTTGTCATCTCTATGCTGAATTCAGTTATTCATAGTTCCAACTTGAAACCAAATTACATCATGATCCACAGTGAAATTCTGCATCTTGTAATCCCATATATCAGAGCAACTTGCCTATTCTACTGCTAGATTTCTGAAAGTAAGTATAAGCATATGCACCGAGATACATATTTGTATTACACAAATCAGCGGCTTCTACGATGCCTCATTCCAAGGTTCCGACCACAGCCTCCTCTCACACTATTCACGGTGTCCAGCTTCACGTCAACGACGGCCTTCTTGCACCTACTGATGTCTGTGAGATGCGAATCTCTTACCCAACTGAACCTATCAATGAGCTCTATCGCCGTTACAAAGACGACGGGTACGTATTGCTCAAGGGTCTCCTCCCGCGCCAGGATGTTTTTGCTGCTCGCGAAGCCTATTTTGCCTCACTTGCGTCCACTGGTATCCTCCAACCAGGGACGGCAGCGGTTGATGGCATATTCAACTCATCTGCCTCGACTTCCGATTACCCTGGAATTGGAGCAAGCAGTTTGGACGTAAAGACTGATACAAATAATCCAGCTGGACGATTTGTGGAAGCTGCTGTCAAGACTCACACGGAGCCATGGTACAACGGCTCAGAAAAGGATGGTATTGCCGGATTCTGCAACCACCCAATTCTCCGAGACTTTGTGGCCAATATCGTAGGCTGGGGGAAAGATATCCTAACTGTGCGGCGCACCTTACTCCGCAATAATACGCCAGGCAATCGAGCCATAGGCGTTCATTATGACCAGATTTTCATGAGATACGGCGAACCCACGGCGGTAACTGCATGGGTTCCTATAGGAGACGTGCGTATCGAGGGAGGCGGTCTAATTTACCTCGAAGGAGGAGACCAGGTAGGGCGGGAAATGGAAGAGGAATTTTCTCGCAAGGCCAAGGCGGCGGGGATGAGCGATCAAGAGACGCGGAATGCCTTTAACGCTAATATGACGAGCACTGGCTTTCTGTCCGAGTCACCGCGTGAGTTTGCAAGGGATCGAGGAAGGAGGTGGTTGGTCTCTGCCTACGAAGCTGGGGATGTCGTGCTGCATACTCCGCATATGGTATGGCTTTTCCACACAACAGTTACATTTTGTCAGGACTAACATTAACATCAGATCCATGCCTCTACCATCAATCATGATCCAGAGGGCCGAATCAGACTCGGGACAGATTTGCGATTTGTTAACTCCAAACGCCCGTGGGATAAGGTATGAACTGCTTCTATTGGCCTTTCCCTGGTTATACTAACATGCGAAAGCGCTGGGATAAAGATTTTGCCTTGGATGATGGTCTGTAATATTCCGCAGCTCAGCATTAACAGTGTATACTGCTGCTATTTACTAGCTAAATGCTTAAACAGGAAGCTATAAAAACTCAAAGGTTATTAGAATATATTTCGGTAGTATTGGGGGAGAAAGTATTGTACATGTGTATTTGAACCAATATTTGTCACTGATGAGAGTCTTTGGAAATACAATGACTGAATACGAAACGCTAAGTAGGAGAAGGAAGCGGAAGCATTTTCCAATAAAGTGTATCATACTGAACTGAAAAATTGAATAGTACATAGGCGTTATAGAGTCAGAACAACATACCGTAGCTCGATACATTATTCTATATCGAGAAGTTTAAAGTAAAGGTCTAATGCAGTCAGTAAATTATAACCAAAGGATGAAAGAACTCTATACCTCCAATAGCCCATTGACGGCTTAATAGTTTCATTGCTCCCCTGACGTCTTCTATACACTCATGATACAATAAGGAGTTGTTATCTTTCTGGAAGACATTGCAAGCAACTATGCAACGATACATCCAGTCCAGGACAAGAGGAGACGGGTGGCGTGGAGCAGATGGCCAGCAGTCCAGTATTCGACGAGCGACGGAAAGTACCGCTTGCGAATTGGCTTCAACTGCCATATTATAGCTTTTTCTATAAGCCTCTACAGGGCTCGCAGCCAACGTGCTAGAGAATTCCCCTGATGGTTCCGAATGAAGGGTTAACAGCGCACTGTTTGCGTTAGCAAAAAGATTGATCAGGTGAGAAAGAACAAGAACAAGAACAAGAACAAGAAAACTATGCCAGGCAAATCGTCAGAGGAAATGACATACCTCCCCAATAACGCCATGGGAGAACAAAAGGCCGTGTCCGTGTCCGCCATCTCCTCAGCCACAGTTAGTGACAAGAGTGAGCGAAGGGCCCGATCTAGGGCCTCTCTTTCTTCTGACAAAAAAGCCTCGTCTGTCGTGGGATCGCGTATATGCCGAAGAACGCGACCAAGCAAGTGTGTTGCTTGAGCCAGTCTTGCGAATTTTCCCATCTTGACCTCAACAGGCGTCGAGAGCCTGTGAGGAGGCCCGCTTATTCGTGTCTGGTTTGCAGCGGTAAGTATGTTGTTTTCTCTCTGCTACTATTTGTAAAGTACAGCTCTAGGATTGGTACGCACTCCTTGATTCCAGTCATCGTCTGCCATGGGTAAGTACTGCATCTGTATTGGGTCTGGGGTACATAAAGCTCTCTTAGGACAGCCAATGTTGATGAATCTTATAATTGGATTTGTCAGACTGGGTTATGCCAGATCACGTCTTGGGGAAATTTATGTACCTGTCAAGTATGAGCACAGCCCACCAGGCTCGGTGCTTTTCCTCCATCATAACCCAATCAGGTGCATTGTAATCCCAGTTGAGTATTTCTCTATCCAGGTCTAATGCAACTGCGTATCTAGCACAATTGCCAATCGTGAGATATGCAGCAGGGTATATGCCGTTGCCGACTTCATAGAGCGTGGTTAGTAATAGAGCCTGTAGTACCGTGATATTCAAAACGCCAGCTTGCTCTAGCTGCATAAATGCCTGCCTGATCGAGATATATCCTGCGTCCGGGGCTTGTATGCCATTAGATGAACGAGATCCTAGAATCTGCATGCACATGGCAAGGAGAGAGATTTCAATGTCTGCTTCAACGGAACCATGTAAAAAGCTGCCGTAAAACTTGCTCCGGTTGATAATGGGAAACCAGAGATGCACCGAAGTGAAATACTTATTCGCAATTTGACGAATCTCGTCGGTGCTCTTCAAACCATTAAGTACAACAGACGATGGTGGTAGATGCCCCCTTTCTATGCTCATATGGCAGTCGTTGAATACCCGGCGATCAAAAAAGTATGTCGCAGGAAATCGGTTTATAGGGATATCTGGCAAGAAGCTCTGTGGCGACTGAGCTTGTGGTGAAGCTGGCATAGACCCAGGTGGATATTCACAAGGTCGATGAGTCCTGGGTAAGAGATTTGTCAGGCACAATTGAAATGAAAGTATGGAAGATAGACCCCGGATAAGATGGCATAAGCAATAGTATTTCTCTCACCTGGTGCACAATGAGCATTCGGGTAACACTCTGTCACAACGCCTTTTGAGGCGCTTGCACTGCTGGCATGGGTGCATCGCAGGTCGAATGCGTCTTGCGGTGTAGGACATTGAGCTCTGTACTTCCATTCTCTCTGATGCGGTGCTATTTGGAATCTGTTACTCTCTCATCAAAGACAGGTGTGTTGTTGAAGAAGCGGCTGAACGCGGAAAGTGCGGCGACTGCGGATGAGCGCGGGAGATATATTTCCCCAGGTTGTACTTCTTTACAAGACTATGGGGGAAGTGTGGAGTGTGTGGGGTTTTAGAGCAACCAAGAGCGACTGATTTATACGAGTTATATCCACTTGCTACCAATTCCATAAGCCACATCAGCCATAGTATCGTACTACAGCAATAAGACCTACACCGGCGAACATGTTGATTAACAATCAATCTATTTAGAAAGCCTCGAGCCTAAAATAGCGGCGTGGGGAGGGCTGCAGTTGCCGGGTTTCCCCAGAATTCCGAAAGCTGGTGTAGTCCTAGTAAACATCAGGTCCGTGTATTGACATAACATACATGTAGTTAACAAGCCTTTTATATCTCAATTCGACGTCTTCTCTATCATGTTTCTTCCAACAAGTCCATCGTCAATTACAATCTCTCTATTGAATTACTACAATGACGGCCACAATTGCCACGTTTCTAGGATGCAAGGGACGAGCACTCCGTTTCCTTCAGATCTTCTTTGTCGTCGCACCCGCATTTATATGCTATGGCTTCGGGCAAAATAGTGTCGGCAACCTTCTCACTGTCGACAGTTGGACTGAGACATTTCCACGAATCGACACAGTTCATGTGACGGGTGCCCAAAAGTCCAATAATACAACGGTCCAGGGTGCCATCGTTGCTCTGTTCACGGCGGGCGGCATGTTAGGCGCCCTCAGCTGCTCGTATATAGGAGATAAACTCGGGAGACGGAGTACCATCTTCCTTGGTGCTGTCCTGATTACTATTGGACAGATCCTCGAGGCTTCCGCTTTTGGGCTACCACAACTCATTGTTGGCCGACTCTTGCTTGGCCTAGGCGCCGGTGTGCTCAGTGCCACGGTACCAGTTTGGCAATCAGAATGTGCCCTGCCTCGAAGCCGCGGCCGACACGTTGTGCTCGTTGGCCTCTTTATCAGCTTCGGCTATGTTTTGGCTTCCTGGGTGAGCCTAGGCTTCTTTCAGATCAAGAACAGCTCGGTGGCATGGCGGGTGCCTCTTGCAATTCCGAATGTTTTGTCCATCACCATCATGTCAACCATTTACTTCTTGCCAGAGTCTCCCCGCTGGTTAATGAGACATGACCGTGTTGAGGAAGCCCGGCAGGCACTTTCTGCTTTGCGAGATAGTTCTGGAGATTCCAATGAAGTCACCGCAGAAATTAGACTCATTGAAGCGGTGCTAGAGACCACTCAGACGAGCATCACCTGGAAGTTTTTACGAAACGGTGGGGACAAAATTGCATATCGACTCATGCTCTGTCTACTCATTCAATTCTGGCAAGAGTTGAGCGGTAGCACACTCGTAGCCATCTACGGCACAATAATCTTCCAGCAGAATCTCCAACTTGACAGTCAGTTGTCACGGATTCTCTCAGGCGCGGCTGTTTCTTGGAAGTTTTTGTCTGGGTTTGTCGCCTTTGCTACAGTCGACCGCCTTGGACGTCGTGGCCTCTTCATGATTAGTGGCACTGGCATTGGTCTTTGTATGATGGCACTAGCTATTAGTACATCGTACCCGAAGGAAAATCATGCCGCTTCGGTGGCTTCAGTCTTCTTTCTCTTCTTATTCAACTTTTTTGTCCCGTTAGGCTTTCTCGGAGTCAACTACTTATACTGCTCTGAAGTATCGCCAATTCGATTTCGCACCCCGATGGTCTCAATCTCAACGGCTAATCACTGGATGTGGTATGTATCTTTTTTGGCAAACCTTCCTGGTACTCGTTCATACATGCTTACGATTACTAGGGCGTATGTTATTACAATGGTGACTCCCGTGGCTCTTGATACTATCGGGTACAAATACTACATTATATTTTGTCTTGTGTGCGCTACGATCCCTCCGACGGTATATTTTATCTTTCCGGAGACAAAAGGACAAAATTTGGAAGATATTGAACGCATCTTCCAAGAGGCTGATAATCCCCGACAAACTGTTGCTCTGGCCCGCCAATTGAAGCACACTACCCACCGCATAGATGTCTTGTGCAAAAGCGGTGGAGCTGTCGCGGAAACCGTGGAGAATGTAGAAGACCCTGAGAAATAAAAGAGAATGAAACAAAATTTGACACTGAAGACGAGAGTATAGTAGCGGTACATCTAAGTTTGATCATTGGTTTCTATGATATTTAAACAGTCCAATAATCTACCTGAATTTATATGTATTTCATTCATCGAAATCCAGTGCAGTCTTTATTTTTTGTTCGACAGGAAGTTACCAGCCCCAATATTACCGCTCTACAGTAATACACTTGAAGATGAAATAAGGTATGGTAGATCAATACAAACAAGCAAGAAACAGACACATGCAAAAATTTACTTCGCCACTGCCGGCCTTTGTAGCGCATTTATTTTGTTAATTTAAAATAGAGTAAACAATAATTGTAATAGCCTATATGATACTCTGACCTTTAGTAAATTAAGCTACATGTGTCTGCTCTTCATATTGTCTGATCTGTAAAGTAGTGACATGTCTTTTAGCGAGGATTTCCGTAAACTGTGGAAAGCTATTATTGTGTACCCAATCATATACTCAACTAATGTGTAGTCCCCAAGTCGCGGAAGACTCGGAAAGCACGCAAATCGCGGAAAATGCGGAAATCGCGGTCATGCGGGAACTCCTCCGCCACTAGCCAAGTACTACTCCGTAGTAGCTCTTACGATAATCGCACTGGAACTTTGCTCGGGCTTTGCTCTGAGGTGTATAGCGTGTTTAATAGCAAAAGAATAAGAAGAAGAAAAAACGGGGAAGGGCCTTTGCCTGGCATGTTGGCATGTTTATTTAAGTCATGTAAGCGCATCATTGTGACTGATTTCAATCTGAGTGATTTAGACTTGTCAATCACACAAAAAAGACAGCATCAGAAGTTACATGACAAAAACCTTTCAGCACAATAGCAAGCAGAGAAGCCACCATGCCGCTGTACGACGTCGAATACGTTACCCACTTAACTCCTCGACAGCAGGAGCTCCTCGCCAATGCCTTCACAACCGTACATTCAAAGCGATTTAACACACCACGATACTTCGTCAATGTCCGTTATACGGACGTCAGCCACCAAATCGTCTTTCGAGGCGGTGTACGCAGAAAGTATAACCGTCTCATCCTCCGCACTCGAGCTGGTAGCAACCGCTCCAGTGAGGAGTACCTAGAGCACTGCAAAGACCTTGTAGGCGAGTGGGAGAAAATTGTCGGCACAGATGGCGAAATGGGTCTTCGGACTGTTTGGATCAATGGGACATTGACGCAAGCTCTAGAGGCTGGAATTGGCAGACCAAAGGTATGTACGATTTAAACCTATGATTGGAGAAGATACTGACTATTTACTCTGATAGACCGGAGAGGAGGATACATGGATTGAAGAAAACATGCCTCGCTTCAAAGAGCTAGCTGCAGCAGGAGATGAAGACTTTATAGAATTGATGAAAGAACTTGAGGGCCGTGGAAAGCTTTAGGTAATGAAGATGGCTTGAACTCGGTTCGTCACAAAAGAGCATTTAGAGCCTAATTCCTCTGGTTATGGCAAAGAATCTTTAGAACAATTAAGTCAGTTGAAACTTAAACCTTGCCAGTATCTCTGGCCGCGCATTAAAACTCGATGCATTGCAAACTGCATCTCTTTCAGGATCCCGTACGTTTTTGATCCTATCCAATATTGACGCCTACTAGCTTACCCCCAGCCTACCATATAGGCACAATGTAATTATAACTATTTGGCTATATAAGCTCCTTATTCCTGTTGAATATTTTCACTATATCTAAATATTTCGCTCTGCATCGACGGCCAGATAAAGTGCCATGGGTACCTCAAACTATACTTGAGGAATTCGAGCTCACCAGTACCAGGCTTTAAAGAGCAGAGCTGAATGAAGAATGATACTCCCATAAGCACGACAAGGTATAATTTATTATTCATAATATTAAACGCATTCTCGTTGTCGATTGTATCGGAATCGTGTGTCGTCAGAACGTAGAAGCCCCAAATTAGCCCAAACGCAGTAAACACGACGCCGGTGATATTCGCCACGTGAGTAGCTCGCCGCACATTACGCTCCGCGATATGGCGTTTGCTATCACGGCTTGCGTAATAATTACCGAAGCAAAACTGAACAATAATAACAACGGTTGCAGTTTCTTTGAGAAGACCTATGGACCCGTTAAGCCACCCATGAAGCCGTACATGATTATAGTATCCGTGAAAGAGCGTAAGTAAAATCAGCAAAAAGTATTGGTAATGAATGGCGTTTTGTTGCTGTGATGCGTCTTTCACTGGATTGCCCATATTGTGCGACTTCTGAGTTGAACTTTTGAGGTCAAATGTCGTGGCAAGAAGCAAAGGGTAAATAATATATTGTGCCAATAAATGAAAGATGCCGTGATTCTAAAGTCAGTAATCCAAGACCAGATCAGCTTTTGTCGACCGATAATTATAAGCGACTGGGACTTACAAAGAATGGGTATATTAGACTGAAGTCTGTTGAGGCAAGTTTACATGGAAGAATATTCATGTTAGTATGTCGGCGGGGGCTATGGCCTTTATACTGGAGTCAAAAGGCCCCACTACTTACGTGGCTGAATAATTATACAACTCGTATAGAATCCTTCGTTCTGGTTTGCACGTGAAACTACATGTTGGTCGTCACCGAAAAATAAACTATCTACCATTATAAATTCACTGCGTCATAAAGACTTCGGTATTATCAAGTGGATTTATGTAACACCGCGGGATTTCTTATAGGGATTTGGAGTAAGAGCCTGCCAGTTCCGAGGCCGCTTGTCCTCCATCCAGGGATAGACATCTTGCAAATTGGAAACGAATTGATAACTTCATTCATTCAATGTCAAGACTTAGGGACATCGGTCTTGGGGACATCGAATCAAATGCCTAGCGTTCAGTACGATGTCGAATCTGCAAATTCATGCGGCTGGCATCGAATCTATCACTTGCGCCTTCCATTCGCATTGCATCTAATCGAGAGATTCCTTCGCTTTCAACTGGTTCAATCGAGTCGTTGGATCAGGGCAAACTATATCCTTTACCCGTAAACCGCCATTTTGTGCTTTAGCGGGGTCCTTGACTATTAGGGTTCGCAAAACCCTCACAGGCAAATCCTTCCCCTTTTACTAGCTTTGTGCTAAACGCAATTTGAACAATTACAGCAGTATTTCTCTTAGAAACAGATGATTCATATTAATCTATGGAAACACAATATTGAATCTACCTTAACCAATGAAAATACCTTCCAACTGCTGCGCAAGTCTACCATCATCAAAATGCTTACCACCCTTTGGCCGCCCAGCCATCGAGACTACATCCCTCTCGTCAAACCCCTCCCATATCGTAGCTGTATCCGTCGGACTCGTTAGCAAAACCTTGGTATGGGTTTGGACCTTGATATCCCGCGTCAACGACAGCACCTCGTACAGCACCCTTTCCACCTCCAGCTCCTGCATAAAATCCGGATCATCATATGCATTGACGCTATCGAGCACGCAAATAAGCGTCACCTTACTCTGCACTCGGCGCACCAGTCCGACGAACAGCCGGCACAACTGCTCAACATCGTCCTCCAAGGCATCCAGATTTACGTCCCGGATCGCGAACCCGAGGTCTGCGCCGTCAAAGTGATACTGGTTCAAAAGCTGCACTATGAGACTCTTGATGATGCCCATCCCGCCCACCAGCGGATCTCTGTCATCTTTGTGCTCGCTGCAGAAAAAGGCCAGGGTGCAGAACCGTTGGTCCCGTCGCAGGCTCCGCACGATGGCGGCGCTGAAGAGCGAGAGGGCCGAGACACTTGTCCGGCTTGGCTTCATGTGGCCATGTACGAGAAGCTCAGTCGATCGCGTCTGAACCACCCACTGCTGAAACTGGGGGTAATTGATGAGTTGCTCGGCGCGGCCCTGGTCGCGGCGATTGACGTGGACGGCTGAGTCGGAGATGTTGGTTATATCTGTTTCTTCCCCGCTATCGGGCACGTTTATTATTTGCAAGAGTTGGTCCAGCGATATGGGCGCGGGTGATAACAAAGGGTGCCGCCCGCGACTGCGTGAGCGCTCTTCTCGCAACGCGGAGGAAAGGCGCTCGTTTTTTACCATGAGCTTGGCGTTTAAGTGTTGAGCTCTCTCCAGATCTACAGCATGCCATTGTTTAGTATCTGGTACAGGCGCGGGAATCTGCACTCACCGCTTTTGGCAACGAAATATTCCTCGGATAGTTTAAGAAAGCTGTTTAAAGCCGTGGCAGAGATTATGGCGTTGGCCATGTTTGCAGCGGCGTTTCTCTCGTTGGCAATGGCGTTTCGTTGGTTGGATGCGGCCTCCCGGCTCAAATCCGTGGCCAATTTCTCCTGCCTTCTGGCAATCTTGCGGCCGGATATGGCCATTTCTGACTGCTTGTCTGCCAATCTCTTCTGTTCTCTCGCCACTTTGAGCTGGCCCAGTTGCAGTTTCTTCAGTTTCTCTAGCCCTGAAAACACCTGTCAGATACATTCGTGGCAAACCGCGGATGCTGCTGTTCACCTTCCGACATTTTTATATTTACTGAACGGGTTACGCGAATGTGAGTTAAATTGGCCTCTTCAATCAGCCGTTTGCTGCTCGAGTTAATCCCGGCTAGGCATTCAGAGAGATCGGCCTTGTATTCGTCCTTCTTCCACAAGACAGTGGCGGTCACCCTGAGTCCTTTTTTGCGTCTCAAGTCAGCACGACCGTTTGCATTGATGGACGAGTTTTGCATGCTAAGACGCTATACCTCTCTTTGACGAGTAGTAGAGAACAATGTCTTCCAACGCCTGGAGTACCGACACGAGCACGTTCATAGCCACAAGAATGATATGGTCGTCATCGTCGGCGCAAAGCGCAACGACACGCTCCACGTCTGACAGCTTCTCTCGCATTTGGCGCAGGGTTTCCTCAACCTCTTCTCGAATCTCGGCTGTCCTTTTAGCTGCCTGCATCATGTGAGACACTCAGGCCCGATGAGACAGGTATGGAAAACAAAGGGGGATGATTACATCGAAAATGACATCAAACACACAATGAATTACCGACGTATACTCCGAGTCCGGTAGAAGCGAAAAGAGCGTCTTCCCTTCGTTGGCGTGGTCGGCAAACTTGTGGCCCGTCTTCTTCCAGAAGCCGATGAAGCCCGAGTAATTGTAATATTTTGCTCTGGCTACCTCGAGTGTGTTGACAATCTCGGGCCATCCCGCCGCGGCGCGGATGCTGTTGGGCGTGCCAACGAGCCCGACGGGTTCATCGCGAATCGATTTGAGCTTGGCCATTGCCTGGAGTAGCATCTCGTCCCAGAACGGACGTCGCGGGGGGTTGGATGAGGGGTTTGTTGATTGTTCGGGCAGCAGTTGAAGCTGCTTCTGGTTATCTGCCAATACCGCTTGACTCATGTTGCCGTCTTTCGGGAGTGGCGCGTAGAGTCCGAGGGCGGTGTTGAATCTCACTTGCGGATTGGCAAAGGCTTCGTGATACTCTGGTAGGCGAGTCTCGTTGAAGTCCAAGCACGGTTGTATTTTACGGAGTTCCTGAGCGGCGAGCAACCTGTCCGCCATGGAGCTTTGATGCAGGGAGGATGGTGAACTGGCTAGATGAGACTAGAGGCTTTGGGAAGTGGTCTTGAGGCTGTATCAAGCAAAGCTCTGGGGCTGGAGGGCCATGAACCGGACAAGGTCCCCCATTGGGTCAATTTGCTGGAATATGCGCGCAGGTGCAGAACAAATCGGAAATAAAGACCTGTCATCCCATTAACCCTGTCAAAAAAACAGCTGCTTACCCCCGCTTCTGGTTATCGGCGCAATCTCTTCAATATTTTGATGAGTCTAGCGACTTCACACGGTTCTTGACGGTTCTATAGCAGAGGGCGACTGGGATGCGGGGTTTATCCACTAAACGCCTCTATGATTTGGTGCCACTCACCTGGACAGTGGACATGCAGCTTTACAGAGGCCCTCGCCCTGGAAAATAGAGGCACCACTGCCGCTAGAGCAGCGAGGATTGCCTTTACCGAAAATGTCCAGTGACGACACACTCGACGTCTGTGGCTGCAGCTCGACAAGAGACACTAACAAGAGAGGAGAGCGATTATGGACACGATGAAAATGCAGGTTGACGACGATCCAGAGTGAAACGCGCAAATGTCGCCTTGCACCCACAGATTCGGAACGCAGCACGACTGGACCGCGTCTACTGTAGGGTAAGACAATCCAATGCAAATGGGGATTAACCAAGGAGGTATGACGTAGCAATGCTTCCGCAGCTCGACGCAAGAAAAAAGTACCTCCGTCATGCAGAAACAAAAGAGACGACCGCGATACTGGCACTGGGGGGTCGTCAATTACCTCAAAACACCAAACGCATCAGAGGAAAACCGTGTCAGCCTCTAAACGGCTGTGGCGACGCCTCCAGCGCGTGGATCTACTGCTAAGTAAGTTCGAAACGGGCCGGCCCGCGTTTATGACGGTCCCGCCAAGGTCAAGATTCGTCGTCCTCATGACATCTCCAATGAAACCTCGTGATCCGGACCTCTGAGTATGGAATCCAGATTAGGAGGAGCTGCTTGTGGCCTAAAGTCGCAACGTTTTCTCAGAAGCTGCTTGAGCGGCAGAGACTCGATCGTGCATACGAGTACTGCATATTGTCGCTCGGAATTGGCGTACTCGTTCCCTCACTAAATCATGGAGGGGCTGCTTGTTTGTTTGTTTGTCTTCCATCTTTTAGTGACCCCCGCTAAAATAGAGGGGCTGCTTTGGCCTCATTGTTGCGGGCATGGCGGGGTACGAGTAGGTACATGAACCTACCTGAACATGGGTGCCTGTGTACCTACAGCTAGGTGGAGGCTACTACCTACTAGCAGGTAGCTCTGCGGGGTACGCCAGTACTGTACAGTTGAGGCTTATCTCAGTCAAAGGCTTCAATGGATCTAGCGGTCGATAGCGGGCTGCCATATGCTGTAACAGAGCTGGAGGCATGCAGCTGCAGACAGAAAACGGCCGCGTGCATGGGAGTCCATCCCATGAATGGCTGAAGGATTTCGTTTAACGGTACTCCGCAGTAGAGCAGCAACGAAATGTCACCCAATCACTACCATATGCTGGCTTGTTGCAGCAGCTTGTGAGGAGATAAGAAGAGCCGCAAGTCGCATATGCCAATCGCCAATCGCAGCAGCCGATTCAATACTGAGAGCCTTTTCAGCTTCAGTACTTATCCAAGATTGACAGGAAGGCGCAGCTTCATTCATCTCGGAAATGCATTATTCCGCTCGAGGAGCTGCATCTGTACCGGAGGACACCTACTAGGTATTTTCAGTCCTTCATGCCAGCTCTTTGTGGTTCTTGACATCGACTCGTCATCCGTCTTGTCGAGCATATTTACTTCAGCCGACATCGCAAACACAGCTCGACACTCATCTCAACCATGTTGGACGATGACAACGTCCCCCCGCCTCAGCTCCAAAGTCCTCTTTCCCCGGTACGAAAGGACGGCGTGACCACCATACCTCTCGAGCAATCGCCCGACCAAAGAGCAGACTCAGATTCACCAACAAAGTCAGCGACAGCGACGGTGCCCGGTCTTGATCCGATCTTTTCGTCGTCGTCCGAATCATCCACCAAACCCGTCAAGAAGAAAGATAACCGGCCCCTTCCCGCCAATTCCACAGAACAAGAGCAGACACAGAGGGTGAACCTGGAAAAGGCTGAGGATAGTGCTGATTTGAAAGCACAAATCCAGCGACTCAATGACAGGCTCCGCGAATTTGAAGACTCAGGTCGCACCAAAAAAGGCCCAGAGACGGAGGACCTGCATCCAGACGAAGACTTGGACTTTGCGCAATGGGAGGGGATTTCGGGTCTTCGCGCAAACGAGTCGGTGGGGGGGTTGCCGCTCCATCGAAACCGCCGTCCCAAAGCTCACGAAGAGATGATCGCCTCCGGGACACTGATGGCGGAACTCGAATTCAATGCCCGCATGGAAGCACGCCGGGAAGCACGCCAATTTCACTTTGACAACACGTGCGATCTCGATGAAGAGAGCGAAGAAGAGCCCGAAGAAGCGAGCGAACAAGACACGGAATCAAATGCTGTCCCGCTCAACACCTCGCAGCTTAATTACGTGACGTGGGAGACTTTTCAGCGCCTTCGCAAGAGAGAGAGCCCATTCGCCATTGACGTCCTCGTTGGCGAGCCCGAGCCCAAAGTCACATCCATGTTCCCTGGCTTTTTACAACCCACCACGGGCGGGCGGGCCAGGCGTGGTGCACAGGCGGCTCAGGCGGCTCATGCTAAGGAGGGCAGCGCCGTGCCTCTCAAGAAGACCCCGACTATCCCCGCAGCGATGCCGTCCAACCATGCCCAGCGACACAAGATGCCGGGGAAGCCCGTTGCTCGGGGCCCAGGGCCGCTGCCGGAGCGCATTCGCATCAACTCTCCCGCGATTCTCAAACTTCTTGATAAGATATCCGGAATGAGAGATGGGGATGAGTCGGAGTCTGATAAGTCGGATTCGGGCAAGGAGGATGTGGACACACCCGATCCCGTTCTTATGATGCGACCGTTCCGTGCTTTGGTCTACTACAAGGATGAAATTCGGAACTGGAAGGAGAGACTAGAGGCCAATGTCAAGGGGCCAGTCGAAGTGAAGATATCAGAGCCAGAGGCAGAATTAGGCAAGGAAATAGAGCCAGAAGCCAATGACCGACCCGATGTTGCTGGCCAGGAGGGGGAAACGTCCAAAACAAAGAGCGACGACGCAGGCTCAGAACCGGAAGACCAGCCCCTAGAAGATGAAAAACAAAGTTTCGACCCTATCCTGAGCACCAAAGAGGCAGTAGACGACATCACCTGCCTCGTCGAGTTTATAGACAACGAGCTGGAAGGCAGGATCGCCTACCTCGAGAGCAACGACTGCCAACGAGTCGCCTTTAGCGATATCTGGCTCCTCTTCAAGCCGGGCGATTTTGTGCTAAGTAAGGACGGGAAGCAGGCGTACCGCGTCATCAGTGCCGAGCATTCCAAGCATAGCATGAAACTGCCGTCGCCCCGGGACTTTTGGATGTACGGTGCGAAAGCAAGGCTGGAAGACTTCCCCATCAAGATCCAGTGCGTCTACGTCGACTTTGACGGGGAGCAAATTGGCCCCGTCCTACAGACCTTTTCTTTCTACCGGTTTGAAGGAGAAAAGAACATCCGGTCGCTCGACATCATCCCCCTCCGTCTTGCGAAAAATGCCAACAAGCTGCAAGAGACGCTCATCAAGCGTGGCTCAACCTTCATCGAGGCGTGTGGTACTGGCCGTCACGGAATCCCCATGCATTATTCTGGACTCACGCTGGACACCAAAGAGGAAGTAGATAGTCAGGTCGTGCTTGACTTTGAGGAGGCCTTTGCCGTTCACGACGGAAATAAAAGGAATACGAAGCGGTCCGGCATGACGACAGAACAACTCATTCTAGAGATCCTGGCCCAGGAGATGAAGGATGACATCAAGAAAAAGGGGCAAGATCTTATTGTTCTTCACGACTCGGAAAACTGGAAACCAATCATCAAAGACATCGATATCCAAAATGATGAGGTTGACGATGGAAACGCCAGCGACTATTCCGACTCGGACTCGGACCGGCCTCGCGCAAAGAACCTGAAATGCATCCCGGAGTGCTGTGCCAATGAGATTGTCTACGATGATACTTACGCCGAGCATCGTCGCAGCAACGAGTTTATTCAGGACCAGTTCCGGGAACAAGGAACTGGATCCCTAGCCATCTCGTCGCGGCCGCTGAAGGAGTCTATGGAGGACAAAGACTTTATTAGGGACAGTGAGAGGCTGATTATTACGTACCGCGTGTTTGGGTTCATTATGCGGAGTAGAAAATGGGGTGGGTTTGTCACTCGTGTTCATGGCTTCACGGCGTGCTAACAGAAGCTTCAGCTCAGCTAGATCTGACCTATCTCGGGCCGGCAAAGGGGGAGAATACGTTTGATCTTCTGGTACTGCCCCCTGGCCATAGGAACATGGTCGAGAGTCTGGTCACGCAACACTACCTGGACAAGGCATCGGCATCTGATGAGACAGACGAGATGGATATTGTTCGCGGAAAAGGTACTTGGCCTCAGTTGCAGTCCTTCATGACAGGGACGAAGCTCACACAAATATAGGCAAAGGCTTGATTATTCTTCTTCATGGGGCTCCAGGGGTAGGAAAGACAACCACCGCAGGTTAGTGTTACTCTTCCTCCTCACCAGCTCTCGATCCACACCTTCATTTTCAGCGGCGGACCAACTGACAAAATAGAATGCGTCGCCACTTATTTCCAAAAGCCTCTATTCCAGATAACCTGCGGTGTGTAACCTCCATTCCCCTATCAATCTCCGAACATGACACCCATACCAGTTAGGTGACCTAGGATCAACTGCCGATGTAGTCGAGCGCCGTCTGGAAACAAACTTTGCACTCGCAAGTCGATGGGGCTGCATCCTCTTGATCGATGAAGCCGACGTCTTCCTTGAAGCTCGTCAAACCGAAAACTTTGACCGCAACAGTCTCGTTGCAGGTACTGCTCCCCCCCCTCTCCCCCCCCTCTTACGCTCTCTCCAACCCTCCTAACGCTACACAGTCTTCCTCCGCACCCTGGAATACTATACTGGCATCTTGTTTCTCACCACCAACCGCGTCGGCACCTTCGATGAAGCGTTTACCTCGCGTATCCATATCTCTCTCTACTACCCACCTCTTGACGCAGCCTCGACCCTAGCTGTCTTCCAAGTCAACTTGGACCGTATCAAGGAGCGCTTCCGCAAGAAGAAACAGCGCGGTGTTGCCGAGCTTGAGCTCGACGAGCGATCCATCAACAAGTTCATCCTCAACTACTATGCCCGCAACGAGGAGGCGAGGTGGAATGGCCGGCAGATCCGCAACGCGTGCCAGACGGCACTTGCGCTCGCCGAGTTCGAGGCGCAAAAGGCGGCAAACCCGGGCATCGCGGACGGGCGCAGCGTTATGAATATTGCGGCTGCGTCGAGCAATATGATCAAGGTCCAAATGACGGCCAAACACTTCCGGGACGTGGCAAAGGCGTATCTGGCTTTTATGAGGTATTTGAAGGAGGTGCATGGGATGAGCGCTGCGCAGCAAGCGAGGAGTTTTAGGTTGAGGCATGATCGGTATGGGCTGGGGGAACCATTTGCTGGGTCGGGCCTGTTGGCTTCGAGGCAGAGGGGGAACGCCGGTGGCAGTGGTGGTGGAGAGAGACAGCGGAAGCCAGTGCAGAAGCAGGGCTTGGGGAAGAGGGCGACGCAACCGCCAAGTTTGAGGGTGAATGATAGGTATACGGAGGAGGATTTTGGGGAGTATGAGTATGGTGAGGAGGATTTATACGAGGAAGAGCAAGAGGATGATGCGATGCGGAGTGAGGGGGAGGAAGAGGACGATGCGGAGGAAGAGGAGTATGAGGACGAGCAAGAGGAGGATCTCGAAGATGAGGGGGATGACGCTGATTTTGGTGCCCCGGAGGACGAGCAATCTGCCGAAGAGGACGAGGATGACTACTGGGATGAGAGACTTCAAGAAAATAACGAATATCTCTACGAGGCACAACCAAAGGCCAGGCCTCAACCCGTCGGCGGTGGCCGTGGTTCAAATCTGAGGGGCCGAGGGCAGCAACAGACAAAGTATAAGATGACAACAGCAGCTCATCCGCGTACTGATGGCATCAGTCGCGGAAGGGGGGTTGCTACCGCCGCCGGGAGATCGTCTGGTGTATCGACGAAGGTACCCAGAGGGAATCACCCGCCTCTGGGACCGGGACGTGGCAGGGGAATGGGTGCGGTGGCTCGGGGTCGGAGTCCGAGATTGGCAACAAGACATGAGTAACGCGCCGCCCCAACACACTGCTGATTGTTTGCACTCAAGGATTACGTGGTTTTCAAGCATGGTTTTCGCGAATAAAGCCTCTCGGAATCGTTGGATATATTAAAGCGTGCGCGCTAGAATTGCAATTGAACTTCCTTATGTGCGCCAAAGGACCAACATGTGCCTCAAAGACTTGCGCTCGCTTATCTGCTAGGTTCTGTCAATGTCCCCCTTTCCCTCACGGTCCTATTATCACGGTGTCGATATAGCGATCACATATTCACTAGAATCTTAGAGATTTGGACAGAATGGGGAGGAAACGATCACTGGCCTTTTATCAGTGCTTACAGAGCTGCTCCTTCCCCGAAGTATTTCGGTACCATTGTTGGATGGAACATGATATCTTCAAACTCGCGTTGATTCTTTTTTTAAGATATACACGTTAGAAGTCGATGCCCGCTATTTAGGTCCTTCTGTTAACTAAGGTCTCAGAACTCCTTGGATTGTTCAAGGCATAGTCAAATGTAGTGCACAGCCAGTTGGGTATTAGGGAAATGGAGATAGTATGGAATAGTGCATTGTTTTTACATTATTGTTAGGTCACAGCACTTTGGTAAGTACAGAGGCTGGCCAGTCACATGTACCTAGTAGTTGAACAGACCTCCAGATGGATTGCTGTCACACCTCTAACAATGGACGATGCAATCAACCCCACATCCAGCAATGAAGATTCTTAGCCTTCTTTATTTTGCTTTTGCTGAAATTGCTCGGCGACTGTTATTTCTCCCTTCCGAGTTTCATAGGCCCATCTGGTCAGCATGGACGTTGACGGCAAGGAAGTAAGCTGGTCGTCCAAAACATGTTGGCTGGATTTGCAATGGCAATTGTCAGCCGAATGTTTGGAGGGCCCCTTAAGGACTGTAGTTGTTGGACATGTGGTGGATCTATGTAAGCGTCAAAACAAGGTTCTGCCAAATCCATTGAAGGCGGGAAGCAAAAATACCCTTTCTTCGATGTCACCGATCTAACGGGAGGCTCCACCAAATCGGAGGGGACCGACTCAGGCTTCATAATGATTGCGTTAACTAGGTATCGAGTAACTCAGAGTAATGATTATCTTATTGTTCTATTGAACTCATTGCGTGCCAAAGGAGAGAGCATGATGGGGGAATGGCAGTTATATACTTGTTGTGCTCGTAGGGTCCTATTGTGAATGTATGTACAGGTTTGTATGCAGTGAACTTTTGGAGATTTGCAGCTTGGTTGGTCTTTTGTAGGGTGGACTTTAGTTTTGTTCTTGATTTGTATTGACATACATACTCCGTACATAAGCTGTAATATCGGCAAGTTCCTCGTAGGGTACCCAATGAGATTACTGTCCCCCCTGCGCAGTGGTTAGTACCCATGCGATTGTGAGGCTGGTCCAGTGGGCAGACACCAACACCAAAAGTTTCTTTACGCGTCCAATGAGAGGCGAGGTAGTAAGACAATTTGCCACATACCGACTCATTTTAGCCCAGTGCTGCGGTTGTCTCTATGTGGCTTAATGGTGGTGCGCGAGCCATGTTGACCCCCCAGCTCTTCACGCCTCAGACCTAGGCATCGATCCAATTATTCTTATTTTGGTCAAGAACCCTGGAGAGGGACCCCAGCTGTGAGACCTCATGAAGCGCGTTTCTAAAGGCAATGCAGCCAGGGGAAGCTTAAAAGCTCCGAAGTTAAGAAGATCAAACGCCAAGAGCAAGTTTGCAAGTGCAAAGAGCCGCTTACGCCTCTACGGGTGAAACTTGGCCTTGCCATTGGACGCTACCAAAAGACCACCACATATTGTGGGTCTGTCCTTTTGGCTCAGAGGCGGTGGCCTTTTGCAAGGTACGATCATTGGCTAACGATCCCAAGGCACCCCTAATAGGTTGCCTTGCGTGCCTTACAGTCTGCCTCAAAAGCCCGCGGCAAGTGTATATATATACTCGTAGCTCCCGCAGGCCTTGAATTCTTCTTAGACAAACACACTACCAATCCATCGAACTTGTACCGAAAATGTCGAGCAATCCTGAGCCCAATATCAATTGGGATCCGTACATGAACGACATTATCTCTGTTTATATCACACGGAACAAGACCGCCGAGGAAACAATCAAGTATTTGCGCGAAAAGCATGGTTTACATGTCACGTTAGTTGAATAGGGTCACCTACAGCTTCCATCCTAAAGGCGCTAACGTAGATTGCAGCTTGAGGCAGTTCAAGTACAAATTCGGCGGGAAAAAGAACATTACGGAGAAAGAGTGGACTACCGGTATCATTCCAGCAATTAGAAAACGCGCTTTGGAAGGCAAGGAAAGTGATGTCTATTTTCATGGCGATAAGCTTAACCCTAAACGACTCAAGAGAGGCATCGACCGGTACGTAGCCGATGTGAGCCGAGATTTTAAGGATCTCGATACCTCAACAGGTATTCGATTCGATATATTTTCATCTATCCTGAGCCGTCGGCTGACTGTATTTTCAAGTCATCGGACAGAACTTCAGCGATCGCCTCTGCGTTGTGACTCCTCCTTGTCATTCAGCATCGCCACTTATCAACCCTTATCCCGAAATTCATCAGGATTTTGTGGAAGTCGCCTTACCGGAGACACCAGCACATATGCTGCGCTGCGTCTCTTCCGGTTCTGTGGTGCTAGCATCACCTTCTAGGTGGAGGAGTTTCTTTCTGCATGGTTTGCCCCACCATTTTCCCTGAAGAATCTCTACGTGTACTCATACAAGTCTGTGTAACTTTCATAGACGACGGCGATTTGCGCCTCTCCGACTTTAACGACGACCTTGAACTTCCTTTCGGTACATCCAACACTCATATAGAGCATGTACCTGAAGCGCATGTGCCAGAGTCTATAGGCAATGCCTTCGCATTGATGAGCACCGACGGATTGTCTGAGTCACTCGGACCAGATACTATTTTGGGCGTGTCACAGTACACCCTCATTCTAAATCTGCCCTACTTCGAATTAAAGCACTCTATTCCGCAAAGCAGTAAGTGACGCAGCCCTACGCGTTGATACACCCTAGTATGGCATGACATGGAACTAAAAATATGGCAGCCAACAGCCTCGAGATTGTTGATCACCTTCGCTTTAGCCTTCCTCTTGATGGCTCATCACCCAATGGATCATTCGATGTACCAATGACCACTACTCAACCTTCAAACGACCTTCCATCTATGCTTGCAAAGGTCATTGGCTTCCACTACAATGGCCAGATTGCGGATGTAATCCCTTCTTTTGTTAAAAAACTCCAGGCTCTGGTACCGGAACGATACCCTGGAGAGCTTAACGCCCAAGTCCAAGCACTACCCGACCCCTCTCAAAAGCCATCCGTCTTTCAAATTTTCGAAGTTGCCGCTTATTTTTCCTCTAATAACATGTTGACAAAAAACCAAGTGGCGATATTCGTCAAATGGGTAATCGAGCACCGTCATGTGAAGTCTCTCACGCTCTTCTTACGACTGCGACGGGACATGCTTACTGTGAAAGCATTCCTTTACACTCTTGTCGAAGCAAGCGCCCTTGTGCAAAACAAAAATTTTCTGCAGCAACTCCATGCCATTGGTGCCAAATTCGATCATGTTGCGGAGCAGCTCGTGGAGAACAATGACATGGAGTTCGCCTCCTTCGTTCTGTCTACCCTTGATCCAGAATTATTAAAAGGAAAGTCGGGAGGTCATCTTCTCCGATCTGTGGCGCGTACAAAACACATCGCACTAGCAGAACTATTAATTCAAGCCGGAGCCGAAGTCAACCTCAGTCTGTCAGTCGAGGTACCGACAACTCCTCTTTGGGAAGCAATTCGCTCCAACAACTTTGAATTGGTCAAATGTCTAGTTAGAGCCGGAGCAGACGTGAACAAACAATCTCGCTCTGCACCGGGAGTTGGACGCATAACTAGACCCTTGTCTCTCGCTGTGTGGAAAAGCAATAAAGGAGTCGTTGAATATTTGCTAGAGCAGAATGCAGTGATAGAAGGTTTCGTGTTCGAGACGCCACTTCTTCAATACGCAGCCGACAATCGCCGGCATATTTACAAACTTCTGCTGGAGAAATTGGAGAACCCACCTCCGATTACAGTTAATCAGATAGTGGAAGTCGCAGATTACGATGCTCGACGTTTGTTGGAATTTCTCTCCCAGCATCCTCAAATCTCCGAAGAAATGCTTGAGGAGGCTATGGTCGTGGCATTATCCGAAGAAAAAACCCGGGCGGTTGTCAATTTAATACAGCACGGGGTCGACCCTAATGGTTCGCATCTTCCAAAATCTAGAAGCCGTCCTTTGTCGACAGCTATACATGGAATGACTAGTCTGTCAGCTCGCCTCCAATACATAGACCTCTTGATTCATGCCGGAGCAAACGTCAATATCGAAGGCCTTTTGGATGACATGATTTATGAAGAGGACCGCTCTCCTGTGGTCGAAAAATTGATCGGCGCAGGATTTGATCTCAAAAGGTATGGCCCTGCTGCATTTGAGGCGGCCATGTACTGTGAAAATACGGATGTCTTAATACTCTTAATTGACATGGGCGTGTCCGTTAATAGTTATGGACGCAGAGTTACCCCTTTTCAAGCAGCTGCCCTGAGCCTAGACCTTGAGCACCTGCAATATGCTTTCCATCAAGGGGCCGAAGTCAATAAGCCAGCGTTTCCCGTCCGAGGGTATACGGCCTTACAGGCTGCAGCCAAGGATAGGTCAATAGAGAAGATAGAATTTCTCCTCAGCGTGGGCGCTGACGTAAATGCCCCTCCAGCTGTAACGGGAGGGGTGACGGCCCTTGAAGCTACAGTCCGGCCATATGAAGAGTTCTCCAGTGACGCTGCCTACGATGATGAAGAGCATTATGAGGAACGTGGGGTTTTGGAGACGTTCATTTTCCTCCTGAGCGAAGTCAGAACAGTGAATCGTCCAGATGGATCAAGTAGCCCGTTACTACATGATATTATTGAACGCAGGAACACCCACCTCCTTGAGCTAGCGCTTGAAGCAGGAGCTAATACAACCCATCGATGGGGAACGTTATCCTCATCGTGGTGTGAGAGAACACCCCTTCAGCTTGCCTCGGAAATAGGCCAGGTGGAGGCTGTGAAGCTTCTTCTTGAACACAAGGCAGATCCGAATGCCTTACCGGCGCATGACCATGGAATGACAGCTCTCCAAGCCGCAGCATCGTCGGAAACGGCTTGCATAGAGACGGTAGAATTGCTTCTGGCTGCAGGTGCCGCAATCAACGCAGGCCCAGCTGCTGTTGGGGGTATTACTGCCCTGCAGGGCGCCGCGATCAAGGGACATTTTCAGATAGCAATATTGCTAATCGAAAAAGGAGCAAATGTAAATGCCCCTCCTGCGATAAAAGACGGACGCACGGCAATTGAAGGAGCTGCAGAGCATGGGCGATTAGATATGGTACAGATGCTGCTTAATGCAGGCGCAATTGGCGATGTCATCCGAAAGACCGGCCTTATGAAGGCTATTAGTTTGGCCGAAAAGAATCGCCATTTTGCTGTCATCGATTTGCTCGAGTCTCACGGAAGAGCAAAAGAGAAATGAGCTCGATTCTTTAATCTAACCTTGAATTGCATTCTTTTTTTGCATTTATCAGATTGAGTAGAGCGTTGTTCCTCTATGGATTTATTATGTCTCGGCGTAGGGTTTTGCTTGGCTACAAGATCACAACATATGGTAGAAAACATCCTTTTTTCGTACGAAATTAGTGTCTTGTCTCCTTTTGGTCCTGAAAATATCAAGTGAATATTATGCAAAAAGAGATATGGACGACCTGGTCCTTCGTAACGCCGAATCCTCAAAAATTGCATGTACCGTCACATTAATTGCTACTGTTGCGATTATTGTCCTAACCTTTTGTCCTGTTGGCTTTATGTTATGACGGATCGTAATACTCTTATTTACGCTTTACATTAACTTTTGGCTTGATTTAGTATATAACTTTGTTGTGCATCATTTAGCCTTGATGCTTTCTCTTCATGCGTGTGTGTGCGTGTGTATATGTCTACCCGATCGTCTTATCAATTTGATGAAGACACTGGCTCTGCTACCTTGTTGCGGTGACGGGGGTAAGGAGGACTGGAAGGCGTATTGAACTTCGTATTTTTCTGAATTACCAATTCTGATCAAACTGAAGTGTGCCTAGTAATGACCGAAGGTGAATTGTACACGTTGCTAGGGTTTTTCTTTTTCTTTTGGCCTGCGTTCAGACAATTCTCCTCTTTTGATCTTAATTGACATCCTTATGAGGACCTATAGGTATTTCATGATGACATTCATGCGGACATTCATGCGGTGCATAAGTTGAGAGTTCATTCTTCAATGGCCTATAGCCCACGCGACAAGGACTTTCCTGCTCTGATCCAACCACAATTAAACCCATCATCTGATAGGTCTCCTGTGGACTTTGTGTGCTTTCCATACTGCTTCTTATTGTATAACGTCTTGGTTTAGAGGTGACTAGGAGAGCGTCGTTTTGGAAAGGTATTCTCGTACGCACGCAGGAAGTTTAACAGCATTTCTTCACCCCCAGCTGTCGTAAATGCAACCAAACCAATGGGCCGGCCGTTGAACTTGAGGTATGACAATGGCATCGTTGCGGAGGGGTAACCTATCGATAGTTAAGAAATGCCTACGAGCAACTTGGATGTCGTGGAACCATACCGGCAGCCGACACCAATAGATTTACGGGAGAGTCAGCTGGCGCAATGACTAGATCTACGTCATAGTCTTTAAGTGTCTTGTCAATGCCAATGTCTCGGCCAACTTTGCGCGCATGTCTTAGAAGAAAATCATGCTCTTGATCGGACATTGTCATTGTGGCGGCGTTCTGGAGCTGGTCTTGGTTGTCGTAGCCTGAGTAGGGTCAGTAGGAAACTAGGGACTTGTGTGATGAATGGCGACTTGCCTGGTGGAAGCTCTTTTTCTGCATGGTTCTGGTTGAACCTTATGAGTTCATCCAGGCTGCGTACTTGGGAATCTTCGAGGGTACCAAGGTAAGCCTCAAATGTGGGTTTAAACCGAGCCGCTGGACAAGTTAGCTCATATTTCAGTGGCAGTAGAGCAAGAGGCTGTTAACCTTGAATGTCGTAGAAACTATGCCGCCCATTCACTTCAAATGCATCGATGGATACAAGTTCTACTTGTTTGAAGGACTTTGCCGTAAGCGCTATCTTTGCGTAAGCAGCCCGAGTGTCTGTTTTCTGGAGATTTTTGTTTAGTGACTCTGTAAAGAATTTCAGCTTTCATTCATCTTACTATCTGCGCCGTGGCTTCTGGCACTGGGCGCTGTAGATCAGAGTCAAAAAACCATGTTTCTGGAGAGAGAAACCCAATTTTGAAATCTCTAAAGTCACCAGCCGTCATTTGAGAATGAAACTTTGTCTTTTCGCTTCCCTTCGGAGTGGCTAAGATATCCAAAAGGTTTGCCAGATCAGCAGGCGATTTTGCCATTGGTCCCACAGTATCAAATGAATGGGACAGAGGTATCAAGCCATCCCGTGGGAGCAGGTTCATCGTTGGTCGGAGAGTATATAATGCCGCTCGGGTACTCGGTGTGATCAAAGACCCTCCAGTGTCCGTTCCTATAGCCAAGGGGGAATACCCTGCGCTGACGCCAATGGCAGAGCCTGTTGATGAGCCAGAGGGTGACTATAGATGTTTTCCAACGTTAGTAAGTACTGTAGGACGTCAAGTCTGCCGCCTCCTTGACGCATATTATCTCAGCAACTGAGTCTTTATTTTCCGCTACTCACCGAGTGCCCAAGGACACGGTCGGTCAAATCTACAGCACCGGTAGTGTATGCAGATTGCGCTTGACCGCCTAAAGCCGACCATCCAGGCATGATATTTGAGCCTCTGCAAGGAATTATTAGTCACCGCATGGAGAAGGGATAAGTAGATAGTTGGACGAAGCTGGACGAAGCCGTGTCAGTCGCGTACTTGAACCCAGCGAGTTCCTGGTGATCTGTATATTAGATACGGTCAATAAAGCCAGTTCAAAGGAGTACACACTGATAACTGTGTTTTCCCTATGATAATCATCCCTGCTCCAAGAATCTGCATTTTGTTAGGATTTTTTCGCAGTGAGGTTAGACAAGAACACAAATGGGTTGGAACTAATAGTCATAGGGCTAGAAATGCTTAATTGCCGACTGCATTTGATGACGTTAAAGGCCAGAAAAGAAAAGAAGACACGCTGGAGGTGTAAATGTTCCGCAATGGAGAGGATAAGGTGTGTCCAACGACTCACTCTTTCTATAATCTCAGCGCTCTTTGACGGTCGCAATGTCAGCAAGGCAAGGCTGCCCCCCGTCGTGTTCATTCCTAGGCTTGGGTGGGTTGCGATATTGTCCTAAGAACTGGTTATTCTTGTCATGTACATGTAGATCGAGTAACTCAAGTGAAGGTGAAGGAAACCTTGATGAGGATGGGGATCCCGTGAAGGGGCCCACGTAGGTGGCCGTTCTTGCGTTCGAGGTCTAGGGTGGCCGCCACTGTCCTGGCGTGTGGATTTCTCTGTAGAACGGCTCTAAGATAATTGTCATGCCTATCAATCTGAGCAAAGCATCTATCAACCAATTCAACGCTCGTGAGCTCGCCAGCCTTCAAGAGCTGTTGAAGATCTTCTGCGGTTGCAGTCAACAGATCAATCGATCGCCGTGAGTTCCCCGATGGCCACGAGAATAGCCAGGCCAGTCGAAAGAAATACGCCGTAGAGCACATAAGGAGTAAGAAGAATATGACACAAGACAAAATCTTGTAGGCCGTACATGGCGGAGACAACATGATCCTTGGAGCGCTCGATTCTTCGTCACTAGAAAGATGGGCACCGGGTAAGTTAGGCGCTATGTTGATTCAAGGTGGGTGTCACAGCCAGGTAGTTAGGGCTGAAAGGCATACTTAACTAAATATGAGGAATACTACCATCAACCACCTTCATATACGCGCACTGGTGTGGATGTATCGGATGAGAATGCTGGGTCTTGTTGGCCGCGGACATCATGTGAGGATAAAACACGGACCCGTTAGTTACCTCACCCCATAGTTAGATACCACTGGGAGACGTTGGGTGTTACAATGTGCGGTTGCACAAAGACAGCGCATTGGAATGATCATTCAAAATGCTTTGTATTATTACAAAAGAAAATGCCGCGTTGTGGCCACTGCTAGGGCATAACCGAGCAATAGGTTACCTCAACGTCATATGGGGGCATTGAAACTCAAGGCTCCCTTGTCTCAACCCATCCTTTCCTACATGAGCCTCTTCTTGAGCATCCTACCATCACTCTCTCGGCAGGAGCACGAGCCAATTGATCTTTTCACAGCTTTGGTTTATCTTCATAGATTTTTGTTATTATTTGTTTTATTTTGATTATTCTTCACTATTCTCCTGAACGCATCCCTAACCATTCAAAGATGGATATCCAAGCGCCGCCAGCCCCCAAGCGCATCGTCTCTACCGCATCATTTAGCATAATCGATCCGTTGACTACCACGGCCGAGGAACTGCAAGAGCTTCTGACATCAGGGCTTCTAACTAGCCTAGATTTGGTCAATATTTATCTTGGTCAGATCGAGCAGCACAACAAAAACGGTCTGAAGTTGAATGCAATCATTTCCACTGCACCACAACACATCGCTGCTGAACAAGCCAGACTTCTTGACGCAGAAAGAGCCACTGGCAGCACACGCGGTCCCCTGCACGGAATCCCAGTTGTCGTCAAAGACAATGTAATGACCGACTCTTCACTCGGCATGGACACTACATGCGGCTCCTATGCTCTTGTCGGAGCCAAGGCCCTAAACGCTCCAATAGTAAATCGTCTTTTGAAGGCTGGCATGATTATCATTGCGAAAGCCAATCTATCTGTAAGTAATTTTATGAAGGCACTCTCCTGGGCTACGGATGTTGACTTGTGTTTCTTTTGTCAGGAATGGGCTGGCTCAAAAGGGTTCGGAATGGTAACCGGGTGGTCAGCAGTCGGCGGCCAGACACAGTCGCCATATGTCAGAGGCGGCTATGTGCTTGGAGACAAGATTTTAGGACACAGCGCTCCATGCGGTTCTTCTTCTGGATCTGCCGCAGCTGTGGCCGCTGGGTTCGCACCTGTAGCATTGGGGACTGAATCTGACGGATCTATCACACAGCCAGCTGGAAGGGCCTCTCTGTACGCATTGAAAGTTACCGTTGGAGCATTAGACACAAAGGGGACATCACCACAATCTCCAATTACCGATAGTCTTGGCGGCATGGCCAAAAGCTCTGGAGACCTTGCTAGCTTTATCGGAGCTATGATGGAGCAAGATTACTCTTCTTATCTGACGAAGACGTGGGCAGGGCAGAAGATTGCCTTTGTGAATCCCAATAAGTGGGAGCTCCATCCAGCTGTTTGCGAACGGGTCGAGATCGTCCGCGAAAAACAAGTAAGTACAAGTCATGCTTATCATTTGGGCCAACTATTGTAATATTGACATTCATCATCTGAAAGATTTCGGAGTTTCTCCAAGCTGTAGCTACTATCCGGGAGTCTGGGGCAGAAGTGACGGAAAATGTCGTGTTGCCACAAGTCGATGAGATCACTTGGGAGGGTGAGGATGCCCTTGAAACGGTATGGAACTCATATCTTGGCGGCGAAATCAACTCTTTCCTCAATGAATATACCAAGTCCTCGGTACGCACAGTTGAGCAGCTGATACAGTGGAATTCTGATCACAAAGACTTGGAACTCCCACCAGGTAAGCGACACCCTTTGAACGAGAAAAGCCGTTGCAAGAAGCCAGAAGCTGACAACGCCCCAGCATTTCCGGGCCAACAGCAGCTCGAGAATACATTGAAGAGCAACCTGACAGAGGAGAAGCGGCAAGAGATTGTCTCGTTTATTCGCAAGATAGCCAAAGATGACGGATTTGACCGAATATTTGAAGAGACAGGGGCCGAAGTGCTTATAGGACCATTAGACGGGCGGATTGTTACCGTTGCTGCTGCAGCAGGATACCCTGCTGGGGTGGCGCCGTTGGGATATGCTGACAACTACAATGGTAGAGCATATGGCGTGGCCATTGTGGCAAAATCTTGGGACGAGGGAAAGATTCTACAAGCAATGAGTGCTTGGGAGAAGACGATGCCACGACGGATCCCGCCGCCACAGCTGGCAAATTATAAAGCGAGTTTGTGAAGCCAATGCCCCTCATGCTTTGACACAACACAACGTGACAGAGCAGTGGTTGTTCTTTAGCTATTCTACTATGTAGGGAATTCAATGAGATTGATTGTAGACTTGAAGTTCTACGTTGCAATTTTAAGTTTTAAAAAATACACGTTTCATGGTTTGGGTAGTGTTTTAAAGCCCCCAAAATCCTAACAAGCTTCAATAAAGGAGTTATGGAGGTTAAATTTCATGTCAAGATAAGATATTCAACATGCTGTAACAACTGGTTTAATGAAAAGCTATGCCACATTCTGTTAAAGGAGCTATATATACTCAACTAGTTTCCTATATGTGGGAGCAGCATATGCTTTGCTTATGAAAAATCACCCTAGCAAGGAAAACTGCGCTGAACTAGCTCTCTAAAAGAGCAATAATCTTGCTACACTCGAACGTACTTGGCTAGTATCTTTGTCGTTTGTATCTGTTTATAGCTCTTAGCCCCATTGCGTGGAGGCAATACGTTATTTTCTGCGCTCAGACATTGTGTGATACCAACTCCACTACTCCCACACCAGAACAGCTCGGTAGCGGATCTTGCCGCTGGTAAGCTTTTCGATTCCAGCGGCGATGCCCTCGTTGCTAAAGGGAAATTTCTCAATAACAGGGTGTATCTCATTGCGGGCAGCAAACTCCAACATCTCACTATGAGCCCTGCGGGAGGACACCAAGTTTGTGACAATGTTATAACCGTTGAAAAAGGTCGGTATAAAGCTAAACAAAATCATTAATTCAGCTTAATCAACGTCTTTTGGATATCGGGCACCCGCCGAGACTTACGGAACTTCAAAAGTAGGCCCAGTAAAGCCGATTGCAACAATGGATGCACCTCGGGCGAGGATTTCCTTATCCATAAAGCTAGAACACACTTTAGTAACTTTGAATGAAATCCCAATACGAAGCTCCAAAAGTGCTTACCTGTTCCAGTCCGGAGCCTTACTGCCGGTCAGCAGAAGGAGATCGACCGGTTGCTTGATCTGCCCCTTCTCTTGGCCGAGGACAACAAAGTGGTGAGCTCCAAATTTTCTGGCTTCTTCTTCTTTAGAAGCTGTAGTGCTAAAGACAGTGACATGGGCCCCAAGCTTATTTGCAAACTGAATTGCCAAGTGACCTAAACCACCAATGCCCAGGATGCCAACGCGCATACCGTGTTTGTAGTACTGGATCAAGGCGCTGTAGACTGTGGAACCAGCACACTGAAGAGGAGCTGCCTCTTCGGATGACATTCCCTCCGGGATTGGATAGACGTAACCCTGTTCGGCGATGAAATGGTGGCCAAGGGTGCCGTTGTTGAAGTCACCCTCGCCAAAAATGTTGCGACTGTAGCAAAGAATGTCCTGGCCAGAGATGCAGTAATTGCAACTGCCGCAGCTCTAGATGAAATCAGTTAATTGGCATTCATTTGGAATATTGATCGCTACTGAGCGACCTCTGGGAATCGCAAGAACTCTTTTTTTTTTTTAAAAAAAAAAAAAAAACATACGCTGCGCAAGTACCCCCCTCCAACCCTGTCCCCGACCTTGAGTTTAGTAACCTCACCGCCAACTTGCTCGACAATACCAACACCCTCATGGCCAAGGACACAGCCGTACTGAACGTAGGCAAGATCGCTAGAGCAGAGTCCGCTATGCGTGATCTTGATTAGCACCTCCTTTGGTTGAAGTTCTCGCGGAGGGTTAGTAGTAAGAAGGACTTTTCCATCAACACCGCGCATAGACTGATTGATGGCCATGGTTGGTTGATAAATTTCGGAAATGATGCAGACTGGCTGTGGATTCTTTGCACTTTGCTATTGCTTCTTGACGACAGCGGTGGTGAGAAGCAGCCTCTGCTAAAAGCAGTAATATGCCCCTTTTATGATGCCTTTGACGGAGTCTTATTCTAGATCAGCGTGCAGCTAGTGATAGTATTGCAACAGGTTGCTGGGAAATATGATTTGGAATTGGGTGTCTGCTTTAAATATTTGAGGCTTTTTCGTGCAATCTTGTCACTCTTTACAGTGCTCTCTTACCTTACTGAGACAAATCCTATAGGCCATTTTAGCCTCCAACCCGGTGGCGCTCACGAGTACAGTCGATATATAGATGTCATGCAGCATACTGCACATGGTTAGTGGGGTTTAGATGTAGCCATCAGGCCATTCTCCTACTCGTGCAAGTTTCTATTCAAACCCAACATCTGAGCCTCTGGTTCTCTTCGTAGCCTCTCATTCGGGCCGTGTCGAAGGCAGTATACGTAAGAGTCATCTGCGTGTCCTTTGCAGTTTATTGGAAAAGTGGCGTTAGACTCCTTACCTGTCGGGCGCGAAGCATCTGAACATTTAATATTTGCACTGGATCACCACCATTGCCGGGCAATATTGTACCTTGTCTGAAGTTCTGCGACAAATCCACGTATTTCCCAAATGAGATAATGGTGGACATGGACTAATAGCGTGTCGGACACTATTATTCTCCACACATACTCGAGCCATGATCCTCATTAGTACTTTTTCGTATGTAGCGTATCGAGGTAGTTAGATGGCGAATGATAATGCCCAAGTGCCAATATTAGTCCTGCATGTTGTAAGAGCTAATTGCAAGCCTCAGAGCTCCGCAATGTCAAACCTTGGATGGCATGACTAAAGACCCCTGGCACACGATTCGGGTTCCGCATATGACAACATAGTAAAATCACGATTCCAATCGAGGAATAGTACTTGGCAAGGGGTAATGTTAAATGTCAGAGGCCCGCTCACCCGACCCTCCACCCTACAGCTGTGTCGGCCGATGCATCTTCAGTATCAGGTTAAGGAACCAGATTTGCGTCCCATGTCTGCGAAGGTTCCGCTAATCCTAAAGGCGCAACGGCCTTGCTATTATTGTGCAAGTCGCAAACAGGGCTGCGACAAGTTACTGCCTAGATGTTCTCGCTGCACTTCGTAAGCCTGTTCCTATTCACACGTACATAAATTTGGCGTCGCGTTTATTCTGACAGATTGTCGTTGTCACAGAAAATCTCTGGGGTGCGATTACAGCATCCCTCGAGATGGACATGCGGTTACTCGCCAGAATGAGGCCCCCACACAAAGTAATGAGTTGGTGGAATTACGCGGCTCATGTTGTCCTGACCTCTCCGCCAAGGCCGAATCTGTATTGCTTCTCTCAGCATGTTACAGCGACAGTGAGGCGGCGACAGAGTGTGATGGGCCCGGCCTATCCGAGTTATTTTTAAGAATAATTGATGCTTTCAACGTTGACATTCCGAATTTACTGAACAGCTATCTTGCAAGCGTCCACCGATGGCTCCCCATTATCAATGAGGAAAATATCCGTCACAAACTAGCTAACCTAGAGAAAGATAATCATGGCGACGTTGCACGTTTGCTACTTGCATTTTATGTTGTCGTTCAATTTCCATGCAATCATGCAGATCACTCCATGAACACTCGGCTTTACCGTACCATGAAACGGATCTTTGTCATCGCCCAATCATCGCCCGGCGTCAAGAACCTTGATCTACTGCAGTATGGGTTATTGCTTGGGGCTTATGAATGTTCGCAAGGCCTGGAATCTGCTTATTCGACGTTAACACTGTGCATATCATTGGCCCGGATGATTGAAATCCAAAGCTACGAGTCTAATGACATCGATTCAAGACACCCGGAAGAAAAGTTGATATGCGGCTATGCGCTAGTAGCCTTGGATCGGTAAGGACTCTATAAATAAGAGTGGAAAATTCGCCGCTGACCAAGAATAAATCAGCCTCATTGTCCTCTCTAGCATGGACTATCGTTTGCCGTTGCTGCTTCCTGACGAGCAGTCTTTCCCCCTGATAGAAGAGCATGACCTCGAATTGGACGAGGGTCTAAAAGTCTACGGCTATACCGGAAGAATGAAAATCACAGCCACGGTGGCACGATTAGTCGGCAATACTCTGTCGTATTTACGCTGCTGTCAGCTCGGAAGAGCTCCACAAGTTGATTATGCAACTATAGACAGCTCTGCGCAGTCTTCGCTCGGGACGCTTTTACAACTTTCTGAGGAGAAGGCATTCCTAAACTGCGAGCCAACGTCGATGGCAATTAGGTAAAAACATGCATAATTTGTGAGATCAGGGGCTCTAAACTTACACCTCAAACCTCTTTAGTACGCTGATGGCACTCCGATGCAGTCATGACAGAAGTAGAAGTGGTCCCAGGGACTCCAAGGACGCCACTGAATTGTATTCAATAGCAAGCATGACTTTAGAAATGTGTCTTTCGGCTTCCGACTTCATCAGGTCCAACGGCGTCGAGAACCTGTCCTTCATTGGCCTTTGTTGCGTATGGCGAGCAGTTTTACCTTTGTTGAGCCTCAAGGATTTTCCAATTTCAGCTCAAGACCTAGAGACTCTCAGAAGAGAACTGCAGCGCTTTAGCAGCTGTTGGGCAATAGGCGGTATGTAAAGTTGTGTACCTCTTGTGACAAAATCCAAGTCGATGTTAATCATTGGCAGCCACCTTTTTGCAACACTTTGATCGATTAGTCCACCTAAGGAGCCTTTGAATATATGCAAACACCAAATAAAATGACAGCTAGGAAGGTCTCGGCTGCTATGAGACCAAGTGTCTTCTTTTGTAAAATTTTATTCAGGCTCATCCAAAGCCTTGGCGATTTTTGAGCCGTCGTCAGAACAAAACCAACAGTATGCCTATGCTCGGTGTGTATCAAGGGAGAAAGCCTTGGTTCGAGCAAATCAGATCACTCAGAGAGCATAGTTGAAAATAATATTTGGACCGATCTTGTATTAAGAACCATCATCTAAGCCCTCTAAACGAATGCCTATGTACTTATATGCCCAAAACATTCCGTCTATAATGCTGGATTATTTGTATTTCGTCGGTTGGTGCCTTGATATTTCGTTTCACCTTTGTTCATATTTCTGTGTCTGTAAAAATTCTTCGCTGGCAGGGTAGTCAATGTATCCTTCAGCAGCTTTCTTAGCATAAAAGCTATCCCGTTTGTAGGGACTGAGCTTGATCCCATTTTGGAGGCGAAACACTAAGTCGGGATTGGAAATAAAATATCTTCCGAATGCAATGGCAATATCCCATTTGTCGTACAGGTCATCCACAGCCCGAAAGACGTTCTCTGCAGTATAACCACCAGCAATGATGACGGGCGACCAGTTGTCCCACTCTTCCAGTAGATATTCAAGTGTGTTCCGCTTATATGTTTTGTGCTGGTCAAGCTCCTCTTCTTTCTCGTGCAGCCAAGTGACAGGATCGCCAGTTGCTTCTACTAAATGGATATAGCCTAGGTTCAAGTGAAGCCGCTTAAACTCGCGCAGCATGTATAGAAACTGAGCCTGTGGATCAGATGATGTCGCGCCTTGGAAAGTGGCCCAAGGACTAAGACGAATAGCCGTACGCTCTGGCCCGACAGCAGCAGCGACGGCCTTGACGACTTCGATGGCAAAGCGCGCCCTATTCTCAATGGAGCCACCCCATTTATCTGTTCTGTTGTTGATGGACTCTCGGGTAAACTGATCAATCAAGTAGCCGTGAGCGCCATGCAGCTCAACTCCATCCGCCCCTGCGGCAACCGCTGTTTTCGCGGCTTGGGCAAACGCGTCAATCTTGGCCCAGATTTCCTCCTCAGTAAGCTCCTCTGGCATTGCATCAGACCCTTCCATGGGATTCTCGCTGCTCGATGCGTACTTGATGCCCTTGGAGTGCGCAAACTCCGCGTCACCTGCGCGGCCCAGGCTCCAGATCTGCTGTATAAAATATCTACCCCTGGCATGAACGGCGCTTATGATGCACTTCCATTGGGCAATCTCCTCATGGCTCCAGATACCAGGACCATTAGGATCAGTCTCATCATTACGAGATATTGCTGTTGCCTCGCTGATGATGAGCGTTCCAGGGACAGCTGCTCGGTCAGAGTAATACTTGACTGCTATATCGAGAGGTACATGGTCATCCGTGTTGCGATATCGTGAAAGCGGCGCCATCACTACACGATGAGGCAATGTAATTTTACCAACTTTGAGAGGCTGGAAAATCTTGGACATTGCCGGTAGTTTCTGTGCTGGCATGATTGTCCGTATTGACGAAAGTCTATAACTGGCAAAACTGTTGACAAATTAGACCTGGCTCGTCTGGTTCTGGTGATTGTTAACTGAAGGGTTGACAGAGTTTATAATGACTTAGTCTTGAAAACAGGACTGATTGTTGCATTATATATTACATTCATCTTAGTAGTGACTAATATTTTTGCCTTCGCTTCTCTGAGAGATTCTGCTCTCGGTAGCGCTGTGAAGCTTATAGAATGACGGTCCAAGATGCAATTACTAAAGGTATGTGAAATATGTCAGCACTGCGGGTCAACTGCGAATTTGATATTCTCGTGCCCGTGGGAACTTGAATGTAATTGAACATATTGGCTGTGGTAGATTTACTCATGCTCGTTGATTACTCACGTCGAACAATCTAACGTATTGGGAGTACCAAGCGGCTTCGTAACTCGATCTTACTAATATGACATGCAACAGTAGAATTGCTGAGTCCTTTCCTTGATTCACTCGTATCTTTCAGGCCTACGGGTGAGCTGTGGAGTATCGGCACCTGCATGTCGCCACCCGCATTTCGGAGCCTGCATGTCGGAACCTGCATATCATAGTATCGGCAGCTGCATTAGCTTGAAGCCTTAGAAGTGAGAAAGTTCCACACTAGGAGTTACGCTAATCGTTCCATGGTGGACGGAAGAGATTAGATCAAAGTGTATAAGCAACTCGAATACCGAAAGATGAAGCTGCGTAATTTAGAGCTAGCCTAATCAACGCAATCTCGACGCATCTAGGAAAACGATTGGGCAATATTTTGGATACAGCGCTGTTTGGGTAGGGGTGTCCGCAAAAGAAAGAAAGTCTAGCTACGTTGGCCCCGAATTAATCATGAATATCAAGGTTCCACTCATCAGGACATTTAGCTCAGGTAGACATAAGTCATCATCGGCATATATTCGAAGCTTCCATTGCGGTGGTCGGATGATGGTAGAGTGTTGCCGAGAAATACTTAAAGACTGGTGTATCGTCGTCTAAACTACTTCAACAGATGTCGCAAACAGAGCACAATTCCAAGAGAGCAGAGTGCCCAGGCCAAAACTTACAATATAACGGCTACATCAATAGTGGGCATATAACACACACACTCCTTATTAGATTCATCTTGTCAACCTGACAAGTCTCTCTCACCGTTTAGTATGTCACCATTCAAAAATATCATCCTTATTGGCGCCGCGGGCTCCATCGGTAGCGTCGTCCTGGCTGCTCTGGAGAAGGAGCCCAGCTTCACCATTACCCTCATACAACGTGCCTCTTCCAAGGCCAAGATGCCTGCGCACCTCAAGGCAATCACTGTCCCTGATTCGTACCCTACGGACGAGCTGATTCCTGCATTTCGAGGTCAGGATGTTGTCATCAACTGCATGACCTCATTATCGGTGGCCGACCAGTTTCGCATCATTGACGCTGCCATCGCGGCTGGTGTGCGTCGATATGTGCCCAGCGAGTATGGCCTCAACAATATGAGACGCGATGCCCAGGCACTAAACCTCGTCTTCCACGACAAGGGTAAGATTCAGGAGTACCTCCGAGCCAAGGCTCAGGCAGGAGTTATTGAGTGGATGAGCATATCGTGCGGCATGTGGATTCGTTGGTCCATGGCACATGACTTCCTCGGCATGCACATTGGCGAGCGACGATTCGTCTTCTGGGATGACGGTGAGGGCTATTTCTCTTGCACCACCGAGGAAAACTCGGCTCAGGGCTTGGTTAACGCTCTGCTTACCGCTGGTACTGATCGCGACGTCTGGAAAAATACCAACGTCTATCTGAGCGACTTTGCCATCACCCAAAAGCAACTTCTCGAAGCGATCGAGCGCATCCAGGGGGTCAAGTACACTACAGAAAGTATTGACGGCCACAAGTTTATCGAGGAGAAGCAGGCTGCCGTAGCTGCCGGCAACGCTACGGCCACCTTTGACCTTATAGAGACTGGGTTTGTCACAGGGCGTTATGGTGGTCACCTTGAGAAAGAGGGCGAGATCCAGAATGACAAGCTGGGTTTGCCCAAACAGACATTGGATGAGGTGGTCAAGGCTGCATTGGAGGCTTACGGCGCTATTTGAGGGGGTAGAATGCATAGAAATTACATGTAACTAATATTATAGCCTAGCTTGTATGATCGCGACAATGGGCCTGTTGACATTTAAAAAAAAAAAAAAAGATTTACATTTGTCAATTCTATGCTAGGTCAAGTATTTTGTACTAATTCTTTTTGCCCTTGACGTCAGGGGGTTTTTTCGATTTCATGTTGCGTCTGTTCTAAGCAATCTGTATAGCTTGACTTTCCGTGACCAAAATCAAAAAACTGCGACGACCATGCCATTGAGTCCACAATTTCAGCTGGCCAGCAGTAGTTTGTTAACATAGGGCCACCAGAGGGGGGTAAATGTTGCCCGTAGTCGCTGGTGTATAGTAAACTCGACATCGTATTTAGATGAGACACCTGAGTTTGAAAGTTTGGAGAGTTATTAAATGCCTTTGCACTCTCCTGAACACTTGTTGGAGTAGCACTGCTTGCGTCCTCTGCAGATAATAGTTAGAAAGTATATCAAGTTGAAGAGGTACCGTACTTACTGAATCTCACTCCGCACTCTTTCAAAGCTTTCATCATATCTCGCGCGATCCTCGCTCCTGGTGAGTTGATACTAAGAGCATCGAAAACTTTAAGACATGTTTCTGCATCATCAGACAATCCGGCGGTATCAAACTCAGACGACAATTCATGCGTTTCCTCTGTAAACATGCTTGATACAAGCAAGATGGAGCTGGCGCATACTAAACACGAGATCATCTGCCACCACGGGAATCCATGAACCAGCTCCTCTTTGCTGGAGATTCCATGCAACATCCGTGCCGTCTCACGTGCTTCTGAAATACACGTTCTCTCGTATGCGCGTATCAGTGGCCAATCTAGATGGCTAACGGTTGCATTTGGATCGCCCAGATGCATTAAGAGTGGATGGCATAGATACGGGCGGTAGATGAGAGCTCTAAGATGGTGATATTTTATAGCCAGCATGTTCCGCTACTAATGGTCAGATAAAGGGGACTATATGACTGTCTGGGGATTCTATCGGGAAGGGGGAAATGAACTTGCCTGTCTCTTGAAAATCTGTAATTGCTCAAACGTATGTCCTAGATCAAAACGAAGAGCTCTTGGGAGGGCTAATTTCCATTCCACAAGTTGTCGATCGAGATCTTTTGTGTTGAGCAAATCCTCGGAGGCGAAGTGGCTTCGTCTTGGGCAATACAAGCTTCGGAGAACTCGGCCAACAATTTCCGAGAAAGCAATTACTGCAATGAAATAGTCTCCCAATGCTATACTACTGCTGGTCTTCTCCTCAATAACTTCGCCCGTCCAATCGATCTCGGCATCACTAGCTCGGGAGGGCAACGGGACGTTGAAGTCATCATCATGGATCGCTGGTGGTCGGCCAAGCTGTAGTGAAAGAAGTCGGTCCAATACGTAGATAGAATACCATACGCGGCGTCGCTTTTCAATTTCCGGCGAATGACGGGATTTTATGTTGTCCGACTCCTCGTTTTCTATGTGTAGCCCAATGCTTTGAGCAACACGAACTGCTTGGCCAAGTATTGTCCAACAGCTATGACTGTTAACATATTTTCAAATAGTCTGGTCAACGTATGGAGCTAACCTTTCTGTCCTGCATACAACTAGGAGATAGAAACATCTCGCCAAAAGGAGTGAAACCTGAGCGAGTGAACGTTCCATGGTGGAAGTTGGCGCTAAATTTAAAGCATATGAGTAAAATTTCTCATACAGAGTATCTCCAGCTTCGTCTTTGCCGGGCAAGGTTCTATAATAAGCCCCAATGGCGCAAATTGTATCTGAGAGATTAGAATCATGCCGAAGAGAATTTTGGGAGACACAACTTACATGATAGCGCTGTTTCGATGTTGCTGTTGCGGCTCTTGTGGTCTCTAAGTGTCTTATAATGCTCTATAAAGGGTGATTCTGGAATAAAAGGATAGGCTATATGGATGGTTGTAAAGTAAGCATCAATGTAATGTTTAGCCTCTTCGAAGACAGGCAGCAGAATGGCTGGACAAGGGACCTTATTGGACGATAAAAGGCTCTCTCCTTGGTCATAGCTCTCAAAGTCTTTCTGCGACATCGAGGTTCCGTCTTGATTTTGAAAGAATTTTTTCACGAGATTAACAAATCGAATGTCGCTGACCTCGCCCAAATAGCCCGGAGACCGATCAACGCGGCTAGAAGGTGGTCTGCTCTGAGTTTCGCCAGCCACTGCGGGTGGTAAAACTTCAGTTTTCATACTGGAGATGGCGTTATCAAGCTGCGATTTCACATTTGATCTCTTCTGAAGGACTGCTTCTTGCTCTAGACCAGGCGGAAGGACGGATATAACATGATCTAGTAATCTTTCTTGTTGATGTATTGCATCGCATAAGTCGGGTAGCCTCTCTGAAATGCTGTGAGTGAAGCGATCGTCTGTTCCAGTCCGCAGTCGAGGGCGCTGTAAACGGTAAACACAAGAATACCCGTACCCCCGACATCTGCTACATGCTGGTCGCTGTCCATCACACTAGAAACTTGTTAACGGCTGTGGAAGTAGCAGGCCGCCGCACCCGGATCTTTTCACCTTGGACTTCATAGCCCTGCATCTTTGACAGGCCTTGGCAACCCGCTTACGCTTGTATTCGGTGTCCATGCTTTGCAACTTGGCTCGCTTTCTTTCAATTCCACATGTTTGAGATGGATAAAATATAAAAAGGAGGGGCTTCGCTCTTGCTCATCGGAAATATCGGGATAAATAAAGTTAGTCATACGTCTGAAAGATGCACCTAGCGGGTATGCTAAGTTTCATAAACTTTCATTCTTTTATACCTACGGTAAGCGTAAACCTGTCTAATAGTGGCTTCTTTAAATAGTGAACCGATAATTTAAAACTGATGTCTGTCGGGGGCAATTTAATCGAATGTTGTCGATTTCAGCAACTTGGTCATATGTTTGTGATCTATATGGATGTACATTCACTTTATTCCGAGCGGATATACCGGCATTACCACCTAGCCAAAGGTATTGAGTAATAGGGTGAGGCTGTGGTCTAAGCGTGGCTGGACTCCTCGTTCTTTAACGTCATCGCCACCTCACCGCCACCCGCATTAGAATACGATGAAGTGAAAGCATGTGCCATGATGCAACAAGCACGCTGGTTTCGGTGAACAAATCAAGATTTGGTAATTAGATTTCCTTCTTCAGCCGAATGTTGCGCAGATACGAGTGGTCGTCGTATCCACTTCTTTAATCATTCTTAGCGATTTGAGATCGAAGCTGAGATCCATATAAGGCCATAGCGAAGTACGGGTACATCTGTCGAGTCCCCGGAATAAGTAAAGTAGCAAATAAGCTAGCTTTTAAATGCAGTACTGTTATTATGTCTCTCCCATTTTCCTCCATCGCATCACTTCCTGCTGGCAAGCTGTGACCAGGTCACATGTCCTCCCCAGCCAGACTAAACGAGAAGTTTTGTATTAGTCCTTTGCTTACTCTAAATTCACCCACTTTGCAAGTGGTACTAGTCTTGCTTTCCATAGCTTCAGGCTTCATTAAAGACCCGTCCCGAAATATGAATTGGAGGAACCGGATGCAATTGAAAATGAAAGATGTACATTCTGGGGTCATTCTTAATATAGACATTGTCCGTTGCGTCGATATTCTTTGCGTTATGTGCTTTGCTCTTCTTGCAAAGTCCCCATCTTGCTTCATCTACGCTGCACTTTTCCGTATATCCGGTATAGCCGGTTGCACTCTGACTGGCAAAGCTGCGGTCGCAGTGAAGGCCGCATAACCCTATTTAGAGAGGAGTAGAGCTCGTTCCATATTGCTCATGAATTTAATCGATTGAGTGGACAAGAAAATGCATGAGCTTCACTTCAAAACAGAGATCATTATCTTCAATATTTTGGTCACATTAGCTCACCAATGCGACAATGAAGCTGTCACTACGAATAGACCACGAATCTAGTCTGCCCTCGTTTCGTCCAGGCGATCTCTTGCGAGGAACGTTAGAGATAAGGGGGTGTGTTTTTAAAAGTTTACCACGAATCACAGCAACCTTTTCAGGTAAGCGATGCAGATTGAGCTCTTAAGATTACTTGCTCACAGTTATTGCAATCACAGGTAGATTAACAGTCAAAGTCTACCCCGAGGTCAACACCTACTGTTCCAATGAGTTTAATTATGTAGTAGGTATATCTCCAAAGCAATCCTCTCCTGTGCTAAGGCATCGTATAGCTATTTGAACAATCAGAAGACCTCAAAATCTTGCAGTCAACTGCTATCAACGACAACCCCGACAGCTGCGTCTATGTGTGTCCTATAGAGTTCAAGTTCCCTACGAGCCTCAACTGTGCGTGCGGTGACACTTGCCAGCTACCGTCGTCATTATCGGTCAACAATGGGAAACTCCGAATAAAATCGACGTATATGTTATCTGCTACAGTGGAGCGGAGTGTTATTGGGAAAATAACCAGAACTAATGGGGTCAAACAGGAACTCCCGTTCAGCTGTAACCCTATAGTCAATGACCTCGCGGCATCGTGTACCGTCGCCCTATCCGCCGATAAACTGAGTCAAGACTTCAAAGATTCCTCCAGAGAGATTATTGGGCTCATCTGTGAGGTATCTCCGCCTACATATTCTCCGTCTTTGCAGATGGAGGTGATTCTACCCGAATCGCCAGTTCTAACTCGTGGACGGGGGACGCCAGTGAGATTGGTGCTCCATACCCCACGAGAGTTAATGCAAAGGGCTAATATCTACGTCCGAAGTGTAGAGATACAATTGGAGGCCGATATATCTGCCCTACTACGATCCACTTGGCAAAATATGAGAGATACGAGACTTGGAAACACCATAAACGGAGCAGTGCCAATCAAATCAGAGCATTTTGAGCTGGACCTGGGGGCGTGGGGTACATTTGCCGTTATGCAATCGCGGCCATCGTTGAATTCATGTTTGCTAAAAATTGCCTATTCTCTTGAAGTTGTTGCGGGTATATCGAATGGCTTGGAAGGCTCTATTCAGGTATGCTTCGAACTAATGTTGAGGCTGTCAATGAAACTAACAAGAATGTCGTAACATAGTATTTGAAGGCATCTTTGGATGTCCTTGTGATGGATCCACCTCCCACATATCAGGCGGCAGCAGATCAAATACCATGAAATAAGCGAAGTAATTGAGTATTTGCATTTTGTGTTGAGGTCGTTCTTCTTTGTAAATAGACTAAGCTTTGATTATCTACTAAATAAAGTCGCAAGAGCCTAAAATCATTGAGGATGAATGTCCAACTTCCTGAAACTGGAAATTCGGTTTCGAGGAACTACCGCTAAGTTAAACATTCATTGGCTACTGTGCAAATAATGAAATTTTCATGGGAGTTTCGAGTCCCTAACATCAGTCACCTACAATAAAGTGGATGTTCGTAACTGAGACTGAGACGTGCCTCCCATAAACACAAGTCTTTGTCTACGAATACTCATTGAAGGTGACACAAAGGGATTCTAGGCCGAGAATACAGGACTAGGGGCTTTTCCGACCAAACAGTGTGCCGGGCACAAGCCAAATATCCAATTTGATAATTCGATGAGTTACACTCTTGGAAAGATTCCCGGTATTTCCGACACCTTCTGACCCATTCAAAGTCCCAAGGCACTTTTCGCTTGTCATGTTGTCCTGCTGACCATATTGGCGCACTGAGCTGTGGGTGCTGGTAATGGCTTAACTACTCAAGGCTGCATTTATTTACCCAGCATTATACAAATGGGTTTAAGATCTCATAATGAATATATTTGCAAAATTCTGAATATTTCACTTTCATACACGATATCAAACTCTTTTCAATGATTCTAAAAATTGACAGCAAATAGTATATCGTCGGGATTTAGACGCAATCAAAAAGACAGCGCAGTGGACATGGACCATAGGAGGATGAGCAACCATACACCCGATGCCTCCTGCACAAATCAGCATCAACATAATACCTCTTATGGTAATAATTTATCAAATGACCGGCCCATCATTCATACACGCGGGGCCTCATCAAGACACAGCCATGAGCATGCCGACTACAGCATTCCGGACAGCTGGCTCCATCTTAGCGAATTAGCGCCCATATCACCGGTCGAAAATCCCAACGAGCGGCCATTATATCGCCATAGGACATTGGAAGAATATCGAGGGTCAGAGAGGGCATATGAGCGAGAGCAGGAGGAATTGAGGTCGCCAGAAACATGCAGAGATCATATCGTGACGGGGGAAGCTAGCAGCTCGAAGAGTTTAGGAAAAAGCGAAGTATGTCTTTGTTTACCTCCTAGTTGCGTTGTTATGTGACTGGATCTACATTTTGAGAGTACAAATAAATCATTTGCCTTTTCTAACCACCAGCATATATTGTGATTATGAGATAGTCGCAGTGCCTTGGATCATACCCATTTCAGAACTTCATTGGTCATCATCACAACTTTTTGAACCGAGGCCGTTCTTTTAGCACACATCTATTTACCCTCGCACACGCATTCTAGTTCGCGATGTTTTCAGTCATTCCGTCAATGCATGGCTTAACAAAAGAGTGATTTGACTCCTTTATAGACTGTCGGAATGTTATCACCGCAAGCACCATAATAAAGCGATTGAGTAGCGCTAATGTTGGGATCAATGCCTGTGTGACTCCCCAGCATGTATTTGGCCATGATCTGCTCAATCTCCTCGGAAAGGGCATTTTGTACGGTCGTGCATTGCGATACTGCCCCATTCACTCAACTATATCCAAGATACCTTTTTGCATTATTATTCCAGGCACATCATCAAGCACATACATAACCATAGCAAAATCTTGTCGGAATTTATTAGTCAGTCGTATAACACAGACTATGAGACATTTTGAAAATCCGTAAGTGCCCTTTTCTGAACCTCCTTTTTTTTTTTTTTCGTTTTCGTTTTCTTTTTAAACCAATTTTTCTTTTTTCCGTTTCTTTTTTTTCTCTTTTTTTCCCGCTTTTTCATTTCCCAAGTTCCCAATCACCAAGGTGAATCATGCCACTGTGTTTTCTTCCGACTCATACTTCGGGCCTACCAGCTTCGCTCACTTCTTCTTCATCGCCCAAAGTAGCCCCTTCCTCTACCCTGAGGGCAGTTTCCAGTTCCCTAGCCTCACGCGCACGTTCCATACTTTGTTGTTCCTTTGTTGCGGAAACAAACACTTTACCTGGTTTCCACCAGAAAACAGGGTAACGCCGACGCCCGACATTATTTATTATAAGAGCCCAGCCAAGCATGATTAGAGAAGATGCAAGTATGACTGGCAGATAACGCCAGGAGAGAGTGACAACTTCTGATTGAACAGCGGCATTGAGTCCAGTTGCACCGGCACTAGTCAAAGTGGATGTTTAGCTGCCAAACTCTCGCGAAAGTATGAAGCTTTCAACATCAAACTTACGGTGGATGCACGGCCCCAATTAAAACTTGCGCGAGGGCAGATGTTGCCATGCTTAAACCGCCATTTACGAAAACATTGGCGTGGAAACCACCCTCGTCGAGACCAATGTGGTAGTTTGGATCCAGAACAAAGAGTCTGGTGATGCATGTGCCGACGAGGGCGGATACAAAATGGCCTAGGACGAAGTTTCGGGGTTGTGCAAGAGGGGATTCGATGGCGGAAAACAATAGAACCGCCGAGGCGCCAAATGATGTGATAATGATAGGTGCATGATAAACTTCCGAAAATGCTGTATTTGCCGACATGATTGCCTCTATGAGAAGAATTCCCCCAAACGCCCCAATCCAGGTAAAAATGCAGATTTCCAGTTTCAGCGGAAGGTATTTTAGCCAAGAAAAAGGTGGGATGCCCAAAGCAGTATACGGAGGCTGGGCATTTGGAGGCTTGTATCCAGTAAAGCGAGATAGGTAACTGGGCAGGCGACCACGATAATCTTCACTAAGCGTAAAGCGCTCTCCCAACGTCTCAATCCTCTCCTTTAGGCTGGCTTTCTCTGATGGTGTCATGATTTGTGGAAATGTTGTTCTTAGATAGGAGCCAAAGCTGCTCTCATTTCCATTACTATTGCTCTTCTAGCATAACCGTTTCATCTTATATCTTCGGCTCAGATTCAGCAGAGAGACCGCGTCGATCTGTGACATCACTTGGACCTTAGTAGCCCAAAAACGATTGGAAAATCATCGATATATATGCGCCACCTCCTCCGCATATCACAAAGACCAAACGACCACGGAAATAACGGTACAAGTCGTTCATATTGGCATCGACTTAGTTACGCCACTAATACCTTCTTTTTTGAGCTTATGGAAATGTCGGATGCAGCCTCAATTTTTTGTCGTTACTAGCCAAGGATAGGGCGGCTTAGTTCCATTGAGTCAACGGTATCTGCATTCTCCCAATTTGATGTCATTAATATCGTTTTCCTTATATCATCAGTTGTTAAATAAATTGGAGTGTTTTTGTGTCTCATCAGCCTGGAGAGACGACAGTCGACTTCATCGCCGGCCTGACAGTAGGGTTTTGTACGGGTCATAAAAGGTCAAAATATCCAGCTCAAGGTGAAAGAATTAACAAGTATAACCGACTTCTCGAAGCCTGCGTGAGATAGTTACACAACCGTGTATTTTATGCTTGTTCCAAATTTTAGTTCGCCCTGCGATTATGTTAATCTACTATATCACGATCTGGCCCTTCTTAAGAGATTAAGTCATTATAAAATACGTGGTTCCGCCACATTAATTAGTGCTATTGTGATCAGTAACCCAATACTTTGCCCTGTTGGCTTTATTTTATGATCATCGTAAAAACCACAAGCAGGTCCCATCACGCTCGGACTACAGTTATAGCCTGATAGGGTTACGCCTGGGCATTAATTTCTTTATATAGTTTGCATACATCATTTAAGCCATCAACAACTCATACCTTCATGAATTTATGTAATGAATAAACTAAAAAAAAAAAAAAAAAATAGGGTTAAAGTGCATATATATATAGTAATATGAAGTGATCAACTACACTATCTATCTAATAAAATGAAAGGCAATAGTATCTGAAAGCGAGGGTCTAACTATATCAGCGACTCTGAAAGCCCAATTTCTGCAAAAAAATGTTCTCCGTAATCTATAACTGATGCCTTTACTTCCGTGTCTACTTCTCCTATCAGCAATCCGCTGACATGTGTATTAGCCTCTACAAGGTTTGCCGAGACCTCAGATACGAAAGCCTTATACGCTTTGTTTAGTATTATATAGCCATTTAATACCGTTTGGTACTCCTCTTGCAAGGACTTGAGCTCTTTTTCAAGCTGGGCTATACGGTTATCCTTCCTCTCACGATGCTTCTGCTGCGCTACTCTACACTGTTCGCGTCGACGCTGCATCAGGTATATAGTTAGCTTCTAATTTTGGACAATTAGAACTTGGAGCCGCTACATACATTTAAAATGTGTGCAGGTGCGTTTTTGTAACGACCTGGACGCTTCCGTGGTGTGTTATAGGGGGCTTTGACAGTTATGTTGTCAACAGCTTGGTCCGAATCAAATGCTTGTCTTGTCACATTTTCCGGCTCTGAGGGGCTGCTTTTTGCCGGTGATGGCAGGCCAGGTACTGTCTATTTAGAAAATATTATTAAAAGATTCTCCCCAAGGCACATCACGGTTCAACTTGGGCCACTTACATTGACGCCCTCAGGAGTCAGGCCTAGAAACCATCTTTCCCCGACTGGATCCGGTACTGGTGTTGATATAGAGGCAAGATGGGTAAAGTCCAAAGCATTTATTTCCGAGGATTGTTCTTCAAGCCAGCTAAACGTTTGTGCTTGGAAATCACCAGGCTGTGAGCAGGATGTTGGATTCATGCTCATTGCGTCCGCCTTGAGTAATGATAAGTGTTGGAGACTTGCGATGCGATGGTGGTCAGGTATGTTTGAACATGGATCAATGGCCAGGAAATATAGAAAATGAATTTTAGTTAGAGTTTAATTGATTAAAATATGAATAGTCCCCTCGAAATATTGAGCATTGACAAATATTTATCCGCCCTTCGTACTCTGCTAATATCATGTCAACTTCACCATCATCGCACAGGATTCTTCGACCCACATCCCTGTCCCCGCAGCTTTACCCGAGCTAGTTTAGTTGACATTAGCCTTGAAGAAAACAGTCAGATGCAGCGACAACTTTCTTCGGAGCCCACAATCGGAGACGGAGCTGCGCAGACTAGATGCAAGGATGGCAATTTCCGGCGATCCCACAATGATCTTGACTACACAAATATCGGGTCCTCTTGCTCTTTAATCCCATCAGTCCAACGATAATTAGGTAGCAAGGGTAGCGGTCTTCAGCGCCTGCCCGGACAATATCTGGTCTGGCACTCCCCTTCAGGACGCCGCAGCGTGCTGTGGATACATGCACAAGTCCAAATACCCATGACTGGGTACTGATGCATGGATGCTGTACTCCGTACAGTATATGCAATTGAACAATCTTGACAATGTTCGCGGTAGCCAGTACATTTGCGGTACCCACAGACTTTGGGGATGCAGCACGCATTGCGCCCTTGTAATTGTGGGATCGCTGGGTCTCCCATGGTGGAAGCAATTGAATCGATATCTTGGCTGGCGCCTTCAATCTGCTCTAGTTCATGCGCAACCAACCACAATTTGCCAAGCTTTCTTCTTTCTCTTACTCCTAGTGGATGTCAGTAGTTCTACCGGGGCTATCGGAAGCAAACATTTTTGGGGGACGTTGGATACGTTGCATGTGCGAATGTCGTAGGAAGCGTAAGCATCGCACTCACACTGGCGCCCTCCCGTCCATCATAAACGACATCAACAATGGATATTCGAACCGAATACCAGACCTCCAGTTGTCACAGAAGGCCAAGACGTACTGCTGTCAAGGTTCAGCTTTTCAATCAATAACAGTTGCCTATTAAATGATGCTTATTCTTATTAAATGATATATTTCATCTCAACATAGCAACAGTACTATCCACCAATTTTAATCGTTATGGGCAGCTGGAGCTTTTGAAGGCCCGAATAGCCATGTCGAAGGAGCGGTGGCGGCTCGGAGACATTTAGCGTCAATGACATGATGTGGTTTACCCTAGAGCGTAGGCACACAACCAAATTGCATGTATCAACGATGAACCAAAGATGAAGTATGTATTTCCAGACCTGAGTAACGACAGGTTCAGTAATATGGGGGAAACATCAAGATACTTTCAAATGCCAGCTGCTAATGCTTTATCAGCGTATAATCTTGTTCGGTCGCACGTAACACTGCCATGGCACCACAAATGTCTTATACCACCCCTCGTAGCTTGATAGTTCACCTGCACATTTTTGCAGTTCAAAGTTCCAAACGATCATGGTCAACAGCAATCTAAATTCAAGATACGCCAGCTTCTTTCCAAAGCAATCTCTGGGACCCAATCCAAAGGTGCTCATTGGCGCCGCGTTCGGGTCATAAATCTCGTTTCCTCCTGTGTCTTTCTTGATCTATCGCTCTGGGCTGAATTCGTCAAGTGGAATTTTAGAACAAGGAACACGATTTTCTTCCTGTTTGGACGTCTCACTTCTGATACTCTCATCAATGTCGTATCCCTTGGTGAAGAAGCTGGGCCCGTTTTTGAGATATATCACTACTGTGCCCTTTGGAATCCTCCTGCCTAGCACTGTCGTATCTCGAGTGGCTTGTCGGGAACCAAATGAAACTACGGTACTAAATCGTAAGACTTCTCCCATGATAGCGTCGGCATAAGGAATGGAGATGCCAGTTATTTCCGCCGTGGTTGGTGTATAACCCTCTGAAAACGCCTTTGCGTAGCCAGCGTGCATGCTCTTGCGCAGGCGTTGCTGTGCATCCTGGTGATCTGCAAGGTACTTGACTGCCCAAGGGAGTGTGCTGCTCATCGAGTCGTGGCCAGCGATGACCATTCCGAAAATCTAATCATGCATCAATTTTAATTCATCCTGCCATAACAAGACGCTGAGGGATTAGCACCTCATCTATAATCATGTCTGAAAGGATATCGACTACCCAACCGTCCTTGTCGGCAATCTTACTCCCTGTCAATCAAATGATCAGTTGAGCTATCAATCCAAGATCTATCACTGGCCTCTTTCCCCTCCAATTGCTCCAGCCTCTTATGGGCAGGCTTGAGTACTGCCGTTTTGAAACAAGCATCCATACGCTTCTTTGCTCTCTTAAATTTCGCCGACTTTGTTTGGAAGAACCAATACCATTCTGGCAATCCGGATTTCACAGCACCTTCAGCAAAGCCTAGCGGCGGCATCGTACAATGTCAGGGCTGCAACTTCCTCTAAGAACTGCCACGACACCAAATCTTGGACAAGATTCCGATGTCCCTTTCATTCGGCGTCCAACTTGAGCACAAATTGAAAACTCGGCGCGAGTGGACCAAACATGTCTTTGGTTCGCGTACCGCGGTCAAATTTCTTGGTCCGGCAGGTTTCAATATCTCGAGCTTCGCGGTAGTCTGTGATGACCACAACGGGCTTGGAAAACGGGCCTCCGAGAAACACTTGGCAGATGGGCGAGTTGATAGATGCGCAGTGATCACGCCACCACAGGCTGATGTTTTCCCGTCGCGATACCTCGGCAATCAGGTTGGGCATGTCGCCCATCAGTCTCTTCGCTGAGTCTGTTTTGTACGGGATGTCAAGCAGGGGCTTAGGGAGGGCTTTCCTGTAAAGGAGGTAACCGGCTGTTGTGATGCCCGCGGGGGCGTTGGGGAGAATCTTGGCCATCATGGTGATATTGGATGGTGTTTGTGTTGGTATCGCGAGAGTATTCACCAATGTGACTGCAAGACATATGTATGCTATTGGCCACTGTTTATGTTTACGGACTAATACAACATGTGCAATCACTTTTTGTGTTTGCATAGGTTTGATAACATTTCTGCCTTGCGTTTGCTAACTCAGCGCCCTCTCAGCTGATGATCCTTTGGCCTAATTGAATTGTAATTGATCTGGCGATGGATGCGCTAAGGTTTAGCGTCCATCCCTCAACTATAAATTGTCAGACAGCCGGTTGACAGATTCGGCGTAAACGCCTTCAATAGGATGCTAAGTCAACGGAACAGCTGCGGGATTACTTATCGCCCATCTCAGTGTGCCACTATTACAGCAAAGCTACGCTGGTACTGTCTATCGCCCGTCTGGCCGTGACTCTAGGCTTATTTCAGCAGAACGGCCACTGTTACCGTGTGTTAAAGTGTAACCAAGATGTAGAGAGGTACAGCCCAGCACGTAATTAAGGCTAGGGGGGCAATGAATAATGTATGTATATGAGCCGAGCGGGCAGGCTTTTCTTTGAAGTTTATCCGTATTTGTGACTGGACAATACGGAAAGATAAATAGACGAAGTAGCAAAGGAGCGCACCCTTGCAATCATGAGAACGCCAATTTAATCTTCTTATTTTCATGGTTTGATAGGATAAATTGAGTAGTTGTAGCATTGAAGAAAGAGAGCATATGTTGCAGGGCATTGGCTCGGTAAACCGTACACTACCCATGATATGTCAGAGGAGAGCTTGTACGCAGCTGTAGTATTGGGGGTTGTAGCTATGGCTGCATCAGATATGGCATTGCATAACTTCCTGGCTAAGCGTTGCAAATACTAAAGCCGCTGATGTCGCGTTGTATCACCCAACTTCGCATCCTAAGTGGCTCCATTGCTAACATAGGCTCACTGTGGTCGCGTTAAGCAAACTGGTGCTAACTAAGCACTGGACAAGCAACACATGACTATTATAAATTTTGTTTGACGAGCTGGTTAGCCCAATAAGTCAAGATAAGTTGATATAATACTGCATCTTCGGCGTCTTTGTATCGGTAAAATCCTCAATGCGTATATATTCGTAGGTGTGCATCAGAGCCACCGAGATTATTTAACTAGCTTTAGCACATTTTAATTGCTGATCATTACGACAAAGAATCGCACACTCTGTAAAATGGAAATACATTCTGTCAAACCAATTCGGGTTTGGCTCACGCGTAAGTATAAACTTTTGAGTTATCCTGTCCCGACTCGTCTTGCTAAGAAGAACTGACAGCACCTGGACCTAATCCGTGGAAGGTGAGTAAATAAAAATGGGTTTTTTCTGGTAGTCATGAATGGTGTTGTGCCATGCTAAAAGCAGCGCAGCCCATTTTCTTGCTCGAAGAGCTAGGTCTAAGCTATCAGATTCAGTCTTTTCGTTTCGATGATGTTAAAAAAGAGCCGTTTATCAGCATCAATCCGAATGGCCGCGTGCCGGCTATCGAAGACCCAAACACAGGGGTCACACTGTGGGAATCAGGTGCAATTTACCAGTATCTAATTGAACAATACGATACGAAGAATCGCCTAACCTACGACACGCTTTCGGAGAAACATAGGTGTAATCAGTGGTTACATTTTCAGATGAGTGGCCAAGGCCCTTACTTTGGACAATGCGGCTGGTTTCAGCACTTACACCCCGAAAAGATTCCATCGGCCATCGAGCGTTATAGTAATGAGGTCAGGCGGGTGTTGGGCGTTTTAGAAGGCGTATTAGCGGCCAAACCAGCTGCTGCTCAGTGGCTAGTCGGTGACAAAATGACATTTGCAGACATGGCCTTTGTGCCATGGAACGGCCGTCTCAATGAAGTGTTGATGCAGCCATGGGATGAGATATGGGATGGCCTACCCCATGTACGCGCTTGGCACGAGAAGATGGTTGAGCTTCCATCTTGGAAACGATCTATGGAAAAACGCAGTCGCCTAATGGATGAGCAGGGCTTGCAGTGGAACGGGTTTCCAAAGGGTATCCAATCGTTTCAGGAATACGAGAAAGTCATAGAGAATAATGCCAAATTCGCGACCTAATTCATTTCATCTTAGGATGTTGCAGCCTGCAGGTTGGACGTGTTCCAGCTGAAGCTCTAGCCATCACTGCTTTTAGTCTAGTGCTGTCACGTGTCTGCAAGTTGTTAGATAGAGAAACACGGGAACTCAATAAGACAAAATCACGTCTAGTACAAGCTCTCAACGATGCCTGGTGTTCCGTCGTATCGCGGCTGTGACGCTTGTCGCAAACTGAGAAAGAAGGTGTGTATTGTAGTAGCCAATCGCTTGAAATGCACCAAAGATTAATTCTTCCATATAGTGTGATGGATCAACTCCCTGCTCAAGGTGTAAACGCCGTAATGTCCCTTGTCAAGGCACCGGCACCGTCCGGTATAAGTTTAAAACGCAGATTCAGTCTCCCAATGTGGTGGGCTTGAGACAACAGAAAATGCTCTGGCAGTACCGTCCACTTATTTGGATGCCAATCCAAACCCCAACCAATGGAGCCAGCCGACTTGCCACTGCCTTCTCCTCCTTGATGACGGCTGAAGATCCCAAGTATAATTTGAATTGCTTCGGAGACTGGTTTACCGGTTTGCCTTCTCGGTTCGGTGCTGATCAGGTGCTGGATGACGTGGCCGATGCCTTTTTGGAGGGCCTGATAGGCATCTGGATACATGGAGGGAGGCAGACTGTGGACGCCATGACGAAATACGGGCGTGCGCTCAAGTCTTTGCGGGCTGCCTTATATGATCCAATTACCGTTAAATCGCCTCATACACTTTGTGCTACCATTCTTTTTACAGTGTCGCGGGTATGTCAATGTTCTGATATGGCTTATACATCTCTTGCCTAGGGAATCAGATTGATAGCTAACTTTACCATAGAATTGGTTTCTAAATGGTTCCGATTACCAAGTGAGCCATATAGAGGGCATAGTCCATCTATTAAATGCCAGTGCTGGCGAGCATTGGGCGGAGAGGCTGGATACTTACATGCGCATCAGCATGCTTTACCCCACTGCAAGTCTGAACTACCTCGCCATAATCTGGATTATTGCTAATTTATATCGACGTCTAGGTTGTCGAAGCAATTATTAATAATAGTGTTAGCATAGATTCCTGGTATCTTAAGCAGCACGGCCCAATCTTCGGGCCAAGCCAGCCTCCTGATCAAGATCACGACCAGCCTATTGAGAGCTTGACTTTATCCACCATTTTAAATATGCCGGTTTTTCTTTCGACGCCAGAGAATCACCTTGACTGGATCAAGTCATCTTATGAGCGACTAAAGATTGAAATCCGTCTTGTGCATCAACGACTTAATGCAATGACTGAGATTAATGACCCAAGTGCCCTTAAGCTAGACCAGCTTCATGAAATGGTCAAGTTAGAATCATCCTGTATCTTCATGTTGGCGTATACACTTATTCTTAGCGCATTTTTGCTGGCATTTGATCCTGAGAATATTATATTACATAGAGAGTCACGGGAACTTGCATGGGACGCTGTCTTTACCTCGTCGCAGACTGCTCCTCACTTGCCCGTGGGTATGGGATTCATACCATACGCCTTATTTGCTGCATGGCTCGCCACGGATGACCTCGATGTTGTCAAGGCTATCAGGGCTACACTTGTGCAGTCTGATGTATATTTTGCGGACGTGAAGTATGTGCGCATGTTTCGTGCACTGAAACAAAGACTGAGGAGTCTACGAAAGACGAAATTAGCAGCATCATCACAAATTGAGCTGCTGCTTGATGAGCATACAGAGCAGAGCATGCCACCAGACATGGTGGATTTTGGTTGGGACTTGAGCACCATATACGCACTGGAAATATAGTCCCTAATCTTATCTATATCTTCAAGCAGATGATGCTTGCACAGACGTGCCCGTAGTTTCCGAAGTCTCCAGCAGTTACTACACGCATCCCTCTGCCTGTATTTCTTCTTGTATATGCGATCACTTGGTGTAAGGTATTAGAAGCTAAGAAGAGAGCGAACGGGTTTGGAGACGCCGTGAGTGCCTAGCCATTGGCCATCAACAATATCCCAAGCTTCTAGATGTGTTGTGCAAGGCCATCGCGAAACACTAATTTTTACAAGTTACTAGGCGAGTTGTGAGACTTCCCTCTAAAGGATCGGCAAAATTTGTGTTGTATGGTGGAGACCTGGAACTAAGAGCTTGGCAAAGATCGTTTTAGTAATTGTTCCTGGAGATTTATTTTTATTTTTTTTTTCAATTTTTTTTTTCTAAAAATAATTAATGAAGATGAGAATGAAAGAAGGAAACGTATGGCCTATGATCTCCAAAATCCTAATCCAGTGTCAGAGATGCCCTTAGTCGGGGGTTCATTGTGTCTGGGCGGATGTGACGGAGGAATAATCTGCCCGTGATTATGAGTCTCCATTGGCAAATGCCTCATTTAACAACAGCTAGACATATCTTGAAAGTTCTTCCCCTCCCATTTTCTCTCTTTCTCTTACCTTGTTTTCATTCTTTCACATATTTTCTCAACAAATCTGCAAGCTACCCTGAAATCCCACCACGATGCGGCTTCTTAATACGACAACTTTGGGGCTCGAGGAGTTCTTCGGCGATGACAATCCACCATACGCCATTCTTTCGCATAGATGGCTAAACGAGGAGGTGTCTTTCCAAGACATACAAAACGGCACGGCCGCCAAGAAAGCAGGATACTATAAAATCAAGCAATGCTGCGAACAGGCTGTGAAGGACGGGTTGAAATTCGCCTGGGTCGACACATGCTGCATCGACAAGACTAGTAGCGCCGAGCTAACCGAGTCCATTAATTCGATGTATCAATGGTATGAAAAATCAGCAGTATGTTATGCATACTTGTCTGATGTTACGACAACTGATCCGTCGAGTGATGCAACCTTTGGAGAGAGTGTATGGTTTACCCGTGGCTGGACTCTGCAGGAGCTCATTGCGCCCAAAACCGTTGAGTTCTTCAATGCAACTTGGCAAAAAATTGGGACAAAGGAAAGTCTTAAGGATATCATTTGGGAAGTCACGAAAATCGACCAAGCCATGCTTGAAGGTGCAGATCCCGACGAATTCAGCATTGCGAAGCGAATGGCTTGGGCTTCGAATCGAACAACTACCAGATCAGAGGACAGGGCGTACAGTCTCTTGGGACTTTTCAAGGTCAACATGCCCATGCTGTATGGGGAGGGCGAGCGGGCATTTATTCGGCTTCAGGAAGAGATAATGAAGTACTCGGACGACCAGTCGCTCTTTGCCTGGAAAAGCACCCACAACAATTACCGCGGACTCCTAGCGAAATCTCCTCTCGATTTTATTGACTGCTTCAACGTTGTTCCATCCAAGTCCAAATGGAGCCGAAGCCCATACACTTTTACAAATAGAGGATTGTCGATACAGATGCCTATGGTAGGTTGGGCTATGGAGACGTATCTCGCTGCGCTGGATTGCGAGTTGGAGAACACCCCGAACAGTCGCATTGGTATCTACCTACAACTGCTGCCAGAGAGCGGCCAGTTTGCTAGAGTGTTGCTCGAAGGGGCAGACACTTGTACCTTTGACTCGAAACTGGCAGCAAAAGCTCAATATAAGGATATCTACGTCCGACAAAAGGACTATGTTGATCGCCCGATTGATCGTCTTTATGGCTTCTGGATCCGAACCCTGCCAACGAAAATTACCACCGTCTCAACAGGAGAAAATGACCGGGTCTCGGAAGTCCAATCCTTGAACGAGTGGTCTGATGAGGATCGAATTCTCGAAATGCCAATAGGGTCAAGTGGAACCGCTGGATCGATTTGGTATTCCACAGGATCCAGATCGGAGGCACTGAAATTGGGATTCGATGACGACTTCAATCCTATTTGCCAATTAGGAGGCCATCTGTACAGTCCTGTGAAGCCCCCTATTCCCTCGCAATCGGTTGCTGCGCAAATGGATCCTTCATGGATGACGATTCCAAGGAGCGACTATCTACACCGCGGCGACAGGCTCTTTGGATATGAGAACGAAGACTATTCTAGGCGAATATCGATAACTGATGAGATAGTTGGCAATCGGAGAATGTGGGTGCTTGATGTTGTGGACATTGACGACTCTCTTAATTGATGGCTTAAAAAATGTAGCAATACTTTTTCAAGTATAGCCATCCGTACGCATCAGAAATCGTGAAACAATTTGCTAATAACTAACAATTTGAATATTTTAGCTAATTGTATATAAACTAGTTTCTAAAGGTCTTTGGTGGAGTCATCAAAGTCCAGTTTCCATATATTGTTGTGTTTATTTTCCTAGCAATATATTGAAATGCCGAGAAAGTCAAATATTATTTCAAATCGAAGTACCACTTTATTGAACGGATATAGTGTATGCCGTTGTTTGAAATTTGGCATTTGATCCTTGAAGTCATGTTAATCTATGGTTTATTTTCATCTGGGAAACTTGAAACTTACCAGAAAAAGGTTCTGTTCCTGCTTGAAGACTCGTAACTACCATACTAGTACTGACCCCTTGGCTTGCAGTCAAATAGTTAAAAAATTGCTTCAAATCGCCGCTCCACTTCTGAATATTGCTTGATGCAACAAATGAATAGACCGTGGTATCGCCGTTGGGGCCTTTGAAAAGTTTCCACTTAGTGCCGAGAATAGTAGGTGTAGCAATAGGAGAACTTCCAGTCGAAGAGATAGGACCCGCTCCGCCATATGTGCCAATCCAGATCATAATCTCGTACTTGTTGTTAGCCGCTGCAGTTGGGGCGAGCCACAAGTCATAAGAAACATCCGCTACTATATTTGATCCGGTATAACTGCCAATAGCCTTGAGCATCAAAAACACATGAAAGATGAATAGTCCGACATACCTCCAAGTCCATGTGGAAGGGATGGATTTAATATCAGATAACTTCTTGTCAACCTTTTCCAAGGCCACATTGGAATAAGACTTGACATGGCCCTGGCCTCCTGCCCAAGTCCAGTCTGTAGACCATACAACAGAATTGCCGTTCAGGGCTGTGTAAGTAGTACACTGGCTTCCAGATGTTGCCCAGTTGGCGCCCCAGTTATTATGGTAGACAGTATATGGGCCCGCTTGGATACTTCCAAAGGCGTCGCACCAGGTAGTGGCCCGCTTGTTGGGAGTTGTGAGTGCAAATGCCGCGTTGGCAGTAAGAGAAGCTAAAACAAAACAAAGTAGCTGCATGTTGATTATTTAAGAGAGTGAAAGTGGTATGGATTTAGAATTAGAGAATGGACGCCCGTTTCGCTTGCATCAAAGAGAAAGAGAGGAAAACAACGAGGAATAGTTCTCCTTTATATCTATTAGGGGGGCATTACTGCATACTTACAAATGTATTTGCCAACTTCAAATTATGAGTAACTATACTGACAATTGATAGATTAATATTGCAGGGCAATATTTGGCTACTATTGCTAATATTGCCTCTTGCAGTACTCCGCATATTAAGAAAGATTACACTAATCCCATAAGATCACAATATACAAGGACGGCACCGCCACAATCAAAGTCTCCTAATATGCGGACTAGACCTCGAATCACATGCTAAACTATTCGTACAACTCCGCTACCCCGTGATGAGATAGTTGATAACCCAGGCCCTGGAGTATCAGGTAGTGCTGCGGTGTACCAGCGCTCGGCATTAGACCGAGGGGTCCTCCCCCTGGGTCAAAACTCCCACATGGCGCCGACGACTCCGGAGCTACGCTATAAATATGGAGAGTATTTAATAGACTAACTTGATAAGCCGTGGAGCACAACGCTTGTTGGGACTTGTGAATGACAACACTTACCCCTGAATAGTTGTATGGCGTAGGCTCTCGCCCCTGTTGCCCACGGGTTGCCTCGTGTTATGCCTTTGATGGTAGCAAAGTAGCGAGTACCCCCTGTAACTGTAAAACTGAAGGTGATTGGAGCGGCAGTAAGAGTTTCGGCTGCCGCGTGTACTCTGGAACGCTACGGAATATCCCGATATGGCCCAGCGTCGAATCAGGAGATACAGTAGTAACCGCCTGGTAAGGCGTAGACTAGTCGTAACCGCTGTACTAGAAGGAAGCCGATGACACTGTAGCACCTATAAGGCTTAGCACGCATATCACTTTCATGTGGCGCTTGTGGGGTAAGCTGCTCTTTTTTGACAAAATTTGATGTCTTTTGTTCATGCTGTTTACGTAGCTTGTGTTACTATTTAATTGCGGTCTATTTATCCACGGATGCAACTTGATAATATAAACTCCATGCACAATAAACAAACGAGTAGCTTTCCATAGAGAGCGCTGTAATGTTCTCTGACTTGTCTGACCTAAGACAACACTTTGGATAGTGCTGTGATTTCATCTAAAAATTGCTGATCTTTTCGAGATGCGTTCTTGGTCACTTTGCCTAAAAGATGTTCCACCGTCTGGCCTGGGTCCGTCGGGGGATTTCCCTGCGCCGTTTGAATCCGAGAGATCTGCATTGCAATAAAGAACTTTGGTGCCTTGATAGCTAATTCGCCTCCAATGGACCGAAGTCCAATTTCTGTAGCAGTATAAACATTTGCCTCGTTTTGGAACTTTGCCAGATCGTTATTGGCGAGAGGGCTGGTGGTTGCAAACTTTTGTAAAGCGAATTGCAGTGGCGATAAGTCCGAATTAGCAAAGTTGATTGAAGAGAAGGAGATGCCGCCGGAAGAAACATCCGGTACACTGGAAATTGTAGTCTTTTTGCTGTTGCAGGTGACATTAGAGGCGAGGAAATTTGCCGCATCCTGAGATTCTTTTGGTAGTGTGTTTGTCCCAACTATGAAGCACGCTTGTGCACGCGCTTCTGGGTGGGACATGAATAGAGGGCCTGTGAGATTGATAGTCTTTGGTTAGCTATGGGGGAGTATTCCATTTTTGGAATGGACGCCGGCTTGACTGACTTGCTCCAGCGCCAGCGCTGGCAAGAAACGGGATTAACAGCGTAAGGAAATGCATTTTGTGATGCGCACCCTTATCGCAATTCGGTGAATGGAAAGGTTATGATTATTATTATTAGAAAAAAGGAAAAAGAAAAAAGAAAAAAGAAAAAAGAAGGTCACAACTGGCTACGTAGAGAACAAGAATATTGCATTTTCGGAACAAACACGCGACATTTATAGAAGGGCCTACGAAAACGAAAACGGGGCAATGCCTCTAGACTTTAGTAGCAAATTACTGGCGACAACAATAGTATCATATTAGTGGCACTAGGGGCAAATCCAAAACCAAATCCATCCCAACTCCAATGTTTATTATTACTATAAACTGGGGGGCATCAATAGAGATCATAGAACTCCGCTAGGATATTGTGTATTATGAAGAACGCATGACCACAGGTGATAGCCGTAAGCTTGGTCGCGGCATAAATAACCAAGCCAGTATCATTAGATCATAGATTGCCCAGTCGGCTAAATCAAGTTCGTTTAGCCCCTCAACGCAAGCTGAAACGGACACGGGAAGGACACGGGAACTGATGAACAATCCTGGATAAGTCTTGAGTCGAGGCCTGGATAGGGGAAGAAAAACAGGGCTCGAAAAGTTCGGCAATTGTATTGTTGCTTTAGATGCTTAGATTAAACGGGGAATCAAAGCCGAAAGCCCAATGTGGCTACTGTTTTGTTCTACGCAATAGACGAACCTGAAGCGGATCTGCCTGAAACCTATGGAAACCCTTGGCGGCTTAGCTGATGATTATGTTAGAAGATTTTGCTTTCATTAGCCGGCGGGCTCACGTATAGGGTGTTCTCACAACGGACCTCGGCCTGATTTACCACGAGGTTCAAGAGTACTAATTCGAGATAATGTTTTGATTACTCTGAGGAAAGTCGTGTGAAAGAAGATTTACAGAGGAGTACAAGTGTGATGATAAATATAGTAAATCTACAAATATATACTCTCTGTAGAGGTAATATTGCCAATTATTGTGGAAGATTGGTAACATTGTTGACTATATAATAAGTTGTGTATTTGACAAAAGCTGCGAATGCGATGAGGGAACTCGATACCTAGTCTACCGGATCTTTTCTTATCCGTGTCTCCCAAATTACTTTACTTCTCTTCGACCAATGCCTATGCTTTTCTTCTCCCTATTTCCCTACTTTTACCATTTTACTTTCTAACAGTTGTCCCCATCCTTTTGAACATTATGCCTTATTACGTATTCCATGCGTATAACCAATTCTAACCCTTCTTTTCGGATCCGGGCCTCTCGGTACCCTTTGAACTTGATTGTTGCTTACTGCCCTCCCTGCTATTTACCTGCTTGTCGGTTTTGGCCTTTTCAGACCTCGCGGGCCATTTTTCTCTCTCGGCGTTAACCGTTATTGTCCCCCGGGAGACTGCGGGCTGCCCGTGACGCTATTGCCGCTTCTGTAACCCTCCAGCCGCGCTTTGATTACATCATCTGAAACTTGCATGAGAGAAGGATTTTCTTTGGTAAAAATATGTATGGTTACAATTTTTCGTATTTATCAATCAACAGTTGTCAAAGGCGTAGCTGGTTAAGGTGGCCTGAGGGTAGGCTTACCATCCTACTCTCTACATTGAAAGAGAAAAAATAGTTGACTAAGGGGCTGTACAGGCGATAAAAGCAACTCTATTAGCTCAATGTCCAACTCATCCTGGCTACAAACTTATTCATTTTATGCCCCCGCCACAAGTAGGCTCCAAGCTGAGTAGTGGATCTCTGGAACACGAGCAAAACGGGCCCGATCGGCTGCCAAGGGGGAGGTACAGCCTTGTGAACACGAACATCTAAGGATGGCTCAAAAGCTGACCGCATGAGTGACGACAGTTTAAGGCTACAATGGCAATTGCTCGTATTCTCTAGTATGCAGATGACAGCCAGTGCCACTACGATGTGTCATATGAGTAGCTGATACGATGCTAGACGAGAGGAAGAGGCTTCTCAAAAGGGGGCACATTTCAGGGCAGGCTATCCCACAGGACGACATCTATAAAGAAGACGTAACTGTCAAGATATACGCTTCTTTGGCCTCAAGACTACTCTCTCTTACCAACTCTCGCCCATCTGCTTCACCACACACACTCTCTCTCATCTTCATTTAGATCTCAATTCAAGCCAACGCTCACTATCAATCAACCCCTCCGCTGGTCAAGTACCACTCACTACTCGCCGCAATGGTCCGCTCCTCGATCATCGCCATTTCCTCCCTCGCGATGGCCGCAGCCACAAGCGCACTCTGCTCAAATCCAGCCGTCCGCAAGGAATGGCGCGAGCTTACCGACACCGAAAAGGCCGAGTACCTTCGTGCCGCCGTGTGTCTGCGCGAGCTGCCCAAGGCAAAGTACGCCGAAATCGATGCCGTCACCACGCGCATGGACGACTTGGTGTACACCCATTATGCTCTCAATACAGAAATCCACTTCGTGGCCACCTTCCTCCCATGGCATCGATGGTATGTAAAGCTGCACGAGGACCTGCTACGGACCGAGTGCGGCTTCAATGGTACACAGCCATACTGGGATTGGAGCATTGAAGCCGACGCCAAGGACATGCCCAATTCACCTCTCTTTGACCCCGTCACCGGCTTCGGCGGTAACGGCAAGAGTACTGGCAGCAACGAGCCGGGCTTCCAGCGCTGCGTGGTCGATGGCCCCTTTGCCAATACGAACCTGACGCTGGGTATGGGGTGGCCCAACTTGAATGACCCCGGTGATCGACTGCACTGCTTCACGCGCGCGTTCAACGGTGGTGAGGGCAACGATGAAAATGGTGATCTCATTATTGGCGACATGCAGTCTAGCGCCTACAACTCCAAAGTCATGAACACCATTTACGGCTTTGAGAAATTCTCCGAGATGGCCAACATGCTTGAGGGATTGCCGCACGCACAGAGTTTGTCTTTCTTGATCTTTCTTGACTTTACCGAACTTGATTTCCTCGGAAAATGCTAACATGCCTGCAGTTCACAGCATCATCTTTGGTGATATGGGCCCAGCCACCTCGCCCAACGAGCCACTCTTTTTCCTGCATCACGGCAACGTTGACCGTGCTTGGGCCAAGGTATGTAGGCATCTGGGGTTTTCTTCCTTTTATTGTCAGAGAGTGCAACTGCTAACAAACACTCAATGCAGTGGCAAGGCCGCAACGCCACCCGCCTGGCTGACTACAGTGGATTCCAAGACCGCAACAAAGTAATTGCAGCCTCGATCAACGACGCCATGCCCATCCTGGAGCTTGACGACACTGAACCCATTGTCAGGGACTACATGGACATCCAGGGAGGCCCTTTGTGCTATACCTACTCATCCATGTAAATGCATGTGCTCAGCTGTTTGAAGACTTGGGCGTTGTGCGGCGGTGCTATACTATTTAATAATTCTGTCTATTTTTTAACGCGCCACCTCCTGTGAGGGTCTCATATCGAAATCGAGACCGATTATCTGAATTGAAGTACGAAATCAACTGTATAAACTGTAGCGCAAAGAGAGAGGAGAGGCTGCGAATGTGAATTCAGCAATGAGCTCAAAGGCCCGGCGAGTTATGGCATTCAATATCTGTAAATGGGCTCACACAGCATTAAACTCGATGAGCCAAGGCCATATGCTGCCTATCACGAGTACGTACATGCACTATAGTCAAGACGCGTACATGTTATATTGGACTTGATTCACCCGTTCTTCTTGTGCGAAAACTACATGTGTGAGTACTTGCGGTGTAGGTACCTTGGAGTGATGATGTGACCAACCTATAGCAAGTCGCCGTAACCGAGAAATAGAAATGGCAGGTACCCAATCACGGGAGCCCACGTGCTGGCATGAGCTAGTCCAGCAATTCAGGCGCTAAATGGCCCACTCCCGCCGATGGTCTAAACTCTAAAATATGTCAAACATTCTCTAGGCTCTTGATCTCTTCACTCCACCTACTTCTTTATATTCACCATTACCGTTCCATGTCGCTTTATAATGGACATCACGATAACGCTGATTTCTGGCAACGACGAGGAGACGACGGTGTTTGCAGAGGCCTACTGTGGCGATCTTTCACTGGTTTTTCGATTCGATCTCGACATTTCTCAGCCGCTCAGCACCAGCAGTCGCATCGTAGCCTGCTTTCACGACATCCAAGTTGACGACGACAAGCAGACGTTTCCCGACAGAGGATCCATGCGCCAAGCGGTGCACGATTCAATCGCAAACGTTTGGCCTATTTGCGCTTCAAATCCCTTAATTCGCCTTCCGGATGTTGTTGTACAAATTCAGCAAGATGATGGCAGTGAAACGACTTGCAGAATCTCTCACGAGAGTGTCTTTCGCGACTATCTAGCAAGTCTTTTACCTGCCACTTCTTTCAAAGATACTCTCATCCGAGCAGCTCACATTGCCGAACCGCACTATATTCCACTCGAGTCTCTTCAATTTTCCGATATGTTAGGGGGACGTGGGGGGACGACGGTCACTCGGTTCCGAGACCAGAAAGATGGCGGATTATACGTTTACAAAGGACTCAGCTTCCGCTTATTCCTGGAGGGCGAGGCGGACTATAAATCCGAGCGAGATACGTTCTATCGCGAACTCGAGGTCATCTACTCTCTACCCCGTCATCCGAATATCCTGCTCCCTCCGTCCTCACTAGTTACCACTGGGTCGCCTCAATCTGCAAGTCACGATGTTACAGAGAAAGACCACGTCATATGCGGAGCGTTGTATCCGTTTCTCCAACGCCAATCCTTGCAAGAGATAATCAGCCAAAGTAATGAGAATCGCACAAGACTCCCGCTAGTAGCAAAGGCGAAATGGGCGTGCCAAATTTCATCTGCGATGGCCATGGTGCATTCGTCAGGGCAGTACCATATGGATTTGAAGCCAAGCAATATGCTTCTCAACAACGATGATGATGTGGTTGTGATTGACTGGGAGCAATCAGGCGCGTCTCCGTTTTTCCTTGCCCCAGAAGCAAACGGCATGTGGGACGTGGAGATGGCCGCAAACAAGGAAACGGATGCGGTGAGGGATACAAAGCCTGGGAAAGCGAATATGGTCTATCGAAAGTTCACAGGTCAGCTACCTGATGATTGCGGGACTTGGCCAAGGCGGAATGTGTTCCAGCTGTGGCAGCGCGAATGCCCAAGGGCACTGGAGGCCGCAGAGGTCTACAGTGTAGGACGGAGTTTGTGGGCCATCTTTGAGCAGAGCGAGGATACATGGGATTATGACAGGGGACAGTGGGAGGCAAAGGCGATAGAATGGACTCATGGGAGTCAAGGCATACCGGAAGTATGGAAAGATTTTGTGTCCCGATGCATGAGCGTAGATCCAAATCAGCGGCCGGCATTCGATCAGGGAGAAAAGTTTTGGGAACAGGAATGGAAGCGACTCGAGAGGGATACGAAGTAGACCTGATCATAACGAATATGATTTCAATTCTTGATGCTTTGTCTTCTATTTGATCCTCTTACTCGGTTCCTATTTTTCTCGCATCTCTAATTTTAATAGCGCGATACAGGAAGAAGCTATTGTCGGGTTTCATGAGACCAGCAGCCACCATCTCAGAGCGATTCGCTGCCAGTAGTCGCACTGGACTCTCTAGGTCCCTCCAGTCATTTTGGGCTTGTGATGGTAAGGATGGTGATAAGGTCGAGACCAGCGGGAAATGATTCGTTCACAGTCCTTTCTTGTAATGCGGCTGAAAGTGGCGTGCCGAACACTTCACCGAGCGCTGAGAGGGAGCCAATGACTCTGTCTGTCACAGTGATGTGTGTTACTCCAAGTGCTTTATGTGGCGTTGACGAGGGTGTCTGCGTGCATTGGCCGACGCCATGGCTGCCACGTCATGGTAAACCCATGTTAATGAAAGGATATCATTACATAAAAACAACTACGCAGCCCATCATCGTTGTATTTGCTACAACACCAGCGTAATTGGGTGACTTGAAGCTGTGTCTCGCTCTCTCCTACTTCTGTAGGGCGGTCGTGAAGTATAAATAGTCTCCAAAAGCTCCCCTCTTCTCTTTCAAAAGACAATCCGTACCCCGCCAATCCGCTATTCGGCTGTGAATATATCAGCAATATCAACACTATGGCTCTTGTTCTACCTCCATCCGTTGATCACTTCAACTCCTTGCCTGGTATCGCGGAGTCCAACGAATCGTTCCAAACTCATTGCACGCAGAAGATGCTCTCGGATATTTGCGCCGTCTTTGTCAAGCACAAAGCTCAGCATATCTATGGCCTCGCGCTTGTTCATCAGCATTTCGATCTTGAGACTGACGAGAAGCTGGTCAACATTGGAAACGTTGCTGTTCCCCTCAAGACTGGCTCTGTTTCCACTACAATTGCTGCGACTAGATGGGCGTTTTCTGGAGAAAGTGTAATCCCTTACGAGTTCTCTACCGAGGCACGTCAGATTGATATGGACCAGCATCACGATTTTATCTACGAACTAGGGAAGCTTATCCATTCCTGTGGACTCTCTGATCATCTCGGATTGTGTTCGCTTGACAGTATCGCCGATACAACCAAAGGCCCCACTATGGAGTTTACTAGTGGCCGCGCAAACATCACATTGCCATTTGATATTGACCCAGAGAATGGGCAGAGTGTCGAGGCAGCTTGGCAGGTACATGAAGGTATAGCAGCTTTTATTTGTGGCCGGTTATCATCTACTTACTGTACAATAGGATCAATCCCGGGAATGGTTGGATTTGCCCAATGCAAGTCGCGCTGCAAAACAGGTCCAAATACTGGTCATCAGTCACATCACAAATATACCAGAGCCTAGTCGGCTCACTGACATGGTTACCTACCCCATTTACCAACAACAGCGTGCACGATCACGCGCAATAGTGTATCTATGTCTAGATTAGACTCTATAGAGTTTATAGTATACTATATCTGACGGCTGTCGTAGCTTGCAATATTTATTACTCCCCGCCCAATCCAGCCACCACCCAATCTACCAAGTCTCCATGCCAAACTCCCTCCAGTATAGCGGCGTGCGGCCTGCAGCGTGCGCCTTCGGACGTGTGGAGCATAGCGGCATAGAAGAATCAAGTACCTGGCTAGGAAAAAATGAAGCCAGTCTACAATAAAGATCAGCGCACTGTAGGGCGCTCTCCTCGGCCATGACTAGTCCCACTACACGTTGTATAAGCTTTGGCTCTCTCATCCACGATGTTGGCTAAACCCTGCAGTCTGTCGTTCTCAATTCGTAACTTGGCATCAAGATCTGGTGAGGAGTCCAGTGCCCCCAAGAGGACGATTTTCAGTATTAGATGGAAGAGGCGCAAGAATGATACTGAGATGGGCTCAGGGCGGGGATATTCGGTTTCCGTCTGAACGTGTTCAAGATCAATGAGCCACGAGTCTAGCGAGGCCAGCAGAGCTGCCTTGTCGGATAGTAGTTGAAAACCGATTCCTACCGATTCGACTTGCGACACTTTACTGAGGAATTCCAGCGACGACGTGGCGATTCTCGTAAGCTCCGTCCGCATGTCGGGTGCAATCGCGCGAAAATTACGAGATTCAACAGGCTGTTGATGCGGCGGCAACGTCGTCACACTTGTGTCGGCCGTTGTAGAGGTGTCTGCAAATTTACATGGTGCAGCAAACACCTTAATGACGAAGACATCCAGTAAAGGTAGTTGATCATGGTGTGCTGGTATGAGTCTATTCACGGTGGCGAAATATGGCCTTGCCCGGTACTCGTGCATGATCCTGAGTCCTTGAATGATATGCTGGATCATTGCAGCGTAGTTTTTCTGCACTTGCTCAATGCTGATGAAGATCTGACAACAAAGCAATGCCGACTTCAGCCGGTCGGAGCCCGGAGATGACATTTTAGAGGTAAGACCCCCCAAAGCCATACTATACTGCTGGAGGCCGTAGTGATAGCCCGGGGTCGGCGGCGCGACAGACGCTGGATCATCTCCGGACGTTTCAAAATCTTCTCGAAGAGCCCTGAGAGACGATATTGCGTGTCGAATAGACGGATCTGTCAGGCTGGCCTGGAGGGCTTGCCTGGCTTCTGCATCACAGCCCAGCTCCACGTCGAGTATGGTTTTGGTTGAGAAGCAACGATTGAGAAGGTCAATGTCCTGAGGGGTGATTTCAATGATGGGGGGCTGGACGGGCTGGACTGGTTGTAGATCAACAGCTGAGCTACTGTCTCCAGAATGAGAGCTTCTTGATGGTTGGCTGGGGAAGATTCGAAAGGGAGACTCGTAGCCGTCGCAAGCACGACCAGTATTGACACATCTCAGGCAAAACGGCCTTTTCTCGTCGCATTTGACCTTTCTAATTCTATTGCTGATTCAGCACATGCACTGTAGCGATGATTTCCCGTCTAAATCTATTTGATAGTCTCGGAGTGAAGACTGGTAAAGAGACGGGATATACTCGCGGCGACTGACCTGCAGGTTGTGCAACCAGTCTTTACCTTGGTTCTACATTTGCTGTTTTGTTTTCGAGTGGTAACGCTTCCGGCCATCATTGAGCGGTGACTAGGACATTCACGCATGTCGCGCAATACCGTTCAAGCTAGAGGAAGAATTACGGAGTATAAGAAGCAAGAAATCCGAGCAGACGAATCAAAAGGCGCATGACATGACTCATCACCGAGATCGTGAGGTAAGAGAGCTGCGATCGCTTTAAAAAGGTACCTGGTAGTTGAGGCTTGTAGGATCTGGCGCTAGCTTGATTGGGTAGCGAGAGCGAACCCACCAATCGTAGACGCTGCTGGAAGAACTTCATCCTTCACCAGGAATAAGCCGAGATGTGACTTCGTTCAGAATCTCAATTGTCTTGATAGAAGTGGAGGCATCCAGGCTCTACAAATCCCAATAGTTTCTTTTTATATCGAGATGTCTTCAGCTTATATAAAGAGTGACTGGCCTGATCCCTCTCGAGAGTACTCACACAATGTCGAGGCTCCCTAAAATCATCCCCAGATTCACGTCGAGACGACTGTACAGCGCAAAAATGCCAGCTTTTACTCTATATGGCTCTCGTGGCTCGACAAACACCGATCGTGTCCGCCTGACTCTTGCCGAAGGTGGATTTACAGATTACGAACTCGTGCTTCTCAACCTTCAGAAGGGGGAGCAAAAGGTGGGTGACCTGTTTGTCTTGGGAGATGACGTAGCTTCTTCTTGCATTTGGAAATTATATATCATATCAAACCTCAGAATTTCCTCCTATTCATCAAATCTTTATTCCCCTGCATTCAATGTTCGATTCCTCTGGAAGCTAACGCCGCTGCACTCAGTCCACGGAACACACAAAACGTCACCCGTGGGGTAAAATCCCCGTGGTAGTTTTCCCCAATGGCTTCACTCTCTACGAGAGTCGTGCAATCTGCAAGTACCTCGCAACCAAGTACTCATTTCCACTTCTACCCTCAGACTCCGACCTCGAAGCTGCGGCGCTGTTCGACCAGGAGCAAAGTGCAGAAATTCTTTATTTCGCGGAGCCCGCGGGTCGAATATCATTCGAGAAATTTGCGAAAAAATTCATGGGACTACCCGCCAATGAGGCCGTTATCGCAGATGCACTGCGGTCACTTGAGACGTTTTTCGACGTCGCAGAACGTCTCTTACAACACAAAGACTACATGGCTGGAAACGACTTTACTCTTATAGACATCTACTACATTCCGCTGATCCAAAGGCTTTTTGCATGTGGGTACGGCGATATCGTTGTCAGTCACGAAGCTGTGAATGCTTGGTGGAACCGTTGCGTGAATCGGCCAGCCATCCAGAAGATGTTGGCCGCTGACAAGGAGGCTATGGCTGCTGCAAGTAGATAGACTGAAGAGCTGTGGTGTATATATATGTATATAGTAAGCTTTAAGTATATTGCTTATTGTTGGAATCTTAATCCCCGCCCATATTAGAATATGTTCTATAACTCGAAAAGGCTTATACAGGCTTAACTGCAAAGTTCCTAATTGGTAGTACTAGACACTTGTCAAATTCACACCTTTTCAATCCACCTCCTGTATTTGTGCCAAAGTCATATGCCAAGAATCGTCGAGAGCAAAAGCAATCTCATCCGAGAGGCTTTCCGGGTCGGGCGGGTTTCCCTCGCTGTCAAAGGAAAACACCTGCTGCCAGTCACCCACCATCTGTAGCTGAGGGCCAGTGAGCACGAGCCCGGATCCCTCGTCGAAAAACGTAATATTTTCTTTAGGACAGCATCCCATGCCCCTTTCCGCAAATATCTCTCCCCACGTCAAGTAGCCAGGCTCCAACACAACTTGCATCTCCCTGAGGCTCTCCATTTCGTAGAGAATGGACAGTCCATCATACCTGGTAACCGACTCGTACCAATCAAGGTGGTCGTCAGTCCGGATCTGAAGCCGCTGGACCTCAGATCGGTGGGAGACAATGTCGTGAATGGCGTAGAGGCTCGAGACGCAGAAAGTGTCGAGCTCAAAGTTGACCCACGTCCAGCGAGGCTCGGTGCCCGCTGTGAATGCGCGCCGGTAGGGCGCTTGCTGACGAGACTCGCGGCACACATGCATGAGTGCCGGGGGCGGCGTTGACGTGGTCTCGTAGAGGAGCTTGCCATCGCTCTCCTTCGCGCGCACCTTTGTGATGTGGCGAGGCGTCACGGCCAAGCTCCAGATTTGGAAGCGGATCTCGGGGGGAAGGCTGGCGAAGGACATTTGGGGAGATTGCAGGAAGCACGCGCGACACAGGAGAGGAGAACACCTAGTCTACTGGGCCGGACAGAGTATCTCTTCTGTCAGGCAGAGGAGTTGCGGCGTAGACGAGATAAGAAAACGCCTGCGATGAATGCGAGGATGGAAAATGGAAAAGAGAAGGATGCGGGAGTCGTCTGACTCAGAATAATATCCGCTACCAAGTGCCTAAGGCAGACCCGCCCAGCCGAGATGGATGAACATGCATATATGGAGTAGATACAGAGTGCAGTGTCTTGCAATTCACTACTACTACTATATCTTGCTAGTATTTCAATCTCGCATCCACCCTGCAAGTCCCCGAAAGCTTCTTGTACTTATGTGAGTGAGCATTTCAGGTCGTCAGCAAGGCGAGTCTGATTGGCAGCCTGCGGTTCAGCTCAATGATCTCCGATGACTCCCTGGTCCCTGGTCCCTGGCTATGATTACCTAAAATTTATGGTTAAAAAGCCGCCAACCGCGCGGCTCACGAGCACTGATAACGGCTACTAGTGAGGAGAACCGTCCTGGAGCACATGGTGAGCGACAAGGGGGGTGACTCATCCCTCGACGTTGCCGGCTGCAAAGACTCGTGCTCGAAGGCGTCCGTCAACAGTACCATCCTCTATTAGTAGTTGTCAAGGCGGGCAACCAATGCTGTGCAGCAGCTAAACCAAATTGGAGACTTTCTACCAGTTATTGGCGTTCTCGGCGTTTGATATTGCCGACTGGCCGATATTTAATAATATCAAAAGCATCTCTAAATGGAGCCTCTGCCTATTTGGCATTCGCCTCTGGCCCCGTCGTCAGGATTTACGATAAGTCAAGACGAAATATCTTGAACAGGCTGGCCGTCCCACCAAGTCTTTCATCTTTGCCCCGTCTGGTCCCGCCGCAAGTCTGCGGGCCAAGGTGGTCCCGCCGGGGTTGTGGGACTTCGTCTGCTATGTACTGTAAATGAATACCGAGAGCTCCATGTGTATTCATCGATCAGAATCCTAGTGCTCACTCTTCTGGAACGCCTGTTGTATAAAAGGGCACCTGGAGGAGGTAGAAAGGCAATGCACCACCAACCGTTGTAATTTGACAAATTTCATACCATCAAGAGTTACTCACCTTTCAGTTTTCTCATAAAGGCTTCATTCTTCCAAGCTCGAACCATGTCGAAGCTCATCACAGTTTTTGGTGCCACCGGCAATCAGGGAGGTTCCGTTATCAAGTCCATTCTTGAGGATGCACAGCTTTCCAAGGAATACAAGATACGAGGTATTACCCGTGACACTTCGAAAAAGTCTGCCCAGGACCTGGTCAAGCAGGGCGTTGAGGTCGTCTCTGTATGCTCCCCTTGTTCCGACAACTCTAATTGCATCACTAACCAGACGTGTAAAGGCCGATCTGAACTCCCTTGATTCCTTGACCTCGGCACTATCAGGATCCCACACCATCTTCCTCGTCACGAACTACTGGGAAACCGCCAATGGCGACATCGAATTTTCACAGGGCAAGAATGTCACTGACGCGGCCAAGAAAGTTGGCGTTTCTTACATCATCTTCTCCTCGCTCCACCATGTTACCGACGAGACCAAAGGCCGACTGAGCCATGTTCCTCATTTTGATAGCAAAGCGAATATTGAAAAGTACATCCGCGCTTCAGGGCTCCAGTGCACATTTGTCCTCGCCGGCTACTATATGAGTAACTTCACCCAGATGCTCAATAAGGCCGAGGATGGGTCGTATCAGCTGTTCTATCCTGTTGACGGCAAGAAAGCGAAGTTCCCACTGTTTGATGCAGCCAAGGATACCGGTATGAGTCTCGAATCTCTTTTCCACAGTCACGTTTCGGACTACGAAATTAATGATTCCCAGGTCTCTTTGTCAAGGCTACTCTGAAGAATGCGGACAACTTACAGGGAAAGCAAGTCCTAGCGGCTTCCGACTACTACACGACCGAGGAGATTGTGGATACCTTCTCCAAAGTCACTGGAAAGAAGGCAGTCTTCATCAAAGTTACACCCGAGCAGTATCGCGCGTCCTTGCCGGAGGCCGTTGCTTTAGAGTACTTGGAGAACCAGCTTTTTGTTGAAGAGCCTGGTTACTACCTTGGAGAAAGTCTTGAGCCCAGCCTGAGTCTACTTGACGCCAAACCTACTAATTGGGCTCAGTATGTAACGGAGAATGCTGCAGCCTGGAGTTAGAATGCCTGATTAGATTCAAGGCTCATAGGACCGAGCGTGAAGTGAGGTTGGTTGTATTGCTGGCTTTGCCTGCATTGCTATTTTCCATTAGTTACGTGGAGAGAAGCAGTATTTGTATTTGACACCAGCGGAAGATTGTACTTCGAAAAGCTCTTCGGCTTAGTATATGAGACTTGATTGTGTTAATATAAATACTTATTTGACTAGGTCTTGTGTCGAGAATGCTGAACAAAGAGAAGAAATTATCGAATAGATATAGCTCTCATTTAATGGCCATTGAGGAACTCTATGACCCTTGACTGTAGGTCGCAAGAACGGGTCGGTTGTATGGACTATTATCTCATGTCTACGTAGATTAAATAAAACAAATGATCGGAAGGACAGAATAGTAATGGCAACACTATGCAGAGGGATTAATCTGTGTTCTGACACGTATACTATGATCAGGAGCCATCAGTACAGCTGTGGGTTCAACTCGATTCTGAATCAATTAAACAAATATGAGCTTTTATTTGCAACATGTTTACAGCTCTCATATCTTCCCGTCTTTAGCCAACTCGCGCATAGCAGTAATGGTCCCCTCCACGGCCATTTTACTCATTGTCTTCTCTTTCTCCAACAACGCCGCCAGTTCCGCCTTGGAAGCGCCAGGGTGCCTCCATTCAAAGGTGTAGGTCATGAAGAGCTCCCCGTCTGCACCTTCGCTGACTATGTTGTTAACGGAGCTGCCGTCTGGCTGGAGAAACAATACTCTTGAAGGTTCGTATGCTGTAACTGTCTCGATGACTTTGCGCTGGTCGTTGCGGAACACGACTTCGCGGACAGTGACTGGGTTTCCTGTGGATTGGTCCGTAGATTCGGAGATGACGGTCGTGGATTGAATGGCCTGTGGAACAAACGTTTCGGCAGACCGAATTTTCAGAAGCAAGCCGGCCCAGATCTGCTCTCGTTTGAGAACTGGGCTGGCTCCAACAGGATTGATAGGGGCGGTGAAGGCGATGTTGTTTGTAGACATTACAACGGCGTCAAATTCTGAATGTATTTGTAAGATGAGAAAAGTGTGCGAAATGGTGAGCTGTCAGCAGTGAGCTCTTTGTGAGTTTTTTTAAATGAAATCGTCGGCACCCTTATCACGAAGTTTAAGTACGCTTCTTGATGTCAGTGGCCAAAGTGTCTTACACCCTTCCTGACACCTCCATCCCGCTCTCCACGTCCCGCCGTCCCACCGTCCCACTGTCCCGCCATGCTCGTCATGGTGTATTATTACTCAGCAAAGGCCGAAGACCGAGAGGCTACAGTAGCTACGTAAGGGGAAACAAGGCAGAACGAAAAGCAGGCCATGATGATTGGTAATTAGTTAGGCTAAGGCTTTTGCCACACCAAGGCAGCTCGCACAAGACAATCGTTGACATTGTCCGAAGCTTGTACTCATCTGCCAAATATCTCGCGGTACGGGTTTGATTGAAACCCGACTGTGTCCCTAGCTCGTTCTGTTTGTGTATCTCCTATTGTGCACACCAAGACCCTAGTTTGGCTTGGTTGTGTGAGTAGAACAACGCGGACGCCCGCATCATGTTGTACATGGCGTTGAATGACATCACAGCCCAGCAAGCCCTACGACGTGTTCCTGAGTTGCTAGGTCCCGGTGGGACGGTTGCGGGACAGCACGACAATGGCCCTGTGGGAAGTTCGTGGGGGAGCAGAGATGTGGACGGTTTATGTGGGGTCTTGAATGATGATTGATCTGTTGTATAACGATATATCTCTTGATGAAGTCGATAGATGTGAATAGTATTGCAGTAGTCTTTTTTCTCAGGCTCACCTAAATGCACCGCGCAGTACAAAGGTCATGTGTTAAAAGCCTTGACGATCGATACTATCGCAGAAGATATGCAGCGCATCAATTCCTTATACGGCGATGCATGTATGAGCTTACCCTTGAACGACTTGTAAGTCACAAACACGACTTCGCTGGCGAGACACACAATGTACACTATAGACACGAGATCTCGCACAATCCCCATGACGGAGCTCTTCTTGCGCTGTGTTCCTTAGCGATGCAGAGAAACGACCATTGGTTGGAGTGATTGCGGATGTGTAGGAGGCGGATTCCGAGACATGCAATACGAAGAGCAGCGCCGCATGCATATCATGTTAAAAGAGGAATCCTTCAACCACATTGTCACATAAGTAGGGCCCTGGCCTTTTGTTGCCTAAGTTTCCATCTTACAGGATAGCCTAGTGCACTATACTCTAGATACGACCCACACGAATTGTCCGACGCTGTTTTTCGAGGTAAAGAAGTCTCTTATTGAAGATCTCCAAAAGGTCGGGGACATCGAAGCGCTTGCAGAGAACCGTTACAGGCCAAAGAACAATTCTCTTCATCAACTGCTCTCCACCAATGCTGAAGCTACATTATAGAAAGACGATGTGCCAACAGCTCATCGCCTGAAACCCTGGGACCAATCCGACTTGGAGGCCCTTTTCAATGTTGATGACTGAGCGCATAGCTCTTGGATGGGCTCTAGCACTACGCTTTGCCACTGCCTGGTAGCCTGAGCTGCCTGAGCATGACCAACTCAGGGCTAAGGCGTTAGCTGCTCCGTACGATAAACGCGAATGGCGAAGCAAACACCACCAGCCTATGCAGTGTGGAGCGCGGAGGTCCCGGTAATAACACAACCTGGAACCGACATGCATTTGTCACTTGCTAATAGGATAAAACCCCCAACCATGATGGCTCCCGTAGCATTTTGCATTTGCTACATCCTGTGAGTCTGCAAGTTATTTTCTTAGTGAGTTTGTTCTATATGACTGGCAAATCTCAATGATTAGATGGCGGGACGACGCGTGCTTACCTGCTCTTGGTGCTCCCAGTCATTCTCCAAACAGGAGCACCTTGCCAGGCACGTTAGGTCGCACACCCGCGAGAAGCCATTCACATGTCGCATATGCGGCAAGTCATTTAGTCGCAAGTTCGTGGACCAACCCGGAATGGATAGAGTGGGAAGATGGAATCTCCGACTGAATTAAACTGACGTGTGCAGTGATACTCTCCTTCGCCATGCTCGTGGCCATCAGTCGCAGAGTAATCGTCAACTGCAAGAGAATCAGCAGAACGGCAAATCATCTCCCAGACCAAATTCGCTGAACGGCTCAGTTGAGGCCGTCCCCAGACTCGTTACTCTATCGCAAGCCACCGACCATAGTTCTGGCAATTCTGCATCACATGCATCACAGGGTGCCCAAGCCGGGCTGTCTCCCTTGACCAACGTAGCCTTTGCAGGAGTCCATCAAATAGCACCATCCGTCACACCAGCTCAACCTGACCTGGCTGGTTTTTCAGCGCCGGCGAATCCAACATGGAGCACCATTAGTCCCTCAACCGACAACCACCTCGATAGCCTTAACAATGTGGCTTCTGCAGACTTAAACCTCGACTGGTTCAACGACAGGCACGGCGACGAGGTCTTCCAGGAGACCTTTCTCAACTTACAGACCCCAGTATGGCAGATGAGCGCGGATTTCGAACTGAACGTCTTCCAACCCTCCATAATCGACACACCGTTTGGATTCCCCCTAGATGACTTTAGTCAGCCTCAATTGGAGCAGATGTACCTCCCTTTCCAATCGTCTCAAGACGCTTCTCCACCTAGAGAAGACTCTGTTCGACAACATTGGTTTACATTCCTAGGGCCACATCAGCCGGAAAACATCATGCAAGACGCCGTTGGTGAGAAGACCAAGGTGGATGAGACATTTAGGGCCGGCCTATCCCAGAGACTGCTGGCGCGAGTTCCGGCCGAACCGCTTCCATCTGTAGACTTTCTGGTATGTAACACCTCCTCCAGAATCTCGTGTATTATGGCTAGAGACTCACAGTGGTAGAATCTCTGTATTCAAATGTACTTTACACGTTTCAACCCCATCTTTCCCATCATCCACGCGCCGACATTTCGGCCATCGGCCAAAAGCTCGCTACTACTATTGTCAATATGCTCTCTAGGAAGCTTGTTCCTCAGCTCTCCCTTTGCCATTGCACAGGGCCAGAGGATCTTCGAGCGACTCAATAAGGCCATGATGGCGTCAGTGCGTCTCTAACTTGAGCTGATTGGAATTTTTCAAGTCATTGCTAACTAGAATAAGTGGGAAAACGTCTTGTCCAGTGGGAAACTGGAGGCTGTGGCAATGACGCAAGCTGGGGTGATTGGGCAGACCTATGCCATGTTGTCAGGGGTATGTATCTCTGTAACTTTAAAATTGGTACCATCAATTCTGATAACTGCAGAGGCCAAAGGACCTATTACTAGCACAGGGGCTTCATGGTACTGTGATTACAGTAGGTTATGCCCCATTTCTCGGTGCTGATGCCATCTGTGTACCTGTCCGTCTGCTGACCCAAACATCAATAGTGGGCAAGGAGGTGTGGCATATTTCGGGATCTGTCCAAACATGAAGGATGTATTACTCCTGATGATGACGTGCGTGTGAAATGGACGTGCTGGGCTAAAAGGGAAGAGCACAATAGGTGAGTCTTGAATGTGAACCGGTTGGCCGTATGCGCTAAAATTCATTGCGGCAATGCTAACAGACTGCAGAGTGGCCACAGCACTCTATATCCACGACGCCGAGCATTCAGCAATCTTCAAAACTGAGCCGCTCATGAGACATGCCGCGTCTAAGCTCCCTCCACTGTGTTCAGACAGTCTGTGGGCAGCTTCCACTGCGGAGGAGTGGGAAAAGCTGGCCGGGAATGCCACACAAACTGTTGGCGCACTGCAAAGTCCTCCGTCCCAGCATGGCCACCCGCCAAACTTACAATTACCCATGGATTCAGCCAACCACGAGAAGCTTTCTTTCAGGGTTTACTGTGAGCTCGAGGGAATTACTGCGTCTATATCCGAAGATAGGGTGGCAGGCACGCTGGCTGATACTCTGAAGCAGCACGAGTTAACCCTGCTGCGGTTTCATCATCGGTACATTGAGCACGGATCCAATAAGGGTGATGATCCCTTTTGTGTTGAAATACTCTGGCATTTGGCTTTCATGACATTGTTTGCCGATATAAATGAGTTGGAAATTGCTGCAGGGCGCGAGGGATATGAACAATCACGGCGCCAATCTGAACGCACCAAAGCATGGGCACTGTCCCACAGCGCGCAAAGGTGTGCCATACATGGAGCCCTCATACTCCAGAAAGCCGAGAAGATGTGTATTGGCGTCGAGCCGGCAATCCATGTGCCCCGTGCCATGTTCTGTGCTGCTCTCATATGGTACTGCTATGCCGAATATGGACAAGACAATGCCGATGAAGTAGCAACACGGAAACCCGAGTTCCCAGAGTTCAGGCAACTCGGAATATCTGGTGAAAGGGTTCTTTTCGAAGCACACGGATTCAAAAGTATGCGGCCTACACGTCTGAAATCTATTGTAACCACTGGCCTGCATGATTTGCTTGGACGCATGGGCCATTGGGGGATATCACGAAAGTTCGCCTCCTTAATTGTATACATGGTGTATGGAGACGTGCAAGGTAACTACAGAGAGATGGCCAACACGCCGGAGAATGGCGGTTAGCAGCCGTTGAGTTGATGGACAAGATTTCAGCTTGACTCGCGGCACGACTAATCTCAGGTCTTCGTTGGAAAGTGCACATGTTGAGATTTCCAATGTTGCTTCCCACCCAAACCAGTTTAGATTCCACATTTGACGGCCCTCACGCTTATTCAAATTCACCAATACCATCACTACTAACAACAATGTTTCATTTGTGTAGACCTCTAGTATTTCCGATTGTTAAACACGCAGAAAACGCAATTTGTTCAGAGCATGCTAAAACTAGACAACATAATTTAAAAATTCGAGCATCCCACTCTAAGGATCGATGGGCGTTGTTGGGGAGTCGGAAGCCGGGTTATTTTTGAAGTTGCGAAACATAATAATTTCCCGCCTGCCATCAGGAGTCTCATCGCCGGGCTCGTCAGATACAATGAAGCTGTTGCGTAGGTACACCAATCGTGCAGCGGCATTGTCCGGTCGCACTGCAAGTCGAAGCTCGCTGAATCCGGACCGAACCGCCCAGCTCGCAATTTTTCCAATAAGAGAAGAGGCGAGTCCTCTGCCTCGAAACCCAGGGTCTACCCACATCGAGATAATCTCAGCCCATCCGTGCTCCGTCGGGACCCCAGTTGCCATTCCGACCGCGCGCTCGCCGCCGCTCTCATCAACCTCGTGTGCTACGAGATCAATTGCGTTTGGTATTGACAGTCTGTTACGCCATCGATCCTCTGATGCGTCGACCCAATCGTTGAATGTAGAGCCAAAGGCATCAGGCGCATTTGCAAGAGCTGCCAGGCGCACAGCTCTCCATGCCTCCCAATCGTCAGCTGACAGTGTGCGTAATTCAAACATTTAGATTAAGATTGTCGTGTAGAGGTTACTTTGACAGAAATTGGACAGATAGTTAAAGAGAGCAGATTCAGTAGAGTTTGGGCCATCATCTCCAACGGTTCAAGACGGCCAAATGCTGTGACTCATCTTCGTTGTCAAGCTTCTTTCCTAGCGGGTAGCTTCAGCGCAGATGCAGCTTCCATAGTCCGCTTAGTGGTAGCGCTAGAATCCAGGGCTCAGAGGATGTCAATTGCAGATCCCAGACTATTTAGTATAATTAAGCAATTGGAAGTTACTTATCACAGCTCAGTACCCAGATTGCGCAACCACATTGTCACCAGCCGGGCTCCACCCATAACCGCCCATAGTTTGTAAATCAACATCACTTGATGAGACACAACGCCACACCCAGTTGTGACTAACAAAAAATTCGCACCTGGGGTCGCCAGTATCATCGGAAAAGAAAAGAAATCACGGAATCAAGGTTGGGCAACGAAGGATTGACTCTCTCGATTAGCCGTAGGAAAATTTTAAAAAAAAAAAAAAAAAAAAAAAAGGCATTCATGCAAAACACCTCAATGAGGTCTAGACATTAGGGTAAGTCTGTCTCCTAGCACAGCTGGTAGTGGTGGATGAATGAATTGCAGCCTTCTTCAACCCACTTATGCAATCAATCCCAAAGACAAACCTAGTGGGTAGAGGCCAGGTCCGTATGCGGGCATTGTAGTCACGAGGCTAGATAATGATCTAAGGATATCTGGATTCCAATCTAATTGTATTATAGTTTCAGTTTTAATAACCGACTATCTAACTATTCTAATGAGCGTAATAAACTAAAGCTGTAAAGACAGTATATCGTTGCAATTCTTGTTAACTGCTGAGTGATCACCTGGATCACCAAGAGCTTAGTAGTGAGCGTAAGAGTGATAACCGAAGCACTGGTCATCGCTTTATTCTTGTCGGCCTGTCGGTCTGTACTTTCTTCCGTAGGTACATACCGTAAGCCACTGTGATGACCACAAGTTGTTTGGTCGTGACATATAGCGGATTAATCTAACAGCCAATATCAAAAGCCACAAACGTTTGTCCCTTAGTAGGGGGAGGGAGCTGGGCAGCGGGAACGCTAAATAGCAGACACTCTTTAGGACTATTCGCAGACGGAATCCCGAATTCACACCTATGCCAATTATATTAGCATTCACTTCTAATAGTTTCGAGATCCGTTAGGAGAACTTACGACTGGCACCCTTTGGTCTGCTGACAAAGAGCTAAGCAAGCCTGTTGGGAAACTACATTTGTCTCGGCCCTGAACGGAGAAGGGCGATTGTTAGACGGGCCTGATGGCGCCGCTCCGCAGGTATCAGCCCGTTTTCCCGTGGTATTTTGGTTTGAAGGCCCAGCGCTAGCCCCCTTTGCGGCACCGCTTCCCTTTGTGGTGCCGCTTCCATTCGCAGCACCATGTCCATTCGTAGCATCGCTTCCAGCGCCTTTTCCATTCGCCGGGCCCTGAGGATTGGCAGCCGTGGGTGCTTGCGTGGGCACGGTGTTGGCGGAGCATGCTTTATCAAATATGTTTAGATTCGTCCCCTGAGAGGGCACCTGACTGGCCGGTACAGCGAAGAGGATGCATTTTGGCGCGGTGGCACTAGGAGGCAGACCGAAGACGAAGGACTGACAAGAGCCATTAGCCTCGCATTGCTGCTGGCATCCGCTGGCAGTCGTGGCTCCTGGAGAGGAGAGAGGAGCCGGTGGGTTTGCCACAGTGGCAGTGGGGGCAACGTCGCACATTTGACCTCGGGTGAGGATAGGGTTGGCGTTGGCGATGGCGGCGGCCACGACGGAGACAATGACAGCGGATTTCATTTTGAAAAGTGAAAATTTAAATATAAAGAAAGTTATCAGGGAGTGTAAGTTTAAATAAGTAAATAAGATAGTGGAGTAGTGATGAAGTAGTGAATAGCTAGATGAAAGTGTAGTGATTGGTGTATTGATTGAATTGTAAAGTGATGGTGATAGTAAACTGGGAATATCGAGGCCTTTTTATAGTTACTGTATATGATTATGATAATCGGGACCTTAATCAATAAGTATAAGACATAGTTGCCAAGTTGCTCTATGACAGCCCGAGACTACTCTGCTATGCTTGTAGCATCTTCCCAAAATACCACATCTTCAAAATAGGCATAATCATTTCACAATCGTCATCACAATCGTCATTGGAATCGTCATCAAAATGGCTTAGATTTCACAATACAATGCTCTTCTTGTTAGTACTAATCCACTTGTAACGAATCATGTAGTTCTAAGACATCGCTTACGTGGCAGCTCTAGACTGGGATCGAGCAGGTGTATTTGAGAATAGTTAATTATAGCTTAATAGCGGCTGAAAGAACTTGCAATTGTGCAAAGAGCTGGATATGAAACAATACTCCTGTCCAAATACAGCTATGAAGAACAAGCGATTAATACCACGCGTCATCATAGCCGCGTCATTTGGCAAGCGTACTTTGTTTAGGGAAGCGTTCCATTATTGGGGCTGAGGTCCTCCCGGAGTTGGATCCTTATGTACATAGTTCTACTATGCAAGAATGCAAACTCAGGATACGTTTCGGTAGAATCCACTAGAGGCATATGGGTTTTACCTATTAGTCTATATGGAGCACCGGGTCTAAGAGACAATGTCAACTCCACTAACACGTTTGCGCCCCTCGTCCGCCACATCCCGAAATGCGCCCCTGTTTCAGACTAGGGTTTGGTTAGGCTTTCTTTTGCTGCTAAAGATATTTTGCCTAAGCTATTTACTTATTCTGTCTAACTCCTAGTTGTGTCGAAGTAGTACAAAAATACAATTCCTAAGGGACAAACCTTGCAGTTCAAGGTTTATATTTAGTAGGCCATTATAGTTCAAATTGAAAGTTTTATACTCATTTCAGTGCTTGAACAAAGCTGTTCGCCTCCTAATTGCAGTTCCAACGGAAACCAATAGTTAAGGTATACGACATAAAGCACATCGATGCTTCCTAAAGGGCTGCCCGGGAACCCAATACCGAACCTGTCCAACGTGATAGTGGTGAAGAGAGGGAATATACCAGCAGCCGATTGCGGTACATATTTCGCGCCATATGTGACGATATCCGTAGGCTGGAGCTCACATTTGTGCCCTTGCGTTTAGAAAAGATCATGAATTGTTAATAATAGTCACATATCGGTTTTCAGACGATATTGACACTAATTGCGGCATGGATTCAGCTCCGTATATTCTCCCCTTGTTCAGAAAGCCTCTTCGGAGGTTCGGACCCGCGGGTGCGTGGATGCGCGCAGCAACCGAGTGAACTAACTTGTCATACGACTCCAACGTAAATGACAGTGGGAAAATCGACACATTATAAAATATCCCCTAGATCTCATTAAATGGCGGCAGATATGATCTGTGACTATCAGCTGCAAGGCTTCTTTGGATTACTCTCTCAGTTTCCCTTGACTTTATCGGCGTACGATCCCTCACTGTAAGATGGACGGCCACCTCAGGGTCGAGCGCCTTTCGCCATTTGATTTGCTTATGCCAAGAACGTATGTTCGTATGCTTCTCGTGTTTCGCACGTCTGCATCAGTTGCAACCGTTTCTGAGAGGCTTAATATCGGCCTTGCAACTCTTTCGAAGCAGGCTCCTTGGATAACGGGGCGAGTATTTCCAACGACGCCAGTTTCAAGCGAGCCACAACGTCTCGAACTCCGATGGAAAGTGGAAGCCGGACCCCTCGTCCTAGCCGACGTTGGTTCGATAGCAGAATCATATGAAGCTTTATCAGAGGCTGGGATGCCACCATCAGCTTTCCCTCCTAGTGTCTGGCCCCTTGATGATATGGATGAAGACACCTTCTCCAGAGAAGGCGCATTGGTCTTTGGTGCTAGTGTCTTCGGCTTTGCAGATTACCAGGGGATAGGCCTGGGTATCTGCATGCACCACAATGTTACAGATGCCACTGGGTTGACTGAAATCATAAAAGTGTGGGCCGGTAACATTCTAGCATCTGAACCAATTACTCTACCTCCCCTCACGGGGAGAATCGAATATCTAAGGGCGGCGCTCTCGGATAAAATAGAGAAGGCTTCAAACAAACCACTCGATAATCTGTTTGCATTGCATCCGGAGTACTCTCGAACCCCTCCATCACTTCCGACTGAGTTCGCAGCCTACGCCTGCAAGATGTTTTCTGTTCCAATCTCGAGTATCAGGGAACTGCAGTCCATCTTAGGAGATTCCGCTTCGAAGCCCATTACGACAAACACGCTTTTATGTGGAGTCCTCTGGTCTGCAATCACTCGTGCTCGTATGCAGCGCATGTTGGCGCGGCCAACGACGGAATCGAGCCGGTTGATTATGGCCACAAACGCGCGGCGACACATTGGGTCAGGATCCTTTGGCTCCAACAGCGACTATTTGGGCAATGCCGTACTCTACTCTCTGGCCACATCCACCTTGGGCGACTTGAGTGTAAGCCAGCCCAGCTTGACACAGGCACTCGCCAAAATATGCGACGTTGTTGCCGCGTCACAGTCACGAATCGACGTAGATCACGTCTCCGAGGTGTACAGCCTTACAGAGCGTATGGAGGACTACAGGGCCATCTTTCCAGGCTGGGACCTGTTCGGCTCCCGTGACCTCGTCATCACCAGCTGGGCAAATCTGGACATTTACAAAGCAGATTTTGGGCCCGAGCTCGGAACGCTTGAGTTTATCAGGCCACCTTTCTCTGAGGCGGCGGATGGAGTCTGCATTGTTATGCCAAGAAGGAGAAACATCGACGATGAGAAGCTGGACGTCATGGTCATGCTGCGCAAGGACGACTTAGATTCTTTAGAGAAGGACGACAGATGGAAAACTCTCGTAGGCTAGGCAGGACCACATGCTCAGCCGTTGTGATGGCGGAAAATCCGAATTAATTGAGAGTCAGAATATTACTTGATGTGTAGCCATGATAACCTTGAAGTCTTGAAAGCCTGTATTCCGCTATTAATTGGAAGGGTTAACTTTTAACATAGTGGTTTGCCGTCCGGAGAGCTCTACTACTCTGCAGCTAGGAAGAGCTTCAAGGATGAAGCCGAAGCCATTATACAGTCACGGCCAGCATTTTATGTTGGATTTTTGCGCACCAATCTAACTAACTGGCAGCAATGTGCGACCTAAAAAATGCCGTAATAGATTATGATTGACCACGCAAATATCAATTAAACAATGCTGATTAAGTAGGAACCTCTAGCAATAGCCACTATTGGATATGGTAAGATGACTAACCACCGTTTTTCCTATATCTAGATAACATTGGAGGGCACATCAAACTCCTGTCCCAAAGCCATAGCCCCCGCCTGTGTGCCAATGAATTCCGCCCCAAGCAGTTCTCGCAAGAAATCCGGTTGAAGCAGTGTCTGCCAAGATACCTCGTTCGGTTGTAAAATTAAATTGTTTGGACTGTCCAAGGATGCAGGTTGCGTCACGCCTGCTTTCACGAAATCGGATGCCAGACGCAGAAATGCCGAGCATATCTGATATAGACGGCTTACTTCTGGCGACGCATCCTGCATCTTCTGCAAAATACCGACCATCTGTTCTAGAAGGCACAAGTCTTCTGTACTCGAGGCTTTAATAACGTGGATAAAAGTGATGATAAACGGGGTGAAGGACGTAAAAAGGAGAAAACTAGGCAGTGGTAAGAATGCGGAGACCTTGGTTAACTATGCAGAGTTGAAGAGAAACATACGAATTGGCATATTCATTTTCTGGAATAATTCCATGATTTCTATAACTCTCAAAGCATTCAATGTTGCTGTAGAGGCATTCGCGGGCTACTTGACGACATTTAGAACTGATTTCGGCTCTTGCATCACCAGTCGACGGCGCTCGTAGAATCAGTGTTTCTGTGGAAAGGTATATGAGCTTCCAGTGGCCTTTGGAAAGTTCGAAGATTTCGGCATGGTCGGCTTGTCTTGCGTCAATCTGTCGCGCTAATTAGCATATGATTCTAATAGCTGGGTGAATGGTGCGTTAAGACCGAATCTACGTCAAATCTCCATTGGCGAAGGGCTGCAGAGAGGCTGTCCGCAAGCTGTATCTTGATTGATTGTGCTTGCTTAGAAGCCTGGATGGAATATAAGCCTCTATATATTTGGCTGTGCAGTCTGGCTAGATTAATAAAGGCGATGAAGGATTCATCCCACGGCCGGGCACTGAAGCTATTCGCGATTGCAGGAAGCTCCGTGTCTATATCGCTGTCGTGTAGCTTGGGAGGTCGTCCGAACAACAGTGAAATGTTCTGATCAAATACATATAATGTCCAAAAGACGCGGCGCATGTTATTTGACTCAACCGGCGAAATATTGCTGTACGTAACTTCCCTGTGATATCCGAGAAGCTGACAATGGCTAATCGCAATGGAGAGAAGAGTTGAGCATACGAACGATTTGGCTTCGGAATGTGCCTTTATAACCTACGCAGCAAAATATGAAATCATATTGCATTAGAACTAGCCATCGATTCAGGAATCATTAATGGGGGATTAGCTTACACCCAAGGTAAGAGCCAGAATTGTCAGGAAGGATGGCTGAGAAACAATTTCGTAGGTTTGAAGCCCAGCGTCAAAATTTCGCGCGCATGTTGCCACCTGTACTCCAAGATCAAAGGATTTACACAGTGGATGTTTTGTTAACCAAAACTCCTTGCAAATTGCGTGGAGAATGCCATATGCACTGGTGAGATGACCAACAGAGAGTGGCTCTGTAGGAAAGTAGAGATCTTGGCAGAGCTTCTTAACAAGGGAAACATCATCGAGCACCCAAGAACGCATAAATATCGGTGCTTTTTCTGGGGGGCTACTGTTAGATTAACGGTAGACGTGACATTGTGCAGATTGCTTTTGTATGGACCTACTCTTGATCTCTTTGACAATAGAAGTGACCAATTCAACTGGCAAGCTCGACATGGCGGGCAAGGCACCTGAGGAACTTGCTGCTGGCATAACAGGTTGTCCGAGTAACATGTTTAGAGTGCTAAAAGAGTGATCCAGTTGCAATGCACCACGCGTGTCCGTGATTAGCCCAGCAACACGGTGAGCCTGTATTGCCTGCTCGGCAAAGGACGACTCGCCTTCGTATGTTACCTCTGTACCGGACCCAAGAGTTCGATTGGGAATGGCCTGGTTCGGCTGGGCATCGCATCGCGCCTGATCGTGTGAGTGGGCGCGGCTCGTCGGCTCGAGGCCGCGTTCGGTTTCAAGCGCAAGAACGCGTCTCTCCAGCTGCAATATGTGCTCTTCGCTATGGAGCTATAAGCTTGGATAAAGAGCAGAGTCATTAAAGCATACAGCTGCGCAATCTTATTACCATTGGGCGGACGATCTATTCGAGATGCCGTCTGCTGGCAGGTTATTCCGCAGGCCTTGCAATTGGAACAAGGTTGGGATCGGTCACAGCGAATCTAAGACATGGTTTGTTAGAAATGTTATATCTTGGGTGTTACTTCTCGAGTACTTTTCGCAGTTTGCATGCTTCGCACTAAGGTCAAGCCATGTTAGCAAGAAATTACAAGGAAGAGAAGTTGGTCTCTAGGAGTATTACCGCGCGGGGAACTGAGGCGAGCCGCCGCCGCCTCGCCTGAATTGTCTCTTCTTCAACCATGCCTTATCACTACTCTTTGTGCGGTACATGGAACCATTTCACGGAATCTCTGTTAGAGGTATGGCGTAATTATCCTCACTCCCGTGGCCACACGGAGCCACGGAGCCACGGACGGCGCGGGAGCGTGGATTCCGTATCTCCGCGCCACCGAGCCTCTATAACTATTCGATTTAGGGGTTGAGCGTAATACAACATGCGCATGCATCAAACGTCGGCAATGTAATCGTAGTTACCCAGCTCTAAGAAGCATATCCAATGAAAGGGTGCCTAGTTCATCTATTCAGGTGCCTAGTTAATCTATCCGGCTGCCTGGTTAATCTACCTATCCAGCTGCCTATATACCCGAGTCACCCTAGCTTGACAAATAGTAGTGCTTATAGGATAAAAGATCAAGAAACAGTTCTACTTTAGAATCAAAAATGTACAGCCCGTATGCTTTTCTGCATTCACTTCAAACGTTAATAACTTGTTCAATTGAACAAATGCACCAAGGCTACGTTCCACGCCAATTTTCGATGATACCCGTTGAGGCCAGCCAAGTCCTGACAGCCCCTCACTTCTCCCTCAACACTAGACACAACTAGCGATGGATGTGCTTTCAGAATCACCGTCTAACATATACAGTTTATCAACTCTGCTAAAGCGGTAAGTTACAGCTCCTTCTTTCTGATTTTCCAAGGAAGTCGCATTTCTTATTTCATGCCATCTCTCCAGGCTCGATGCCGTTACATCACAGTTAGAGGACATCACCACGGCCATTGAAAAGTCCAGAAACGCCCTGCAAATCACAAATGTCGACCCTCACCTGCCAACATCTGCCAAGCTTCTCCATAGTAAGCTGGGGTTAGACGTCTCCCTTCCAGCAGACGAAGCAGGCCATCTGAGGCCATTGCCAACATCCATTGCTGCATTCGATAGATTCCTCGAGCAGAGCGTTGGTCCGTACGTGAAGCTGAGTGGTGATTTGGGGGGTAGCGTGGCACAGCAGGCCACCAATGTTCTTCTTTGTTTCCAAGAGCAGCGAAAGATCCTGCTGATGGCGGCGCTGCACACCAAGTCCGACGGTGCGAGTTGGGCAGACCAACTCAGTCCAATGAACGAAGCGGCTGCTCGCGTCCTTGAGCTGCAAGAAAATAGCCATGGAGATAGCATGCACGCTAATTTGAGCTGTGCCGCCGATGGAATAGCAGTTCTTGACTGGATCCGCATCGAGATTCGCGCGTTTAGGCATGTCGATGCATTTCTGGGCCATGCTCAGTACTTTGGAAACAAGGTGCTTAAAGAGCATAAAGGAAGGTTCGCTCAGTCCTCGCTCCTATAATTGTAGTCCTTACTTAACTAACGCTTACAATGGCGTAGGAATCAAAAGCAGGTAGACTGGGTTATGTCGTACTATCAGATCTTTCGCGATCTTTCCGACATTGTACGTGAACACTTTCCCTTTGGTATCAACTGGCAGCTGGATGCCTAATCTATGGCATTGTCACGGCTATTACGGTGAAGTTGAAGTTTTCAATTATGCATCAGCACGCCAATATTGCGGGCCGTTTCCCAGTTTGGCTTCATACTCACTTTACACTGGAAATGCTTTCTTTGTGTGCAATTGTTACACACAGATGCCCCCTGTAAGATTAGACAAGTAGCTACTTTTTAAAAAGGTTTATAATACTATACATTATTATTGAGAATGCCATTATGAAACGTTTATTCAAGTTTAAATAAATGAGTAACACAATGGCATTGTCCCCTTCGTGTCTAATGTTTTCTTTTATACAGGTGTTATACCCTTTGCTTCCAGTGTGGCCTCGGGCTCCCGCCTGCGTGTGCCTTTTCGTCACTTCTAAACCGAACTCCAGGTGTTTAGCACACAAGTCCCGGTCAGATTGTATACGGATCGTCGTCATATCGTTCAAGGTGACTTGCTGTCACTAAATGCTATTGACAAAGAAAAATTAGGCCGCCTCTTGTTTCGCTCAAAATAAAAGGGTATTCTCCTCCTGGTATCCACGCAATTGGCCAAAGTCCGCCCATCAAAAACAGCTCCGTCACACAGCACCCAGATTCAGAGCCTTCTGATGTCTTTGGATCCTGAGTATGACTTTTGACATCCAGATTTTTTTTGGTCGTTAATTGTTGAAATCTTCGGTTTAATCACAGTTCTGTTACCCTGTGGCTGCAGGCGCAATAGCGCTAATTAGAGCCTCTTGCGCTCTGTAGCATGCAAATATGATGGCTGATAGAGCAGATGTAGGATAGGACAACTCAAATCCATACCAAGGCCAACATGCAGAAAACCGGTTCCAGGAAGCTGCGTGAATGTATGTCCAGTCATTTGGACAACATTACACAACTCTTGACTCTGTAGTCTTCCGACTCTCATGAGGTTCTTCGAGCTCATCCCACGAGATGGACCTGTCATTAACTGAGAACGTTGCCGCATGTTCTCCAGTTAACGGGTGCATCTTGAGGCTGTCACCACCTTCTGGCGGAAATCCCCTTCCTGAGTTTTGTAGTGCTCGACTTCTGTTGCTTCTGTTGTATTGCTGTGCTTGATCCGAGTCCTTGAGTTCCGTAGGCCCAGACTGGCTCAAACCAACAAATTGCTTAATAGATCGAAGAAGTGGTCGTAGGGTTGCCAGACTGCCGGCAGTAATGGCGAGGCCCTGTTCCGTGGTTGACCAGATGGCGATATCAGTCGTCGAGTCTAAAAATGGTTAATGACAATAAGTACTATGCCTTCCGGATAGACCTACAAAGAAAATCAGGGTCCTTGAAATCCTTGACATATGGGAAGCGGATAACAACGGCAGCGCTTGCACTAGGGATTTGTGAGAAACCTCGTTCATTTTTGAGTTAAAGGGCGCAACTCACATGCATGCCATGGCCATGATAGGAATGAGAACCACCTTGTTCACCTTTTTCATGTTAAGCCCCCATATAATGTAAATGGGTAGCAGAGCAAATGTAAAGTCGCATATAACGCTGAATGAGCTGTAGACGTAGGTAATGACGATGATAACTTCGATGTTGATGCAATGACCGCTTTGGTCCTTGTTCCAAAAATAGCTAAGCGGCATGCACTGAAGCATCGTGACGAAGAAGAAGAGGATACCGGTCAAGACAGTAACCAGCATGACTCCATAGACGATCAATTTCTCGACAGGGCGGATCATGAGTCGGAGGAGGAAATAGCCAACCGAGAGTTTCGTAGCTATCATGGTCAGGCAGTACCAAATGTAGCAAAAATACCACCACTATTCGGCGAGTCAGCACACATCGCGACTCGCATTGCTGGTCGGGGGTTCCTACCTTCAAAGCGGTCGAAATACCATCATTTGTCAGGTCCCAGTAATGTCTGCCCGTGCCATAATGAACGCCACTTAACGCACTCGATACGAAGAGGATAAATGTTATCTATGGTAAGAGGTTAGGACATGCAACCAGTACTGCCGGGGGCGCAGTAGATCATACGAGAGCAAAAACCATGAACGAATCGTCCAAACCGAAACTTTTTATCATAAAGACACGGACGTAACACCGTAGAAGCGTCGACACTACCGCGAATACAAGCAAGAGATAGCACACAGCTTGGAGCTGCGGCCCGCGGTTCTCGACAGCCATCGTGGTTCTAGAAGAACAAGCATTTGAAAGGTTGCAGAATCGACGGAATTTTAAAAAATGGTGCTTCTCCAGGTCACCCACATTTTACATGTCTATGGGAGCAAAACAATTAATTAGCATAGCGTGCGCGGCTGAATTTGGCACATAGGGGGCTTCTTCAAGGCCCACTCGTATAGCCATCATAGACTTGCCAAATGTTGGCCGATGAGGAGGATATTACGATCGTCTTTACTAGGCCGAGGCACAAATATACGTCTTGCACTACGGAGTTCCGACAACGCTGAAAGACGCCGGTCTCCACTGCGGCGACACACACACATACTCGTACAGACTGCCCTACGAGTCAGCGGCCGAACACTTCAGCCAAGTGTGGCGCCAAGGTTGAGAATATATAACTCCGGTCGACGGCAATATCCGCCTAAAGGAGGTTACAGGCGGTGTGCAAATAAATTTCAGTGCTCTGTGGATTCCAACTTGGGAGCGAGTACGGAGTAAAGCTGGGTGAAACCAAGATCCAAATTCCGGCTAAGCTAACGTCCTAAAGCTAGCACGCCGGGTTTTACTACTTATGGGATGCATATCCGGAGCTGTTCTTCCAATAGCGTATCGGATACCCGCTTAAACCCGTTTCCGTTCTCCTGGGCTTCAAACGGCGCCTCCATTTTCTCAAGAAGCTGCCGGCTTGGGCGCGCACAACTCCGCGGGATCCACAAGTGTAATGAAGATCGAGGTCCTTGGGCTGAGAACTCATTGATCAAAGTCCATACAAGAAGCGAGAGCCTTTCGATGTTAACACTCGAAGTAGGTGTCTTGCAGCTCGTTTTCAATGATATTATTTGCGCAGCTTCAAACAGAGGAAACACCGCCAGAGAACAAGGAAACCGAGCCTAGTTGTGCCAGGTTATTGCTAGGGAAAACCACTCAAGGACAAATCTGCACGCTCAGTAGCGCTGCATTGCATTGCTCATAGAGAGAGATATCTCGAGTACAAGTAGGCGATGGGTATAAGCGCAAAACAGCCAGCATGGGCTAAGACCAGCCATATGGCAAGCACCAAAGTGTGCAGTTCCAGGTGTTGGGGCCAGCGTAATACCCGCATTGTCCATTACTAACCTTAAGGAGCAATGAGCTCTATTGCAAACCTTGAAGCTTCATTTTAGTAAACAAGATCGGCGATATGAGGTCTTCTATGGTACGGTAATAAGGTTCCTCTGTTTTTCATTACATATAAAAATATTCTATCTAAGATCATACAGCAGAGAAAATGACCAAACAACATATTTAATGAAGCTACGGAGTAGTATATACCGGAAATGCAGACAGGAGCAATCCCGTATCCCGGCTAATGGCCCTAACTATGCCTTCTTGCTACTTGGCAAATATGCTTTTGTGTCCATTTCCAAAATCCAATTCAGTTCATCTCTCTTCAAACACTTCTCCAAAGCAAAAGAACCCGCCAAACTCTCCAGCTCCTCCTTCGTCTTACCTCTAAAAGCCTCGGCAAGCTCCCAGCCGAGATACTCACTCATGAGGCATTCTCTAATTACTCGTTCAACTTGTCTATCAAAGGTCCAAATCTTTGGATATTTCTTCTGATGCAAGCTTTCCGGGATCATCTCCTTCAACTTTGAAATTAGCGGCTGGTAAACTTCGTCGTCTATCTTGGTCTTGTCCGCACAGGCCCAGAAGTCGAGACCCAAACGCTGTTTCTTCTCAATGAATGGGCGCATGAGGTGCATGTATGGGCTCTCGGGGTCAAGGTACACCATGCCTTGGTATCCAATGTCTTTGTATAGCCAAATACTCCATGACACGCCACCACATTGTTGATAAATAGCAAGTTGCTCTTGTAATAACGCAAAACGCTTAGTATTGGTCGCTTCGGCATCTGGATCCGTTCTTGGATCTTGGTATACAGGGCCGAATTCACCGTTCCATATTGGTACGCCAGCTTCTCTCATAAACCGGACTTTGCGTTCGAAACTGGCACGCAGCCTTGTCTTCTGCTCCTCTGTTCCGTCATACTGTTCCGGAAGAGGGAAGCCCATCATACTATAGTCGTGACAACTATATACCGTATTTGGCAAAGTCTTTTTCGTATCAAATGCTGAAAAGTCCATCGCGTAGGTATTGCCGTCTAAAAACAGCATGTGATCTGGGTCAACAGCTCGAATGGCCTTTTCGACCCTCTCATACCACGATATAAGTCGAGTGTGCTGAGGATCTGCCGGTTCATTGAGGGGGTTGTATCCTGCAATTACAGGGTTCCCAGCATAGTGGCTAGCAATGGCCACCCACAGTTGAATGGCACGGTCTTGGAAATCCCGAAATTCCCAGAACAGGGCTCTGCTCAAGCCAGAGTCACTATGCCAGTCCTGGTTTTGGCCACCAGGGACAGCGTGCAGGTCCAGTACGACGTATATGTTGTATTTGGAGCAGATATTGACGATTCTATCAAGAAGCTCAAATCCCGAATCCTTGATAATGTCAGGATTATCATCGTCCATAAAGTGCCGATAGTTAAATGGCACACGGAGACAGTTGAGACCGAGAGAGGCGAAGAGTTCGGCATCTGCCTCAGTGAAGAAATAGTGAAGGAGACGAGAAAAAAAGAATTCGGCATTCTCTTTGCCAAGGACATCTGTTAACGCAGCACGGTGCTCATGCTCATGCCCCGAGTAGCCAGTGATGAAGTTTTCCATGTTAAGCATGCCTCCTAAGCCTGCACCTTTGAGAATTACTTCATCCCCAGCCTGGTTAATGATGCGTGTGCCATTTACACGGAGCATGGTGCAGGCTCGGTTGGTGTAATGGATAGTTGAGCGGCTGGTTACCGCATCATGAGTGGCTGAAGGGGACATTATCGGCGGCTTATACTGAAACTTGTATGGTATAATCTCTGTCGTGATGTTGAGCAGTATCATAATAAAAGAGAGAAAAAAAAAGCGCTTTATATTTAACCAAGATGTCTATTAATTATTGAAGGTCCTGCCTTTGAGCCTACCCTGGAAGTTTGTGGTTCATAATGCGATATTCCGCACAAGTGGGTCAATGGTTTTGCAGTTTATGTTAGCGGCATCACCCAAATCGGGCCAACGTTTCTTAACCCTCACTCAGATCAAAGAAGGCGGAGTCATATCCTGGAGACTGCCCTCAGCTGATTCATCTTAAGGAGACACAACTAATACAAGGTATATTAGGCTAAATCATGATTGAAGACCTCTATGCTAGCTCACTGAATCTTCTGCCGAGCTGCCTGTAGCACATGCCTTATGCTCGCCAATTGCCGAGACTCATTTTCCCAAAACGCCAACATGTCAATAGTTTCATCAAGACCTACCCGCCAGCCGTTGGGTAACTTTAGAACGATTGCCCCCTTTGCACTATTCTGAGCCGTATTCGTAATGTTACGTAGGGCAGCGGCTACCAGAACTAGGGCGCTCCTTGAACACGATTGTATCAGGAGAAGAGTTCCGTGGTGGCGATGTCTGTATCCTGGTTTGTTCACAGAGAGCCTGAGAGCATGATAATCCAATGCTTTTTGTGCAAGCCTCCGTATGTTCCAGCTTGCCGAAGGCAAGAAGCCTTGTGTTTCCTCGACAACAAAATCTTTCATAAGATACGCAGATAAAAATGGCCAGTAGATCATCTCGTACAGATTGATTGCATGTCCGCGGAGTACAAATCTACAAATATCATCTTCTTCGGCGGGAGCGTCGAATAACAGACAAAATGGAAGTGAAGAAATCCACTCTTGGGCTTGTTCCTCGTAATGCGGCACAGCTCCCACAAGAGCCTCTAGAGTGCCCTGGCTCGAAAACGACTGCTCACAAAATCGGAGCATTTCTGTATATAGGTTTGAGGCAAGCCTTCGGAGAGAAATCTCGGCAAGGTAAAAATACCAAGACACTGTCTGCCTGGTTACACAAGAGTCTCCATTGGCCTCGAGCTCTTGCTCTAGATGCAGATTAGGCGGTGTCGGCAAAAATGGTGGGTAGAATGCCAGTTCCTCTTCTGTGAGAGTAAAGTCTGTGGGTCGGAGGTAACTCCTCATCTCCCGTTCTGACTTCCATGAGGACCAGTAGATAGCCTGGTGAAGCGTTTCCAAGGAGTGGCTAGCTGGGCTCCCATCGCATGTCGTCGACGATGTTGGAGGTGATAATGAGTTCAAGAAGGACGGCTGCTGGCAGGAAGCAAGTGCCTGCAAGAAGAAGCGCCATGCTTTGGTAGGCTGAAATATGCACATCATGTACACCCCAGATAGGAACAAGCACTGCGTGGAAATAATGTCTTCGGAAGAAAATGCAATACCGATTCGTCGTTGCGCAGCATGGAAGAGCGTCTCAGCACTAACATATGCACTAGTTCCAGGCATCGTGTCCAAGGTTGGACCAAACGGCCGTGCAATACAGCCCAAAGCACAAATTAGAAGCGTTAGACACGATTCTGCGGACCAATCGATACCATGTAAGATGATCGATTGCACCATGCGCCGGGCTGCCTGCTCATCTAGGATGGGGTTCTTCACATGGGCATAATTGAAGAAGTTATCAAGGAGATGGTTGACTCGGCAAAGGTCAAGTTCCGCCGTGAGATCTGATTTTGGTGATGAAGGAGACTGTAGCGGATATTGATTGCACGATGTGGCTGGCCCAGACTCTGAAAGCCCAATCGCGGCGACTCCTTGACCGAGGTCACCGAAGACGCCCCATGTCATGATATATTCCGGGCCAGGGGGGATGAGCTCGATCGGAATGGAGCTAGATGCAGTTTTTGACAGGTCTGATGAGAATCTTGTCTGTTTTGGGTCTGTTCTCGAGGCCAGGGTCTTCATCGTCCTGTCTAATTCGTCCAATCGCTCTAGGATCTTCAGACTGGCCGGGTCAAACGTGGAAAGATCCACGGGGGACTGGATGCACTTTGCGCCAACCTTTAGGCAGAATGAGCAAGAAGGTTTCTGGTTATCGCATTTTGTCCGGCGAGCGCGGCATACTTGGCACGCTTTCACGGCTCGTCGTCGATTATAGGAAGCAGTCCCCCTTGGTGCTGGCCGGGAGCCACCCATGCGTTCAGCTGACGCCTCATTATAGTCCCCAGGATCGGCGGAAACATTGCTTTCTGACATGGGTGTATCTGCCATCGCGGCAGTTCGAATTATGCAGCTTGAGATTCGTAGTCTTGAAAATGGAGGATGGAGACAGCAAGCTGTAGTCATTAAAACTGGAGTTGAATCTTTATGCGGAGTGTCGCACTTTTATCAACCATATGCAACAAGGGGCTAGACCACCTTGACCAGGCGGCATTTAAAGAGGCTAAATCGGCAGTTCCATCTGCAAATGAACTATTGAATTGACTGGCCTGTTCTGGAGAACAAGACCCACAGATGGCGGAATATCGCATTTATGGCTGCAGTGGCGCCAGCCCACCTCAATGGCAACCCCGGATTTCTCCCATCGAACAGAGAAGACACAAACTTTACTTTTAGCTAGCCATTGATGTAGTATCACAACCGTTGCTAATTGTAATGGATATAAGCTCAAGTCTTCCCCAGATTACCCCATGGGGATGATCATCAAGTCAGCGATCCCTTCCCATTGAGTTCAGCTTGAGCACTCTGACAATTTCACCGCAACTCGCTTTTTAAACATAAGAATTACCGTCAACCTGGTGCGTCAAAATGGACGTTGACGCAAAGATAAGTGACGTCCAAGAGATCGAGGCTACCGGGGATGCCATATTTGGTAATGAGCAGCACAACCGATGCCCAGAGCATGAGTTGACCATTGCAAACATTTGCAAGAGGCACAAACTCGTTGTCTGGTGGTGCTTTTACTGGGCAATGGCCGCTGTTGGTTGGTAAGTCTTGCTTCTCCTGTGGTGGCTACTGATGCCATTTACTGACCTGAATAGGGGCTTTGACGCTCAAATCAACGGTGGAATGATCTCTGTTCCGTCCTTCCGACGTGATTTTGGGTAAGCCGGCATTCCCTAGGCTTATAAGCTCGAATCTAATTATTGATTCCGCATAGATATACCGTCAATGGGGAGGCCATTCTCCCTGCGGACTGGCAGTCCGCATTCAACGTCATTGGCACCGTTGGCCAATTTTTCGGCGGCTTCATATGCAGTTGGCTAGCAGACAGGATTGGCCGCAAAAACTCTCTTTTAATCGGCGTGATAGTGTGTAGTGGTGGCTGCGTTGGTGAGATTTTCTCTGCTACTCGCTCAGCCTTCCTCGGATCTAAGCTTGTCTTTGGTGTCGGCTTGGGCTTCTACCTTAGCCTGGCTCCTATGATGACGAGCGAGCTTGCACCCGTCGCACTTCGAGGCATTGCAACTGCTGGAGTAAATCTTGGAATCGCCATCGGCCAGCTTATTTCCAATTCTGTGGTAAAAGCTTTTGGAGAGAGGGACGATCGATGGGCGTACCGTGGACCTTTTGCAACGCAGATCTTCTTCGCTATATTCCTTCTCGCGTTTCTACCACTAGCTCCAGAAAGCCCATGGTATCTCGTACGAGTGAATAAGACAGAAGAAGCGAGAAAAGTCATTTTAAAACTTTATGGAGAGAACGACACAGTTAGCAGGCTGGTAGAAATCGAGGAGACGATCCGACACGAAAAGGTTCAAGGAATCGAGAAATCAAGTTTCGTTGATTGTTTTAAGGGAACTAATCGGATTCGTACTGGCATCTCGACCGGCGTTTTCTTATGTCAACACTTGGTGGGTATCATCTTCGTACTTGGCTACTCGACATACTTCTTTCAGCTTGCAGGCCTTGACGTCTCCAACTCATTCGACCTGGGAGTTGGTGTTACAGCCTGCGGCGTCCTAGGCAACATTATCAGTTGGTTCATTATAGAGCGGTACGGTCGTCGAAAACTCTTTTTGTCTGGAATGGTTACTCTCACTGCTCTCCTTTTGCTTATTGGCATAATGGACGTCGTTCCAAGCCAAGCTGCGAAGTGGGTGCAGGCCGCCAGCACTGTTGTTTATGCATTCGTCTATTTTCTCACTATTGGCGCGGTGGCTTTCACTATTCTCGGTGAGGCATCTAGCACAGTTTTACGCGCAAAGACAATCTCTCTTGCGACCGCTACACAGGCCATTTGTGGTCTGGTTATGAATTTCGCCATCCCCTATATGGTAAACCCTGATTCGGGCAATTTAAGAGGAAAGGTGGGCTTTGTCTTTGGAGGATTGGCCATAGTTGGTACTATTGGAAGTTGGGTATACGTGCCAGAACTTAAAGGGAAGACGTTTGGCGAGATCGATCAGCTCTTTGCCGAGAAAGTGCCACCTCGGAAAATGGGTTAGAGAATACTATTATGGTACTTCCGAAATAGCTTAAGGAGGGTACATGTATTAAGGGTTAGTTCAAGACGCAAATAACACAAACTTGGACATTAAAGAACAACCCATTATTAAATTGTTTTAATTGATGTTATCTACAGCTTACGTTTGGTTTGTTTAAAAAAAGTCTAAGTGCCTAAATACGGAGGCAAGTGGTTTGCAAAAAAAGAGGGACCGCAAAATGAATATGTGCATACATCGAGATAATAAGAGCACTATTTTGCAGAATTTAGCGCGGTTGATGTATGCGTACTGCGTAATTCTGTGTGCCGATCGTTGTCCCAGTCCCTCTTTTTTTGCAAACCCCTTGGGAGGGTTAAGCGTTCTTGTGGATAAGCAGAAAGGCCTAAAGTAAGCTTCATGTATTACATGTAGTTCCTCACTTTATTGGCATGCTAAGGACCTCATATTACGATAATCAAGCTACTAGATTACATGGGAGACATTTCTACACCGCCAACAGGGTCAGTACATCTCATAGCGCCATTTAAGTGCCACCATTTCCTCCGTGACGCCATTCTTAATAACCTTTGAAATTTCCGCCGGGTCGCCCGAGTCCAGACGCGTGTTTTCGCGTAGAACTAGCCAGCGGTAGAGCGTGATGGTGGCCGCGAATAACAGGGCACAGCCCATCAGGGTTCCGAATGCAGCATAGAACTGGGGAGGGTCGTAGTACAAATACGAAGCCCAGATGTTGGAGGTGCCACCAATGGCGTTGACCAGAGCAGATGCCGCTGCGCGCTTCGAGACTGGCCGTGCGAGATGCAAATTGATCGTCTTGTAGAGGAGAAGTTGAGGGCCGACTGATGCAAAAGGCAAGATCATCATGGAAAAGTAACGCGCTCCAACATTGAGAGTTACCATCGGAATGATGTACATGACGCACGCGATGGCAATGCAAAGGAGAATTATAGGGTATACCGTGTTTTTGCGATCAGAGTAGAACATGAGAACATAATAGACAAAGCCAGCCAGAACGTAGGGTGGTGCGGTGAGGAGCAAACTGATTGTAGAGGAGAAGTTTAGGGAAGCGACGAGCGTGGGGAAGTAGTTGGCAATGGACCCCTGGGCTTGCGAGAGCATATTACAGAAGATGAGAAGCAGCAGCTTGGTATCGGAGAGAGCTTTGGCAAACCCTCGCAGCACGGTCTCATTCTCTGTGCCCTCCGCTGCGCCAGCTTCAGACTCGATACGCCAGACAGCGAGGTCTCTCTCAAGCTGAGAGAGAATGCGGCTGTTGTGCGGAAACTCGGGCATGAAGCACGCGCATATGGCACCAATGCCAACTGTAGCACTACCCTCGATGATGAAGAGCCACTGCCAGCCGCGTATGCCGTGGATTCCATCGAGCTGAAAAACAGCAGCAGCAAAGAGCCCACCAAAGGCATTGCCAACTTGCTGCGCAATATACAAGGCAGCTATGCGCTTCCCGAGCTCCTTTTTCGTATACCAGGCTGAGAGGTAATAGATGGCACCGGGAAAGAAGACGGCTTCTGCCACTCCAAGAATGGTGCGGACGGCAAGAAGCTGCCCATAAGTCTTGACAGCTGCCGTCGCAGCCGAGATGGAGCCCCAGATGATCACGGCACAGCAAATATACATCCCAGGTCTAGAGATTTTCGTGATAAGGAGATTGCTCGGAATCTGAAAGGGCAAATAACCGACGAAGAGGATTGAAACCACCGTAGCAAACTGCTGAGTGGACATGTGGAGGGAATCGGTAATGCCCTGCAGCCTGGCCGCGGCCAAGTTCTGACGGTCGATATAGTTCAGGATGTACAGGATCCCAATAGTGGGTAGAATGATGAGGTCCATTTTGCGGACGAGCTTGTCATTGAGGTCCTTGATCTCAACACTGCCAAGGTTACGAAGTGTCTCTGGCATCCGCTCGTCGACAGCATCGAATTCTCCTTCTGCACGTGAGACATTGTCGATGGCCTGGCTCTCTTTGAGGCTGTCCATGGTAGGATACGGAGTAATGGCCAGGACGAGTATTTGAATTTGTGGCTGAGAAAATGTGGCTCTCTTTCTAGAAGAGTTGATTGAAGGCCTGAGACAACGTTCCCGTCGAGGATGGGTCAGGGGGATGCTGTGTCTTAACAGCGCGAGGAGAAAACAATGTATCCTGCGACGCCTGCTGTCCAGCGATCAACAGGACTAATGACCATGAGGGTATCTCACTCGATCAAAAGGCATTGACATCTTGCAGGAATAATGCGACCTTCTATGTAGTTTTTGGACACTTTGCGGGAAGAGTGCACGAGAACTTATCAGCCCCAAGTTGGCGGAATCCACCGGCCCCCATGGGGGCGCACGATCTAAAAGCGCCTCCCAACACTAGTTTGCGGGCCTGGTTCAGCCATTATCCGGATGCTGACCGATAGATTTTGGGAGCTCCTCCCGATGGGGCGAACCCGCGGCAGCTGGAAACGCAGGGGTCTGGAGATTGTATAGTTGAGGAGCTCATTAGAAAATGCGATGCGCTGGGTGATGCAACAAGATGGCGACAAGGCAGATGAGTCCTTACTACTTGAAGAGAGTGTCCTGGCCGTCGCTTTACGGCATGTCACCACTATTCCAACCTCGCATACACTTTGAAAACAGCAAACGACTATTAAATTCTAGTCATGAAAATGAGCTATCCCACCGCCCACACCACGACTATCGAGAACCCTCGCCTGAGGCTTCTCGCCAAAATGAAACGCGGAGAGTACCCATTGATGACCTTCATGGCCATTCCTTCTCTGCGTATGGCCCAGATCATCGCCTTGACAGGCGTTGACGCCATCATCATTGACTGTGAGCATGGCAACATCGGAGATGATTCAATGCATAACGCTGTCGCTGCCATATCGGCTCTCGGAGTATCGCCTATCATCCGCATTCGTGGACCTGCTCATGACATTATCAAGCGTGCTCTTGACACCGGAGCGCATGGCATTATGGTTCCACAGATTAATAACGCGGAGGAGGCGCGGCAAATAGTCCAATCTTCCAAGTTCCCGCCGCAGGGTATACGTGGCCAAGGCTCAGCTTTCCCAGCCATTGGCCACGGGCTTACAACGCCCGAGTACATGATATCTGCCAATGAGACGATCTTGACCATGATCCAAATAGAGACGCGAGCTGGCGTCGATAACGTCGATGCCATTGCCGCCGTGCCGGGCGTGGACATGGTCTTTATCGGCCCCAACGACCTTGCCCAATCTATCCTCGGATATGTGCCTGCGCGGGGAGATGAGCCCGAGTTTGTCACCGCGGTCGACAAGATTATCGAGGCGGGTCGAAAGCACGGCAAGTGGGTTGGACGCATGGTCAACAATGGCGCGGTGGCTAAGGAGGTCAGATCAAGATACGACACAGTTGCCATTACTGGCGATACAAAGGCGATACAGAATTGGTACATGGCCGAGTTTGAGACTGCGCGATCATAAGGTTGTGGGGTTGCTACAAATACCATGTTAGAAAAATCTCATACAGTTCTCCAGACGATTCTGGGAAGAAACAACTTGTCAGATACCAAAAATGGCGGCGAAGAAACATTCTAGATAGTGCTATTTACTACTTCCCAATGCTAGTCTCCTATTTCTTTCTCGATTTTATGAGCCACTCCTCGCTGTATTCGTCTCCATTGATTGATTCCATCTGTTTGAAACCAGACCTGGCGCTCGTTCTTGTCTGTATTCACTACAGAGGCATAGACGTAGAAATAATATCCTTAGCAGCGTTTGTGAATTTTCTGGACGAGCTGTGACCTTGGCGCTGTGTCTGAATTACGCAACCCCCTAGACGATCTGGATATCTTCGGACATGCTTTGAGAAGGGACAACGGCGAGGCTCGATCTTAGTACTTTAGTCTGCAGCACCAATGAGATATGATGCGCTTGTAACTATATTGGATAATAAAGTACAGGATGCAATCATACGTCGTATGAGCGAATCGGCATTAGCACGCGAACCTTTCTGCACAAGTCCTTGCGAGGTTTTCCGAACGTTGGCAAACGTTGATACATTTCTATTATGTCTAAGCTGCAATAATCCGCCATTGGTCCATTTCCAGAGAGCTCTCAAGCCTGTGCAATACATTCAATCTCGATAACTGTGCCATCACCTGGAGGAACTGCCTGGAGGCACGAACGCGACGGCATCGGCTTGGGCAAGAACTCAATGTATGCTTCATTCATGGCGGCAAAATCCTTCATATCTGCAAGATAGACATTGTACTTGACCACCTTTTCAAGCGACGACCCTGCAAGTTCGAGAACTTCCTTGAGATTCTGTAAACAGGTTCTCTGTGACAGAGGCGGGCAGGCGTTAGCTCAACAATTCACATAGGAATAAACCACGTTAAACCAAAATTGAACTTAACGAGACGTACAGTTGCCTGCTTGATCTCTCCCGTGGCTGTTTGGCCAGCGCAGAAGACTAAACCGGGGACCTTTACCGCAGGGCCTAGGCAGATAGCAATCATGGTCAGCAAGTAATAGACATTTATGAGCGTATGCCTCGCACTCCTCTGGATAACACTTACAGTTATGCGGTTTAGGAGGGAATTTCTCGCTGGAGATAAGTTGACGCGACATTTTTTTAGTTGAAGAAGTTTAGAGCGATGAGGTGAGGGAAGGGAGATGTTGAGAAAAGTACGAATCTCAAGTATAATACTAAGGCCAATATTTTCGTGGCTATTTAGTTGTATGCGAACTACTTCACTCCTTTAGTAATTAAATTCTTGATATTTGTCCACCCTTCAATCTCGACCTGGGGTGGGGGTAGGAGACCTCTCATCGATTGAGACAGAGAGAGATAGAGGAGCTCCAAGGACGAGCATCAATAACCGTCATCCCGGGTAGCGAATCGTGCCAAGTCGGCAGCGTTTAGCGTAGGGAGGAGCTCCTCCCCGCCCCTAGTTGCAACGCAGCTTGGGAATTCTCGTTTTGTAATTGGCCTGGCACCCTTGTCTTGCGTGGCAACCCTCGTGATCTGCGACTGTCAAAATTCCGGGCCTAAGTCCTCAACTACTGCCCTGGTTTCCGCTTCTTTCGGCATCATTCAGCTCCGCTACCTTATCTGATCGGTGGTTCTGTAAAGTGGCACACTTAAGTGGCCGGCATCGCCCGGCCGTCTCCACTGTAAATCATGATTAAGTCCCGTCATGGAGAATTGACTGACAAGTTCACTGTAAACGTTTAGATAGACGGAGGAGCTCTCCTAGCGCAAAGAGGACGAGATATGGGAGGAGGACAATGGGGTGAGGTGGCGCATGAAAGTACGGTGATCTAGGCAATGGGATACAGCACTACAGCATTCAGCATGGCGATCATCTAGGGGAGGGGCAAATGGCTGGCGTTGAGGAGAAGGCGGGGGATCGAGGTAGAGCACGTCCTGATCTCGGTGCAGGACTTGCTATGGTCTGACTTTGTCCGCTTTTACGTCGTCTCGTATGATCAAGGAGCTCGTTGGGAGGAAAAGAGAGGAGCGCAGCATCGACACAGCCTGCCACAGCACCTCAAATATTCATCTCGCCCAAGAGTTAAAAGGAGGCAGTTGCCTACACAATTGGATAGTCCCCTATCATCTGCCGCTAGCACGAATATCTCGTTGACACATTCCATCACATCAAGTCATGGCACCCGCCGCTCCTTTCCAACCACCTGCTGCCGACCTACCAGGCAAGCCCTTCGTGCCGGATTGGGTTCCACCTCCCATCACGAAGCAGAAGGAGAACTTTGCCACGCTCAAATCTATTGATCTATCGTTGCTTGACTCGGACGATCCAGCTGTTGTAGATAACCTCATCCAACAGGTCAAGGTTGCTATTCGCGATGATGGATTCCTCTTCCTCGAAAACTATGGCATTTCATTAGAGCAGGTAAGGGAGACAAGGTCACATAATGAAACGAAGAAGCCACTAATTATGCTGTTCCGTCTCTTGAATTAGCTCCACCGACAGTTCGCTCTTGCGCAATACCTGTACAACAACATTAGCGAGGAGGACAAGGATCGCCTTCTCTTTAATCCCGAGACAGGTGTGTGGTCTGGCTACAAGCACCCTTATGGGTTCAAGGTAATGAAATATCCCAATCGACAACATGTGTGGGATCTCTTACGCTTACTCTCTGTCTCTCCTCCATCAGCGCCACCGTGGACCTCCTGATGGCATCGAACAATTCAATTGGTACAAGCCTGATTGGGAAGATGCCAACCGTACCCCAACGTGTTTGCACCCATTCATGGATGAAATCGAGGCGTTTTGCAACTACCTTACAGAGTCCGTCAACCGGCGGCTACTCACCGTCTTCTCGCGCGTTTTGGAACTACCCGACGATTATCTCTGGGAAAATGTTCAATCACATGGCAGCCCAACTGGTGAAGGATACTTCCGCCATGCGCTATTTCGTCCTGTAAGGAAAGAAACCGAAGAGGCATCAAAGGGCCTCCGCATGCACGGCCATACCGACTTTGGCTTGACGACGTTGCTCTTCTCCGTTCCCATCTCGTGCCTCCAGATCTGGGGCCGCGACGAGAAGTGGTACTACGTTCCTTACAAGCCTGGAGCTCTCGTCATCAATATTGGCGACACTTTGGAGATTGTCTCTGGCGGCCACTTCAAGGCCACGCGCCACCGTGTGTTCAAGCCTCCGGTGGACCAACTACACGAAGAGCGCCTCTCTCTGGTGCTGTTTAACAGTTCCGTCGGCGATTTGCGCATGGCTCCTGCGAAAGGTGAGTAGGACTTTAACAAAATGTAACTAGAAAGGGCGAGGCACAACGCGTATAGCTAACCGCTCTTGCTCTCGTTACAGAATCACCGCTTATCCAACGCGAGGGCTGCGTCGAGGAGCAGGGCGTCTACAAGGAATTTCGGGACCGCACAGCAAAAGGCAAGCTTGTGCCCACGAACCGCGAATGGCGCGAGATCCAAATCTCCACGGCTACCGACCCAACGGATCAGGAGCATAACCGAGTTGGGGTACACCAAGTGCTGGTCGAGGGAAAACTCATGCATCAACGAGAGTATATGGGAGTCAAGGTTCTCCTGCCTGTCTAAAGAGGCAGTCAACCGATTCGCCTTGGACAAACCTCCACCTGTATGCAATAGATATCTGTATTATGTAACTTACCAAATCTGATAATGTCCCATCTTCCCGATGGCAATGACGTACCTAGCAATTCTGAGAGATCGTACTATATAAAGAATGCGTAAAATCATCCTTTATCTTTCGAAACATCTGCCCCTTGCCTTATCAAGATAGTTTAGCTGCATGTAGATTTGTAACGCCATGCTCCAGTCATTATCAGCACTCGGTGGATCCAGGCAATGTAAGATAGCAGCATACCTTAGGAAGATAAGGGACTCTGAGACCAGCTGGACCGGCATCCGCGGCTCAGCCTTACATGTTCTGGCCTTAATGCATCTTCATCCTGCTTTAACAACTAATTTGCTCGTATTCGAAGCTTTTCGAAATTTAGTCAGCGAATCACTCCGGTCCGCTGTTGCATCGTTTCCAAGAACTCGGCATCGTTTTGGGGAAAAGGCTCGACTGTGTTAGTGTTATGGATCAGCCAATTACGATTTGGCCATTCAGCTTAAAGGAGACACATCTAGTCTAACCAGGCCAAGCAAGCATGCATCAATCCCCGTATCTGCGGGCCCTTCTCATGCGGGGGAAGGGAAGGAATTTGTGGGACTTGTAGTTCCGATCTCTCCAAGTGAAGACAGATGCATCATCACACTTCAGAAACACTGCGCTGGGTCATGATTCATTCCATCGCCGGCGAGGGCGTCCCAGCCTATCGTCCGTTCCAATGCCTCGTTTGCCAAAGCCGGTTTACCAGACATGAGAATCTTAAGCGACATGCTGCACTTCATGAACGTTCTCATGAGAAGGTGGCGCTGCCATGTGGTGTCTGCGAGGTCACTTTCTCGCGTCACGATTTACGACATCGTCATATGAAGAGGAAACACCCGGAGCACAGCGAGAGACGACCTGCCAAAAAGCGGCGATGCCAACAAGCGGCAGAAACGCAAGTGGGTGATGAAGGGCAATGTGAGGGAGGAGACGAGGCGCCATCTCCATCCTCTGCAACGAGTCGGCAAAGTTCTCACCGTCAGCAGTCGAGCGATGAAGGCGAAGTAGACGTTGATGGCGGACTATGGCACACAGAGCTACAGTATTCACATTGTCGTACCAATCATGGCCATCCAGATTGCGCAGAAAGCATGTGCCTTGCGAGAGGCGCGCCTACGAGCTCCGAAGGAGGCAATAGCCCAATTATCGCGGCCCAGTTGACGCAACTGCCCTTGATCAGGACCGAATCGACATGTGTAGATGATACTGTACAAGTTACAACTTCCTTGGAACAGAGCCTGTTGATGGGAGAGACATTTCTCAAGTCTCCGCTGCAATTTAGCGCCACAATGCATTCGATGGCAATTTCGCCTCCATCTTCATTTGACATCCAATGGCCCAGCTTTGACCTCAATCACAATATCCCGGATAGGTTACCATCGAATACCCCCCTCCGGTTACAGGACGATTGGTATCCCTCCGTCTTGCAGACCACCAAGGGCTGCGATCTCTTCTTCACCTACGTCTCCCACTTTGTCCCTTTTCTACACCAACCCACCTTTGATGCCACACTTGCTGCTCCTCACTTGGTCCTCAGCATGCTTTCTCTTGGCTACCAATACGGCGAGGATCCAGACTGCAGCGACCAGGCAGGCTCAGGCGCCAGGCTGTCTGCGCGATGCTACCATCAAGCTCGAGCCCTCATGGCCACTGAAGAAGAGAGTGCGGATGATACGACACACAATATCCCCGCCGTTCAGACGTATCTACTGCTGCAGATCTGTGCCATCATGTATCTATGCGGCAACGACTCGACATATGGGCTCAGGATGCACTCCAAGATGATTTCTCTTGTTCGTGCTGGAGGGCTAATGCAACCAATGCCAATGCAGTGCAGCACGACGGAAAATCTAGAGTCGCTGTGGCGAGAATTCATCAAGGCCGAGTCTCACAAACGAACCCTTTTTGCCGTGCACCAGATTGATGCGCTCTGGTATCAATTTCTGTCCATCCCCCGCTCAATCTCACATCTGGAATTCAAGCACGAGTTGCCCTGCTCGGAAGATTACTGGGCGGCATCCACAGCCGCCGAATGGGCGCACCGGCAGCTTGTTGCGAGGCATCATCCCGGCCCATCGATGCTATATACAGACGCTATCCGGCGGTTTCTATCCCCCGAAGCGGACCTCGACTCCATTCCAGCATTTGATCCCTACGGGGCGATCAACATTACACAGTTCCTAATCTCTAGCGCTCGCGAGGTATCTGGCTGGTCTACTATGACGGGAAAACTAACAATGGAGAGGATCGAGCCTCTGAGGTCATCGCTCATTGCTCTCAGCCCCTTTATCCACCCGCAACCTGGAGCTGGAAACACAATACACGCGGCGTTGTGTGAGGCGACATGGGAGGCTGCTATGATTGAGCTGCATATGTGGTCGCCGTCACATACTAGTGGCATAGTGGAAGGAAGTATGGATGCGGTACTGAGCAAATCGGATTATTTGGCACCCTCTTGTGAAATCTTGTGCGAGTCCAACACTACCAGAGCTATCCAGCCACACGTTGACTGGTTCTTACGTTATCTGGATTCGACACTCTCACCTGATTCCGAGGCACCGTGGATTGCTTTATATGCATATCGAGCCTTTTTGATTGCCTGGAACCTTATTCAGGGAGGAATTTTAGGTGCAATGCAAGCAATTAGCATTCATGATGGAGATGTGGAGGGAGCATTGACGTGGGCCAGGAAAGTCTTTCAGCGACGGCAGCACTGGCAACTTGGAAAACTTATTTTGTCGAGTTTGGATAGCTTGGAGATGCGAGTAGCAGGAGGTGCTTCAAATTAGTGTAATAGTGCCGCAAGTAACAACCTGGATCTCTTTGTATGAGATTTGATTGTAACCGAGCGAATACCTTGATTTTTATCTTTAAATCTAGAAAGGTATTTAATTAAATATTTATAAAACTGGCATTTAGGCACATCGCGATAGCACACAAACGTAAACGGCTTAGCAGGGTGAAGAAAGTTCACATTCCTAATATCATATTAGACAAGTCAAGAAGTAGCGGGCATGTTAACATACCAAGTCATTCCACACTTCTCCAGCGTACTTGCAATCGCTCCTGCCAAGGTTTCTAAAACCCAGACTTTCGTAGTAAGGGATGAGGTGATCATGTGCTAGAATTGATATTCTGTCCCCTCGGTTGGTTTCTTTCATCAATTTAATATAAGACCTCATCAACGCCTTGCCTAAACCGCGTCTTTGGTAGTCGGGTGAAACGGCTAGTGCGTGGAGCGCAATGGTTCTTCCATTCGCTTTATGGCCGGAGTCATACTCTGCCAGAGGGTTGGATTTCCAATTGCTAGGAAAAGACATGTCCTCCTCCTTCACAAACCGAATGGTTGATTTGGTCGAGAGAGTGTGAGCAACGAGTTTACCATCTTCACACTCGGGAGCTTCAGATAGGTAGGGGATATTGTCTGGCAGTTTGGCGGAGGGGCTGGCTTTGCCCTTGATGAATAGCCCTAGACAGACTTCTGGGCAGACCGTCAGGCGATACTCAATCTACACGTTCCCGTAAGTCCCAGTTTCAACTGCGATAATGCTCGAAGAAAAGAATTCGGGGGTTGGGGCCACAAACGCTATCGCGGGAAGCTGCTTCGTTGGGCGGGAAGGCTGAAGACTCCACCTCCACACACTGGTCAAGGTCACGGATGGACAGGGTTCGAACGTATGCCTCCATGATTGTGAAATGGAGATGGTGATGCGGTTTGCCGTAGTAGCTGGTAGAAACAAGCAAGAGACTGATGCTCGGGTGTGCTTATGAAGCAAACTTGGAGAGGGACAGGTGAAAAATTTAGTGGGCTCACGGGGTCGAACGGCGCGCCTTGTAATAACATGAACTACTGGTGCGGTGCGGGTGTCTACGCGCGGCGTTTTCCCTCTGAGTTGATCTAGGAAAAATCTATAAGAGCTGTCACCAGATTTCCAAAGATGAAGACGTTGGCCAATTGATGACTGATTCTTTATTATGGCGCAAAATTTTCATTGCATCTGGAAACGATTTTGGATCTGAGACGCCTGGCTGGTTTCGCATTGTCTTTTCTGTCGGCGACTTTTATCTTGACGAAGGGTTAAGGAGAATTTCAGTAGCGCTAGCCCAGAATGCTAGTTCGCTCTATTAAAACCCAGTTTAGGTTATACATAAGTTTCCTTGTGATACTAACCGCTGCATAATAAGCTGCTATTATTCTGCCTTAAACTGTATGATAGTTGGCAAAACAACCTTGCGTTATAACCTGACTTTTATAGTAATAACAGGCCGATAGAGTAAGTAACCGTAAATGGATAACAGCCTGTTTAACTAATTGAAAGCCCATTGTTCAATTTTTTTTATGTGGTATAAATTAAATATCAAGTCACCCCTCGCAGCAGGTAAGAGCATCGCAACAACTCCAACTATTTTTGGTTGGTTTGTAGTGATCCTTGTTAGATTTCTCATCCTAAAAACAAATATTTCCGTCTTTCCCCATGCTACGCGCATAATCGAATATGTGGTAGTGCATCATTTTTATTCACGATGCTTCCAAACCTTCAAACCGTCCTCTAATGCCTGGACGAGATTCGACGCAGTTCTTGCTATCGATCCAGTACGGCCGGTTCCCACTTCTTCCGAAAAGCTTACACGGTCCGTCCACCATTCAAGCCAGCTTTCGGCTCTGGCACCCTCCCGCGCCTGAAAGAGTCCGACGCTAACATCAAGAACGTCTGGTTTGCCCTTCTCACGCCAGAACACTGTTGCACCGCATTTACCACAGAAATCTCTGAGCACATTGGGCGAGGAACTGTGAGTCTGCAAAATACCTCGTGGGAGTGTTGAAAAGTCAAGTGGCTGCGTGATACTTTGACCGGGCCCAGGCCCAGGGACTAGAAAAGATATGTTTGATCTCGGCACAAAGGCCCAAGTCTGAATCTCGAAGCCAGAAATCAAACGGCAAGATCGACAAACGCAGGTGCCCGCGAGGAATTTGGATCCGTCGTTGGGAATCCACCATTTGAGGTCGGATGGGTTCTGCTTGATGCTGTCGGGGGTTGTCTTGTCGGGAAACGTGAGATCCGGCAACCAGCGGCTTGGCTCACGGCTCGCCGAGTCTGGTCGGGTGATTTCAAAGCGGACAGTACCGCATGCGCAAGATCCATGAAGCAAGTCATCGGCTACCCCTGTATCTTCTTGGTGGAGCCAGTCCTCCCCTCGGAACATCGTGTGCTGATCCACCTGGCGATGACCCGTCAAATCAATCCAGGTTGAGATTCCCCCATCTTGGGTGTCTTGTACGTGTTTGTGGGATTCGTAAGTGAGATTCAAGTCTTGCGTCGAGCTCACCACAACCCCGGTTGCAACATCCCATTCAAGAGGACCTTGCGTGGTCTTTCGGGACCGGGCGACATGACAGCCACACGTGGTGCAGAAGTAAATGTTAGACCGAGCAGAGATGGAATAGACTCGGATGCTATCTGACGTATGAAAGTCTTCAACGGGATAATATGAAGTGCAAAGCAATCCGGTCAAGTGGCGACAAGTGTTACAGTGGCACAAAGACAAAGGCGTCCCTTTTCGGAGCCTAGCGTTCTGAGATACAGCGCCGCATTGGCACTGTATCATGAGGTCGGGCATAGACATGGTCATGATTTTGAGCCTGATACCTTTTGTCAAAGACTGGCGTTTATCACTGGTAGTAAAATTGTAGATACCGTGTCACGATATTTGTAGTCAAATAAAGGTAAACCCAGCCTTTAAATCCGGGGGAGAGGGAGACAATAAGACCAGCCCCCCGCGGACGCGTGGAACTACGATAGCATCGCCTACTATTCCATTCGCGGAGTATCGCATTTTTAGCATCATACTCCAAACTTTCTCCTCACACACGTTGATGAACGCTATGAGTCATCCCACTTAGCAAGCGTTGCGCTCGGCACGTCGGGGAGTATCGCACATTAGGATACCGCATCGTGCCAATAACTTGCTTCTTGTGTAAAGTCACCCTAAACATGGCCGCAGACTGCCAATCTTTATCTAAAGAAAACATCGTCTTACAACGTCATACACACCATAATGACCCGTCAATTGCTTTCTTCATTTAGTTCGTTACATAGGCTATTTGAGAACTGCAAGAGGCATCTAGTAAACAATGTATTTATCCGCAAGTGTAAGCGCTGGTAAAAGCCATTTGTATTATATTTGCCAAAAAGGCAGCTTCCAAAACTCAGTAAAATATTGTACTTTACTAGCAAAAGTTACCCTGCGGTCCGCCAGCACTTCCGATAGCCCTTCCAACACAACCTGTTTTAAATGTAATTGGCAGAGCAAAGGAAACGGCAAAGTCAGCCCTAAAGCTTCCAATATTGGCGAACGAGCCGTCTACTTCCACTTCGTTATCTGTCCCAGCTTGCCACAGAGTTACCGCGCCGCAGCCCTGTACCTGTTTCTTCAATGCGGCGCCACCATCGGTGATCCAGTCCTTTGCTCGAATGGTAAATCCAATAGCGATAACGTCGTCTTCTCGCTTACACGAAGCAGCTGGCCGAGGGTCTCTGTAAGGGTTAATGGTGGGGCCTTGGTTGTTGACATCTGGCGTAGAACAATGCTGATCAAAAATCTTATTACCACCAGCATCATATAGATACCCATCCTCACCCAGGAACACATCACCATAGTCGGATGGCCAACGTGCATTCATTTGGCAAGTTGCTTTTTGTTGAGTGGAGTAAGGATCAGAAGAGTCATAGCCGTAGAGAATTAATGCGGTACTGGATGCTTGACCCTGAGTTGATGCCACGTCTAAACAACCCAGTTAGTTTCTCCTTTTCATCATATCATAGAATGCAGCATCTGTTTGTTCGTAAAGTAAAAATTGAAACCACATACTGTAAAAATTTTGGTACACATTAGCAATAGGGCCAGAGTCACTACTACATCGTGGGCTGCCGTTGATAAGGACACAACCCTTATTGACATGCTATGAGAATAAGATTCTGTTAGCATATACTGCGTAATGTATTACTGGGATAGGTTCAAAGACATACCACATTTGTTCCAGCAGGATTTGGTGACGGTGTGGCGATGGGAGTGCATACAGGATTGTTCGATCCTGAGATAAGAGTGCACGCCATTCCATTCGTAGTTATCGTGGTTGCATGTGGTGGCGAGCTACTAGTAGGCTTAGCCGTCGTAGTAGGCGGGTTTTGGTTATCGAAGTGATTAGAGTCAGTGTCTGCCGGGCCAGATTCGTGCTCCGTAGGGTCGGATGGCGGACTAAACGGAGGCGGAACGATTGGTACTCCAGTCAATGCTTGGCAGTCTGCAACTGGTGGCTTGTAGTTATCATCATCCGTGGGAGGAGGAGGAGGAGGAGGAGGCCCTGGTGGTGGTGGGAACGAGCCACCGCCGCCGCCAGAGACTGAGCAATCACCTAGCCACACAAGTTAGTATTGAGAACATAGACATGGAGAGTATGAAGATATATAGATGGCTATAAAATGGTTTCTTACCAGAACCACATCCCGGTCCACATGCACCAGGAGCACATCCACCTCCACAGAAGCCGATTCCACAACCCCCGTCGCAGCCAAATGTACCGCAGCCACCACCGCATCCAAAGAGAGCGCAGTCCAAAACACCACAACCGACGGTGCAAACTGGAACGGGGGGTGGCACAGGCGGCTTAGGAACGTATACAATCGGAGGGATGGGCGGCTCAATATCGATAGATTTTGTGGCAGGTGGCTGGATCGTTTGCGTGTGGCTGTTAGATCCAAAGGTTGGAGAAGTAAGCCAAACGATTGCGCCGTTGTTAGCCTCTTGAACGCCTGCAAATTATATACTACATTAGCACCATGCAGCGTTAATCGAATTGGGATGTGAGGAGCTTACAGTAATAGTCCCCAACAATAAGGCTACATGACGACCCAAGGCTCGGATTCCACTGCTTAAAGTCACTCTGAGAGATGCCAAATTTCTGTGCGATGCTAGCGCAGGTATCGCCGTCAGCATCTTGATACCACTGAGAGCAATCTTGTATGGTGTTGGAGGGATGGGGTCCAGGGGCGGCAGTTGGAGTGGCGACTGTCGCGAAGGGCAGATAAGTGCCGCTACGAGGCGGTGCGATAACAACACTGCTGGGTAGGGAAATAACTGTTGAAGGCGGCATGATACTCTGTAACGGCGTAAACGTGGTTGATTGGGCTCCGGGGTGAATGGTAATGGGCCAGAAAGGCACCGAGGAGATTGTGAATGGAGGCAAGACGAATGAAGTCTGTTCTGTCGCGGTCGTTCCAGGCTGAGATACAAGAATAGATGTGTACACAGTGTATGTTACTGTAATGGGCGTCGCAAGAGGCGATGGAGGCAACACAATAGTGCAGTCATCGCATGTAATTGAGGGGTTTCCATTCTGCCAGATAGACGGGGGATAATGGATAATATCACCGCCACTACCACCACTGCCACTATCGACAGTATACTTTTGTAGATCAACAGCCCAGTCTACAGTTCCTGCAAAGTTCAAGCCCTTGTACTTGCTTGTACGTGAGCTCTTAGTCAGATCAGACATATAAGCCACCCAGTTGTTTCCGTAAAAAAGCATGTCCGAATCACTAGGCGTGTCAAAAACGTATTGGCCACTGCCCAAGAGCTGATCAATTTCGGCGTTGGCGATGTAACCAGCTTCGTTTGTGCAGACACCAGGAGTAGCTCCCGAGTCCGGACCAACGAATGTGCAGCCGGGGTTGCTGAATGAACCTTGGCACGCGGCCGGGTTAGTGAGTCCAAAGGAGCGACCATAACTCGAGACGCCAACATTGATCTTATTGCTTGGTACGCCAGCCTTGGTGATCATAGAAAGGGCATACATTGTCTCAGTTAAATTGACATGACTGCGAAGACAATTTCCAGCGGGGCAACCCTCCTGGGAGAACTGGTTGTTGTAATCCCATTGACCATGGAGATCATAAGTCATATAGACAACATAATCGAGCTGTTGTGCCATATCAGCGACTGGAAACGATTTAAGGTACCAGTATGAAGCAGGAGCAGCGATGGAGATAGACTTTGAAGAGCCAAGAGCAGCGCGAAGTTTAGTTAAGAAAGCCAGATAGTTGGGACCATCAGATGCCAATCCTGGAGGGATCCCAGGAATGTCGGGCGCCCCGGGATATTCCCAGTCAATATCGACACCGTCCCAGCCATTTCTGAGGACAGCAGCAATGTTGCTAACAAACGTATTGACATTTTGAGGGGTCATTGCGCTTCGCAGGATTTCGTAGGTAGCGGGATCAGTGGAATAGCCCCAGCCTCCAAAGGACACAATTTTTTTCTGAGGAAGTGATAAGAAGCTGGGAAGCTGGTTGTAGGGATCGTCAATAACAACATTGAAATTACTGTCGATGGTTGCAAATCCCCAGTGAACATGAGTATAGTCAGTACTGCTGAGGTCGCTAGTTGCGTAGTGCAGGCAAGGTCGGTCCCAGGCCCATGATTCGTAGTAAGTAACCTTCATGAAGCTACTGGGACCAGCACCACTAATTTACGTCTTCCATTAGTAATGTCCCATTTTGTTATCATACAGGTCAAATGCCTTACTTGTTCTTAATGTCTGTGCCGCAGTTGGACACACAGCCATTGTGTCCAGGAGGAGCAGTGCCAGGGTTGCCAGTTGGCCCTTGCTCTGGAGTACAATATTCAGGCGTGATGCCACACTGGCCCCAAACATCACAGCAGGTATTTAGAGGGCAGGGGTTGAGGTCTCCCAATGCCTGGCCAGCCTTGGGAGCAGCGCTTCCGGGGACGACAGGGCCACAAACTGAGTTGGGAATGGGAGCAGGCAAAGGGGGAGAGCCAGTACTCAGGCAAATATTAATGCCAGCTGCCAAATCGTTGCAGCCATTCCAGCCCCAAGTGGTTTTGTCATTGAAAGCCTCAAGCTGGTCAACAGTCAAGCTATTCGCGGCAGCAATCTGTGCACAGAAATCATTCGGCTGGATAGTATATTTGGCGCAGCTGCCATCAGGGTTTGGTTTGGGAGTAAGGTCCGGTAGAGTGCCAGCAGTGCAACAAATTCTTTCTCCGGGCTGCAAACCAGAGCAGAGAGTAGGAGATGGGTTAAACTTGGACAAATCTTGAGCGGAAATGCCGCACTTGGTAGCCAAAGTGTCACACCCATCTCCAGCTACAACAGTAATAGTCGAGCAGTCTCCCCTAGCGTTGAGAGTTTTGACAGAGTTTACATTGGTTGTAGACTTCTTTCCAGAGCCCGATTGAGCAATAGGGATAAGAGGGGCTTCAAAGATGCTGACACCCGAGAGCTTGCTGCTAGATTTTCCGTCGCCAAAACAAGTCCCGTTAGCCCAGGAGGCAACAGCCTTCTGAACAGCTGCAATATCGCCCGTGGTATCAATGGCGACACCAAAGGTGTAATCAGCATTACGATCTGCACTGCAAAGCTCGGCGAAGGCATTTGAGGGGGATGCGCTCTGGAATCTTTTCTCCATCTGTTGAAGTACTGAAGGAACGGTGCGACTATTATCAATGGCTGCACCGCTGTAGACAGCAACCGCAGCCCCTTGACTGTATCCAACGAGGAATTTGGTGTTGCAGTGCACGGCATCTTGTATGTAATGCCTCACATTCTGGAAAGCGGCCTCAAGGTTGTCGATGCCAGCATGACCCTGATTAACACTTATTGCCAAGTCAAGATCAACCTTGGACTCAGCCGCAGTAATGCAAGCGTTTTTCTTAAATGTGTATTTGATATCACGCTTGTGAGACTTGGTCTTCGTTTCTGATAAAAGACCATTGCGATTATCTTTGGAATCTCCAGACGTGCAAGTCCTCAGCTTGGTAGTGGTTTTGGGATCTTCCAATGGGTTGTAGATGGCAAAATCTAGAAGCATAGGCTCTGTGCATACTTCAAGACGCTTAAGTGATGTATAAACTGTCCAGTTCTGAGGACTGCCGTCACATGCTGCCGGGCAAGGCCTCAGAGTAGAATAGAAGGCATCCGGGGCATTCTTTGCAGCAGCAAATCCAACCACGTTACGAACCAGCAACGCCCATACCAGGGCTTGCGGCTCATAACGCATCTCGAAGGTAAAGATAGAATTGATACAAAAAACAAGGAAGGAAAACACCAACCAAAAAAAAATCTACCAAAAGTTGGTTGGACCCAGACGATGATTTGACAAAGTTAATCAAGTTGCACCGCTGTTGAGGGCTGAAGTGGAATTGCTTGCCCAGCGATTGTGTGGTCTACTTATTGTAGAATTTTCAGATGCGAGGAGTTGACCAGGAGCTTCATTCGGATACATTCCGCGAGGCAACTCCTCTCGGTCTTACTTGAAGGCTCCATCTTCCATTCAAGCGTAGGACTCATTCAGCCCGACTCAGCCTTTTGGATGAACAGACAGCAAAAAGCCCTTTAGCATTTACAATGAAGACCAATATGCAGTATTCTCACGGTTTTAAGTCAGCGCTAAAAAATGACTCGACCAAAGCTCTGGTGGAATGTAAATAGAGCAGATTTTAGACTACTAAATTGAAAGCTATACACTCCCGCTGAAGCTGACGCCGGTTATGTAGAGTAAGAGATAACCCCACAAAATCAGTATAGGCAATATGCGATTGGTAATTTGGTCTGTGTTTATATCTATTTATAACTTACTCTTTTTTGCATTGCTATTATAACTAAATTGTAACCAACCTCTGAATAAATTATATTAAGGCAAAGATCTCAATTGCAAAGGTACTCAGCTAAATAAGACCACAGTGAGTACGTAGGGTTAACATTTAAGCTTATACACACGATACGAAGAGACTAATAGAGTGTTTGACACAGTTGGATAAGCAAATATACTGGTGCGTTATATAATCAATTAACATGTAAGCAAATTTACCACGCTATATATAAATAAGTATTTCAGTACCCATATTAGAATAAACCCTTGCTGGTACTTTTGCGAGCTGAATCAATTCGGCCTATCAGCAGTAAGAAATTAGGGCTGATTGATAAGTTTCTTTCATCAAGTAAACTTGCAGATTTCCAGTGAGTTGACCATCAGCTCTTCAACGGTACAGCGTACAATGTTATATTAATATTCAGTGCCAGGTGTTCAACATATGCACGTTCCCCGTTCCAATATCATTTAAAGGCCTTTTGGCTTCTCTTTCAATGTCAAGTCCTCAGTAAATATCTTGAACCTATACCGATATGCGCGTTTCTACCAGCAATCTTCTATCACTTGGGGTCGCCTTGTGCTTGCCTCTGCTTGCCAGTGCAGTTGATATCGTCTCTTTTGAAAACTGCTACGTTCGATTTCAAACTCCTAGGTCTGGGCAGACGCCACAAGATGCTCGTATTACGACGCTCAATTGGCCAACCTCTGGTTCAGACGTCGCGCGCACTATCAATGACTACTTCAATTTCAAGGAGAAAAATGTACAGCTGTTTCTAAATGGTGGGATTTCGGCCCTTAACTACGCCAACTATATACAAGCCTTATGCAGAACATCTCAAGACGGTCTCAATCTCGACAGCACAATTATATCTGTTTTGCTACCCTCAGGCGTTGCCAAGGTCTCGCAGGTCACGGCACCAGCGGATGAGCTGGACCCAGGCAATGAACAGGCTTCAGGAATTTTTGGCATTAGGACGAATCAGCCCCTCTCAGCATCGGACTGGGCTTATACTACGGGTGCTCTTATGAAGCAGTCCATAGCACAGTGGGAAGTTTTGTGGAACCAAAATAGACACCCACAAGCTGGTGTTAACCTCATCCGAGCTGATGGGTCACCAGTAATTATGACTATGAGTCTCTTTTTGCAGTAAATGATGTAAGCTGCTTATGTAGCTATCTTATAATGTCTGCACACTTGTCCGGGTACTTGTTGTATTTTAGGGCAAAGTTGTGTAAGCAAGGTTAGCTCATTTCATTCCATTCAGTCTCTCTGGCTCTGTTTGCCAATTGAAGGGATGGAATTCTTTAAACAACGTGTTAGTGAGGGGAATGAACGGTCCTGCGACTCTCCATATAAGTGAAATACGAATTCAACGAAAAGAGCAAGGTAGTTTTCTCTAGTTCAATTCTGGTAAACATAATTCTGATCCTTAGTCTTATAACTGACATATGATAAATCTTACACCCAAGGCCAGTAGGTACGTAACTCTCAAGTAGCAAGTCGCAGTTTTGATTTACGTCGGCGAAGAGGCTAAGCCAGATATTAGGGTAATGCATGTTAAGTAGCAGAGTCCTGAACATATTTAGACTGGTTCTTATGTGATTAACCGGCTATTCTAAACTATAATAAACGAAAGTGAAGATGTATGCACATATTGTGTTGCCCACTTGTAATTTTTATATTAACTCATAGACATCAGTTAAAGTTTTATATGATATGCGTAATTCTGTATGAAACACTTCCGGAATATAACATAATTATACTAACTGTTTTAACTCTACTGGCTGTTGACTGGCACAAATCTCATTACCGGTAACCCCATAGCTAGATTGGGAGACAACTTCCCGTAGCTTGTCCTTGTCCTGCTCAAGATCTCCTATATACCAGACGGCAAAAGTACTCATGACAGAAGCCATGAGCAGAGCATCAAATACATAGAGGAATACCTCGTGGGATATCAAATACCCGCCGTTGCCTTGTAGATACTCGATGACGCGGAATATACTTCGGACAAGAATCAGGCAGCTGGTTGTGTAGAGGACGTAGATGTGGCGTTTCCAACGGACGACTTCGGCTCTTGCAGCAGGGGTAGGAGTTGCGACAGACTTGTAGTGAAACATGACTGTTGTGACGATAAAGAAGCCGAAGAAAGCAATCTGCACAAAGAGCCCGACAATGATGATTTTTTCGCCAAGGTTATAGAGATCAAGTGTTCCAGCTGCCTGAATGCCACCACCACCGGCTTGCATAACAAACGACACAACGTCGCCGGCAACGAAGATTCTTGTGAGCCAACGAACCGGGACGATGGATAAATGTTGAGCATTGATGGAGCGGATGAGGCGTGTCAAGATCATATAAATGGAAGCGGCGTACAACGCTGGGGCAACGAGAATTAATATAGCCTGGATAACAAAGCCACCAATAGCCATGGGATCGTAATGTGACCAAATGCGACCGGCATAACCTAGACATTGGACTGGATATTAAGAAATAATTAGAATCGTAAATAAGGAGGGTTTCCTCCATGTGGTGAGAAATGAACTTACACAGGCCGCCGATTGTGAATGCAGTAAAGTAGAAAGACCGATGCCGCTTGATAAGGATGGCATGATACCCGGTGAGGATAGCGAACACAGCAACAGCCACTATTGGGACTTCTAGCGATGGCGTATATCGATAGAGGCGGAAGTCATACGCAACAGGTGTAGGGACCGCGGTGGCATTTCGAGAGGCTAGCACGGTGCTGGTTGGCGTCATCATTGGCTTCAAATGGAAGAAAGTGAGGGCCGAAAGAAGTATGGCAACTCTGATATTCTTTTTCCTCCAATTTGAGTCAAATAGACAAGAAGAAAGGGCCAAAAGAAGGGAAAACGGAATGTCAAAATATGTTACATGTGCTATTGGTGGGCAAACAAACTTTTATACATCGGTTGGCTAATGGCTCTCTCAATTTGTTCAAAAAATGCGAGGCTTAGTCCCAGTTCCAAGAGAGCTTGGCAATATTCGCTTGGGCCTTATGGATCGTTCTGGCACACCCTTACTCCATATGGAATTATTTAGGGGCAAGTCTTGGTTGATGCCAGAGACTCATCGTGGAACTGGCCCACAAAGACTACGTAGGTAGGGTCGATTTCGCACTTGATCCGAGACTCGGATATAGTGCGAGGACATCGCCACCAGCATTCAGTAGGGCTCGGTGCTACGCTACAGGGTCTGTTTTCTTAGCGGCCTCCACCACGAATGGCCTGACTTGGTCAGAGCTCGAGCTGAAGTCTATATGTGGAATGATGCTCTCTCATTCGAGACAGCCATTTATTGGGCGGCTCCAGAATTCGTCGAACCAAAGCTACTGTTGAGGACCACGAATATCTTGTGGAAGATCAAAACACTATACATGTCTGGTCTTCTTGTCAGATCTCCCACAAAATTTCCCTCTAGGCCCCGAATAACGAAGGCAGTTGAAAATGAACTTCTTGTCTAGAAGAGCAAAGCTGGCGAAGACGCAGCAGATTTGTGAAGCTTCTATCGCTGACTCCGTGACACAGATTTTCGAACCTTGAAATAAATAACAATAAACGATGATGGTATTAGAGTTCTATCGAGGGCTATTATCCTCACGGGGGAACCCAGCCAATCTCTTGTATAGGCCAGTCAACCCATGTTTTATGCTCGTCATCCAGAATCGTCCAAACCTTGGAGATAAGGAACTCTCCCCATCCCTGTAACCATTTATTACCTTGTAGTGCATTGAGGATTACGCAGCTATGGGCAAAAATAACAATGGCCTCCATTTTCATCTGCCTTAAAAGCGGCATAAAGGTTTCGGCAACCTCGAATTGCCACACAAATGCATCCATAATGTCCAACGCTTTTGAATTTGATGCAAGCGTGAAGCTTATTTGACATCGCAGTTCGTGAATGGCATGTCGGTAGACACTCAGCTCGTGTTCATCGGTCACCGCCGATGTCACTCTTTGGTATAATAAGTCTAGGATATTGGACTTTTCATGCTGGGGTTCGTGAGATGATTTCCAACGGGCACTGCCATGGTTGATAAAAGACGAGAGAATTCCAGACCGGGCAGTTTGCTGGATAAGCACGAGGAGGTGCTTCACACCAGACAGGAGGAAAATCCAGTCTGGGAAAACAGAATCTCCGATAAGGAGCGATGTCTCTGATGTTCTGGGAGTTCCCAATGCTAGATTTGCCAATGTATCAAATGTTAGCACTCAATGCACAGAAATGTCATTGGACCTGATGGGTGACAGGTGGAGGAGTATTAACGACATATTGACACACCAAAATACATCGTTAAGACACTGAAAATCCACAAATTTTCACAGTTCTCTGGTAGAGGATCTCTGAGTAGACTAGTAGCTGCACCACTAGCAAGATGGTGATGGTGAATGCCATGTCTCATGTAATTCTCACGGCGCTCTGGTCTATACTGCGCGAGATGCATAGCTGATACAGCAAGGATAGAGCGCATCACATAGTCGCAATCTATGGCTTTGCGGATAATGGCTGTCTTCCAAACGGTACGAAGAGTTGGATCGGTAGAGAGGGTAGAAAAAGTAGCCGAGGTGAAGTTGTGGAGCAATTCCAGATCGACCAAGACAAGAGGACATTCTGGATGTGACAAGGCATTTGCAACACCGGCAGTTTTTTGAAAGTCACATGTAACGGAATGCTTGAGACAGTTTCGGCATGCTGGCTGTGTCTCATCGCACTGTTTTGTGGGTTAACGCCAGAAAAATAAAGTGAAAGTGAAAGTGAACGGGTTTCTGGGATGAGCATCTCCGTTCTTGGGAGGGGAATGAATTCAGCACCTTGATCTTCCTCCTTTTGCAAGTTTTGCACCCTGTCCTCGTTTTGGGATGCGACCTTCTCGCACTCGTCCTCAAGCTCGCGCGAGTCGGTGTGGCAGCGGATGCAGGGGCCCGGGCCACGCCTTGATGTCGTTCCATCATTGGCTTGGGTTGCTTTGGGTTCTCGGGGTCCTCTCGCATAAACTCGCGTTGGACTTATCATGGAAGGAAGGAATTTCTACACAAGATCTTTACGAAGGGCGAGCTGAATGATGAAAGGAGGTGGGGCCTCTTCACATATTGCGTGTTAGAGATGAGACGAATCTGACTAGCGCTGTGCCACTTGGTGCAGATAGCCTTCAAGTATCTCGGGTAAGTACGAAAAGTGCGAGTTAATACGAGACCCACGGTTGACTCGGCGGGCAACTAGTATTAAGCACCTGCAAACTACTCCATAGAAGATGATCAATTTCCGAAATCTCAAGTCAACTGCCATCGCTTCGAGGCCACTTATCTTCATTCGCTTCGTTAGCACAATATTGTCATTGAAATTCTGTTTCTTCTGAATAATTTCGCTCGCGCTTGGTAGCAACTCTGTTCCACCCCGGCTCGCTACTCTAGTAGGTGCATGAGTTGCTGCTTAGTTCAGAGACATTATTCTCAAATAGCAATACTGCACAACATATGTTATCATCCGTGGGGCCGGGAAGCGTGCAACGAGTTTCTCTTTTACTACACTCATCCATCCTAAGCATAAGCTGATGACCCCTACGACGAGTATTAATTTCACATCTTCTTCCCTGCGAAGTCAACGTAGTTACCAATGGTGGAACTATAGTAACGGGTAGGTAGTATTTGCTTACCCGTTGGTTCCACCAAAGCCTCAAAGTTGGTCACTAAAAGCGGAACCAAAGGGTAGTAATTTTGTGGAATCCGGTTTGTAAAGTCGCGGCCCCAAACTTAAAGACTCTCGCCCCAACGAACTCATGGGCCTATTTTTGGCTCTGGTTAAACTTAGCATCATTATTATCCCGCTTAACCTGTGCTGCTGTTTCCGTTTTTCTTAACCCAAAGGCATAGCACTGGTATTGTCCCTGCCCCTTGACCTAAAACGCCTTTGCTCCCGTTTTTGTCGTAATTACAGTCATTGATGTGTGCTATCCGAGAAGCCGGGGACTTAACACGGCAGGAATGCTGAGAATGGAGGACTTAAATCGTTCAGGCGATGCTATTCAGGTCAAGACCTCCAACAAGAGAAAGCGAATAGCCCATGCTTGCGAGGCCTGCAGACAGCGCAAGTCTCGGTGTGATGGATCGCGACCGACATGCGACCTGTGTGAAGAGCTGGGAACTCCTTGCTATTATCGAGAAGGCGCTAAATCATCTACAGTGGCACCGGATAGGCAGTCTTTTAATCGCCTTGAGAACAGGCTTGCGGATATAGAGGCGCTTCTCCAAGCACTTATACCGCGGCACAATGATGGTAATATGGCCTCATCACTCTCGTCGCTGCCTGTAGAGGCCTTCAGTGCAGCAAGTAACCCGAGATTCGCTGTGCGTGGAGGCCATGATACCCTGATCCAGAGACTTGGCCAAAATGAGATAGCAGGTCAGGATACTAGTTATGACGGTGTTGATGGAATGGGTTCGATAACTTTTGAAGCAGAAACATCATCGGGAGTTTTCGGTAAGTCTTGGTCAAAGTTTCCAGACCACGAAAGGCAGACTCTGTTGTTGGAAGAAGAAGATGACTGATTTTAGGCAGGGCTCTCGTCCAACTCGGCGTTTTTGCAGAAAATACTTACCGCCCAGAAGCTCCTCACTACCCAGGGGGAAAATGTGGCGACCACCAACATAGATGATTTCCGCGGCACCACATCCGCTGGGTTGTACAGGCCGGTATCTCCTCCCCCTGTGAGCGCAAATGTTAATAGGAATCTGAGAGAGAGCCGACTTACAGTGGATCCCTATATAATAGCAAGGAGCCACTTTGCTGCACCCGTTGCTTATTTAATTAACTTAACAAAGGGCGACACTAATTCCGCCTTTGTAGCATTCCATGATTCAGTTATTAGAGTAAGAATGCTGCAGCTGCCTGAAGAGCACAATCTTGGTGAATCCTGAAATCTTAAGCATTAATTTGAGGCGACGATGTACATAATTACGCCTTTTACTGTATCACAAGCATAAGGCAAAACTGTCGTGAACGAGATTGGTGCACAGGTTCCAGCGCCGTATGTAGCCGTGCAGCTGACCCTTGCGGACGACAGATCCATGTTTAGCCGGCTCAGACACAACATGTGGTGGAATCGCGAGCATTTCTGACTGGGCGGGTGGGTGTCCACGACCACCGACCTTCTGCCGCACACCATTTGGCATGAGAAGTATTGGGTCCATTCGAGGCTCGGGCAGAATGCGCAAACAGGGCTTTAGGAACACCCGGCCCGTTGTCTAGATGAGAGGCAGGACTATACGCTCTGTGACGAAGATCTCCGACCGAGCACGAACTGGTGGTGAGCGGACGCTGTGGCACGGGCGACGCCGTAACCTATAGCCAGCTGTGCGTGCTGGCGGGCGACTTCAGGACGAACTCTTTCCCAACGTAAGCCGTGATAGACGGCCTGTGGTATCTAAGTCACCGAGCTCTTTGCGGTACGACACTGGCAAGAGCGATAAGAGCTGGTCGTGGGCGTGCCGCGAAGCGCTGGCGCCATGCTGTTCTCGTGCTCGAGGGTCTGCGATGAAGGATGGAGGAGAATATTGGCGGTCTTGTTAGCTCGAACACGGTGATGGGGGAAGCGCGAGCGAGGGTAGTCAGCTCTGCTGCCTTCGACAAATTGCCCATAAGCAGGCTCCTGACTTGAAGAGACCAGTCGCTGCTGTCGACGGTTGACTGGACACAAGACGCTCAGAGCACTTATATATTGGGCACCCCTTGACCTACGGTTGAACTAATTTACAACTTGGTGGGTCGAGTGCGGACGGCAAGATCGGTTGGTCTACGGACCAATGGTACAAGGATAATTAATATGCGGCGAGAATGAGTTTATTGGGCGAGCAGTGTAGTAAGCGCCTGCAGCCGAGTCGAGCGGGCAGCCTCTGAAGATTGCTGATCACTGATTCTGACCAACTTTGCTTCTGCCTAAGTGTGCCTAACCGCCATTCGTTTGAGCAAAAGTCGCATTGTCTTGGCTTCTTTCATAATCGCTGCAGAGCGCACCTTGTCACTGAACTTCGGCAAAGATCCTAAATGCCACTGACACCCGCGATTGAAGTGACAAGTTGCGCTGCCCGGTCGGTTGCCGTGCTGGCGATCATACCCATCTGCAGCCAGGCACAACATCTCTAGGTAGTAGGGACAGCCCTCTGGACCGTACTGGGCTTCAAGTCGACTCCGTCCTCCTCAAGTCCTCACGTCTTGATGTGCTTCCATACTATTAGCTAAATCCCTTAGATGATGCCGAAGAAAACATTTGCGCCTGAGAATGATCATGAAGCCATATCTGGCTCAGAGAAGAGGAGGAAGATAGATTGTAATGATGCTCAGACACCGATGGTGAGCACTGCCCAGGGAGCGATGGCCCGCGATGACTACACAGTTGGTTGGATCTGCGCCATAACTACGGAGTATGTTGCCGCACAAGCTTTTTTGGATGAAAAGCACGAGGGACCGGAATATGTGTCCCCCAGTGACAACAACGATTACACCCTAGGCCGTATGGGGAAGCACAATGTCGTTATTGCTGTCTTACCTAGCGGAGAGTACGGCATCGCATCTGCAGCTATCGTGGCTAAAGATATGTTGCACAGCTTTCCTAATGTTAAGATCGGTCTAATGGTCGGTATCGGCGGCGGTGCGCCAAGTCTGAAGCACGATATACGTCTTGGCGACATTGCGGTTAGTGAGCCTCGAGATGGGATGGGTGGTGTGTTCCAGTACGACTTCGGCAAGACAATACAAGGTCAGAAATTTCATACAACGGGGTTTCTAAACCAGCCGCCAACCATCCTACGAACTGCAGTGAATGGGATAAAGGCACTGTATGAGATCAATGGGCATAGGCTTGAGGAGGCCATCAACAGCACTCTCGAGAAGAGACCAAGACTACGACAGGCGTATAAGCGACCGGACCCAAGCAGCGATAAGTTATATCAAAGCGAATTCACTCATCCTCTAAACAATGACTCAAATTGTGCCGCATTCTGTGGTAACAATCCATCAAAACTGATATCGCGTTCCGAACGGACCAGAGACGAGGACAATCCAGCCATTCACTACGGCATAATTGCTTCAGCGAACCAGTTAATGAAGGACGCTCAGATTCGGGATGCTCTGGCATCTGAAAAGGACATTATATGTTTCGAAATGGAAGCGGCAGGACTGATGAGCAACTTCCCCTGTCTGGTTATTCGCGGCATCTGTGACTATTCGGATTCGCACAAGAACAAGGAGTGGCAAGGGTATGCAGCGATGGCGGCGGCTGCATATGCGAAAGATCTTCTTTGTCGAATTCCTCAAAACGACGTCGAGGCTCTCCGGAGGACGGCAAGCGGCGTCTCAGCGCAGCCCAGAAGAGGAGAGAACCAGACGCTCAATGACGAAGAAAAACGTGCGCTACTGGACTCGCTGCGGTTCACCCAAATCGATGCTCGCCATATAACCATCAAGAACGCTCACGCCAGGACCTGTAAATGGCTGCTACAGACGTCTGAATATCTCGACTGGCTTAATCCCGACAAGCTTAGCGAACATCTCGGCTTTTTGTGGATCAAAGGGAAGCCTGGGACAGGGAAATCGACACTGATGAAGTTTGCTCTTGCTAATGCTCGGAAGAAGATAAAGGACATGATTATTATCTCCTTTTTCTTCAACGCGCGGGGAGACGATCTGGAGAATTCTACACTTGGAATGTACCGGTCCATACTACTGCAGCTTCTCGAACGACTACCCGAACGTCAGGACATCTTTGATTCCCTCGGATTAACAATAAGGAAGAGTGGATACCACCAATGGAGCGTCGAATCACTGAAAGTACTTTTCGAACAAGTTGTGCAGGGTCTTGGAAAGTCCTGCCTTCTGTGTTTTATTGACGCTTTAGATGAATGTGAAGAGGATCAAATCCGAGATATGATATCGTATTTCGAATCCTTGAGCAAAATAACCACGCCAGCTGGTATTAGCTTCCGGGTCTGCTTTTCAAGCAGGCACTACCCTCATATTTCCATTACAAAAGGACTTAGCCTAACTCTCGAAGGACACGAAGGACATCACCAGGATATAGTCAACTACGTGGACAGCGAGTTGAGGATTGGACACAGTTGCCTCGCCGAGCAGATTCGTGCCGATCTCCAAGAAAAGGCATCTGGAGTTTTCATGTGGGTTGTACTAGTGGTGGGGATCCTGAACAAGGGGCATGACAGGGGTCGCATTCATGAACTACGAAAAAAACTGCGAGATATCCCTGGGGACCTACACGAACTGTTCCGCGATATTCTGACACGGGACCACCACAACAGAGATGAACTGCTTCTCTGTATTCAGTGGGTGCTGTTTGCGAGACAGCCGTTGAAGCCAGAACAGTTGTACTTTGCCATCCTGTCTGGTACTGAACCAGAGGTTCTATCCGAGTGGAACCCCGATGACATTACAACATCCGTTATGAAAAGGTTCATCCTCGATTCCTCTAAAGGGCTTACCGAAGTCACCAAGTCCAAAACTCCAACGATTCAATTCATTCACGAGTCAGTCAAGGACTTTCTTCTCAAAGAAAATGGGTTAAGGGAGATTTGGTCTGACCTCGGAGGAAACTTTCAAGGAGAAAGCCATGAAAGACTAAAGCAGTGCTGTCTTAACTACATGAGCATTTCTGAAGCCACTTATTTAAACATGTCCAATTCACTTCCGAAAGCATCATCCCAGCAAGCTGCAGAACTCCGCCAATCGGCAGATGCGGCATTTCCGTTGCTTGAGTACGCCATACGAAACGTTCTATACCATGCAGATGCAGCAGAAGGGGGCGGAGTCAACCAGTCGAGTTTTCTTCAGACCTTCCAGCATGTCGACTGGATTAAGCTCGACAATCTATTTGAAAGACACGAAGTACGCCGACATAAAAATGCGAGTCTTTTATATATATTGGCGGAGCATAATATGGGGAATCTCATTAGACGTCACCCATCCATCCTATCGTGCTTTGAAGTACAAGATGAGCGCTACGGCCCACCAATTTTTGCGGCGCTAGCTACCAATAGTGGTGAAGCAACTCGGGCGTTTTTAAAGGCCCTGGTGGAAATCAGCCCCGCGATGTCTCCTCTTCGCAGCATGTTTGAACAGTATTGCCAGGATGGAAACAAACAGACCGACTTTGGACGTAACTTCCATTTTTCACGGCGAAGAGGTATTCTCTCATATCTTGCAGAGCAAGGCGAAGAGGTAATAACCCATGCATTTCTCCTTACTTCAAACGCACTCGACACCAACTTGATGGACAAGTTTGGCCGGACGCCGCTTTCCAGGGCCGCGCAAAACGGGCATGAGGCCGTCGTCAGGCTGCTGCTTGAGTACGGCGCTGACGTCGAGGCGCACGACAGGTACGGCCAGACGCCGCTTTTTAGGGCTGCGCAAAACAGGCGCGAGGACGTCGTTAGGCTGCTGCTTAAGTACGGCGCTGACGTCGAGGCGCACGACGGGGACGGCCAGACGCTGCTTTAGAGGGCCGCGGCGAACGGGCATGAGGCCGTCGTCAGGCTGCTGCTCGAGTACGGCGCTGACGTCGAGGCGCACAACGGGAACGGCCAGACGCCGCTTTCTAGGGCCGCGCAACACGGGCGCGAGGACGTCGTCAGGCTGCTGCTCGAGTACGGCGCTGACGTCGAGGCGCACGACGGGTACGGCCAGACGCCGCTTTTTAGGGCTGCGCAAAACAGGCGCGAGGACGTCGTTAGGCTGCTGCTTAAGTACGGCGCCGACGTCGAGGCGCACGACGGGGACGGCCAGACGCTGCTTTAGAGGGCCGCGGCGAACGGGCATGAGGCCGTCGTCAGGCTGCTGCTCGAGTACGGCGCTGACGTCGAGGCGCACAACGGGGACGGCCAGACGCCGCTTTGGAGGGCCGCGGCGAACGGGCATGAGGCCGTCGTCAGGCTGCTGCTCAAGCACGGCGCCGACGTCGAGGCGCACAACGGGGACGGCCAGACGCCGCTTTCTAGGGCCGCGGTGAACGGGCATGAGGCCGTCGTCAGGCTGCTGCAGGAAAATCTTCATAATCATGAGACCTCTGCTTTGGAAAATGGTACCTGTATGGCCTATCACAAGCAAAATGTGCCTTCAATGCCTTGATCTCGGTTTCCCAACCCCACTGCTAGTCGGTTGTAACCGCCGCACAACCTTTATGTTTTTATACCTTTATCAGAGGTGGGTTCAAGGGGTCCAGGTTTATTTATACTTGAGATCTGTTAGCTGCATGTGTGTAGGGTGTAGCACCTTAAGTCGATTCTAAATTTCATGTAGCAAAACCATCGCGCCCATTTTTGCAGCGTGTGATGTGCACATGCAAACCGAGTGTGGCTGTTGGAGGGTGAAGCGGATTCCTTGATGCATACCGAGATAAGCCACGTTCTAGTCGCGTACTTTGTTTTCAGGTAACTCACACATACTATATTGATCACTATGGAACACGTCTAAGGTGATTGAACATATCGTACACACTGTGAAGGTGTTATCCGGTCTAGTTAAACGGCGCCACGGCTCATTGAGCCATCTTACAGCAGGTGTATGCCCTATTATTGTTGCCAGATGTATGTCAGTGTCTGTCTAACTGGCTATGTACTCTTGTCTTGGAAAACATACATAGATCCTCGAGAATTATTTACCAGATCTCATAATAAATATAAAACAGGATTTCTCTATTATGTATATTACTTTCCCTCTTCCTACTGTAATCTGATAGCTGGAGCAGCAATAAAGGCCCGTGGCGACTCGGAGCAGTATTTTCTTCAGCGGAGTGCATAGAACTCTAACTCCCAGGCATCAGCGGCGCGGGAGTCCCATAATCGAGTTCCTGGTTATTCAAAAGCCAGTCAAGATCAACGGGGGCTTCCATAGTGTTGTCTTGAGTATCCGATGTGCTCGGTTTTCCGAAGAGGACCTAATCAGCACATTGCAAACAGCCTTTGACATTATTGGAAAAGTCGGAGGGGACATACGGCAGGTAGTGCGCTGTCAGAAAATTGTACAGCGCCTGCTGGACACAGCCGTGCATGTATCGCGGTGGTCCTGGCCAGGGATGGGACAACAAATGGCGAGTGGAAGACGTTTACAAACGCCATTGTATCAGCAACAGCAGGGAATTAGTCGAGCCTCGCAGGCACCATCGGCTGAAGCAGCACCTTGAGATTCGATGAGCTACGGGGAATCTGCGCCAAACCTTGGGATGGGCGCATCGTTCCTCGTGGAACTGGGCCTCTTGTCGGATGATTGGATGTCGTTTTTCCCCGACACGTTTCCCATGTAGACCCAAAACATAAGTTGCCTGTAAGTTCGCTTGTTGTACGTGGATAGTTGATATTGGCCACCCAAACCAAGGTAAGTATTATATCTGTACAGAACCCTTCTACGAGTCGTACTTGGTGCTTCCCATTATATTGGAACAGTCGAGGTGGATTCGTAAGTATCAAACCTGGTGCTTTGGGAGTCATAGATTGAGGTTCTGTCTACACAGGTATCGATCTAACAATTGGGTTGTCATTTAATGCCAGTATCAAAATGTAGTGTTAGGTTTACAGAGTGATTCAAATTCTCAATAGTTTCACATTGAGATTGCGTTTAAGAAAAGAAACCAGACAAAAGACATGACTTGAGCGGTTGGTATATGGGAACAAAATGCCCATGGTGGTGTGCGTGAGCCATACCATATTCAACATAACGGCATGCTTTATTGCTACATATTGTGTGCGTACTGGACACTAGAATTTTTGTCATCGTTGTACGGCTACATTGGTAAAGCATAGCCAATTCATTCAGCATTAAATCAAAATCACGGCGCCAACTATAAGCACGATTCCTGCAGTCGTTCTATGGGAATAGGTGCTATTATGTGACTGCTGCAACAGAGACAATATTGACACGAAGCTCTTTTGGGCTGTGGCGAGTCTTAATTCGCCGTGGTACGGTGGCGACCAGGTAATTTGATAATAGTTCGAATAAATGTTGTAGAAGACACAATGTCGGCATTTTGGACCTAGAACTTCCTATACTCCTCCAATACATGATTTCACTCATAAAATATATGCAATAAAAAATGTGCTCCTCCATGTGGCAGCAGTAAGCTTTCTTGCTCATCGTCCGGGTTCGTAGCCGATATCCCGCGGAACAAAGGTTTCTCCCCGGCTAAGTGGGGTCCAGAAGCGCACAATCAAGATGACCGGGGGACGCCGGATCTCGTCCCCGACTAAGTGGGCTTAGCTACTGCTTCTCTGAGCTGAACTTTGTAACTAGAACCTCAAGATAGCCGCGGTGGTAGTGTATAATCTACCTGAATTATACCTGACTCTACAGTAAGTTGTAGGTATAGCTACATATCAGAAATTCTGTTCCTTTTAAGGATTTGTTTGACATATGCCTCGTGTTATGTGGGCTACGTGGTCATCAGGATTTGAATCCTCGCCACTATTGCCACTAACAAATATGGGTGTCTTGAGAACCTATCCGGCTCAAGCTTTAAAACAAACCAGATCCTCACCTGAGCCGTGCAATTCATCCCACAGAAGCAGAACTATCAACTGGCCCTCACAACGCAATCCTCTCTACTTCTTAACCCAGAACAGGCAGCTATGAGTACTACAGTGGGTATTGCCGGTTTCACTGGTCAGTTTGCCCAACTCTTAAGCTCGCGGCTTCTGAAGTCCAGCAATGTCAATCTCCGTGGCTTTTGTCGAAACGCCTCCAAGGTGGCTCAATCTTTGTCCTCACTTTTAAACGTCGAGGTTATTCAGGGCGAAGCACAAGACCGATCCCTACTGTCCAAGTTCGTCAAAGGCTGCGATATTGTCGTGTGTTGCTATCAAGGAGACGACAAGTTGATGATTGACGGTCAAAAGGCTCTAATTGACGCCTGCGAAGCTGAGCAAGTCCCTCGTTACGTGGCTAGCGACTGGTCCCTGGACTATACGAAACTTGAACCGGGCCAACTCTTTACCAAAGACCCCATGATACAAGTCAAGGCGTACCTGGAGACAAAAGAAACGGTCAAGGGTGTTCATATCCTGATTGGTGTCTTCTTTGAAACCCTATTCAGCCCTTACTTTGAGATATACGATGCCAAAACCAAGACCTTTTCTCATTGGGGAGAACCGGGGGTGCTTTTTGAAGGCACGTCATTTGGCAACGCTGCAGATTACACGGCTCGAGTAATTCTTGATAAGAACGCGACAGGCGTTAAGCGATGTAAGAAACTGTGACACCCTTTCCCAAATTTTTCCTTTGTAGTAATGATTGCTACGCATCTCAACGACGCCAATGGGTTGTTACTCACAATTTAATAGTTGTGGGTGACACCAAGTCTCTAAACGACATTGCTCAGTCCTTCGAAAAGGTCTATAACGTCAAGTCAGACGTCGTGGTTAAAGGCTCGGCGAAGGAGTTGTATGACAAAATGTGGAGCGTGAGACAACAGCCATCCAGCTCGCCAGCCGATTATATGGCAATGTGAGTTCTACGGTGCAAACTAAAGCAAAGTCATTTTTAGAAAGACGCAATTTCAAAAATTATCTAAATTATTATGTTACGTTGCTAATATCCTCTAGGTTTTACCAGCATTACATTATCAACGAGCAGACTTACGTCGGCCCGTACCTTGATATTACATATCCCGACATCAAGAGATTATCATTTGAGGATTTTATGAAAGGTGTGGCTGTTGACAAGCTACCTAATACGTACCGGAACCCTGTGGTTCCCAAGGCCAGAAGCGAGGAATGATGGCTTTTGCAAAAAAGTAGTGTTTACGCAAACTAGAAATGGGCAGAGAAGGTATGGAATATTACTTCATTTAGTAGTATGACTTTAGTATCTCATGGGTAATTTATAAATCGCTATTTTAACCCACTCATATGTATTCGTTTGCTGCGGTGTTACTGATCGCCTTCACCACACAATGTGAGCAAGTTACGAAAGACGTCCTCCATACGGCCAACTTGGCATTCGAATCAATTTTTAGGATCTTGGCTGTGAATGATGTCTTAGCCCGCCTCAAGTCCCAGCAATGTTGGCATAGCAGTTCAGCTACTCAAGATAATAAGCAGTATTCTCTATCCAAGCATTCTGATCCAGGCATTAAGGGCGCTGCTTGATGTTGTATTAACAACAGACAATATATGGTAAGCCGTGTCCCCGTCAATATTGATGGCGAAAAGGGTGTTCAACATTTCAAACTCAGTCAGGTCTGTGATGGAAACACGCCCCCAGCTTACTAGGAGCTGGGAGGTGATCTTTCAAATGCCTGATGCGCGCCCATGATGACACACTCTTTCACCACAATTATCGAGATTTTAAGAATTACGGCAATTCATCTATAATTTTAGCTGTGAGGCTACCCATTCGACGTTATAGAGCTGGAGAAGAGGGAGCTGGCGGCTCGTTTTCCATGCCCCGATGACGTAGATTTTCTAGAGCATTGCTATCAGTAGCGATTCATTCGATATTTGCAGCTTTTAATACAAGAAAAGCTTGGATAAGGTTGTACATTTGAGAGCATATGGGGACCTACTTATTAATTATTAATTAGAGAGAAATTTGGCTGGCCGCCAAGACTAGATAGGTTCTATCTGGAATTTGCATCACACACCGCTCTTGTGGCCTCAACTCTTTCCCAATGTGTCGCCAGAGTTGCAGCTGGGGTCAAGTTCTGCTTGGGCTTGAGAAAGTCAGCTGACGAATAGTTTATAGAGTGGTAGTTACCAGGGCCATAAGCCGTCGGGGACTTGGGAAATATATTCCGGCCACATGGAAGCCCTTGACCTGCAGTATCCCTCTAGGCTAGGGTAGGTGGGGAAACTTGTGTTACAATTTACCCAAGCTCCAAGTCACATTAACTAGAGACACATAATGCAGAATCCCAATTCTGTGAGACAACCTTGCTGATTTGGGCTAGCTACAGTAGTTGCCGCAAATTCTTGTGAACTGTCTCGCGGATCCGGCGGGACGTTAATTAAACATGCCATAATGCGGTGGGGTTCATGCAGCAAAGTAAACGGGTTTCACGGTCAGATGCATCTTTGAGCCTCCTAATTGAGATAGTAGACGACCACCTTATACGCATTGCGGAACTTTGCTTTGAGTCTTCTTCTGAGGGGGCCGGCATCGGTTCCTAAGACGCATTTGGCTGTAGGAGTGTGTTTGAGAGACGTTGGTTCTCAATAGAACGTAGCTGGCTGTGAAGACAAAGGTCGTCTCGTTGATAATACTGTCGCCTGTAGTACTCCGTAGTCAGGGATGAAACTCCTTGCCACATCTCCAGAGTAACAGAAGCCATCAGAAAGGTCAAGAAATCATGCATATTAATTTCACTACTCTTATTATAGTTTTCATTTTGCCTTAATCCTTGGACACACGACCAGTTTGTCACAGTTTGCTACCACATCGGGCAAAACGTTATGCTCCTGAGCAACGTAAACATGTGCTAATCATGACTAACCCGAACCAAAAATGCATACTGGCGCTTCAGTTCGTGGATCCAGTAACCTTCTGTCCAAACTATCTTGGTTTTTGGGTCTCGTTTCGGTCTTTACATCTGTTTGGCGTGATCATATCGGTCCTTTTGCCCTTCGGCTTATGGTTTTTGACTGTGGGCACCGTCAATACCCCGATTCTTGAACAATCACAATCATGACATTCGTTGGCAACTTGTTTCCGAGATTTGCTTGGATATATAGGACAAGTGAATATCAGCTGAAACGTTGCTGCAGAATTAAAGGTTGACAGTTTGCCGTAGAATTTTGACTCTATGAATGTAGATACATACCCATTGCAACAGTATTCGGTAAAAAGCCGAAGATTACAGTATGTTTACCGTCAACTCATTGATAGCCTAATCACTCACTAGTGGTATGGGGGTGTTATGGAAAAAAAGCCGGTGCTATTCAGAGCCCCGCCACTGCGCATCCAAATATTGGGGCGATGGATACAGACGCATGACCGATTAACTGGGCGAATAATTCACCAAGATGACTGTTGCTTGTAATGATTCAAGTCTTTTGGTGTATATCCTGGTGTATGTGTATTTATGTAGGCATTTTTAGAGGTTGAATCGGGCCGTTAGCGGAGAACGCAGAATGAAGCTTGGAAAAACCCCTGCTAGCTTTGGGGATTCCCTCGTGTTTTTTTACCTGTCGTATGAGACTGCCGGTCCTGGTTAAACGCTTGCGTGGTTTATAGAGCCCGTCTTACAACAATTCTCACTTCAAGCACTAGATATGCAAAGATGATCACTACTTGCTAGTAAGCCGCTAGGACTTGTGACTCCTTTTCAGGTCGACAGCATTGGTTGAGTTACCTTGTAAGGACTTGATTGCTAGCTAAACCTATGCATGAATGAGGCAGGAAATGATATATACAAAGTAAGTGTTTGTACATACATAATTTGGTGATACCTTCCTTCGTTTATATGGAGAATTCACTTACCTATCATGCTACATACCTTGCTGCTATTGGCTACAATCCCTGTCCATCCCAAGCTGTAAGAGTCTGCATTTCCATATACACCCTGCCCTGTCTAATAAAATTCAAGCCACGCGATGAGGTTAATTGAATCGTGATTAATAGCGTCATACACGATGTTACGTTATCTAGGATAGACTCCCTAGGCACATATTGATACATATGCAGCCGCGGCGATATATTTATCGAGGAATATCATCCTGAATAGAAGCATAAGCGAATGTTTATATATTCACGCGATGATATGATTCGTTGCATGCACGACATGCAAATTCCTGCGATGTGAACCACTAGCACCTTTCGGGTATAAGTGCTCACCATCGTGCTAGATCTGAATCCTTCTGATGGAGTACATACGAGCGCAAGAAACACGGTTTGGTGGGGATATCTGGAGATAATATCCCCTCGAATCCAATCAAGATCTCGGGGCGATTACAGAATATCCCCATTTCCCCCGCCTGCAGACAGTTTGCGGGGGAAGCTCTTCACTACGACAGCCATCCCCCTGACGGCATCTACAGCGTACTACCATTTTTGGAGGAGGGTGGTATTGCATGCGCTCCAATGGAACCCCAGATTTCCTGCTTGTCGACATTAACCCTGTTCGAAGGGGCGGTCTAACGTAAAAGTACGATTCATTGAATTATTCAGGCTCTCTGCCAAGTTTTCAGATGGTGGCTGCATGGCTAATTTCTAATAACTTGGTCTCCCGAACGGACTTTGGAATAACGGAGCAACATGGGTTCATCCAAGTTTATGGGCCGTGTTCATCAGTTCCTCTATTCAGAAACTTGTGGGGTGAGAGAGGAGCCAAGATGAGAAATATTTCGTATATATAGACAAATCGATCCTGGGACACTCAGCAGAGTGAAGCAGCTCTTGCTATGTGCACCAAACATTGCTCAGTTTTCACCCTGAAGTGTAAATAAAAAAGAAAATGTCACCCCAAGAGCCAGTTCCCATTGCCATCGTAGGCATGGGCTGTCGGTATCCTGCAGGAGCCAACAGCCCCGAAGAATTGTGGAATGTCGTTGCAGAGGGTCGAAGTGGATGGACAGAAGTGCCTTTGGATAGGTTCAACCATGAAGCATTCTATCACCCCGAGCCTGAGATTCCAGGGACCATTAACCAAAAGGGAGGTCACTTCATAGACCAGGACATCTCTGCCTTTGATGCTGGGTTTTTTGGGATGGCACAACAAGAGGCAGAGACACTGGATCCACAGCAGCGTGTCGTACTGGAAACTTCATGGGAGGCGATTGAGAATGCGGGCATTCCAATGCATCAGCTCAAGGGTTCAGACACTGGAATATTTGGTAATGTGCAACGCCTCAATATGCTATTGGCCAACTAGCTAATGACCTTCGAGTGGCCATGTTCGGTCATGATTTTGAGCAGGCAACACACAAAGACCCAGTAGCCGTCTCCAAATATCACAACCTTGGTGTGGCACGCCCATTGCTCGCAAACAGAGTGTCGTACATTTTCGACCTTCAAGGCCCTTCCGTCGTGGTTGATACCGCTTGTTCAGGAAGCTTGGCAGCTATTAGCTTAGCTTGCCAAAGTCTGCGCTCCGGAGAGACGTCGATGGCACTAGCTGGCGGTGTCAATCTGATATTCTCTCCAGACCAGATGTCTCTCATGTCCATGACTGGGTAAGTTCTTCATGAAGAAGAGGCATCATCCGTATATCGTCGCCGCGAAATATGGCTAACTACTATCCTATATCAGGCTCTTCAACGACGAAGGAAGATCTTTCACATTTGACACTCGCGGTAACGGCTATGGCCGTGGCGAAGGCGTGGGAATTGTCGTCCTGAAGCGCTTGGGTGACGCCCTGAGCAATGGAGATACCATTCGCGCTGTCATTCGAAACTCAGGCATCAACTCTGATGGCCGAACAAACGGCATCATGCTTCCAAACCAGGCCGCCCAAGAGCGTCTTGCAAAGAGCCTATTCCAAAGCCTTCCGTTCAACCCGTCTGATGTGCAATATGTAGAAGCACATGGTACAGGAACCAAAGCTGGAGACAAAGTGGAAGTAAATACCATTCGAAATGTCTTCTGCGAGGGTCGCGATGGCGCAAACCCCGTATTCGTTGGTGCTACCAAGCCCAACCTCGGACATTCTGAAGCTGCGAGTGGCACTGCAGGTCTTATCAAGACAGTTATGGCGATGGAAAAGGGACTGATTCCACCAAACGTACTGCTTGAAAACTTCAAACCTGGGTTGGAACCAGGTCGTTGGAGTATGGAGGTTAGATGAGCTTCTCCCGAAACATTCAAAATTCGCGGCGTTTCTGACAATAATGAAATAGATTGCGCGGTCGCTCACCCCGTGGCCCTTAACAAAGACTAGCCGGAAGGCTGTGGTCAACAGCTTTGGATTTGGAGGGACAAATGCCATGCTACTTTTAGAATTCGGGCGTGTTTATGATGGTAATTATGGCCATCCTTTCGGTTAAAATATCTTCTGACAAGATGATCTTGCAGGTGCAAACAATTACATCAATGGGCTGGATTGCGATGAGCATGTCAAACCAAATGAGCCCAAGATGCCGCGCCTTTTCCCTTTGTCCGCCACCTCGGAGCATTCTCTGCGGGAAGCTGCCAATGATCTTACAGCTTATTTGAAGCGTCGGAACGATATTCGACTCGACGACCTTTCTCACACTCTTACAGGGAGAAGATCACAATTCCAATGGCGCTCAAGCATTGTTGCTGAAGACGTCCACTCTCTCATACAAAGTCTTTCAGCAAAGGATTTGGCGCGGAGCAAGGTGCCAAATAAAGTTGCAAACGCCTTCGTCTTTACTGGACAAGGTGCGCAATGGGCGACGATGGGCCACAAGCTTCTTCTATCGGCTGAAGACAATGCATTCGCTCGCTCCATCTCGGTTTCGGAAGAGTTGCTGAAGAAATTTGGCGCACAGTGGAGCCTTGTCGAAGAATTGTCTAGAGATGCCGCATCGAGCCGCTTGAACGACAGTACATATGGCCAGCCTGCCAGTACTGCCGTTCAAATCGCTCTCGTTGATCTTCTGAAGAGCTGGAATGTCCTGCCTGCTGCGGTGGTTGGTCACTCCAGCGGCGAAATCGCCGCGGCATACGCTGCTGGCGCTATTTCACAAAAGGCGGCCATGCTGGCTTCTTACCACAGAAGTTTCCTGGCTGAAATGTCCAAGAAGCGGACTACACAGCGTGGAGCTATGTTGGCTGTTGGACTCGGACGTGAGGCCGCCGAGAAGTATATCGGAAAACTTGAGGGCCCTGGTGTTGTAGTGGCGTGTATCAATAGCCCGTCGAGTGTAACAATTTCCGGAGACGCAGATGGTATTTCGGCTCTGAAAGACGCTCTCGATGTAGACGAAATATTTAACCGGCGGCTTAAAGTTGATACGGCATACCACTCTCATCATATGAAACTAGTTAGCTCCGATTACCTGCAACAACTTGAAGGACTCGAAGCAGGCTCTTCAGATCCCTCAATCCGTTACTTTTCGAGCGTTACAGGACAAGAGAAGTTTGATGAATTTGGCGGCTCATACTGGGTAGACAACTTGGTATCCCCAGTTCGGTTCTCAGATGCTTTACAAAACTTACATCATGAACTAAAACAAGTTTCTCTCAATATCATCGAAATAGGCCCACACTCGGCTCTCTCCGGGCCGGTCAAGCAAACCCTTGCAGGGTTGCAGACGGAGGGATCCTCATACATCTATATTCCCACATTGATACGTGGTGAGCATGACGTCAAGGCTCTCATGAATACGGGATCGAGTCTTTTCCGTGGTGGGAGTGAAATAAATATGAGGGCTGTTGCTTCACTTAGTATTTCACAATCGTCGCCGCCGACAGTTTTAGGAGACTTGCCGACATACCACTGGAATCATACGACAACTCATTGGACGGAGTCACGATTAAGCCGTGAGTATAGGTGCAGGAAGTATCCCTCTCATGACCTTTTGGGTTCTCGCGTGATTGAATCATCGGACAGCCAACCTAGTTGGCGCATACTGCTGAGTACAGAGAGACTTCCATGGCTGCAAGATCATGTCGTCGATAATTTTATCGTGTTTCCCGCTGCTGGATACATGACAATGGCGATCCAAGCCTTGAAACAGCTGGATCAAGATCGTCGCCCAGATCTCAAGCCCAGAGGCTACAGACTAAAAAATGTTTCCTTCAAGAAGACTTTGACTCTGCCCAAAGATGACAAGCCCGTCGAAGTAATCATATCTTTCCAATATGTTGACTCGAATGACTCCTGGTTATTCACCGTCTCTTCCATGTCAGATCAAGGCAAGTGGCAAGACCACTCTAGTGGAACTATATTGGCTGTTTTCGAGACAGACTTGGACGAGATTGAACAGACTCGTGAAGCAGAATATGACCAAAAGTCCCAGATCTCTCGCCTCAAGAACGCGGGCGAGACTTGCACAAAAGTCATCACACACGAGGATCTCTATGCACAGATGGCAGTAACGGGCAATCAGTATGGGCCGACCTTTGCAATCAACGACGAAATGCGAATATCAGGGTTCCAGTCTCTGAACAAACTTGTTGTTCCGGACATTCTTGCAAAAATGCCCGGCAAATTCATGCAGCCCCACGTCATCCATCCAACTACACTAGATGGAATCATCCAGTCATGTCTGCCTGTTTTCCAACAACACTCCATCAAGGGCTCCGTCATGCCGATTTTAATCAGCGACGTGTTTATTTCAACGGCTATTGCCAATAAGCCAGGCAGTAAGCTCGAGGCTGTGTGCGATTTGAGCGATGTTTTTGCACACTCTACGAGCTTTAGTACCGCTGTCTTTCAAACGGGAGAGGACGGCAAGCCGCAATGTGTTCTCACGATGGATAGAGGAGAGATTCGCGTGGTCGGAGAATCTCAGTCGTCTCAAACCATGAGCAATGACAACATCTTCAAGATGGAATGGGGTCTCGACACTTCATCAATTACCGCCGAAATAATAGAGTCTGCCGTCGTTTCCTTGCAGTCTGATGAAGTCGGCATCTCTCAGGCAGAGAAGGTCAATCTTACCTCTGTCGCTTGTGCGAGATACATTGACTGGGCTGTCAGAGAGATGCACGATCGTGCGCTAACAGTAAAAGATGATCATCGAGTCAACTGGTGGAAGCTGCTGAAAAAGTTTGCCGCCTCAGAGGTAGGCAAGTCGCTTATCCAACGGAGCCCAGAGACCAAAGAAGAGTTGGATAAACTCACCTCCAGACTGGGCGTTGAAGGAGAGGCCGTAGCTAGGATTGGACCCGAGCTGATTCCCCTCTTGACCGGCGAGACCGATCCGCTCACCCATTTCCTCAAAGACGATCTTCTCTTCCGAGTGTACCACTCTGATGAAGGCGCTCGACCTAACCAGTACATGGCTGATTATGTCAAAATGCTTACTTTCCAGAGGAGAGATCTCAGAATTCTCGAGATTGGCGCCGGAACTGGAGGCACGACATATCGCATACTTCAATCATGCAGCCCCCATGGCGACAGCTTCTGCGCGGAATACATGTACACTGACATATCATCTGGGTTTTTCGAGGCTGTTCGCACAACCCGACTGAAGGATTGGGCCCATCTCTTGACGTTCCAGACTCTGGATCTTGAGAAGGACGCAGCAGAGCAAGGGTTCGAGGAGCATTCCTACGATCTCGTCGTTGCTGCAAACGTCGTCCATGCCACACGCTCCTTGGCCAAGTCCCTCAACACCATCCGAAAGTTGCTGAAGCCCGGCGGCGTACTTGGTCTGGTAGAGCTTACTAGAACAACGCCATATATCAACATGACGTTTGGGTCGATTCCCGGCTGGTGGGCTGGTGTTGACGAAGGACGAACTGAAAGTCCCCTTCAATCCGCTGAGCAATGGAACACGCACCTTCAAAACGCTGGATTTTCTGGAGTCGATCTGGCTGCTTACGACCTCCCCGAGCCAGAAAGACACTGTGCGCTGCTGCTCTCAACCGCAGTGGCTGCTCAACCGCTGGACGACTCTCGTGATGCTCCTCACTTCAAAATCCTGAATTCCATCACCGAGGATCAACATGCATTTGGATTTTCGGAGAAACTGGCTGCCGATTTGGCGGTCAAGGGCTTTCGATCTTCTGTCGATGAGTGGACAAATACTGCCGTGGACGATGCGTGCTCCTACGTCATAATCGAGTCCTCAGGCAAACCTCTCCTCACACAGGCGTCCAGCGAGATATTTGCCCGCATCACAGAATTGCTGTCCAAGGCGAAGAAGGTGTACTGGATCAGCTTCGCAAATGGCGCTGGCAACGTTGTACCGGAAAACTCGTTGGTCACTGGAGTCTCGAGGTCCGCGCGGAACGAGAATCCGCATCTCGACTTCTTCACTGTTGATGTGCAGGACTCTCTGGATCAGCAGCCGGATCAAATTCTTCAGGGAATCACAGCGTTCATCTGTTCTACGGAGGACAAGATTGCAAAGAGCCAGCCACGTGAGTTTGAGCTCTTGTACAAAGATGGGAAATTGCAGATCCAGCGCTTTGTCTCAAACGAGAAACTCTCGAGGGCCGTTTCGACCACTTCGAATGATTCAGAGACTGAAGAAGTCAAGTTCCACCAGCCCGAACGTCCTCTCAAGATCAATGTCGACAAACCTGGCCTCTTGAACAGCCTCGTGTTTATCGACGATGATGCCGGCGCTCTTGGTCCTGACGAGATCGAAATTCAATCTTATGCCTGGGGCCTCAACTTCTCCGACGTCTTCATTGCCCTTGGTCAGTTGCCACCTACTCAACCCATGGTTGGCGAAAGCGCAGGCATCGTTACGGCTGTTGGGTCCAACTTCACGTCGCAGTACAAGCCCGGCAATCGTGTAACGGCCATGTTCGGCACACCTTACGCCAGTCGAACCAGAACGAACGGCCATTTGATCCATCGTATTCCTGATACTCTCTCATTCACCGATGCGGCCTCGATTCCTCTGACTTTTGCGACTGCGTACTACTCGCTTTTCGATTGCGCCAATCTCCGCCAAGGGCAGACAATTTTGATACACTCTGCTTCGGGAGCATTGGGCCAAGTTGCCATCAAGATCGCTCAACGACTTGGTGCAGTCATACTTGCCACTGTTGGCAGTGCTACCAAGCGTGAAATCCTGATGGACAAGTACGGCATCCCGGAGAGTCACATCTTCAGCAGTCGTACAACCGACTTTGCAGCTGGCGTTAAGCGACTCACGAATGGCGTTGGTGTTGACGTGGTTTTGAATTCCCTCTCTGGACCCATGCTCCATGCCTCCTGGGAGTCCGTCGCTGCCTTCGGAACCTTTGTGGAAGTTGGCAAGACAGACATCTCTCGACGCAGTCAGCTGAACATGAAGCCATTCGAGAGGAACCTGAGATTCGTCAGCGTGGACCTGGTAGGGCTCTCAAAACAACGGCCGGCGGAATGCCAGAGACTTTTGAAGAGAATTTTTGGCGACTTTGACGCAGGGCATTTCACACCACTGCCAGTAACGGCGATGCCCATTGGCGACATTGAGAAAGCATTCAGGCTAATGCAGAGCCGGAAGCATACTGGGAAAATCGTCCTGGGAGCTTCCGATAAATCAACTGTTCAGGCCAAGATACAGCCCCTCCAACTACGAGCCGATGGAACGTACATCATTGTTGGCGGTCTTGGAAGTTTGGGCAAACATCTGTGCAGGCACCTCCAAGAGAAGGGTGCACGCCACATTGCCTTGTTTACGCGGCAAAGCTATGACGACGCCGTCAAAGGTGAGATGGAGAAAGAGCTCACTGACTTTCCTGATGCTATTGTCAAGATTGTGACGTGTGATGTTGGAAATGCCGGCGTGGTGCAACAGGTGGCCAGTGAACTTGGCAAAACCATGCCGCCAGTAAGAGGCATTCTTCATGGCGGCATGGTGCTATCGGTAAGTATAATCTGATATAACAGAGAAAGAGAAAAAAAGAAAAGTAAGAGAAGAAAATTGGTGATGCTGACACCACTCATCAGGACCGAACTATTTCCCAAATCACACAGCAGGATTTCGAGACTGCGCTCTTGCCCAAGTACCATGGTACAATCAACATCTACAACGCATTCTACAACGGAGATGTTGACTTTTTCATCAATCTTTCTTCGCTTTGCGGTGTCGTCGGAACGATTGGCCAGTCCAATTATGCGGCAGGAGGCACGTATCAAGACATGTTCACGCACACTCAAGTGTCTGCGGGTCGCAAGAATTTTGTGACTATTGATTTCCCCTTGATCAAGAGCACATATACCGTCACCCAGGAGCACACACATTCTTTGGCAAGACAGGGTGTTCAACTTCTTCCCATCGAGCTTGCGCTTCCTGTAGTTGACTATGCGATGAGCGGGAAAGCGTTCAAGGATGGCAATCACCAGATTGCCTTTGGCCTCGACCCCCAATCCTTCATTGACCAAACTATACCGGGTGGAAGAGTGCCACCGCTGGTATCTCACATATTGTCTGCTCACGGCCGAGGTCTCGCGCGTCAGGCCAGCCGCGAGATTGAACAGACTGCAGAGGAAAAAATTGCTCTTGCATCAACTTTTGGGGATGCGGAACAACTGGTGCTGATTGCAATCCGTGAAAAGATAGCCTCTCTTACTGTGCTTGAATCCGAGGAGCTTGATGTAGACCAGTCCGTTGCAAATATGGCGCTTGACTCGCTGGTCGCCACTGAGATCAAGAACTGGATCACTAACAAACTACAGGCGCCAGTCCAAACGTCAGACATTTTAGATGCGCCAAGTCTTCGTTATCTCGCTGCTTTTGTTACCAAAAGCTCCAATTTGGTGAAGAGCAAGTCAGGGTCACAGCTGAACGGACACAATGACGATACGAATGGTGATAGCAACGGCGCCAATGGCAAGAGAGAGGTTGCTCTTCCCAAGTATCCCTTACAGACGCTAGAGATGACGCTGGATATTTTCCTTGATTCAGTTGGTCACATTGCAAACGAAGAGGAATTGAAACACACTCGCGAGGCCATAAGCGCTTTCCAGACCCCCGACGGACTAGGACAACAACTGCAAGCGAGACTGGCAAAGCTCTCTGGCGAGCAGGGCGAGAACAATGAAGTCGTCGACATGTATGTCAGAAACAAGTGGCTTCGAGGGCGAGACTGGCGACCCAGGCTTCGAAACTTTTTCGCCACCCTACCTGGACAAGATACGGCTCGCCAGCCTCAAGCAGACCAGGCAGCGCAGCTTACATTGGGAGCTTATGGATACAAGCTTGCTCTAGATGCGGGAACAGTCCAGCAGGACTATTATAATGAGCAAGCACTAGATAGTAAGTGAAGCTGCAACACCTTCCCTATGGTAATACTAACATGGTTAATTCTAGTGGCGACGGTTTATTGGCTATTCAGCTCGAATCGTACCCCCGCCCTTGGCTGCGACGGCTACGATCGATACCCAGAGAGCGATTACATTGTTGTCATGAAACGTGGACACGTATACAAGGTTCCCATGAGGAGTAGCAATGGCCAAATTGTAGCATACAGCAAGCTCGTCTCCATCTTCCAAGCAATCTCTCAGCATAGACCAGATGGAACAAACTGGACAAGTTTACTCACTACTGCAAATCGTGATGAATGGGCATGGGTAAGTCTTCATTTTTCGCTCTCTTCCTCTCTTATCCCTTCAGTATTGTCCACATTCTAGGCGGGCATTGTGGAAGACTGACGGTGTTTCAGGCCCGCGATGAAATAAGAACAGGCAGCGAAGACGGCCGCAACTTTGTAAAAACAATTGAAGAATCTCTCTTCATTATCTATCTTGAGGATGTCGCCCCCGAAACAGCAAACGATCGTGCAGACATCTTCCTTTTGGATGACAACTCGAACCGTTGGTTGGACAAGACGCTCTCTTTTGTCGTCTGCTCCAACGGCGTGTCTGCTATTTGGGGCGAGCACACCATGGTCGATGGCACCACATTTGGCGGTTTGATTAAAGCCCTCAGTTCACCCTCAACTAAGTCCTTTCAAACATCCAGCGGATCATCTGGCGATAACACCACGGTTGACGGCGACTTTTTGCATATTCCGTTCACATTGCCGCTTACCCTCTTAAGTCACATCAGTCCTCTTCAAGCTCAGCATCAACGAGCCCACGATGGCTACACACTCGCCAATCTCACGCATACTTACTATGCGGCCGCTTATCTGAGGCAGCAAAAGCTTCCACCCAAAACTGTCATCCAGCTGGTAATCCAGGTAGCCGTCCGCCGTCTCTTTGGATACAACCCCTCGGGCGCAGTGGACGTAATCTCCCAACGCCCTTTCCGCGGCGGACGAACAGATATGATTTACGTCATGACGCCACCTATCCAAGCATTCTGCGCTGCAGCTGAGGATCCTTCTGTCAGCGGCGTTGAGAAGAGACGATTGTTCCTGGAAGCGGTCAAGTCCCACGCAAGGCTTGTAGCTCTGTCCACTCGAGGAAGAGGATTTAGGTGGCATCTCATGGCGCTCCGAGAGATGATGGAACCTGGTGAGGAGCTTCCTGCATTCTACAACGATACTGTTTTCGCCAGGACAAGCGAACGGCCGGTTTGCACGAGTTTCACGGAATTTGGGCTTCCAGAGATGGGACGGTGTCAGCCTCATAAGGCTGACGTATGGGTTGGTGTGCAGGTCTTTGACGAAAGGTAAGCACATCAGGCATGATTATGCCTATGGAGGATCGTTGCTAACATTCACATTTCTAGGGTTCAATTTACAGTAATTAATGGAGAGAGGAAATCGGAAGAGTTTGTGGAACACATCAAGGCAGCTGCCGAAATTGTAAGAGACATTATTGAGATCAATGTGGTATAGGTAGCCACGGATGGCATACACGAGAACGGCAAAAATACTTTGTAAAGCAATATTCTATTCTTTTCTATGAATAGTCTATAACAATTGCGCTATTTAAAAATTTCATTTCCAACTTATTATATTACCCATCTAAGCAACAACCTTGAGAGTCTGGCTGAGAGGCAGCTTCTCAGGAACAGCCTCGGGGTGGGGCTGAGCCAGATCACCGTAGTTCAGGTGAGCCTTGAGGGTGTAGTCGGCGGGGACATCAAGGTACTGCTTGATGACGGCCTCGACGGGAGGAATGGCCTGCAGGTGCTGCAGGTTGGCACCCAGACCCTCGAGCTCAAGGGCAGTCCAGACGAGGATCTGGGCCATGCCGGTGCTGTGGTCGGCGAACTGGGGGAACATGTGGGCGGCAGACTGGTGCTTGGCGCCAGCCTCCTTGATAGCATCGCCGCTGTCCCAGAAGACAACCTGTTCGAAGTGTGTTAGCATCCCGTATACTCCGTAGAGGATTCTGTGAATAGGGGCGAGTGGGGGTAAAAACGTACTGAGCCATAGGCTCCCTTGTGGGCCTGGAAGATACCGCTCATGGTCTTCCAAACCTCCTCACCAGCACCCTTGAGGATGGGCTCGGCCGCGGCGATGATGGCATCCCACAGGCCCTTGTGCTTCTCGCCGGTAACAAGAGTGATGCGGCCGGGCTGGGTGTTGTATGAGGAGGGGGCGAAGGAGAGGACCTGGCCGACAATCTCCTCGACGCGCTTGTCTGAGACGGCAGAGGTGCTCTTGAGGCCGTAGACGGTGCGGCGGTGCTTGGCGGCAGCGAGGAACTGGTCGGCAGTGACGGTGGGAGCCATTTTGAATATTGTGAAGATGTTGATTGGATTGGAGGGATTTGTTTGAAGGTGTTGTTTGTTTGTTTTTGGAGTCGTAAGTGATGATGGTAGTGATGATTGTATCAAAGCTTTCGGGAAGAGAGAGAGTCCAGTATGTTATATATCAATACATCAGTTAGTCGTCTGTCTCCATTTTCACAGCTTATTGTATCAGCCTCCAACATCCAACAACCGCCCCCCCTCCGCGACTATCGACCCGATTCGGATTTCCGCAACTCCCCTCAACCCTCCAGACGTTGGTTGCATTGCACCAGTAGCTCTGCTGACACATTGTTTGTAATGGGGGGAGGAGACCGGAGTTTAGCAATCGTTCTGTTGCATCATCGTCTCCCAAAGGCGCGATTTTACTGCGGGATTCGAGGTTTCAGGGTAGCAGCTGTGCTAATTATATAATTCCCGCGCGGGTGATCCATTAATCAGTTGCGCGGTTATTTAGTTTCGATTAGTTTAGCAGCCCCGAGCCCGCCGCTGGGATTGGCAATTCAGCGCATTATATAACCCGCGCGAGTGATTGATAACGCAATTAATAATGAGGCGTAATAGGGACGACCCTCCCTGATTACATGTACACGATCAAGCGCGCGCGACTGTGGAGACAATCGAGATTCCGTAAAATAAATCGTTGCTTCATCGGAGCTCTAAAAGACCCCTATATAAATACGAGACGTTGTATGGAGCAAGAGTCCAAGTTATGCGGTTTAAAAGTTTTGGAAGCATCTTGTGCATCAGTTTCTCATCATAATAGTGGTGTGGGTATCATGCAGTGAATGCAGTGACGGGCAGTGCAAAATGGGGTGAGAATCCTCAACATTTGAGAACCTTGGAACCAACATTTCTCGCCCAATAGCAGCATGCCATGTCTGTATTCGCCCTATCTGTGAGGTAGGATTCGCCTGCAGTTGCTACTACTATAATATGCAATAGACTGCATCTAGAGCTGTTCTTGAGTGCGGGGAAACAAGCCGCTGGCTGTATCTGTACGGAGTACTATCTCATCTTTTATTGCTCCTCTCCTCTCACCTCCTCTCCCCTCATTCCATCGCTGGCACCGTTGCATCCGCTGTCTAGAAGCATCAGCTGAAAGCCCCCACGCTGTCAAGGGCAGCAAATCCTGCGTCTAGTATTACTCCAAGTCGTCGTCATGGGTGCGACGCAGCCCAGAAGTCTCCTCCCTGTAGCTCATGTCGTTGAGCGGGATATCTGTCTCTAGTTTTTTGTACCCCTTGGTCCTGTATCTCTTTATTCCATACCTGATCCCAAACGCCGTCAATATCACGAAACCAATCACCACAGTCAGCGATGCCCAGACTCTCCATCCGCGCAGACAGCACGGGTACCAAAACATAAAGATGCCAACCGCCCACTGCATCCACGGCTTCTTCTCGCGCTCGTCAGGAAACAGTCCCTTTCGCACCAGGCTCTTCACAATGGGGCCCTGAGGCCCTGAGACGAATCGCTTCAATCCAAAGTGTGGCACAGTCTTTTGTCGAATGTCGTCATCCGGATACTGCGCATCGCCCCAGAGTCCGGTAAAATAGAAGAAGGAGGTAAAATTCGACGCGGCGGAGGAGTTGGACCCGGAAAGAAAGAGGCGTGTCAACTTGAAATTGGTGGGGTCCAGGTGGTAGAAGTACGCTGAGAGAACAGGATCCCAAAGCTGGCCGGCGTCACAAAGGTCCACCAATGCTGCATCATGAACATGGTTGCTGGGGAAAAAAACAATGCTGTTAGTTCTGTGTATCGAGGATGGGTAAGCCCAGAAGAAGTACAACTCACCCGGACGAAGCATAATTGGCGTGCGACCCGTACGCGCTGAAGACCAGAGGCTACCAAGACATGTTATGCAATGTCCACAAAGCTTGCATGCAGATTGTCAGGGTGTACATACCCGCCCACTCTTCATTGAAAGAGCCTTGTCATTCCAGTCATACGCAGCGCCGCTTGTATGCTGGCTGTAAAAGATGCCCGTGGGCTTTCCATCCCGGAACCGGACCATGTTGTGTTCCCTTTTGGATAGGATTTAGCAATTGACGCCTAAGCAGACTGCGAGAATAGGTACTGACCAGTCTCCAACATGATCTCCGAAATGCATTCCATGCTCAGTATCCTCGATTAGGCGGTTGAGGGGCTCCAGAACTTGCGTAATGTTTGCGCCTCGATCGTACGAATAAAAGTAGAAGAAGAAGGCATCGACATCTCGAGGGCTCTTCTCAACGAGAATCACCGCACAAGGCGTAGCGTTTGCGATCCTGCCCGACTCGTCTGGAAGAGATCCGTACAGCCACGCGGGCAGAGTCGTGATGTCGTCATTCGAGGTCAGGGCAACTTCTCCACTGCCTACATCGACGTCGTTGAGGAGGGCGAGGTTGTCGAGGTCGAGCTCTGGCAGGTCGGGGACGGAGTTTTGGTTGATGGCGGGGGTTGTATGGCGGATATGCTGGAGCAAGTCTGCTGGTCGAAACGGGTCGTCCGAGTGTAGCCAGACCAGCGGCGCTGTTTCGAAGACGGGGATTATTAGTCTCTACATGTATCCAGACGCAGACGCATGCATGATTCTGCTGGAAGAAAGAGGAGCAGTCGTCGTGGGCTTCATACCGTATTTTGTCACATAGCTGGGCACAATGCGATTCGACCCTGCCAAGATGGAAGACGAAGACGAAGCCGCATCCCGGGCTGTCGGCGTGCAAAGGACGCAGAGCAGCTGCACGGCCAGCAGCGCAATGCTCAGGCAGAGCCGCCGGGCGAAGGAAGATTGGCCGGCCATGTGCATTCTGCGCCCGGCTGCCGGAAGCTGGGAGAATGAGCTGAGCTTTTAAAGGCGCTGCCGGTGCTGCCGGTGCCCATGGTGACGAACCGGCCGGCAGAAGCTGAGAGCGTGTGGATTTCGGCTACTGCATCCGCTAGTCGCTAGTCACTCGAATCAGCGTTTGACAGGCATTAGTCTGCGGCTTGGAGCTGCCACCAAGTCCAGCCACTCCCGGGGAAGCATCAGCTTTGGCTGCTGATAGATAAGCTTCGTCAAGTGCCTGGCACCTGTCGAGTGTCAAGGCCATCCAGTGGGACTTGACTTGACTTGACTTGACAGCAGAAGCCACGACAAGCAAAAGAACCAATGGCAATGAGATCGATGGCCTTCAGTTTTGACGTTGGTTTGGCCATCATCACTTACCAGCAGCAACAAGGCAGATTCCGTGCGCCCCCGCCACCAAGAGTAAGCTGCGGGCGCTAAGAAGAGCGGCTCAACATGGCGGGGGCATCGACGAGAAAGAATCGCAGATCTAGGCAGCAAAGTGACTGTACGGACGAGAGGAGTTGAACGAAGACGCGTATAATTGAGTGACGATAGAAGAGGCATGTGCCAGCAAAGACGCAGTGGAAGCTATCCTAGAAATTACTTGCCTGAGGCATCGCTTCTCTCCCGCCCGGCAGAATCTCAAACACATGCATCACCTACCCTGTAAACAACCATCAGTTCTCGCTGAGCGCGTATTATGAAGCCTACACTTTTCCCACAGCGCCTCAAATATTCATGTCCTCACCGCTTTCGATACGCAGCATGTCTCCAACGAATCCCTCGACGCACCCAGATTTTGCGCACGATAAATCAACTCACAGCAGAGGGCGCTCTTGCAAGACATCGTCCCTATTCAACCAGTCATGACGGTAAATCTGGCAGCGGAGGCGCTGATTCGCATTCCAATCTCTCTCCGCAGCCGTTCTGGAGACGCCGATCAAGCATCTGGGGGTTGGTTTTCATCGCGTATGTCGTCTCCGAATTTGCACAGGGCTATTATATGGGCTATTGGAAGGAGAGAAGCTGGCATACGCAGAATGATTATTCCTGGATGCCATGGAGCGATGCAGCAGATGAGGCAGGCAAAGTGTCGGAATCTGTCGAGAAAGACGGATACACGCCACTGGTTCGGCCGTTGGAGATTCGGGTTCTGATTCTGCATCCTGGCAAGAAAGGCTCTCCAGTCGAATGCACCCTCAAACATGGTCGCCTTGGGAGCAAGCTTCAGTTTGACGCTCTCTCATACGTTTGGGGAAGTCCAGCCGCCACAGAGGAAATCACTTGCAACAACAGACGGAGAAAGGTAGGCAGGAATCTCTACGATGCACTAGAGCGACTACGACTTCCGGACGAAGACAGGATCCTGTGGATTGATGCGCTTTGTATCAACCAAGCCGACAACAAGGAAAAGACGCAGCAGGTTCGCCTCATGGGCGAGATCTATTCAAGAGCACGGAGAGTGCTCATCTGGCTAGGAAATCATGAAGACGTAGAAGCTGGAGTTGGGAAACTGGCCTCACGACCATCTGACGAGAAACATGTCGACTGGACACCTCTCGAGCCCGTCTTCACAAACCTGCTGTTCTATCAGGCCCAGGCTTTTCTCATATGGCTCGGATTCGAGGGCGCAGTAAACATGGGGGTGGCAAAGCTCGGGGAGCCGCAATCCTCAACGCAGTTTGACTGGTCCTCGCTTATACCCGTCATCCAAAGCCCATGGTTTAGCAGAGTTTGGTGTATCCAAGAGCTAGTCTTGGCATCGAATCCCCTCATAGTCACGCGTGATTCCATGATTTCATGGGATGCGTTTGCCAAAGCTGTGTTGGAGCTCAGAATGCAATTTGAAGCCTATCGAATGAAGACACACCATCGAGACAATCAATCGATCGAGAACTTTTACTTCCTACACGACATGCGACAAAGGCATAAGAAGAGGAGGAAGCAAAGGCATAGCCTACTAGAGCTGTTGTTCCTCACCCGAGGCTTTCAAGCTACAGACCCTCGAGACAAGTTGTTTGCGCTCGTGGCCCTAGCCGGAGACGTTTTATCGTCGGATTGGGAGGTGACGCCGAATTACGAGTTGTCTGTTGCCGAGGTCTACCATCGCTTCGCTCTCTGGCATCTGACTCGCAAAAGGCAGTTTGAAGTCTTTTCTTTTGGTCGCAGCCAGCGTCTTCCTCCCTCTCCAGAGCTCGAGTTACTGCCTTCTTGGGTCCCCGACCTGACGAGGCCAGATTTTGCCGCACCGCTTCCGAAACTGGAATATCTCTCGGTCAACTACATCGATCTGCGGTACGACGTGCTCAAAGAGTTTGGGCTGCGTAAGAAGTATTTTGGAGAAGCCATCAAGGTCTATCATGCGGATCTGAAATACCCTTGGTGGGCCCTTGGCCGCCAGGCCGATTTCCGCCCAGCCCGCATTGCTTTCTCCCAGGGTACAGCAGTGATACACGCGGTAGGTACCAAGATCGGGTCACTAAAGGCTTTGGGCATGCCGTTTGGCCAGAAGAGCGCAAGTGAAGAAATCAAGAGTAAGGATTTGGTCTTCTATTCCAACATCTTGCACACATATGAGTGGCTCAACGAGACATGGGGCTTTGTTGGTGAAAACATGCTCGGCGACAAGTATGCACGGCTTCCCAAAAACACAATCGATGCAGTATGGCGTACGATGATATGCTGTATGACCTCAGAGGGTAAAAATGCCCAGTTTACAATTTATTCACGTGCTGCGCAGTCCCTGTATCAAAATTTCTTGGACAACGCACAACGCCGTGAGGCCAAAATACGAGACGACAGTCACACACTCACAAAAGGGATTGAAGTCAAAAACAATCTGCACGATGCCAAATACGGCACCGTGTCTCTCACAGAAGATGAGATAGCCAAGCTTCTTCTCATTCACACAAGCGCGATGAAATGGTGTCCAGGACGCCGGTTTGCAGTCACAGATGCGGCAGATTTCGCCGCCGTTCCCAAGGCAGCGCAAGAGGGGGATATTATCTGCATCTTCAACGGGGGGAGAGTGCCTTATGTTTTGAGGCCCTGCAGAAATGGAGAGTACACTCTAGTTGGCGAATGCTATGTAGATGGGATGATGAGAGGAGAGGTTAGGGACCGGTTCCCTCGACACTTACACGAGACAAGCTTCACGATACAATAGAGTACATGTAGAACGATGACAGATGACAATTTGAAGTAGCAAAACTAATAAGCAAGAAAAATAATTGTAAAAAGACATCTCCCTCACTCCTCCACGTAAAAGTATGCAATTGCCTTGTTGCCATCAAGACGATGGGAATATTTTGTTGGAGAGTACATATCAGCATGCATCGACTCCTTGTAAGGACCATACCACCATTGGAACCAGCAATCGTTATATACTCCGTCTAAGTGAAAGTAGGCGACACAATCAAGTCCATATGCAAGGCCTCCACCCATGTGAATGTATGCAACGCCCATGGGCTCGATATCTCCCACGGCGGCAGACTCCCACCAGCCGTGGTGCTTGACCCAGCCGCCGGCATTGCGCAGCCATCTTGACGTATTGTTGTGGATTTCGATCCACATCTCATACACGTCGCCGGCTTGCAGCTGGCTCTGGAGGTGACCTCCCTCGTGAGCCTGTTTCCGCAGGTCGTTTAGTTTAGTCCGAAGTTCGGCTGCAAGCTCCTTGTTTCCGGCCTCGACGGCTTTGTTGTACTCTTGAGCGACTTCTTCTAATTGGTCATAGAGCGCTTGCACAGACTCTGGTAACTCGGGCCTTTCTAAATGCCAGAATCTCTGTTAATGTTTTAATATGAAATGAAGAGTTTCCAATGGTCATGGTGTCACATACGCAAGACGGGCTACTGAGGCTTTGGGGCCTCAGGCTGCTGTGAATCGGACATATTTCACCGGGTTGGATGTGTTACTTTTTGAGATCTTGGGAAATTAAAGACTGGTGTGCAAGTGAACGTCTAGTGTTTGTCTTCTGAAATTATGTTCTGTTTCCTCCAAAGGGAGGCACATTGAGTCGTTCTTTATATTAATTTTCATCTGCGGCCCTACCCAGCCAATCTGGACTATACATGTCATGAGATGTCTCCCTGAAGTACAAATAAATGACTGTGCTAACCCAATCAAAGAGTGGCGTGGCTAGTAGACAACGAATGAAGCGTCCTGAAACTCTGGCGATGATACTATTGCTACTTTCCAGCTCTGCAGACTGCATATTCAGCTAGCCCTGGAGCACTCTTCTTTGCTGTTTATGGCGTAGCATCGTGGAGCTGAAGCTCCGATGAAGGCATCCATACCCCTGCTTCAATTTGGAGCAACTACTCGTCTCCATTTTCAGCTGCCATGTTGGGGCATGGGTAGCGCTCCAGAATAAGCTTTGTCTTTAGAGAGTCCTCAGCAAGAGCCCAACCTTGAGCTTGCAATTGGCTGGTGAGATTGTTGCGCTCGGTCGAGGCCGTTTTATGGCTGTCTGTCTTGAAAGACGCTTCGACTATGTATTCGGTTCCCGTCCCTTCAGCATTGGGTATCGGCCAAACCTCGATATACACTTGCACATCATTCCACTTGCCGATCCAGCGCTTGGCGAGAACTGGACCAAAAACTCTCGCCTTTGCCAAAATTTTCGTGCCCCAATCATGGCCGGGCCCCCAATCATCGAACTTGTCAGGCTCTTCCTTAATTGCCATTTTGCGAGATTCGTTCAGTCCCGGGAGCTCCAGCTTGGTTTTGCCAGAATATGAAACCTTCTTCTCCCGGCTAATGGAGAGCGTCTGCTTGGTATAACCCCATTCGACTTGTGCTTCATATTTTGAACCAAACCCATCTTTCTCAGCTCGATTGAGCACCTCGTCAATGTTGCCGTCGTTAATGTCGTATCGTTTTTTGTACGTGAGCTCGTGATGAGATTTGCCCTCCACTTTGCGGATTCGCACACACCACCCGGCATCGTAAATATCCTTGGAACAGTTGTCGAGAAACTGTACATTCATTTGCAAAGGATTCGCGGACACTTTGAGGCTCTCTAATACGGCCGACACTAGCTCGTGCTCGGAGTTGAGCACTCTTGCAGGGTCGAGCTGCAACCTGACTTCGTAATCTGGTGTCATTTTGGGCATTTTTGGTGATGCTGGAACAGTTTTTTTTGCTGCTCCGTTGGACAAGTATGTTTGATCTGATAATAACTGGTAGAAATTACTTGCAGCAAACAGTTCGTCAAAGTGTTGTTGGATAATCTGTGAGTCTTCTGTGAGACCAAGCTGGGGAATGTTGGGATATTTACCGTCAAACCACACCACCATGAATAGGCATAAGACGTTGCCCTAAACGTCAACTCAAACTCTGAGCTTATAATTAGGGTTCTCAGCACACAGGTAGTCTTAAACTGTCTTGCTTGCCGCCGCTCTACATATCAAGATGCACCTATTTTTAAACTTTTGGCTTCAAGCCAGCATTACTTCACATGGTGCGGCATAGGGCCACCATTCGTGCCCTCTCAAATGAATTTCCATATTGACGTCAGAGGCATGCCAGCTGAAAGCGAGGTTGATGACATGAATCTGATCTATAAAACCAAGCACTTCATCATGTCTAAATAGACTATCAATTGTGTTTGACATCCGATATTGCTCCTCGCATTTTTAACATTATGAAGATTGCAATTGAATCCGTGTTGCTTGGGCTGGTATCGCTACCTGGGGTCGTCGCCTGGGGGGGTAAGTGAAACTTTGTCGTGAGAGATACTGTGAGAATCCAAGTGAAAGTAAAGACTACTTACAGGGTATAGATCTTGGCCACGATACCGCAGCGTATATTGCAAGCTATTTTGTCTCCAACTCTACGGCGGCATATCTCAAAGATCTGTTGGATAATCAAGACGAGGACTACCTTGCTGGGATTGCCATGTTTGCCGATAAATACAAATATACCCACGAAGGACACTTTACTGAAAATTTCCACTTCATTGATGCTCACGATGACCCATATACGGACTGCAACGTCAATTACGATCGCGATTGCAAAAAGGGGGGCTGCGTTATCAGTGCGTTGGCCAATTATACCGCGCAGGCTCTGGATCGCGATCTGTCCAAGGAAGAAAACCAGTTGGCCGTGAAGCTCCTTGTCCACTACATTGGCGACTTGCACCAACCACTACATAACGAAGATGTTGCGCGAGGAGGTAACGATATACATGTTCAGTGGCGAGACCACGACCAAAAGCTGCATGCGGTATGGGATAAAACTATCCCTGAAACGATCGCCGGACACCTGAGCAAGAAGCGAAAAGATGGAATCTTGGAGTGGGCGTTGGAATGGGCAAATGAGCTTACTACCGAAATATCCAATGGAAAATTCGCAAGGGAGAAGAATACGTGGCTGAAGAATTTTGACCTCTCAGATCCCCTCAATACCGCAATGGGATGGTCAATCGAAGCAAACAAACTTGTGTGCTCTCATGGTAAGAACTTTCATGGCTACGATTCGTTTCCAATCACGGTTACTGACAGACTCCCCCTTATGCAGTCTTTCCTAAGCCTAATAGTCCCGAAAAAATTGAAGGCAAAGAACTCAGCGGTCGCTATTATGCCAAGGCGGCTCCGGTTGTTGAGAAGCAAATCGCGCGTGCAGGATACCGGATGGCAGCGTGGCTGAACGAGATTGCCCATAATAATTGGGAGAAGGACAACGAAGAGCTGTAGCCGGTATTGGGAGTTGAGAGACCAACATGTCGCTCAGTGGTATTTCTCAAAAGTGTTTGTATTTTTCTATTCTCTTTGTATGTATTTTACATTTCGTGTATTAATATTCTACATTGCTTTGTTGAGCACTTTTGATGAATGTGCGCATGGTTGTAGTAATCCGTGCAAATGTTAGACTGCCTCAGGTAACTAGCGGGCAGCTTGCTTTTTCGCTTACCTTGTGAGTTTTGGAGTGAAAAATCACGCGAAGACGAAATAATGGGTGACGCAACCAACACGTCCACACATTCCATTCCTTAGAAGTTATGAGCTTAAGTTTGGAGGCGGGAGCTAGCAACATTCAGCTGTGGCGGAAGATCTTCATGGATGCCGAAAATGAACTCTTAGTGCTTGTTTCGAATATGCTTCAACATTGCCTCTTGCACTCCCGCTTAGCTTGTACAAGTAGGGCTAGCTGATTCCGCTGCTTAAACCAAGTGCAATGGCAGCTGAATTTCAGCTTCAGTTAGCCATTCCGATGTAGGTACAACTCATAGATTCATTGGATGAGTACTTCTACATAGCACATATAACTGGCACCTCAGGCTGTTCCATCACTCCATCTCGTTGTTCTCTCGAGAACGTGGTGTCTTGCCACTCTTTTGAGTTTTCTCGGCTGCGGGTTAATTGAAAACTTATCGGATCATTCATTAGACGGGACGTGAGAATGGTCAAGGTGCCCATAATTTATTCAAGTTCAGGAAATCCCAAGATCAGGTCTATTTTGAGAAATTAGCGTCATTCATTCAATCAGCACATGCAGCAAATTATGTCGTTATGTGCATGAGTTTTAAGCTCAAAGAAATGATATTCTGCTAACCTAGTTAAAATCTAATTCCACGTACTAGTTTACAATATTACGACAAGTAGAATCTGCAAAGTCTAGTTCTTTGAGTAACCCTCCTCTCAAAATACGTCCCCAGTGAGTCTTGTCATTTACTTCCGAGTTCCATCGTATTGCCAGTAAAGTCCTCAGAAACATAGTCGGGCTCTTCCTGAACTTGGTAAATGTGTCACCAGACTGAGAAATAATAAATCCATCTGGCTCAACAGTAACACCATCTTCAGTAGGCCCATAGGACAAGTTCAGTAGCCTGCAGGCTTCATGGTAATCATCCTGCGAAGTGATATATAGTTGACCACTGAAGAGATTGAGCAAAAGTCGCAACCGAGAGGGAAGATGCCAATTTTCTGGAAGAGCAGGCACCGTGTAAAGCTTTAGGCTCTCCAGTGAAGTGTATGCCAGATTCGGTAGTGGTGTATAGAGATGCAGGTGAACATGCTTCGACTCGGCTATTCGTTCCTTAAGCTCCTGCGCTTCGTGTGGGCTGATAACTATCAGCCGCTGCACGGTGCTGTTGTCTGGTCCTGTTTGACTCAATACCCACTGTACCGAACGTTGATAGAAGTCGTCATTGTCGTCGTTCCCCTCTAATATCACTGTTGACATGAAATCTTGGGTTACGAGAACATCATCTGGAAAGTAGCTGACATCTAATAGCTGAGCGGCACGTGTTCTCCCGAGGGCCTCAAATGCTGGGGAAAACGGTGCTGACTGAGAAAACAACCCAGAAGTTACCAACTCAATAAGTTTTGGATGAATCGTGTGTTCTTTAGGCTGAACCGGCCGTGGTCTCTCAATCTCCCTCTCTTGTAGGATTTCGGGTGCTATCTCTCGTTCCTGCTCTTCCCATAACACGGAAGAGTTTAGTTGGGTGTTTCCAAAATCCACGCATCGCTTCCAAATAGCCTCTAATCGTGGGTTTCCGCTAGGGTTCAAGGGCTTCACTGGCTGTTTTTCAGTGCTATGCGGCCTGTATCGGTCATCCAACGACTGTATCTCTGCTTCCAGGAATCCTTCAGCTTTTTCTAAAGGTAACTGGATACCATCGCTTGTTGTGACTGATTCCCATATGGCACGTTGTTTCTCAAATCGGTGACCTTGTACTGCCCACATCGGAATACTTCGATGAAGATCCATGAACGTTTCGTGAATTGCCCAGGTCAAGACATCAAGTACCTGGATTGGACGATCGTCATCTTCCTGTCTCAGCTTGAGAATCCTTGCTTGGATTTCTTCCGATATACAGAATACAACGGATTGCCCTCTACCGAGTTTTCGCAGTCTCATGCAAGCTGCTACGTGTTAGTATGTAGAGTCACGAGTAATTGGCTGATTAGCATTTACCTTGAACAAGTCGGTCTTTGGTCAGCCCGGGACCCAAAGTCACAGCCGCTCTATAATATGAGGGAAGCTTCAGGTCGGTGCCTCTTGTATGAGCTTCATCTAAAAATACGAGGCAAAGATCTAGTTGTTGGCTATATGGCGACGTTTGAAGGTTTTCGACACACCCCTGCTGATCAATGACACAAAGCTCGTCATGATCATCGAAATAAATCACCGCTTTCTTTCCTTGACTCTCTGGAACCTTTTTGAGCCAAGCTTTAGCTAATTGGACATTAGTGAGCTCAAGAATTTGTGCGCCAACGTCGAGAATAACTTGTACATGTGGTTCCATTGAGATCACCAAATTCAATAGGGCCTCAGCGTCTGAACTCTGCGTCTCATCAGTCTTTTGTGCATAAGCCACTGAGTTTTCCGGCTGAAGGATATGCTGAAGGACCAGTGCGTTTGTATGACGCTGCTCTGGGAGATCTAGATGTTTCATGTCAAGAGGCATAAGATTGCGGGAATCGCAAGTTCCGCTAAAGCCAGTAGTGGGATGTGTTTTGAGTTGACCAATATCCCAGCCCGAAGCTGATAGCTTTTTGGGAAACTCCCTCATTTCCTTGGCAAAAACAATGTGCGATAAAAAGTAGTCAATGGCATTCTTTGCGTACCGAAAATGAGGAAATATTTCATGAATTGCCTGATGGCGATCCTTCAAAGTCACTCCTGTCAGACTCCTGAAGGCGTTTGGTAGATCAGGAGCATCCAGAACCCAGTCCTGATAATGAGCCTCAGCTTGATCTGCACGTAATAAATGATCAAAAGAAGCAAAAAGATCATCATCAGAGAGGCCACCATAGTAGTAAGTAAGAGCAGTCAACTCAATAACAACATCAGGATGACTGAATTCGGATCTGGCCGTGGGATTATCTTTGGCTCGATATGGTACTGCGAGCCGAGTCTTTGGAACACGGCTTAGGGCAAGGCCATAATTTACCCTCCATCGTTTCTGTCTGAACGCAAAACTTAAAACCCCCTCGGCGATCAGCCCTCTGATTAGGAGCAAAGGCCCCTTTGTAGATTCTGTGAAGAATCCCGATTCAACTTCGACAGAATTGATTTGGCTTGTGTTCAGATCGCTATTGAGAATATACTCACGAACATGTTGCCTGACATCTGGCAACTGTCTCTCTATGGGTAAACCCAGAACCCCTGCGTTGCAAATCTCTTCAGCAAGCAGACTTAGCAACATATCCTCTGCATCTTGACGTAGGATACGGATGCGTGGAAATCGCCCTTTCTTAGAATGGGAAATTTCTATTGATTGGGGCAATTTATCCCGTACCGAATGCACAGCTCGCATTACAATGCGAAGCACATGCTGAACGATGATCCAACGATTTGGGCTGAGCTCGATGGGGACTTGCGTTCCCATAGTATAAATCAGCTCAAATTTGACGCTAAATATGTCGTCACTCTCGTCGACAATAGTTCGTGAATGAGTATTAAAGTAGTGCTGAATATCTAGTAAAATTTGACCGACTTCCTCCTGAGAGCTAAGTCGATTTTCGATCCCCATAAGTTTGAAAGAGAGCAGATGCTCAGGCTGCATTAGAAGAACACCACCAGTCTCAGAGCATTGCTTTAAGATGTCGAGGACTCTTGTTGCATCAGATGCCGTGAATTTGAGCGATCTTGAGAATGGCATTTGATATACCTGATGGTTCATCAGCCCTCCGAGCTTGGATGTCAACATTCGAAATAGCTCCTTTGCTTGCGGTTTGGTGCCGATTACACAGACGAGTCGTTTGCCATCCGCTAGATATGCAGCTACAGCTGGTAAAATTACCGTTGACTTGCCCTCTCCCATGTTTAGCTGCATGGTTGCGTTTTCGCCCCGTGGCGGGCTTCGCATCTGTGACGCAATATTTTCTTGCACCTCACGAATCATAATTCCGCTTTCGACTTCTAAAAGTAATGATTCAGGATAGTCCATGGGTTTCCAATTTGTATGACCAGTGTTCAGTAGCTCTTTGATTAGCTCTGCATCATTATCTCGCTGGCTGAGCATCCTTTCGGCTCGCTGAACCATTGTCAATGACTCTGCATAGGTGACAACTGCCTCTTTCCATCCCAATGGAAGACTTTTCCAGTTTTCTCTGGCTAATTGACCAAGAAAGAAAGTTGGTGAGACTCTTGGTGCCATGAACTTCGTGGCAACCGATGCTGCTGGTGTTTTAAAAGCCTGGATGCGGCCAGCACTTCCTTCACAGGCCACACCAGTGATTTCTTTCAGCAAACAGTAAACCTTTTTGCTATTAATTTCACAATTTGACAAGTATTCTTTGAGGTCATTCGATAGTATCTCTCCCTTCAACTTTACGTTGTATGAAAAATTAGGGTGGCTGTGAGATTTCTGGCTATCGTCAAGATCCTGTATATATTTATGTTCAGAATTTCGAGATGCGTGCTGCTTTAGAGAGTCCAGAAGTTGTTTGAGGTTATTATGCTGTTGTTGATGTTCAGCTTGCATCTCTAGTATTTTCAACAGATAGTCTGATGAAATGTCCGGGAATGGAGTGCAATGACTGAACAGGTCTTCTTGATTGACGAAGCCCCTACGAGACACCACTATAGTTGGTGACAAAGGGTGGATATAATCTGGCATTGATATCTCCTTAACCTTTAGTAAACGGAGATGGTCACCCAGCGCAGTCAAGTACTCAAAAAGTTGATGGTTCTCGTACCACTTTTGCCAAGTTTGTAGGATAGTGCTCCAAGCGAGGTCTTTATATACATACTTAGAGAAGTCAGCACCGCCAGGCATCCATGGGTTGGGGCAAATCCATTGCTCTTGCAACCTCTTGGTGAAATCTGTAACAGCCTCGTGTCGGTTGTTCTCAAAAGTTCTGCGGCGTCTTGCGTCTAGTTCTTGATCGCTTTCATAAGATGGACGCCGCGGTAAAAAAGCCTCGGGACTGGAGGAAAAGTCTTTCATATAGTCATCAAATATGAAGTAACGTATGTAGGAGTAGCTGAATTCATATCCCGCAGCCATGTCAAACACTTCCACGTTGGGGACTTTGAGAGAGCCGATAGACGGGATATTCGCGCAGGCTATAAGTGCTTGGACTGCGCTTGCATCATGTTCTTCAGCATATGCCATTGTTGCAGCGCAAAACATCAATCGAAAGCGGCAAAGAGGCTGCTCTTTGTTGCGGAAACTGTGATGAAGTCGGCACCAATATTTTACGAAATTTGCTTTTGCTTCTGAGAGCCATCTACAGTCGTAGCCAACTTCATCAGCTAGCGGAGAATTAGGACCTGGTGTTCCCGATTTATTGTTGAGTAACTTCCACATATGCGAAACGAATGAACCACTGATGGGCATGTGGATAGTTTCTCGCCTCTCAGCAGCCATGACGGCGGCTTTGAACGCGCGTTGCGATCTTTCGGCGTGTCTCACCCTATCTCGGGACTGATAGTGCATGTCTTGAGAAGTAGTATGGTTCTCGGCACCGAACCCAGAGACACAGAAGATAGAATCTCTTATCTGGTGTCGTAGTCCAAGACTACTGTCGACATGATTGGGAATGGTATATTGAACCGGCTGCTCGGAGTAAAAGATCGCCTTTTGCTCCACTCCTTCTATGATTGACAGCGCTGTGGTGTGTAGGGATCCGACTTGCGACAGAAAGCTAAGTTGGTTATCCCATGTAACCGTTTCCATGACACGTTCGTCTTCGGGATAATATGCCCTTCCAGGTGATAGCTTTGAGATGTGATCAAGAATATCAAGGTCCTTTTCTGATAACTGCTGAAATGATCGGACAGCGGCAGAGTTGAGAATGGACAAACACTGTTCCGTCCCTGTTTTACCAGTGAGTGAGTCAGGTAAACAATACGAGGTGAGCGCATGCAAGTAGGCCAAGCAAAGTTTACTCTGCAAGCTGCCATTATCGATCAAACGGCCCAGTCTCGTATCTATTGTAAACGGGTGGACACGCGCTGAGCTACCATATACAACTTCAACTCGCATATGCCCCGAAGTGCCCAAATAATAAACATTACCATCAGGCACTAGGATCATACGCTTGTTTTGGCCGTCACGTAGCGTCAACTTGCTTTGCAAGCCAACCAAAGTGCCAATTTGTTGAACCTTGTCCACATACATCCCGCGAAACTGTCGACAATGAATATCAGATGAGCCTTGTTCAAGAGAAAAGTCTAATCGAAGGCGGGGCAAACTGATATTCAACGCGAATGTGGCATTGTCACGGATAATATGCATATGAGCCTCCTCCTCTAATGAGCGTAGAGTTTGGCAAATACGCTTAGTAGTAGATGAGGTTGGACACAGAAGAGTTTGTCCTGGCCTTTTGAGCACCCATGCAGATCCAGTCTTTTGCAAATACCAGTTAGAATTCGAGGAACACCAGGGAGCTTCTGTGGGCCTGAATTCAATCATACCGGATTGACGATTATACCAATGGATATAGTTGTTAATAAAACTTGCTGGTAAATTATGGTTCAAGATCCCACGTGGAACCAGATCCAGCTCTTCGTCATTGGTAGTCGCAACAATAATGAGTTGCGGAGAATCGGAATGATCCATCCCAAATGCGAAGCTATATCCATGGTGCTTTTTCATTGACGAGAAAATTGTCCCAGGAATATCCGAGGGCATAACTTCTATCATTTCCCTCCCAAATAATTCCCTGAATGCTGGATGCTCTTCATATAGCGACGGTAGGCGAGAAGGCGGTAAGCCGTTCACCAGTAGTTCGCCCGTTAAAATATTGATTTGGATGGACGAAGAATTCTTGCCGTTATTGGGAATGGTCTTCGTCTCTAACCAGTGGTATTCATGGTCGGATAAAAGCTTCCACGCGCCTTTTCCATTGTAAAAGCTCAGAGCCGATTTTACGGCAGAATTCAGTCCTTGGCTCATTTCATCAAGTGTTTCGGTAATAATGAAGTTGTGGGAATTATGTAGAACGCGCTGTTTCTGTAATACCAGGTTGATATGAAAGGGGTCAGTGCATTCACCAACGCTATGCGACAGATTCTGTATGATGATTGATGACTGCATCATCATGTCCATCTGCTCTGCATCTGATAAAATAACTCTCAGGTGCTTTTCATCCACATCGAAAGACGCAATGCAGATCAGCGCCATTTGAGAAATCATCAGATAAAACTCTCGTCTCTGTTCTTCGTCGTCGATTCCAGATAATTTGTTTTGAAGCAAATTGATCCAGCTGATGACGATTGCGCGGCACCGTCTAAGAAACTGGTGGCACAGTTCCATCAGCGTTTGCGTCGGTGAGCAATTGAGAGTTTTTACGGCGATCGCGATGAATGCTCTCAGCGATATATAAGATTCCCAGTTCTTTTCTATTCTGTCCACTGCATGAGATAGGCCTTCGAGAAGCCTCTCAACAAAAATCTTGTCGCAAAGTTGTTGGTGGCTGGCCCTGTTCGTAGAGCAATTGAATGGTGGACCCGCCTGATGAATGATTTGCATTAGTATGAGGACGGTATCTGACTTGTTAAAGTCTATCTTGGGCGTAAATAGCTGAACAAGAATGTTTTCCCATAGAAGACGATATCCAACGGGCAGGCTAGCCATTGTCTTGGATTCTTCTAGGGAAAGTTCTTGTGAGTAATAATACTGCTGAGATAAGACGTGATTTGGCGTCAAGCCGTTCTCCCGCCCTGGCGGCCGGAAGATGAATTGTTGAAGCGCGTTATTCTGCTGTGACAACTTGAACATAAGACTTTGAGAAAACTTGTTTCTGTTTAGAAGTTCTGAAACAAAGCATTCGCGATATCTGTCGTAATATTCGTATCGTAGGCCATTTTTAACCAAAACATCTTCCTCCTTCGTACATGTGGAAATCTTCTTGCCGTGGCGATGTGTGCGCTTGTTCGACTTGGTTGTTGATGCAAGTTCGAATCTGTAACCTTGACCTGTAAAACGGGATGAAAGATATGCGCTCAGTCTATCCACGACATGGCCGCCTTCGGGACTGGAGTAATCGCACTGTAGGGCATCGTTTATGACTAAGGCGGTCATGTTTCTCCAGGCGCTGAAACAAGAAGGGACATGTAGCTCAAATACCGTTGATTGAGCCTCAAGTTTCGCGTCCGGAAGAGGCCACTCGTGGACTTTAATCACAAGCGCATCAGCTTGGCGGAGTAAAGCATCCCTTCGGCAATTCTCGCTATGAATCTGCTTCACTCTTCCTGTGCGTCGGTCCACCTGGTCAACGTATTCGCATACCAGACGGGCCGACCGCGACATCAACTCCTCATATTGTCGACGCTTATTATAGAATTCTTCCCTTTTACGCTCTCTTTCTTCTCTCGCATTTCGTTCAATATTTTCGTGTAGCGTCTTATGAATAGCAGACGTTGCGTAATAACGAACTGAGAATGAGGTTCTATGTCCAAAGGAAGAAAATATCGAAGATGATCTAGATAAGGTGCCGCTGCATCGCTCTCTGATATATCTCTCGACCACAACTAATCTCTCAAGGTGGACTTTTGAGTGGAGTAATAGAGATTGTAATAGCTCAGCAGGAATTTGGGGACTATAGTCTTTGATGAGGGGGATTTGGTCGCACGCAGACTTATCGCAAGCCATCCATAACTCCAATATTGTCAATGATGCAATTGACAAACTTTCTGGGCATCCAGAATAACACCTTTGGGAGAGTTCGTAGTAAGTTTTGGCCAGATCGTAGAGGTGCATACATTTATTCCCACCCGCCTCGCTCATCCAATGGAGTAGAGATGAATCAACCCATTTTTCAAAGGCTGATAAATGAAAGGGGATGCTCTTCTGTGTCAGATTGTCCAAGTTCGCGATGCTTGACTTGTCGTATTTGCGGAGTACCCAAGGTGCTCTGAATTGATTTACACATTCTTCATTTTGTCTGGATTCAATGCTGCGGATGAAATCGTCCAATTCTGGATATGGCTCTGATCCGTCGGTGGGCAATGTTTTCCTGGACAGTTCCACCAAGTCCACGTCCTCATCAGGCTCTCGGGAGAGTAATTTCCAGCGTTGCTGGAGGCAAGCACTAGTTCGTTCGAGCGTATCATGAATACTCTTGATCAATGATGCTTCAATTCCATCGTCCAACTTTTTGAGTCGCCTTGCAATCTTTGCCCTCATACAATACAGAAGGTCACTCGCAAAGCTTCTCCTCTGCGCTATATCCAGAACGCATGACATCAAGAAAATCATGAACTCTTTATAAAGGAGCCGATCCGAGTGGAGACGTTCAAAATGTAGCTGCAGAGTAACGCGAGTCAGAAGCCAGATTGGAGACCTCCGCCAACGTAGCATGGCGTTTTCCCAGATGACTTCTTCTCGGGTGTTCTTGGAGATGGAAGCAACCGGTTTGGCTTCCCCACCTTGAGCAAGAAGGACGGTATTCAGAAAATCCGTGACTAGAAAGGGATCTGTTGTATCCCTCTCCTCAATTTGGAGTTCACCTTTCTTTGAGATTTTTGGCTTTGCCTCATTAGCTTCTTGATAGCTCAACTTTTCAATCGTCTCCGCCAAGGCTGCTATGAAACCATTTTGATAGAACTTTGTATTGGGAATCGAGATAGCAGATGCAGGGAAACATCGTTGAAGCCGGCCTGCAGTACCCATGACAGCGTTGTTCGTTGGCGACAGCTCAAAAGCTTCCATCACTACTGAATATTGATCTTGTGTGATGATGACCCCAGCATTTTGAGCCGATATGTGCAGTGGTAGAATGATATCTGAGTTGAAATCAGAATCTGTTTTCCCAAAAATAAACCCATGGGGAGATACCTTCATCATAGACATAGGAGTTGAGAACTTCAGCAAGTTTCTGCCCTTCGATAAATCCAGACGCGGCTCTGGTGTTTTGAAAATGAACCATAGCTCTCTCAGCAGCGACAACCGCGTGGCAGCGCGCAGACTTCACGTGGCATTGAAACCCCCGTAGTGCTAAAATGACCAACCGGAGTAGTTCGCTGTCGTGTGATATAGTATCCCTGCAGTCTCCATTATTTGGAAGCCGTGGAGGAAGGAAAATATGATTGATGATGGATAAAATTGCTTTGTTGTCGTCGCTGTCGGGAAAGCTGTTGCTGAAGCCCATCTTCGCACTGGCAGCTACTGAGCTGGGCTAATAGTATGTAAGCGAAAAAAACATAAGAATTGTTATAGTGGGCGCCGATAGGGCGTTAGGAGAGACATGTTTATTATATAGTCGAGCTGCTAAACCCAAACCTTAGTTGCAATACAACTATCCACTCGTATACCTTAGGTGTAGGCCTCTCGCAGATACACACGTTGGCAGGCTAAGGGAGGCCTACAACAACAGGGTTGTTTTGTGGCTGGACACATCAGCCTCAGTTAGCAGCCTCGCCATATTAAAAATGTGCGACATTTTCTGCAAGCGGCAAGGTGATAAATTAAGTTTCCGCAAACGCCATCAAACGTCAGGTAAAAGACTTTTTCTTTATCTACGATGATGAATTCGTAGAGATATGCGATGCATATTTTTGTTACTGTCGCTTAAAGAATGTGGATGAAATAGTACATGCTGCTTAGTGTAAATAACGTTTATTCTGCATGCCGTATGCATCCACATCATCACCCTCGCGTATCTCGCATTAAGAATACCGAGCACAGAAAAAACACGCGCATTTTGCCATTGAGTGTAATTAAAGCAAATATGAGGTACCAAATACGCCCTTGTATTGGTATCTTTGGAATTTCTGTTATGACTATATAATATAGAGGTTAAATTTAATATCAAGATGAGAGTTTCGATGCTGTAACTAGTTTAGTAAAATGCTATGCCCCAGCGTTTGGAAGATCCAGAATCAATCCATGGCTTAACTCCATCGGCAACAGCCGATCAAACTAAACCTTGAAGATTCAGGCCATACTACTGGTAGAAGCACAGAAAGTATGACCGCTTATCAAGGTTCAAGACCAAACTTGAGTTGCATGCGCAAAAAGGCCCGAACAAGGTTCAAACCCAACGCAATAAGATTCCAATTATACTGAGTATATAGTACATAAGGTACGGTTGTATACCTATACACTTACTGGATATTATGCAGAATCTTTACTTTTATCATTGTATTCTGTACAAAAATACATTATTTATCAGTCCTTTCATCGCTAATCTTATTCTTTCATTCTTCGTATCGTTAAACTATTCATTAATTGTTGTAAACATTTCCCTCCCCAAAACGCCCTCAAAAGAATTCAAATCCATCTATTCACTGTATCGTAAACACCTCTTCTTCCACCCCTTCAACATCCCACTTTTCCCAATCCATCAATCCATGTACATAGCACTCTCCCACAAGTACCCAGCCGCCCTCAGGATCATTACCCATGGCACTGACTCTCCGCAGCAAAAATGGAACCTTGCCGCCGCGCAGCACAGCCACGACATCGTTTTCCTGGCTGCAGAACGAGAAATCGAACATTCTGTCCATCTTTCAAGGGCTCGTAGACATATCGACCCCCTCCCGATATACCGTGAGGCTTTCGGGTGGGTGTGAGACTTTTCTGCTATCCATGAACGACAATATGGCCTTCTTTCAGTGATGGGAGCAAATTAGATGGAGCTGTGGCTAAGAGACGCTTACATTTAGGCTGCAGTCGGAAAGAGTTGAGTTTGCAATTACCGCAGAGGATGCCTAATTAAATGCCCGATGAAGTGTCCAATAATGTGACTCGCGCAATGATGTGCGCAATGACGTACTTATCCCCCACTTGATAAACTGAGATATTGCTTGGTAACAGAGTGGAGAAGCTGCACTTGACGAATCCTGTATGCAGTCCCTTTTGGCACGTCTTGCCGAGAATGTAGGATATATAAAGAAGTCTGTTACTGTGGTTGTGTAGCGAAGAAGATATAGGATGTGGCTATCCTAACTGGCATGTGTAAAATAACTACGTAGTAAAGTAAAACTGCATCTCTAGATTGAAGAAAAGTATTCTATTAACGACTGTCACAACCTAATCCCTTCTGGAGTAAGGATATACCTCAAGGGTTACAGACTTAAAAATAATGAAACTCACGGATTAGTCAATTACACGTAGAACATACGATTGAGATTAGAGCAGATTAACGTGCATGAGGCAACTATTCCAGAAAGAGTCCATGCATTTTGCCATTGAGCTGAATTGTAGTCTCTTTTCTTCCGCCTAATACTCATGACACTTCTGGAATATGTACTAAGCCAATGCCGCGAGCGTTAAGCGATTGACTGTCAGCGCCCACTGAGGGCGGTGGGAATCTTGCTTGCCTTGGATTACGGTGAGAGATGGAGCTCGTGCGAAACGCAGAAGCAGTGAGAAATTGATTTAATTCGTCGCCTCAGCATGTTTGTACGGCGTTAATAGCATCAATGAATGAGAGCCAACAATCCCCTGTAGGATCAACCCGCCGGCTGTTGATTAGCGCCCTTATTGCGAAGGAAACAATCTTGCGAAGCGAACGACGATGCATCTGCTTCTCTGTCCATTTAGATATGAAACGGAATGCATGTGATACTAGCAATCATGTAATTAGGTACATGTAGTTGCCCTATTTTGTGGCACGAGAAATTCGCTTTGTGTAGGTACATATTTAGAAATCATCGGGACATCGGGCCCTGTGGATCAGCTGCCATTCTGTTAGAGGAACATCACTGATGAAACCAGAGCAAAAAAAACTACAAGTCTGCAGTCAATTGGGCAGTACACACATACGTATGTAATATTGCTCATGCGCTCACCTTGGTCAGTGGAAAATGGAAACAGGTCGAGCTTCGGATATAGGCCAAGCCACGCAAAATTGGGTTCTTGCGATGGCCTTGTACTAGGTACGCATATTGAATATACACATCTGATTTGGCCGTTTCTTTTGAGCTGCTCAGCGATCACACGAGATTCATCAACGCTGCGGGAAGAGCCTTGGAAAAGATATTTTACCCTGTTACTTATGCCTACAGGCTTATTGAGCGTGTATATTTATGTAAACACCTTTATGATTACCCACATTAAATAGCCGGTAGGGCGCGGTTCCCAAGTCGTAGGGCGCGAAATCAGCGTCTCGGACCAAGATCGGAGTGAGTGGAACCCGCAGAGCAGCATAAGACGCCGTCAAGATGTGTGGAATGTCATAATAGCTTCAGAGATTCCGCTCCTGTTCTCAACTACTCGGAACTAAGCCGTCTACTTGCCTTGCCATCATTTTTTACAATGGGTGCGTCAACATCAGAGAACTTCTGGTTCGATACTTCTTTCGACTTACCAGATGAGAAGAACCCTACCAAGTTCTCGAGGGTATGGCAAACCGCTAATACACATCATATTAAAACTCATCTAACTCACATCCAGGGCAAACGAGCACGAGTTGTAGCTGCGGGCATTGCTACTATAGCAAACAGCGCCCTGGGCTCATCATTACCCTCCGGGGCAGCGAGCGACATTGCCAAAACATTCTTAGTCAAAAGTTCTCTTCAACCCGTCTTGATCAACTCACTCTACATGCTTGGCTTTGCAATTGGGCCACTAATATTCGGTCCTTTTAGCGAACATGTTGGACGCCGTCCAGTACTTATCGGCACTTACTTGGGTTACATGATCTTCACGCTGTGCTGTGCAGTGAGTCCCAACTTTCCAGCTTTATTGGTATTTCGTTTGTTGTGTGGGATTGCAGCAGCAGCTCCTAATGCTGTTGTCGGTCCTGTGTTTGCGGATATTTTTGATCAGCCAGGACCGCGGGGCAAGGCGACCTCATATTTCATGTGCGCAACCTCAATGGTACCACCTCTTGGGCCTATTATTTCCGGATATGCCACCAAATACACCTGGCGGCTGACATTTTGGATCGGATTGGGTATCGCTGGTGTGTTGTTGCCCCTTGTGCTTTGTCTCCCTGAGACGTATGCTCCCATTATAAGGAAAAAATACGCCGCTGGCTCAGAGAATGCGCAAAAACAGGAGTCGAATCTAGCACAAGAGCTCAGAATTGTGTTTTCAAGGCCATTCGTCATGATTAGCCGTGAGCCAGTTGTTTTATTTTCGTCCCTCTACCTGGCCCTTGTATATGCGACGCTATATTTGTTCTTTCAAGCATATCCCATTATATTTGAAGGTTAGTAGAAGATTTCTCGAATTGTTATATAACTTACATGTTGCAGGGGTTTACAAGCTGTCGCCTGGCGAAGTTGGCCTAACGTTCTTGCCTTGTAAGCCGGCCAGCTCCCACTTGTGTCGATGTGATTATCTCACAACACGCATTTAGTTTCCGCCGGCTCAGTCATTGCATTGGGTCTCTTTCTTTGGTATAGCTCATATCACTCTGCAGCTGCAAAAGCAGGTGCTCTTTGGGCGAACAAAATTGAATACCGCCGCCTTCCTCTTGCATGTGCCGGTGGCCCACTGTGAGTTCAATACTAGTTCTACTTTCTTTGCACATGTACCAAAAGCTGAAAGTCCTCTAGAATCGTCGTATCACTGTTCTGGCTCGGATGGACATCATATCCAGGAATTCATCCAGCGATACCAGCACTCTCCGGCCTTCTTTTTGCTGTTGGCTATTTGATTGAGTTCATGGCATTGCTCAACTACATTACTGATGCATACAGGCAGTTTTCTGCATCTGCCCATGCTATAGCTAGCACGACACGGTCGATAGTAGCAGTGTGTCTGCCGCTTGCTGCGCCCCAAATGTACGAGGACTTAGGGATCCAGTGGGCCTGTTCACTGCTTGCATTTCTGACACTCATCTTTGCCTGTATACCTTTCGTATTCCTTCAGTATGGAGATAGGCTGAGGAAGCGAAGTCCATTTTGTCAGAAGCTATCCTCTGTCGAACTTTTGCCTTAAATTATCTTCTAGTATAAACCGAGAACCTTTAATTTATCCTTTGGAAATTGCTACTAAATTTCCGGCTTAATGGGAAGGCATAAGCTCCCTTGGTTTGGTTTAGGCACATCCCCGAAATCGATCAGCCTAGGTCTATATATCATGACGTTTCGAAAGTTGAACATCAACTTCATCTTGTCTATGACTTTCTTGAAAGGGAAGACTGGGAAGAGTAAACAAGAATGGGATCGGACAGAAAACTCTATATATTCACATTAGGGTAAATCGTTTTTTTGTCTATTGATATATATCAGTTTCTTATACTACACTATAACTATCTTGCTTACAGTGATCATTTCTTTCTATAGATTCGACTAAAAGCTTCGTAATTCTTTCAAACTCTTCCCGAAACTGGAGCTTCTCACGCCATTGTGGAGGGATAGCATCAACACCATCACGGGCACCAAGAAGGCCTCCAGCAATTGCAGCATTGGTATCTGTATCACCCCCTATCCGAACAACATCTACCAAAACATCCTCCAGTGGACGTATATCCATTAGAGCAGCCACTGCAATTGAGAGAGACTCGAGCACGTAACCTTTGGCCTTGCCTACAAACGACTCAGGCCCGTTTTCTGCCATGTCTGCAACGCTAAGCGTCGTGCCCAGCCGGATCGCCTTCTCCACCGCACAACCAGTATCTTGATTGCAGTTCTCCTCCAGACTCTTTGCAACCAGGAGAGCTTCATCTACAGCCTCTCTTGGCGACTTTTCCTTGAGCAAGGCATACACCACGGTATTATATGCCGCACATGAGATTGTACACCTTGCATCATCATGCGTGATAGCCGATATCCTCATCGACTGTTGCGTCATTTCTCGTCGGCATGTCTGGAATATCCCGGTGGGGATGCATCTCATCAGGCTCCCGTTTCCCGCCTGCCCAATCCCTGCCCCTGCCCGCTCCGGGTCCTGCGTCCGCTTGAACATTTCCAAGCCCCTAAGCGTCGCGCCGCCAATATCGACTGGTCGTCTGCCCTTCTGCCGACCAGGCCAATCGCCACTGAGCCAAGCCAAGAAGTACTGCGCTGCCAGCTTGGCCACGTCATGGCCTTCCTTAGGAGGCATTCTGCAGCAGCCGTGCTCAACAGCGTTATTTGTCTGGCCGTTGTCCAGCAGTTGCTGGTGGTCGAAATAGGCGAGGAGGACACCGCGCGTCATGTCAGTGTCGTCGGTTGCGGCGCCGGCCGGACGTTGAAAGGCACCACCACCAACAATGTCACGCAGGCCGGTAGGGTGTGACTCCTTAATGTTGGCATGGCTTTTAAACTCGAGAGTGGAACCAAGAGAGTCACCAGCATGGACGCCGAGAAGTGCGCCAATAGATCGTTGTAAGCGGGTCGGAGTTGAGATGTAGGCCATATCGGTGTGTGATACAGAGTACGGTATGCAGATTGATATTTATAGATATTATTTATTTACGTCGTTTGTTGTAGAAGAAGGCCGATTGCAGCATGTTAGGTTATTTTATGATAATTTCTAGGCTTCGACGTTAATATCCACTTGAGTATTACCTTTTTTTATATTAGGACATATACTTGTCTGTATGTGGCGGACGAAATATACCATTTACACAACTCCGCACCGGTCGACCAATAACAGGGCCAAGTTGGGTAAAGCTGAAGTCATATATCATAATACCCCTCATTTCTCAATTAATATAAGAACCAAGTTGAGTGGTGCGATAATCATAAGATAGGGTACATATGAGACCTGTACGGTATACGGCTTTTCTTTTATCGCAACCTGTACTCCGTAGGTACATTAGGTAGTATATATTGTATAGATTTTTGTAACTGTTTGGCGCTGTCTTAAGGTTAGACTGGAAATCCGTTAATTACTCGGAAATTAAAAATATTTCAATTTTATAACAGAAATATATTAAATTAAGTATTAGTTTTATGCTATTAATTAATAATTAATATTTTAAATATTAAAAATTATGTTAATATATTTTTTATAATGTTGCTCTTTAATATTTTTATAATTTTTAATTACGTATAAATTACATAAGGACCAGAATAAAGCTCACTATATTAATTTTCCAAGTGTTTTTAAGGATCTTTAAGCTAACTATAAGGCAAAGCCAAACAGTGGGTTCCTCGAAGTGGAACCAGCGGGTACCCTATATTAAGCTTGTGTACTGGTACCTTACGGAGTATACTCCGTCCTCAGCCTCGTTTAATTAAGCTGCACTCCACATTGCACACCACCCTGCACCGCTTGACCAATGATAGGGCCAGCTTTGGCTAGGCAGAACTGCATTCCTTATAATACCCCTCACTAGTTAACCAATAAGAAGGCCAAGTTTGGTTAGGTTGAACTGGATCCTTCATAATACCCCGCACCGCTTGACCAATAACGGGGCTAGCCTCGTTGAGATAATATGCCTCCCCTAATCAGGCAAACAAAGGAAACGATAGTAGTTGACTCTCGAGAACTATATCTCTATACCCGCCATTAGCTTCCTGAGATTTTTCTATCTCTACCTTATTACCTGCTTGTTTCTCGACATCTTACAGTACCACAAGGTCTACGTCACAATCAAACATGGCGACTATGAAACGTTCGGTTGTTTCTTGCTTTATTATCAAAGACTATCTTGGAAAGGCCCAGGTCGCCATGTTCCGACGGAGTGGGAAAGTTCGCACATACCCGTAAGTTCCCCTGTACACATTGGTATTCTTTCGCAAACCGAGACACTATAGGGTTGATTCTGACTGAGCACGATTATAAGGCATCAATTGGGCGCTATCTCGGGATCCGTTGACAAGGAGGATGCATCCCCCCTGGCTACGGCTTGGCGGGAGTTGGAGGAAGAGACAACACTGACGTCGAAATCACTTGCATTGATACGCCAAGGGAAACCTTACATATTTGTGGACGACAAAATCGGCCGAGAGTGGACCATCTACCCGTTCGCCTTCCAGTTGAAGACTGTTGGGGAAGGTGGTGCAGGAGAGGCAGGTATCCAAATTGACTGGGAGCATGAGAGTTGGGGTTGGTATAACCCCATGGAAGTCGAGGACACGCCAGAGTTCGGTGGCGTGCCTAGAATTGCCGAAAGTCTCCGCAGAGTGTGGTTCGAGAAGGATATCGGTGAAACCCCCGGCAAGATCCTTAGAGATGGCCTGAAAAGACTTCAAACCGATCAGAGTGGTGAACAGGAACTTGCCGGCCTCGCTCTTGAGATCCTTCGAGATGTTGTCCGGGAGATGGATTCGTCCTGGTCATGGGATCAGTGGTGGTCCAAGACTCGATTTGTTGCATGGCACATATGGAAAAATGGACGGGACAGCATGGAAGCAACGATTAAGAGTGTTCTGCTCTCCACTTTGGCTGACGTTGAGAAAATAGTCAGCGATCAAGTTGACCAAGGAGAGCAGGTGTCCTCCGCTACGATGATAGCTACAGCTGTTGAAGAGTTGACTTACAGGACACACTCGAGGCAGAGCGACCCGGCAAGGTTGGTCCCGGCGGCGTTGGAGGAGCTTATTTTTGGGAACTTGTAGCCCGTCTCCTATTCAGCAGTGGTCTTACTTCAATCTGAGAACGCTTAGATTTAGCCAATATATTTGTTTCATCATGGTCTTCTTGGCATTTCTGGTGTTAGTGTGAGGGTCCAAAGCCAAATGTCCTGGTTTTATTCAACAACAAATTGCATGACCGTATCTACCAATTGTACAGGAAATATCAATAAAAAAACAAAAGAGTGAAGAGTGTAGTCACTATCGTTGCTGTGCGTTTCCCTCCCTCCCACGTCAGCCGATGGCAGAGCTTCATTTAGTCTTGGGTGGCTAGCTTTTCCTCCTGACAAGCTCTAGTTCTTCTGCGCGACCCCATTTATCTGCAAGTCGCCTTAGCGTCACTATTTCAGAGCTTCATGAACCCACTGAGGGTATTGCAAGGGACAGGATGGGACCCACCAGTCTGGTTCTCTCAAAAAATGTTCTCTCTTCTTAAGCTTTCTTAATCTCCAGCATTTGGCCACATCGGCCTGAATCCCTTGCGGCGTGATCACCTCGCATATGAAGCGAATTAGTTTGCACTTTACTAGGGCAAACTTCATCCCCTTATACCGGTCCATGATTCAGCCACGTTGCATCATCTGGTTATACCGAGCTGCTGTTTTTTCTTGGAGCTAGTAGATTTGCGATGTCTGCAAAGCCCATTATCTTTCCCTGGGGCGCCTCCTGGTTTTATATTTTTATATAGGGTTGATAAAAGTAACATGAAGGAAATTGGCAATGGCGGTTAGCCCCATGGGACCATTGCCCTTATTCCAATCACATGTGACCTTTCCCAGTTAAACGGTAGGACAGAGGCTTAACTGTGGAAGTAACAAGCCGGGTTGCCTTTCGAAAACCTGAATATTAAAACACGGCCAGAATAACAGCCAATTGCTACGGCCATTCCGTGTATAGCTGACGAAGAAGGCCGATACTCTGGAGGCAGCCGTAGGAGGTTTTGTCCCTCATAGGTAATCCAACCACCGTCATCACTCAAGCCATAACCCATATCTTGAGAGGACAAATTCAAATAGTCAGAAGAGGTATCAGTTAGGACTGTAGAATGGGCGGTAGCTTCTAGGTCGAATGTGCCAACGTCTGTATGTAAGCGGCTCGGCTCCGATTTGTCAAATTCGACATAATAGAGTCGTCCCACTGCCGTTTCAATCTGGTTCAACCGATGACTGATATCGAGTGTCGAAATACACTGGCCCGTTGCTGAATCCCAGATCTTGACCATATCATCCGATATCGAAGCAACTCGAGTCCCATCATGCGACCATGCCAATGAGTTGATCTGACCGCGATGGCCCTCAGTCGTCGTCGGACCGAATTGGCCATTCGCCGGATCCCAGATCTTGACTGTCTTGTCGTCTGATGCCGACGCGACCCGGGTTGCATCGTGTGACCAGGCCAATGAAAAGACCCAGGCGTTATGGCCTTCAAAGATCGACATGCACTGGCCTGTCGCAGGATCCCAGATCATGACCGTCTTGTCATCCGACGCCGAGGCGATGCAAGCCGCATCGCACGACCAGGCCACTGCATTAACCTTACCGCTGTGCCCGTCCATAGTCGATATGCACTGACCTGTCGCCGGATCCCACGTCTTGATTGTCTCATCGTCTGATGCAGATGCAAGCCAGGTCGCATCGTGCGACCAGGCTGCCAAATTAACCCAATCGTTGTGGCCGTCGAGGGTCGATATGCATTGGCCCGTCAACGCATCCCAGATCTTGATCGTCTTATCATAGGATGCTGAGGCAAGCCGGGTCTCATCGTGTGACCACGCCACCGATCTAACCCAATCGCTATGATCCTCAAAGGTCAATAGGCACTGGCCTGTCGCCGGATCCCAGATCTTGAGCCTCCTGTCGTCCGACGCCGATACGATCCGGGCCGCGTTGCTTGACCAGGTCACGGAATTGACCCGATTGCTGTGGCCCTTAAGGGTCGATATACACTGGCTCGTTCTCAGATCCCAGATCTTGACCGTCTTATCTGATGATGCCGACGCGACCCTGGTCGAATTGCACGACCAGGTCACTGAATTCACCACGTCCGTATGGCCCTCGAGAGTCGATATGCATTGGCCTGTCGCCGAATCCCAGATCTTGACCGTCTTATCATAGGATGCCGACGCAAGCTGCATCGCATCGTGCGACCAGGCCACTGACCTGACCGAATCGGTATGGCCCTCGAGAGTCTGGAGGCATGCGCTCCAATGATATGCCATGACCGGTTTTGTGACGATCCACTCTGGCTCTTCACTTTGAAACCAATTTCTCATTAAGCTGCGAGCAGGGCTAAATACGAGTGCTGAAGCGTATACTTGAAGAGGGCTATTCTCAATCGCCCGTTTGTGGTATTGGATGAATCGGTATCCATCTCGAACTAGGTTGGCTAACTGGGATGTCCGTCCCTAAAGTAATGTTAACGCAATTCTGCATAGGGCGGCCATAAACTAACCTGAACTAAAGCCTCTAGCTTAGACATCGCTAGTAACCCATCTGACATACTCTCGACAAGGCTTAGAGCCTCAAGCCAGTGAAGGTAGCTCCGGCGCAGAAACACGTCGACAGAGCCACCGTCCTCAAGATCACTAATCGTGCTCTTTCTAGAATGAGAATCGTGGAGATGGTCAACCCAATAGACACATGAGTACCGTGCTGCGGCTAGTGGATCTGGATCAGGGCGCTTGATCTGGTCAATACAAAGCCCGAAAGCGTCTTGGCTGTAGACGTTACGACGTAGTGTATCCGACAAGAGTTGTAGCGACTTCGAGAAAATGGTGTGGTGCAGGAGTTCAATCCCAGAAGAAAAGATTTGGTGGGGTGACTTCTCCAGCAAGAAGTCTTTTGCCGATTGATGAACAAAGTAGATGGTGCGATCTCGAAGCGTCAGAAAGGAGCCACAATGGTTTATAATCTCTATCAGGGGTTCATCACCAGGAACGTCGTCAGGCGTGTCGGCGACGTCAAGGATATCATCGAGCATGTCGCCGACATCAAAAGCATCGTTGGCCATGTCGACGATATCAAAAGCATCGTTGTCCACGTCGACAAAAGACGCTAGTTCGTCCACTGTAATAGGCCGGTATACAGCTAAGATGACGGCTAGTGTACGTTTGCAGAGGTCGGCATCACTCCAGCGAAGAATTTGATCCACCATTCGCTGGTAAAGCGAATCAAGGCCTGGGGGAAACGATGTCGCTGTCAAGTTCTCTCGAATCCTTCGTTTTGGAGTATTGGCAAGTTGTTGACAGACCAAGGAGACCCAGAGGAAAGTGTTGTCTGCGTTCGAGGACAAGTACCATAGGACAGCCTTCCGCAGTTTGCTGTCGTACTTCTTTTCTTGCGTCAATTGTTCTACCTTGAAGCGGATGTATGTGCTGACAGCTGTGGAGATTGACTTCTCGTTCAGTTCGAGACAGAGCCGCAATTTCTGGGGGGCAGCTTCTAGATGCTCTTCGATGCTCGGCCAGTTGCGACTAGAGACGAGCCACTTGACATGTGACGACACGGCTGATGTCCTGGCAATGAAGTTGAGAAGCGGCGAGAGGCCGTCGGTACACTCGTCAAGAGCATCAATGATCAGAAAGGTGTTCGGTAAGCTTGGGTCTTGCAAGATGTCTGTCAAGATATCGGACAGTGCGATCCAAGCATTTACATCCTCGAAGAGCGCTTTACCAGCATCATTGTGCCTTCTCCGTACGTGGGCTTTAAGCAATGGCTCCTGTTTGACAAGGAGGTAGATGAGTCCGCGTAACACCGAGATAGAGTTATTGATGCGCTTGTCTGTGGCCTGACAGAAAAAGAAGGACAGCAGTGCGCCACCCCTTTGGTCCGTAAGTTTTGTCGAGGCACTCAGTTCGTCGATGATACCGCAGAGCAACATTGTTTTGCCCTTACCAGGATCGCCCTTAATCCAGAGTAGTGGGCTGTTTTCATCGTCATACCATCGCTTGAAGTCATCATTCTCGAGGATCCATCGGTACGACCCTTTCAACAGGCCACCCTTTGTCAGCTCTATGCGTTTCTTGTCATCCCGGGGATCGGTGACCCGCAAATCGGCGAGGCAGCGGTCCTCGATGTCGTTTTCAGCCTTTTCGACCACTGCAGGATAGTTGTAGATGATGTTTCCGACATGAGCACGTCCGTGGCCCTCAATTCTGAGGTCTCCAACCGCATTCGATACTTTGCTCACCATATTCTTGCCGCGCGACTCATTAGTTTATGATCTGGCTAAGAAACATAGACACTGATTGTCACCACTTTCTGACGTACATGCGATTATAGTTTATGAATACTACTAGTACTGAATGACAAGGGAAACTCCGATACCTTCCTGCGCCAGAACTGATGGGGAAGGTAAAAGATGTCGACGACCGAGGACGATTCGACAACCGGGGGCGGTTCGACAATAGGTCGCGAGCCGCGCGGGGGAAGGCTGCCTCACAACAACCATCTAATAACCACCCATGACAGAAATTTGATGCCTGATAGGATGCGAGCAGCCGAGGACATAGTCGGGGGGTCGGGGAGGTGCGCTCTAAGACATGCAGCACGCCTCATCGACGCCTCATTGACGCCTCATTTACGCCTGACTCACGCCTGATTTGTGCCGGAGCCTCGCCTTGTGTCTCATATGACTTTGTTTCACTAGGTACTGTGTCATATTTCCTTTGTTTACAGTCACCGCACTTTAATATGAGGCACCCCACCACTTCATTCACGAAAATCAGGCTATGCATCCTGCAACTGAAATGGCCGCAGAATCGGCCAATATATGCTCTTTCTATTACAAATAAAATTCACCAGATCCCTAGGGCTTAGGGAGTCTATCGGCTATTCAAATTTGTGTGCAATCCGCAGGCAGCGATAACAGCTTCAAGCCGACAGGGCATTGATGTAATGAGGCTCCCTAGCTGTTACACGGCAGAATCCCTATGAGGTGGTGGGATTCAACACGCTAGATGTAGGATTCGTTATAGTACGTGCAGGTATTGTTAGTCACATAAGTAGGTCACATATCATATGCAAAGATACAAGTACTTGACGTGTAAGAGTTGATGTTGAATTCAACTGTCTAACTGCTAGGTAAGGTAGGTAGGTACGCTTAGATATACCCGTTCTGCCACCTGGTTTGTACAGTAACAGTCGCAAAAGCGCTATTGCTTATATGGATCCAAACACAAGCCCAATTCGGTTGCCGAAGCGGTACTCTGATATGGACCTTTACCCTTCGGTCTTCTACCGTTACTGCTCATGATACTCCTGTGCCACTTTCACCTGAAGAATCATCCACCTCTCTTCCATCTGTTCCTTAGTCAACATGCCCCTTCCACCATCCAGATGAGTGTCCTTGTCCTCGACGCCGCTGTAACTCCCTCTGCCAATCCCAAGCACCATGCACAGAGCTTCCGACTTAGAAAGAAGCCATTCTCCATGCCTCAAGCCATCACGCCAATGGAGCGGTAAGGCCTTGAACCCCAAGTAAGCGCCAAGTAAAGCACCAGCGAAACAAGCATTTGTGTCTGCATCGCCTCCTTGCATGATGAGATCGGTGATAAGGGGCTCGAAGATGCTAGCCGGTGTCCTTATAATACTATTAGTGCTGGCTATCTGTCGCATCGCTTGTCTGAGGAGGAGAATTCCGGACCCAAAGGTTTTGTAGACGTAACCAATCTTGGGGCCATCATCAAGTTCCAAGTCGGCGAGTGTGTTAGCCTTTGTGTGCCGGTATAGTTCGTCCAGGTCCAGTGGAGGGTCTTTACTCCTGCTTTCGTCTGTCCTTTCCTTTTCTCTTCTCCATCTCGTGTACCACGTCACGGCGGCAGCGACCAGTTCCTCGATATGCTTCTCCTCGTATACCTCTCCCCTAATGATCCCTCGGATGAGAGCCGTTCCGATGGCGCATGAGACGACACAGCGAGGATCTGCATGAGTGACCACAGAGAAGCTCGCGGCTACTTCAAACGTCTCTTCCAACGTCCTCCACAAACACATCGGCCCGAGTGGGTGAGTCCGCATTAGGCTGCCGTTTGGAGCAACATCGCGCATACCCTTCACCCAAGCATCTCTTGCTGTACCCTCAGGGTCCTCAAGGAAGGCAGTCGCCCGCACAACTGTCCCTATAGTCTGGCCAAGTCCAAGGGGGAGCGTATCTAGCGCCCTTAGGCCCATCTCCACCCAGGTTCGTAGTCGAGATGCAAAGTCGAGCGGCGAAAGCTTCTTACCATCGTCGTGTAGGTAGGAGAGCAGGATAAGCATGGCATGATCTGTATCGTCGGTCCAGTCCCCTAGCTCATGCTGGCTGCGATGGTGGTCATGGCGAAATGGCGTCCCATTTGCAGGAGGCGCTAGGATAAATTTCCGGGTCGGATAGGAGTTTTCGGATTGTTTTGCGGATAGAGATTCCGTGTACAAACCGATAGCATCACCAAGGGCGGAGCCGAAAAGTGTGCCGGCGACTCGGTCTTGCAACGTATAATCCGCCAGGTTCTCCAGGAGCCTCGTGGGAAGTTTTTGCGAGGGTGGAAGAGACATCTTGTCATACGGATGGATCTTGGAAGATGCTTTGCGAGGTTTCAATCCATGAACGCCTATCGAGATGCCCCTCCCAAAGAATTGCAGTATGCCTTGTTGATGCCTTATGAATGCCTGAGCTTCTCTTCCAGCCTCGTCGAAATTCTTATGTACTCTTAATCGAATCTCAACCAACCGCTTCCAACCGCTGGACCTGTTGGAACCTCCAATTGTGGGTCCAAAGCAACTGAGATCTCACTGCCTCGACCAATTCTGGCGTAACGGGCATGGAGCTTATCCAGCCAGAAGCGTGTTAGTTCCAAGGATCCGTGAACCTAATGGCTCCCTCAAGTTGGCCACCACGCGCTGATTCGGTTGTTCGGTTAGACTTACGGTATCTCACTTGGCTTACGTGGGTTAATTGATGAATTATTGAATGACTTATTCAAAAACTAATGATTCTGTTATTATTCTTTTTCTTCTTGTTGTTCTTCTTCTTCTAACGGGCAGGGAAGTCTTTTGGTACCCTGATAGCCACCGACGCACCAACTGCCAAGGTAGTGGATATTCAAGCCAACTATATATTACCAACATCAGCGCGACATAGCTTGGAGTGAGGCGGATGTTCCCGCATTTGAGAACATACCGATAGCCGGATAGCTCAATATGCCAGGACCAAGGCGGGCATATATCTCCTACACTAACCGTACCTTAGTTAATTTGTAGACCCAGTATCAAGTATCCAACTCTGCATAATAGGTATCCGAAATTACTAAAAAAAAAAAAAAAAAAATAAGCTTACGCTAACTAACCGAATTTTACCTTGACTTATCCCCAGAATATTACTTCTAACACTAACCACTAACCCCAACTTACTTTTTACCTTGATGAGATCTGGTCCACCGTAACAACTAAATCCCTTATAAGCAGCTAGTTCCGTTATATTAATTGCCAGAAATGCGATTATTGGCCTAATCTTTTGCCCTGTTGGCGCGCTGAGGTATAACGGAACGTAACAGCTAACTGGTATTTTTAAATTATAACTAGAAAGAATGTATAGTCATATATAATATTCCTTTTCATATTTTATTTTAAACCAAGGGTTAGTTCAGGTATTATAAACTATAAGATTAATATATATACATATATATATATTAGTATATCCTGTTACACCCTTGATTGTGTTGGGATCACTTAGATACCTATTACGGAGAGTTCAATAGCCGACAGATAACAATCATGTTTCTATTTGCGGATCTACTAATTATCCCAGACCCCCTTGCCGCCGTAAACATTCCCTATCTGAACTCTAGACTCGTTCTTCGCTGAAACCGTCTCCACGGAGTTTATCGTCTGATCATTGGTGAGGATCTCATGCTGGAGGACTCCCTCCGAGACGACGTTGCCGACGTGGAATCTCACCTTGTCCTCTGTCGTGACGTTCCTGGCAGAGTTCTTCCCCTCAATGGCATCTACCTTGCTCTCCACCGCGTCTTCTAAGGCCGGATCGATCCCGCGGGCGGCGTCGTTGAGCGTCTTGAGGCTCAGCTCGTCGTTGACTTCGTCAATCTCCATCTCGACAAGCTTCTGATGGGTCGCCTCAACGGGGAATAACTTTTCCAACTCGTCGACCCACGATGAGATCTGGTCGATGATCTTGTTGAGACTTTTCCCGTCATACAGCGCCCAAGCGGCCTTTTTTACTATGCTCGTGCTTTTCTGTCTCCGACGGGCGATATCCCTGTAGCGATTGTGCAGCCGTTGGAATACGGTGTTCATGTCGCTATTACTATAGACCTCTAGCTCCTGCTTATCAGCGCGCCCTGCATATCGCCTTGATTTCTTCTGGGCGGCCTCAAAGCAATCTGCAATATCCTCGAGGATCCTCTGTGCATCCTTCACAGCCTTGTCAATCGGCGAGGCAGACGCGAAGCGCTCGTCATCGTTGACCCCGACAGCCTCGCCCCATCGTCCTAGGCGCGTCTCTGCAATGTCTAGCTTGAGCTGGCATCTCTGGTAGTCCTCCCCGAAATGGCGGCCGAGCTGGATGTACTCGAAAGTATCGACACAGTTGTTGAAGAGTGCTGCAACGCTCAGCGCTCCGGTGGCGATGCCAAAAATTTCGGCCATTCTCGAGCGGATAGTAAGCTTGCTGTGCGAGACTAATGAGGAATGGAGTTGATGCCCAACGAGCCGACTTGACCGACATATTTAATATTGCCGCAGCAACAAGGCAACTTCACAGTCAGCCCGACAGAGCGCCTGGTTCCGACACCATCCATTGAGGAAATGCCGCTGCGCTGTGTGTGTAACTCAATAGTACTGCCTAGCCATGGATCCTCCAATGCTAGCATCCCATATACACATTTGCTCCACCTCTTGTGCCGCAGCTTCAGTTGTGGCTCACCTCCAGAATAGGCCCAATCCCTCCCGCAAGGCAGTGCATTGATACGGTGGTGGTGTTATGCCTTGGATTAGTTTGGTTGGTCAGAAGGATCACCAATGACACGATTTATACTGTCTTGAACAGTGTACCAGAACTTTGGTCGTTGGCGCCCCGATACCCTTGTCCCTACACATGATACTATTACACAATATACATGATGGATCTTACTACGCCCTCCGTCATTCAGACAATAACCAACGTTTTATCATATCAAGGCCAACGACAGTAAGACGCCAAAACACCATCCTGATGCTCCAGTTCTTTATACTAAGGCAGCACACGGTGTATGGCAAGTCGTAGTACTCGCACTTCCAATGCAATAGCCTCCATAACTAAGACACTGCCAGATCGATCATTCATCCATAAGAACTTGACTTCTATACTGACAGACGTTGAATACTTGGGAAATTTGGTCATTAATCCGACATATTACTCCTCCTAAGAATAAGACGGACGGTGCTGCACGAGCGCAGATACCGCTAGGCATTGTCAACGTCCACGACGGCTGATGGTTGACAGATTGGCATGATTGGATTCTGCGGTAAGCTAAATGGCCCATCTCCGCCACGGCGCTTCGTGCCGCGCCTTGTTCTTAATAGACTAAGATATTGCTCGGTAATAGAGTGGAGCAACTGCAGTTAAAGACACGTAAACACTCCCTTTTGGCACGTTGTATTAAGATTTTAGGATAAATAAACGGGCTGGCTACAGTGCTTATAAGGACAGAATATTAAGTATATCTATATCCATCAGGTTATAGTAGTACTTAAAGAAATACACTATATAGTGGCTTATACAAGTCGCATACCTTGTCGAGTTTAGTGCCTGCTATATCTTGCTTCATCTCCTTGTCCGAGTTTCCCAACAGAGCGACATTTGGTACCGCGTTCCAACCCGGGCCACTTGTCGGATTCTTTGCAAAGTCCGCCCAAGCCTTTTGCATGTATCGGCTCAATGTTTCCTGTTTAGTTGTAACGCCACCCCTTGGATAGGTACCATAAATCTCCGATATCTCACTGGAGTGGTATACTCCAGCATCTGGAAATAACTGAGTATTTGGAAAGGAAGCGTTATATAGATACCGCCAAGTAGGAAATCCTCCAAGGGATGAATAGTTGGCAACCTGGGACGCCGGGCATAAGAAACGGAAATCAGTATCAATTGCCGCTGCTTGCTCAAATTCGTTTGCAATACCAGGAGAGCCAATGGGATAATCAGCCAACACTTTGTCGTAAAATGATTGTCCCAAACGCGGCAGGACTGTCTGTAAATACTGCTGTGTTGAATTGTATCCAGTCACGAAAAGACGACCTTCTTGGGAATTGGTGCCGATGAGGATCGGTACCTTGGCGATCTTTCCTTGTTGTCTAGCGACACTAGCATGTGATATAAAAGTGAAGTTGTCTCTGATAGGACCAAATGCAAAATTTCCAGTCTCCTCAATGGTTGATTTAATTTTGCTCGCAGGTATTTTCCTCATGCAAGCAAGAGCGTCAGACGCAGATGAGCAGTTGAGCTTTGCAACCATATTATCCCAAGGGGCTGTTATATTGGCGGTGTTGGGATAAAAAGTTGATTGACCCGATTCCATGATGGCAGCATAAAATGGTGGGTTTTCATGATATGAAGTTACCAGTGCGTCCACGCTACAAGATATCAGCAGATGCTTGACAAGAATGCCAGTTAGGGGTAGAAGTAGTTATTACCTTGCAGCTCCAGCTGATTCTCCGAATATTGTTACCCGCTTTGGATCTCCACCAAATGCATGTATATTACGTTGGACCCAATCAAGTGCGAATCGTTGGTCAAGGAATCTACCAGAGTCAGCTCATTCGCCCTTTAATATCTCTCATTATACTTACCCTAAATTCTGATGGTCAAGAGGCAATTGGGGCGACCTGGGAAATCCGAACACATTTGTCCTATAGTTGACTGACACTACAATAATGTTTTGGTCTGCAGCCATTAGCGACCCATCCCAACGTGGGTCGCTGTTAAAGCCAAGTGTAAAACCACCGCCATAGATCCAGACCATAACAGGCTTTGCTCCAGGCGAGGCCGGCGCGTATACATTGACACTGAGACAATCTTCGCTTTCACCGGCCGGTGGTGGAGGAGTATTGGCCCACGCAACTAGTTGCGCTCGCGAAATACCATCTTGGACAGCAAGCTGCTGGATGCAGGCCGGGCCGTATTCTGACACATCCAGAGCTCTAGTCCACGGGGTGGGTGTGACAGGAGGCTGGAAGCGTACCGGAGATGCTGCGAAGGGCACGCCTAGGAATTTGTTGATGGGCAATCTGCCTTCTGGCAAGGACGTAGCAACACCAACTATAACGCCTGAATCGATCGTAGCTGTTGGTGAAGATTTAAATTTATCCCCAGCTAAAGAGCCAGAGGCAGCTCCAAGAAGAGAGAGGAAAGTTAAAGCAGAGAAATGGAATACGATCATTGTGAAATGGTGTTGACTTCTGTTTGATTCTGTTTGTCTGCCTCTCAGTTTATTTGAGCAGGAACTGCTCATATTTATCCCTTTTCAAGTTACCTCCCCCTTAAATGTGCCAGGTCTATTCAGCATTCTCGGACAGATCAAGGCGGTGCTGGTGTATACGCGTCACGGAGGCTCATCTTGCTATCAAAGCTGCGCACGAGAGACGTCAATCGGCAGGGTTGCCAAATTAGTTGGTGGTGTTTACTCATTTTTAGTTACTAAACTAATAGTTTAGTTTCATTCAGCATGCAAACTAAACTCATGGGTATTTAGTTACTTTAACTAATTTACTCTAAGCTATACTTAACTCAGTTGGCTGATTTATATAAATAAAAATATAAATAAAAAAAATAGTCAAAAAAATCCTATTTTTGTCAGGAGTCACAGCACAAAGAGAAGAGTGATGAGATCAAAGAGGTGAAACCCAGCGAGCCTCAGACTCTGCACTTAGGGAGACAATAAAGACTGTGTCTATCACTGGCCCTCTTTCTCAGAACAAAAGGAGAACATTTCCTTTTTATAGCTTTTGTACACGCCACAGTTGTCTAGTTCGAACTTTGTTGCGTCTTTGCTGCCAGAGAGCAGCTTAGCCTGTGACAATTTAAGTAATTTTACTATTATAAAGCATAACCCAACTAAATCAGGAATAGTTTATTATAAAATTGTTTTTGAGTTAATTAGTTTAGTTTACTAAAACAAGTATGGTGAACAAGAGATATTAAAAGCATCTACTTGCAAGTTTTGCATAGACTCTCGGGATGCTGATGATGGACTCTCGGCGCTATCTGCAAAAGGAAAAGCTCGCCAACCGCAACGATGACCACAAACGGAAAAGCTGGTCAGCCGCAACTATGACCACAAAAGGAAAGCTGGCATACCGCAGCTATAACCGCAAATGGAAAATGTCACAATCTGCATGATGGAACAGGAGATTCGACAGCATGCGGACAAGATTGATGACCGATTGACAGGGTTGTAAATTGATAGTTATTGGTGTAGTTAGTAGATTGAGTAAAACTGAGTAGTTAAGTTAATAAGTTGAGTAAAAAACAAGACTCCGCTAATTTGTTACACATTCAATTTAAACCACCCCATGCCCACTTCCAGGTTCTTCGAGAATAACAATCCACTGCCCTGTTATACCATTCCACCGTTTGCCCACAATGTTGGCCACAGATCAATCACTTCGTACTGTTGTGCTTGCTAGAAGGAGCGATTTTTCTTGTGCTCGACCTATCGTGGGTGAACATGCAGACACCTTGAGCATTGGCATCACGACGCACACACTATTGAAGATTCTTTCGGGCGTCTTTCTCGCCCTGACTCTTCTCAATACTACATTCCACATTACCAGACATCTTGGTCGATACACCGTTCCATGCCAGCAACGGCAAATAATCCGTATAATCCTAGTTCCCACCGTCTTTGCCATCTTCTCTTTTCTCTCAGTATTATCTTATGACGCATCGATATATTTGCGCCCATTGGCTGAAATCTATGAATCCATCGGTATTCCTGCTATATTCATGCTCTACATCTACTATATTTACCCCGATAACCACTCCTGGCGGGAAATCCTGGATCAGTTTGAAGCTCAAGATAAGAGAGGAGACTTCATTGCGGGCACCAATTTGGCTTGGTTCAAGCGCACCTGTGTCTCAGTTTTCCAGTGAGTCAGACGCAGACCGAGCCATGCCTCCTTTACTGATCCAACTTTATTCCAGGTATCCACTATCAAAGACCATCTCTTCTATTGTAGAGATAGCCACACAAGGCGCTGGAGTGTACTGCATCAACTCACTAGAACCACGCTACGCACACCTTTGGTGCGAGATCATCAACATTGCGGCAATTGTGCTGGCCGTACCGCACATTGTTCGCTTTGAACGCCGAATGAAGGAACATATTGATACAAAGCACCAACCGGTAGCCAAGCTGTGGACCTTTAAAGGTTTCGTTTTCCTACAATTTGTGCAGTTGATCCTTTTTGGGCTGTTAAATGGCCAGACCTTCAACCCAACGGCATATGTTACTTTTGACGATCTGTATTACGGTATTCCCGCTACAATCACTTGCATAGAGGCATGGATATTTACGGGCGTTTTCATCTGGTCGTTTTCATCGACAGAGTATACCCCTGGCAGCATCGGCCCTCAAGGCGACCCTCTGCCGTTTTGGCGAGCGTTTCTCGAGTGTCTTAGTATTGCAGATCTTTTGGGGGCAATAGGTTTATTGTTCCGCCTCTTGAGAGAAGGGCAGTGGCTGCCGATAAGAGAAAAGCAGCGAAATGGCGAACTGAAGTGAATAGAAGAGATTGCTAGGTAATTCAAGGGTTCTTGTCAGGTTCATCCTGAAAAATTGGAAAGTCAAGGCCAGCGCACCACGGCTGCTATCACGAAATAGAGCAAACTCAGTGGATCGACAATAGCAAGATTATATTAGAGAATATCCCACTTATGATCAATGTCACACAACACCAGCCATCGCTCTGTTGGGTACCAAGCGACAACACCCCGTCAGAGAACTGCAACATCCAAAAGCTATACCATGCATCGTGCATAACTCTTCTCCAAGGCCCGCAACTTAGTTATACATGGTAATGAACGCTTGTGCTTTTGCCAACCCCACTGAATTCTTTAGAAATGTGAGCAAGTGCTGCACCCACGCGCGCTTGAAGTCAACATCGCATTTTTGAACTTCTTTGTCTTGTAAACATGCCATGGCCGCAACAAGAGGCCAAAGCGTCAGTATGCCTCTGAGACTGTACAACTCCTCTATCAATTGCGGGTCTTCCATACCGCCCACTGCCGTCAGCTGAAGCATGAACGGCACGCCCATACAGAGGTCGTTGATAAGCTCCATCAGTAACGCGGCAGTGGACGTCGCAATAGACTCATTAAATATAGATATCCCGGCTGTTGAGAGTGGCGAGCTAACAATAGTGCGAGCCCACTCGAGGATTGAGAGATTTAGCAATAGGCGAGTGCTACAGTAGAGGTTTGTGGATAATGCGGCGAGGAGACTGTTGTAGATGAGCATTTCTTTTGGAGCTCCTGGAAGGCTGAAGAGCTCTCGAGCCCATTGCGGTCGGCTCTGGGCGTTTACGAAGCAGGATCGAGTAAAAGCCCATCCACTGCGGCTGGTTCGCTGATGCCATTCTTCCAGCGCTTTATCAAGATCCATGGCTTCCTGGAATAGCGGATATAGTCCCTGTGGCTTCTCATTCAGATTATCATTTTCTAATAAAGAGGACTGCTGCGCGAATTTATGGCGAAGTTTGCAGGCACAGTACATGAGAGCAGTCAACTCGGATCTGGGATCGCTATTGTTATGAAGTTGTATATCTGCAAGAAAAGATGGCGGCGGCTCTTTGTTAGCGAGACAATACATGAGCTAATGAACAATTAGCAAAAGGTCTTGTAAATTAGGCTACCCAGGGGGGGCGGGACGGTACAGTCTGCATATAGAGGACGGGCGCGTAGCAAGGTTTGTCAAATCTATGCCTTCCTTCGCCGCCCTCCCACAAATGTTCCAAGATCGAAATGGCTCCCCGCTGGTGAATGGCGTAAATTCCATTGAAATCAGTTGAGGTCATGACCTTTGTACCAATTAGTATTGGGGTACAGAGTATGTGAGACAACAAACCTCGTAGATCCCTAAGAGGAAAATACCAAAGAGAACCTGCTCGGCCCCTGTTTTCCCACTAGCAGAACTAGACATTACCCTTGCAAATCGGCCAAGGGCATTGTTATAGAAGACAGCGGCAACATTCTTGGCCTCTTGGGACTTGAGCCTGCCACCAAAATTTGCGAATGAGAGTGCCGACATTGCAGAATGAAACCATGAGTCCGGTGACGAGGCTGCCATCATTTGAGGGATCCGATCGAGCGCGCCATTTGTGGCTGTACCGCGGTCCTGAGCATTTGCAAAATCGTAGAAGAAACGTAAATGAACCATCTGTTGAAATGACGAACGCAGGGTGACAGGCTTGGGGATTGATGAAGATGAAGAGCTACTGGGAATTACTTGCTGCGATGGAGCTACTAATTTAGTGGCAGCCGTCCTTGGTAGCGAAGAGGAGAGCTTAGATTTAGCTGCTCGTTGTCGCCATCTCGTCTTTGCCGTCTCTGCTGCATGACGGTTTTGGTTCCGCAGAATCAAATCAAATTCGTCCCTATACTCGCATTCTTGGGTGGCTTTTGTGCAGCGCAAACAGTTAGGCCTATTTTCGTCACACTGGCAAAATTAGTACAATCCATATCACGTAATGAAATGCTATACTCAAAATCGAAAGATATTTACCTTGACTTTCAGGCAAATACATCTCCGGCAACCTTTGCTAGGACCGCTATATGGCATAATTACTGTTGATATACGATATTGATATGTTTATATCAAGCTTCGTAGGTTTATAGTTGTCGTGATAAGTCTACAGAGAAAGTAAGCACTTATGGAAAATTGTAGAGCCGACGGGTAAACTAAAGTGCCTGGCGAGTTATTAGCTGGCAATCAGGGTTAGTAGGCGATTGGTTCAATTGTTATCTATAGCTCATATCTTGTGCTCATACATACTGGATCTTTTAATGGGTATTCTTCCCTAGTCATTGAAATCCCCAGCAGGTTATTCACCGCATTAAGCGCATTAACTTTCAAATTACACTGCCTTATTCACCAGATTACACTTGGTATAATCAGAGGTTGTCATTCTCCACCCCGCTAGTGTCCGCATATAATCTCCGCATATGCCGCTTCGCTAGTCGACGTCTACGTAATGCAAGATTACCCAGGGAGTACAGTCCGCATTTCTTTTCAATTGGAAACGCGATGAAGACGAGCTGAGCAGGCACAACTGGTTAAAGGAATGTGAATTATTGAATATCACACCTCAGGGCGAATAGCGGGAATACCATTAACGCTATGACTGATGTCACCGAAGATCTTGCCTCCCAGGCCTGTGTTGCGTGCCGCGAAAAGAAACGAAAATGCTCAAGAGAGCTGCCTTCATGCTCGCTTTGCCGCAGGAACAGGAGACGTTGTTGCTATCCTCCTAAGGCTGTAACTCCGACTATGGACACCGTTAATTCTTACACCCTGCAACAAGTGAGTGCCTCAGTCCCCATTTGATGCAGTTTTATAATGGAGCAAGCTTATGCTGGTTATGCGGGATTGCTAACGGCGCAACAGGAAGAATTCCCTGCACTGTTTTTCTTAGATTTTTATACTTTCAAAGATCGCAATCATGTCATACCAACGCCAAAAACTCCCCTCTCTGACCATTATTATAAACAGCTAGGGAGCAGTGAGCAGCTGCGTTACGATATCGACTCATATTTCGCTTCGGTCCATGTGTCCTTTCCAATAGGTCTGCATATTCCTATCAGTTGGTTTACTTGGAAACATAGGCCGTAACAGAGACTAAAAACGTGAGTGAAACTAATTCAACACCTCTTAGTATCGAAGCTTCGAATATACCGGCTGCTCGATAACTCCCCAGACATGCTCGATCCAGATGTGGTTATTTTATCTCTAGCAATGAAGATGCATTGTCAACCTAGGAAAGACTACGAGCTAGCCAGAACAGAACTCTATGCTCTAGTAAAACAGGGCTGCTCAGACGCGGAACAGAACAACATACTCTCCGTGAAACTTCTACAGGCGTCCTTGCTGGTTGCATTGTATGAGATTGGAAACGCCATATACCCTGCTGCCTACCTCACGATCGGGCACTGTGCAAGGCTTGGCTATGCCATGGGAATCCATAATAGGCAAAATGCGCCTCAAATGTTCCCTCGACCGGGTAAGCTCTATCCAATGCATTTGTTGATGGAGACTTATAAGAATCACAGCATCCTGGGCAGAATCCGAGGAGAGACGTCGAGTGTGGTGGGCGGTTATTGTGTTAGACAGGTAAGAGAATACGCCTGGCCTCTATTACTGACTGCTAAGTATATATATCAACATGTAAGATTTGTCAACATTGGTGGTGGTAACCGCCCATTTGCGGCTCATGACGCGAAATCTGATGATCTACTCCCTATGAATGAGGATATCTGGGAAAAGGGAGTATGTGCGCCATAGCCTCACAAGAACAAAAAAGACTCCCACTAAAGAGACTAGGAATTTGTAGTTACCCAACCTTTGGCCGTCTCTGAATACGCTACCACTCGAGCCTCGTCGTTTGCGCGTACCTGTCAGGCCTCTCATCTTCTATCTCATGTTCTCCGCCACCTAAACGAAAGCAACGAAGATGTCAAGTTACACTATCACGAAGCTCTACAGCTTCACCATATCATAGATACTTTCAGACTTGCCATCAATCAGGAGATTGGTAACACGAGCGACGAAGTCTACAACAGTAGCCGTGGTATCTCTCACCTTACTGCTATGGCCATATGCTATAGTGCTCAGTTGGCACTCTACGATGCCTATTTCTGTGCCGACGCAGATGGGATGCGGGAAGTAGGTATTCCAGAGCAGCTCGAGATGCAGCAGGTCGCCATATCAGGTATCAAAAGTACTTGCCTCCACATTCATCAGCTCGCAGGCATGGTTTATGCATCTATTCAAGCCGGCGATATCTTAAAATTGAGTCCTTTGATTGCCGACTGTTTATACCAAGCAGCAATGCTTATTCACTCATTCATTAATGAGACTGGCAATACCGAATATGCTCAGGAGATGACGGACATGATAGAGGCGTTGAAACTTTTTCAAGGTCGTTGGGATATTTCAAGCGAGTAACTCGTGTTCTTCACCAGATAGCACTTTGCTGAACATGTCACAGATGAATATCTCAACACTCTCGGTATCGAATTCACTCCATCACGCTAGATATTTCCTATTATATATACATATTGAAAGAAAGACGGCTCCTGTAAATGTAACAAAACAATAGAGCTCGAATGCATTTTCAGAGCCTGGATGCGAAGCTGTTACTTGCACAACCATCATGTATACTGTTCAGTCTCTTTTTCCAGGATATCCCACAACCTTTTACCTGTGCCTCGATCGTGGAAACCCGCTTCAATATCTTGTCGTATTTTGCCCAATCTCCCCCACGGGATGATATAAGCCCCATTATTGTCTAACCCAATTGTCTTTGAGAAGCCCGCATAAAGCTCTGTCAAAGCTCCCAGAGATGGATCGTGTAGAACGAGGCCTCCGAATTTATTGGACATGCTTGAGGTGGAGTGGCGCTGCAGATTCGTCTTCAAGTGGCCTGGATTGAGAGCCTGGAATCATTCATCAGTGTCTAATAGTGACAGTGCAATGCGTGATGACTTACCACCCCAACAATATCTTGATTTCCATATCTTTTCGCAAGTTCCATTGCAAGCAGCACATTTCCAGCTTTACTTTGGCCGTAATACGTCATTGGCCCTTTTTCTCCCTTCCACCCAGTTGATTTCAGAGTGGCGATATCCTGCCAGTCGATGCCGTCCCCCTTTGGAGACAGAAAGTTATGGCCATCGCTGCTCACCCAGACAACTCTCACGCTCCCTTTTGGCGCCACCTGAGCTGTGGCGAGTAGTATGGGCATAAGTAGTTTGTTCATCACAAAGTGTCCCACTACATTTGTCCCCCAGTGGAGTTCGTAGCCTTGTTTGGTCATGCTTCCGCTAGGTGCCTTCATCACACCGGCATTAAACCATACTGTATGGAGGAGAGTCTCCTGTGCCAGGAAGCTCTTGACCGCAGGAACAATTGTTTGTAAGTCGCCAAGGTCCATTACCAAATAGCGCAACTCGCCGCGGCTAGACTTGTTCGATTCTTTTATCTCGCTAATGGCCTTTTCCCCAGACGCCGCGCTTCGTGATGTGATGTAGACTTTTGCATTTTTGGAGTAGAGTATTTTGGTAAGGATGAACCCGATACCAGATGTTCCCCCTGTGATGAGATAGGTTTTGCCTGCAAGATCTTCTAGATCTTGCTCGGTGAAGGTGGGTTTAGGTGGGTAGAATTCGCTTAGAGTCTGGCGGAGAGACATGCTTGTTGCAAGTGATAAAATCCTGTCGCCAAAAGAAGGAGAAGAAAAGGTATGAACTCTGAGATATTGATATCTTCCTACAGTATGTGAGAGGAGAGGAGCTATAAATAATACTTTTGCCTCTTAACCCCTGGCATGCCCGTGAGAGAGAACGCGGACTGTATGCGGACAGTATGCGGACACATTATGGAACACTTGCGCTATGGACGCGGACACTACCTTGGTGGTTGCTGCAAGTGAAACATGCAAAAAGTCAGCACAAATTTCCTATTCTAGAATATGTTAGAACGATAATTTCGCTTTCTTCTTCGCAACTATTAGTTCTATAGCTTATTAAAGACACACTACTTGGTGATTATATGTAAAGTAGGTACATGAGTACAGTATGTGGCTGAAGGTAAGCTTTCCGTTTGACAATTGCAGCAATTGGGGACTAATGACTCTTTGACAAGATTACATGGCGTCTTCTAGGGCCAATGATGGCTGACAAGTACATCGTCATCGCGCTTGATAACCGTGGTATGGGTGACAGTACTATCCCACCCGACGGCGATTACACTTCGGAAGCCATGGCATCTGATCTGGAGGGATTGCTCGACTACCTCAACATAACCAAAGCCAACATATTTTCACACGACAAGGGAACGGGAGCTGCGGTTACGCTCGCCATGAGGAGACCTTCTTTGGTCGCGGCACTGGGTGTCGTCGAGTAATGGCTGCCTGGCCATGGCTACGAGCAAGCGTGGACGCCGACTTATACCTGGGATACATATGGGCTGTGGTCACTTGCTGCGTGGGCTGTGCCGGACGAGGCTGAGCGATTCATGGAGGGTCGAGAGCGTGAGGTGGTGCTGTCATTCTTCTTCCATGCTTCGTATACGGGCATATCGGGATTCCCGGCGTACACCATCGACTCGGTTGTCGATAGCTTGCGGAAGCCTGGCGGTCTCAGGGCCATGTTTGGCGCCTTTGCCGCGAGAACCATGGGCCTGGATGCTCAGTTTTTCAGTGCGATGAATAAGAAACCTCTTACTGTGCCATTCCTTGCCATGGCCGGCGAAGCAAGCCTTGCGGATGTGCTGAAGCCCGTGTGGGGGCCTATTGGGAATCATACAGAGCTGGATATTGTGCCGCAGTCTGGCCACTTTCCTGCTGGTGAGAATCCGGAGTGGCTGGAGCAGCGATTGAACAAGTTTTTCGATCCATACTTGCATCAGCTCAAGGTTGTTGATTTGTCAGTGCTTAAGAATCGCGTTACACTTGTGCAGCCAATCAATTGAGTTGGAGTTTAGGAGATGAGACCAATTTTTGACTGGCTGCAAACCCAAATAAGCATATAACATCACGCTTTTATAGCTTGTCTTGTCTAAACACCGAGCTTACTCGGACAACAGTAGTAATATAATGCTTAATAAAGAGTATTGGAAGGGCGCGAGCATTGATCAAGTCATTGAAGTTGGTGGATCGGGCACACTCCGTCAATCTCTTGATGCAATCAAAATCCAAGGTGTCATCAGTCTTGTGGGATCCATGACTCTTGATGATAAGAATGATGAGCCCAAGTTACTGGAGGCGCTCTATCATGGGTGCATAGCTCGCGGCGTGTTGGTTGGCAGCAATGAGGCATTTTAAGAGATGGATTTGTTCATTGACACGAACAATATCAAGCCAGTAGTTGACGAAAAGGTGTTTTGAGTTTGTCATGTTCAGGAAGCATACCGTTATATAGACGTCTTGTGGTGGCTTGAAGACGACATGTACGGAACATGCATGTTACAAGGTGATTAATAGCCTGTATTTGAGGCGTATCTTCTCTTGTGAAACCCCCAGTTTGCGTCTATTACCATCATTATCGTGATGAAATGGAGTGCCTGATACAAGTATAAACCAGCTTGCAATCTCAAACGCCCAAGACGAGATTCTTCAAAGGGGGCGCACGATCCTTGTACCGAGAACTTCTATGCAGTTACACGCTATAAGAGTTGCTACTACCGGGGACACAGTTTCTTATACCGCGGCGCTCGATTCTTGTAGGGAGTTGCAGCTCCCCAAACTTAGGACAACAGAGCCCAGAACCAGGGGAATTGCGGTCTCATCAAGCCGGAAATCGACCATTGTGAATTCAAGATGCGAGAAAATCATCACCAATGTCACCAAGTCTTGCAACTTGGATCGTGAATCTGGTGTTGTAACCCTCTGGCACTGCCATATTCTGGATGCGATTTGGGCTTATGGAGGCTGTGAGCAGAACTTTTACAGATAGATGCATGGAAGTGTGAAGATGCTATGTTGAGTGCATTATCATATTGGGCCTGCAGAACAATGAAGCCATAGTTGAGGCACTCAGAATGACCTGATCTTGTGGTGCAAGGTCACTATGCATTTCAAAATGAAAAAAAAAAAAAAAAAAAATTCAGCGCATGATTTGAATGCTCTGAAGCAACTGCGTGGTGTTACAATTGAAGCTCATGTGTGTGCTGTAAATCTGAAATGGTCCGCGCAGAGTTGCTCTGAATCATGGCGCGCAAAGCTGTGCTGAAGCCTTTAGGGGGCCGACTAGCCTGTAAGCCCGCAAACTTTAGCGCCAATACCTGCACTGCCGGGCTGTCATTGATGCATTGATCCCTTGTAGCTTCTGTTCAATGGGATGCGCTGAGACTGAGCCGCCTGAAAAATGCCCTCATTTGCGCCGCAGGATTACGCCCGGGCTGAATTGGCTTGACGGCTGCTGACTCGCGCTCCGTGATTCAGAGCAGAAGCAAATCAACGGACAGCGAAAGCGAGCCGTGGCCGCATATACGAAGTACGAAGCGCACACCACCTATACATACAAGTAGTAGGTGTCGGTATAGGTAGTACAAGGCAGAGTACACGCAGGATACAAGTCGGGGGGAGGATCCGCCACTAGACGTTGCGCCGGATATTCCCGGCGCTGCATGTACCTGCAATGGCACTTGATGGGGCCCCGCTGGTACCTGAGCCGACTGTTGTTTTTTTTTTTTCTCCATCCAATCCCTTTTGCCCAGGTGGTTCTATTGATTTCTTTCAATGCGTGCAGGGGGGTTCAATTTCAGCCCATCAATGCCGTCCACATGTACTCCTTAAGCCGCGCTTTTCCACTGACCAGAGAGAGAGAGCAAAGGAATTAAGTCCAAGTCCAATTTGAGCACAAGTTTTTGAGTCTCGGGCAACTCCAGTCAATCACCATCATAACTGTAGCTCCTCGGCCGTGGCTCCTAATAAGCGCCCAACTCTGCCGCCTCCAGGCTGATGCTGCCAAGCCCTCACGACTCGCCAGGGCCGCAACCTCGATCCAACATTGTGCCCCCTCGTGGTCGTTTTTCGGCTGGAGCTTCCCCGGACTCCAGTGTGACAACACTTGGCCACAGTGGTGCGATGATTTTACCGAGACGAATGTACGAGTACGGTACGAGGCTTTTGGCGAGCGCGAGTTGCAGGTGGCGGTGGGTGGCCGCTTTCCGAGGCATCCCTGGCTTGTTAGTAGAGTGAGGCTCTATGATTGGGTAGGGGAGACACGTTGGGATATATTCGTAGGCACAGCAGAGTATGTTGGGAGCGTGCTATTCTTGGCGGCATCAGCATGTGCAGTTCAGGTACATGAGCATATACATGAGCAGACATGAGCATGCATACATGAACATGCATGATACCCGTACGCGGCCACTGAAGATGCGTCCAAGCACAGGTTGGTAAGCCAGATGACATGACATGACAGGCCCGCTGCTCTCAGGTTGTCATAATACAAGCCCCAGCAGTTTCCAGCTCCATTTGCCGTCTCCGAATGCATGTCCGGAGTATCTCTGCCCGATTCGCAAGGCTCCGAATGGCATGACTACCGCGTTCTCGTGATGCGCCGCTCGAGCACCGCTAGTTTAGGTCGGTCCAGAATCCCAAGAGACGTTTTGTGTGGATACTTGTTCGGCACGTTGGTGCGAGTGGAGAGAAGCGGTACTGCATTTGCATTTGCATTTGGGATTCGAACTCTTCACAACAGGGGATGCGATGATGAGACAGATGACGACACAGTCTCCAGGCGAAGCGAACATGGCCGATACTGTCGTAGCATCTGGATCGGTCCCAAGATTCCATCCTCGTCCTTTGTAAATCCGAGCCTCGTATAACAAATCTCCAGTTGCCACGAGACAAGACGAGACAGAGCTACTGTACTCTGTACGGGCACCACGACACCCTCATCGTCCAACCCGGGAAACTCGCTTCGAGGCTCCAGGATCGTGGCTTACGAGAGTTGCAGCCCCCGGTTCCGAATCGACCAGGGTACTCGTAGGGACAAGTAGGGGATCCATGGATGGCAAAAGTTGAGTGTCTACTCCGTCTAGGTACGGAGTTACAAAGTATGGAGTATCCGTGCGGAGAAAAGAAAAACACCAGTAATCACGTGGCTGAATGTCCTTCCACGTGGTCAGTCGGGCCGGAGCAGCCACACAAAGCCAAGGCGGTGGGGGGTTTCTGCCGCTAAAATCATGGGAGGCTGAAATGGCAAACACACCAATTGGATGGCATGGAGTGAAAATAACCATAACATTTACCGTACAATATACTGCAATAGGCTGTAGTCGTACTCTACCGTGATGGTGTGTACAAGTACATGTATTCTGTATAGCAGGCAGCGGGAAAAACACTACTGTACATACTAACCTTCTAAGGTAATGGCATAATAGGTACCTGTAGTTGGTAGCAATTGGCTGTAATCCTTAGCAATACTACATGCACATCTAGGTACATTAGTACTGTTCATACTCATCCAAGTCACTTACATGCATGGCAACACAGAAACAGAAGCAGGAAACAGGTGCATGAAGTAGTTGGGCCTAATGCCATTTTATTTATTTATTTATTTCGTTTTTCACCACACTTTTCTATCGTACACTAACCAGGCTGTTTTGTTTCCATTTTCCTCCGAGTCACCAAGACCTGTAATACACGTACATGTACATATTCCTTAGGTGTGACCAACCAGGCCAGTCTGGGGAGCATTGTCGGGGTTGATGTTGGTGTTTGCAAAACCAAGAAGCGAGTTCCACGTGTTGGCCGTATCGGCATTCCTGGTTCCCAAGGCCGCAATCTTGGCTTGGGCGTCTGCAACGGCAGCCTTTGCCGCCGCATTGGCTCCACACACATTGGTGAGCTGGTCGTGGATCCGGTTGGTGATGATGTTGGGGTTGAGCGCCTCCTGCTGGCCCTTGTTGACAAGGGGGTCGATTGCCTGAAAGGTAAACTCGGTGGTGGACCGTCCGTTGAGACCAGCCTCGAATTTCATGGTGGGGACGCAGAGTCCAAAGTCCAGGCCTGCAATGGTCGAAGCCACAAAGCCGTCAAAGTTGCCGGTGACGGCGTTCTTGACGGCTCCAGAGCCTTTCCCGGGAGACGAGCACACCAAAGTGCTGCCGCCGCCGGTGCAGCTTCCGGCCTGGGCGACGTTGCCAGAAGAAGCATTGCCCGAAGAGGCGTTGCCAGATGAAGCCGGCGCACTGGAAGCCTGAGCAGTCGCCACAGAGGTCACAACAGCGGTCCTTGTGACAGTAATCATGGTAGTCGGGAGAGCGATACTGTTGCATCCTTGGTTGTTTACCACAGTGACTGATGGAGCAGCCGCAGAAGCCTTTCCTCCTGACACTGATGTGGCGGCCGGTGCACTAGCAGACGATCCCGCCGCCGATCCTCCCGAGGCATTCTGCTTGGTGCCGTCCAAAGCAACAGCCGTAAAGTTTGAGAAGCCATTCTGAACCATGACTTGGGCAACGCTAAGGCCGTTGGCCGCAAACGGCTTGGTCTTGGAAGCTGCTGCATTCTTGTTCTCGAGATCCGACCCGACAACCGCAGGGTCGATCAAGGGAACAACACCGCGGAGCTGGGAAGACTTTGGCAGGGTAGGATCCGAGCAGATGGAAGGGATGCTGACCACAAACGGGTTGAAGTTTTGCTCAGCCGCAACAAGGCCGCGGGCTGCGGCAACGGCAGCGTCGCTGGTGCCCAGCTGGGAGATGATGAGATCTGCGTGGGTGAGCTTGCCACAGGGGTTGGCAGCAGCAAGGAGGAACTGGATGGCAGTGCCGGCCAGGGTGGCGGCCTGTCCAGGTTGTCCCAGGTCTGTCAAAGCCCCAATCGCGGCAATGGCTCCGTTGCCTTGCTCTTGGCCGAATCGAGCCTCGGCCGCAGCGGCGAGAAGAAGAGAAACAGCGACAGAAGTCTTCATCTTGAGTTGTCTGAGAGGCTTGTATGAAAAATGAGGAATTAAACAGCAAGAAAAGAATGTAAAACAAAAAAGGAGAATCAGAAGAGAATGAAAAGTCAGAGGCAATCGTCCGGCGAAAGCTTGAAACTCTGAGTTGGTAGAGAAGAGAAGGGAATGGTAAAGTGAAGATGGAAAGGAGTGGTGAAGAACCAAAAAAAACGACACAATAGCAGCGACATCAAAGCAGCTATATACTCGTATCAAGAGAGAAACAAATAGGTTTCCATCATAGACACTCACCGTTGACAACTACTACATGTCGTACGACCACCTGCTTGGTGTTTCACTTAGACACCAACTGTCGCACAGTCCGCGCGGCAAAGGGACCACAATCTGCCCCAGTGTTTCAGGAACACATCGGTTTTTTCGGGACTCTTTACGGAGTATAAACAATAATTTACCGGATATGACAGCCCTCAGCCTTGTTTGGCTAACCGAGGGCGGCTTGGTAATGGATGCCAAATTCGAGAACCCATCGAGAAAGATAGCTTGCCATTCCCCTGATATTACAAAAGTGGTCTGTCCAGGGGGGGCCAGACCTGAGGATGGAACTGGTCCTAATCTTGATCCAGGGCGTCATAATAAATCGTGGACGGCATTTCCCAGTTTGGCATGGCATGTGAACGACTCCGTACTATAGTCTATTGGTGACTTTATTTTCCTTGTCGACGTCGGAAGCAGCCGGTTCGTGGGTACTACTATATCTAAGACAACTGTTATGCGGGCCAATGGCGTTGGAGAATGAGAGAGCGGCTAGCGAGACATGCACTGATAACTTTATTGATGAGGCTAGAACAGATGAGTTTTGAAACAGCAACAGTTCCAGGGGCCTTCTTGTGTTTATCAGCGGGATGTGGGATACTTGGAGGAGTAAAGCTGTCAGACAGTTGTGAAACCAAACGATGCCGCGTCTACATGTATGGAGTACCTGGGTACCTATTCAGGACAGGAGGCGGAATATCCGACCGGCTGGTCGCTTAGAGGTACCGAGGTACTTGTATGCCTTTAAGTTGTTTGATGGCGAGCGCCGAGGTTTAGCAGCAAAGAGGAAGACAACAGACCTATATCCAGTCGGGACTAGCGTGGGTAGAATAGGCTAAATTTGAAGGGAGATGCCGGTTTGCATATCCTTACTTTATCCGACAGTCTGGATTCCCCATATTGCAGAGTATCTAACCGTTAGCTGTCACTTTGATTGCCATTTACTACTAATACTACCTTAGGTAGGTACATGTTACAGAGCCGCAGCCAGCGCCATGAAGCAATATTCCGACACGATTGTCGCCAGACTATGGGATTGACAGCTCAATAAGCAGGATGGCGATGAATACATTGATGGGGAGATTCGAATAGACAAGATTGGCTTTGGGGGGATATTGAATGTGATGAGTTTAATGCTTTGCTCTAGCATCCAGCAGTGTTTTAGTATTCCTGGGTGTAGAGTATGCTATTGACATTTGTTGATACAGACTACCAAATCCATCCACAATGCATTGATAAACTGACATAAACGACTAGTCCAAGGTGATGTGTCAGATGAAACTGATGCACGTAATTTATGCTTAATCTGGTCGGTACCGCAGCCGCAGCAGCAGCTGTGTAAACAAAATCTGTTTATATAGGGTAGCACCAAACATCTGTCAAGTCAACATGGTGTTTTGTGCTAGTAGGTACCCAATCATGTTTCGTTATCTGCCACTCCTCCAGGAGGTAAATGCGCATAAAAAAGTTTATCTCGATACATTATGAGCTTTGATATGTGAGGATATTCGATGAGTATATATATGTCACTTCATCCTTCTAGCAAGGTGAGCAGCTTAATCTCTTTGGAGAGCAAGTCTGATTCAGCCTCTTAGTAGCGGCTCGGTCTATTGTAATTCCGCGGCGCTTACAAGCACCCAAGCGTGCTTATTCCGCGTTCTGAATCATGTCATTGCAGTAGCAGCGAGCTGACAGCATTCATTTTCTTTACGCTGCCTATTTCAATTTTTTTTCTCAATTTTTTATCCCTTTAGAACTTCTATGCCTTGTAGATGCAAGATTCCTGGACCTCGTCTAAAAATTGACATATAATTTCTTTCTTTCTTTCTTTCTTTTTTATCATCATCATCTTTATTATTTTTTCTTTTTTTTCTCTTCTTTTCTTCTTCTTTTACCTCTCTCTCCATCATTTACACCAAACTATTAGCACTAGATTCATAACGTGGGGTAGTCGAGGCGTCTAGAATTACCCCAATTCAGGACTAGCCACGCGTATAAGAAGGTTACATCTTCCTGCATGTGGGGTGAACGCTAATCGCTCCCTACAACCATCACGTTTTTTATCAAGCATTTCGATCTAAGCATCCCGTCCATCACTCCAGTTGTCTCGGTGATTTTAAAGCCCGGCACGTTACAGGTAGGGTTACCCGCTATTTTCTGGATCCCCCCCCGAGTATCAAGTATCAACCATGGAGGCGAACAACTCCCTCCCACGGCCTGCTGCCTCCGTGGATACAAATAGTAGTAAGAAGAGAAAACGCCCTAAAGATGTGCCTTCGCATACAAGGATCCTGGCCGCCTGTGACGCATGCCGCGTGAGCAAGACACGGTGCGACTCTGCTCGCCCGACTTGCGCAAAGTGCGCCGAGCGTGGCCTGGGCTGCAATTATCCTGATAAAGACCCCTTCTCAATGTAAGCGGCAGTCTTGGGCTTGGCCAAAGAAAGAGCCCATGTCGAAAAAATGCTGATGTTGATGCCCTCCCCTTGTAGATTCGAAACCTGGGGCAAGAAAATCTTGACGGCCGTGGAGGAGCAGGGCCGCCTCCTGTCCAATCTCTCAGAAGCTGGCCGCAATGCCCTCCAGCCGCGCCCCGACCAGCTGGCTCGCCTTCTGGACATGGACGGAGATAATCTGGAGACCATGTCGCGAAAAGACACTCCTTGGACACCAATCACTGGCTCTGACATGATCCTGGGCTGGTCTGTATTTCCACAGGAGCGGCCGGTCAGCACGTTTCCCTCGTCAGAATATGCCGAGAAGCCGAAGCCCTCCGACCTTGGTACGTGCCAAGTAGTACTTGTTGCATGCGAGTGTTTGCATGTTGGATCAAGTGTACGTTTACTGTATATGTTTTGCTAACCAGGACGGTGCGGGTCCTCCCCCGAAAACAGAAGTGTCAAACCCGTCGCCAGAACGCATGTTTGAGCTGCGGGACATCTACATGAGCAAGATCCAAGGAAAGAATCCCATTGTCGATGCCGACCAGCTTGATGCTCACATTGCATATGTCCTGGAAAATGGCTTTGGCTGGTCAGCCACCTCATGCCTCGTGCTCCTGGTGTTTGCGTTGGCCGCCGTCTGGGGCAACTACCCCGATGATGAGCGACGGAGTATAGAGTCAGACGAGGAGTTAGACATTTATCCCAGGCAGCGTGTCACCATGGCCGTGCCTGACCATCGCATGAGAGAGTCTCTGATGTACATTGCCATGGCACAGAAGCGAATGTCCACGGCGTATCTAGACGATTCGTTGCTGGGCGTCGTGTGCTTTTGTCTCTTTGGGTATGTATACATGTATATTGCCAAAAGGTCGATATCGGTGCCTCTGCTGACGTGGAGTATAAGAATGTGGTATCAGTACAACATTGAACCCATACCTGGGTGGAAAATGTTCCGAACAGCGTCCATGATGTGGGAGGCATACAACTTGAAGCATTCCGATGGGAAGACGCACCGGCCGAAGCAGGAAGAGAGTATGCCATCCATCAAGTCCCATTACATCATTGCTTCCAGGCATTGACAACGCTATGCAGGTCTTGAACAGCGACTCTACTGGACGTGTCTCAAATCCGAATGGTACGTCTCCTCAGAATTGTCAATATCAAAATTAGTTGGCTTGAAGCTCACAGGACACTCACAGCGAGGTGCGACACGAGCTCAACGGCCTTCCCTCGTGCACGTTACAAGAATCATCATTCCCCTACGCGCTCCCCACGTTTCCAACGATTGAGAGCTTCGGACAAAGCCCCGTCGATCGTCCTGACGCCTCCATAGTGCATTCCACCACACTGTCTTACTACTACTACCTTGCTGAGATATCTCTACGCCGCCTGCTCAACCGCACACGCAGCGCCGCCACCGTACTATCACCAAACATCGACTCCCTTACCGCCTCTCAGCTCGCCGACACACTGCAGAAACTCGAGGGCCAGCTGCAGCAGTGGCTCGACTGCCTGCCGCCAGCTCTCCGATTCCACATCCCACCCGAGTCACACCCGCCACCGGACGAGCCCGAACTCGTCAAACTCATGCGCGAGCGGTACGCCGAGGTCCGCGAGCTCCTCTGCCGCGCCTACTTGTACATGTGCCTTCACGGCGGCATGCGGCTGACGCGCTCCCAAGCCGAAACATTCGGCGCTCACGCTTCGTTGGGGCTGAGACTAAGCATCTATCGGATCCAGACCGAAAACCCCTTCTTCCGCCACCCCGGATCGTGGGGTGCCTGCCGCGTGCGATTCAACCACGCTCTATGCCTGATTGCGGCATTTCGGGGGAAGCAGGCTGGTGTGGAGTCTGCGGCGCATGTCATCGTGCCACCGCTGTGGCGAGAATGCGTGGGCATGGTTCAGGAGAGGCTGGAGACATGGGGTGATCAGGGAGGGGGCATCCGGGAATTGGCAGTCTTGCTGGGCTGGTTGCTGAAGCAGTAAACTATATCTAGTAGTATTTTATATCCTGTATATTGCTTGTTTTCTTTGCTTACTCAGGGCCAAAGCGCGTTTGAGTAAGCCCCCCTGTGGAGGACCAAAATTTTTATCATCTTGATTTCTTACAAGCACGCTGAGTCAGAAACGCAGAGTTCGTTTGAAAAAACAAGATGCAATGTAGCCTTCCATAGTGTCTATCTATATTCTATCAAGCAAATCCATAAATTACCTCTTCGCAGCTTTTCACGGAATTATCAAAGTGCGTCTTCTAATGCCACGTCTACAAACCCAGCCAGTATCGCGTCTCGGGAACAACCAGCTTTCCCTTGCCCAGGATCTCCTGGCTAGACACTCCGACCAAGACCTCGTAGGTCCCCTCTTCGCTCTTGAACTTGTTCTCAATCTCGTCCCAGAAGCTGGTGGCGTACTGGTCGATAGGGATGTGCACCTCCTTTTCCTCACCCGCCTCCAGGTGCACCTTTTCAAATCCCTGCAACTCCTTTGCTGGGCGGTGCGTTGGAGAGTTGGGGGCGGAAATGTACAGCTGCAGGACTTGTGCACCAGCAACCTTGCTCGTGTTCTTAATCCTGACTATTGCCACCGTGGGCTGGTTCGGCCGGAACGTCTCGGGCACTGTCTTGACGACAGGATCTGAAAGGGCAAAGGTGGCGTAAGAGAGTCCGTGTCTGCGCAAGATGTGAATTAGCGATGAACAGTAAAACGAGGGAAAAAAATATCTTTGAAATAAAACTTACCCAAACGGAAACAAGACCTCCCTCTCCGTCTTCTCGTAAAACTTGTAGCCCACATACACGTCCTCTCCGTACAAAACACGACCGCCCACGCTGGCATAGTTGAGGTAAGCCGGGTTGTGCTTGACGTCGATGGGCCATGAGAGGGACAGCTTGCCAGAGGGATTGACATCGCCAAAGAGCACATCGGCGATGCCGTGGCCCGTCTCGTTACCGCCGTACCAAGCCTGCACGATGGCTTTGGCTTTGTGGGCCCATTTCATCGTGACAGGGGTCCCTGACTGGTTAACGACAACCGCGTTTGGCGCAGCGTCGAGGACCTGGGAGATCATCTTGTCCACGCCAGGAGGCAGGTCCATGTGTTGACGGTCAAAACCCTCAGACTCCCACTCGCCACTCAGTCCCGTGCAGATGATGGTGTAGTCCGCGTCCGCTGCCGCCTTGACAGCGCGGGCAATCATCTCTTGAGGGTTAATCTTGACGCAAGCACCCAGATGAACGGCACCGCCTCCAAAGTTGACCACGCCGGTGGTTTCCATCTTGGTGGTGTTGGCAGATCCAAACTCGAGTCGCAGCTTGTAGGTTCTGCCAGCCACCATCTCCTTGGTGCCAATCTTTTCCGTCGTTCCCTTGCCAAAAAAGGCAGTACCACGAGTCTGGTGCGTGGTGTTGTCGATGAGGAGCTCATCGTCAATGTACAGGTTGGCAGTGCCAAAAACGCTGAGGCCAAACTCCCAAGTGCCCGTCTCAGTGGGAACAAAGTCTCCAAGCAGGGTGCCCCAGAACATGGCCTTGTTCAGGTTCGGAACGCCGTTGTAGTCCATGAGCTGGAACGACGTTGACGAAACATTCTCGCTGCCGAGAAGCTTCCTGTCGGTGACGGTGATGGGGTCGTTGTAGAAGTGGATGACGGCCTTGTCCAGCATTGCTGCAATGACTGGAAGCATCTGATGCGCGTACGCGCCCACTTCGTGAGTGATGGAGGCACCTGGCAAGGCTTCTGAGATTGCATCGTAGAGGGAGACGGTATAGTATGGCAAAAGCGAGGCGCTGCCACCTCCAGAAATGGCCGGCAATCGCACATGGGAACCAATGAGGGCTATCTTGGCGTTGGTTTTGGGAAGGGGCAAGAAGGAGTCATCGTTCTTGAGGAGGACGATGCTGCTGCTACAAATCTGGCGATTCAAGGCGCGGTCCTCTGGGAAATCACGCCCTCTCTCTACCTCTGAGACCTTGAGCTGTCCGGCTCTTTGGGCGAGCTTGAGAACCCTGCGGGCGCGCTCGTCGAGGGTGGATTGTTTAAGCAGGCGGGCCTGCAAGGCAGATTCGATGTACTTGCCTCGATATCTCGAGACGCCGGGCATCTCGAGATCAAGCCCAGCGTTGATGGCGTCAATGGTGGTATACGTTCCGTACCAGTCACTCACAATGAGCGGATCCCAATTCCACTCCTGTCGCAGGAGGCCCTCGAGCATCTCTGCACTGTCGGCGACATGCTTGCCATTCACCTTGTTGTAGGAAGTCATCAAGGCGCCGGGCTTGGCATCTCGAGCTACGATTTGAAAGGGCCGGAGATATACCTCTCGAAGAGCCCGTGGGGTGATGAGGCAGTCTACTGCTCGCCTCTCATGCTCTTGGTCGTTGCCTACGAAATGCTTCACGGCAGAGATGACACCAGTGCTCTCACAGCCAAGAATCATTGAGGCAGCGAGGATACCGGACAGGTAAGGGTCTTCCGAGAAGGACTCGAAGCCACGGCCGCCCAGGGGGGACCTGGGCGTGTTGATGGTAGGGCCTAACCAGACATGAGCTCCCTTGGCGATGCATTCATCGCCGAGGAGCTTGCCTGCCCTCCTGAGCAGCTGTTTGTCCCAGGTGGAGGCCAATGCTGTTCCGCAAGGCAGGCAAGCGGCGGGCACTCCGGCGAAGAACTTTGTGCCACGGATGCCATTAGGGCCGTCTGTCAAGCGTACTGACGGCACATTGTGCTCCGGAATGGGATAGGTATGCCAGAAATCAATGCCTATTCTCCCCCCAATCATATGATTTAGTAAACGACCATGTATACTCATTGGGGTTTAGCCTGGGCGAAGACAAAAGACGACGACTCACCGGACAAGAGAGCAATCTTTTCGTTTTGGGTCAGTTGGGCCAGGACGGTCTCGACGTCGAAGCCCAATTTCGTCTGCTGTTGCCACTCTCCCATATTGAGAATAATTGATTTTTTTCCTCTCTCTCTTTTGCTAAGGAACGAATGTACTTCTCTCGGTAAGGAGGGGGGGGAATAAAGGGCAAGGTACGTAAATCCGAGTAAAAGGGCAAAGGAAGGGGGGTGGGAAGAAAAAAAATGTTATAAAATTTTAGTTATATACTCTTAGCAAACATGTGCGTTATATGTAGCCAGGGGTTCAACGGCAGAGAGCCGCAGGGCCGCTCGTCATCTGATTGTGCGTCCCGTTTAATTGAGTGGGCTGAACAGTTTTTGATCTCGGAGGTTCCCCATGGAGGTGGAGTCCAGTCTCCCGACTCAAGACCAGGATCCAAGGCCAGATGAGGCTAAAAGCAACGCTTACACGGCGTTGCTGGGCTTAATGCAGACTTGCTCGGAGCTGATGTGGGGTTACGAGCTTAAAAGCCTGTGCCCATCTGGAGTTGAGTTCGGGGAGCCTCCCCGAGGCAGCCTCTCCAATACCCCAGACTTACTCCGCGATTTTGAGGGGAAGCAGAACTAGTTTCTTTCTAGACCCTTGGCGACATCCCACAACGCTAGCTAGTCTTGGCGGCCGGCATGACTGGTGGGTTCTCCGCAATAGTCTGGTGTTTTGGCTGAAAAAAATCGCCATTGGCTTACTTCGGCTCCTTTTGTCCAGACCGAGATGTTGCAGAATAAAAAGAAGCATCACCGCCCTCGAAATTTTCCAAATCATCATCTCCATCCAGCAACACCTTCCTCTTCTGTCGGGTTGTCACCATGACTTTCCTCAAGCCCACCACCAAGGAGACTGAGGCTTCCGTGCCTATTGTCACCCAAATCGCCAATGAGGACAAGGTTGCGTGGTACAAGAAGCCAAACCTGAGATATCTGTACTTTATCCTCTTCCCGGCATGTATGGGTATCGAGTTGACGTCTGGGTTTGATTCCCAGATGATCAACGCCCTTCAGATCGTCCCGTCATGGGTTAGCTGTAGGTCATCCCTCCAAGCCCCCTATACGGTATCTATCATGTACGGGTTTTTGGGCTAACATGCACCCCAGATTTTGAGAACCCCCAGGGATCTCTCAAGGGTATCATCGCGGCGGCATACTCTCTCGGAGCCATTCTGTCGCTGCCCTTTATCCCCATCGTCAATGACAAGTTTGGCCGACGCTGGTCCATCGTGGGCGGCTCCCTCATCATGATTATCGGTGCCCTGATCCAGGGTTTCTCCCAGCACGGTCAGTTTTTCCTTTCAGATATACGATCTCCTTTATAATGGGTCTAGCATCTAACACTCCATCCAGTCGCCATGTACATTGTTGCCCGTATCATCCTCGGTTTCGGAATCCCGACTTGCATCGTCTCTGGCTCGTCCCTCATCGGCGAGCTTGGTTACCCCAAGGAGCGTGCCGTTCTCACCTCTCTCTTCAACGTCTCCTACTTCATCGGCCAGATTGTTGCCGCTGGCATTACCTTTGGCACAAACAGCATCCCCAGCAACTGGGGCTGGCGAATCCCCTCTCTGCTGCAGATGGGGCCATCCGTCATCCAGATTGTTTTCGTCTTCATGCTGCCCGAGAGCCCTCGATGGCTCATCACCAAGGGCCGCAATGCCGAAGCCAACGAAATCCTCATCAAGTACCACGCTGAAGGCGACGCGGACTCTGAGTTTGTTCGTGCTGAAATGGCCCAGATCCAGTCCACTATTGAGTTGGAGTCTGCAAACGCCAAGAAGAACTGGCTCTCCATCTTTGCCACCGCGGGTATGCGACGACGATCCATCATCTCGTCATTCCTCGGCTTGTTCACCCAGTGGTCCGGCAACACTCTCATCTCATACTACCTGGGTGATCTTCTCGGCATGATTGGACAAACCGACTCTGTCTTCAAGCAGAAGATCAACGTTGCCATTGCCTGTTGGTCTCTGATCGCTGGTGTTACCGTTTCTCTGCTCGTCAACCGCTTCAAGCGTCGAACCATGTACCTTGCCTGCACCTGCAGTCTGCTCGTTGTCTACATCTGCTGGACGGTGACGATGGAGCAGAGTATTGCTGGAAACTTGATCAATAAGCCCAACAAGGCTGCGGGTGCCGCCACCATCTTCTTCATCTTCATGTACCAGCCCTGCTACAACATTGGATACAACGCCCTCACCTACACCTATCTCGTCGAGTTGTGGCCATACACCGAGCGATCTCGCGGTATTGCCCTCTTCCAGCTCTTTGGACGTCTGGCCGGTTTCTTCGCCACTTTTGTGAACCCCATCGGCCTCGACAACATTAGCTGGAGATGGTTGATCGTCTACTGCTGCTGGCTGGCATTTGAAATTGTCTTTGTCTACTTCATGTTCCCTGAGACGGCCGGCCGAACTTTGGAGGAACTCTCCTTTTGTAAGCTCCCCTCCCGTCACCTCCTTTTCCATTTCAATTTGCGCTTGATCCAGTTTACTGACAGAATTTCTCCGCAGTGTTTGAGGACAAGGCTCTGGCTGACCAAGCCACCATGGCCGTCGAGAAAGTCGTGCACCACGATGATGGCGACAAGGCCGTCGAGATTGGTGAGGTGCACCACGAGGAGAAGACTAGCAAGGTCTAGAAGTATGAGCGATGAATTATTTATGCGAATGCCGTGGTGGTAATTGAACAGGGGGAGCCAGATACCATGCTATTTATGTAATAAACCTTATGAGAACAAATTTAATGAACCGAGACTATTTGCAGTCGACATTGCAGAGCACCTGGCACTTTGAATGCGTCGTGATTTTTGCTTTCAAGGGGTGCCGTACTTTCTGAAATGTTGTGTTACTGGCTCGACAGCCGAATCTTGATGGGATATCTCAAGACTGTTGAATGTAAGATGCAGTGCCCACAAATGAAGGCATTTTGATGCTACCTTGGATCGAATGCTGCCCTGATGCAGATATCCCACAACATGAAAGCCACAAATCACGGCAATGACCCACAACAAGGGGGGACACAACTCGCTTGCAAAGTTATCGCATAGAGTCTGGTAGCCTATTACTAATTTACCCCAAAATACCGGTGGATCCCAGATTTGGAGAGGCTGCAAGGGGTTGCAGTGGTACGGCATTAGCCGTTGGAGAAGATGTGAACCTTGATGGAATAGTTTCCACGGTGGCGGTTTTCTAGAGGCATAGATAGAATGTGGACAGTTGTAGTATGTGAACCTGACAGACATTAAAGTTGCGTCTGTATGTGATATTGAGCGATAGACTTTACAGCTTCTGGTTCACTTGTTTGGGTGCAAAGTATGGTGGCTATACTTGGTAGATCGTTTTTGTAGGGATAAATAACCGGAACATCGCGATACTTATCAACAACGCATAATAACTCGAGAAAACGAAGTTTAAGCTACATCGCGGGCGGTCAAAACTGGCTCAAAAAAGCGAATCTGACTAATTGCCAGTCAGTATTTCAGCTGTGGCTAGTGATTATGTAGATCAAGCTTTTCTACTCCATAAGTATATCGAATACACCTACTCAAGAAAACCACTTCCTGAAGTAAAATCTCATTGTATGACGACCTTAATAGCTATGTGTAACGTATCATGAACCAATCAGTAGAAACTCCCTCCGCTATGCTGATCAAAACAAACCCTCGCATCATGGAACAGAGGATAAAACACGAACGACCACACTCATGATCGGAGTATGTGAATTATCACCACCATGAACACTAGTCAGTCGGAATTTCACAGCCCTCATTCCTTGCCGGCGCATTGTATAAAACAATATGTAAAACACCCGCGGAAGCCGTTCCGGATTGATTACGTCGATGGATGTGCCAAGAGCATATCCTTCTGCCGCGGTGAGTGTAAACTCGATCTTGGTCTTGAGGGGGCCAGTAACTGTCACCACCCTGTGCACTCTCCAGAGTTTCTCGAGATTGGTAAAGATGGGGTATATTTCCTGATGTGCAGCGTGGAAAATATTCCCGACAAACTCTGGATCCCCGTGTTGGAGCACTTCAAACTTGTCAATCATCATAGTTTCCGCGCTACGATGCATTTGGCCGCTAGCAAATGTCAGTCCGACCCGGAAAGGAGTTATTGGCCTGTCGCAGGTGTTCCCCCAAGCTTGTGCAGGAGTGAGCGATTGGTTCATTGCGTAGCTCGGTTCGCTGAGGTACGGAATTGTAGCATTCCGTCGTTGTCGTTGTCGTCTTCGTCGTTTCCAGGGCTCGCCATAGCAATCGATCTTGAAGGTTTTGAAAGCAGGCAAGAGTGCACAAGCGCAGGTGTGTCCCTCAGGATTCAAAGATACAATAAGATCTTCGCAAAATGGGTCACTGAAGAATGACCATTCACAGTACGGCCAATCTGGATTGTCTGGTTCCTCACCCGAGCGGACCACGAGGTTGACGCCGTAATCTTCAGCTGTACCACAGAATGTATATCCAGCATGGCTTGCGTACAACATTTGCGTTATTCCTGTGGGTTCCTCGTCGCAAGACGCACCATGGAACACCTCGAGCATCGAAGCCAACGAAGGTACCGCAAAGAAAGCGATGGGGGCGATGTTGAAAATGCCGAGTTGCATTGTGAAGTTGTTCAGGTAATCAGAGAGTGATGGAAATTGAAGAATGTAATAATCGCGAAGGTATCAAGAAACTTCTTGACTAATATTATGTTGGTTGGTGTATTGGGGGGAAGAATGAGAGCTGGTCAAGCAGGGGGGGCCGGGAGTTTATGTAGAAGTCGAATGTTATAATCCGTAGTGTTTAGAATAAAAATAAATGAGTCTTCCTATTTAAATAGTCATGCCTAGTCTGTCCATAAGCTACGTTTACCCCAAATTATAAGGGCGTTACGCCCACATATAAAATGAAAAAGCAACTGTGCAAATAGGAAGACTCATAGATCTCAGCCAACAAATTATCTTTATAAAATCTAAAGTTAAGCTGTAAGGCTTAGAGACAAGGTTTGAAGATATGCTCAAGGCTCGAGGCAAGATTTACATGGTGCAACTGGTGACTCCGTAGAGTAACCTATCCTTTTTGAAGGGACCTCGAGAAGCTTGATGCATCGAGACAATCTTGCTTTCCCCTGAATTTTACACATCGTTTTCCAACTTTGTAATCAGGCAAGGCTGCGAAGTGGCTTTGCAAAGGTGGCAACCTTAGAGAAGTGTGGCTTCAAGATTTGCTGGTCTAAGCCACCACAATACATGTAGGTATAGATATATGGTGCCCTATTATTACTCAGAGTTTACAATACATACTTCAATGTGGATAGCACAGTTGTAGTAAGATGGATGTACCAAGCCATGTAATCAAAGTTTTACTTCTTGATGGTGTATCTTCTCTAGGTACATGTTTCTCTAATCCAATTGCCCTAAACTCACCACTCGGCACAACCTATATCAATGACGCGATTCAACCGATACATGTGTGTTGTGCATGCATAGGTACCTCAAATTTGATGTAATTGTTTCCACTATCTCCATACATTTGCCCTTTTTGAGAAGCTTCTTCTCCTTCTTTATGGACAATTTGTGCTTACAGAGCGACCAGAACCGATTCCAGGGCGGCAAAGTTTGGCGATCTACATTTCTGGGTTAGTTGAGTCCATAATAACCGAGAATGAGAGCGAGAAGGAGAGAAACATACCCAAGGCCCGTCACAGGATCCCATCCGGCCGCAGCTGGGAAGCCCCACAGTGTTGTTTGATCAGGAGAGCTGCAGCCATTGTTGTTTCCCTCGGTGACATCATTAAATGCCTCCGGGTGTTGATACTGGCACAAGAGTGTATTAGTTATATGACGGATATCACGATATTGGATCTCCGAAGCACTTACCAGAGCCGGGTTGACAAACCCAAGGGTGCTCTTGCCAGCGGCAATGCGCTTCTCGTTGATCAGAGTCAATAAAGATCCCCAGACCGGCGTCGAAAGCGAGGTTCCGCCAATAGTACCAAATTGCCCACCGTAGACAACGAGCTGATTCTCTCCCACAGCCGCCACATCAGGGAAACCACGGCCGCCCCGGTTGTAGACTTGGTTGACGTCTGTTACGTTGTCAAAGTTGCCGTTCACAATGGTCTGGTTGTAGGATTTGAATGGGAATGAAGACTCTACAGCATCAAAGTACGCGTTGACAGCGTCTGCCTGGTAGTCGGCGACGCTAAAGATGTTGCTGAAGCCTCCACCGCTAGGGAACTGAGTAGTGGCAACCTCTTCAAGTATTTCCCACTCAACTGGAGGAGCGCTGGGGTCTGCACGCCTCAGCTCAGTGCCGCCGACTGCGAGGATGTATGGGCATGTCTGGGGGAAACCGGGAGTGAAGATGATGCCGACGTTGGGTTCAGAATTCGGACCGATGCAGCCCAAATGGGTGCCAACACCATAGTCGCCTGATGAGAAGACGACGGTAACTCCCTGCAGGCCGAGCTTCAGGTACTCGTCACACTGGCGGTACTGGTAGTTGTTGGGGAGGAGATCTTCGATGCCGTTGTAGGAGACTGAGATGACATTGGTGGGCTCGAATACACCGCACTGCTTTTGTCCTTGATATCCAATAGGTGAGGGATAATTGGGGTTTGGATAAACAGGGTCGGCGCATGAAGAGTCAGTGCAATCCCCAGTCTCACCGTAATCGCTGAAGCTGCAGTAGCTACCATCAATGGCATCCAGGAAGGCTGAAACTGATTAGAAGAGGGGAAATCCACACAGAGGCTTGATGGGGATCGCCTTACTATTAAAGAAGCCTTGAGTTCCAACAATCTCGTAATACTCGTCGTTTGTCTGGAACAGGACCGTCTTCTGGGGCCAGATGAGGGGGATGGCTGACTGGAAATCCAAGGTAGACTCAAGTCCAAGACCACCAAAGTTGGAACCAATAGTAGCCACAATGTCCTCGTAAGACCCGATGGCGCCATCGACCAAACGGTTCTCAGGATATGTCCCCTTGGGGATATTAAGATCGCTATTGCAGCATTAGAGATGGCTGATCATCTCGTCGCCAATCAAGTGAACAGGATTCCTTACGGATAGACAGCCGCCAAGAATGCATCAAGGTCAGCAGTGCTGTAGTGGTCATTCAGGTCTTCAAAGATTCCCAGCTCATTGCCGGCAGCGGCTGTTGTACCATTGGGCACACCATACTGAACTATACAGAAGATTAGTTCATATTCGTACATGTAAGTCAGGTAAAAGCAACCAACCTCTGATACAATCAGCAGTGATGAAGCTACTGCAAGAAGTGGAATTGACTCCTGGGACATCGTTCACAGCGTTTATGTGGGCGACAGTGTTGGTAAAGTGTGGACCCTCGCGAAGTGCTGAGATCTTGTTTGTCTCTCGTTTGCTGAGGTCGCGCTTGACGGCATTGTTTGCACGCAGTCTGATTCCGGGGGTTGCGTAGTCAATGTGCTCTTGAATATGGGCGGGAACATGATATTCCTCACAGGCAATATCTCTGTGAGAACCTGTGCTGTCCTCCCAGTAGTAGAAATCGGCCACCAGGAGATCCTCGGCCTCTTCAGCTGCCGCATCAAACTGGATCCACTACACAGCATCCAATGTCAGACTGTGTTACTTAGGATATCAAGGATGGGGATGTGGATTTGCGTTTCATGAATAATTGATCACGCTGGTTTTATGAGATACAACTCACCTGCTTGTTAGCTGATTGGCTGATGCGCTTCCGATCAATGCCGGAAGAGACGAGCCAATCAATAACAGCATCCACGCTAGACTGTGCCGGAGCAAAGAAGTCGATGACTTCCTCTGCAGTCATGTGTTTACCATAGTTGGCAGATTTCGGGTTAGAGCTAGACTCTAATGTTAAATCCTGTTTTTTTAAGCTCTTTTCTGCCTTGGGTCTTACATGTCCATGAGCCTGGAATGTCCCACATCGAGATTTCGCTGCTTTAGGCCGATACGCATGGGCAAAACAGTCTTTCGGGATAATCTCTCCCGTTTAGTCCAGTGATTGGCGGTGCGGGGCGGGTGGCGTTCATGAAGCCTGTGGGTTGATGGAACATCACGCTTCACTGGAACCTTGTCGCGCAACAGAGGGCTTGCAACGACTTCAAGGGCCAGCTGGAGGCCAAAGGCCGCGACAAGCGATCTGAACAACATTTTGCACGTTGATGAATCAATGGCAAGCTGGTAAAAAGTATGAGATGATGCTGCAACAACACATACAAGATTGCAGACGAGCAAAGGCTCTTATATAGAGTAAGTTGTTTTGTTTCTGTCCAACTAACTCGTACATGCAACTTGAAGTGATGCCTACAAGGTTGTGCTAGATGAGGAAGGTATGTAGATAAGGCGTCAAGTGATGTCAAGTATGGAGTGAGGATAATGTAACCCTGCAAAGCACACGAGCACTGTGTAGCCGGAAATACGAACCACTCCGAGTATCTACATCCATATTCACGTTCGTATCTAGTCGTATTAGATAACGCAACAAAGTGAGTGCATATCGATCGTGCTCGTATATGGTTAACCGTCTTATATGGGGAATATCAAGTACATGTAGTTGACGTTAATAAATAGATTAAACCATGGAAGAAATAAACTGGGCATACAACTAATATTAGGTGTAGTTTACCCATAGCTAGTGGTTTTTCTAAAAAGTTGCGTCTAACTATTTGATTCAACTAACCAACCTTGTTGTAGTGCCCCTCTATTCATACAAAGTAGAATGTTGACTTATATGCATGTATGACGCTATTTATCAGAACCTTTCCAAGGCGAGGGCTCGATATATCAAAGCACGGCAGAGAAGCCCCATGTAACCGTTTCCAGAAAAGGCAATCCAATGATTAGATTGCATGCAACACGCGTGATCTTGCCCACCTATTCCGTCAACAACATCCTCTATGGAGGGTTGGGAACTTTGCAACCACAAAGACCAAAACCAATAAATATTTTCAAATGACGTCTTATCTTCCCAATCCATTATTCTTCCTTCTCGAAAAGGATAGCGTTATGCTGTGATTGAGGTGATCTTTATGCATAGCAGCACCGCCCGCAGTAGCTCGTGGGGTACAACCTAGATAACCCTTGGCCAAACTCGACAAATTATATGGCAACCCCTCCTTTCATGCCCGATTGCATTTATATCACAAAGAATCAGTAATCTGCAGCCACTTCTTCTATTTCTTGTTATCATCTCAGGCATCGAAATCCAGCGTTATTCTCTCATCATCAGCAGTCATGATGCTTGCGCTTATCGCGGCGGCCCTCGGCCTATCCACCTGTGCTTTTGCCGCACCACTCTCCATCAACACCACAACTGAGAGTTATTCCTTTCATGTCGTTACGGCTACAAGCAATAGTAGCAACTTCCAGTTAAGGCTACGGCCCAACCAGTACGATGTTGATTTTGGATATCCTGCCGGAACGTTCCACTATGTTGGCATAGATGCCGCAGATGCGGTGTTGGTTGCCAACTTGAGAGACGGAGTCTTGTATAGCCAAGGACGCGATGCCGACGGCAGCCTATATGATCTCGGGCCCACAGGGTACATAAACCTCAAAGAATCCGTCGGCACTTCGTCATCCTATTTATTCAGCTTTGTTAATGCCACCATTTACCCGCCCGCACTTGATGCGGGGTGGCTGTTGAGCCCCAGTGATGGTGGTGCTACATATGAGCTGCTTTACACGGAGGCGGAGGGAGTTGTTAACGGCTGGCGATGGTGCATAGCAGATTTCGATCTAGATTACGGCCCGTGGTCTTATTTGGAGTATTTTACATATACCGATACTCCTACGTTTGACTCTTACTGTGTGCCTGCGACTGTTCTGGCAACTGTTGTAAAATGAGACGGCGTCTTATAGCAGCATCTAATTTTAGTGCTATTTTGTAAATTGGAAGAGCCGGTAGTGGAGGAGGAAGAAATTCTAGTGCTTTTATGGGATGTCTATGTAGTTTGAAGTATGTTGGAAAACACAATCTATTGAGACGGCAATTGAATTCTTCCATGTTTGCGCGAATATATGTGAGGTCAGATGTGCTAAGGTGATACTGCCATTCTTGTTTGATATGCGCTCACGGATATCAAGACGGAAAAGTAAAGTACCCCGATCGCAAAATACAACCCATGTGCATGGACAATTATCCGTGTACGTCCACACATATACTATATCGCTGCATTTTGGTCTCTAATACTCCGTGGGTAATCACCCAGAATCAGCTCTTGGCCTAGCCATATATAATTATCAAAGCGAGAATTTCTTGAATCAGCCCAAGTGTTTTCATTGCAATTTTCTTCATCCCCTTACCTAGAATTAACTAATCGTCAGGTATTCAACATGGTGAAGGCCATCGGCAATGAAAGCACTGTTGCCGCATTCGGCGATTTCGGGTCTCCAGTTGCCGACAGGAGGCTTTTACACCGAAGCCGGCCATCGGCGACAGGGTTTGATGGTGAGATAAGCAATACCTTCTGAAACATCGGCATTTGCATGTATTGGACAGCGGGATTTGCATTGGTAATAAATCTGATGGGCTCGTTTTCCAAATGGCAGCCGCTTCGCCAATTAATTGAAGCAATATAAAATATATATGTTGTTGGAGATCGAAGTTTGAACAGATGAGCCTTGTTAACATACAGGCTCTCGCTTAGCTCGCCTCGAAGATATGCTTAATATTTCTTCCTCATGCCTGACCTGAAAAAATATCGTTATGGCCGCGGAGAGGATGATGAGAAAATAAATCAATCAGCAACAAGTTGGCGCGATTAGGGAGTGATGTCGTCGCGTGGTGGCATTTTGCGGGCAGTTTGACTAATAAGGGCAGTTAGTGCCACAAGTAAATACATGTAGTGAACGCCTTTCTTCAAATGAGCTGCTACAATAATGTATCTATCATCTGCTGCTGAAGGATGCGCGCACCTTGCATCAAGGTTTGACCATCTCTGCAAATAGTCCGTTTATTATATAATTCGGTGTATATGGTGATATTTATGTTCTTTCGAACATGAAATTTCCAAATAGTATGCTAATTTTTGTCCTGGAATTAGCGAGGGATCTATGGGAATTAATCCACCAGATATGGAGTATAAATCTCCTAATAGTTGTTGTTTTTGTTAGTTTATTGCTTGACTGCTTTAGTGTCTTTCTGATAGGCTCAGCTGCGGCACTTATCAGCTCTTGTAGCCGCTGCCGATATTATTGCTGTCAAAGTCTAGTTATCGACGAACCGTCTAATATCCGAATTGCCCCTGTATCCTGGGTCCTCATAACCCAAAGTAACAACACAAATGATCTCCTCACTGGCCGGCATATCTAACTCCTTAAAATAAAGACTTGGACACACGATTCAACGCCGTCGTTCTCCAACGGCAACAGCAGCAGCTGCAGAATATAGATGCAACAGCTTTGTCAAATGGTAGTGTTGTTGAAGAAAGAAAGTGGAAATCTATTAGTCAAGGTGTCAGTGGTTGAATGTTCTCAACTTATAAATAGGAGTGAAGGCTTTTAAGTGAACACATTACTAGGTAGGCATAATACCAGTCCCTTCCCTACCCTACATACAGGTAATTCTGTGCCACAGTTTGGGTCGATGACTGTTCTTTGCAACAAAAGGCTGTGTTTTCTAGGTATTTGTCATGCCACTATGAGAGAATTTTATCTAATAGATACGATCCATTTCGATGCACTCCCGTACCGGAAAAGATGAGATCAATAGGTGCCTGCACGATCATGTTCATACAAGCTCCAAACTATAGTGACGCTAGGGTGCAACGGCCCCTCTGAATAGGCTACATGCATTGAAGACTCCGCTGAAAATCGTCCCTACCTCCCTGTAATTATCGCGCAGAACATTTTCAGGTCCAGTATCAGCAATTCCTATCGCCCGCTCGCTTAGCTTATCACTTATCGGAACCTCAAACGCAATTGCAGATACCTGAGGCCTGAAATCAATTTACAGTCATCCTCTCTCTTTCTGCCTCTCTCTCTCTATCGTCTGCAACGAATCCCTTCCACCTTGTGCTCCCAAAATCTCTGTTGCTGCCCCCATGCAGTATCTGATTGGTCGTTTTACCGTGATTAGCAGCAACACGCGCGTGTCGACCCCACCCTCGTCGATCGCCTTTCAGCTGCGGGAATCGAGATGGCGTCAATGTCGATGCTACGGCCAGTTTGCAGCTTTTGCCTTGGCGGGATCCTCCTGATTGGGGACGCCCAGCTTCGACTGCTTCTACTGATTATGCAATGAGGCTCCTCCACGCTACCAAATGGCACATGGCCGACTTCCTCTCGGACGACGTCACCCCGCAATATGCGATCCTTTCTCACACCTGGGGACTCGACGAGGTCACGTATCACGACTGGAGAAACTTGTCCTTCTCCGATGTCAAGCTCAAAGCTGGATGTGCCAAGATCCTGGCCTGTCGCGAGCAAGCCGTGCGAGACGGGCTGGAGTGGGTTTGGGTCGATACGTATGTCTCCCTACGCGCATTGTGTTTGTGTTTGTGGCAGAGTGAAAAGCAGATGCACATGTTCTTATCCGCTCTTCCTACAGATGCTGCATCGACAAGTCCAGCAGTGCCGAGCTCACCGAGGCGATAAACTCCATGTTCCGCTGGTACAAGAACGCCGCTGTATGCCATGTCGTGCTTTCTGATGTAGAAGCAGCGTCGGATCAAGCCGTCTTGGAGGAGCGCATGTCCAAAAGCCGATGGTTCACCCGTGGATGGACTTTGCAGGAACTCCTCGCACCAGCGCCAGAGAAGCTCATCTTCTACTCCAAGGAGTGGACTCGGCTCGGCTCCAAGCTGGATTTTGCCGACATTGTTTCATCCATCACCAGGATAAACAAGCAATATCTGCAAGGCCAGGACCTGCGGCATGCGAGCGTGGCGCAGAAAATGTCATGGGCGGCGCTGCGCCAGACCTCGCGACTGGAAGACGTTGCTTATTGCCTTCTTGGATTGTTTGACATCAACATGCCCATGATCTACGGTGAAGGCAACAGGGCATTCATCAGGCTCCAAGAGGCCATCATGACATCTACTCCAGACGATCACAGTCTGTTTGCATGGGGCCCGATCCTCGACGAGGCCGACATCGCGTCAAAGGTTACCAAAATCTCAGACCTTGTTTCAAAAGAGCCGCCACGACCCGACTCGGTCACCTGTGAGCTGCAACTGTTCGGCTTGCTCGCCGAGTCCCCGAAGGACTTTGAGCACTCGGGCAAAATCATTGTATCCCGAGAGGCGGCTCGATTCTACAAGAGCCCAGACAATCCAAACGTCCCCACAAAGATTGGCCGTGACGCATTTCGCCTCGACCTGCCAATGTGGGACCAAAAGAACCATGCGTTTCATTACTGGAAGGGGCCCAATATAGCCCAGTCCCGAATCCTCGATTACGCCGCCCTATTATGCCACTATGAGGATGATCCTTCAGCCTCCAGCTCTGTAATCCTCCCCCTCGTATCGAATGGGGGCTGGACGGTGAGCCGCCCTCGCACCCTGTGCTACCGACGCAGGCAGGGCATCATATTCGCATCCGTATCCAAGAAGAAAACAGTGTCTGTTGCCCCTGAAATGCAAATCAAACTCAGTGCTGGAGATGCCATCTTCCGTCGGATGATATGTTCCAATCCCGTCCAGAACCTGGGCTACAACATGGCGGCCGACACTTGGTATGATTTGGACGGCGCCATCGGTTTCTTGTCTTCATCCAGCACTCAACACAGACATGGAAGAATACTCACTCTGAATTATAAACTATCGCCACAGGATGACAGAGGAATCTCTGTTGTCTTTCATCGCTCGTCCCCTGACGATCAGTTGTTTATAGAAGTCATACCGGTGAATTTCGCTGGCAAAGGACCAGTTGAGAGCGACGATATTACCTGGTATCAGTCTAATACATTGGCCGGGGCGACTCCTATGTTTACCCGCACCATGGCTCTTCCTGCCGACGAGTGGCATGTGAAGAAAAGTCCGTTACCCGATGTGTACATACGCGCCGAGAGAGTCGTTATAGACGGGACGAGTGACCTTTTTGTCGACGTCATGGATCTTCTGGTTGGATTTGGCCTAGATTCTTCTTGAAAGGGGTTTACGCCGATTGAGTGGAATTTACTGGGTCCTTTGTGACGGACCATCTACGAGTACTTTGCGCATCAACCGAGGCCAGGCACCTCGTTCACGTCCACCAGTCGGTAAATTCTCGTCAAACAAGTTTCTGCTTTTATAATGATACAGCTAAAACTCAACTTTATTCTAACTATTCGTGATGGGTTGATGTTGTTTCACAATTGAACATCTCCACCAGGCCCGGAGAAATGGTGATTCGCCGTGTCCGGAACAAACTGCTTACAACTCTAGCAACATCGATTAATAAGACCGCCAGGCCGTCTCCCGCCATCAATATGATCTATCGAGTGCCCCTTCAACGTGAAACAATAACCGCCAGTTTGATTAGGTTTTCAATTGACCATGCCAGACCCCGCCAAAACTTCGCCTTTGTTCATACCCACCCGTTTACTCGCTTACACAAACAGGGACTACCCTGGAAGCTTCAAGGAGACACTCCGTAACAGCCCTGAAACTCCAACAGGCCCGCCCCGGCGGTAGAGCGTCACGCTCGTATCTACGGAGTAATCTAGCTTCAATTTAACCGTGGGACCGAATATATATTCTCAGGTTATGCGCTGTTGACAACAATCTCTTCGACAGAGTCCCTCTCACTTACATTCGATTCAATATTATTTACTCTTTAATTTTCGCGTAGCAATAGCGTCTGGCACGGTATTACTACTTTTTTCTTCGACTTGCACACCATAATCACTCTCTCGCTTTCTTTCCTCGAACCTGCACACCACAGTCATTCTGTTGTTCAACCACCTTCACAATGCATTTCTCAAAGTTCTACGTCGCCATCTCCCTGATTTCTTCAGCTTTCGCGCTGCCTATGACTAGCACGCCGATTGAGAGAAGAGCGCTGCAATTTCGCAAATACGCCGATTTTGAGATTTCTGATGGCAAGGCCGGAAACGCTTTGGCCGAGGCTCAGGCAAAATTCCCGGTACGTTCCTAGTCCTAATCGTACGGCGCTCTACTTGGCTAATTTCCTCTAGATTGATACAAGCAACTTGAAGGGTGTCTCCGCAAGCGACCTGGCCATTATCAACGCAGCTCGGGAGACTGCAGAGGCGGCAGAAACTGATGCATTCAACGGTCAGATCAAGGCTGCAAGTGGTTCCGCGGCCACGACATTGCAGAATGGCAAGATTAAGAACAAGGTTCTGAAATTGTTCTTGGAGGTTACAGCCCTCCAGATCCAGCAGGCTCAGGGGTCGAACAAGGCGTCTAAAATTGCTGAAGAGCAAAAGAAGCTCAACAACAATATTAACCTGGATAAAAAGGCGGCCGGTCAAGCAAGCAAGGGAGTTGTCTTTACGGGGGATGTTCAACCTGACAACTAGGTCAAATAATTTTGTTAGGTGTTAAACATTCAAATACAAGCTACTTCCTATCGATGAATACGCCGGAGTCAACACACTCAGCCGTTTTATTGACAACTCTTGTTGTTCAGGTGTAAACCAATACATTTCAATATCCATTTAAATGTGTTTCCGAAAACATGTCCACTAACTGTAAGAGCATAGCGATGATAACATAGATTGCGTGAATGTCATCAGAAGTCTCGTCATCTGAAGAGCTGGCTGAAATAGAGCTGCTTAGGTTGACAGTTGCATACTGCCCATCAGCTTGAATAAGTGGTCGGGCATTCACACTTGCAGACATACTGATGCCGTTTGCAAACATGTATGCGTCCGCATCTATAGTCGTTTTCACCTTGGTAATTTGTTTGCGCACTTTTTGTAATCTGCAGCGATATAGGTATGCTGGATGAGAGTATTGGGTGGAGTCCATTGGAGTACTTGAACACATTCACTTTAAATTATAGACGTCGTCCAAAAATGACCGTAACTGCGCATTAATGCTTTTTCATTTACATTAACATGCTAACCCTCCAACTATCGTAATGTTCCTCCCAGACATTCCTTTTCTCTTTTCAATAGTAACTATTTTTTCTTTTAAACTTTACTTGTTTACTTGCGTGAATTCTTCCTGCCACTGGGTGGAATTGGCAACTTGTGGCCAATGGCTGGTCCGACACGTGGCGATCCGTCTGCCGAAATGCTCCAAGTCTGAGTAATCGTAGTGCTGCCTGACACAGGTAGTTTGCCATAGACTGTGTTGGCCGTCTCGCCAGTACCATCCTGGAACGCAGTGTAGCTCGGCTCGGTGGTCAGAACAGTCAGAGGTTGAGCAGCAGTGTAGACGATGGTACCAGAGCCGGAGGTGAAGACGCCGTCGTTTCCGTTGTAGTCGCCCACGATGTTGAGAGTCAATGCGGAGATCGGTGATTCATATGCGGAAGTGATCCTCTTGCTAGTGCCGTAGATATCAAGGTCGGTCAGAGTTACGGATGTAGAAGCAGCCTGGCCACCAGGAGGAGTGTAGATGTAAGTAACACCGGTGATGACGTTATTGGAGTTGAAGATGGGAGCAATGTTGATAGTAGCACCGGCGGGGATCTGGTTGGCCTTGGACAGGGTGGTAATCTTGGACTCGTCGTTGATGATCTGGGCATACGTGCCGGCAGGAACGGTTCCCGACCAGTTGTCGATGATTCCGTAAAGAGTGCGGTCACCGGGTTGCGAGAAGACTACATATTGCTGCCAGTTGGGAGTGGTTTTGGGGGCACCAGCAAGCTCCTCTACCAACGTATGTGAGTTAGCATTTTGCCTATGCAAGGAAATCTTGAGAGGGTGTAAAGTGAAATGGAACGTATAAGTAAAAAGGGAGGGATATAGGGAAGTGCAAGAACAAAAGCTCAGAGTGACTTACGGGCATAACCGTTCAGTTGAAAGCCAAAGCCGTTAGAGGCCGAGATGAGGGGCTCGGCGAAAGTAATCTCAACATTGAGGCCAGTAATGGCGTTACCTCCATCGGCGAGGAAGTAGTTGAAATTGCTGCCTAAGCCTTGGGGAGGGGCTGCCACAGACATTTTGAGGTAGTAATTGAGGTGAGAAACTTTTTACTTGAGGTAGAAAGTGACTTTTGTGTTCTATTTAAGACGTGTCAGTAATGTTTCTATCTATTGGGCTAGACATGAATTTGAGCCAAGTGTGAAGCACCTATGAAGTGCACACCAGGATCTGGATCTTCTTCTGAAATCTATCTTTACGATAGGACAGAATTGTGTAACACTCCGTGGTTTAGACAAAGGCTAAATAAATTAAAAAACTAACCTTTTGCTCAAGCTTGTCTAAGCGAGATGATGAACGCGGGATGGTATTGAATTTGAAAGATCTGATCAAATGTCTACAATTCACCATTTATATACTTGACAATATCGACCTCATCCTCACATCTAGCTACCTTACAAACCTAGACCGCGTACCGAGTCTAAGTGCTGCGAGTTGCCTATTTGGGAAGTCTTATCACAACACCTTCGCAATCCAAGCAAATCTGTAGAACTCTCCGTTGATTCGCTTCCGAATATCCGAACGAACGATCCAACAAGTACTACGTTCCTAATTGAGGGTTGAAATACCCCTCTAGTTCGGTTCCCCGGCACGTACATGTCGGTAGGTTTTAGAACTTATGTTTTACGACCTTGGATCGGTGTTTTGCGGGAAGTTGTTGCCCCGGTTGATTCGACATCAGGTGGTACTATTTCGCAAGGCGCTAGCAATACACATCCCCTGTGTGGTTAGCACAGCCGGTATATTTAGACCTACGACATATCTGAACAGTATGGTGCCTTGTTAACTGTCATGTGTTTGTCATTATGGATTCGTTGAGGGCTAGAGGACTGTGACCAAAGTACCTTGCAAATCCCAGATTGCATACGGAGACTAAGTGCAGCGAGTTGCCTATTTTGGAAATCTTATCACGGCGGCATCACAATCTAAACGAATCTGAAGAACTTTCGATCAATTTACTCCCGAATATCCGAAACGACGATCCCACCCCGCATTTCTAGATAGCGGTTTCGGCGATAAGTTCCTGTTGTATAGTTGATTTGTTTCCCTTTCGTGGCTGTTGTGTACTCTTATTCTTCAACTCTTGTTTGTACTCCGGAGTTGTGGCTGTTTTGAGCGATGAGGTGTAGTACTGGGAATATTGCGTAAAGAGAGAAAATAAATAAGTTTAAATTTGATAATTCTGAAACCACAACTTGACTCGTCACAATCTGCCTTTGACGGCTTCCACCGGCTTTGCAGAGATGCCGTGTTGCATCCGAGGCAGCGAACCAGCCTGTTGTACTTGCCATAATAGCCCAGCGAACTACGTGAAAACCACCCTATCCTAGCACTGTTAAAACCGATTCTTTTCTTGTCTTTCTTTGTCTTTCAAAACCCCCATTCATCTGGTTCTGCTTCGGGCACCTCTTCTTGCTGTTTAAAAAAATGTCTCTCAAAATAACCGCTGCAAAGTAACCATGGCTCTGTAGCAGTGCCACAAACTCACCGCGGTCGAATGATGCCTTATCATGTCCACCCGCATTCCGAATAATGACTTCCCGTGGCATCCTACCACCGTCCACAGTATTCTCAAAGACGAGATTAACGCCTTCTCTAAAGGAGGAGCTATTCCACATTGCTAGCAATATCTCATTATAATTGGAAACAGACTTGTTTGGGCAAGACAACCTCGTTCATATTGAATTATTGTCTCGTCTGCAGTCCATAGTACGTGTGTACATGTATCCAGTCAGGTTCATTAGTTCACTATGGGCCTTTGCCTTGATCACTTCAATGAAATTCCTTTCACTAGCTGCAGGTATAATTCCCTTAGACGGGACACTGGAAAAGAGTGATATATGAATCAATATCTCGACGTTGTCTTGCTCACCAAAGCAGTCCTGGGTATGCGATAATCCGACCCGCAGCTGTCAGCGACCAGTCCCTTATTTTTCCAGCTCTTGCATACAGACACTACGAATTATCATGGTCAGCATATACGATGCATCCATATGTGACACGATTTGGTGATAGCCTTGCTGTATACTATTCAATGCTGATGCGGATGGTAGGTGATAATTGGCCCGCAAAAGTCGGCATATCTCATTCGGTCTGTCCAAACTCTACCCTGGGGAAGGTTGCACAGATCTTGCATCTGCTTGCTTTCATCCAGGGTCAGCAGCGGCATGCCCCTGTTCCTGCAACGATCTCGAGTTACCAGTACAACGGTCTTGAGATTACTGATCAAACATCATATGCCAGTAAAAGAAACTACTGGTTCTTAGTAATATGTATCCAGACCTGATTTGTTCGGAAAGAAATTTTGCGGATTTCTTTTACAAGAGCTCTGTAGACACAATACCAAGTCAAGCATGGGGCACGCAAACAAGACGAAGGGTCTCAGCATACATTACTAGAAGGACGATTTCACATCATGCAATGGTATTTCAATCATATGAAGCGCCTATTACTTACAATATTGACGTTGCAGATACAGACTGGGTACTCTGTTAATCTTGCCAGTGCTGAAAAGAAACATGCATAAGTTTTGTCCTTGGCAGTCAGATAAGGTATTAGACTGCAAAAAAAATCCGAGAACGGGTTGCAACTGGGTTTACTTATCTACCTATACTGGATCGCTTATCTAGACAGGGATTGCGTACATCCCTAGCCAGCTTCAACCCCGGCCTTTCATTAGCCTTCCCTGCTCGGGAAATAAACCCTTGCGACAGGGGCCTACAGTTTGTCCAAGGGAGCATATTTCGAAATGAGATGTATCTTGTCAATGGAATAAAACGGCGGCATGATCACTCTGAATGCATTCATTGATTACTTGCAATGTAGGCTATCTGCTGGGATTAGGTATCTATTTGCCTGTGGTTGGCCAGTAGTGCTCGCCGAATTTGATCAGAAAGTTGGAGGGCCAAATTACATATATACCCAGATCCCGGATCTCCCCCTACAACCGCTTCAATGGGGACAAAAGGCCACAGGCGACGACGCGGCGTCAGCACAAAAGTCCAGGCCGGGTGAGTAGCGCATGTAGCCAATGTTCAGCTCGTAAAACAGGCCCTCTTCGAACATTGCCGTGCCGGCAATATACCAACCGCATTTTTCAGTGATTTTGGCAGCGGCCGTCGTGATTCTATCGGCGCTGGCAACGCCTCCGTCACAGAGGAAAGCCACGACGTCGTCTGCTATAGTGAACCATGCCTGTGCGTGAGGGAGGTTGCAGCCCTTGCCACACTGGTCCTTGATGCCTTGCACGGCGCGATCGCAGTTGGCGTGGTTGAGGTCGAAGCCGCATCCACACCAAGTAAACCAGTGGTAGTCAGAGCGGGCGTCGAGAGCGCTGCTGCTTCGTCCACGCCGAGTAATACCCTGGCCTGGTTCACGGCGAGTTGGCGGCGAGATTCCGGGCGTGTCATGAGTGATGTTCAGTCGTGCTGCCAGCTGCGGTGTAAAGGGCTCGAAGACGTCCTCTCCGGAATCGTCCGTGTACGCTACGTAGGACCCGTCTTGTAGTCCAGCGGGTAGCTTGAAGGCCATGCTGGTGGCAGCGAGTGTTGCGGCGGTCAGCGACTGGAGGAAGAGCATTTTGAGCTGCTTTGCTTGGTAAAACTGATGGAATTTGAGAGTACGTAGAGATGGGATTGCGTTGAGTGGGAAAGTTTGGGGATATAGGCACGCCGAGAGCCAGATACACAAACTGTTTTCCTGGAAAGACATTATTGTATGTCATGCCTCGTTTCATGAGCAGATAGATGCCAAGACAAGTGATCGCACTTGTTAACCAGGAGGAACGATTCTGAAGGAATACGCAATACGCAATACGCGAGAATCCTGTCATTCACCGCCGAGTGTTATGATCCCACATTCTTCTCAGATGAACACCATATGGCCAATGACATCTTGTTCTGCCACACCCTCCCGTGTTTGGAACGGGCCGGTCCCGCGGCTAGAGTAAAGGCACCAAATCTAGGCTGGAGCCTTGCTGGCCCAAACACGCTCATTCAGCCGCAAATATACGCCACTGCCAGGCATAAGCTTAAATACATGTATATTCAGTACCCACATGTCAGCTGATAATATCTATAATATCTCTCAACCAGGACTACAAGGCTCCTGCAGGAATACGCACCATCTCACTTACAACACCACCCTTCACCACCGCCCATCTCAACTTCATCCCTCCACCAGGGCTCAGAAATTCCAGACAACTCGCTCAATGTTGCATCGACATGGCGCCCAGATCGTTCATGGACTGCCCTCTCCAGCTGCAACTGGCTATCTTGGACCATCTATCAGTTCACGACCTTCGCCATCTAAGTGTCGTCAATAAGGGCTTTCGGCAACTCGCTGAGCCTTGTCTTTATTCCGACATCCGACTGACGTGGTCTTGCGACCAGACGCCGCCCCTCACGCAGCTAGTGCGGACCATTCTCGAGAGGCCTGAGCTCAGGCTTAATGTCCGCCGCCTGAACCTGGATGGCAGTGGCTTCACAGAGAGCTTCACCCATGCCGACATCGAGCCACCCCCCTTGCCCATCTCTGCTCTCCCGGTGACCGCAGCAGCTGGGCAGATTAGATCAACCGGCGTACCTGGAGCTGACCAGTGGATTCGAGAGTTGCAAGCTGGCGCAGTCGATGCACTGGTCGCCCTGCTCATCTCTACGCTACCCAACCTGAGACACCTCTGCCTCGATTCTAATTTTACGATTGAGAGCTTCCATCTAGGCGCTGTCTTCAGGTGCGCTATACAAGATGGCGGGCGAGAGGGATCAACGCTGCCCAAGTTCCAGTTTCTCAGAGACGTCACATTCGCCCGCAGGACCCATGAATGGCGCCACCGGAGCGTCAACAATACGCCTGATGTGCTACCATTCTTCTCGCTTCCGGCTATCCAGAGCCTATCTGTATCCATCGACAACCCCGTAAACTGGCCATTTACGCTGGCCAACTCGACTCTAACATCGCTCAAGCTATTCAGGCTTCGAGAGACACAACTTGAGTTTCTTCTCCCGTCGCTGAAATCACTTCGGAAGCTACATTGGAATTGCTATTATCAAGAGAACCTTGACAACTTTGCGAGCAAGGATGTGATTGACCTCGACGTCCTAGTCGAGGCGCTGCATCATGTGAGCGAGACGTTAACAGACTTGATCATCGAGCCTGAAACAGACCCCGATTATTTAAGTGGGCAATACGAGGCACCGGACCGCGAGATTCGGGGATCGTTACAGGGCCTCGCGAAGATGGGACATCTTCAAAAGCTCGAAATCCCATGGGCTTTCCTCATGGGGCTGGCCCCAGACTCTGCGCTGAAGACAGCTGTGCGCCTGGGGGAAGTGCTCCCTCCTAGTCTTGAGATGCTCACTTTGAATGATTGTCTGCTGAACTATGAGCTATGGGACTGGCAAGACGAGATATTTGTTAGTGGGATCAAAGCCGTGCTTGGTAATGAGGATACCATGTTAACGTTGCCGAAACTGCAGTGTATAGAAATGCCTTTTTCATCTTATAGTACTTGCGGTGATAGCATATCTGACGAGCTCAGGGCTGAGCTTGACCAGATGAGTTTGCAGTCTGGTATAACTTTAAGGGCAATTTAAAGAATGGATAGGATTGCGTTATTCCAATAACCCACAGCAGCAGATGTTTATAACCTATATACACAATATTGAGGCAACAGCCAAGTCCGTAACAGGCGCATCAGGTCGGTCTGTAAGCTCTACAGAGCCATTAAGAAGACAACTAGCAAGACTCTATCTGGTCGATATTGCGCACGCCACCAGCCAAAGCGTCCAGAGTGTATTCCTCGGCCACCAGCGTCTTATCGTCGAGGTATTTAACTACATCGGACTTTTCTGGCGGAGCTTTATGGTCCTTCAAGAAATAATCGCACCCCCACCGGTCCTGGCAATGCGATCAGCAACACTCGTATACTCCTAGGAGTTAAAGACATACCTCTAAGCCAGTTCCACAGGCGGGGATAAGCACCATTTCGCCGGTCCTCGCCAACCTGACCACGGTGGTTAGACGCGCAAGTGGCGATAGGGTGATAAGCTCCTCGCTGTGGACTTTGTAGTACTGGTGGAACGTCATGATTTCACCACATCGTCTGTTGTTCTTGTGGTCTGTTTCGTCCTTATCGGGGTGTTCGAGTTTCCAAGTAGCGAAGCAAACTTCCAACTGGCGCTTGACTGGACTATCTGCGACTTCGTTGATAAAGGTACTTAACCCTTTCTGAGAACTGGAGAGAAAGATCTCGTTCCCCGCGGCTAGGATGGACATGGCGCCTGGCAGCATCTTTGGCTTGCCGTTCTTGTCAAGATACGGTGCGTACTGGAGAAAGTCGGCCTCCATTTCCGCAAACGCATCTCCGGCCATCCTCAGTAGCTGGCCATCGGTAATAACCTCGACATTTTCTTTAAAGGTGATGTGGCTGGAAAAGACCCATTGGTGGCGATTCTCGGCTACATCGTTGCTCCTAGTTGCGAGAGCATAATCGAGGCGGACCTTTAAGGGCCTGTTGGTGTCATGCTTTGTTTCGAGGTTGGCCGCGTCCAGTGCTTGGCCGAGAAAGACCAGGACGACAACAAACGCCAGGCGAGCAAACTGGACCATGGAAGTCATGGCTTCGAAATCAATGTGCTTTAAGTGAGGGCACAACCTGCTTCTTGTTGGCAGCTGAGATGAATTGACAAAGGAAAACTTACACTCTTGATTTACTTGGCAAGAGAAACCACCTAATTATGGTGAGGGAAGCCAGGTAGAATGTAACCAAGTAGAAAGCAACTGGTGATAGGGTAAGGGGAGCAGCACAAAGACTACCATATCATAAGATCCAAGCTCAGGAAGCTCGCGAAGGAGAGCAATTGCACATTACAAATTCCATTGTTTGGCTACAGAATCAGCCATCCTTCCGTCGGCGATATCCATAAGTAAACGTGCGTAAACAATGTCTTACATAGCGTAGGAATACGCTGTTGTAGGAGCCTTGCGGGACGCATCTTACCCAATGAAAAACAGATCCATCCGCCTAGCCTGGTCAGCGTCGTATAAAGTGGTGTGAAATAATAGGCTATACGCTCTGTGTACGATTCCCTCCAATGCAAATGTGCGCTCACTCCGGCCTCCTGTGATTGTAAATCCAAAAAGTCCCACGTGTACACGAATGAGCTGAACAGCCGCACTATCATTCTCCGAGACAGACACTTTTGCAACTCCAAGGAGCTAGGAGCAGGGCTCGGTCCGTACAGCCTGGAGGGAGCTATTATTACTGCAGTGCCGCCTTCTCTAGTCCTTTAGTTTCACCCGTTTCTCTCTCAGTTACCAGACACGCTGTCTGGTATTATAGTTAACCAAGATGCGAAGGCGGTTTGGTGGTTGTCTCTCGGTGGCTGGCTTGCTCGGCCACGCATTCGCAGCCCCATATGCGGATCATCTTAATTCTATGCCAATAAGCGGCCTATTCCGTAGGGATGTCGATGACTTTGACTTTGACGATCTCTCCTTCATCAAGAAGATTGCTGCCATAGGCGACTCGTACTCGGCGGGTATCGGGTCAGGGTCACTCCTTGCGAGAGACTACCAAGGTAAGCCGCTCATGATACACATAACTTGTGAGGGTCAAAAGGATAACTGACGTTTTCGGGCCCATCTCAGAATTCAACTGCAGAAGATATGATCACTCCTACCCCTGGATCCTAAACGAGGACCCTAGGCTGGGAGACCCAGCGGGGAGAAGCTTCCAATTCAAATCATGTTCTGGCGCTCTGACCCAGGATGTGATTGACAAGCAGATTCCCGAGCTTGACGGGGGCCAACAAGTCATTTTGCTTTCCGCTGGTAAGCTCTGACACGGGAGCCTCACAGTATAATACCTATATACTTACATCTATGTTCTAGGTGGCAACGACTTGGAGCTCACCGACGTCCTGAACCAATGCATATTCCAACTCTTCTCCTATACGTCTACGCCAGAAATTTTGGGAAAGATTGCATCACTGAAAGGAGAGTCCTGGGCTATTGGAATTGACTTTGAAAAGTACGGACGAGGCTGTGACCTTCAGATTGAGGTTACAAAGGACATTGTCGAGAGTCCCAAATTTAGCCAGCAGCTGGATGCCACCATTAAGGCTGCACAGTCTAAGCTGGCACTCGAGTGAGTTCACATCCCCCTTTTTAGGTTCTGAACAGAGCTGAAGAATCACCTCACAGTGGAATGATATACTACACAGGGTAAGGGGGTCACTCATCTAGGCATGGCGGTAACGCCTCAAGTTTGCTGACACTTCTGTCAGATACGCTAGGTTCTTCAGCGAGGATGTGAATACCTGCGATAAAGTCACATGGCAGGCTTATGATACTGTTAATATACACCTCATTCTTGACAGCATCCATCGACTGACTGCTATATTAGAAAGGTTTCGCCACTCTCAGAGACCCCGTGTACCTTGACTTTTTTCTCCGCATGAAACTCAACGACCTGGTGAATCGAGCCAACCAGAAGATTGTAAGTTTTATTCCGGCAGCTCACTCTTTGAGTATGTGTTTTTTTTTATTCTAATGGCGAGCCGCATTAGAAAGAAGCCGTTGAGAGGGCAGGTCCCGACGTCACCTTTGTCGACTACGACCACCTCGTTGAACGGTACCACGGGCGATTTTGCGAAGTGGGCGTAGATGAGACAACAAAAGCGTCCAACCATAGGTATGTTACTATCAGAGATTCTACGGACTTTATCTCACCAGATGTTTTACAGGCCTGATTTGATGTTCTGGAAGCTCGACTTATTGGACCCTTTTGGGACAAACCCCTGGAAGCGAAGTGACGAATCTTATGTGAACGGAACATTTGCTGGTGATATGAACATGTTTGCAAAGATCACAGAAACATTGGAACCTAGTATCAGGCTGAATCATGCCGAAATGATTCAGGACGGCGATGCCGCAGAGATTAAAGCGTTAATGGCAAACTTTACAGACGCAAAAGAGGCGTTGGACTTTTTGGAATGGCCCAACCTCCTTCCAGATGGGTAAGAAGGGCAAATGTTTTAGATTCCCTAGTTGATCGGAATACTCACTGAGATGATGTTTAGATACGGGAGGGTGTTCCACCCTCAAGTTCTCCTCCACGAGCTTATCGCCAACCTTATCCTCTTTGAGATCACGAACAGACGCCTGGAACAACAGGGTCTCGCGAAGGGCCCAGAGTTCCTGGAACCGCCAGATAGCTGCCCACTTCCGAACAATGGGAACCCAGGTGGTGACGACGGGCAGCCCGGGGCAGAGAAGCCATTCTACCTCCGAATCATGCCCCTTGGCGCCTCTATTACAGCGGGAGTCGGCACAAAGCCTCAAAATGGATATCGAAAGCCACTGCGAGATCAGTTGAGATGGGAAGGTTGGCCAGTCAATATGATCGGCAGCGGGTCCGACGGTGATCCTGACAAGTTCAAGGACCGGCAGCACGAGGGACATCCTGGGTGGGTCGTTGCAAACATGACCAAGGCTGCTGCCATGTCTATCGATATGAAACCGAATCTGATTCTCATCAACTGCGGGACAAACGATGCCAGTCCTGGCAATAAACAGGATGTGAGCACTACCGGAGCTCGCATGGAAGGCTTGCTCAACTATCTGTACGACCAAGTTGATGGCGTTACAATCATTTTATCAACTCTCCTGCAATACCTCGACGATATCCCAAACCAGAATGTCAACGCGATCAATATTCAATACAGACAGTTGTACCAGAAATTCAGGAATGCAGGAAAGAAGATTGGCCTGGCTGAACTCAATAACGGGCTTCTCGATACTTCAACCGACTATTTCGACCACATCCACCCTAACGAAAAAGGGGCAGCCAAGCTGGCTGCTGTCTGGGATCGGGCCATTGCTGAGGTTGCGAAGGCGGGCTTTCTGACCAGACCGATTGATACTGGCGTCCCCGATAATATCACCAGCGGCTGTGACGCCGAAAAGGGGCAGGGACGCGGCCCTGTTAGAACACAGCAGGGATCCGGACAGGATGACGGCGCGTATTCACACGATCAACGGGTGTGGCTTGACGCCATTGCTGCCAACGGATTTATCCCCGTCGGCTCCAAGGTATCCTTTGCGCAGCTGGTGAACTTGGGAGGCGCAGACCCGGGCGGAGAGCTTGACGAGCTGATCTACTGCCATGATGAAGGCACAGTTGATGATCCGGAGCCGGGACATTGCTTCATGATACTCAACAATCAGGGCGAACTGAACGGAAAGGAGATTGAAATTGACATAGGGCTAAAGTGCATAACCCGAGGGCATCGTTGGGGCGACGTCAACGGCGACGGCCTAGACGATTTTATCTGTATCGGTCCAGACGGCAATATGTATGTTTCGATCAACAGGGGCGGTAACCCTCCGAAATTCGAGCCGCTCGAGAACGGTGGTCTCATCAAGGAGGGATATTCATGGGCACGTCAGGACAGGATCCGTCTGGGCGATATTGACGGAGATGGGCGGCTGGATTATTGTGCCATTGACGACAAGGGCGATATTTACTGCTGGCGCAACGGTGGCGTAGGCGACGCACCAACTGCGGCGCATAACGGATACTGGCAAAGCTTTGTATGTTGACCTAATCTTGATTTCCTTGTCGATTTGTACTGACTGGTCTAGGTTGTTGGCGAGCCTACTTTTCGTGCTCAGCATGAGACCGAAGGGATTGGCGGTGTTAACCTCGTCGACATCAATGGCGACGGCAGATCAGACTGGGTCTACCTGCACAACGATGCGTCGTCCACGATTTTTATTAACCAGCGAGGGGATGATGATGCTGACGGCAAGGCCTTACGACCTCACTGGCAAAAGGCTTCGTCCGGCCACATTGCAATCCCCTTGTTCGAGGTGGACAATAGCAGAACAGAACTCGTCTTTGGTCGGGTCAAGGGCTCTGGGCGCGCTGACCTCATCTGGAACCGCGAAGGTCCGGGCGATCATATAGGCGACTTGCCAAGAATCTCTCCCTGGCTTTATGAGAACTTGGGTTCTGGAGGGACCAAGTTGAAGGGAGATGGAGTGTTTTACTGTGACATGTTTGGGCGAGGCCGGGATGGTAAGTGGCTGCTTCTTTACTCTATTTTAGTGAGATACTGACTTGAATGCACGATACAAGATTACCTCTGGGTGAAGTCGGATGGTCACATCACCTTGTACGAGAATATACTGTCGCCGCCGAACTGGGGGCAGCATGGAGAGATTGTCTTTATTAATCGGACCAGGAAGAGCATCCACTTTGTACGTATCAATGACAACGCCATTATCTCCTTGAACCGACACTAATAGTAGCTGTCATACGTATAGGGCGATTGGGACGGCGACGGTCTCTGTGATATTCTTGCGGTTGAAAGACACACCGGGCGCGTCGAGTGGTGGCGCAACACTTACAAGGAGGGAGACAAGTCTCCATCGTTTGACGGGCCAAAGTGGGCAGTGAATCAAGGAAAGTGTGATTTGGGCTGGGGTAGAGGTCTATATGACCAGGCTCTGAGGTTCGGAGACTTGGACGGCGATGGCCGCGTTGACTACCTCTGCATGGAGAAAGACGCTCGAACCGTGGGATACCTCAACAAACCCGGTGGCCTGGTGGGCAAGGGGCAGATCAAGTTTGCGCCAGAAGGGCCGCTTGACAGAGCAAACTTCAAATGGGCCGATGTGAGTTGATTCTCATGGCGGGTTTAGGGGCATATGCTAATCTGACATTAGGTTAACGGTGATGGTCTCGTTGACCTCATCTGGGTCGACAAGTTCTCTGCAAAGGCCCGAGTTTGGAAGAATGGTGGCTTTGCGCCGGCGGGGGGCAGCAGCATGACCTGGATTGACCAAGGAATCCGGTTTGAGGGACACGGGCGCGGCCAGAACATTCATTTTCCATCGCTGGGCGGCCTTGGTCGCGCTGATTATCATGATGTTTATCCAAAGACCGCCGTGGCTAATACCTGGTTCAATGAGTGTTCAGGAGGCGACGACTATCCTGAGCCCATCAACCCTCACTTGCCCTTCTAGCGGGATTATTAATATTGAATAAAATTTAGCGATTTAGAGTATTGTGTGTTGGGTGAAGGGCTGCTCCTATTCTTGACCTGCAGGCCACATAGAGTCCCAGAGCGAGTGATGTGTGGCTGGTGGTGGGAGCGTAGTCTACAAGTTGCAATAATGGGGAAGACATATGGAGGCAAATAAATCTATCTATAGCCTTCTTTAAATTGGGCTTTGAATTTCTACGTCCTGGTGTACTCGGGGTTATGACTAACAGTGAAATTACAATGCCTACACCTGAGGCTCTGATTTCCCTACCGGAACCATCGGGATACCTTCCTTGGGGCCATCCTCCCACTGCTTATAGGTCTTCTGATTCTCCTCATACATGGGATAGAGCATAGGCCTGGCCACCCGATCGTCCCCCCACTCGATGATTCTCACAGCAGGCAGCATGAAAGACGCCTCCACCATATTGAACATGCTCACCCCATTCTCTGCTCTCGGGATAACCTCAATCACGAGCTGGCTGTAGTGGAATCGGCCGTCGGCATCCCTGCCACCTTGCACCCACGAGCTAATCACGTTGAAGCGCAAATTTGACAGCATAGTCCCCGTGACCGGTAGGTCGCCGTCTGTGCTGAGCAGTGGGTAGAAATTGCCCTTGCCATCCTCACGAGGGATACCTGGCGAGTTGATGTCTCCGCAAGGAATACGAAGCTCCAGGGAGAGCAGCGTATAGCTGTAGACTTGCTGCAGCTCTTGTGGAATGGTCAGGCTCACGATGATGTCCTGCGGTACATAGGTTCTGGTCGGAACAAATTCCTTGTGGTCGACCGTGTACATCTTGATATTCCACCTGGGCCTGTTTTCCAATGGATGCAGCTGGGTTATTGGGCGCGGTACTTTGGACACGCGTAGACGAGGCCGCAAGTCCACGGTCTGACGGTGCAGTTGCGCGGAAACGACGCGTTCTCGACGTGCAGGAATCGGGAGGGGTTTGGAGGGCATATGTTCGTGGGCTGGGAAACGGGGCACCGAGAACCGGAAATCGGGGGCGGCTGGGTGTAAGCTGTGCCTCGAAGCGTCATCTGCCATAGCCACGATATTGAGCGCGTATATGGGCTCGTTTAGCTGAAGGGCAAACATGGCAGACGTTGGCTCGGGCTCTTCGAACAGTTTGCGGCCCCCTTCGGGATCTTTGGGGTTCAACTTGTCGTTGAGGTAGTCCCAAATCCTCTTCGCATAAGCCTCGACCTTTAGCACCCGTGTGTTCCAATCCAACAGCTCACTCGTGTTGAGCTCAACCGTGCCAAGCGTCTCTCCAGGCGTCCGCGGAGGTGTCGGGTCACAAGCGTAGATCTTCTTGTAGGTGCGGATCAGAGCTCCAAGCTGCCGCCAGCATGTCTGCTCACCTGTGAGTCGGGACTCGAACACAAATCTGGAAAGAATGGAGGGTCGACGGAGGACGACAAGAAAGAAGATGATGCGTGGTTGGTACGGGGCGGTGCATTCTCCTTCCAAGCCACGTTCCAATTTGCGATCAATAAAGGAAAACTCAAAGAGACCCTCCTCAAGGAAAGCAGATGTCAGAAGATGGACTTTTTCACCGACAGGAGCGTCAGAACAGACATCTATGCCAGGCCCATGCAGCTGCGCTCGGCCCTCACGTCAAAGTCACCGTATCTGTATCCCAAACGACTCCGCCGCTGTTCCCGCGCCATCATGGCGAGCAGGCTGTCCGCGCGATGGGCGGTTGGAAAACCCAGGAGTGGCGGATCGAGCCTATTGTGAAGCCCGCGTCCGTCTCCATCTGGGGACAGTACGACGAGATGAGTGACCCCAGTGACCCCAGATCCAGAGGGAACAATGTCTCGTCGCTTCTGAACGACAAGGACTCAACAATTCCACTAGTAATGGGCCTATCGATTGCGCCGCCCGAGCCTGAGATGTCTGACGATAAGATCAAGTCTTTTGATGTTGTAGAGGACGGTAAGCAGTATGTCTTTGGTAATGAGCCGACACCGAAATTTCCGGGCGTGACGGTCGTGTCGGATAAGGCGTGGACACCGCGGGCAGCGAGCAAGGAGGAAAGCTGGAAGGATGTGCCGGAAGTTTGGAAGGGGAAGAGGAAGAGGGAGAAGCCAGCCTTTGATCCAGCGCAAGTGGTGAATATGTGGGCGGCTAAGATGGAGTTTCCAGATGGGCAGATTACTGGTGCTAGGCCCTCAAAGTTGCTGGAGCGCTTTGAGAATATGGTGCCTGCGTTGCCAATGGTTGCTGTGGGTAAGTAAGAGGCGCAATACCAGTGACAATCCTCTTCAGAAGAACACTCTTTCATCAAGCAAGCCCTACGTCAGAATCTCTGTCTTTAATCTCCACATTGTAGGGCCTGTTTTCATCTCAACAATGAGCAATATTCGTCAGCAAAATTATGTAGAGGTTAAATTTAAAACCAAGATGAGAGGTTCAATAAGATTGTAACAGCCGTGTTTATCCCTTATTCTACCCATGCTCCTACTCACAGTCGTCATAACCCGTTCGATGTCAAGAAGATACGACCAAGATAATACAAGTTCTCAGATGCCAGGGAAGATCTCCGTTACCCGGCTTAGCGTGTGGCGGGCTCTCGGACACTCGGGTAATCATTGCGTATGTGTGTCCGCTCTCCTTGGACCAATCACACGGGATTGCCGACCAAGAATTACTGGGATCAGTGGCTTACACCGAATGTCTGACGTCTTCCAAGTTATAAAGGCACCTTTTGCGCAAGTCAACAGAGGAATGTATTCCCAAGCATGAACGCTATCAACCCAACATCGAGTTAATATAGAACTACTATTTCTCTTTCCTTCCTTTGCCATGACTCACAATATTGTCATTGTTGGCGCTGGGTTTGCCGGCGTCTGGAGCGCTCTTTCAGCGAGGCGCCTCATCTCCTCTCACGTCAACAACAATCCAGCCGCGGCCGATATCCAAGTTATTCTCATTGCGCCTGAGCCACAGCTAGTCCTGAGACCCAGGCTCTACGAAGCGAGTCCCGAAAACTTCGTTTACCCGCTCACCGACCTCTTTAGCGCCACGGGGATTCACTTCATCCAAGGCACAGTTGACGCTGTCAGCGTAGAGGGAAGAAATGTCACAGTTGTTAACCCCACAGGCGCTACGTCAACTCAGCCCTATGATCGTCTCATATTTGCCGCTGGGAGCTGCTTGGTTCGACCTCCCATCCCCGGCCTGGATGAGCATGCCTTCAATGTCGACCAACTGAGTGCCGCGGTCAAGCTGGAAAATCACCTACAAGGCCTCAAATCAAAGCCTTCCAGCAAGGCCCGAAACACTGTCATTGTTTGCGGCGCAGGCTTCACCGGCATCGAACTTGCAACAGAAATGACAGCGCGGCTTCAATCCATCCTGGGCAAGGATGCCGATACGAAAGTCCTGCTTGTCTCGCGGGGGGAAGAGCTTGGTGAGACCCTCGGACAGGGGCCCCGCCCCGTCATTTCCCGGGCTCTTCGTAAGTTGGGAGTAGAGACTAAACTTGGGACAACAATCACTGCCGTCGACGCTCATGGCGTCACGATTGGAACCGGGGAGCGCATTGAAGCCATGACCACCATCTGGACAGCCGGTGTGGCAGCCACGCAACTCTCGAAGCAGATTTCGGGAGAGAAGGACGCACTCGGCCGCCTGCGCGTCGACCAAGATCTTCGCCTGCCGTCGAACAAGGAGATCTTTGTGGCAGGCGACTCGGCTTGTGCCCCAACAGGAGACCACGGCCACAACTCCCTCATGTCGTGCCAACACGCCATCCCAATGGGTCGAGCAGCAGGCTATAATGCTGCTGCAGATCTCCTCAATGTACCAACTGTGCCATACTACCAGCCGATATACAGCACATGCCTTGATCTTGGCCCATACGGAGCGGTTCTCACCCACGGCTGGGAGCGCAGGGTGGTGGTTTCCGGGGCAGTAGCAAAGAAGATAAAGGCCTACATTAACGGAACTTCGATATACCCTCCAGAGCCAACGCAGCCGTCCAAGGCACTCGCTGCCGCGAACCCAGCGGTTCCACCGGCTTCTATACAGCAGCTTCTAGGCACGACTTTATCATTCATCAGTTTCTTTTCCTCTAGATTCATGTAGCGGGGCATGACAGGTGTTTCTACTTTTTCGCCTTTGACGAGGTCCATCTAATGTTAGCTATTTGATCCACTCCTCTTTGAGCCTTTAACTATATTTTAAGAAACTATATATTTTTGTGAGGCACTTTCTCCATTACCTAATGCTCAGGTAAATGAAGAAGCTGTCTACTAAAGTATTGCGGCCGTTGTCGCTCTTGGGACAGTGGAAGAATCGGAGACGGGAGGGTAACGTATCACTGCTGCCTTTCTCTACCCTGCAACCAAGTCGGCCATATCCGTTAAATCTGTGGTGCGGTATAGATGAGCCACTATAACAATAACCATAGTAATGTGTAGTCATTATAATGCAATACATTATTCTGTTTTATTTACAACTCCTCTTCTCGACACTGCAGATAAAACATATTACGTAGGTATCAGAGAAAGTAAAGCAAGTGGTAGACACCATATTCATGGTATGACACCTATACTACAATAAAATTTGATTCAGATATTGCTTCTAATCTTTGTCAAATCATCTACATTGTCCGATCATCCGACCAAACTTTTACGAGAAGCATGCACTTAATCAAACTTGAAGCGTAGGGTAAGCATCGCCAGTCCGAGTAATAGAAGGGTTTCATTTCTTGCCTATTCCCAAACTTAAAGTCATCTTAAGTTAATACTCCCCGATCCCAGAAACACATCGGACAGACCTACTTGGTTAATAAACTTGTGAAGAACCATCTCAAGAAAACCATTCAGGCCCAAAGTTTGCGGGCCACCGTTAAGCTCCACCATCCTCAGTGCCCCTTTCATGTGTCGCCTAGACGTCTCAAAGTCGCCTAAAGAGATCTGGAATTCAGTCCTTACAGTTAACCGTGAAATCCCCCAAGCCTAGAATCATTCGGAAGCCAAACACTCACTTCGTCCAACGCCAATATCATCGTCTCCGCTATAACTGGGTCGCTAAATGGCCCTTGCAGAGTGCTGGAGGAGATGGCCTCGTTCAAAGTCTTTAAGCAGACTAGCTTATACTGGGTAGCGTGTTCAGTAAATAACTGATGATGGTGTGGTTGGTGTGGCTGGTGGAAAACGGATAGATACCGTGACGCGGTGAGGAAAATACCGCTTAGGAACCCCAAATCGCTGAGGCCGAGTCGTATCCATTCATCAATCATGCTATCCACAAACCCCGACCCAGGAACTTTAAATCTAGTGCAGTGGCTTAGTAGATACGGAGAAATAATTGTTACATCTGTCATGCAATGTCAGTTTGTTGGATTACCGCGTACCACTCATGCTCGACAGGTTGGCATGGCTATACTCACATTGGTCTAGTAAAAAGTGCTCCATACTCGTGAATGGCCTTACAAAGCTCATAAAAGGATCTCCCCTCCCCGAATCCAGCCCGCCTAGACCACTCTTCGGCATGGCTACCACTGCAGTCCCATGCTCTAGCCCAACCCCCAACTCTGGTAATGGGGGTTTTCTTATACTTTGGTCGTCTTTTTGTAAGCGATATAGTTGCTCTTTTTGGGACTCAATGGCGTTGGAAATTTGGTATGCTTTGACACGAGCAACCCTCACTCTGGCATGAGCTTTCCGAGCAGCGTAGGAGTGAATAACCCGTCGTTGTGAAGAGCGCTCCCCGGTCTCCGGGTAGGTTACATTGATAAACGGTGTCTCAGCGAGCGACCTGACGTTTGAAGGCCGCATTACTTGGTCTAAATACCGCTCCCAATTTGGAAATAACCAGTCTTGGCGTTGGCAGGGTTGGGGTAGAGAAAATCCCCGGAGGAAGCTCTGCCAATTTAAGGCCGATGATTATTAGGATTTGTCAGCCCTGTATAGAATGAGGGGCTGTTTTATAACAAACTTGTAACACGGGGTCGAGTTTTAATTATTTCTGTTTCTCTCAAAAGGAATATACAAACAATCTGGTCAGAAATACCCTCAGCATGTCTTACGGAGCGAGATCCCGGAAAGCTTTATTAGTAAGTAGCTTGAGAAGTAGTTTTTTGCCAAGACTTACTTCTTCCTAATGCGGTAAAGAGTCTTTAGCCTTAGGTTACTGAATCCCGAAGATGGACAACTGTGTTGTTGAACTACAGCATTGCCAGCGAGATGAATCAAGTATATAAACTCGGCCGCTTCTTTCACAATGAAAGTCTCAATTGACAATTCTGCTTGGTATTCTCATATATCATTTTACACAAGCTCTTTCACATCCTGAAAAACAGCTCTTATCTGGACCACCATATTTCAAAGCTTGGAGCAGAATGGCGGACATACCCACATCTATGCAGGCCCTCGTCGTCAAAGGCCCCGGTGATGGTGCTGTTGAAACTATTGCCGTTCCACAGCCGGGACCCGGTAGCATTATCGTCCGTGTTCTCGATGTGCTCTTATACAAGGCCACCCCCGACTTCTTCTACGGCGCCCAAACCGACGCCGGCATGACACTACCTTATCCTTTGGTTTTTGGTGGTGCCGCTATTGGTCGCGTCGCAGCCATTGGGTCAGACTCCACAGCATTTAGTCCAGGCCAGCTTGTGCTTATTGAGCCCCATCTCCGCGCCCGCGACGATCCTAACATAGCCGTGGTATGGGGCGGTTACGATGGCTTCGATCAACGCACCAAGCAGTTTGTTAAGAACAACTGGCGTGACGGCAGCTGGGCCGAGTATGTTCGCGCCCCATTGGAGAATACGTGGGCCCTGAGTGAGGACAAACTCATTGGGAAACTAGGGCTCCAGACCCAGCATCTGTTGCACTTGGGCTATCTACCCGTTCTGTACGCAGGACTTCGAAGGATTGATGTTCAAGCTGGGGAAACAATCCTGATATGCCCAGCAACCGGCATTTTTAGCAATGGCGCTATTGCTATTGCCCGGGCCATTGGACTCAACGTTATTGCTGGAGGCCGCAATACCGAGAGCCTGGAAGCTCTCAAGGCCCGTTTCCCAGGAATCCAAACCGTTCAACTTAAAGGTGAACCGGAAGATGATAGCGCTATCCAGTCTCTAGGTCCAATTGATGCCTTTGTCGACGTGGGACCGGCGGCTGCTACCGGAACCTCTTACCTCAGCTCTTGCATTCTCTCCGTTCGCAAAGGAGGCCGTGTGTGTCTCATGGGCGGTCGAGGGGACACTGTGCTGCCGATTCCATATTTATTTATGATGTTTAATAACATTACTGTACGGGGTTCGCTTATGTACGATGCTGAACATGTTCGGGGAGTTATTCAGCTGGCTGAATCGGGCATATTGAAGCTTGGTGCAGAGAGTGGCCTCGGGATCTTGGCGACTTATTCGCTTAGAGACTACGCCAACGCCCTGGAAAGGGCAAAGAGCTGCTCGGAAGGGAACATTGTTGTTGTGAAACCATGAGTTTACATGATGTATTGTGAAGATGTCTATCATCAAATAATTAAGTAAGACATTGGAGACACCCAAAGAAGAGTACTGGTGAGGCTAATAACATTATTTTATAAGACTGCCATTATAAAATTACAGAACGCCAACATCTCAGTTCAGCTGCGGCTTTCCAACTCTCTAGACCTGATCGTAAGGATGTAGAATTGCCACCCATGTCGGATTTTATCAATTGTAATCTGTGTATAGGGTTGGCGTTGCTATTAAAACAACTTTTCCATCGTCATGAATAGGCCCGCAATAAAAGTCCACTAGAGGCGGCATTGACAGTCATGATTGTTTTGATCGATTGTCTAGGACTTTGGGTTCGGGGTTGAGGACGCTGTCGAATAAAGGAAGGTTGACAAGACCTTAGAATGGTGTGAGACAATGATTGAGAGACAATCTAGTAATGTTAGATATTGCAAGAGCAGACACATCTTTTATAAGTGGTTTGAGGTGATTTCAAATCATCAATGCATGAAATGAAATGAAGAACGGGATTACAAATGAAAATGGGCCAGGAGAATCTGAATGAAAATTTTCTCATGATGATTATGGGAATAATGAAAAAGCCAAAGCTCAACTCTTGGGACGAGGTCTTAGCGACAGCTCGTCTTGTGCCGTGGATTGGCAGATTCGAGTCTCGCAAAGGTTTCGGCATATACTGTACAGATAATATCTGATTATTGTACCAGAATAGCTTTCTTGACAAAATATTGTATCTTTGCAATTTTTCGTTTGCAAATTCTCGTTTCAATCAAGAGCAGCCGCCAGATTCGAATCCGTCAAATCCAGCAGTACTATAACACTACTAGCGGAGTTGCATTAAAAGGGCCCCGAAGGTCTTCAAGGGAAAAAACGTTGATCCATTTGGAACAAAAGGGGCTCAATTGATTGGATTGATTCGGGCAGCGAGCTAGGTACCCCTGTCGATTGGGCATCAAGTCGGGCATGCGTACAATATTCTATGTACATATTTTTCGTGTACTGTTGTACAGCTTCAATCAGCATCCTTACACGCTCTATGGGCTGTTTATAGCGAGCTTTTCGGCCCTAATAGCCTAGATACTGATGTTGAGTCTGATATGATCAGTATTGCGCGCACCCCGCGCGGGGCAAGATTACGGTTGAGACAGTAGCCATATTTTCCATGTCATCAAATGGCGATTGGTTGCTGCCAATGGGGCATTTCCTTGGTATCAATACGAAGCTCTTGGTAATCTCAATCCTACTGCTCTAATTGATCAATCCCCTCTTCCTAGCATTACCATAGGCTTAACGAGTAGACGTATAGAGTAGCTAAAATGGGGTTGCATATTCAGCCAGCCACAGGACCGGGTTTACTGCTGGATTAGGCCACCACTTCGGCTGTTTCACTCTCTCAGGAGTTTGCAGTTAGTTGCCAATCATCCATGACGTTAAACAAACTTATCCTTCATTTATAAGATGTAGTGCTCACCCAAGCACCACCTATCCAACTTGCATTGACTTTTCTAAGAGACCCAAGCATACGCTCAACTAGTTAACACTTTATCTTAATATTCAATAACACGGCACGATGAGCGTTTCCCCTTTCGGTTCTAATGATAATACAATTTCGGTTATCAATGACCGGAAGGAGCTTGTCTTCTGCTTTATTGCAGAAAGGGGGTCCCGCGATGCTTATGCCAAAGCAATGGCTGCTGCAGGGCTTTTCCTCTCTGTTGCTGGTGTGGCGGCATGGCCTGCCCCGATCGATGCTGGCCTGCAAATTGGAATCAAAGGATTACATCTCGCAGGTCGATTCGCCTCAGACAGTTTCCACACCACCGAAGGCTCCGACACAACCAGCAGGGCGCTTTTCTTCAATGATGTTTTAAAGTGGATACCTAACGAGAGAAAAGTTGGGATTATTCTCCTATTTCATGTCTCAGTCAGAGGGACTCAGCTCAAGATCTCTCGACTCACAAAGGAGGCTTCACCTGGTATCTACCAAGTAGGGACGATTATCGACGGCAATTGCGATGATAAAAGGGACATTTACACTGTTAATCTTGTCGGGGCACTTAAATTAACTCCCCGTCGCTACATATCCTTTCCAGATATGGTCCCTCACGGTATTATTACGAAGTCGACGGATTGGACGAAAATTCCTGAGCCAGGATCTGGTATTCTGTTTGATACCTCCGGACTCTTACAGGAATATTATCCTCAGAAGAAAGAAAATCATGAGAAAGACCTCTTTGCTAAATGTACTTTTGAATACAGGAAAGATTACATCATGACACTTGTTCAAGGTGAAAGCGATGTGATAGGCGGTAACCTATCAGTCGTGAATCTTCCCGACGAGAAAAATACAATCGTACTCAAAATGCAAGGCTGGAAATGCAACTATTTAGGGAATAGGATTGGAAATGCTTTGGACAATGAATTTGAAAAGGTTTTGGAGCTTATCCGTGATAACAAGGGACATTGGGGTTACCAATGGATCCGTGATTCCCAAAAGAGGAATTACGGCGATGTTTATGCCCTTAGTGTGCCCCATGATGGGGATTCCTTATCTCATAGTCCCACCTCGCAGCTCTTTTTTGTCATTGATGACAAGGCATGGACATATGCATTGAATGTTTCAAAAGCAGAATAAGTTACGATTGCTTTTTTACCATAATACAATTTAAGCTACCATTCCGTTCAAGTTTAGACAGATAATCACAATTGCACTAAGATATTAATACTAGGACCAGAGCATGTGATTTCTGACGCATTGTATCTAGAGCTTGAAGGGTAGTAGTATCTTGCAGTTTACTTTCTGTTAGACTTTTTAGACCTCTTGGAAACTACCATTGAGTGTATCTAAGCTTTTAGTATTGCGATTATAAGTAATATTGAACATCTCTCGAGCTGGAAAACTAACGTAATAACGCACTTCGAAGTGTTAGTTTCTATATCCTAATTCGATTCAGCCAGCTCGGGGAGAATTATCTAACAACACGGTAGAGTTATACCACAGAATTGTCAGCAAGTTACCATATCAAGTTATCCAAAGAGCCATACGGATTGATTACAATAGATTTGCGATTTAATGATTACTAATCGCCAGAGATTGACCAGGTAATTAATAATCTCTTTTATAGAGATGCTGCCAACAGCCAAACACAAGATCACTAATCATTTATACAGAACATCAGATCACTAATCATAATTACAATCACCAATGAACAGATATCTGAACTATAGTGTATGCAATAGATATTGTAACCATTACAGTATATATTCGACAGAGTGAACCATTCAATTTATCTATTGACAACAATTAAGCTCATAGTCTACGGAATTTGCTGCAAATTGTAAAAGACTACGGAGTAGAGAACTACTATCTGGATTTCAGCTACTAAAATGTCAGACTTGAAACTGATCTTAGTCATTGGCGGAACGGGCGCCCAAGGCATCCCAGTTGTGAAAGGTTAGGAAAATCCCCTCTAGATTTTAATTTCAGGCTAACAATAAATACTTCATCAGCGCTCTCTGAAAGCACTCGCTATAGTGTGAGGGTCCTCACTCGAAACTCCAAATCACCCCGGGCTCTTCAGCTGGCTGCTTTGCCGAATGTTACTCTCTTTGAAGGTAGCCAAGACAATTTGGAGGACCTCCATGCTGCGTTCAATGGGGTGTATGGTGCGTGGGTGAACCTGGATGGGTTTACTCTTGGCGAGAAAAACGAAGGTTTTTACGGCATTAGGGCCTATGAGATTGCCAGGCACCAGGGTGTGAAGCATTACATCTGGGCAAATTCAGACTACGCGCTTCGCAAAGCAGGTTGGGATGAAAAATACCACTGGGGCCACAACGATGCGAAAGGCCGCATTGGCGACTTAATCCTCAGCCATGGCCAGGAGGGCATGAAGACGACGCTATTCACTACTGGCCCATATATGGATATGCTCTGGGACGGCATGTATGTGCCACAGGAACAGGATGACGGATCATTTGTTTGGGCGAATCCTGCTAGTAAGTTCACCACCCCTTTTGCTCTGAGTCTTCGCATTCTTATTTCTTTTCTCCAGGTGACGGGAAAATTCCCCTAATAGCACTTGAAGATGTCGGTTTCTATAATCTCTGGATCTTTGACAACCTACATGAGTCAGCTGGCCTTGACCTTGAAGTCGCCACGGATCAAGTCAGTATGCCGGATATTGCAGAGACATTCACCAGAGTCACTGGCAAGAAGGCTACTCACAAGTGTCTACCGCTCGAGGAATATTTAGAAAAAGCTGAACCTTATCCCAACGCGCCCGCCAACTGGGCTGCAGGCCCAAACGCGGTTCGTGACAAATCTACTATGACTTGGCGGGAGAATTTCACGGCTTGGTGGCGATACTGGAGCGAGGGCAAAGGCGCGACCAGGGATATGGCGTTGTTGGATAGAATCCATCCACAGCGAATCAGGAGCTTGGAGGAGTGGATGAGAAAAGTCAACTACGATGGAAATCGGCGGGAAGTCCTCAAGGGGATTAGAGACCTGAGAAGCCAACTCTCTGGTAACAGCTCCGAATAAGCTGCAAGCTAGAGTAAGTAGTCTTTAGCATTACAATCTAGCACAGACGGCACGCAGTGGATACTGAGCCTTGAAGGATTCTCAACATTATGCTAGCGCGGAAGAGCCGGTTGCAGCCACAGTTGACTAGCGTTTATTAGTTGCCATAAAGATCGACATTCTATGTCATTTCCCCCCTTTCAGTGGTGCCCTTTTTCCATGTCTAAGTCGAGATTACATCCTGCCGTGTTTTATGCGCCTGTCATATATACTAACCCGGCAGCCCGGATGAAGGGTATCAGCTCTAAATCAGCTCTTAATCAGCTCTAAATCAGCCCTCGTAATTATTCTGCTTCCACCCCAGAACCTGACTCCTGTCGTACTCCCCTGGCGAAGCAGTTCGCTCGCTTCTCATCATTGTGACCTGGGTCTCCTTCAAAATGTGCTTGGAGCTCTCCCCATCCCCATCCGTATCTCCGAGCTGGTGAAACGTATCCAGGTTTATATCCGGTCGCATCCCCGGATGTCCGCCGCCCGACCGCAAGTACTTGTTGGCTGAAGCTGAGCCATTTGTGTTGCCGCTGGTGCTGCCGCCGAAGATGGGGAGGGAGAGAAGAGGACGCAGAGCATGCAGCGAGCCGGCAATGATGCCGATGCCTTCTTCAATGATGGACCAGAGACCGATCCTCCCGGTGCCGAACATGAATTCTGCGGGGTTACTGTACAGGGTTAGATAGCGGAGTCGGACGATTGTCGCGCAACTTGCACTGGTGAAGAGTTAGCTTGTGAGAGCTCGTCCTCGTATACCTAGATTTATAATAGTGGCAACACGGGGTGGGCCCATTCTTGGCCAAGGGGGGGGGGGAGAATTCGGAGACAAGGAGACATACAAAGCACCCATCCCGAGGATGATGGCCACCGAGAACTTGACCCTGCTCTTCATCTGGATGTTCCACAACAAGGCCCCAGGCAGAAACGCCAAAGCCCAGTCTGTTATAATCTCAATAGCAGAGAAGAAGAAGCTAACGTCGCTGTTAAGGTCGAGATTGCATGTTCCGGTGGTGGTTTCACCCCAGAGAGTAGTGATGGGATGGCAAATGTTGGAAATGCCGGCTATGAAGACGATGCATGAAATGATCGTGGCGATTATTACGCTCCAGATAATCCACTTATAACGACGGCGGGATTCCGCGATTCGGAGAAGAGTCATGGCGATGCTAGCCTTGATGAAGACGGTGCTGGAGGCGTAAAAGTACTCAGCAATAAAGAAGAGCTTTTGGCGAGAGTCAGTTTTCACTTTTCCACTTTTTTTCGACTCGCAATCGAAGAGGGAGAGAGTTCTCACCTTGGTCCCGCGCATGATTGCACTGGCAGGCAGGACAGCTCTAAGCTGACCAGATCCGAGATAGCAGCAGACAATGCATAGGGAAGCTGTTACCGTAAAGAGAAGCTGCGGAGCATTAGAATTTTTTTTCTGGAGTTTTCGTAAGACAACAAGCTGTTTTGGCTGTATACGTACGATGCCTATAAACATCAAAATGTCATCCCAACCTGTTGCTTTTCGCCATACTCGGACTGATATTCGTGTAATGAATGTGATCCAACTGAGAACGAGCAAGACTATTGAAGCATGGAGAAGCTGGACGCCGTCCCCTGCTGGCTGAACCATGATAGCAGACCAATTGAGTGCTGCTAGCAGAGGGGGTTGAAGAGAGGAAGAGTTGCAGGGAGTTGCGGAGAGTTGCAGAGTTGTAGAGATTCAGAGAAGAGAAGAGTTGTGAAGTTTAAGACTACTTCTTCTACTGCAGAGCAAGAAGATCGGCGAGGATGAGACCCAAGTGAAAATAAAAAACGCCGCTCATCATTTCCTGTTTTGATCCATGCTTAGAGTTCATTACTCGATCACCGCCTGACAAGTTCCACCGGGGGCAGAACGGCTAGCGGGACTCGAGTATACCCGTGTTCCCACTTATAGTGACTAACTTAGAACCGAAGCCGAACAATTGGCTTCTCAACGTACGACTAACGGGTACATATATGGGTACATTGTGCTCACCCTTAATATAGAGGATGTGGGCTCAAATGCCGCGAACCAGTACTATGCAATACCGTGTATACGCGTGGGGCGACAGCCGGACTAGACTGGTTTCACTACTATGCCCCAGGTAAAGGGGCCATAATGCATAATGTGGCTTCTTCTAGTCTGCTTCTCGAGATGCCTATTCCCTGACCGCTTTGTCTATCTTGCTCGTGCTATATATCACATTGCCTTGACCTTCTCCTATTCCACCGTCTCCATCATTCCAAAATATCATCATATCTCAACATCATGGCAGAATTTCTCATCAAGAACGAGGATCTTAGTGTCCTCAAGGGCAAAGTGGTTGTCCTCACAGGTACGGCCATTTCACCTCTTTGCATGGGATTCCAGCTGTGATCAGACTTAACCCTGGATCAACTATAGGCGGCTCGTCAGGTATTGGCCTCGCAACAGTCAACCTTTTACTGTCATTAGGGGCATCTGTGGTCAGCGGCGATGTCAACCCACCCGCGGCCTCCGAGACAGAAACGCCCGGCCTGCTATATGTGAAGACCAATGTAGCCAACTGGGGTGACCTGAGAGCGCTATTTGAGAAGGCGAAGCAGCACCATGGCCGAATCGACTGCGTTTTCGCTAACGCCGGCGTTGGTCCCCGAGCTAACTACCTGGCTCTTGAGACGGATGAGGAGGGGAACCTGCAGGAACCGACTCACGAGCTCCTGGACATCGGTTTGAGAGGCCTCATCAACACAGCTTCTCTGGCTGTTCACTATATGAAGGAACAGCCTGAAGGTGGTAGCATTGTGCTTATGGGCTCTAGCACCGGGTTGCAACCCCTTCGAGCCGTCGATTACTGTAAGTCGAGAGTAAAGCACTGCAATGTTGATGACGGTTTGTCATGCTGACCAAATCATGTAGCCACGGCCAAGCATGGTGTCCTAGGTTTCGGCAGAGGACTTGCACGGCTTGCAGGTGTTGCGGGAGTTCCCATCCGCATCAATACTCTGATGCCTTCATGGACGATGAGCAACGTCCTCCCAGACTTGGAAGGCCTTATGAGAGGCATCTCGCATGTGCCACAGCCCGCTTTGGCGGTCGCCCGCGCTGCGGCTCACCTGATGGCCGATGCATCCAGACAGGGAGACGTGATTTTTGTGGCTGATGGAACGTACAAGGAAATCGAAAAGACGGTGCTCTATCCCGCGTACGAAACCATCAAAGGAGAGGGAAACCCCAGCGACGACGAGGTTTTGAAGCGTCTTTTAGAAGTGCCGGCGCAGTAAACTAGGGATTTAGTGCCTTGAGCGAGTTGGAGCTTTCCAGGATTAAATTGCATAGTACGGAGTATGAGTACATAGATAAGCAAGCTAGCATGGTTTTTCGTTGAAGCGCTAAACACTTTGAGTAAGTTTACCCAAGCTTCTTCAATACGAGTACAATCCCCAGATTGTAAAATTGTTTACATTAGTTTCCATCTCGTTTCTTTACTCAAAGCAGTAATCTGGTCTGAAGAATGCTGAACCAGCCCAATTCCTTACCCAGCTAGAGAGAAACTTGGAAATAGGTGGCTGAAACGCTTCGCCTGATCTGCATAATGCAACGGCACACCATGTGGAGGGCTTGACAGCGGAAAATTACGCGTCGTATTCTTGTCTTGTTCTCCTGCAGCGGCTACTTTACCCAGCTCGGCAAATAATCCCGCACGCAAATACCTACTACCTGGTGAGCTTGGCCACTAACCCCGGCATTGCAATACCCTTGTATCAAGTAGCTGAGACAATCTCGGGTGTTGACAGTACAGACTGGAGAACACGAGTCAGCGCGATCCATGCCTCTGCTAATAGTCGTTTGGCTAAGTCAGTGTACAGTATGAAGTGGTGTGAGCTCAGGAGCTAACGGTCCGTGAAACGGCCCCGGTATTTGGTTAGAAGACCATCCAATGGAAAGGACGCAAGTGAAGAAATCGCATAACCCACTATCCATATATAGCATTTACATACTGAGCATCGAATCCCGCAGCTCTTTCTGGAATAGGAAAGACCCCATCATCAAACAATTTGGCTGCCTAGATATCCAAAACCGGCTTCCAATCAGCCCGCAATTATGAGAATGCAGCGCCAAACTCCGTCTGCGCACTCACACATAGAACAAATGAACCAGTTCTCTCCGGTTATCGCCGCTTCATCGCCGCTTCTAGCTGCTGCCACGTCCGCAAACGCTCTTTAGACTTTCGCCAATTGACAATGTATTGCTCCGTCTCCTGCAAATGCGATGGCTCGAACCGTTCGTCCTCATGCATGTGTGAGGGGACGACAATCTTGGGGGCCAGAGCTTTGACCTTGGGTATTGCCGTGACCCACAGATCTTGCAGGGCCGTTGCGTTCGTCTCAAACATTTGGAAGCAGTTTCCGTAAACCACATCGCCTGTAACGGCCATGTCCAGGGTAGGGACATGGAGCACAGTTGCGTTCATGATGTCTCCCTAGCCGACCTCGACAGCTCGCAGGACATGTCCCTCGAGATAGAATTCGCCGTTCTTAGGAAGAATGTCAATCTGTCTGATTCGGGAATAAAGAGTCCCAATAGAAGGCCATGAAACCAGGGTCTAGCTATTCCTGCACATGCAGGTTGACACCTGCAGTAGCCAACACCTTGGCACCAGGGAATCGGTTCTGTAGGATAGACGATCACCTATGATTATTATACTACGTTGAAGCAAACCAACTCATAAATCTCCATCATGATTCTAAATCACTGAGCAATCAGTAGCACCGCCTCTCGCAGCCAGATCAATAATCAGGTTGGCCCTTGAGATGCTGGGACTATTGGGATGCCCTCAGTCCATCATACCGACCTGGTGGAAAATGCCGTAGGCTGCGGCCAGTGCCGCTCAAAATGAGCGACAGCCGAGCGTGGTTATAGAAGGGGCTAAATCAGGTTGCTCAAGTAAAAACCATTGTCATGACTGTATGGCTATAGAAGTTGCGTGATAAAGTTTTGGTATGCGATATTCTCAAAGGCGGATTCCCTCATTCGCGTGAATATACAACGGATGTGAATCTGCTGACAATCGTTTCATTTTTCATAGTTATCCCCATAAATTACGGATTCTCAAGGGGCAAACTGTAGAACAGGGTATCAACCTCATAAGTATCACGAGTAAGACCTACTAGCCCTGGGCCCAATTAGTTCGACAGAACCTAACTGGTTAAAGGTTGGCTACTAAATATCAGGCCAATCAAGTGGAAGCGGTTGCAGATATATTGGGGATTTTCGGACCCTTGACACATTGCCCAACGATGACACGATTGGCATATTTTTGTACGAGTACTCCGTACTACTGGAAGGAGGTGGGAATGAGTGTCTCTAAGAAACAAAAGCTTGGATGGCGAAAATATTCACGAGTGACGTAAAGAATTAGCGTGCATTCATAAACTGTCCTATAGGCGATAACTAATATGACATATGAAAGCGGGGATTACACCCTTTGTTGATATTGCGTCAAGGGATCAAGATGAATGTGCATCTATTTACTTCGCACTCAGCTCTTTAGAATGGGCGGCGTAGAATGAATATTGCCACTCTTTGTGATAACGCTACAGTGTCCACAGGCCTCACAGATTCTTCATTATTGCCATTCGACAAGTACAAAGAAGCATATGATGTAACGTGCGATAGTAACAGCTTATAAATTCCAACCCTCTTTCATTTATTTCGGGGACTACGACATTGTTATCGTTAGGTGTGCGAGGCAGGAATATTGATAGCAATAATTTCGAAGAAGTTGGAACTGGTTTTGTTGATCTGGCCAAATCCAGAGAAAGGACGAGTCTGAGAAACATGATAGAGAAGGAGAAGGGTCCTAAACACTACGCAAAATTAGACAACGATGGCGATAAAGATATTGAAGAAGCTAGCATTCAGGAAATTATAGGTCTTGGTGAGCAAGAGACGGAAGCAATACCGAGAAGGCAATCTGTCAAGAGTCTCTAGCTTCCCTACTACGAGGAAGGCACGCCAACTCAGAATGCCCCAAACCACATGTCCCTGAGAACGAAAAGTTACCAGGGCAAAGAAATAAGAGCCGAGGAAACGCTCAGCTTGTATCGGAGTATGTGGCTCAGGAAAGTTGTAGTCATGTTGGGTATTATGAGGCTCACATTACTACTCGCTATCCTAGTGGCTTCATCAAACACATGAATAGTTGCATAAATAAAGATGATTATACGGCCACCACCTCCAATACCATCAAGATTCCTCTCATTGGGTGCATTATATTATTCATACTGTTTTATCAGGCTCTTGTGGCTTCGATTGTAACCCATACTTCGGAAAAGTCTTAAAGTTCTTGGCTCCTGCTCATAACATAATGAGATATTATGCTCTCTTAGGTATTTGCTAATATCTCCGTAAACCTCGTCGGCTTCGTACCTGAGAACTTTCACTTCAAGCTCCATCAGGTGAAAGGTTTCCGCCTGTACGTCATCAAACACACCCTCATGGTCGGAGATGTTTAGGCGCCACTTGGGATTTGGGTTGGGCCCAAAGCCGACGAGGTCCGTCCAATGGACCCTTTGGAAACGTTCGGCGAAGCGAATTTGCTCATCAGTCCAAAGTTTTCTTCTCCCGTCTAATAGCGACTGTATTTGACAGGCAAATGATGTGTTATTACCGTATCGATCCCAGACACAAAGGAACCTCTCTTCTGTGTCCAGTGCTATTCCGTCGAAATGTGATTCAACCAATGCAGCTTTTGTGTAATAGAAGAATGCCGCCTGGGAATTTGACGTTCTTGGATCGAAATGGACCTTTACCGCTGAAAGCTCCTCATCGCGTCTAGTTTTCGTGCGAAACATAAGCCCGCCCCAGGAATATGAGGGAGGGTCCGTATCGTAATAAGTAATGGGGGTCTTTTTATATGGCTCGCGGGTACCGTCTTCGCCAAGCTTCCGGAGTACAGTCTGGGGATCTGCGTCGCAAATCGCCCACTGTAAGTTGACTTTGACCTGTTTGCCCAATGGACAAAGCGCAAGTAGAGCAAAAGTAAATAAGAGGGAGCACCACATGGTTGTTACCGTCAGGGAGACTTAAACTTGGGGAATCGACAATGCAGATATTCTTGTTATTAGGACCCTGGGAAGAAGTGGTTCTACAGATCGTTGGGGTTTAGAAAAATGCCGATAGTAAGTCAGTGTGTTTATATACGTTAGTAAAACAACCTTGCAGGGAAAGCACGATAATGTTCACATACCACACACAAACTCTACGTGATATATTCATCAGAACTGGACCGTTAGAGGCAGCGCCAGAGTCTGCTGGCACGCGACCAATTAACTAATTGGGGTGGCCTATCCGCGACCGTGTGGCTATCTACGGGCGCTAGTCTATCTCACGAATCTGGTGACTTGGGGATGCAATGCTCCTTGCACATGCAATCCTTCTGTGAATGACGAACATGTTACGTATGGGGTTCTTCCGTTCAGAGTTTGTTTCAACGAACTTTGTTTAAAGGATGGGTGATGAGGATGAGCATTCTGAGTGTCCACAGACCAGTCATTTTGTGCTAGTACATAACAAAAACCGTATCAAGGGATATATACGTTGCGGAATCGGGGACACACATGAAGCATAACAACTAATTTTGCCGTAAACGCTTTATTAATAATTAGCTTTTTGGAAACTTTTTGAAGCAGTGTGCAATGAGTATACATTTATGATTGGGTGTTTACTAATGTTTGGTTCTCAACGTAAATAGTTGCGTTTTTGGTTAACCTATGTGGCGTTCGCCTATACATATACATAAACTAAACTATTCCCCCAATATATAGTTCGATAAGTGGTGATTTTTAAATGTCATCTCTATAGGACCTTTACTGCCACAATAAGATGTTGAGTTGTGACGCCTATTAAAGTTCCGCCGTACGGTAAGGGAACTTGTGTTGTTTCCCAGAATTCTACGAATGATCTTTCTCACAGGCGGGTTCCACAACATATATCTGTCTTCTGCTCCAACCCTTCTGTGTATAAAACACTCTTATTCTTCTCTTGAGTTGACACGGGTACGTCTAATCCCGGGTTGCCGGTAAAAAAGTTGACTGGTTTGAGGCCAACTATCATTTTTTCATTCGGCATGACAGGCCAATCCTCTATCCGTGGATTGTGAGTGGATCCAAATGTATGCCAAACAACGATATCTGCGTTCCTCACCGATCTGGGAGAACACAACGTATTTCGCTCCTGAATACGTGAAGCAATACCATCGCCGCCTGAAGACTGCATTGTATATCGGCCTGCTGGAAAGAGATCGTCGTCTTCATAATGAGTAACCCAGACGGCATGTTGGGTATATTCGGATCGTTTTGCATGATATGAGTCCGGATGCGAAAGTAGCATCTGACTTGGCTGGGGAAGCAACTTGAATCCGACAGGTATTCCAGTGATCGGGTTGATCTTGTTTTCGTTAATAAACTTGAAGACTCGACCCTTGCTAATGTCTAGATCGAAACCGCCCTCCTTCTCGACGTTGCGATTCACAGCGTAATAACCTACTCCAAATGGGTTACGGACTGTCGGATCATCAATGGGCATAGGATGGGATTCTTCGATTGACAGGGTGTTTTGATGTCCATCAATGGCCGGATCGATACGAAGGCTGAATAGGTGCTGATGATAAGGCGCCAAAACGCCAGGTGCAACTACTGTGCCGTATGGAACTTTGTCCTTCTGATCTAGATGATGTGGTACGGTGGAGAGAATCCCAGTTGCTCGAACCTCATAGAAGATGGATGCATCCTGAGCGAATTGGAATGCAAAAATGTATTCGTAGTTGCTGACTGTGATGATTGTCTGCAGTACGAGGATACGTGACCGAGTGACGACTGCATTGCCGGTACGAAAGTTGGTGTGCTTCCATAGGATGCCATCATCTTGTTCGTGGCAGCAAACAACATTGGGTAGTTTCATGGGCTCTCCGGATTGAGTATTATGCCAGGCATCAAAGTATTTAATGGTACCCAAACAATCACAGCCGAGTTGCAGGTTATTTGCGTTGATTCCGGCGCCATCGTTGCCCAGGTCAAAAGCAGCCTTTCGTGGATATGGAGCGCGTGGGTCGCCGTAAGGAACAAACATTTCGGCTAGAGAGAGGCGGTAGAAAAGACTCCTGCCATCATACCGTATATCATGAAGCGTTAGGCCCTCTCGATAGTTGAATCCGACGCGGAAGCTCCATTTTTCCCAATTCACCTGATTACCCCGAATTTGGAACGATGGGCCGTCAGGCTGCACCACCTGGTAGGGCTTGGTTGTAGATCGCGGCTCTGGCCGTAGATCAGGATGGTATTCGCTGGATGAAGTTGCGTGTATTTTGCGGCGGTCGTAGGGGCGATCATCATTGTTGATTTCTTCGTCTGTCGTTCCCGGTAGGCGATAAACTCGAATCACTTCAAGTTGTTCTGATATCTCAGCACATATATCGAGGGGGTAAGCATAATAGTTTACATCCGGATGATCGAAATGACGGCAGTAGAACCAGCACTTTGGCAGCAAAATATTAATACCCAGGAGAGATACGTGGTTATATCGGCCTTCTTACCATGGTGATGCGCTCTGACATATCATTCATGCCATCAGTTGCATATGCCCAAGGTTCAACAATTGCTGTTGATCCCGGAGGTAGATCTAACTTGCGGATCTCCGCTTGCACTTTATCATCGGCGAGACAAGCGGCTTCCACTGCTTTCATGTACGCTGAATCAATATAGGAATGCTTTCCTACAAGATTCTTTTTTCTCATGATCTTGCTTTCATCGATATTGACGAGAAGTTCATGCAATTCGTGTTTTCCGGTTTGACTCTTGACCAGCATTTCGACTCGTGCGCAACGCGAGGGCCTCTTTACTTCTAGCTGTTTGCGATGCTCACTCTCGAGGAAGTCTATCATTTCAGCTTTCGGGGGTTCTTTGAGAGTAATGACACGAAAGTTAAGTCCCTGACCTGCGAACGCGGGCCGCACAGTTTCTGCGACCTAACAATATTTTCATTAGTGTCAGTTTACGTGGGAAAGTTGACTAGGACCTACTCGGGTAATTTCTTCAGGCCGCAGCGGGTCGAAGGGATGGATGTCAGTTGCCATTATGATTTCAAGCGGCAGTATAAAGCTTCCGTAGGGAATTGCTCTGTCCTGAGTTGGGGTTGAACTCAGGTGAGGATTAGTTGCGGCTTTTGTACTCGTCTCGGCTAATGATAAGGACATCCTTGGAGTCACACTTTGCTGAGCGCTGCCAAGAAACCGTCAATCAGGCCAGAGTCCAAACATCAAATTGACATTGATTCGCTCGAGATTCCCTTTAGCGGTTGATGGTGCTCTAGTTGGCATCCACACTTACTGCAACACTTGTCCCCCAAAGGCTTAATCTGCGGACTGAGCGTGCGCCTTACTTGTACATAAACCACTTAACCCCTCACCATTCCAACACTACCGTGACAGTCGTAACCTCTAAAGGCAAATTATAGGAATACATAACCTCCAAAGGAAAGGTTCCGCCATGGATTTTTTTGTTTTGTCAGCACTCACTCGGACTTGTCACCTCTAAAGGAAATCTCTATGGGAAAAAAAAAATGCCTCAGATAATTCCGCGGACAAGCGATGAGGTTGCCTTTGGACAGGGCTCTATTTGAAATGTTAATATGATGATGCCGAGCACGGAGCTCCCACACCGTCCATATTGGCATTTGTTTATTTTTTTTAACATATGTTACAATTGACTAGAGTGATAGGGTTACGACGACCACTGATATAACTATGAAAAATCGCCATTCCAGCGGAGATGAGAAAATCCAGTGTTAATGGAGCTTTGGGTCAAGGCGGCCTAATTCCGACATTCCAATTCTATCTGTATTATAGGGTTACTATATCGTATGGTATAGTATTTAAGTTACACGTTCATTTAGCCTTGTTGCTATAAACAAACTTGATTTCTTGGTCGCTGCCACTTCTCCACACCTTGAAGATGATGGACAGAAGAAAGCGCAACGACCGCTATGCAAATTATGGTATAGTTGTAAATCGACAGCATCCCCGATACGTCAGGTTCACTGACCATGAAGCCAATGCTAGTCTCGAATTGGAAACTTTTACTAGGAACTCTTTGCAAAGGACTGTCGTGTCAAGTCCACCGGTTTGTATACATGGTATGAACCCAATGCGAACCTCGAATCGGAAGGGTTTGCCAGAGGCTTCTTACAAAAGCTGTCGTTTTATATTCAGGGGTATCGCACGAGCCTGCGTTCAACTTCAGATACGGTTCAGATATGGGCTGATATGGACTGATTGTACGGGGCCTTGTTAACTATTGGCGGTGGTGGAAACTTGAATGACGTTAGGATGTTTAACAACAGCTTTTTCTGGAAAATGGTGTTAGCGAAATTTTCCATTTTGGATATCATCGGAGTTTAATGAGTTAACAGAGTTTTAGGGCATGAGTTATACCAGTCAACATAGCTTCAGCCAATGACCTCAACCACGCTTATCATCTGAGAACAAATCACTTAATGCGGATTGATGGTATTTACATGCTTCAGTTAGTGGTGACGGACCCAAAGACACCAATCTTCTTCGATTTGAATACGAAGCAGTTGCGAAATATGTTTCTAATCACAGCAAGCCACCATCCAGTCTTGAAAGAGAACCATACTGAGGCTAGAGATTATCGATTTTCAAGATGAATCGTAAAGTCTCTTATAGGTCGCACATTCGAAGAATTCAATATCTTTTCAGTCGCTTACAAGGGCAAAATATGCTACACTACTGGTAATCTAGCGCATCACGGATATACAGCAAGCAGTCTCCTAACTAGCGGGAGCTTTAGGCTTCAGACCGCCTTCAGGGACGCGTCCCATTACAGAAAAGCTGTGGAACACCATTCCCTTTTCCAGCAACTCCGCGTGCAGCCGCTCCATCATAGTGTCCAGCTGCTCCGGTGTGAAGCCCTCCAGCTCAGGGGTATCTAACGAACAAAGCCCAGGTTTGTGTGCGTTCCCTCGATAATTCTAAGTGATTCCAACATGAAAAACACAGATAGAGACTTACCGCGAGCTATAGCGAGAATCATGGGTCCCGCTCCAGCGGCGCCATTGATGCTAGTCAGTTTCAACTCGGGCTTCGCCTTAGCACCGACTTTGCAGTTCAACACCGTCTGCTAGACGTCTTGCAGTCCAGCATCCTCCATCCATCCCTTCAAGTTGAGACCAAAGTTGCCGCCCATGCCCTTGATCCTCCACATCTGCACTAACAGCTGGGCGAACTCAGCCATCACTGTGCCCTCGTCCAACAGCTCCTGGTGGATTTCGAGCTCGATCAGCTCGACCCAGCCGCCAGGCTTGGCCAGCTTGCACAGATTGGCTACTGCCTGGGGCAAGGAGAACTTTCCACAAAAGCCCAAGACCTGGCGTTGGTGAACGAGGTCGAAAGTCTCATTCCAGTCTTCCGGCCACGGCTCCGTAATGGATTGGCGGTGGAATTCCATGCCCTCGGGATTGGTCGCAGGAAAGAAGTCCCCAACCAGATCCGTACCGACGTATGTCTGTTTAGCCGCAGCATCGCCAGCTTGCTTACGCAGTTCACGAAGCCAAAGACCTGCAAAGTGCAACCATCAAATTAATTTTTGTTCGGTCTAGGATTCCGCATACATAAGAAGGAGACTCACCATCAGCAGTGGCAGAATCTAGAACTCGCAAGCCTGGCTTTTGCCAATCGAGGGGGGCAAAGGAGAGTTTGCCATCGGCAGCATCTGTGTATACAAGGTGGTTGTCAGTCAGCCGGTCTACCTCTTCCTGGTAGCCGCGCTTCTTAACATCCTCCATCATGGCATCCATGCCCGTGTTGGTAGCAATGTCAGACATTGTGACGGTAGTGTGAAATCCAGCAAATAGGACTAGACTACAAGTTAGAGTTGAGGATTGTTTCAAAAGCTGCAGAGTCGGTCGTGAGAACCGGCTCTATTTGTGAAGCAAATGCTATAGGTATACATCTCATGAGATTACTCCTGATTCCTCAGGTATAAGAGCAAGTATAGAAACACGTAAGCGAGAACCAGGATTATTCGGTGAGAACAAAGTAGGCACTTGCCTATCGGAGGGAACTGCTTCGGGACCGGGATAACTATATAGGACATTGCACGGGGTCCTACCGCTTTGCTGGGGGTAGTGAGATTCATGAGCTGGGGTAAGGTAGATAGATGCAGATATAATACCACACCGTGGGGTACTACTATATAGTATCCATTTGCCGAGTGCAGGGGGCAAATATTCGCCGACACTCTATTTATTTGTCTCTTCCCTTGTCTGTATTCAGGCCCTGGTTAAAACTACCTAGTAAAAATCAGCTGGCTTATTTGATTACTATTCAAACATCAGACGAACTGTTGATTCCTAGAAGTGGAACCAACAGGTGCAGGGAATGCTATTTCGGTCTATCGTATAATAGCTATAGTGGATCTCCATTCTCGCAGGGGTTGACCATCAACAATCCGCATGTCAGAGTCATTGACTCAGGTTCTCCATGCAGAAATTCTTCATCACAGTCTCGTCATAGTCCACATGCCCAAAATCCCCCAAAGCCTCCAACTCAGGCCAACCTAGGCAGTGAAAGGAATATCGTACATCGTAATACAAACAAGAAATTGCAATATATAGTTTTGTATTTATTAAACATATAACCATTCTAATATTAAAACTTCGTTCGCAATTACTCACAAACTCCCACCCTACGGGTCAGAAATGCGGTACACCAACTTTTTCCCTCCAGCCAAACCCTTGCGCACTCTGTCAACTCCATCAGTTACTGCTGCGAGCCCACCGTCACAAATCTCGGTGGGATGAGCAGTTATCATGCTCTCATCCAGCAATCTTTGAGCAATTGGCCTCCACGTCTGGTAGTAGAAGGCCTTGTGTTTTGGCTTGGCGCCGCGATTGTAAGGCTTCTTCCAGTTAATAGGCTCGCCCATCATTGTGAAGCAGATGATCCAGTCTGGTCGTATGTCTTGCCTAGTGTGGCCTCGGATGGGGAATTGATCCAATCCCACATATTTACCGCCTTGGTTACCAATGGCTGTATAGCAAATTTTCATACTTTCACTGTCCGTGATGCAGTCCAGCGCAAGAGTCAGGTTGTTTTCAGTGAATTCTCGGATGTCTGTCCCACAGGACGGAGAATGATAGTCCCAGGCTTCGACTGCACCCAAGCTCTTGACATGTGAGAAATTCTTCGGAGAGCAAGTAGTAATGGGTTTCATGCCCGCGCTAAAAGAAAAAAAAGAGACTGTTAGATAGCACGCAAAAGGGAACAAAGCATCAGAGAGAGGCTTTAAGTAAGGTTATGAAAGCTTACTGCTTCAAAGCCTGGATGGCCAGAGTGCCGGTAGCTGTGCCTCCTCCGTAGACAAGTACATATTGCCCAGGCTGCGGCTCTGTGGCGAATGGCAATGGGACTTTTAGGAAGTGAAAGAGCGAGAGGCCAATTGTGAGTAAGCCAACTCCAAGCGTTGCGCCCTCTTCAAAGGCCATGCTGGGAGGCATCTTGTATACGAGACCTTCTGGGACAATCATGAACTCAGCAAACGATCCCTCGCTCGCACCGCAAACGCGGTCACCAGGACGCAAATCGCTGGCGATGTCACTGCCAACGGCCACGACCTTGCCCGCAAAGTCACATCCCCACGTCGATCCCACTGACGGCGACATATCAAGCACTTTCCAGTCGTGTGGGTTAATGCCAATAGAGACAACCTGAACCAGAACCTCACCGGCTCGTGGACTGGGAATAGGATCATCGTGAGCCAGCTCAACACTGCCGATGCCTCGTACCTTGATTGCGCTCTGTGTTGCTCGTTGTACAGCCATCATTTTTGCCTTGGTAGAAGAAAACGTGAAAGCAGTAAGAGTAAACAGACAAGAAGCGATACCGTTAGTGAGAGGATAGAGATACGGTTGTTCTAACTAGACAGTTGTAACTTCTCCTATTGCAAGACATAGTCGGCGGATAGAAGGAGACTCTAATAAACGCCACACCATGGGGTTTTGGTATATAATGCATGTATCCAACTACGCGAATTACGCGAGTAAAAAAGACTCGCCGACACATTTATTTTTAAGTATTTCAAATCTTTAGGTCTTATTATATCTCGCTTAAGGAAAAAAGATCACCTGGTTGGCGTGATTAACTTCTCATGGTATGTAAGAGCAAGGAGACATACGAATAGTCTATTACCCCTAGTCTGTAATTGTAACAACAAGGCTTACCGCTTTTGAACATTCGTAACGGGAGCTTGCGGCAGGAATTAAGCCAAGATGTCCTAATGTGATATAGTAGTATACTAAGACAAAAGGAAAGATTATGTCCGGCTCGTGTCTGGCCCTTACTAATGGTTGCCTAATGCTTTTTGAAGTTGGTGCGCTCGGGATCTCCAGGACGACAGCAATCCCCGCCCCCTGTCCCTACCTACGTGAACCACTACTATCTAAGAGGTATCTACGGAGTAGCTATACTATACATGGTAGTAAGAATGCCTGTAAGCAGAGGGCGTTCTCGTCATCATACTCTTAACTTTAAGGAGCTCCCACAAAGTCTGGAGGTGTGAGACGGACTTTTCCCATTGCATCAATCACATTCATCATGGTATCGTTCAGCACGGTTCTCGCCCACAATGAGGCCCTAAAGGATCGACCTGAAGGCCTTACGGCCCTCTTTGTCGGCCCAACGCGTGGCATTGGTCTCGCCACGCTCAGATCCATGGCCGTCAGGCTCAAGGCTCCTCGCCTCTACGTTGTCGGCAGGTCCGAGAAGCAGTTCTCCCCTATTCTTCTGGAGCTGCAGGCCGCTAATCCCGCTGCTTCAATTACCTTTATTGAGACAGACATTTCACTTGTACGCAATGCAGATTCAGTTGCCAAGGAGCTGTTAAGACAGGAAAGCCACCTAGACCTGCTCTACATGAGCCCAGGCTATCTCGCCTTTGGTGGCCCACATTGTAAGTCCCCGATGTTTGTTCAGATTAACCTTATGATGCCAATACTTCCTACATGGCTAGTTTTTCACTAACATGCTGGTGTTTATCGTCGTTGAGACACCGGCGAAGGACTCGACACGTGCTTCGTGCTGTCTCACTACGTCCGAATCCGCATCATCTCCCTGCTTCTTCCTCTCCTACACTCGGCCCGTCGACCGCGCGTCTTGTCCATCCTCGCAGGGGAACACGAACGATCGCTGTTCACCAAGGACGACGATCTCGGCCTAACTCTTGACAATGCACGCAACTACAACTCCATCCGAGCAATGGATCAGTTGACGACGCTTCACACTCTGGCGCTAAATGACTTCGCTTCGCACAGCCCCCACGTTGCGTTTCTCCACATCCACCCTGGCTGGGTATCTACCGATTTTGCCCCCAATGTCCTGTCCAGCGCTGGAGCCGTCAGCGCTTTGCTGAACCGCTTCCTACTGCCGATCTTTAATCTAGTGGCTACCGACGAGGTGGATAGCGGTGAGCGGCAGGTGTTTCATGCATTGAGTCGCCGGTACCTGAGCAGAGATCTACTTTGCAGGGGTGAGTTTAACGCTGACGATGTTGCATCCTGCCACGTGCCGTACAGCGGGTTCTACCGCGTCTTGAGTAACAGTGAGACAGTCAGCGGGGGGCGTTTTTTGCAGTCCTTGGACGAGGAGGGGTGGGCAAAGAAGGCGATCCAATTCACGGAACAAGTTATTGCGGCGGCATTGACAGGGGGCAGCGGGTGAGGCGAGACAAATTATATACATATCAGGCAATAGAGGTGAAAACACTGCTGCTTACGCGATCACAACACAACACGACACATCACAACATACTATTTCAAGGATTAAGCCTGCTAGCTCAGAGTAATGCATGACTAGGTAGCAAAGATTCATAATATTTCATAATTTATACCAGGGGAACCTGAATTTTGAAGTATTTTCAGGTTGTTGAAGTTTTCCACAGTTGTGTCTGCGTATAACACCCACCAAATGAAATTCGAATGATTAGAGCAATACCAAATATTGACAACTTTCATAATGCTATTGAAATATATACTACATTCGGCATAAAAGAATTAAAATGAAAACATACAACGCAAAATACTGTTGCAGCTTACCCTTTGTCTTGCAAATGGGTCTCTAGGGTAGGCTCCTAAGCTCCATACGGGACAAGTAGACCAATGTCGCGTACAGTCAACGCGACTCCAGATGATTGAATTGTCCCAAGTTGACGTGAAGAACGACTACATCTATGTTACTTGGATAGTCGAGTTTGACTCATGACGCCAACTGGATAGCCTGGATAGTTGTAGATCGATACTAACCTCATCATTTAGATAACATAGACTTGAGTCAGGGGGTTGTCACTTGAATGGCATACGCTACACCGATATAGAGAGTACGGTTCGTCACAAATATAAGCGATTTTTAATATATGTTTTATTAATTCAAGGTTGTCTAGGCTGCCCTCAGTGAGGGTACAGCTACATTATGGGAGAGATTTTGGCTTCATAATGCTTTCAGACTCATACTTATTGATCCGCTTAGCTATGTTCATCTCTATCACATAGCCCGGCACACTGTATTTCATCTCATACCCCCCTACCGAGATCAGCCTACCATGGAGTGACTGAAACTTGGACACCATGAAGATTACTCGGCCCAGCGCGCATAACTGGCACATAAGGCCGGTCATCTCGAGACTCAAGAGTCTTGAACCTCTGACAGAAACGTGTTAGAGCATATGCCGACTCTGTTGCCACGAGAATGTGTGCCGGGCAGATCCTGGGACCTCCGCCAAAGGGCACAAAGTGCCATAGGGGCCGGACATCTGCCCAGCGCTCGGGACGGAACTCGTCAGCATCTTCACCCCAGTAATCAGGGTCGCGGTGCATCAAGTAACGGTTACAGTGAACGACATCGCCTTTGGCGCAGAACATGGGCTTGCTGCCGTCTGGGCCGTCGCCTCGGGGGAGTGTTGTGTCGCGAGCTGCCATACGAATCATCTGGACGCCGCTCGGCATCGTACGGTGCACTATGTGTGGTATTCGTTAGTACTGATATCATTTCAAGTTATATTGTGTCCATTTTGGCCTACCTTCGTTCAGGATCCAGTTCATGTACTGCATGTTGCGCAGACGGGTAAAGGTAAGCGGCTGAGCTCGAGTTCCTCAGAGTTTCTTCTGCAGCTTATTTATATCACACCATGCTAGAACGGGCGGTTATCTTTGATCCTTGGCTATCTCTTTACCTATGTACTTCGTATATACTATTGTCTGTAGTAGGTTTCGGAGTTGCGTAATGAAGCATGTTAGGGGACTTGCCGTGTTCTACAGGATTACATGATAGAGGAATTACAAATGCTAGTACAAGAGTACGTGTAAAAAGGAGTAGCTTTTGTAGGGTTACCGGCCAATTAGCGTAGGTACACAGGCCACTACAGTTCAGATAGTAATACACAATAGCAAGACTCGAAAAGGAAGTATCTTTTCTTTTCCAACTCAACGGCGATTTTCCTACTCAGTGCCCGTGCTATGTGGAGCATGCACGGGGATTTCGAATCTAACGCGAGAACAGTTGCAAGCATTGCATCGGACGAATCCACTTACCACGAAAGACACAATGCCGGAACCCATTGCCGTCATCGGCTCGTCCTGCCGATTCCCAGGCGGCGCATCGTCCCCCTCAAGACTCTGGGACCTTCTCAAAGAACCACGAGACCTGCTCCGCGAGTTTGAAAGTGACCGTCTCAACCTCGATTCTTTCTATCACAACAACGGAGAGCATCATGGATCGACAGATGTTGTCAACAAGGGCTATCTTCTTGAAGAAGACAGTCGAGCCTTTGATGCGTCCTTCTTCAACATCAACCCTGTCGAGGTTGACAGTATGGATCCTCAGCAACGGTTGACATTGGAGTCTGTCTATGAATGCATCGAAGCCGCGGGCTATACATTACCCCAAATGCAAGGCTCGATGACATCGGTATATGTTGGAGTCATGACCGGAGACTACCATGACATTCAACAACGCGATCCGGCAACAATCAACCACTACAACGCCACCGGAACTGCAAGAAGTATCCTCTCAAATCGAGTCTCGTACTTCTTCGATCTACACGGCCCGTCTCTCACACTTGACACGGCTTGTTCTTCTTCACTTGCGGCCCTCCATCTTGCCGTTCAGTCCCTACGCAATGGCGAGTCTGCTACCTCTGTCGTTGCTGGCGTCAACTTGATCTTTGACGCCTCACTCTATGTAATGGAGTCCAAGCTCCACATGCTGAGCCCTACATCCCGAAGTCGAATGTGGGATGCTGCAGCCGACGGTTATGCCCGTGGCGAGGGAGTCTCAGCCGTTCTTCTTAAACCCTTGTCCAAGGCCGTGGAAGACGGTGACCACATCGAGTGTGTGATTCGCGAGACTGGAATGAACAGTGACGGCCGTACTCCCGGCATTACAATGCCAAGCTGGACTGCTCAGTCAAAGTTGATCCGCCAAACGTATCGTAATGCTGGACTAGATCCTGTTGCCGATCGGCCACAGTTTTTTGAGTGTCACGGTACCGGAACCTTGGCTGGTGACCCGGTGGAAGCCCGGGCTGTGATGGAATCTTTCTTCCCACCTAATTCATCGGCGGCAGAAACGCCAAACGCAAGCAAGCTGTATTGTGGTTCTATCAAGACGGTCATTGGACATCTCGAGGGTTGTGCAGGCTTAGCAGGACTTCTCAAAGTGTCACTGGCACTGCAAAACGGACTTGTTCCGCCAAACCTACTGTTCAACTCCCTTAATCCCGCCATCAAAGCCTTTTTACGACAGACTTCAGGTACCTACCTCGGCAATGCCTTGGCCAGAAGTCACCAAGGGCCCGCGAAGAGCGAGTCTCAACAGCTTTGGCTTTGGAGGCACCAACGTCCATGCCATTGTGGAGCAGTATGTGCCAGAATCGGACTCCCCAATCAGCAACAACAAGGAGCAGGATTCATTCGTCGGCCCGCTTGTTGTTTCGGCCGAGCGCGAAACATCGCTCGTCTCGAGCATTGAGAAGCTGGCCGACTTTATTCGGTCAAACCCTGAGGTCAACCTAGAGGACCTGGCATTTGTTACTCAGACTCGCCGCACTGCCTTCCCTGTGCGCGCCTCCTTCACCGGAAGCTCGAGGGACAGACTTCTCGAATCCCTCGATGCAGCAGTCAAGGCTGCCGAATCCGGGGCTCAGGTGGGCACCAAATCCCTCACATCGTCATCCACAACGTTGTCGACGTCCCCGGCCATTCTCGCCATCTTCACCGGCCAAGGTGCTCAGTGGGCTTCCATGGGCCGCTACATGGTGGAGAGTAGCAGCCAATATCGAAAGTCCATTGAACAGTGTGAAGAAGCTCTGAAGGATATACCGGACTCGCCAACATGGTCTCTGATGAAGGAGCTCTTGGCATCCGGGTCTCGCATCCACGAGGCAGCCATTTCTCAGCCTCTTTGCACCGCGACGCAAATCGCCATAGTCGACGTTCTCAAGGCAGCTGGCATCTCCTTTCGCGCCGTTGTTGGACACTCATCGGGAGAGATGGCGGCTGCCTATGCGGCAGGCATCCTTTCTGCATCCGATGCCATTCGCATTGCCTACTATCGTGGCCTTCACACCGGGTTAGCTGGGGGTGAGGGCGATAAGAAGGGCGCAATGATGGCAACCGGCTTGGGCTTTGAAGATGCTGTCGCCTTTTGTGAACAGTTCGGTGGTCGCATTGGTCTGGCAGCCAGCAATTCGCACTCTAGCACCACGATTTCGGGAGATGCAGATACCATCACTGAGGCCAAGGAGATCCTGGATCGTCAGGAGACATTTGCTCGCTTGCTCAAGGTTGACAAGGCATATCACTCGCATCATATGCTGACTTGTGCCGAACCTTATTTATCATCGCTCAAAGCGTGCAAAATAACGGTAAACCCACCGGCAGCCGATTGCACATGGATCTCTACCGTCTATGACCACGCAGAGCTCCTAGACGACGAGGACGATCTGCAGGCCTTGGATGGCCAATACTGGGTTGATAACATGACGAAGCCCGTCTTGTTCTCCGAGGCAGTAGAATGTTCTCTATGGCGCGCTGGACCCTTTGATATGGCCGTAGAGATTGGACCTCATCCAGCGCTCAAAGGTCCAACAACGCAGACAATCAAGAACGCGTTGGGCTCCATCATCCCATACACTGCATTCCTGAGCCGAGGAGATCACGATATCGAAGCTTTCTCTCGCGGCGTTGGCTATGTTTGGGCACGGCTGGGCGCAGTAGTCGACTTCTCGGGCTACAAGCAGGCATTCAATATTGTCAAGCCTAAGATGCTCAAAGGCCTTCCGACTTATTCTTGGTATCACGACAAGCTCCATTGGAAGGAGTCCCGTATCTCTCGCAGGTACCGACTGGGCAACACGCGGCCTCACGAGTTGCTTGGAAGGCGGGTTGGCGATGACACAGACTTGGACATGAGGTGGCGTAACATCCTCAAGGTCGAAGAGCTTCCGTGGACCCGTGGACATGTATTCCAAGGCCAGATCTTGTTCCCAACATCCAGATACATGGCAATGGCAATCCAAGCTGCCCTGGAGATTGCAGATGGGCGTCCAGTGAAGATTATTGAGATTCGCGACCTCGAGATCCCGCGCGCTCTCACACTTCACGAAAACAATGCCGGCGTCGAGTCCGTCTTCTCAGTCCGGCGCGCAGAGACTTCCGTGAGCAGCGATGGGCTGGTCGAAGCGCAGTTTTCTTGCTCCACTTGCTCGAGCGAAGGCAACGGCACCATGGAGAAGAATTGCGGCGGCAGCATCACGATAGAATTTGGTGATTCGGAGACGGAGGCTCTTCCAAGCCGGCCCGTTGGTCGATCCGGCATCTTCCTTGTCGACCCGGAAGCGTATTACGACTCCCTCCTCGGCATCGGCCTGGATTATCAGGGTGTCTTCCGCGGTCTCAAATCGGTTGAGAGAGCCATGGGCTATGCGACAACAAAGGCGAAATGGTCTCGGGCCGACCTTGGTGATGAGTACATCATGCATCCTGGTCCGCTAGACGTGGCTTTCCACTCCGTCATCGCGGCATTCTGCTCACCTCAGAGCGGTGCCTTGCACGCGCCTTACTTGTCCATCAAAGTTGAGCGTCTAGTTCTGACTCCGTACGCCAACTACATTGGAGCGTCGGGAGATGTCGAGTTTGAGATTGACAGCTTCATTACAAAGACCACTCCCAACACTTTCGAAGGTGATATTCATATCATTGGCTCAGATGGACGCACTGGTCTTCAAGTGGAAGGTTTGGCCCTTAAGCTTTTCACCGAAGCCCGTGCGGCTGATGATCGACACATGTTCTCCAAGATGGTCTGGGAGCCCGACCATCTAAGTGCTACGAACAATCTCGAGGAGATCAAGCCAGGTGACGCAGAGCTGACTCTTAACAATGCTATTGAGCGGACATCCCTTTACTACCTCAAGAAGATCTTCGAGCCCCTGAGCGACTCTGATGTCTCAGAGTGGAAGTGGTTCCACAAGGCCTTTTACAACGCCTCGAAAATTTGCATTAGGGAAACCGCCGAGGGCAAGCACCCAGTACTCAAGAAGGAATGGCTCCAAGATAATGAGGAGGTTATCATGGCGTATAAGGAGAAGTATGAAGAGCAGGCTGATATTAAACTGATCCATGCTGTCGGCAAAGCACTCCCCGATGTTTTGAACTCTGATGCGCAGCTCCTCCAGTTTATGATCCAGGACAACATGTTGGTTAACTTGTACACTAAGGGACGTGTCATGGAAGCACTTAACCCGGTTATGGCCGACGTCATGCAGAGCATCGCCCACAAGTTCCTTCGAGCCAATATCCTAGAAATCGGCGCGGGCACGGGAGGTACCACAAACTCCGTCTTGGGCCGTCTCGGAGACACCTATGGACAGTACACTTACACGGACGTCTCGGCTGGGTTCTTTGAAGATGCAAAGAAGCGATTTGCCGCCCACAGCGACAGACTCGTTTACAAGGTGTGCGACATTGAGAGGGATCCGCTCGAACAGGGGTTCGTCGAGGGCAGTCAGGATGTCATCGTTGCAGCCAATGTGCTACACGCAACCTGCAATTTGAAGACGACCATGGCCAATGTTAGGAAACTCCTCAAGCCTGGAGGCTATCTTGTCATGGTCGAGGTTACCGGCGTGCAGCTGCACATGATGTTACTCATGGGAGGCCTGCCAGGCTGGTGGCTGGGTGTGGACGAGGGCCGTACCGGCGGTCCAGGAATCACACTAACCCAATGGGACGAGCTTCTCCGAGGCACAGGTTTTACCGGTGCCGACAAGTATGTCACGGATCTCCCAGATGCAGCTTCACATGCCGCCTCGGTCATCATAACTCAAGCGACGGATGAGAACTTTGCTAAGCTGCAGGATCCCCTTTCCTTCCTAGATGAGCTCCCGATCCTGGACCGTGTGCTCATCATTGGCGGCAAGACACTTCCGGTGTCTCGTATGGTCAAGAGCATTGAGAAGCTGGTGTCAAGGTTCACTAGTGAGGTGACGATCGCGGACAGTATTGACCGCCTTGATATTGCCAAACATGTCGGCGCAAACACGTCAGTTATTTCTTTGGCCGACATGGAAAAGTCATTCTTCTCGGAGCCCCTGACGGATGAACGGCTCAGCAAGCTCCAAGCATTGTTCTCCAATGCGACTAATACGCTGTGGATTACATCTGGTCGCTTCGACCAGGATCCCTATGCCAACATGACGGTTGGTCTTGCTCGCGCTTTCATCACCGAGATGCCGCATCTCAATCTCCAGTTCCTTGACGTGAGCAAGGGCTCGGCCATATTTGACGCTAGATACGTGGTCGAGACGTTTGCCAAGCTCGCATTGCCCAAGACGGCGGAGTTCAGACTCGCCACTGCTATGGTCTATTGAGCCAGAAATTTCCTTGGTCGACGACGTTATCCGCATCCCACGAGTAGTTTTGGATGCCGAAAGGAATGACAGGCTCAACTCCTTGAGGCGTAGAATTACCAAGCACGTCAAACCTGGCGAATCCGTTGTCAAGGTGGTTCATGACAATCACGGCATTACTCTTGAGGAGGAAGCTCCATGGTTGAACGTTTTGTCGTCAACAACCGACGGAGGTAACGAGGCTATCACGCTGCAGGTCGAATACTCCATGTCAATTCCATTTTCGATTGAAAGTCGGTCAACTGTTTGCGTCGGCACTGTCAAAGCTACCGGGAAGCCTGCATTGGCCATCACGTCTTTCCATGGCTCGGAGATTTCAGTTCACCCAGATCTTCTCCTCGAGCTGGATGCCATTTACACTCCTGACGAGCTTGGTCTTTTTGCCAATTTGATTGCGGCAAACTTGCTGGTACAGTCTGCAAGTTCGCAGTTATCCACTGAACAGTCTCTTCTGGTGTATGGTGCAACGCCCGAGTTCGCCTCCATTGTGAAGATCGTATCTGAGGCCCGTGGTCGCAAGGTATTCTTTGCCAACTCAGGATCAGCTATCGACACTAGCGCCTTCAAGATCCATGCACGGGCATCGCCTAGAGCAATCCAATATCTGCTGCCCTCTGGTATCGGATCCGTCGTTAGCCTCGCTCACACCTCAGATCTCGTCGCCATAAACCTTCTCACACTTTATGGAGGGGCTACATTCAACATTGACCAGCTTGGAAGCCTGAGCGTGTCAAAGGGACATCTGGATGATGCCCATAAGCAAATGCAGGTTGGCTCAGATGTCGCCGCCAGGCCGCATTTCTCGATCCTGGCTGCCCAAGATCTTGCGTCGTCATCGATCTCTTTAACGTATCCAGCGACTGTCAACTAGACTGACCGCAGCAACCCCCAGACTGTCACTGTCAGGGCAATTCACGGAAAGGGCTTATTTTTCCTGAACAAAACCTATCTCATGGTGGGTTTGGTCTCGGACTTGGGTCTATCGCTCTGCCGCTGGATGGTCGAAAATGGTGCCAAATACATTGTCATCACAAGTCGCAGCGCTGAAGTCAGCCCAGTCTGGCTCGAGGAAATGGCTAAGCTGGGAGCCGTCATTAAAGTCTATAAGATGGACGTCTCAAAGAAGGACTCAGTCCAATTTGTTTGCGACAGCATCAAGGCCACACTTCCTCCCGTTGGTGGTGTCTGCAATGGTGCGCTTGTGCTGAGGGATCAGCCTAAACGAGGCATTTCAGAACAAGGATCTCGACTTTTTCGTTCTCTTCTCCTCGATGAGCTCCGTTATTGGCAACGCCGGCCAGTCCAACTACAATGCCGCATCGCTTTTCCAAGCAGCCATCGCCAACCAACGTCGCTCCAAGGGTTTAGCCGCCTCCGTCTTATCCCTCGGAATGGTGGTAGATGTTGGTTACATAACCCGTCTTGGACCTGGCGCAGTGGATAGGATGGCAGATGCCTACTATATGAGAATCTCGGAATCTGATGCGCACATGATTTTCGCCGAGGCTATTGCGGCCAGCAAGTCTGTGGCATCTGGCAGTGGTGGCGAGGATGCTATTGAAATTATTACTGGTATCGAACAATTCAAGTACAACGCAAAGACAAAGTCCCGGCCGGCATGGTTCTCGAACCCACGATTGAGCAACTTTGTTCGGCTTCAACAACAGGACGGCTCGGACAATGCTTCCAAGGACTCCTTGGTAGGCGGCACTAGCAGCGCAGCGATTCAAGCACAGATGGATGCTGCGGCCACCGGCGAAGAGGCAACACAGGTACTTCTGGCGGCGTTTGCCCAGAAGATCGAATCTATGCTCCAGATGGAACCGGGTAGTATGAATGTCGAGGCCCCATTGCTCGATGTCGGCATTGACTCCCTGTTTGCAGTCCACATCCGAGCCTGGTTCCTCGAGAAGATCCATGTTGATGTACCGGTTCTACAGACACTCAGCGGCGACAGTGCGCGGGGCATTAGCACTATTGCTACTGCCAAGTATCTTGCCGCGAAGGGTGATGGTAGCGATGAAAAGGATAGTAAGGTTGTGGCGTTGGACGAGGCACCAGCAGTCCCGGAGGCACTATCTGTGGACAAAACTGAGCGGCTGGTCCCCACTGTGATAACAGAGACCGATTCAGTATCAGAGTCGAGTGTTAAGGAGAGCTCGCTGTTCGAAAGTAAAGGAGTTGCGACTCCTTTGACTCAGGCAACGGACACCAATGACTCAATATCCGAAAAGGAGGCGACGATGGATGAGGCTGCCCTCTTGCAAGTAGGAAAGCTCTCTTATGCGCAATCAAGGTCAGCAATGTAACAATCTAACTCCATAGATAATAGACTAAGACATGTGTTTTGATACAGACTCTGGTTCCTCGATCAACTGTCCCAAGATAAGACCAAGTATAGCAGCTTGTGCACGTATGATATCAATGGTCCAGTCCATGCCGCGCGGCTGAAGCGTGCAGTTTCTGTAGCTATCGGCTAACATTCATCTTTACGTACCTGTATCTTTACCAAGCCGGGCACAGGTGAACCGGTACAAGGCATTCTCGTTAAGGCTCCGGAATGCTTCACCCATATTCGCGACCCGGCCCCTGAAACCTTGGACAATGAAGTTGCGAGGTTGAGAAGCAAGATCTGGGACCTGAGTCGCGGTAAGATGCTGGAGGTTGTTCTCATCTCGTACAACCCTCAACATCATTCGCTTCTTGTTGGCTACCACCACATTGCGCTGGATGGTGTGAGTATGCACATCTTCTTCGCCAGTCTCAACATGGCTTACCAGGGGAAGACATTGACTACCACTGGAATACAATACATCGATATCGCTGCAAATGAGAGAAGCATAGGTGAAAACGAATTAAAAGACAAGATTCAGTTCTGGGCGAAGCAACACTCACCACCCGCCGACGTCTTGCCGTTGTTCGCATTTGCAAAAGCGAGAATCCGTCCGGCTCGAACCTCGTACACCAACATCGAAATTTTCAAGGACATCGGAGCACCTCTCGCAGAGCGAATTAAGTTGGCCAGTAAACAACTCAGAGTGACACCATTCCACTTCTATCTGGCGGCTATGCAGGCGCTCTTCTTCAGACTGCTAGATGTGAGCGATATCTGCATTGGCGTTACGGATGCGAACCGCAACGATGAGAACGCCGAGACAATCGGGTTCTTTATCAACTTCCTCCCTCTTCGCCTCAAGATGGGCTCTAGTAAAGAGACCTTTGCCGACCTAGTAAAGAGTACCAGCCAAGTATACTACGCTGCTCATGAGCACTCTAGCGTGCCATTAGACGTGATTCTAGAGAAGACGGACATTGAGCGAAGTGCAACACATACCCCATGTTTCCAGGTTGCTATGAACTACCGACAAGGTAGCTTTTCCGAGCTGCCTCTAGGGAATTGCCAGATTAACTTCAAGTCTGGCTACGACGCTAAGAGCCCATATGATTTCGCCTTCAGTGTAACTCCTCTGGGAACCTCTTGTATTGTGCAAATCGTGAGTCGAGCTGATTCATACAGCCAAGCGGACACGGAGATGTTACACAACATGTACACCACGCTGCTGGAGGATGTGTCTCTCAATGTTGCAAAGGCTGTCTCGGAGTGCCAGGTATACGAGCGTTCAGGCGTACAAAGGGCACTGGAGATGGGCTGTGTGCGACCCAAAGACTTTGGGTGGCCAAGCACCTTGTCAGAGCGAATTGGCAACATGACGGCGCCCTATCCAGATCACGTTGCGCTCAAGGACTCTCATGGATCCTTGACATATTCTCAGCTTTCACAGAGGGTCCAGTCCACGGCGGCCCTTCTCGTGGAAAATAAAGCAACATCAGGCACACGCATCGGAGTGCTGTGCGAGGCAACGAGCAACTGGGTGATTGCCATGCTAGCTGTCTTGCGAGTAGGGGGTACCTATATCCCATTGGATATGTCCATGCCCCGCGAGCGTCTTTCCGCCATGATCCATGTCAGTGAACCGACTGCGCTGCTCTGTCAGCCTTCGACGCTCTCATTGGCTCAGAGTCTCAACGCCGGAAAGATGACAATTCTCGATTTGGATGTGAAGCAAGTGAAGTCTGGGGAGGCCCAATGTCGGAACTTGGCTAAACCCGGTAGCTGCAGCTTTATCCTCTTTACCAGCGGCACAACTGGCACTCCCAAGGGCATTCAACTGTCCGATGCTGGAATCATCAACTATCTTGCAAGCAAGGCTGAGTATTTGGGCATGGGACAGGAGATTGTCCTCCAGCAAAGCTCGCTTGGGTTCGACATAGCCATTGCCCAAGCCTTCAATGCATTGGCTCACGGAGGCACGCTCGTGATCGCGCCGAGCGAAATTCGTGGTGATCCCGTAGCACTGAGCTCTCTGATTGTGAAAGAGAAGGTGAGCTTCACTCTCGGCTGTCCGACGGAGTACCTGATGTGGCTTCGATCTGGGTCCAAAGCGCTTCTCGAACAAACAAGCTGGCGTTATGCATGTAGCGGCGGTGAGGCAGTCACCGAGCGATTCCGTGCCACGCTGAGATCGATGTCTAGCCCACCAGGGCTTTTCAACTGTTATGGCCCAACGGAAATCTCCTGCTGTGCGACGGTGCTTCGTGTGCCCCTCGATGGTGACGGCCCGGATGGCTCAGTTGGTAAACCTAGTCACAATGTTGGGATCTGCGTCCTTGATACCAACGGGAATGTGCTTCCACCAGGGATTCCAGGCGAGATCTATATCAATGGTGCTGGTGTGGCAATTGGATATCTGGGTGTTGGAACGACAGGACAGGAATTTTTCATCGACAACGCTTCATATCTCGAAGGGCGGACTCGAAGCTACAGAACTGGCGACAAGGGCGTCTGGCTTGAAGACGGCTCAATCCGATATCTGGGCCGTCTGGATAATGATACCACAGTGAAACTTCGGGGCTTGCGCGTTGACCTTGATGATGTGGCAAACACCATCCTGAGAGAGTCGGCTGGGTCCATCTCAGATGTGGTTGTAACAGTACGCGGCACTGAGGAAAATGCTTCTCTGGTCACCCATGTCGTTCTCAGCAATGACGACGACTCTTTGAGCAAACCTGCATTCTTGAGACTGGTGCATGAAACGTCTCTTCCGCGATACATGCGACCTTCGCGCATGATAGTGCTAGCCAAGTTACCGATGAGCACCAATGGCAAGGTAGACAGGAGGTCGATAGCCTCAATGGAGTTGCCGCCCCTGGAAGACAGTCGTGAGTCTCGGTCAACACCTGTCACGCTTAAGCAGGGCGAGCTCCGTCTTCTTTGGAACAGTGTTCTGCGTGACGAAGTACGCATCACCGTAGACTCCGACTTCTTCATGGTGGGAGGAACTTTCCTGACCCTGGTTGCCCTTCAAGACGCCATCCGACGTAACATGTTGGTCGACCTCTCCATCAAGGACATGTATAACCACAGCACACTCGGAGCAATGACGAAGCTGGTTTCGGATAGAGCTCGCGATGCTCCTCCGACACCTTTGATCGACTGGGCCAAGGAGACGGCCCTTCCTTCAAGCTTGAACTTGAATACCGAAGGAACTGTTGCTGACGAGGATATGGAGATAATCCTGACGGGAGCCACGGGCTTTCTTGGTCGAGCCATCTTGAGATCACTCATCGCCAGCCCAAAGGTAAAGCATATACACTGTTTGGCAGCGGGAGCAGGCCCGTCGACAGGCAGAGCCGTAGATGGCGATCGAGTAACCTTTTACGACGGCAGTCTCAACGAACCGCGGCTTGGCCTGGACGCTGAAACGTTTGCTCGACTCGAACGCACTGCTGATCGCATTATCCTTGCTGGTTCCCACGGACACTGTCTGAACAATTACAACTCACTGCGTACGCCAAACGTGCTCTCCACGAAGACCATGGCGCTGTTGGCCTTGCCACGCAGAATCCCCATACACTTGGTGTCGTCCAACCGCGTCACGCTGATTGATCCCAACAGCCAGGCTGCGCTCCCACCCATCAGCGTTGCCGGCTACCAACCCGCAACGGATGGCTCCGAGGGGTTCACAGCAACCAAATGGGCCAGCGAGGTGTTCCTCCAGAATCTCACCGAAGCTTCGGCCGCGTCTTCATCTCAACTTCCCGTCACAATCCATCGGTCGTGCGCCGTCGTTGGTGACGAGGCGCCGATAGAGGATGCTCTAAACGCGCTGCTCAGGTTCTCCAACATTATGCGTGTCGTGCCGCACACCTCGGATCTCAATGTTGGCGGATACTTTGATTTCAAGCAGGTCGATCTTGTCGGGCAGGAGATTGTCGATTCTGCGATTGCTTCCCGGCAGCGAGGGTTGGCGTTCCAACATCACTCTAGCGGAGTCAGAGTTCCCCCGAGCGAATTCAAATCGTTCATGGAGGATTTTTATGATGCCGAGTTCAAGGAGCTGGAGCTGGAGCAGTGGATTCAAGCAGCGCTGGAGCTTGGGATTGAAGAGTTGATTGTGGTGTATCTTCGGGCGGTGTTGGAGAGGGGGGCGAAGCTTGTTTTCCCGTTTATGGGCAACACCCTGGGTAATTAACAGGTTGTGACTACCCATTTTCTACTATTGTTTTAATAATGCTTATAAAGAGAGGATTTTAGTTGCAAAGATATCTTAAATTATTTATTATGAATAGTACTTATTTTTATTTTTATTTAATATATTTGTTAAATCTTTTATTAAACACGTCTTTCTCTATTTTAGTACGTGTGTTTTTAATGCTTATACTACAAATGCTTTATTATTTACCAGTTGGATTTACTTTAATTATCTTCTGATGGTAATACAAATAAAAGCAAGAGCACGCATGTAATATGTTGTGTTAATATCTCGACAATAGTCGACGATACATGTCTGTATTCAAAACTATCATATAGATTACAATGAATAGTGACGTCCATGGCGTCACGTCTGAAGCACAGACTTCCTCCAAACAGACTAATCCACCAACTGCCATATACTATCATTCAAACTAGTCATAGGGTATCATAAATCTTCGTCACAAGGGGGGGTATCATAAAACAAAAACAACGCTCATCCTCATCCTCTGCACACGTAGCGAAACCGCCGAAAGGGAATCTGTTCATGAGGCATCCAAAGACTTCGCCGCTGCACCCAGCCCTGCCAGGATAACGACCATGTGTTTGGAAACAGCTCCATCGTGATTAACATGCCTCTTCAGCTACACCGCTGCCTCCGACCCTGTCAGATTAACGGCCATGCTGCAAGATGATGTTCATGTCACGAGGTGCTGTAGTCAATGTCTGAAAGACTGCCCGCTGCCCCCAGCCCTGCCAGGTTTACGGGTATGCCTTCCAGTTGACTCGCACTCACTCCCAGGACCCCTTGAACGAATCATTTCACCTCACCCTCGATACTGTGCATGCCGTACCGTCGTCCCCTAGCTGCCACAACTTGCAATTGAGGTCTCGTCTGGATGATCGTTTGGAACGCAAAATTATCTCAACAACAAGTAAACGAGGTTCACCACGTGGTTTGTTCTGTTTACTTTCATCTTTGCCCCTCTTGGGAGGCTGTCGTCGTTTTCTTCGAGGTGGTAACGTTTCGAGTTTCTTAGGGCGTCGAGGAGAGAGCACTTTGGAACCTGCTGGCGTGGGATGTCTCGCGTGAACAGAACCAGCGGCGCCTCTACCATGAAGCCTTGAGCTTGGTAGCGGGGTTTCGTGATCTGCTGATGCGTCGCTGGCGTATTCATCCAAGGCCACCAAGCCTGTGTCTGTTCGGATGTACCACTGCCCTGACCCGTTTGGCTCCTCTGGGTATACGTTGTCATCAATAGTCGGTTCGGGCGATTCACTTGGACTTGTCCGAGCCCGTTTCGCTCCTGATTCCTCAGAAATGCCAAACTGAGAATCCAATACTCGCTTGCGTTTGCCAAGTCGGTTGGGACTCGTTGCCCGTGTGTCGTCATCGCATTCTCGCGACAAAGCGTAGACAGATTTCCGCAGTGGAGGTGGACTAGAGATTCGTGGCCACTGTGGCAGGATCGGTTTGGGTAATTCACTTGGACTGGTGGGAATCTCTGGTTCCTCGGATGTGCCGAATGAGTTTCTTGTGAGAGGGTCACGCCGCTTAGAGACCGCCGGTGACGAAGGTGGTGAGTGAAGTCTGTAAGCCTCTGGTGTTGAAGGTCTTTCAACATCGTACTCTTGATGGAGTCGCACGGCATCTGCATGTGAATGCATACAAAACTGCTCCCACAAGCTAGCTTCTATTGGGCGAGGATTGCATTCTCTCAGTGGCCACGATGCCATGGTCGGATCAGCAGAGTCGCTTGGACTTGGGCTTGGGCTTTCTAGATCCGGCGTTGATGGTGCGTCGCTATCGGTTTCTTCATGAAGAAGCACATCTCTTCCGTACATTTCGTTAACGAATTGTCGTAGTGGCTCTGATTCTTCTGGGTGTGGATTTCGCTCTGTGGCAAGGATCCGATCGGTAGGGCCACTTGAACTTGGACTGAGACATGGACTTTTTCGAGCGCGTTTCGCTTCCCGTGGTTCAGAATTGTCGGATTGATCATCTGGTGATCTCTTGCGTTTCTGGCGTGGCTGGGACTTTGCTGTGCTGTTGTCGGTCTGGGCATCGCAAAGAGGTTGGCGATGCACCGACGCATCGACGTCGGATTTCCGTTTCGCCATGATTTCTGGCGGTGAAGCGCCGTCGATTGCAGAGGCGGCGGGAATGGCGGCGATGTCGTGGGATTTACCGGTGCGGTATGAGGGAATCACGGCATCAGGCCTTAGGAGATTGGAGGTGAAGATTGAGATCACGTGATCAAAGTCAACAATGGAATCGGCCTTGATGCGACAAATCAAGCAGAACGTGAAGCCATGGAAGAAGAATTACTGCAAAATACAGATATTGTAGGACAAAAAAATACAGAAAAAAAAAGTGTTACTCCAAAGAAAAGGGTACTAAATCAGAGAGAGGGAGAGGGAGAGGAAAAAAGAAGAAAAATCCCACCGTGAATCTGGCGCCTATATTTTCTAGGCAGCATTCACGCCTGTCGAGTGCACTGCTTGGTGTTTCTGACTCTCCGCCCGCCTCATCTCATCCTCCAATCCTTCACCACTGCATCTGTTGATTTACGCGCTGCTGCTGCTTTATTCTGCTGGAAAGATTGAAGTTTGCGCTGCTAATCCGATTGGCTTGGGGCTGCACAGAATATTGGAGAGGCGCGTTTTCAACTCAACACTCACACCGAGTTTTGGTTCTCATGAGGAGCTCCCTGCTCAACCAGCCTCGTCTCATCCCACGATGAATCGCTGCTGCTCCGATTGCGCCTATCCAAGGTAGACCATCGCATCATCGTCATTATTCGGCGGCGCCTGACATGTCGGACCATGACTCCGATGCGCAGTCGCCGCGTCTGGCGGAAACCGTGAATTTCGCCGTCTTCGCTGCCGCCAACACCGCTGCCATTCACCTTCTGGAGATTATCCAGTCCCAACTATCACCTCCAACCCTCGAGCTGCACGGAGACACCATCGGCTATCAGTTGTCGATACCCTTGTTGCTTGACAAGCAGAATTTTCGAGGTGCCTGGAGAATCGGCGCAGGTCCACCCAGGGCGATTATCGAGAAGGGGCTGGACCACCTCAAACCGGATATTCTGCTCTGCCCGCCAGAGGGATCGGCCAGCGCCAGGATAGCACGCAAAGCTATTCAAGCCCTACACGCCAGTCTACACTTCCACTCAGAATCAGGTGTGCTGATGCTCAAGACAACATCCACAACATCCAGCAGATGCATTACATACGAACATGGAGACATGGACAACCAAGATCTGGAATTGATCGCGCCCAAGACGCAAACTTGTGTTATGCGGCGGAGTCAGAATTTTCTTCGCTTCGGTGATTATCGCTTTGTTCTCGAATTCGTCGTTCAAAGTCAACACAAGGACAAGATCAAAGCATATTCAACAGGCTATCCTGGTCTTTACCCTTCATTAGCACTCAACCCCGCCCCCATGAGACATTCCAAAACCTGCTTCAACGTCTGGCTGCACAACAAGATACCCAACACATCAGTAACATCAGGCATCAATATTTATACAGGAGAGCCGGTAGCCGTGAAACAATTGCAGACGAAAACGGCATTGCTACCATACACCAGCAAGAGACTTGAGATCGCCCACATCTATCATGAAAGGCTAGATAAGGGCGTTCTCAGCATCATAGATGTATGGTGTGAGCATAACTCATCTCCTCCGTGCTTTTTCAACGACGACGATCAAGGAGACGATGATTGCTGTGGCCGAGTATTCTACTCTATGCCTCTGGCCAAGTACAATTTCTGTGACTTGCCATGGGAGCATATCAATTTTGAGAACCGTCTTGCCTTATTTTACCACACTCTATCAGGGCTAGCTGAGCTACACCAGCAAAGTATTACTCACGGGAGTATTTCGCCAGAGTCACTACTTATCCTATCTGAATCGAAACTCACAACATTGGTCAACGGCCAATCCGCTCCTAGGAGGGCGGTTATTTCTCTCAGCATGCAAAAACGAAAGACAAAACCCAAAGCCAGCGTTTGCATCGCCCCCGAGGTTTGGGAGTGTGATGGCAATGGAAACTTGGACGAGACAAAACTTGACATCTGGGCGCTTGCTGCTTCATGGCTCTGGTCCTTTGCAGTTCCGCCAAACAACCTGAAAATAAGAAAACACACACATGAGAGCCTCATGGTGATGCTAGATAAAATGACAAAAAGGGGCTCAATAAAGAAGCCACTAGACAGACTTTTACGTCAAATGCTGGCATTTGAACCACAGGATCGACCGAATGCCACAGACGCACTTGCGGATGAGATTTGGCGACCTTTGCGAGATGAGAAACAAGCAGAGGAGGATAATAGAAAGCGGAGGAGGACGGAGATGATGAATGGTGATGGTGGCAAGAGAGTCAGAGTGCTTTCGCCTGATCCAGAAGATTAACTACATAGCCCTAATACCCAATTTCGCAAAGAGCGACTTGAATCTTTATCTACTAGATCTTTTTGCACCTACATTTACTACAAGCATCTATTTACGTCTGCTTGTACACGCTGGAGATGTCTTCATCTTACAAGACTGTGAGGGGATGACCACCCACGTTTCTTGATGACACTGCTTTCCTGACCAAATTACATACATAATGAGATCTTTGCTTCTTCAATTATCCAATTGTCCAACAAGTCTAAAACAACAAATTTCCGCGGGAGCTCAGCTTGGTATTCCTCAATGGCCAGCATATATATAAATTACATAACTCAAAGTAAAAAAGAATTCTAGGTGTATTGTAAACGAAGTAAGACAATCGAAATGTATCTATAAAAAAGTTATATAACCCAGTTTACCCCCAAGATATAAATAAACTTGAGTGTATATAAGAATAAAAGCGTAAGTGTTTAGTTAAACTACCACTGTGACTGGAATCCAGCTCAGCCTCAACCTATTAACCACCAGCGACAATGCTCAAGTCTAGTTTCTCGAATCGCATTAGCAGTGAGCTTACCACCACTAGTGCTCCAGCCGTCGCAACAGTGATGTAGATTTTTCGAATCGTTTCTGCTACAGCAACAACAGCGACATGAATAATCTCTTCATCACCGGAGGAGAAGACAGGAGACAGGGTGCCCGCCAAAGCCGACCGGATATAATCATCCGGGAGACTTCGGCCGGCGAAAGCGCTCTTGAGTTCGTTAAAGCCAACATTTTGAAATAGCGATCCTGCAATTGCAAGGCAAATAGCAAGAGTGCCAAGTTGGGCAACGTTGATAAAGCCGATCGCTTTCGGCTCATCTTTGGGAGGTGCTTTGGCAACACCGACTGCATAGCCTATTTGGAAAAGTAGACCGATTCCGATTCCTGTGAGAGCTTCGTACCCATAGATCTTGCTAGTGGATGTAGTTTCATCGATCGTACAAAGCAAGGCGCCTCCGATTAAGATGAAACAGCCGCCGGCAAAGTAGTAAAGGTTGTATCGGCCGACGATAGGGAGCGTGGCACCAGCGCACATGACGGAGGCTATGAAGACGCAGATGAACGGTAAAAGGCGGACAGCAGCCTGCAAAGAGCTATCCCCCTTTGTGAATTGGAAGAATAGTGGTGTGTAGTAGAGCACAACGCCTTGTGCGGCACCAGCACTGCCCGTAGCAATATAGAGCAAGACGAGGCTGCGTGATTTGAGAAAGTGTATGGGGAAGATCCTGTGTTCGTCTGTCGTAAAGATTTTGAGAACTTGTTGTAGGACAAAGGCAATGAAGCAGAGTCCAAAAACTACCCAAAGCACGATGGATGTGGTAGAGTTCCAAGCAAAGGTTGAACCGCCAAAGGTAACGACAATCACAAACAGTATAAAAATTGCTCCGTAAATAATGGCGCCAATCCAGTCGATGTCAGCGAACTTTTGTTTAATAGTCAGATCCGGCCGAGGGTTCCTGGATGGGACTACAAAGAGATAAACAGGTAATAGAATACCAGCAGCCGGGAGATTGATGTAAAAAGCCTAGATAAAATATTAATATGAGCTTCAAGTAGAAAGGGGGGGTTGTACTACCCAACGCCATGTTGCACTGCTGACAGAGAATGCACCACCAATAACCGGTCCAAGAATTGAGCCCACGCCCCAGCTTAAGCCGGTCAAAGCATTATATATAGGGGCTTCCGTTTTTGTCGTGAAGGTAGCTGAATAAGTAAGTGCCCTATGTACCATAAGTGCTCTGCTCAACTATTCCCACAGTACTACTCCCTACTCACCCCAGATACATTCCAGCTCCGCCAATGCCCGCAATGGCTCGACCAATAATCAAGGCGTCAGAAGTCGGCGCAGCACCACAAATGGCACTACCAACTTCAAAGATGACGATGCTTGAAATAAGCAATACCTTTATGTTGAACAGCGCGTATGCCCGACCAAAGGGGAGGATTGTCGCGACTGATGCCATTGGAAATCCAAGCCCAACCCACGGCAGTTTCTCGATATGTCCCAACGCCTCGTATACTGGCGCTTGGACGTCGGCGGCGATCGTGGTATCCAAGCCTTACAAATGTCAGTACTTGTCACATTCCCAGGAGCGAGTGTCTGAGGAGCCTCTACCATAAAGAAGAGCTCCCAAGTATAGGACAACGCATGTGAGGATCCATTGCCAATTCTTTATGCCATCTCTTGGATTCACATTTTGATCATTATTAATGAGTTCCTCGCTATTGGCTTCCACATCGCTGGATGAATTGCCTGATGTCTTTTCCATTATTTGGGTATAAGATGAATTTGGAAAAGAGTAGATGTCGTGCAAGGAGGAGCTTGGCTAACACATGTTTAGGTTAAACGGGCGCGCCTCTATATAGCCATCCGGCGATTCTACACACATATATATATCCCTGGGGCTGACTCTCTAGAAGAGTTTACGACATGCCGTTGATCGGATGGATAAGGTGGCTCCGTCCTCCGTCCCTGAGCTTATAAACCAGTCACTTCCGCGCCTTGGTTATGGTATCAGCGCTAATAACTCAGGGGCGTGTCGTCAACGTCTTGCCAGCCGTGCACTGTCCACGGGTGGAGAGCTTTACCGCGGAGGCTATACTTTTTTTTGTCGGTTCCATAACCACGCTGTTGATATTCTTGAGGTGACTTGCGCTGGCTTAGAAATTGGTGCTGGCAGGATTTGCCCAAGCTCACGGAGAATTTAATTACTCGAAACGGAACTTGGAGTGGCGTGTGCAAGGTTGTGAAGTGTGAGTTCGTTGTTTGCTGACAAGATTAACGCAAATCTCAACATTGCCGATTTCCGAAAGTTGGCTGGGTTACCATTATGTCTTACGAGGAGCACCAAATCGTCCCAGATACCAACTTTGCATTGAGTTAACCTGCATTGTAATCGAATATTTCTAATGTACAAAGGGAACCTGTATCATCGTTCTATAAGAGCTTTTATGACGGGTCCTGCTTTCTATGACTTTCTTCTCCTACCCACTCAAGTCAAGTAAGGAGTAATGGTATTGCACACGAGTTTTAATGCCATGGTTCAAGGCAGGAATACACTCAACGCTTCTACTAAAGCGTTATGAAGAGAAATAGGGTGGTAATAGTACGCAGGTTAATTGCACGGCTACCCTAGGGCAAAGCAGGCAAACTGACCAAAGCTAGCCAAGCATTGGTACGACGAGCAGTCCGGCAATGAGACATGGACCCCTGGCGAGAAGCACTTCCTTACTCCCTTGAATTTATTACGGTGCTTGTATGTATAGGGACAAGTTAACTTGCAAGACGCGCCGTCGAGCTTAGACCTTTACGTGATCACTAATCAGAAATTGTCTCACAACTTAATGCAAGCAATGTATTAGAAAGCAGAGCTCTGGAGCGGCAACGAGTATGCCGGTCGGACTTTTAGAGCGGACTTTTAAAGCGGACTCTTAAGGTCGGACTCTTGAGATCGGGCTCTTAAGATCGGGGTTTCGCAGGCGGCTTTACGAACTGCAACAACGACCTGACGTTCATCTTCCATCTAGCTTCTAGATAGGATGCGAAATTGAGTCGCGTAATTCATCACCATATTCCACCCAGAGCCGCAAAACAGGCGGCAATATCAACCATTTGTCCACTCCTCCGCCCATACATCACACGAATATGCCGCCGCGTCAGTCCGACACTACAAAGCGTCAACAAGATGGTGTGAAGTCGCCGCTCTCTTGCCATCGGTGTCGGCGTTTGAAGAAGCGCTGTGATCGCCAATATCCATATTGCACGCTCTGCCATCTGTAAGTTATAGCTTTGTCAATCGCGTCATAGGTCGTGTCAGTGTAGAGTTGACGGTGCGAGCAACTCGCCAGGAGGGGAGTGGCATGCGATTATCCCCACCATAGGAAAGAAAGAGTTCGACGTGGAGATCGAGATACCCCAGATGAAGTCTCTCCATCCACCAGTCATCAATCATCTCGAACTGTCGCTACGGATAAAAGCCTGCATAAATTGCCTAGCCGGCTAGGACAGGAGAACGCCCACCATCAGCTCTCTGAATTGGACGAGCTCGATTTTCTAGCCGCAAGCTTTCTGGATCCCGATCATTTCATATTGGCACAACTGGAAACCCAAAAGAAAGATGTGGGTATTACAAAGTCGGTTGCCGACTTGGTAGGTAGCGTTAGCGACATTCAGGCCACCGCCCAAGTTTTCTTCGAAACAATCCATGTTTGGATGCCGATTGTGTCCAAGAAGCAGTTCCAGGACTATTTACTGCAGAGGTTAGCTTTTCGAAGAGCTGAATTCTTTTTACTAGTGCTGGCCATGAAGCTTTGTTCATCACGTGTAACGGTAGCGAAATCAATGCTCTATCGAACTGTGAAGCAATTGTATTTTGATATAGAGTCCTCAGGGAGACTCTCTATCCAGACCCTCCAAGCTTCAGTCCTGATTGCGATATACGAGATCGGCCATGGGATATATCCCGCGGCAATTATTTCGGTTGCAAACTGTGCTCGCATCGGTACCATTATCGGTATAGACCGGTCTCTGAATACTTGGGATTTTATTTCCAGAGGCCCATGGATCGAGCTGGAAGAACGTCGTCGAGTTTGGTGGGCGATTATAATACTTGATAGGTACGTGCAATTAAATCTGAATCAATGTCTGGGACCAACCAACTACTCTTCTATCGTCACCTAAATTTTAACACGTCATCCGTCGTAGATTTATGAACCTTTGTTATCCTAAGCGATACCTGGTTACGGCAGATCCAGACCCTGAGAGTTACCTACCGGTAGACGATGGAGATTGGGACAGCGGAGTAAGCAGCAGGGGCATGTCTCCTTTAACTATGCTTCTCTCTCGCTAACAGCAGACGGTAGTTTTCAAAGCCTGAAGATGCAGTGACACTGCGCTTATCTTCCCAAGTTCACATTGGAAGATTTGCTCGGTTTGCACATGCAGTGCCTCTCTTCAGCCAGGCCCTTTCTAGGGCACATGAAGATCCGCAAAACACTGCGCAGCTGCGACGTACTATTCTCTCCCTGATAAGTCTCGGAGAGACAGAAGGGTTGACAAATAGAGTATTGTTCTGCACGCTGAATGCGGTTAGTTACATGTATTGGCTCCCAACTCCATGTGGGTTTCGTACCATTAATTTGTTGAAGCGCAGTATTTGTCCTCGATAACGCATCCTCGCGATCGGGTACGCAGGACCATGCGCAGCCAATAGAGGACTTCATATCGCCCGAAACTATATCTGCTCTTGAGCATGCACTCAAGGTCATGGCGCAGGAGTATTTCGAGTCCATTGCGCAAGACTGCGACACACTTTCGCCCTTCCTACTCCACATGCTGTACAGGGCGTTGATGGCGTATTTGAGAATGAAACATGACCCTGCCGCTGGGCCGCATATTGTACTGAATATCCAAGCGCTGAAGCTGGCGTTGGAGCGATTTAGGAGTCGATGGCTGGTGGCCGGTATGCTTGAATGCACGAACTTGGCCGTTTTATATGAAAGACCGCTTACAAAGTTACAGGTACCTATCTCTTGCTTGCAAAGAGACAGGAGGTATTTTCCCTGATACAAACTCCATAGTTGTAGTTATAATAGGCGTAACTGTAACAATCCTTTATACCGTTCAGTCATGCGTCCAGGGTATACACAGCCAAATTTCCCCATTAACACCCGACTGAGCAGGAAACGCGTCTCAGCACAGTATGTCCTGGAATGATATTATGTACAAAGAGTTGATATTAGAGCGGAAGATTTTAAGTCTAAGATTACGGGCACGGTCTGCTCGTTTCTGTGCCGAGCTGTTTTCTTATGTCAGCGTTGGCTGGGCGACAGGTTAGTCCTGGCAATATATGTCCTCGTGATTGTAGGTGATTGGAGAGATGCTGAGATAGGCGGACGTCTAGGCAATAGGGATCGGGCGGGCGTTCGGGGGGATCGGGCGGGCATTTGAGTGGAGATCAGGCGGACACTACATATAGACTATGAGCAGCCGATGGGCGCGAGATCCGTTGCCGCAGACTTGGACATTCTTAGATTCCTACACCTCTTTCGTCTCGGAGAGACTCGGACAGCGTTCTTCTATCAAGTTCTCTCAAATCTACTTGATTTATAACCATATATTCGGCTATCTGTCAATCCTCATAAGGAAGCTAATATAAAAACAATTGCATTAATCAATGGCTTACTTGCATGAACTAGGGTGAGTCCAGCTCATCGTAGAGTTTACGGCTCCAGCCTAGCTGGAGTATCATCCCTTAAGCTTGAGAACATATAACCTAAATGATCATACCCTGGGTTATACTCTTGGCTGTTGGGGAATGAGAATATAGGACTTCTATCTAGAAGCCAGATATCCCATTTATTTTTCACCCTTGGCATGTTTATATCTCCTGTAACCCTCTTTGTTGCCTAAGACGAAGTTTCAAGCACGTTAAGCACAGAGTTAATTAGAGCAGTACTCGGTGAATGTCAAGGTGTGACTAGATAGTGTAGTTTTAAACACGCTTCAATTTAAGTCCATCACTTGTTATCAAACGTGACCACTCACTTACTTCCCAAAAACAGTACCTGCTCGTAGGTTACTTAACCCGTCGAGATTACCGTCGGAGTCTACCCACAGTTTGATAGTCGGAATCGGGTTAGTAAATGCACGAGAAGCAAGGGGCCAATTTTAGAAGACAAGTTTCGAAATCGGTCTAATTATTACTCCAGCTTTCTAAGCTGCAATGTCGCGTCACTAGATGGAACGATTTGTCATGAGCTCGTCTCATAAGGGGTCCGGGTTCAGAGTAGCTGCCACTCTACGTCTAGTCTTCTTTATTTAACTAGAGGTTTGGTTGCAACCGAGAAAGTGCAGGTAACAGCCCAAAGTCTATAAATGAAGAGAACTTTCCATCAGCCCAGACTCGGCACCAATCCCATTCGACCTTTGATACCAATTCAATGTCTAATCAAACGAAAAGATCTGTCCTAATTACTGGGTACGTATTCATAACAAGCGCCTCCATTCCCTTCTGGCTAATCATTGCTGGTGATAGATGCTCCCAGGGTAGTGCTGGCAACGCACTGGCCCTGGAATTCGCGTCCAAAGGGTTCCGTGTCTTTGCGACTGCGCGTTCCCAGAAGACTCTGGACAATCTTCGGGAGAAAGGCATCGAGACTCTTGTTTTAGATATCACAAGCGCCGAAAGCATTCGAACCCTCGTGGAAGAAATTACGACTCGCACACAAGGCCGCCTAGACATATTATACAACAATGCTGGCATATGTGGATAGCCCTCATTAACACCCCCTTCTGTTATTACGGGCTGGAACACTGACCAGCTACAGCATACAAAGCACCAGCTGTTGAGGCGGATCCATCTCGCGTCCGCAGTATCTTTGATACCAATGTGTTTGGGCTCATGGAGATGGTCACCGCCTTCACGCCTCTCCTTTTAGCCTCCGTAGCTCCAAACAACGTGCCGACCATTGTCAACGTTGCATCGGTTTTGGCGCGCCTACCAAATCTGTTCACGTCCGCCTACAACGCGAGCAAAGCAGCGGTTGCATTATACTCTGATACGCTCCGACTCGAAGTTCAACCCCTTGGTATAAGAGTAGTGACATTATTCATGGGCGAAGTCTCTACACCGATGATATCAGGCGAAACCATCAACTTCGGCCCCGACAGCTTGTACCGGGACGTAGAAGAGTCCATCAAGGCGAGGACCGCCACTCGCGTCGAGGATGCAATGCGCCCAGCAGAATTTGCTCGCCAGGTTGTCGGCACGGTGAATGATGGCAAAACAACATTCGTCTGGAAGGGTTCAAACGCGTTTCTTATCTGGTTGCTTAACGCAGTGGGGCCGAGAACCGTATTTGACAACACTTTGATGAAGAGAGCTGGCTTAGACACAGCTGAGGTCAAGTCGAGCATCTTCAAGTTGGGACAAGATCGGGCCACAAAGAGCGCTTGAGCGGCTGCTGTCTTGGAATAGAGAATCCACGGATATTAAGCTTAGTGGCTACTGCTGTGTTGTCACATGGATCTCTGCGACCATTCCTTGGTCAAGGCCACTTCTCTTTTGCTCTTGTTTGCAGCTAGCTTTTTCTTTCTTCATTTCATAGCCTAGGACACAGCAGAGAGTTCGCCTTCTCAGCATCGTCAGCCTTATCAGTTACCATAACTTGGACATGCTGCGGGTGCATTTACTTATTTTTTTATTCAACGTCCACCAAGGGAGCTAGTTATCAAAATCTTACTTCAAGCACTACAATGAGTTGGGCTCCATTAAATACACGCATGCCATCTGTCTTTAGTCATATATACAATAGAAGGTTTGCATACAACCGGAATTGTTAGCAACGCTGCCAAAACAAGACGTGACGGTTAAATTGCTCTTTCGGTGTCGAATTACGTCTTTTGATTCAAGCTGATTTCACTGTTACTGATAATAGCAGCTGCCGCAAGAACGCATGCTCCAAAAACCACCGCAGTTCCTCCAAAGATCTGAGCATATAGGAAATCCCCACCACGCAGATCAATCAATGCACCAGCAATAGGCGGGCCAGTGAGACAAGCAAAGCTGACAATAGTGAAAATCATGCCAACCCGGACGCCCATCTTTTGGCGGTCTTTGGTCAAACTACCTACGCTGCCTACAAAGAGACTCTGCACGGCATTTGCAAAGAAGCCGTAGACAATAATCCATGCAAGCAGACCCGAGTATGAGTGTACCAGCCTCCACAAGTATAGAAGTACTCCCGCGCCAAATGTAAGAGGAATCAGCACATGTAGTGCATTTCCGATGACGCGAGCTGCGAGCCACGCTGGGAAGATTCGTCCCGGGATTCCGATACCGTTGATGGCAATGATGAGGTAAAAGGACTGAGCGGGTGGAACGTGGATGATGTGGGAGCCGAAGATTGAAATCTGCGCGCGCAAATAATTAGACAACTGTATGTTGGAGAAATGGGAGATACTTGCATAGTAATAGGCAAAATAGAGACCCCAGAGAGTTAGAAAGATGCCAATGGCGTATAGTGAGTAGGGAAGCTCCTTAAAAGCCGTCCATTCAACCAGTGGCCCAGATTTCCGTGCTGCTACCCGAGGCCTCACAACAAGCAGAGTAATTGCTGAGTTGAATACAAAAACAAATCCCATCACGCGCACCGACCAAGGCTCACCTAGACGGGGGAGCAGCTGTTTGGCAATAGCAGGGAACACCATCCCACCAGTAGCAGCGCCGGCAGCAGCAAATGAAACGGCCAGAGCCCGATTCTTGTCATCGTAGTATGTGCTGATGAGAGAGATCATGGGACAAAAGATGAGTCCATCTCCAAGGCCAACGCAGATGCCTTGCGCTAGTAAGAGTTGCCAGTATGTGGTGGCAGAAGCCGCCGCGAATATTCCTAGGATCTGGAGGGCGCAACCGATGGCTAATGTGATACGGAGATATCCTGCATCAAGGCTGCGCCCAGAAAAGGTACCGACGAAAAAGACGAGTAAAAGTTGGATGCTGCCAATCCAAGATATGTCGGACTGAGAACGACCCAAGGTAGATATGTAATAGGATTGGAATAGACCCCAAGATCCAATGTAGCCAAATGTATCAAAGATCATCAAGTGACCGGCCAAGATTTGGAGATAGGCAGTCCATCTGGAAGGAGATGTTGGGTCCATCGCTGGGGATGGGGGACTTGGGAACGTTTCTTCCGAGGACTCGACAGGATCGGTCTTTTCGGCGTCAACAACCAAGCTGTCCATTTCTCTTTACGTTTTTCTTTTCTCCCTTGTCTCTCTTCTCTATTTTTCTTCTTAATGAACTTTTGAAAAACAATACAGGCATAACTTCGTGTTTTACATTCAGCTGAGGTTAGATATTATCCGCGCCTACTTCGTATAGTAGATTTGCAGATCATAATCCTAGAAAGGCAGGAAATTTTTAATTAGTAGCCGCATCAGCCACTAATGCTTGTCAGAGATCCAAGTCAGCGGCGATGCTCAGTAAGGCAGGTTGCTTTTCTCCTTGGTGCCCAGGATTAATTTGTCAACCTGGAAATCGTATACGTCTATTCACAAGGCTGGCGCTGTATTACGCAAATATTGGTGTCTGTCTAGATGGCGAAGCAGTACTAAGGAGAGCTAAAACGGAAATATATTCGGAAAACGACCGGAAAAGCAACATCCATCCAGAAAGAGAAGGCCGATATTGAGTCAGGTCGCATCTTAGCGTCTCTGATAGGTAACCCGATCTTATGCTGGCTGCCCAAAGCGAATCTAAAAAGCCTTAGTCACAATATGACTAACCATGGCGTTCCTGCGCAAGAGGCCCATCCATAGCCAAGCGAGAGATGTAAACCCCTGAATGAATCAAAAGATCAAAGGCAGATTCTTGGCCTAATATGGCAGTTACAAAGAGTTAAAGAGAACACGATTCGAACATCGAACGTTGCATCTGGGCTACAAGATGGGCTATTTTACAATAACCTCAAAGGTGCCAGGGTTTAATGTGCTTATAGTGGAGCTAGTCATCTGAATCTGGCCAAGGGTTCCTGGGCTCAATCGGCAGTTGGAGTCGTGGAGTCGCAAATCTTAGCAAGCAATGACACACCAGATGCTAGAATTGATTCTGGCTCGAACTGGATCTACACACACCGTTGCAGTTAGATGCACACCGCTTGCAGGGCTGGAACTTGGCGAAAGCCACCAGACACACTATTTGAAAAGCACAACGACGAGGTGCGGCAACTAATACCGCTGCTCCCGCTTCCGCCAACGGATCGAGCCGTCGACTAAAGCAGAGATTCGGACTTTAAGCAGCACTAGGCTAATAATTAGTATTCTTTGACGCGGCACTTGCCTATAATTGATTGTTCCAGTAGTCGTTCCTCATTCTCAGTAACCGGTTTCGAACCGTGGAGACATGTTGTCTGGAATCCTAGTTGTATCGTACGATGTCAAGTTGCTTGCTTACTTGATACTAGTATGTCTTACTTGCGTACCATAGGGTTAGTAGTATATGGAGTACAGTAATACGAAATTTTATGCGGTGTATTATTTTCCCGAAGGATTTTACGAGCTGTGGGGCATAGACGACTCAGCGAACTCCTTTTGTAGATCTTGGAAAGGCTGAATCAAGAAAAGAAAAGTAAGCTGGCCACATGCTTTGTACACAAACAAGATCTGTGTTTTCACGAGACCTTTTGAACATTATGTTCCACTTTTAATTTCAATCTCGTCACTTTTCTGTCACACCATTGGAGTAAACGTTGCTGATGCCATGGACTCTGGCCAATACAGGTATACACTCTCGCCAGCCAAAGCAGGTAGGTAGATGGGATAGCTCGATCCTTCGCTGTCGGTAGCTGAGTCGGGCGAATTAGTTTAGACCATCTGGCGAGGGCTTAAAACAATCTCTTTCCTAATGCAGCAGCCCATTTGGTGGGGGCATAAACAAAACGCTGGTGACAAAGTCTATCGTCCGTCTTATATAATCGATAATATACTTCATTCGCATCTATGACTATAAATAGTGTTTTCACTATTGTGTTGTAGTATATTGCTTGCTATGAATCATTAAGACTATCAATTCAACTATCCTTTCACGATATATATATTGACTTCAAAGTCTTTCACATTTTTTTCTTCTTTCATCCAAATAAACATCTCTTACAGTAACATAATTTCCAACTCGACTATTCGAGCTCTTTTTCATCATTTACTTTTGTCTTTCTGCAATATTTCTACAATGTCTATCCTAGCTTCAAAAACCATTGCCATCAACATTGTTGATGTGCAAGACGGCCATGGATTTGCCGTCGAGCCTCAACATGGAGGTTTCAACCGTCTGGCCCTTCTAGAAGCTCAAGTTAAAGAGCTTACACAATGGAAGAGATCAGTTAGCCCAGCGGTTGTTTCCGGTTCATCTAGCGATTTAGATTCTGGATCAGATTCTGATACTCTCTCTTCAGAGCTGTCCCTCGATACCCGGGATCTTCTTCCTCCCCCCGTATCGAACGCAGACGCTATCAAGCCTTCAAAAGCTGTAGCAAGGAATAATCTCCCAGCAAAGAAGCCAGATATGGACATGACATCACGCATCCTGACTATCATTCAAGGATATGGCCACAACGAAGAGAATGCTGAAGGCGAGCAGTGGGTGGGTCGTGCAAAATTTGTTCCTCGTGTTCAAAAGCATGTCGATAGCAATGCACCAATTGAGCTCGTTCTTCCTGCTTTCCCCTGGAAGAGTGTGAACAAGGTAGAAAAAGTACTTGGAGCTTTGCCTGATTTGGGTGAGGAGCTGGCCCTGGGCCGTCTCCAGAATCTCTGCGAGGATATTCAAGAAATTTACCCCCCTGGAGCTTACGTGACGATTACTTCAGACGGTCTGGTCTATAGTGACCTGGTTGGGATTTCGAGTGAGGAAGTCTTTGAATACGGCTTGAACCTACGACGCATGGCTGAGACAAAAGGCTATGACCGTCTCAAGTTTATGCGAATCATGAACCTGGTTGGTGTTAGTGACAGCATCCAATTAACAAAGGAGGAATATGTCAGTCGCGTCGACGAGTCCCGCAAGATGCTCGTGGAGAAGTATATGCCCAAGGATTTTGATGCTCGCGAGGCAATCTCCAACGACCCGGATATCAATCTCACATATTGCGGCTATATCATCTTCTTGAACAAGGATTTGAAATACAGCCCTGTTACAGCCAATGTTACCACCAAGGGAGAGTACAAGAGAACCGTCAAGCGAGTAGCTAGCGACATGATTACCCGCGGCAAGGTATGAACTCTCAATCGGACCCCCCAGCACTAGTTACGTTACATGAGCTTATTCAACTAACCTCTCATAGGCCTTTGCTGCTGCCATTGACGCCAACTTTCCGGATCACGTTCGTTTGTCCATCCATCGTTCCACCGGTGCCAACAAGCTCTCTTTCCCTCTGGTTCCCCAGCCGAGTCATTTCTCCATGACCCCGTGGCATTGTTGCCTTGCTGTCACTTCCAAGGGCCAGTTCCGCACCGCCCATGCTGTAGAACTGCGTGAGTCGTTTGATGTCATCGAGCAGGAAGGACGACCCTACTATTACCGAGACCGCTCCGACGTGTGGAAGTGGGATGTGCCTGTCGAGTTTGAGGTTTTCTATCCTCGGGGACTCTATGTCAGAGCAAAGCCAGTTGAGGGTGAAGCTGCGCCAACTATTGGCCCCAATGAATTGGCCAAGATTAAGCAGCTGAGCAAAGGATTCTCCCCAGTTATTCCCCTAGGTTTCGCTTAGTTCCATGGTTTGATGAGATGGATGCGAGATTATTTATTGTTGTGTTATGATGACTTTTTTTTTTTTCTATTGTTATTATTTTCCCTTCTGTATATAAAAAAAAGTTTTTGTTTCACTTATTTTTGAATGATATATATGCTTTTGTTACAATTTAACTGGACATATTTGTTTACCTCTTGATAGTTGAGATTACTCAATATCTCATCCATCGTATTGCAGTCATGATCCCGTGGCGATACGCGCTAAGGAGCACTGATCACTGATCTACAGCGCTGTACTTCTCTAGGAAATGGCTCTACAGGGGACGTTCGTGCTGTGGTTACACTCACATTAGGTCCCGTCATCACCCACATAGGTACCTGGCTGCTACGCGACGGGCGTTTAAAGTCATCGGGGAATTATTAATTACATGCATGAACGTGTGTCCTCCCGCTCAAGTCGAAGGTACTTATTAAGTCTCATCATCTTAGATCAAGCCTGACAAATAATCAGATTGTTTCAGCTGACGCAGTAGAAGAAGATCATGTGCGAACCACAACGACATTCAAAATGTAGGCAGTCACTTCCAGTTATCCTCTTCATCTTCATTCATACAACCATGGCTACAGTTATCTAATCCGCCTAATCTTCAAATTCCAATTCGCCTGCTTGCATTTATTTATGCAGTGCTGCTCATTAATCCCAGTCTCTAATAAACGTTACTCCAGGTTGAATACCGGGTCGCGCACAAAATATCGCGGTACATACATACCCAGATCGTCATTCTCATAATTGGAGCTAATACCCATGATGACAAATGTCGCGGGGATAAGTCGCTGTTTAGGGTAAGAAATAGTCATATAGTCGCCTTAAGTATAGTTTGATAGATTTAAATGAAGATTAACATATCCACTGTTTGTCGAATTTACTACGCTTGATAGAAAACGACAATTGGCTTGTCATACACACAAGCTTGGGTCAACTACTCAATACACCATCAACCGACAGCGTTTCAATCCTCAAGGCAATATCACCCATGATCAATTAAAGTCAGAAGTTGAGACCTGTTTGTATTTTTGGCATTCACAATCGAGCATTGTCAAGCATATGTAAATCTCGTACGCGGAAGTTTACATCTACATGCATTTTGCAATGTTACCCTGCAACGAAATTGACTTGATTTATCCAAGCAGCCAACCACTAATGAATGCACATGTCTACACAAGCCAAAGATTCATAGATCCATGACAACTGGCCCTCTTTTAAGTTTCTGTCTTGCAAACAGACCCGGTAAGCCGTGATTAACCTATACTACCAGACACGAACACAATCCGAGATATCCCCATGGGAGATTTCCCGTTTCTCCACTTGGTCCGATCCAAGACATCTGCCAGATCAAGACTAGAAATACCCGACAGATGACACTCTCTTGGGGAGGCCATGAAGCAGATGCAAATCCGTCTTACGTGTGATGGATGCTGGAAAAGTTTCATCAATAGTCCATTAATGACACACAATTCGGGGAATATTATAACGGAACTTCCGTTTTCAGCAAATGCTTCACAATATCACCATCTTTTTAAGTAATCATGAAATCATTACTTGAGAATCTCTACCACTACTGGCGCTAAATTCACTGTCGGCGGGTTTTCAATATGGGCAACGCCAGCATGCGACGCATATCAATATCACGAGAAGCGCATGCAGACAAATTAATGTCATATATCCATTTCCCCCCTACTTGTAACATGTAGCCCTATTCCTTGGCCTCTCTAAAAAAATTTTTTCCCAATTTTGTTTTCTCTTTTTTATTTATTTGGCACATCCCACCTATCATGATTAGCTTTCCGTCTCCGATCCAGCAAGATTGATAGATTCCAAATTCAGAGTAATAAACATGCAGCTTGCGATAGAGACACGAACTCATTTAAACCATCAACTTTTCTACTATCTAGCATTGATTCCAGCTTGCTACACAATTGTCTTGTAATACTCCACAGAGAATCCACTAAGCAAGCAAGCAATGGCCAAAACGTAGGACTTGCCTGCATACCATGCATACTTCTTGGAGTTGATGGACATGAGGGTAACCATCAAAAGAAGGCTAACGGCAGGACCAGCAACGGACAGCTGGAAGAAGAGTGCGCTCATTCCGACAGCATGTCCTGCAGTGTAGAGAAGCGCCGTAATTCCAGCAATCAGAGATACAAGCAATGTCTTGATCCAGTTGCGGAAGAGAACAGCCATACCTTTGACGCCAGACTTCAAATCATCAGCAGTGTCCTGGCGCGCGTAAACAACGTCATAGAACATGACAAGCATTATAATGGAGCTGACCAGGCAAGCCGTTGGTACAATGTTCTCCTGCGAGAAAGGGTCGACGCCAACGGAATGCTGTGCTGAGATAATAGCCATCGACAAAGTTGCCCCGAGAGGAACTTGAGCGAAATGTGTGAAGCGTTTTCCAAATGGGTAGATGCATGCCAGAGCAAGAGTGACAGTGGCATCCATCTTGCATTCAATGGGAAGGTCTTGGAGAGACAGGTAGCCAAACAACACCAACACAGTGGTAAACACATAGCCTTGAAGAGTCGAAATTGCGCCGCGCGCGATTGGCCTGTTGCAGCACCGGGCTGTTTTCCTATCGTAATCTTGGTCGACGTTGTCGTTCCAAGCACAACCGGCGCTTCGGAGGAAAACAGTCCATATCGTAAGAGTAATGGCACGAGAAATGAAGAATGAAAGAGATATCGGAGCCGGCGCGATTTTAGCAGCATATAACAGACCCATGATATAAGGGTACAAGATCATGTAGATACCATGTGGTTTCTCGAAACGGGTAAGTTCAACGTAAGGGACCCATGATGATGGCACATATGAGAGGAACCCTTTTGTTGGGGGAGAATAGCGAGGAAGAGCAGAAACCTTTGACGGAGGCATTGTCTGTGTGTTGGAAGTAGACTGCTGGAAGGCTGTGACAGTGATTATGAGTATGAGACAATTTGGTTCACTCTATATATACCCAGAAATCCCACAAAGTCTAACCAATCATGTTTTATGACAAAAATTGCACACGTACACGAGTTATTTTATTTTTCTTTATCTAATGAGTGGTAAGAATGACACTAATGCGCCGAATTTGCGTCGTTGACGTTTTAAATCTGATACCTTGCATCTTACTCAAAAGAGTTGCATCGCATCCAATAATCACCCTAAATTTACAACTCCATAGTTCTCATAAATCACTCCTATCTCTCCAACCTACTTGCGATATTAGGTATTTCCCCCCGGGCGGTTAGACACGAAAAGTATCGTTCAATCTGTCGGTGTTTACTCCGCACGTGATGAGTAAAACCACAGGAGATTGCACGCACCTTCAGGATGACATGATGATGAACTTACAAATACGCTTTTCCACCGACCGGAAAATCGAATCCTTTGCTCCCATATCTCGACTCTTTTTTGCCATATGCTGCCTTTCTTGGCGGCGATTTTCCGTATTCTAGCTAGTCCCGGAGATGTCCATCTGTGGCTAAATCTGTAATATGCCGATAGACTTGACTGCTTTTTTGTAATATTCCGACATTATGCAGGTACATTTTGCACCAGAGTTCCAGAGGCAGTACTTGCGTAAACACGGTGTTTATTCTTTGCCGATCGCTGCAATCACTTGCATCGGCCTCATCTCGTCGAAATAGTCTTATCATACGACAACTTGTACACAACCTTGATTTGTACATCCTCTTCGTTCTATGAGACCGACACATATAAGTTACAGAGTATCAAAGTATAGTGTGTGCTGAAGTAGCAAGCACTTTCATCTTCGCCCATCAATTAAGAGACATAACCACAGTTTCTGGTGACAATGGCGATCCCCGAAAAGTGCACCGTTCTTGTCGTCGGCGGCGGCCCAGCTGGCTCATATGCCGCCGCCGCTTTGGCAAGAGAGGGCATTGATACTGTCATCTTGGAGGCGGATAAGTTTCCAAGGTAATATTCTAAGTTATTTAGGTGGAGGGACAGGAACAAATTATTAATCCGTTTGTCAGATACCATATTGGCGAGAGTATGCTGGCATCTATGCGCCATTTTCTCAGATTCATCGATGTAGACTCAGTATTTGACAGCTATGGATTCACAAAAAAGGTAGACTCGGCTCAGATGGCAAGATGGCTTCATTCCCAATCCAATTCTGACACTGCTCTTTGACCCCAGGTTGGCGCAGCTTTCAAGCTAAACCCCAAGAAACGCGAAGGATGTAAGTGCATCATATTCTATGCGCTCGTAGAATACTGACTTACAAGTATTTTCATAATGCAGATACAGATTTTCTTGCCGCAGGCGGCCCCGAAAACTACGCGTGGAACGTAGTTCGGTCAGAGGCAGATCAGTTGCTGTTTCAGCACGCGGCTAAGAGTGGCGCAAAGGCATTTGACGGCGTCCAGGTCAAGTCCATCAACTTCATCGATGTCCCTTACAAGGGGCCTGGACAACTGCCTCACGACTATCCCGGCCGACCTGTTTCGGCAACATACGTGCAAAAGGACGATAATACCCCCCGCGAGATCAAGTTTGATTACATTATTGACGCCAGTGGTCGCGTTGGCATTCTCAGCACCAAGCACTTGAAGAACCGAAAATACAACCAAGGTTTGAAGAACGTGGCTACTTGGGGTTACTGGAAGGGGGCGGGTGCGTACGGAAAGGGAACACCCAGAGAAAACTCTCCGTTTTTCGAAGCCTTGCAAGGTTCGTATTTTGCGCTTTTAAACAGATTACAAGCTTCTAACTCTCAATGGACAGATGAAAGCGGCTGGGCGTGGCTCATCCCTCTGCACAACGGTACCGCATCGGTCGGAATCGTCATGAACCAGAAGATGTCCGTTGAAAGGAAAACTCAAGCTGGTTCCCCTGACTCAAAGACATTCTACTTGGACTGTCTTAAGGAATTGGCGCCTGATCTTACCAAGCTCATGGAGAACGGAGAACTTATTACGGACATTAAGTCAGCCGCTGACTACTCGTACAGCGCTTCAGGCTATGCTATTCCTTATGCTCGAATTGCGGGAGATGCTGGCTGTTTCATTGACCCGTACTTTTCTTCGGGCGTCCACCTGGCTTTCGTCGGTGGCCTCTCTGCTGCGGCTACCATTGCGGCGGCAATTAGAGGGGATTGCTCCGAAGAGGCTGCGGCTGATTGGCACTCTAAGAAGATTGCTGATGCCTATATTCGCTTCTTACTAGTCGTTCTCAGTGCATACAGACAGATCAGGAGCCAGGAAGAGCCTGTGCTAAGTGATATCAACGAAGACAACTTTGACCGCGCGTTTGCTTTCTTCAGACCTGGTAAGGAGCTTTTTTTAAGAATCATATTGCAATGAACGAGAGCCCCCATGCTGACTCTTTGTATAGTGATTCAGGGAATTGCTGATGTGGACACCAAGTTGTCACAAGACGAGCTTAGAAAGACTCTTGAATTCTGCAGCAATGCTTTTGAGCCTGTCAAGCCAGAAGATCGAACAGCCATGTTGGAGAAGCTGGGTAAAGACCCAGCCACTGCATACCAAGTCGATCTCTCTGATCAGCAGCGAACAGTTGTAGACCATATCCGTGCCCGACAGATGATGAGAACTGAGGACACTATTAACATCAACAGCTTTGGAACTGATTCGATCAACGGATTCGTTCCCAACTTGAAGCGGGGAGAGCTTGGTCTTGTGCCAGCCAAAGTCTAAGCGATACGCTACGAGATAATGAAGAGATATATCTCAAGTTTTTGATTTCTACCAGTGTAGCTACTCTAACATAAGCCAAATAGTTTGCATATCATGGTAACCACTATTCAGTATGAGAATGAGGGAGATTAAGAAGACATCATTTGAGCTACCTCTAGTAAAGTAGCATCTGATCGTATTTAGTTACACTATTACATTCATACAAAAGAACAAGATTTAGTGACGTTATGAAGATAGATGTTCATTTGCACTCAACTTGTGCACATTGTTGTATCAGGCTAATCGAGAACGTCTACTTATGCTTAATTACAGAATCACACCCATTCACGTCATTCTGCAGATAAGTCTTCTTTGTAGAAGACATGCTTTCTTCAACTTCTCCAATCATATGTTCGTATAGCATTAGGTATTATATTGAGATGGTTTAAATATGACCCACAACCTAGTCAAAGGCGACAGAAAAAAACGCTCAACTGCGAACTGCATTAGCAATTCCAACCTTCAGCTTGTCAAAGTCAAACAGGATAACTTTATCCTTGGCAAACGTCTCTCCCAAATTTCCAATAATCCAATCCCCATCACCCAAAGTCCGCACGTTGAGCACGCAAACAGTCTGGGTGCTTGACACGACAATCTTCTCGACGTAGTTCTGAGGGAGGATTTCCCACTCTGGAGTCCCTGCGCCGAACTGATACTTGAGGGGGGGCAGCTTAGGGACCTTGGAGCATGGCACGGAATGGAATGCTTGGGCTCCGTTGTTGGGGGCTAGAGAAGCATCAAGCGTGATTGGTGTAGCTCCTGTAAGCTCAACCAAACGAGCATAGCTGTTGACGGACACGGGGGCTCCGCGACCGAAACTTGCGTAGTCAAAGATGGCACCAGACGCAGTCATGTTGAGTGGCTGTGACTCGTTGCCAATCGAGTGTTTCGTCACTGGAAGAGCCCAGTAGTTCAGAATCTCGGGACTTGTGATAATGTCGATGATGTTCACTTGCAAGTTGATAACGCTGTCATACCACTGGAGGCTGCCCGACTGAATGAAGTTGGAGTGATATCCTCCAAGCGTCTGAAGGGCATCGTTTCCATTGCACAAAGCTCGTGCCGGCGCCGTGTTCCCAAAGGTGCTGTTATAACAGTACAGGAACGACCCAATGGGGCTAGAGTAGACCCCCTGTTTCCAGAACTGGTAAAAGGTAGACTGGGTCGACTGATTATCTGACTTGAAAACCGGCGACAGTCCAAATACACCCGTGAACGGGAACGCGCCAGGCTGCGGGAATTGCATATCTGCCAACATAAAGGTGGTGGGTGCTGACAAATTGCCAACATGTTGGACGTCATGTCCAAACTGGACAGTGAGGGGAGCCGGTCCGAAGAAGCCATTCGGATTCCACGTTCGGCTGGGGTACAAGCTTGTTTGGTTGGCGAAAGTAGACGACTCGGACTGGTTAAAGAAAACTTGTCCCGGTGCAAGACATGAAGCCGTGTCATGCGGATTGCCCAAGCAGACAGTTGAAAGCGTGAACTGGTTGATCCAGGTCCAGTCCATCAATGAAATAATCTCTTGCGGAGGCGTACCAATAGAAATGGGCGTCAGGAAGCCCAGCGCACCTAAAGTCAGCGGCAAATCAACAGGAGCGGTCGTCGGGCTCCGGCTGACTCTGGCGCTGGATTGCCCGGCCAGCAATAGCGGAAGAAGAGATTTACGTAGAGAAGGCATCTTGAGGCGCTGAGAAACGCTGCCCCGGACTATCTCACAGCCACCACCTAATAAAGGCTGCTTACCTGGAGGCTTATTTCGACGTGGCTGTGATTCAGTTATATAGCCTCGCTAAGAATCGGCGTAGGCAATAAACAAATAAACAGCTAAAATAGCCAAGAAAATCGGAGGTATTCAGTATGGGACTGGAAATAATCCTCCGATGTAGTCGTAATAGAACTCTATCATGGTCAGCAGCGCTTTTGCGCGGCCATGACAAGGGCAAGGGTTTAGACTCAGCCCTGGATACCCTGCTTCAAGTGACTATTGATTACACTAACGACTGTAGAATTTCATCCAAATCTTGTGAGGTTCGTATGATTCATGGTAGCCGATTTACGCAAACTACATCTATTCATGCTAAACTACAATGTACTGATCAATGAAAAGTAGGTATGATAATAGACGGTGAATTATATTGATGTCAGAGAATTATATATGCTAAATGAGTAATCTACAGCAAGGAAATAAACGCTCAAATATGCATCTAAAGAAGAAGAAGAAAAAAAAAAGAACAATCCAAGTAAGAAAATCTAGAGCAGGCTAGGTAATATAGCCTTTCCATCAGAAATGCCTACAACATCGTTGATCAGCACCTCGGCGGCATTGTCTAGCAAACCACGGTCCTTTGCCTTGTCCACCCATTGTTCCAAACTCAGCACATCCAGCTTGATGATGTTCTCCTTTTCCAAGTGCTGCTTTAGCTCATGCACAGGGATCTTATCCTTTCCGCAGTGATGGGCAAAAGACAATCCTTGACCAACGTCATACAAGGCGGCGATGATACCTGCGGCGACGTCATCAACAGGGACAAAATCGAAGCTGCCCTGCCATGAAGAGAGGTCGGGAATAGCTTGAAGATTGAGAGAGTGCTTGATGACACTCTGCATCAAATCGGTTTCGGGAGCATTCTCTCCGGTGATGCTGCTTGGCCGGTGGATCCAAATGGGCAGATTGGTGTTTTCTGTGACCTTTTCCAAGTAGACTTCGCTGGCCCATTTCGTGGCCGAATAGCCGTTTGATCCATCAGTCGGTGGCTCATGCTGAGAGACTGATACGGGAGGAAGGCCATCCAATCCAGTAAATTTGACTACTCCGGCGGAAGAGACATAGTGCAGCGGAATTCCGCGAGACGCGGCGAGAGATACAAGAGTCTTTGTGCTCTCAAAGTTGGGCTCCCGGAGGGATGAGTAAGACTGTAGGAAAGAGACTGTCGCGCCGTTGTGAATAATACGGTGGACACGGCTAGATAGAGTGCTAAACTCGGTTTCTGATAGGCCAAGTAGTTTGTGAGAAAGATTACCAGTATACTGAATAATCTTTGGTGACTCAACAGCCAGCGGGTGAATTCCACGTAGCGCCACGCAATGCACCTTGGAAACACGCTCGTCGGCAACAAGCTGGCGAAGAATCGAGGATCCGAGGAATCCAGTGGCGCCAGTAAGAAGGATCTCAAGGCTATCAGACACTTGCTGAAGGACGTTGCCATCTACAACAGAAAGGGGCTGAACCGATGTCTCTTCTTCCCAGCTAATCACCTGATCGACCTCGGATGACTGTACCTTGCTGGCCATGTTGCCCAAGCTGCTCGACTGGAACAAGTCGAAAACAGAGATCTCAATGTCAAAGGTTTCCGCAATTAGTCCTCGAAGCTTAACCATGAGAAGAGAGTTTCCACCAATAGCGAAGAAATCTGTGTTGGCGCCAATAGTAGCAGCATCCACACTTGGTACGACCTCCAGCCAGAGCTCCCTCAATTTCACCTGTGCCCTTGTAAGATGACCGCTCTCAGCGGTAGAAGAAATACTGGAAATAGGCAGCATGTCCAAGGCGTGGCGATCGCGCTTTCCTGATGAATTAACAGGCAATTCATCAACGGCAATGATTCTAGCCGGACGCATGTAGGCGGGCAGAGGCAGCTTTAATCGAAGTTGCTCCAGAGGTCCGTCAGACACAGTGTGCTCCTTTGCAGCTAGAATGACAAAAGCTGCCAAGAAATCCTCAGATGAGTCCTGTCCTCTTCGGAAGCTGACTGACGCATCCTTGACAATTCCCTCACTAGCCTTGATGATGGTGTTGGCAATGTCGTCCAGCTCAACTCGGAACCCTCGAAGCTTGACCTGAGTGTCACCGGCGATGCGACCAAGGAAGACAAGTCGGCCGTCGGGAAGAAACTTGGCCTTGTCGCCGGTTCGATACAAGTGCCCCGGACCATAAGGATCAGGCTGGAACTTTGCAGCAGTGAGTTCATCGCGATCGAGGTATCCCTGTGCCACGGCAGGGCCACCTACGCATATCTCTCCCGGAAATCCGACCGGAACGGGTTTCAGGTTCTCATCGAGGACATAGGTAGAGTAGTTCGGTAGCGACTTGCCAATAGACGGGTTTCGAGTGTCACGCGGCGCTAATGGGCTCAGCTCATCCTCACCGATGCAGCTGTTGATGGAAATTTCCGTGGGACCGTAGCCGTTGAAGAGACGCAGGCAAGGCGCTTCGAGGCGAATATAACTGTTGAGAAGATTGGCTGACATGACCTCTCCGGACGAGAATGCAGAGCGCCAGTAAGAGGATTGGCGGAGATAATTGGCGCCGTATCTCACAATCATGGAGTATTCAGTTGGTGTCATCCAAGTATAGGTAATCTTTTCTTCAAGCATGAGCTTGGCAAGTTGTGCTGGATCCCGTCTAGTCTCCTTCAGTGCGATGACAAGTGTACCACCAGAGAAGAACGCCTGGCAGATTTGAGCCAGAGACAGGTCGAATCCAAACGAAGATTGCTGCAGAACTGTTTCCATTTTCAGACCATACTTCTTGTAAACACCAGCGATGTGGTTGATCAAGTTAGAGTGAGAAAGCATGACTCCCTTTGGAATACCCGTTGTACCACTTGTATAGAGGATATAGCCAGTGGTGGAAGGGTCGATCACAGATGCATCTACTGCAGCAGTTTCTGAGGTAGCCTTGGAGATGGACACCAGTGAGGCGGATGTTTCGAATTGCTGAACCGATGGCTCTGTTGCATCATGACATACGAGGAGCGAAGGCTGGCAATCCTTGAGAATCAAGTTCAGGCGAGGCACTGGGTTCTGGACATCTAATGGTACATAGATGCAGCCGAGTTTCTGAATCGCCAACAACGTGCAAATGGCATCAATACTTGGCTCACAGTAAGAACCAACTCTCTGGCCTGTCTTGGCGCCTGCCATGATCAAAAGAGCTGCAATATCATTTACTCGTGCTGTAGCATCTCTGTATGAGAGCGTAGCACCACAATCATCTCTGATTGCAATTGCATCGGGCTGTTGAGCAGTCCAATGATCTAGCCAACCAGGGAGATGAAGAATAGCCGGCTCATATGTCTCACCACGGGCAAGCTGGAGGCTGAGCTCTCGACTAGTTGAAGGGGCAAGCTCAACAGCATTGACATTCAAGTTGGGTTCGCGCGACAAGGCATCGAGCAGGTGTGTGTAAGTGGCGAGGATCGTCTGCAGATCGTGATCGGTATACAAGTAATCCTGAGTCTTGAGTGCGAGAAGTACCCCGCCATCTGGGAAATTTTCAATCTCGAAGCTAAGATCATAGGCATTTCTAGCATCTTCAAACTCAATTGTTTGTGCCTGGCACTCAGCCAGAGGAACCGATTGGGTCGACCCCATCTTATAGTTAACGACGACCTGGAAGAGCGGGCTGTGGGATGTGGATCGTGGCACCTTAAGCTCATCCAAAAGCTTGTCGAATGGCACTCGGGAATGAGACAAGGCCTGGTGGACCTTGTCTTTCGCTGCCGTTGCTAGGTTGGCGAAGGATTGAGAGCCATCAGTCTTGAATCGCAGGGGCAAAAGATTGACGAAAAAGCCAATTGTGTCCAAGAACTCAGAGTCATTCTTGTTGGCGTCCGTGATACCAACACACACGTCAGTGATATCTAGCAAGCGAGACAAAAGGGTTTGTGTGATGGCCAGGTGAAAGTGGAAAGGAGTAACGTTCAGGCTCCGGGCTGCCGATTTGATCTGACTGGCAATACGGTCGGGGAGCTGCTGTGTCAGAGCTCTAGTATTGTACTCCGTCAAGGGAATACGGGCCTTGGTTTCCGTAAACTCGAACAGTGGCAAGGTCTCAGGCAGCTCAGCGAATTCAGACTTCCAGTACTCAAGATCATCACTCCATGTAAGTGTCTTTTCCTTGTTAGCAAAGTCGATATACTGGTGCTTCAGAGGGCTCAAAGGCAGTCCGGTGTATGCCATTGCCAAGTCCTTGACCAACGTTTGGGCACTAAATCCATCAAAAGCAAGGTGATGGAAGCCGAGAACAAAGAAGTGCTTGGACTCGGACTCGGAAATGATGACTGCTCTCATGTTTTCTCCGTTTTCAAGGTCAAACACATGATCGCGCATCTTGGAAAACTCGCGCTCCACCGTCGTACCCGTCTTGTAGTCAATATCGAAAATAGCGTCCGAAAACACGGCTTGCGTTGGGATATTAGTCTCGGGATCGTTATAGAGACAAGTTCGGAGCGATTCATGACGTGCGATGACTTTTCGGAAAGCCTCCCGGAAATCGTTAATTCGGAGGCGGCCCGTTATGCTATAAGAAAGCGTTACGTTGTACGTGGTAGGATCCTGGAGGAACTGGCGCAAAAACCACAGGCGACGCTGTGCAAATGACATCTCAGCCACTCTTACCACCTTTAGTTGCTCCCTCTTAACCTTTGTCTCGATTTCTGTGACATCAGATGCTGAGCGAGGAGGTGAAACGCCTCGACTAGAAGGGGAGCTCGGTCCATCAAATACAGACGGCGCGGTTGAGTGAGGGGCCGTGGTCACTGCCGAAGGGGCAATCAACGGAGTCGGTTCTAAGATTTGCGGAACAACTCGAGGAGATTCCTAATAAATAGAGTTAGTAGTCTGTTTCAGACAAAGAAGAATTTGAACATGCCTTTTCAGCGGCAATTGCCGGTGAAGCCGCATCGCTGGCTGCCTCAGTACCAAATGTCACCTTGCTGGCAGCCTCCTTAGAGAGATCTGTCACTGATGCTCCGCTGAGAACCTTGAGAACCGGCACATCAACGTCTAATTCTTTCAAGAACCAGGAGCGAATCTCGACAGCAATCAGGGAATCGACACCCAGGTTCATCAGCGATTGTGACACCTGAATAGATCCCTTTGCCGCTTGCAGCATTCTCTCAAGCTTTGTGCAGAAGCCCTCCTGAATAAGCTCCTCAACCTCCTCAGGGCTAGTCGCCTGGGAAAGTCGCTGTGCCAGCGACATGTTGTTTGTTGCCGTTGCCTCCGTTTGGCGGACTTCAGTAAGCGTATGGTGGCAAAACTTCAAGTCCTCATGCCAGAATGGTCGCTGGACATCTTCGCGCAAGCTGTGACGGTTCAAGCCAGTAATGAGGTCCGGCGAGTGCTCAGACTCCAATCGACCGACCACAATGGCCTCGGAAAACATGTCGAGAAAATCCTGCTCGGGGATTGGCATATAGTTGTATTGACGCAGGGTGCTCTCGTAAATGCCGGTCGACGACACGTAACCAACTCCCAATACCATGCCAATGTGGATAACGGATGCAGCAAGTCCTCTTCGCCTTCGCTGTTCTGCAATGGTGGACATGAACAAGTTTGCTGCGACATAGTTGGACTGACCACGGTTACCGACAATACTGGCAAGCGATGAGAACATGATGAAGAAATCAAGGGGCTGATCGTAGAAAAGCTCGTCTAGGTTCTTAGTACCGTCAACCTTGGGGCCGAAGACGGTGCGGAAGTCTTTAGCAGTCAATTCACCGAAAGAGCGATCAGACAGAACCATGGCAGCATTCACGACACCCGCAATCGGGGGCATTTCTTCCTCAATCTGACCACGAACAGCTGTCAGAGCATCCTTGTCCGCGACATCCAAGCCGTAGAGATTGACTTCAGCGCCCAAAGCAGCCAATTCCTTCAGCCAAAGCTGGTCAATCTTGCTAGGGTCTCTTGTCGTGAGAGCAAAATATTTGGCGCCCTTGGATGCCATCCAAACACAAAGAGCTTTACCCAGGCCACCGGTACATCCTGCAAGCAGATAGGTGTGATCGCTTCGGAAAAGTGTTGCAGGGTTGAGAACAGCCGTTTGAGCTGGGACCGCGGAGACATCGGAAAAGTCAATGATTGTCGAGTACTTTGTTGCTGATACAGATTGGCTGGCCAATTTGGCCAGAGGTAGAATATCTACGGTAGAACTTGTGGATGGCTGCAGCTGCGCCAGGTCCACAAGCCGTCTAACAGACTCTGCAACAAGGATCGGCTCTCCCTTTGGTGAATGAGAGAAGAAGTCTTGCACATTCCTATATACGCAGCCCTCAGGCAGCGAGTTTGCCCAGTGAGACACGGCTGAAAAGTCGATGAGAATTCTTGTGGACGCAGGGACAACATCGCGCAAGCTCTTTTCAGATGCGTACTTATGAAGACCAATGTTCTTGACACTGAGGCCGGCTTTGGCTGCTTTACGTTTCAGCACAGCTCCGAGGAACTTGTCGCTTCTGTGAAGTACAACAGTGCTTCCAAGAGGAATGTCTGAGATTAGCTGGTCTGCAATTAGAGCAGATGTAACGTCTTGCAGAAGAGTCGCAACGTTTGATCCTTCGGCAACCTTGAAAACACAACCAGAAGGCACGCTTATTGTGGAGCTATTGGTGCTAGACAATGCAACAACACTAATGGCGGGATTGTGTTCCAAATGACCAGCGGAAAGGAACGCCGAGGTGGTCTCGTTGAGCCGTACCGCGGATGCCAGCGAGTGGGACACCTTAACCTTGACCAAACTAGCATCGGCGGGCCGGAAAAGGGTGGATTCGCGGGTGGACAAAACATAGCGATCTCCTGCGGTAAAAACGTCAATAACGTCCTTGGTAACGGATGCTATGTTCTTGATAGTCATCTTGTGAGCGTTCAACCGGTCGTTGAGTAGCGTGTCGGGCAAGATCCTCAGAATCTGAAGCTTGCCATCCTTGACTAACAGCTCAGGCTCACTAGTCCAAAGCACTTCACCATTGAACTTCCTCTGGGCGGCATAAATGAGTCTGATGACCGCCCCTGCAATGATGGACACAGAGGAGTCAGTCATGTCATCTTCAAAGTCAATGTGCTGCACAGCCACGTGGGGATACTCAGCAGATAGACCTCTACAGAGACCAACCGAAAGGTTGCCATACGGGTCGTCGGAACGGGCCTTGTGCGACACCCACAGTAGTTGCCTGCTCTCTGGAAGGGTTTTCTGGAGAGCAGTCAGTTTTTCCTGCGTAAACCTTTGCAGGACAGGCTCATCTAGATCTTCCAGAATGACAATCGCCGTCGTGGGCACAGCTGTGGATGCGACCTCTGCAAGAGTCTTGGCCAACTTAATCTGTGGGTTTAGGCCAGGAACTGCCGACAATACTTTCACAGTACGTGAAACAACATTCCCAAAAGCACCACCAACGATGGTGATGGGTGGGCAAGTCCAGACAGGGTGATCGGCAGAAGTCAACAAAGGTTGGCGCAGAAGAGCAACGTCAGAATCAACAGCTTGTGAGATCATAACCGATGTCATGTACTTGGACTCATCGACGAAATCGTGGATAACATGGTCGACTCCAGAGAATCCCGTATTTTTCAGGAGAGAATCCCACTGGTCCCTCGTAATTGTAGGGCCATATCGACGGCCATCGTCGCCTCCGAGCCACCAACCTGACAAACCGGCCATCATTAGCTTAACACGAACAATCTCGCTAGTGACTTCGAGGAGAAGCAAATGACCGCCGGGCTTCAGCAGTCGACGAACATTTCTCATCGTCTCCGACAAGGTCTTGGTGGCATGTAGCACATTGGAGGCAATGATAAAGTCATAAGATTTCTCCGTGTATCCCTGCTCAATCACGTCATTTTCTGCATTCAGCGGCTTGAAGATCATTTTATCAACCCAAGGAGCAAAGGCCTCCGCGGCTGCCTCGAAGAAACCAGTCGAGATGTCGGTGAACGTGTAGCTCTCAAACGTTGTGCCGAGAGATTCGAGGATTCCCTTAGTAGCACCTCCCGTACCAGCACCGATCTCGAGAATCTTCATGCGAGGATATCGATGCGCAACTTGCTTCGCGATACGACCCATGAAGCCGTTGGCCCTCTGGAATCCCAGACCAAATTTATAAAACCTGTTGAGGACGTCATCTTTGATCATGTGCTCCAACATGGTGGTTTGGCCTCGCACAACCTCGGCGAGGTTTTCTCCCACAGCTGTAATGAGCTGAAGATCGACTTGGCCGGGGAATTTGGCTCTTTGCTGGTCTAGCCACTCATAAGTGTCCGACTTCCACTCCTTTCGGATGGTAGGGTGAGTGCCCTCCTCGATCCACGGGAAAAGGTAGTCGATCCACTCAAAGATGCGCTGGAAGTGCCACACCATTGCTGGAACCTCGCTGCGGTCGATCTTGTCATTGAGTTGTCGAAGGTAGTAGTATGTAAGTCTCTCGCAAAGATCAACCAGTTCCAAATCTTCAACATTGTCACCGCGAGTAGTGGGCAGAGATGCTACGGCACTGGCAACGTCCAGTTCCCACTGAGGCCTAGTGTAGAGCTCCTTGTAATCTCTCGGACCGGCAGGAACAAGAGCTGTACAGGTTAGGCTTTCCAGCTGAATGATACCCTTGTTGGTATCGCTCTCGAAAATATCAAGATCCGCCGTCAAATTCTGAGCCGAAGATTCTGTGACGTAGGAGTCAACCTGAAGTGACCGGGCAGACTCAACAAGGCGTCTATTGACGATGCGGAGCTTGCGCAGCTTTGTGGGAACATATGGAGCTCTCAAGGTTCCATCTCCAGGCCAGCAGAAGGCAGCAAATATGGACTGAAAGGCTGCATCGAGGATCGCAGGGTGGATGATGGTGGAGAGTTCCTTGGCCGGTGCCTGAGTAGCCGTTGAGCTCGACATGCCCGACTTTCGATGGATCTCCTCCAGGGCTCGGAAGGGGCCGGTGTAGTTGAGCCCAATCTCAGTCAGAGAAGTATAGAAACGATCAATCTCGACGTTGCTGAGAGACACAACAGGAGCCACACGACGAGGAAGGGCGTCGTCATCAGCGGCACCAAACACGACACGAACACTTCCTGAAGCGTTGCATCTCCATGGAGCGTTAAGATCGCCAGCAGGAGAATAGCAAGCCCACTCAGCAATGGTTGTGTCAGCCTTAGGATCGAGCTTCGCCGGCTTCAGCGTGAAGAGAGTTTCGACACCGGGAGTCTCCTCCGAGAGAGGGATGGCGTTGCCAATCTCGACATCATAGAGCTCAATAAGCTCGACCTCCCGACCCAGAGCCAATGCATTGCAAGACTCCAATGCCATGACCAAATATCCAGCCGCAGGGTAAATGACCTGCCCCTCGACTCTGTGGCCGTCCAGCCATGGCAGCTCCTCGATTCGCAAGATGTTCCTCCATACCATCGACTGGTCGATATCCTCGGTTGATCGATCGCCAAGCAGTGGGTGGCGAACATCCGGCTTGCTGCGGAAATTGCGCGACTTGCGAGACTCTTTCCAGAAGGATTGCGAGTGATCCCATGGATATGCGGGAAGATTGGTTGCAAGTTGAGGCGAGGAGTCGCTGTCGAAGGCTTTGGTGAAGTTGCGGAAGTTGATGCCTGAGGACCCAAGCTTGCCAAGGTACGTCCACAAGAACCCCAGAGCTTCACCAATACACTCAACATCATGCTTACCACGGCCCAAAACACCCTGATACGGCAATTCCGCAGCTCCGGTCTGCTTGTATGTCTGTGTGAATGGCGCCTTGAGGGCTGGATGCGGTCCGACTTCAAGAGCAACATCACAGGGAAGTTCGCCGTTGGCAGCGAGTTCAACCGCCATGGAGAAGAGCACAGGGTTAACCATGTTGTCCTTCCAGTACTCGCCAGTCAGAGAATCGATCATGTCGCCCTCCATGCGGTCGCCGTACACGCTAGAGAACCAGGTGCAGCCCTCGCGAGGCTGCTTCGGCTCGATCTTGCATGCGGCTAGTGACTCCATGTAGGGCTCTGCGCAGGGCATCATGTGGGAGGAATGGTAGGCGGTATCGACCTGCAGCAGTCGAGCAAAAGTGCCCTGGTCCTGGAAAATGGCCTGGGCCTCTTGGATAGCATCCTTGTCTCCGGAGAGGGTGACGCTTGCTGGAGCGTTGCTGGCAGCGACATCGATGCGGCCAGGGAAGTTTTGCTCAACAAAGTCGGAGGCCTCGTCATACGAGAGGCCAACAGCCATCATTGCACCTGGCTTTCCAGTGCTGCCGCGTGCGAGACTGGCATGGACACCACGGTAGTAGGCAATGCGAATGGCCTCCTCTGCAGAGATCATGCCAGCAGCGTAAGCGGCGCCGATTTCTCCAGAAGAGTGGCCAAGCACGACGTTGAACTGGACTCCCGCCAAAGAGAGAAGATCAACAAGCATCACTTGGACGGCTGTGCACAGCGGTTGGGCAACGGCAGCCTCAGCCAGTCGAGAGTTGCTCTTGTCAGCAAGAATCTGGTCCCTGAGCGTCCATGATGGAGGGTCAGGAAGGCTCTGCAGAGAATCCTGCAGTTTTTGAAGAGTCTCGGCGGCAACAGGGGACGATTTGAGGATTTCTCTGCCCATTGTTGGCCACTGGGCTCCCTGTCCGGTAAAGACTCCCAGAATACGCGGCTGTTTCACCTTTGCATCCACATTGGTGCCAGTCCAACTGTCATCATCCAATGCGATCTGCAATTTTTCAATCAGCCTCTCTCTGCTGTGGCCTGCAAATGCCGCTCGCACGGCGTGTTGGGATCTCCGCTCTCCAAGTGTGAACAAGACATCTTGAAGAGGAGTCGATCGATCCGAGGCAAGGAAGTCTCGTGTAGTGGACAGCATGCGCTTGAGGGTGCTGGTCGAGGTTGCGGACAGCAGCAGAGGATTTGGGATAATCGACTCCGGCTTCTGAACCGCGGGCTTCACATTACCAGCAACGTAGCTCTCAATGATTGCGTGTGCGTTTGTACCTCCGAATCCAAAGGAGTTGACACTTGCTCGTCGTAGAGCCCCATCCTTCGTCTCCGGCCAGGGAACCGGCTGCTGGGGCACTTTGAGGTTCTTGTAGTATGGAGTAATACCAGGGTTGAGTTTCTCGAACAGCATGTTGGGAGGAATAACACCTCGTCTCACAGCCTCGCTAGCTTTTATCAAACCAGCAATGCCGGCGCATCCTTCCAAATGGCCGACAACTGTTTTAACTGAACCAACGTACATGACATCCCCGCCGTCAGTTGTTTTGCTCGGGAAAAAGGCATCGTGGATGGCTCGCGCCTCAATTGGATCGCCCGCAGGGGTTCCGGTTCCGTGGGCTTCGAAATATTGGCATTTGTCCTTGTTCCAGTCGAGTCCCGCACGGGCATACGTTTGGCGGATCAATGTCGTCTGAGATTCAGAGCTGGGAAGCGTAATACCGTTGGTTCCTAAAACGAATCAAATTAGCTGGTTCTGGTCTAATGAATAAAGTCTATGGCCAAACTCACGTCCATCAGAGTTGACTCCAGTTTCGCGGATAATGCAATGGATATTGTCCTTGTCGGCAATAGCTTGTGACAGGGTCTTGAGAATAACGGCGCCGAAACCCTCACCACGCGCGTAGCCATCAGCTGAGGCATCCCACATTCGGCTTCTACCAGTTGGCGAAAGCATGTGAAGTTTCGACTCTGAGATCATCATTTCAGGTCCCAGGATGAGGTTGGCACCGGCAGCGCAGGCGACCTTGGATGTACCCAGTCTCAAGGCCTGGACAGCTTCGTGGACGGCGACCAGACTGGACGAGCAGGCTGTGTCGATAGTCATCGACGGACCTCGCCAGTCAAAGAAGTAGGATATTCTGTTTGAGAGGATGCTACGTGCAGTGCCAGTAGCCATATACTTGGGCATATCTTGCGGGTCTCGCATCAGCATTTCGTGGTAGTCACCGGTCATGCTGCCAACATAGACACAGGTGTCGGATCCTTGCATGTCACCAATGGAAAATCCACCCGATTCCAGGGCTTCATAGACGGTTTCTAGCAATATCCGCTGCTGAGGATCCATGGCCTCTGCTTCACGAGCATTTGTCTTGAAAAATGAGGCATCAAACTCTCGAATGTCCTCGTCGAGGGTGTAGGCATGCTTGACATTCATCAACCCCTGTCTCTCTCCATCTTCATGGAAATAGCTCTCAGCATTGAACCTGTCGACTGGAATTCTTTTAAGAATGTCTTTTTTCTGGCAGATCAAGTCCCATAATTTGGAGGGAGTGTTGGAGCTGCCGGGGAAGCGGCACCCCAAACCGACAATGGCAATCGGTTCTGCGGAAGATTGAGGAGGCATTTTGGCGTGTTGTATTAGTTGGATAAAGTAAGATATAAGATATTACAAATGTATAAAGAAGAGCGAGATGTGAGAGATTGTTTTACACAAGGTACCGCGTTGAAGATGATGGTGACCTTAATTGTTGAGAATCTCGTTTACGGTTGATCAGGTCGTCTGACATGTGGCAGTGCCTCTATTAAATACTAGGCATGAGACGCTTCGGAACCATAGCCTCAAACGTTATACATTCTGAATAGGTAACTCTAGGACAAAAGTCGCCGACAAATAATTCTTTAACAAATAGCATGTCAAAACTGCTAAATCTATTGAGATACAGGTCCTCTTTTTTTTTTTTGTTAATTTCCTCATCACTCAGCTTACATCGACCCATCACTCAGCCGCACCTGGCCACAATGTTCAAGTTTTTCAATTCTGATTTCTTCAATTTCGAGTTTCTTCGCGTCCTTGACGCAGCTCCTTTCTATGGGTCTGAAACTGGAGAATGTCTCGAAGCCAGAACCAAAATTACAGATGGTGATCCAGAGAGCTGGTACCATGCCTGGACTTCGCAAGCTGAGCGTGCTGTCAAGATAGCTGAGGAAGCATCCAAGCACGGGGATCGAGTTGAGGCATCATGGGCATTTATTCGCGCCTCAAACTACTACCGATCGAGCGAGTTCTTTCTGCATTGCAATACACAAGACCCTCGCATTCTCGACGCAATCCAGAAGAGCTCAAATACGTTCGAACGAGGTGTTAGACTACTGGATGGCGAGCTGCATACCTTTGATATACCATTTGAAGACAACATTTCTCTTCCCGCGAGATTGTTTCTTCCTCCCGCCCATAAGAGAGTGACTGATAAGCTGCCGATATTGGTTCAAAATGGTGGCTTTGACTCGACACAAGAAGAGTTGTACTTTTACGGGCCAGCAGGCGGACTACCGCGCGGATATGCTGTTCTCACCTATGATGGGCCTGGCCAAGGCATTTCTCTGCGACGAGACAAGACTCGCATGGTCCCCGACTGGGAGAGAGTAACCGCAAAGGTGCTAGACTATCTAGAATCCAAGCTGGCGACAAAACACAACATTGATATGGATCGGATAGCGGTGACGGGAGCATCGCTCGGAGGATACCTGGTGCTACGAGCTGCTGGCGATCCGCGAGTTAAAGCAGCCATCTCAACAGATGGATGCTATGATCTCTTTGACGTGACCAAGAGCCGAATGCCCAATTGGTTCATCGGTGGCTGGCTGAGCGGCTGGCTGAGCGATGGATTCTTCAACTTTGTTGTCAACCGCCTTGCTGCGGGCAACTTTCAGCTTCGGTGGGAGTTTGGCCACAGCATGTGGCTATACGGCGTTGACAACCCTGCAGATGTCATGAGACAAATGCAGCGCTACACTCTGCGCCTTGAAGACGGCAAAGAATACTTAGATAAGCTCAAATGCGCCACTCTGATCACCGGTGCTTCTGACACTTTTTACTTTGTTCCGGACATCAACGCTGAGCGAATCTACCAGAAGCTGGGACACCTTGACAGCGGCAAGAAGGAGCTTTGGATTGGCAAGGGAGTGCATGAGGGTGGCCTCCAGGCCAAGATTGCATCGCTGGCACTCTCGCACCAGAAGATGTTTGCTTTCCTTGATACGCAATTTGGCATTACTCGGCCTTCACTATCCTAGGCTTAATACCGTCTGTAATAGTACTTTGATTTATAATACAGTTACATCTAAACGCTGCTAGCTATAATAAACACTGGTTCCTATCCTAATTGTGTCCTCTCCTGTTAGCTCATATCGGAATACGTATTAAGACAAGCAAGTACCAGTACAGTTCATCTCTCCTTCAGTTCTGGAAAACCCGCCGAAAGCTCCGCTTGGGCCCAACATAAGAAACAGGCCACCCGAGGAAGAAGCAGCAATAAACATCAGACTCCAAACTCTAGAAACCATCTTGCATCGTGGCATCTCACTAACCAGCACAACCATGGCTACCGTCGGAACACTATATTCTTACCTACCGAATGCGAGGTGTCTCAAGGTACGTGCATTCAACCCCTGTTACGGACCCTAGTTGCACATGGCTGATATTAACCGCAAAGATCTTTGCCGCCGCTAAAATCAACGGCGTCAATATTGAAACGGCGTCGGATTACCAGCATATGGTAACCAATAAGACACCCGAGTTTCTGGCCAAGTTCCCTATTGGCAAAGTTCCCGCCTTTGAAGCCACCGACGGCACAGCCATCGCCGAATCTGACGCTATCGCCCAATATGTCGCAGAGTCAGGGCCTCAATCAGCGCAGTTGCTAGGAGCCGATGCTCAGGAGAGAGCCAGGGTCCGTCAATGGATCAATTTCACCGACAACGAGGTTTACGTACACATGATGACTGTCGTCCTCTGTCGGGCAGGATTCGAACCCTATGTCCCCGAAAAGGAAGCGGCTGGCGCCAAAGGCTTGGCTTTTGGCCTGGGAGTTGTTGAGAAACATCTCGCGGGCCGGGAGTGGCTCGCAACGGACCAGCTTAGCTTGGCCGATCTGACGCTGGCAGCTGCTCTCTACTGGGCTTTCATGCACTATCTCGATGAGGGCAGAAGGGAAGCGTATCCTGTTACGACGGCGTGGTACCTGCGTACAATCGGCGCCGAAGGGGTAAAGGAGATTTTTGGACCACCCAACCTGGTAGCTAATGCGAAGGAATTCTAGAATGTCAGCATGCATACATGTAAAGTAGCCGCTGTAATACCTATTTTGTTATACACGGCTCATCGGAGCGTTTCTATTGGCTGTTTAGACAGAGACAATACATTAGTCCCAGCTCGTGTAATACTCCGCAGACTCGAATAAGATCACGCCATATCAAGAAATACGATATGCAGAAGGATCAGCGTAACCCTTGCTAGTCTCCTTCGTAGTGCCGCTGACAGTCCTGACGCATGTAAGATCATGCACTGGGCTCCCCAGCAAATGCCTGTTCATAGCTAGCGTATCACTCTTTGCACGTGGAGACCAAGATCGGCGGTGTCATCATGGCCGAGCGGAACATGGGTGGCGCGATCTTGGATCAACATCACATGGACCGATCATATATCGTATGCATGTTACAGTAATCATTGGGTCCTTTTCAAAAGGTCGCCTGTTCTGTATGTACTATGTGTCATGATGATACGAGAAATAGCATAAAACAGGTCGTCGTTATTGAAAGGTTCCAAAAGAGGAAATCTGACAAACAGAGAGGATACGCAGACACACACACACACGCACAGCCATGGTTCGGATTGCGCTCGCTGGCGGCTCTGGGGGAGTAGGGCGAGAGATTCTAAATGCTCTCCTTGACACTGGGAAACACGACATTACTGTCATCTCTCGCAAGGTAGGGCATTAGTGGTTATGAGTCAATGACAAGAGTTCAGAAGGAGGCTAATGAGAGATGAGTAGGAAAACAGCATTCCTGAGCTAGAATCCCGAGTATCGTGGGTCGTAGCAGACTATGCCGATACCAGTCGACTGGTTGATCTACTGCAAGGGGTGCATACAGTCCTCTCATTCATCGTAGTAGCACAAGACAAGGGAAACCAATCGCAGCGAAACTTGATCGATGCATGCGTCCAAGCTGGTGTCAAGCGCTTTGCACCAAGCGATTGGGCAGGGTTAGTCACAGCCTTGTCTTGATCCTTATTGCAATCCGACCTCGAGATGTAACTAACCAACGTCGCACTGGCAGGGCTTCGACCAATGGTCTCCCGTGGTATGCGGGTAAGACTGCCATAGAGCAGTATCTGAAGAAGATTAATCAAGAAGAAAAGGTTAGCAAATAGCTCCCAACAGAAATGGCTAGAGGGGAATGCTTGCTAATAGCGGGTTGATGTTGATGCTAGGTCCTCGAATTCTGCTGTTTCAGACCGGGTATGCTCATGAATTATCTGGCTTTTCCCCAAAAGACAACCAAATATGCAGATATCTGGGGTATTCACATTGACATGGAGCATCGACGGGCAATCATATTGGGTGATGCCAAGAATCCCGGTTATTTCAGCATGACAACCATGGATGATGTAGCCAAAATCGTTAGCAAGGCTGTCGAATATGAAGGGCAGTGGCCAGAGGTTGGAGGAATCCGGGGAGATAACATTTCCCAGCAAGAGCTCATTGCCTTGGGCGAAAAGATTCGAGGTATTTCTTTTTGTTGCCCCCTTTTTCTAGATGATTGTCGACTGACTGTGTGAAAAGGGGGGAGGTTTGCAGTGGAAACAATCAAATCAGTGCAAGCTCGTGCCGGCAGACTGACCGCTACATGGCACCCAAAAATGGAGCATCCTACTGTTCCAGAAGAGCTGAGGGAATCATCGGCAAAGATTTTCACGGCCAAGACGATTGTTTCCGTTTATCAAGGCAGCTGGGAAGTATCTGACGAGTGGAACAAAATCTTCCCAGACTATAAGTTTACAACGATTCAGGAGTTTCTTGAGAAGTGGTGGACGGGTAAAGAATAATTCTACATGTTTTATATTTAGGGATTTATTATAGCAATGTATTTGGAGCAGTAACAAGTTGATTCTGAAAAAGCTGGATATTTGCTGTGGAGCATTGGAAATAAAGGCAAAATTGAAGGAGCTAGATAATATATTTGGCAAGATTACGCACATTGCGATTCATTTGAGCACAGTATTTCATCACGGCCCTTTGAGATGAAGAAGCAGTTGCCATTGTATAATATGCGGCGATACTAGTAACAAACCTCCTAAATGCTTACCCTGGAGTAAAAAATGGAAACCTCTTGCGGACGTACAGAGCTACTCTTGAAGCTAATATTAGTAGGCAATGCGAATCTGGTAATTAGTCTATGATCTACAAGCACTGATAATGCAAGATGTATGTTCCCTTTCGGGCTTGACATCCAGCTGAGAATTCCCAGATACCAATTCATGTTGTTGTTTCCCCTGAATTGCTAAGTGGACGAATTTAGCGGACGGATACCGATGTAATTAACTGTGGATCATGAGCTAACAGGGAGATCACTTTGGGGTTCAGGAAATGGCGGTTAGTTCGCAGGCGGAGAAATAGAGTAGCGGGGTTGCATGGGGTCGGCGATTTGATAGAAATAGGAAATAAACACGACGACGGATGGAATGAGAGAGGGCCAGTGTCTCGGGTAAGAGGATTTCGGGTTTCTCGGCCAAGAGAGAACCGTACCGACTTCAAGAGAATGTACGCCTTGCCTGTTTTGAATGCTACTATGAGTGCACGTCTCTCCACTAACTCATCACGACTTCATAACTCTCTGCACCTCAGACATTACGATGGCCTCAACTCCGCAATAAGCACGCCATCTGCTTGAATCAGGTCAATTATTCTATCCGCCCAGCGTATTATCTCGTTCATGTATTAAATATGTATTAGGTACGTATTTATCCGGTGTGTTAACATTATCGAATGACGGGTACTATTTCAATATGATTTTACCCGTGAGATCTGTTTTGGCGCCACTACTGGAGTGGACTCTTTACAGTATCTTACGGCTTGGCTTCTTCTTCTCCAGCATTCTTCTCCACCTCTGACAGGCTATTTTCGGTCGCCGGCTCCGGAGATGAAGCCTCTTTATTCCCGCTCTCCAGTCGGTACTCAGTGTTTAGCTCATCACGCAGCTTGTAAGCCTTCAGTGCGAGGGCAAGAACTACACCAAATACGGCAAAGCCAATTGATCCCTGCCACACAATCTTCAAGCTGGATACGTAGAGGTTCAAAATTGTCTGGTAAAGAGCAGCGTCACCCTTGAAAGTGGCCACAAACGAGCGAGTGGCATGCTCGTACGCACCGCCGTGAAGCAAAAGTTGACGCAACGAAGCATCGGAAACGGTCTGAGCAACCTTGTCGGCGTGAGCGTTGAAGATGGCAGAGGGAATGGCAACTCCCCAGATAGATCCCAAGTTGCGCAAAAAGGTCCAGGTTGCAGTAGCAAGTGCCACTTCAGACTCTGGGAGACTGGCCAGGATGGCAGGCAGACAGCTGGTGAAGACAAATCCGCAGCCGAAGCCAAAGATGATCTGGAAACCAACCCAGCGGCCGGTAGACGAGTGCTCGTCCAACAGGGTGAAGAGACCGCAGCCAATCGCCATGAGACTGAATCCAATATAGTGCCATCGGCGGTATCGGCCGGTCTTGGTGATCATGACACCGGAAATGATGCCTGCAGGGGCTGTTGTCGTGGCAATTGGGAACAGCATGACGGCCGATCGGGCGGGAGTAGCATTGAGAACGGCCTGGAAGTAGACGGGCAGGAAGTAGCAGACCCAGAAGAGCAGCACGCTGTGGACGAAGCTGATGGCCAACGTTGCGGCCGCGGTGCGGTTTCCGAAGAGACGGAGAGGCATCACGGGCTCCTTGACCCAAGGGGCAGCCTCGTATGCGAAGAATCCGAGCAGGCCAACAAAGCCCAAGACCAGCGGCACAATGGTTCTCCATGATGACCAGTCGTGAATGGTGCCTCCCCAGGTGAGGGCCAGCAGCATTGCAGTCACAGATGCCGTCAGGATGGCATATCCAGCCCAATCGACGCAGGCAAGACGCTCCATGATGGTGCCCTGGCGAGGGTTGCGCATCTTGAGCAACACAAGCACCAGAGCAAGCGTCACTCCCGAGATGGGCAAGTTGAGGTAGAAGATCCAGCGCCAAGTGATGTTCTGCGTAAAGGCACCGCCGATGATGGGACCCACGACGGCGGCAATGGCCCAGACGGAGCTGATGATGCCTGCATACTGGCCTCGTTCGCGAAGAGAGACCAAGTCGCACACGACGACCTCGGACAGAGTTGCAATGCCGCCTCCGCCAAAGCCCTGGATTGTTCGGCCGGCAATCAGCATACCCGTGCTCGTGGCTGCTCCTGAGATGGCACTTCCAGCAGCAAAGAGCAGCAGAGAGGCTACAGTGGCTGCACGACGACCGAAGATGTCGGCGGCCTGACCAAATAACGGCGCCGAGGTTGTCGCGGCCAGGAGGTAGGAGTTAATGATCCATACGTAGAGCTCGCCCGAGTTGAGCTTGGCTGTGATTGTCGGGAGCGCTGTCGAGATGATGGACGTATCCAACGCGACCAGGAACGTCACGCAGCTGATGGCAACGAAGATGAGCCAGAAGCGAGCGTCCTTGGGCGGTGCTGCCTCGGCATCAGGGACGACGTCTGGAGTAGGCGCTATTTCTTTTTCGGTGTCCATGATGAAAAATCTCTGCCCGTGTGGAAATGTCGAAATGGCGATTCACTCCTCTCCTGTACGGTGAGGCCATGGCTGAGTGAATAAATGCACTTTTTGTTTCATCCCTGAAGTCCTGTCGGCGACTTATATATGCTAGTGTAACATTGCGTTTCAAAAGTTTCGACTTGACACGGGAGTAGACTTTACATGCATTATGCTGCAGGTGTTGCTTGTCGAAATATCACTGCGTTTGGCGATTACACATGTGTTTTAAAAGACGAATACGATTGGTGATTTGGTAAGAACGCTTCCGTAATATCATACGAAATCTCACCTGTCAAGCAGCAATGATTGGCGAAAGATGAGGTGCTTGTCTTTCATTGATTTTATCAGCTTATACATACTCATCCCTTAAGCTACATGTGCTTAGCATAGGCTAATATATCCACCAGATTAGACGACTAAAATCTTGATATGAAAATCCTGTCGGCAGTTCTAAATTTCAGTTGCAGCAGCTGCAATAAATCTTCCTAGTCGAATCTAGATAAAGTTTGACAACTGCCGAGATATTGGAGTCATTTATTTCTTTTTGTCAAACGCATTTGCGCAAACGGTTGGGATGGATTCAATAGTACCATCAGTTAACTTGTGCTGTACTATCCACTAACACGAATCCATACAAAATCGCCGACAGAATCGTGAAAGGTGATCCGTCTGACATTACTAAACTCCGGAAATTGCGCCAATCAAATAGCCAGCCAATGGTAATAATAATAGCAGTAGAGATTGCGCCAACTGTAACATTATCGTACCAGCATCGCCATAGATTCGATTTGCCGCTGCTGTGAGGAACCATGTCTGAAATCGACTTTACCAAATTCTCCAACGTTGTAGGCGGTCTCCCGCGCACTTCTACCAGGTTCTACTCTGGTACGAATGCAGCAACGGGCGAATCTCTCTGGGATGCTCCCATTGCAACAGAGCAAGACGTTGATGATGCGGTTGCCGCCGCACGTAAAGCTTTTGGTCCTTGGGCTGCAAAGACATACAAACAGCGTACTGAGCTACTCGAACAATTTACAGACTTGTATTTGGCACATGCAAATCAATTTATTGAGCTTTTGAGAGCAGAAACCGGAAGAGGAGTATGGATGAATATCGTCTAAATAAAAAAATCAAGAAAGACCCAAAGCTCATGACGCGTATAGGCTCAGGTGACGGCCATCGAGGTCCATTGGGCGGCCAACTGGCTGAAATATCCATGTTCGTGGACGAGGGTTGGTAATGTTTAAAATCAACTTGAACTGACTCGCGCATAGCAAAGTACGAGATTCCCGAGAAGAGACAGGAAGACGACGAGAAAGTCTCAGTCACCAGTTATGAGCCTCTTGGCGTGGTGGCAGCTATCTGTCCATGGAACTGTGCGTCTATCCAATCTTCAGCTGTTGTTGTCAGTTGCTAACCAGTTAACAATTCTTTTCTTCCAGTTCCTTTGATGCTTGGTATGTCGACGTCCTTACCTCTACCCTCATCTCTTCTCCTCCTAATTTAGACAGCAATCGGCAAGATCGCTCCAGCTCTAGCCACAGGAAACTGCGTAATCGTGAAGCCTTCGTAGGTTCCTTTCCGTACCGTACCCATATTAACGTAGCCTTTTTTAATCAAAATAATGAATAGGCCTTTTACTCCGTATACAGCGCTGAAACTAGTTGAACTGGCCCAGCAAGTGTTTCCTCCCGGCGTCGTTCAGGTTCTCGGAGGAGACGATCACCTAGGCCCGCAGCTCGTCCGCCATGCGGGAATCCAGAAAATATCATTCACTGGTTCGACCGTCGCTGGAAAGAAGATTATGGAAGCTTGTGCGGGTACAGCCAAGCGAGTGACTCTTGAAATGTTTGGACATGGCCCTATCATCCCTTGTTGGAGAAATGAGCGTTACTAAAGTTTAATTATACAGGGCCGGAAACAACGCATCAATTATTCTTCCTGATGTCGACGTTGAAAAAACAGCACCGTTGGTGGCTGCTGGTCTTTGGTTCAACGCTGGCCAAATTTGTCTTGCGAGCCGACGATTATATATCCACGAGTCCATATACAAGGCATTTGTTGATGCCCTTACAAAGGCCACCAACAGCACTGCTGAGGATCTCGTGGCCAACGTTGGTCCTATCCAGAATCAGATGCAACTGAGAAAGCTAAAGGCGCTCTTCCGAGATATGCACGACCGTGGATATCGATTTACAACGGAGAAATCCGGGGTACAGGATGGGCCGGGATTCTTTGCGTTCCCAACCATTGTGGATAATCCTCCAGCAGATTCATCCATTATCAGGGACGAACAATTTGGTATGTGAAGCAATTAATAACTACTTGAACGGTAATTCTAACTAGGCAACAGGCCCCATCGTCCCATGCGTTCCATTTTCAGATATAGAGGAAGCAATTCGCCTTGCCAACGATAGCGAAAGCGGGCTGGCGGCGAGCATCTGGACGAACAAACCGGACGTTGCCGAGAACATTGCAAAGAGGCTTGAAGCAGGAAACATTTTCATCAACGGGCCTCCTAAGCCTGATCCCTTTGTTGCATTTGGAGGATACAAGCAGAGTGGCATCGGCGTGGAGTATGGCCTTGAAGGATTGCTTAGCTATTGCCAGCTGAAGTCGATATACTACTATCGTTGATTCTACAATAGATTATAGCTATATAATCAGCCATATAATTCTATAGGAACGCAGTTTGGCACTAAAAATACGGATTTACATGAAATTAGTATTTACCTGTACAATTCATGCTTTCTGGCCAATAATTTATTCCACGCCACAGAGCTCCCAAGCATGTGTCCTATTCACCAAAGCTGATGCTGGTTTCCCATAATCGACACTGAGCATGCAATGGCAATGAGCACACCACCATATCTGCAACCACTCAAATACCCTGCCAGTAAGTGGGCAGATACGAGGTATTACTTGATCCTTTGCTTATGGACTACTGAGCCCTCATGGGTTAATTGAGACGGGAAGAAGAGACTAGTCAATGATATCCTTGTATGGTAGAGACGACTAATCTGGCTACGGAACGGATGATCGATGTGAAAACAGAGCGTCGGCGATTTTCCATGATAGGAAATGGCACGATAGGCCTGCCCACTTTTCAGACGCATCAGGATACACTGACGGCGTCTAACCAACTAGTTCGAATGTATTTAGCTTTAAATAATATGTTTGCCACAGAACAAAGTAGAGAAGAGTTGTGTAGCACTCGGAGTCACATGATTAAAGAATGGATGCCATAGACTGGTCTTCCATACAGGACAGCCTCACACCTACCAGGGTGGCCCTGGCTGGTCTGTTTGCTGTCTTCGTCGTCCCTCGTATTTTGGGTGTAAGTTGGAGTAAAACAATATGATTAATTCTAAAAGTGTTTGTCGCGCTAATTCCTTAGTTTCTGAAAGCACTCTTCTCGCCTATTCAACGAGTTCCTGGGCCATTCTTGAACAAGATTACATCATGGCCGTTTACCATTTCTGTTTTGAATGGTGCAAGGTAATTGGAATTGTTCTCAAATAACTGTGAATAATTTCTGACCCTGTTGATAGCCACCACTTTACGGATGATCTTCACAAGCGATATGGACCCATTGTCGCTTTGGCACCCGACATGATTTCTGTCTCGGATGATGCCGAGGTCAAGAAGATTATCCAAACCCAGGACTGGCATAAATCAGAGGCCGTGTATGGCAATTTTAGACAAGATCCTAAGCGGCCAACTCTGATTGCCTTTACTGATAAATCGTCATATGGAGTGCGAAAGCGCATGATCTCGTCAATGTTTGGCATTCGCTACATTCGAAGCATGCAGCCGCTCATGTTAGACTGTATCAACGTGGCTGTCAAAAAGCTGGAGGATCAATGTTCACAAAAGCCGGTGGAGATTGACATGCAAAATCTCATCCAGAGCTTGGCTGTCGATATCATTGGCATAACCACTTTTGGCCAGAGTTTCAACGTCGTGCAGAACGGATCTCATCCCCTTCCCGACCAGATCAAGAAGGCATTGAAGCTTGCTGGGTTGCTGATGCTTGTGCCTTGGATTCGGAACATTCCCTTCCTGCCAGATCGTGACCCCTACGTTGATAAGTTTACATCTGACGCTGTTGAGAACCGAAGGGCCATTCTCAAAAACAGCAACAAACAAGATTTGCTTCAGAAGCTCGTGGAAGCAGGTGATGATTCAGAAGGCTCCACCTTTCGCCGATCGGACATTCAGGATGAAGCCATTATCTTGTTGACTGCAGGCAGTGAAACTACGGCCAATGCGGAACTCTTCACTCTCATCATGTTGACCAAGAACAAGGACAAGATGGCCAAGCTCGTCGCCGAGGTGGATCAATGGTATCCTCCCTCTGATCCCAATAAAATCGTCGACTGCGAGTGCAGTTTTCTGGGTATGACGTATCTACAAGCCTGCATTGACGAGACAATGCGCCTTGTGCCTGGTCAAGCGACCGGCAGTCCACGAGAATGCATGAAGGACGAGAAGATTCTAGGATACACAATTCCCAAGGGAACGACCGTATTTCCCTCTACTCAGAATGTTCACATGGATGAAAAGGTGTGGCCAAACGCGGCTGAGTTCCTCCCAGAGCGCTGGCTGGACATTTACGACAGCGGAAAGACTAATGAGGTTGCCTTTTGGCCCTTTTCCGCCGGTAGTCGCGTCTGTATTGGCAAGCACTTTGCGCTACAGGAAATGCACATGACTCTTGTCAGTCTCTTCAGGCGTTTCGAGTTTGAGTATATTCCGCAGCAGGATGAGACCACGGTATTCCGAGTTGCGCAGCAGCTTCAGGCTCACCGATACATGATCAAGGTAAAGCGCCGCAGCTTTTAAGCCGATGCCAGTTGGGCTATTTCGCTGAGTCGTTGGGTTTGATGTGAAAAGGGCATAATTAGCATAATTTCTGTAGCATGAATTTGAAAACTGGTAAACGTTTACGAAGCATCGATAAACTAAATGTGAACGCGGGAAAACGCGTGTCGGTCGGCAATTATCATCTCGGAGTATTACATCTTGACATATTTTTTTCTGAAGCTTAGCGGACGCCCATAATTCCCGTGCTGACTGTATTTTCCGCTCCCACAGACTTACCTATTTTGCGGGATATTCTTCAACGTAGTAAACCGTGGGCCATTTGATAAACACAAAGAAATGGTGGCTTCAATTGATAGCAGTAGTGTCGTTACACGGCGCGAGAGGCGCGCCTTGGGATTCAGATCATTGGGAAACATGTCGATGATGCAAACATTCTTCACTCAACGTCAATACTCCAAAATGGCCGTCTTAACAGAGATACTGCCAAGTGTCCGATGTTGCGTATAGTTTTAGTAAACAGTAATGGGGTCGCATCGGTGATATTGTACCGATTGGTACCTAGGGCGCATCAAAGGGGCGGAGAATATATATACATGGCTTGCATTACATGATATCACAATGAGCCTTCGGTTACCTCATAGATTCACAAAGACTCAAGAATAATGCGTCCGTTTGTCAAGGCCAGCGTTGATTTCTTCTCTGCGGAGAGAAAAGACAACTATGTCCACTCTTTACCTGAGCTGATTGACTTCAACGCTGTTCACAATCCAGATCATACCCTCTGTATCCAAACCCGGTCAACAGAACCATCCATCAATATTAGCAACGCACAGTTCAAAGTAGCTGTCGACCAGTGCGCTCAATGGATTGCAGATAACGTCAAATTGCCGCCTGTTACACCTAAGAATGGCTTGACTGAGAAACACCCGGTTGCCTTACTCATGGAAAGTGACTTTGGCCTCTTGGTGCATCAGTTTGCTCTTGTGTCTATGGGCATTCCCGTTTGTTCTCATCCGTCATAACTTTCATCATACGTAATAAATCCTAACTATTGTAGCCTCTTGTTCTCTCTGCTCGCCTTAGCCCCGAGGCTATTTTCCACCTCTTGAAGAGCACCGAAGCATCGTCTCTCATCGTCTCCCAGAGAATTGCCCAGGCTACAAAGGGAGCATTTGGTAGTGTGAAAGTAATCGATATTCATGTCGGTCAACCATATAGCTCTTTCCTCAATGTAGAGCAAGACAAACTGGTTAAAAGGCAGGCAACTTATCCTGACAACGTTGATGCTAACATTTTGCTCTTGCACTCGTCTGGCACCACGGGCCTGCCCAAGCCAATTGCTCTCACTCACCGACAACTGGTATTCTCAGTTAGTCATGGCGACTTCGATAGCGAAGAGGAGGCTCAGGGAATTGTCATCTCTACGCTTCCGCTATTCCATGGATTCGGTTTACTTGCTCCTGGACTTGCCATGTCGATTGGTAAAACAGTGTGCTTCCCAGCTTCTGACCGGATTCCCGATGCTCAATCAATTGTCGACCTTGTCAACACATCTGGTGCAACTGGCATGATGACGGTGCCTTTTCTTCTCGAAGATATGGCTGGACTTCCAAATGGTGTCGGCCTCAAGGCTTTGGCTAAACTAGACTTTGTTGGAACAGGAGGAAGTGCTCTGAGTGCCGCATTTGGAGCCTCTGCTGCAGCCGCAGGAATCAAGCTTCTGAATTTGTATGGAACGACAGAGACAGGTCCCCTTACCAAGACATTCGCACCCAAAGATGGCTATGATTGGAAGTATTTCAGACTTCGAAAAGACGTCCCCCTGAAGATTACAGAGCTAGAGCCCGTCAACGGCGAAAAGAGATTCAGACTGACAGTGTTCCCATTTGGCGCCGACAAGCCGTTCGAGATTGCCGATCAACTGATTCGAAACGAGGATTTCCCCGAAACCGATTTTGCTGCTGTTGGCAGAGACGACGACGTGGTTGTGCTTGCAACTGGAGAAAAAGTCAATCCTCTACTTCTAGAGACTGCTCTGACTGAATCCGGGTTGGTCAAGTCAGCCATCGCCTTTGGAGAAAACCAATTCGAGATTGGTGTCATTGTAGAGCCGACAACTGCAATTACTGATGACGAAAAGGAAGAGTTTAAGAAGAAGATCTGGCCAATTATTGTCCAGGCCGGAGAGCGAATGGACGCTACCGCGAGAATCTATTCAACCGCCGCCGTCATCGTAGTTTCACCGACAGTTGTGATTCCGAGAACAGACAAAGGGTCGATTGCACGAAAAGAAGTGTTTAAGCTTCTCGAAGCTGAAATTGCTCAGGTGTACAAGGATCTGGAGAACGGCGCGATTGACGAAGCGCCACTTAACTACGCAAACCTTGAACAGGAACTCAAGGAATTGATTCAAAAGCGACTCAAGCTCCGAGTCAAAGCTGACGCCTGGACGATTGACGACAACCTCTTTTACCTGGGCCTTGACTCTCTGCAAGCCACAACACTACGAAGAATTCTGCTTTCAGCAGCTGCAGAAACATCACACGATGTTATTGGAAAGGACTTTATCTATGTAAACCCCTCCGTAAAGGCCATTGCAAACGCACTTCGACAAAACAACTCTTCAAGTACAAGTGGTGGGTCCTTGGCAAAAGAAGTGGAAAGCTATGCTCAACAGTACTCAGTTAAGGGCATCAATGTCACAGAAGCAGGCAACCCGGGTCCCAAGCTTGTTCAAGGAGCAGTTGTTCTTTTGACAGGCAGCTCTGGTAGTTTGGGATCTCATGCTTTAGCACAGCTCGCAAGGTCGCCTGATGTTGCAAAAGTTGTCTGTTTATTCAGGAAACGTCCGGGCACCGTCATCAGCCCTATTCCTGGAGCTGTCAAGGTTGACAGGTCTGCTCTTGCATCCAAGGGCATTGAGTTGACAGACGAAGAGTGGACAAAGGTTACGGCCTTGGAAGTCGACCCCAGTGCGGACAACTTGGGGCTTCCGCCAATGGTTTACGGCATGGTGTCAAAAACTGTCACACATGTGTTGCACGCAGCATGGCCAATGAACTTTCACATGCATCTCCCGTCCTTTGCTTACCAGTTTTCCTTCTTGAAGAATCTCTTGCAGCTGGCTGTTGAAGCGCCGCAAAAGGTCCGATTCCAGTTCATCTCGTCGATTTCTGCCCTTGCGAAACTGGGGTTGGTCAACCCAGGACAAAGCATTCCGGAGACTCCCCTAGATGTGGAAAGTGCTGCATGTGGAATCGGCTATGCCGATGCTAAACTGGCCTGCGAAAAGATCCTGGAGGAGGCAGCGTCGCTATACAGCAGCACACTAGAGGTCTCAATTGTCCGATGTGGGCAGTTGACTGGGTCTAGGAAAACGGGAGCGTGGAATGTCATCGAGCAGATCCCAATGCTTATCCGCACTTCCCAGGGCTTGGGTATTCTGCCGATAATTGAAGGAGTAAGTGCTCAAACCCCTTTTCATCTTGGAGCGTGCCCATGAATAAGCGCTAACTTGACTATCGCAGACCGTTTCGTGGATCCCAGTAGACGATGCTGCGGCGGCGGTGACTGAAATCCTGCTAATCCAGGAGGCTCCCGAATTAGTTGCCCACGTGGAGAACCCGGTGAGACAGCCATGGAAGCAAGTTTTGGACGTCATCGGAACTGAGCTGGGAATCACACAGTCAATCCCGTTTGATGATTGGCTTGAGAAAGTGGCCGCTACGGATGACAAGGATGCCGATGTCTATCCCGTGAAGAAGCTCTACGAGTTCTTCAAGCTTTACTTCCGCATTGCCTCTTCCGGCGCGGTCATCATGGGGACAGATGTTAGCCGCAAGAGCTCAGCCACGCTCCGCACACTCACGGCTCTAGACAAGGATGTCATTGCTGGATATGTCAAGTACTGGAAAACCGCAGGCTATCTAAACTAGTGGTGGCGTTGTGCGAATAACTACTGGGTAGCATAGCATTTGCTCGTAGGATTAATCCGAATGCGCTTCCTTGAGCAAGGGTCCCCGTAAGTCACCAATAGCACAACTGGAAACAGAAAATCGGCGAATATGTTCAAAACGGATAACACGGAACATGCATCATGTTGTTTGGCTGTGCTGGCAGGGTTGCTTCAGCCTCATTGCCGCATTGCCGCATAATTACCAATCTCGCTACTTGTCTTGGAAGTAGTATAGAGTTGAGATGGTTACATCTGTGCGACGTTCTTTTTAGCTTTATTACCCATAACGATCCATCGAACCCAATGAGGCAGCTGTCTATATCAAATTGTATACCACGGTTACTGTACCTGCAGGGTTGCACAATTCGTCACATGTAGTTTTGCTACGTTGTTTGTATTTTAATCTGTTATGCAAATGACTACATCTACATATTTACATCGCTTTAATGAATAATAAACACACATATCATCGCATTGTTCTTTGTGGTAGTTAACAGTAGTTACTAATGTTGTGTGTTATTAGTGTTGTTCTCTTTAATTCAGCGAAAAATACATTCACAAGCCCTAGCTATGTAATATGGGGGTGCACCATGTCGACGATCATTGCTACCATCGGGTTGCCTGTAAAAGCTATGCTGAGAAAAATTTGAAATGTGATAAACTAATTACTAAATTAAAGATATTACTTCATGTAGAGCTGATACCAAGTATGTCAAACAAAAACCTGTATCCTGGAGCGACCCAATCTTCCCATTTCGCCATTCCAGGAGTTAGTGCCAGATCGTAAATGTGTCTTTGTCCCGGAACTGGAATGAATCCATTCTTGACGCCCTGTTTGTTGAGAGCGTTCACAAAGTTCACTGAGGTGTGGAATGGAACGATTTCATCTTCATCGCCAATGATGACAAATGTTGGCGTACGATAGTTGCCCTTTTGTACCTGAGCCAAAGGGCTAATGGCAGCAACGCGCTCTGGCTCAGGAGCTTTCAAAGTGTCGCCATCAGCTGGAATTCCATCCAACAATAGAGCCATACCGTTCTTTTCTTTGACAAGAGCTAGGACAAGCTCGGAACGGGGATCTCCAGGCTTAACCCAACCCAAGCCAGAGGTATCAGTGCTGCTGAAAGCATGACTTGTAACCTGTGCATATATGAGCATCTTCAACGCAGTGAATTTGAGCAGATTACAAGAACGCATACCGTCTGTGGTCCTAGAGACTCTCGAATCTCGTTCATAGGCATTGTACGGGGCTGATATTCTTTGCCCATTCTCAACGACTCGTCTATGCTCATGTTAACTTTGCGCGGAAACAGTATTGATGATACTATAGGAAAATACCTGATGGATCGTAGTGTGTTGGGCAATAGAATGCCAAGATAGCCAATGGAGGAGGCAGTCCAGCTGCCGGTGTTGTCCAAGCAGTGGTCATTGCTAAATGGCCTCCAGTAGACCAGCCAATAATGACAATCCTTGAAGGATCGACTTTGATGCCTTTCTCCTGCATCAATTCGGGAACGTCTTTTCTTGCCCATGCGTACGCATCCCGAACATCTGTCATCGCACCATCAATTACATTAACCTGGGGACACAGCCTGTAATCCAGACTTATGGGCAGGATCCCATTTGCCAGCAAGAATGACGTCTGTGGGGGTCGTACGGCTTTTCTCGAAAGCGTCAAGTGGCCACCACCGTGAATCATTAATGCTATTACATGGCCAGGTTAGCGACTCATCGATGGTGAAGGCTGGCAGTTGATGTACCTATAGGCATAATCTCTGAGGGTGGTTCCAATGGTATGAAGATGTCCGCGGGAATTTGAATGCCGTCGATCTCCTTATACATTACGGTTTCTACTCGGTGCCGGGTGTACTGTCGAGGTTTCAACTGGCTGTCTAGATGTCCATTTGTGATACCGGTTGTATTACCATTAGAGTTCCCGTTGGCATATCCATTAACATGTCCGTTAATGGATTCATTGGCGTGCCCACTAGGAAGGCCATTTGTCAAGACTTTTTCGTTTGTGGGCTTTGATAGTTCATCTGCCGTCATGCTGTGTGAGTTTGTCTTCGCGCTTGACTCTTCCTCATTCGATGGAAAATGTTTCCGCAGTTCAGTGACCTGAATTGTTAGGATATCGCTCGCAGAAACCTCAATATTAAACTTGACCCTCAACTCATCGGCTAGTTCTACGGCTGACAGAGAGTCTAGGCCCAAGCTACCGAAGCTTTCATCTTCGCGAATATCAGACGCCGACAGTCCAATGTAACTGGCTATTAAAACCTTGACATCCTCAAAACTATGCCCTAGGCCTTGAGGTTCCTTTAGAGACGACTGAACTTGCTGATTCGACGTTTGCGCCTTGGCTAGCTCATCCTTTGCGATGACGGAAACTCCATTAGGCACAACTATGTGCTCGGGTGTGCGAGCTTTGGTTGCGTTCAATCGCGGACTGCTGCCGTCGAGAAGTCCTTCCAGTATGCTAGCTTGGATCTTTGTGAAGGAGATTCCAGATCCAAAAACGGCAAGCTTTCCATCTCCTGAAAAGACAAAGACGTCTCCAACCGCCCGTCTATCTCCATCCATACCAAACATGGCATAGACACTCCAGCGTCGTTGGCTCTTGAAATCACAAGGAAGAATTGTCATGTTTTCGATGCTAGTTGCAACAAAGATTTCGTCACCAATAGTCTTTCCACTCGTGTTGATCAGTAAGCCGAGAACCTGAATAAACGTATCCAGCGATATCGCGTCCATAAAGCGGTCGACTGTGCTCTCATGACTGTTGAATATCTCTTCAGGAACCTCGATTTCAGCTACAGCTTGGCCGGAAGACAGCGTAATGGACGTAATGCCCCTCAGTAGCTCGGCATATTCGACTACCCTTGAGAACAAGGTGTACGCAGTTCTTTTCATGAGATGCTCTGCCTTGCGATCTTTGAGCAAGCCATCCATCCGTTCCAGGATTAACGCTTCATAGATTCGAAAATCCGGCATCTTTGGTGAAGCTTCAAACTCTCCATCTGCGTGCTTCGTCTTTTTCGCGTTTGCGTCTCCTTTCCTGAAACTCTGGACTAAAAACCGCCAAGATGTAGCACCTGAGGGCTCCGCCAATGTTACCCGCACATCAATCTTATCATCGCATCCTAAACCACTGTGGAAACCAATTTTGCGAAACCGGATTGCCTGTTCGTCAAAATCAAACCCTCTTTGTTGGGCACACATGACGGCAGCTTCCATGTACATCGATGCCGGACACAGAGGCCGCTGACGAACAGCGTGGCCTGTGACCATGTTTTTGTATTTTTCACTTTGTGTGTAGAGTCCAAACTCATGGTCTCTTCCTGTAGTGCTGAGGAAGTTGACCAATTGGATCAGCTGATATGAACTCTTGCTGTCGGAAACCTGAGTGGAAGTCTGTAACCGTTGAACTTCGATTGCCCGATCGACATGATTTAACCAATGGCGAACACCTTGAAACGTTAATGGTGGTAGCCAAATATGATCGAGTTTCGATTTTTCTGGAGACAGGAATCCCCACCAGGACGTCGAAAACCCTTGTTTCCAAAGACTCGCCGAAACATTGGTGATCGCCACAGACGAACCACTTAACGACTGGAAGCTATGCGTCTCGGGCTTTGCAAGTGCCTTCTTTGTCATGGAGATGATGGGTGTATGCCATCCTGCTTCCAGCCAGACGCAAGGCCCAAACCGGTTCTCTAGGCGCTGTGCTGCATGAGTAAAATAGACGGCGTGCCGCGAGTGTTTTGTAATGTAATTAGGCGTTATGCTGTCAACTGGATTTTCTGTGCATGTCTCAAGAGGAATGCGAGGCTTATTGAATGTCAATGTCTTTGCATACTCCATCAGGTCTGGGAGCAATGGCTCCGTCAACCTTGAGTGAAAGCCATGACTGACATCAAGACGCTGGTATCGAGTACCGAGAAATTGAGGATCGCTGTCGATCAGTTTTTCAACCCTAGTAACAGATGATCGCTTTCCGACGACAATATGAGCGCTGGAGCTATTGTAGCAGGCGATCTCGAGGCCATCCTCGATAGTTCCCGTTTCTGACTTTGCAATTATGCGCTGTACAGTGTCCAAGTCCGAATAAATCGCCAGCATTGTTCCCGTCTCTGGGCCCCAGTTGCTCTCTATTAAAGCCGCCCGCCTTGCAACTAGACCCAGTGCATCTTCGAGAGAAAGGACGCCAGATACGGCCAATGCTGTTAATTCACCAAGGCTGTGGCCAATGACTGCATCCACCTGTAATCCGCCATCTAGCCAACACATGGCACAAGCATATTGCACCGCAAATGTGCCTGTATGCAGCGCGACTATATCTGTGACGGCTTCTAGCTGAGAGAGGGACGACATTATGTCTGAGTAACCCAACTTGCGGAGGATGGAGTTGCAGTTCTCCAAGTGCGATCGAAACTTGGGATACGCATTGCATAGACTTGCATCAAGACCTATTTTCGTCTTTGATTGACCTGAAAATGCCAAGACAACAGACTTTTTCGTTTTAGGCACTTCGACACTGTCATTCCCTACCCCTGATTTCAGTTGCCGCGCCAGGTCGGAGAGTGTCTGTGCAGTTGTTGACCACCGAACCCGATGATGTTTCCGGCGTTGACTGAGAGTAAATGACACGCTGCTAATGTCTAGTTCTTTCCCTGAACCCTGAATGTATGAGGCTAATCGATTGGCGTAAGTTTTTAGACTATCTTGAGTGTTCGCGCTTAAGAATATTGGGTAAGTTGACGAGTTCGGACTCGGCAACTCGCTCTTCGAGACCCATTCCGCACAGAGAAGAGCAGCATTGCTTCCTGAAGCTCCATAACTATTCACACAAGCAATGCGAGTTTTTGCCTCCCAAGGAACCAGTTGGGTTGCAATCTTCAAATTGTCAGGTGCAAGTGCTGGGATTTTGGGGTTCAGGGTTCTAAACCCCGCCTGTGGAGGGATTCCTTTATGAGCAAACATTGCAAGAACCTTGAGCAGACTGGCAACTCCAGCAGCGGTTTCACTATGTCCAACATTGGCTTTGAGAGAGCCGATGTGCAGGATAGACTGTCGTGAAGGGCCCCCGAAAACTTGGCGGATGCTGGCAACCTCGATGGGATCACCCACTTGAGTTCCAGTTCCGTGAGACTCTACATATGTAACCTGTTCTGGTTCGATGCCCGAGGCCTTGACAATCTGACGATATAGAGCCTTTTGAGCTTCTCCATGGGGCACTGTAATGCCGTTGGACAACCCGCCCTGGTTTGTAGCTGTTGCAGGGATGACGCCAAGAATATTATCTCCATCGGCAACTGCCTGCTTGAGCGGCTTAAGCAAAACAAGGCCAACACCGTCAGCTCGACAATAGCCGTCTGCTGTTTCGTCAAAGGGTTTGCACTGGCCGGATTTGCTGAGGAAACCCGCTCTACCCAGATCAATATAGTTGTGGATGCCGGTAATAATATTAACTCCACCAGCGAGAGCCATGGTACAATCACCGGCCTGGATAGCTCGGCATGCATGATGAACGGCAACTAATGATGCTGAACAGGCTGTGTCGATAACTTCGGATGGACCCGTCCAGCCAAAATGATAGCTAATCTTGCCGGAAAGAAATGCACGAATGGTTCCAGTTGCGGCGAATGCTGAGGGAGCGTATGCATTGGTATTTTCATTATACTCAGTATAACTTGCGCCAATAAAGCAACCAATCGGGTCACCATTTTCTCGTCGATGATCATGAAGATATCCACTAGCATCCAGTGCCTCGTAAGCACATGTTAACAAGAGTCGCTGTTGAGGATCCATATATGCGGCTTCTTTTTGGCTTATACCAAAAAAGCCGTGATCAAACTCATCCGCACCGTCGACGAAATTCCCAAACCATTTTCGCTTTGTTGTCCAATCTTTATCTTGCGATGCCCGAAATGACTCTTCAAGTTTCACTCGGTCTTCGCGTAGACTTTCGAGCCGAGACTCGCCTCGGGAGATGAGTTCCCAGAGCTCCTCTAATGTATTTGCCCCCGGTAAGCGACAGGCGGCGCCTACTACGGCGATTGAGCTAGAAGGGAAAAGATCCGGCGTTGATAGACCAGACCCATTGGTCAGTCTTTTTGGATCATGCGTAAGGCTCATTACATCCAGCTTAGTGATATCGAGCATATTCTTATGGAACGGCGGAAGAGGGATACAATCTCCAAGGCCAATCATGGCTATTCGGTGTGACTGTTTCCCAGTCTGTCGAAGATCTTGTGCAAGGTTATTCATGACAACATCCCAATTGCAGCTTGATGTTAGAATGGTGTTGATGATTTCTGCTGTGAGGGAACAGTTTGAGAGAACCCGGCCAGTCCGATTAGATCGTACGGGAACTTGTAAAGAGTCGCTATCAGGTAGCTGAAAGTTCGAGTTGTGCTGACACAAATTCAGCAACTCATCTGCGAGAATGGTGTTCTTTGGATTGTGTATATTGCTTCGCATGTGAACCATTTTGAATGAGAGCCCCATTTTTTCGATATATGCCTGTATGGCAGTAATTTGCGACGCCGGAGCAATGAGGCTTATCGTCTTGGGGTCGGATATGGCAGAAACGTAAGACTAAGTTGAGTAGTTTGGTCAGTATACAGAAGCAGTTATCAGAGTGTGCCGTTAAGACAATCGTACCTCTGGAAACTCGCGTGTGATTTGTTCAACCTCAGAGCCAGTCCTCAATCGCACAACCATAGTTGTGGAAGTCGTCGTGGTTGATTCAGCACCAAAGTCGCCGAATGCCCCAATGGCAAGGGATATTCTTATGGCCCTGGCGGCATTTTCAATGAGTTCCGTTTCGTCTTTGGACGACGCAACAACCATGGCCATTATAAGTCCGGCACAGAATCCTTGAACGCCACTTTTACGTAGGCTTTGTAGAAAGTCTGAATGTGGGATACTGGAGAGGCGTAGATATTGGACATATTGTACGGTATGGATGACTGTCAGAAGAGGTAATGTCACAATCCCTGACATGCTGCTTTCCAGCCCTGAGGTCTCTCCTGTTTCAATCCATGTCGAAAAATGTCGTGCATTAGTTAGGCCATGCTTTAGAGAATCGATCTTGGGCTGCTGGATGGCAAGATCGTGCCATGTTGTGGGAAGAGCCGAAAGTGCTTGGCAAAGGGGTATATAGAGGGCCGATCCCTGAAGTGTCGTGCGAATGTAGTCAAGATATGACTTTTGGGGAGCACGGCTTTGGGGAGAGAAAACCACCCCCGATACAAATACACTAGCTGAGTCCATTTCTTCGATGTTGCCGAGTTGAATGATTAGAGCGTTTCGTTGAGAATCTAGATACGGCTTCAACACATCACCGCTTCCAAGGAGCATCGCTCATGGACAGGCGATCATTCAAGATGTTGTACAATATATAAAACAGTAACAAAACACTTGCAGATTATTTCGCGTCTCATATCAACGGATAGATACGGCGATCCCGGCCTTGCACGCGTATCAAGTCACAGGCAAAACCAACTATTCCTAACTCCCCCAAAAACCACCATTTCTGGCGAAAATCAAATCGTGATGTCGTTAGCACGGATTTGCTCAACATAGACAAGCGTAGTGGATAAATGTCAGATTCTACTGGATTCGGAAATGGGTGCGACAAATAATTACTGTCGGCGTCTCAGTGTCGGCCTGTTTTCCCGTTCTCTTATTCCGTCTCATAAATTCCGGTACCGCGCCGAACAAAAACGTGCTAGAACCGGGATATATGGGCGGGTGTACACATATAAAATGTGCCTTGGCGTCGGTAATTTAATGTAGAATAGATAGTCACTTGCTAACGGCCCTCAGCTGAAAACTCGACACATGGTAATGTTACCTTCTTCTATATTATATAACCCGAAGCGGGCCAAGGGAAGAGAACTGTTTTCGATGTTCTGCACGAGCACGGCCGCTTTGAGTCTCGTGAGTGTTGTCTAGGTATATCTACCGGACATTCAGAACGGTAATTATGATTATATTTTACTCCTCTAGATTCTACAAGTTTCTAGTTGCCTTGTATTATTATATGTAGATTTGATAGTAAAGTCCGTCGGCACAACTTGTGGCATGATTGGCCGAATCTCTTGGTTGAGGTTTGTCTAAACAAGAATTGCCGTTATCGCCAAGTAAACACACATACTATGCCTGCAGTTTCCCAATCCGCCACATGTAGGTAGTGATTTGTTATGTCAACCAGCGGTTGCGCCATACACGTTTCCATCGCATCTTGTACCCGGCCCAACCCCACTGGAAGAGACAGGGGCGCTCAATCGAATAATGGGCCCTGCAAATGCGCGCTGAATCCTTCAGCCTTTAGCGCTGACGATAGTCGTCGTTGGTTTAGTCTCCAATAGACATGTTATCCTCGTATTGTTACAACGAAAAAAGTAAAATAAAAGAAGAAGGGGTAAGCAGATCACCAGGCCCATATAATAAAGTGTGCTGGTAACGAGACACACTGGGGCGTGGGAAAACAAGTACCGGTACCATCTTTCTGTACAACTACGGGATAAAATTGTGTAAATGCCAGGTTAATATGAAGCACATTGAGCATTCTAGGATTCAATTGCAAAGGTAGGGTGTATAATTGAAACACCATATGCTAGGTATTCTTGGTCTACCCTCGCTCATTGGCCCATCATTTGTTTGCTGTTTGTTTTTTAATTAATATTCTTAAGGCTGATCTTTGTTTAAATTTCCTGTCCATTAAAACACAAAAAAATAGTAGCAACGTGTTTTCTCAGTGGGGGTTAGCAAGTGCATTTCTCGTATACATCGTATTAATGCCCACCTTTCTTTCATCGGCGCGTATACTTGTACTGATGAACGTGCGAGAGATCCCTGTTCAAGCATCTTTGCACACAACCCCGGATGCCACTCGCGCATATTTTCTCTAATGGCCATTTCTGCTGTATGAAATGTCGGCCAATGTGCATGTATGCAAGGTAGTCAGTCGTCTTACATACATGTATCTTACGCGTATATATTGCATTATCCCGCTTGTCCCTGGCCGTGTCAGCACTCGTGCAAAAGCGACTAGCATAATCTACATTCATAGATCTGCTTTATTTGTGCTGGTGTGATCAACATGGCCTGTTAGGCTGCGCAAGGGATTCCGAACCCTGAGCAGCTGTCAGATTCCAGTATCGTTCGACAGCTCCATTGTTATTGGTGTATAAACCACAGGCAAAAGGGCAGATCAGATCAGGCGAAAGAGGCCAGTGCCAAGCCTGCCGAGATTTTATAATGCTGGCTATGCTTGCCGCGGTACCGTCTACTTGTATGGAAACACACCTGTACAGGAAGTACCGAAAACTGGAACAACTAGGTAGGTTACCCGCCCGTCAGCCAGAAACTACCTATATGTGCCTAGCTATTAGCTAATTACCAAGGAGCCCTTAGGATGATCCTGGACGTACACAGACACTCTCTCCTACCATAAATACGAAGTGCGGCAACAACGTAGCATATTGAGCAAAAAGAGGAGACCTCTGCCGTCATCTAGTTACAATTCCATTTCTACCTCCCTATATCAGGCATATCACATCATTATCTCTGTCCGTTATCAGTCATGTTGCTCTTCGGCGGTCCTCAACTACTACGACTGTCTTGTGACAGATGCCATAAACGAAAACAGCGGTGCACTCGCACCACAGCCAACGACGAAAACCCCTGTCGACGTTGTAAGGAAGCTGGTGAAAAGTGTGTTTTCAGTCCTCCTCTGAGACTTGGCCGGCCCAGCAAACGACAGAAACAAGAAGGCAAACAAGAAGAGGCCAGATACAGAGGCCAGGAGAGCAGTTTCTTGGCCATTTCGAACCAAGAAATGTCCACAACAATTACTACGACGACGACTACTACAACAACACAAGATGAGACCAGCTCAATATTGGAAACTTCCTCTAGCTTTTCCGTAGACAGCGTTGGAGAAATCGCAAGGTCGCCTTCAGCCGACCATCACGAGTTGGCCTGCTCGACAACGCCAATGAACCACAATGTCGCTCCAACGGCCTTTGAAGTTTGGCCAATGGCTCTTGAGCATTACCCCGACCCAACAATGTCGGTCACGACGCCTGGATTGTTCTGCGGATCAACTACACACTACCACGACGAGGCATGGTCAGACCTATTAGACGAAAAGGCGCATTCAGAGCCTCCAACCTCTTCCCACGTGGAGCCATTGGATCCATTATTGATGGTCATTACGGAAGCTTCAGCCAGCGATTCTGCAATAGGATCAATGGATCACTCTCTCTCAGAAACAACAGAGCCAGCAATCATGGACCCGATATCACTTCTTTCACAAATCCAGCTCAAACTCCACGGGATTCAAACGCGGAGACCGCCGCAGACGGCAGAATTGCAGGTCATTATGAACCAAACAGTTCAAATAGCCCAGAAATTCATCGAGGTCTTGAACCAGATCTTACCACCGCGTACAGCCGAATCCAGCCCGGCATCCACTCATCAGCGTCAGCACACACCTCATGCGGCGCCCGTTAGTGACACGTCAATATCATCCAATGAAGACTCAAACTTTCATCTTGAATGGACTGGCGGTAAGCAACCGAGAAGGCAACAACAATACACATCAACAGGAACCGTTGATACGGTGGAGATCCGGCTGGCACTTATCTGCTACATACAAATACTCCGTAGCTACAAGAACCTAGTCCACATGCTGGTCAACTCAGTCGCAATGACTGAGGCACAACAGCAAGATGACTTGTCGGATTTTGTGCCTGTCCAGATTGGCTCATTACACACAGTGGTCAGCCCTCGTCTGCAAATTGCGCTACTGGTGCAGTTAATCTCGCAGCACACAGAGGAGATCCGGCACAAGACTCGCCAGTTGGCGAGAATTAACGAGGCACGGCCCAACATGGATCCAAGCCACCCGGGGGCTTTTATCAGTAACATGATCGGCAAGGATATCCGTGGTGAGGAGGAGGATTTGCGGGATGGGCTGGATTTGATTTCAGAGAGACTCAAAATTTGTTCACAATTTCGAGATCACCGAAGTTTGGATCGATAGAAATATAATTTACGACTACCTAATTTACCAAGCACCTTTTGAATTTTACACACATTTGTTTTGTATAAATACCATTGATTGTATACCAAAAAAAGAAACAGGACAGCTCTACGAGATGACAGAGCTAGATAGATAGCTAGGCTGGGCAGCTGCCGTTGAAGAAGCCAACATCAACATAATAGATGAGCACATATTGATACACAAAGGAGACCCAAAAGGCACACCAGAGATAACCAGCCGCGTATGTTAGAACTGGTTTCAAGTTGGGTTAGTTGAGGGAATAGTTTTGGTGGGGAAAGGGGGGGAAGAGTGCTTACAACTCGGTTTCAACCCCACTTTCTGACCTAGAGATTTGAGTCCATCTTCAACTGTGATTATCATTGCGTACACAACCATCTGCCCCGGCATGGCCCATGACCAGGCGGGAGAGGGGACAAACAAAGTAGCCACGTAATGCTGGATGCCAGACGCGAGGAACGCAACATGGAGTTTAGTGTACTTCCTGAGCCAGGTGCCTTTCTTTGCACCAATGCTGTTGGCGACAATATCACCAGTGGTGTTAAAATACCATTTGAAGGTCTGATGCCAAGCTTTGCCCCAGAAGTTCCTGACTGTGTAACATTCAGCCAAGCTACCAAAGCTTGGAGGACAGTTTTCAGGCGGCGAGAGACAAGCTGCCACGGCGATGATGGCGATAATGCGGTTGGCGTTGGCCAGAAATAACCAACCCAATCCCATTTGGATGATGCAGATCCATAGGCGCTGTATCAATGAGAGGGCGGTAAAGGCCTCAACAGTGTTACTGGAGGGATAGTAGCGGCAGAACACATAGTCAATGACTACTTTCTGCGCAGCAAAATTTGCGACGGCGGCTCCGGTCTGGATGGCAAGCCATCGGCTGAGATGATGAAACGATATGATTAATTAAAGCCCTGCCAAGACCCGGAAAGATTTGTTGAACTTACCCGCGAGAGGCAATCTGGCTCGCTGGCCGGGGGATATTGGACACTTCCCAGTTCCATCCCACGCCACGCCAGGAGAACCACAAGTCTGCACTCCACTTGAGCTTCTTCCACAAGCCAAATTTAAGAGGCGACTCTTTGTCGTCTGTCCGAGGAAAGAAGCTGATCTCTGCCGTGTCTAGGACAACCATGTAAACCCACCTGACGGTCACCGCAAAGCCAAACATGGGACTAAAGAGAAACGAAGGTTGAGCGACCCAGTGCGTCAGAGCATATGACCAGATTGTGGTGAAGACCCCCAGTCCTAATGCAACTCGTGCAGGGCCGGGCTGGGGGATCTGCAGGAAGACGGCAATGGCGAGAAAAGCAGGAATCCAGAAGAGTTCAACCAGAAGCGGAATAGGCGTCTTGCTAGTTGCGACTCGCGCCGCGAGATGGTCTAGAATGCTACTATTGATTTCCATTTTTTTCTCTCCAATTGCTGTTTATTCGAGACGGATAGGAGGAGGAGAATTTCCAATTCGCCGTAGCGTATGAAGTGAAAGGAGGACAAAAGCCACGCAGAGACATAGTCAGCCTCAAGTACTATATAGACGGAACCAATGTAGCTAGATTGCTTGTGTGCACAGGTACGTAATCAATATGCTTGTCCAATCTAATAATATTACTCCGCACATGTAGAATAAAAGGGAAATATTAGCTGAGATGCATTGTTTCGCCCTACACCGCAGAAAAGCCCCGATTCTAACGAGCGACCCGGGGATTAGCGATGCTTATACCTGGTGGCTAGACTCTGCATGCTATTTTCGTTTACGTTGCCACTACGAATGACACGATAGCCAGCTATGCCAAATGAAACGATGAGAGGATTTCCACTAAATACGGAGGACCATCCGGCCAAATTGGCCAAACCTTGCGTACGTGTACTAAGGGCCACTTGCAGGGATATTGAACAAGGATATTTTGCACAGACAGTAACTCCCGGCTAGTATAGAACTTACCCTACAAAATACGCACCATGCTATGAGCTGAATAAGAAATTAAATAAACGCATACAAATGGGGGAATAATCAGAATGGTTATTTGGAAAGTAAATTATACGATACCGTTTGTTTGGGGGGGTGAAAAAGTTGGTTCTGTACATGTATTAGAGATGTATAATAAAATCGGGGGGATATTTTAGTTGGTGCCAAGCGCTACGTGTATGACACGTATCTACCCCTGTTAGTTACTGGTGGGATAATGTCAGTCTGTATAAACAACACCATACGATGCCACTTGAATAACATGATACGATGCCTCGACAAGTAAGCTGATTAAATGTCACTACCATTTCATGATAGGATACCACTACGAATAGTACGATGGGATAGTAGTATGAATAACATGGAGGGCAGAATCCTGCTGCGGATAATTTTCCGTGAGGAATCCTGCAAGTGGAGAGTGTGAGATTTCCAGAACATTGGCAAAGGTTCCATACATGCAGCCATAGCCAGAAGAAGGTATTCGAAGAGGATGGCGGGAACCAGATAAAGTGGTCAGCATGATCTGCCTTGGGCACAAGCGTCAATGCAACGTCAATGCTTGAAATCACAATGAACAAAGCAATCCAAGTAGTATGCCAAGACTCTGCAACAGTAATCCCTACGCAAATCTCCGAGAGAAGATGGAAGTCAACCGATACAAGATGCAAGGAATGAGGCGCTATGCGCGCGATATGATACAAGGCAAGGAAAGGCGTAAGCATGCGTCCCCTGTACTACCCAACTTGGAAAACTCGCCGATCGACGACCATAACTCTAGCGGCCCCATCACAGTCCCGAGTACAAACACTAGAGGGAGTTCAGCCCTTTTTTCGGGGATTCTGAGTGCTCGTAATTAGCCAACCAGACTTTTCTTCTTCCATAATGGCAGCCAATAGTGTCCTAGTCAACGATGTGCCTATGCAAGGCAAGGGCTTCTATAGTTCGCATTCGGAGCTCCAACATGCAGCCATGCTTGAGACGCTTCCGTTACTCCGGCGAGCCACAGCCGAGATAACGGTTGATCCGAATCAGAGCGGCCGCCTGACAGTGGCCGAATACGGCTCTGCACATGGTAACAACTCGTAAGACCAACCAGCAATGTGCCACGATGGAATGACAGCAAGGACTTTGGAATCTTTTCCTTCTTCCTCACACACACACATACATCTTCTGTCTCTCCATCTCTGTCATTGTTCAACAGTATTAACATTTCGACAGCTTCGAGCCCTGCTCTGCTATTGTGCAGTCTAGCCCTCTTCCTGAGGACAGCCAAGTCTTGCTGGTCTTCAGCGACCGTCCTGAAAATGATTTTGTTGCCTTGTCCTCCAACATTGCAGCCTTCGAGACCAGCCAGGATAACCAGCGGCTCTTCACGGCAATGGTACCCAAGTCGTTTTACCAGCAGATTGCTCCATCGGCTTCCGTCAACATTGGTTTCTCGCTAGCCTGTCTCCATCACCTGGAGCATGTGCCGCCCCTGGCCGCAGGGGAATCCCCTGTTGATGCGTCTCGTATCTCGGTCCTCCGCCAACAATCACACACTGACCTCGAAAGCTTTCTCAATCATCGAGCTGCTGAGATTGTGCCTGGCGGTGCCCTTATCCTGTCGTTCGTGGCTCAGGCCTCTACGGGAGAAGAAAACTATGCCGGGCTGGTGGATGCTTGCCGTCGGGCGCTGATCGAGATGCTCCAGGGCGGGTTAATCCCGACGGCCGCTGCTACGGCTTTTGAGGTGCCCACATATAACCGCACTCTGCAAGATCTGGAGGAACTGAGAACGAATGGAGTGCCCGGAAAGTGGGTAGTCGAGGAGATCTTTGAGAAGCGCGTGGTTCATCCGGCTGGGGCCGAACTGCGGGCGCGGCACCAAAAGAGCAGCGACAACAAGCAGCGTGAGTCAGACAGTGAGTGGTATGCAAAGACAGTGACTGATTGGTTGATGGCGGTTGTGTCGGGTTACTTTCTCAAGGCTTTGCGGGTTGGGCTTGGCGACGCATATACGGAACAAGAAGGAAACACGCTGCTGGATGAGTGGGTGCAGAGAACAAAGAACGAGTTCCTTGCACACCACAAGGATGAGGATGTCAACTGCTGGTTCATCTACATCCACCTGAAGCGGTTGTAAGCGTGCGACTAAACGCAAGGCGAGTAATGTACTTGCTTACGAGTATAGACAAGAAGCACCAAGATAGTTTTACGTATTACATAGTAGTATGTATTACCAAATATATGCAGTAGTGCGAGCACGAGTATCTGTACAACGTGGATCGCAATCCTTTTGTTGGGGCAAGTTAGTGTGACGATCTGAGTGGTACCCTCTCTTCGCCTGATCTCCAGCCAATATCAGAAGATGAAAGCCACCCATCCTTCTGCACCAGACACGTGTCAGGGTGAGAGAGTGTGTGCTTATCCCACATGCATGAGAAGGGCCTCCCAAAGTGGATATTTTTCATCAGATCAGCCGTCACATGTGGTAGTGTTGCATTTTCCCCATAGAATCGTCTACATGTCAGCATCTTGGGGGTCTGATCTTCTAGATTTCTCGGCGAGAGGCTCCGAATACGGATTGACAACTTTACCCGACCCTTGAGTTTCTTAGCGGCGGCAGCCCTCTCATTACTTCGTCTCTATTTGGCATGAACGGTTTGTCAAGGACCCAGCTTGGCTAGCTTTTCTACTTGTATAGTGCTAACGCAACGCTACTTGGGCACCCCCGCATTCCCTTTGCAAAGTGATTGGCATTCTTGATGACAAAAGAATTACTAAAAGCACACATACGGAGTAAAAGAGACGAAGTGGGAAGCCTAAACCTGTGAGAAGATGCTCGACGTTAACCTACGTTGCACCATACAGCTTGTATGCAAGTTGTTCTGGCAACAGAAGGATTTTAGCTGCCAGTCAAATAAGCCTCAATCTGAAACCGGTCCGATCAAGCTACTCGACTTTGACAGGCTGCATATATTGGGATTTTTGCCTGTACCCCATGCTTTCATGCGAGACTATGTAACCTGGCCGTTGCATGCCAAGATACGACTCATGACGTGATAGAACATGGATAAATGGTGATAAGATTGGTGGATTATTGTATTTCTCGTCCCAGATCTTAGCAGGCAGTGCGGGTTTCGAGTGTCCCACATAATCCTTCACTAGGAAGTTCTGCTTAAATTGCCGACTATGCTTGCCGCACTTGGAGAGATAGACAAGGGCCGTGTCATAGCGATCCTGATCCAAGCCAGAAACCGATATCAGCTTACGCAGGTAGTATTCCGTGGTCCGCTATAGATTTAGCGTGCATCTTGCGCCACGTTTCAATCATGGGGGCGTGGTTCCTGATCAGCGCCCAAAATTCGATCGTTAATGCTTACCTCCCCCCCCAACGGGCACAAGCGGAGATCCGCGATGAAGTTGTTCTGCGGTATTGCAACCAGTTGTTTGCATAGTCTCTATTAGGGATGAGAGACGGAGGAGTGCCAGTACTATGACGAAAACGGGATGTCCCGACAACTATTTCGTAAGCTAATCGCGTTACAACTTGACACAGAATATGTTTTCAACACGGCCACAGGATTATACGAGTAGTTGGTATGACTCAATATTAACAGAGAAATTTCATTGTTTTAGATATGCATCCTTTTATATTTCTCAACTCGTTTTATGTATACAAGACGAAGGTACACATGCGCAACTAGTATGCAGTAGGGGTAACTTCACTATTACTAGTCATACATCGAACATACCTGAAGAGAGATGAACAAACGATATGGGAACTATGGAGTACTTCGTACAGATCGAAGAGAGAAAGTGGCTCTGTATTACAATGTCATCGTCTCCCATCTTGGTATAGGGGGCTATGTGGAGATGATGATCTTTCACAGATTGCTGTCCTTGAGTTGATACTATAGATCGTCTCCATGGGTGTACCCAAGATAAATCAATCCAACAAAAAGCCAGAACAGGGCAAATCGCGTCTTCTGATTCGTATAAGCTGCATGCATTAATACTAGCGTGCCCAATGGCTGTGGCACTCACTAGCATGACTCGTGGTTTTCTAATCAGCATCCCCACAACTTGCATATAGCACAGAGATTGTTACCATTGACATCTAGCTTAGCGTTGATCGGCGACTATCAATTTTACAGTTAAGAGCTGTACGAAGAGTGGGACCAAAGGAGCTTGTTGCGCTCCTCCTCCTTTGTGATTCTCGGGGAATTACTGAGAGCATATCTCGGCTAAAAAAAAATACCAACATTAGCAGTAAGGCCTCACCGTAAGGCGCCGAATACGGCCTTTCTATGTTCTTTGCTTTGTCTTGATTGGCTAGTGAATACGATCTTCAGCAGTACTTAAAGATAGTTGACGTTGTAGGCAGGTTTTCACTCTCTGGGAATCAAGATAGCGTCAGGAGAGTCGTACAACATTGGTTATTTCGGCCTTGATAAATATCCCTATAATTACGTAAGAATGATTGCAGATAGAAGTTACTAGATGAGCCCCCAAAAATACGAGTCAAGAAGAATATTGTAGGTTAATGAGAGCTCCAGAGTTATAACAATCGCAGATGAATGATATGCAGCCCTCTGGAGGTATGTGCATTCAAATTGGGAGATGGAGTACATGCTATTTGATCAAGTGCCAAATCGCTCTCATTTGCATAAACAATGTTTATTGGTGTGGCGCTCGATCTATATAGCACGCCGAATAAATCTATCCGACAGTTGTCAGAAAAACCGTTGCAAATCTTCAATACTTCTACAAAACTCTGTCCTATCTATCACTATTAACGCACTAGAGAAGCTCTGATTCAAGGAATCATGTCTCGTAGAATAATATTGCTCTTTGACGATTTGCCACTGTCATGAAGAAAGCGCTCTACAGCAACAAAAGAAAAGCTAGTATTGTCTCTTGGAATGGGTGGGAAGAAAAGTCTGATAAATTATCATGAGTAATGCTGACTTAACATAGCGATAGCATCTATAAGCAGTTTGCATCTCTTCGTTTACAGACGACAATATATCACATCATCCAATGTATTAAAGTACAAGACCACGAGCTCTGAGATATCTCACACGCTGTCTACGATAGAGGGTTTTGCAGAAGACATTATTTCCTCAGAGTACTGCTACAGGATCTGTATCAAGCTATGGCTGAACGTTCACAAAGATCTTTATACCAAGTTCACCAGATTCAACATCGAGACATATTTAATACTATCACCAAATAACATCTCAACTAGAGATTCTTGCCAGACTCGGCACTGAAAATGACAGTGATCACGGTCAAAGAGATGTTAGCCCCAAGCACGCAACTCGGCAATCGCTTCAAGAGCTCATTCGAGTTCAATCCTGAATGAAGGCTCATCACAACAGCGACGATGTCAATGTCACACAATTGTCTGAGTTCTCTTTGTTGCGTACCGGAGAGGCTTCATGTTTCCTCTCCTCTCCGCCAAAGTGGAAATGCATAGCCACCTCAACCATCACACCCTTAGTCAAACCCGAAGACGCATAATTGCTTCTAATAAAATAGGCGATTTAATATCCGTTGATTGAAGCGAGATTGCTTGGCAGCTCTTATATCCAGGCGGAGAAGATATATGCCGTCAGTCGTCGGACTCAAGTTGCTGTGGAAATGCTGATTAACTACATGTAAAACAATTCACTAGGCTCCAAATGGGCAATTTCTGGCGATTCCTCAATTGCTCTTTCGTGAGTGCATTTATGGCAAGCTTATAAAGAATAAAATTGTGCCGTAAGAAGTGGGACTCTCTTCCTGAGGTCACGCCAGAGCATGTCGAAGTAGAGGTTCTGAACCGTGATCTCACCTTGGAGACTCTTCTAGCCATCGCGGCCCCATTTTATGAGACAGGTATAGATATGTAGAGTTACATGCATTCTGCATCATGCTCCGCTTAACGGAAAAGCGTTTCGTCTGGGCCACTGTTGTACCACGTTGTCCAACGAATGCGGAGTCAGTTGCTCTGCCGTCTTTTCTCATGACCTTGCAGTTAAGAGATAATTTAGACTTTGTTTGCAAATAATAGTTCTATGTATTATAATTTGCCATACTTGTAGGCCAATTTATAACTACTTTCTCTCCAGAAGGTCTCCTCGCAGGAATATGTAAATGTATCGCAGTCACCATGCCATTGTTCCGCAGCCCAATACTTGCTCTTTTGTGCCATCGTAACCTTCAATTATAACCAAATATTAAGATTTTATAAGATCCTTGCCTAACTCACAATAAATTAAACATGACAACCCAGGTGAGGGAAGTTTGGGTTCAGTTAGCGAATCTAACGTCCGTGACTTACAGTAATCAGGTGATCTGGCAACTCACCAATCCTAGTATTTAGCTTTGTATTTCTCTGTTTAAGTTCATCATTCCACCATATGCGACAATTTTAATATTTCGTAATAAACACTGCTTCTGCGAAAAATGTTACTTGTCACAACCAGAGTCTTCAATTTACATTGGGGTGGCGGGAGTGAAACTGGACAGTAGCGGGCTGTGAATGACTTCATCCCAGCTCAAGGGTAAACAAACAATAATATTAGAAGTCGTAATCATTTAAAGATCTCTTACTAGGTAGCAATGGGGAGAGTGTCAGGCCATACATCGCACTTATGGGTGGAATTTTGACGCGCATCAAAATCACGCCAATACGTTAGACTTCATCCTGCCAGATGATAGGTTGTCTACAGACACAACTAGGTTTATGAACCTTGACTCAAAAGTGTTCAGGCATCTCCAGCCATCAGTTACGACATTATTTCTGCCAGTAAAACTAGACAAGCGTCTTATAATCTGTAGGTCAGAAAACACTTAAACCACGTTGGTGGCTTCAACCAATGCAACATATAGATGAGAAGTTGTCAGGCAAGGAAAAAAGGTAACAACGAACAAGCAACCAAAACATGGACTTAAATCCAGTATAGCGGCTATTGGCTCATCAAGTATTAATAGGAAAGAAAGGTCCTGCTTGGGGACGACATAAATGTAAAGATATCACGTGTATTGGTTGCCTTGGTTTCAGTTTTGGCATCAAAATTTTATAACCAAAAAAATTCTGAATTATATTCTTCGTTATATCCTAAATTAAACTATGTACGTTGATAGATATCTATTCTATTTAAGATGGACAACATAAGTGCCGTTAGGCTTGCCATGCTCATCAAAAGAGGTCATGGTAATAGAGCTCTCCATAGGAATGGACTCAATCTCCTTGACCTTGGGGCTCAGGGAAACATTGGGCTTAGGTCCCAAGCCACGGCGGAGCTTGGCAGAGGACATTGTCACGGGGGGACTGTCCGTAAGACGGTGGGTGCAAGTGCCGCCAGGAATGATGACATTGCCAATGTATCCCTGGAGGGTGGCATACTGGTGGAAGATGGCCTTCCAGTTAGGCTGAATGGTGCCAATGCCACCGGGGACAACCTTGTCGTACAGAGAGACGACAGTCTCCTGGGCAAAGTTCTCCTGTTGGCTGGTCTGCGCATAGGGGTCGGGCACAGCCGAGTCGAGGTTGTAGTTGGAGGTCCAGACGCTGCCGGTGGAAAAGGGCACGCCGTATGATGGGTCAAAGGCGTGGGAGTCCAGGCTGTGGCCAATCTCGTGGGCAAAGACGGTGACGTCGACAGCGCCAACCATCAGGACGTTGTCGCCGTTGGAGCCCGCGGACTTGTTGCCGGGGACAAAGACCAGGTGGCGGACAAAAGATCGCATGCGAACAGGCAAGCGGCCAAAGATGTCGAGAATCTGGAGCTCGCTCAAAGGAGAGTTCTTGTGTCGGCAAAAGGTCCAGGATTGGGCACAATCGTCGTAGTGAATGTTGAAGGGGATGATGTCGTTGGCGGAAAAGCCGGCTCCCTGAGCCATGGACTTGCAGTCCTGGGGGATCCATCCGGCGCCCCAATCGTCCCAAGTCGAGTGTGTAGGAGCCAGGTGGTCCATGAGACCTTGGCCTAGAGAAGCGAGGCCATTTCCGGGGAAGTTTGGCTGAATGACGGGCTTGTCAAGGTTCGCGAAAGCGAAGGGGAGGAGGGCAAGAAGAGCAGCCTTGGAAGCCATGTTGAATTTTATGGTCTCTGTTGTTAAGAACAGTTAAACTGGTGCTTTTCAGCTGATGGGTAGTACGACAGAGGGCCGGATGCTTCTCTATATATACAGTTGCGAATTCTAATATAGAGCTGACTGAGAACTCCTAAATCATGGGATCCCAAGGCACCAGTTGCGATAGTCCCAATCCAAGTCCGGCAGGTGGCTCACTAGTGTATCTTACTTTCAGTCATGCAGTCTTGGCATCATTAGGCAGTGTATTACTTGACAAATGAAACAGTTTCTCTTCCAACTCTAGGCTAGGAACACTAAAAAAAAGCCCCTGTCTTTACGATAGTACGATCTGATCCCAAAAGTCATATTCACATATGAAGGATTCGTTAATAAGTTCTTACTTAATTGAAACAGTCAAAGAGTCGATCTGCGGGAACGTTATACAGTTTCAGCAAGTTCTGCACCACTGTTGTGAAGGATTCTGTAAATGAACGCCTACGATACTACGTCGAACGGGCGAACGCGCCAACTTCCGGAACCACTTTAGCATTCCGGGCTAGGATTTTAAATTAGAACCTTTTCGATATACTTAAATTTAAACACAGCACGTTGCTAAACGTAATCAGTATGACCGCTAGGCTAGCGCTTGCAAGAGTCAGGATGGTAGTATGAACCACTTAACTATCAGGATTATGGCCTGCCTTTCTTTGCCAGTGCTCCTAGCCAAAGAAAGCATCTTTCACGACGTGCTTACGGAAGAACCCCTGTAAGCTTAATAAACGCGTGAGCCTTTGCCATTTACTTTGTATGGCTTGGCTCGTTTCTCGGATCACTAATCATATGTCAAATCGCGTAGATTTTTATATAGTACAAGGAACCGTTGGTTCGTGCTTGGCCAATTATTCATCAGATCTTACATGTTCATGTTGCTCCATCACAAGGTTACGAGTGGTCCTCTGGCAGGGTCAGCTTATGCACAGTCTCTGCCGGAGCTGATTCGTCGAGTTGTCAACTGGATCCCATATCCCACTCAACCATTTGCATAGAAACCCATAAAGAAAAGAGCACTTTTGTTGATGCTCTTTTGATGAGAGTTAGCGGCATGATTGTGGCCAGTCACAGTCAAATGAATGCTCTGTTGCGGCAATCCGTGGGAAAAGTCCGCCTCCACTAAAAAGGGCTATGCAGGACTTTTGACCTGATCGTAGCCCCGAATGTAAGCCATACGGCGTAACCGAGCAAGTGAATTTCTTTGCAAATGATTATATATCAAAAAAAGCCCCGCCATGGTAAGACTTTGCGCGTTGTGCTGTGTGCAGCGGTGAATAAACATTCTGTGAGCAGATGGCGCAGAGCCCCATCCACGGCTCAACACAGTAGAGATGGTAGCGATGTCCCGTCTACAAGTATTAGTGGTACTTCATGGGCTCTCCAGAGTGCTAGAACTGTGCCTCCGAGGGACCGTTGGCTTGGGACCGATAGACAACCTGTGCTCGCGATATCTTCCTGCTCCGGGTCTCTATTTTGAGAAGACACGGGGGCGTAGTGAGGCTTGAGCTTATTCGCGCCTTGCCGCAAGCCCCGGCTTGACCAATGTCTGCCGAGCGATCATTCCGTGGAGCTACTACTAGCTCGGATATGGCGCGTCATCAGAGCGTCGCGGTACGTGACCCGGTAACTTGGAGATGCATAGCCTGTACACAGATGGAGCCATCACGAACTCGGCTTGGAGGCGTGCATGCAAGATGACATTCCGTCTGAATGGTAAAAGGGTTAAGCGGAATCTACGAATAGATTGTGGCCAAGCTTGCTTCGTCATGCAGCCACTACACACCGGCGAGCACAAGTCAAACGAATAAGGTTCGTAGCCTAATGGAAATCTGCCTCGTCTGAGAATCGTACAACGCGTCTTTTCGCCGCCAATAGGAAACTTACATCGAAAGTGTAAAGCCTGGATGCCTCGTTGGTTTTCAAGTCCTAAGTCAAGTGCCTTCCCTGGTAGTGATTAGTGCTGACGACGGTAATTTACGTGAGTCGACTTGAACGCTGGGCTAGTCGCATTATTTTCCTTGTTCCTGGCAAAAGGAGTTAGCTGTGCTCCTAATTTGTGGGCTCAATCCTGTTCTGCAGCCTTGTTGAAGTGTCGAAAGTTGGAATGAATAGTGACTGGTGTTGCTTCGATGTCTATTTGCAGTTAGTATGAGCATGAGCTATACATGAAGCTATCTGCTTGCCACCAAGATAGGCAACTACTCCTTGCCAATATAGTTCTAGCTGTGAGTCTTTGCAAGTTGAAAAGTGCTGCAAGCCAACGAGCATACTCTTAGCAACGACATAGTAGTAGCACTCACAGAATGCTGGCATGACGAGTATGTTTTACTAGTGGAAAAAAATTACACAATCATGTGCTTCGGATGATGGGAACATAGGTCAGTCAACTAGGGAGACTTGTTCCTTGGTTACCAATGCTCTCTAATAAACGAGTATAAATAGGAGACCCAAAATCGACTTCGTTGCAGGGTAACGATTTTGGCGTGGCGGCTTACTCTGGACGCTAGTCAGCCTGTCGGAGAGAGCCGCGGACGGACGCTGATTCGTAATCTTACCAATAGGTTGACTATTGTCTGATTGGTCTTGCATAATACATCGTAAGACTTTTGAAATGCTAACCGAAAGAGTCCAAGCACTGCTGAGGTGAGTTTCTATTCCTATGTTGTTAGCTAGTATGTGGGGGAACAAGGAGCATGAACAGGGAAGAGTGATTCATAAGTATTTCATAAAAAGGGGGAATATTAAAGAAAAGAAGAAAAGACTAGACTAGAATAAATCGCACAATTAAACATTACCAGGTACCAAACCCCATCCTCTAGAATCTCTCTCCTTGCCCATTGCTCCGCAACTTGAACCAAACCAGAACCGGAACATGAATAGGATGCTCCAGCAACCTTTTATCCTCTCATGAATGATTTGACCAGACGTTTGGCGTCTGCACAGTCCTCGTCTTCGTAGAACTTGAGACCATATGAGAGCATGAATGTCCCAGAGTCTCGGTAATGCTTCTTGATCCAAGCCAGTTCGTTCTCGTCAAAGTGGCAATCGGCAACGTTGTTGAGATTCGTCGTAATCATCATCCTCTTCCTCTTCTTCTTTCTCCTCTTCTTTCTCCTCCTCTTCTTTCTCCTCCATCATCTTCATCGTCCTCTCTAGCTAGTGCGCGCATGATGGCTCGGCCTTCTTCCCGCTCCTCTTCATCGTAGATACTCAGCCCGTGGGCCATTAAAAACTTGTATTCTCCTCTGTAGTGCTTCTTCAGCCATTCCTTTTCTTCCGCTGTGTATGGCTGCTCCCCAGCCCGTTGGCGCGGCTTGGCTTCTGCTTCGTCTTGTTGCCCGCGGGCGTTCCATCGGGCTCTCTCACTACCTGGCCACGTAACCGTCAAGATGTATACTGCATTGGGCTCGAATTTGGTCGGCGCTAGTCGAGGACCGACGGGAGGTCCGCTGAGTCTGAGACACGGAAGAGGCGCCTTTGGTGAGAAGAAGGCAATAGGGTTGCCATTTCCGTCCGTCAAACTACCCCTGCTTTTCGGTGTCGAGTACATGCTGAATAGAGCCGCAATATCGAATATGGGGGATCCAAGAATGTTGAACTTGGACCAAGGAGCATAGAGTACGTTTGTGAGGCAAAGAAGATGATGGGCTTGCGGTCCGCGGAGGTCGGGATGTCGTTTGACAGGCAGATGGACGGTTCCGACGCCCAAAACCATGGTGGCCCCAGAGGAGAAGGTACTCGTTACGACGGTAAGGAAGGACGTCAACTCGGTGAACCATTTTCGATCGTTGCAGATGCTGTTGTCGCGAGTCAGTCCAAGTACAATTACGAGTAAAGTGCCCGTTTGAACGATGTTGAAATGACATCCATGATGGGAGCGCCTCACTGCACGTTGGAATTGATGGAGATGACCCAGTCGGCGCTGAAGGGTTGCGGTGAATCTTGCCAGGTTTTGGCAATGTCTGCAGCGGTGATGCTGCCTCTTCTTCTTCTTTTGGACGGCTGAGGTGAATGACTGGTGTTGCTGGCGGTTGTCTTTCTCTTCATCCTGCTGGTAGATTCAATGTTGTTTTTGGAGGAATTCCCACGAGGTACAGGTAGTATGTACGTCTCAGCTGATATGCGGGGCAGAAGCTAAAGGCGGGGTGGCTTCAGGGCTGCCAGGCACCAGGAACAGAAATACAGGGCCCGTGGCTGCTAACTGTTAGTGCAGCAGATCAACACCGCCAATCGGGTGTGTCGATGTAGAAGTACCTTGGGTAGGTATGTACATATAATAGCTGATGATTCGACAAGGTGAAAGGGGTTTCGTGATTTATCTGGCCATTTCAGCTAGATTATATACTCAGGTAGTCTAGACAAGTCTATATCATGTTCAAGCTAGATGATCTACATTAATTTCCGTGCCATGGATCTCATTTGAACCAGATGCCTCCCTGCTTTGCCAACCAACCGCACTCAGACGGGCCTAGGCCAGGAGCCAACACTTGCGAATTACTGCGCAACAGTCTGGGAATAAGGATATTGATCAAATGAAATGAGAATGAGTTTGTTCATCTGAAAAATACATACCGATAGCAAATTATCTACAACATGGAAAGCAAAGGACATTTGCGTGCAGCGACCTGTATTTACCTCGTGCCAGTCGCCATCCATTTCTGTATGTAGGGGGCTGCCTACTAAGGTACCTAAATTATAGCGGGCTCCATCAGCTGCAAATGCATTTCGCCTCCCTGTACTTTGCATGAGCGGCTGGCTTAGCGTTGGTGATCTGATCCAATCAAATGGAGATTGAACATTTGATGCGAGCCGAACCATCGGATGTCCAATCTCAACTGGGTAGCTGTATGTACTTGTATGTATCTAGTAGTGATCGTCCATTTATCGCGGAGAAACATCTAGTGATCCAGCTGGATTGTGCATGTACAAGTGAGTGCCTGTCATTGCAGCTGTGACAAGGTGGATTGACTTGCGCCGACCAAGTACATGTACATGCACTTTGCTGAAATGCTACACGTCCAAGTGATTCGCATCGCTGGGGCCGTATACATGTATAAAATTCCATGTGCTGGTGAAATGAGGAACAGTTACTGGAGTGTATGTATACATGTAGCTACTAGGTAGTTCTCTGTATTTGTCGATACTGATGATTTATGAGATTTATTGAACAAATCAACAAATTGCTCTGGTGTATACATGAAGATGAACTCCAGAACTCGATGGCACATGGCGTTACTATAGTGCCAACCCTTCAAAATCGCCCACCAACGTAGTGGATTCTTCAGACACATCTCCTGCAGCTTCAATTTGCGACTTGCCATCGTCTGGTTCAGCGTGTTGTTCGGTATTGGACTTTGCCACTTTCAATTCCCCCAAATATGCTGCTAAAGTGCCCAGCAAATCCTCCATTCCACATGCCATGGTCAAGAAAGCCTTGGAAGCACCATCGAGAGACAGTTGAAATCGAATCGGGCCTTGGATATCGTCTGCCTCCTTTGCATCTAAAAAGGCGTTGTTAAGTCCGAGTAGGAACTTCACCATGCGTCTCTTTAGAGCTCGATTTGAAAACCAAGAAGAAGAAGTAGTAAATGACTTTTCGTTTTGAACGGAATTCGTAAATGTTTCCGAGAAGAAACCACGACCTTGAGCGTCTCTCACCTCCATCTTTTCCGAGCCCCTAAACTGCATACCGAGACTCATAACGAGCCCCATGGTCTGACAAGCCATGTCTCCCTGGGGGCCGATTGTGTCCTGAAAGTCGACAATGTCTCTTTTGAGCTCTCGAGCAGCAGTTTTGAGACAGAGAGATGCATCATTCATATGCTCTGTCCACTTGGCATCTATCAATGTGTGATATAGAGCCGCCTCTTTTAAAAAGTGACGGCTGCAGTCGTACTTGCCTGACGCCAGCACTGGGATTAGATCTTGGATTTTGGTCACAGCGCTGGCATATTCGGAGTGCAACCTATGAAAACTTAGCCATTCTGTATACTAAAATGCTACTTTGGGGAACACTATGTGAAAATCTTACTTAACGCCTGCTTTCTTCCCATCTATACCTAATAATCATCATTAGGAAGAGTCTCTGAATTCCCCCTGGAAAATGTACATACCGAAATACAATGGCCAGGCTTTATCCTTACAGCTCTGCCTCAACTCTGACATCCAGGATTCTTCACGCCAGCCTCCACTCATTAGGCTACATGCATGCGTAATCTCCAGAATGAGGAGCTGCCTGAATTGGCTATACTCTGGATTACGATTCATGCAATAGCCAGGGTGGAAGGCGTTCACCCTCTTTGTTTCAATACGATTTCCTTGGCGATCGTATAGAGTCACCTCTGCACTAGCGAATGATTCACCCACACGCCGGCGTTGGATATCATAGCCAGACCAGTTTTCTTGAGGCTCTCCCTCTCGTTTCCACATACAAAGCACAACATCCGGTTGCTTTGCCACCACAGCCTCTAAAAAAACTTCATAATGTTCCTTGAGAGTTGTGATATATCTCTGCTCGTCGTTTCTCAGCATTTTATCTCCATCTTGTTGTGTCCAAAATGGTAGAGAATCGAGAACTGTGACCTGATTGATCAAATCTAAACCAAGAAGCGCAAACACATCTCTAAGTGCCCGCAAAGTAGGAGATTCTTCAACCACTACCTCGACCCCGTCTGCAAACGGGTGGTTACTGGCCGGCCGTGTTAAAGCGACAACAAGGCCTCCTTTGCTAAGAGGTTTTGCAAGTTCTTTTGTGACTAGCAATTCATCAAAAGCATCCACCTCCTTGTCATGGACAGATTGATGCAGCTGCTCAAGCTTTTCCAGGTGCCTACCGTCAAAAGGATTCGCCTCGATGTTGATTGCTGGCTGGAGTAGCTGCCTTATACGATGGTCGATGGCGACGTCTAAACAAACACCTGACGATGGCATTTTTTTTTAAAAAAAAAAAAAAAAAAAAAATTAAATTTTGTGTTGAATGTGAGAAGGTGGCGACCATCAGCAGAGAGATTGCTCAAGGTCGGCCATCTTATGTACAACTGAGAGCGTGGCTGTGATCCTGCTGCCTGAGATGTTATATGCCCAAGCCAACAACATTCAACACAAGCCAATGATATGTCCATCACGTGGATGTGTTGGTATTGGCGAGGCGTATTTATTGAAGATATTGCTATCTATTCTGTATTTGTGCAACGTCGATTCTTCCAACACAAGTGTGATGCATCCATTTTGTTTTTGGCGGTCCATGGTTCTGTAGCATTTGCATTAACCGGAATCCTCAAGGATCTCGACCTAACAACATGATATACCTACGTATAGCAGTGAGACTAAATGTCGATATCTAACATGGTAGGCATGTAGTTTGCCTCAAGGAATGCCTTGCAGACACCAGGCAGACATATGCATGTACATGAGTCCCATATAATTGGTACTTGTTGTAGGTACCCCGGCTCTTACGATCAGCAATCAATTCCAGGCATTCTAGGCACTCTTCATAGCAGATTATCCAGATGATACATGTAATGCATGAATGATGAACTGTTCCAATGTCTAATCGGTTTATCGATATGCCCATATCACAAGCGATGCTGACGTAAACAAGTAGACTTGAGGTATCTCGCTACACAACTTCCTCTGGCCCCTCAGGCATCTCAGTTCCTGCAATAATACACTGTCTCATTATTCTAACTTCATCCTCTGCCAGCGACCCGACAACGGCGTGGAGAAGACCTCGATTGTGGAAAATTACAAAGTCTCCTTCCTCCCAGTCATGTGCATACACTAACTGTGGCGCGATTCCAGGTCTCTGCAGCCGATACAAAATATCACGAACCCGCTTCAAGTCGTCAATCACTTCGCCGTTTGCGAGATGCAGTCATCGTGCAACAGCGGAGTGCACTTGGAGCGCTAGGCGATTCGTGACGGGGTTTCGCCAGCACATGGGGAGGATCTGGATCGAGGCTGGATCAACAGGCGGCAATTGGTCATCATCCAGCTCTTTGCCTTCGGAGATGAGGCCTAGACCTGTGGGATGAGACTTGGCCCGACCCATCCAGATGTATGGATGAGCGGCATACTCGACCCTGGTTGATCGGACAAATGCCTTGTCCTCCTCCGACAGCAAGTCGTACATGGTTTCACCACTAGCAAACGCAATTGTGCCGAGCGGAACCAGCAGCTCGTCCCCCGTGCCATCGTCGTACCGCACTGTCTGCATGCGTCTTTTGGGCAGAGTCACAGCAAGAATCGTGGTGGCAATGGGAAGGGGGTCGCCGTACAGCGCAGCATCAATATGCCAGCGGTAGAAGCGGGTGAATTCCATGTCGTCCTGGTCAGCGATGATGGTGGAGTGTGACGAACGGTGATGCGGGTATCGGAGCTTGAGGTCTTTGGCACCTTGATGCTCGCGCACGAAGCCGTTTCCAATGATCTGCACCTGCGACTGGTGTGGAACAGTGTTGAGATCTGGGCTGAGGAGGGAGGCTTTGTTGATGTGCTGATTGCCGTGACCCATCGCAGCAGCTGAATTGAGGCGTTCTGTGAACTCGTAATGAGCTCGCGGTGACAAATGCCCTTGGCCTTTCAACACCAGGACCTGGTACCGATAACAGGCCTCTACAAGAATGGCCATGTCGGTCTCTGGATGCGAAAGATATCAGCCATCATCCCCAGTCACCTCTTGAGATCGTCCTTCATAGAGTGTGGACAAATTTTGTGGGTTCATTCTTACCTGATGCATTTTCCAAGTCAACATTGGAGACGTGAGCTCCAAAGTTGATCCCAGAGCCCACATCGTGGACCATAGGCTCGATTTTCATATGAGAAGCCATTGCGAGTGAGGTATTGCTGGTGAGGTTTGGATGGTTTGTCTACACTTGTGAGTTTGTGCTTGTCCAATGTCATGTTGTTGATTTAGCGACTGATGATCAGATTTATATCTCCCCATCGTCTACTTCAATGGCACTCAGCCAGTCATGACATCGGCATCTCGCTCCGAGGCGCCAAACCGCCTCATGAAGCTAATGCCGAGCATCCTTTATAGCCTGGAGCCACAAGCTGGGGTACCGTTGGCCAAAATGGCTCTAGTGCCATCTCATCAGTTGGAAGTTCTCCCCTATGAGCAGATGCTCAGAGCTTCAGCAATGACATCAACGGCAGAATGCTCTGATGCGAATTACAAATGCTGGTTGGAAATATAATGAGATACTGACTGGATTATTAATTTCGGTGATAACTCGGATGCTTCACATCAAACTCAAGGAGAGCTGTTGACGTTTCAATTAGTTGAGTATGTGTATTCTCCCCAGTCAATCAGGTTCGCGATGGCATTTCCAGTTGGTGCAATTGTCTAACCAAGAGTGGGGGCATAAGATGTCGAGGCTACCACTTTATTACATCCTTTTGGCATACAATTACAATGCCGACTCAGTGGTACCAACTTCGCCCCTCGTTCAGATACCCTATCGTTTACAGATTGGAACCCGTCTTCGACCTTTCTTGCCCATAAACAATTGCATAGTCCCTTTCCAACTCTTCCCTTGTCGTTATTGCGGATCTCTCTTTTGCAGAAAACTTGTCCTCCAAGTAGCGCTGCAAAATCTCTTGCTCAGCGATATCGCCATCGTTGTTGGCGTCAACATGCAGCAGAGCTGCCATCAAAACTTCCGTCACGGAGAACATAATGTCTCTGCCCTTGCCGACAAGGTCGGCCTGGGATTCCTTGGTGATGCGGGTTCTCTCTTTGTCCCACCTTTCCATCACTTCTCGATGATGAGAGGCGTCTCCATTTAACGAAAACGCTTGTTTGATGATGCGGTCCAAGGCGTCAAGCGACAATACTCCAGATTCGGGACGCTTGAGTGCCCTAATAAAGTCAGTGCTGAGCAAATCGGTTGTTCCCTCCCAGATCGGCAGCACGGCACAATCTCTGTAGAGCCGCGCAACGTTTAGATACTCTTGTTCTTCATTCAACAGATAGCCCACGCCGCCAATCGACTCCATGCACGAATACAACAATCTCAGGGCTGAGTTGCAGACATATGCCTTTGTGAGCGTGGAGAGGACCCTCAAAAGCGGTAAGAGGTCCTTTGGTGGAGGCGTCAGTGCCTTGAGCGCCGGCGCTATATCCGTGGCCATTTCCATCGGATGCTCAGACAGTCCAAGGATATAAACAGCAAACATATGCAGAAGCATTATCCGTCTGTACTCGGCAGTCATCCGTGCCAAAGTCTTCATATGCAGGGAGCTGTCGGTCAGTCGCATTCTGGCGCCTCTTCCAGCTCCGACTTGTCTGGCCCGCGCAAACGCTCGCGCAACTGCTAGGCCACGGCCCAAGTATCCGACAGCTTGGCTGGTGGAGTGTATCCGTGTCAAGTGCAGCAGCACGGAAATTTCTTGGATGCCGCGATTCTCCTCCCCGATGATCCACCCGCGCATGTCCTCGAGGACGAGCTCTGCTGTGGGGAGAGACTGGGTCCCGAGCTTATTCTTAAGACGTGAGATGCGCACACCGTTGAGGCACTGGCCATTTGGATCCGGATTTCCAGATTCGCTTAGGGCATTGGGATCATGCTTTCGAAGTGGCGCAAGAAAAGTAGAGAGTTTGCCGGCCGGAGTTCGTGCAAGCAGAATCGTCATGTCGGAATCAGTGGCAGACGAAAACCACTTGAACCCGTTAATGCTCCATGGGCCCAGCGGAATGCCCTCTTCTTTGGATGCCATTGCCGTGGTCTCGTTGGGCTGATAGACGGCTGTTGTCTCAGTCAACGATACGTCGCTTCCACCGGGCCTTTCGGTCATCCACTGTCCGCTGGTCCATGCAAACTTGGGATCTCGAGACGTCAAATGCCGAAACGCATTTTCGAATACTCGCTTTTCTGTCTCTGACAATTTGGATGCTAGGCTTGGCGTGGTCAGATGCACTTGCAGCATTCTAGCTGCACCATCTTGCATTGCGGTAGGACACGTAACGTTTGCAGAAGAACCCTCCCAAAGAAACAAGCGAAGGAATTGTCTAGTTCGCGCGAAAGGTCCGTACGGAGTGTCGTAGGCATCGGCGACAAACCTGTTACTCGCAGCCCCGAGGCAAAACGTTAACAATGCGAGTGGGCTACTTATTGGATACATCAACTTGCCCCTTTGCAAAGCCAAATTCCTGCAGCTGGCGCCATCCTTCTGTCATGATGAGCTTTCCTTGCCATTGTCCAAATGCGTTTCGGCCGGAGCCTTTGAGATACGGCTTGTTTCGTTCTGCATCTGTGATCCAGGCGAATATTCTGTCGGTAAGAACCTCCCTGCCGAGTTTTGAGACTTCCTGTTCGATTTGAGCTCTTAATTCAGCGGACAGAAAGACTAATTCACAATTGTATGAGTAATTGTTTGTCTTCATGGAAGGATTCTCTCATTTCTCACGTTTGAAGCAGCGTTGGTAAGTGGCATCCTCATAGAATTGATTCAGCAATTGGGGAGACTGCTGGAAGAAGCCCTTGTCAGCGCCAGATGACTCCATTTTTGAACCAGTGAGTGACTGATTCAATCGTGAATGAAGAAGTTGGTTTCAAACAGTAATTTGGCAAAAGGCTCAACGAAAGGAGAATGGAGTGTTTTAAACCCCGAATTGTCCGTGTTACAGTCAGCAAGCAATGGCCATGCTGCACCAATGTGGAGTATCTTGGGAAAGGGGATGGCTGTTACGTGTTGAATTCTTGTCCTCATGTGACAGTTCCGAAAGTAGCCTCTGAACCTTGGTGAGTGAGAATGATTGTCATTTCATGTCAGATTTTAATGTAGCTTGCGACCCAACTACAGTCAACAGCTGGAGAGTTTAGGTTTAGGTTTACTGTTGACGAGTTCGTCAGCCTTAACCTCGAAGCTTGGAACTGCGAGCCGAGGCAATTGGACGATACAATTACAATATCTTGTTTTTTTCACAACTGTCAGCTGGGTCTACCGTTCGAATATGATTGCGCTTTTGGCACAGTTGAACCATGAGAGCGTTTTGACTTTTTCCCACGTTTATCGCGTGACGTTTATGTCAGGCATTAATGCCGATGTTTTACGGCAGTGGTAGGGAGAAAGCAAGGATTAATTGTGGGCGATCATCTGCCATTGAGAAATCGATGCAACGGCTATTGGCGTTCATAATTGTGCTAACTGCTCCAGCTTCTGGTCTATAACGCTTCAACCAAGGCTTCCTTTCTTAGATAACAAACATGCAATCGAGAGCCACACATTTACCCCGGGCTATAATATCGCGAGCAATGCAGCACCCACGTCTGACTACAAGGTCCAGAGCATTACGGCCTGACGCTCGATTTGACTGCCGGATCTCGGTAGCGGCTGCCGCAGCAAACGGAGAGAAAATATACAGGCTCGGAGTATCTTGAAATATGATTACTTTACGGAGTACACGGTTTGCCAAAAGCAGTGTCAGGGTGCAGTGCAGCCCTATAGGGTTGCAAACACACGATGCGGTAAAAAACCAGGCAGCCGCTCACTTTCTTTTTCGTCTAGGATGTTGTGTTGACGCATTTCATTAGAGTTGTCCATACAGGACCTACATCACAACGGCGAATAGCGGAGGGAATTGCCCGAACCGATGAGCCTAGAAGATTCAACTTTAGCATACAAAAATTTCGGACGCCTCGAGAAACGTCAACCTTGGTCCAAGGATCGCGCATCGCCCTCGAAGCCTCTTTACCGAATAAATCTTCTGCACATTCAACCGTCACACCAGCAAACTATCGGAATGTGCAGTTCACCGGCACCTTGCCGCAAGTCATGTTCCGCCACCAGCTCTCACCCGCCGTCTCCCGCGAATAACCCTTAATGCCGCAATACAGCATCGCTATATGCTTTGTGTTACTTACTCGCGAAGTCGCGAGCCACCATCTTATAATTGTGGCTTCTTCAGCGGCATTACGAAAGATTCATGAGAAAATGAGCAAAGAATGTATTGAATTGGACTAAAATGACAATACAAATTTTATGCTTCCAATATAACTATCCTTCCCAGCCCCCCAAACAACGATAGTTTAAAGTGATATGAACGGGCCAGTTACGGAACGAATGGATTTGCCAGAGGCTTAAACCTGCCTAACCCTGAACTCAGATGACAAGTCGACTGTTACAGTACCAGTCCATTTGTTCCTCCTCCCATCAGTATCTGAGTGCTCATTACTAAACTTGACTTGGTCGCGGTCTTTGCCAGTCCAAATATATATATATCCGTGTTCGCGATCTGGAAAATTGGCTTTTCTAGGGCCATATTCCACCGAAACTGTCCCACGTCGATCCCTGAGATTATTTAGAAGCAGGTCTCTAGCCTGGCCTTCCACTGTGATCTTTGTGTCGTTCATCTTAGGTGTGGTACCGTGATGGGTTTGACTTCCTCGCCACTCAATAAATTCTCGCTCTGGTTCCATTTTGGTGGTTCTTGATAATTATGAGCAATCTTGAGAGACAGATTGGCTATTTGTTTGGAGCTTTTGGGTTCTCGACCAACTGGACAGTTATTATGAGCTGTTGTATGTACGATGAGAAAATGGGTATGCGAAAGCAGCGGGAAGGAGTAGTCAATTTATATCTGCAAGAAAGTATAATTGAGTGAGAATTTATGGCGAAAAAAGATTAATGTAGGTATACGTAACAAGTATCTATGCTGTATACCTAGCGCACATATTCCGTGCAGCTATTGAGAGCCGTTGAATGTAGCCTGCTATTTGAGATTTCAGCTGAGAATAATAGAGTTCAACTCTACGTTATACTTGGTATTAACATACTATCACTTGGTATATCCAGCGCTAAAGTTTGGAGTGGCTAGGAACTTCAGGTTATAAACCTACAGAGCCGGCTGCCGATGATGAAGGAGAGAACGCTTGGTCCATAATTCAAACTACTAAGTATTGTAACCTCAAGATGTGAGAAAATTTATTAGATACAGCTAATTATTGATGGTGTCTAGCAGAAGCTGGAGTTTAGCAGCATTCTAAGACATGGAGCCTTGGATTGAGCATTTTGTGACGAAATTATTATCCTAGAAGATTAACATAATTCCAAATCACAAATCATGATTACGATAATACCTCAAGCCACACAGTACTAAATATTGCCTCTTCAGGCGTATCACAAGACCTGATTCACAGGCCCGACAGTCGATCAGTGGAATATACAGAGTCTTTAATTATGTAAATGCCAAGAGCTGAAATGATGTCTGGGAGATAGCCAATAACATATTGTCCTGACAGGAATGAAGGCGCCATCCATTTTGGGAACTTAGTTTAATTATAACCTTACCAACGTCGCGCACTAATTTGATAAACGTCAAAATATTATTTAGTAGAAAGTGGCTGCCGCCAACGGCTGGCTGAACACACTTGGATGCCCAACGTGGATGCGGGTATATTCTAGCGCGCCTAGAAATACTCGTTTCAGTGTTTTTGATTCGATAGCGAGTTAAACTCTAACGACCGGCTGTGTAGTGGTGTTTTAAAACGATGCCGCGTTACTAACAGACTACAACCGTGGTATTGCTAAGATAAGATACGGAGAATGTAGGATATAAGACGATATGAGAGATGGCACCCGGTAGAGCTGGAACTTTGTGCTTAAAACTATGAGTTATATGCTAAGGGTAATCTTGGAGATTATTGGTCGTCTATTGGAATGCAAGCAATTGCCAAGACGAGCTGAGGGATATGTGGCAAGTGGATTGTCCAAAGGGAACTTCACCATGTTGCGACAGCCGTGTATAAGGAAAGTCTTCTCGTCAGAAACATTGGGTCAATAATGACTTTCTAATGTACAGTGGACATTGCCTAATTAATATTACAAAGTGTTAGAGCCTTTACTCTTGATTGACTTTGAGTCCTGCTTCAGCCCATTGAGGCGTTACAGGCTCATGATTCCCAGAAAACTTCTGCCCGTCAAACCATAGCTCAAATCTCAAGTCCGCCGGCGCAACGATGACGCGCAGATCAAATCTGCAAATGTAAAATTTGTATCCTTTCCGGAACCATATGCCTCGCTTCTGTTTTAGAAGGAGCTGGTGTTGTTCTATACCCTCTAGATTGCTCTTTACTATACAGAGTTTTGTCACACCCGCTGTTCAATAATTCCGTCAGCAGCCATTTAGTGGACATTGTGTTAAAATGAGCAACGTACCGTGTTTTAAGCTCTTTGGTAGAAACGACGCCTCATTTTGAGAAACTACTATATCTGCGTTCCAGCATCTTGTTGTGTCATCCGGTCCCAGACGGTACTCGAACGACTTTACCAAAGGAACGTTTGGGTCAATTACATCTCCCTATGATGGGGGTTAGTAAAAGAAAGCAAGCGATGAGGCATTGAGTACGTTTATTTACCTTTTTAATAATCCACTGAATCTGATTTACAGCCCACTTCTTTTTAGGATTCCACTGGTCCTGAACGACGTCTTCGTCAAAATGCGTTGCTGAAGAATACATTTCTCTCACAATTATGCCATAGCTGGAGCGAGCGATTCGCGCTGCTAGAACGGGAACGTTTCCTGTATCCATTCTCTGCTGATTATCGAGAAGAAGACCTCTCACGACGACAAGCTGTGGGTCGTGACATGGCACCACTGCAACTCTCATGGCGTTGATGTGCGGGTAAGCGATGAGTTGCTGCTGTATTTTATCGCGTACGTAGGCCGAACTGCCGAGTCCACCGGATAGGATCATGTAGTCCTGAAAATAGTTGGTATTTGAAAGTTCGCATTGTCTCCATTGGGGGTCGAAACACTTACCACTTGCTCTGTATGTCCATGTTCGCTCAGCCAGTTCAGCTGTTCAGTTATCCGCTTCATGATGCCCTCAATTTGAACGTCAAAAAGAGACTGAATCTCGGCCCTACATTTTGTCAGTTTCATTACAAACGCTATTGAACATAATTGCAGTGATACTAACATTGTGAATAACATTCTGCCGTTTTCCACGCCTAGTCCCGCATGGCTAAACTCATGCGATACGCCTTCCAACTGAAGCTTAAACACAGGCTGCATATAGACTCTTTCTCCAAACTTGTGCTTTAAAATCTTGAAATGGTGACTTTTGGACAATCGAACGGCAAAATCGCCAGGAAGTTGGGTTTTAACATCCGGATGACGCGCCAACCTCTCCATAATCAGTCGGACAAACGCTCGATCGATCAGTGTCGACCCAATACCTACGCCCTTGACGGCAGATATCTGCGCCATTTGGGGGAAATTGGGATCACTCGATGTTACTCGCATCAGCGCCAAATCTGTCGTGCCTCCTCCCGCGTCAACTGTCAGAAACAAGCTGCCACGGTTGAATGCCACTGCACTTGTCTTGAGTGTGGCAACAGCAGCAGCTTCAGCCTCTGTGAGATCAACTTGCGCCATGTGCTTGGGGCCACCGATGCCAAATCCTGCATCTCGTATGATGCCTTTGAAGATGTTGATAATCTCCATACGCGTCCATGTGGTGGGCACGCTGAATAAGAAAGTCACAGCCATGTCTGCCCAGCCGCCAAATTGATGTTTGCCAATCTGAATCTCAATAGTCTCTTTCACGTGAAGATACACTTGATGGAGATATTCCGTTGCAAATATCTGGGCTTCTTTCGGACTCTTTGGAACGTTGGAAAACCCGCGTTGCTGAGCTGCGACGAGCGTTTCTTCATCGATGAAGATTTTAAAAAAGTCTCGCCGGATCTTGCCTGGCAATGTCTCATCGTCATCATCACACAGATATCCCCAAGATGACAATGTGCCATCTGCATTGTAGATGAGAGTCGTCGGGACTTTGCGCTCTCCTCTATCACCGCTTCCAGGCCAGTCATTGATAACCTGGATTGGCGTTCTAGGGGTCATCCACGCAACGCCTCAAGTCCATTGTTAGTGGTGTGTGTATTGTGAATTCGGATCAATCGTTTCATTTAGCAATTACCTGTGTATGTGGTGCCCAAGTCAATTGACACGGTAATATCTGGCTTTTCGGCCATCTTGACATCATTACCAAGTCGTTGGTTCGATGCAACTCTCATCTGAGGACTCCTCGCCAGGCTCTCAAAGCTATAGTCTCCAAATTAAAAGTACAAAGTACAACCGTCGGAGCGGCCGTAAATAGTTGGATAGTTGCAATTCATCTTTTAAGAGCAAAATTGCGCGGAGCGAGGAGTGCAGCTGCAATGTTACGTTGTTGGTCGTGCACTGTTTCACTTTACCCTTGTTTGTTGTTGGACTCATCTCAAGAAGAACAGCAATCCTCAGCTGATCCATCCCAGTACGGTGGAAAGTATTCGAATCCTGGCAAAAGAACCCTGCAAGCTCGGGGAAACGTGGCTCTTTAGCGCCAATGATGTGAACGAACCGCCTCCGCAATCCGCAAATCTTAGCCGAGCCGTTGATCCGCGACCAGCTTGTGGATCGCTCTCCCGTCTTGATGCTGAATATCCGCGGCGGCTCAGGGCGTTAAATCCGGAGGATAGGGGTTCCCTCACTGACAACGAGTTTGTTCTGGTTCCATACATGGAATGCAAATACGAGATGTATGGGTAACAGCACATGGCTGGCGGCCCTTGGCGCGGCCCATGGTCTCTTGAGACTTTCATATAGCTGTACCTCAACTAAACCATATTCTTTTGCAATCTAACTTTACACTGAGACTCAATCATGGCATCTCCTTCGAGCGCCTGGACCTGTTCCGCTTATCAAGGGGCAACACTGACTTGGTTTCCTTGCCCTGATACAACCACTACGAAAGGGACCACTTCAACAACTGCTACCACATCAACAACCTCCACTACAGCCACTTCAACCGAAAAAACTACTACGACTACTACAAGCCCTGCTTCGACCGAATCAGATGCTACAAGTGGTCATCCTACCGATACTTCCACCAGCGTGAAGAAAACCTCCACTGCTGTCCCAAACCAAGACTCAAGCGCTACCAGTTCTCTTCCCGTGTCGTCGCAGACGATACTGCCGATTCATCAGCATGCGTCGCTTTCTTCAGGTGCCACGGCCGGAATCGCAGTCGGCTGTGCTGCTGCCGGCCTCATCATTGGCCTTCTTGCTGCTCTGCTGCTCTTCCGCCGCCGAAGAGGCAGAAGTGTCCCAGACGTAAGCCGGGCGGCCATTCTGGTTGAATCCAAAGAACCTCCATCGAGTGAAAATATCGATGGCATTGGGCCTGTTGCTGGTATCCGACTGGGCCAATTTCTCCTTGACGGTGCTCCAGACCAAGAAATTGTCAGCGAGCTGCAGTCGTTGGGTGAGCTCATCCGCCAGCATGTTGAAGATTACTACAGTCTTCAACCAGTGGACGCCAATATTGGAATGTTGTCGCAGTCGCTCCAAAATCTCGGATTGGGATCAAATGGCTTGGCATTAAATACGGGGGAAATCGCTGCTTTATGTGCCAATTCCTATTCTCGTCACCTTGGCCTGCGCTACGTTATTTCGAGTGTCATTTTTGCAAGTATCGACTTCCACTCCCGCAGCAATCTGTCAATGCTTCCTGGACCAGCTGCTGGATTACTCCAATCCATTCCTGGAGCTGAATATGGCAGTAGCAACAATCTTGGTATGTCATCTCCAGGAGCCTAATATCAGGACGAGACTAATCTAGTGCATAGCATTCTCTCAAGCTCTGCAGACGTGGCGCCGCCTGTCCGCTTTCCTCCTCCATCAAAATCGCAGCCAACGAACTTCTTTACAAGTGGACGCGCTCACGATTGCACCACAAGCCCAATTGGTCACCAACTCCTTAAACGATTTCCTGGACGCCTTTGTCATTCCGGGGAAAAGCATCCAGCAGGCAAGCCACCTTCAGGAAGTTGTCATTGAATGCGCAAAGCTTGGCTATGTGCTTTTCTCTCACCCGGTTGATTGGAGGTTTATTTTTGAAGAACCTTCGACTGGATCGGCCGATGGGCGTACAGTAGTTATCTGCCCAGGTTTAGAAAAGTGCAGCGACCGTGATGGAAATCCTTATACGCCGCCACGAAGAGTTGCTGCCCCGGTAGAGGCGGCTCTTTGAGGAACAAAGAAACATGAAGCTTTGCAAATCCCAAACCTGCTGGATGAAGCATCTTGCAACACTATTCCTCATTAGAAATCCTTAATAATCCCAGTAACAATATGCGAATCGCCAATCTTGAGCAACCCGTCAGTATGGAACCTTTTGATAACCGTCGCTAATGGTCGAATTTCGGGAGGCCGGCCCACTGAAATATCACAAGGGAATTTTCACCCCCGTTTCTGAGCCGCAAAGACACCTTTCAGCTCCCTTTAACGCCGAGCGGGGACGGTTGGGAGCCGCTCGTATACACAGATTAAATCTGATAGATGCATACAAGTAGCAAATAGACAGGGATGCAGCTGTGGCCCCATTGGTAGCCTCGCCATCTCCAGAATGTAGAGCCAACACGCATATGTATCAGCGGAAATACGGAACGAATTCGGAAATTAGAGGGTCATTTGGGAGCAAACATGAGAATCTCGGGGGTATACCCTTTTGTAGAAGAGTGACTGAAGTGCTCCCTGACACTTGCTTCGCCCATTAAATCGTGATGGAAGGAAAGACGAGCGTTTCATAACCTGGAGGAAACCGTTGCAACGGGTCGGCTGCGTAGAAATCCTTGTGATTTTCTTTACGGCTTTCCTTTTCTCCGATATGTAACAGGATAGTTAGTTGGCTGATCATGTCGAACAGGAATAGCTCGTTCGTTGTATGACTGGCCTCGTGGCTCTAATGGCTTTATTCTCCGTTCCTTATTCTACCGAGGGATTTCCTGTTGGATCCTTTGTCTTGGTTCAGCTATTCCCCGCAGTCCCATCATAGTTGCAAGCGCTCTTTTCACTCTCTACGTTGGAAAAGATGATCAAAGTCTTCTCGTCCATTCGCTCAACTTACCGCGCTGTCAGTGTTGCGATTGATGGCGAACACATTTCCAATGACATGCGACGCAGCCTTGAGCTTGTGCGCACATGTAACCAAGACCTACAGGAGCTCATAACGCTCCGCAACGAGCACCTCCATCTACTTGAGAAGCAGCCTCGTTCGCTTGAGCGTCTCAACTCAATCATCGAAAAAGTACATAATGGCCTTTTGGACGCTTCTCGCATTGTGGAGAAATATCGGCCAGAGTTACACTCTGGTAAGAAATCGCTGCAAACCCAGATAGCATGGGCACATCGCGACTCTCAAGAGTTTCAAGCCTTGGGGCCAACAATGAGTCAGCATAATGCAACGATTCTAGCGGAGATTAGCTTCCTCAGAAGTCTTACCATCCTCACTGCGCAAAGCGAGCCCGAGAAGACAAAGGAGAGTATTGGCTCAGATGACAAGACTGTATTTAATAACATGGAGCTTCTAGAAGACTTCATGGGCAATGTATTAGGTACTTTTCTGGTCTCATTATGTACTATGCGAGTAAAAGTCCTGACTTGTTACAGGTTCCCGAGATCTGCCTCCAGCATCACCACCTATACCACCTCCACCACCTCCACCGCCAGCAATCAAAGTCAACGCAAGGGCAAGCATGCCCAACTTATTAATAAATCAAGAGTACTGTGATCTGCCGGAGCCTGTTATTCCAAACATAATTCCTCATCAGCAACCAACCACCACTTCACTAGCATCTGAACAAGCATCATCCCTCTGGACACTGGGCGGGCAGACACTTGACGATGGGAACCAACGCAACAGCCGAATTGTCTTGAATCAAGCCGATCATTCAGGATTGTCTCTATTATTCGCCGATGAGCTGGACCTAAGCTTTGACTTGTCGTCCAAGGTCCAGCCTCAACACTCTGGAGCACAGTCAAGCAGCTCGATGCATAAGTCATCCATGCCATCGTTCTCATCATCTTCAGCCAATGGGGGAACTGTTAATTCCACACCTTCGACCAAATATTCTCTTACTTCCAAACCATCTACTTTGTCCATTGGTTCAATGGGAACGTTCAATCAGCAAAGTCCACAGCTTTCTACGAATCGGCCGCATTTATTTTCACTCTCAGCATCACCACCTACCAACACAACACAATTAGCATCATTATCAATAACTTCTTTAACATCAGAAATTCAGCAAGATACCCGATCGAGGCCGCCAGCCATACCGTTTGTGGAGCGTTATGCGAATGTGACCAATCATTCCGATCATCAGAACCTGCGACACCCTCCATGGCGGCCATACAACGATGCGAATGTTTATGAGTTGCAAGGATCAGACGCATCTCCCGCGGTGCTTCCATTTACCCAATCAACTACGTCCCCAGCAAATAGATCAAATACTCAGTAGCCTCTTTCTACACTGCTCGAGTCCGTCATCACGGATCATCTCTCCGTCCGTTATATAATTGAGACCGTCACCTTCAATATCAGGCAATGATAAAATACCCTAAACTGGATAGCGAGAGAGAAAATGTATTATTATTGAGAGATCCAGTCTATTATTAGATGAGAACAAAAAGAAAAGTTGCTGCCTATTACACACTCGTCATTCAGCCAATTATCCGCACATCGGTCTTTCCATGTGGCTAACATGAGATGGTAGCATTTATTACTCCCAAATCTCAACCATGTTGCCTGGAACTCCGAGCTCAAAATTCGCGACTCTGATTCTTACTGATGAGGAGATGAGCGAAGCCAGGATGCCAGATAAAGCAAAGAGCACAGCATTTCTATATATGGAGTGCAGTTTTGCGATACCAATTTGTCTTGAAGATGGGCACTCGAACTTGAGTTGATTCAAGTGCTTGAAGATACAGTACAGAAGAAGTCGTCATCGACAGGATTGGATATTTATAGGGGGCGTTTCTATCAACTTGATGGAAGCACTTCAGGTCGACGGTCTGATATCGATGTATAAATCAAAAGGGTGTGTTTATGAACGCCATCAACTTGTCATGTGTTGCTATAGTCTTATGGAATCTTCCGTTGGATTACCAGTTATAGAATTCGGCGGGCAGCTTCACCTTGAGGCCTGATTTGGTGCATTGGTCCTTTGTTTCTCTGGGAGTGCCTACCCTGTAGGCTCATTGCTGCGACTATAAGAGTCGGGTCGTGACATGGCTTTCCTAGCTTTTCTAATCTAGCTATGCAACAGTCCTGATTAGCCTGTCAGTCTATTGTTAATCCGGTCTGGCCTACCCTATAAGCCCATGGTCGCAACCATAAAAGCCAGGCTGTGACACTTCTTGCCTTTATATCTTACTCAAAGTCAGGTTGTGACACATGATAATAGCTGTCTAGCTTATTTCCTAAATGCATTGAGTTTATCTAGGCCAGCTGTAAAAGGAAGTGGAATAGAAGCGAATGATTATTGTTATATACTAGTAACTGGATCTGAAATTTCGTTCACGGTAATATTAAATATATTATAACTAAATCTTCCTTAAATGTCTTTGTAATGCTCACACACTGGTCTGATCAAAGACTAACACCCTATCCCTGTGATGGCTAACTTTCGAATTGACTCGCAATCCTTGCGTTACAAAACTGGAGAATCGGTGTGACATGTCGACAGCCGTTTATGGGCACGTCTATACATCGACATTCTTCTCAGGATGTCCGGACGGGAGAACATCAGCAACCGTCTCATCAGTGCCCTGAAGATCCTCCTCGACGGAAATATGATCCTTGATCTTGAAGAAAATAACAGGGGCAGCAAAGACGAGAGAGCCAGCGAGAAGGGACCAGTTGCTGATGAACTCAGTCTTGAAAGACAGATGGCGAGCGTCGAGGTTGTTGACCACAGCGGCACCAACGGACTGGATGCCCTTGTAAAATCCTACGTAGTTGGCAGAGCGACGGCCGGAGTTGGAGAGAGCACCCATAAGCCTATTGTAGCAACATGTTAGCCTTTAGTAACAAAGAAAGGGGGGGTTGACGGGGAGGGCGGGAGATCCGTACCAGTAGACACTAGCCTGCCAAGCAGCGTCAAAGAATCCATAGAAGAAGTACAAGAACATGATACCGACGTAGCCAGAGTCGCTCCAATCCTTGCCGACGTAGTTGGTGGGAGGTTCAGGATCGACATCCTCGCGGGTATAGGTCTTCTCAAAGGCGTAACCACCACCCCAGATGGCGAAGGTGAGAACGACGAGAACAACCCAGGTGATCTTGGCACGAAGAGAACGACGAACGGAATGGAAGTCAAGAAGTGATCCCCAGATACCGGCAGCGATGATCTGTGCAAGCCAGTACAAGAGACTGTTCAGAGCTCTGGTTCGGACGTTGAAGACGGCACCGTTAACGGCGTTCTGCTGGTAGACGTAGAACCAGTTGGAGACGAAGAACATGGGGAAGAGCAGGATGATGAGAGGCTCCCATCGCAGGGTCTCCCAGAGGCCGACAAACTCGGACACCCAGCTGGGGTGCTTCATCAGAATGACTTTAGAGCCGTCGGGTCGGATGATGTCGCCAGCATTGCAAAGCAAAGTTGCCAGGAAAGCGCCGAAGAACATGAGGACAATGAATCCGATGTAGGTGCCGTCGTTGACAGAGTGCGCCGTCAAGCTAAGATGGATGTTCTCGCCGAGAGGAATCTGTAGAATCTCCATTAGAGATACACCTTCATATTCAATCCGACTGGTTACTTACGAGACTGCCCAAGACAGCGCCCATGTTGAAGATGGCCCAGAACCAGGCAAAGTATCGGCCCTTCTCTTGCTCGTTGGGGTAGGAGATCATGATGGTGCCCTGAGCAGTCCACAGGAGACCGGCACAGATACCGAGGAAGGTACCAGCGAAGATACTGAAACCCTGTTCGGTCTTGTGGACGGAAACCAGCAGGCTGATGGCATAGATGCCGTAGCCGATACCACCGAAAGCGAGAGTCCACTTAACACCAAGCTTGTTGACGATGGTGCCACCGAAGAAACCGAAGACAGCGAATGCGCTGTAGAGGGCGGTGTTCTAATAAGAGCAGTGTAAGTGAGAACGCGCGAGATGAGTTAACGGAGAGAGAGGTATCGCGTGACTCACCATGTTGTCGGCCAAGGTCGCGCTGGCACGACCACCACCTCCCAAACCACCAAGAGCGTTGAACATTCCGGGACACATGAAGCAAACAAAAGCAACCATGAGAAGCTGGACGCGGGGCGACGCGTACCAAGGCAGCTTGTAGCCGAAAATGCTAATCTGCTTGTACTTCCAGCCTGCGGGCAAGTCTAGAGGCACGTTGGCCTCATCGCCGTGGACTTCATGACTGGGATGTGTGACGTCGGTCGCCGCCGTCCCCTTCTCTTCGGCGGACATGGTGATGTTGTTTGTTGAGCAGACTGTGCGCTACACTGCCAGAGCCAACAGATGAGCAAGCTTGAATAATGCTCAAGATTGCCAAATATTGCCGGGTATCCCACAGCGGATTCAAAGCGTTTCAAAGATCGACACCCAGCCAGGGGAGGCTCGTGACCTTTATACACTGCTATTGCAGTTACCCTTTTCTCTTCTTTTCTTACGTTGCTCGTAAGATTGTTACCCTGCCCACCTCTTGTCCTTATCAGTTCAGGGAATGTAGCAGCAGCCTAGCTAGGTTAAGTACCATCCATGTACAGGCAATGTAACATTGCGCTAAGCTGCTCCGTACATAATCACTGGTTATGAATAGTTGCATTTGTCGGCTCCATTTGCCAAGGCGGGTTGAAACGCGGGGCGATTGTAACATTGTGGGCTGGCTAGCTTTAATTAGCCTTAGCTTTAGCTACTTTGATTGTTACATTTAGGGATGGACGGCGTATCAAGCATCCAACCACTATCAGCTTTGCAAGGTGACGGCCTGAGGGAAGTGTACAGGTAGCTTCCAGAGTTGCTTCGTTAATGGGAAAAAACCAACAACAAGCTACCACAATCACGAGCCACAGCTGAAACACTGACTGGCAATTGGTTAGATTGGCTCTTTTGTGCTAGATTAAACCGCACGTGATGTCTCGTAAACCTCTTTTCCCCGTATTACTGTGTGTCGTCGATAAATATCGCAACGTTCTCGTGCTCCGTCTCCACAAAAACGATCTGTGTAAGCCGGCCACACACCACTATATATTCTAGCTTACCTGCGCCTACATACGCAGATGTAGCTTTATATATTAGCATATCTTAAAACTAGAGGATCAGGGCTATCTACAAAGATACAACATGACAGGATTGCTGGGATATAACGTGGCAGGCTGGGTGCCGCAGGCTACAGCACCGCAGGTTACAGTGCTGCAGGCGCCCCCGGAGGGTATCTTAAAATTTCCGTTGGATACATGTAGTATCTAGTTATCTATGACAGATACTACGGTAGATAGCGATAACTTGAACATTGATTAAACAGGATGACCTTGAACGGGATGACATTGATTAAACTGGAAGACCTTGACCAACGGATGACCTTGATCGAACGGGATGACCTTGGTCCAGCTAGGTCGGCCCGATTAGTCTAAGGTAGCTGACCTTGAACGATTCGGAAGACCCTGATCAAACTACGGAGTAGCTGACTACGATCTATCTAGGTGGCCTCGTTGTATCAAAGTAGCTTCAAACGAACGGGATGGCCACCAACGATCCGGTTGACCTCGAGAGATCCGGTTGACCTTGATCGAACTACTAGGGGGGGGCTTCAACATCAGCCAACTCCCCGAGCTAGCTCCACATGGCACGAGGGGCACGCTGACTAGGAAAATCGTCGATGACTGGGAAAAAAAGATACATAAGATCGCGGACCAATTGTATAAGCAGATGAGTAGCTTGTTTACCCACACAATCCACTTTGGAATCCCTGTCAGTAGCTACCATGCAATAGCTTTTTACTTACCCTATAATACTCATATTGTATTTTATTAATATCTCTTTTAATATTTAATAAAATCCTTTAAAATATCAACACTAGCTTCATTATATACTTACATACTATTGTCTAAAATTTTATTAATTTTACTAGTAAATTAGATTTTATATAAATTCTTTTATCATAAATCGGTTTTTTTTTTTCCCTTAGTTATCGATAATTTTCCTTGTCCGCGTGCCCCCCCATGATACTAGTCATACCCGTATTCCCGCGAAAAATTGGACTAGGGGTCTCGCTGATTTCTTCGCTTAATTAACTGTACACAGCTAGATGATTACTTCCCATCCCTAGTAATTGGTGGGATGAATCTGGAGAAATCCACAGTCGTATTTTTTGAGGGAATACGATACTATCGCGGGGACCTGGCTGATTTTGAAGCCCCCCCTAGTAGCCGACCGCGATCGGGGCGGTTGCATGTGCTTTGCTTGCCCTTATGAACGCCTTTAGCGAGCATCACACTTGTCAAAATATGTTATGTAGTTAAGCAAATATTCAATCATCAGACGGCTCGTTAACCTTTGGCGCGAATCAATCTATTTGTGGGCAAAAGTCTACGCCCACTCTGACACGCCCAAGAACCCTCATTTGTGACCATGCCACAAGTCCTTCAAACAATGTTGTAAACCAGAGCTTTTGGTACCGTTATCGAGGTTGTATTAGGTATTTTGACTAAACTAGATCGTAGAGCTAGCTAGGAGAACTCGGGGTCCTCTGAGGTTGCGTAAAGCTATCCTAACTATCACACATGCCACAGTAGGGAAACCTCGGTTTATGTGACTTAGAGTTACTCCGTAAAACAGCCGATGATCCGGATTAAAACCCTCTGCCGCAACCACGGTTACTAATCTTCCGATTATGCGAGGCGGGCAGGATTCCAACCTGCGACCTGCTAAGGACTCCACCGTTATGCCCGAAAATCGTCAAAGAGATTATGGTATGGCGGCAATAGTCGCGATGCTATGTAGTCACCAGGAAGTCTTACTAGGTATTAGAAGTAAGCGCGGAATACATTGAGCAAGTGCCAAGGATTTGTGTTATTTAGTAGATAATACAAAATAGATTAATAAATAAGTAAATAATAAACAGCTGAACTTTAAAGAAACAACTAATTGCCATTCTGTACATAAATTAACGCATTCCCTAGGCATGTGTTGTAAATACACATGTTTACTGTAGATGCCGCAATCTACCAAGCACATCTCGCAATGAGTCCCCCAGGATATCTTCTCTTCATCATTTTTCTGAGCTCGTCAATGCACAAGAGGCCAAGTCCTAAAGCCATGGGAATAAACCAGTGCTCTACTGGAACTGGGGCGCAACCAAGATATGTAATATCAGGAACCAATGTGAATATTAAAGCGATGACGAGCGAAAATAAAATGGCGGGGAAAAGAAGCCAGTTTCGAGTTTTCAAATTGAACAATGGTGGATGGGTGAAGATGGAGAGGTGGCGAGTGCGTAGTGCCATTGCATTGAACCACTGGATGACCACTAGGGTTATAAAGTAGACTGAGGATGCAACTGTAAGGTGCATGTTGACATCATCGGCACTCTGTCCATCGGGAGTGGGAATTGATCCAAACGAGAACCACAACGATGAGAAGGTCAAACCATTTCGCTGGAGGTACCAGTACGACATGGTGAAGGAGAGAACTGTTTCCAATGTACCAACAAAGCCATAAGCTTGAAGGAGTAGCTTCCAGTCGACGAGACGATCATTCACAACATCTCGAGGCGGCTGAAGCATGAGATTGGCCTCGGGTTTCTCGTAAGCTAAGGAAATTGCGGTAGCACAATCTGTGAAGCAGCATATAATAATCATGAGAAATGACGACAAGATCTGGGGCAGACCAAAGGCAACATTGGTAAAGACTGGCCAAAATTCTGACCAAGAACCCGCCGGCAGTAGGTATGCAATCGTCTTCTTGAGGTTGTCAAAGACTACGCGACCATAGAGCACAGCCTCTGGAATAGCAGAGAATGTATCTAGCAAGACCATGTCTGCGGCCTCGATGGCGATGTCGGAGCCAGATGCAGGTGAAATACCAATATCCGCCTGCTTCAAACTTGGGGCGTCATTCACACCATCACCAATCATGGCCACAACGTAAGACCGTGACTGGAATTCTCGTACAATTTGAAGTTTATGCTCCGGTGTAGTTCGAGCAAATACTATCTCTGAGTATTCCGTTACCAAAGTGTGCCATTGGTGCGGAAGCAGCGTCATCAGATCTTGACCTGTCAAGACAATCGCCTTGGTTTCGCTTGGGAGATGATTAGACTTGGTATTCTTCTTGGGTTCGATGCTGGGAGGTACGCGGGGGAGATTCTTGACGCTATGGACCTCAGAGTCCGAAACACTAATGATGCCGCAAGAACGAGCAATAGCTTGAGCTGTGAGTTGAAAATCTCCTGTAACCATGGCAGTGCGGATACCGGCCCGATGCAGGGTCTCAATCACACCGGGAACCTCCTCTCTCGGACTGTCCACAATGCCGACAAGTCCAATGAGCGTGAGGTCGGTACGGGCGAATTCAAGAGCTTCCTTTTCGAAGGTATTGTCTTCTGGGTTTGATTGCATCGTGCTACCAGAAAGAGACCTTCGAGCGAGAGCCAAAACGCGTTTACCTTGGCTCGACCATGAATTTTTGATTGCCTCAATGGACGAGCGAACAGCTTCGTCAAGATTGTGCACCTCGCCATCCTCGCCAACATACTTTATGCATCGAGAGAGAAGAATATCTGGTGCACCCTTGATCATCAGGATATAATCCTTTTGAACATCAAAGCCATTGATTTCAGAAGCAGAGAGCGTAGACTCCAGTGAAGATTGACTGCTAGGAGAGCTGACGCGCAAGGCGAACTTGTTCTTCGAGTTGAATGCGAGGTCAAACCGTTTATTCCATAATCCGCGAGACTTGGTGACGGGGCCCAACGATTCTGATAAGCGAAGAATAGCTTGATCTGTCGCATCGGCGAGAATCTTCCTCTCGTGGATGGGGAGATGGATAGTTGTGGGGTCAAACTCTCCAGCATTGCACACTGCAGAAGTGACTCGGAGTTGCTTGAGAGCGGTCTTTTTACGTGAAGGAGATTCCTCTGCAATTTGCTGTATGGCTTCCGTGACAGTCAAGGCGCTGGAACCAATAAGGCAGTCGGTCACAGCCATTTGGTTCTTGGTCAGAGTACCTGTCTTATCCGAGAGTAGTACTGAAACAGTTCCCAGGGTCTCAACTGTCTTCAGAGATTTGCAGAGGATATTATTCTTCTTCATAATGCCCGCAGTAATGGTGAGTGAAGCGGTCAAAGCGATTGGCAGACCTTCTGGGATAAAGGCAATAGCCACACTGACACAGTCCACGATCAAAGTTGAGACCGAGATATAATCAGGATACTTGTGACGAATAAAACCGGCCCACAGAGCAACAATCACCACAACCATTAATACCATCAAGGTTGCGATGATGATAACGAATCTAAAGATTTCTTTTTGCAACGGAGTTTGACCAGACTTGGGTTTGTTGGTCAGTTTCGCAATATGACCAAAAACCGTATTGTCACCGGTAGCGACAACGATACCCACACCACTTCCAGAGGTACAATGAGTACCCTGCATTCCAATACATCTGGTTTCGAGATAGTTCTTCTCCGTAGACTCAGTGACCGCAGACAGAGGATCAGATTCACCCGTCAGGATGCTTCTGTCGAATTTGGCATCAGTGGAAACATTGACGAATCGAATATCAGCAGGCAGCTTATTGCCAGCACTGAAATAAAGAAGGTCTCCTGGGACGACTTGAGATGCCGGAACCAATATCCTGCTTCCATCGCGCAGAACACTGCAATCCTCTGGAAGCATGCCAGTGATGCTCTTCATCACCCTGGATGAAGAGAAATCTTGCCAGGCATTAAAAGCGGCTTGTGCTAACCACACAATGGCCAGGACGATTCCCAAAGCCAAGTTGGCCACTGCAGGAGCCGGTTCGCCAAGTGGCTTCCAAGAAATAAAGACAAGAATGCTTCCACCGAATAGAATTGAACCAAAGCCTCCATAGAGATAGAAAAATATCTTCTGGAATAGTTGAGATTTTGGTGGAGTTGGAGTGTTGGCACCAAATTCTGCAGCTTTATCCCTGACTCCTTGAGCTGAGAGACCAGTTTCAATGGATGTATCTAGCCGTTCGGTAACTTCTTGGACGGGTATAATGTGCCACTCGAGATCTCCCAAGTCTATTATAATAGCTTGGTCAGTCTTATACTCCTTATAATCATCCATAAGAGACAAACTTACCTGCAATAGCCTTGTTGCCAGCTTCTTTTTTCTCCATGGCCACATTATATTTCCCCTGCGTACGTTCCATATCTATACTCAGAGTACGGTACAAGACAGGAAGTGCAGCGGCAGGTTCGACCACCCGTTGGCCACTCCTTATGCTGGACAAGGAGTGGATGGAGTAGGTCGACCCCTTTCGTTTGAGTTTGCCATTATAGTTTGCAGGAGAAGAATCAACAGGTTGAATCTCGTCGTCAAAATATCGGATTCGACGCTTTGCAGCCCTGCCTGGCCCAGTGTTGCCCTTTTCAGGATCGCCCTTATCATTGGCATCCGCCATTCTGCCGCTGAGGAGAGGAAGAGCAGTGCCGGAGAGGAGGTAATGGATCTAGAAGAAGAATTTGAAAATAACTGAAGCTGAACAAAGGGGTTAGAAATAGCAAGACGATAATCCTTTAAATAGGAAAACCAGACGAGGCGAGGAGGGCTGGCGAGTTGAACAGGGCTTACACCAAAGGAAGGGCACTGGCACTCCCTTGCTTTTTGCCCAATTTGCATCAGCCTACGGATAATACACTTGCATTGGGATATTATGAGTGATTTTCTAATGCACTTAATGCAGTGCCACAGTGTGATGATATGATGACATACATATGGGATAGGTAGGTCTCTGCATAATAAGCTGCGATATTTAACTCAAAGTCAATCATCACGCTGAGACGTGTTAAAGCAGTTTGATATTATAAGCCAAACTTTTTTATACGAGCAAAGAGATGTTTATTTTTTACAGAAGCTGGCGGCATTTCCCAGGTTGTATAATCGAAAATGTATGGAGTATATATTTATCTCAACACCAATGCATACTTTACAACACTCTTCTGTCACTTCCCCTCTTTTCTTTTCTTCTTTTTTATGCCAGTTTTATTCCATTTATGTCATTTTTATGGTAGCCGGATTGAGTATCTCTCTATTATTCTATGAGTTATTAAATTTGCAGTAAGATCTTTTGAAAGCTGGATTTGTTCAAAAAGGAGGATTCCTTGATTAGGTGAAGAGGAGGCCTCCCTTCGAGCCTAAATAGCTTTGCCTTTTAACAGCTAGAATGCGTCTAACCGTAATAAGCTAACTATCGTCTTACCATCTAATATCTAATAGGTCTTGAAGAAGAAGAAAAAAACTATTATTCAACGGTTTATCTTGAATAAACATTTAATCCATTAGATTTGTATCAATGTACTACAAAAATTCCAGTCAATCGACATTGGTTCGGTGCATGTATATATGTATATATATATGGAGGCATAGTGAGATGTCAAATCTTGAGCTGTTAGGATTTGAGTCAAAGAGCTACAGCCCCGTCTAGTCGAACTCACCGCTATTAGAGGCAACTGTCCATGTGAACATCAGCATATGCAAATAGGCAAGGGCTTGAGGCAAACGCCACAGCCATTGAAAACACAGAGCGCAGCAAAATGACTCGTCTGTTGCTTCTGCATGCGGCTCGCAAGTCTTGAAAATGACGCAATGGGGGCAGAGTAGAATCCAGTATTCGGTATTCTTTGGCACAGGCTTAGCTTGGAGCGTTTTTTGGCTGCTTCATCCAACTCCCGTGTTTGGCTTCTGTCGGGTTAGCGATTTTATGCCCAAAACCCCACCGCAATGGATGAATCTAGGCTCTTATATAATTTTCTCACGCATTTGCCTTATACTAGTTTCACTTGATAAAGTCATAGCATGTTGGTAGAAAAACACGTATTTAGTCGGGATGTAAATGTAAGCAATCTAGACCCAGGACCTGAGGCGCTGTTCGTTTTCGCGACTCAATAATGCGCCTGGATGCGCTCCCACAAACCCCCAGCGCGAGAGAACTTTTGGTAGGTCGGTTCACGTGTTTTCGTAGCTGCCTTTTGCTGCCATGAAACCAAACTCCACTCTGCGTATATGTGCAGCTGTCTCCCACCAAGGAGTCATATTGGTCAACTTTCTATCTCTCGAGTATGCTAGAAATGCGCACGACTTCTCGCCGGTGCAGCGCTCTATGGCATTGAGCAGTTTCTCCCTATATGAGAGTTGATGAAGCAACCGGCATATCAAAATAGAGCGCCTGTTCGGACACTTGGAATAAGAGCCACTGCCGCCAAAATTGTGAGTTGTTGAGGCCGGCATCGCTCAATCAGGCATTGAACAATTGCACCGAATTTCTATAGCTTAATTTTGGAGTTGAGATCTTGAATAGCAGGCACATACCCATTTGGACTGAGGTCAATCGAGCTAGCCGCCGCTGTGATATGTGATTAGTCCAGAAGACGCGGCGAAAGTCATTGTGACAAAAATATGCGAAGAAGTCATCAATAATTGCACTTTAACGAGTACGGCGCGTTTACAATATGGCGATGAAGATACACACCGAGCACAGTGGTTAAGGAGAGGCAGCCCGGAATCCGACTTTCTTTCCAGCTCCGTGGACGGTATTAATTACAAGCTTGCAGCGTTGGCAAAAGTTCAACTACATTACAACCTCTTTATCCATGCGATATTGTGTATAATATGGCTCATACCAATAAAATATATTGTTTATTTGGGAAAAAGAAACCCGGTAATTTCTTTTCCTTCCGTTATTATACTGTTTTGTTCCAGTTGTCGGTTTCAGCAGTCATTGTTCCGTCTTAACCAAGGTGCCGCTTCGAGCCGCCAAACTCCTTACACTTACAGCTAAAGATAGATTCAAGCTCCATTTAGCGCAACCAGAATTCATGACAGAAAAGCACGAGAGAAACTTTAGTCAGGATATTACCCAAGTCTCAGAAATAATAAAAGGCCTCAGAGTTTGCAGAGTCATGTGTGTTCTCATCGGCCCCATGACCCTCTCAGTTTTGTTAATGATGTTCCTTGGAGCATGCTTTATTTTATTCTATCTAGCTATGGAGCAAATTAAAAAATTGACTTAATCTCTGAAAGTGACCAAATCCATTTTAGTGAAATCCCAAGGGATGTTTATCCAGGTACTCAACTCAATTGCCGATTTGCCCAACAACATCAGTGTTGATACAATTACTTGTAATCTTTATACCGGCTCTCCGAAATCCTTAGCGTTACAACGATTGCAGAGTATATATTGCTTTCGGAAGTTATATATTTGTATAATAACGATGCTAGTGGTACGACAAGCCAGGAGCAGGGGTGCAGCAAGAATGTTAGGGTGGTATAGGTTAGCTCAATATCTGGAGACAACCCACTAAAAAAGGGCCTTTTTGGGAGGCAAGTTAATTTGTGAAGATCGTAATAACTGGGAATATAACTTTTTATTTTATTTTTGCAATACTTCATTCAAATCGGAAATTATATCTTGTCCATGAAAAATGTATGGAAGCCAGATGTTATGATACGATGTCGTTTTCGTTGACAATAGAGAATATCCAATTTGCATTTCATTTGCATCAAATAACTCCCTCCTAGTCAAATTTAGCTCGGAATTTATACTGCAACACAACAAAATAATCTGCTGTTGTATAAGTGGTTGTGTAGGTGAGAATTATGTCAACTGGATTATGCCACCACCGCCTCAATCCCCAATTCTACGGCTATGCAAAACCCTATGCCTGCAGATCTCCATCAGTCTACTGTTTTGTACACGAACTTCCATTTTGAGGTTATTAGTTGCTCATTATCTCGCCGACGAATTCTACAATTTCCCGTCACGCAATATGCCTATTTAAGAGCAAGGTTCAATTGCTTACGCCTAGACCTCCTGCATCGCATCTCGCTTTAGTCTTACGTCTTTACGTAAGATTAGCGTACGAGGTGCTATTTGTGTAGCTTTTTCACTATTACGCGTAACTTTACTCTCGCGTCATTGCGGTCTTGGCATGGAGATGCTGCAAGCAGGCCCCTCCCTGCAGTATCTGATGCTTCGGAAATCGCCACGCATGATACCAAGGCGAGTAGCCTATTCATGCAACTAACGGCAAACTAACATGATTCCAGGACTAGTTTTCATAATTAATGACTCTCAAATTACATGTACCAGTACCTCATGGCCATATTCAGGGATCCCATTGATCAACTCACACCCAACCCTTCACTTGAAGCGGGAACTGCACATCTTGCAGAATCTCATCTCGCCCTCCACAACGATTTCACATGGAAGCCTTAGCGAGTGGTTAGAGTCAGCTCGTTCATCATATTCACTCATTCTGCAACCAATACAAGTAAGACTGATGATCAAGTGCTGGGGAGTCATCCAAGCATCTACAGGGGGTCAACTGCTGGCTCATGTGTCGCGCTGCCAGTATCATTAGGATAGCATCCTTAATCCGGACTCCGGGCCAATGGGAATACAGCATTGGGTACTCAATTAGCCTGTCGGTTCATCGGGAGTTGCCGCAATCGCTCAGACAACCTTTCAAGTCTATTTTCACCGCCGGCTTCTCTCTTTCCGTGGGCTAATCATCCGCTTGGTATCGTGTCGAACGTCACATTTACATTAATCAATGTGCGATGTGCAAATATTCCTTCAATTTATGAATTATGAAACACAAACAGTTTAGTATCAGCGAATTGCACGGCGCAGTTTTACATCTTGACAACAGTTGCAAATGAGATTCATCTCTTGGCATTACACATAGCTCCACTACCCACTCAACAGAACTAATGGGCTGTCATAGTAACACAGTCAACTCAAACCTGGCTTCAAACTCGTCTTACCAACACGTAATCCTGGGTTATCAACTCTTCCCGCAACCAACAACGTCTCGTCGGCGAATTTATCACGTGATGACCGAAAACAGCTCATCGTTCGATGCTCGAACTATGAAATCACGCACCGCTCTTGTTCTCGTATAATCTCTCTCTCTCGTCAACCCTCTCGTCAAACAGACATACGGACAGAAAGAATTCTCCGACCATGGCCTCCAGAGCCTTTTTCGACCCCGTCGTCGCCTTGCGGGCGGCGCCCCTGCTTACATCCACCTGCTCCCTCTGGTTTGCGTGGGACCAGCACTTCTTCTTGCATCTCTTCAACAAGCCCGAACTCCGAGAAAAATCCAACCAAATGCTGCCCACCTATTTCCGCTACTTTTTCCGAGGGGGAGTAACTCGCGTCTTGGTTCTGCTCTCTCTGACGCTGTCATCCACTCTCGCCACCTGCCTTGTCAACCACGACTCGCATTGGGCCAATGGGTCTCTGCGTTGGTACACGGCTGGCATGGTTCTGGCTGCTAGTCATCTCGCTTTCGTCCCTGCTGTTGCCCCTAAAGTGCAGGCCGTGATTGAAGACACTTCCAAGGGAAAGAGCACCAACGACTTGGACGGATGGCTGAAGATTCACGCCTGGAGGGGCTTAACTGTGGATTTGGCGGCGTGGTCCTGCTTCGTCGTTGCAACCGTGCGAAACATCCAGTCGTCGTGAAGAATCCAGTTGGAAGTGTTCTTTGATTCGCTCAATGTGTCATGATGTTATCTGTTCTTATTAAAGCTGCAGAGTTGGCGATCAGTTGCTGTCGCCTTCCAGGCTGCACACTCAGAATTGGGTTGCTGTGTATAATTAGTGCTAGAAACAAATTGTAAAACCACTCTTTATATAAAGATAATTATGAATGTGAAACTGCCTTGCACCTCCCAAATCTAGCCACAGGAAAAAAAAAAAACTGGCGATCTCCATAGGTTCAACTATTGCGGCGAAGCGTTCTTCTCCGCCTTCATCTGAGCATACGCCTGCTGCGTGGTAGTAGGTAATCGACCCCGATCATTTTCCTCACCAATCTCCAGCATTTTAACCCAGGCGCATATGCAGTCTGCAAAACTTTCCACCTCCTCGTCGGTTCGTGACGGTTGGAAGATGAGTCGAACCCTCTCCTGGCCTTTGGGTACAATCGGGTAGATAACCGGGTGTCCAGAAAAGCCTGCTTGATTGACATGAAACGTCAAGCACAAACTGTGCCCAGTGTGTGTCCAGACAGGCACAATTTGAGCAACAATGGCAGGGACCTCATCCCCTTCATACAGGGGTATGTGCATAATCCCAGCATCGTTCACACGTTCCCACACGGGGTGAGATCTCATTCTCTTGAGAAACAGCCTAACCAGATGGTGGATCTTGTTCTGAGTCTGTATGACAAGTCATATTTTGGTTAGATTGATGATCAGAAATGGCGTTCGGAGTGGAGTGCTGACTTGCCTCAATGGTCTGGCCTCTTTTCAATAGTGTGTAAGCTGCCCGAATGGAGGCAAGCATAGGAAAAGACGGCACGCCTGTAAACATGAGGGCTCTTGCATTGTTCATGAGCATCATTTTTACAGTATAGTTTACCAAAATTGCCGCTAAGCACCAGCCCACCAGTTGGCATATCCCAACACCGATTACTGAACGACGAGGAAGACAACGTACCACCGACAGAGCCCAGGGCCTTGGGAAAGGTATATATACGAATCGCAACCTCCTTTTCAAGCCCCAGTTCACACAAAAGACCAGAACCTTTGGGGCCCAGAATTCCCGTACCATACGCCTCGTCGATTATGAAGACGGTGTTTTGGGCAGGGAGAATCTCCTTAGCCGTATCAATGAGCTCTTGTAGCGGACAGATGTCGCCGTCCATGCTATAGACCGACTCAATTGATGCAATGAGCAATCGCGTGCCGTTGAGGATCTGCGGCTCGGATTTGAGTACCAAAAGTAAAACCTCCGAGAACGAGTCCACGTCGTTGTGACGAAAAGAATGTTGGCTCCGCGCGACGCTGTTTTTGAGACCATCGTGGATACTTGCATGGATCAGCTCATCGTAGACAATAACGTCTCTTGCAAGAGGAATCGTGGAGTAGGCTGCCAGATTACCTACACAGCCGCTGTTGGCAATGTGTGCCGTCTCAGCGCCGTGAAACTGAGTAATCTCCTTCTCCAACTGCTCTATATACGTCGAATTGCCGTCGTTACAACGTGTCAGCCGACCACCACAAAGTCTTGCAACTGGTACAGTGGTTTCAGAGTACGGGTACTTTCTCGATGAAAAGGTCAACTTGGCAACCTTGGACATGTCCCATTTCTCCATGACGAGGACAGAGGTAGAAACCTCAGACCCAACGCATCGTCTCATGTTGGAGGTCGCCCGCGAATGTATTGATGATGCTGGAGAAGTCAAATTCAAGGGCCGGCCCATCGGCTGCTACATGGGATGCTTCAGTGAAGATTACCTTGCTGTGCTGAACAAAGATCCCCAGCAGTCTGGGACAAATAAACCAGACAGCCTTGGCGATTTCATGTTGTCCAATTGAGTTTCGTATGAGATGGACTTGCGCGGACCCTGGTTTGTCTTGTTTCCCTATCTTGTCTCCCTTCTCCATATTTCCATTCGATGCAACGCTTACTGACATATTGTACTTAGCATGATAATCCGCACTGCCCGTTGTTCCGCCTTCGTGGGTCTGAATGAGGCCGCAAAAGCTATGGAAAGAGGTGAATGCGAGAGTGCCATCGTCGGTGGAGCCAGCATGATGTTTGCACCAGGAAACGCAGCGGGCATGTCTCAGTCCAGCGTTCTATCCCACGGCCATGCCAGAGTTTCTCAGCAGATGCTGACAGATAAGCCAGAGCTGAACCCATTAACGCAATCTTCGTCAAGCCCCTGAGTGCTGCCATCAGGGCCACTGCGACTAATTTGACGGGAGGAAGGCAGGTCTAACCCACCCCAGTTCAGATAACCAGGAAGCCCTTATTAGGAAAGCCTATAAGGCTGCCGGTATCAATGACTTTTTGCGCACCGCATGGAGTGTCACGGCACAGGGATACCTGTTGGTTATCCCATCGAAGCTGCAGCAGTTGCCCGCGTGTTTGGAGATTCGGGAGTGTTCATCACCTCGGCCAAACCTAATGTGGGCCACGGCGGAGGTGCTTCGGGTATCACATCCGTAACCAAGTCAGTTCTTGCTCTGGAACACCAGACCATTCCTCCCAACATCATGTTCTCAAAGCCAAACCCAACATCCCTTTCAGGGAACGCAAATTGATGGTGCCTGTTGAGCCAACGTCATGGTCACAATCAAAGCATGAGCGTATCTGCATCAACTCTTTCGGTATGGGAGGAAGCAACGTGCATGTAATCGTCGACTCTGCCTCGACTTTCATTACCAACGCTCCCGTCTCAATTGGTGCCTAGTATGAGGAGACGCCAGAACTGTTGCTGCTGTCTGCCAACTCTGCGCTGCAAAGAACAACGGAGCGCTTACAGGAATGGTATGCCAAAGCACGCTCCAACCCAAGGGATCTCTCGTATGCTCTGGCGCTGCGACGAGAGCATCTCCCCCACCACGGCCTTATAATTGCTCATGGGGATCATCTTGGCCCTGCGTCACAAGCCCGCAAGACCCCAAGTTCACCTCCAAATTTAGTAATGCTATTCACAGGTCAAGGTGCACAATGGACGCGCATGGGCCAGGAGCAATTGCTCCGAAGTGATCTCCCGTTTCGAAGCACCATCCGAGCGCTGGATAAGCATCCGATGGAGCAGCCTTCTTCCCCCGAATGGATCATAGAAAAGGAACTTCTGAAACTGGCCAAAATCTCTCGTCCAACTAGCTGAACTATCTCAGCCATTATGCACAGCTATACAGATTGATTTGGTCGATCTGCTCTTTTCGGTCGGTGTTACACCTGCCGCAGTGGTTGGTCACAGCAGTGGTGAAATTGCAGCCGCATACGCGACTGGCGCACTCTCAGCCCAGGAGGCCATCGTCACATCTTGGAAGCGAGGATTGGCGGCACAGAAGCAGAAAAAGGCGGGAAACATGGCGTAGGTGCAGATGAAGTCTTTTCGCTGTTGCCTGTTGGCGTCGTTGTTGCTTGCGAGCACTCCCCAATGAGCGCAACCATTCCCGGAGATGCAAAAGAAGTTCAAGAGATCATGGAGTATATTCGTGAGAGTCATCCCGATACAGTAGCACAGCTGTTCAAGGTCAATAAGGCTTATCACTCACGCTAAATGCCAGCAATCGGTTTCTCAAGCCCTTCTTTCCAGCGTAACTGGGGATAGGACGAAACAACACCTAGATGCCTCGTACTGGCAAAAGAACCTCGAGTCCCCTGTGCTCTTCAAGTCAGCCGTTGCCCGCATCGTTGAGCACTTTGATAACGTTGCGTTTCTCGAGGTCGGTCCACCTGGAGCATTGACAGGTCCTATTAAGCAACTTCTAGCGGGGAGCTCGACCTCTGCCCCCTATGTTGACTCGGCCAAGTTGGTGGCCAATGGCGCCTGTCTTTCCGACCTCCCGAGATGTCCCTGGGACCACGAGGGTGAGTACTGGCGAGAATCCAGAGTCTCGCACGAATGGAGACAGAGCGAGTACCCCGAGCACCCGCTGCTGGGATGCGGCCATCTTGAAAGCTCTGGTCTGGAGCCCAGCTGGCGCAAAATGATCCGCGTTGACAGCATTCCCCGGGTTCGTGACCAAAAGATTGAGGAGAACGTCATCTTTCCTGCTGCCGGCTACATCTCCATGGTGGGTAAAGCAGCCGCACAACTTGGCGGTCATCGAAACGGTTATGCCCTGCCACAAGTGGTGATTAACGCGGCCATTGTCCTAAATGATGGGAGTGATGCTACGGAAGTCGTGACGAACCTTTGTCCTCACCGCTTAACAGACTCTCTGGACTCCATGTGGTGGGAGTTTACCATTTCATCGTACAATAGCAATGTGTGGATGAAGCACTGCAGTGGTCAAGTGACGTTCGAAGTTGACGAGCCAGAGCCAGTTGAAAATCTGCAGCTGCTGCCACGACGAGTGCCCAAGCGGATCCTATACAATTGTATGGACATGGCGGGTCTGCGTTTCAGTCCGCTGTTCCAGCGTCTGAGCGACGTCCGGACTGGCACTGTCCAAGGGCAGGCAACGGCAAATCTGATAGATCTCAAGATAGTGGACAACGAGCACTATCTCCTACACCCAGCCGTGATTGACGTAGCTCTCCAGCTAGCCCCAATAGCACCGTTCAGAGGCCGTATCAAATCCAATCTCTACAGAAGAGTACCGACACATATTAACAGCCTAATTGTGCACCGACCAGTCACAAAAGGAGACATTGCACTTTCGACCTCGGCCGAGAGCTCTGGTGGCACTGGTGAGGTTGTCAGCCAGAAGCAACAGATTGTTGTCGGTGGCAGAGTGACTTTGCATATCGATGGCTTGAAGATCTCCCAACTTGAAGATGTCGAGACAGTTTCCAATGAGAGCCTTCAGAACACAGCACGCTTCGTCTGGAGACCCCATCTTGACTTTTTTGATACAGCCAACCTCGTCGGGCCAGCGATCGACTGGAAGCTATATAACCCTACCTTGAACGAGATCACAGCTCTGTGCAAGGTCCACAGCTTGCGACATCTGTCGGATATCCAGCCGGCGCTGAATCATCTGATCAAGTATCGCGCTTGGATTGGCAATCGAGTGCAAGAATTCCGAGCAGGATAATTTTCTCCCATAATCGACATTGAACAAGAAAGCCTCCTACCAAAACTTGACACTCTCGTAGAAGAATCGTGGCTCTCAGGTCGAGGTGATTGGCCAAGACATGCGACAGATTGCAGTCAATATTGCGGACGTCTTCTCGGGCAAGATAGATGCTCTCGAAGTTCTCAGGACAGACGATATCCTCAACAAGATGTACGCGCCTGCTTCATCGAAGACATCTTGCGCGAAACCAACGGCCGAGTGTCGATGTCGCCCTGAATTCTCTGTCCGGCGAGCTACTCCACCTGACATGACGCTGTGTCGCCGAATTTGGCACCGTGGTTGAGATTGGCAAGCGAGATCTCCTTGGCGGTAGTAAGCTGGAGATGGACGCATTCCTTGCCCAACGAACTTGTGCAGGTGTCTACCTTGACCTGATGACAGAAAAGAGGTCAGCTAATGCAAAAAGTAAGCAATTCCATTTCGAAACTCTACACATTGGTAACTGGCACGCTGACGAGAGACAAAACAGGGTTATGGAGTCGATTGTGGAATACTATAACCAGGGCCACTTCACGCCCATCCGACCTATTCAGATACTCGACGCGGATTCAGCCCGGGAGTCGTTCCGAATCATGCAGCAAGGTGCTCACCTGGGCAAGCTCGTGATTTCTTTATGCCACGCGGTCGGCCGCCTCAAGATGGATACCAAGGCTGTTGTTGCGATCAAGGAACCGAAGCTGGAGCAGTCGGTTTCGCATCTTTGGTTGGCGGTCTCGGCGGTCTTGGACGTTCCATTGCTCGATGCTTGGTTGAGCGTAATGCGCGACGACTCGTCTTCCTCTCTTGCAGTGCTGGTGATAGCCCTGAGGATTGTAGATTTCGTGCCGGAACTTGAGAGTCTAGGCTGTGCTGTTGAACTTGTCAAGGCCTTTGCAGTGTGATAAACAAGGACGACGTTTTTCGTGCCATACAGCTTGCACCGAACATGAAGGGCATTCCCCAAGCCTCCATGGTTCTTCGCGATGAAGCATTCTCTCGCATGGCCTATGAAGACTGGAACACGGCAACGCTGCCCAAGGTCAGGGGCACTTGGAACCTCCATGAGGTCACGAGTCAGGCTGGCATCAACCCCGACTTCCCTATTCTCCTCTCTTCCATGTCTGGTACTACGGGTATGGCGGGCCAAGCCAACTATGCAATCGCAAATACTTTCCTCGACTCCTTTGTGCAGTACCGGACTGCTCTTGGGCTGCGTGCCTCGTGTATCGACCTGGGAGCTGTTCAAGACGCGGGTTATGTCGCCAACGATAAGGCACTTCTGGAGAGGATGAATCTGGCAAATACCAACGGTGTCTCTGAGTGTGAACTCCTCGAGGCTATCAGAAGAGCCATCCCATCGCCCCCGGTAAAGTCAGAATCAGGAGGCTTTGTTGACAACAACACCTTTGTGCTTGGCATATTCACTACCGTGCCCCTGGGTAGCCAGGAAAGTCGTGCATTCTGGAAAAGGACAGACGTATTGCGGTGTATCATAACGCATCCATGAAGTCTTGCAACGGCTCCGAGGCCAGCAGTGACGTTCTCAAGTCATTACTCGCCAAGGCCAGGACTGAACCGGCCATCTTCAAAACCACAGTCAAAACTCTTGCGATTTAGATTCGCAAGAAGCTGTTCATGTCCTGCTCAAGTCGGAAGATGATCTCGACGTCTCGACCTGTTTTGCTAACTCTCAGCCTTGACTCGCTGGTGGGAGTTGAGACGCGAAGCTGGTGGCGACAGACCATTGGGTTTGACTTTACCGTTCTCGAGATGCTGGGTATGGGAACTCTTGGGAGTTTGGGATGGCAAGCGGCGCAAGGGCTGTTGAAGCTGTATGGTGAAGAAGCCTCTTGATCTGTGAATGGATCGTCAGGGATGTTTCAATCACAAACGGGAATAAGCAGGCAAACACCCTGAAACTTGCAAGCAGAAGTGACGTGACAAAAGCTCATAGTCAAACACCGGGCCGAAGCGATGCGTGGGCAATATTGCCGAGGAATTTCATTTTGCAGTGGCTTGATTCCCGTGATTTCTTCGACTATAGGAATAGAAAATTATGGAGAGAAATTACCAAAGAAAGATGCCGAAAGAAAAGATGATAAAGAGGAGGTGATGGGAGGAGGATAATGAAGCCGAGAAATGGGGTGCGTGCCTGAGGTGTGAATGATTTGGGCTGTGTGCGGTTACGTAAGCAGACCACTGATGAGTAACGCAAGGTCTTGAATGAAACATCTTGAGTACCTAGATTTTATGTAGACTAATTGTGTGGCTACTTCTTATTGTAAATATTTTATATTAATTATAATTGTATAATTGAAAAGGAAATACTCAGGGAAGATGTTGGGGACGCCGCTTGTTCGTTGAAGCTGCACGACTCCAGTATGGCGAAGTTCAAAAAAGATGCATCGTTGGATATCACATGTTTGAGCTGCACCACTGCAGTATTAAATAATATCCTTATATTATTGCAAAGTTCTATTCTTCTTCTCAAGCTGAACTGTGATCTGGAAAAACTTTTTTCTATTTACAACACTTTTCTTAGAGGCACGCAATGTAAGAGATCCTCTGATAAATATCACATGCCTAACCTATACACGCAAAAACTGACACTTCGACTTCCACTCCCCTGACTGGTCTAGAATAATTACCCTTAGTAAGCATTGTGTTGAATAAGGCTATTCTATATTCAGGTTTCATATTGTCCGAAATACTCCGTACCATCATCACCGATATGGTGAAGCCACGTGGTTGGTTCGGACAAAATAGGACCGACAAGCACGGTACTGACTAACCACGATCCCTTTTATTCCCTTAAATATCCCGTCATTTTCTTTGTGAAATGTTCCTCTCTCCTGTACTGTGACATCTTACATGAGGGAAAAGCTGGAATCGTAGATCTTGAGAGCGGGAGCTAAAACGCCGTGGACTACATAATACTAAACGTGTATCAGTCTCTAGGAGACTCCTGATGCTATTGTTCAGTCCGTCGTACTTGGAGTATTCCATCATATATCACTCTTGAAATCATCCCATTAGATCACTGATTACTATGCATATGCCGCCGAGTTTGCCGTTTAGTGCAACTTAACCGTTCCCTGCCACTCAGTCGCATCTCCGCGTATCTGGACAGTGCTACACACCATATGACAGATAAACCACATTCAAACGTCCACTGGCTCATTTCTCGGATTCCCCAGCCAATAAGAGGGCTGACCAGCGCGGTGGTTCGGTTCAAATCCGACCAACGTCGTTATCGGGACACCAGCTGCAGGCAAGCCCGTGTTTTTCGGAATTAAGGTTAGTTCTGCTGAGCTGTGGGAGGGTGGCCTCTCCACTGAGCTTTGTGAGATGCTATGTACGAAACTTGCGTGGCATGGGTTCGATTTTGTGGATCACAGATGAAGCATCTCTGTGGCCACCAATGCTATACGGTAAGAATCAAGAAAACCCAGAAAGCTCCCTTGCTGAATTCATAATATCCAATCAATATTACAAAATCAGATGTAAATAAAAGCAACGGTTCAGATCGTTGCTCATATTCATCTCATAGGTTCGAGTATGTAGATAGTCGAGCTTTGTTGTTCGATACATGAAGAATTCAACAACTGCAAGGGTGGTCCATGTAGAGGGAAAGATGCATATAATATCACCATTCCTCTGGAAGAAAATGAGGATCAAGTGACATAAGAGCAGTGGTCTTTCTGATTGAGTTCCTGATAATTTGGGAGTGTATCGGAACTGAGTCTGTTACATCTTTCTACTATGTGTAGACTCACCCATGATAAGCAGACCAAAGGTCGTCGTGTATTAGGAAGAGTATTTTGAAATTTTATCAAGAGTAGTTGGATCGATCAAGGTCAATCTCAATGCGTAAATGAAATCTCATGGGTTGTCGACATCATGGCCGATGACCGAGCTCCGTGACAGCTCTTACCCAGCAGCTTGTCGAAAAGAAAATCTGCGCATTCAAATGGCAGTGAATGCAAAATATAGATATAAAATTATCCCAAAACTTGAAAATTGACGCCTCATCCGTTGAAATGCTAGTCAATAGTGCCTTTTGGGTACGCAGTATTGGCACATGATGATAAATATGTAAAGAAGAAAAAGGGCGAACAAACCCAGACCGCCCCATCCAACAATGCCTGGACAACGCATCGCACAGCTTACCTTGGGTAATATCCTTCTCAGCCCAACGCATCCCAGCTACAAACATTTCAGCCGGCTAATCGAGAGACCGCGTCCAAGACGCACCGTAAGCAGCTTCACCTCATGGAACCCAAAAGAAAGAACCCCCCCCCATGTTCCAACATACACCTCCATGTACACAATACTCGTCACCATGCATCCACATCCCGCATGCCACACAGCCAGACACCAGATAGACCAAATGTACACTCTACTTCCCGGGCAGGGATTGCTACCGCCCCCAGACAGATCTCCCAACTTTAGGACCGACGAAGCCGCAAATTTGCACCGTCTTGGCCAATCGGCGGAATGATGTCCCACTTCTGGCCGCCGATGCGGGTGTGGCAAATAACTTCTCCATATAACTCCCAAAAAGACCAGGAACCAATTCAGCCGGCCCCCAGATCTTGCACAGAAGCGGCAAGGCGTCGTCAAAAGCGGTTATTCGGCCCGGCGGGGAGCCCCAAGCCACCGATCCGCCGTTTTAATGTGGGTTCAACTAGAAGAATCAGATGAATCATCAGGGAAAAAAAACATTGGGTGGGACTGAGGCTCCCTCTGTCCGTCTCAGGCACGGCTTGGGGCACAAGAGACGGAAACAAGCTACTGTAGGTTACGGCTTTAGGAAACAGGGGGAGGGGGCCAGAAATGCTTACCCCTGTTTGGTTTGGCAAACAATTTTCATTATTAACCATGCAATTATCCCGGAGGGGAATCCTCCGCATATACAAAAAGTCTTTGAAGAGGGGAAACATGTTCAAGGGACCGTTGCTCAACGACGGAAACATGGAGAAGTGTGGAGACGGCTTTGGTGGTCTGCGAGGGTCTGGGCAAGGGGGGCCATGACAAGACGAAATTTGCTGCTTGCTGCTCAACAGCATGTCATGTCGACTAAGAAGGATCTGGGATTCACGGCAATGGGGGACGGAATGCTGACCGCAAGTAGGATTATTCCGCCTTGGTATAATATCGTGCTATACTTTAGCCAGCGAATGAGAGAAATGGCCTGGACAATTGATTGACGTGCTCGTACACGGATACGGCGCAACTTGTACAGTAGGCGAGTAATGATACATGTGCATGCCTCGTGATGGGTATTTGTATTTCCGGATACTGCGGAACCGCGGAAGCTCTGGAGTCGAAGCTGAGCTGCCCGGACTTCCCCAGCTTCCCTCTACGCATTATCAGCTACTGTAAACTGGAGATGATCGTCGGTTTTCACGCTCGGGAAGCTCCCAGCTCGTCGTTAAGGTAATGCAATAAGGGTGCATTGTATGAAACCATGGCACGTTTTTCCCCACCCTTTTGAAAACTTTGAATCTATTTATGAATCGACGGCGATGGAGAAACACATGTATTTACAGTCTTGTATCGTCAAAATACGACTTAATAAATCTACAGTCAAGAAACCGAGTTTTTGTGAATTGTCTTCGTGGAAATATGAAAGTGTAGTCCGGCAGGATCTTGTTTGTGTCGTGTATTATTAGCATTACAGTACTCAGACTATTGATTTGATATGGTCCAGATATTCGGCAGCATCACCTCACTCCTTACCCCAATCTCCTGTTTACCAAATATTTCCGTGAGAATAACTTCCCCACGACTTTCTTGTTTTCACAGCTTCTCCGCACTTTTGACCAGGCTCTGCTGGCAGGACGGATACTCTCGCTTCGGGTCTCATGATGATCCTGGTCAGTTCCTCTCCGAATGGTAGTAATCTGCAGTTGTTTCCCCGCTTTTCTACTTAGCCGGCGACGACGAGATGAATTGCGTCCTTGCGGGAGTAATGGCTAAAAGAGAAAATGGAAATAAAAGAATAAAAGAAATTCCAAAAGGTCCGGCTATTCATATTGAATCCTCGGTTGCTGCTCAAGCTAATCGGCAACGGCCCGTGCATCTGTCACTCACCCTGGGCTAAGACCAAGCTAAACGAAATAGCCCAGAATAGGAGATTTAGACAAGCAAAAAAAAGGGCTGCCTGTCAATGACTGCCATGAACCGTCATTCAACTAGCGGCTGGCAGTGCGTTGCTGTTATTCAGGCTAAATATCTTGAGATGCCGGTAAATCCTTGGTGGGGATAATTGCCATTGTGGAGAGCCTTGATGCAGGTCGAACCACACCATCAACTGGGATTCCGTATGGGGTATGGGGTAATAAGCTGCAAGCAGAAAGATGCATGTGGGATGTAACATCGTCATAGCCATACCGCCCAATTTAAATATCGACCGTTCCTGAAGTTGAGATGGAAAAGAAAAAAGAAGAAGAAGAGACAAGAGCCATTGAGAGACAGCAACTGCTCAGCTCGTCACAATGGTGAACAACGCAGCTCTCGTCGCCGCTCTGTCGGCTCTTCTGCCCACAGCTCTGGCACAGAACAACCAGACATACGCCAACTACTCTGCTCAGGGACAGCCCGATCTCTTCCCTCAGACTCTTGCCACCCTCGAGCTCTCGTTCCCCGACTGCGATCATGGCCCTCTGAAGAACAACCTCGTCTGTGACTCTTCGGCCGGATATGCCGAGCGAGCCCAGGCCCTCATCTCGCTCTTCACCCTCGAGGAGCTGATTCTCAACACTCAGAACTCGGGCCCTGGCGTGCCTCGCCTGGGTCTTCCAAACTACCAAGTCTGGAACGAGGCTCTGCACGGCTTGGATCGCGCCAACTTTGCCACCAAGGGCGGCCAATTCCAATGGGCAACTTCTTTCCCCATGCCCATTCTGTCAATGGCAGCTCTCAACCGCACTCTGATTCACCAGATTGCAGACATCATCTCGACCCAAGCTCGAGCATTCAGCAACAGTGGCCGCTACGGCCTTGATGTCTATGCCCCCAACATCAATGGCTTCCGAAGCCCTCTCTGGGGCCGTGGACAGGAAACGCCTGGTGAAGACGCAAACGTCCTGACCTCTGCCTACACGTACGAGTACATCACTGGTATGCAGGGCGGTGTCGACCCCGAGAACCTCAAGATTGCTGCCACGGCCAAGCACTTTGCCGGATACGATCTCGAGAACTGGAACAACCAGTCTCGTCTGGGCTTCGACGCCATCATCACCCAGCAAGACCTCTCCGAGTACTACACTCCCCAGTTCCTTGCCGCGTCACGCTACGCAAAGTCTCACAGCTTCATGTGCGCATACAACTCTGTCAACGGCGTGCCAAGCTGCGCCAACAGCTTCTTCCTCCAGACTCTGCTGAGAGAGAGCTGGGGCTTCCCCGAATGGGGCTACGTCTCATCCGATTGCGATGCCGTCTACAACGTTTGGAACCCTCACGATTACGCCAGCAACCAGTCCTCTGCCGCCGCCAGCTCTCTGAGGGCCGGTACCGATATTGACTGCGGTCAGACATACCCATGGCACTTGAACGAGTCCTTTGTGGCTGGCGAGGTCTCCCGCGGCGAGATCGAGCGCTCCGTCACCCGGCTGTACGCCAACCTCGTCCGACTTGGATACTTTGATAAGAAGAACGAGTACCGTTCGCTCGGCTGGAAGGATGTCGTCAAGACCGATGCTTGGAACATCTCTTATGAAGCCGCTGTTGAGGGCATTGTCCTGCTCAAGAACGATGGTACCCTGCCTCTGTCCAAGAAGGTCCGCAGCATTGCCCTGATCGGACCCTGGGCCAACGCCACCACCCAGATGCAGGGCAACTACTTTGGCGCTGCTCCATATCTCATCAGCCCTCTGGAGGCTGCTAAGAAGGCTGGCTACCAGGTCAACTTTGAGCTCGGAACAGAAACCGCCAGCACCAGCACTGCCGGCTTTGCCAAGGCTATTGCTGCTGCCAAGAAGTCGGATGCCATCATCTTCGCTGGTGGTATCGACAACACGGTTGAACAGGAGGGTGCTGACCGCACGGACATTGCTTGGCCCGGTAACCAGCTGGATCTCATCAAGCAGCTCAGCGAGCTTGGCAAGCCCCTCGTCGTCCTGCAGATGGGCGGTGGTCAAGTTGATTCGTCTTCTCTCAAGAGCAACAAGAAGGTCAACTCCCTTGTCTGGGGTGGATACCCCGGCCAGTCCGGAGGTGTTGCTCTCTTTGATATCCTGTCTGGCAAGCGTGCTCCTGCTGGCCGACTTGTCTCGACCCAGTACCCAGCCGACTATGTTCACCAGTTCCCCCAGAACGACATGAACCTCCGCCCCGATGGAAAGTCAAACCCCGGACAGACTTACATCTGGTACACTGGCAAGCCCGTCTACCAGTTTGGTGACGGTATTTTCTACACCACCTTCAAGGAGACTCTCTCTGGCAGCTCCAAGGGCCTCAAGTTCAACGTCTCATCGGTCCTCGCTGCGCCCCACCCCGGATATACCTACAGTGAACAGACCCCAGTCCTCACCTTCACTGCCAACATTGAGAACTCGGGTAAGACTGACTCGCCATACTCGGCCATGCTGTTCGTCCGCACTGCCAACGCTGGCCCAGCCCCCTACCCGAACAAGTGGTTGGTTGGATTCGACAGACTTGCCACTATCAAGCCTGGTCACTCCTCTAAGCTCAGCATTCCCATTCCCGTCAGCGCCCTTGCCCGTGTCGACTCCCTTGGAAACAGAATTGTTTACCCTGGCAAGTATGAGCTGGCTTTGAACACTGACGAGTCAATCAAGCTGGAGTTTGAGCTTGTGGGCGAGGAGGTGACGATCGAGAACTGGCCGCTGGATGAGCAGCAGATTAAGGATGCCACTCCATAGATGTATGATTTTGTTATGATGGGACAGTAGTAATAATGAATGAAAAGAGTCGTATTTCGCTTTACACGAAAGGAATCGCCTGTTGCGCCTGTGACTATTGGTTGATATTTGTTGTAATATTCGCCAACTGTGCTTCACACCCAGTACTCCCAGATCTTGGTGTCACTAACTCGGCGATAGATGTGCTGGATGTGAGCACCCTGGTTACTTGTGCTAACGGTTAGTGGATACAAGCCACAAGGGTAGGTAAAAGCTTATGTGCTCGGATTCAACCTAGTGGGGTGGTCCCATGAGAGGAAGTCTTTGTGTAGGTGCGACTTTGATCATGACATGGACTCCTGGACGGATCGACATTGATGAGAGGAGCTAATTCGCTGTTAGATTGTGCTGATGACGGCTCTTTCTGCCAACAAAGGGTTATTCATGCTAATACGTAATTTGCCATCTTGTCAATTTTACCCATACTTACGCAGGCGGCTATTCACACGCCTACAACGCTAGGGCTGACTGCGATTGGTCAATCCGGAGGTAGCAAGGAATGCCACAATGGCCATCTGTGCGTCTCTTTATTGACACTTTGGAAGAATCCAGGCCAAGACCCTTGACTGGATTTACGCCGGCGGATCGTCCACTCGTATGTGCCTGTAACTTGCTCTCGCATTCAAGGTGGCAGATCACCTTCTTGTTCGGTCATGGCGCTCGTCTCTTGAAAAAGAACACTTGCCTTTTCAGGTTTCCCCAGAATCGCGTCATCCACTTTGTGTTTTAAGTTTAAAGTGTCTGAAAAAGCGATTGCGAGGCCGCTATTCTGCCAATGCCTCGGATTGTCGCGATCGATTCTGGTGCCAATGTGAATATCGAGGCAGAAAGCATAAAACGGCGTCGTCAGCTTCAGTTCTTTGAGTGCCGAGTGTATTTGATCGTGTACGTACATCAATTTCTACCCCGGTGGCTCGGAGTCGCCAGCGGCAGTGGAGAAAGGCTGGTTGGTAGCGGCATTTGGTCCGGGTAGTGAATTGGGCGACATGTCCGCATGCCCCGGATCCCGGCGAACTGTCACCATCGCGGCCTTGTCCCGGCCAAGCAAACATGTAACCTTCCATAGCAGCCCAAACGTATAGCCTATTGTGGTATCGTGGCAGAAAAAGAAGCCGCACTAATGCTTGATTGTGGAAAAAATGACTATAGTGTCAACTTTCTCCTAGTTGTATATCTCCGTGTGGGTGGTATTGCAACGATTGAGTTTGCCCGCAATCTTGCCGAGCCCACGAGTCTCTGTAACGTTATCAGGCTCATTAAGGCCTTGGCCAAGAGCTCAGAGTTTGGTCAAAGTGGTCCTGAAAAGACGCAGTAAAGCCACCTTGGACACTTGTATAAATAGTGGGCAAGGAGTTGCTCCTCTGGCTTTCTTTTTTAGTATCCCTGACCCATCATCTCACGAAGATGCGTTACGAAACCGCGGCAGCTCTGGCAATTGCCACCGCGCCCTTTGTTAGGGCAGACAGTTAGTATCCCGAACTCTATGCAAAGGCCCACGTATTTGTTCAAGGTATGATGCTGAATGGTGGATAACAGGTAGCTCAAAAGCAGGAGTCTCGGAACGCGCAGTAGTCCCTCCTGCAGGTACTCCCTGGGGTGTTGCGTACGGCAAGGCAAAGACAGCATTAGCACAGCTCACTCTTCAAGATAAGGTCGGCATCGTGACTGGAGTGGGTTGGAATAACGGACCTTGCGTTGGAAATACGTCTCCAGTCTCCAAGATTGGTTATCCATCTCTATGTCTTCAAGACGGACCCCTCGGCGTTCGGTTCTCATCCGGCAGCACAGCATTTACACCGGGTGTTCAAGCCGCCTCAACGTGGGATCTAAATCTAATCAATCAACGTGGACAATTTATTGGACAAGAGGTTAGGGATACGGGAATTCACGTCACCCTCGGTCCCGTAGCCGGACCGCTGGGAAAGACGCCCCAGGGAGGTCGCAACTGGGAAGGTTTCAGTCCTGACCCATATCTCACTGGATTGGCCATGGCTCAGACGATCAATGGCATCCAGTCGGTGGGAGTGCAGGCGACGGCCAAACACTACATCCTCAATGAGCAGGAACGCAACCGAGAGTCAATGTCGAGCAACGCCGACGACCGCACTCTCCACGAGCTTTATGCCTGGCCTTTTGCCGACGCGGTGCAGGCCAATGTTGCCTCTGTCATGTGCTCCTACAACAAGCTCAACACGACTTGGGCGTGCGAGGATCAGTACACGCTGCAAACTCTGTTGAAAGACCAGCTGGGGTTCCCGGGATACGTCATGACTGATTGGAATGCACAGCACAGCACTGTGCAGAGCGCTATTGCGGGTCTCGATATGTCAATGCCCGGCACTGACTTCAACGGCAACAACAGGTACTGGGGCCCGGCTCTCACCACTGCGGTCAACAACAACCAGGTGCCCACCAGCAGAGTTGACGATATGGTGACACGTATCCTCGCTGCGTGGTACCTGGCAGGCCAAGACAAGGCAGGCTACCCGTCATTGAGCCTCAGTAGGAACGTTCAAGGGAGCCACAAGTCCAACGTGAGAGCAATTGCCAGAGACGGCATTGTTCTCCTCAAGAATGACGCCAGCATCCTGCCATTGAAGAAGCCTGCGAGTATTGCCGTCATCGGGTCGGCCGCCATCATTGGTAACCACGCCAGCAATGCAGGTTCGTGTGGCGATAAGGGCTGCAACAATGGTGCTTTGGGCATGGGCTGGGGCTCTGGCGCCGTCAACTACCCTTATTTCGTAGCGCCCTATGATGCCATCAATACCAGGGCCACTTCCCAGGGCACCAAGGTTACCTTGAGCAACACAGACAACACGTCCTCGGGCGCATCTGCAGCAAGCGGAAAGGATGTCGCTATTGTCTTCATCACTGCCGACTCGGGCGAAGGCTACATCACTGTGGAGGGCAACGCTGGTGACCGCAACGACTTGAACGCCTGGCACAACGGAAACGCTCTGGTTCAGGCAGTGGCAGGGTCCAACAGCAATGTCATCGTCGTCGTTCACTCTGTGGGAGCCATCAACCTAGAGCCGATCCTCGCTTTGTCCCAGGTCAAGGCCGTTGTCTGGGCTGGTCTGCCATCGCAGGAGAGCGGCAATGCGCTTGTTGACATTCTGTGGGGAGATGTCAGTCCCTCTGGCAAGCTGGTGTACACTATTGCCAAGAGTCCAAACGACTACAACACGCGCATCGTTTCTGGCGATGACAACTTTAGCGAGGGACTCTTTATCGACTACAAACACTTTGATGACGCAGGCATCACGCCTCGGTACGAGTTTGGTTTTGGATTGTGTAAGTTCCCGTTGTCCCTGACGAAGTATTAGATGCGAGTGACTGACGAATGAATTCAACAACAGCTTACACCAAGTTCAACTACTCCCGCCTCTCTGTCTTGTCCACTGCAAAATCTGGTCCTGCGACTGGTGCAGTAGTACCTGGAGGCCCGAGTGATCTTTTCCAGAATGTCGCGACCATTACCGTGGATATCGTGAATTCCGGCCAAGTGACTGGCGCCGAAGTTGCTCAGCTGTACCTCACTTACCCATCTTCAGCGCCCAGAACACCTCCTAAGCAACTGCGTGGCTTTGCGAAGCTGAACCTGACGCCAGGCCAGACTGGAACGGCGACATTCAACATTCGAAGACGCGATCTGAGCTACTGGGACTCGAGCTCGCAGAAGTGGGTGGTGCCATCGGGATCGTTTGGCGTCAGCGTAGGAGCGAGCAGCAGGGATATCAGACTTACGGGCAGTCTGTCGGTTGCTTGAGGGCGAATATTGTAGAACTGCAGCGGAGAGTTAGCGAGGCATCTCCACTGTAGTATAGTAGTAGATACTGTATATTGTCGGAAGGGAAATTCCGCATGTACCGAAAAAAATTGGAACAAGCAAGAAATTTGAAGCGCGGCTGCGAAATTCGGTGACTGAGAATATGTGTGAGAGTTGAGATTCGTTTGTTTTGATTTTGGAGAGGAAATGGCAAAATGGGTACGTTATTGCAAGTCGCACGGAGTAGGTACTTTGCAGTTCGGAAATTGCGTCCTCAGGAATCAACGGAACAGCGTTATTCCCCATCCATGGCAGTACTCCGTATAAAGCACACTGTACCGCTGATTGTGATGTACCTGCTCTTGCTGCTCGATTCACTGTAATTTGAAGCAATAATTCTTCAACCACAGGCACTTCAAGTTTCCGACAGCAGCGCATTCACATCTTTTGCATGTGAATTCTTCTTGCCTCGCAATTTGCTGACAGCGCAGGCACTCGGTTCCGTGAATACTCTCCCTCTGTATTTCGATTCCACTGACGAGAATGGGCCCGTGATTCACCACTCGGAAACGCTTTGCGACTTCATCGATCCGATGCGCCGATCCGAGTGCCGATGTTACGATGTCGCCTCCGGATTCAGACAATGACGGTGTTGCTCTGATTCGAAACTACCCACTGGTTGTGGAGAGAGTGCATTTCGCATCTAGATCTCGGCTCGAATGGCTAATATTCGATTCTGGGACGCTATATTGATACCACAGTATCCTCGAATACCGCTCTTTAAGAGCCTGACGATTGTTTGACGTAGCTTCCTCTGGTGGCCGTGGTCCAAGGGCTGCCGACTGGCTCAACGATTACCTCGCGAAATGTGGCGATACGACCATATACAGCTTGTCATTATCTGAAAGCCTCATAGGCGGAGCCAAGGCGGCCGGCCAATGTTAGACTGGATGGATGAGTATAATGAATCGACATGGACAAAACAATAAACCAGGAAAACGATGTCGGCGTATATCAACGGGGCATTTCACAAACCCACACACGATGCGCGGAGACCCTATAGAGGATGCCAAAGGAGCAATCCATTCCAACTTCCGATACTATTTATTCTACTATCTGATCAACATTCGTACTTGACCCCTAGAATCCAACACATGGAATCTAGTTGTCAAGTATTTCCTTGACCTTGTGTAAATCACCCGCGAGTCTTGTAAGGTGCAATACGTCAGCCGAACACGCTATGAACGACATTCTCTTTGCTGCTTCTTTGATCGCCTCGGGGCTACCGAATGGAGGATCGGCAAAAGCAAAACCTCCATATGGCTTGTCGTGCTTGTCCATAACAGAAAAGAACTTTTCTTTTGCTGCGAGCCACTCCTTCTCTGTGCCTCCCGCGAACCCACCGGGAAGATTCATGCTCACGCGAGCATCTAAAGCGCCAAGCCAGACAATGTCGATATCGGGGACTTCGGTCAGAATTGCGTCGAGGTTGTTAATACCTAGGTACTTCGTTAGTATTATGCCACGAGAGACCAGAGGTTGGCTAATTTTCATGCCTTCGAGAGTCTCGATCTGAATCATGATAGCCGCCTGGTCATTCAGATTCTGATGGATATCACGAGCCGAGTCGATCGTTTGATCCGTAATACCAGGGATCAACCGGAATGGAGGAGCCGATCGAGAACCCCTCTGTTTGGAACCGAACTTGGCAGACGACACGACATGTTTTGCTTCTTCTACGGTATTGACCTTGGTGATGACACCATTTAGACCCCAAAGTAGTTTCTTAGGCGGTTACACGTACCTGAGGAATGATGATACTAGCACCAGCATCCAGAGCATATCCGATAGCAGCGTGATCATGGCCCGGTACTCGGACAAATGGAATTGTGGCCCCCTGGCTCATGAAGATCGATTCGTGCACCATGCTTGTCATTGTCTCAACGTTACAAGAGCTGTGTTCCCAATCAATCCAAACAGCATCAAAGTTCATTGGGGCTAAGAAGCGGGTGATGGGCAGGGAGCTGAGTCCTGCATAGTAGCAGAGCAAAGGTCTGATCTTCTTTTGATGGGCATCTCGGATGGCATCACGAGCCCGGTGAGGCTGAAAGAGGGAGGGGGCGGCGTAGGCCTGCATCCCTTGAGAGGTGGTAGAAGCAGTGGCAGAAGGCATTGGAAGATGAGAAAATTGGTATTCAGTAGGTAGTTATGATTGAGAAGTGGCAATGGGTGAAGATATTCGGTGAAAAAGACTTGGAGACTGTGAGAGTTTTAAAGCAAACAATCGGCTCCATATTATTAGGCTTTAGACAATGCATATCCCAACAACTTTGGTGAAAGTGGGAATCACCTCACGTTACCAAAATAGTAGCACGTTGTCTTTGATATGGATTTGATCCTTCTGCAATCTAATGTCGTTCATAACGATCTGTTGCTGTGGGCTCCTCTAAGCGGAAACTGAGCCTCGTCAGTCTCGACAGATACGCATCCGCCCCTTTAACTGGTGGACACTGAATACGCTTCATAAATTATTGGCCAATACGCAACGATGCTGTATGTCACCAAGCACCTGATGAAATGCTTGTTGTTCGGATATAGAGATATTCCCGGTGAGCGAGAAGGAATATTGCCTCGTAGGATTTGCCCCGTTCGATCCTATTCTCTTATATCTTGGTTACTTGTTCATCTCACGTGAGATTTTAATCTATTTGTGTGATGTGGCTGCATTGTTATTGATTGATCGGAAATGCGTTTATTTCGAACTGAAACATATTTGATGCACACTTCACGACATCAGCTGGTTTCGTAATTGGCTTCATATTGCCCGCTTGTATCTCTCCTGAAATCCTTGCTTTGATATATATCGCCCCCCTTCTTCGACCCATTCTGTTTTGTGCCATTTGATGACCCAGTTCATTGAGTTATCACATTCAACCTAAGCATCGTCACTTATCGTATTCGAAGGAATAGTTCACGTCATCAACATTGGGGCAGTGGATTCCTAGGCTGCATTTTGACTTTTCTTTGCAGCGGCAAACCCATTCCGAGCTGTGTGGAGAGCGGATTACTTATAGCTTCAGCAGCCCTATCAAGCTATTGCAATCCCTGTTCAAGCTCAAGATCGATCTGCTGGCGCGCTCCTTGGTGGGAACTATCTGCTGGCGTCGCAGTTATAGTCCAAATGTAGCTTTATGCGCCGCTAGCTGGCTCCATGAGTTAGTCAGATGGGCTCAACACCGCCACATCCTTCAACCTTTTAGCGACCCGGTTGCTTGGATATCTGGCTAATCACACGGCGTATTATGCAACTATACAGTCCTTAAAATATGGACTGGAAGGCCGGTTTGTTCTCTTTGATGATTTCTGCTTTTCTACGGAGTACTTCCCCACGTTGATGCGATCCTCAGTTTATAGTATGTGCTACGATCATTTTCATCACGGCATACAAACCGTGTGACAACTTATAGGAACGCTACTAATATAATCTAACAAAGAAACCTCAAGACACGAGATTCTGAATTAATTTAGACTCATTAAAGTTGATAATTAACACAAAATATACTTTTTCTCTGAGCTACTTACCATCTCGAGAACAGATTAGCCAAATGGACCCAGGCAGTCCGTCGCGCGGAGCCATTCCGCAAAGGGAAGTAAGATCTTGGGTCGTATCTAGTGGCGGAGATAGAATGAGGCAGAGAATCAGGAGCAAACGCTTTCTTGTTGCTAACAGGGGACGTTTTTATATCAAGACACGTGTCATATCGTTCGGAGACGTTTTCCCCATTAGGAAAGAAAAGACCAAAGGGCGTTTGATGCAGCTGGCAGCAAGGCGCGGAGTGTCCTGGTCTTGAGTGTCAGAGCTTGGAAGCTACATTAGTCCACAGTATAGTCTAAATACCCAATTTCATCTTCATATATTCAAGACAAATCTTTCATGTTAAAAATACGAGTATGGGAAACACAATTGCTATTTCGGTGGTGTCTAGGAGTAGGGGTACACTCAAGATCAACTGGAAGAATCAGGGGCAAGCCAGTGAGGGAAACTACGCCAAAGTCTTGATTATCCATAGACAGATGAAATATTGGGCCATTAATATTATTAAGAAGCCTATTGCTGGCCGAAATTCCGTAATTCGTGTTTCGTTTGTCAGCATGATAACAAATCTTCGCTCAGCACTTGCAACCGTTAAGCAAACGATAAACGCGCTACCAGTGCTTCGAGTATTGTAGCTCTTGCGCTTTGCATCCCATTCCTAATTGGGAAGTATAACTTATTTATCTTTCACCATCTCCTCATACAACCTAAAAGGGCAATCGCCAAGTTGTTTTTTTTTTGTTGGAAAAGGATTATGAAACGCCTGTATACGACGTAAAATGTTACGCTGCTTGAGTCTTCACTGTATAAAATCTCTTATTATCCCGTAATTTAAAACAGCATTTAACCATCGGCTTTGGTTGAAATTTCGGTAATAATTACTGAACAGTGATACACCATCTATCGTTAGCAGAAAAATCACCAGAAATGCCTTCCTCAACCAACACGCAGCAGCCCCGTGTCATCCTTGGCCTCATGACATTCGGCCCAGACGTGAATGCAGGCGCTCGAATTACAACCCTAGACGAATTTCGCCAGTGCCTTGATCATTTCCAGGCCGAGGGCTACAACGAAGTAGATACTGCCCGAGTGTATGTGAAAGGAAAGCAGGAGGAATTCACCGCAGCAGCTGGGTGGAAAGAGAGAGGTTTGACGATCGCTACCAAAGTTTATCCATCAGAGCCCGGATTTCACAAGCGTGACAGTCTCCGCCAAAAGCTTTCCGAGTCGCTGGCCGCATTGCAGACCGACAGCGTCGATATCTTCTACCTGCATGCGGCGGATCGATCTGTCCCTTTCGCTGAAACTCTCGAGGCGGTTAACGAGATGCACAAGGAGGGCAAGTTTCGCCGTCTGGGACTGAGTAACTATACTGCATTCGAAGTCGCCGAGATTGTGACATTGTGCACTGAGCGTGGATGGGTGCGCCCAAAGATATACCAGGCTATGTATAACGCGATAAGTATGTTGATTTCGCCCATTCGGACGCACACCCCTCGGACCGAAGCTAATGATACTTGTACCATATAGCGCGATCTATCGAGGCTGAGTTGATCCCTTGCTGTCGGCGATACGGAATGGACATTGTGATCTACAATCCTCTCGCTGGCGGTATCTTCTCTGGAAAGTATCAGTCTGCAGCAGTTGTTCCGGAAGACGGCCGTTACAGTAACAAAAATACAACAGGAGCCACGTATCGGAAGCGGTATCTAAACGACGTCGTTCTTGATGCTCTGAAGGTTATTCAGGTTACCGCGGAGGCAAACAATTTGTCGCTCGTGGAGGTTGCGTTCCGATGGCTGCTGCATCACTCGCAATTGAAGCTGGGGGCGGCTGGAAATGATGGGCTGTTGATAGGGGTGAGCAGTTACGACCAACTCAAGTCCAACTTGGAATTGGTTAAACAAGGGCCACTGCCTGATGATGTTATTCAGGCGCTCGATGCGGCTTGGATGGGCGTCAAGCCGGTTGCGGCAAACTATTGGCATCTCGACCTTGCCTACACCTACGACACTGAAGCAGCCCTATTTGCTAAGGACCCTTGAAGTCAAGAATGCTAGTTTCAATGGAACATCACTTAATTCTTAGATATTAGGCTACCAGACGCAATGATACGGAGTAAACGCTGCACTAAAGACATGGCTTAACTACTTCAGGCCCGAGGCTTACGTCGGTGATAAACATGAAAGGCTTAGTAATATTCGCCCCCTTGTGTTTCTCTGAGAACATTCCAAACGCTGCATCCATCTCAGAGTTACTACCAGATAGTCAATCATGGATGGAAACGCCAAATTCACCTTCATCAACGGACCTAATGTTAAGTCGATCAGCTCAAAGGATGATCGCAGTTCCGTGCGATCGTGGTTCCTAAGACGAACCTTTGAGGATCGGCGAAAGGCGGCCCTCAACGCTAAAACAGGGCGCAAGAGAAACCTCCTACCGTCCAGCAGCAAGAAGCAAAGAAGGTCTCCAAAAAAGGGGATACTAGATGAGGAGGATTCCAAATCCATAAACGAGTTGATATCGAAACACGCCATTATTGCATCTGAAGATTCTGCTGCTCAGGTGCTTGAAAAGACCTCCGATGTCAGCACTGACGGTATCGAATCTCCCAAAAGCCAACTGCTCTTTTGGGGAAATCAGCGGAGCGATCCATTTGCTCCGAAATACATACCAGACATGGATAACAACTATGACAGGTTGATTGACCACTGTAACTTCTCCCCGGCTTCCTCAATCAGTTTACAGGAACACTGACACGTCCTAGGCATGCGTGTACTCTGGCCGGGCTTTCGGCGAGTGGACAGCTACGCTGTGCAATTTTATCAAACTTGGGTCCCTCGGTCTTTACAGTCTCCTCACTTACTAAACTCGATCCTCTTCTGCGCATCCAATCATACACTGACGTTGACCAACAGGGGCTTGTGCCCGAGAGAAGAGCAACTGCGATACCGAGGGCGGGCTCTGGAGTCACTCAGGACGATGATAACAAATGACAATTGCGATATTGAAGCTTTGATAATGTCATCCCTCTTCCTCTCCCTCAACGACGGCGTATACATACGCGGACCTATTGCCGGAATTTCGGGCCCATTCACGCCACCGCTACAGAGTTTGCAGTGGCTTGATAACTACGCCTCCAGAGAAGTACATCCGCTTCACTGGGCCGCTGTCGAGTCGCTTGTTTGCCAGATAGGCGGTATTCGGAGTTTGAAAAGTTTCGGATTACCGTGGCTGCTTTCGTTGTATGTAAGCCCTGTCGCGAGTGAACATATTTTGAATGTCATCTAACTGAGTCGGTATGTAATCAACAGCGCGGGGCTCTTAAAATCCTCAAAGGACTTTTCAAGACCATGTTATCCGTTGCTTGCGCCAGACGGCCAGCCGTTCGAATACAACCAGTGCATAGCTCTAGTCAAGATCGAGACGCCTTTCACAGCCACCCGGCCATCTGGGTTCCAATATTTTTCAGAATTAGGGCTTCCACTCCCAATGTGGGAGGTTTTCATCGATTTGAGCAATTTGTCCAATACAATAAGAGCCTATCACTGTGGCCTCGGCCCCCGATTTGAAGTCGATCGCATCGCGGATTGCCGCAACCTGATCCAACACCGATTGCTTTCTCTGCCACGGAATCGGCACGAATGTTGGGCTGAGATCCCTACCAAAGAAATCAATGACGCCACACTCTATCTGTTCTTAGCGTGTTGCTCGACAGCACTGCTCTACAGCACCCATGTCACATTTCCCATCCCTTGTCCTACAGTTCAGAGATTGGAGGCCCTTACTGACCTTCAGAAGTGGATCCAGCTGGCTGGTTATTATTGGGATGGCAGCAACACCCAGGCCTTACGCATGATGCTTTGGTGTACAGTTATTGGTGGGATTGCGGCGAAGGGCAATTCACCGCGGTTCTGGGCTGCGGCAGAAGTGAGCCGGTTATCGGCTCTTCTTGACCTGAACAGCTGGGTCGAGGTCCGAGATGTCATGAAGATGTTCTGCTGGATGGAACAAGCGTGCGATGTGGAAGGGCAAGAACTATGGAAGGAAGCTGAATTTTGCTCTACTGTTGCATTATGAGAAATGAAAATGATATCCAACAATCGTTACCAACAATCGTTACATTCTTTCTGAGCTCGAACACAGATGCCATCTTTTCTCACCTCTTGCCACCCCTTTTCTTTTAGTCTAATCTCTTATATAATATCACGACGTGAAGCAATGGCATATATCACATGAGAATACGTATAGGTCATTATCGTACCTGACGTTAAAACTATTACAAAGAAATTTATGCTCTCAGATATCCTTCCAGTCAAACTGGGCAAAGGCTTCCGGAGTCTGAATCAGAGCTCTAGAGGCTCCTAATAGCTCCTGGGCGTCAACGAGCACATCTCCAGGCCCAGTAGTCTGCCAGCTCTTCTCTGCCCCAGTAAATTCCCAAAACTTCATCATAATCCCCATCTCCGTCCCCCACTCCGCGAATAGCGCCTCATAGTCCTCAAAGGAAACGGACAGTATTTTGGGCACAGCATTATCCTTCCTCGTTACCTTCGCCCAGGTAGAGTAGTAGTCCTCTACGGTGTAAAAGCCTGTAGTGATGTGGATGTACTTTCCTCCTCCGCTGAGAGCCTCCTTATTACTTTTGTTTGCAAAAACTGCATGGACATCTTTCTCTAGAAGACCTTCAACAGCAGTTCCCACGTTGGACAGGGAGCCAAGGGACGCGATTTTTGTTTGTGTGGAGACGGGGGTTACGGTGATGAATCTTCCGGTTGGTTTCTGTATGTACAGAGGAAAGAGTTAGTGTAGTGTATTTGACAGCTGGTGGAGTACGACACAGGTAAGAAGTAGTGGAAACGAAATATCACAACAGTGGGATCATCAATGGAAATAGTACGTACAGCATAGAACGGAGTAAAGGGCGCATAGGTTAGATTCGACACGTAGAATGTCACCCAGAGAAAAACTGTCCTGTCCAATAGCGTCTCTTTCAGCTCACTCTTGATGTAATCATCAACTCTCGCCTTGGCTTGGAAATGCGGCACGGTGACGGCACCGTCGGAGAGTTTTGTCGAATTCGGAAGTGTGCTCCAGATATACAGCCTCAGAGTGGGGATCTTAGACGCAGCAAGGGCAAGGTTGATGCCCTGTTGATACTCAATATCCATGGCCCGCTTCGGGCCTACTCTAGCAAAGGGTTCGAAAAAGTCTGTAACTGCGAAGATTATGCTCACACCCGAAAAAGCCTTCTCTAGACTGGGCTCATCATTCAGGTCAGCAGCAACTACTTCAATTCCTTGTGCCAGGAGAGCTTTGCCTTTTTCGCTGTCGGGGTTGCGAGTTATGGCACGGAGTTTATAGGCTGGATTTTTTTGGAGGGCGGAGATTATAGAACCGCCTTGTGTGCCAGTTGCACCGACGATCGCGATGATTTCGGCCATTTCGATTTATTACTATTGTCAGAAGATAGTGTGTAAGCTAACATAGTTTTGGGCGAGAGGAGAGTGAAAGCATTTAATAGTGCTAACATAGTTGTGTTTGGTCTATGTACTTCTATCTATCAATTGTTAACGTGAGGGTTCGGACTCTCCGTATGAAGCAATAAGATTTCGAACAAAGTTGCAAAAAGCGACGTATCTTAAACCATGTTAATGCAATCAATTGTCCAGACATCATGCTACCTCCCTAGATCACAGAGCCTAACTACATACTGCCTAATACAGGGAGATCAGATAACTCCGATCAAGGCCAAGACCCGTCGGCGTTAAGTCTGCCCTGATTCATAACCAACCCTGGAACGGTAGGGCCATCTGAACAGCGCAAATGATCGATTACAAATTCAGCTTTAGTAATAGAGCTGACTAAATCATATTGCCTGTTTCAGTTTAATTTCCCTTAGTCCAAAGCCCTCGTGAGAGAACAGAAACGCTGAGTTGACTATGCAATACGCAACACCACTCGTCCCCACCATTTACGTGAGACGTGGGGACGTCGCAACTTCCCTTCGGTCACATAATAGCATCGCAAGTGTTGTTTTTACGTACTAAACAGCTTAGAGAGTAAGTTATTATTAATATAGCAACTAAACTAATAGGTGTGAATTTTAAACCTAGGTTGCAGTACTCTGAATATATGCCACAAATAGTTTGGGACCCAAGAGAAAAACGTCCAGTAGGACAAAAAAACAGATAATGCAAGCAGCCAAAACAATCCAGACTGGTATAAGAGCAAACCGGATAATATCTATGATGAAAAGAATTGGGTGGTACTTGATGGTCATATATCGATTGTGCCTGTACTGAAAGAGAAACCACTGGTATCTAGGATAGAGAATCTCCGGAACTAAGCAGTAGCGCAACAAAAGAGCTGGAAGGATTCGAATAGCGAATAGTATGAGTTGGTAGAGAAAGTAAAGTAACTCCCAGCCCAATGCTGTTGTTGGTGGTTGGGATGATTCGCCAAGGAAGTCCCAGAAGCCGCGGCTGCTAGTGCGGTCGAGAAGAGACATATACAACTTGATGTAATTTTCCATCCATGGAGGTAGCGCCGGCAAAAGATCTCGCCAAGAGCTCTCAAGTGTCGATTTTCGAAAGACAGGGGCAATCGTTGCGAGAAGCGTCGACAGCGTCGACAGTTTCAGTCCAAGAAGTGTGGTAAATAGAAGCAATATTGCTAAGAAGATCAAGAAGGATGCGAACGACGCCGATTCAGGGAGGACGCTAATGCTGTACACTGACTAGCGTAATATATCAGCATCATAGCCCAAGCATCTAGATGCCAAATGTCAAGTGCTTACCGAAGCAGCAGTTAATGGTAAGTATATCGTTGCAAGGTATGCTAAAGTTTTCATACGATTTCCTTGTTGCAAGGCCATCCGGGCTTCCAGAACTGCAGTAATTCCGCTCAGCTATATAGGTTAGTTCTAAACCCTGTAAGGACAGTTGTAGGATCCTTACAGCATTACGCTGATGATCACGTTAGAAATGCTCGATCTTTAGTTACCTCATATAAGACTGGGGCTTCTTACGCTCTCTTGCGCCTGTGAACCTACTGCGTGAATCTGCGCCTGCAAGTCTTCCAGTGCCGAAATTTCTTCTTCCATTTTTTGTGACCAATGATCTATCCCAAGCCTCTCATGAGCATGGGCTTCACGGCATAGTTGGGTGACATAGCTATCTCGTGTTTTCTGCACGAATCTGAGACTTGAAGAAATTGATGCCTCCAGCTCGTCGCACGCTTTAATGGCGAAGTGGTACAAGGTCGATTTGGTAAAATGCTCATCATCGAAGAGACTTCCATCATCACAAGTTTTGAGTTCGTTCCTAAGAGCGTCGTATATGTATTGCGCGTTTATCCTCTGCGTGCATAGTGACGACGTAATGCCACGAATAAATTGAGCAATCGGCGTGGAGTGCTGTGCGGGACTGTGGTCGGAGGCAAATCGTTGCAGAGAGTTAATCACAAGAACTGTCCACAGAGCTTGGGGACATTGCAATAGACTGATTTCTTCTTCATGGGACTCTGACTCTTCCGGGATAGCAAGGGTGAGCAGTATCGAAGACGACGCTTTGAAAAGATATAGTCCATTAGGATTCTCCACTCCTGGTTTGCGGAGATAAGGAAATAGAGAATCTCTATCGAATATATCTTTTCTATCGTCGACTTCATTGGAGTCCAGTTTTAGATAAGTAATATGAAAAGAGATTGTGACTCTCTTGTAGCATCTTTGTTGTGACTAGGTTCCTTGTGAGCACATAGTAGCGCAAACCAACTTTCACTCCAAAGCAGACGAATAGCGACTCAATAGAATCTCAACTTACAGAATTTAATTCTAGAGGAGAGGATTGTTGCCAATGGTACGGAATTTTTAAAATACATCGCAGGCTAAGATGCCTCTCGATGAAAGCGCCAATATAGCCGCAATCTTCGTACTGTAGACGAATACAGAAAGCGTATACAATTAAAAGAGTAGCTCTGTTGAGATGCGAGACTTGCTCAGTGATATATCTGCAGCAGAAGGAATTAATAACCAGATAGCATCATGCAGTTATCTGACTGGTTGAGAACCTACACAATTCGGCCTTGGCCAAAGCCCAACAGATTGGAATCGTCTTCGCTCGTAGGGCCAACTCCGAAAGGACAAGATGACATGCCGTACTTCTGAGGGCTAGGTGTTGAGTGGCTATCCATATTGGATGGTCTCTCAAGTAGTTATCAGTCTATTGTGATAGCAGTGTCGGAAGAACTTCCCTAACCTTGCCGAAGAATAGATGACTCTCTATTTGGTCTATGTCGTTCGCCCCCTGCATAGCGGGTCGGACATGATTGGTCCCGCTGACAGTCAGGACCTCTTCTACGCTTGTATAGCCTAGTAAGGTGTTCAACATGAAATTATGGGTACTGAGATAGCTTCGCACCACTCTGGCCAACGTCTCAAGAGGCTTGGTAATGAGTTTGTCATCCCAGTTGTGAATAGGCGTATGACGGGCCATATCCGAAAGGATTTCATCTAATACACCTCTCACGCTCCTAGAAGAGAGTCCATAGTGTAATTCAAAATCGACGCTGGGTTCTTTCGTCTCTGACAATCGCTGCCAGTCGGTGGTAGGAATAGAGCGTGCCATCGACAACGGTATTCTTAGCACTTCTGTCATGAACTTTGTTTCTGCGCTGTATGTATGCAGAGTACAAAATCTATAGGGGATCAATTGCTCTTCACGGCTGTCAGAAGTAGGCAATTGATGGGGCTTTCTAATGTCGAAGAAGGCTATGGAATCTATTCAGGCTAGGCAGCCGGGCGCGGGTGAACCCTATATATAGCCTATCAAGACCCTACTGCGCACACAGGAGGGGCAGTGGCTGTATGTCAATTGAGAGAAGGAAAATCTTTGCTAATAGGCTGCGAATGTCTTGTAGCTGAAAGCGTTAAGCGAGGAGAGTAATCCGTAGTTAGCGACTGGCTCTACGGCAGCTCCCTTCAGCTTTAAATCTACTTTACGCCACAACTATGACTCTATTGGCTCCAAGTGCTGAATAAATTTATACAAGTCTGAGTGTCTGAGCCTCGTCACTGTGGCATTCTAGCATAAGGGAGTCTGCCTCGCAGCGTGCCTTGCATGTGGCATATAATTTCGGCTTATTGGGTGGGTCTTAGAAGACCAGCTGCATGATACACCTAGTCCTGGGACTAGTCGTTTCTTTCTCCTGCATTTCTGTAAGCGTGTGCTGCTCTATAGTAGCAATTTGGCTTCGAACTCTCGCTGGTCGTCTACATGGATCCCCGCGCAGAGAGCGTGCATGGGTTCCGTTAGACTTACTGGTGGGGAGGATTCGATGGCCTGGTGACGGTGCCTGTAAACTGGGATAGGCTGACTTGAAGAGCATTGGCTGTGAGGGGAAACTTCTCTAACAGTTGTGGCCCAGCCTTTTGTAAGTAGCGGTGAATTCTCTTGGCCCTCTGGTTAATTGAGGGTGCGACAGCCTTACGGAGAGCCCGCTGAGCCCAGGGTGCCCGAAGTTGCCACCTATCTGCAGAAAACCTAGGTAACCAATGTCCTAAGGTCTGTGTACAACACCGCAGCAGAGGCAATACCATGGAGTTGGTATGTACAAGCAGCAGAGATAAGTAAGCCTTACATTAAGAAATGAGGCAAGTATACGATTGAGGGAGCTTTTTGTAGGGAAGATAGGCGGTAGTCTGGCACTGCCTGATTTAGGGCGGTAAATAAGACATTATGTTTTTGCCTCGTAGTTTGGCGAGGGTATTTAACTGGCCCGTGGTCAATTAATAGCTAGCCTTGGTGATATAAAAAAATAACGCTTCCTCAAAACTAGATGGAAGAAACAAGACAAGTTTTCCCTTCAAAATGACCCCTAGCTGCCGTGACGGCCTAGTGCGATAGATGAGCCTCTCACAACGCGCTTCCAGGCGATGAATTAGGATGTATCCCAGCTTTTGAATGGTACTGACATACACTATCCATAGCTGCGCCTTTGTTCGACTCGGATATGTCAATGAGCATAGAGATGGGAAACCAATTCAGACTTAACAAACAATTTTCTACGTTGAAGTTTAGGTAGCAAGCACAGCGAAGTTTCTTCCATCAACAAGTTCGTCATTTTCTAGAAAGACACAATGGCTATGGAAATGGTACATAAGACTCCCCCAGCTTAAGAAAATTCCCCCAACTTCATCCACATCTCTAAGACTGGTATACCGTTCCATCATCGGGCAGTTCTCCAGTCAACAGATAATTGTTCACCATCTTCGCCAGCTCTCCAGGTGTGTCATAGGTTATATGGCCGGTCCAGTTCTTAAAAACAAGAGTCGCTTTCGGCATAATGGCGCGAATATTCACGGCATTCTGAGCGCTGGTTATAGGGTCCAAGAACGAACTGATTAGGAGCACAGGATGTATTCTTTGAAGATAGTTTATAGGCTGGTTCGTATTCGGTACTATGCCCGGTTTCGCTAATGGCCAGTTGATGCATTTTGAAAAGAAGCTGAAGCTCTGCGAGTAGCCCCGCGTGAGAGGCGAAAGTGCTCTCAGCGTTTGCTGGGCGGCTTGCAGCTCGAGATAATCGTGGGCATGTTGCCAATCCAGACAACCAGTTGCTAGTGTAGCCCAGGTTCCCGTAGAATCGGTGCTATTTGTAAAATATGGCATGGAAAAGGCCGATGCATCACCATTGGAGGCTGCTAAAAGATTATCTGCCAAAGAGCCCCATCCGGGCTGCCCAGGCCCCAAATCTCTTTGCAAAGCCGTCATCATCTCTTCCAAGCTGACGTCGGATCGGCATGCCCCTTCGCCCGTCTGGTTGCACTTTGGTGCCGGGATAGGGGCGGCTTCGAACTTGGAAACCAGCTCTTTGAAGAAGCCCTCGACATCTGTCTGATCATGCAGGGAACAGAACGCGTCGCCCTGACACCACTGGAAGAAATGCTTGAGCGTCATTTCGAAAGAAGCGGATTCCGCTTGCATGATTGCCATTGGATCGTGTGTATGATCGATGACGCCGTCAATCACAAGGCGGCCGGCATAAGGTACAGCCTTTTCAAGATTGGTAATACCAACATGAGCGCCGTAGGAATTACCGATCAGGTGCAGCTCCTTGTAATCAAGGTTATATCGTATGCTGTCCATGTCTCGTGCAACAGATTCTGTATCCAGATTGTCGAATACCTTCCCCGTCATCTTCCTGCAGGCATCGCCAACTTCCCTCCAATGATAATACAAGGCAACATATTCTACCTCGTCCTTGACCATCGAGGGCACTCGTCGGTTCCATAGAGTTGCGTTGCATTTGATGGGAAAGCTTTGTCCCGATCCTCGAGGATCCATGCCTATGAGATCGTACTGGCTGAGGAGTTCGTGCACATGATGCGTCGGGTCATCGAGATATCGCTTAAGGAGGTTGATTCCAGATCGTCCAGGTCCACTGGGGAGAAACACAGCACCCTTTGGCTTTTTCAGCTTTGATCGGATGCGCATCACAGCCACTTTGGTAAAGACATTCCACGGTGCCTTGTAGTCAAGGATATCGTTGTGCATGGCACATTGTGTGTTTTCCCTAGGAGGGTCGCATTCACCCCAGTAGACTGGTCGGTTTTGGGCCAAAGCTGTCAAAGCAAAGGTCACCAGAGGGATGATGAGTCGAAGCGCTGATGGTATCATGTCCACTTTTGTTGGAAGAGAAGCAGGTAATGAGGTTATTTAGTAACTACCAAGTGTAATAGTCGTGCACTAGTATATACCATCGCTTGTGTGAAAGGGGAATTTTGACGTGTCCGCGAAAGAAATCGATCATCAAAAGGAATGGAATCAAATCTAGGCAACCGAAAAAATACTATATAGCAAACTTAATCTAGAATGCTTCCACATATCTAAGTTCTGGTTGCCATAATTTTATACATTCAGCTTTCGCCATGTTTGTCACAGGACATGGACGTACATGTACAACTCAAGATTGGTGCGAAAATCTAATAGCCATTATTAAATAAACTCCATGTTTCTTATCGCCAAAGGGCCACTGGAAATAGACATCTTGTATGTATATTGATATAGATTGGGAAATATAGTTACGTGGCACAAACGCGCAAAGTATGGAGTTGCTGAACTTTTATTATAGCATTATGATGATTTGAGACTAAAAGTAATCTTGCTCGCGTTCAGACACCTTTGTTCTGCCTTTGTATCAGTAGCCACCGCTCCAATTTAGCACAAAGCGCCACCAGACCTAAAATCAGTCGTCTTGTACTTTGGATAGGCGTATCCCGTAAGAGTGTATAACTCGGAAATATTATGAGGACTTCCGTGAATAGGCACGACTCTGCGTCCGGAGAGATTAGTAAGTCTTGAGATTGGCATGGTGAAGGATAAATAGCTTTCACAATGCTGGAAAGTCACGGCAAACCTACAAGTAGTCATGCGGCATCCGATCTGCTGCAGCGAAATTGAGATATGAGATGGCCAGATTATTGTCAAACTCGTAGCCAATGAAGCCAGGAGACCATGCATCTGCCAAAGTGGCGACAACAGGGGAGTTGGCTGTAGGACAAGCAGTTGTCCACATAAAGTACATCCAGTCACTGGCATGGACGAATCCAGGGTGCCATATCGCTCGTACTTGCATATGTTTGTCTTTGTGGATGAAGGGCTTGTTCTCCCTGCAGCAAATATTAGAAAGCTGTTACGAGTGTAGAGGGAGCATTCGAAGAGGCTTACTCGGAGAGAGCGAATTTCACTCCGGGGATATTCTGCCAGTAGTATTCGTATCCCTTTGGAACAACTAGAACTGCGCCAGCTTCAACAAAGTCCGCAGCGCCATAGTTGTGGTCATCTGTCAATAAGTCAATAGGGAGATTTTCACCAATGCCAGCTTGTGATCCTTACGGTGGTGATGGGAAATCTGCCTCGCAAAGTAAGTAATACGTTAAACCCCATTCTTCTCAGGCCAACTTACAAGCAAATGTGTAGGTCTTCGATGAAACGTTTGCTTGATCCACTGGATGACGAGTTTGCTCTGATGAGGCGCAGCGTCGGCTACAATGATGGCATCGTCAAATATACCGACTGTGCAAGCGTAAATGCTGCCTTCGAATACAAGATTATAAAAGTTTGGTAATCCAGCGACAGGTCTGCTGACATTGAGCGTCTCAAGCGATCCTGGGTATGGGCCGTACCAAACTAAATTCTCACTGAGAATCATGCGTTAGCCTTTTTGTAATCGCGCCATAGACGTGGCCAGGAGATGACGATAATAGCAATTTCGCTTACTTGTTCTCAAAGACCTCGGCCGGGTCATATTCGCTCGATGACTCCGCCGGTGTCGGCTTGAGCTGAGAACCAGTCTGGCCGATCTGATCGTTGCTGAGACCGTCGAAATAGCCAGCTTCAAATTGGGGGTTAATAGTAATCGCATCGCGGATTGTGTGAAACAACAAATTTCCTTCATTATACAGCGTATGAACCGTCTGGGGAATTCTAAGACCATCGATGACGCTGTAGTTGGCCAGAATATAATCGTTTGTTGAGGGACCAAAGATGCGATGATTCTCGTAGGCTCGCACCACAAAGGGGAGGTACGTCTCTGGATCGAAGAGTACGGTAAGATTGAGGCTGTGATCGTGTACCGAAGGATAGGGGCCGGCCGAGTGATAGTAGATTTCGTCCGTCGAAAGGGCCCACTGGTGTTTCTGAATATTGAGCAATAACTTTGGCGAAAGCCGCGTTGCGTCACGAACTAGCACATTGGCGAGGAAGGCTGATATTATCAGTAGTTGAACCTCAAAACAGAGAATATGAATGAAGAGAATGAAATGCTCCAGATATGTGATATGCTAGGAGCAAATTAATCTTACCGTCCGTATAGCCGAATGCGTTGTCTGGAGGATTAAAGACATGCTCATTGCCCTTGACATAACAAGCGTATCCGCTCGCGCCGCCTCTCACAACCAAAGATACATCAAATGGGTCTAGAGACGGCCTGGCAAAGTTGAAGAAGTCGCTGATGGTGTAGAGCTTATCAATCCGCTGAATAACATCAGACGAATTGCTCGACAAGTCATACGACAAGGTCTGCGAACCCTGCACTATAACACCTGTATCGGGGGAGCCTGGGAATTTACTTTCCTCGAGCGTTTGGCTTCTGAGCAAACTATTTCAGGAGTATGTTAGAGTCCATTGTTCCAGAAAGGTGTCAATTGATGTGTTTCGAAACAACGGCGGCTTACTTGGAGTGATATGAGATTCCCCTAAGACTCTCCAGTGCATTTAATCCACCAAGAGCGCTGATTCCGCGACTTAAAATGTTCGTGGCAGATAGTTTTGCAGCATTTTCGGGATACACAGCCGCTGCAAATGCAGCAGGAAGCATGTTCCCAACAAATACCGATAAGAATTTCATATTCCGGCCCATTGGATTGATGTTTTGAGCGAATACTAGATTGCCTCACTTATCATGAGCCACTTGATCGTCCGATTAGGTTGAAACGCTGGGTTACCCGCATGTCTTATATCTAGATATCTACATCTGTAGCTTAAATGAGATACATCAATGCCTACTGACGACTGCCAACTGCTAATTCCCACGCTTAACAACAATATGTAAGAAAGAGCCCGAGATTACAGGTTGTTGACAAAGCGTGTGAAGCAGGAGAAAGCTAATGATGGATTGCATTACTCCAAAGCCTTCACAGCCTCACACGCCAATAGTCATCCACGGGCGCCCGCGGCCGACCGCTTATTGATCACCACATCAAGTTATACCACAGGACGGTATTTTCCGCCGGACTCTTCGTAAGTGAAGACTGCTTTAGCATTGACAATGATTAACTAACATATTCTACGGTAGTACCACTAAGAGTAGTGCTTTCGGAGTTAACAAGTAACTCCAGGTTTGCCGATGCCCATACTCTATGCTTGTTTAAAACTTAAAGTGCTATTCAAACGACGACTCCACCATATTGGTCAGGATTGTTGAAATCTTGGTCAGCAGTATCACCATCGCCTATACTATATTCAACAAGCTAGTAGCAATTAGAGCAACTCTTATTTGCAGCAGTTATTTACTTGATCGTCTCATTCAAGTGAATTGAATTGCAACAAGTTATTTGCAACATTTTGACACCCTATTATTTCTTGTTTTTATTACGTATCACTGAAAAGATGAGAGAGGCCAGGGTTAACCCTGACTTATCAGTCACCATTCACGACAACGTATCGTTACCAGTTCCATCACCGACTCAAGTCGTCATCAGAATTATATGCTCTGGTTTTAATCCCAAAGACTGGAAGGAGCCGTACTTTCAGAAGATTGCGAGTAATTCCGGAGATGACATGGCGGGCTATGTGCATAGTGTTGGTAGGGATGTAGTTGACTTTGGAATCGGTGACAAAGTAGCTGCTTTTCACACGATGCGGACTTCAGGCGGTTCTTTTGCGGAATTCGGACTTGCGGAGAGCAGCACCACCTTTCTACTACCAGAACATATGACATTTGAAGAGGTATATATGGATGCTGGCTCCTTTTTCTGTGTAATGCCCCCAGTGTACTAACAATTCCAGGCTTCAACCATCCCTCTCTGCGCCTACACTGCCGCCGTAGCTCTATTTGCTCGGCTAAAGCTTCCTATGCCATGGCATCCCCCAAATAAACCGTCGCCCCTCGTTATATATGGAGCTTCAACAGCTGTAGGGTCTTTTGCGATTAAACTGGCGCGACATGTGGGAGTTTATCCGATCATCGCTGTCGCCGGATCGGGACACGCCTATGTAGAAACATTGCTTGATAAATCACGAGGCGATGCTATCGTCGATTACCGAAGGGGCGAAATCTTCAAAGACATTCGACAGGCTTTGAAGGCTGCAGGCTCTCAGGACGTTTACCACGCCATAGATGCGATATGTGAGAATGATAGTCACCTCCTGGTCTCTCGTGCACTGTCAACTGGAGGAAGCATTGCACTCATAAACCCAGGTCTAGATTATTCCGGCTTACGAAATGACGTTACTAAAAGCATTGTTTATGTGGGTGTCGTTAACGGCAATGTCGAGGATGATGCATGGCTTGCAGATATGGAGAAAAAAGACCCTATCCCATACCGACGTGATTTCGGTTTGGTCTGGTCAACTCTTTTCAGACGGGGTCTTTACGATGGTTGGCTTACTGCCCATCCTTATAAATTGGTTCCAGGTGGTTTAGAAGGAGTTTCAACCGCATTGCAAAATCTCAAGGCTGGAAAGGCGAGTGCGAATAAGTATGTTGTACGGATAGCCGAGAGTTGAATTGTAAATTCACTCTGGCCTCGCAGCTGTCCCTGATCCTGCAGATAAATGGCATCCTACTTCCAAATGATATCATTACTGAACCTGTCATCGTGATGATTGAATAACCGTTTACTGAAGATCTGTGCGCTTTTTGTCGTTTCTGCGGAATCTCCGACAACAAATGCCAATAGAAGCGGAACTCCCGAGCAACCGGAAACAACACAAAACCCCGACACAAAAATGAAGAGCAATCACTGACTGCGGAAATTCCGAACTCTTCAGACATATTAGCCAGATTATTGAATAGCTTGTGCTCAGCTATAAGTAGCCTCCGGTCGCGCTGAATTGCGATCTTGAAGGTATAAGAACGCACCCCATGCTACCAGGCAAAGGTTATAAACCTTGGCTGAATATTGCACTTAGCTCTCTCCAAGTCTGGTTGTTCATATCCGATTCGAGCCCGGGGATGTCATGTAAGTACGCATCCATCCCACAATCTATTGAAGGAGCGTCGCTCGCCAATCCAAATACTGTTTCAGTGCTCAAATAATCCAATGCACCATTCTGATCTATTACGTTGAGAGAACATGGCCTAACTGTGGAGTTGTCAAACAGCATCTCGTCTGTCGTCCTATTGACCTGTTCAGCCGAGAGGACTTGGAATGGTAAGTTGCACCTGGGGGAATAATTTTTGCGCTTCCTAAGCAAGGCCATTTCGTCTTGCTTGGAATACTTGCCAGTGTAAGGGATGCCCAGTTTCGATAGTCTGTCTCTCGTGGATACCATGCGCTTCCAGAGTCGCTCAGAGGCAGATGAGGCTTCCGAATAAACTTCTGCGAGACCGAAAGCGCAGGATATACTTTTACTCAAACTTGTCAAGTTGAATCTCTCTCCAAGAGAAGTGTTTGAGTCTTCTTTGGACTCAGATTCATGCAAAATGACCAAAAACAACAAGGCTATCGACGAAGCCAAAAAATGCTGGAAAACCGGATGTTGTTTGCGGTATATGTCAGTTGTCGCATCCAAGTCGGAAAGTACGGCAATTGTATCACAAGCAATCTCAATTCCCGACTGAGCCATTTGCTTATTACCAACAAGACGAGAGCCGGATAAAAAGTAAGACGCGACAACTAAACCTCGGAGCCGGTTGGCGCGAAGATACAGTAACGTGGGCAAAGATTGAGGACGGGTGTCATCCACACGATCTTTTGGGTGAACGTAAGATAAACCGGCCAGATATCTCTCTTTCCATTGGTTAATCTGGATATTCGTGACGTCGAATAGATCTTCATCCTCGATGGCATTAGTTTTGAGCAAGCGGCTATTGTGGTCCCAGAGTCTGGGAGTAAATGAAGCATATGATACCATAGCTTTCAAGTATGGCGCCTTTTGCTATTGTGGTCAGTCTGGCATTTTAGTATTCTTTTTGGAGGATATCGTCACCTCTACAGGTTCAGGAAGTGATTTGGCAAAATCTGCGTCCTGAAAGTTTTGAGGGAGACCAATGCTGCAGCTCCATAGTCGATCAAGAATTACGATGCTCCAGAGAATATTTGTGATAGTGATGCGATCCCCAGATTCATCTTCTGCTCGTTGTCGAGTATCTCGGTGGTGCAATCCCAGCTCCATGGCCATTCGCCCAGCAATACCACCCATTCTCCATGCCAATTGCACGTCGTCGTGGAAAAAGTGATAGATGGCCTGCCAGAATACATTAGCAAAAACATTTTTAAGAGTATTTCGTGTTAATTGAGTCGTATAAACGGACCGCAAGCAGTATGAGGACGACAGTTTGGATATTTTTGGAAGCGGACATCATAGCATATTGGATCCTATTTTGGACGCTGTTGTACAAAGCTGAGGCGGGAACGCTTTGCCCTGTGGTTTGTGCAAGAAGGGCAACGGCAAGAACAAGTTTCGTCATGTCAAGGCTGTCTTGTTCAATCTTAGTCTGACTGCTTCTGACATCTGGCCCAGATTCAAGGACAGCATAAATTGCATTGACCTGTGACTTTTGTTGTTCGATGTCAAGAATAGGATGTAGATAGCCAAATACTTCCTGGTATATGTCAATGAGCTGTAGTGCTTGAGTTTTGCCAAGTTTCTGCAGATGCCGTGTGCAATCTGAACAGAAGCAGGCCATCTTTCGCTGGTGTGATTCGGAACACTCTTCCACCCCTTCATAACTCCCATTTTGACTATAAGGCGTTGAGTCGTGATTGTAGCATTGTATCTTTCGGTGGCTGCACGATGAACCACAACGCGATTCTGCCGGCTGAATACAGAATCGAACTACATTTAGAGTGTAGTCGGAACTGGTTGCACCCCAGTATCGGGGCGGTGAATGTTTTGCACTGTCGATATCGAAGGTTATATCTGAGCAACTTCTTATTGAACATAAAGAGGGGTTATATGCTTGAGTCTCCCGACTCTTTGCAGGATTTTCACTTTGACCACGGCCGTAACTTGGTGACTTGTTAAGTTCAATCAGCGTATTTATCTGCGCCTGCATGTTCTCAACTAGGCGAGTCAATCGTCCAATCTCGCTGACACAACACTCATGTCAGTTATGCTACAGCCTACTAATCACATAGAAATGAAGCAGAGAACTCACCTGATATCCTCTTTGCCGTCGTTCTCGTGCTCGCTGCAGTCATTCCTCTGGTGTGAAGCGTCGCACGCACAGTTTGTAAGCAAATTTGGATCCGTATCGTAAAGGCACTGAATAGATCGACTTTTACAATGCTCGCATGGCATGTGGCCATCGCAGCGCACTTTTCGGCGTTTACACTCGCAACAGGCGCGAAGAGCATAGCGAGCGCGGCGTTTTCTGGGTGCAGTGTTGATGTCGTCTGTTGTCGCTCTTTTCTTGCGACGAGTGGAAGAGGCTTTTTGCATGCGCATCTTAGTTAATAGACGGTTACAGGAGAAGAAATAAATAAACAGAGGCAGTTGAGGTTTTCTTTCGGACGATGTTGTAACTTCAACTGCAATGCGTGATGTTTCCTGGCTCTCAAACTTCTGGCTGTAGTTTTACTTAACCGGCCGGAAATCGAAATTGTTATTTCATCAGACGGTGCCAATTAGAAGAAGAGATTGTCCCATAAGAAACCTGCGCACTGTACATTCCGGAAGTTCCGCTAAAAATTGAACGGAGGTTCCGCGATCTGCATTTCATAGAGAAAAGGTGCGATTGCTACCCGGTAGGGGCATTTTATCACATACAGAGTCAGTCCAACACAACAGTATCGCGTATCAATTGCGAACAAATATCTGATAGCATTAATCTGAGAGAATGCAAGAGAAATTGAGTGTAGAAATCGGAGCACAATGAAGATACAAATCATGAGCTAACAAAAGACATGACAAACAAACCTTTGGGTTTCTACAAATCGCAATGAGCTCTAGAACGGGGATCATCAGCTCATTACGACTTGTGGAAAATTCTCGTCAACATAAGATCAAGTCGGCAGTATTAGTTCTAGTAGTCGTCGTGATACGTGACATCAAAAGTGCCATTGTCCCTATGAATAATGGCTGCACCGTGTTTGCCCGCACCTGGCCCGGAGCTAAAGTCAATCACGCCAGCCTCTTTCAGAACAGACGAGAAGTCGACAATCTCTCCAGCCTCGGCATTGCTCTGGCTGATGTAGAATTTCATGCTCGGCGTCAAACAAATCGACGTATTGTTAGTGGCCAATGCCTGTGAATATCGTGATGGTCATGATTAGCACACAGCGTATTGCGAAGTGGAATGGGGCAGACAACTCACCGAGGCAACTGGTGTGACCAAGCCATTGCCATCGATCTTGCCGAGGCCGAAGAGATGTCTGTCGTTTAGATCTGGAAGGCTATTTCCTGTGTCGATCTTGTATGCAGCCACTCTGGCGGAGCTAGGGATTGGCATTAAGTCTGGCACACCCCTGTCCACGATCATCTCGAAAGTGCCTTGGCATACCGTTAGCCAAGAAATAAAATCAACAGTGTTAAGATAAAGACGCGCAAAAGGATCGACATACTGCCGGGTGTAGTTTTTCCATATTTCTCATATCCAAGTGGAGCTGGTTGACTGACTCCGCCACGAACAGTCACGCCAACAGATGGCCGCTCTGGAGCTTCTCCGCACCCTATATAAATTTAGCATCTGGGATGATGAAGGTAATGGTCTCTCTAACAACGGAGATTTTTCTTCTCTTCTCTACTTCAGGCAGCGTGTTGCTGTTCAAGTAAAACTTACATGCAAATGTCTCGTCCGTCGTCCTAATGTCGTATCTGCCGCCATCTCGTACAAACGTTGATATCCATGCATTGGTAAATACCTCAGGAGTGATGAAAGGCCCAGCAACCTTGGGAGGGTCTAAAAAAACTGCGTAGTGACCGTCATTTCCATGGTCGTTTTGGAAAGTAATGGTGTATGTCATTGACATTTTGGCGTGTAGACTAAAGAGACGATTTATAAAAGGTGGCTAGTTGTGATATAATGCACTTTGGCCTTCACTGGACGATGACTTTATAGTTGTAAGAATTAGCGATGAATCACATAGCCATCAATAGGCTATTAGAAGGCTGTGAGAGGGTGTCAGGTGTCAACATGCAGTAGTTTTCATATCGACGTCAAACCCAAGACACCATCATAGATCACGGGCACAAGCAATATTGGAGACATTAGAGCTTCTTCCCCGCTTCCTTTGTTCGTAAGCGGGGAAGTCAGCTCATGTCCCACTCTTAACCGTCAGTATGATGCCGAGCAGCCGCTTGGGAAACCGTTGGAGAGAATCACAAATCACCGTAGAGCATATAGCTTTCGGAATGCAGTCCTGTTACACATGCCATGTCACCTCCTTCAATGGTAATAAATGTTGGACTTTGAGAGGTAATAACTAAAGAGTAATTGCGAGATCGATAAGATTGACGTTGTCGGCATCACTGACTAGTTCGAAGGCTGGTGGTTGTCGATAGTTGGAGTGTCTCGACAGCTTTCCCCGCGGAAATCTTCTGGAAGCTAAGATTTCTCCGAGGAACGAAGTCAGCTAGCGTAGCGACATACATTCGCCCTATTTAGACGTCACATTGCCAATTATTTTTTCGTTCAGCTTCAGTGCATAACACTCGATGCTGGGCAGTTGCGACTGCGATTGCAGTGAGTTGTGGGCATCTGCATCTCAGTTACCATGTAGTTGTTGTATGGAGCTGTGTCAATGTACGAGGTTCAGAGATGCACACCAGAATTAACAGGGCTTCCCCTGCCACACAGGCCCAGAATGGCACATTAGCTCTCCAGCGCTAGTCAGTGCTAGGAACAACCTGCAAACTTATTATCGTTAAGCCACATGTTGATACATAGTGTCAGCTCTTGGAAGCCAACACGGCCCAAGGCGGCTGGTTTCTTCTCGAGGCAAAGATGAACTCCACCCAGCTTCTTACGGTAACTGTGTATGCCGCCATTATTTCTGCTAGGTCTGATGTAAGATTCACGTGTTTGAGAGCAAAACTTGAGTCTCGAGACGCCCGAACGTTGCGTTATACTCAATGGCCTTGATCGGTTGATTGTCATCGACAAGTCGAAGCAAACGTGTTCAGGCGCGTTAGGCGCCGTATGCGAAGCTAGGTTTTGGAATCCATGAGAAATCTAGCTCTGAGTCGTCCGATAGCGCTTACACCAAGGTGTATCACTTGTATTATGAGACAGTGATTTGTTGATTGGTCGATCGTCACGGGAAATAACATTTGACTTGCGGCTGACTCGAGAAGATAACGATGGTATGGAATCAACAATTTGGTTTGGTATTTTTTGAGTTTGCATTGCGACCCAGTCGGCAAGGTTTTGCTCTCCAGAATGGGTTGGGGAGATATCAGTTGGCCAACAAGCATTTGTACTTTCTCAATGTCATAGAGCAAGAAAAGGTTCATCGTGGGCCAACTCACCAAAACTAAAATATCATGTACTGCTACACGCTGATTTTGCTCTCAGGTACCTGATAAAAAGAGGTACTTGAAAATACGAGCTCACACACAACGTCCATGGAAGACGTCTGCCAGCCAGAGAAACTGCTTCGATACCTAGGGAAACCAGATCCGACGCAGCAAATTGACATGTACAGATACTATGGCGTGCGAGCCTTGCCTCGGCCCTGAGCATCTAAGCCACACATAAGAATGTCACTGAATCTGTTTGGTTCTCGAAAAGTTGACCCAACACGATGGACACTCTATTTTTGGTGGGGTTGAGCCATCATAGTGGAAGCACAGACATTCCCACCTAGATTCGCAGTCAGTTCTTCGCAGCCAGTTCTTCTCCCTGCATTCCTCATCTTTACCTTGTATTTCTCATTTTCGTCTCTCCCAAACCTCACCATGGATCGTAATATCAACAAGCTTCGAGTTCTGCTGATCGGTTCAGGAGGAAGAGAACACGCTCTTGCTTGGAAACTGTCGCAAGCGCCATCGGTTGAGCACGTCTTTGTGTTCCCCGGAAATGGGGGCACGGTGCAAATTGAAAATATTTCCAACGTTGCCAGCGAAGAAGAAATTGCCGAGGGAGACTATTCAGCTCTGGTTGCCCTGGCACAGAAACTCGACATTGGGCTCGTTGTTGTCGGCCCCGACAGTGCCGTCGTTGATGGTATTGAAGGATATTTTCGTGAGAGTATGCCTGCAGTGTGAAAATGGCTACTTGGATATGACTCACACACTATCACAGGCAGAATCCCATGCTTCGCTCCCTCCAAAGAATCGGCAGAGCTTGAAGGCTCAAAGACATATGCCAAAGATTTCATGCGCAAGTATGACATACCAACCGCTGCCTACCGGAATTTTGATCTAAGTGTCGCCGCGAACCTCGAGTCAGCCAAAGAGTATATACGATCCGCCAACCATAATGTCGTCATCAAGGCCAGCGGGTTGGCTGCAGGCAAGGGTGTGGTGCTTCCGCGATCAAAGGACGAGGCGTGCGAGGAGCTAGATGCATTTGCGGACGGCAGATTCGGCGATTCTGGACTGTCTATCGTTGTCGAAGAGTATCTCGAGGGCGACGAAATCAGTGTCTTGACCTTCAGTGACGGCGAAACTTTTAAATCACTGCCACCGGGTCAGGACCACAAGAGAATCCTGAATGGTAATCTGGGCCTTAACACGGGCGGAATGGGTGTCTACGCCCCAACACCGTTTGTCACTGCCGAGGTGATGTCCGAAATCGAAGAAACGGTTCTGAAGCCTACATTCGATGGCTTACGGGCTGAGGGTAGGTCCCCCTGTGTTCCATGTTCTCCATTGATATGGTCAACTTCATTCTGTTTCAATATGCAACTCGTTCCATAGAGCTTACCGTTGTTGAACTAGGCCGTACGTTTCGAGGCCTATTATTTACCGGCATCATGATCACCCCATACGGTCCAAAGGTTTTGGAATACAATGTCCGATTCGGCGATCCAGAAACCCAGAGCATGATGCTTCTTCTTTCGCAAGACACGGATCTGGCTGCGGTCTTGTTGGCATGCACTCAGAAAACTCTTGCAAAGACCGAGCTACACGTTCGTCCCGGCTACGCTTGCAATGTCGTGATATCTTCGACGGGATATCCCGGACCGTACAAAACGGGGCAAGCTATCCAGCTTGGGCCAGTGCTTTTGCAGGACATTCACATCTTCCACGCTGGCACAAAGATGGTGGGAAATACCCTGCAGACCGCTGGGGGCAGAGTCTTTTCCGTTGCGGCATACGGGGACTCGCTGGAGATGGCCGTCGAACTTGCGTACCAGGGGGTGAAGTCTGTAAGTTTTGATGGAATGTATTTCCGAACGGACATTGCCAGCCGGTAAGTGATTTGTTGAATGTGATGGAGACATGCCGCATTACTGACCTCGTTGAATAGGTGCATATCGAAAGATTGATGTTCTTCAAGTGCGTTGCTTGAACGTCAAAGGGGCTGAACAGTGGAATATCGGTGCTTCAATCGGGAGGCGGCAGTTATATTGGCAGAGTATCGACGACACTGAACTGTAGTGGTGCATATCAGACATCCAGTCTGATCAATGACATAGTAATGACCAAAGTAATGCAGAGAAAGCGATTTCATGGCAAAAGAAGAAGACAGGCGTGCTTACAAATTGGAGAAGATGAACAAATTGAAGTCTTGGTGGATGTTTCGTACTTAGTTGGCAAGTGGTGACGAGAGGCTTATCGGAGCGATAAAGGATAGCGATAAAACATCCTGTAGTTTTGTGGGATTTCGTTTTGCAAAGCCGTGCGCAATACATGAGGAACATTTATGATGGACAGCTCGAGGAAATTATTAATGTACTAATTATCTATGAAATGCATTTAGAAAATACAGCAGCAAGAAGAAGGACAACCATTGGCCTTTGATTAAATTAAAAACAAGTCAAGTCGAGTGTGGAACTGACTTCATTCAAAGGCGCAGAATCCAAGGTAGCGGCCATCCGTTGGAGCGATTAGTGGTTCCGGGTGCCTGTAACTTAGTGGCTAACAACTATTCCAGGCACTGCATTGAATTTGCCGTTGACACGCCCACCATGGAATTTCCATTACAGCACTCGACTTTAAATTCTTACCCTAGCTATCCAACTCCGAGCAGCTTCCAGTATCACCTGAGGATTGCGATGCTTCACAGTGGGACATTATACAATGCTGTCCGGGCTTCACAGGCCATCAAAGGAAAGCGTCTCCGCTCCACGATCCATGCATCAAGGCACGCCTAATTTCTCGAGGCAGCGACAGAGAATGGCAACAGGACAGTCAAGAAAGAATCGATGGCAAGATCTCTGGTATGTTGACTCCCACCCACGACGCTTGAACTTCTACACGGCTACTAATTGCATATTCACATCTGTTCCAAGCTGTTGTTCGCGTCCGAAGACAATCCTTTCTTGCACTTTGACTCGGCCGATATCCTTCGACCACTTCGTTTGACCAACCTTCTATCCCACCTCTCGTTCATCCGCTCTTGATCCAGACTGCCGCTGTACCATACGAGATGCTTGACACGCTCTGTAGCCGTCTGTTGGCACTTCCATTATCGGACCCCCGCTGTTAGATTGGCAGACAAGAATCAAAGTCCGAGAGCGACGATACCAGGCCTTGGTGTCTCTGTCGCAAGATGGAGCTAGGTTTCAGCTCTCGGTGCCAGTTCCTGGACCAGAGACCCGTGGCGCCGAAAGTATTTGTACCCATTGTCGCATAAGCGCCGGGGTCATGCACCCAATCAGACTCATTTGCCAGGTCTGACGGTGTCGTCTTCTTCTGCTGCTCGTTGAAGGCAGCAAACTAAATTAGGCGGCCATCGGCGCGGCTGTGCAAGTTGTGACTCGTTCTGACACTCTCATTCTGCCTATGGCATCATGAAATACCCGTAACACCAATTATAACAGCTCTGGGCATTTATAACGGATATAGGATGGAATATCCCGTCAGCACTCATTCTCAACCGCCACGAGATTAGCATAATTCGCAATTTCCACGGATTGGATCAACTACATCCATCCGCGACAAGCTGGTCAACCTCCAGATATAAATCATTCAAGATGGCCTATTATGACGCAATCCGAGATCCTCTGACATTCATTCGAAAAGTCCGGGTCAAGACCAACTTTGCGACCCTTTCTCTAGACAGCGCCTGGTCAAGCAATACAAGTCACTGGGGCAGAGAGCATCTCTTCGCGAGCCGTGTACTATGTAGCGCACAGGCTCCACGTCTACAACTATTCCAAGCCTTACAGCTCTTCCCTGAAAACCCTACATCCGAGAACCATCGTCTTTCTCTTCTCGTTAAAGGACCGGGGAACCTGGCAGACTTGAGGCACTATTCAGAAGCGCAGTTCGTTCGGGAGTTCCAACCGGATAGCCTTGGTTATGTATGGGCCGCCCTGAATCATTTCGTTAATCACAGAAACACGTCCACTGTTGCTACTGCAGCTACTACCGACAGGTCGGACGATTGGGAGATGGCAACAGCCGTACCTACAACACCAAATAGACAGCCTGGCAAGTCGGAGTTCCATGGGTCTCTTGCCCAGCCTCAACAAGCGCAGCTTGGTAGTAGCTCTCGCGACACTTTCAAGCGTCAGTCAAACTCGCTATCCGAATATAAATTTGGCTACTTTGAAGAGGTCGACTTTCCCCCCCTTCAGGATGCCACTGTGCGTCTTGTAAATTGTTTTATTCGGTACGTCTTGCATTACGCACAGCCCCCCAACAAAGAGTCTCCTCTCCAATTCCGCGAGAAGCGGTTTGCCTACACTGTCTTTCATGCCGAGAAAAAGTACACTCACGCTGTTGATGACGGTGGATTACATTTGTTCAACCAGTATGGAATGTCTGTTCAAGTTGCAATGTTGGAAAGCAAGCAGGTATTTAAGAATCTGGTGAGCGGAGTGCCGATTGTTTCCGATGAGCTTCTGGCGCAAATGGTTGGGCAAGTACTCGCCCTTCGACTTGATAAGACACAACTCAGAATTTCAGATACGGAGTAAGCTGCTTATCAACTCCCCGTGTATATTTCGATGGCAAGACTGATTCAAGGTTATTAGCTTTATTACGATCCTCGCCACGGCGCACCATATAAAGTTTTTTCATTTTGAGATATCGAATGAGTACTTGGCCAATTACGAAAACATGAGCACTTTCGATCCTAGAAATAGCTGCTTCTTACGCGTTCATTCGACTGTGTGGCTCGACGTCAAGATAGCAAGCCACCGTGAGCATATCGTGGCTCATTTGTTGGCACTTATTGCTTGGGCAGATGTCCAACGGCGTCTCTGATATAGGAGATGGTGTAAGTAGAGTGCCTAGGCTTAAGTTGTCTGGTGCTATTCAAGTGCCCGTGGAAATTGACCATCTAGGACGAATTCCAATAGCGATGGGCGCATAATCTGGGGAAATAGGCACGTACGTGGCAATCCGATGGCGTTGTTGGTGGCTCGAGGCTGCGAACTTTGGCAACCTACAGCTGTGCCAGGCGCCTCCATTCAATTTACGCGTCAACGGGTCCACCAACGATCTATTCTGCTTCATCGCAGCATATATGAACGCATCCAACTCTCCTCTTCAGCCCCCAATGTTGTTCCTCAGTCAGAATCACAAGCTTGCGAAAAACCCTTATCATGCATGCCACGCAGAAATTGCAGCCTTCAGATGAGCCGCTCTCGCTCTATGCAATCGCCATTCGTCACTGCCGAGAGCGCCTGATTGTCCAGCCCTTGGCATGGACGAATCGCCAGCTTGAGCTGCTACAGTGCTCATTCAGCGAGCCGTCCGCTGCTTCTCCGGCCTTACAGTCCAACTTCATATGTCCTAATGATGGCACCATCTTTCTAAACAATTTCTTCCGCCTTCAGCCTATATGGCCTACGTGGCCTAGCCGAGAGACTGCAATACGAATGCTGCTTGCATCCCCAGACTGTCCCCTAGAGGCCTCGTAAGTTTCCCACACCGTCATTGCTTATTACACGTACTTTCGATACGCCGCGGACAATTTCTGACAAGCCGGATGATCTGTAGGATCAATCTTCGCGTATATTTCGGAAATCGTCGTTCCAAGAAGCTGCCGTGTTCCGTCTTCTACCCTAGGTGCGACAACAGTAGCGGCGAGCCTATCAAAGATGTGTCACCGGTAGCCGCGCACATTGAATATAACCACATTGCCAGCTTGCGCCAAGCTCGATTTCTTCCTATGATGTTGAGGCCGAACCCCCCTGTCAAGTCAATACGACTCATTCTATGGAAGCGCCACTCGCCGGCGTGTCCCCTTAAAGATCCATACATTGTTGCCATCCTAATTGCTCTGGCGCAACGTCGGAAGTTCATCATGTCGGAATGTGGGCGCACAATAGGAGCTGAGACAATATTTCCTGTACGTCAGACTTGCTCTGTTCTTGTCCCTCGAAGTTGTTTTGTTTTCAATTTGTCATCTCATTTCCCAATCTTTTGACAAACCACCCCTCTCTCTAGGTCAAGCTTTTACTCACATCTGATGACCGCGACTCTTTCCACCTCTACTCGGCCAACATTCCTTCTTCATTTCTCAATATGTTTGAGAATCCGAAAGTACCTCCTCCGGTACAGCCTTCAGTCTGCATTCAAATTACCTCCGCCCCTTACAGTCCAGTTGATACACTCTGCAGTCGGATGCTGTCACTGTTGTTGTCAAATTCTTAGCATCAAGCCAATAAGAAGCGGAAGTTTGAAAGCGATGACGCTCGACCTTTATTTGCCTGCAACAAGATGAAATTCTTCCAAGACCAAATCGCCTAATATTGACAGCTTCGCCATAATCTTTGTCACATCCCATTATATAAAACTTTTCCATTTGAGCTATCAGATACCTACATGGAGAGTTACGAAACTAGTTCCACTACCGATCAGAGTAACTCAGACTGTTTTCTGCACGTCAACTCAACAATGTGGTATGACATCAAGACAAGGGGCCACCATGAGATGATGGTGGCTCACCTTTTGGCATTAATTGCCTGGGTTGGTTGGTACAGGTGCTCCGGTTGGCGCTGCGCCTCTCCAAGTTATCGTGGTACATCCAACACACATCAAGGATACAGCCGCGGGGGTTTAACTTTGTTCGGAAAAAGAATCAAGGATCATAGACTCTCATTGGGATCTTACACCCCCAGAGTCTCGTATTCACTTGTATTCAGTGTTCTGTTGAAGCTCATTCTCCTGACCAGATACCAGTCTGACTGCCTCCTCGTCCCGTTTCTTCAAGTCTGGTCGTAGCGAGCGAGTGATGACACCAACCACGATAAGACTGTTGATGCATATCAGCTCGGGTATGAAGCTCAAACAAATCTGAACAGCCTTGGACGTGAGAAATCCAGAGTCCGGATGTGTTGTTTGCAAATGGAGAAACACAACACCGTAAACGAGGCGGATTCCAACAAAGGGGAGTGCGATAAAGACTCCCTTGAGCAGCTGAGTGAATCCTTCATTAGTTTATGCAAATATTTAGCATATGGTAGATGACGTACAATTTTACCATTGTCGACAGTCTGCATGCTGGAATATGAAGAATACTCGCGAACCATATAATTCGACCACACTGCCCACAGCGTTAAAAGGCCCCAGGCGATGCAAGAAAGGGCCGAGCCAATATTGAGCAAAGTCTTGCTTTTCGACACCGGATCGCCATTCATAAGTTTTACGAGGGCCAAAATGATTAAGATCATTCCCAATTGGACTAGGGCATGGTACTTGACTTCCAGCAGTATGTCAAGTCTTCGATTGAGACGAGGATTCACCGCTCGTCGACTGCCAAAGTCATGGTTAGAGTAATTTTCGAAGCTACTTTAACGTAGAAAACTCACGCTTCGTGTAAGATGCCTGAGATTGCAAGAAGCAAAGGCGAGAGGCCTATGCTGTTGAGAATCACAGCTGCCTCGCCCTTCTGGTTTCCGTGAAGACCAATGCCGCCAGTGGCGATGCGGAGGACGCAGAACAATTGGACAAAGAGCCAGCCCAGGAATCCAGTTTTTCCGTGCTTCCATAGACAGAAGAGAGCTGGTTGGAGAAGAACGAGGTAGATGGCGAGCTTTGCCGCTGAGAGACCGTCGGTTGTCATTGTGATTGTGAGTGTTTGTAGTGAGATGTGATGCCTTGAGAGATGGTGATGGAGAAAATGAATGTCTGTTGAGAATTGTTGCTTGGCAATTGAAAAGGTTATTTCCCGTTATTCATTGTAGGCAGTATCATTATATATATGTCTTCTTTCCCTTGTCCTTTCTATTGTGATGCTGTTATTCTTGATGGTCTTAGGAGTTCCACAATATCAGATAGTAAGCCTGGAGGATCCACGCCACACTATTAGTGTGGGATTGAACGAGAACGACGGCAGATCTGAATGGTCCGAACAATTAGTTACAGCGCTACGACAATCCCTGTATCCAATCATGTCCATGGCCAGGGCTGATCTACCGAGAGCTCTCTCCCTACCCTTAGTGAATGCATCAGACATGGTGGACTCACGATTCCTGATTTATCCCAGTCCCTGTAGGGGGAGAATGTGTTTGTCTAAATTAATCTCTATGAATGGACACATCACACAGTAGTGACGGGTCTTTTAATATCTCCAGTGGTTGAATCAGCATGCCCTGCCACTCAGACGGCAACTCGGCAGCAATTGCCTGAGCCTCGCGGAGCCCAGCATCTCCAATATACCAAAAGTCGCGATGAATTGCCAAAAGTGCAAAATAATGCGCCATGATGACCAGTGCTCGCGGCCGTTTCTGTCCTACATAGTCCACAAACTGGGCGTCCACAATCATGGGGAAGAGATATAGCCTACGAGAGAGGCCAGGGGGCGGCTGGTTGTCGAATCTGTGCTTCCAGATCCATCCAAAGCAGCTCAGAGTGCGTTTATAGACGTAGTATGTTTCATCGTCCCATTCTTCTTCCAGCTCGTGAGGTTCCTGGCGTCGTAATAGGTGTAGCAATTCGCTAGAATCTTCCATTCTGCGCTTTTCATCCAAGTGTCGAGATACTTCCAGCATCAACTTTCCGCTAACTGAATCAGGGTTCTTTTCAATCAAGGCGAGTGCCTTGCGGAACACAATGTTGCTGGTATTCGACATGCGCAGCCACTCAATAGGAGGCGTATACGGCTCCAACTGCCGACGCTGCAATCGAACATAGCCGTAGACCCGAAGCGTAGTAGACGTCATGCACGAAAAATCCACATTTTTGATATCGAGATGAGACACGTGCTTGTGGTGCGATTGTAGAGTTAGGTTGAGATACGTGGAATGATGCTGCATGTGCTGCGGATCCGTGAAATTCGACTTGTACGCTTTGTGAAGTGCCGACAGCATGCAGACTCCATATAGCACGGCATCTGATTGCAGTGCCGCGCGGCACAGGACTGGGCCCATGAAGTTTTGGGAGTATCTCTCTGCGCCAAGTGTTGGGCCGGTTTCTGTGGAGTAGTGGTAGAATAACTCGAGCTCGAGCTTTCGTCGTGCTTCTGTTTCTGGGAGATGAATTACGCCGTCGGAATCAACAAAGCTATCACCACTACTTGATAAAGTTGGTGCTTGAATAGAGTCGAAATCATTGTTGCTGATAGTTGGAGGAGGTCCATAGCCGCACTCCAAGTCAAGTCTTGTGCAATTATTACATATTGGCTTGGCCTCATCGCACTGTTTCGATATTAGATCTACCTAGTCAATATGTGTTGCATGTAGACTCAAATCCACCATAATTGTATTCATCTCGGAGTATTTCTTCTGCATACCTTGACTCGCCGGACTCGACAACGCTGGCATCCTGTCCTACACTTCTTGTGGAATAGCTTCGCATGCTTCTTGCGTGGCGGCTGCGTCTGCTGTGGCTTCTCTTCGCGTCCGCCCACCAGGGGTAGCGTTGTTGTTACTGTCATTGTAATTTGGTAGAGAATTGTCCTCTGCGATGCAACATCAAACGACCTGCTTAAACGATGACGAGGGGCGACGGAGGGTACATGTAGTTGCTACCGGTAGGATGATGAACGAGAACGAGCATCAGCCTAGCTGTTTATGGAGGCGGGCCATATTAGCTGCCTCCAAGGCGTTTTCTTTTCCCGCGTCATCAGCTAATTGGTCGATTCTCCTAGGGCTTACTGACGATCTTGATGCTAGCTTCCGTAATGCAGTGCCCGGCTGTATCCAGTGCTCGGATATCACCGAGATGCTATTAGAATTATCCAGTTATCAGGGTTGTTCTCTGCTAGTGTTCGTGTGTGACGTGCGAACTAGTTGCGATTCCCTCTTGTTTTGAAATAAATGCAAGGAAAATAGACCAGAACTGAGGCTCTCTAAAGGATGTATTATGGCCACTGTCAATTCTTTTGAACGACGGCCGTACGGTAGAAATCACCTAACTAAATTCTATCACTAAGCCGGTCTTCTTCTCTCTATACCTCTTCATCGCGATGCTCCGTCGGAACTTCTTCATTTAGAGTCCTTGATTCTACCGAGGTAGTTTCGCCATCATCTAATGGTCGAATATTTGTCAACTCCAAATAACGACATCGCCAGTATATTTTCAAGATGCTCCAAAGAGAGCAAATGCACAAAATCACATGTTGCCCGCAACATCAGCTCCGATTAGCAAGGCTGGCAAATGTGAGGCTGGTTTACCCCGCCTCGAAGACACGCTTTCGTAAGATGATGCGACCAATGAAAGGATATCACGATAGCTATTTCCCTCAAAGTGCTTCTTCAATGTTATCAATAGCTGTGCAACGCAAACTTGAACCAGCCTAAAGTTGGCATGACCTTTTTTCCAGCATCTAAGCCTTCGATAAAAACACCAGCGGAATCTTCAATGATTGATAGCCAGTCGAACCATGGCGAGCAATGATGCAGGACGCTCAGTTTCGTACAGCTCTTTTAGTGGTGATGCCCACATCTTTCAGGGTGATGTCAATATCTCAAAAGCGTAAGGCTTTATCTGCCTCCTCCATCTTCAGTAAACGCCTACTTACATTGTTAAGCAAAATAAATATTGGCATTCATGACACTGAATCCGATGCTATTCTTTCTAAGCTTCCTGTGGTTGAAGGCGCAGCATTCGATGCCCATGCCAATGAACACGAACCCAGATGTCATCCCGGCACGCGTGTCAAAATTCTAGAAGAAATTGTCAAATGGGCTCAGGATCCCCACAGAAAACGTATATATTGGCTTTGTGGGATGGCTGGTACCGGCAAATCTACGATATGTAGAACAGTCGCTCATGATCTGTCAAGTATGAACATCACAGCTGCGAGCTTCTTCTTTAAGAAGGGTGATGGGAATCGCGATAAATCAGGTGCCCTCTTCACTACTATTGTCAAACAGCTTGTCGAATACCTGCCAAAGGAGATGGCAATACATGTCAAGCAAGCACTGCGAGAAAATCCAAGTATCAGCGACAAATCATTAAGCAAGCAATTTGAGGAACTTATTCTCACACCTTTGAAGAGATGCAAATCTCTACCACCGGTCATAGTTTTTGTGCTGGACGCCCTCGACGAATGCGACAATCAAGCCAACGCTGCGAGAATCATTGAGCTTCTGCCTAATGTTGAAACAGTATCATCTACGTCCTTCAAAGTTTTAGTTTCCAGCAGACCAGAGTGTCATCTCCGAAAGTCTTTTGCACAACTAAATTGCAAATATGAAGAGATTTTACTCCAAATGACGCTCCATGAAGTTGCTGATGAGGATGTCCGGCGTGACATGTTTATTTTCTTGGAATCTCAACTAAGGCAAATTCGAGATAGTTACAACGATACCAACTTACAGCTACCTGCGTATTGGCCATCACAATCTCTTGTTGAAGATCTTGTCGATATGTCAATGCCGCTATTCATTATGGCAGCAACTGCATGCCGCTTCATAGGCGATGAGGATCTCGGCGTTCCCGTTACGCTGGCCCAGGAATTTCTGCTTAATCGGAAGTTCGGTAAAGGCAACCCTCTTGCCAGGACATATCTCCCCATTCTGGAACAATTGCTTGTTAAACGCAATGGTATCGGAGTAGTGGATCGCTCAAACGTTGAAAAAGAGAGAATTATCGGAGAATTTCGTCGAGTCGTTGGCACGATTGTGCTTCTTGAGGCGCCACTTTCGATCATTTCGCTCTCGAACCTCTTAGAAATGGACTCATGGGAGATTGGTTCACGGCTATCGAGCTTGCACTCCATTTTAAACATCCCAAAAAACCTTAACTGCCCAGTCAAGCTATTTCATCTTTCATTTCGCGATTTCCTGACTGGCGCTGATCATCAGGAGGAGAAGCATGACTTCTTCATTGATGAACGCGAAACACATGCCAGCATAGCTCGCCAGTGCGTTGCACTACTTTCGAAAGATGATAATCTTAAACAGGACATTTGCAAACTCAGTCACCCAGGAACACTAAGGTCAGATATTGACCAGGAGACAATTGACTCTTGCTTTCCTCCACATGTTCGGTACGCTTGTCTATACTGGGTCTTTCACTTAAAAAATGGTGGGGGGCATATAGACGATGACGATGAAACGTATCGCTTCCTTACCAAACACTTAATTCACTGGCTGGAAGCACTCAGTCTACTGGGCTGCATTGCTGATAGCCATGATATGGTGGATACCCTCTTAACCATGGTTGATGTATGTGAGACCTACTAATTTTGCTGGAGATGGCTGCTAACCTTTGTGATAATGATAAGGATAATAGAGACCTAGCCAGCCTCTTGCGCGACTCCAAGCGATTCATAGGCACTTATCAGCATGCTATGGACATAGCGCCACTACAGTTATACTGTTCTGCCCTGATTTTTGCGCCAATGAAGAGCAAGTTTCGGCAGTGTTTCGAAACTGAGATTCCTAAGTGGATAAAAAATCGACCTGCTGTCGAAATGAACTGGGATGCGTTGCTCCAAGTCCTTGAACACAATGAACGTGTAACACAAGGTGTCTTATCGCCGGACTCATCGCTCATAGCATTACTCAGCTCTAGAAAGGTCGCCATCTGGCGAAGCCAGACTGGCAACTGTGTTCATGAGCTTAAATTCGACTCCTCTACTACCATTGCTACATCAATGGAGTTTTCATGCGACTTTAAACTACTTTATGTGGCATTTTCCAATGGTGAAGTGACGTCGTGGGAGACAGATGCGTGGACGTGTCGCACAGTCATAGAGGGAGACACAAAGTTGCACAGTGATGTATCTGGTATGGCATTTTCTCCCGACTGCAAACTTCTCGCAATAGCCTTCGCCGAGAGGATCGAAATCCGGTCAATTCCATCCGGAGGTGACCTCATAGAGCGCATTATCATCAACGATGCCAGGCATCTGATGTTTTCTCCAGATTCTACTTACATATCTGCAAGAGTTGTAAGTGATTGGTCATTTCGAATGTGGCCTGTCCATGGCGGACAGCCAATTTGGATAAAGGCAGGTCTGGCTCTAGCATATTCTCCCGACTCATCCTTTGTAGCTCTCTCTATTACACAGGCCATTGAATATGCCATAGAAATACATCGCGTTGGCGAGGGGTCCTTGACACTTTATCGAAAATTTCCACTTGCTGATTGGTTGGGCGGGGCAGATTCTCTCGCCTTCTCTCATGATGCAGCACTCCTAGCAATGGGGAGAGATTTCAGAAAAATCGAGATCCGGTCGGCAGACACTGGAGAGCGCATATGGGCGGTCGATGCTCATACAGGCTATATTAGCTCGCTTTCGTTTTCGCATGATTCGACTCTTCTCGTCTCATCATCGGGTGATGGGGTGCATGTTTACAGCGTTGGCAAGCACCGATCTGCCCAAATTCCCGAAAGCGAACGTGGGGAGGTTGAATCTGTTACGATTTCACCCGATTCGTCCCTCATTTTGTTGAAACCAGAACGGGATCACAACATCTGGCAGGTTTTTCAGACTGCTTCGAGCGCCTGTCTTCGAGAAATTGACCGCGGCATGGTGCAAAGTGACCCTGCATTCACGCCTGGCTCGGCCTTGGCAATGATCAAAGACGGCGCCGCTGAGATTTGGCACCCCGACAGACCCCTGCGTGTACAATATCTGGAAGGGCTTGGTTCAAAACCCTATGATATTCATGCATCCTGTTTCTCGACAGACCTTACGCTGGCCGCAGGCCTCTTAAATAATGGATCGCTGCGGATCTGGCGAATGGATACGGGCGCGTGCATTCGAGCAGTCGAGTCCTCTGTGCGGCATATCGACGGTCGGTCTCTGCGCTTCTCTCCAGATGCATCTCACATCGCATGTGGCTCATACAGAGACAATAAGCTTTTAGTCTGGCAGGTTAATTCGGTCGCACATGCCCGAAAGTTCAATCTATCGCGGGGCTTCCGCCATTTTGTCTTGTCCAACACGAAGCTTGCTATGGCATCAGCAAACTCGGTTGGGATATGGAGTCTCAAAACGGGTGAATTTCTATTACAGTTCGTTGATACTAACCAGCAAGTTCTTGACAAGCTCACTATTTCATGTGACTCGACTCTCCTGGCATCAACCCCCCTCTACTCCAGTGAACCAAACATCACTATCTGGAATGCCCATACGGGTACTTCCATGGTGGTCATCGGTCTTAGTTACCCAATTACCCATTTCACTTTTGAACCGAACAGCTCCGGTTTACTTACAAATGTTGGTCGCATCAAGTTTAAAAACCCCATTGCGTCAAGTGCAGTTATAGTCAAGGATAGTAAATCCCAGCCATGGTACCATGATGGACTAGGTTTTGGTTTTGGCAACGATGATTCGCTTGATAATAGCTCTTGGCTATCATTCAATGGAAAGAAATTGATTTGGCTGCCCATAAAATATCGGGGGCAACTGGGAATATCACGGGCTGTTTCAGAATCCGTGATTGCAATTGTGTATACATTTGGACAGAATGTGTTCATCCAATTTGACACAGAATGGATCCCCAGATAGGTGGTTAATCAATACTTAGAAAGTATAGAGTCAAGATAGAAAGTAAATATGTTTAAGAAAATTGAAGCATCAATCTGCTGTATTCACGATCACCTAGTGTTGATTTTACGATGTCTGTCTGCTATTGGGCGTTTTGATGGGGAGCGAGCACATAAATTCCAATGAGTTCGACAACAAAGTAAAGCATATAGGCCAAAAAGAATCATGGTAGTATGATATTGCGATAAATATTGTTTGTATATCCTGGCAATTCGTATGTTTCGAAGTAGCTTATTGCCAAGTCTGAGATGACTTCGCCGCTAGTAATCCTCACCACAAAGTGCTGTCACTGGTTGCCTATACTATTCTCGTCATCAACCAGCACATTAACTATGAATTACAAGAGTCTGAACATAGTCAATTAAATACGATACGGCCTTCAATAGTAGTCCTCTTGAGTAGTAGCTTAAATTAATGTTGAAAATATTCTAGCTACGTATGAGTGTTGCATACCATCAAATGACCAAGCACTGCACTATCCATCAAAACTGGAATCTTCATTACTTATCAAGATTTCCAATAGTTGCCAATTTCTCGAAGGTCTGATATCATTGCTGGAGGGTTATCCAGCGAAGGAAAGTGTCCCCCAAAATCATGATCTGCAAGAGGGTTAAAATTTGGTTATGCAATTTACAAAACATAACACTCACTATTGTAGACAACAAGATTGCCGGTCCGGTTCACCAAAGCGGGTGGCCAAAATGCCACATTGTACTTGAACGAGCTGAACAGTAGCGGCGCATCCGTCTTCGCTTTCGTATATGTCGTTGCAAATCCGTTCTGATTCTGATAATATATAAACCCTGCGGAATTAAACGACTTTGTGAGGTAGTAAAGCGAGACTGTTGTTAAAATTTCGTTGTGGGTTAATACCGAGGGACCCGTACCAGCTCGAGGATCAGACCCTGCGATTTCGACAAAGTAAGCAAAAGAGAAGTATTAGCTTGCCATGGAGGCCACTCACAGTTGAGAAATTTTTCACCAATGTAAGCGAGCTGGCCAACCGGGCTGTCGTATAGGGCGAGGCCTATAGTGTTGGGCTGAGCACAATTGTCAGAATACTTTCTCATTCATTCGGTGTCCTTCACTAGCACTTACTTTGGTTGACTCTAGTTGGAAATAGGCCTGGCCATTGGTATACCATTCCATAAACCCTCCCTCTTCAAACTTCTCGAGCGCATCCAATTCAATGCCTTCAGCAGCAAGCTGGTCGGGTGTAAACGGGAAAAAGGGCAGAAATACGAGCTGGGTCGCGCGGACGGTAGAGTTGTATGAACTGTAGAGGTGATAGGCGACTGAACAGCCCCAGTCCGTTCCATGAGCAGCAAATGTCTTATAACCAAGGACATCGGTCATAAGAGTGTTGAAGATTCTGGCAGTATCCTCAGTGGACCAATTGGCTGGAGGTGCCGAGGATGGCCCAAATCCAGGAAGATTGGGAATGACAACGTCAAATGAAACTGACTTTCCAGTCGATGTCTTTCCATTCTTAGTCAGGTCACCAATTAGAGGGATAAACTCCAAGAATGACCCTGGCCAGCCGTGGAACAGTATCAAGGGAATTGCATCCGGCTTGTTGGATTTCTGGTGTATAAAGTGAACGGTTAGGCCTTCAATCTCGGCAGTAAACTGCGGGTATCTATTTTCATATTAATAATCATTCAGCATTGAAACCAATCATTTTAGGATGGCTGACTTGTTGATGGCAGCTTGCTCCTTTTGCCAGCTAAATTGAGTCAGCCACTCCGTGCGCAAGGACTTTAACGTGCTGAGCGGGATTCCGGCGTCAGGAGAGAGACCAGGGTACTCTGGGGATGCAGGGAGTTGAGTATTCTTGATTAGTTCGAGCATTCGGGGGACTTGACTGTCAAGGTTAAGCACAAAGGGCTTCAAGTGATAGTTCTGTTTAGGATGGGCATTTTGGATTGCCGTGGCGCTAGCAGCAGCCACGAACAGAGAACTAAGAGTTATAAGACGCATTGTGTTGTGAGTCTTCATATATCACACAAATTGATCGCAACTGAAAACAATTGATGAAGCAAAGTCTTTAGTCTTTATAATACAGGACCAGGCAGCTCTACTACGGCTTGTCATCCTTGAAAGAAGAGTCTCTTGTCACAGCGAAATTACAAATCGCAAATGCTTACAAGCTTGTGGCTGTGTAATGCAGAGATATTGCACATGTCTGCGGCTCCAACCCGCTTTCCTCAAGGTTCAATACTCTTTGAGCCGCAAGAGGCATCATTACTTACGCATCTTTGTCATTCGTCTTTAGCTTACAAACAGGACTTACAATTAGGGGTCAAGCCAGATATTCTCCAATGATACTAGTTTGAGTTGTTGCCCCACTCGCGGCCCATGACGGCGCTCGGAAAAAGTTGCCAAAATTTACAAGATTCCATCGCGGCGCGCGTTAATCAGTAAGCGCACGGGATTTCATCCTTACCATCGCATTAATAATCTCAATCCAAGAAAAGAAATGCCAACTTAAGCGTGCTATTTGATGATTCATATAGTTATTCATAGGCAACTGCTCATAACTCTTGTTCAACTGCACTGTGCATCCTTGAGATGCTGGAAACGAAGTACGAGAATTTTTTAACATATAAGCAGGTCTCTCTTTCAACTGTGTTCGCTATGTATAGTATTGGCCGTCTGTAGGGATTTTCTCCATATTACCTATTCATTGTTAAATAAGCTTGTAAGAAGTCTCATCAAGTCGTTTATCCCATGAGGCCATGGAGTTAAGTATCAACGATTGCAAAAATTTACTTGCATCAACAGCTCTGTCACAAGCAAGCAAAAATCCAAATGCTATAATTGTTCGAGGAGTGGTGCTATCAGTAAAATAGCTTTGAATAATGACTTCTAGAATGAGATGGCATCATTGTATTGACTGCTAATGGCTACTGTTTGCTGACACTTTGCGGTTGTCTCGACCAGCTCCTCTTACTGGGCTAAACATTTGCTCAAGGCTGTGCTGGTCCTCTAACGGGTTAAACGAGAGTGTGTACTTCTTAGAGTGGCCTAGAATATGAAATTGAAGACTGTGAGAAATTTTATTCGACGTCAACTAATTCCAATAGGTAACGGATGTTGTTCTACCGTCTTTACTTATGAGGTGTAGTGCTTAAGAGATAACAAGGCTCTTGTAGTAAGTACATCGGTAACCATTTCTGACAAATTGAAAGCCCTGGTGATGCAGAACCGCAGTGGAATCCCAAATTCATGAAAAATTACTACCCAAAAACGAACCTATGCACAAACGGTCTCTCCCACTAAGCCACCTGAAGCCTGTCTTGCCCGAGAATACGATAGATGAGATACATTTCATTTGAGCCGTTTCAAATTTCTTATAGGCTCACACATAAAACTCTTTTGCTATAATATATTCTTTATGGGCCATCTTATGCGGTGAACGGCTACATATCCCTGCCATAGCTGCTGCGCTTTGAAAAAGCCCCACTGGAATTGGTAGATGACTATTACTTCCAGATCTCCCTAACTTTCGCCCACTTTAACCCAGGCTTTAACCCTAGTTGGATTACCAAGATCAAGCACTTATTGCGGATATGTTATCAACAGTAAATATGTAACCATTTAAAACGGTGTGTTTTGGCTTGAAATTACCCCCCTGCAGTTTTATATATGGTAGGAACTTGTGATGGGGTTTCTAGTTGTGGTTGAACGAACGGCGGGGGTAGGCAAGAAAGCCACGCCAATTAACGGTCAAAGACCCTACCTGTTTTAACAAACTTTCATACCTGTGTTGCATTATGACTTTGGTTGCTCTGCATCAAACAGTAACTTAAATGTGGGCACTGGGATGAATCTTTCAACCAGCGAAAGATTTCCTTTCATTGACACTCAACTGACCAATGTAGCCAGCTGCTTACTATAAGATCCGATTATGTAGGCCCATCGAGATGCTAGTGTGGTTAGACAGGGGCTTGAGATTTTACAAGTATACATTGATTTGCATCGCTTGTACAAGATAGAGCCCCCTTGACAATACGTTTCGGCAAATTTTGACCTGCAAATGGCTTTCTATCTCTGCAGCGTCTGGCCCTCCGGGTTTGCGGTTTGCACAAGAATAGCTGCATGGCCGTCCTCTTCGGGTGTACATCTCGCAGCTCGGCTGTTTCTCATCACACTACATTGACAGATGTATCAGGATGATCGAGGTATTAGTTTGCGAGAATGCTGGCTTACTTTTTTATTCTCCGAGTTCTGCAATTGTCGCATTTCCCTATCACGGTCATCGTTTCTTTGGTGGGAATTTTGACTAACTTTTGATCGTTGGTTTAGAATGGTGAACTTTAGCCAAAAACGACGAGATGTAATTCATGTTGCGCATACAAAACTTTGCCGGTTCTTCCAATATTGATGTCCAAAGAGATGATAGTTCATTAGACTAAGTGTCTGTGACTAGGTTGCGAGGGTTGTATCTTACAATTGACCCTACTATTTGTATACCCTTCGTAGTTGTTCTATTCACCAAGCTCAACAATTTCTCAAACCTGAAGAGGCCCTCCAGTGTGTTGCATGAAAGTAAGTAAAATTTTATGAAGTAAATAAAAACTATAGGACTAATGGTGAATACAAATTACCTTGATCCTACATAACAATGACACGTTCTATCTTTGGTGAGATATGATCTGCCAATAGAGTCCCAACACCGACTCTTTCGTAGATAGGAGAAGTGTGTGATACCGAACGTATTAACAAGGCATAGTGGGCGGGCTTGTCTTCCTCGCTTGCAACCTTACTTATCCCAACAACGATGCACTTCCAATTTACAGGATCGAACACATTATAATCCGAATCAATTATCGATCTTTTTGATAGTTCAATGCCGTCGATCAATAGCTGACTTGCTTCGGCATGTAGTCGCCCGTCCCATTGAGCATTTGGACTCGCAGTAACGAATGGGTTTTGGACATTTCCTGTCCAATTGACTTGGTTGAAAGGAATGTTCATAAACTGGATTCCGCCAGTGCATGCCATCCAAGACCAGGAAGGCACACAATTGTTCCCTTTGAATGATATCCGGGACAGGCTTCCGGAGACAGCAGCCTCCCAAAGCAACGTCCTGTGCAGGTACTTTTCATGCAGGCCGTACTCGGCTCTGGACCCAAATGTGGAAGCAAGTCGCTTTTGCAAACCTATGATGGCCTTTGGACGATCGGTAGCATTTGTAAGGTGAAGTTTGCTATAGATTTGGTATATGTGCTGAATCAGTCGTATGCGGTCATCCTTGTAGTATTTAAGGCCGGAAGCAGGGAAATTGGAGTCGCCCAGAAACTGAGATTTCGGGCTACGGTGAGTTTTTGTTAGCAGGTGATCAATAAAATAAGTAAAGATGACATTTAAGTAACCTTACTTTCGCAATCCAGCCAACGTCTCGCAGCAGACGCCACCGCCGCATTCCCAATAGACTTGGGTCGATGTAAAGTATATGGTGCGACGAGAAAGTGCTCTCTCTTGTAATACCCAGCCTCGTGTACTCAATACACTCTGCTCAACATGTGCATGGAAATTGTCGATGAATTCGGCAAGTTGCAGGGGTCCACGGGTTGTCTGGACGGTAACGCAAGCCCTCGGGCTTCGTACACCAAGGAATCCATCCAGAGAGGATGCGGCAGAACTTGCAGCGATGGTGCAGTATGCAGAATTAAAGACGTCTCCCATCTTGGAAGCTTCTGATTCCCAGTCCTTTGTATCGTCTTGGATAATGCAAAGGGAGTCGATCCAGAGATATGAGATGCGTAAAGCACGGGTAACTGTTACCGCGTCCTGGAAGCTTTTTGGTAGGGATTTGAGTGGAATATTCTTCTTTAGAATCTCAATATTATGAGAAGTAGTGCAGAATTTTTCCTCTAGTTTAAGCTTTCCCCAACAATGGCTTAGAGCGATATACTTGTGTTTCGTACGCTTGCTGATTTCGACAAGACGAAGTTGGCGAACATCTATGACTCTTGTAGGCATGCAACCAGGTTGATACGTGTCGCTCGTATCTGGGAAACAACTATGATTTTGGTTGCACAATTCGATCCACTCATTGAGAAGACTGAACTGCTGCAAGCTAGCCGGCTCTGCGAGGCGTGGCAATCCAACTTGTGCGTATGAAGGAGCGAATCCGGATCCTTGACACGCGTCAGTCATATTTACAATTGCAGAATGCAAAACCGAAAGAATACTGACCTGGAATTGAATAGATGGATATAATAGGGAGACCGCGAGATAAGCTTCGTAGTGTGCATGAGGCGTCATCTCGGAAAAGGTCGACGGATTTCCCATCACACATCTTAGCCCTTTTAAGACAGAGTAGCAAAAAGCGACAAAGTGTGCATTTGTTGGAATCATATTCCAGTCCTCTAATGCTTAGATGCATTTTCAATTTCGGTGAGTCAAACTTGAGGATGCGATGGGATTGACACATGCTGGATATATGCTCCGCTGACGATTGTGGGGACCATTCAAGCTTGGATATCAAAGATTGCGCCTGGCCGTTGTCTCTCATATTTCGCCATGTGCTATTGAGTGTGCTGGAATACTGTATCAGTTAGTAAATAATACCGTAGACGCCAGAGGGTGGTGTCTTGGTAAAACTTACAGGCTGTATGCTATTAGAACCTCGGATACATTAAAGCCTAGGGTAATACCAACGTTCTTTTCAGCATCGAACAGTTTCCTATTAGCCACAATCAAAGCAGTGAGTAGGAATAGAATTCGTCTCTTCTCACATACTTGATAATTTAAGTCAGTGAACATTATCACAATGATGGATGCGGAGAATAGCTTGCTTACATTCCTTGACTGCCTCTTGGTAGCATGGTTGGCCGTGACACTGCATATAGTGCTCTTCCTGTTTGCTGCAAGTCTCTCCATTTCCGAATTGAAAAGATAAGCTGAATTCGCAGCAGCTCTTCTCTTGATTTCCTCTAGTTCGTAGCACAGTGTTTCGGAATACACGCGTTCAGTGACCCTAACTAGAAGCTTTGCGTCGATAAGCTGTGTCAACTCACGGAATGCTGAATCACTTGTGATATCGCTCTTTAATCTCTGAATCCAAATACAAACAGTCGGATGTCGCTTAGGGGAATCATCTTTTCGACATCTGTGGTAGCTGAGATCTTGGCTAAGCTGTTCGTGAAATAATGTAAAACCTTCTACACCGTATATCGCCCAAATAATAATCTCCAAGAAGACGCAACCGAGTGACCATGTATCGTACCTTCGAGACAGAATCACATTTGTTTTCTTGGCATATACCTCTGGGGGCTCATATGCGATACTGCCGTGCTTAGTGGTCGTAGCGTTGGTCCGGTCGCAGGTGTGTATCTCGTGCAACTTTGCGAGGCCAACATCAGCAATCTTTAGAATGGTGTTACCAGACATTCGAGGATCGTAATTGAAACAAAGAATGTTAGAAGGCTTGACGTCTCCATGGCGAATCTTTTTCGAATGCAAGGCCCGGATACCGTCAGAGAGACCAGCAATTTGAAGGAGAACCCAATTTGCTAGTCCCTCATCAAGTTTTCTTTGGTCAGTTTCCATCATATGCTGAAGGTTGCCTCCATTGGCCCATGGGAATACGATATACTTATTATTTCCCTTTGTGTATGTCGCAATGGCCTTTATCAAGTGGTTGTTGTTCAGCTTTTTCATCGTCTCCAACGCATTCGTTTCTCTTTGATAAAGCTTATCCGTTTGGTGATCGTTTCGAATCAGTCGCTTTACGGCCACGTCCAAAGGCTCATCTGTGTTGTCGTGAATGCCTCCACGAGACTACTTCAAGTTAATTTAATTCTCAAAATAGGGTAAATTTCCAAAGACTAACGGAAGGCACTTGTTGACAATGTGCAGAATGAAGTTTGAACCGCTGCACTGTCCCAAAATTGCCTAAGCCAGCTCCAGGCTCATCAGCTGGCATAAGAGGAAGTCGGTGGCCCTTTTCAAATTTGTAGGCAAACTTGTCTTGTCGGAACACTGGAGCTAAGAAGATCCATTGCTCTTGACAGAAACTATTAACTTCGCGTAAGCACCAGTCTGCAAAGCAGTGCAAGGGAGTATTTGAGTCGCGGCCGAGTATCCTTGGAGGGTCCGATGCATCATACTCGATACGAATTGGAAGATGTTTGTCCACAAAACCTTTGCTTTGGAGGCCCCTGATGTGCTTGACGGTGCCGGAATATACCAGCGTGAGAAAGACTTGTTTTGCGTCAGTCGTAACATAGTCGGCCACAATCTGGACCTCCCGGCTATCAATTCCCGGGATGTTTTGGCGTAATGTCGACACCACTCTGTCTGATTGAATCAAAGACTTGATCCTGTTCTGTGGTAGAAAAAGCGCACAGTCTTCCGGGCTTGAACATGCCCCATATGGCCTATTTTCGCAATTGTTAAAAACATCTTCATAGCTAAGACCCCTCTTAGTATGTGCCATGACGCTTCAGTGGGCAAGGAAAATTCTTTTTCCTTCCTTCCTTTTGTTGAAAAAATAATAGCAAAAAAAAAAAAAAAAATAAAGTCAAGAAAGTACCTATGACACTTCTCCTTAGAGAAGTAGCTCATTCCCATATATTCGCTGCAAAGTTCTGCTTAAAGAACTGGTAATAAGGAATAAATATATAGGTAGTTATATAGTCACGACGGTATCTAGCTGCTGAGACAGCCGGGCGGTGGTGTGTGGACCCCGAGAAGCGTCTCCTCTGTTTCCGTACCTCTGGACAAGGATCACGGTCCTTTACTTCAGTGGGGAGACCATGGGGTGTCTGTATACAAATATGCGAGACATTGAAGCATGAAGGCGGTCAAGGGGGCTCAGGGGGGCGTGGTTGTATTCAGCGCAGGCAGCGGACGACCGGGTCTCTCGAGACATGTAGGCTCTGCACCACGAAGCATGCACGCGGGCTGTGGCGTGGCGTAATACTGGCAGGATACCAGCAGGCGAGCGTCCCAAGCGTTTGCTGGCCGGTACTGGGCCGGTACTCTTTCGTCCATGCTGGACCGGCATGGCCAGCCTGTGGGGCGAGGCATCGACGCCACTGGGACGTTTGGTACAAGTACGAGAACCAGAGCGTGTCCGCTTCGGACCGCGCTGCCTTGGTGCCAGAGCCGAAGAAGTGCATCGCTGGCAGCGACTTGCTTGCAGCGCTATAAGAGACAAAGGAATAGTTCAGTAAAGTGTGTATGCAAAGGAAACGTCCGGACATGTACGAGTCAGTACGATTCATTGGCTTCGTTTCTACTCCGAACCATTAAGGTACCTACCAGACGGGGGGAGCAAAGGAAGAAAAAGGACACGACGAGCACGCTTACAATGAATGCTGGGGCCAGTCACCTGAGATGAAGCATTGCTGGGCAACTGGCAATTGGCAACTGGTGATGAGGCAAAGCCGGTGATGGCAATGTGAGGCAGAAGGAGGAAGTGCAAGTACGAGTACACGCAGACGTAAAAAAACGACGGCTTTGGTACAAGTGTGTGCAATCCATTGATTGGCCACCCCTGGCTAGTCCCGGAACGTAGTCTCTGTTCTGCCGTGCCGGATGACCAGGGGTGGCCACAGGCAAATACCAAATTGACAATTTAAACTCTCACCTCTAGCCTTACAGACTAGTGAGAGTGTCTCGGTTGTATCGCCGAATAAGTCTTTGTAGGGCCAACGCAAGGACGTGTACAGACCCCTGGTCATACCAAGTGCATGTTTTGGCCAATGTGGCTTTCACCTTTTGCTATTGACAAGCAGCCCTGCTTTGCATTTTTGAGTTGCCGCGCATCGTCCGGACCCGTAGACGGCACACTTGAACTGCGTGCTGCTGACGTCTCTCTTTCCAGCGCTCTGTCCTCCCACACACCCACCGAATACATGGTCTACCACATCCTAGGGAGGGAGTACACACCTGTACTTTTGCATTCTTGCCTCCTGCTTGTCGTTTTCTCTTTCTTACCTCGGCCTTTCCCCTTCTCTCTCTCTCTCTCTCTTTTTTTTTTTTTTTTTAATATCTTGCAGACAGTTTTGTCAACTCGTTCCCCCTCGGTATAAGACCCGATGCTTCCTCCAATGCCAGTCACCCATGTTCATAGGCCCATTGAATAGCTTTCTGGGGGAGTAGTGCTGTCCCCTCGATGGTGCCCGCCACGGTACTCCGCTGCATTCTGCTACAGGCTATCTGCCTAGCTGCCAGCGACATGACAGGGGGAGGAGCGGTACCCAGCAGATGCTGCGCTAGCATTTGAGCGTCAACTTCATGATCATGATCATTGCAACAGTGCCCAGTGATAGCTGCCAGTCCCGCTGATCTCCTCCATGTATATTCACTCTTCATTATCAGTTCTTTGAACAGAACTTACCCTCCACTCACTAATCCCAAACCCAACCGCCAGCCTTTCAGCAGCCTCCCGCAACATTGAACAAAGAAATGCAGTCAATGAATGGATCATATGCGCAAAGGAGACGCTTGTAAGGCAGGGTAAAACAAGCACCTATGGTTGAAATCTCGAAGTGCCTGCAGTGCCCTACTATTGGTACCTAGTAGGCATTTATCTACTACTTCTCAGCTACTAGCAGGCCGTTTTTCCACAACTGGCCATCAGAAAGAATGCTTCCGACATAGCATCCTGTATCATGATATCATTGTGCGAGTCCAGGGTGTGTCAGGCAGCTGGACATGATTTCTGATTGGGGGTTGCGGGCCAACGTCCCCGCTGCGGTTTTGCGTTGCAGCTCTACTCGCATTTCTGGCTCACTGTTTAAGAATCCAGCAAACGGTAGGCGGCAGCGGAGTCTAGGTAATTGTGCCGATAGAGAGATGGGGGGTACCGTGTCAATAAGTGCCTGGAGATGGAAGACTAGTACATCTCGAAGCCTCGTAACTGACGGTGTTGTAATTTGATTTGTAGTCTGTTGTAATTCTTTAGCAGTATATTAGAGGAAGGGGAAAGATAAAATAAAATTCATCAACACATGAATGTTATGCGATGTTATACTATCTCGTATCGTCAAAGAAGATGCTACTTTTTTCAGTAGTAATAATCCATGGACACTCGAGCACCGTGCTGGCACAGTACAAAAGTTATCTAGCAAGTTGCTGTGCAGCGGTTGCAGGGGCACATCTGACTCGTTAAAATTCGCTGCTGATGCAATTTGGTGGACGCGATGCAGTCAGCAGCGGATGCCTTGGCTGGCCTTGCAAGATCGTGTACATTTCGGTACTTTGTCTAGAGCTACTATTGGCATGCGCCTTGCTGGTACCATGCAGTACCTGTAATGTATTGCCTCTGTGTCTCAGACATGGAAGCATGATGGCAACCTCACTTTACTTATAACATCAGATGCATACTCTGTTTGCTGATGTTTACTACCATGTGGTCACAAGCTAATTTTGAACAAAGCATGAAGTAAATCAGTCGATTTATCCTATAATTTATGCTATACAATCACCGGAGGCTCCGCATCCAGGGTCTAGATATGGTCGGTCAGGCAGGTTATGATGCATGCGAGATGTCATTGGTACTGGGTCTTGTCATTTGTGAAGTAGGACGTTCAAGCGAGCTCCAGCCCGATGTAAGTTGATTCGCCGAACCAACCTCTCGGAACTCTCACGTCTGACCATTACATACCCATTCGCAAGTGCGAGATACGCCTTGATGGATACGTGGTCAGTCCGCTGGGTAAAAACATAAATAATAGTGAGAGACCTAACAACTAGATGCCAACATTGCGCAACATTATTGCCCTGCCGCTATAACAATTCGGTACGTGCCGATCTACTCCTGTTGGCGCCCTTCACTTTCAAGTTTTTGATTCCCGGGGATAGTCTTCTTTTTTAACGAGACTGCCCAATTTTCTGGATTTTTTGGCCAACTTTGACCAGCAAGAGAATAATCAGACGTTCAGTTGCTCCTGTGTCAGATATCTCACAATTATGGATTGACGACTTCATATCAAGGACTGAGCCGCTCCCCTCTCATGAACAGGTCGTCTCCTACCTATTAAAGAATTGGCCTAGAGACTCCCTGTAAACAACAGACGGAAATGAACGAGAGCAATTGCTCTCTGCCGGTGCACAGGCCTATGCAGCTTATCTCAACTGGGTGGGCTTTGGCAATAATATGAATGACGACGATATTCTCAAGCTCCGGAGTATCTTTAGAGCTACCCTAACGAGGCATGCTGAAGCAGAACAGACATGGAGAGTCTAGCTCGAGCGGGCTGATGAGCAGCATCGCTTACGGCCCAATGTTGTGCTGCTCCGGGAAACCCAGAAGCGGATACGGCGAGAATGTGCAGCAAATGCGAATAATAATATTCCTCTAGAGGAAGGACTAATGTTGGAAATACGGAATATGCTCATCAAATTGTTGGAAGACCACGATGACAAACATTCCTATGCGTCGGCTGCCCTTATCGGAAGATCACAGCTGGAATTGTCTTGCGAAGTCGAGAACAAGAGAGCCATGATGCCAAGATTGCTTCGAGTCTTTCGCTCGGCTTGGGTTTGACGGGGGCAGTGGCTGGATTTTTCTCAGCCGCTTCTCCAGCAGTTGGGCTCTTTGTGGTCTTAACTGGAATACCGATTAACAACGTTGCGGACCGTCATATAAAGATCCACGAGGCTATCGAAGACCTAGCACCCCAGTGGGCCAATGCTTCTATGCTTGGTAGCAATGACCCCCAGTATGCTATAATTATTCAGGTGGCGATAAATCTTATTGGCAGTCTTTGACACGTCTGTATACATCTTGTTTTACCAAGCAGGTATACTACGGGTAGTCGAAGCGAAACCATCTGAGCCTATTCAAGTACTATAAAGAATACGGATAAAAAGTCGAGATATCATGGTCATAATTACGCACAAAACGCAAGTTGAAAGATTGGAAGGTGATTAACGCAAAGGTTCACATTCGGCACCAGATCGAGGTAAAACGTAAAGGTTCGTGTGATGCTATTATCAATCATCTTATTTGCAAAGAGTCATATTGTCGATTATACATCGTTTTCTAACTAATACGCGCACTCGATCATAAGATTAATGAGCGAATCTGAAATCTAGTCGACCACTTCCCTGCAGCCTCGTAGTCGCGACATAATCCTTCCTTGCCTCCTCAGTCATTGCATTCCAGACCCTGTCGCGCTGCTTGTTCCGCCAGACATAGTAAATTTTTGTAAGAAGGAAGAGGACAATGGCGAGAAGATTGATGATGAAAAGGTTAAAGTTTCCACGGTGATATAGCGGAGCGTCATCATTGACATATATGTATGCCGAGATGATGCTGCCGACCTGAACACACATCTGACGGGGAATTAGTAAGAGGAGAAATAACTCAATGGAAGAGGCCTTACGTTGTAGATTGCAGCGGATACTGAGCGAGTACCGACATTGTTGGAATTCTTGGATGTCCAGCCAACCAAGATGGCGTCTGCAAAAAGATTTGTGAGCAATGGTTATGCAAGAAGTGTCTTATAGAGAGACGTACGGCAATAAGGGTAAGATGTCAAAACAGTGACCAGAGCATAGGTACCCCACTGATTAACCATAACACCAGGCCACCAGCGCAGGGCAATGACACACGGAAGTGTCCAAATAACTTGTAACATGGCTACCAAGGTACGCTCATTCAACCATTCTGACAGACGGGTAATGAGAATAAGATTTATGATGTGAAAGACATTCTAGGTGGCAATTAGCGTTTCCACTATGAACATTGAACAATTTTTGAGGAGACTTACGTATGGGATTGTCAACAAGTTGGTGGTGAACGGATCAAATCCAATTTTCCTCAGCGTGAGCGTAATATACGTTGCTGGCGGACTCGCAGGTATAAATACAACCAAACCAAGTATGTAAAGAGGCCAAAGATCAAAATCCTTGAGTGTCTCCCACAGTCTCTTGGGCGTAATAGCTTCGCGATTGTGCATATCTCCCTTCGATGGGTCGTCTCTCAAGACTCTGTTCACGACAATAGAGACTTCACGATCCGTGAACCAACCCTTGGGCCGGAACCATGTCTTGGTCTGTACGGCTGAGGCAGGCATCATAAAGAATGAAACAAGACCTACAACGAGGGTGATCAAGCCCTCCACGAGGAACAGCCACCGCCAGCCAGCCCAGCCATTGGCACCTCGGAGGTGTAACAGGGCGAAGGCAAGTAGAGATGTCACAATTCCAGTAACTGAGAGAGAAGTCCAGAAGTAACTAAGACGGACGGGCAGCTCGCGAGATGTGTAAAAGTAAGACAGCCAGAGAACAATGTCGGGAATAAATCCTCCCTGAGGATCACATGTCAGTTTGAGAATGAACAATGCAGCAGAGAGGATCATAACAAACCTCTAACAGACCCAAAAGACTGCGTGTACAGAGGAAACTCGTGCGACCGGTCAATGCGCATTGCGAAATGGCAACAACCGACCAAAGAACCATCTGTACGGGAATCCACCTATCGGGGCCGACCATTTTGGACACAAGCTGCGAAGGAAGTTCGGCGACCAGGAAAGAAATCCTGAATATACTGTTGCCGTAGTTGTAATCTGCGCTTGTATTAGTACTAACTTTGTCTCTAGGACTTGTATCACTGCTGTCGTTATAGCTACCATTTGTATCGAGTCCCAAGTCGTCCAACATATTGTCCGACACAGCTTGTGCAAGGTTTCCACGATCGACCTGCAGGCCAAAGAACATGACACACTACAATCATTGCAAAGATAACTATCAGCAGTAGTACTAAAATGATACAGCATTGAATGTGAAACTTACGGCCCAGAGACACACTCGCCAGTCCAACTTCCTCACGAGGCGTCGCTCCTCCTCTTCCGACCAGGTCAACATCGGATCAAACACATGGCGACATTCGTATTGTGACTTTTCATACACCTCTCTCCAGTGCTGAGCGACGGCCGAGTCTCTGAATGGATTCTTCTCCTCGTTATATCCGTTTTCTTCAGATCCCGTGAGTTCCCTAAGCCGTTCGGTGTCGCTGGACGCCGAGTCGTGGATGCTCGACGATACCTCATCCGTGGTAATGGAGATGTTGGCCGCTTTACTATCCGCAGCCATTTTGGAATACGCCAAAGCAAATCAGAGTCTAATGATAGACACGTTTCTTCAACCTGCTGTAGTGTAACCTAGATCTGCCAAAGGCCTGCCCTCGCCCTGGCAGCTGCAGAGGCAGTCGAATACACTCTCTGGTGGGATGCACGACACAAAGTAACAAGCTCTCCCATTGCTGAATTTATACGTTGACTGCACATCCTTGACATCCCGAATTCGGGGCAATGATTGCGTGCTACAATGACCTACGCCGATGATACCTTATCTTTGTTAATGTTTTTAAAGGTGCAGCAGTCTGCGTCTCCCCGCAGTTTGGTGAGAGCGAAGACGCATTGCGCCATTGATTGAAGCAGATCCCGACTCCGTCACGCGGCAGAGGAAAACGTGGGGGGAACGGTATACAGGTTGGCGGATAGTAGAGTTGCAATATTTCCCCCACGGAACTTGATCACGTACTTTATTTGTGAATGAAGCCGTTAAATGTGGACTGCTTCATCTTGTGGGAACGGTGTTGATCCCTCAAATGGAGACTTGATGCCAAACATGGGTTGTGGGGAATCCTCAACCCTCAGTGAAGCCGCCAATTCTCATCGTGTAAATGTTCATACTTCAAACAGCAGATTCAGCGCGGAAATACTAAATATTGCAAGAATAAATAACTTGGCAATGATTTTTTTCCCGCGGAGATGTTGACGTTTGCCCTTCTGTGTGACTTTAAATACTGTACACTTGTCTAAGCGATCGACTCCGTTTTGATGTCGTGATATGACGCCATACACACACCTTCGGATTGTCGCGACCCAATACATATAAGGCTGATCGGTTCCATAGAGTATGTAACTACCAATTACAAATGCTAGAACCCTGTTTTGAGGAGCAACTAACATTGATGCTTACTTAAGTAATGACTGGAGCATTAGGTAGCAAACAAATAAATTCCATGGATCGAATAGTTTACCAGATTTTGGTAAAAGAGCTATATTTGCACTCGTAAGCTTATTATGAAGCAAGCCGTAAAAGTTTATTGATATCTCTGTATTCTGGTCAACTTGGTAGTCGCACTATGTACTTATACTTTCAGGCCACCAACAACCGCAAAATGCTCATGTACGACAAACCGGGTTCCTATAGTAATAATAGTTGAGCTGCTCAGGGTGCGCAAACTGGCAGTAAGGATTTATTTCGCGGGCGATCAGGTCAGCAACGGGCAATCTTGTCACCAGCTGGCAGATGTGATAGCTGAATCCAATTTTATTACTATATTAACAACTGGCCATCTAAGCTATCTAAATCGGTGGCGTGAAGTGAATTTATATATCCAGTGATGTATCCTGGATATAAGGATCTTGTTAGATTCTGCCGTGGATCTATTGAACATTCTCAGATCCTGTTCTGATTGGTCGGGTCGTGGCATCATGCGAAACAGTTTCCTATTTATGGTTGGTTATCATGATGCTTGAGTGTATTTCTGTTATATCCGCCTTGTATGACGGCTTGTTTGTCGACTGTGTCTTAGACCAAGCTAGTAGGCAAGTTTATAAGTTTGATGAGGAGGAAGAGAGATATCAGCAGAGGGAATAGTATGCTCTTTATATCCAACATGTCTGAGTAACAATTCGCATTTATTAGTCATCTAACATTAACTAGTATATTGCACAGGGATGAAGCCTTAATTCACATCCAACCAACTAGCGCCGACTTGCATGCTATGATCAACTTCAAATCCCAATTACACCGCTTTATTATTCATTCTCTCTATTATCCTCTATCTATTCCTGTTCTGACTGGTAACATTAACCCATTACAGGTCGTCTACCTGGTCATCATGTGGGTGATCCTTATCTTAGACATATTTGACTTGTAATCCGTCGGTAGTTTACTATCATATAGGAAGTCTGATACGCAAAAATTAATCCAAGTTCACAAGTGGCGGTCAGATCAAATTTCCGAGTTTAAGCATATTTAAAAAGTTATGAGATGAAACAAGCCGATCATGGGCGCTCTTGACTAGAGAAAGAAAGCTTCCGTAAGATCTAGTAGCTTTTTTTACTCCATTAAATGAACAAATCCCGTTTCGATCTTGCTCGAAAATCACACCTGCCTTGATGGGAAACGAGTCAGGAGGAGACTTATTCGTTTTTGATACTCCTTAAATCACATTAATGAAGATAACAGCATTTCGTATTAATAAAATCTGGACACAATGTCAGCAAACCGGCTATTCCGCAGCCCCGTAAGCCGTCAGCCTCACGGGACATCAGCAAGAAGCTACCAGGTGTTCAACAATCAACAAAATAAACCCTTCATATAATCGGTTATATAGACTTCCAGAGGGCACAGATTGACTAGCCGTTCGCATAGAATCAGTTGTGCATTAATATGTGGTATAATGCTCTCTTGGAAAAACCAGTTCACTCTATTGCAATCGTGAGTACAATGCGGCTATGGCCAAATTGGTACATACCAGTTACAGATGCTGTGAAAGAAGTACGGAATATTAGTTAGCTTTGCATCCAAGTATGGATATTTTAAGAGCAATATATCGTTTGACCCTGGTAAATACAACTGGATGGATTTGCCGCTTACTCCATCAACGAGCTTGCATACCCTAGATGCACAATCCTAGTCATATACTGATCCGACGAGCCGTTGCAAGCACCATCATCTTCCGCCCAAAAAGAAAAGGTACCCTATAGGAGTCGTGGCATAATCTTTTTTTGCATGTTTGTAATTCCTAGTTCAGAAAAATATAGGTGAAGGCGAAATAGTCTCGTTGCAAATGCATGAGAGACATGATAAACGTAAGTGAATGTGCTGGAGGTATCGATGTAAACACTCCCGAGTAGCAATAGGTTTGGATTGATGAGCCGAATGTAGATGGGATTTCAATACGAGATGCTACTGTAACTGATTTCAAATACCCTACAGGGGTGATGACCCCACGGACACTGGGCTAATATGCGTGTTCCGATGGATAAATATCCGTCCATCATGGTGAGGAAAGTCAATTTCAAGTCGGCTCGGAAACCCTCGTACTGCTTGCCTAAGAATTAAAAACACCCCTTAGGAGTAGAAGTAAAAATTAGGTTTTAATGGGACAAGGATAAATAGACGGCTCGTAAAGTATATAATGACAGCGTCTAAGCGTTAGATAGTCTCTCCTTCAGGATTTCATAGCGTACGTTGCAAACGTAGGTTTGCTCTTGATTGAGAAGAAATGTTGATATTTTGTATGCGGCTCAAGGGCGTACACTTTGAGGACGAGAAATGTTTATTGGCTGATATCATAGTCGCAATTATCTTCTCGGTTGCTCAAATAAAACAGTAAAATTTGCAATATCAGCCGGAATTTCCCATTTCGAAAAAAGATCATCAGATAATTTGCAGTTCTCGTCTGCATGAGCAACCATTGGCGAAGTTCTTGCCAACCTGGAGATTGGTGATGGCGTGCCGTTAAGCCTCTTCGCTCGCGTTATACTTGAATCGCCAATGAATGTCTTTGGCTAAAATGACCCTGTTCCCGGTTGCCCCAGAGAAGAAGATCATTGCTGAACAGGAGGATGGATTGGTTTAATTGTCTTAACTTCATCGTCTTTTCCCAAGTAACCTTTCTCTTCGTATGCATCTCGACATTCCTTAGACATTATCCCATGCTCATATACACAAATAGCTCCTCGAATGTTTAGTGGTGTTTCAGGGCTTCAAACATTTTGGATTTATGCTTGTCCAGTTTCCGGGTTGTCCGTGTAATCGGAATGAACATCAATCGAAATCACTGGGAGGAACCCCTCAGGTAACAGCTGTATTGTTTCGTTGACAAACACCCCGGGGACTTGGTTTCCTTTTGCTTTCTCCCGTGCAATCTTCGACCCTGCGACAAGAAAGATTGGATATCGTGAGGATAATCTACCGCCAGTCTATCACCAATCCATCGCTTATTTATCACTAATCCACCACCAATCCGCCTCTGATCCACCGCTTACTTATCGCCAACCCGCCGCCAACCCGCCACTAAGTCTTCCGGGGTATATGAAATTAATAATTCCAAGTTACGCGGTAAAGTACTCCAATAGGATGCTAGCATGAACTTGCTTACGAAGTAAACTGCGATTAACTCTGTGCAATGGGTAGTTTGCTTAACTGCTTCGCTCCGTTACATGCAGTTAGGCATTAAGTATCTAAGAATTTTGTATATATATTGCTGTAATCCGAAAGCTTGAATAACAAGACCGTTTTAACTCTGACACTGGTCACTTGATTATTTACTTAACATGGCAAACTTCAAAACCGTGGTTAAACTTCTCTTTTTTCTTTCCCTCACTTACCTTTGTCACGCCCAGGTCTTGAAGCAATCATGCATTAATCGCGATTGCAGCGCCAAGCGTGTCACTATTTCAAACCCCCCTATAAATCTTTGGGATGCCAATGTCATCACAGAGTTCAACGCGTTTATGCACAGCTTGGGGAATCAGAAGACCAAAGTCGTGGTTTTTGATAGCGATATTGCTGATTTCTGGGCGGCTCCGATTGACTTAAACCTCTTCCTACCGAATGCAATTCCAGGCCGCAATTCTTCAGCGCTCTTGGAGACATACTATATAAATTTAGACCTCATCTTAACGACTCCAGTTATCTTTATTGGCGAGGTTAATGGTCGAGCCTGGGGTGCTGGAGATGAACATCTGCTTAGAATGGATATGAGGTTTGCTGGGCCAGACGCACAATTTGGCGCACCTGAGGCATCCCTTGGACTTATTCACGTCGGCGGACTCCAACAATTAATAAGGCTCATTGGTCCTGGCCGAGCCGCCGAATACATGCTTGCCGCCGCACAAGTTAGTGCTTCTGAAGCAGCTCGTGTAGGTTGGGTCAATTCTGTGCATCCTACTGCTGAGGCTCTTCATGCATATGTGGATAACCTGGCTGTGAGAATTGCTCTCTTCCCTATCGAAGCAATTCAGGCCACCAAGGCTAGCATTGCTGAACAGGCTCCTTCAAAGGCTACCCTGGACAGCGATCATACACGGTTCAACCAGCTCGCAGCACTGCCACAGGTTGTGGATAATGTGAAAACTATTATCCGGCTGTCCCAAAATCAGTCGAAAGCATGGGAAGAAAACAACAATAATAATATTGTTCGGCAACTTTACTAAAGGTTGCACAGCCTACTTAGTATATTTGGCGCTTCTATAAGTGAAAGAGGCCGCTTTACCATAGATATATCGATACAACTTACTTTCCGAATGCAAATATCTGAGCTGTGGTCACACCGTAATATTCTAATTATTTTTTTTACTTTACCTAATCTTTCGCATAGTGAATGGTTTGCTAAATGTAAATTTATATGCCACTACATATCGCAATCAGCAAGGGAATTACCATAGACCAAAATTATACGGAACATCTCTCTCTAAAATTGATTGACGAGGTCATACTATATCTTGTGACATAGACGATTAAGCAATGTGAAATCTTGTAGTACTTGAGCCGGTAGGTAGCTAAACTAATAGTCAGCGAAGTATCTTTGACTACTTGGGAGCTCGACTTATGTACAGAGTTGAAGACTGAAACTACCCAGACATTGTTCATACTCACTATACTCTGTTATGTGTAGTATACGGGAATGTCGAGAGACGAGGTAGCGGTATACACAAGCTGGGCGAACACAAGTAGAGATATCAACCTTGACAGTGACCCCAATTTGCTCATATTTTCAAAACTAAAGAAAGAGAATCGAGGCAGATATGTTACATGTAATCTGTAGCGATACCGCAATATCTTTCGGTATATCTCAATTTAACACAGAGACATCAAGCTTAACTTCGCTAATACATATAGTACTCAACATATCGCTAACTCATATCTCTCGCGGTATCTACAAGTGTCTCATTGAACGTATAGCAACGCTGTCGTCAATGCAAGCCATGGAAAACTGGTCCGTTACTGGTCTATTCTTGGTGAGAGAGGACCTTTGCAGCCAGATAACTCAAAGGGGCACACCGCAGCAAGTACGAGCATATCTTCATCAATCAGCCCGCCAAATTGCATAAGATAAGCCAAATTAAGAACTTTTTAGATACTATAGAGAAGAAATTATCATTGTTAATCTTTACCGTAACCGCGCGGAATTGCCGAAATGAGAGCTGTTTAATAAGTTTCTGACATGAGGTATTGCGTGATTCGTTGCCTAGTATTCCAACCGAACTTTTGTTTTCATCCACTCTGCTTACTTAGGAAGCATTTACTCAGCAATCCGTCAAATGTCGCGCTCATATTTCCCTATCTGGACCATGATGTTTACGACACGAGACCTCTCAATATGTACATAGCAATCTATACTTGCACTAGCTTATACACCGCTAGCTACTGGTATGCTTACCACAACAAGGATACCCTGACTATATGTATCCGCACTTGTCGTAATCCTTCGTATATTGAAAGGTATTTAATAATACAAAAAGATTTTTCTACTCAGGGGTTCTTTAAAACACAAGATGTTCCCAGCAGTAAATTTAGCAGCCTTCATTTTGTATATACGGCTTTTACTTCTTTCGTCCCCTGTTAACGTACAGAACGGGCCGGACACACTACTACACCCGAGAATGTTACTGCGCAGCTTGACGGGAATGTTCTCGTTACACTAATTAACTTGAGGTTTAGGAAATCGATCCACTTTTGTAACAGGATTATGTCATGAGGTGTTGTGAAGGGCAGTGCAAGGTATAAGCTGCTAGCACTGATAGATCTTGTTGATCCACTGGCTTAAATGGTACCCTTTCTAATTGCTGTTACAATATCGTAACAGATAGCAAATTGCTAAATTTGAGTTTGTGTATGACCCCAGATAGAACGATTATAAGCCTTAATACCACAAAGGTTAGAAATGAAAAGAAATAAAGATAATGTATCGTAATGCAAAGATCTCACCATTATAACGCTGGTGAAAATGAAATGGAAAGAATAAGTTGTAGGGAGTAAGGTGCTATAGCGCAATTGGAAAATAATAGACAATTTACGGGCAGTTCGTAGATGGCATGTAGATAAAGTAATTCCAAATAATATGGAAGGAGGCCTCCTTCTATCCCATAAGTCAACCACAATGAATCTTAGAGTCATCAACATGCGGTCCGGGGCACATCTTAGGCTGTAGCATCAGCAATGCCTGTTTAATTTTGTCTGCGAATCGCGGCTTGTGATTACAAAGTAAGAGTTTAGCTAGAGTTGGCACACAGCAGAAATACGGTGAACCACAAAGTATGGTAATGGAGGGGGGGCTGAGCTCGGCTAGAATTCCAAGAATAGCAGAACGTGCTTCCTGAAAAATTTGTTACAGATCCTTTCATATCAGCTATAGTTACATTTAGTTAGCATGCCCCCAGATAATATCCTCTTTGATAAAGGGAGGAGCCCAATGCGACGCTTATTTAACTTATTGAATGTCTCTTTCATAAAAGCTTCCTGAATACGCCCGGCGCAGCGTCGAACCCACTCAACAATCTTAACCTCAACTGCCGAAAATTCACAAGGTTCCACCAAATTTGTAGTTATAAAGGCCTCATAGACCCAATTCATTTAAACACTACTCAAGGTAAGGGGTAATATCTAGCTTTTAGGAGTATATATTTCAAACATGGAGTATTTTTACATAGTCGATGACTCGTGCTTTCAAGCCCAGAAAGCTGATGAATTATTGATTCCAACAATTACCCATAACGACTCTTTTAAAGAACCTCCTTTGTTAAAGAATCGTCTCACCACAACTGAGCCCGCGCCGAAAGGCCTCCCTGATGGCCTGAAAATGGGAGAGAATGCTTCAGTCTCTATCGTTTCTGGAAGTAGTCCACTGAATCTCAAGCAATATCTTGCAATAGTTGCTAACATTTCCTCGGCACAGCATCGACGAGCTCAGAACCGAGCTTCTCAAAGAGCCTATAGGGAAAGAAAAGAGAAACGCTTAAATGACTTGGAAACTCAACTCAAATCATGCGAGTCTGAGAAGCTCGCTCTGATTCAACAATGTGCCGCTCTCGAAAAAAGGTGTCGGCAGCTTGAGAGGGAACGACAATCAGCCACCAGGCATGACCAGGGTTGTACGCCAGATTTAGCTTCTAACGACCTACTACATCAGCCTTTGCTGAAAAGTAGCTCGGGTACACCAGTACACTGTGATAGGCCGCTTCAGTCAAAGATCAAACCCGGCTTTTTCGTTCCATGGGAGCTATCTATTTATGAAAAAATAATAGCCAGTACACAGCTATGAAATAAAGGAATGGGATGGTTGAAGAGCTTCAGTGAGCTTCCAATATATAAGTCAGAGGAATAGGAAAAAGTAGTACGTAACATCTTGGTGAGGTGTGAGGGGAAGTAGGGAGGGGCTATTTTAGACCAAGAGGGAGTTTTACGTATTCTCTTTGAGATATTTTACCTACAAGACAACAACGGCATATGTTAGTAAAACGTTATATCTACAGCTGCATAAATATCAATATATATTCATGTACGTAATGCGTAGATTTCGATTAGCAATACATAATATTATAAACTAATAGGCCTTGATTATTTTAACGCGTTATCCAATCCTTTGCAAAATGCAAAGAGCAATTAACTTTTCAAGTTCGAGCCACAAAGATGGCCTGTATAAGTCCTCTCAAAACAATAGGCGACTAGAGGGCGAGAGAGAGGTAAAATCTGATGACAGCGGCGCCGGCAAAGCTACTAACCATGAGGGAATTAGCAGGCTCTCGTTGGATTAGTGCCGGGCGGACTGGCGGACTGGCGGCGGACTGGCGGCGGCAGTGGGGTTATGGGCTACCGATTATCCATGATCCATGAGGTAGAAGCATTGTCCTCGGTACGGCACTTCTTCGATGCCACTTGTCTGCCCAGTAATTCCCAGGAAGATTTGCTATATATAAAGGTGTAAAGATCGCCGGATCAAGGCAAATCCAACATCTTTAAGTTAAATACGAGTATCCTAAACCAATCAAGACTCTCTAGAGCCAGGATGTCGACAGCTCACGCGCATACAGCAGTTTTGCTTATCGATCCGTACAATGACTTCCTGCATCCTGATGGCAAAATGTACAAGGCAATGTCAGCTTCTCTAGAGGCTACCAATACTGTCAAGCACATCTTGGACCTCCTAGCGGCAGCTCGATCTAATAAGATCCCTGTCTTCTATGGGCTGCACCAACAGTACAATGCAGAATCCTTTTACGGTTGGACGCAGATGAAACCACTTCACGAATCCCAGAAGGCGGGAAAAGTCTTTGAAGAGGGCAGCTGGGGGGCAAAGATTTACGAAGGCATGGAGCCAAAGCCGGAGAATGGAGACCTGATCTTCAGCAAGCATTGGTCAAGCAGGTACGACTTGTGTAAATTCCTGCGATGGCTGTTATGTGATTGTGATTGGCTAAACCGACGCAGCTCCTTTCAAAACACTGATCTGGACTTTCTTCTCCGTCAGCGAACCATTACCAATGTTGTCATCGCAGGACTTACCGCCAACGCCTGTGTCGAATCGACCGCCAGATACGCGTATGATCTGTGAGTATGCATAGCCACTTCTTGACTCAACCTCAGCTAACCGCTTGTATTAGTGGATACCACGTAACGTTGCTGTAAGACCACCTTGAAGTGTATACGTCCTCACCGCACTAACTATTTTTCTTTTAGATCCGATGCGACAGCTTCATTTACCCAAGAGCAGAAACTCGCAGCTACTGAAGTTTCATGGCCGCTTTTCGCATCAAAGGTGGTAACTGTGGAGGAGTACGTAGCCTCTTTGTAGGGGATTGTGCTTCGCCAATCGGCCTATCTACATATACTTCTGATGTCCTCTAGTAGCAGGCCAGGGAACGCCAAGCAATACATGGCTAATACTGGCTTGACCTGAATGAGCCGTATATAGCGGGACCAAGTCCCTTCCCTCCTCCTAGATAGAAAAAAAGACATTATTATTTCAGGATATAACTGATATAACCCTTGTGGTGTAGATAAATTTGTCCCTTAAGCTTTCTCTTGGGACACTGTCTCCACAGTCCACCCCAATTGAAGTTAAAAGCACGGCTTACGAGTAATCGCTACGATTCAAACAAAGCGTGTTCTATTTTATGGGTCTGATTCCAAAAGCTTGAGATACGCAACTATCTTGTGTTAGCCGGCACAGGATTGAGTGGGCAAGACGTCTGGTTACTTACCTCCGGCAAGCCACCGTTGCGACATTACCCGAAGCTTCAACTTCATTTGGTACAGCAGGAACAGCGATTCTTTTTGATATTGAGATAGAAGACGGTTGTAGATGGTACTGGCTTGATACGCCCACAGGAGCAAAAGCGGTGAGGCGTCTGCTACAGAAACGCGAAATCCGCTGAGAAATATCTTAGAATCCCAGGCCATGGACTCAACTACTGGCATCAGCATATCAATGGCGAACTGCATGTGTTGTTGGTCGATCCGTGAAGATTGTGGATCATGAAGAGCGATAAGACCACTACATGATATTAGAAATCGAATTGTGAGATGTGAAAGGAAATAGAAGAATGATTGACAAGTCGAAAAGGAAGTCACGCTTGCATACCTATAGCAAATAGACGTTTGAGCGCACACGGCGGTTCGTCTAATCTCTCCTTCTGCATAGGATAGGTTAAGCAGAGCATTAAGGGTTTTGTCAAGCTGCCAATATTCTTCATGATCATCGAGCCCAGCAGAAGGTGACGCCGATTCAGCTCTATCTCGATTATAGCGCAGCACAAGTCCGAGAAGATACGAAGCTTGGCACATTCTCGCAAGCATCCCCATCCTAACGTCAGCGGCTGCCGACACGGGAAAGCTCCTATCTGGTATATTCTAGTTACCGTAAGTATACGAATCATAACACGAATCATGTTCGAAACCTGAAACTTTACCCCTTGATCAAAATTTTCCTCGTCGGATGGCAGGAGACTATCTCTTTGAGGATCGGCAGTGGAAAGCGGCCGCTGCGGATTACCGAGCTGTGTGAATCTGAAAGGCGACGAATATGAAGAAAATGGTCAGACCTACTTGCAGATGCTAAAAATTGAGGCGCTATATGGAAGATGAACTCCACACTTACCGGTCCAAAATAAGGACCATCCACCACGCCCTCCTTCGCTCTTCGATGCCCAAGCGATCTACAGATGGATTTTGCAGTTGAAAATCAGGGCTTAGCGATGCATCGACTCCTAATGCAGTACCGTATCTAGCACACGCACCAACTGAGAGGTAAGCCGCTGGATAGATTGCATGTCCAAGCTCGAAAATGGCCAAGAGAATTTGGGCTTGAAGCAGTCGGCAAGACATGGCTCCAGCTAAGACTGCTTCATCAATTGCACGACGCGCTAACAAATATCCTTCTGTCCTTGGGTTTGTTGAGTGCTGGGTCGATGGATTCCAAAGGATAACCTTCATTGCTAGAACCAAAAGAAGCAAGTCGGTTTCCGTCTCTGCAGTGGGTGTTTCCAGAGAAAGCAGCAGTTGATTTCGCGAGAGAATTGGTATCCACCAATGTATCCTCTGAATATACTCCGCTACTATAGTCTGCAGATCCCCTACGAAAGTCGCGATTTGCGGTGAAGCAAGCAATCGTACACCTGGGGCTGACTGGCCGTTTTGCTGAAATACTCGATGATCCAGGAAGTAGGCTTCCGGAAATCTCGGACTATCCGAAGATGTGAAGATGTAGGCTGAAGCTGCTTGATTCTGAGTCTCTTCGGTGGAAGCACTGTTTGAAGTGGTCAGTTAGGAGGCTGACGATATTGAGCTGGCTGCTGCAAGGGAGGGGTACTACGGGTAGTCACAGGTCTGGCCTCGGCTACCAACAAATCATATTAGCTAGATGGAAGATTTTGAGTTTGAAACAAGAGGCTGGATTGAATAACCTCTCACAACTCGAACATCCGGGGAGCTTTCTATCACACGCCCGCTTTCGTTTCCTGCAGAATGTGCACGCATTTTGTGAGGTCTGCAAGCTGGCCACTTGCATGATGATTTTGACTTTTCCTCGTGTCAATTGTAGTACCTAGGTAGACGAAAGCAGGTACTAGTAGCTTATAGATAGCAGCTTGAGATGTGCAGATGTTTGTACAGTGAGATAGCGAAGAATCCAGTTGGACTGGAAATATCTTGAAGCTTCGATCAACGTATTATGCGGTTGTCGGCTGTGGAGTACGGAATGATCTCAAGGCAAACGCTAAGTAGGGCGGCAAGTTAGCGCTGTGTAGTTCGGCATATCCGTGGATTGCCACCCTCTTAATTTGTAATACTCGTTCTATGCTAGCAGATATTAGTAAACCCAACCTCAATAACTACTAGGTATGCAGTTTTATTAGCTGGCTAGTTAGTGGGACGACTATTGCATAAAACATTTTGGCATATGCCTCCTGTTATATCTAGCGTAGCTAATTGAGTGGAGATTAGGTAATTTATAATTAATACTCTGCTTTTTTAGCAGTTTACTACAATATTGCCTTAGACTTCCTATAATATAGTGGTCTAAGTAATTATCAAGAATATTGCAAGTTACCATCATTTAGCAATTAAATGCTATATGTTACTATAACAAGCTTTATTATTTCTGCATACTTAATTACTGTATAGGGATACCCACTAGACAGTTCCTTTTTTGCCTAGCTGCAATGCTTATGCTTTGTTATAAGTAGAGTATAGAGTGTCTCAAGTATTGTGCCAGGCAGAATCTTTCCTATCTCTCTCTCTTGTGCCGTCAAGGTTGAAGCCGCACAAAGATGACCAAGACAGGTGGCCACGTACCAGGTTCGAGCGCGAGATGCGATCAATGTAAGAGGCGTCGCAAGAAGGTAGCAGCATTATCACCACGACAAATGCAAAGTGTGCAAGACTAAACATGTGGACAGTGTGACCTTTCAGAACCGCAATGCCGGCGCTGTCAACGAAGTGGCCTCAGATGCAGTGGCCCAAGGCCATCGGCCGTATTCATTCATCGCCATGCGGAATCTTTTAATGCTCACACCCAAAGGACAGCTCTGGTCCAAGCATACCAAGACCGCTCAGGCAATGCGAATCATTTGCACCATTTTTTTCATACTACCATGCTCTGGATTCGATATTTGAGATGTCTTCTCGCAGACCATCAATGGTCATCGTCACTTGCCATCAACCAAAATGCTCGTCTGTTTTCTCAAGCGTCTTACAAGTCTGTGTATCAAGCGCTTTTGAATGAATTCAAACCTAGGAATAAGGGCATCTTTAGTGGCGACCGTATGAAAGGTACGGGGCCAAAGCACTATTCGAGTGTCGCTACATGCATTCGGTCTTTGCTTCCACTTTCCTCCCTACGTATTCCAACCATCGATCATTCACTACTCAGCCTCTTAAGCCTGTACTATGGCAGCTTGCATGGCGATGTTGGTCTGGAGAAGCTTGCCTACTCAAGCTACGTCGTAGCGTTGGGTCAGTATTCCCGTCTTCTAGCTCGATTCTTATCCCAAGATACGAAAGTATCCACGCAGCCTTATCAGGTGTTCATCTACATATCGATATCGATGCAGATGTTCGAACACTTAAGATCGGTGGTGACGCCAAGTACTACAGAATATCAACTGCACGTGAACGGAGCCCTAAGCGCTTTACGGCATTGTGGACCACAGCTCCTGCGAACATCATTAGAAATGCAAAAGGCATTCTGTGGTCTTCGTGAGTTTGCTGTTTTCGCCGCAATAGAGCGACGAGAGCAGACATTCCTTGCTGAGCCGGGCTGGCTGAATGTCCCTTTTGAGAACGTTGCCAAATCAATGAGCGATCACTTGACTGACGTGGGAGCACATATCCCAGGCCTACTGAGACATTCAGATGAATTTTTCACAAGCATTACCATTGGGTATTCACCTCAAAACTTAGAAGCAGGAATGTCATTACTTGCGAGAACTACTGACTTGCAGCACAGACTTGAAGAATGGCTTTCCTTGCTCAAAATGGCGGCTTCGCAACCTCTATATTGGTCCCGCAGCTCACCAGTTAGACATGATAACAAATATCATGATGCCGAATGCATGCCAAAATATTCCAATACATTCCATCAACTTTGTTTCCTTTCTGGACCAATTGCAAGTTTACTTGTTAACCACTGGAGTTTCGCCCTCCAGCTCAGCATGGTCTTGATTGAACTGCAAGAGAGTCTGCTCAGCTATATTGATCCAGGCCCAGAGCACATTATTTCCCGAGAAACACTATCTCACGGCCTGCGAAACGAGAGGACACTGGCTGACAGCAACGCACAGCTTATTCTTGAAGCTGAGCCGTATCTTAGTTGCTGTTTCGAAGGATTTGTAAGTTTGCAATCGCCTCTTCGAATTGTAGAGAGCTATTTCAAGAAGTCAAATGCATAGCTGTCTTGAGTTTAGTAGCATCCTTATGATGGAAAATTGACTAAGTACTATAGAATGTCGAAGTTTTTAGGCCAATTTCATTCCGTTACTCTAGGAAACTGCTTCAAATAAGCATTAAATGACTAAATTCACATAGAAAATAACCAGCGGTGGAGACGAAGGGGGTAGGATTTGTACTATTAACCCATATATGCTTGAAATTTATTCACCGCTTTCTTCTCCATACCTATTCTAATAGGTTGCTAGTAGGCCGAATGGTGATTTTAGCCTTGCATTTCTAGGTCCCTTTAGCAGACAAGAGTTGAGACCAATCCTCCTCTTTGATGTATTGCTCAATTCGAGTAACCGGAACATCGACGCCGAGCTTTACGTGCAAAAAAAATTGAGTTCAGCATAAAGCACATGTATGTATAGGGAGTTCGACACTTACTTGATGGGCAGAAACGACAGATGGATCACTGCCATCGTAGCCATAGTCTTGGGCATACGCATACATCTCTGCAATCTCCTCCCCGTAACCCCCTGGCGCAAGTTTAGCATGCTCCGCTACCGTAGTCTTTTCAAAAGTAGCTGGAACACCTGTGATTCTGCTCCAGAGCTGGACATACTCAGCCCAGGTGATACGATCGCCGAACGCGATTAAATTTTTCCCGGCTGGAACCTGGGTGAGCGCTTTGACGAAATGTCCCGCATCAGAAGGGACAACAAGAGGTATTGGAACGTCACCACTACCAGGCACACGGAGTACCATCGAGCCATCCGAGCGCTATTTGTATGTTAGGGAAAACGTTCTTCGAAGCAAGAATAGATTAATGGGTGGCAAACCCTTTCCCATGGAACAGAGGCCTGGCCCCATTTCCAATTAGTGATAAACAGACCCATTTGAAGAATAGACATTCTTTTTGCTAAACTCGGGTAGATGTTATAAATATAATCGACAACCTGTGCTTTTGAGTCAAAATGGTAAACGCCGGTATATTTTCCTCCACTCCATTTCTTCGCATGTGATAATGAAGACCACACGAATAGATCAAGAGTGTCTACGGTAGCGACAGCGTCGGCGATATTCTTTCCATGGCGCAGCTCCGTCTCATAGCACCATTCTCGCAGAGTTTGTCCAGGCGCAAGTGTAGGCGTATTCTCTGCAGTTGGATTTGAAAAAGCCTCTGGGAATACCGTATTCCCAAAAACCACTGAAGCACCGCGGAGAGCAGCCTTGATAGATTCGACATCGTCTGCATCCCCCTTTACGATTTCAATACCCTTAGCAGCGAGAGCTCTGCTTGCAGGCTTAGAGGGATCTCGGGTAACACCGCGGATCTTCCATCCACTTTCATGAAGGAAAACATTTGCAACAGAAGAGCCCTATAAGCGCCAGGTTAAGAGAATGTCAGGGCGGCAGTGGAGATGAATCCCACAGTCGTTGTTTTACAAAGTAACGAGAGCAAAACGCACCTGAACACCAGTGACGGCAATAATCACTATGAGCTTTTCCATATTTAATAGAAATCACTTGACTTGTAGTAGAACGAAAGTGAAGTGATTTTTCGAATTTCGGGATAGTTTTCGGAGTTGTATATTCAAACTGCCCAAATATGTAGGCAGTGCTTCCCACTGGCCTAAATAATCGTTTAGTGCATACCGTCATTGAGATGCAACTAAATATTCCTGCGCGGTAAATGCGTTGGGCCACCTATTCGGAGTAGCGGATGCAGCATATAGGCTGCCTCGTCACCCCTGCCCTTTTGCTATCGGCACAACGCATTTCATCATCAGATGATAAATCACTATGCCGGTAGATACATCCTACAGCTTCGAAGATGACAAAACATAGTTTCACACAGCCTAGCCTGGACTTCAGCTCTAGCTTATGACATGGCCATGATTCGTAATATGTACACATGGCGGGTTAGCGTCCGCCGCCGCTAGTCCGCCGCTCCCTGCATGGTCTAATGAAGAAAGGAATACTAGTCACGCATGATGTTGGATGTCGCCTGTACATGCTTGGGAACTCGAGACAGGTGCCGAATGGTGTCACTACAAAAGTTCCAATGCGACTCATTCTGTCGGTTAGCACGGCGGCAGAGTTCTAACTTCCAAGTCTTACGTGCTTTGCGAGCTTCCTTCTCCATTGTCATCACTATTGATGTATATACTTAGCAGGTGGGAATCGTAGCGTAATGTAGATGCAATAAGGTATGAAAAAGTGCATGTGTATACCTGGTACTGCCTAAAGCATAAGTGGAAGAGACTCGGATGAAAACTATTAATACATCGAAGCAAAGTTCCCAGCAGCCAAGGTGACTTTCCAACAATGCATCAGGTAATTCGAAGCAAATCATACTAATTTAACCATGGCAACTCAGCCAATTTATCTCGTTTCTCTGAATAAGACCCCTAAACGAGCAGCTCTGCTTGTGGACCAGCTCATAAAGAGCCTTGATAGCAATTATGGAGTTATCCATATTGCAAACTCCACGAGTGAGTATTGTTCTTCCGACAATGGAATCAGCTACTCACCAGGCTTTGTAAAGCTCTTCAGGAGTTGAAGGTCGTACTAGAGGCTCTTATGTATCCTCCTGGTATCTTGGTAACGTTTCCTGGAACTACTGATGGTGACTTTAAAACAACTAAAAGCTAGGCAGATTTGTTCCAGTCAATGGACGGCTGAAGAACAACAACAGGCAAACGCAGTTGCAAAAGCTTCATTGCCTGAAGTCCGCATCATCAACATTCCGCCGGGACTTGATGTACGTGAAGGCAGTAAAGGCATTCTCAGTTTTCTTAAGGATGCAATGGTAGCTTTGGAACTAGCAGACGGTGGGATATAGTCCTGGTAGTACATGCAAAGTCTGGCTTTCAATTTGGTGTAACTTGGTTTTGGGCGGGATGATTAGCACGGAAATTTCCTTTCAATATTAACTATAAAATCCAATAGCTATTCAATTGCATGCTCTATTTGCGACATAAACTTGGATAATCGATTTAGTTGACTATCCTGCCCTTTATCTATAGAGAATCAATAGTATCTAAAGCATCCTGTTCTCTTCTGGCACGTATGATCGCTCCCATGCCTCCGCCCGACGCCACCACTGCTCTTTGAATGGATGTTCCAAACTGTACCCAGATTTCCGGAATAGCCCGCCTTTCACAAAGGTAGTGCTTGGATTTTCGGTGACTGTGGTATGAGTTGGCCTAGAATCGCATTATGAATCAGTAAATGGTGAATGAGTTGCATAGGGGAAATTGCATCGGTACTGCCTTACGATCCACAACGTGGACAAAAATGCCTATTTGCCTGATTGCCGGAAGCAGCTTTGGCGATGTAGATACTAGGGGTAAGGTCACCGCTAATTTCTACATTAGAGGAAGGCACAATTAGATTGACTGCAAACCTAGAGCTCTATCAGTATCTTGTCGTCGGGTTGAAGCTTAGGGTTAAAATTGATCGTGAACGTACAGGGTGCCTCCTGACGCGCGGCAATCAAGGCAATGGCAAAGGGAGACCTTGATTGGAAGCTCAGACTGATAGATCGTGAGAACTATTCCACCACAATTGCAGGAGCCTATCAAAGGAGTAGTTGCAGCCATATTGTAAATCATAAAATAAAATAAAATAAAACACTCATAACCATCAGTTTCTTCACGAGTGGGACACAGTATCCATATATTTTCGACCTTTGTTTAAATAGTTAAGAGCAAGATGGACATGGGATACCACCCCTCAGGGAAAAGGCACGTGTGTCACTAAAGAAAGCCTTGTAATGAAACTACATGTAATTACCAACTAATGCATCCTATCTCCACCCTTCCGCGCACATATTCCCTATTAGAGAAAGTTAAATTCCTCCGTTCCGATACATATTCTTATCGTTAGTCTCGATGAATTAACCTAAATACATGTATTCACCCTGACGATATTCAAAACACCACTAGTCCAAAAACTTATGTGCAACTCGAGTGGTAAAGAGGGTGACAAACACACCATACCGACCAATCTAAATCTACCTCATTCGACTAAAAGAGTGACCTAGCTGCTGTTTGGCCGGCAAACATCATTGGAGAAAACAAGTTTGCATAACCTATACTCCTTCACACAGATGTAGCTAGGGTGATGAATCTAAGAGGACAGTTTTGGCAATACTCTTTGCACCAAACAAATGTACATTTAGTTCACTATCTTGAAGCCCAGATTTTGAAAATGTAACCAGTTTGTATGATAAACCAGAGAGATGTCCATGCCCCAAAAGGGCAATAAGAGCGCAGTTGTTACTGTGGATTGAAACCATCGGGTAGAAGACCGCATGTGGCTGCTCTCTCCCCGCAAACGAGAAGCCATTGTACTCGTATTTTTAATCACTAACGCAATCATCATCACCACTACTAGACTTGATATGGACATGGTTGAAAATGGCTAGTAGATTTGCGACGGTGTGGGCATCCAGCGCACTTGGAATGGAGTCTTCGTTTTTATGGCAACCAGCGACTATGCCGGCCTTTGTCAAGGCTGGGTGGATAATCTTAGGTAGATGGGCACACGGCAGGTGGACGAGACGCCATCGTGGCGCTCATACTGCCGAAACGGACGGGCTACGTGGAGATAATTGCTGCTCGCTATTGTGGCGTCATCGTTGAGTATCTTCACCACACTATTGTAGAAAGGGGCAGCTCCTTTTTGTGTGGCTCTGTAAGGAGAGTGCATGTACACACGAATATGACAAACAACAACCATAGCATTGGCCGTCAGGGGTAAGCGGTGTCTCGGCAGATTACATACATGTATATTATAGCTCATCCCAGCTACGTTCAATAGCTCCATATATATTCAGAGGATCGCTTCGGTTGTAGCCAGCTGAGTGTCTTGAGTCCTAGCACCTAACATCCTTGAATCTCATCCCTACATCTACCATGCTACATCTGGTCATGCGCAGAGTCTACCCTCGTGCCAACGAAAACAGGGTGTCCGCATCCCATCCAGAGCTCACGGCCAGTCGCAGCGCCTTCTTCCAAGCGGCGGCGATAAACTTTGTCCTTCTTCAACTGCTCTTCTTCGTCCTCTTTTGCTATCTTTTTGGATCTTTGTTTCAGCAAACCTCGCGCACGCACGCCCTCGAAGTGCTGTGGGTGGATTATGATGGCGGCATAGTTGGTGATGCTGTCCGCGATGCCTATTCATCTCTACGATCCGATGGCTTCCCCACACTCGTCGAGCGACCGAAAGACGAATTTCCATCCGAGAGAGAATTAAGGGAGGCCGTGTGTAGTACCAAATATTGGGCAGCATTGTATACCTCACCAGGGTCATCTGAAAAGTTGGGGCTTGCACTCTCAGGGTCTGCATCGCAGCATAATCAGTCCAATGTACTCTTTTACATCTGGAATGAGGCCAGATACCCGATTGTCCTTGACGCCGCCATTTCCAGCAATCTTCAGACACTCTCCAATGCTGCCCGTGTGGTTTACGCAAATACTTCCTTCGCACTTACCACAACTACAATCAATGACTCGACCGCCTTGTTAACATATGCGAACCCTTGGATTCTATCGTCCATCAACATTCGGCCGACAACTCAAGGCACTCGAACCGTATACAATTCCATATGCATTGTACTAATCCTGATTCAAGATTTTTTTTATCTTGCCAGTATCAATGGGCTGTACGCGCAATTTAACGTCTACACCAAGATATCGCCAATACGCATCATTTTTACCCGGAACCTTATCTCTGGGATATTCACCACTGTTGGCTCGTTACTTCTTACTGCTGCTATATGGGCATTCAAGGCTGGCTGGGATGTTTCTGGAAAACAATTCGGTCTCAACTGGCTGATTGTATGGCTTTTTGCCCATGTCAACTTCCTCGCCATCGACATCTTTACCATCTGGCTTCCACCCCAGTACATGCCCATGGCCCTTATTACTTGGATTGTGACTAATGTCACTTCCATTTTGATACCATTCAGTCTCTCATCCCGATTCTACCGCTGGGCATACGCATTGCCAGCACACGAAGCCTACGAGGCCCTCACGGATAACTGGTCCGGCGGTTGCAATCCGCACCTACATTATGCTCTACCAATCCTATTTGCCTACGAGATAATTGGAATTTTATTCACCAGCGTTGGCGTCTACAAGCGGTGTCACTTTGCTATCGTAGCCGAAGAAGTTGCTCAGGAGGTTATGCGACTGCGTGTGGAAGCGGCAATGAAGCTTGAACGCGAGCAAAACGAGCCTTTGGTATCAAGTAAAGACGATAACGGTGAATCGTCTAGCTTGAAGATGGGGACTACTAATTTTCAAAATGGAATGCAGCGGGATACAGAGAGGAAGAAAAGGCAAGATTTGGAAAAGGAAATTAGCGAACTTGATGATGAACTTGTGAGGATGAACACTTGGGCAAGCATGACAGAAAGCTTAGAGCCAAGTTTTAAGTTAGTTGGTCCGCAAGCCAAATAGTGCTGTTACTTGCAACTGCGTAGCAGCGTAATAATGCCTGCGTGTCTTGTTTTTTGTCAACTTTTGGATAGGTTTAGTTTTTTTCCAACCGAAATTACAAGCCATTATTTAGTTATTAAAACTATTACATAAAATAAAAATTCCCCTCTATGCCAACAGTTGCTTTTCCAGGTAGAGAACGGCGATCAAATTAGCCTATACTGACAGGTTCACGACTGATAATTAATAGTGGTCAGCGGTTGAGCACATCTCATCGTTGATGCTTAGAAATTCCAAGCTAGGACGTTTTCTTCACCGTGTCGTATCTTCTAGTGCTAAACAATTAGTCTGCTTCACTAATCTATATTGACAGCACTGCCAAGTAAGCATCGCAATAGCCACACAAGCTCAATGTTATCTGCGATCAGCACAAGCTTTGCTAAGCTTTGTGGCGCTCCCCCTGTATTCTTGATAACACCCACGTGTTGCGATCATGGCATGCCATCCCCACAATGGCCCTATGCCGTGTCAGCCGGCCGCCCATATGAGCCTTGTCGACTCCAGTGAAGATACACAAACAATTGCTGCCGATTGGGTGTTGTCTTCACGTGGGATGCAACACCCCGCTGGTGACAATTACGCAAATGCAGAAAAAAGTCGCTTGAGCTGCAGGAACCTTTCAATGGCGCCAGATTACAGCAAGGTTGTCATTGATTATGGAGCTCAATTGCTTCAAGTATAAATACCGGCTCCAAGCATGCAACTGTAGGGTTTCGGAAGAGTTTGGGGTTCCGTGTCAATCGTCAATCACCAATTTCTCACCGCGATCTTCACCATGTTCCGGGTTGGCGCCTTTGTGTCAGCAGCGCTCTTGAGCCACCGGGCTGCGGCTGCTGCCGTGGCTTCGTGTGCCTGGCCTCAACTGCGATTCACCCCCGAAGGCACCTTTCAAATGACAGTCTTTAATGACTTACATTTCGGTGAGGCTGAGAACACAGACTGGGGCCCTCTGCAGGATGTGGATACACTGTTGGTGATGGAGACTGTGTTGAAGAAGGAGTCCCCCCAGCTTGTGGTCATCAACGGAGATTTCATCACTGGCGAGAATACGTTTAAGAAGAACTCAACCGACTACGTTGACATGGTTGTCTCGCCTTTGGTTGCCCGCCATCTTCCATGGGCATCGACTTATGGCAGTATGTAATTGTTTTTGATGGCTGTGTACAATCAAAGTGGCTCATGCTTTCATAGACCATGATTCGGCATACAATCTTTCCTCTGAAAACATCTACGAAAGAGAGAAGACATATAAGAACAGTCTGACGAAGAAAATGGTTCAAAACAAAAACGCTGGTGTCTCCAACTACTACTTGGAGGTCATGTCCAACAACAAGCGTGATTCTACGCCTGCCATGATTCTCTGGTTCTTTGACAGCCGGGGCGGGTAAGTATTTCTCTTTGTTGTGTGCTTATTGGCATCACAGCTCACTGAAAACTTGCAGAAACTACTACCAGGAAGAAGAAGCTGACGGTTCGGACGTTGCCCGACCAAACTGGGTCGATCAAAGTGTAGTCGACTGGTTTGTAGCCACTAGAGCTCAACTGACCAAGCGCTACAAAAAGACCCTACCTTCATACGCCTTTGTTCACATCCCCGTCGGTGCCATGTATGGTTTCCAGCAGGAAAAGGGCGTCGATGAACACAAAGAGCCTGGAATAAACGCTGATAACCCCCTCTCTCAACAAGGCGTGCAGTCCCCGCTGTTCAACGCCACCACGAGTTTCGAGTATACCGGCCAGGACAAGGCTTTCATGAAGGCCTTGTTGGACACTGAGAATCTTATGGGCGTCTTCAGCGGCCACGATCACGGCGACGACTGGTGCTTCAAGTGGGATAAGAACCTCAAGTTTTTGGACTTGACGGGCAACGGCCTTGTCTTTTGCTTCGGCCGCCACACTGGATATGGTGGCTATGGCTCTTGGACTCGAGGATCGCGACAAGTTCTGGTTGATATCAAGGACCTTGGAAAATCCACCAAGACTTGGACTCGACTAGAGGATGGCACTTCTGTTGGTGCTGTCACGCTGAACTCAACTTATGGAAAGGATGTCTACCCTCAGGTCCAACTGACATATACTAGCGAGGACAATGAGGGAGTTCCGTCCACGACTGATTAGATGATAGATTGGCTTCCCTATTGATGACTGTAATGCTCTAATTCAACTCCACAAAATGGGATATCCATTCGAAAAGAAATTATCCGGATCGTATTGCTTCTTTATTGTCCTGAGTCTCTCCAGAGCCTCTTTGCCAAATGTAACCTCCAAGTCAGTGTCAACGGGAGGAATTAAATTCTCATAAGAAGCTCCGACATATGCATCTCCCGTAGCTTTAATGTCATTTATCACACGAGCAGACGATTCAGCCACAAGCGATGCTCCTTCTTCCGTGCCTCCTAATTCTGCGTGGAGAGAAGTAACAGGGAAAAGCCTGTGCCGATATCGTAGTGGGAAGCAGGCGCCTGGATTAGGCTTGATTGCCATTCCATGTGCAAAGTGACAAGGGATTCCAGTGTAGATCTTGGGGTTGGTCCATTGGCGGAGTAAAGCCGAAGCTACTTTGCTGGTCAAGCCCTTTGTAATAATTCCGCGGAGTTGGAAAGATGCTGGCTGGGCAGTTGATTCCGACGTGATGTAAGTAGCAAAATCAGCTTTCCACCCATTTGTTAGCAATCGCCTCTGTTTATTTTGCATTGCCAAGACACATCGTGACACTCACATTCTGCAATATGCTGTACCACAACTCCAGGAAGTGATTTGATCTTCTCCAAATAGTCCCAGCCTTTTTGGATATCTTCGCCTTCCTTTGCGCACCAGGCAAAGAAAATGGTCATCTCCGGTTGATCCAAGACTATATTCCTAAAGTAGAGATCTCCTCCAAACTCGTCTGGGAGATTGGGCTCAATGTTGTTAGCCCATTCATCCAATACTGCCGGCCAGTCTTTCTTTTGAATTCGTAAATTGCCGATTAAAAGATTTGGAGCCGGGTAGATTTTGATGGTCAACTGCGTCACAACGCCCCATATGCCATTTCCAGCTCCTCTAAGGGCCCAGAGAAGGTCGGGGTAATTATTCTCATCGACATCAACCACAGAACCATCAGCGAGAACTAGGCGAGCGCCGAGAAGATTATCGACACCAAGGCCGTATGATGAAGCATAAAGGCCATAACCTCCTGCCATTACCCATCCGGCATAACCAAGTCGCGGATGCCAACCAATAGGTGTGAAAACACCCTCTTTCGAGAGAGCAACAGCCAAATCAGCTGCTATGGCGCCACCACCAATTTTCGCAGACGCCCTGTCATCGGATACCTTTACTGCACACAGACTGCGGAGGTCGATTATAATGCCCTTGTCAACTCCCTTGAAGTTTCTTCCCAACATTTCCGATCCTCCAGCACGAATCCCCAATGGTATTCCAGCAGCTCGGGCTATTTTGACAGTGGCTTGCACATGTTTTTCATCCAGAGGTCGAATTACCACTAGTGGCTGAGTCGAGGTCGATTTGTTGAATGCATAACTTACCCTCTCATAAATGGGATCGGATTTGGTATAAATAATGTGCGGGAAGTCGTCGTAGAGCGGCAAAAGGGCAGGTATTTCTTTTGCGATATCCGCTCGTGTGAGCGATGCTGGAGGCACTTGAGTGCTTGGAAGTATGGTTCTCTGAAACTGCATGTTGAGTGATGGAGTGAGATTTGAAAGGTTCAAAGAACACTGATAGTAAAGAGTAGACACGTACGACTTTTATATGGTGGTAAGCACATTCCGTCAGCGTTCCAATGGACATTCTACTGGCCGGTAATGCATGATACAGTAGTACTCTGAGATTCAGTGGCTTGTAATGTCAGAAGACTCACTGCCAGCCAAGATTTAGTGGCTCGTAATACTTGATTAGTATCCATTACAAGCTATACAAGCATGTACTTACCTAAGATTTAGTGGCTTGCTCCTAGGTAGTCAGCAAAGCCCCAGAAAGTGGTATGTTACTAAGAACACAATACTGGGAGCTCTGAGGACTCTCTGTTCCGAGTGAGAATTAAGCGCGAGCTCATCTGAGAGGAGAAAGTAAATTAGCGAGCGTCAGAACTTGTTTGTTGCCTCGGCAAACGTCTGCTTATAGGGCTGAAATTCGAAAGAGAAGCGGTGAATTGAACTTCGGTGGAGATTCAGCCGGAAGTGACGAGTGTGGCGGTTAAACGGGATCTAGTGAGTGATGGGTCATGAAACGAAAGGCGAGCCGTAATAAAGATGCAACAAGTTAAAAGAGACATATGGCAACTGCGTTAAATGTGATCAAGACAGGGATGTTTGCGAGATTGAGAGTCGGGAGAAACTACGTGATATGTCATATTTTCAAGTAGAGAATTTTCTGTATATACAGTCTAATTTACATTTCAAGATGCTTATCCTGTCTATTAAACGCCTACTCAATAATTTCCATTTCCAGAATGCAACCTGTGCAACTCGGCACTCTCACCTACTTACTCCGCTCTCAATGTCACAACGGCATACGCATTCATGCATCATCGCCGTGTTTTTATAATCATCGTCAAAGATCAATATCATTTTCGTAAGAGCCGAATCGTTATGCCATCTCCGTTTGGACTCCTCCCTGCTCGGTCTTTGCGCGTTCCTTGAGACTGCGCCATTCGACAAACACGCTGCCGAAAATCGTCACGGCAGATATTGCTGCCATCATATAAAAGACTTGGATGAGGGCATCGTTATAGTCAGTGAGGAGCAGTTTCAAGTCATCTGCTGGAACCAGGTTCTTCAGCTCGGTGGCGCCGGCAGCTGCGACTTCTTTGGGATCAATTGTCGGAATGTCTGACGAGATTCTGGAGCTCAAGTTGGTAATAAAGAGAGTCTGTGCGACTGGTAGAAAGATTGATGAGCCGAGGAATCGGGTGAACATGACAAATGCAGTCCCGCTTGAGACATCCCCTCTGTCCAAAACTGTCTGCACAACGTTCATTGCTTGCTGCGAGCCGAATCCAAGGCCCAGTCCAAAGATAACCTGGTAGCCAATCCATTTGGAGTGACCGGTTCCTGGCTCAAGCATAGACAGGAGACCTGCTCCAATAGCTGACAAAACCGAACTGGCGTAGAAGAATGGAGTGTAATAGCCAAAGCGAGAAATGGCAGCGCCAGACGACAAAGAGCCAACAACTGTTGAAAGAATTGTGGGCAGCAGCGAAATGCCAGAGTTAATGGCACTAACACCCTTGATTGCTTGAAACCAGATGGGGAGATAGTACATGACAACCATCATGCTGGCGCCGTTGAAGAAGCAGAAAAAGACAGCCGCGGCAATGCTGCGCTGCTTCACGATACGTGGAGGAAGGGTTGCATCTTCTCCTTTCCAGGCTTGGACGCCGATGAAAACAAGACAGAGGACTCCGCATACAACCAGGAGAACAATGACTCGAGCATCGCTCCAAGGGTACTTGGTGCCTCCCCATTGAAGTGCCAGAACCAAACAGACGATGCCTGGGAAAAAGACCAAGTTGCCGATGGGATCGAGCTGCATAATTTTACCCAGCACTCCCTCTGCCGCTGGATCAAGTTTTTGGTTCGGCAGTCGTAAGATGAAGAGCGTGACGATGATGGACACGGCTCCGATGGGCAGGTTGATGTAGAAACACCATCTCCACGTCACCTTGTCTGTAAATGTGCCTCCAACCACGGGTCCAATGACAGAGGCAACGGCAAAAACAGCTCCGAAAAATCCTTGGTATAACGGTCTCTGCTGCAGCGGAATAACGTTGAACATGATGACCATGAGACCGGTGAACATGCCAGAAGATCCCAATCCCGCAATTGCGCGACCGACAATAAACGCAGCCGAGCTTGGAGCCGCACCGCAAATGGCAGAACCAACTTCGAAGAGGACAATGCCGCCGAGAAAAACGGGCTTTGCTGGGTAAAACTTGTAGACTTTGCCCATGACCAGCTGGAAGCTGCACATGGTGAGGAGATATGCCGAGCCATACCAGCCAACGTCGTTTAGCGAATGGAATTCGTCCGTGATGCGAGGAATAGCAGTCGATAGGATGTTTTGATCCTTGAGAACCAGCCAGTTAGCAATTGAATACAAGTAAGCGCTACGGAGGATATAGCTGTGTGCTATTAAAAAGCTTCCATCAGCCAAGCTTTCTTACCAAAGTTACCAGGAAGATTGCCAAGTACAGAGCCACCATAATCAGGATTCGCTTCTGATTGGATGGGTATTCGGGAGGGGACTCCATCTTCAGCGTGGTTGTCTCTGTGGTTGCTGTAGGGGGCTTCTCATCCCCGTCTGACGATGTTTTCGACATGATGACTGGAAAGAATCTTTGAGCTTTTACAAAGATTGCCTTTAGATGTCGAAAATCTTTTTCTACAGCTCAGAAGCCTGTGGAAACCTACTATTGCTCCCATAAGGAGGATTTCATGCAATCTTATACCGTGTGGCGCTAGAACAAATCCGCCTCTCGGGGCTCAAAATCCAAAATTTCGCCTCCGAACCCCGAGAAGCGAACAAGAAACTCTCCTCCTGACAACATAAAACTAGGCAGAACAAAAGCCAGTTTCGCTCCCTAATTTCTGCACTTTCGGAGTTGTGGATTTTAGTTTTAACACCGGCAAAAACAGCTATGGACACGTCGCAACCTGAAAAGCCCGACACCCCGAACCCGTCTGAAGCTGAATTGAAAGGGTTCTCCTGTCTAAGTTGTCGTCAGCGCAAAATCAAATGTGACAGACGCGCTCCCTGTCTGCATTGCACAAAGGCAGAAAGGCCATGCAGCTTCATCGCCCCTGTTCGGGGCAAGAGAAAGCGGACGAAGCCCCCGCGAGAGACTCTCCATGCGCGGCTGAAACGATATGAGGACATGCTCAAGGCTTATGGCGCCAAGATTGAGCCTTCTGAAGATTTCGATGGGTCTGAGTCAGAAACAGAGTGTCGACTTACCCCTGAGTCAAATGAGAGTGTTGTGCAGATTAGGATGCAGAACAGCGGTCTAGCTGCTGCGGCTGAGGATACGAAACCAAAGTTTATCATGAAAGAGGGGGCGTCGAGATACTTTGATAGGTATGTATCATCCTCCAATTCAGCATTCAACGAGTATAGTTCCTTCTTACGCATTATTTAGTGCTCTCTGGTCCAATCTTTCAGACGATGTAAGTCTCAATCATCTCTTTGTTCCCTCTTTGTTCACTCATTCCAAGCGACCGTGACGTTGACTTTGTTTGATCCAAAGTTTCAACATCCGGAATCCACCAACTTCAACGATGTAGGGGAGGCCGTACCTATCGAGCAGGATAGCCATAACGATGAATCTGGACTATTCTTCGAGCCCGAAGGCTGTGACAAGATTGAAAATCTTTCAAAATTGCACGCCTCTCCTCCATTACTCGCAAAATTGAAAGAAGTGTTCACTGACCGGGTGGATCCCATGATGAAAGTCCTGCATCTTCCCACTTTTTGGATCTTAATGGCTAATGCGCTGCGACGCCCTCACAACATGCCCAAGAGCTTGGAATCGCTCATCTTTGCCTTTTATCTGGTTACAGTTAGCTCGTTGAAAGAAGAAGAGTCTCAGGATTTATTCGGAGCGCCGACTTCGGTCATTATTTCCCGCTATCGGCTGGCGACTCGCCAAGCATTGGTCAATGCCAGATTCTTGTCAACGTCGAATTTCATGACTCTTCAAGCGTTTGCTATATTCACTGTAAGCTCTTAAATCCAATCTATCTGTTTCAAACATCATGAAACTGATGCACAGAAAAAATAGGTTTGCGTCAGAACCATATATCGATGCGATACTCTTTACATCCTGTCGGGGGTGGCGATTCGCCTTGCTCGGAAAATGGGCCTTCATCGAGACGGCACGTATCTCGGACTTTCTCCCTTCGAGACGGAAATGCGAAGACGGCTCTGGTGGCATCTCGCTCACATCGACTGTCGCACCGCCGATGTGATGGGTACAAAACCGTCGCCGGAAATTTCCACTGGCGATAGCATGAAGCCGATAAATGTTGAAGATGAAGATCTCCACCCTGAGATGACAAGTTTCCCACCCGAGCACACCGGTATCACAGCAATAACTCTCTGCTTGATCAAGTGCGAGATAATGGAGACTCTGTGCCAGTTTGCAAGCCCGCATCCGACCGATTTGCGCTGGGAGATGCTCTATAACCCCGACATTTCGCTTGCTAGAAAAGACAGCATCATCGACTCAGTTGAAGATCTTCTGGAGAAGAAGTATCTTCGATATTCTGACCCGTCGAAAACATTGCATACCTTTATAGCAGTCATGATTCGATCGGCATTGTGTAAAATGAGGCTTTTTGCTCACAATATTCGGCAATTCGCCCACAAGTCCACCAAAGCCACTCAGCATGACCATGATGTATCATTCTTCAACGCTATGAAATTGTTGGAATATGCGAATATGATGCAGGCAGGCCATATGGGCCTGGACAAGTACATGTGGCAGATTGGCACCAGTTACCTCTGGAATACAATGCTGTATCTGCTCATTGAAGTTCGCTGCAGGAAGACGGGACCTGATGTTGACAAGGCATGGCAGTTAATTGCTGTCGTCTTCTCACGCTGCCCAGAGGTACTGCAAGAATTCACCGGATCTGTCTACGTGGCTCTTGGCAAGTGGACGCTCGAGGTTTGGGAGAGTTATATCGCGGCTTCAAAAGCCGAGGGGCTTCCAGATCCAGTGACGCCCGACTATATCAACGAGATCCGGGAGTGGCAGAAATCCAAGAAGCAAACTGCAGTCACGACGAAAAGTGACAAGATAGAAATAAGGCCCGTCACTCAGCATTCGTCTGGCTACGAGAAATTCTCGTATGCAGATTATCTGGATGGCGGGTTTTCGGAATCTCAGTATTTTCCAAATTTGTTTTCGTTTGAGGCGGATCCAAATCAATGGATGCAGTGGGAGCAGTTGGTAGCGGAACAAAATGGGCCCTAGGTTCGATTTTATACAGCCCATGCTAATATGAGAATTGCGTTCGTTTGACTTGGGTTCCATGTAATCAATAGACATGCTTTACGCCGCAGCTACTAATGGACGAGGTGATTGGCAGTCACTGAAAGAATGACTCTTATAAAGTATCACAACAGTAGCTACCCCATAATACTTGGGGAAATGATGATTTCCAGCACGCTTCTACTACGTATTTGCTATAAGGTAGCGCACTATACCAACAGTCTTGCAGATCCAGTTGCCATACACTTCGACGACGCACCAAGCCTACAGATTACATAACTAAAATGGCATGCTAGGCTAGTCATTTGTTCGGACTTTGGCGCATTGAAGCCCGCACAATGGGCTATAGAACAGGGATGGACAGTTGGACCGAGTGGCTACTGCAGAATCTGCAAGACTTGACAGATCAATATTTCCCATTCGAAGGATTCCAAATGAATAAGAAATTTCGAATAGTAATTAAAAACCGAGACGTATTGTCACTAGAAGGATTCGACAGGACTCAATATCCATAAATCAAAGAAGTACCATCTCATACCAGATGCAGCGGGGATTGAGAAGGCTCAATCGACTTGCTAGGAATTCGAGAAAATAAGACTGTTGTATTGATCCATTAAATTAAACGGAGAAATAATAATCATGCTTAAAGATAGATCCCACGTTTTAGCAGGACTTGTCACAATAAAACTCGACGAATCGGAGCATATCGGGTATTAAAGCTGACTACGACTAGTACATTTCCCTTGAGCATTTTATAAGGTACATCAACGGGAAGGATTCCACGTAGGAGCAGATACTACCCGGCAACTCAACCGCTAACCGCAAATAGCAATAATAGCTATAAGGGAATAGCAAAGGGAAGCGATAACACATCCACAACAGCAGCAAAAATCACCGCTAATGCTGCATCTGCCGCTTGTCCCACACTTGGCTATGATTAGCACAGGGATGAGGTTTATATCGTGTTTTTGTTAGGTATAGTTAGTTGGCTTTAACAAAAAAATCTATTAGTCATGTGAAACTACTCGATAGTGCTCTCTACCTATGCGAGATTACTCTATAACATTCATACACTTCGAGCACCCCGAAATTTGATTCATCAACGTGCACCCCGGCAGTGCCAAGACCAATGGATATGCTAAAACTAGTCTCCCTGCTCCTCCTAACGGTATGACGGATGGAAAGCTTACGGGTCAGTTCTTCGTTTAGCTTGCGTCTGATGAAGCATAGTTTTTGAGCGGGAGATTTGTATGCAGACTGGGATATAGATGAGCTGAAGGCGAAGAAGGAAACAAATTCTCAATGACAATCTGTTACTAATGCCAGTCGATCGTGTGATCGAGGCTTTCTAGAATACAGATGTATGAGATTTGTTACTCTTGGGTATATTCAGTGTGTAAGTATACCGCTTCAATTTGAATTGATTCCAGGACATCAAGTTTTTCTTTCGTCTTAAACGGTCCCAAACGTTGTTTAGTTCCTGATTAACGCTTTTTCTTTATAAATCTGGCCCAAATTCGAGTTGAATTGCAACCATGGCCATCTTCATATATCCTTCAACTGACGGCAGATATGCAATATCCGTGATGAGCTAATCAAGCTCCGGACGGCCTTTATTGATATGTAATCATCACAAATGCAGATAATTACTCCGTTACGCCGGATGATGGGTATTAACGTCTTACTAGTACGTACAGGATCCCCGCAGCCAATATGATCCGCCTTGGAAGTGAGATAAAAGTGAATATACATGTAATCTGCGCATGCCACAAGAGAGCGGGATGAGGTAATTAGCTCCCTCAAAACGCATCATCGACTTGTGACGAGAATGAGAGTAGGACAGCCCGTGTTCTTTATATTCTGATTATATCGGCCTTATCCTCACATTCACTCAAGTTCAATCGAAGATGAGATTGTATGTACTTGATCTCACAGCCGGCTATGACACTCTACTAAACTAGTTGCGACACCTCATTGAACAAGCTTACCGCTTAGAAATAAACCTTCATACCAAACGCTTATCAAATCGCACACTGAAACAGGAGGCATATACGCTATGATTCAAGTGGCGATATGTCGCGAACTAACAAGATAGATGCCTGTGGGCTGTTGGTGCTCAGACAGCCATCCGTTTCGCCTGTATTGCCGCCCGCTTGACCCGGACAAAGGCATCTCCACTTTCGGATATATATGCTGGAAACAATGATGGCGGCTGAACCAAGATAGATCATGAGTGACGAACGTGACGCTCTCGGAATAGCGTCATGTCCGTAGTGTCGACGTACACAGCTGAACACAAGCAGGATACCGCCACCCAGATACAACCCACGGGCGAATCTCAAGTCAAATATAGAATCTAGAACACGATTCCGACCACACCATTGGCTGGGTAAAGTCTGCGAGACTCCAGCGCCTGTGGAACACTCGGGCCGGGCCTTGATACCAATTCGTGTAACGCCTTTACCGCTACTCGGCACTCGGCACTGCTGGCTCCGCTCACACTTTATGCGACTTCGAATCAGAGCCACGAGACTCAGCAGCTTGTGGTCGTGGTTCTCTCTGAGCTTCTCTAAACGGCAATGCTAGACCCTGCATTGAATCTCCAGCGTCACACTGACGGAAGAGATGGGTGACGAAACAGGAGAAAACCAGAAACCCGCATCATGCGGCGCGACAACACGCGCAGCCAGTCAGATGGGCGGAATCTGGTGATGCTACTGTAAAACGCGCGTTAGATTGCGGCAACGACATATCGAATGCTTGTCATACGCCTGATAAGGCGAGGCCAATGTGACGATCTGATATGCACTGACGGAGGCCTTTGCTTTTGGATATAACTCTTCGAGCGTCAATTGTTTGAACAAGACGAGGGCACACAGTGTTATAAATAAATCCAGCTTCCCCGCGTGTCATTCTAGGGTAAAGAGCTCCATAAGTCTTTCGTCACTCTCACTTTGTTATCATCTCACTCATCATCTTATTCACACAAACTCACTCATATAATACCATCATCTCACTTACTTAATCACTTAACACCATAACCATGGAGGCCATCTTCCAAGCCCAGGCAAAATTCCGCCTCGACCGCGGCCTCACCAAAGTCAAAGCCATCCGCAACCAAAACTACAAGCGCCACGGCACAAAGTCCTACGTCTACCTCCTCAACCGCTTCGGCTTCGAGCCCACCAAGCCCGGCCCCTACTACCAGCAGCACCGGATCCGCCAGCGAGGCCTCGCACACCCAGACTTTCACGCCCCCGTCGGTGGCCGGGTTCACCACACAAAGCACCTGCACAAGAAAGTCAACAAGCATGGAGCTCCGGACGCCACCGGAACGGAGACGGGAGAGGTCGGGGCCGAGGACCAGCAGAATGACTCGGAATACTTGTGCGAGGTTACCATTGGCACTCCTGGACAGACGCTGTTGCTAGACTTTGACACGGGATCATCAGATCTCTGGGTGAGTATCTTCATACCTCCATCAAGACATACCACAACTAACAACAACGCAGGTCTTCTCCACAGAGCTCAGCAAAACCATCCAAAAAGGCCACTCCGTCTTCCAACCAACCTCCTCCTCAACATTCAAGAAGCTCCCCAACCAAGCCTGGCAAATCTCCTATGGCGACGGCTCCTCCGCCTCCGGCGACTGCGGCTCCGACAACGTCACCATCGGCGGCCTCACCATCAAGAACCAGACCGTCGAGCTCGCCTCCAAGCTCGCCCAGCAATTCGCCCAGGGCACCGGCGACGGCCTCCTCGGTCTTGCGTGGCCGGCTATTAACACCGTTGCTACGAATGGAAAGTCGACGCCTGCTAATACGCCTGTTGCGAACATGATCACTCAGGATGATATTCCTAGTGATGCGGAGCTGTTTACTGCTGCGTTCTACAGCGAGCGTGATGCAAACGCACAGTCATTCTACACTTTCGGCTACATCGACACGGATCTTGTCTCGAGCTCCGGCCAGGACATTGCCTGGACCGACATTGACAACTCCCAGGGCTTCTGGATGTTTCCCTCCACCAGCACCTCTGTCAACGGAAAAGCCATCTCGCAGTCCGGCAACAGCGCCATTGCCGATACCGGAACCACCCTCGCCCTTGTCTCAGATGAAGTCTGTGAAGCTCTGTATAACGCAATCCCCGGAGCCACTTACGACGACCAGCAGCAGGGCTACGTCTTCCCCCAGAGCACCGACGTATCGAGTCTCCCCGAGTTCAAGGTTTCTGTTGGAGACACGCAGTTTGTGATTCAGCCCGAGGACCTTGCCTTTGCTCCAGCAGACGACAACAACTGGTATGGCGGCATCCAGTCCAGGGGAACCAACCCCTTTGACATCCTGGGCGACGTGTTCCTGAAGTCCATCTATGCGGTGAATTGAGATCCTTGCGCCTCGTGTTCAGATAATAAGCATGCTAATTGAATCTAGATCTTCGATCAAGGTAACCAGCGATTTGGTGCGGTTCCCAAGATTCAGGCATCCCAGAACTTGAGCTCTTCCGCCCAGTAAATGTCTGCATTATCTGTTTCATCCCTTTCAAGGTTACAACGCTCGGTCATCTGTGAATTAGCAATATAGGTGCATGCAATAAATTCGTTATATTACTACTCTAACTTTCTAATCGTGTCTAATCCCCCGTGACCTAGTTCTTAGTCAAATGCAGCAGCTGAGACTCACCCTCAGTCAGGTAAGCAGTGTAGTAGTTGTCGACCTTAGTCGAGTTACCCGACCATATATCAGTAAACTTCCACTGCGAGCAGCTCAGACCAAGACTGGCCAAGGAAACAGTCACGGCCTGCGTTCCGTACAGCTTGGTGTTGAAGCCTCCAGAGCCCTGATCAGGTCCTAAGTTGGCAATCAGAACGTAGGCCTCCTTGCCGCTGTCGCTGGGACCACCAATCCAGGCCTGGAGCTGCTGAGCAAGGTTGTTGCCAGTGCGAGGGTTTCGGGGCTGCATGGGGTACTTGGCGAAGAAGTCAGCAGCGGCGATAGACTGGGGGCTAGTCAGCAGCTTCCAGCCAAGCTCGTCGGTCTGAGTAAGATCGTTGCCGAGAATCAAGTTGGCTCCAGCGCCCAGCCAATGGTTCATGACGGTGGTTCGCATGGTGTCGTTAACGCCGACCAACTTGGTAGGGCCAGCAGCGAACAAGTTGTCCATGTCGGGATAGACGCTGAGAGGAACGTTTCGCTGAAGCTGTAGGCCAATGTATTGACGGTAGTTGTCAATGGCACGCTGAGCAACCTGCCAGGCCAAAAAGGTCTCGTGGCCGTAGTTGTTGATGTCCTGGTCGGTACGCATGGACTCGGTCAAACCGCTCCAGACAGGCAGCCAGGTCTCGTTACGGCAAAGCTTCCACGAGATGTTGAGACGGATGTTCTTACCCGTCTTGGCAATGGCCTTTTGGTAAGCCACGACGGCGTCAGAATTTTGGCATCCCAGCATGGCGCCGTTCTGAGGAGAACCAGGAGTGATGTAGTCGAGCTGTTTGTTTGTCAGTCATCATCCTTCATCCCAGGCTCTAATGTTCCATCTTTACTCACCTTGATCATGTCAACGCCCCAAGAGGCCCACAGAGCCACAGTAGAATCGTGCCACTGCTGAACACCATCCTTGCTATAGTCAAACTGACACAGAATCTGGTCAAAGTTGCCGTTGAAGACGGATCCGACGGTAATGTCAGTGCCCAAGATGGTCTTGTTGGCAGCCTGGCAGGGCACACCGGGAGTGATGTAAAGACCAAACTTCAAGCCCTTGTTGTGCAGCCACGGGCCAAGCTGGGGCATGTTAAAGCGAGTCGAGTTGTAGATGATACGACCATGGCTGTCAACCTCATCGAATGACTGCCAGCCAGAGTCAAGACTGCACATGTCATAGCCGGCAGCCTTGAACTTTGGGTTGGCCAAAACGCCGCACTGTGTTTCGACAAACTTCTGGGTGTAGTACAGACCGGACTGGCCAGCAAAAGACGGGATAAGCGTGGAGCCATTGGTCAGGGCCTGAGCTCCATACGTGTTCCAGCCTCGGGCAGACTTGGTGAAGCCATTCTTAGTCTTGACAGTCTTCAAGACCTTCAATGGGCCGCCAGCAGGCTTGGGCTGAGGGTAGCAGTCTGGCAGCGAAGAGTCACGATCCTGCAGACAGTAAGGAGCAGGACGCGTCTTGATGGCACCGTTTCCGGCGTCGCTAGTGTAGCAGGCGCCGCTAGTCCAGATCCAATACCACTGGTTGTCGCTCCATCCCCAAGTTCCACTTGTCGAACCACTCAAGAGACAGAGGTCGACCATGCTCTTGAAAGAGACGCTGACGTCGCTGTTCTGAGCCGAGCCAACAGCTCCCGTGTTGGCCTGCTGCTGCATGCTGATGTTGTCGCCATTGCAGTCGACTACTGAAGGATCAGCCGACAGCTTGGTGATGCAGTTCTGAATGTCGTTGTAGCACTGCTCCGTGAAGTAGACGGAACCAGGTGTGTAAGAGGCATCGGAACAGTGCGCCGTGCCCGTGTTTGTGCCAGCGACGGGCTGGAGCAGCACGGACGCCGCAAGAGAGAGAACAATGGCCGATGCCATGGTGGTGTAAAGACTCTTTTGCGCTTGCACGCTCTGCCGTTGAAGGTCTTGTCTTGTCTTGTCAGAGTTGTAAACTCTTGAACAAATGGGATCGTCTCCTGCGAAGACGAATACTTATAAGAGCTGCTTCTCCGCCACGCCTCTTAGTAACGGAAGCTGGTGAGACTGACGGCAAAGCACGGAGAAGGCTGAGTGGCTAGTGGACGGAGCAGAGTAAATAGTCCTGCTCGACTTGTCCCGAAGTTCGCAAGGTCCGAAAAGCTCTCCGCAACTTTCCCAGGTCAGCCCAAGTAGCACTCGCAAACATTTGTATCTCCACTTCCTCCGTGTCCTTGCTAGTGACAAAAGTTGCTCCACGGCACAATCTGACCTAGTCTCCACGGATATCTCTCCCATTTGCCAGGGAAACTCAATGGCATCTGCACAGGGCTCAATTGCCCAGCCTTTTCCCCCTCAATTCCATCCGAATGAAGCTCCATTAAACACTTCCGCCCGAATTATGTCCCATTTTCGGGCTAGGTAGGTAAGCTGCCCTGTTGTCAATGCCGGGCAAATCCTCGTCAACTCGTATAATTGTCTTGTCCGCTTTTCCCTTTGTTGTCTTCCCCGCGTTCAATAACCTTCCTAATGGAGTATTGGCCCAGTTCTACCCCTCAGGAAGCCATCCGAGAATCACTAATCTGCCCCATGAATGGGGTACCCCATGGGATACCCCATGATTTTTTTCTCTCTCTCACCAGCTTGGACTCATAGTGCTAGTGGTATGACGGAAGCCAGGGGCAGATTGCTTTTTCCATCTCTAGTGCCTGGCTTCAAACGGAGTCCTGGTATTAGGTCTTATTCGCCGATGACATGTCGTGCTAACCAGCAATCATCTAGCCGGCTGTCACTACAGCCTTTGGCAGTCGAGTTCCACAGGAGCTGTTCCCCCACGAAAGCTGCAAGTCCAAGTTAGCCTTGGGGAAGTCCGAAAAAAGTGGACTAATAATTTCGGAAAAGCTCACAAGGCGAAAAATGAGGTTCAACGGGTAATTGGGCTGGAAATGCGACAACCTAGCACAGGAACCCGAAAGCCGCAGAGCTAGAGCTACAAGTGCGAGAGGGGGAGCGTCCTTTTCCGTCTTCCTGCTTTCGTATATATAACCATAATGGTAAAGTGTGGAGGCGGGGGCTAGCTTTATGTGTATGCTTATGTATAAATTCTTCATCCTCGCCGTCAGCCATTGGCTCCGGTACTGCGAGCAGGGATTGAGATTGAGACACCCTCCTGGCGGAGAGAAAATCGGTATCAGGGAGGCAGGGAGAAGAGATGCATGCTTCCCCAACTTGGGCATGTAATTCATTTCTGATTTTTTCGTTTACTCACACGGAAACTGTCCAAGGTTGCAATTGTGACGATATCGAAAAATGAATTCTCCGGGATACCACTTCCGCCTGCCGGTTTCTCTTACGTGACGGAAACTGTCCGAGTTTGTGTTTTGTAGTTATCCGCTTTTGACATTGTCTGTTTGTATATATGCTCGTCATTGCGCTGTCTTGATAGAGTTTCGGAACAACAGCGATTGCCACTGCAAGTGGACAACTCACTTTGTCTAGAGTCCAATTGCAAGAAACTTGGCACAATGGGCCGGTTCCTAGCAGCCCTCTCTCTTGTGGCGAGCTGCGTCAGCGCGCAGAGCGTCTTTAACCTTAGTGATGTTTCGTGGACGGTGAGCAATGGCGTCAACGCCACTGTACCGGGAAAGCTGCCTTCGCATGCGCATCTCGACTTGCTGGCCGCCGGCGTTATTGACGACCCCATCTATGGCTTCAATGAGTGGAACCAGTTTTGGGTCCAGCGAATGAACTGGACATATACGTCCGGGCCCCTCAAGGGACTGTAAGTAGTTTGTATTAGCGGTAAATATAGTGATTGTGGCTGACGGAAAACTTGACAACTAGTAAGTCTGGAAGTGGACTCACTTCATGGCTCGTCTTTGAAGGTCTCGACACCTTCTGTGAGATCAAGCTTTGCGGCGTGAAAGTTGGCGACACCAAGAACCAGTTCCGCAAATACACATTCGACGTTAGCAGCATTCTGCCCCAGTGCAAGGGTGACCCAGTTCTCAGCTTGAACTTTGGCTCCGCGAGCAAGATTGTGCTCGACATTTCTCAGCGAAGCGATCTCGGTGCGTTGCAATCTCCATGAATAGCTCGATGTCAACCCTGTGGCGAAGTCTTCTGCTAACAGTTATCGATGTTTAGCTACTGTCAACTCTGCCAACGGCTACAATGGACAGGAGTTCCAGGGCCGAACCTACATGCGAAAGCAGGAAAGCGATTTCGGTTGGGATTGGGGCCCAGTGTTTGGACCAGCCGGACCATGGCGCCCAGCATACATTGTCCAGAAGGCCAAGACGGATCCCGTGTACATCACCAACACAGCCATCGACATCTTCCGCCAGGGCCAGATGCCTAACCTCTCGCCTGACCAATCCAAGCCCTGGGTCTTCAATGCCAGTATCGATTACATTGGCGACCTCCCCAAGGGCTCGCAATTCCACATGAAGATTGTCGACAGCAAGGGCCACACTCTCAAGGAGGCCAACCTGGTCGACATCAGCCAGTCTTCTGGTACCATCACCGGAAACACCGTCATCAACAGCAAGGTTGACCTCTGGTGGCCTTCTGGCTACGGCAAGCAGCCCCTGTATACCGCAACTCTGTCTCTCATCAGCCCCGGCACCCCCAAGCACGCTACCGTGACCAAGCGCGTTGGTTTCCGCACCATTGTTCTCAACCTGAACGCCATCACTCCTGAAGATAGGGCCAAGGGTGTCGCTCCCGGAGCCAGCTGGAAGTTTGAGATCAACGGCCATGAGCTGTATGCCAAGGGGTCCAACTTTGTTCCTCCTGATGTCTTCTGGCCTCGTGTCAACCAGACCAAGATCAAGGAGACTTTTGAGCTGGCTGTCAACTCCCACTTCAACATGCTGCGAATCTGGGCCTCTGGTGCCTATCTGCCCGACTGGGCTTATGACTTGGCCGACGAGATGGGACTGCTGCTCTGGTCCGAGTTCCAGTTCTCTGTCGCCTACTTCCCTGCCACCCCTGACTTCCTTGCCGAGTATGAAGCCGAGGCCTACTACAACACCCGCCGTGTGAACCATCACCCCAGTCTTGCTCTGTGGGCTGGAGGCAATGAGCTCGAGTACCTCATCTATGGCTGGTGGCTCAATCCCAGGAACAACACCCAACTGGAAGACTATGAGACCATCTTCCAGCAGCATCTTGCCAAGTGTGTCTATGCCAACACTCACTCCATCAGCTACATCCCCTCATCCACCTACCACGGCTACACCAAGCTCGACTTCAACTCGGTCAGCCCCCAGACTTCTCGATACGATTACATGGAGAGCCCAGATGCCGTCTACCTCGACACCGACTTTTATAACTATGATGGAACTATTGCTTTCCAGTACAGCGGTTACCCTGTCGGCCGTTTTGCTGATGAATTTGGATTCCCTTCCATGCCTTCCGTCTACTCTTGGCAAGAGGCCATTCCTGAGAGCGAGTTCAACTTTGACTCGTCGTACGTCCGCCACCACAACCGTCATCTCAGCAGTGGCAGCGACTGGTTCTCGCAATCGGCAGCTGGCATCAATCAGTTCACCGACAGTATCAAGCTCTGGTACCCACTGCCGGAGCTGTCGGATCCCGTGGCCAACTTCACCGCCTGGACTTGGACCTCGCAGGTGTTCCAGGCCGACTACTACCAAGCCCAGATTGCCTTTTACCGACGCGGATCCGGTCTTTCTAACCGCCAGATGGGTGCTCTGTACTGGCAGTTCAACGACATCTGGGTTGGCCCAACTTGGTCCAGCACTGAGCACAGCCTGCGCCAGAAGGTGGCCTACTATGCCGCCAAGGACATCTTCAATCCCGTTATTGTCTGGCCCTTCTACGACGAGGCCACCGACGTCTTGGAAGTCTGGGTCGTTTCTGACTTGTGGGACAAGGTTTCGGGAACTGCAACGCTCCAATGGGTGGACTGGAAGGGTAACCCTCTGGATGTTGATCCTCCTGTCGGTGTTAAGCCTGCCCACGATGGGTCGTACAAGGTCAACTTTGATGTGCAGCCGATCAACGCGACCCGTCTGGTTACGTATCCTGCTCTGACCACCTTCTTTGCTTGCAAGAACCCAACATCCAATGCTCTACTCTCCATCTCCATCCAGGCGGGAGGATACACCCACACCAAGTTCTTCCACCAGCAGAGTCTCCGATTGAGCAGCATTGCCGATCCGGGTTTGGTCATGACCAAGTCGCTCCATGGAAACACCGCCCAGTTCAAAATTACCGCAACCAAGGGTGTGGCGGCATGGGTCTGGGTTGACTACCCCACGACAGTCCGAGGATACTTTGACCAGAACGGCTTCTGGTTGCACAAGGGTGAGAGCCGCACGATTACCTTTACCGTGTGGGATGACTGGTCCAGCGGTGCCTGGATTAACGATGTTGTTCTCCGATCTATCTATGATAATGTGGATCAATAAAGAGTTAGATAATAGATAATTGTCAGAATAGAGTGGAATCTTTTGTTAACTGCCCTGGAATGAGTAATGACATTGTAGATTTTGGATAGTGATGGAAATTGTGACATGAGCGATGTTGATTCATATCATATTCTCGGACTCTGAAATCGAAGTCTTACTCGAAAATATGGCCCCGTAACACTGACAGGAGAATCGCCAGTGACTGATAGAAGCTACTAGGCGTATTAAGGCGTATCCGGACTGCAACATGGCTGTGAGGAACCACTGAGCCCAATAAAAGCGGTCCAATGGAGTAAGGGCCTTGACCACGGGAGTGCTTTCAGATTTGGTATTTTCTCGACTAGCACATTGACAGTATTCGAATTGCTTTGCCCGTCCCCCCTGTCGAAGAAGAGTCCTTCTTTTCGAACTAACCGTCGTATGTAAAAAATCCCTGATTTACTAATACATTTTCGGACTACCACCCCCCTCCCCTCCATGTATGTGCGCTATTTCCGTTCGTGCACTATGCATGTTGGTTCTGAATCCTGTTAATGACTATAAGGTGGTTGCAACACATAATCCTTTCTAAGCAGCCAATATTTTACTGAAAAGAGTATTTTTCTTAGAGAGACAAATCCACTAGTGAATAGGGGCAGAGATAAGCAAAATGTACATCGTTTGCTTGGAGAATCGGCAATACATTTAAACCAGCGTTATCTCCCACTCTCCTCAGAAGAATAACAGCACAAACATTAGCACCTCACACCCCAATCTTCAAGAACTTTTCCGAGTAATACCAAACTATAATTATCTTCCTTGGTATTGTTCACTTTCAAACATCTTCATCACCATGCACAATACCAACACTCGCCTCTTTGGCTTGTTCACTGTGCTTATGATAACGCCGCTAGTCTTCGCCGCACCTGGCAATGGTGACGGTATCAAATCTGCCACCATACCAGATTATGACATTGACAAACTTAACATTTCCACGCCAATCTCCAGCGAGCCTACAGTTTACCCTGGACCTGGCCTTCCGTCCCTGGAGTCTCTCGGCTTGACATCCTCCAACCTCTTCAATGACAGTTTCATGAAGACCTACTTGGCTGATAAGGCAACCAACACTGCTACTACACAGCCACCATTACTGGCATCCAAGGCTTACACTCCGCAAGGGCTCCACAGCCTGGAAAAACGCTTCACTAATCGATGCTTAAATGACACGAATGGTGTTGGCTATGGCACACAAGCTGGTCTCACTGCCTGCTACAATTACCTCTCTTCACTTGGGACCACAGAGTGCGCCGCTAACTCAAACGGCATCGTTATGTGCTACGCTACTGTTAACGGGTTCACATCTTATGTTACAGGTCAACCCATAAACACCACCACGTACGCAGCAAGCTACTGCCGAGATGTCGCTACAGGCATGGCGTGGGGAATCCTTGCTTGCGTCTGGTGCCCTAAAGGCTGGAGTGATTGTGTGGCTGAGTCGCTTTCTGCAGCGTATGGGAACGGCAACCTAATAATTCGGAACTGGGGCAATGCATTCCCTTAGAATATATTCAGTACTCAAAGGCATGTATCACAATACAACAATATATATTCACAACAAAGGCACTTGCACTTTCCGAAGACGTAGACCGATGAACTAGTAGGAAATAAGTGATCGCCCGAGACACTGTGATCACTACATTCTTATATATAGGACTGAATAGATACCTTTATGAAATACTTTAAACAAGTTAGTTATTAGTATAGATTTCTATTTGAGTGTTCTATTTATCTATTAGTGGTAGAATTGCTCTATGGTTATTTTTATTTTGAAAGGATAGAAAAAGCTCTTAACCAGAACTTAGCTCGCAATTTAGCTCGACCAAGCTTAATCTCACCAAGTCCCCCCCACTGCCACCCAAGAACCTTGCCTTTGGCTGTTTGATTAAGTAAGAGATGAAACTCATCACCTAATTAACTGAAATTTAGTTACATAGAGTTAAAATAACTTATAATAATTAAGTTATCCTAAGATAATATAACTTAAGATAACTTATCACAACTTAATCTAACTTTTGATATAGTATATACCTATATTAAAAAATAATCCAACTTACCTAATTAGTATAAGGGTAATAGATAGATAATGCTAGAGTAACCTATATAATTACTCCCTAATATATTAAAGTGATAGGTAATATTACGATAGTAAAGAGTGGAATTCCTCTCCCAAAAGCAGCATCATCAACACGCTAAGAAGCCCGTTTGTTTAAAGTACAACAATAGAGCTCTAGCCATTCATTCATTTCGTAGCCCGCTCATTCTCTTATCTAAGAGTGACCGCTTATTACCCCAGTCAGTTCAAGCTTAGGCAGCACCCGCCCACATTCTCACGCTACATTATCTTTGCTTCTGGCACAAAACAAAAGGGTCAAAATCGGGCAAGTCTTTCCACCCCCTGGTCCTAAGGATCTCGATGAAGAGTAGCAAGATGACAACAATATTGACTGCGAATACCGCGATGCTATACTTGATGCCACCAAAAGCTATGGCAGTCACTCGCAAGGTAGCGCTTGTGCTCTGAGTAAAATTGCCGACCATGAGCTGTGCCGCCGCGTATGCGCCCAGCATGTCATCCGTCAGGGCAGTAACGGAATTTTCAACGCGGCGAGGATAATACCCGTCTCTGTCCACTCAGTGGAATTACTAGAGGAGTCGGCATAGGTTCGGGAATCGGCAATGAAAGCATTGAATGCGGTGCCAACCGTTGAGATGTAAAGGTTTGTCTCATCGTTGGCAATCAGCTCAAATTGACGCAGTACAGTGCCTTTTAGGCGTCTGCTTGGATTGATGTCTTTGGCTGTTGTGTTTTTCGTGGTCATACCGGTGATTCTTTGGCCCTGTAAATCCACTGTGACATTGAATCGCGTTGGAACAAAGTCAATCTCGCACTAAATCTTGTCCAAAAAAAAATTGTAGATTGATCCCGTTGCAAACGCCAGATATTTTCGCAGTGGATACTCATCAGCCGATGCGTTAGAGAAATGAGCGACTCCAATAGAGACGATACGGTCCATATCGTGGACGATATAAATCTGGGTACTCAGGTCCATTGTCACTGTCGGGTAGAGGTCCACTCGCAGTGCATACCAAATAGACGTATTCCGGGCGAAATCAGTGTAATGAATCTCAAGGGTATATTTTTTTGGTTCACAAATAAGTTTCTTCTAAAGAATTTGGGACCAGAAGCAGAATCAGCTGTGCTTTGTAGCGTAATCAGAGCAGAGAAGCGGAGCTCCTGCATGTATTCTACGTGCTTACCTTGGTGTGCTCTTGTTAGTAGAGTATTTCTATTGTCTCCATCTCATAGTAATAACGGAAGAAAATGGTCAATGTGATTAAAGAACATCATAACTCTTTTTCCCATTATTATACAGACTTCTTACCCCAATGTTAATTAAGTCTATGAGCCGTCGCTGATCCAATTCGACAGCATCAAACTGCCACTGGTTATCACCGGAAGCATCCCCATGCATCTTAGCATGAGCACGAAAGAAACCTATACCGAGCATTTGCGCAAGATTGCGAAACCCTTTATGCTGGAGGCCCTCTGGTAAAATCTCGAGAACAGCTGACCCAGGTTGGAGGAACATAAGATGTGTGAGTCCGGCTCCGTGAACTCCAACCAGTAAATCTGTCTCTCGCACAATCTGAATCTGTTCAGAGAATGGGATGCCTCCAAAGTCGATAACATTGAGCACCATATTGGGGACTTCTCTTCTTAGAGCCTCCATATGTGCATCTTCATTGATGAGCTTTCGTGTGTTTGTGCGACGTATATATGTGACAATAACTTTGCTGTTATCTTTAATAGGCGTAGTCACGCCATATAATGAGAGGACTCGTGATGAAAAGGTTTTAACAAGCGTTGAGTCCCGGCATAAAATATCTTCCCAGTCCCCTTGCCAAAGGGTATTGCTCCCTCCCGCAAATGGTATAATAATATCGGATGGTGGCTCTGATGCATTGAGTTCTCGAATGCGGCGAATTGGCATTTTCGAAAAGAGTTTCCACATATCAATGAAGGGTCCGTCCTCGTGTTTGTCTAGAAGAACAATCTGTGTCGTCGCTCCGGCCTCTGGTGAGAGAAAAGGCTCCCCTGTTTTTGCATCGGCACTTATTTGAAGCGCATCGAGGCTCCAAGAAAGGCTCATGATTTCCATTAGTGAATGCCATAAATTGTTTGACCCCTCGCGCTTTATAAGGATTGTCGTGATTTTTGAAGGTTCCTTAGAAACTTCCCCATCCAAACGGATGGTCTCATTCATGATGAATCCCGGTCCTGTTTCATACCAATACCGTGATAGCTCGGTGGGTATAGGTACTCCCTTTGCTCTTTCGTCCGATGTGGGCAACTTGACATTACATCCTAGGCGAAATCGTTGCAGCGATTTATCGAATACGGCATGGTGACCGTAACACATTGAATCAATGCGTGGCTGCTCATCTGCAGCAGTACTGGAGAAGAAACAGGTGAATCGTGAAATTGACTCATCAGTACAGAAAGACGCAGAGAAGTCACGGACATTTTCGAGGTACCGCGTGCCAAATCTTTCTTGACACCAGAGGGTCTCAGGGGTGTTGACGAGATAATAATCATGAGGGAAACTGAGAATTGTAGGAATAGGCGAGACTTGGGGACTAGGCACTGAGTGCACAAGATCTGATCTGCTAAAGTGGGCAAACTTTTGTAAAAGAAGCATAAAAAGAGTTAAAAAGACAACTATTACCAATGCGACATAGCGTCGATAGGAAGGCATAAGCATCGTTAGGGAATAATGGGATAAAGAAGTATTAAAGAACTAGGAAAGAGCATAATCTCCTACAAACGATAATGACCGTGGCAGACAGACATGGAAGTATTAAATGAGAAGGAAAATATTATCAGTCACCCAAGCGAGCGGAAACCACATGTTGCTCACAGCCCCTTTTGCATTGCGGATTGCTTCACCATTAGGATACCTTCAATAGTGGGGCGGACGGGTGAGGACCCTCGGCGCGATGAAGTGGCGCTCTAGAAGCGGCTGAAAATGATGCAATGAGAAAGCTGATTGAATGCAGAAGCGACTCAGTGGAGACAAACCTACGAGTGGGAGTATTTTTATTAATAGGAGCAGGGACCTTTTGCCAGAGGATTGAAGAATGTGGATAGCGCTAATGCAAGTCTCGTGAAGTTGTCACCAACAAGAAATTCATAGCCAATAGATTTTACAAGGGCGGCTATTCCAACTGCAGTACCCTGTAGAGAAATGTTTGAGATTTAATACAACCTCACTATTAACACTCACAATTAGTCTTCATCGGGTGCCGCGCATATATGACCCTGGCTTGCATGATCCTGAAATAGCCAAGAACGCAAATTCTCAACCAACAATAACCGCCAAGAGCAGCAACTGCTTGACCAATGCGAGAAAAATGTTATGGAATTCCTGGTTTGTAACATATTCGCTTAATAGGATAAACGAAGCACCCCCCGATCATCCAAGGAATGGCTGCTTTTTTTCCCTTCACATATTATTTACGGATTTGCCATTATTTTCAGCCACTTGAACCACCTTTCCTCGAGGTAGGCTAAGCTTAAGCCAGAGGAAACTTATTCCTCTAGCTAAGCAATATGTTCTCATTATGGACAGCTTTCATATTTATGTCTCTTGCACCCTGGGCTGCAGCTGAAGACTGTGTTCCTGGTCCAGTATCTCTCTCCCTTACCAATACCACTTTGTCAACTGGCAAACTCCAGCGTGGAATATCTTTAAAGGTCGGGACTCCACAGCAACAATTTACTTTCCTACCAAAATGGTAAGCTGTACAGCTCGTTATCACTGCACGATAATTTGAAGCTAATGCCTCCTAGGGATAATAACAATACATTTTTATATGGTCCCAACTGCGATTCTCTGAATCTCGTGAAGACTAACGACGCTTGCATTACGTTCCGAGGCGGTATATATGGAAACAAGTCAGACTCAAGGGGTACGCTTGCCTCATCTATTAAGCCTCCTCCGGACTTGTGGAGTTCAACAACATACGACATATTCACGGACAATGTGAATCTAAACATCAACAAAAGTCTGCAAGCGTTTCCCTTAGCAAGTCCAAAAGATATTAAAAGTTGGGACACGCAAGGTTACGATCCTCAGAACATCATCGGATTAGGATCTGGGTCGACCATCATAGACGCCTGCCGCAAAGCGGGAACCATCGCTTCAGACTCTATCGGCTTTTTCTGGGGATTGGACGGCGTTCTTGATAAGGATCAATCGAAAGGCTCCTTTGTCCTGGGAGGATATGACAGAGCCAAGACCTTTGGCGACGGCTATACACTGCCACTTTCAGACCGTTCCGATTGCCCGACAGGGATGATCGTATCTATTGCTGATATTGTCCTTAACTTTGTTAATGGAACAGATACCTCTCTATTTCCAGATAGTAAAGGTACTATTTTGACGGCTTGCCTCATCCCAGAGCGCCCAATGCTTATGGACATGCCTCGTACCCCCTATTTTGACAACTTGTTGGATGCAATTGGAAACGAGGAATTTGGTCGAAGTACCGGAGTTGATTGGTGGAATGTCATTCTTAATCCATCAATGTCAATGTGAGTATTCAGTAGACGGCTGTATCGTATCAGCTAACTGTTTTAGGTTTACTGGTGACATAACTTTTACGTTGGATAATAATATGGACATTACAATACCAAACCGCCAACTTGTTGTGCCGGAGCGGTATATTGATGATAATGGAAATTTGGCTATCAACTCATCTCTGCCGGTTATACGCATTAATTCCTTGCAGAACACCACGTCACAAGTTCTTCCTAATCTGGGGCGATATTTTCTTACAGGCGCATACGTTCTGTTCAATCGGGATGCCAAGGAATTTACGCTTTGGCAAGCAAATCCAACGTCAAGTGAGGATTTGGTCGCTGTAAATGAGAAGAACGAAGTTTTTGAGGCAACTCAAAGTTGTGCGAAGGTACCAGCGACATCACTGCCACCTCCAACATCAGTGCCAAGCTCAGGGAGCGATAACGACGGAAAGCCAGATGGCAGCAATAGCTCTTCAAAATCATCGTCTTCACTCTCCGCCGGGGCAATTGCAGGTATCGCTATCGGCTGCGTAGCAATTATTGCTATTATCCTCGGCTTTTTGTGGTGGCGTCTAATATTGCGTCGAAAATCCAAGGCAGAAACTCAGAGATCCATCTCACAAGAAGATTGTTTAGCAGGTAACGGTGGTGATGGTGTAATGTCTATAAAACATTCTCCTTTAATGCTGCAAGAGATGCCATCTGAGTCAAGAGGGGTTGTCGAATTGCCAACATAGATAAACAAACAGTAATATTTAATAAGCATACAAAAGCCAGAAATTCTTCCGTTTTATCTTTATCAGTAGTGGTGTAGAAGAAGCAAGTGAGACATCAATGTATGTCACAAGCCTGACAGTCTCCCAGTCGAACGCCCTATCAGTGTGATTGATACCAGCGACCTGGATTTACATTGCGCGGAATTAAGAAGGTAAATTTTTTAGCTCAGAAATGGATTCAATTCAAAAATTTCAATTCAAAGAAAAGGACAGGTCGAATGTGCATGTGAATAGTACCTACTGCCCATGAGATAGAGAAAAGATTTGGACGAAGCGAGGTATCGGAGTCGCTTATTACCCAATTTCTGTGAATACCCAAAGACAAGTAAAATTTTAATACGTGTGGAAATGCAGCAGACTCAAAATTCTACCATTTCTGATTCAATTGTTATGCAGACAATTGGCTTTACCGGTTGTACTTTAAAGTTCCCAATCAGGAGGGTGAAAACCTAGGTGATTTCTAGACAACGCGCCATACATCGGCCGTAGATACTTGTACAGGCAGAATATATGAGTTACGCAAAAGGGCTCGCCAGTATATTCATAATCCTCCTCTTGGGGGGATTAATCGCATCTTCAGCATCATATTCAGCTTCCACCTCATCCAATCCAGATTGTAGATCAATCTCGTCCACCTGCCGCCACCAGTGATCCTTGTGGTGGTAAATGCGATGGCCAAGGTAGAATGCCAAAAACACCGGAATGGAGATGTAATCAGTCAAAAAGATTGAAACAGACCAATTTCCTCGGACAAACACGTCGAAGCCATTGATGCCACAGAGTATTGCAAATGCGACAATAGCGATATAGGAGCCTACTGGCTGAGACCAGTGTCTCCAGGGTATCTGGTCGGTCTTGTTCTGCTTGAGATATGCCTTGCGAAATCGAAGGTCTAATTTTCACGTTAGATGAATTCTCATCAGTGAGAGAGAGAGTCGAAGAGTCACTCACAGATGATGCCACAGCAGATCCAAGAAATAAATGTGCCCGTGTTGGTCAGATTCACAAGCCAGGTAAAGACTTCCGAACCATTGCTGCTCACATTCATGTAAGCAAGCAAAGCAAATAGTGAGCTCGTTCCGACAGCCACATATGGAAGACCATTGGGAAGACACTTTTTGAAAACGGCTGGAGCCTGTCCAGCAACACTAAGAGAGTATAACGATCGGCTCGACAGGTATAAATAGGCATTTCCAGACGACCAGGCAGAGGTGAGAATGACTGCGTTCACCACACTATCAAGACCCTTGATACCAGCTCTCTTGATGCCTACAACGAATGGAGAACTTTCAGCTCCAGCGCCTATCACGAAGTTAGTACATACTCAATATCGTCAACTCAGCTGTCAATGGGGAAACAACCCACCTCCGTTGGTCAGTCGAGGGTCGTTTGATGGGCAGATTACGCTGATGGCCAACGCTCCACCGACGTAAAACACCATGATTCTCCAAAAGAACCGTGAGACTGTGCGTGGAAGATTGCGTCGCGGGTTGACCATTTCACCCGTTGTCACAATCACCATCTCTGGAGCGAAACTAAAGGGGAAAACACTGCTAATCACCGTGCCGAAAAAAGCTGCGGCTCTTCCCGCATCTCCGGGGACAAGCCAAGAATTCACTGGCTGCCTCCACCAGTGAAAGCCCAGGCGAGACTGATCTGGGCCTCCCCACCAGAAGAGGATAAAGGAGAGTATCAAGAGGCCGAGAATCAACATGACCTTCAACGACACAAACCAGAATTCTGATTCTCCATAGAATTTGACTGGCAGCCAATTCAGAGAGCAGGTGACGACAATGAGGCATGAAATCCAGACTACAATGGGGACTGACGTGTTCCAGTACTGAATCACCAGTCCTGCCGCGGTAATCTCAAAGGGTACCAAGATACCAAACGAGTAAAAGTATAGCCATCCCATTGCAAAACCCAGACTGTCAGAGACATAACGGCGGCCATAGTAGCTCATTGTTGCCCCTTTGACCGGGAGATATGTCGCCATTTCGGTGATGGCCGTCACGACACAAAACACCAACAGTGAGACGATGATGTATCCAGCAACTAAAAATGCGGGCCCGCCCTTGGACAATGTCACGCCACTGCCGACGAACAATCCGGTTCCAATGGCACTGCCCAGGGCTATCATTTGGATGTGCCTGGACTTGAGACCGCGAGTTGTCTCACTGCGATTGACCTGGATGACTGAGCCGGCGGCATGGTCATCTAATTGGTTGTGGGAGGATGCTTTCTCAGTGTCTGCCATGGTTGATGAAGTTTGGTAGAAACAACTCCACAAAATGTATGGGGTAAATTACTGATGGTGTAGACAACCTACTCGATAATTTGACGATGGTGTCTTTATATAAACAATTGAAAACATACAGTATCTACAAATCTATCGCGGGGTAATGGCTACTAGAAGCAAGTGATAAGCACATTGGTCTTGATCTATTAACGGCTATCTGTTAGGCCACGCCGAGATGACAGCCACATTGTCAAGAGAACAGACATTTGGAGTAGCAACTATTGATTGTACGAGTAACTGTTTATCTGTCCAACGCCTCCATCCACTCAGAGTTAAGTCAAGTTTCATTAGCGGCTCTCTGCCCTGCAAACAGATGAGGGGATGAGACTATGCCGGTGCATCATTGGCACTGTCTACAATTGCAAAGGAAAGTAATAGATCGTTAGCAGGGTCTGTCAAGATAGGGAATTCTATACACGGTTCGAGTCGCCTAAATCTCCGTATCCCAACCAACACTGGCGTTAGCCTCTGTTCCAATCAAGCACGATCTAGAGAGAAACACACAGTGATATTAGTAGCCACCAATCAAATATCCTTCCTCGCTAAAATAGGCACCCCACAACGCGCTCAAGTCTCTTGTCATCCGGGCAAAAGCGCTGAGTTTTGTTACCGATGGCACTAACCTCGCGTAGTCCAAGGCAAACATCATCTCTGTTTACGAAGTATGGACAACTCACGCTTTCCGATAGGAGAGTTCCGGGCATATTCTAGTCTAGTTCTTCCACACTAAATTCATCAATGTCGGTAGCTCGGCTGCAAGCTCGATAACGCCATGTGGGGTGGCGACGTTAGCGAGCTGAACAACATGATTGGCCGTGGCTTGGAATGTCGAAGGTGAGATCCATTTACGTCATATCATCTATCTACAATGGCTGAAGATGATGGGAGCTTGAACGACAAACCAACGGCGGCGGTTGTATGGAGCTGATACAGGTATGAGCCTTTCAGGGATCATATGTATTAAAGAGCATACCGCTTGCAGTAACTGTCCAAAATGAGATACTCTTTGTGAGATACATACTGTACCAACTCTTGTAACATTTCACAGAGCTAATAATTTGCAATACGCATCTCTTTGCTTAGTTCCCATCAAGTTAATACTGCCGTCAGGATGCTATCACAGCGAGCACTCTCCAACATTCAGCCCAATGACATCAAGAGTATCATGGGCAGGGGCTCATCCAATGTCTACGACGTGAAGACCAATCCATCGGGAATAGTCTCTCTTGGTGTCGCAGAAAACAGATTGATGTAAGACTCTGTGTATAACATTGCTTCCTTGTGCTAATGATCCTTCTGCAATAGGCATGAAGAAATAGCAGCTCACATCAACTCCCACTTGTCCATCACGAAACGGTCCCTCACATACGGCGACGGCTCTGTCGGCTCAGACCAACTGCGGCAAAGCATCGCCAATTTCATGAACAACACAGCATTCCGCCCTAAAAAGCCCCTTGAATTGAAGCAAGTCACAGTCCTCGCTGGCGTGTCTTCGGTAATTGACTGCCTTGCTTTCTGCCTCTGCGAATCCGGCGAGGGAATCTTACTTGGTCGTCCGACCTACGTGGGATTCATTAGCGATCTTGTGAACCGTGCCGGTGTGAAGCCAGTTCTCGTCGAGTTTGAGCGTCGGTCAAAGGCTATTCATCCTACCTCACTGGAAGCTGTCAAGTGCTATGAAGATGCCTTGATTCAATCCATTCAAAACGGGACGCCTGTGAGAGCACTTCTGTTGTGTCATCCGCATAACCCTTTTGGAGTGTGCTATGAGCCTCATGTACTTGAAGCCTACCTCAAGCTATGTGCAAAGTACAAGATACACTTGATCAGGTAAGTAGAACAATTCCGACAAAAAGAAGAAGATATTTCCGGGTTCAAAATGGCAAACTCAAGCTGAAAACTTGCTGATATGTTCTAGTGATGAGGTGTATGCCAATTCCATCTTTGCCAGCACAGACTTTCCCACTCCTCCAAAGTTCACTTCTGTCCTCGCTTTCGACATTGAGAAATACATTGACCCGTCTTTGGTTCATTGTCTGTATGGAATGAGCAAGGTAAGCCGACCGTTTTTTGCCAAATTCTAGCTAGTTCTAACTACGCATATGCAGGATTTCTGCTCCAATGGCATTAGGCTTGGGGCTTTTGTTTCTCAATCGAATCCCGACTTGCATGCTGCGATGCGTGCGATATCGTGAGAAATTTCCATTTCATATCAGCCTTTGGCAAATACTAGAACTAAGCTTGTGATTATGCAGAAAATTTGCTTGGCCCTCATCTTTGGCCGACACAGCATGGTGTGACATCTTGAAGGATGAAAACTTCCTGAGCACCTATTTCCATACACTCACGAAACGGTTATCCACCGCTTACGAGCATTGCATATCACTTTTGAAGCAACACGGTATACCATATGTACCGGCGTAAGTCCAATAGCTCATTGAAAATTTGACGGGGGTCTGACTGCCTGCAGCCACGCTGGACCGTTTATTTGGATCGACTTATCCAACTATCTCTCTTCTCCTACAGTGGAAGCAGAGCGCGAGCTGGCGTGGAGAATGATTGACAACAAGGTCTGGATAGCTACTGGAGAAGCGTATCGCTCGGAGCGGCCGGGGTGGTTCCGGATTACTTTTGCTGTTGACGAGGCGGAGTTTGAACTTGGAGTTCAGAGGTCAGTAGTATGGTGGTGCTTGTGAGAAAGGCTTTGCTAACGACGTTTCGCAACAGAGTAGTAGCATCATTAAAGCAGACGAATATTGGAACAATATGAAGAGATTTTGGAAGGGTTTTCGTAAAAAATGAGGTATAAATTGCTATAAAATCTTATGCTTACAGTCTACTGTTTAAGCATTTGTCGAGTTGTCAAGACGACAAATTATTTATAGAAGGATTCAATGTCCACAGCTAGGGTAACTTGACTAATAATTAAGAATATTAAGAGGTTATAAAGTTTCCATACTAGACTGGTGATGGCGCTTCCAATGATTGGATCCAATCAGAAGCGTTCACCGCATCGACATCAACTACAGGCATATCATCATAGAAGTCAAAATTAACAGAGACCATATTACCCTGTTTATCCTGTCTCCACGTAGCTCGCGCGATTATGCATAAAGTGACTTCGTGACTAGGAGACGTACTTGGTCTTAGGTAGTAGGCCACCAATCTATCACTCTCATCCTTTGGCTGGAGTAACGGAAGAATTCTTGCACTCAAAAGACCAGTGACATCGTAGGATGGTTCAAGAATGCAGTTAGACCGAAGGTCAGCTCGTAATTGCAGATGATATATGTTTTCAAGCGTGTTTGCAAAGGCACTGCCGTCAAGAAGACCTTGTTGTCCACATTGACGAAGCTTCTGAATTGTCCACTTCTGCCACGCTCTGGAATAGCAGCGGCGAAAGCCAAGATACAGAAGAAGCGAAATGTTTATGTCAATATTTTCGTTGTCTTCCATTGTCGCAATAGATAATCCTTCTGCGATGCGCAGATTTTGGTAGACAAAGTGGAAAGCACAAAGTGCATTGCGATCAAGGTCATGACCATTTGAAAGCATGGAAAAGCTGCACGCCATGTAATTATTGTAAAGTGCCACAGTGAGAGCAGCCGGGTTGCATTGGAAGAAGAGAGGTTCTGGAGGGATGGGAAGCTGGTCCAAAGATTCGTTGGAGTCTGGCAGAATTGCCAAAGATTCGGAACAGCTCTCAAATGTCAAGGGTGAGTTGGCTCTCCAATGCAGCAAATCCATCTGGAATCGAGAGAGAGTTTCGGGGCTTGGGCGCGAAGATTTGTTAGACCATGGGCCCCAGATAATGTTGTCAAGATGGTTAAATTTGGAGATGATCTGGATCAGTTCCACTCGTTCGCCGGAGATTGAGCGGTGAACAGGTTCTTTTGGGAATGATGAAGGCGTTTCCATATAAGTATAATTATCGGGCGAGTCTTTCCAGAGAGACGGCTGTGAATATGGCACAATACTCTGGGCAAGAAAGTCCAATCTTGCAATTGTAGCATGCAATGCCCCATCGTTGGCATGGTACGAAGACAAATCTGGCGTCATGCTTCCTTTTAAAAATTGCCCAGCTGCCTTTAGATGTAACAGGGCGGGTTTGATATGATTCATCAAACACTTCAAATGAAAGTCAGTATATCCGCTTAGTGAGCATCTCAAACGGTAGAAGATTATTACCTCACAGTATGCCAACAACACAACGGCCACAAGGGCTGGTTGCATATCAGTGGAGCCTTCTTTCTTCGTGTATGACTCCATTAGATGTAGTGCTTCCCCATATGACCGCAGCCCAGAGACTCTGGATTGCATCATGCTTTCAGCCGTCAGTTCCGAAGATGAGAGAAGGTAGGCTTGATGGATTCCTCCAAGAGCCAATACAGCTTCAAAGACCACGTCATTTTCCCATGCCATGCTACCGACGTGGTCCCGCCAAAAGGTGATGTAATCGAGGTCAAAGAGACGCGGTGCTGCATTTGTCACGAAGTGGTGATAGAAGGCAAGCTCAGAGCGGTGTTTTGGCCTTGGAGATGATGATATGGGTGTTGAAAGAGATAATCGCGGAGACTGTATATATCTGGCAGACTCTGGTGAAGATGAAGACGTGAATTCGACGCCAGAAACTGAGATGATTTCTGTCTCTGTCTCTGTTTCTGTTTCTGTATGTTGTGGTGTCCTGATCGCCGGCTTAGGAGATGGAATGGTTCTCTTCTTCTGGTAGCCATCGCAAACGACATTCGCTTTGATGCATCTTTTGCAAGTCGGCTTGTGTTCGTCACATTTCACTCGTCGTTTCCGGCATGTAAGGCATCCGGTCCGGACGCGAATGCTTTTATAACAGAGTATGCTGTTCTCCATGATACAAATTGTAACCGACAAAGGTGTTATGAGTGTCAAGTGATTGTATGTTGTTTATTTGAGAAAGTGATAGAGTTACGATGGGAAACTCGAAAATGAAGATACGACAGGGTGCAAGATAAGAATTGTTCGCAGAGGGCGTCCAATCAATCACCTAGTCTTGGGCGATGGCTTAACTAGAGCCTGTGGGGTAATTGTGCGCCATTCTTCATAATGTGGGATATGACAGGTCAAGATACTGGCTAGTCAGATCCAACTTATACAAAATAAGACTACAGTTTACTCTAGAGCTAAGTACAAGAACCATGTTTGCGCCTAGTTCTCACTGGCTAAACGGGACCCGAGTCAGGTTCCTCATCGTGCGCTTCGGCCTTTGGTGGCAATACCATGCCATTCAGCATTCTCTTTGTCCAGATATGCTGTGCAGCTCCAAAGTCCACTTTCTTATCCAGCGTTCCGGCCTTGATACTTGTCCACTCGGGTTTTGATGGATCGAAATGCCAGAGTCGAACACCACAGTTGGAACAGAAGACGCCTCCTCGGATTCCACCCGATTCTGTTTTGCGCTCAAATTTCCGAAGTTGGTGGAGCATCGTAGGACTCTCCATGTTGACGCCTGCAGACGGGACAACGAGAGTCAATGCAAACGCGGAACCCGTCTGGCGCTGGCATTCGTGGCAGTAACACACATTGAGCGAGTGCGGCTTTGACGTGATGTTGTAGATGATGGGATCCACGGGACATTGGCAGCGGCCAGTTAGAGGCGGTTTTGGTAGTCGCTCTGAAATGTTATCGGTTGAAGATTTGACAGAAGCGTCGTTGCATTCGCTCAAAGAAGGAGACATGACGACTGTAATGTGAGGATGGACTTTGTGTAGACTCAACAGTAGTAATTTGTGAATAACTCGGTCGCTAAATGTTTATTTAATAGAAACATGCTTAATGATGTTTCGTTTTGAACAGTTCTTATAGCCTTCAAAATCTTTGGTCTTCACATTACATCACACTCCATATGAAACGGCTTGAAGCCACTCTCAAACCAGCACTCAAACATGGGATGGCCCGTTATTCCTGACTACGTGTGGGGTAGCGACTTTACCGATCTTATGGTGGAGGAATAGCAGCTCGCTACCGTCGCTACCCCACAACTGACAATGTCTGCAAATCGGGAATGCCGTCTAAGCCGAGTTCTAGTTGGATAGTATCTCGAGTCATTACTCCGGGAGAAGACCAAGTTGCAAATAGACCTTGCGTCATCATAGGGAAGAGGCTACCCATAACCACTCAAAGATAACGCCGAATGGAAGCAGCCAGGGCCAATAAAGAAGGGGATTGCTCACAAGAGGGTGATTTAACACTTTAAATTGGTAAAACTGAGTACTGTGTATTTGCTAGATTATAATAGTAAGATCGAGTTTGTTTTCTGCTGCTCTTGTTCTAATTCCGGCGCTCAGTAGCCATATTTACAAAATCTGCTTTTCATTCTGCACGTGTACCAAGCATAACATTACCATCTAACATTCACCCTCCCAGCTAGCAGGTGGGTGGCGACATACAGTTTGACTGTCGGAACATTTACTCCCGTGTCAGGGAGGCTGCATGGTCTCTCTGGGCGCAATAACCATCTTGTGGCAGAATTCTTTTGACTCGTGTTGTGTGGCCTTTTGTCCAGAAGATTCGCGATCTAGGCTCCAAACGCATCCTTCGACTCCTGTCATGCCATGTAGGGGATCCAGGCTGCATGACCGATACCCATTTTGATGGCCATTCCTGGCCGATTGTATCACAAGAGGTTAATTTTAGATCTTTCTGCCGCCATATAAGCTCCTATAGTACTATTATTAGTACTCAGGTCTTGATAGCTGTCCTTTGGTATTGGGTTGGTAGGTCTGGGCCCAGCTGTCTCAATTTGTGTTACAGAATGCCTTTGTATCATAGCCAAGATCCTACTGGTACTTCCTGTCTGGAAGCCAGGCTTTCTTTATAAAATCAGCAGTATATTATCCAAGAATACACTCTCTTATTCTTAGAAATCATATAGACTAGTCCCAGAGGGTCCCAATACTTTCGTTTGGATAGCGTCAAGCAGCTTCGTTTTTATTATTAATTGTAGAGAATTCTTTTTCCCCTTGTCGGCCCGTGACTTAGAATGCCATTGCAATATTACGGCATGGCCTGTCTCATCTCTCACGCCTACTGACTCAGTCATAGGAAGGGAGATTAATTGTCTTAGACAAAACTCGACTCCCGCAACTTCAGGGAAGACTTAAAATATCTTCAGCTCTTCCCGGCGCTCCGAAACTCGATCATGTCACCAACTATCCTCCTATTCCATCCTTGACACAGAGTCGAGGTTTCGCTATTCGATACCATGGCAGTGTCACAAAGAGACGAGAAAGAAGCGCCCACTGACGAGACTGTCGAATCTATAGAGACCAGCGACACAGAGACCGTTACAAGTGCACAGGATATTTTACCGGACACTGTCAACGCAAAGTATACCGAAGATGATTACGCCCGGGTTCTCAAAAAGATTGATCGTCTTCTGCTACCTCTCATGTGGTTATGCAACGGCACGCAACAGGCAGATAAGGCGGCCATATCTACGCAAGTGACATTTGGTATGCAAAGCGACACCAAGTTGGTTGGTCAGCAATTCTCGTGTGAGTGGTATTAAAGATGAACCTACAATTGGGAGCACATAATGGTGATGTGAATGCTAATAATTCCCCTCATAGGGCTGATGACGGCGTTCTATCTTGCCTATCTTGTTGGCGAAGCTCCGGGCAACTATCTCATGCAGCGATTTAATGTGAACAAGACATTATTTATATGTATGTTTTGCTGGGGAGTCGTCGTCCTTTGCACAGCCTTCGTACAAGACTTTGCCCAACTTGTGGCATTGCGTTCCCTGCAGGGCTTACTGGAATGCACAATCTCCCCTTCTTTCCTTCTCATCACGGCGTCTTTCTACGTCAGTCGGGAACATACCATGCGATCAATCGTTTGGGGCACAGCAGCCAGCGGCATGGGCATAATTGCGCAGCTGGTCATGTACGGAATTGGCAGTGCTGCCCAAAAACACCAAAGCAGTTTTGGCCCGTGGCGATGGATTAGTATTTTCTTAGGATCATGGACGATATTGCTATCCTTTTTTGCATTGCTGTTTGTGGGAACAGCCAACGAAGTTAGATGGTTATCCAAGGAAGAGAAACACATTGTGGCGACAAGAGTCGCCAATAATCAGACCGGTTCTGATAGTCACCAGAATCATGCATGGCGTTGGGATCAAGTTCAAGATGCTATTGAAGACCCGCAGACCTATTTCTTCTTCTTTACCGTCATTTCCGTGGCCATACCGGTTGGTGGAACAGTAACATTTGGTAACCTCATCTATGGCTCGTTTGGCTTTACTAATTTGGAAGCAATAGTCAAGGGGACCATTCCATTCGACCTTTTGACAGTTTCATGGTACCTTTTTGTTGGAGTTTCGACACTCAAGAAGCCTCAGTCTCGATGTAAGATCAAAAGCGCTCAATTCAGACCGCTTTTTTGCTGACTGCGGATGCTTTAGTCTTTTTTATGATAGCCTCAACTATCCCGCCCTTTGCCGGAATGTTGGCCTTGGCACTGCTGCCCAAGGAAGGCATGCTATGGACTCGATGGGGTCTCTACCTCATGACGGCAACTGGTCGACTACCTGGATTGTTGATCTGGACACTGCTGCCGTCCAATATTGCTGGACGAACCAAGAAATCCGTCACTAGCGCCGTCATCTTCATTGCCTACTGCACTGGAAATGCGATTGGGGCTCAAGTTTTTCGTGCCGAATGGGCACCAAGATACATCCCGGCGATTATTATATGCGGAGTCATGTACGCAGTGGCGTGTGTTTTATTTATTACATGGCGATTATACTGTAAGTGTTCATTCTACCATTATATTTACAGACTAACATATTTGCAAGATGTCACGCAGAACAAACGGCGGGCGAAGAGAGTTGCAGAGATGGGAATGACGCCAGAACAATCTGAATACCAAGGCAAAATTAACGGAGAGTCTGGCATGACAGATTGGCAGAACATTCACTTTAGATATAATTTGTAAAAGTCACCTTTTTTAACGGCTCAATAATTTTCTCTTACTGTGGATTGACTTGCGTTCCGAAACGTAAGAGATGTACTCTAGCAGAAAGACATATGCATAAGTTCACACTAGCGAAAAAGAAGACTTTTGCCTAACTTGACCACCGTCATAGTCGAAGCTCTTATCCTCAAGAACCTTGTCAGAGTGGCGTATCAAAGATGTCAAAGCCGTCGCGTATCAGAGCTATGATGATATCATTTTTGCTGTTGGCATGCCCCAATTTGCTTATCTCAGCTCCACTATCAAATGGAACAAAGAAAACAGTCTCAGTATCACACACTATTACTGTAAACAGCACTACTTGTATTAGCGATAATACACCTCCCAGCCGCATGGCAACACGGACCTCTCCCATAACTCCCCCACAACGCTCTGGAATTCCTGACTCGCTCAAGGTTGATGTGCTTGTCCCCAGAGACAAAGCAAGATAAAGTCTTGTATAGAGTGGATTTACTTGTCGCACAGATCTCAAGAAGGCCATACAATGATACTTTTAGATCAGCTGCTTTATGAGCGTGGCTTTGTACACCGCTTTCCTGTTCCACATAACCCGCGTAGGCCAACATCTCCGGATCCGGGCTAGGTTGTGTATAGTGGGCGGCCTAGGCGTTATTGTTTTCCCCAGGGACCAACAAAGAAGTGCCAATTTGACTTAACTTTCCTTTCACTCTTTCCCCTGCCTAGTTTTCTACCAGCTGCCGGATCCGGCAGCTCTCCGTAGCCCGGGGAGCATGTAAAGTATTAAACAGTCTCAAAATAACAGAAGTAGCTGTGATATATTAACAAGACTACCAGTGCTATTCTCTCTACCTGACATAACCCAGATAACCCTCATTTCTTCTTTCAAGACACAGAGAGAGCTTGGGTACTGTGCTATAAATTACCATCCCGAAAATAGTGTTTATCTTTCTATTTGACTCACCTTCTTAGTGTTAAGAAATTATCTATCTCAAAACCACTCTTCCAGATGCAATGGCAGACCATTATTTGGGGGAACAACCTTATCCCAAAGAACCTGTGACTGAACATGGGACTCCAACAGAGGATTTGCTTTCACAACATGAACAAAACTGGCAACCGGACACTGGAACACAACAGAGGATGCCAGGACTGAATGCATCGCGCTTTTGTGGCCAGTCGCATTGCGACTTTGAGTACAGAGCCAAGCCACTATTCAGTGCCCCATAGACTGCGAAACTGACTTTATCTAGTGTAATTACCGTGCATGGCATACGCGACGATTATAAAACAGCCTGGACAAGAGAAGATGAGGTCTCATGGATTGAGGATACTTTATTCAAGGACAACTCCATTCGACAAGTCGATTATGCATATGACATCGATGAAAACGCAACGATATATAAACTGGATGGCATAAAACTGCATGCCGAAGCACTCATTCAGGCGTATGCCCAAAACCGCAGTCATCTTAAGAAGGTAAAGCATTACGGCGTCTTTCCATTCTCGACCAAATCTTAACTGAGGCTACAGACCGACAAAGACCGCCCAATTACATGGATTTGCCATGATTTAGGAGGCACTATAGTCAAGGAGGTATTTGTTATCCACTAATACACTACCGATCTGTTCTCAGTCCTGTTACATTTTATTGACCTAACTAGGCTCTGCGGCTAGCATTGAGCGATCGTCGCAAGTACGGAGAAATCGCTCTCCTGACAAGGGCAATTGTAAGTAGTTCAAGACCATTTTGCCATTTTGAGAAGAATTTAACAGTCTAAACGCTAGATATTTCTTGGAACTCCCCACTGGTTTCAATCTATACAAGATGCCGAAGACCAGCTTCTCAACCTTGTTCAGCTTCCTGGTCCAACCATACGACCCGGAATATTGAATAAAGTCCAAAATTTAGCAAAGGATGTTGAAAAAGTTCATGAGAAATTTTTAGAGACCAAATTACTAGACTACACCATCATTGCCAACATTTACGTTCAAAACTGGAGTCAAAGCATGAGTCAAAGACGCCTGGGTGGTGACAAAACAACACCTGAAGGAAGAGACGAAGATGAATTGCCTGATCCAATCACTCCATTTTCACAACATTGCCATGTCATTGGTCAAGCATCCGACTCGAGAGAAATATATCGCCTCGACAACACCAATCATGCTGACCTTGTGCACGGTGATGACCAAGACACTTGGATGAAACGTTTATCCAAAAATCTAAATCGATTTGGTTATTGTAAGTTTTACCTCACGGATTTTAAAACTCCGTCAGTTCTCAGACACTGATTACTACTACAACTATCTGTGAAGGCCATGAGATACGCCAATTTCGAGCCAAATTGCTCTCCTTGGTTCCTCCAACGGTTGGCCTGGACATAACTTTCGATCCATTACAGCCAATACCCCCAGTCATAATCTGGATTATGAAGCAGGAGCCGTACGCTCGCTTCGAAAAAACTGGATCCGGGCTCCAAGTTTTGCATCTCTTCGCCGACCAAGGCTCTCTAGTTGACATCAAACAAGTCTCTCGCATATTTTATCTGCAAATAAATAAGAATCCGCAGATTGTGGAAAGATCTACAATTTACTTTGAATTTGACCAGTGGGACTCCAGATACAATAGCATTTCGTCGATGATGGTTTATATCATTAATATCATCATACATCAACTCGGGAGCAATGACAAGCTACTTCTACAAGTGATACCTATACTTGATATGCATGCCTGGGCACTTGAGGATGTATATCACTTATACCGCATGCTCCTTTGGTATGCCGCTGCAAAGGTTCAGCTTATCATCTTTCTCGGATGCTTCGACAAATGCCTCAAAGATCAACGGCAGTGGTTCTTAGAGCGTATTTTGGAGGAGAACAGCTATAGTGAGAGGGATTATCGTCTCGTTCTATCAACCTCGACGCGAGATGGTCTGGGAGTTGAACTTCCTGGAACTACGGAATTCAACATGAATGATTGTCCGTCCACGAGTGATTTGAGCAAATCGAATACAGAGAAGCTCATCTCGAAACTAGAGAAATTATTCACAAAACGCCCCATTTACCAACAATTCCAACAGCAACTCAAAACTCTGCTAAGGGAATGCGATGCGACGCCATATCTAGGAAATATTATTCTCGATTGGCTTGGAAGTTTGCCTTGGAGCAGAACGGCATCTGAGATCGCGTCTACCATCGATAATCTCTCCCCCGTCACAGCGGAAAACACAGTTTCTGTCTTTATCTCGTCTCAAGGGTCAGAGCGGAGAAAGAGGGCCGGGAAGATCTTCAACTGGATTAAACACGCTGCTGAACCGTGGACTCTAGAATCCTTATCAGAGGCAATTGCAGTAGATGAATTACAGAGCGGGGAGCCACAATTGACCGAGATTAATGCACAAGGTGTGTTAACCGAAATGCAAAATATTTTTGGTGGAATCGTCTGTATCAAAAACTGCAACGTCAAGTTCAGCCATGAATCGTTTTATTTCGTGCCTGAGATCGGTCTCAACGGGAGCGCTGAAGACAGAGCCAGCCATGTTCATTACACTATTGCAAAAGTATGCTTGGACTGGTTGCAACTACAAAGCGCCCATAAGACACTTGATGAGTGCTATCCCGAGATCTTGGATGACAACAAGAGCAACTCAGTATCAGATGGCGTTGTGATTTATCGTCCAAGAGTCAGTATGGCGGAATATGCAGTTCAATTTTGGCCCTATCACTATAAAACAAGCGGCAAATTCAGGCCTAGTCATCTCGCAAACAATCTATTTGCAAACAAGGAGGCAAAGAAGCGCTGGGAGGGAGCATTCCGGCTTCTTTCTAACCCGTTCAACAGGTTAATGGGAAGCTACAGCTCCGAATTACCCCTATGCGCAATGTTGGGTCTGGATGACTTGGTTGATGAAAATCTGAAGGTCAACATTGGACAGCCCTCCTTGAACAAGATTTGTTGGTCAGCTATTTCGGAAGCCGCCCGAGAGGGACACAGTGCCATTGTTGACAAACTGCTGCAGCAGGTAACAGTGGATGAAGAAGAGCTGCAAAACTCTCTCCTGTTGGGGGCTGGCCAAGGCAATCAGGGCATTGTCAAAGCCTTGTTTAACAAAATACCAGATTTAAAAACATTCGCTTGGCCAAAGAACTTTTTCTATAGGGCAGCTTCTCTTGGACTTGATGATGTCCTCACAACCATGCTGCAGTCCGGGTACGGCATCAATACTCTGAGCAGCTCCCACCTTTTAACGGCAATCGACATTGCGACGGCACGAAATCACATCTCTTCCAGAGAGATCCTTTTGAAGTCAAATCTGAACCCCGATTTGAACATCCAGGGTGATTATGCAGTTTCGATCGCTGTCCAGATGGGAGACCCACAAATGATGGCGATGATCTTGGACGCTGTTGCAGGCAAAATCAAACAGCCAGTATCGGGTCAAACGTTGGCTCAAATGGCGGCCTACAATTTTAATCACGAAGTACTGAAATTACTTATTGAAACCGGTTGTGAGCTCGGCAGCAAAAACGACGACGGGGTGGATATCTCCTTGAGGCACCCACTCATCATAGCCGCCTTTAGGGGCGCAACAAAATGTGCTCAGGTTTTGCTTAACAATGGGGGCGATGCGATAAATTTTGGATCTGTGAAGAGTGCTTTATACGAAGCAGTTTCAAATGGTCATATGGAAATTGTTCGCCTATTGCTTCAACATGACCCAACGCAAGATGTAAATGCACAATATCCCGGAAAAGGCATACTCCTGACACAGGCAATCAATAGGCAAGATACTGGACTCGTATCTTTGCTGATCGAATACGGTGCAGGAATAGACGTTCTAGATCCAAACGTTGATGATATGTTTATGAAAACTCCCCTTTCTCTGGCTTGCTTCAAGGGACATCTGGACATGGTGAAGCTCTTGATAGAGAAAGGTGCAAACATTAATTTCATGACAGAGTCTTCGCATCCACCGCTGTTTGCCGCTCTCATTTCATCGACGAGTCAAGTCGCAAAATATCTGCTGCAGCACGACGTTAAAATCCATGTCACTGGTCCCGGTTGGATGAATGTGCTCATTGCCGCTGCCGGGCATCCCCAAATAGTTCAAAAATTGCTGAGGAAACGCATTAATGTGGATCACTACAGCGCTTACGGGACTGTCCTTATGAGGGCTGCAGAAAAAAACGCACCGAAGACGATTCAGTTGCTGCTCAATCACTATGACGGAGCGAAGTCGAAGCGGCCGGATTTGGAGGCTGTTTTCGGGAAGGGCATTGCAGCCAGCCCCTTCGTGGGGTTCACAGCATTACAGATCGCATGCTATTGCCAAAATCCAAAATGTGTCAAGCTTCTTTTGGATGCTGGGGCCGAAGTATCTTTCCGCAATATGTACGGGGATGATGCACTTGATATCTTGTTACAAAGAGATCAGTGGTCCAAACGAGTAAAGGAGTGTATTCAGCTGCTCCTGTCTGATAGTAACAGAATCGATGTACTTCATGTCAACTACAAAAAACAAACCCGACTCCATTTCATCAAAAAGACGACAAGAGTTCCGGTAGTCGAGCTACTGGCCGCCGCCAAAGTCCCTTTTCGCTGGAAGGACCGAGATGGCTACACTCCACTGGCCTTGGCCATCGAAGCGGGGAATGTAGGGGTTATACAGTATCTCATCAAACTCGGGGCCAATGTCAACGAACGGCATCCCATATTTGGCAGCATGTTACATGTTGCTGTGGCGAAGCATGATATGAATATTCTCAAAATGCTCGTTGATGCTGGTGCGGTTTGCGGAGCAGTTGATCTCGCTTCCGGAGGATCGCTGTTGAGCGCAGCTCTCGATATACGATACAGTTCAAGCCTCCTAAGGAGAATGGTCAAGTGCCTTGTCGATGAAGCCAAGGCGCCAATCAATCAATTTGATGGTAAATCCAGCTATCCTCTAATCAAGACAGTGGCAATGATCGGATCCATGTCCTCAGCAGGCGACAAAATCCTCAAGTTTCTCGTCATGCGCAACGCTGATGTAAATGTCACCGACAGCCAAGGCCGCACGGCATTGCACATTGCATGCTCAACACCATATATTGACCGTGTAAAAGTATTGATCGAAGCCGGTGCAAATATTGACGCCAAAGACAAGTTTGGTCGCCTGCCGATACACTTCGCCGCTGCAGCGCCTTCAGCAGATGGTTTTTTCTATCTTTTGGAGCAGTCTAAAGACATGGATATCGATGTGGCAGATAATGACGGCTGGACTCCTTTGCTGTGGGCAGCAAGATCTGGTGCTGCAGAAACCATCACAAGATTGGTTGACCAAGGTGCTGACGTATGCGTTCGAAGTCATCCAGATTATTTTTACAATTCTTGGTCGGCAATCAACCTGTTAAATCTTTCGGGCAATCACACAGGTTTGAGACATAAACTAATGCCCAAGAAGAAGAACACAGCAAAGTATAAGGAGTGGAAGGAAATTTATCGCAACATACGTCCAGGAGAAAGGAGTTCAGTTGACTGCAGCAGCTGTTGCACGGTCAGTAAATCAATCCGTCAAGTCAGCAGGAATACTAACATAATGCAGAGAATTATTTCTAAATTCCACGAAACTTATTCGCTTTGCTTCAAATGCGCCGAACTTCCATGTGGTGAGGGTTACGACTCGCTTGGAATTGAAATATCATGGAATGATTGCCTCTCTGAAAGTAGCAGCACTGAATAGGTAGTCAGATTGAGAAATCAAATACTAGATGAGGGCTTTTTCTCTAGCTAGCCATATTCAAATAGAGCATTATCAGTCACTGCTGGTAGACAACTTCCTGCGATATCATATAGCAGTCAAAACTTGTAGACATCCGAACGATTTGCTTGTTAAATTCTATGTGTGCTCTCTCTCGCGATCTTTTTGTATATAGATTGCATCACATTCTATGCGAAACTGCGCAAGATGTAGAATAAATCACTCATTCTTGCAATCATTGTATACAATTCTATCCGCCTTCACAAACAAGTAAGCCGTGAGCCAATGTCACAGCCAACACTCCATGCCGAAGCATGTAAATCCACATGGTGGGGTATTATTTTCCAATTGCTAGGGGAATTGATTGTCGAATGGCGACGAAGCGATTCAAATGAATTCTAGCACCCTCAAAGTTCAATAACTCAGTGCGTGACCTCAGTTTGAGTATCCAATGGCCATCTCCGGCTGGCTCCCAATATCATAGTCAGGCGCAGAATTGAAGAGCGGCAACTCATGCCTTCTTCATTTGCGCCAGATAGGCTTCAACATTAATCTCCCGCAGCTTGTTCGCCTTTTCCTCCACCTGCTTCTCATTCTCGAGCTGATACGCCTTCATTTTGTTGTGGTATTCGGGGATGAAGGCGCCCAGGCATCGAATGGCGAGGAGAGCTGCGTTGGTCGAGTTGTTGATGCCAACCGTGGCCGTCGGTACGCCTCGCTGATTATCTATTAGTCTCACGGAGACTGGAAAGAGATTGGGTGGGGGGGAAAGGAGGTTGCTAAACTTACAGGCATCTGGACAATCGAGTACAGAGAATCAACACCGTCGAGGTGTGTGGCCTTGACAGGAACGCCAATGACAGGCAATGGTGTGTAGGCAGACACCATTCCGGGCAGGTGAGCGGCTCCTCCAGCTGCCGCAATGATGACCTTGATGCCACGACCAGCTGCTTTTGTGGCGACATCAGCCATCTTGGCCGGTGTGCGGTGGGCAGACGTAATGTCGACTTCCCACGGCACACCAAACTGGTTGAGAATATCGATTCCGGCCTTGAGAACTGGAAGATCTGAATCCGAGCCCATGGTCACCAGAACCAGCGGTGCTTGTGTGGCCTTGGAAACGGCCTGCTCTGGTCGAAGAGCCTTGCTGCGTGCCTGCAATCTCTCGTGTCTAATGTCGCTGGCCATGTCTACAAGCGGCTTTGCAAACTCTTCGAGCTCTGTTATGCTGGCGACCAAGCCGGTGACTGTGATGTGGCCAATCTTTCGGCTAGGCTTAGATTCCTTGCCATAAAGGTGCACGTACACGGCCATCTTGTTGCCATACATGGACTTGGCTTTCTCGACAAGCGGCAGGTGGGATTCGGGGTTGGCGCCTCCGAGGATGTTGATCATGATGCTGGAAGAGACGTAGGGCTCAATTTCGGCGGGTAGAGTCTGGTCGAGGATCGAGGTGAGCTGTGCCTTGTATTGTGACCTAGAAAAATTGAGTCAGTTCATTTATACAGAACAAAAAGGGCGGTGGGATAGTTGCGCACATGTATGGCACTGCTTCGATGAAGAGATGTCCAGAGTTGTGCGGTCGGGGTGCAATCTCATTGACCAGAATCTGGTTATCCTGGGTGACAAACATCTCAACTGCGAAAATGCCTCTTCCCCACAGCTTGCCAACGACGTCACTGGCAACCTGCTGAGCCCGCTCGCAAACAGCAGCAGGAGTGGTTCGAGGCGGCAGATAGACGCGTGAGCAGATGTTGTCTTCGTGCACTGTCTCTACTGCGGGATACGGCAGCAGGCGCTTTGTTCGACCCTCGTCGTCCTCGGTGCGGATGACGAGGACAGAGAGCTCGCATTGGAAGGGAACAAACTTTTCGGCATAACAGCTGAAGTTGCCAAACTCGGCGACGGCACGTTCCAGGTCAGCTTCGGTAGATATTTTAAGATTCCCTCTGCCGTCGTAGGAATCCTTTCTAGATTTGAGCATCCAGGGATATCCAAACTTGGCGGAAACGGCCTTGAGAGAGGCAAGCATGGCCTCGCCAGATCCCTCAATGGCCACCGATTCCGCAACAGGGATGCCCTGGCCAGCGAAGTATGACTTCTGTTCGTACTTGTCTTGGATCAGACGAAGCGTCTTCCAAGACGGGCAGACGGCAACCTTTGTAGTCGTCGCAATCTCTTCCAGCACAGTCGTGTCCACGTGCTCTGTCTCAACGCTGAGGACGCTGCAGTGAGAGGCAAGCTCTCTAATCTTCTCTGCATCTTTGTAGGAGCCATTGATGTTGCGGCTGTTCTGGTTGATTTGCTTCGCGGGAGCGTTTTCGGCGTCGAGAATAGCGATTTCGACATCGAGGGGAGCGGCGGCCTGGCAGAGCATTCGGCCGAGCTGGCCGCCTCCGAGAAGGCCAATGACGGGTTTGGAGCTCATTTTGGAGATTGAGGAGAAGATTCGAATGTCGTATAGAAGTGTCGATTGTGATAATGAGCGGCAGCCCGGTGGCCTGGAGGAGGTTGCCGAGATCGCAGAGGAGAAAAATGAGCAGCGGCAGCTAAAAGTCTGAGGTTGTTAGTCCAAGATACAAAATACCCCACCAAATTTCAGCCCCGCCTCAGCGACTGTGGAATGAGATTTGCAAGTACCAACTTGATAATAAAGTATCAGGACCAAATTTTGTGCGCATAAAATGAGTAAAAAATCATCGTGGTCGCCTCAGATGTGCGATTAGACGTGACGAGTTTGATAATGGAAGAAGCATTGAGTTTGGCAGTAAAAATGAAGAATTCGATATTCCCAAATCGATATTATCGATAATGATATCGTTTATGTGCCCCGCCAAAATGTGCGGACGCTTATCTTATCTGCCGATCCTACGAGATCACGAGTCATGAGTCATCAAATTGGCCAATAACTGTGACATCATTAAGTCACTTTTGGCCCAAGTACCCGATACGCGCAATGTTGCCCCTCACACGCTGTGGACTCCAGTCTCTGAGACAACAAGATCCATTCGCCTTGCTTAACCTGGACTGAATATCTTCCATATAAACACATTCGCTCCAAGGACGAAGAGAGATTCATGTTCGAATTCAGGTAGATAAAGCTTGCAAATGCTTCATTAAAGAAAAATTGGAATGGGGAGGTTGTCATGCAAGCTGCAACATAGAAAAAAAAATTACGAACAATGTATGCTATTTCAGAGTATAAGAGGAGATGAATAAGAAAAAAGCAGTTGTGCAGTTGTAATAGAAGTTCAAAGTCTAGTTCAGTAGAACTAAGTGCACAATTTTTCAGATGAATGAAGCTTCGATTCTTTGCATCAGCGCAGTAAAAGGGCGATATTTATGACCATGGTTGTTGTACCTTCATGAAGAGGAAGAGCATCACCATGAAACAACGCTCAATCATCCACGACAGGTCAGCACTAGGCCTTTGGAATGCGATTGCTAAAATCATGCCATAATTCAAGCCTGTCTCGATATTTTTTTTTTTTTTTTTTTTTTTTTTTTAATATAGCAGCACTACTGGGCATGTCCAGACTCGGCATTGCATTGAGAGAAAGCCCACGACCGTTGTTGGTGGCTTTTTTGAGCCAATATAGCGATGAAAACGATTTCTGCAATATGTACCTCATTCGTGCATGGCATATATCTTCATTTGTGCTTTATTAACATGAAAGGCAGTATTAATATGGTACAAGTCTAACATCTCAACTCGAGAATCATTACCGAGGTTATCATGATGGGTGCGTGCAGTATTAAGCACGAGCTTGGTAAGCAGCCTTGGCAGCTCTGCTTAGAAAATACATGCACGCCAATGACGCCATCTCCGCATGTAAGCGGCGTTTTCCACAACGGAGGTTTATCGGCTTTTGTGAAATCGACATGTCGCGAAATCAGCAGCCACAATCAAACAACAGAATCTCGCACTGCAATTATTAATGTTGATATCAAAAGCTCAAGTAGATGTAGCAATTATTAATGTTGGTTCAGAACTACGAATATATATATATTCATGGTTAAATACCGTCAATGCAACTTCGCTACAGCAGTCACAAGCTTAGTTCTACAGTATAACCAAAGCTGACATCATCAACCCTTATCATTACTCCGTCTTCAAATCAACTTAGAATTCATCAAAATGCAGGAGCTGGTCATCTACGGCAAGCCTACCTACAATGGCTTTGTGAGGGAAACCGAAATTCCGTGAGTTATTCGACCTATTAACCGGAACCATTACTCACGGCCTCCTAGCAAGCCAGGGCCAAAGGATGTTCTCATCAAAGTTGCATATACCGGACTAAATCCAAAGGATTGGAAGGTAGTTCCTCAAACCATCCAGTTACGGGCTATTTCATAAGCTGACCTTGGTAGTTTACCAAAAATCGTGATGAATCAACTGCCTTCAACGTCGGGGATGATGTGTCAGGCACAATTGAAGCTGTGGGGTCCGATGTATTCGAGTACAAGCCGGGTGACCGTGTTGCGGGTTTTCACAGAATGTTCCAGCCTCATGGCACTTATGCAGAGTACACGGTTGTGCCGGCCTCTACTACGTTCCTTCTGCCACCCAATATCTCTCTTGAGTCGGGTGCTGGACTTCCATTATCCTTCATGACAGCGGCTCTCGCCCTTTATCAGTATCTGGGCGCCCCTCTCCCAACGACTATCAACGATTCTGGTCGAAAGACCGCCATCTTGATTTGGGGCGGTGCAACTGCCGTGGGAGCATATGCGCTCCAGTTGGCCAAGCTAAGCGGGCTTGGACCCATCATCACTGTTGCTGGAAATGGAATCGACTATGTTCAATCTCTTAATGCAGCAGATCACATTATCGACTATCGAAAGGGAGACGTGACGCAGCAAATCCTGGCCGCTGCCGGATCTGCTGAAATCAAGATTGCATTCGACGCTGTATCTGGACACGGTAGTTACGAGAGAATTACTGAAGTTCTTCTTGCGTCGGGCGGCGGTCACATCAACATGGTAGACCCCCCGACTGACCAGAACTGGAAGTTTCCAGACAACATCAAGTTTACTCGCACATTCGTCTCCTCGGCTTATCACGTCTCCCACAGTTTCATCAATGAAGAGCAAGCATATGCCGATGGCGAATTTGCGTATTTCTTCTACAGGTACCTGAGCCATCTGCTAGCAGAAGGCAAATTCAGGCCGCATCCTGTAGAGGTGCTTCCTAATGGTTTAAACAGTATTGTCGAGGGAGTTCAGGCTTTATTCGATGGAAAAGTTAGTGCCAAGAAGCTTGTTGCACGGTGAGTCAAACTATTTTCCACTGACTGGACAATGGACTAATACCGAATTGCAGTGTTGCGAAATAACTTCTGAGAAATAATGAGGTTATTGTCACGACTCGGCTCTTATGGTCGCGACAATGGGCCTACAAAGGGGGCCGACCAGCCAATAGTAACTGGCTCGTGCAGCTCGACCAACGAGCCATACGAGCCCGACAAGCCCAGCATCAACTGGGTATATAAGTTTACGTTCTTACGCTCATTTAGATAGCTTAGATAGCCAGGTGTTAACATAGCAATCAGATTGGAATTCGTTGACCACTCTGCTAGCTACGTGATACTTGAACTGCCCGTTACCGACCTGACCGATCCAGACCGAGAGTAATATCTCGCATAGTCTTTTGTAAAATGGGTTCCAGGATGAGTAAATTCCAGAACGGAAGCCTCGTAGGGCTGTAGCTCCCCGCAATACCAGTGATGCATAGCAAAATCTTAAATAGCTAGGTGAGCAGGCATTTTACCATCTCGGGTGGGCGTATCAACACTACCGTCTGTGGAGATATAGGGCAGTCTAGCTTCGCTCCCTTCGACCCACGCCGCATCTGAGAAAGATCAAAGCAGGTCAAGCGCAGCAGACTACAAAAGATCTTATTCAATATGATACATCCAACAGAAGGCTGTAAGCTAGTTGCCGCTTTTCCGGCACATCGAGCCTACTACTAGTGTCATGAATCGTAACGCCCGATTCTCATCTGCTCACACGCGACAAAGGCCCTGCGGGAGGTAAACGGGTATCCCTTTTCCAACCAATGACCCCTGTCGAGTTCCTGCGTTAGCCTCATCTGTAAGAGTGTGGAGATGCGTTCCATCCAGAAGCCGGCTATCCGTTTGTTCCACCCTTTGTGACCAACTACTGCTGTTCCTTAAGCTGTTGGTCGTTGGGTGAATTAAAAATGGCCAACTGTTCGGCCTTCGCCTCCAAAATAGCTTCACAAACGGTGGGACCAAGGCAATCAAGTACAGGTCGTAGCGAGGTTACATGATAGGAAAAAAGACCGGGTTTTAACATATGGACCCTACCTGCATTCTCCATCTTAGGGGTACTGTACTTTAGTAGAGAATCTTATAACATGGACAAAACATATGGTCGCGTGTTGGATGTTGCTCATGTCGATTATCCAAAGTCACCACGCTATTTGTTACCGGTGGTGATTTTACTCACTAGACTCGAGCAAGAGTCATGCGTCGAAGCACAGTAGCCCTTGCTCTGTGCTTGGCACCGAGTGGTATACTTCCCTTGATTTTGCCCAAGGATTCTGACTGACGAGAGATATTGACCGCGTGTGATAGCGTTCGCCACGCAACAGTGCGGCTCTGTCACCATTCGCAGCGCCGCAGATGCCGAAGCGCTGCGCAAAGGCTGCAGTACAGTCGATGGCACAGTTACCCTGTCCGCGGAATTGAATGAGAGTATTTCTCTCGATGGTGTCCAGATCATCACCGGCAACCTGACAAGCGGGGACTGCAACCTCGTCGCAAATCGATCATCCAGTGCTTCAGCCATAAGCATCCTGAGCTCAACTCTCACAACCATCCATGGAGATTTGAACCTGGGATCCTGTGTCCCAGGTGGACTCACCAACATTAGTTTTCCCAACTTGAAGGCTGTTGACGGAGGCTTCGACATTGTGAATTTTGGACAGCTGACCTATCTCGACATCACCAACCTGGACTCAGTCGGCTACTTTTACCTGTGGGCACCACCCCTCCAGACGATGCTGCACAACGAGCTGCGCAACGTCACAGGAGCCCACGGCACCAAGCGTGTCTTTGTCACACAGACGAGCCTCACCTCAGTGGACAGTTTGTTTCGGAATCCTCTTGACATAGGCGACTCTCTTGCTAGCGTCGAGGTGAACTACTTTACAAACTAGACTTTGAACTACTTGACTTTTGGATTTGCGCGGGCCGGAACTCTGGCACTCTTGGGTAGAGGCAACTTGTCTGTGACGTTAGGAGGGCCAGAAACAACGAGCATGTCCCTCACAAACTTGACGTTTGAACGTGGCACGGCGCAACTCACCCGAAATCCCAAGTTGGCGAATCTCACAATCGAAACTGTAAATTTGAATGGAAACAACAACTTCAAAGATCTGCTGCTGCCCGTTGACAGCATGTCAAATCTTAGTGTCTTTTATGAGTCGGTTTTGACGCGACTGGAGCTACCGCCGCAGGCCGTCAACTATACGGACTTTAGCTTTACGGTCAATTCTTGCCGGAATCTAAACTTGAGCAGCCAATTCGCAACCAATGCAGACGGGACTATTCGCCAGACATGGTATTGGCCGCAGAAAGATATGAGCGATATCGACATTGAGGGCAACATTGCCACCCCTTTCTTGTAAGCTGCCACCTGTTGCTATTCCCGTCAGCCCCATGAGATGGAAAAGCTAATCGTTGGATTCTGTAAAAGCCAAACTTGGTTTGATTACGAAGGCAACTTCACAAATGCGACTGGTCGGCCTGTTGTAAAGCGACTTAATTTGCAGCCACAAAACCAATCTCTACTAAGCTGTTCTCCTTTTGATAAGCTGTACAAGGAGGGTGTCATAAATAGAAAGGTCACTTTCTGTTCGTTGGCAAACTCCTACCCGGTTACGCCAGCATCGTGGGGATTAGCGCTGATTGCAGCTGGATTCCATCTTCTATTACTCCTATAAGACTTTAAACTTTAGAGCGTCTAATGGCATGATAGCGTTGTGTTGGTAGCAGTTATTAATGTGGCCAAATTATTGAATAGGAATGTAAAATTTCGTTCAGATTGTTTCTATGTAGTTTAGCGGGTGTATTCCAGTGTGGCAGGTGATGGTGAAGATGAAAGTCTGTGGTCTTCGCACGCAGCAGCCGAATGCTCAGTCGTAAAATAGAGCAAGGCCAAGCCAAGACTTTCACCCTAACTCATGTATCCTTGTACTGAAACTCTTCGGGACAATTGCTCGTCAACTACGTACGAATTTCCTTCAAGGCGGCAAAGTCAATGCTTTCTATAGCCACTTGACTCTGTCTATCGTACCAGCCATATGTCCTCTTAATCTTGGCTGCCTCAATGGATTCACCGACCCTTACACAACTGTCGAAGTCAATGATAACCGCCGTATCATCCGTAGTAATCATGATATTGCTTGGGTTAAGATCATTGTGAACATATCCCAGAAAATGCAGGTGCTTGATACCAGCTTCCACTTCAGAAAGATAGCGTTCCGCGGTTTCTCGAGACAAGTTTCGGGATTGTAAAAACATGGATTTATTGAGAGCTTTCGGGTTCAGTTTTTGCATGAGTGATTCTGGATATCGCTGAAAGCAGATGCCATCAATACGACCATTGACGGATTGGCATCCAAGGTAGGATGCCAAGTTTGGATGAGGATTCCACAACAGCACCTCACAGATTTCGATCTCTCGAAGCATTGGCTCACTTAAATCAGAGCCGTCGACATAGCCCATCAAAATTGGGCGCTTTACAAAGTAGTTGGCGAGCTGTTCGGGGGCGATTGTTGTATTTGGCGGTAGGGGAGGCCGGTATGAATCGGAAGGAATCGCTTTGATGTTCTCAATCTCATCGAGCTGAAATGTTTCTCGTCGTTTCCTCTCCAAAACGTGGCCATAATGGATTTTATTTTCGTGTTTGAAAAGAATCTTGACGTGAGTGAATCCAATTTTACCGTCAGGCAAGAACTGAAAAACCTCACAACTGTCGAGAACTTGTATCGTTTGGCTAGCCGGAGTCATGGCTAAAAGTATGGCCCATATGAAATATGAAAAGTTTGCTTTTGAGGGAATGAGAGACGACAAGCAACGTCCTTAATTGTTGGACGCAGATGAACGCAGATCATAGCGTTGCGGGGTCGTTGCGCACTGATAGAAAGATATACAACAACCTGACTTGAATCCATTCTTATCAACACCGCGAGGAAGAATATCTATTATGGTTTAGGAAAATGGCGCTGATATAAAGGTCTAGGACGACATGCGTAATCTGTCCTATCAGTTCTCATCACTGCTCGCAGACGTGAGCGAGAGGAGGGGCCCCAGCCTGATGGGCATTGCAAACGACGGTCCATCCCCAGTGTTCAGCTGTTGGTTCAGAGTTATATGGTATCCCTAGATCAAGTTTCCACACTCTCTGGACTTGAACCACAATGATACCACCATAAATCTCTCTAGCCCTTCTGCGAAAGAGAGTGACGTTGACAACATTCGGAACTGCACCAGACACATAAAATAAATGCTATTGGTGGCCTCTTGAGTTGCCCAAAATGAACCAATAAGACACTTCTACGAGTATTAACCTGATTAGTAGATGATATGCACAGCCCCATTCGTACACTATTGATTTGACAGATGGTGTCGATGCGGGGTGTCCATTTCAGGCTTCATTTTGCAGTATACTGCCCAACTTCCCAGACCAGGTACTTGCAGACTGCCAATATCTGACATGGCAAACAATCAAAATTTATTCTTTTATGCGCCAACGTGGGATTATCCACCCAACGGCCCCATCAAGCTCGGAAATGTCCTCACGTCTGTCAAGAAGCCTGAACGACCGCTTCATTGTGTCCCGCCCACAGAGTCTGATGTCTTCTCGACAAAGAAAATGAGTGTTGGACATGACAAAGATCAACTGCGAAACGAGAAATTCTCAATTTTGGTTAGATTCTTTAGCATTTTTGGTCTTGATATCCAAGTGAGTGCCGGATGGGAGTCTAGGTAGGTACATGAATCTGCTGGGACTTTAAAAGTTGAATGTCCTGAGCAGCCCAAAACTTGAACATTCAGTTGTGTCTATCGTCTTATTAACAAATAAGTCAGTAAGGAGAACAAGTTCTCATTCAAAACCGTCGAAACGACGCAATTCGTCCCCACAGCCTCATATATACAAAGCTGTGTCGAAAACGACGACGTCCGCCGCTTTCTCCAAATATCCCGCTATCGCAAACCAGTCTATGTCATTACAGGCCTGAAAGTAGTTACTGGCGTCGAAGCCAACATGCACACGACGCATACCGTTCGAAGCTCCCCCAGTATCCAGATCGGCAGCACCATACCCCATGTTGGGCCGATTACTTTTGGCGGTGGCCCCGGCACCGAGAGTAGGACTTCAACCAAGGCTGTTACAACTTGGGGGGGAAGTGATAACTTTGTGTTTGCGTTCCGCGTGAGTAAAGTCTTTGTGGGTAAAGAAACAGGCCAGGTCGTCAGCGAGGAAGATTACCGCAAGGGAGCCATGCTTGGCAATGAGGAAGAGGGGCAAGAAATCAAGGGTCCGCAACTGTCCATCCTCAAGGTCGAACAACCAGATGCAGAAGGCGAAGGCTTTGGTGTGGAAGAGTTGACTGAAGGAGAAGATGTGGTGGTCTGCGCAATTCCGAGGGAAGACTGATGGAATGGAATGACTATTAGATTTTGCTTTTGTCTTAAATCAAATGCCCCTATCTCTTCAAACTCTCCAAAATTTCGTCATTAATCCGTTCCAGCTCCCTACCGAAGAGATTATGCTGATGCAAACTTAATTCAACGTAGTAGTAGTTGCCCCTTGGAGCGTAGTTGGGCCCTCGCTCAGCGCATCTTTTCAGCAGCGCCTCCATCTTTTCCTTCCTTTTGAGAGCTGATGACGCTCTCTCTGATAAATGAAGCCTTGAATACTGCAAAAGGAAAGCCGCTATCCCCGCCATAATCGGCGTTGCATATGATGTCCCTGATCGTGATTTGACATATCTTTGTGGAGTTGCCAAGTCGTGGCAAAGTAGCATTGGCCATGCCGACTCGATTGACTCTCCAACTGTTGCAAAGTTCAGATTGTTAGGTTCAGCAGTCGGACTGAAGTCTGACGGGGTTCCTGAGGTATTGGTCGAATGGACACAGATAACCTGTGAACTACTCGCAGGATAGGCCCGACCGAGTCGAGCGCCACTATTAGACGCAGCGGCAAAAATGAGAATTTTCTTTCCGTACGCCCTATCAATGGCGTCTTCAAGGTCGTCGTAGCCTTCAAATTCCGTAGAAGGCCACCCAAACGATAAAGAAATGATGTCCACGTTCCAGCAGTCAATTGCGTGGTTAATGGCCTGCAAATGTCAGTTTCTAATCATTATCCACGCATGAAATGCTACTTGTAGCCGTTTCTTACATCCACAACTATCTTTGCATTTGGTGTTGCATTCTCTTTGTCTGCAATTTTGGCAATGTAGAGCTCTGCGTCTGGGGCATAATCGAGTATCAAACTGGCAGTAAAGGTTCCGTGTCCGTTTAGATCGGGAATGTTCTTCTGCATATTGTTGTAGAAGTTGACTTTTGCTTTAATATTTTCTTCACGAGCTTCGAAACTATCATGATCGCGATCTATACCCGTATCTAGAATTGCAATCTTCACGGGTTTTGAAGGAGGACCTGGTAGCTGTGTTGCCATGAATTTGCCATACACCTTTTCGTATTCAGACCTCCATTTTAGATAATCCTTGGTCCTAAAGATATGATGTGTTAGCAAGAGGACGTAGACAACAAGAGAGAATCGTTTCAAAGTGCCATGATTGAAGGAGCTTACTGTACAGTAGAATGGCCCCCGTCACCGACCTCGTCATCAAAAAATTGAGATGCTCTATAACCAACTTCGGAACTTGACAAGGAACTCGAATTCATCAAGGAGGGTGAAAAGGGACCCAAATTCATCAAGGGTGGTGAAAAAGGAACAAGAGGGTTTGCTTGTGAGTATTGATGTAAAAGTTTCTGAAGCTCTGGCGGCAAACCTAACGGGATTCCGAATCGGCTTGAATCAAGTACTGCGGCAGCGGGTGAAGGGGTTCTGTTAGGCGTGAGAGACCCTTGAGATAAAGGCGAAGTCAACTTTTGTGGCTCATGAATATCTATGGTCTGGCCCCATTGTCCAAAGTCAAGATCTCTTGCATAGCTATCAACGTTGTCTAGAGGTATCTTGCTGAAGCCAGAAGTCAAATGGGCTTCCAAGAGCCGAACAACGTCTTGGTAAATCCGAGACTTGAGAGTTGCATTATCAAGAGGGTCGCCTTCTTCGTCTTCCCACATTGCTGGATTTAAGCAGTTGTCTATGGCCATGAGGAGAGGAGAATCTTCAGGGATTTGAGATCGCCATCCCTCCACCTTGTTCTCCTCTTCACCATTAAAGACTTGATCCACATCGAAGAGCGTTATATGTCCACCGGGATTCTCAAGCGGAATACCACTAATTTGTGCCAACTTGCTAAATGACTTCGCAAAGTAGACTTCTATCAAGACCACTGCCAAAGCAATAAGCGCTGGACAGCGATGTCCTGAATCAAGTTCATCAAAGTCTAGGTCATCAGCATCTTTGCTGTGAATCTCATCGCCAGCATTTGTTGCATCTTCAGGCAGATCAACTTGAATGAATGGTCGCAAAGGCGTCTTATGAGAGGTTGTCTGAAAGAATTTAATATTTGCTGAGCCCCAACCTGACTGAAGCCAGGATGTACCATGTAGGTGAAGAACCGCGTATCCTATAATAAGAGACAGTATACGCTTAGTTTTCTCCGTGAAAAATTCGTGTCGCTCTTCGAAGCACCTTAACAGCGAAATGGGTTCAGTAGACTTGTCGATCCAGAAATTACTCTTTTCGATTCTGTCATTGAAGAGTTGGCCGCTTGTGAGCTTTAACACGAGGCGCTGCCATGCCTTTGACTTTGTGCTATTAATTGACTTGCAAAGATTTTCCACTCTTTTTGCTTTGCGAATTTCACGAGATGGCGTAGAGTGGCCATCAATGGCGAATCCAACAACTTTTTCCTTGACACTTTGGACGCGAACCTCATGCCAGTCATGTTCCATAGAAAGAAACATTTCGAAATCGATCTTTCCGGTTACATCGCCATCACTGCAAGGCGCATGTCTCGGATTACACCTGTTGGCTGACCTTTTATCCAACTTTTTCACTGGGCTGCGATAGGTGCCCAACTCGAGTTTGGCTCCATACTCATGAGGCTTCGAGCAAGAACAGCCCTTACATTTTTGTAGTGCATCGAACAGAGATTGGGCCGCTTTCCATACAACGTACGATGGCTCATAATTGCCTGTAGATAAGAATTCGTAGGCGGACTTTTTGAATCCATTTTCAGGTTGTTGTTTCTCTAGCATGTCTGCACATTCTTCCAATCCTCTATCCACTTTCAGGTAGACTTCGGGCGGTCCAAGCTTCAGCCATCGTACAACAAATTCGACCTTTGCATTGTGTGCTTGTACTTGCACCTCACTCCAATGAAGGTTAAGCGCCTTGAGTCGAGGCTTCAATGTGGTGTTAGAGGGGAGTTCTTGAAGACCAACTTCGGGGATCAGAGAACCGAGATAGCATAGGGCGTCGCTGATTAAGGCTCTTTTTGGTTGAGACCAGATTTGGGGCGCGCGAGTGAGACAGTCTTGGAACCTCATGCAATGGAGCCTAAGATGGTTATAGAATATCCTTTCTTCTTCATCAATTTCAGTGGTTCGAATGATTTCCGCCATCTGGAGGACTGTTTTTGACGTCTCCCAGAGCAAGTTGAATTCGCTCCCATCTTCGGCACCTAGCGGGTTGTCCATTCCGCCATCCAGAGGATGGGAGCGTAAGGATAGCTCTAACATGTCATAAGTAAGTGTTTGCGCAGATGTATACATCTGTATGAGATATGGAGATGCTGAGCGATTTGGCCTCACAAATACACAGCACCTGTCGTGAAGGAATTAGAGCGGGGATTCTACAGCACAAGGATTAAGCGGGGCATAGCCGTCAAACGCCCTTCATAACATAATCAATAATTCTGATTCGATACCACCCAACAGCCTGGCCAATCACAGATGGTTCAAGGGTGGTTGCGTGAGGCTCTCAGCCTGACTAGATCGTCGGTAGTGAGGAGAAGCTGATACCACTCAAAAATCGCGAGTATTGAACAATACGAACAACCGCTCATATGGGATGATTTATTCCACCGCTTTATGATAGATAATCTCTCGGTCATGACAGACACCAGCGCGTCTTCTGAACTGAACAAGACAACTGTTGCTGCTGCTGCGAACCAATGTCTGGAATCATTCCAAAGATGCCTCCTCCGAGAGCCATCTCTCCACCCTAGGGAGCTCTCTATGGTGGAGGATCAAGTTGCTAGATTCTCCACATGGACTAGTGGCATAGGAGTCTTTGCTCCTGGGCGAGCATCCATGGATCACCGGCTTCGATATGCTCCTGAGGTGCAGAGTATCGCTATAGGCTTATTGGAGTCATTGAATTACCGCATTCGAAAGTGTAGGTGATGATCTTCGCTGGGCTTCACTTATACCAGTCAAACCCTTTTCAGAACAAAAGTATTCAGACTCACACCAAACTAGTCTCAGAAGTTCTTGACAAACATGCCAAAGGCCCAGAAACACTCATCTCAAGCGTACTCGACGATGGGCTGGGCCGATTTTTAGGTGATATTGCTACCGAGATCAGTCATCTCAACAAAATGTCAAACATAATACGCAGAGCTAGCCAAGAAAACCACAATGTCCAAGCAAAAGACTTTCACCTCAAGGACGAAGAAGGAAATGATATTGAACCACTACTTTTGGATCATTATAAGCGCTACATTGGCGATCGATTCCCAACGGCCAGCATCACTATTCAACAGAGACTTGCTGACGCAATGATCCTACGACGTAAACGAATTCTATACAAAAGATTTCGCCATGGAAATAAAACTATTCAGCTGCCACAATTGGATACCAAAGTATCAATCACGATGCCAGACTCTCGTCTACAACAAGGAGATAATCAGAAAGCTAAAGCACCCTCTCGCATCCAGAGTGCAACAACTCTGCAGCCTGACAAGTTCAAAATGATTGCTTCAAGCCCATCAGTTGTTTCAACCACCATGACCGTAGCGCTAGGCAATCACGAAGCACTTGATTTTCCTATTGCGCCTGGGCTCCAAGTCAAGCGAAAGTATGAACAGCTTAAAGCAGAGAAGTTAGTGGCTCATCAAGCTATGTTCGAGAAATCTGATGAGCCATTTCCAGCCATAGACTCAACAGTCGATCCTGATAATACTGGGAAGGACGCTCCAGAAAGAATCTCTACAGAGAATGATCTCAAAAACAACCTGAAGTCGGTTATTCAAGCCATAGGGGAAATTACCTGTCCATATTGCCTTTATACCCTTCCACTCGAAGAGGTTTTCAATAAGCAGAAATGGCAGTAAGTCACTGTTCACTAACCTTTGCTATCACAAAACACTGCTAAGGAGCTTTCAAGCAATCATGTAAAAAATGACTTGGACTCATATGTATGTCTTTTCGAGGGATGTAATCAGCCAGACGAGCTTTACAAGCATAGTGACAAGTGGCTCAGCCACATGCATCAACACGGTCAGCGGTGGCGCTGCCCATCTCATCGCGAACTGGGCATGTTTCTATCGAACGAAGAGTACATGCAACATATGCGAGATGTTCACGACACCAAACTTAGTGACGCTAAACTTCGCGCCTTGGCAAGCAGAAACGCTCGCAGTTTGCCCAAGCTGTTTCCATTGTGCCCTTTGTGTGGCAAAGACGAGTCTGAAGTCGGTGGTCGTTTATCGGATCACATCACTGGCCACTTGAGATCACTTGCCCTCAAGTCACTTCCAAGCTACGAAGAAGATATTCCGGATGACGTTGGAAGCGAAAACGATAGCTCCAACGGCTCAGGAGTGCGAAGTAGAAGCACGCTTGATATGTTGGATGACGATGATATACGTGAATTCTGGTCGACCAAAAATGATGACTCGAATCATCGAACCCTTGACCCTGACATAGATTCTAATAACACGCCATCACAGCAATCAAGGCAGCCGCCGCCACTGCCTTCAAGATTTCCGTGCTGGTGTCGAGCCATATACTCTTGGGCAGGCGAGGTTTGTGATATGACGGCACGTGTTGGCTTGCTCTCAATTGCTAACATTCCTGCAGTCGAAGCGCGACCTGAGCTTTATTGAGGGCGACTTAATCGAATGCATAAATGCTGGAGACGGCTCGTGGTGGGTAGGCAGGCTATTTCGAGATAGGACGATTGCTGGGGCTTTTCCATCCAATTTCGTAGAGGTACTACCAGAAGACTTTCAGCCAACAAAACCACCAAGTTCTATATCGCCGAATACAGCGTCAGGGCCCAAGGCAGCACCGCAGAAGTCACAAACGTTCCGGAAACCGTTCGAAGCCTATGCCAATTATCATATAATAGATCAATCAGAAGTATTTCGAGAAACACCGACGTCGCCTCCTGCACCGCCGCCTCATAGACTTTTTCCATCCAATGTCGGAGAGGTACTACCAGAAGACTCTCAGCCAGCAATTGCACCAACTCCAATACGGCTGGATAGAGTGAGTGGCACTGACACTTTACCCATGACTGGACTTGATACGTCTTCAATCAAGTCTATGGGAGGCTCTAATTCTATACTCAACGAATCACCACAGTCGGGCTCTGGTAGTCAATCTCCCAAGATTACAGTCTACAAATGCGATGAGCCAGGGTGTGGACAAAGCTTTGACCAACCACACAAGCTTAAGTAGGTATACGGCATGCCTTTGTGATTGTTGTTTAATTGTGCTTCTCTTGCATCAGTTTACCCATCTATACTAACTCTATCTCTCTTTTACAGTCATCATCGGCGCTATCACAGCAGAGACCATAAATGCCCTTACCCAGACTGTGGCAAGGGCTTTAGTACTAAAACCCATTTGCAACGGCACATTAATGACAAGCACGAGAAGGAAAAGAAATTCGCGGAGGTGAACGATGGGGTTTCTGATACCTCAGCGATCCAGACTTCCGATAACAAGGGGCTCGGACAAGACGCATACGAAGCTCGGCAGGTCCAGCAGCCTGATGCCTCTGGCCAGCTGCCTCGTGTTGAATCTCGTCCTGAAAGCTACGATACCGGACGGCCCCTCACGCCCCCCATACCCATACTCCAGCTTAGATATCATGCCCCCCTCCCCTTTGATGTGGCATCTGGCATGGGTATGTACTTGGCTAGCAGCCCCGCAAGTCGTCCCAGGACGCCGAGGCGCCAGTCTCCCATAGACATCGATGTGGAAAATACCTCTGGCGAAAAGTCACATCAACCTCAGCCATCAAACAATATCGCTGCCGAAAAAGTTGCAGCAAAACAACCTCAATGGGGTGGCTGGTCCAGTTGGGTTTTAGATGAGCAGAACAACCGATACTATCGCTTTCGTCAGGATTCTGAAGGTGTGAAAGACTCCCCCCATACTTGACATTTCTCATTACCGCCAACACATTTCTAATACTTGCTAGGAAATCTTGACTATGACTGGGATCAGACTGACTCGGCTGCTACCGCTAATGCGCGAAAAGCTTCACAAACCACACCGAACAATGACAGAGCAAAAGACGACCAAGACCTCACTACCGCCCATTCTACAGCGTCCCAAGAAATGTGGACTGAGATCACGAAGGATCTGGTGCTCCGTGAAGCCATTGAAGAGCTTGGCTACGAGTATGAGGAGACAGACCAGTTCTGGTACGTTTTGCAGTATTTGCAATATGTAAGTCATCATCCATCGAGCTGTCTCTTAAATATGAGTTTGGCACAGTGTGATAACACGTGGGCTTCCCAGGATGACGTTCTTCAACTGGCTGAGCTATCTGATGACATTCGACGGGCTCGGTCTGAGCGACACGATGGCCCACTTCCGGAATCCTCGAATGCTAGATCTAACAATATTGCAAACTACAAACCGATCCGATCTAGGCGGGATGAGAGTGAGCGTGTCAGAGAGAGAGAGGTGATTTATGACCGCGCTCGTAACTCTCGCTCTAGTTAAAGAACTTGACGCCTATGTGCTGGAGTATAATATCCTTTAATCAACGGATCTATCACCCGACAACGTAGGCAAAGAAAGCGCGTGACAACAATTCATTGAATTGACAGCGTACCTACTGCGAGGAATAAATTCCGTCCATACCACCAATATGAGCTGGCTAGACTGAATCGATATCTATTGCACAAACTGAGTCATATAAAAGAAAATTTGATGATGCGAGTTTCAGCTTAGATTTACCAAGGTCTACTCCCTCGGACGACTCTTGAAGGGCTTTTCATTTCAAAGCATGTGAAACTGGAAGCGCAATACATTCTTTCAATATATGCCAGCACTGTTGAAGCATTGATGAGCAATGTCATCCTCACAATAAGAGTATACAGGTACAAGCTCTAGGATTGTGACTTGACCGCCTATTTACCATAATCAATGTTATTTGGCAGTAGGTGAAAAATATCAGACAAGGTAGAAGCGGATCGCGACACTAAAAATCTTACTTCTTCTTTTAGAAAGAGGATACGAGCATGCTTACCAACCATTATGTATTAAATCCAACTTTTACTCTAGCTTGCTTCTTAGTTTTGAATTTGAGCACAGATACCCGTATCATCCGCTTGCATTTCTACGGTATTAAGTTGCACGTATGGTTTTGTGGTGCAAACAATCTCATGTTAGAACACGGGCATGATTAACGTAAACCAGTGACGAGGCTAGTAATAAACCATTATAGTTTGATGGGTATTTGTTGAAGAGGATTCCTGGTCATTATTATTAATGGCTCATAGACATCTGCTTGTCCGATGGCTACTTAGATCATCGGCCATAGGCCACTACAGCTAGGAGTCGATTCCCTACATGTAATCAACACTCCGTACATAGTATTATACCGGCACTTGCCTCGGTAAGCATACAAAAGACTCATTAGGATCTAAAACAATTATAAATACTGCTTTGTCACTCCAAAATAATTCCATACGGCGGCTTAAAAGTACCGCAAACCTCCGCAACTCCGCGCTGCGTCATACCATTTCGGCGATTGGCTAATCACCCGGCTTTTCGAAATGCACGTAGACAAACCTTGGACCTCGGACTTTGGTAATACTTTCCCTGTCGGGAAAATGGTGGCCCATTTTGATGCAGTTACAGACATGGGGTAATCCTCACTAATCTGATCCTGATTTGGCAGCCATACGGAACTTGCCGCATCTCGGCTTAGATAAGTGTCAACGCGCATCAGACATAAAGTCCTTTGCAAGGCTCGGTAATTTTGTATACCTAATCATTCAATTCACTTTGCCACTCAATTCAATCAAGTCTTTACACCTAATTCATCATGTCTCCCCATATCCCAACCGCTCTTGGCCACAACATCCAGGCCTACACATACTGGGACTCTCCTATGCCAGCCAACTTTGCCGGACAAAACTTTACAGGACCAGTCATTTTCAATCCTACAACATTCACATTGATCACTACACAGAACGAGGCAGTGTTGGTCGACACTCCTGCAGTTCGGTCTCGAGCCGAGCCAGTTGCGGCTTGGATAGCTGAGATCATCGAGGACCGAAAGCTGAGCACCATTTACATCACTCACGGCCATGGTGATCACTTTTTCGGCGTTGAAACCATCCAGGAGCACTTCCCAGATGCCGTCGTCCGCGCAACTCGGGGCACCTACGAGCATATGTTGGAACAACTTGATACAGCTTTTTGGGACGGCTTTTGGGTCCCTACATTTCCTGAGTTACAAGAAAGCCCAAAGCCCGATCCCAAAGTAGATGTACTTGAAAGCGATTGTTTTACAGTAGATGGCCATGAATTCCGTGCTGTTGAGGTTGTTGGTGGTGATACCGCGTCGTCAACTGTTCTTCATGTGCCCTCTCTCGACCTGGTCGTTGCAGGAGACGTTGTTTACGGAGGATGCTACCAATTCCTTGCCGAGAACACGACACCTCAACTCCGCCAGAACTGGATAAACGCCATTGACCAAGTCGCCAAGCTTCACCCCAAGGTTGTCGTGCCGTCTCACCGCTTATCCACGGATGGCTTTGGACTGCAGCATTTGAAGGACAGCCAGGAATACATTCGCACGTGGTCAAAGCTAAATGCAGCAACTAAGACTTGGGAGGAACTTGAGGCGGCCATCCTCAAGGCATACCCCAAGAGGATTGGAAATTTCATTCTTCGTTTATCGACGCTGGTGACCAAGGGAGATTTGCAACTTCCATAAGTCGGGACATTTTCGTCAAGCGGTTTCGGGTGAAGGAGCCAGGGAACTTAGAAGCTAAAATTAGCTATTACGCCCAAATATAATCTTGTTATAATATTGCTGTTATGTGAAGAAGTTGAGATTAGTGATGGCGATTACTGATATGACCAGAAGGCGGGTAAACCCCCAGTTTCAAGACACATTTCTTCTCAAAAAAAAAGTTGCAAAATAAAATGACAACGGACACTATCAGCAGATATCGATGCTCCCTAGATACCAGATGTCAATCTCACGCAGTTGTTAACCAATGAGTTCAAGCCATCCTACAACTGACCCCAACTCTGTCCCAAACTTTATCTCAGCATCGATATTTTGGTGGGCTTTTTTGCGCAGCCTTTATTACGAAGTAATACTACTCTGACTCGGTTTATTAGCTAAGAGTAGTAGCTACAGTGCTGGTTGAGTCAGCACATAAGCTGAAAGAGTGGATGAGATTCACATAAGACCATAACTGTAAGCAGACGCGGGGAATCAGCTTTGAACCGTTCATCAAGAGTCTTTAAATCATTCTTGGAATATTCTCTTTGTAGCAAGCCATTGGCCACTACCACTAAGATCCGAATATAAATAAGACAGGTAGCTTCCCATCTGGAGCATCTATTCAATTTAGATCAAGGCAACAACTCAATAAATCAGCATAAAGAAATATCGCGCTCTTCCATTCTCATTCCCTGCCTCCAACCAATTGAGCCACCATGTCCACCGTTAGTCCATTCTCCAGCAAAGATTCTTTCGCCACTGCGCTCGAGGCTGTCTTGAATAGTCCCGATGCCTCACTCGAAGCCGCACTCTTGAACATCTACACCAAGGAATCCGTCATCACCGTGAACCAAAAACGGATGACATGGGATGAGTTTCTCCCTTATTTGGAGGCCATACGCGCCAGATTAGCGTCTGTTGAGATCAAATCGCATCACCTTTTGCGGGATGGAAACATGTTTTCGGAAAGACACACTGCTTACGGACACGGAAAAGATGGTACGGAGACTGGTGCGGAAGCGATGCTTATGGGCGAGTTGAACGAAGACGGCAAGGCGATTTGGTTGGAGGAGATTGCTGTTCTCAGGTCGGATGCGGACTCGGCTTCCTCCGAGGCATCATAGTTGCCAAGGACAAATACACTGCAAGTGATGTTGAATGGATGAAATGAGCGATGAGAATAACCGCTTAGAGTCAAGACGCGACGTATTATCTGTACGTAAAGCCATTATTAGTTTATATAAATATGCATTAAGCAGAGTCTTTGTTATCTTGTGAGCCAATCTTAGATTGTGAACTGGGAAAGCCCAAATATTTGTGCACGTCTATGAATCAGATAAATATGCTAGTCGTGAGATTAGGTCAAAGGACCACAAGGGTATAGCTTCATCAGAGTACCGGATGCTATGCATCCGAAAGGATCTAAATATCCTAAGGCTATCCGTTCCATTCAATACCCGACGCTTCTACTACACTTTGACAACATCCTCACAAACTTAGCCCGTTCCGTACCCAGTAGGGTGGTAATGCCCCGCGGTCCTTGGTTGTTTGGCGAATCCTTCTGATAGGTTTGAGTAGGAGATGATTACTACTCACATCTGAATGATCTCCCTCTGGATCGTCGGAAGCCAGATCTGCCAAGCTTCAGTAGGCCCGGTAGTTGACATGATGTCTTTAATCAGTGACCGAATGTTAATCAAGTAGGGAGCATTGCAAACTATCATCCAAATTATTTGAGTACGATACTACACACTTTATACAAATTCAGTAGGTTTAGTCGTCTTCAGGGGTCTCATTTAAATGGACTAGTCTGCAACAACAATATAGTGATATGTTACGTTGTATGATCAGCCCCTGGTCGAAACGAATTCCCGGATCGAGCCGCTGTCACCTTGCCGATCTATATCTATAGTCACAGCAGTGCGCGTCTCTTATCCCGATTATCCTGACAGATAGTCAGTCGGCCTATCTCACTGGCTATATGATCCGATTTCATCGACAAGTGGCTCTTGTCCTTACGGAGCTTCCTGTTTCACATCCCCAACTAGTCGGCTTTAGCGAGCACATAGGACAGAATGTTTCTCCACACCCAATGGAAACCCTCCCATTGTGTCTAAATAATGACAGTAAGCATTTTGTTCATTGAAGTGTTTAGTTATTCTGACCGCTACTATGCGATGGTGCGATACGGAAATTCGAATAGGGGCCTTGGTTACATGTATAGTGAGAGAGATACGAATCTTGACTCTAAACGGAACGCTTTACGTCAAGTTGTCCTGCGCTAATATACAGTCAATCAATTGAATCAGTAATTCTAAATTCAGTGAATTGACCACCTAGTTAGAACTCCTATAAACTCGCTACTTCTGACAGCACCCGTCGGAATTGGTGGCGTTATAAGCTTAACCATGTAACTAGACAGCTCGAAACCTCTTCATCCGACGGAAAAGCACAGCAACAACATTCCCGCCGGCACTTTGCATCCGGCTACATATAGACGGCATGTTACACGCATCTGATTGCCAGCAGGGTAGCAATACACCATTCCCTGTTTTGAGACATACAAGTAAGAAGTAATGCCGACATCCACCGAGAACGTGTTCGACCGTGTGTGGTTTCTTTGCTCGAGCATTGCGTTTCGTTTCCCCTTGTTTCTGTCTACAGGGGTTATCCGTGTGGTTGCATCGGGCCTTTTTTCGCATCGTTGGTGCCGCGCTATCCTGACAACGGCGCCCAAACAAGTGGCTCACCGGCACTTTGAAGCATCAGATTACTCATAAGGATATACTCCGTACGAGAATAATCGCCAATGGAGATATTTAAGACCCGCCCCCAGACTCAAATGCCGAAGCTGGAGCCGTGAGCATCTGCCGGTTCCTTATTCTCCTGTTCAAAAAGACTCTTTGTGTGAGATTTTGTTAACGACAGCTCTTGCAATGCGTGCTACTTTGTCCGCATTGTTGCTAGCTGCCGCAGCCTCAACGGCAACAGCCCATGGACATGAAGGCCACGCAAAAGCTCATCAGGAGTATGCCAGAGCAGCGGCTGTTGATACATCAACACTAAAGGGAAAGTGGCTGTACGGCTACCAGGGCTGGTTCCGCAAGCCAGCAGCCGGTGTCAACAACCACTGGTCTCCCAACGGCGGAACTCCAGGACCTGGCAATGGTATGTTTAACTCTTTGAATCTATGAAATATGTTATGAATTGGAAGAATTGTTGCTGACACGGGGGTTGTTAGTTGAGTTCGAGTTTGTCCCCGATGTCAGCCAGTATCCGGCCAACTGCCTGTTTGCGTCCACCTTGAAGGCACCCAATGGCCAGCCGGTGCAACTATACGACAACACTTGCCAGGGAGTCGTAGACTTGCATTTCAAGTGGATGCAGCAGTACGGAATCGACGGCATCGTTGTGCAGCGATTCCTGAGCCACCTCGACGATACCTCTTTCATCACAGTCAGTTGATCCACGTCTATACCAAGTCAAAGAAGAGAAGAAACTCAACCAAAGACTAACACATCCGCCAACTCCAGGTCCTCAACCAAGTCGAAGCCGCCGCCGTCAAATACGGCCGAGGCTTCATGGTCGAATACGACGCCTCAGGCGGAAACTCGGCCACCGGCAGCGTCGCCGCCCAGATTCTAGCCGACTACAACTCCAAGGTGAAGCCCTACACCACCTCGTCGGCCTACATCCACCACAACGGCAAGCCGGCAGTCATGGTGTTTGGCGTAGGCTATACGACCGTCGCCATCAACGTCACTGATGGAGCAAATATTGCGACGCAGCTCAAGGGTGCTGGTGCGTATGTTGGATATGGTGTGCCGCCCACCTTTGGCACGGATTTGAGGGCAAACACGGGCTTTGCGGCGGCGTACAAGGCGGCGAATTTGATTAGCCCTTGGACAGTGGGCAGCTTCAGCGAGGGTGGTTACTTGAAGGGATACCACACGACGACTCAGATTCCGGACTCTCAGTAAGCTCTTTCTCCCCTTTTGCTCTCTCCCTTGTTTGTTCACTTGTTGTCTCTCCTCCATTGTTCTCTCTGTTCATTCTATTGTGTCTCTGTTGTCTCTTTGTTCCATCTCTCATCAACCCTCTAACCCAACCACCTCCAGAACCCTCCACTCCCTCGGCATCGACCACGCCCCCCTCATCTGGCCCGGCACCTCCGCCTACCACCTCAACGGCGCCACGACCCCCTCCAGCTTCGACTACTTCCCCCGCTACAACGGCTCCTTCTACTCGATGCAAGCCGACGCAATCACCTCCCTCGCCATCAAGCCCCTGTTTGCATTCAACGCCATGTTTGACGAAATCAACGAGGGCACCCAGAGCCTGCCGTGCTTGAAGAACAACCAGCTCCCCACCAACGAGAAGTTTGTGGGCTACGATAACAACTTTGCCGACACTGCGTTTTATCTCGAGCTTGGAGGACAGAAGGGTGCTGCGTTTGCGGCTGCGGTCAACTAATCGCAAGTAAAACATTACTAAAAAGACTCAACTTGTGTCGCTGTATATAATAATCATACATATATATATTGTTATGTGTAACGCTCAACGTTCATATGTTTGCAGAAGTAGACGCTTATTCCTCTTCTCAGACCATCGTCATTGACAATCCACATATCGCACACCTCATTATCAAAAAGCCATTAGAGCAAAACGCATTAGAATAATTATAGTAAAAAAGGAAGAAAAAAGAAATCGCTAGTGCTTATTGAAAATCGTGTTGCTCTAAAAAAAAAAAAAGACAAGTCTTTACACAAGAGAGGTATATATATATAAACAACAAAATAAAAAGGGAGACATAAAAAAACAATAATAAGAGCATTATATATCCTCTTACTGCCGGCCATCAGTGCCGTTCCCCAAGAGTCACCTATGCTCCACGCTCTCTGCAGGAAGTTCATAACTAAAATTCGTCGGCGGCAACTCATAAATCGTGGGCGGCTGCTCCATCTCCACCAGCGGCGAGGCCATGTTGGCCGGGTGCATGTTCATGTCGGGCGTGCTCTTCTTGACGGCGTCGGGCGAGTCGTACGGCGTTTGCGGGGTGTATGCCGGTGCTACGCTTCCGTCAGCCATGTAATAGAGACCCTGCTCGCTGGGAGAGTGGTATTGACCCAAGTTGATGGGCGGCTGCTCCTTGTCAGCTTCGGCGGCGAGGGCGGCTGCGCGTTGTCGCCGTCTGCGGAGGAAGAAGAGGAAGACGAGGAGACCGATACCGATGGCTCCGACGCTGACACCGATACCAATGCCGGCCTTGGCTCCGGTGGACAGTCCGGCGCTTGCCGTCTTGTTGTTGTTGTCGTCGTCTCCAGATCCAGATCCACTGTCGCCGTCGCCGGAACCGCCTCCGGGGGTGCTGACCGAGGTTGGCAGCACAGTAAACTTGCCCCAGGTGCCGTCGGTGCCTCGGTAAGCCTGGACGAGGGTGCTGTTGGAGATGTAGTACACCCAAGCCTCATTGGTGGGCTGGTTGTAAGTGACTGCCAGCTCGGCATTTGCATCGTCAGCCAAGGGCCATGAGGATGCGGACTGGTTGGGCAGCATTTGCCAGATGAAGTTGATGCTGGCGATTTCGTAAAGCTTCTTGTCGCTGCCAATGTAAAAGGCGGTGCGGGTGAAGGAGTTGTCTACGGCGGCTCCCAGGCCTCCGGGCTTGCCAGTCCAGGCTGGGAGAGAGAACTTGGGGGTTACTTTAGGGTCGATGGCGATTTTGGAAGGGGCGGTTTTGTTTGTGGGAGAGTTCTGGATTGTCTCCGGAAATGCGGCTGCAAGAGGTGGTCAGCATGTGGGACTAGAACAAAACATGTTTCTTGTTTGTGAAACACGGAAACGTTGAAACAACTGAAACAAACAAAACAGGCAAAACAGGCAAAACAAGATGGACATACAAATGTGCCAGGTGCCATCAGTGTTGTATCGTGAAACCTCGATGTCCTTGGCGCTCTTGGGAGAGATGACGGTAATGTTGTTGGTGTTGGAATGGATAGATGCCAGGGCGGTGCTGAAGGTGGGATCCTGCGAGACGGCGCCGTAGTAGTTCCAGTCCGTCTTGGTGGTGTACGACAGTTGATGGACCTGGCTGTCCTCGTCGTGATAAAAGACTCGGTAACCAGCGGTGCTTCCCAGCAGCTCGACGGACAGGCCCGTCTTGGCGTGGATGGACGTGACCTGTGCTGTGTCTGAGATGTTATACTCTCCCTGCTGGATAAAGCTGCCAGACTCGGGGTCGCACTGGTAAAAGCCGTTGACGATTTGACCAGTTGTTGATTGCCAGAAGACGGAAGCCTTTTAACGACGATTAGCAAAGATTTCCCCCCCCGCTGTCAGACATGTATGCAGATCTCTCTCGGGGCCCAATATTTGATGATATTCCCCCCGGCCATGATCGTCACCATACATTTTCATCCATTCTGAGCTACATGTAGGCACTTACAATTACGTGCTGCGAATCCCACCAGCCCGTGGCCGCCATGCTGCTGCCAATCTTGGGCTTGTTCTTGGTGGGCAGCACATTGGGGTTCTTGGTGGGAAACAGCGGCGCACCGGCAACGTTGGCATTGCAGTAGTTGACCCAGATATCGCCCGTCTTGGGGTCCTGCATGCCGACCTGGGCGCCCTTGTTGGGTCCTGGGTAGAAGGCGTACATGGACGTGCCGCTGGCGGTGCCGACGAGGCTGCTGGCGGCCAGCACGGCGATGCTCCAGCCCGGAATCCTGGCCATGGTCATGGTCATGGAGAGGATGATGAGATGAGGGTGAGTTGGGATGAGAGAGATTGCGAAGCAGAAGCTCAATCTCAAGCTCAAGCTCAAGCAAAGCGAATCGGGGGAGCTTAGCTCAGCGTTCCCGCTCTCTCCGCTCAACAAGGTAGCAAACGCAGCGAGCGGATGGACCACCAAAAGTATAAAACGAATGAATCGAAGAGAATATGGAGAAGAAGGAGAAGAAGAAAAAAAGAGGAGCAGCAGAGGAGAGAAGGAGAAGAAGGTCTACGAGAGAGGAAAAAAGCCTGTCAGATCCCCCGAAAAAGAGCGGTGCCGCTAAACTGGGGCAAGCATCAGCATCAGCATCAGCATCAGCCAGCAAAAGAACTGGGAAAAGGTGGGAAGCGATTCCTAAAGACTGGCTCGGCTAAAACGAGTCGTCTATTAATAATGACTGGGGCATGCATCTTATACCCCAAAGCATACATACAATCGCGGATTTTGGCGGGCCCAAGGCCTATCCGAGAGCGTCAGCCTTGTCAGTTGAAAACGGTCGACGAGGGTATTCTGCAGACATGCTGGAGTGTCGTGGAATCCTGGTAGTGTCCTCTCCTCTATCCCGTATGCTGGAACCTATAATCCAACGTGATCAATATAAGTCGTATCCACCGGACAGGCGGGCTGAGACCCCCTGCCGCTGCAGAGACAGGGGCTGAATGGACTGAGCCCTACCAGGCTAACAGATTACGAGGCCCGGCTACGGAGGATATCATATTATAAGCTATGGTTCGTCCAAGCCCCCCCTGGATCGCCGACCATGCTCATTATACTAGTGATGTAGTGTGCTGAACTAGTAGTAGTACAGTAGTAGTCACGGCAAGGCAAAGCAGGCATCAGATGCTTTCTGGGGGGCCTCTTTTTCTTCACTTGCGGCTCTGTCTTCTGCTTCTTCTGGTACCTGTATTGTTGTTGTTGTTGTTGTTGTTTCGTCTATGTTCTCTCTCAACTCAAACCACCGCTGACTAACTCACTCTCACTGACTCAATCCCCTCCCAATCCACTCTTGTGCATCTTCTCTTTTTGTCTTTATTTACCAAATACGTAATCACAATTTCCTCATTTTGTCGCTTGTTTTTCTCTTTATTCCCTGCCCTGCAACCCCCCCCCCCCAAAATGAGGCTCTGTTTGCTCTAGGTTGGAATCTCAACGCCTGTCCCGCCACACCCGCCGCCTTCTTTCTCCTTTTTTTTTTCTTTTCTTCCTCTTGTCTCTACCGCTACCGCCTTTTTTTTTTCCTCCTCATTCTGCCGCCCCAATCAGCCCCCCCTACCGGAATTTCCCTTGTTCCTGTGGCTTGTACACGCCACCTCTGCGATACCCAATCTTCGCCCGCCAGCGACACCCAACGTGCCGTATTCCGGTAGTCCCACGTACTTTTCTCGGCGCGCATCAACTTTTCCCCTCGCGGATCGGCAAAACGCCTCTGTCAGATTTTAATGCGCTTTTAGCGGCTGCGCCAAGACGTTATTTATTATTAGATCCCAAGCCACAAGAAAAACAAATGACTAAGCCGGTCCGAGCCTAGTCAGCCCAACAAAGACGCAGAAAAGGGAATAGCCTCATGCATTATTTCGATGAAAATATACAAGTACTCGTTAGCTGAAGAAAAGAGGGAATAAAAGAGAAAAAGAAAGGCTGCGAAATTGGGTGGCTGCGTCTTAGTGGCGCGACTGCCGCTGCGGTTGTTTCGCCATCGCGCCTGCCGCAAATTAAAAATACTCTACAATAAAGAGCTGGTCGCCGACCCTTGGTTTCAGCTTCGTGTTCGCCTTTGCTCGGGCATATGTATGGAGGCAGAAAGGGATTTGCTTATATCCGGTTGGGCTGAAGGCTCAAGGAAGATGATGAGTCAGCGGATACAACCTACCCTACAGCAGCTCACCTGTTCTTGTGTATTTGAGGAGGCAGCTGGATTATTATTACTTGTACGAGTATTCACTGCTGATTTGCAGCAGTGTATCTATGCATGTTTTAGCCGTGAATTAAGCATATTATTTTGCTCAATCTGATTAGAATATCGTTGATGCTGTGGTTGTTGCTAAATACTAACAAAACAAAATGGTAACCACAATACTACCTTGGTAGTACGCTAACAAAACAAAACAAAACACCAGAAACAACTGCAAAAATCACAACAAATCAACCCAAATACATCCCCAACATATTCAACGCCGTCAAACCCACAGATGTTATCCCCAGCCAAAACAAACAGCCCAATACAAACACCGCCAGATAAAACATCTCCACCGGCCGCTCCAAAAACGACCCTGCAAACAAAGCTCGCCCGCTGCCCTCCTTATTAGTCATCTTGCCCATCGCCGGCACGTACTTGAAATCCATCTTCGACACTCCCCCAAGCCCTTGCCTGCTATTCACAATGGCATCATACAGCGTCCTTCTGAAATATTGCACACAAGCCTCGTCAACGCCGGGAACCCATTTCTGAAGCAGAGCCAGCACTCGCACAAACCAACAGTGGCCTCTCCAGCAGGCATATGCCAGCATCCCAGGCCTTCCAAGGCCCAGCGAATCGCACAGGGCATCTCCGTTGAGAACTCGACTACCGGCCTCGATGAAGCCCACAGAGATGTGGAACGGAGCCATGTCTTTGACCGTCTCCAAGAGATTGTGTCCGATAATCAACGAATTGTCGGTGACGCTCCGCTCGTGAAGCAACAGGCTCTCCATAGTGGCTTTGGCCTGGGGCACGCTCGCAAAGTACTCGTCAGGAGTCGCCAAAAGATAGCCGACATATCGAAACAGGGCGATATAGTCGGCCTTTTCCTGCTCCGTGGGGAACACGCCCATTTGCGGCAGCTGAAGCCACATTGGATTACAAGAGTATGTCGAGATGCTGTGAATCGAGTCCAGGATGTTGACAGGCACCCCATACGTGGCCGTGTCGAAATAGTCGGGGCGAGTTTCGGCCAGTCGGAGGATTCGCTCTCTCACCGCAGAGTGAAGCAGTCGGACGCGAATCGTCGTCGTGTGGCCTTGACCTCCCGGCTGGATCGACTCGAGGCTTGACGTGACTTGCAGGAGATGCTGAAACGTTTCCAGAAGTCGACGGATCAGCACCCGTGGCGAGAAGCCCCCTGTTCGCATCAGGACCTCGATAACGCCCGCCGCCGAAGAGTTTTCTCCAAAGAATGCCTGCAGCAAGAAACCCACCATGTTCGCGCCGGCATAGCGGTAAAAGAACTTTTGGCCGCGCTCAATCTGCTCCCAGTCCACCCAGTCCGGCACCGTATGAACCTCCCTCCAGAGCTTGCCCAGCGTTTCGTCCTCGGCGTGGTGATCCCGGAGCACGGCATACATGTCAAAGCCCCCGGGGCAAAGAGTGGGCTTGACTGATGCGTCCCCCTTCATCTCTCTTGCAATCTGCTGCAGCTTCTTGACTGCATCGTGCCCCAATGTGTCGTACTCATGGCGTAGGGGATCCGTCTTTTCGCGAGGCAAGTGAAGGTCTGTCCACTGAAATGTGTAGTTTCCCACTGTATGGAATGCCATTGTGATGATGACCTGGACTGGCTCCAGAATAGATCAAACACACGACTCTGGGCTGCTTGATACACAAGACCACTTATAACACTCAGAGGAGGTCGTCCTGCCAGACGGGCACTTACCAAAGAATATCACTCATATATACACCACATTTTCACGCACTCCTCTGAGAGCCATCGTGCCACTACGCACACGAGCTGGAGCCAACAAACCCATCAAATACACGCTCCATCACTAGACTATGCAAAATCTTACCTCGCTCGACGGAGCCAACCACTGCCAACATGCTGAAGATGTAAGCGCATAAACCAATTCTTCAGTGCATATAGAATGACCGTTTGCATAAATGCCATTCATGCACGACATTGTTGACAAACCAACAATTCGATTCCCCCTTTCGCCACCATCTCATGCTGCGACCAACAACGTCGGCCATGATCGCATTACCAATCGCTCACCGTCACAATACCGTTGCATCGTATTGCCGGTGCTTCTGCGGACAACGCCGGTTCCGTCCCATCTTCTTAGCGTCACCCGATCTCACGTTTCATCCGCCCAACAACAACCAACATCTTCTTCATTCCCTTCTCTCACCTGAGATGCAGTCACCATCCAAATTGAAACAAGGTCTTTACCTGATATAAATTGCAAAGTCATGAGGCCATTCAAAGTCAACTGAGACAGCCATGTCTCCGAAGGAAATGCTCACATGTCACCAGGTGTCAAATTTCTGGAACCAAGGAGCTCCCTGAACTCGACCAACCAACATGAAGAAGGAGGGAAAAAAAAATTCACGCGTAGACCTTCACCGTGCATTCTGGCCTGATCTTGGCCGAAGTTTACCGCCACAACTGGACGTGAACAATAGCACTTTTCAAGCTTGTTCCCGGAATACCCTCTAGTAAGGTCCAAGACGTGACATCGGCTTCGAGATACCTGATCCATCCCGTAACACCACTGTAGCAGCGTATAGGCATTCATACCACCTCATCTGATATTTGCCCATTTTTTCATCCTGGGCTAATTCACTATTGAGTAACCATCCGAGTTAATGCGCATTAAAAAAATAAAAAAACTGGCCCTTGTGGCGCGGTGGTCCGTACTCCTCTAGCTTCGGTCGTGTTGATTCAGGCGCATGATTGATTCACTGTAGTGCCGGAACGGACAATATGCTATGATCCCACATATATAGACCATATGTCAAGGCGTTGTGGACGGTCCTCGTCTACCGTAGTGAATTGCACAAGCGAAATCTATCACCATGTCAAATATCAAAACAGTGGAACCCGAATATATCACTATCCTCCTACCTGACCTATTCCAGACATTCCTCAAGGAGACACCACAAGTGAATCCTCAATATGAAACTGTCAAAGTGGAGTCGGAAGAAGCACTGGGCAGGTGAATTCAGCACCTATCTTTCTTTCTATCTCTTTTGTCGTAACTCACGTGCTGACTGTCATCGAAGCTTTTGTGATTTTGGTCCGAAAATGAAGAAGAAGATCAACAAATGTGATTTCTCATATTTCTGTGCCATTGCCGCTCCGCTTGCTTCTCGATCGAGGTTTCGAACATTATGTGACTGGGGAAACTGGGTAAGCAAGAGTCATGATGAGCCAAACAATTCATCTCTACGTGAATCCCGCTGACGGGCTTGGTGAACTTCAACAGGTCTTTCCATACGATGACAGTAAGCTTATGTGTCTCACCTCTATACTGCCTGCACCTGCTCAAAACCGCTCCAGTGTTTGACAATGGACACCTCCGCGATCGACCGGTAGAATCTCAGCGCGTCATGGAAAGCCTGATGATGCCCATGCTGGATAACTCCTCTGGGAAGGACATTGGCGTCGAAGACCGCCTGCGGATTGTAAAATTCCACGACACTGTTGTCAAAAGAATGGCCATTGTATGTTAGTCCCAGGCCAGATGGAATCTGCTTCCCAATCACCTCTGCTAACAGGCTATGCGATTAGAAAACACCCATCGGTACGATCCTCACCACTACCCTGGACAACATCACGTATTAACAGCTTGACCAAGGCATCCGAAAGAGATTTGCCCTCGCGATGCAAGGATACTGCCGAGGCGCACTGGTACATATCGAAAATCAGTTCTCTGGAAAGCGCCCCACGCTCGAAGATATCGCCATGATCCGCCGACAGTCCGCCGGCTGTAAACCCCTATACCACCTTATCGAATACGCGCATTGCTTGCGGGTGCCAGACGAGGTTTTTGATCACCCAGTCATCCAGGAGCTGGAGAATCTCGGTATGGACATGGTAGCCATGTAAGCTTCTGCCTAATGAATTATACATGTCTAGTTTTCCTTGTCTCACCAAATCATGCGCAGATCAAACGATATCCTGTCCTATCGTAAAGAACAAGTCAGCATCCAATCTCCTTTCTCACCCTTTCATATGACGATGCTTACTCTCGTGCAGGAAGAAGGCGTACCGCACAACATGGTCACAGTCTGTCGACTCAATGGAATGTCGGCACAACAGGCATTTGATAAAGTAGGCAGACTCCTTGAAAACCGCTACCAGCGCTGGGACAGGGCTGAGGCCAGTGTCCCGAGCTGGGGAGAGGAGGCTGATATCCAAGTCCGAAAGTACATCGAGGGCATTAAATGCGTAGTCAAGGCCAATCTCAACTGGAGGTGAGTAGCAGCTCTGCGCCTGTGTCAAATCCATTCCTCTCGGTACTGATGTGCGAGTAGTTTTAAATCCGAGCGTTACTTGGGCTCTAATCCCGACCTTGTCCGATCGACTCGAAAGCTTCATATTTTGGCGGATCCGCCGACCGCAGGTTTCCAACAGAAGCTGTTTGACAAAACTCTTTTGTTCGAGGTTTCATTTTTGCTCGAGGTTTCATTTTTGATTGGCATTTGTTTTTCGTTGAGAATTATTTTACCTTGGGGGTTGTTTTTTGATTAATTTTCGGCTTTAGTTGGGATTTGTGTTTTCTCTGAATTGCTTCCACTTGCTGCTTGTTTTTGCTTGATATTTGCTCTTGCGTGAGAGGATCGAGTTCATTCTACGAGTACTTTGCTAGACGGGCGCAAATGCAATTACGATACCATGTTGTTTGAGAATCGCGGCTTAAGCCATTGCTTTACATCCTTGTGCCGTACCGGTGAATACCCCTTCGATCACTAATTGTGCTGACGTCTTTTGCATCCTCGGCGCCGGCGAAATGAATAAACTGGGTCCCCGCCTCGGTTCATCCGCTTTGGTCCGTGGTTCCAGAAGCATATTTTGACAGGGTCCGTGAGTTTTGACGTCTCGGAGAGGTCCGTGGCTGGGTTTGTCTCGTGCTTTGACCTCGGAGTGATCAAGCCGTCGCTCCTCAGCGGTTGTTCAAATCTCTGGAGGCATAGGCGGTGTTGTTCACCCTGTCTGCCCTGCTCGCCCTGTCCGGTGATTGTCCAGGGGTTCGAGGACCGTGCTTGAACAAGGGCGCAATGATTATTTTCCACTGCGGCAAAGGGCGTTTGAGTAAACGTTAGAAGCCAAGCCGGTCTTTTAGGCCCAACTAAACGCCGAGTCAAGTGACGCCTCATACAGCATCATATCTGCACATTTTGATTTGAAGTTATCCGTTTTGAAACATCGCCTAATATAGTGGGAGGCTGTCAGGTCAATGTGAGCACGCAGGGGTGGTGACCCATGCTTGTCCAAATAGGGCTGTACCTGCATTCAGGGCTGGGTCATGGGAAATTTGGGGGCTGGAACAACTGCAACACACATATTGATGAAACATCGTTGGGTCGGTAACTGGGTGTGGGTGGGCGAGAAGGTGATTGGTTTGTTTTTCATTCCTTCAGTTTCCCTTTTCAACATGCTTGGAATTGCCGGTGAGATTTCTGTGCTTAATTTTGCGTGTTGTATCGAGGTCGCGGAAAATGTGTAAAGTTGGTCGTCGAGCGTATATGGAACCTGGTGTCTATCTATAGAGTATCGCCGTAGTTAGACGTGGAAACTTGCCAAGGAGGGCTCTCCGAAACACAGAGGCAAACCATTGGGGTTTTTTGTCGCTTATGGGTGTGCTCTCCCTCCGAGAAATATAGAAGAAACAAATGTGGTTATACGGCGATACGGCATCGATGGGGACTGCCTGTGATCCTGAAATAGGGTAGTGATGGTTGTAATGAGGATGGTCATAGTAGTCATCATTAGTGGCCTCAAATTATTGAGATTGTCCCAAGGGCAGACTGAAATATTACTGTTGCGTGACTGCAAAAGAGGATCCCCCGCTCTCGACATGCCGGATGAAATGTCACTCTGGAGCTCATCGTCGGCCGCTGTGTGCGGTGCTTCTCATTCGTATTGTTCGGGAGCATGGCTCGGTTACAGGAGAGACTGTTCTTTCAACACAAGAGTCGCATTCTTTGTAGCTCGCGGGGTAGATGCTGAACGCGCTTTGGTCAGCAAATGCTGTAGAGGGAGTGTTCAAACAAGAGGGACTCGATACTGCTTTGACCAGAATTCTCCGCTCCTTTGTTTCCAAGCATCTTCTCTCAAGCTTCACATCATGGTAGTCGCTGTTGAACGAACGATGCGAGCTTAACAGTAGTGAGGGATATATGTGGTGGAGGTTCTCTGCATGGGTGGCGATCATCAGCTTGCAGTTGTGCCAAAGATTCATCGCGTCGAAAAGCAAAAGAGCAGCATGAAATTAATTACCGCTGGCTCAGAGGATTGAGCCATGGAATCACGGCCGGTGTTGGCGAGATCGGGGGAGAATTGGTGCCGCCAAAGGGATCAACAGGGCAGACGTCTCCCCCCTAAACAAAGTAGCAGGAAGATGATTGGTGCAATGGCCATTGAACAAAAGAGTCGGATTGATGTGATCTAGTTGGAAGATGGAGGCGATAAAGTTGGCTGAAAAACGCAAAGGTGAAGATGAAGGCATCGATGGAAGAGCTGGACTGGTGTAGCAGATCGATTGGCAAACGGCAAAGGAAGGTGTCAGACCGCCCAGGACAGAAATTCTGCCGGACTGGTGGCACACAAGGCTGCAAAACGTAAAATATTCATTAAGTAGCTAACTATTCATTTATTATCTTCACGTGTCTTTTAAACACATATTCATATTAATATATATTTTGCGTAGATTTCTTACAAGCTGGTCTCAGTATATAATGGAAATTATATATTTAAGTTGTTATTATGTCCGTTATATGACTGTCATCATATTTTCTGTGCAATTAATATGAACCGCTATTACTACCTATTAAAAATTAACAAATTTCATAGTTAGTTACCTAGGTACCTAGAAAAAACTAAAGTATGGTGTAGTGTAGCGATGGTATCAGCAACATGGAAGCTTCCAGCCGCTTTGCTGTGATTCACGATTCTGACCTCTGACCGCCTTCGCACTCCCGCAACACGCAATTTTTTCGTCCGACATCTTCGTTGGCCAACTGTCGTCTTCGGCTCGCGCTTTGTCTTCAAAGCACTTCTAGCGATGGAAAGTAAATCCCGACTGCCCTAATTTTCTCTGGTGCTAACAAACGACGTCAGTTGCAGCCCGCCAGAGACACTCGCCGCAAACAAGGCAAACACCGCTTGTGGATATGACGACACACCAACGGGAGATGCTCCTCGAGTCCGAATCGTGGCCGTGCTGATTCATCTGAATCGGGGAAGCCGACGATACCACTTGTCTGCCGGCCAAATAGCTTACTCTCGAAGCAGTTCTCGGCCAGCGCCATGTTGGGAGGGGGACTGGTCTTCTTAGCATCTGCGCTTCAACACCCACCCCCTGGTGTCTTTCTTGCAGCGTAGCAGAATCAGAACCTCTGCTGCTATGGTCACGATGCCTCATTTGCAAAGTACCACATCTCTCCACTCGAACCATACGTTCTGGCAAATGTGCCCAAGTTGCTCAACAAATTCACATACTTTTGTGGCCCTCTTCCAACACGAATGACGCCGCCTATGCTCGATGGGATCACGATACGCGACCATCGTGCCCTCATATCAAGGCGTAAAATGTGTTGAGTGCCGTAGTTGCATAGTTTCCGGCCAATCACAACAATACTTCTGCCTCAAAAGCGCCCTATGAGAGTCCGGCCCATTTACAACCACTCGATAGAGAATTGAGCTAATGGCAACAACTAAGGCTCTGCCCCATGAAATAAGATTTGCTGCTATGCCAGAGCTAATGCCACAGATTTGACGTCATCTCAGAAACGAATAGGAACTATTACAGCATAGGCTGTGATTATCAAGCTATTTGCTTCAATGGGAGTTATGCGACTCTGTAGGTGAGGGATCTGGGCCATCTCTGCTCATACACACATAAAGGTGCCTGACTGATGTGTTGACCTTGGAATCGATCCTACCTGGATACATGCATGTTGAATTTCATCCGACAGCTACGTTCTTCGCGTGCTTGGTGGATAACCGCATGAATGTCTGGTCCCTCATAATCACTGACGGCCAGTCCGACACCGGGAGGAGAACTGCCCAACCATTAGATTGGCTCACACTGCGTCGAATATTTTGGGGAGCCACCATCTCACTACTTTCAAGGAAAATTGGCATGTGCTTAAACTTAACCACAGGCCATAACGTTATCTCGATGGGGCATTTCTTCGATGTAGTGTGCCAAGAGCACGAAATCGGCCGATGACTATAGCCGTTCTGCGAGGTATGCTACCAATGTATCAGTTCCTGGTGTCTCCGATAATGCTTCTATCTTTCTTCAGAGTGTTATCATACCTAGGTAATGGTTGGCCGTTGGGGGTCTGCCAGTCGTTCTGTCGTCATATTATCTGCAGCACATGGCCCAGTGTCGTCTGCTTTGCGGGTTTGAGAGCCATCCCAAGACGTTGGTCCGGTGCATAGCTTGCCGAACATCAATCTACTTCCTCTGCCCCATTCAATAGCGCATAAACTATTACCTCATGCACACGATTCAGAGAGTGGAGAGCAGAGGCATTATTTAACTTGAGTTTAACCTCTTACCGAGCCGATGTCCGATATCCGGACCTGCATAAAGGCACAGAGGGCTCTCTGTCTATAAATAAGCGGTCAACTCCCCTTGATTAACTTGCATCTTCTCATCCCACTCTCAACTTTGATCCGTTATCACAATGGTACACACAAGCTCCTAATGAATCTTCGAGGGATACTCCAGGGCCTTTGCGGCCCAGGCCATCATGACAGAGCTGAAGTGCATGACAGCCCTGGAGATTTGCATTACATTCCTCTAGCATTTAAAGTTCATTCATTCCTCGAGGCGGCCCCTCCGCACCAAGGGAACACGACAGATGACTTATACCCCATACTCAGGCTTACTCTACGGCCTCATCCAGGATATAACGAAGCATCAACTACGACGCCTCCTTCCAACACCAGCTCAAGCAGCCAACAGCAGACTGCACTAGTGACACTGTATGAGCTACCGGGCATCATTTATACTCCAGACTGGGATGATTACCAAAATTCTCTGTTCACTGAGGTGACATTTGGGATGTGGGACTTTTCAGCTGTCTCTGTCTCACAACCTCCTGGTCGTTGCAGATACGAGATGGCTTCTGCCATCGAAGTTATGGAAAGCAGGTGCAGGTTTATGAGGGAGCGCTCTTGGCCCACGAGGGATAATGTGCCAGGGGCAATTCCGCCGCTCCCCCAGGGCATTCCGTGTGCCCCAGCACATCCATATACGGGTGAATCTAGTGGAAGCACGACAGACCAGAGGCATTGCTCGGTATTGATTTATCTCGGCTCGACGAGAGGCATGGGCGCCAAGCACTTTTCCTACCGCAACGACAAGATGTATCTCAACCAGATGATTGAGATGCAGCTGGATGTTGAGCCGTTGGCTCGGAGAGTGGCTGTGACCCTAGCACTTCTACATTGGGCTGTTGAGATAGATGCTTGTGGCGTCAAATTTTATCTGGTCACCTCTTGGGCCAGTCCGGGAGCGACACAGAACGTCAATTGGCCGGCATTCGCTCGCACCAAGCTCGAGGTGGACAATTTGGAACAAGCTCACCACATTGAGATGGATGACGTTGGCCTGGAACTGGCTGTCTCGGCAGCGAGTGCGAGCCAACATATTCCAAAACCGAATCAGCGACTGCCGATCCAGCGGCGGATGTGGGACGCCTTTGTCTGCAGCTACATTGGGGCGTCGGACATAATCCTGAGAGAATCAGAGGATTGCAGGGCACTTCAATGGCCTCGCATGTTTATTCGCGGGCTTATTGAGAGGGAGCAGCAGGTTTGAAGGGAAATGATGGTGGAAAGGGTTCTTGATGTCTACACATTCATTTTGCATGTACTGAGTATGGGAAATGGTTATTGGGTATAGTAGCTACTGGTAGCTACTGGGTTGTTTGGCACAAGTCTCGAGACAGATTGCAATAGTTTGGTGTTTGTTCGTTTGATGTTTGTTCTTTTGATGTTTGATAGTTTGGTGTTTGGTAGTTTGAAATAACATTTTTGGTTTGGCCGGCCAATGATGAGGTGTCTGGTTGTTCATGTGATGTGAAGAAGATGCTGAGATGTTGTCCAGTCTTAGTCATCGCGTGGCGCCGTCGGATCTCGGATCTCGATGAATCTCAGCCCTATGGAGCAGGTGGTGACGTAACCAGACGATGAGGATGGTAAAAAGCTCAATGTCGAGGTACTTTTACTCATCGATTCTTCCTTCACAGATACCTATTCAAGAGAGTATCAAGTAGACGATAGGCTGATTACGATGAGCTAGTGGGCCGGATCGATCCCGTTACCCACACCAAACTACATATATTGGGGCCATTCAAAGGAAGACGGTAAAGGATAGATTGCACCCAACAAACCGAAAAAGATGACCCGCCAAGGAAGGTTTGGATGAAACAATAGCGTTGCACCCTGAAACAGAGATGATCTCTGCGGGGATTTGTTTCCTCTGGGCGGGTTGTTTGTATAGAGACTCTTTGGGGTGTCTTTGATGAAACCTCCAAGTCGGACGACCAACATGACGTTCATCGGTGGACGAGATATCGTGTTCTGTATATGTATACTGGCTACGAATGTGCTCAAGACTCAACATCGATGCAGCATATTATTACCACGACAAAGATACCCTGGGTAATTGAGATGATCCAGACTACAGCTCATCCTCATCATCACACTTCTTGACCTCGTAATCCACAGTCTCGTTGCCCTGTCCCCAAATCTTGGGCTTAAAGTCCAGATACACCAGCTCGTTCTTCTCGGGCTTCCACTCGCCGTCGGTATCCCGATAGTACACAATCTCTCCGCTGCCGGCATCTTTAACCTCGACCGTCGTGTGAGCAAGCGCCCCGTTTGTAGACCACTCGAATCTGTAGCACGAGCCCTCCTTGACGCCAAACGGCTTGGTGCAGCGAATGTTTCCGTCGCTGTCGATGCACTTCTCCACGGCGAAGTCGAGTACGTGGCCTTTGGCGACGGTGTCCCCAGCTAAAATGAATTGGAACCATGCGTTAGATCGTGGCAATATTCATGTAGATATTCAGCAATATTAAGCTTTGTTGAGGGTTGAGGGAAAAGGAGACAGAGGGAACAAGATGGGATCTTTTGCGTACATGATGCGACGCTAGCTAGAGCGAGGCCGGCGGCGGTGATTTTCTGCAGATACATGGCGTGATGAGTGTATTAAAAAGAAGTATCGTGGAGTATAGAATTTGGGCTGAAGATGCCTGGTGTAATAGTTTGATAAGAGAAATAGAATTTGGATAATTGTTCATGACAGAAAAGGCGCTGCCTCCAAGTTCTTATAAACAACATTTTGAAACGCCCTGCAACATCGTCGCATCATCGATGACGCGGGCTGTGGAGCTTTTGCTCCAAACATGAACCTTACAGCGCATCGTTACAGGGGCTGCAGGTGGCCAATCGCCCGCAAACGGTTCTGTATTACAGGCGGTACAGTGCCCTGGCAAGGATGAGTAACTACCTGTACCTAATCAATAGCTAAACACCCGACGTTTTCATCATCACTAGTGGTTGAGCACTTCAACAAGAACCAAGTTGAACAGTACAATTATTCAAGATTCCATCTTTGTTTTGTCTTCTTTTTCCAATTTGGTTGAAGCATTGCTCGTTACATAAAAAAAAATTATAGTTGCCCCTTGCATATAATTGAGTTCTTGGCAGGCCTGTGATGATGCAGATATGACTGAACCTTGAACGCCGAAGATTTGACGTCAGAATGTCGCATGGCAGTATCACCAACTCCCGTTTTCGGAAAAACCATGCATGATATAATTCCGAGTCAATCTCACAATCATAGATAGATTAGATAAGCATATTTCATTCACTACAGTCTTTCTGAGTGAGACAGACATTGTGAAGTTCAGTGAGATGAGATTCATGTTGTTTTATTTGCCTTCATTCGCCTTCATTTGCCTTTAATAGGTAATTGCCGGAATGGGCATGGGGTGGCATCGTTCGAGAGTTGTATTAGTAATCTCCTCTCACGACTTTGCTGTCTCCCTCACCATTTTTGCCGATTCCAAACTCCACGATTCTTTATGAGTCTCATGCTGGAGGAATAAGCAAGACTGCTAGATCCAAAGAGATAACCAAATCACAATCTTCTTGAACATCATGTCAGCTGAGCAAATTCCACTCCAGCTCATGCCGCAGCAGTTGCGAGCTAGAGATGGAGACGATTGGACCGGCATCACTGATCCCAAGGAGCGGAAAAGACTGCAAGATCGGATGAATCAAAGAGCTAGACGTTTGTTTTCTTCTTAGTAGTAACCACTGAGATTTCTCTCGCTGACATATACAAGGTCAACGAAGAAAGGCCAGATCTCTGCCTTATCCGGAACCAGCCACAAGAGAGCATCATCCACAAACTTCACTCATCAATTTGCAGATTGTTACCTGTAATCAACACAAACTCTGGCACAACCTCCCGCCTTGTTTCCCACGCAACCTAAGCTTCTTTACCGCCTGTCAACCGGATTCTGAGGAGACGCGGCAGTTGATCCATCAGTTTTCATCTTGGATATTGCAGCGCTACCTGCGGGGGTGCCTAGATACAGAAACACTCCCGAGCCTAGTTCAGTTTAATACCTCGCGGGCTCTGGTGGTTAACGCCCAGATCCTCGGGTACACGACTTCGCGCATGTCACCCAGCGCGCGGTCTCACTTCACTGCAGTGGATGTCGCCGAGCCCGTGTTCAACACCCTGCCAGCCAGTCTTAGGCCCACGGCTCTCCAGCGCGAGGTCCCCCACCATCCTTGGATTGACGTCTTGCCGGTGGCTGAACTTCGTGACAATCTGATGCGTCAAGATGAGTCTACCTACGATGCCGCGCAGCTTTGTGGCGACATGCGCGGGTTTCAATCTGTGAGTACTGGGCATGGGGGCGTCCTTGTATGGGGGGATCCCTGGGATCCGGAAGGCTGGGAAGTGACCGAGGCGTTTGCACAGAAGTGGCCATGGGTAGTTCAGGATAGTTGTAGCTTGCTTCGATCGACCAACTACTGGCGCGCAAAACGCGGTGAGCCTGCTCTTTACTTGCCGGGCTATTCATTAGCAGAGTCTGGACAGCATCCGCGCGTTCGAGACATTGAAGAGGACCTGGCACTGCCGCATAGATGACGGGATGGTGTTGTCAAGATGGGCTTTTGTATAGGATCTTGACCGAGTTACCGCCTGTGATCGACTGGGAAAGAAAAGAAAGAAGAGAAAAGGAAACCCATTATTTTTTGGATCTTATCCAACTAATAATTTTTCTTATAATTTGCTCGTCCTGCTCATGCAAATATCACCACTGAATGATTATTTCACTAGTTCTTTAACTCTTGCAGAACATGAATACCATATGAAATTCCCCTGACTGATATACGTAGTGTTTTGGGGGTTTGTTGCTAGAATCAGGTCAGCAAAGGGTTCACGAGAGTGGAACCATAGTGTGGAGGTATTGTCAGTCACTTGCATTAGCGTAAACCGAGGTTTCGGGGATTCGCCGAATGTCTTTCATTCCCCTTAAATCACTAAATGGTTATTGATCGGTCAAGTAGTTTTGGGTTGGAAGCCAGAGTTGCGATTGACGACAGTTTGGTCTCTAAGCAATTCTTTGGCGGAGCAAAATGTGGCGTTTACAGAAGTATTGCAGGGCACAAGTCTGAAAGATGAACTTGAAATAGACAACTTATATAGCAGAATTTTTCCTGTTTTTCTTTTTCTCTCTCTGATCTTTTCTTAACACATGCAAGTTTCAATGTTACTTTGTTCTCGTTGTAGTATAGAAACATCGTGTCTTTTCTTTCCGAGAGGCTTTGTTCTCATAAATATTGAACATTCTTTTTGTCATCACTATCAGCAAACTATGAATTCTTTGTTTAGGTGGCATCGGTGCTGGATATGGCCGTGATAGGAATAGGAAATTATCTTTGACACGATTACACTTCTTTCCCATCTGCCTACTTCACCCATTATACACAAAGAAGAGACAAACACTCCATTTCATGTGACAGGTCGATCGCAAGAGATTGGCTGCCAAAACACCGAGGCCCGAGTTCACCAGTGCTTAGTAAGCTCGATTCGGAGCCGAACCCAAGAAAGGGGCAACTAGCCCTCCAGGAGGGTTTCGGCGGTTCGCAATATTGAAGCTCTTCTTTACAAGCCCCCTTCGGTGAGATTGAAGGGACTGCCAGACACTTGTGCTCGGTATTGAGATCTGGATTTTCCTTTCGAGTGACCATTATGCCGGCAACTCGGATAAGCAAGACGTGCGACGAATGCCGCAATCGTAAAGTCCGATGCGTCGGTGTGTCCATCCACCCTCAATCCGGCACTCGGAATTCTGCGGCTGGGCATAACGGGTTGTAACAGTCTGCTCATTGCGTTCATAGTGTCGGCTGTGTCTCCAGGAGCACCAGCAGTGTGCACCAACTGCGTTGTAAGGCTGTGTGGCTCAGCATTTCATCCCACTAATGACTGATCCATCTTGTCATAGAAGCGGAATAAGGCCTGCTTGTTTAGCAATGTGAAGGCAAGATCTTTAAGAGTAGCGGGTATGTTCTCTAGGTTCTAGTCACATGAAGTTTGGTTCATGTACTATCTCAAGCAGTCAAGTTGGACGCCCCTCCACCGTTGATGAATGCATTCATCGACCGTTTGCTCCAAGATCCGTCAGAAAGCGCACCTCTCTATGATGAGTTTTCTATCCTCAGGGTATGTACATGTAGATTAGCATCGCCCTCGGAACAAGACGATTGACGACACGATAGGTCGATGATAGGCGTGGTACGTCCCCTTGTGGTGGCCAAGTTCAAGATTGATCAACTGATTGTATCTCCCCAGTGCCAAGTTCTGGGCTTGCCTTTTTCTCTGATCAAAAGATCAATTCACTGGTGGAAAAGCTGGGGAGTACTGAGATACGACATCTTATCTATCAAATTGACGATGCCATCAAAATGCGTTTGCTGGCTAGCTCTCATAGCGATGCATTCCCCGTGGATCTTACGCGACCCCAGAATGTGGAGCCCCTTCCCTCAGCTGAGGTCAAGAATTATGTCAACAGTCGGTTTATCTGTCCTGCCAACTCACATCTGAGACTTACAGAGTTTCAGGCTACTTTAAGGCTGTTTATCCAGTCTTTCCATTTCTAGATCGGGCAGAATTTGAAGCAAAGGTCAATGATCCACATCTCATTGACATTCTGAAAACTGATTCTACATTCTGCGCTCTCTTTCATGCCGTAATGGCTCTGGGATGCCAGTATCATGGATGCGGCTCATTTCAGCCCGGCGTTGGCAAAGCGTGGAGGCTTTTCCAAACATCCCTTAATTGCGTGGCTCGCATCATCATTAGCCGAGACTCGTTGTCTAAACTTCAGGTCAGCCTGCTACTTGCCTGGTGTTGTTTCACCTGCTAACAAATACTGTCTAGGCTCTTATTGCAATGGTGGGCCAGTCTATTACATCTAATCTTAAGAATTGTCGCCATGGTCTCTAACTTCCCGCCAGGCCATCTTTGCCATGAACGCGTGCTCCTTACAGATTGACAATTTTTTATTAGCAGAAGCTAGCCGTACCGTTCTCGCACTTAGATATCATAAATCTTCCCTAAGCGGCGCCAACTCTGCTGTTTGCTACCGGGCATTCTGGGTGGTTTACCACATGGAAAAGCAATACAACTTTCAAGCAAGAAGTAGTTCCGTAAGTCAAACTTGATGCCTAAACATGTCACCATAGAAATTGACATTTCAGGGCATCGTCGATCTTGATATCGGGTGTCAGATTCCACCGGCTCCAGAATCCGTTGTAAATGGCTACAACTGGTTCGTAGCCTCGATCCGCATCAGTCGGATATTTTCCATCACCTATGATTCGTTTTTTTCGGTGACGGCATCCGCTCAATCTGCCGAATCCTTGCTTCCCGCTGTCAGTAATATCCAGAAACTATTGGATGACTGGCGGCAATCCATTCCTCCTGCCTACAGACCTCATGAGTCTCTACAGAGATCTGTCCTGGCCGATCTGGGCATAAGAGAGATTGCCATACGAACGCATTTCTATTACTTCCACCTTGTCATCGCTCTTGAGCGAATGAAGCTTCACCTCAGCTCAGACAGACAGACAACGGACGATAGCCTCCGTACCCTGCTTAGAGCGGCGAGAACAGTGGTAGAACTGACTCGCTTCATTGATGTGGAGCCATATACACCCGTCTTGTCAGTCTTCTCTGGTTCCGAATATTCGACCTGGACCACATGTTAACGTCATGAAATAGCATACTGGCAATCATGCCCCTGTCTGCTCTCTTCATACTCTTCGATTTTGTAATTCACAACCCTGCTCATCCAGACACACGGCAAAACCTGATTTTGCTCGACATTGTGTCTGGCCATTTCAGTCTCCTCGAGCACGTGTCTGGCGGGGTATTGCCCGGGAGCTATCTCTCTCGCTTCGGGAATATAGCAAGACAATACGCGGAGGAGTTTTCAAGCCAGCCGGATGACAACATGAGAACCAACGCTTCATTGGTCGTGCGAGATGATGAAAATTCTCCGAACTCCTCACCAAGAGCGGATACTACACTTCATGGCGACACTGAAGTGGACGGGGTAGGTGTTTATATGAATACACTCTGGTTGTGACAATTTCAGTGACTAATGCGCAATTGACTAGGCCACTACATCTAATTCTCCCAATATTCGCAGCGAATTTGATCAGGACCCCTCGACTGGTCTCGATGGTTACTGTAATATCTCTGCTGACAGCGCCTTACTCTGTAGTACAGATATCTGGCCCGCCCCTCTACAGATGGAACACGAAGTTGGATTGGGAGCTCTTTTTGGATCAGCAATATCCTGGGAACATTTAAATGATTGATCTGGGGCCACATAGGGGAGAAATCAAGGTCTGGGACGCATTGGTGGAATCATAGGTCCTTCAACAGCAACAACATGTTTTGTCAATGAGTGAAGTTCTTTCAGCAGTCACTAAAGCTTTTAGATTGATCAAACATAACTAGTTGATTCAATAATGTCTACAAAATAATAATAAAGACATGATCCTAGCTCGTTTGTCAACACCAAAAGGCCTTGGAAGCACCGTTGGTAGGGCGAGTCGGGACTTCCTCCCTGGTCATCTCTTTCCATGATCGAGGCCGTGTTTGTTAAATTAATTGTTGACTAAACCCGTTAATTTTGAAGATATGCCTAAATACTGACTGCGTGAAACATACGTGGGGATGGAGACCCGCTCTGTCAAGAAGCTCGGTAGAAGGCGCTGAGCCTCCGAAAGTATTCCAGAATTGTCAGCGACCTCGGTGCCGAGACTCTGTGCCTGACTCCAGTCCTTGTATCTTATACTAAACGCGTTAACTGCAACTATTAAACGAGTGGTTGGAATTTGCTAAAGGCTTTCTGTTGCAATATTTCTCGAAAGCCAATTCCTCGGCTTATCTTGTCTCAGTACAGTTCGGCCATTCGTTTCCTATCTCCATCATGGCCGTCACCTCACAGGAGGCCTTGTGTATTGTCGTTATCATTTATTTCTTTCCCGCTTTATTTGTTGCGGCGTGGGTCTGCCGATGCCATGGTTTCGGCAAGCAACTCGGCTGGCTTTACCTCGTCCTGCTGTGCCTTGTGCGTGTGGTTGGATCTGCGCTACGGATTACCAGTGAAATTAATCACGAGGCGGGCATAAGTACGGCCGCTGATGTGGTTTCGTCTGTCGGAGTAATGACGCTGCTGCTGGGAATGCTGGAACTCATCGACCGTTTGTAAGTGCAGGCGCAGCCTCAACCGGGTATTCATATGACTCTTTCGTGTGCTGACTGATCTCTAGCGAATCGATGCTCAGTTTCAAACCAATTCATCAGAGAGTATGGACATTCTTGCAACTAGCTCAGTATGCTGCTTTTATCCTATACGCTGTGGGCATGGGCATGGGAAGAACAGACCTCAACGAAGCCTCTACCATTATCGTGGCGGCAACGTTTGTTGTCCAGGTAGCGATATGTGCCATCTTATCCCGCTATATGCATCATGCTGCACGCTACAGCCGACTCCTCCTCGTTGCAATCATCAGCATCCCGTTTCTGGCGGTGCGGGTTGCCTACGGGATTGCAACAACATTCGTAACCAGCGACAGTCCATTCAACAGAGGGGTAACTGGCGTGGTGATCAGTGCATTCTTGCAATACGCGATGGAGTTCGTTGCCGCAACCCTCTTTCTCTACGCTGGTGTTGTTTTATTGCCTCCCAAGCACGTGGATAGTCGCGAATCCGGCACAGCATCGCTCAACAACAACAACGAGTTTCCAATGGGCTTTCCCCACGCGCTGCCCAGTCGTTGAGCTTCACGGATCAGGATCCCTACCAAGTCACTCTATTACCAACTGGGAACTCTCGCCGGCCTGGGTCACACAAATCGGTCAACTTTGCGATTAACGTCTGGAAAGAAAAAACAACACAATAAGCGTTATTTTATATACCTATTAGTAATTTTTATTCTAGTTGCCATAGATAACATAGGTTTTTAATTTAATTATGGTCGTTGTCTTTAAAGATGTTTTGTTACGACGTAGCTCTTATAGTAACGATAATAGATAGTAAAGTCCGAAAAGGACTCAAGCTGCTCGTCAGTTGGGGGGAAGGGGGAAGGGGGAAGGGGGGCAATACACCGTAATGAGGAAATGGCCCACGGATATTGTGATATCTTCAATACCAATAGTGTAGATACACGTATACAGCTTTGCCGGACATGAACGAGGTTGGGCACACACTGGCGGGAAGTGGGTCGTCGTATTTCGGCTCCGAGCCTTGAAAAGATATATCACAGCATGCGTGAAGGCATGGAAAAGGCGTTGGTCGCTCTCGGAGCCTCGTGAGTATACACGTTGTACTGACGTACCTATTCTGCTTTAACAACTGCAGCCTATTGATCTTTAACTGCGGAACTCCGAACCACCGAGCGCCACAAGTTACTCTTGATCTCAAATTCTCAAAGGAAACGAGTTATAATCTCGACTGGAGCCACGCATAATTGTCGACACACTTGGCGTGAATACCGGCTTTGATCATCTCTTGACTGCGGTTTCCCATCCCCATCATTCTTATCTAGTTCCTCAGCACCTTTGAACTGCCCGAATGAAGCTCTTTGATCTGATTTGCCTATTTGCTTGCCTGATTCTAGGCGAAGCTGCCGGTATCACTCAGCATGGTAATGGCACACTGAACGCTTGCGAAGACTGCCAGGTACGGTATCAATCTCATGCAAGTTGCAGGATACCGTGCTAACAGCTGCATTGTTTTAGTCTACCTTGTCATACCTGCAAACCATCGCCTTTATAGGAGACGAAGCCTTTGTGAAAATGCTCCAGCAAACGTGCGGGGGATCATTGGTAATTAACCTGCACCCCGGACCTTGGACGTATGCTTCATGCTGACTGCGTTGAATCACACATACAGAACAATGATGGGGATTTTTGTCTGGGTGTCATTACCTTACAAGGGCCTGTTCTCGCAGATACTCTGCGGAAAATCGAGCCAAGCTCAAGGGCGGCGGTCCTCCTCTGCAACGCTCTCATGGGGGCCTGCGAGTATCCTCACGTAATGCCATATAATTTGAGCTTCCCCCCCAACGGTCAATGCCATGTACCTCTCGCTTCAAAAGTGTCCCCAATGGTGGAGGTGGCCTCGATGATGGAGAAACCCGTACCACTACGGATTGCCCATTTTTCAGACATCCATGTTGACCTGCTTTATGCCACCGGATCAAATGCGAATTGTTCAAAGCCAATGTGTTGCAGGTATGTCATTGGAGAGCCACTCCACCGGCAAACATCTTTCTGACTTGGGCGGCGCTGTGGTTCTTGGATAGAAACTACACCCTTGCTGATGAGCCCGGCCATAATGATGCACCAGCTGGTCCTTTTGGTGAGCACAACTGCGGTTCCCCGCCCAGTCTTGAAGAGAGCATGTATCAAGCTATTCAGGAACTCTCGCCTGACTTCTCTATCTTCACGGGCGATATTGTGGACCATGCCATCTGGAATACATCCATAGGTCGTAATGAAATGGAAATCCGGAGCACATACAGCGCGATGAATAAAGCCGGCATGGGGAGAGTCTACAGTACGCTCGGCAACCACGAAATGTCGCCGGCCAATGCGCTCCCCCCATTGCGATTGGGTAAAAGCCTCGAGTGGCTATTCAATCTCGTATTGGAAGCATGGCCGCGCCTGGAGGGGACGACTTCTGACATCAAGACCTATGGGAGATACTCGGTCAAGCATCCTATGTCCAACTTGCGCATCATCTCCATCAATACGAATCTTTATTATACTATGAACTTTTGGATGTATCAAGTGATGGATGGCCCTGATCCGGACAATCAGTTGCAATGGCTCATCGAGGAGTTGGATTCGGCGGAAAGAAACGGAGATCGTGTCTACATAATCGGCCATATGCCCATGGGCAGCTCGGATGCTTTCCATGATGCGTCCAACTATTTTGACCAGGTCATCAATCGTTACCAATCAACCATCGCTGCAATGTTCTTTGGTAATTCACTCTCCGGGTTCACTGTGTATGTTGGCAGTCTATTCGAAGGATTCCATACTGATCTGAGCCGCAGGACACACCCATTTGGATCAATTTGAGATTAGTTATTCAGACTACCAAGCGCAGACGGCAGAAAATGCTGTATCAATTTCTTACATTGCGCCATCAATGTCGCCCCTCTCTGGTATGCCAGCGTTCCGGATATACACTGTCGACCCGATCACGTTCGGTATTCTGGATGCCGAAACGTACAGTGCTGATATGGATCAAGAGGGATTCAATATTAGGCCGGTCTGGACCAGAAGCTTTTCGGCCCGGGAAGAGTATGGATCCTTTGTAAATCCGCCTCTAGACCACTCCCCAAAGTCTGAACTGACCCCTGCGTTCTGGCATAATGTTACCACCTTGCTGGAGTCGAACGCAACTGCGTTTGATGCCTACTGGGCACGTCGTACTCGCAGGTGGAACGTGCAATCTTGTGACTCAGACTGTCGAAAACAGGAAATATGTCAGCTTCGAGCGGCAAGAAGTCAAGATAATTGTCACCAGGTCATGCCGACCAACTTCTTTGGCACCCAACGTAAATCAAGAAGTACTAGCAATAGCCAGCGGAATGGCCGTGAGCTTCTGGCTTGAGAGATTCAGGGTTTGCATGCATATAATAGACAATTCGACGAGCTATACAATGTAGCACTCTGGTTAATCCATATAAACATATAAGTCAGAAGGAGTACTATGCCGTATATATCAGTTTCAAGCTTAATACGGGCACGACATGGCCCCAAATGTCTACAGTAGTTTGGTGTCAAGTTGCCAGGACGTATCATTCATCGTCTTTCAGCCAAGATTTCTTCTAATTGTTCATGACGCTTCAAAGCATGGTCAAAGTCGGAATAGGCGGTCTTGTCCCCACGAGCGTAGGCTTCATACAGCATGGCAACACCCCTGGCCGCAGTCGGGAGTTCCTGACACCAAGATTCCCAGCTCCAACCAACCTCCTGAACTTGGTTGGCAGCAAAGTCGTGTAATACAATGTTGATGGGTCTTGAAGCCATTGTGCGCGGCGTTGTGCCACCGTCGGCCGTAAAATTGATCTCCCCTCTTTCTCCGTGAATGCTCCATGTCAGATGAGGCTCGCCGGGGAATGGCTGACCACGGCGAAAGTTGACGAAGAGAGAGGCACCATCTTGGATGTATTTGGCACCTTTCAACGAGGCGGTCACAGAAGCAAGGTCTGGCACGTCTGACTTGATGGTATCAACGACCGTGCTTGTTGTCGAGGAGAGGAGCCCGACTTTAGGCCTCTGTAGCTGCAGTCGGCTGCGAATGTCCTGAGTGTCCCCGAGAACAAATTGCAGGAGGTCCCATACTGGGAGGCGTCAGGATCAAGGAGCATATAACTTGGAGCGATAGAAACCTACAGTGACCGAAGCCAACCGTGATGGCGTTCCCTCCCATTTCCAACTGAGTAAAGTATCTCAAAGACTCGGGCACTGCGTCACGATCACCTGTGCCTCCCCTTGCCTTCACCTCGGAGCTGAGAACCTTGCCGATGAGGCCCTGCTCCAAAAGTTCTCGAACCGCAACGCCAGGAGCGGTGACGCACCCTTGCAGGCCAACTAAAGACTTGATTCTCTTTTCCTTAGCCAGTTCAGCCAGCTCGCGCACCTGCGAAATGTTTGACGCTAGAGGCCATTCCACAAAGGCCGCCTTGCCGGCGGCGATACTGGGTTTGATGGACTCGTAATGCTTGTCAACACGGGTGCTGCACACCACGAAGTCGACGTTGGCATCTTGAGCCAGGTCATGAGGACTGCCATACGGACGGGTGTCGGAGGGCAGATGGAATGTCTCAATTGCTAAACGCGCGGACTCGATGCTTGAATTACAGATGGCGACAATCTTGTATTGGGCCTTGCCACGGGGAGAGAGGAGGTAAGGCAGATGGGCTACGCTGGCCCAGCTGCTGAGGTTTGTGCCTGACAAGCCGATGATTGCGAGCCGGATTGGAGCCATGATGGCGTTAGGGCCTGGTATTAGGGGAAAAGGTGGTCGGACTTGGGATCGAGATGATTATCTATTTCGTCAGCTCTATTGCATTGCCAGCAGGATATTAATGGATTCTCTACGGCTAGGTTCCCTACGTAGTCCCAAAACGACTCGAAAACACCTCTTGCAGCCATCACCTTCTGCTAGATAGTTTAAATGTAATAAGACCGGAAATTTATACATTAACTCCGTGCTCTGTTCTGGGATGACATGACCTGGGTGTAGAGCTTCTACTTCGGCATACAGCCACGGCATCGCATTGACGAGTACGTGGACTTACACTGTACCTGGTGTGAGTGATCAGCGCTACTGCAACCCACTGACGCGCTAAACTCGACAAGCCAAGCCTCATGTATTGAGTTCCATGCATCATTTAGAATATACTTGAGTCGTTGGCGATCCGCGCTACTGCAACCTACTGATGCGCTAAAGGAGGCAACAAGCCGAGCATCGTATACAACTGAGCTACATTAATAGTTGAGACAAAAGTATTTGCCCAAACCGCCTCCCTTGGACATAATATCGGACTGAATTTGTGGCGTAGTGGTTCAGAGAATGTGGGCGAGAAGCAGCCAATGGCAGAGGCAAACAAGGCCGCTGTCGACATGAGCATTGAATCGTTACGTACTTCTTAACTAATTCGTGCCTGTTACTCCGAGCACAGTCAATATTGATCATCACCATGCCAACTATTTGCAATATGTTCCAACTTGCGAAGGACGGATTCATCGCTCTTATGGCCACCGTTTGGACTCATCAAGATTAGCTACACGTACTCAGAAACCAAGCTGCCGATCTACAGTGGCAATATCCTCCTTCTTGTGGGATTTCAAGAACTCCTCCATGTCGTTTGGGATGACCCCAGGGTATTTCTCATTGTCAAGCTTGTCACCAAGATGCGCAACTCCATTCGTGCACCAATAAGCAAAGCAACTGCGGTTTACTGTTAGCACATGATCAGGACGAGTCAATGTCTAGCCTACATACCCGGGAGCCCAAGCCATGACGTTGTTTGGGTCCTTGCCAAACTCTTTCTTGACGGTGTTGTAGAGCTCACCAAGAGAACCGAGAGGCTTCAGGTGGAGAGGAGATTGATAGACCTCTTCATAAATCTTCTTGATTTCGAAAACGCTCTTGTAGTCGCCCCGGACTAATCCTGTTAGCTGATTCCATCCTAACTTGCTGTAACTCCCAACTTCAACTTACAGCGAAAGACTCCGGATGCGTTTTTGTCGACTGCTAGAGCTGCGACGTAGGCGGCCGCGGTCTCATACGTCGTCAGGTCCCATTTTTCATCACCCGTGCCCCAGTAGGAGATTGTCTGGGTATGGGAATCAAAGATCTGGAAGAAGTCGCTCCAGAAGGTCTCAATCAGACCACCAACTAGAACGTGAACGCCTGCCAGTTTCTGCTCTACTAGGTAGTTCCTGATGATCTTGGACGATTCCTTGGGAAACAATTCGCCCGCAGGAATCTTCGTGTAGTCGACAGCAAAGTCACTCGGCAGATACCGTGGGACGCCCTCCTTGACACAGGCGTCAATCGGAATCTTCTGGCCCCGAGTCATGACATCGGGGTCGCCAAAGTAGCAGCAAATAACGATGTTGGTTCCTTGAACGAACTTTCGGACGGCTGCCTCATCATCAAATTGGCCCTGGATGACCTCAATTTGGTACTTTTCCATTGCCAGCTGTGGCAACTTCTGTGGACTCCGGCAGAAACCCTTCAAGGTCACATTATGGTTTGCGTACAGTTCCTTCGCCACGCACTGAGCAAACTTGCCAGTGAGGCCAGCAATACCCACGACGGTCGACATATCGGATGGGAGAAAGAACTGAGTAACGGATAAGCAGTAGATATAACAAAAGTACCACGAATTGAGGGAGAGAGCGGAGTGTTGTCAGATGTAGATGATAGGAATTCGTAGTCATTAGTCTAGAGGAAAAATAAAACTAGATTGAGCGCTGCCATAGCTCCCTGAGCTAACTATATATACGACAATTTGGCCCCAGAACTCTCTTACTGCTGATAAATCACTTGGTGTAGATCGGGTATACATACAAACTTATAAAAAGGGGGTCTGCGGTGGAATTGTCCTCTCTTTTGTACTCACATGGCCAATTACATTTACACGGAGCCAAAATATTCTACTATGCCGTCATCTTTTGCAAGGTTTGCAGAAGAACATGCATATGATGATCAAAATTTACTTGAGGGGCTTCACATTCGTGGAGATCGATTTAGGGATATTAGGTACGCATCGTCACAGAATCGATTCGGTGTATGTCTTCAACACTATCTCATAATAGCGGACGTGTACGGTCTGCTCTCAATGCTTTGTAGTTACTTCAAAGGGCTAGCCTGCCTGACCTCGATGAAATTCTTCTCGCCAAAGGCGGACTTGATGCTCTCATCCTGAATTACTCGGAGATACCACTCTGTAGTCTGGCTATACTTGGTTCTAAGCTCTCTATCGATGATCTGCGCAAAACCCAAGTATAGGCCTGCGGCAACGGAGATATCCGCCAAGTTTAGCTGATCCGAAGCGATGTACTGACGGTTTTGCAACCGCTCCTCCAACACCGCAAGGGAGGCGTTGAAGCGTTGAAGCGCAGACTTCTCGGCCTCTTCACTAAATGGGGCCATACCAAAACGCCAGAGAATCAGAGTCGTCACTGGCTCAAATAGTTCGTGATCGGCGAAACCGATCCACTGTCGAATAATAGCGCGCTCTTCTATCGTAGCGCCCAGAAGCTGGGTGCTCGAAGGGCCGCTCTCGGCGGCGTACTGAGCGATGGCATCTGACTCAAAAAGGAACAGGCCTCCGGCAGACTTGAAAGTCGGAACCCTCCCCATGGGGAATTCTGCGAGAAAATCGGGTGTCTTGTTCGTCTTTCCCATGGTGAAATTGGGATCGTAGTCCACCGTCCGCTGGTTCAGAGCTGCTGCGGCCTCAACCTGCGATGGAGGTTAGTGTCAGAGAAGGCAGGGAGAGGGGATGGGACTCATGGGAAGAGACAATGGCACCTTCATGGCCCGTGGGTTAGATGGGTACGTCCAAATAGTTCCGATAGAGCCCATTTTGACTGATTGAGTCGTTTTGACGTCGGTTGGTGGATGATGAGGTACTTGGGAGCTGTACCATGAGAGAAACTCGGATTTTGAACCCTCTTATATGCTCATCTCTTGACTGCGGTACTTTCTTTTCCCCTTTCCACACACTTCTCCCTTCTTCCTTTCTTCCAGTAGAGAAGCTTGGAATTAGAATAGGCTCTCCATAAGTTACTAGATCAGTCATCACTGGGGCATTGTAATGTCAGCCATTTCCCACTGTACAGGGTCAAAGGCGCTATCCGGTCAATTACATCCACAACAAGAATAGCTTGTAGCAGTACGATTTGTAATGCTTCAAAAGCAGTGGGAAGAGGCAGTAGGGCTCTGTGAGCTGTGTAACACTGTCTGTCTTGGATGCGTAACCCGCATATCCTAGCTGGGTTTGTCAATTACATCGTGGATACAGCGTCAGTAGCTTGCATCTCTAGTGCGTCAGTAACTTGCATTAGCGTCCGATTTGGGCAGTATACTAAAGTGAGAGAGGGCAATGGCGCGGAAATAACCGCAACTAAATTGTTTGGCATGAGCCCTGTTACACGTATGGGCGGGTCACACGAGTCGGTGTTTGTGAGCCACTTAGTGATGTTGAGTTGCTAAAATGACCAACTGCTTCAGCCAACATCTACTCCACATCGGCATCTACCAGAGGCTGGATCACACCATAAATGCGTCATTCAACGTTGCAAGAGAAGGATGTATGGTAAAGGCACAGAAGTGCGTGTTGTGGGATTGGACGGTGTAGGACAGTCCTTTTAGCTAAACTAGCATTACACCACTTTAAAGAGTGACAACTATCTTCTTTGCGGAAACACCCTTGCGTTGGACGTTAAGAGCTTTCTGAATGTCCTCCAGGCCGTGGCCAGTCACGGAGGGATCAGGCTTAGCCTTGAACGAGCCGTTAGCCAGGGACTCGGGGATGAAGCTCGTCCAAATCCATTCCCCAATGTGCAAGTTGGGCTCTTGAATGATGCTGAAGGCAACGACTGGATAATCTTGTCAGTGGCTCTATAGCATAATGTCACTGATAGGTTTGCACTCACCGTATGCTGGGGCGAATTGTTCCGTGCTCTTGTTGCTGGGAAGGACGCTGGCAACGGGAACCTTCATGTTAAGTAGGTCAAGAATAGCAAATACAGCATCGAAGCTAGATTCCTCGCCAATGGCATCGTACACGCCAACAAAGTCAGTTTCCTTAAGAGCCTTGGCAATATCCTCGACGACGGTCGCTGACTTATAGTCAAAGACCGCGGCGGCACCAAGTGACTTGACTAGACTGTGGTTGGCAGGGGAAGCCGTGGTAATAACAGTCACACCCGAGGCGGCTGCGAGCTGGATGGCGGTGGCGCCGACGGACGATGCACCGCCCCAGATCAAGACAGTCTTACCGTTTTTCTCGTGTTTGGTAGCCGAAGGCAATGGGAGATTGAGATGGTCCTTGGGATACAGGCCGGCACAGGCTGTCGAAATGGCGAGTGGGAGAACAACAGCCTGCTCGAAGCTCATCGTGTCGGGGATGGGAGACACTAAGGAATCAATGGCGACCGGGTAGCTTTGGAAAGCGGAGTTGGCAGGGTCTCTTGTCATTAGACTATGACAGTGACTAATTTGGACAAGAAGTGAGCACTTGGTTCTGGAAAAGGCGTAGCTTTAAGCCAGGCGGACTGACGCGATAACCCTGTCGCCCTTTTTGAATCGAGTGACGCCGGCGCCGACCTCCTCCACGAAGCCAGCGGCATCCGTGCCAAGGATAAATGGATATTGAGATAGATATCTGCCATGAGACCTGCATGGTATTAGAGTCATCGGGGCATAGAGGTAGGCCGAAGTCATACTGAATCTTCCAGTCGACAGGGTTCTGGCAGGACGGTCAGTCATGGTCTTAACTTCAAGACGGCATCAAAGGGGAGTTACTGACGATGGATACGGCGACATTCTTGATGACAATTTCTCCGGGCTTTGCAGAAGGCTTAGGGGCTTCCTTAACGGCGAGGGGATACTCTCCGGGCGCTGTGATCCAGGCCGCCTCGTTGTAAGCCATGGTGTGGATGAGGAGATTGTAGTTGGGAAAGACGATGAGTGAATTGGGATCGATTGCAGGATTCAGCAGGATTTATATAATGTATACACCTAATACAAAGATAGAGCCTGACTTTCTTTTGGATTGGTAAGAAGGATCTCCCGCTACTAAGATATTATACTAGAAAGCAGTAGAGTAGCGCCATGAGAACATGAACCGTTCACCTCTATGCAGTACCCGCCAGCCACGCGATTGTGTGCCCACCCCATCCCGTAAAGTCCGCTAATGTCCGAGAAGAACTACAGTCTGGAGCTAGATACACAATTCCACTTGTCTCCTTTGATCACAGCCTCTTTTGACACTCGGCAATGTCCGTGATCAAGATCAAGTACAACATTCAGTCTAGGCTGCTGATAACTTTGGACGCCGTGCCATAATATACTGCATGATCTTCACAGGGGCTGTAGGTAGCATCGTATGTAGCAGTTTAGGACCACCGCCAGTCTCAGCAGCACGACCACGAGCCTTAGCAGTAGTCCCAAATATGGAGGTTAAATTTAATATCAAGATGAGAGGTTCAATGCTGTAACAGCTGGTTCAATAAAAGGCTATGCCCCAGCCTTTGGTTCAAAATCCAGAATCAATCCATAGCTTAATCCAACCAGCAACAGCCGACCAAACTTAACCTTGGAGATTCGGGCCATACTACTGGCAGAAGCACAGAAAGCATAACCGCTTTTGATATATTTGTATATATTTTTATTTAATAGTTATTTTGCCTTTTAAAACATGCTGTAATTGTATGTTGTCTATTGCACGGACTACTATGGTTCAAATAGGAATATATATTTATATTACTCCTTACTTAGTTGTGCATTTATGATTTCTCTATTGAATGTGTCCGGTAAGGATTTCTGCTAACCACAACAATGCTCCAATCCTCCCAGCTCTCTGATGTTGTTGTCCCAATTATTCTCTATGTTGCGTATCTTGGCTATTGCCTTGGCAAATTCGCCCACGGAATTTATCTCAGCAAGTTCGTCTCGTGAAATGATGGACAGCAGTTCTTTCGCGAATAGCGATGCTATTCCCCATTTGCAGGGTTGCCGTTTCTTGCAGCTGATTGAATCGCTATAGTTGTAGATTGCGCGGATCACTAAGCAGAGGAAGCTGGTCGCTATCCCTGAAGATTCCATCTCAAAGTAGAATACGTCACTTCGAGCAGCAACATCTTCCATTACTTGGTTATTAAGCCCAGTTGTTCCATAGTTTTCCACGGGCCATCCAGTCATTTCCTCTTCGTAAATTTGTCTTGCAAAATCACATTGCAAACCACCGCCTCTTTCAATATGATTGTAGTGTGCTTCGAACAGGACAATATCGCTTTGATTACTGTGATAAAGATTGCTTGGTAGATTTTGTCTTGGGATGGTTGTCGAGGAGCTTCTTGTGCCAGGTTCGTTCAGTTTCATAATTGGGTTCGAGATAAATTGCGGCGGTGCATTTAGGGAGGCATCTAGCTCATATGCACTGATGATGGACTTTTCATCATCATACCGTAAAGCCTTATTGTAGCTCTTGTTCGACCGGTTGATCAACATATCACCGAGATGAATATTTGCCTGTGCCCCAGATATACCAGCTCCCACTCCGATTTGAAGTACTAACCGAAGAGCAGGAAAAGTAGCTTTCATCTGCTCTGTAACTGCCTTTGCTGCAATGGGATCGGCCGGGTCTGCAGGCAAGGTCGCAATCACCACATTGTGTTGAGCAATACGGCCAAATGCGTACTCATTTCCGCCATTATTGTCTTGTTCAAGGCATTGATGCGATTCATCCAGCATTGCTACTGCAGCCGAAAATTCCACGGGGAGCGCGCAAATCCATCCAACCGTATACTCGTTACGGTGGATGTCCTTTGTTGGTGGTGGCATCGTGAGGTCCAGTGATGGTAGCATGGTGCGCTCCTCGTTCGGATTCGAAAGGAAGTCAGACAAGACCTCGGCTAAAGCCATATCAATATCCGTACTGGCGTTTGATGTTACTGACTCCCAATCACTCATAGAGTCGTAGTCATCTATATCAGACATCAGCTCAAAATCTGGAGATCCGTTCATTGGCGCTGTTGACGATTCAATACGATGCATATCCCAGCAAAATTGAAGTTATTGCAATTGTCTCTTTCATGATACTGGAACTTCTGACCTAGGGAAGGGTTAAATCTGCTGTGTAGACCCCAAAAAAAAGATTCAGCCAATCGTAATAAGCCCAGACGTTTGCGCATGCGCATTTCTTCAAATGCGCAAACATAAGTGCGGGGCACATAATATGATTTATCATGTTCAATACAGCTGCCCAAAGCAAATTGGTTCAGCGCGCAGAACTGACTCCGATTTTTTTGAACCATCAGTTCCTAGTCCCACAGTCCTCTCAACGTACTTCACGATATAATCTATTCATCTTCATAGTTCGATCTCGCCTTCTTCTTTGCATTTCCTCTAGCAAATTCGACAACAAAATGTCACAATCTGTTGGGCAGAGATTCGAAGCTAATACTTCAAGTGACACAACGCCGACCACACCATCACCCAGATTTGGATGTCCATACTACACAACTTTTGGCCAGCAAGGGGTGAAAGGGAGGTCTTGCACAGGCGAAGGATTTCCTGATGCTCATAGGGTCAAGTATATCAGTCCTTATGAGGACAGGCATACATGGTGAGAAACGCTAACTTTGACCAGGGGGCACCTTTACCGGCTTCATGCACCGCCAATTTCATGCCCACGTTGTTACACTGAGTTCAAAAACGACAATGAGGTGATCTTGCACTTGAGAAGTGAGGAGATATGCAAGTTGATGCCTTCACAAGATATCGATAAAACCACAACATTTACGGAGGATCAAAGGCAGCAATTAAAGCGTAGATCGCCTACGAACGTAGGAAGTTTAAACGAGTCAGAGCAATGCGAGGATATTTATCGAATTCTCTTCCCTGATAGACGTCTTCCTGACTCAATCTGTTAGTTTGTACCATGCCAGACTCACAGTTGAATGCTGACAGATCATCAGACGTGAATGAACTGGAGCAAAGACCAGCGAAGAAATCTTCGAGACAGTTGACAGCGACTCTGAAGGAACTTTTTGAGCAGCAAAAGGAGATAAAAGCCGCCGTGACGGAATTACTCCTGGCAAAACTCCCGAAGGATAATAAGTATGCACGCCTTAGTTCGGAATTGAAGTCGTACAATGAGGCTGCGCATGCAACGGGCTTCATTAACGAAGAAGGCGAACTTGGAAATCACACACGAAAACGACGGCGGCTCTTGATACCCCAACAAACGGCTGCCAATGGTGAGCCTAATATGGTCAACTTCAACGCTCAACAGAGTATGGTCGAGGGGAGCGGTGCACCAACGAATCCGACTGTGGCAGAATCTTCTGCGGCATTGCATACTTCAGACAAGACCTCTTCTACTGATGACCTTTTTAACGACTTATTGAATTTCGACCATCTTGGGGCTTTGATCAGCGCGCCAACTTCACCACAAGACCCAGTCAGCTACAGAAGCTTTCCCGAAGCTATGAGCCATGGTCTTTGACCATCACAGCCAATCGGGAATTAATGGTCCAACCAACATTTCACTATACATTTCGAAGGCAATGATTTGGGCGCCTAGAACCGAACTATATAGTAGATAAAACGGCGTTTGTCTTTTCACAATCATGCAGGTCTGGTCTGAGCCGTGGGTTTACCATGTGAAAGGGATAGCATGAGTACAGTTATTGGGTTTTCAATAGTCACACAAGAATATAACAAAAAAACATAGTTTCAATTAAATTTTAACTGTATTTTGTTCCAGCGAGCAAGTCTTTTATAACGATAACTGGGGTATGAGTGTGGCTATTTGTACCTTGAAATATTGTACATATGTTGCAAGTATAACGCAGCTCTTAATCCACTAAGCTCGGCGCGACAAATCCCACCCCAAGCAACGCATCCCGTAGTCTTTGAAGATATCCAATCAAATCAGATATAATGCTTAGTATCCCCTAACGACCTGTGAATCTGCCTCATACCCGCCGCTGCCGATGACTTTATCGATGCAGAAGTCACGATACTCTCCAGGTCACTCACGAGAAGCTGGGTGATGCTGAAACTCAAAAAGGGATTGATTAGAGTAGGTGGCATAATTTGCCTGTAAGAAAAGGAATGAGATGAACTCATTATTTCATGTAACCGACCCTTTGTTCTTGGGCTGGACTGGAAGTTTGCGTATTGCTCCAATGTGGCTTCACATAACGTGAGTTCACACAAAGTACCTGAAGTTCACATAGAGTGAGTTCACATTGAGTGAGTTCACATAAAGTGAGCAATACTACCGCCCATGTTGCTGTACTCATGCAACACGAATTTTTCAATGGTCGTAACATTCCAACAAAACCATCTCTCTATAAATTTTGAGCCAGTCTCTATTAATATTTACTTTGCATCATATCGTCCCTCAAGATGAAATATCGAGAAGCAAATCTTGTCCTGCATCGCGATGCTGACTAACGCACTCTTCGCTAAGCACCTCGCTTAACAACTGCGAACAAAGATTATACCTGAGGCAGAACACGCTGCAACATCAACACACATTTGTTTTCAACTTTTGCCATTTCAATTTCTCATAATGATCTTTTCCTTCTTGCATACAACTGCCAATAGCAACCAGACGAAAAACAATGGCTCGAAGAATTCACATTCACCGTCTCTCTCCATATCGCTTCCTATACCATTTACCAAAGCATCCTCTTTCGCAAAGCCATATTCCAATCCAACACCTTCAACGCCAATGACTCCGACATTCTGCACACTATTCACGAGTTCGCTATGAAATCAGGCAGTATTTTGTGACCAAAAGATGAGACATTCCCTCCCCTGCACTCTGGCGCTGCTCCTTTACTGATCGTCGAGTCCAACCAGCTGCTTCATCGCCACGTTCTTGATGATTCTCAAGCCGCCATTCAGCGTCACCAAATCAACACTTCCACTTCGCAGCTGTGCTTCGTATTTTCCCAAAGCCATTCCAACCAAAAACCTCCCCATTGGCTCGCTCGGGCAGTGCAGCCACTTGACGCCCACTTCAATCGGCTTTCTCAGCAACATTTTGCTGCCGTCAACGAAAAGGCCCTGGTTCTGAAGATACGGCTGAATAGCTGTGTGGTCCTTACCATCTACAAAGCCAGGCCCTACGGCATCCGCCAACAAACGAGGGTTGGTGATGCGCATCTGGGACAACGCCGCTTCGGTCTCTCCCTTGGTTCTGCCGTAGAGGCTGGTGAATCGGCTAGGCGTCTGAGTCGATCCTTGGCCGGACACGAAGATGAATCGAAACGGATCGTTGTCGGCAGGAAGCGTGGAGAAGGCTTCTGCGCCTGCAAGAGGATAGTCCTTTGTGATCTTTATGAACTCTCTATGCGAAAAGGTTAGTCAATTTTCCATTCTCACATGCACCAAGTAATGCAATCGACGTACTCCTTTGAAACCTTTGTTTGGCTAACTCCAAGGGCCCAAACTGCACCACTCGCGCCTCGGAGCTTGCTGAGCACTTCCGAGTCGTAGTTGGAAAAGTCCTTGTGGATGATGACTTTCACCCTCGGATCTTTTGCGTCTTCAGCCATCGCGACAGGTCGTCTGCTGAGAATCGAGATTTTTGTGACTTCGGTCATTTTCAGCATGGCATCGAGCACACTCGAGCCGATGAGGCCAGTGGCTCCGGTAAGGATGAGGTGCATTATCGGATATGTATCGCGAACGGTTTTAGATGGCTGATGTGGTGCCTTTTCAGACAGGATCAGATCGAACGACTAAACCGAAATAACCGCCGGCTGACGAGGCAGAAGATGAATTCGTTTTCGCAATGGAGACAATTAATAGCAAATTTGAGAAACAAAGGCTGTGACAGAGATAGAGGCACTCGAAGATTGTCGTCTTCCAACAGACGTCTCCTCCAGTGTCATATATATCAATCCATCGTATGCCCAATTCGGACTACGACATGGGCTGACGTTTTATTTCCCAATCTGGGTGCGACGAAACTCCACTCCATTCCCGTCAACCTTAATTTTCGAGCCGTTCGACTCAGTCACTAGCTTCCACGCACTGGGCATTAGCCTGTCAGCGACGTTCCGAAGAATCAGCATGACATGGAGTTGCAGTGAGGATGCTGTCAAAACCTTTGCATAAGATTTGGCCATGCGCCGCATTTATGCCATTTTGCGATATCGTAGGGGTCGCTGTCTGCAGTAGCCGCAGAAAGGATTGTTCGGCCAGGGGCAAATACCTGAGTTGACTGACAGTACACCCAGAGAAATATTTTGTCTTAACCAGCCCATCTGTCGGAGATCAAGCAAACACTACTGAGCCAGAAGGCTCAAGCCAAGTCTGCATCCCAAGCCCTCTGCTGCTATTACACCAGCGTCCTTTCTATGTATTGTCCTGCACGTAACCTCCACCACAGGGGTTGCGAAGCAGTCGCAAGGCACGGCACTTTTCTAGGATGCGATCCTGGCTCGACTCACCCTCCTGTGCTTGGACTATAGCCTGGTTTGTCGTTCGTACACCATTTCCCAGCTTCAAAAAGAAGTGTATTAACCAGGGTTTGTTGCAGGCTCTGATCTAACCGGCGGCGGTCCCAGCGCAAAACATGAGACAGCCAACGAGCGCCCAATCAGAGATAGCTTCCGCTATATCTAACTCATCCTATCTATGACTTCAGTTCAAGCAACTCAGCTCGCCTATCATGTTTGTTCGTGAGAAGTGATGAATCAATTTATTGACAGTCGCAAATGTTAAGACATCGTGCGCTTGTTGCTCGCTTGGAAGATATGCGAGGCATATTCCTACAGACGACAGGTGCGTAACATGAGAATTACAGCGCCATGTCAGCCACGAGTCTGACTCTTTACAGGTCACGATAAGCAAAACGGACCACGAAGCACCAAGATGATCGCCAAACTTTTCGATCAGCACGCCTCCTACAGCGATTCCTGAGCACGTGGGTGATTTACCCGTCAGCATGTCGCCCAGCATTTGCGATTTCCGAATGGTAAGAAGGCATGGCAAGAGATCGTTAGCGTCCGGGGCTGGCTTTACAACCCCAGTAATTGACAATGGCTGATTTTTTGTAGTTCTACGTATCCACGTTGGCACCAACAGATGTTTGACCCTTCTGAGCCCAACCCAATCCACTCTCCGTTCGTTTAGACAATCGTCTGGTTAACAGTTAACACAGGCATTTCGTTGTAGCCAAGGAGCTACTGATCAATCATGCCCCAGAAAAAGCAATACATACGTCACCCAATGTTCCAACCTTTGCGATCATGATCCGCAATTCCACCAGAGTCATGCTCTCTCGCACGCTCTGCTGGCAATCTTTCGCTTGCGTAGCGAAGCGAAATATTCTCCAAACACGTAGTTATTTCATTCGATGGACTGTCAGTATTCCTTTAACTACTTCCTGTTCCCAGGCGAATCACTTGACTCTCAATGTTGCAGAATAAAGATCCAACCCCATATAATTCGGCGACACCGCAGACAAACCTTGCCTCGGAAGATATGGAGTCATTGACAGATGACATATTCTTGCATCATAACGGCATTGGCTTGCTTGATTCCAGAGCTCTTTGATGCTAATCCTTTGGCTATTTGAACAGACGCGAGCAGCCGCAATCTTGGAAGGGATCTAGGCTTCAAGAGACTTGGAACAACACACACTGCGTCGAGACTTGCTTTCGGTGGCGTGGCAGCAGCCATGTTTGCACCAAATAATGAATCGAGTGCTCGTGTTTTCTTACTTAAGCGGGATGCCGATACTTTCGCTATCATCACGCACTGAGCCCCAGACGTATTACAACCTCGGTCAGCAGCAAACCTGGCGCCAATGGCGGCAACTATATTTACTGATATTCTGTTGTGCAAATGCCATGGCTTGCGCAAACTAAGAATGACTCTGAACTCTCACAGCCCTGCGACTAATCAGGCACTCTGGCTGGATGACAAAACGTCATCCCATAGTCCAGATGCCATGCAGTTCAGCCTAGTGTCTCATCCCAAGTCTGCACAGCAAGTCTCCCAGCTCAAGAAGTTCCCCAGGCGTTCTTGAAGGTCAGCTCCAAGCTAAGATGGCAAAACCCGAAAATCACCCTTTCCGAGATACCGGCGCTCGAGCCGAAGTGCATTAGCCAACCAAGTCTGCCGAGCCTGTCCAAACAAACAGCAGCTTTGAAGCATCCTAGCCTACGGGAGACATAGCGCCAATTGTTTTGCAGACCCCAGGCACTATATGGCGCTTACTAGCACCAATTAGCTAATGTGACCGACCAACAGACTTCTATTTGCATGTGAGCAGTCAATCCTGGCGGTATTTTTGATCGCCCAAGGGGCCAAGAGACACAGGCATATTGCATCCTGCAGCTCCTTGACCCCACCAGCCTATCGCTTAGATGTCACTTGGTAGAGCAACCCGGCTGTCGCCTGACTCAACTCCGCAAGCCCGTGGTTTTCGTTAGCAACCGAGACGAGCTCCCTGAGGACAAAACTGTCTGTTTGCCTGCCTTGTGGATCACTGAACCAGAATGCTCTGCTGACGTAAAACATGGCGTTTTGGCTGTACAACGGGTTCCTGATGCGCCTCCACCTTTGGGACCACATCTGCGCTTTTTGTCGAGGGGTAACGTAATGCGAGATCTTGTCTGGCTATTCATATCGCGACACCCTCTTGGTCCGAGTTGGTGTACGTCTTGAGCCCGGATCTGTCGGGCATTGGTTGAGCCGAGCCCAGGCTGTGGAGACATGCGATACTTTGACGGTCATAATGCTTGCAGGTGGTTATTAACCAATTGCCTCTGGTGTTCTCCATAAGTATCCTCATCACTATTCTTGACATGGGGTTGCATGTGGGATGGCCCCCAAGAACCCATGTTTAAGACCCAAGCAAGGCCGAGACTCGCAGTAGCGATGAAAATGCTTTACACCCACATTGCCAATTATTGCTTCAACGTCCTTTTTTCCCCATTTACCATGAAAGATCCTTTGAAGCCGCTTTTTGCGCTTTACTCACGATGCTGAGCAACACAGCGCAACTGTTCCATCATGTTTCGTCTCTCATCGATCATGTTAGCTATTTCCTCAACGCTGCCCCCCTGGCTAGTGTCGCTCTCTTCACTTTGGCGGTAATATTTGTGTGGTTCGTGTCGTCGTCAACATGGCAATACTATCGACTTCGCCATTTCGACGGGCCAGTACTAGCCGAAATCTCCAACTTCTGGCTCTTCAAGTCTGTGGATAGCGGCAGATCTTATCTCGATTTCTGGGAAGTGACGCAAAAATACGGTTAGTAAAGGCCGTGGCTCGCAGCCGTCTTTCACACTATCCAACGGTGCCATGCTGCACGCACAAGCTTAATAAATACAGCTAACCAGACTTGACGTTTCGCAGGAACAATCGCTCGAGTCGGCCTCAATGATCTCGTTACTGATGATCCCGCCTTTGTCAAGCACATGTGCAATGTCAAGACAGACTATCGACGGTCCAGCTGGTACGACGGCATGCGCTTCAACCCCACCTCGAACAATTGTTTGTCCACACGAGATGAGACCGCACACACTGCTCTGCGATCTAAAATGGCCGCTGGCGTATGTGTCGTCATGATATCCTCAACTCGATGGGATTGGGAAGAAGCTGATAGTTGAGAGCCTTAGTATGCCGGCCGCGACGTGGACAACATCGAGGCCAAAATCGATACCAATGTCCGTGAATTCATGGGCTTACTTGGCAGATACGCTGACAGGAAGGCGCCTGTGGACCTTGGCCGTAAGGTCCAATATTTCACCCTGGATGTCATCTCTGATATTGCATATGGAGCGCCATTTGGCTTCGTCGAGACAGACACTGATGTCTACGAGTATATCAAGACAACCGAAAAGAACCTCCCCATGGTTATGGTGGTTACTGTGTTCCCCTGGCTGCTTAGGTTGTTGAACAACCCAATTCTCAAAGGGCTGCTTCCATCGGCGAAAGACAAACTTGGATTTGGCAGGATAATGAGGTGACTAGTCCTGATAGCCTGGCACTAGCTTATCCTAGACCAGTAAGACTGTGGGTATTGACTCTGTCTTTTATGTCTAGCATCGCAAAAGACGTAGCGGCAGAGCGGTTCAAGCCGGACGTCAAGGCCGAACGGGACATGCTCGGATCATTCATCCGACACGGCCTCACTCAAACAGAATCTGAGTCCGAAATCCTGCTCCAGATGTAAGCCATTTTCATACCCCTGCATTTGAGTCTCATTCTCATCCACTGAGTAATCCAGCGCCGCCGGATCCGACACAACCGCGTCAGCCATCAGATCCACGATGCTCGAACTATGCGCTAACCCGGACATTCTCCGTAAACTTCGACAGGAGATTGCCTCTGCCAATATCGCTGGCGATGTCATTAGCGACAGCGAGGCCAAAGTGTTACCATATCTCCAGGCGGTGATCAAAGAGGGTTTCCGAATTTTTCCTCCAATCGCAGGTCTCATGTCAAAGGAAGTTCCCCCGCAAGGTGATACATGGAACGGCGTCTTCATTCCGGGCGGAACCCGAGTGGGGTACAGCATCTGGGCCATCACACGGCGACGAGATGTCTGGGGTCAAGATGCGCTGGAATTCCGACCAGAAAGATGGCTCAACGTTTCTCCAGACAAGCTCAAGGATATGGAGAGCACTCTGGATCTCATCTTTAGTTATGGTCGCTGGCTTTGCCTGGGCAAATCTATTGCCCTGATTGAACTGAACAAGGTCTTTGTCGAGGTATGTTTCCCTGTCGCATTGTTCATAACAGGGAACTCGCTAATAAGTGTTGTTGTTGTTGCTGTATAGCTGATCCGACGATTCGACTTTGCGCTGTGTGATCCGAATAAACCTTGGAAGATCTTCAACCACGGTGTCTTTTCCCAATCACAAATTTGGATGGATGTCACGAGAACAAAGAAGACGCAATGAAAACATGACTTTTTTGCGTGTGCAATTGGTGACGATGAGATGAATGTAACGACGATATGAATTGCGCGATACCCAGGGGCTGTTCAAATTAGTGTCATCTAGGAGTCTTGTTCAAAATATGAAGAGAATTGTACCGATTCACCACCCTTCTCAAGCGATTTCTTCTCTGAGCTTTTTAAAGTAGTATTCACCCCACGAATCCTGCCACAAGACGCTCTTGAGAGTTTCTTGAAGGTAGTCCATGTCTCGAAAGCTGGACTTAGCGTAGAGTGACTTTAGACTTTCCGCAAACCACTCCTGCCTGTGGTTTTCGACGGCTGCTCCGTAACCGATGAATAGCATCCATAATATCCAGCTTTGTTTATGTGGATTTGAAACTGGCTTTTCTATGAGCTGCAAATTAAATGTAGCTTGTAAGCGATCAATCAGGCGTTGTATCATTTGAGCTCTCGCAGGAAGCTCCCGTATAGCCAAATAAAGGTATATGTTCAGAGCGACACATAGAGGAACCAATTCAGTACTGATTGATCCGCAGTCGGGAATATCGGCTTTCAGAAGATGTAGCCTGTATTCAATGTCGTATACATGGCTCGCCTCCGTCTTCCTGTGGCCCTTTACGTCTTTTGCCGCGGATATTTCGCGGAGAGACTGTACGAGGGAGACGACTCGCGTCTCAATATCGGGATCGTCTTGCGAGAGATTAATTGTCGGTGACTCTTTGGATGGAAACTCAATGTCGTACTTTGACGTAATGGAGGTGTGCGGAAACTGTGGCGGACAATTCCAAACGCTCGAGTTGCAGAAATCAGCCCTAACAGTCAAATATTGTCAGTTTCGCCAAGCATATTCTTGACGGTAGTTTCGGGAAAGGGGAGCTTACCATATGACTACTCCACGATGAAGGCCCTTGATATTCTCTATTCCTCCTTTTTTGTGGACCATGTATTTTAGGCCTTGCATGTGCATGTACGAGACATCAAACATGCCAGAGAGATTCTGCACATAGGCGATGTTAGCACTGGAATATTGATGCAGAGACATGGCAGAATCGTACTTCTTTTGCTGCTATCAGAGCAACCGCCGCTATTGTTGCCTCTCCGATCATACCGTTCCGGATCTGCTCATTGATCAACCGAAACGCCTCCGATGAATGGTAAAGACATCCAAAGGTATCCGTAAACCCACGCCTGAGGTTATAGTCGAGAGCAACTAGATATAAGATGGAATGAAACAGAGCTCGGTGTTTTCGAGCATCAAACAAGCAGTAGCCGCCTCCTATGTTGAGATCGAGAAAGTCCTTGGAATAGCTTTGTTTATCTGGTAACACCAACATTAATAAAAAACTTTGCCAAGGCAGATGATGCACAACAACCCGCTCCCATTATCCGACTTACAATAATAAATCAACTTTAAGGTTTCCGGTTTCAATCTGAGAGAAAACGAGTCAAAGGGATCCAAACTCCCGCCCAGTAGCCCTGCAGGCGTACTCGCGAAAAACCCATCCGGATCGTAAATACTAGGATCAGAAATCGGGCCCCTGGGCATCATAATACGCCCCTTTTGCTCTCTGGCTACTTCATTCGAGGTCTTGTCTCGCCCCTTCGCTTTCCTAGCGCTTGTGCTAGGTTTTGTCTTGGTGGCCTGCGAGTTGAGTCGAAATCTTCCCTTGTACTGCGACGGATTCGTAGGATTGTCGCTCGCTGCCTGGTCAGTGCTGTCTGGATTTTTTCGTTTCCAAAAGTAGTCCCTCATGACCTGGGTGCGAACAACAGTCGAAATCTCCTTGTTGCGCTTCTGCTTTGCCGATGTTACCGTAACAAACTCGAGCGGTTTGTGGCCGCTGGACTTGACACGAGAGGTGGTGACGCCATCTTTGGCAGAAGAATTGTTTGCTTTGCTTTCGGTCAATCTCGGAAACATCGAAATCAGAAATCAAGAGGAGAGTTACCGTTGTTTTGTGAGGCTTTGGGGTCTCTCGGGTCTTCATACGGGATGATGTTGATTTCCTGCAGATTGACACGCGAACTCATTGTTCTCGCGATATAGATTAGCCGTGTTTGTAAGCAGCTCGTCTCATTCAATCACGATTTCATTTGCTGCAAATTGGCCAACCGGGCTGTCAGATGGCGAGTTTGAGAGTTGAGAGAGTAAGCTGGCGATTGTCAAGCTGGATATGAGGGAAGGTGTGCTGACTAATGATTATGCCTGCGCTGGACTTGGAAAGCTTAATTACTGGAGAGATCATGTGACGCGCAAAGCACTAACAAACTCGGGCTTTGATGCTCCGTTACCCTAGAATGGTTGGTACCAATGATTGGATTATTAAATCATGTGCTGTCTTGGGAAATGAACGTTGAATCTTGTGGATTTAATAATAGATATCGAATTGGCAATGTGGGTGATTTTTTTTTTTTTTTTTGTCTAACCTGGTAGAGCAAAAACTCAACCAGACCACTGTATCTTCCGATCCAAAAACACATCCATTCTATCTTCAACAATGTCATCAAATAGAGAGGCTTTGATGAGCAGCTTTCCAGGCATGGTGATGTCGATGGTATATATCGGGCTATGTTGACGATTAGTACATGTTATTTTGAAGACAAAGTCCCAAAAATCCTACCTTCCACAAGCTTTGCAAAAGTTTCTCTAAACAATCGTCTCCTATTAGAAAAACCATCTTCTATGAGCTTTGGGATCACAGGGTTAAGACATACTCTGGCCAAATTTCCTGAGGCTGTCTTGTAGTCTTCATACTCATTCAATGTATTCTGTGCATCATCCACTTTTACCTCGCTCTCATCGACGACATAGTTAATCGAGTATGCTATTAAGAATTAGTGTCATGTCAGACTGACGATTGAGTGCATTACTTACGCCCACCCGCACGACGGCAATTGCGGCTACATCTATTAGCTACGGAAGCTATACACGATGGAAAGACAAGGCAACGTACCAGTGACAAGCAACAGTCTTTGAAGGAGGTGTAGCCAGTGATACTGTGATCGAACCACAGTTACAACTTCCCTTTACTGAAGCCATATTGTTGTAAGTGCGTGCAACAAGTTGTTGGATGACGTCTTTATCTTGTAGATCCGAATATTCAACTTGGGGCGTTTGAAGGTTTTATTTATGCTTAGAAGGTGGCTTTAGTTTCAGTTTCTGGCAAGTCTTGAAAATTGCCACATTTGGCAAACAATCCATTAACGGATAAACACAGCGAGACTTGTCGGAAACAAACAAGTGCATCTCATCATTCTGCAGATGGCGGCTGAATAATGAGTCTCGCGGGTGATTCAGCATCTTTCGGTTCTCTCCGACGCACCCAGCTGTTGAGAATTACCACAATTGGGCATAGATCGTCCTGGCTTCACTTCCTTCACAACAGATTGGCTGCAACTCGAATCTATTGCGCCGGCTCCACTCGGATTTATCCTGGACGGAAAACGGAAACCCGTCTCGATTTTCAGCTGTACGAAACTAATGGACAGTGTTATTGTTCAACACACTGTGCTACTCTCTGATATACTACTAGCCTTAACAGAACTAAGATGAAGGAGCCATTTTAGCCACTTCTGGAAGCTCTTGTGATCTTTTGCCAAAGCCGTGAGAGATATTCGTGATTCATACCGAAAACGGGACGGAAACCTACCTCAACACATCTTTGCAGCAACCGAGAACAAACCAACATGGCGTCATCAACACCCTCTAAGCCAAAGTGGGCAACAGTCAAGACGACTTTACCTGTTCGTCCGTTGCCGCTCAACTCCATGCGAGTTCCAGTCACAACTGATCGCTTAATCATCCGGGCTCTGGCTGCTGAAGACCTCGACAGCCTGCACTTGCTCCGCTCACAGCCCGAGGTTATGATAAACACTCCCCAGGGAAGACCCGACAAAGATATTGACGAGACGCGGCCAAAGCTCGAGTTTTTCCTCCCTCCAAAGGATGACGCACACTACAATTTCGCCGTGTGCCTCAAAGAAACTGGCGAGATGATTGGCATCGGCGGCTGCCACCAGCTGAAATCCATCTTTGGCTGGCCCGCCATGGGATACATGTTTCGCAAGGAATTCTGGGGCAAGGGATATGCAACCGAGTTTACCAAGGGGTGGCTGGACATGTGGTGCAAGCTGCCCCGAGAAGAGGCAGAAGTTGAAGTTGATCAGCGCAGCTTTCCCGAGGGAGATGAGAAAGCAGTGGAGATAATGACGGCGTTTACGTCTGCGGAAAACCTTGCTAGTCAAAATGTCCTTTCCAAGGCTGGGTTTGAGCGCTTTCTGGATTGGGAGGATGCCGATTTGCGAAATCCGGATGCCCAGATAACTTTGGTGGCATACAGGTATTTCCCAAGCAAGCACGTGGCAAATTGAGTACAGGAGGAAGAATTTCGGGAAGAATTTATGTTGAGAGGTGTTTTGTAGATCAATAGACTTTAGCCCGTTGAGGTTTTTTGCTTCATAAACTCCTGTTTGATCTTGAAGCCTAAAGGCAAACACATAGAGTGATATTGCGTGATGAGTATGAAACATGCGAATGCTTGCTATATACTTGTCCACCAGTCTATCTCTTTTGGCACTTCTATTCCAAATTTTCGGAACATTCCCTAGTGCGATGACATCTTTATGTTCGCCAAATAGCATATTAATACGATACTGCTAACGTGCACAGCCGCCAAATGTTTTTATAGAATTCCAGCCGCAGATAGAGTTATTAAAATTGGCATATATGGGACGCTATTGGCAAAAGTTTCATCTTCGCTAGGCAGATCATTTAGTTGGAATGCAGTGTTAACCCCCAGACATTCACATCAGCCTCTGCGGCGTTAAAGTTTACGTACGTGTATTCAGCTTTCAAAATTACAGCCAGACGAAATTCGCTGTAGCAAATATAGGAGAGTAGGGTTACACCATCTTCCAGTCTGTATTGATTTGATGCGGGACTGTGTGATTTTTCAGCTCTATTTCACTATGACCGAATCGTGATGGAAATTGGACAGCCCGGAAAACTCTCTTTTCTCCCATTATTATTATGTAGCATATTAGCTAATTAAACGGCGAGCAGTAAGGTTCTTTTTCTTTTCTTTAAGCTTATTTCTAGTTATTGCATCCCTACCGGTATTGCCTTTGTTCCCAGTTCCTCTCTTGTCCTAACCAGAAGGATAACCCTTCCGTCTTCATATACCTAGATTCGACTGGAAACAAATTCCAACAATGGTCGCCCTTGTCAACTGGAATAACGAAATCCGATATGAGGTACCTGATAACCAGTTTAAGACGCCGACTCAAGTTTCGGACATCCAGGCGGCTGTCAGACAAGCCTATGAGCAGGCCCAACGAGTGACCGTCGTCGGAGCCATGCATTCTACCACTGAGTGCACAATGGGCACTGGCACCGTCATCTCGATGAAGAATTTCAATCGCGTCCTTGATGTTGATAAGGAGCGGTTGACTGTCACCGTGGAAGGAGGTGTGACCCTGCACCAGCTCTGCGGCCACTTGAAAGAACTCGGCTTCCAGCCTCCTGTCATCCTGGAATATGGCAATTTCCAGATTGGCGCCATCAGCGGCACGCATGCCAATGACACCTCTGTAACACGATCTGCGCAGTTCTCGTCGTTTGTTCTCGGCGTGAAGCTGGTCACTCCAAGTGGTGAGCTCATGGAAATATCAGAATCACAGAATGCGGAATACCTACCTGCCATTCGCTCCCATTTCGGCATGCTCGGCGTCGTCTACGAGGTCACCTTGCGTATCTTCAAGACGCAACCGTTGCACATCAGTTTTCAGGTCGGGCAAATCGACGCATTCACGGAGAACTTTGCAGCCGAACTGCAGGCTCTCAAAGCGGACAACGACCAGGTGTTCGGGATGCTATTTCCGAACACCGGCGAGCTGCTATGGCAGTGCCGCAAGTTCTTGGATCCAGCGGTACCGAGGCTGAGTTCCCCAACCGCCTGGCTGGACTCGATTGAAAGCAAGAATATCAGTCTGTTCGGCAGTCTGATTCTGCCCCTGGCAAAGGCCTTGACGGCGCTACGCCCGTCGGCAGAAGTGGCCGGGCTCATTCTCCAAGCGACGGTCGGCTTGCCACTAAAGATGATCCGCCACAGTCGCTATATCATCGATCCGTGCGATCGTGCTGTCATCTACGCCGCAGATGATCCAGACTTTGACTTCTATGACTGGGTGTTTCCCGAGGGGAAATGGTGTGACATGGCTCGGGCATTTTTGCAGCTGAGCCGCCAGTTTCGGCGACAGCGGGACTTTACCTTGCCGTTGCCTGCACTAATTTACTTTATCAAGCAGGACCAGGAGTCCTTGCTGTCACGATCACGGAGCGCCAACATGATGGCAATTGATCCACTGTACCCTGACCCGAAGGAGCCCAGGTGGAAGGAGTTTCGCCTCGCCTTTAACGAGGTTGCTGTGCGCCACGGCGGCATCCCTCATATCAACAAAACGCGTGACGGGGCCATCGGCCATTTTGCGCAGACCGAGGATCAGGACAGCATCCGGCAGTTTCTCGCGATACGCCAGCAGCTTGACCCAAAGGGCCTGTTCCTCAATGACTACTTTAAGACCATGTTCGCCAAGTACATTCAAGGTGCTTGAAGGTCAACGGGGCAAGGAGAGGGTAATAGTTTGTTTAAACTAAGGGTCGTGGTAGGGTTATGCTTGGTTTGAGACAGTAAGCCTATGTGTGACCTGGTATTTAGTTTCTATATTTTCTTTGCGCTTGTAAGTTCTGTAACTCCGCTGGCCTCAAACCCTTAAAATTACCAGTATACGTAGCTTTCGTTTTATCTCCTAGGATCTTTATCACGGGTGCCAATAGTGGCCTTGGCTTCTCAATTACAAAGTTATTCTCGGCAAATACATGAAATGTTGCTGCAAATCCATCTCTTGTATTGATTCAGCCAACACTTACATAGTCAACCCTATGCCTGTTAAGAACATTGAGGCGAAAATCTTTTCTTCAAGTCGTCCTCACACTGTCCATTTGCCCCACAAAGTCTCGGATATCCGTTGCCACTTCTCTGTACCTGATGCTCCGCCTCTTCCACGGCACGAGGCGGTGATAATGTGGATCCCGGTTGGCCAGCGCAAAACGGATCGTTTACCTCTTTGAGTAATTTTCTCAGAGAATGTTTAACTTGCTGGAGTGGGGTACACGGAAGAACCCTTGGCATGCCCGGATACAGTGTAAGTCATCTTGCAAATCTGAAGAAATCCGTGTGGTTAATAAGACTTACATACAAACGTTGAGTGTCAAGATTGAGGAATTAGCAATTCACCATCATGCAGAATTACCCGTTTGAGGCATCAATCTCTGATAGGGGAAAGGCTCAACGGCTGACATGGATTATGTCATTAGTGGCACCAGTAAAGGCACATCTTAGAGTGGTTGAAGAATCCTTTGGCTGGATACATAAATTCTCAACTGTTTGGCTGCTGGAATAAACCTAGGGAATTACTATAGCCGTCATCATATAGTGCTTAACTCTCTTTCAAACCACAATGGCTTCGCTTCCAGCCACATACCAAGCAGTGGTTGTCACAGAGGCCAACGCACCATTCAAGCTTCGTGAAGTACAGCTGCAACACCCAGGACCAGGCCAGGTCCTTGTCAAAGTCGTAGCATGCGGCGTGTGCTTCTCAGACATTGCCCTTGCAAGCGGCCACATGGGCAATGTCTTCCCCAGAACTCCGGGTCACGAACTTGTCGGCGATATCGTCGAACTTGGTCAAAATGTTACGCGATTCACTATAGGAGAGCGAGTCGGAAGTCCCTGGCATGGCGGACATGATGGCAGTTGTCGACAGTGCAAAAGAGGACAGTTTCAATTGTGTGAACAACAGACGATCAATGGGGTTACTCAGGATGGTGGATTTGCAGAGTATGTACTACTCCGTCAAGAAGCCATTGTCCGCGTTCCAAAAGAGATGAATCCAGCAGAAGCCGCCCCCCTCCTCTGTGCGGGAGTCACAGTTTTTAACGGCATTCGAAAATTGCACGTTGAACAGGGAGCCATTGTCGCTGTTCAAGGACTCGGTGGCTTGGGGCATCTTGCTGTTCAGTACGCGAACAAGATGGGATATGAAGTCGCAGTTCTTTCATCCGGCGACGACAAAGCTGCCTTTGCCAAGGAGCTTGGTGCGCATCATTACATCAACACCAAGAAAGTTGACGGTCCTACCGAACTTGCTAAACTTGGTGGTGCCTCCATTATTGTCCAAACGGCACCAAACCCCGACATCATAGGCCGACTAGTCGATGGACTTGCCCCTGGTGGCAAGCTCCTGTGCTTGGCTCCCGTTGGCGGAGTGGAAATTGATACTGCTGCCCTTGTGTCTGGAGCTCGAAGTGTTCATGGCTGGCCTAGCGGTCACGCTATCGATAGTGAAGACGCGATCCGATTTGCTCAGGTGCATGGAATCAAGTGTATGGTGGAGGAGTATGCTTTTACAGATGTCCAAGCAGCAGTTGATAGTCTATTGGCGGGAAGGCCTCGCTTTAGAAATGTCTTGGTTATTCAGTGAAGGATAGATAGTAATAAGATATGTGAGAAAGGGCCAATGATTTGTATTATTCTTCTGAGTACATCACGTTGCTTGGCCCACAGATCAGACAGCCACCGAAAATGGAATGAAGTCGGATTTTGGCATGTCATGCTCGTGTCCGGAGACGCACTGGAGTTATGGCTGGCGGCGGCTGAGGCAATTGCTTGCGCCGATGCTACCATGTCAGCGGGCAGCACGGTTAAGCTGCTACCCTCTCAGCTGGAGCTGGGATCGGGAACTGCTATGTTGACGCTGATTGTAGATGCAAGGCCATGGCCAATATCTGTGGCAACCCACGGAGCTGTGACAATAACAACTGCAAGGGCAGCTTCGCCGTCTGCCTATGCTAGGCCACCACCAACACTTGCGGAGCTCTGGCGCCGTGGGAAGACAATAGATGTGATGATGTCCCTACTTTGAGTGCAAATGGGAATGTATCGGCAAGTATGTCCGATGTGAATGTATCGGAACGGACTCTTCGTCTGGAGGGGATTCAGGCTCGGGAGGCTCCGGCAGCTCCTCAGCTGATCCGGCCTTTAGCTTAATCTTGGGAACTTTTAGTGCGTCCCTCGAGGGCGGTGCAGACGACACCTCTTGGGCTGCCTGGGCGTCCAATACGAATCCGTGCCAGTCGGCCTATACCATCAACCAGGGGGCAACAGACTACCCAAAGTGCGGAACTCAGTTCTGTGATCCCAATGGAAGATGCGGTTTCACAACGGACAGCCTGTGGATCGATCTGAACGGCAATTTCTACGAGCAGGGTGTATTCCAGACAAGTGGTTGGCCTGAGTGCTTTGGCGGCGTCTACTTTGTCAATGTATGGTAGTATTATGGTTGCTTTTAGCAAGCATCTTGCAACATTCCACTTGGAAAATGAATAGATATAGGATAATGGAACAGTATTCCTTCATAGATGTGTAAGAGATATTTGTTAATATCTTGGCGGGAAAATCCCATTTCACAGTATCGGGCAATGCATGTATCACGTAGCTAATAGAGTGGTAAACAAACCCCAATATAATCACTATTAACAATGTCCATTCAAGCTATCTAAACGAGTGTAGAGAAGTAAAGGAATATACCCAGGTATCTAGGCTGAAGTAATGACAGTCTTGATGATCCCTTTCGTAGATCATGGGGAGTTTCAACAACCCGCTATGCTTTGGCGGTCGACATTCCTCGTGGAATGCCTTCTCGGTAGACCGAATTTCGCGACCATAAGACTCTGGTTGTGGCAGCCCTTCCCATTTCCAACTTAGCATGTGGTCACGAAAGAGTATGTAGCATCGTGACAGATTGTCGTTGCCAGGGATACAAAGTTGAGTTGGGCGCAATTGCAGCACACGCCGGCGTTTCTCGGTCCCAGCCTCTCCTCAATCTCCTCAATCCCAGCACGCCTTGACAGTGTCACGTTCCTATAATGCTCGTCGACGTCGATTTCGTCCCTCTTGTCGTTTGTTCCCTTGGACTTCAAGTAACTCTGCATGAGTGTGACAAATATCTGAGCGTTGTACTGGCTGGCAAAGAATATCGATGATTGGATCGACGTGCAGTACAGATGTTCCAGGCCTTGGGCGTTATAATATCCGAGCGATGATAAAATTCCGGAACCATATGCTTTGTTCCACTGATCAACCAGATTGGCAGTCACTGCCTGAGCAAGCTTGATGCCGGCGTTTTCGAAAGATTGGATGAGTTGTTCAGTTATAATGACCCCGACAACGACGTCCACTCCCCACTTGGTTTTATTCACTTTGTATGCCTTGCTGACGGACCAGCGTTTGCTGATGGAGCGGTCATCCAGTTCTGTGGTAGCTGGCGCACCAAAGCTGAGAGAGACCATGCTCAAGATGGTGACGATCTTTGGTAAAAGAAGCATTTTGATAACAGTTGGGGTGGGTTGTAGGCAAGATGTGTGTCTTGTGGATGTTATTGGCAGTGGACTTGGTCGTTAATTCAAGTCATCTAGAGGGGAAATCCATCCATATATATAGATGTCTGCAAAGTCGTTGCTTTCAGTGACGATTGCTTCTGCTTGCTTCTGACCTTCCAGATCGTCAGTAGTTCCGGTTCAACTGAACACTTTGAGTAATTTGTTCGACGCTATTGTTAACATTCGTGTTGTAAGTCGATGATATTGCGAACCCATCACGAATACAGGGTTCCTACTACTATATTTGGTATACCACAGAATCTGAGTCCATAGTACCTGGAAGTACTGTAATACTACTAACTGAATCGGATAATAACCTCGGAATAGAGACAAGATAGGCAACAATTCGCGCCTGAGTTGCTCAGCTAGAAAAGACGTAGAAACATCAAAAAAGAAAGATAAGATGAACTCCACCAAATCCTAGGACTTGAGTCATTTGACAACATGACCTTTACGCTGGAGCTTCAACGTCTTCACATGTTTTGATTCCTTTTTCCGTAGTGCTTACAGTGAATCCTTTGCTCTAGTATGGGGTTGCTGTCAGTTGAGCTCATCTTTAACGTTCATTCGTTATACCACATTATGGACTATGCTTCATCAACCCTGTATATTCCTAATAGAGGATGCCGATCTTCCGAAACGCTAGCACAGCGGGGCTTGGCATACAGCTGAGCGACCTTAGTTTCCCAATAAAGGATGGTAAATACCGGATCACTGGGAATGACAGCTGGGCAGAGGTTACACCCGGAGCTACCAGTGGAGTCATCTTGGCGAACCGGTTCGCGAAGCTGGAGGTAGAACTGCATTAAACATCTCCCAAAAAAGAAGCTTTCCGAAGCTTGTGCCATTAAGGCAAAGGCCGTCAACCAATTCAGACTGCCTTATCATGAGCTTGGCTTAGTCCCAACTGATCAGGCGTTTTCGTGAGATTTTAGATGCCAAGTCTCGGGTATCGGCCGTCGGAACACCAACAAGTGCAAAGCTCAGTATCAAATCTCACGAGCGTGTGGGGGTTGTAGTCCAATACTCTAATCTTAATGCTCAAAGTAACGTCGGAGAATAAGGCATCCAAAGATACCAGCAACTTCCCAACCTTTTGGGCGGTGTTGACTACTATGAGCCCACTTAATTTGACCCTTGAATCAGTTATTCCCGAAGCTTTCTTCTTGGATTATATCTATTTTTATATACGATATATTTGCAAAAACGTCGGGAATCCCTTCGGCAGTTGAAGAGGGAGGCAATAGGACGGACGGACGAAATACCTTTTTTGGCTTCAGCTGAGCAGCATGCCCCACGGCTATCTGCTTTTTGTTTCCGGTGGTAAAAATTAGCCAATCGTTACACCATAGCAACTCGTCGGTGAACCGAACTTGGCTGGCAGTAGGCAGTTCTAAATATTTTGAAGAAAATCCTCCCGTCGGAAAACAATGTCGTCTTCGTTAAAAGGCACCGTAGAGCATGAATTAATGTCGGCGGTACTTTTGGTATCTAGTTAAGCTGGACACGTGTTACTTTGATCGTCTCATTTGCTGTAAGTGTCTTTATCGCTTTTGCCGCGGGAATAACTGAGTGACGGTATGCCTTTGAAAGAAGCCGTTGTTGTCTCTTCCGCGTATTCTTACCGCCTCCAGTTCTCGTGTAAGTCCGCGTAGTCGGAAATTCACCGAATCATGAGACATGAAAAACTCCTCATCAAGCTTGCCACCTATAAAAAGCAGAGGACGCCGTCGAGATTCATGCTTTCTCGATCCCTTGTAGTCCCGTTTCTCATCACTTGGTTGTAAGATGCTATTGCAGCCTTATACCACTTGCTCGTCACAGATGACTCTCCGATGCTTCTCTGGTCTTGGGTGTGGCTCTACTTTTCGAATCATCGGTCATCAGGGGGACTGTATTATGGCATGGCGAAGACACTGAGATGGCCAACAGCCAAACGCTAGAGTAAGGAGGCGCATGCAAAGAGAATCCTGGAACAGCACGACCTGCCCACAGTAGAAAAAGGTCTAAACTAGCTTGCAAGCGATGACGACGCCTTCTTCAATTTTGTTTTGAAACGTCTTGAACATGTAGTGATCAAGAGCTATCAGGCCATGTGGTCATTAGAAATAGATAGCCATTTGTGCTATTCCGCCTGCACGAAATCCGGTAAACCCTTCGTCGACGTAGTGATGATAATAACTCTCCCTGACCCGTATTCCAAGACGATTGCAGTGTCACTGGCCGTCATTCTTGCCCCTTGGTATCGCTCTGGTAGCTTCGAGAGTTGATGCTCACCCCACATAACCCATTCTCCATTCGAACCGTGGCAATACCCGCAGCAGGGAGTAAGAGTAATTGATTCGCTGTTTTCGTCATCGCTACCAGCGCCGATAAAAGCATGTTGCACACAAACATCGGTGTTGAAGTGTCGACCTCTACTCCAAGGATGTATCACGTGTATAAGTTGACCGTTATCTACCCTCCATACAAAAGTTTCATCTCTCCGGAGTGTAGCACCAATAAGCGAGGAGTCATGATTAAACGCCAATGAAGCAACATCGATAGAAGCTATAGTTGCCCTAAAGCTCTTGCTTTTATTGCGGCAAATGATGTGGATATCGTCAGAGCTGGTGGCAAAGGCTATGTGTCAAGTCGTGAGAGAATGCAATGCATATGGTTTCAGTATCGGGTTCGGGTATACAATGCTGGTAAATAGGTTCACCAGTTCCAGTCTCCCACAAAGATACGGTACCGCTACCTGTAGCTGCCCCTAGAAATGTTGAATCATCCGAAAATCTCATGTCGATCGCCAAATCTTCTTTAAAGGAGCGGATGCAGAGATACCCCTCCTCACGTGCCACAAGTCAACCGTCTCTCCAGTGGAAGTGGCAAGAAATTCCAAGTCGTGGGAGAAAGTCCTTAGTGCCTGATATTCAGTTGAAGTAGGAAAATGAGAAATACAAACGCCTGTATCAATTTTCCAGATGCAAGCTTGTCCCTCCATTGGAACTGAGCCATGGCAGACTGATGCTACAAGTGAGCAGTCATGCGAGAACGAGACATTCTCTATAACATCTCCCGGACATTTCAGGCTTTGTATACAGTGTCCAGTCGTCGCACTCCATACCATCAGCGTATTGTCATTAAGGCTTGTAGATGCAACCAGGGATGCATCGTGAGAGAAGGTGATTTTATCAACAGGACTAACATGTTTGTCTACCGTAGCTGAATCGATCAACGGTAGCTTCTGATCTTGCTCCATGACGTCCCATATGCCTATTGCGCCACTCCGTGAAGCAGATGCTAAACATGTTAAATCGTGTGAAAAGGCAACCGATGACATAAAACCGATATAGCCGTTGCATGTTTGTATACGTTGCTTCGTATCTATTCGCTAAAGGGAGACCTCATCCTTTTTTGCTCTTAGTAAGTATTTCCAGTCATGTGACAAGGCAACGAGGTCAAACTTCATATTCGGATTCCCAACATTCGGACTCCCAAGCTAGATCTCTCTGTCGCAGCTTTCTGTGTCGACTCTCCAAAACAGCAGGAATCCATGCTGACGAACAACTGCCAAATGCGTTGAGTCGGTAGAAAATGCTGCCAGAATTGCCCTGCGACGGTTCCTCTTGTTCAGAATGGATTTGCACGCACCACTATCAGTGTTCCAAATGCAAACAGTTCCATCATCATACGTAGATGCGACGAGCGTCGAGTCGTGCGAAAAGGCCACAGAAGCCAACTGGCCATGGAACTCAAAACGGATCGTAACATTTCTTAGCGATTAGAAATAGTTTCTTTGGGTATACAAAGCATTCGTGATAACACGGTAATTGAGAGGGGGCTTGTGAGGATGATGATTGTGCCTACAATGGCACGGAATTCTTCAGCAACTTCGTTTTTCTCGCAGCCTGACGGCCCATCAATCTTCTGATCCAGAATTGGCAAGTATGTCGCGTCAAGACGCGATCCCGTGGCTTTTGAGCCGCCTTCCTTTGCGAATCTCGGCCTGTATTTTAAATGCCAAGACGTGAACCAACTTGAAATGATGATAGATTGGTAAGACAAACCCGAATAAACACGAAATCGGGTCCATCGATAAAGTCGGAAAGGTTTCGGATAGTAGTTCGGATTGAGGTTGGTTCGAGGCAGGAATAGAGTCGCTGATGTACGCAATCTAGATATCTCGTTGGTTAGCAATCCATTAGTAGCTCGCAAATGGGAGATGTAAAGGAATGAGTAGCCTAAGACGTACGAACTAATCGACAACTGAACTGTCCACTGCCAGCATCAACCTCTAGTATCCATCTTTTCACGCTGATAGCGACTGATATGGGACGTAATTGACTTGTCGATAAAGGTCGATCGGCCTAGTGAGCGCGTGGATGCCTTGGAGTCGGAAACAGGATGGAAATGCAATTGTCTGCGCAATGGCAGTTTGAGGAAGCTTCTGTTGTTCCAGATGATCATTAGCAGTTCATTTCTCCTCGCAAAGGGACAGAGGGAAGAATCGCAGACTCCGGTTATCATCAACCTTGGCAGCTTCAATATTTCTGGGTGACCATGATTGTCCGCTGTCGTTTGCGTGGTGGAAAGGCTAAACAAGTAGCTGAAGTCAATTGAGGAGAGAAGCGGAAGATGCAAGGCTGCAAACCACGTGAATGAGTACCTATATTTTGTACCTTGTTATCTAGACGCTAGAAAGTACCATGCCTTGGAGAAAACACCCGTGGAGGAGCAAGACCGAACCTCAAACTTTGCACTGGAAATAGAGAGGAAGCAATCCGACCACGTAGCAAGCAGAGTCAATGAGAGACGATGAGGACGATTGGCCGTTGGTTGCTTCTATTCGCAGTACCAGCATCGCTCTGTTCCCTGCCAGCAGCAGGTGATAACCTCCACGAACAGCTGGGAGATCTGGGAGATCTGGGAGTCATAAGCTACACCAAGTTATGGAAGATATTTACTCCCTCAGATCTGATGAATTACTGTATATTTATTACAACTACAGACTATTGGCCAAAACTGGCATATCACAATCATAGAGTGACGCGTAAAACCATAGCTAAATCAAACTCGCATCCTAGCCCAAAGACTCAAACAAAGACACGCCCTGCGGGAATGGTCCAGTGTTGTCCTTCTGGAACACAGTATCCACGTTCTGCACGGTAGCCATGGACACGGAACCAACAGTGTTCAAGCTGTAAATCCTGACCTGGCTCTTCTTGCTGAAAATGCTACTAAGCAGCGACTTTGGCGAGCCGCTATCAATTCCAACGATTTGAGTCTGGCAGTTTTCCTGGTCGGTGTTGGAGCAGGTTGTGCTGTGATCGTTGAAGAACGAGTACAGACCCGCGCCGTAGACGAGGATGTCTCTTGAGCTGAGGACACGCAGCGCCCAGCCGTCCTTGCAGACACCGGAGCGACCTTGGCAGAAATAGTTGAAATCTGGGTCGGTGGAGCCGAAGATGCTGGAGATGAGATTGGGCGAAGACTGGAACTGGGTGGCGTTGGGGTGCGGTTGGTAGTAAGCAGTTTCGGTTTGGATGAAGCCCATGAAGATGTTTTGAGTCTTGGAAAATTCGTACTGGTACAGAGCGTTGTGCTCCACGGCAGTGCCCCATCTAGAAAAAGTCGGTTAGTAAATTATCCAGTATGCTGTGATCAAGGGATATAGGGCACATACAGCCAAATGTTTCCAGCGATGCTTTCAACCAACAATCCGCGCACGCTGTACACGTCAATCATCCTAAGGCTGGGGTCCTCAATGTCGTGGTCAGAAGCCCAGAGCCAGCAGTTCTCCATGTACAGTCCCTGGGCAGCAGGTGTAACGTGCATCATGGTGTGCGCTGCAATGCAGTTGGGGTTGATGGCGTCGCTTCCAATGTTCTGGGGGCAGTTTGCAAGCTGCAGATTGCTGCCCTCGAAACCGCCAACTCGGACGTGAACATCCCACATGCCTGACGGGTTGGATGCTGTGCTGGCAAGGTTGTACTCAATTACAATGGCACCGCTTGTAGAGCCTTGCGTGCTGACCACCATGTTTGACCACTCAATCTGGCCAAACTGTCCGGGTAAGCCAACTTGCACAACGGGCTGGGGTGAAGAAGCTTTTGAGAAGAAAGGTCCAGATCCCATGATGTTAGAGTACGCTTCACCAACGATGCGAGCTCCAGGCGGGATTCTGATTGTGCTCGTCACCTTGTAGATTCCACCATCCACAAAGAGAACTTTACCCTGACGCACAGCAGTGGCAATTGCCGCATTGAGTGCCTTTGTGTCGTCGGTAACGGCATCTCCCTTGGCACCCAAGTCACGGGCGCTGAGGAAACTGGATACGTCGAGGTCAGCGTACAGAGGCTTCGATCGTGTGTAGAAAGCGCCGTTTCTAACGGTGAGACTGGACGGGCGGGGGAAGGGACTAGCTGGTCCGTCAACATATGTAGGGCCATGAGGATTGTAGGTGTGGCCGGTAACATATCCTTTGATGGTGGTGTGGCCGGTAGTTCCCTCCAAAACGGTAGCACCAGTAGGACCTTGAATTGCGATGGGGACGTTTGAGAGCTGAATGTTTTCCAGGTTGAGGTTGCCGGCTCCCACTGGCTGTGATGTGCTCGTCTTGGCCGTCTTGATAAAGATGTCGGTGTCAGTAACGCTGGAATCAATCATGGTAATGCCTCCCACGCTCAAATGTCCGTTGCCATCTACAGCGCTCATGTCAAGGCCGACAGAGCAGTTGTTGATGGTAATGCCGGCATATGTCCAGCCCCAATCGAAGCCCTGGCGAATGGCTGTCTGAGCGTTGTGGAAAGTGAGGTTGCGCATGGTGAATTGCTGGCTGCCGAACTGCGCGCCAAATTTGCCGCCGACAAAGGTGATGTCGGTCAAGAAGCCACCGGAGCCTGTGGTAAAAGAGTCAGTAAGTCATGAAACCTAGGTACTTGAGAATGACAGCTGGGGTGCTTACCATCTTCCATAAAGATACCCTGGTGGGCGGTGTTTGGGGCATCGCTCATCAGAATGCGGACATTTTGAATGCTCGTAGCCTAGAACCGTACACATTAGCGATGGCTTGCATTTGCGCGAGAAGAATCATAAAGAACATACCTGAGCAGTTGGCCAGTGGATTCCAGTTGGGCCGGACCCTTGGGCATTGACAGGCGGAACATCGGTAAGATCGATGATGAAGTTGGCGACCTGTCGGTAGAAGATGTTTGTGGGGCCCCAGATGTGGTTCTGCAAAAATCCCATTAATTTCTGACACGCACTTGGATAGACGCGCCTTAATGTACGCGTCAGGGTCAGAGGATCTCACCTTGTCACCATCAATAACGCCCAGGCCAACACCGCCGAAATTGGGGCTGGCCTTGAGCGTTGGCAAGTTGACAGCATCACCAATCATCATGGTAAAGTAATAGTCGATGATTGGAGACGACACAACGTAGGTTCCCGGTGGGAAATACACAATCGCAGGAGTCACGGTGCTGGACGAGCAGTTGTCAGGTCCACAGCGACCACCCGAGGTCATGGCAAGGTTGATGGCCGCAGTATCGTCAGTAACGCCGTCACCTAAGCCAGGTGGTCAGTATTGAATTGTGCTCACGAAGAAACAGGAAGAGTCCGCACCTTTGGCACCATAGTCCATCACATTGCGAAAGACCTTGTAGTCAGAGTCAGCAAAAGGCGCGACGCCCTGATGCTTGATCTTGTCGAGCCAGTATTGTGTTGGTGGTGGCGGCGTTGGCTTCTTGGCAAGTAACTTGGAACTCTGGCTATGATCCGACTTGAAATCGAACCAAGCTGCAAACTCTTGCTGAATGTTCTCAACAAAGGTTTCGATCTGGGGCACAAGACGACCAGAGCCATAGCCTGCCTGCGAAAGATGCGGCAAGGCCAGGGCCGGCAGAAGGACCCTGTAGCTGAGAGCCTTCATGGTGGAGGACGGGGTTGGCGAGGAGAGAGAGAGAATTGGCGGATGAGATGATCCCAAGGTCAACTACCCCGTGATGAAACATGTTGAAAGACGGCACGGGGGAAATGAGGTTAATATAGCTGTCGACGTTAGTGGGATTGCCGCTTCGTTAGCGACATGGGTGCGTGATCGACCCAATTGACTGGGATATTAGTCCATTGCAACAATTTTGCTCTTTTTCTCTTCCTCTCGTCCTCTGTCCCGTCCCGTGTGTCCCTGTATTTCGGAACCCCAGTCCCCCCGTCTCGTCTGCTGTCATCCGATGATGGAGCAAAAACCCCAGAGCGCGAACCAGGATGGCGATGCCGAGGATGCTAGTCTGGAGTTGTCTGGAGCAGCGGCCTAGGCTTGAACAGGTCTAGGGACGAAGCTGACAGTCTCCCGAATGGACTCCAGGCGGTAAGCTTTGCGGGGTAAGTAAGTCTGTAATACTGCAAAGTTGTCGGCAAGATCCAGGAATTGATGATGGCCTGCCCCTGGTCTTTTTACTCAGGAACCGGATCGTGCCATGGGCTGAAGCTGCGCCCGCGAACAAGGACAGCTGGGCAGCACTAAAGCCGCCAGTAGGCCCGCGAATTGGCCGGTGGCGGCTGGCAAATGATTTGAAAGATTTTTGTCTTTCGTGCAGCGAAGCTCAATGACCAGCTACCGATGTGGCAAGGCGGCCGGGGAGAGTAGGCTTTAACGTTTGTCATGCCCGTTTCCCACGTTTCCACGCAGTAAGCCTCAGGAACTGTCGGAGGTGTCTGCATAGGAGCTATTGTCTGCAGTCGGGCCGAGGGCGTTGAGAGAATGAGGCCAGAAGTTGGAGAGTCGCGAGACTATTGGTTTTTTCTTGTTCATTTTTAGCCGAGACGTGGGAAGAGGGTTGAAAGAAGGAGAATTGATTACAAAAGTAAAAGAATAAAATCAAAGAACAAAGAAGAGATCCGACACGGCCGGTGAAAATGCCTCGCGATGGATTGTTTGGCAAGAGCAGATGATACACAACGTTGAGCTCTACGACTCTAAATCCCAGAACACACAGTTGAGGGCTTCTGTGGGTGTTTATACTGTCCACGGGTGGTGCCAGACCTAAATACAGCACAGCACAGCACAGCACAGCACAGCACCTGCAAAACCCACCAACACCGCTGTTTCACATTGATTGATCTCGATCCCAGGCACAAACACACACACTCAGCCTTGGCGATACCCATACAACCTTGAAGTCGCCCAATCCCGGGCGGCACGATTGTTGATCCGGCTCGTGCCAGAATACAGGTACAATGTCACCAGAATTAGCGGGGGAGGCTTCAGGGGTAAAAAGGGATCTAACGCCACATTACAGAGTACCTATAGCGGGTACTTATAGTAGGTCTTAGTGGAATGGAAATGGAAATAAATACGTGCGTACACTGGGGCAATACACGCAGAATTACTAAGCAGAAATGCCGCCACTTTGTGTGCGCGGAATTTGGGTTTGTGTGCTGATCGTCTGCCAAGTCTCGCTTGTTTTTGATTATCCAATCCGCTTGCGCCATGTTCTGCTCTGTCTCCACAAATGGTCCACTTAAGCCGCCACACATCCCACTGTATATTCTAGCTTGCCTGCGCCTACAAACACGAATGTAGCTTCTAAGGTTATCATATTAGGAGATGTTGAAACTAGAGAATCAGGGCTCTATGCATATACAACATGGCAGGAATGCTTAGATGTAATGCCGTAGGCTGAGCGCCGCAAGTTACAGCGGATTACAGCACTGTAGCTCACAGCACCGCAGGCAAATCCCGTTGCAGGCGCCCCCGGAGGGAAAAAAAAATTCCCGTTGGATATATGCAGTAGGTACCTATGACAGATGGCGATAGCTTGAGCCTTGATTGAACGGGATGACCCTGATTGAACGAGCTGACTGCAATCTATCTAATTGGCCTCGTTCTATCAAAGTGACTTCTATCAATCCGGAAGACCTTGATCGAACTGCAAGACTCTGATCAGCGCAGCTGCTTTGCTTGCCCTTATCAACGCCTTTGGCGGGCATCAGACTTGTAAGTTTGCGTTTGGAGCTATCAACAGGTACCAAAAATAAGCAATCGAGCTGTTGATGGCATTTTTGACATGGATCCAATGGTATTGGCTGGAGACTGTTGCAGAAACGAGCGTGGATGATCAGGCCAAGAACAAAGGGCTTCACAAGGCAATGTGAGAACATTTTGCGACTGCCGCATTCATTGCGTTGGCAGTCCAATCAAAGATATCATGGCTTCGTATGCTTTGCATCTGCAGAAATGAATATGCAAATAGCCTCTCTGAACAGCCCTCAGTATCACATATACCAGATATAGTAGATTCAATGAACAGTACACATAGCTTCAAGGTTCGTTTCAGCAATAATTGTCATCTCATCAATTACATCAAGACCGTGGTTTGGGCTCACTGGGGCATTCTGAGTAAAGCGAAAGATACTAAATGCCAAGTGTAGCTTTTAGATTTGCCAAATTCTTTATACTGACTGGCAATTGGTCAGATTCGCTGTTTTGTGCCAGCTTGGACCGCCCGCCATGTATCGTGAATCTCCGTTGTTTAATGCTGAACTAATGAGAGATGAATGCGCTAGGGAAATTCTGAACGGGTATCCCATACCACATCGATCTGTGGCTACCCCATGGCTGAGACTCTGAGCGCTAGCGAGTGTACATATTCGGCCCAGGCACCTTCAACATACGTTTTAGTGACCATGATATCTGCAAATCACGGCCAACATCCTGGGATATTTTTCTGCTCGTCTCGTACCACACCACCACCCGTCGTAACGCTTCTCTTTATCTTTCCCAGCGTGTTCAGCCGCAGCGTTTAGCGCCGGATGTGACAGCTGATATGGCGGATCCCAATCCCGGTCAGCTGTTTTCAGGCGGGGGAAAAAAGACCAGGGTCGAGCTGCTTGATCACAGTTCTGTGAGGGGGGAGCCTATTTTGATTTGCTAGTGAAGTGGCTATGGCAGTTTCTGGTTTAAACCAGTTTGGATGTCTAGTATTCTTTCCAAGAGGCTGCCTAGAATGACAGCGGATTAGGTAGACAAAGAGAATGTATATATGAATAACCGGTTTCTGCACAGTCGACGCAGCACAAAGGAGATGAATGAAAAATAAGGGAAGGGCTATCCAGCACCCCAGCGACTAAAGATCTTTTATCACCGTTCCATACTTGAATACCTAGATATTGCACAGTCCCTGAAGTATCTGCTACTATCGCTACCTAGTAGTATCTGCTACTATCGCTAGTATCTGCTACTATCCATAGATTCCTCTAATATCTGTTCATTACTACCTCCCAGGCTGCTTTAAATTTAAATACATTGTAGGCTGCTCTGAAACACAAAGAGCTCGAGTTAGTGAGCTGATGGGCACATGTAGGCAGCTGGGATTGTTCAGCTGCACAGAGGGTGAAACCGGGGTGTCGGCCATTTAAGCGCCGAAGCCCATAAAACAAAGGCGAGTGCGGCACAACACCTGAACACCCTTCCTTCCTCTCCAAATCACCATCATCACCACCATCATCATGGGTGACGCCGCAGTCCTCGACTCGGCGACGGCTGAGCAGCTCAACAGCTCAGAAACAAAGAGACTTTTAGACACTATCGACAGCCTTAGAGACCTACGAATTGGGGCCATCGTCGACCTGCCACAGATCGTCGTGGTGGGAGATCAGTGTTCCGGCAAAAGCTCAGTCCTAGAGGCTATATCGCGAGTGCACTTCCCCGTCAGCGATGGCATATGCACTCGGTTCCCTACAGAGCTGGTGCTTCGGAGGGCGCCTCAAGAGAGTACCGACTTGAGAATTAGATTTGATAGCAATAGCAATGCCTCGGACGGTCAAGATTCGCCAGCTACGCACACACCGTTTCATGAAAGCGGCTTCCCCAGATCAGAATTACCTGCCATCATCAACAAGGCAAAAGAACACATGGGCCTTGAAGATGGAAAGACAACCGGCTTCTCAAAGCATGTTTTACGAGTGGAAATCCGCGGCCCAGACATTCCCTCGCTGACTCTGGTTGACCTGCCTGGAATATTCCACTCTGGGTCGTCTTCACAGCCTCAGGAATGGAAGGCGGTCGTTGACGAAATGGTTGAAAACTACATGAAACAGAAGAATAGCATCATCCTCATGGTCGTCTCGGCAGACATCTCCCTCTCCAAGCATGCCATCCTCGACATGGCCCTCCAGCATGACACAGCCAGGGAGCGCACAATTGGAGTCATCACAAAAGTTGACCTTTGCCCCGGTTCAAACCTAGAAGATGAATATCTGAGACTAGCGAGAGGTCAAGAGCCTAGTCACCAGCTTCGCCTAGGCTGGCATGTTCTACGCAACCGAGGACCCAAAGAAGCAGAGGTGGCCTTTGACCAGAGAGACGTCGAAGAGGAAAAGTTTCTCAAGACAGGAGTATGGTCTACATTGCCTCTGGGCAGCCGAGGAGTGGACAGCCTTCGGAAGAGTTTGGGCGCAGCTCTGCTCAAGCAAATCAAGAGCAGTCTGCCCGAGCTCATCAGGGACATTGAGAGTAACCTGCAGAATCGTCAAAGACGGCTTGCAAAGCTAGGAGCAACAAGGGCGAACCCCGACGAAATGCGTGACTATCTTCTCAGCATATCAACAGCCTTTCACAAACTAGCAGAGCACGCAGTGGCAGGAAGATACCACGATCCATTCTTCGGCAGCCTTGCAGACCAACAAACAGTCAGTTCGCTCAGATATCGAAAGCTGAGAGCAGTGGTTCGAAACTTGAACCTTGCTTTTGACATTACCATGAGGTCAAAGGGAGCCAAGTACAAGATGGATTGGGACCAACCTACGCCACCGCAAGGTCCAACTGATGAGGAAATACTGGCCGAGGCCATCAAACATCTCACTGGCAATCTAGTGCCATTGTTGAATCTATACGACTTCCCAGATCCAGTGGTAGAAACCAAAGACGTGGCCTATGAAAGGATGGAGCTGCTCGCATCGGAGAGCCAAGGAGGCGAGTTCTGTGGGATACCAAGCCAAGCTTTCATCATGCAGATTTTCAGAGACCAGATTGAACCATGGCGTCGCATCGCGGAATGTCACATCAACAATCTCGTGGAGAGGGCAGCACTGTTTGTGTATCAGGCATTCGACTACATCTTGGAAGACGACGAGAGAACAAGAGACGCAATCTTGGTCGATTGCATAGACCCGTCATTCGATTCCATGATCGATGCTCTCAAGGGCAAGCTCGATGAGATTATGCGTCCTTACACATCAGGACATGGACTGCCGCTTGAAATAGATTTTCGAACGGGAGTGATGCAACGAAAAATTGAGCGCATCAGGGCGGGTTCTGCTGAGCTGCTCGATGAAAGTGCTGTCGCATACAACACCACAGAGTACCGGATGGTGAAGCCTGAAGATGTAATAAATCTCCTGGTCCAGTCAGAATCCAGCCTGCATAGCTATTTTGGCATTGAAGCAGCCGTTGACGCGATGCTAACGCACTACAGAGTAAGTCGGCGTGGCCCCTACTCCCCCCCTCTATGAGTGTCATGTAGTGAACAGGTGCTGATGGGATTTTGATGAACATAGATGAGCCTGCGGACATTTACGGATAATGTCGTTAACCTAGTCATCGAGAATTGCCTTGTTTCGAGACTCGCCGACGTCTTTTCCGCAAGAGTCGTGACGCAGATGAGCGATGACATGATAGAAAGACTGGCCAAAGAGTCAGACGAAGTCAAGTTGGAGAGGAGCCAGCTGGCGGACGAGATTGAGAAGCTCAAGACGGGTTTGCAAAACTGTCAGCGGTCGCGGCCCCGGGATTTTTCAGGTACCCAACTTTAAATTAAAGAGCCGTCTGATGTCTAAAGACGGGGAAAACGCATGATTGTACATAATGTCTAATATATTAGATAGATTTGCCAGAGACTTTTGTCCAGATAGCACCCAAAACAAGAGATGCTCCAGAGATAGATACTCCTGAGACAGACGTACCAAAGAGAAGAATTCGAGTTAAGCTGCCTCCTACTGTGTCTTTGCCAGAGAGACAGCCCCCAGGCCTGCAAAGCGACAAGGGTAAAGCGCCAGCAATAGTTCATCGTGCTGAACCATCTACGTCTTCGACAAGCAGCGAATCGACGACGACTTCCAGTTCAAGCACTGAAGGGCAATCTGTTGCCACGCCCGCTGCTAGAGGGCCAACGGTTAGTTTGACCACGTCTGCCACTCCTGCTCCTGCGGCGGTCTCTCTCGGCTCGACAATGGCGTCTACGACTGCTGCTCCTAGACAACCTGCCTTTGGCTCTACTACGGCATCAACAACTGCCGCTACTGAATCTTCCGCTTTTGGGTCCGGCAAGACAACCACAGCAACGGCTGCTCCAAAGGCCGCTCCGGTATTCGGTTCAGTTAGTCCGTTAAAGTCTCCCCTGCCGGCATTCGGGTCCGTTTCAGCAATGCAGTCTTCCGCTGCTAATTTGCCGGCTTTTGGCTCAACGACGACTTCTGCGGCGACTACTTCTACAACGTCGGCCTTTGGCTCGACGACTCCCGCTACAGCTACAGCTCCAAGGCCGTCAGCCTTTGGTTCGACGACTTCTGCGGCGACTACTTCTACGACGTCGGCCTTTGGCTCGACGACGTCAGCATTTGGTTCAACAGCAGCTGCTCCGAGGCCGTCAGCTTTTGGCTCAACGACTCCTTCTGTAGCCCCTGCTTCGACGACGTCAGCCTTTGGCTCGACGACTACGTCCACAGCCCCTGCTTGGACGTCACCCTTTGGCTCGACGACTCCCGCTACAGCTCCTGCTCCTGCTCCAAGACCATCGGTTTTTGGTGCTTCGACAACGTCAGCATTTGGTACGTCAGCATTTGGTTCAACAGCAGCCTCTACAGCCGCTGCTCCTACATCGTCAATCTTTGGCTCGACGACTCCCGCTACAGCTACTGCTCCGCGACCACCGGGTTTTGGCTCGATAACCCCTTCTGTAGCCCCTGCTTCGACGGCGTCGGCCTTTGGCTCGACGACTACGTTAGCATTCGGCGGCAGGGCATTTGGGTCGACCGACGTCCCGAACCGTTTCCTTGGCAATGCTCCCATCACCGCTAGCGTTCCCTTTGACGCATATCGCGAAATGGACCTGAACTATGGCGTGCAGCTAGCTTACCAGAATATCGAGTCTCAACCGGGTTATAGAATGTGGTCTGGCGATGAGTTGAGAATGGCGGATTACACGCAGGGAAGACGACCGCCGGCGAGAGCCACTGGGGTCACGGTGTTTGGAGGTCCTGTGGCGTCTCAACCTCAGCCAGGGTCGTAAATTAGTTGGTTAGTATTAAGTGACTGAAATACTAAAACTTTATTAAAAAAACAAATTATAGTACCTGTATTTTGAATATCAATTATTGCACAGTTCCTGGAGTATCTGCTACTATTGCTAGTTTCTACTACTATCGCTACTATCTGCTACCATCGCTAGTTTCTGCTACCATCGCTAATATCTACTACTATCTATATATTCCTCTAATATTAATCTGCTATTATTAATACCCCGGCTGCTTTAAATTTAAGAACGGGATTCTGAATAGCGAGTGTGAGGTGCTAAATACATGTAGTCACCTTCGGGCCCTAGTGACTGCACGTCTCCTATGTAGTGACGATTTTCTAGGCCGAAATTATTTTGCCGAATTGGCCGCCTTACAAGTCCAAACAAGAAAAAATCATGTTGACAGACCAGCCTGATTGTAACTTATTGTGGGGGGGTTTTTTTTTTTTTTACAGCATCTACGTCTTCAACAAGCAGCGAATCGACGACTTCCAGTTCAAGCACTGAAGGGCGATCTGTTACCATACCCGCTATAAAAGGCCAACGCTTAATACGCATAACAACACCAAGAAAAGAGGTTCACGATACATCGCGGGCAGTCCAAACTGGCACAAAACAGCGAATCTGACCAATTGCCAGTCAAATTTTCAGCCGTGGCTAGTGATTGTGGTGGCCCGTTAAAGAAGCAAATCTGGAAGCTACACTTCCCTCAGGTTGTCTCTCGATGCCCCCGACAAGCGGAGCCAAGTTATCCAAGTCCATTTGGCCATCATTGGGAATGTCCGTATTGCCCTCAAGGATGGGAATTATCCTCCGCATCAATGTGTTTCTCGAAATGGTGTTGTTCATATGCTGGAACCTCTGGAAATCGACTTCTGTAAAACGAGATAGCTCGACGCTCGTAGTCAACAACACCTGCAAGATGCGTCCCAGATTGTTCGGCTTAGGAGCTAAACGGCCATTTAGATAGCGAAAGCCTTCGGGAAAGATGTTGTTATTAACAAGACGCAGCTCCAAATCATTGAGATCTGATGTGGAAATGGTGTGCACCGGATGAAGGACGCCTCAGTCAAGATATAAACAGGAACCAAAAGCTTTCGTAGATCAGTTCTCCTCGCCAATATAATGGCATATAGGCAAGGTTGTTGAGATACCAAGTAAAGACTAAAGGGTCGCATATGTTAGATGCAATGAAAACACAATAGATAGTCGCACAAGCTACCTACTGATTCTTCAGAAGATGTACGGTTTTGTCCCAACAGTTGGCTTCTTGGCAGCTCGATGCTGGAGAGATCGAAGGCTTTCGAGAACAGTTGAATTCTGGAAATTTGATATTCCTGGGTAGAGATTCTCTAGGCGGGATCCTTCGCTGGTTTCGTGTCAGCCAATTGGTATATATCCCATAATCATCCGTTTCATTCATGTAGACTAGATGCCCTGATTCACTTCAATGATTAGATGCTGATGCTTCGTTTTTAGGAGTCAAGCACAGATAAGTGCTTCTGCTGGCATAGCCTTGGTATTTTGCATTTAGTGATTCGGTCTCTTACGAGCCTTCTATAGACGCAAGTGGTTGCTATGTCTTACATCCTTTTGTGTGACGCGCCACTGCTGCTTGGCGATCTCTCTCTGCCTCTCCGTGAAGGCGCCTCTCGTTCTCGAATTCTTTACAGATCGCTTGAGCAGCGGCCTCTGCTTCTTGACGAAGGCGCCGCAGCTCTCTGGCTTGGCGGCTTTGCTCTCTGAGCTGGAACCTTGATTCTTCGATTTCTTCGATTTCCTCCCGAGGAATAGATTGCGGTTGATCAAGCGCATATCGCGGGAGGGACATGGGGAAGCGGCTCGATGTTGATGTTGTTTCCAAGCCCCTAAATTACAGGGAGGCCTAAAGCTGCTGTAGCGCGAGCAACAGGCTCTAGCTTAAGTACAAGTACCTACAGTTATGGGCCAAAAGTCTGCGAACCCGAAAAAATCAAAGCACGAACACCAAATTTATGAGGCCTATAAAACACTTGGTATTTTTTTTCTAGATTTGCCGATTAATAATGGCCATCTCTATTTTCTAGAATTAATTACATATTTATGAATGCTATAACTTTTGGTGACATTCAGCATGCCGTTCGCAGATTTTTGGCCCATAACTGTATTAGCAGAGCGGCTGAGCCAGTGGATTTAGGGGTGGCGAGTCTTCCTCTCGCCCATTTCAAGATTGGTCGTCAGTGGACGATACATTCCCACCATCAATCTTCACCTTTACACAACCCCAGATCTCTTCAGTCTCAGCGTCTATCACCTTCCTTCTACCACAAGACAGAACACCTACGGGGAGCGGGGCTTGCGCTTACGGATCGCTCGTGGGCAACGTCTTCTCACTGTTCGAGATGCGTCGCCAGCGCTAATAGGCGGAATCCAAGGACGGACGTCTCCACAGAATATATCCATAGCCTACAGGCGACCTACGGCAACCGCTGTTGAAGCCACAGGTACCTACCCGAGAGAAGTAGTACCTACCCAGCAATAGAGGTAGAGAAAAGTGGCGATGGTAGAGAAAGGTAGAGATATTGGAGGAATATAGCAGCAGCAGAGAAAAGTAGCCATAGTAGCTCGATCACCATGTGAATGAATTCAAAGAGAGGCAACTTTGGGCAATTTCAATGTAATCCACACATGAAACTACTCCATGAATCCACGCGAAAAATTTCAAGTTCAAACATTTTAAGAGACCAAGGCACAAATATATCACACAACTCTCCAAAGCATAAAATAAATTACAACCCGCAATCCACGTTTTATTTTGATCGAATGCAGGGTAATAGAAAATTGCTTACTGTCCATCAAGCGTGGATTGGCAAGTACTAGCGGCCGATCATCAACGATGCCGTTTCATTGGGTGGGTCAGATTACCTAATCCTTCCGCCGAACCCTTATGGACTCCTGCCTCTTGAATCTGCTCTTCTTCCAACCATCCAAAGACACCAAATTTGAATGCCATAGCAGTCGAATTTCTCATCATCTTCTTGTCCACATTGTCCTTGCAGATCCTCTCTCTCGTCATTTCGAAACTTGATTCAACTTTTCGCCTCTGCGCCAGCATCACTGCTGCTTACCCAGTAGCTCAAGGATGTGATACCAAAGTCCAGGTAAGACGATGCTGAGCACTGCTTCTTCTACGTCTGGATAGATTCTTCAAATCTCCATTTACTGTCAGAAAACACCAAAATGAGCTCATCTGCTCCAACAAAGGTAGAGCGCCGGAAGCTCCGGAGAGGCACAACAAGCTGCTGGGAATGCAAGCGGCGGAAAACCCGCTGCCATTTTGAGCAGAGCAACTCAAGCGCCTGCGTGTCTTGCAAGCGTCGTGGATGCAAATGTGTGCTCCAGCATTTCGACGAGCAGTTCTCGGCTACGGACACAGCGGATCAGCCGATTCGAAATCGAGATGTTGGTGAGCAGATGAATCACCTCGAGGGGTTGGTTGAACGACTCGTACGCCAGTCAACCACCACCAGTACCTCGATTCGTGATCCTGACCCCCTCTTACAAGAGCAAAATCCTTCTCATGATACACAAAGCCATACATCCACCAACGACGCAGTAAGCAGAAATGACTCAGCACGGCAAGTTCAGCAAGCGCAAAGTTCCTCCAGTCGTCCACGCAGACTCCTCCCGAAGCTGGACAAGGCACCAACAGGGAGCTCCGTTTCTTCACCAGACAGTCGCTCCAGATCTTTGAACTCATTAACACACAAGTATCCCAAAGGAATGTTGGCCAACACACCACTCCTCCCACCAGATCCAATCAGCGGCTCGCCTCGATGCAATTCGCTCACTTTATTACTACAATCCATCCTCCCGTCCGTCAGCATCACCACTCGCATCATGCACCACAACAAGCTGTTAATGATGTCCATGCACGTGTTTCGAGGCCTGTCCACTGATCCTTTCCGACCTACTCCTCGACAAGTGGCCCGACTAACATCTCCAACACCAAATCCTAAGCCAATTGAACTAGCTCGCAGCCTCTTCCAGCTTGCAATTTGTCTTCAGCAGTCAGACCGCACGTCTGAAATCTCAGAATTATGTCTTAGTCGCTCCAATAGTGATGTTGCAAGTCAGTATTTCGAGGCTGCTTCCCGCTACGTCACCTCACAGGACTCACTTGTCGTCTCCTTTGAAGGAATAGAGACATTGATGCTGGAAGGGTTATATCACGTTTCCACAGGCCAGATACGGCTTGCGTGGCTTGTGTTTCGCCGAGCACTGGGTATTTGTCACCTAACAGGGTTACACATACCACAGCGACGGCGGCAGAACAAGCAGTCCAAGGCTACCAATTGCCAAACATCAATGTGCCTCGCGACTCTATGGTTTCGGCTGATATTCATGGATCGTTATCTGTCTTTGGTGCTCTGTCTTCCAATATCTGTTCGAGACGACAGTTTTATGGAAGACTTGGTGCTGCAAGAACCTCATGAGAAGCTCGAGCGCACCCAGGCCGTGCTTACAAGTCGTATCGTAACTAGAAACGAACTAATGCAACACGGGCGTCTGGCGGATGGGTTCATCTACGATCATTACAACGAGACCAAGGATATTGATTACGAGTTGAAGCGGGCAGCGCAGTCCCTGCCGGCGGACTGGTGGGCTTTTCCACGGCTAAAGGATGCGCATACGAATGCAGAGCTGAAAGACATGACAGCCAAGGTTGTCCTTCAGTTGCATCACTATAATCTTGTCTTGTTGCTTCATCTACCATATGTTTTGCCACGGATTGGAGATTGTCTTGCCGATGATATGATGCCAGATTACACAAATTCTAAAATCTCCGCCATGTTTGCGAGCCGCGAACTACTCACCCGAGCCATCATTCCGATCGGCCCTAATCGCGTGTCCTCTTCGACCCGCGGAAATACTCTTAAAATCGTTCTATCTGCTTTGGCCCTTTTGCTATCCCACTTGGATAGCCATCGCCTAGGTCGCGAAAATGCCATTGGTCATCAACGCCCAGGCGATTTGGTAATGATTGAGCGAGCCATCAAGTGTTTGGAAACCGTGTCTTTGAAATACGATGACGTGCTGTGTTCCTCTGCAGCACAATCATTGAAGAGACTAAGCGCCCTTGAGTCGTCTGCTGCAGATGGAATTGGCTATAGAGCATGGAGTGAGCCCAGTGAGGCGATGCAATTGGAGTGCATCGTTCGAGAGGAAGCGGGTAACGTCGAAATGCTGTTCCCATACGCGGGAACCATTCATATTCTGCGACAGGACTCTCAAAACGCTGCATCGACAAACAATATCGAAACTCACGTAGCAGAGACAAGAAACCCAGATGGTGGCATTCTGACTCCGTCTTGGGCATGGAGCGATTCTCCACTGTCTTTGCTGCCTGACCTTGCCTCTACTGCCTCTAGCAGCGACGATGCACAGGATGCATTGCAAAGTATGTTATTCTCTACTCATGGCATGCAAGATACATGGGGCCTCCAAAGCGGTGATCTCGAATGCATCGAGGGACTCCAAGCGCCACAGCCATTTTTACAGGACTTGGACTTTACGGATGGGATTTGAATGACCAATGCACATTGATATTAGAAACACTCCTTCATTGATTCGGATTTCCCATGGTCTTGATTTATGACAAATGCCAAATAAATTACTATCGGATTTCTGTGATCGAATAAAATGGTCCAGCAGGCAAAAATGGACTAAAGACACTACTTAATACCTCATCTATTTTCACATAGCGCATAGCCCATTCCAGTCGGCGACTATGCCTCGAGCGGCGGAGTGTCGCCAAACAGGTTCAACCCGGGAAAGTTCTCAGGGATTCGGGGACCAATGACTTCGTTTCCAACATTGCGAATCGCCTGCTCTTCTTCTGTGCTCAAGCTGATGCTCATGGCTGCGAGGTTCTCCCTAAGCCTGTGTGGTTCCGTTGTACCTGGAATAGCAAAGATGTCGTCACCTTGCGCAAGAAGCCAGGCCAGGGTCAGCTGGGCGGGAGTAACACCCTTTGACTTTGCGATTTCGTTGATCTTGGCGACGATTGCTAGGTTCTTGTCGAGATTGTCGCCGTTGAATCGAGGCAGCCTGGCTCGCATGTCACCCGCCTTGGTAATGTCCTCTTTCGATTGGATGGCTCCAGTAAGAAGACCTCTACCAAGAGGGCTATATGCGACCACAGCGATACCGAGTTCTCGCGCAGTCTCTAAGAAGCGACGCTGAGGTGATTCAATCTCCACGGTGAACGGATTATACTCCATTTGGACACATGTGATGGGGTGGATCGCAGAAGCACGGCGGAGAGTCTCAGCGCTGCATTCGCTCAGACCAAAATGCTGAATCTTTCCCTCATTCTTGAGTTCAACCATGGTCTTTATCGTCTTTTCAATCGGCGTGACCTTGTCGAGATGATGAACATAGAGCAGGTTGACAAACGGCAGCCCGAGTCGCTTCAACGACTTTTCGATGGCCTGTCGGCAGTATTCCGGAGACGAGTCAACATTGATGCTCATGCCTTCTACTTTGATGCCGAACTTTGTGGAGAGAAAGATGTTGTCACGCTTTCCGGGGTTGGCGGCGAACCACTTTCCCAGCAAGTCCTCGCAGTCACCATACATGTCGGCTTTTACAACCATTGATCAGCCAGTGTGTCTTGTGGATATTCAAGATGTTGTTCCTTGACTCACCCGTGTCCCAGAATCTCTCGCCCATCTCATATGCCTTGTCCAAAAAGGCCAGGCGCTCTTCGTCTGGAGCGGGCAGGCCATAGTGTCCGCTCAAGCCCATGAGGCCGAGGCCGAGGCGAGGAACTTGAGGTCCATTCTTACCCAATGCGCGGGTGACTATCTTGGGAAGAGTTTGAGACATTGCTGTTATTTTTTACTGTCGACTTTGCTGTTGCAGAATGTTGATGTGTTCTGCTTTTAACATGTCAAAGGGGCGATGGATTACGCCCTTTTATAGCAGTGCCCATCTCGCCAAAGAGCTCGCCACAAGTCATCTGGCTATCCAATCGAGAAGTCATTTACATAACTTTCGGCACTACTTCCGCCTATCTCCATGAAATCTTTGCGGCTGCTCTCTTTATTTCACCTCTGTGGTTGGTCCGGAGATCAAGCTGAAGCGGACTGGCCAATCAGCTTTCTTCCGCCGAGATTCTGGACGACAGCCAATCAGCGTTCTTCCGCCGTTAAAGCCGTCGCAGATGGCTCGCTGGTCAGATCAATATGCTACTGTTATTTGCCTACAGAATAGTTCAATTAATATCCAGACATTTCGACCATACTCAATACTTCATCCACTTTCAGCTGTCTCAATCTAGCTTCATCTGTTCTATTCATGCCCTCTCTTGCGGTGCGATTAATGAGTGGCCAATTATTGGGCCAATCAGAAGCAATGTTACAACTGCATGTCCTACGCGAAGCCTCGTCCAATGAGTGTTGCAGTTGCCATTATTACTCATTAATCGAGGCTGAGCATGCTAAAGCTTTGGATGGTTGGGCAGCAAGGCTCTCGCATTCCCTTTCCCCTCTCGCACTTCTTTTCCCGTCACAAGCCTTACTCTACAAGCCATCACCCACGTTGACCACAGCCATGGGCGTCAGAGATTGGCTTAAGAAGCGCAAGGCGAAAGATTCTCGTGCTAATACCAGCAATCAAACTGATACAGCTCATTCTGATGAAAATCAATTACAACAACAGCAAGATGAGAGCAGGGAACCCAGCGAAGCCCCAGATGGCTTGGATTGTTCGAATAAATCTCCCGAAAAGGTCGAGAGTCGCCGAATAGAAGATGCGCCAATTCGAGAGCTATGGGATATAGCATACGAGAAGCTTCGAAAAGAGGATGGTAGGGTCATCGCAGACTATGAAGCTACGCTCATAGGCAGTGTCACCGCTGGCTTAGGTCAAAGTCTCAATTTGAAGCAAAATCGGAGAGAGTGGATGCAAGCCATCTTACAAAGCAAGATGGATGAGGTCAACGAAAATAAGTCGAAGCTCGAATCAGGCGATATTAAAGCTCAAGCAAAAGACGTCATGCAGCTCGTCTTAAACGTTGTGAATTCAGCCAACGGCTACATCGGCAGTGCCGCGAGCTCCAATCCATATACCTCGATTGCTTGGACTGGTGTTAGCTTTCTTCTCCCAGTGAGTCGATCCGCAACCCCGAATATGCCAATTCAATACTTACCAAGGTTACGGTAGCTTCTCATGAATGTATCAGAAGAAATGGCCTCGCTAGCGAAAGGGCTAGATTACATCGCTTCTCTTATTGCACAGAGCCATTTGAGAGAAGAACTCTATGTTGAACGCTATGAGTCGGGATCAAATCATCATGAAAGATTCCAGCCGTCACGTGTCCATTACAAAATTGCTTTGGAGAGACTCTACAGGCAGATTCTGAGATTCCAGGCCAAAATTTGTCACTACTACTCAAAAAACCCCGGCATCCGTTATGGCCTAGATGCCGTCAAGTGGAATGGCTGGGCTCCACTGGTAGATGAGATTCGCGACCGAGAACGCAATTTTTTCGCCGTCGAAGATAGGTGGCGTGACATACAGCGCTATGAGGAACGCCTAGCAATCATAAACTCTTTTTCGGCCATGAATACAAACCTTTCTGCATTAACAGATCGAGAGTTCGCTGATCTGCTGCAATGGTTATGTGACATCGACCCATCTTCAATGTACAACGCCGCGCGTGGCAGGCATGAGGCTGGTACATGTGAATGGTTGATAAAGAATAGCGAGGAGTTCAAGACTTGGGAGACGAGCGGTGGCTCATTGTTATGGCTGCACGGCAAGGGTATGTTTTTTTTGAAGGCTTCAACTGGCGCAAGGCAACAATACGAGTGTTGAAACATAGAACTGACTTGCGATAGCCGGCTCGGGGAAATCAATCCTCACATCTTCGGTCATTAAACATCTTCAACAGCGATGTGCCTCAGAATCATCAAATGTGGTTTCTTACTTTTATTTCAGCTTTAGCGACCTTAAGAAGCAAGAAGTTGACGGCATGCTTGCGTCTCTTATCAAACAGATCTGCTCATACCAGCCCTATACATCACAACTAATTCAGCGACTTCGGATGTACAAGATGAAAGGCGAACGCCCAGATACTGAGACACTTGAAGCAATTTTAATTGATTCAGCATCGGAACTCACCAATTTATACGTTGTTATTGACGCGCTTGATGAGTGCCCTCTGCTTAACCAACAACGGAACAAGCTACTGAAGAGTCTGCGGCGTATCCTTGCCATTTCGCCTAACAATTTCCATGTATTTTTGACAAGTCGGAAAGAACCAGATATTGACAGCAAAATACGTTCCGTCCTATCTTCACCCGACAGGATTGAGATTGACCTACTAGCCCGCCAGCAGATACTCAATGATGACATTAATCACTACATTAAATCGCAATTATCAACAGAAGACTACGCCACGTGGCCACCCAGCGTAAAAGAAGAAACTAGAAAGGCACTCATAGAGAAAGCCGACTGCATGTGAGTTTTGAATTCTAGTACATAACTATTAGATATTGGAATTCATAGTGTATCAAGGTTCCAATACGTCCGGTTTCAGTTAGAAGCACTCCAGAGTCTCTCATCCCCAGCTGATGTACGAAAGGGACTTCGAAACCTTCCTACAGGACTTGACGCTACTTACGATAGAATCTTGGGATCAATCGATCACAATTTCCGGGAACAAGTCATACACTCGCTTGAATGGCTCGCCTTTTCAATGGAGGTCTTATCCATCGAAGAACTCGCCGAGATATTCATTCTCCGCCCTCACAGTGATGGTACATTTGACGAGGCAAGGCGTCTGTTTTCTCCGACAGACGTACTAAAATATTTTCCCGGTCTCATTATCACCCAAAAGGGCCATTCCCCCAGATACTATAATGAAACTCGGACTGAAATTCGGCTAGTGCACTTCTCTTTGAAAGAGTATTTGATATCCAGCAGAATAGTGAATGGCCCTACATCGGTCTTCTCATTTACAGAGATGAACGCCCATCTATCAATCATGCAGTCATGCCTCACTTACCTAAACCACTTGAACTCCTGGGTTAGGAGTCTCGGTGAGAAACTTTTTTATCCAAGCATCGTTTTTTCAACGTATCCACTGTCCGGATACGCAGCGCACAACTGGATGGCCCATCTTGAACAAATTCCTCGTATATCATGGTCAGCTGAGATTACACGGGATGCAGCGAGCGCGCTTGCTGTTAACAGTCAGAGTCTGCTCACTCTCGTCAACATTACCAGAGATTCCTTCGATTATGAGTTGATACTAAAACCATACTGCTTCACAGCTCAGCGGGGTCATATTCAACTGACTGAGATGTTGATGTATCCGGAATATGGCGTAAATAAGTACGTTACGCGAGAAGAGTTGGGCGATACACTCCATGATTTGGCCTTTAAAGGGAAGGTAGATATGATGCAGCTCTTTCTCAAAGCGGGCGCCGATGTTAATGCGCAGGGCGGTATATGGGGCACAGCTCTTGAAGCAGCCGCCAGGGGTGGACATCTCAATGCCTTGAAACTTCTTGTGAGCAGCGGAGCTAATGTCAACAGTCTTTCGAGTCTCACAGGCATACCTCACTCGGCCACCGATTGTCTGAGGTTTCTCCTTGACAGCGGCGCCGATATAAACATGCAAGGCGAATTCCACAGGACAGCGCTTCACAAGGCTGTACAATCTGGTCGCGACGAAAAATTTGATCTGCTATTGGAAAGAGGCGCCGACGTAAATGCTTTGGGAGGGCATGGCACGCCACTCCAGACGGTGTGTAGGGATGAACCGAATTCATACTTGCGACCCAAGGCGCCGACTATAGCTCGATATGTGAAGAAGCTATTAGAGAGTGGTGCAGACCCAAACCTTCGGGGCGGGGATTATGGCACACCACTGCAGCTTGCGTGCGGTAATTCAATACTATTCCCCGACTACCAAATAGCAATGGAGATTGTGAAACTTCTAACTGACAATGGGACTGTTGAAAATGGGACTGTTGTGAATGGGTTCGTTGTGAAGAAATACGACACAGGGAGTCCTGCAACAGTGAAATCGGTACATCCTTCAGCAATCGAGGTGGTGAAGCTACTCCTTGACCATGGCGCCAAGATCGGCCAGTTAGGTGGCACAGATTCGGGAATGGCGCTACATGATGCCTGCGACCGGCGGAGCGTGAAGAATATCCATTGGCTTCTGGATCATGGCGCTGATGTGAATGCAGAGAGCGATACATACGGCACGCCACTGCAGGCTATTATGCGTAGCAGATTTAAGGGCCGCAGGACAGATGAAAGAAAAAGACGTTTCAATAGGGAGATGATGCTGATTGTACAACTGCTCATAAGCAAAGGGGCCCATGTCAACCATATCAACCAAAAAAGCGGCCCCTACCGCACTGCTCTCCAAGCTGCCTGCGACAATTTATATCTCGATGTGGAGGCAATCTGCCTTCTAATCGACTACGGCGCTGATGTGAATGCAGAAGGAGGCGAATACGGAACAGCACTTGGAGTTGCATGTCAAAGTACACGCAGCGGAAATGACTTGATGCAATTAGTCCAACTACTGATCAAGCACGGTGCTGATGTAAATGCCAAGGATGGAAAATATGGAGCACCACTCACAATTGCTTGCAGGGGTGGTACAGAAGAGCTGGTGCGATTGCTGCTTGAATCCGGAGCAGATGTTCGTCACCAGAACTACGCGGCCTGGCACGCAGCTGTTCGGAGCGGTAGCGTTGATATGCTCACGCTTTTACTCGATCAGGGCATCGATATCAACCGTGTACACGAAGAATATGGTACTGCTCTAAACACAGCGATAGAAAGCTGGATTGTCACATCTGTTATTGATCAGGAATCGCATGATAAGGTCTGTTTTCTACTCAAGCATGGTGCTAACGTCGAGGTCAAGGGAGGCAAATTTGGTTTCGCGCTCCAGACGGCATGCGCGCCAGAGTCTTCAGAGAGTACTCTTCCTAGAGACATCGACATTATATCGGGCAGGACAAAGCTCCTCCTCGAACAATGCCCGGATATCGACGTTAATGCAAAGGGGGGAATGTTCGGGTCAGCTCTGCAGGCAGCCGCCTTTTCGGGCCAAACCGAGTCGGTAAGGCTGCTGTTGGCTAGAGGAGCCGACATTGGTGCGCGAGATGGAAAGTGCGGCAGTGCATTGAACGCTGCAATCTTTGGTGGCTACTGGGATATTGTCGAGATTCTGCTTCAGGCCGGTGCCACGCCCGACTATCGTTTGCAGAAGCAGCCTGATGAGGAGTGGCTTCAACGTGTTGGAGAGGGAAGTCTTAAGATAGTTGAAAGGAGGCGGCGTAGGAGTCACGAGGAAAATGGGCGAAGCGCCGTGGCAAGATATAGAAAGTTTTGGGAGGTTGAGAGTGGCTCTGCATCTGGAAGTGAATGAAGTACAGTAGCTAGACACATTTCGAGTACCTAGGTAGCTATAGCGAGATCCGACAGCTAGATCAAGTAGCTAGAGGTAGGCCATACGGATATACTTGTAGGGGAAGTTCTCTGCAATGTGTAGATTGATATCACATCTCTCATTTGAGAAGCAAATCACAGTGTATCCTCTTATGCACCCACTCAAGACGTTCTAGGGCAAAGATGCATCCCAGAAATTGTTTGCAATGACCCAAGATGCGAATATTACCTTGTCCCCTGAAACCTACCGCGTCTTGGATAAAATTTCTGTTATTGATTCGATAATGAACCCATGGCGTTTGGACCTCTGGAAAAAAGAAAAAAGACTCCGTCATCATGAAAACTTACGGGCCAAGGAAGTATTTTTGAAGCTGCCTTGAAACTTGACTCGCATTGTAGTCATCAAGTGGTGCTGTTGGAGGAGATCTATGGTACGTCAACGAAGAGACTGGTAAGGGTGAATTTGAATCCGATATGGGGCCTCAAAAGCAGATAACCGCCATGAAGTGTTGAATTGGATGGAAGAAATGGGTGATGGGATAAATACATGTATAGAGGTGATTTTCAATCCATGGGTTGACATGAGTGTACATGATCTGGATGTTCCATCTCAGCCTCATCAAATAACTCAAAATACCTCAGACAGACCGAGTTACCAATGGTTACGGCAACCCCCCGATATATTAATCCCTACCTACAGACTTGAAGCGTATAGATGAAGCCATCTCATCTAGGCACCTACCTAGGGAGTACGGCCTATCCATTTGACAACGCAGTACCTTGCAGTACCTGATGGGTATATTTTACGTTCAATCAGCATTATAATCTACCTAGTCTCTACCTCGCGAACGGACCTCTCTTTTCCTCCTTCCGCCTCGCTTATATACCCAAGACTGAGGAAAGAACCAGTTGCAGTCACGGGGTCAGGTCTTAACACCAAGGGCACACACAAAAGGCACACACACTTTCTTTCCCCCTGAAAACAAATTCATGACTTTACAATCACAGCCATGAGCTTTTCAAGTCCTTCCATCAATCTTCCTCAACAAGCTTCTCCCTCTTCTGGTGATTCTTCGGCACGCCATATTTGCTGGCATTTGCAAGTTTTCATCTGCAAGTCAACAGCCGCTCTGGAGCCCCAATTAACCAGATATTTCGTGTCCCATTTTCTGTGTCACATTTGTTCATTACACACAATGCTAACGAACCAATATCACAGATACTCGATTCCAATCATACTGCGAAGCCCTGAGCCGCGCTGCCTCCGAATCCCCAGCGAGGCCATAGCACGACAAAGCGTTGTGCCAAGCAAGCGCTAAGCCCCTCCATCGCTGATGCCTTGCATCTGCTGTACTCTATTCATGGCATAATCACCTCGGGATCACTATTCCAGAGTGTCATTTTCAGAGGGATTCTCATCTGGAATTTGTTGGCTTCACCTTGCCTGAGCGTTAGATTGTTCAGCCGCGTACTCGTAAGCTGCGTGTTAGATTTGGTGCTGATTCCGATTGCAGACAACAGCTTGGCCAACATTAGTGCTGACAGCTATTGGCTGCGCGACGCCCTATGCTTCAGCTCCCACGCATAACATAAATGTGTGACACTTGGCCGTCAGTCTTCAACCAAGCTGCAGCTATCTGATTACCCCACGTTTCACACTCAACCAGAACACCATGTGGCCATTTGGGAGCTCCTATCCCGAACGCAAACCTGAGGATGTGGACGGGAAAACATACGACTATGTGATTGTCGGAGGCAAGTCAAAGAAATACCCAAGTCCCAGACAAGATCAGGTGCTGATAATCATCTAGGCGGCGCCGCTGGCTGTGTCCTGGCATCACGCCTCTCTGAGGATCCGAATGTGTCCGTGCTGCTCCTGGAAAAGGGCGTCGTCAACGACAATCTCCTTAGTCGCATCCCGCTACTTTCTCAGAATCCCATGATGGATGGATTGCAAGCGGTGAAGCATCTGAGCCAGATCCCCTCGGCCTTGAACCGGAGGCTGTCCCTCTACTGGGCAGAGGCGCTGGGAGGCTCAACTCGTATCAACGCAATGCTGCTGACTCGAGGCCCACCTGGCAACTACAACGAGTGGTCGCAGGAGTTTGGGCTGAAAGACTGGGGCTGGGAGAGCGTAGAACCTTACTTTCGAAAGAGTGAAAATGCCATTGGCCATCCAGATGCCGAATATCGCGGCCATCATGGACCAGTCGAAACCCGCCAGCCTGCTTATCCATTCACTTGCTATCCGTACATTGAGATAGCCGTCCGCAAACTGGGGCTTCCTGTTCATAATGACTGCAACGACCCAGCATCAAGCGCGCAGGGCTACTTTCGCCTAGACCAGGCGATTGACAGCAATGGGCGGCGCATTTCTGCCTACAAGGCGTGGCTTAGCAAAGAGACTGCTATCGCTCGAACATCACACCTTACCGTGTGTACCGGTGTGACAGCCTCCAGACTTGAAGTCGATACAAAGACTCGCAAGGTGATTGGCGTCCAAATTCGGCGCAAAGGTCAGGCAGACAGGCGTGAGTACTATGTACAGGCACGACGAGAAGTTGTGCTTTGCTCTGGCGCAATAGGTACTCCACAGATTTTGATGAGAAGGTATTCTGTCTAGAATCATGTTTGCAAGAGTGAGGAATAAGCTGACGAGGACAAATTAGCGGCATCGGACCCAAAGACCAGCTTGAGCAACTTGGCGTTCCCATTGTTCAAGCGTCATCCGCGGTAGGCAATAACCTCATGGACCATTTTGCTGTGCCCATCATGTCGCGGGTTCCAACTCGGGATACCATCCACAGCCTGTACAATCCACTCGTGTTTATTTGGCAGTTTATTCTCTGGCTATTCTTTGGTCGTGGCCTCTTGTCAATCTCGTCAACAAGTTCGAGCATCTTTGCCCGTACGACTGCCATTGATGATGCAACTATGCAGGTGCAGACTTCATGCAATGGTAAAGATACAATGGACTCGATGCAGCCACAGAACGCGCCTGATTTAGAGATTATGGTCATTCCCGTTGAAAGCTACTTTGATGTCTACATTACCGAGCATTCGCTTCTGACTTGGCTATGTACATTGGTGCAGCCTTTTAGCAGAGGCCACATCAGGCTTACTACCACAAATCCCGAGCATCCCCCTGAAATCACTCACCCTCTTCTAAGAGATGACAGGGATCTTGAACCGATGCGAAAGGCTATCCGCTTTGCATTACGTCTGGGCCAAGAGTTTGGCCGCTCAGGCTATCCGCACCCTGCGCCTTTGGTCTATGGACCTGGTATGGACCTGGAATACCTCGACCAAAGACTGGGATTCACCAAGCCGCTGCCAAATCAAAAAAAGAAGAGCGGCGGCACAACTGAGCTGCCAGAGTGGCAAAACATTTCAGATGAGGCCATCGATGAGTACACGAAACGTGCCTATCAGAGCGCCCTACACTATGCCTGCACTTGTCGTATGTCGCTCGACGCAGCGGATGGTGTCGTAGACCAGAAATTGCGTGTGTTTGGCGTCAACGGTCTTCGCATAGCCGATGCCAGTGTGTTTCCCAAGATTCCCAGTGCGCACACAATGGCGCCGACGATGATGGTGGCCGAGAGGTGCGCCGATTTCATCAAAGAGACGTGGCGTGAGAAGCGACAGTAGCAGCTGATGTTATGGGTGAATAATATATCTTTTAAGACATAGGATAGATTGCCTTGTTGGAACAGCGTCTGTGTTCGCTGCATTTTTTCATTTCGTCGTCTCTTCTGAACATGGTCTAATTTCAATTTACCAGAACTCGGCTGCCTTTTCAGGTGTATGAGCCTTTCAGCACTAAGACATCCAGACACACATACGGTCAGTGCTTGCAGTTGCTCTTATTAGACATCTGCATTCTCGCTGATCAATCTTAACATCTCCATAGATCGATCTCATCTCGTCGAGGCTATTTCGCGGCCCTGTCGGTGGTCCTCAAAATGGAGCCACTGATTAGTCCTAGCCTAGCTTGGATTGGAAGTCCATTCCGGCATCATTATGGCGATTGTTCTGGCAGCTCTCACAACGTTCCTTGTGCGACTCCGGATGGATATTCTTGAATCGCTAGCCAGGGCATCCTTACGCCCGCATTTGTATGAGAATGGCCAACGTTGAGCTGATCAAGCCTTTGGCCTCGGAACCAATTGCCAGAGGTAGCAAGTGTCTCGAGCTACCACATCAATGGCTTCACGCCATTCCATAACTCCATTGCCAAAAACAGCTTCCTAAAATGCCGCTTCAAAGCGATACATTTTTAACGGCTTCCATGAAGCTTCTCCGCAAAGTGGCGTTATTCGAAGCCTCTTGACTGGCTTCTCCTCTGCCTTGGCTCTGTTCCATCTCCACGCGGGCCATATTCCCCCATCAGGAATCGCTGGAACTACTCGTTTTAGGCAAAGCCACCACGACAATCTCCATGATCGGCGGCCACGAAGCCAAGGCATGGATGCTGTTCAGCAAAATGGATTCATAAGCAGATGACTCCGCACTTTGGATTGCGAGTGCATTGATTGACGTGAATCCTATACCAACAAGTCTGAACACTGAACAAAGAAATCCCATCCCTCGTCTTCATTTCATTTCAATCACCTTTGCAGTACTAGCAATAATGGCTTCCATGGACGCTGTGTTCGCCGCATACAAAAAGCGGCGGGCCGCTCTTGATGCAAGCAACAATCCCTTTGCCAATGGCGTCGCCTGGATCGCAGGAGAGCTGTCGCCACTAGTAGAGGCACGGATCCCCATTGTCGACCAAGGCTTTCTTCATGGCGATATGTGCTACGATGTCCCGTCGGTGTGGGATGGGAAATTCTTCCGCCTGGATGATCACATCACGCGGTTCGAAGCCAGCTGTGCAAAGCTTCGACTGAAGCTGCCAATTCCGAGGGATGAGCTCAAGAGCATCTTGTTTGACATGGTCGCAAAGAGCGGGATGCGAGATGCCTATGTCGAATTAATCGTCACACGAGGTTTCAAGGGTGTTCGAGAATCTAAACCAGAAGACATCGTCAACAATCTGTATGTCATTCTGCTACCATACGTCTGGCTCATGGACCCGGATGAGCAATATCACGGCGGCAGCGCAATCGTCGCACGCACGGTTCGACGCACTCCTCCTGGTGCCATGGACCCTACAATCAAGAACCTTCAATGGGGCGACATGGTGCGCGGAATGTATGAAGCCAGGGATCGTGGAGCCAGCTATCCGTTCCTTACCGATGGAGATTCCAACCTGACAGAGGGATCCGGATACAACATTGTCTTTGTCAAGGACGGCGCCATTTACACGCCCGATAGGGGAGTGCTGCACGGCATCACGCGCAAGACTGTCATGGAAGTTGCTCGTGCCAGTGGGATCGATGTTCATGTTGAGGTGGTGCCTGTCGAGATGGCATACACGTGCGATGAGATATTCATGTGCACAACGGCTGGCGGCGTTATGCCAATCACGACTCTCGACGGGCAGCCCGTGAAAGATGGAAAAGTTGGACCGATAACGAAGACGATTTGGGACGGTTACTGGGCGATTCACGATAATGCTACGTATACTACCGAGATCGATTACTTGGCGAATTGAATGAGATGACGGAAGACGTTGATGACTGGAATTTGTTTAGACTGAATACATCAAAGTGATTTGATTTGATACTGACTTTTCAACAACGTGCAGGAGGGAGGAAGTTGGGGTTCGCTGACAAGCTTTCTCAAATGCGGGAAACGCAGGCCATGCCGCTCTCGACAAGGGGAACCCAGCCAAGTTTACCCCAGGCAAATCAAGCAAGACTAAAAAGCCAATTGGCCCAGCAAAAGCAACGTCTTGTTAGCACATTCACGGCCGGCAACTCATTTCAAGCATGTGGCTGTGCAGGGGAGGTCAAGTGATGCCACAAATCGAAGAAGCCAATCATCGTTGGCGCGAGAGATTGGATCGTGTTTCCGGGATAGAGATGCAAGGGTCAAGCGCTGTGATTGCGAAATGCTCACACCAAACCGTGATTCGGCAACGAATATGCGAAATTTGCTGATGCCGCCTACTTTGTGAAAGGCTTCTAGAAACTCAGCCACGGCACACCACATGCCTCGATTCCCTCGGCCGGCACGGATATTGGCGTACCCACAGCTTCATCTTGCACAAGCTCGTGTCCTATCTATTTCGAGTCTGTCCGCCGTGCTTTTTGGATGCTGATCCCTGCCAAGCACGACGACACGTTGTGCGTAGTAACATTGAAATTACAGGGACGGCCTCATATACAAGTGCCGTATACAAGTACTACTAACAACCGTCCCCAAGAGGCCAACAAAACAAATCACCACCAACAAACTTGCAAGCCACACACTGCACTACTCACTGAGCCATCAGCTCACAGGGATCACCACAGCTGTCATTATTATCTGGCTCGCCACTAGCCCACTTCAAGCCTAGTTTAATTTGTGAGCTGTCACCGTTGCGCCCCACATCAAATCAGCTCTTATAATACGGCCAAGACGCCCTCCTTATTTCCTCGCAGCAGCAGTGCATCCATCGATATGCTGCAAATAATCAATAATGACAGATAGGTTTGATGAGCTGAGACGGCGAAAGAAGCTCCTGCAACAAGAACTGCGCCGCCAAGCATTCCCGCGCCAACGCAAGAGATTCGACCGCGAAGAGGACCAGCGCCGATTCCAAGACTTTGTAGACACCGAGTGCGAGAGACGAGAGCTGGACCGCAGGGATATAGAGCGCGAATGCGACGAGTTGTATGAACGAAAATTGCGGCAGCTGGAACGCGAACGCGACGAGCTCCTCGAACGTGAACGCCAAAGGATCGACGTCCAGTATGAAGAATTATTCGACCGCGAGTACAAGAGGATCGAGCGCCAGATCAGCCAACGAGTGCAGCGAGAAACAGCCAAGGATCGGGAACCCCAGAATCTCGTCCAATTCCTCGAATCGTGCCATGCACTCCACCTCAGATTCCAAAAGACTGCGAGTCGCTCCTTGATCACGCAAAAGGAAGCGCTTAGCTGGACATTTCCCCGACGAATTATTCCCTGGGACGGCTTCCCGCGGTTGCAAGAAGGAGTATGGCAACGAATCTTGTCCGATAGTGAATTCTGCAAGGAACCCGGCTTCCCATCTATCCAACAGCTCGAAGCTGTAAAGCGCACTCTCACCCCGGTCAATAGCGAAGCCTCGCTGCAGCATTTTGGACGCTATGCCATTGAAAATGTAGTGCAGGAAATGATGGATAAGTTGTATGAAGACGCCTCGCTTTGGAATGGCCTCGGACTCAGCGACGACGTGAAGGTGACGATAGAGACGGACAAGGACCTCGGGCAGGTGTTTGAACCCATGCTGGAGTCATCATGGCACAAGGGTGCAGGCGAATTGAAAATATCGATGCGCAATTCTCATCGCAGGGCGAAAAGAGCAGGCATCTGGGTCAACCGATCGTGTGTATACCGCCATGAGGAGGACAAGGGCGAAAAGACTCCCATCTTTGCAATTGTGCATCAGCTACCGCATCGGCTGCAACTAGACGAAATCAACCGCGGGTTGGCATCCGAGATTCGACCAGAACGAGACGTGATTGACAAGGAGGGCGACGATTTCACCTTTGCCTCGAGGACGCTTGTGGCGGCCACTATCAGCCAGCTCTATTCTTACATGATTAGCAAGGAGATTCAGTATGGATGCGTTTGCACAGGAGAAGCCTTCATCTTCTGCTGCATATCAGAGGACGACCCCTGCACGATATACTGCACGCCATGTGTGCCAGAGCGCGAGGTCATGCCCGACGATCCCGCTAGACTTCATCGAACAGCTGGTGCGCTAGTTTTTGGGCTTGTTCTTCAAGCTCTTCGCTCGAGACCACTTCCCGAGTCGTGGTGTGAGTCTGTTACATATTTGGATACCTGGACCATGGGATACGATGATGTACTGGATAAGATACGCAAAATGGGAGTCATGAGGCCGCATTCGTCCATGTCTTCCCTCAGGATGCACCGTTGGCAAGGGTTTAGACGATCGCCACTGCTCACCGAGGTTCGCAAAGGAGAAGGCAAGGGAAACGACAAGATCAAGAGCTGGCTCGACGATGTCCCTGTCCAGAGAGCCTATGAGGATACGGAGAGTATCTCTAGTGCACCGACGTCGATACAAGACCAGCCGTATTGCTCTCAGAAATGCCTCATGGGTCTGGTGCAAGGGAAGTCACTGGACAAGAACTGCCCCAATGCTGAGTTTCATGGACCAGCTCACCTCGACTACGACGACTTCTTGAACCTTCTCCGCACACAGCTTGATGAAGACGACAACCTGGATGCCGACTGCACACCTCTGCGGGTAGCACACGTTCCCAAATCTCTCTTCAAGATGCGGCTCACATCGCACGGCTATACGTTCATCGCCAAGGCAGGCAAAAACTCGGCGTACTTGTGGAGCGAGAAGTTTGTATACGACCAGATGGCGAATCTTCAGGGCCGTTGCATACCGGTATGTATAGGCATGATGGAGCTCATTCAGCCGCGACGTCACAATGGCAGGGCTTTGAAGGACTTGCTGCTCTTGAGCTGGGCTGGCAGGCCATTTTTGAACTGCTCCAAGCAAGTGAGCAAGGAGCAAGTGGCCAGGATGATGGAGATGGGCATGGAAGCAATTCACAAGCTTGGGGTTGTGTACAATGGCGGTCACATCCCCAGCAACTTTTTGTACGATGCATCTCGTAACAGCGTCATGATTGTTGATTTCGAGGAGGCGTCGCTGGAATTCTGCAAGACGCCTGCGGTGGTTGGGGACTACCAGACGCGAAAGAGGAAGCGAGATCGATGGCAAGAAGAGGCCAGGCGGGTGTTTGAGCAAGACACGGATTGCGCCGTGACGACGATTATGAAGTCGACGCCGCGGAAGACGGAGAGCCGGTATGCCGACGATGAGTCGGATATTGGGGATGACTCTGTGAGTCGATGTTGCTGAATTACGTGGGAAGTGTGAAACAAGAAGTTTGAAACAAAAAAGGATGGATTGTTGTCGAGACAAGAGAGACAAGAGGGAGAGACGACGGCTTATTAGGCTGCAGGTGTACCAATTACCTTGTACATTTTTGCTATAGATTGATTGTAATTTTGGGAGGGCTGAATATAGAGATACCAATGATGTACGAGTGGAAATTGAGAAGCCTTGAGGATGGCTAAGGATATATTGAGAATGCGCAGTTGGTATTGCTGCGTGAGGCTGATTTGAGAGGCTTGTCTTGACAATCTACAGAGCCTTATACGGAGTACAATGGGTGGTGATGTGATGTCTATATTCCCTTGTCTTGCAGATGTTGGAAATATAAGCATAGAAAGAATAAGAAATCTGAGACAAGAAGAAGTGAAACAGCTATTGTCAAAATTGTTGTGATCCAGTCCGGTACAGGGTAACTGATAAGAATGAAGCATGAAGCCATCGCCCGATAATCAAATCGGGCATGCTGATTTCTCCCCCCTTGGCCCCTAGGGACAGCGCATTAGCGCCGTTGCATCGCAGCGCTGCACCGCTATCTTAGTTGCTTAGCTCCCCCAAATGCCCTTGCACACGCGACACTTTTTACGGCGCATCTCATTCAACAGCTCTGAATCGCGCTGCTCTGATTTGACCAAAAACCCTGATTACTCACCCACACATACTAGTACTTGTACATAAAATCGGAGGCGCCGTCGCAGCAACTAACAAAAAGGCGCCCCGTTTTGGCTCCCGATGCACCGTTGCGGCCTGATTGGCGGGGAATTTTGGTGCGTCATGTCATAAGGCCCTAGTTCGGGGGGAATCCATTCTTAAAGCGCCACTGCGTCAGAATTCGATGGCGATTATTCAAAAAATGAATTCCAAGGGTGAACGAATGAAAGTTGAGTTGTAAGGTGACCAATTGATCGATTCGTGTAGCGGTAACAGTTAGTGCTCGGCCATTTAATCCCCCGGGCCGTCTTTCGCTCCAGCAAGTACCGAGATACTTGGTGCGTCTGGGCAGCTTGGCGCACGCTACCAGGTACAGGCGCTCCAGCAGGTACCCGCACCTCCCACTAGCCGCTAACCAGGTTCCCCCCCTCCCAGCAGCGAAAAAAAATTCAAGCGGTGCTGCGATAGCGCGATAAGGCCGATTAGCGGACACACCACCAAAAGCCATGGAAGGGCAGAAAAAAGAGATAGTGGAGGTACCACGGAGCAAGTACCAGATCTGGGGGGGAGCCATCCCATCCATCCATTGTATTCACCTCCTCCTCTTCTTTCTTCTACTTCTTCCTCTTCCTAGGTCCTCTGCTGCTGTCTGTCTTCTCTTCTTCTTCTTCTTCTCTCATCGCATCTCTTCGGCGCACCCGCATGAGGCTCCCGTGAGCCAATTCGTCTCTCCCTTTCGCCACTGCGACTGCCTGGTTGATTGATTGAATTGGATTCCTCTCTCCTCAGACACAGACAGAGTCACATACAGATCAAAAGGCGTTTCGGATGGCCGTTCAGTCCCTCCCCGCCGTCATCGACATCGACGAAGTGCTCCCGGGCACGCGATGCGTCTTCATCGATGAATCCGCCAGCAGCACCTCGGCAAATGGCCTGCTGCAGAAGCACGACGGCATCGTCCTCGTCCCCCAGCCAACTCAGTCGCCCAACGACCCCCTCAACTGGAGCTTGTGGCGCAAGATATGGCACACCGGCCTTGTGTGTTTCGCCGTCGCCCTGACCGCTGCCACGTCCAACGTTGCTGGTTCCGCGAGCACGGGCGTGAATGAAGAGTATGGCATCAGCTACGATGTCTTCAACACCGGGGCTGGTGTTCTCTTCCTTGCTATTGGGTACTGGACTTTGCTGAGCTCGCCTGCTGTCCATCTTTACGGACGCCGAATTCTGTACCTCGTTGGCGCGACTTGGGGTCTCATTGGCAACATCTGGTTTGGACGACTGAAAACCTCGTCTGATGCCATCTGGACACAGCTCTTTGTCGGAGCCTCCGAGTCAGTCGCAGAGGCCGTGGTGCAGCTCTCCCTTCTTGACATTTGGTTTGAGCATCAGAACGGCACCTCGATGGGTTTGTACACATTGGCCACCTCCGTGGGAACATACCTTGGTCCGTTGGTGGGCGGCTATGTCGCCGATAGCAGCCTTGGATGGCGCTGGATTGGATACCTCGGCGCCATCATGTCTGCCTTCAACTTTGTCCTCTTCTACTTTGGCCTGGAAGAGACGGCGTTCCCACGCGAGCGTTACCAGCGGGAACAAACGGAGAATCGCGCTGGCCCATCTTCTTCCCCGAATAGCGACGAGAAGACGGCAAACGCCATCCCCAACGTAGCTGATGTCAATACGAGTGCATCAGACGAAGAGGCCGCGGCCAGCCCTCGCGACACCGACGAGTTCTCCATCAACTACACGCGCCCCAAGTCTTACTGGCAGCGCATTGCCCTCATCACCCCCGCCCCCAACCTGCGCGGCCTGGGAGCCAAGCAGTATGTTGGCCGTCTGTGGCATACGCTGCGCATCTTTACCTTTCCCGCTGTCTGGTTCGCCGGCCTGCAGTGGGGCATGCAGAACATTGCCCTGTCCTTTTACCTCACCATCGAGGAGGACTACTGGACAGACGATCCGTGGGACTATGGCGATACCGCTGTCAGCAACATGAACATTCCCTGTCTCATTGGAAGCATCATTGGCTGTTTCTACGGTGGCTACCTGAGCGACTTGTTTGTCCTCTGGGCCAGCCGACGCAACAGAGGTATTCAGGAGGCCGAGTTCCGCTTGTACCTCATGTTCCTCTGCGTCATCATCTTCCCCACCGGCATGTGGCTCTTTGGCATCGGATCGGCCAAGGGCTGGAGCTGGCCCGTTCCCTACGTCGGCCTTGGCTTCATAGGCTTTGGCTACGGCTGTGCAGGAGATCTTAGTTTGACCTACCTCGCCGACTGCTATCCCGATATGGTCCTCGAGGGCATGGTGGGAGTTGCCGTCATCAACAACACGCTGGCCATGGTCTTCACCTTTGTGGCTAGCTACTGGCTCGACACGGGCGTCATGGACACCTTTATCGAGCTTGGCGTCTTGGGATTTGTCATCTTGATGCTGTCTCTGCCCATGATTATCTGGGGGAAGCGCGCTCGTCGCTGGACGAAGCAGAGATATCTCAACTTCTTGGAGATTCGCGACGGAATGGGACACTGAAACATTTGGATTAGCTTTATTAGCAAATATGGTTTGAGAGGGAGGAAGAGGAAGAGGAAGAGAAGAGGTGGATGGTGGGATTATACCCTGTGTTTTTTTTGGAGGAGGAGGAGGAGCTTGACTTGTTTGTCGGCTTGATGGTTGCTTTTGTCTTTTGGAAGCTACCTATGATAGTATGTTTACTGCGAATGCGTATCTTGATGATTGAATTGGCCTCGGATATTGTTCTTCTTTTGGTGATTTAACTAGGGCTAATCTTTTTCGGTTGGGGGGTGGAAGAATAGAAGTGCCGTTGCCGGAACGGCGATGCGGCAGGAACGAGGGACGAAACCACTCAAGGGAATTGCTCTTTGGATTTTTCTTCTTCTCTTTTCAATTTTCATCCTTTCAATGGCATCATCCAATGGACTGTACTTGTACTGAATTCAATTCGAGCAAGTCCATTGAGTGCTTGAGTCGAAACTATACGAAAACTCCATCAACCGACATCTATTCATCAGCATCGACAAATCAGAGCAGAGAAAATGACTACGCAATGGCACTCTATAGCCTGATGAATAAGAAAAGGTTACATAGCGGCACAAAGTCTGATCTCAACAGTAAGATGAAGCTGCAAAGACGGCCGGAAGCGATTCGCTTGAGCCTCGATCCGACAAGCGACATTGGTCAACTGACTGGTGAATGCAGGGGGGTTCTATCAAGGTCTACGACTCCTCCCTTGCCCATCCATCCAACAATCCCGATTCTTTCTACTGACTGGTGACATCACTGTACATATTCGTTCGGATCTGACTACAAGACTCCTGAAGGAGGGATATGAGTGTATACTTTGGTCGGCTTCAGTGGAAAGACGCCGTAATTTAGATGCATAACCAGGTAATCGGCGCCATTGTACATCCGCGACGGCATCTTACTGAATCTCTTATGCAGGGCACCGTACATAATCTGGCATGCCTTACTCAGAGTGCTACTCGAGTGCTACTCAATCGTGGTGCTATTACTACGAATGTCTCAGTTGTTCATCTCGCTCCAAGACACACCCCTCGCCCCTCATTCGTCTTCTCAACACCTTTATATCCACCTCGACGCATCTCGTACCACCTGAACACGGTTCCCATGCCGTGGACAAAAGATATTACAAAGGCGGATGACAGGTGGTCTGTCTTGGACGGGATGCCGCATCAGTCACCAGGTGTCACATGAGGCTCCACGGCCCGCCTCTCTAGTAAGAGCTCAATGTCACGACATCTTTTTCGCGTGGGGAAGTGTTGGGAAACCTTATGCCTCGAAAGATCCATTATTATGTCATTGCCAAGGGGGCACTTTGTCTTGGTTGGGGATCTGAGTCGAATGATATCAGAGATTACTGAAGTACGAGTTTCCCCAAGACGATATGGGTGCTTGAAACTTGTATAAGAGGGTGGCCATCCTCGTCTTCGGAGGATCGAGCATTCCTCACTACCATCTATCCCGAGTGGCATACCTGGCTGCTGCTATATACCCTGATCAAAGTCGGATTCTGACCCTCTGTATTCTGCCTTGTTTTCTTCACCAATTATGAAGCAGCCATCCTCAAGGCCATTACGGCTGGTCTGCTTCCACTCGTCGGAGCTGTACCAGCTTCGCCCTTGGCTTCGAGAGCAGAGGCTGACGTCGTGGAAGTTATACTCCCATCCGGTACCATCATCGGGTCGGTGGGAGAGACAGTCGACACCTTCAATGGAATCCCTTATGCCGATGCGCCCGTCGGCGATTTGCGCTTCAGACCTCCTGTCAAGCTCTCAAGAGACCTCGGAAATTTCAATGCCACTAAAAAGCCCCTGTCATGCCCCCAGGGACCTCTTGTCACTCTAAAAGGCGTATCTAGTGTTGCGGACATAGCTGGAGCAGCCACCATCTTCAACAGCACCACTGGCGACGATGAAGCTCCTGCGTCCTCGGAGGATTGTTTGACAATCAATGTTCAGCGCCCCAATGGTGTCCAGGCTGGTGATGGCCTTCCCGTGCTATTCTGGATCTATGGTGGCGGCTTTTTGGGTGGAAGCACGGCAGGCTTTGACGGCACCAAGCTGATTGATACCGGTGTGTCTCTCAACCAGCCTTTCATCTTCGTGGCCGTCAATTATCGTGTCGCTGCCTGGGGCTTCATGCCAGGCAGGGAGATTCTGGAAGAGGGAAGCGGCAATGCGGGGCTTCTCGATCAACGCATGGGCCTTGAATGGGTTGCTGACAACATTGAGGCGTTTGGAGGCGATCCGGACAAGGTCACCATCTGGGGCGAGTCTGCTGGCGCCATCTCGGTGTTTGATCAGCTCGTCCTCTTTAATGGCGACGCTACCTATAATGGAAAGCCGCTCTTCCGTGGTGCCATTATGAACTCTGGTTCTGCGACTCCCACTGATCCTTTGGACAGTGACAAGGGCCAGGCCATTTACGATGCCATTGTAGAGGAGGCCGGCTGCGAGGGTGACGATTCCTTGACTTGCCTTCGTGAGTTGGACAACGACCAATTCACCGTCGCGGCCAATTCTGTGCCAGGCATCTTCTCATACAGCTCTCTTGCTCTTTCATTCCTTCCAAGACCGGATGGTAGAGTCTTGACGGACAGTCCGGATGTCCTTCAGAGGACTGAAAGATTCCACAGAGTGCCCATGATTATCGGAACCCAGGAAGATGAGGGAACGCTCTTTGCCCTCACACAAAAAAACATGAGCACGACGGAACAGATTGTCGACTATCTGGCTGAATTTTACTTTCACGATGCCGACACCGATCAAATCACCGGGCTCGTCGACACCTACAGCTCCGACCCTCGAGACGGAAGCCCGTATGGCGTTGGAGGTATCTGGGACATCTACCCCGGCCAGGGCAGACTCGCGTCCATGCTTGGTGACATTGTCTTTAACTTGATCCGGCGAATCTCGCTTCAGACTTTTGCTGATATTGCTTTCGAAGTGCCTACATGGTCATATTTCTCGTCTTACAAGTACCATCCAATCCTCGGCGTCTTTGGCACCTATCACGGGTCTGACATTGGCGTCTTGTTTTCGGATGACAATGACAAGTATCCTACAATCACGGGCCGCACATACTACATCAACTTTTTGTATAATTTGGATCCTAATGAAGGTGCATCCGTGGACGTGTTTTGGCCGGAGTGGAAAGACGAGAATAAGCTGTTGAATTTCAAGGCGACGGAAAACGTTTTGAAGGACGACGATTATCGGAATGCCAGCTCCACGTATTTGATTGACCATATCGACTATCTTCGATTTTAATTACAAACGGCCCCTGATTTTTTTGTGGTATTATTGGATGAGATGAAAATAGATTGGATTACTTGGGCCATGGCTATGTATGCCCTGAGTACGGAATTACTTTAATGAATAAACAAGCAGAGTTGCTCTCGCGAGTCACACGGTCCTTCTTGGCGCCAATGGGGCGATGATGTATTTTCGGTCTATGGATGGAATAAATAGATAGGTAATGAGATATATAGCAGACACTCGTTAGGTAATGAAATGAAGGAAAACAAAAACCCTTTTTCTCGCGGATGCTTCGTTTGGACAATGACTTTGTCAAATTATACTCGTGATGATTTAAAATCTAGTGATTGGTGTCAAGCAGCGCTGCTTGATACCGACTCTCTAATAATAATTAAAAAACAAAAGAAAAATGGTTCTATGGAAGGAAAGAAAAGTGGTATCCAAAAGGATGTTTGTTGTTGTTGAAAGCATTCACTGAAGGGATAAATGCAATGCAAATGCAAATGCACTAGATGATGCAGATGTCTTGTCTTGATGGTGTCAAGTGAGATTGGAAGCGCGTGTTGCGTCTCGTTGCGTCAACTTGATGACACCAAAACAGGACAGGAATCGGGAATGGTTGGAATTACTCCTTCTTCTTGCCCCATTTCTTGGGCATGCGCACAAGCCAGTACAGGAACAGCGACGCAGCAATGTTGAAGATGATGTACGCCATTCCAATGCCGAAATCGCGCCATCGGTGTGAGTAGCTGGAGCTGACGCTCGTCAAAAAGACGTTGGTATCGGCAATCGGGCAGTAACTGCAGTCCGTCGTGGCGTTGGCGTCCTGGAGATAGCCTCCGGCGGCGGTGATGAATTTGTCCAGGTATTCGCCGCAGGTCTGGCCGCTTGGGGGATTTAGGTGGACGAGTTCGTTGCCTGAGCAGGTGACGTGGGTATTTGCGAGGCCGGTGGATAGCACGGCGGAGATCCAGTATGTAAAAGGGGAGAGACGGTACATGAAGATCCAGAAACCGGGCATGCTGCTTGGGGACGCCAAGACACCGCAGAAGATGAGGCACATCATGAAGAGGATGTTGGCGAGATTGCCGCCTGCCTCGGCGGTATCGGTAATGGCGATACAAGCGTGGGCGAAAGTGCATGTGAAGATGAGGAACTGCCAGAAGAGGAGCCACATGAGGCCTCCTCGCTCGACGACCTGGTCGGCGGGAACGGCGTTGTTGTTGAAGCCGACGGGGTAGTAGACGCAGACAAACATGATGACGGACATGAGCGAGTTCCACGGGATCTCAGCCACGACCTGGGACAGCATGAAGATCTTCCAGCTGTAAGTCTTGGAGGGTCTTTCACGGACTTCGTAGAGCGCTCGCTGGGTAACAAAGTGCGGCATCTGCTGCTGCACGAGCTGTCCAAAGATGGATAAGATATTGAAGATGGCAAACATTTGGTTCTGCAGGCCCTGGATACTCAGCGGGGCGTTGAGGAAGACTAAACCGATGAAGAGCGAGACAAACAGGCAGAGGAAGAACTTGGAGTAAATGTATGAGGGAGTTCTCCAGATCTGCTGGAAGACACGCTGCGTCACGACGAGGAATTGGGACCAGAAAGGTGCTGCGAATTCGGCATACGAGGCTTTATCATGGACCAAGTCAGCACCGTGGCTGCTTCCTTCGTCCTTGAGGCGCTGAAGCTCTGTCTGCACGTCCTGGTATTCGGAACTGTTGAGCCAAGCCTGGTGCCAGTCGATATCCGTCGAAGATCCCGGTGCAGCACCAATAGCTGAAAGCATCCACTCGGCCGGGTTCTCTCCAGGGGAACACTTGGGCGCGCCTTGTTTCTCGAAATACGCAGTCATGGTGGATGAGTTTTCGCCAATGTCGCCGAAATACACTGTTCGGCCGCCCTTGGCGAGGAAGAGGAGACGGTCGAAGCGTTGGAAGAGCATGGCGGATGGTTGATGGATAGTGCAGAGGATGGATTGACCGGCCTTGGAGAGCTTTTCAAGGAGGTCGAGGATGGCCCAAGATGTCTGGGAGTCAAGACCCGAGGTTGGTTCGTCGACAAACAGGAGCAATGGTGGTTTGGCTGCAAGTTCGACTCCAATTGTCAATCTCTTTCGCTGTTCGACGTTAAGACCTTCGCCAAGCACGCCGACAACGGCATCGGCATATTCTTGCATATCCAGCAGTTTGATGACTTCGTCGACGTATGCCAGCTTCTCGGCTCTAGGAGTACTGGCCGGCTGTCGAAGCAGGGCACTGAATTCCAAAGCCTCACGAACAGTCGTTGTCTCCAGATGAAGATCCTGCTGCTGGACGTATCCCGTCTTTCGCTGGAATGAATTATCGCGAATCTTGCCGTCTACCAACATTTCTCCTGTGATGACTCCCATAGAAATACGATCAGCCAAGCAGTCGAGCAATGTAGTTTTACCAGCACCAGACACACCCATGAGCGCTGTGAGCGTTCCCGGCTTGACCCAGCCGTCTACATGGTCCAGAATTCGTCGTGGTTCGCCTTTGATCTTGATGTCATAGCATACCTTGCCCCAGTGGAATACACTTGTAGAAGCCTGAATATTGGCGTCGCTTGACTCCTTGGGAATATCCGAGCCTTTCTCGACAACAGGAACGGGTCCAGATAGGGAGGATTCCGTGTCGCCCTTTTTAGCGCTAGAAGTAAGAAGCTGGCCACGACGGAAGACGAGAACCTCGCCCTTGGACTTCTTTGCCTGAATAACATCAGTGGCGACAAAGTACACCAAGTGGTTGAAAAGGACAAAGGCAATGAGGATTCCGACGTTGCGCCATTTGTGGGCATGGAAATACTTGTACTGCGAGTTGATGTAGGCATCACCATTAACAAAGTCCTGTCCGGCGACAGATCCGACGGCGGTACAAGCTCGGTTTGTCGATGTCACATTCTCATAGCCTGGGATAAGGGCACTCGGAACAAACGAATTGCACTCGAAAGTGCGGCCGTGGAATTCATTAATCATAAGGGCCTCGAATCCGTAGGCGACAGGGTCGAGGTAGTTGATCCAGCGGCACCATCCAAGCATGTAATCGACGGGAATAACGAATCCGGTGAAGATGACCATGGCGAGAATCAAGAGTGATGCGGGAACCATGGCCTGCGACAGGGTTCGTGATAGAGCAGCACTGTGCATATGTTAGCATCATAATGTGTATGAAAGGGAAGAAAACTTACATTGATCGGAAAACTCCAGACATGGCCAGCACCATGAGAAATGTTACAAACAGGAAGTAGAAGAAAGCTCCGGGAGTTCGGTTGAGGTTGGCCATAAAGTACAGAACCAGGTTGTAACAAATGGTATTACTGATCTTGTACGGCATATCACAAAGCACAGATGAAAACGCCTCAGCTGACGGAAGATGGAATCCATATCGCTGATGCTTCTCGACAATCGGTCGCTGGGCGTATTGAGTCAAGATTTCGAGGGCACTGGAAAAGGCGTTGGACAAGATGGCGACGTAGAGGGCAGCAGCTCTTCCGTAAAAGCTCGCCGTTGTTGGTTGCATGTTATAGAAGAGGGACGAAATGATGAGGGCCATGCTAGAGTTGGCTAGGAGTGCAAAGATGGTCAGACTAGGATCACCCTTCAGTCGTCTCCATCCTCGCCAGAGGCAGAGTCGGATCTGCTGCGAGTACGAGAGAGTGAATGGAGACTTGACACGTTGATGTTTGGCCTGCGTAGCCTTCTTGTGCTCACGAAATGCCTGAGCGTCAGCTCCGTCAATCGGGTGCTCCGAGTTGTAGCTCTCAATCTCAGCCTGAAGAGCCTTGTAGTCGTTGCTGTTTCTCCAGCAAGTAGCAAATTCATCGGGGGTGCGAGGCGCGCGACTCTCCCAGCCAGCACGAACAATTCGTTCCGTCGGCGCCGTCATAGAAGTCAGGAAATCAGGTGTAGTTTGACGCGCAGGACATTCAAAGCCAAGTTTCTCAAAATACTCCTTGGCCTTGTCGGTACGACCAAAGAAGATCTGTCGTCCCTCGTAGAGAACGAGCACTTTGTCAAAGACATCGTACGCACTTTGGGGTGCCTGATAGATGGACACGGCGCTGGTCTGACCAAAGGTATCAGACTGTAGACGCAGCGTCTTACAGAACTCAATAGCATTAGCTGAATCAAGACCACGAGTAGAGTTATCCCAGCACTGTAGAGGAGCATTGGATAGAGTGGCTTCGGCAATGGTGACTCGCTTCCGTTCTCCTCCAGACACACCACGGATGTATTCGTTACCAACACGAGTGTTGACTGTGTGGCTGATGCCATACATAGCCATTACAACATCACGGTAGTGAGCTGCAAACTCGTCGTGAGACACTCCAGACGGAAGAGTTCGAGGGGATCGTGCCATGGCAGCAAACGCAAGCGTATCGCCAACTGAAAGCATGGGGAAGTGCACGTCGACCTCTGCCGTGTAGATGGCCTCACCTCGGTGGTGGGTGTGCATCTCCTTTGCGCCGATGCCCTGGTAGTTGAAATCCGTCTCGCTGTCAATGTATATGCCGCTCGTTTCGCCCGCAATCGACTTGAGAAACGTGGAACATCCCGAACCTGGAGGTCCCAGAACGACGAGCATCTCTCCAGACTTGAGAACACCATCGCAGTTGCGCAAGATGTCAATCCTTCTCCGTCCACTGGACTTGCTCAACACCTGTCGAGCAAGATCCGGAATCGAAAGCCAAACATTTCCAACGTCCTTTTGAAAATCAGTCTCGGTTCCGTATCCGTATACGTTCATGTTTCGAAACGAAATGCCGCTGCGTCGGAAGCCCGAGCCATGCTCGGTGGCATATTTGGCAACCGTCTTGGCCCATGTGCGTCCGCTAAACTTGCTGCTCATGGGATTCAGGGGAGAGTCAGGATCGTTGTTCCCAAACAGCGACGTTGCCTGGCCCTGGATGTCGATTCCAGAGGCGTGCGTGTACTGGCGAGCAAGCTGCTGCACCACGCTGAGCCGCCTCTCCATCTCGTGGGCGCTGTTGTTCTCCGAGGAATCATCTTCGCCGTCATTGTCGTCATTGGCCTTGGGCGTCTTCTTGGAGTCGGTTTCGAAGTTGGTATCGAAGTTGAGATTTTGCTGGCCGTCGACGTAGGTTTGCGCACTTCCGTGTGGCGATTGAGCACGGGACTCAGGGCTCGACTCACCGCCCACTGGCGGTTGCCCAGCTGGCATTTTTCCAAATGCTGAGTGATGCTCTTTTTCTTCTTTAGCTGCGTCGATATTCAAACGAACAAATTGGTCTTATTGGGTGTATCAATGAATCACCAGCCTGTTATCTTCACGGTTCGTCAACGTCGAGATTCGTATCTCGTGACTTATCAATATCGTCGACTATGGCTGGTGCGTATCCCAGAACCCCTACTTGTTCCATGAACTGAAAGAATTTTGATGGTCTGACATTTTATTTACAGGATTTATATCACCCAAAACATCGGAGAGCCGCAGCCTGCCAACGCACCGGCATCTCGGGTAGCCCACGGTTCAAACCTCCGAATCAACAAGCAACCACGAGTCCACCAGCCCTGATTCGGAATTTAGGGGGGGTGACTTTGTCTCTGTTGGCTGCCAGATAGGCTGAAAGGCTCCTTGCAGCTCCTTGTATCGCCCATTCATCTTGCAGCCGTGCCTTGGTGATACGGCGTCTTGCGGAGTTTGACATAATCATCGCCTCCTCGATCCCGCTTGTCCAATCGTGGTCTCGGGCCCCTGCTCCACATTGACGGGTTCTTACAAGACCCCGAGCCACCGTGTGCTTGTTGCTTGACTTCGGGGTGTGAATAGAGCACGATCCCGGCTTCTTGTTGACTTGCTTCACCCCGAGGCTTTGACTCAGCAGTCCGTTCTATCGTGGATTCAGTCTAGCTGCCTGCGAGTCGCGTGGCTACCGATCTTCATGATCCATGACTCGATTTCGCGGGACCCATACATCTTAATGTTCAAAGTTTGTCACTAGGCTGATCCATGCATTGGCCTGACGGGGCGGTTTGTCGAGTGCCACTATTTCCGCTTCGAGATGCCTGACTTGAGCTTTGACAACACAGCTTCAAAATGTGAAATTCTCCTTGGCCAATCTCAAGACGATTTTTTTTACCACTGATAAATGTGCCAGAATTCTCCCATGACGGCTGAGAGTGCTCTCCTCTACCTCATGTCGGCCTCTCATTCGACGCACGTCTTTAGCTGAAAGGGCCCATCTCAACTCATCACCTCACCTCACCTTCATCCACATTCACGAGCATCCAAACATGGGCTCCGTCGGCTCCGTCGATTCGGTTTCTCCCCACAAACCGGTAAAGGAAGCAAGGAAACTTGCATGTCGGCTCTGCCAGAAGCGCAAAAAGAAGTGTAACCGGAAAAGCCCATGTTCTATGTGCATCAAGGTGCGGCACCCAAAACTTTCCGCCCATCGAGAGACGGAACGACAAATCACCGCTGACATATTCCCTTTTACACAAACTCCAGCTCAAAGTCGTTTGTCAGCCAAGCGCACCAGCCGCGCCGCGCAAACGCAGGCAGTCAACAAAGGACTTGTTTGCGCGGTTGGCTTGGTGCGAGGAGCAGCTACGGCGCAATCTTGAATGCCGCCAGTGTCTTGAGTGTAACTCATCAACGGAAAAGTCGACTGCTGAGATAGCAAAGAGGCTTTCAGAGATCAAATCAGATCCTGTCATTACATCTACGCCAGTGACCGAATCATGACCAGTTCATGTCCAACTTAGCAGAGCTGAGGGTTGGGCAAACACATATACCTATACCTTTTTAATGTCTTAATAAGAAACGAGCATTTTCATTCATGAATCCAAGAGTTCAAGATGCCAGGACTCAACTGGCAGGTTACGCGGCAGCAAATCGCGATCAACCACCTCTCAAACTCATCCCGCAAGAGTCTCCTCGTAGATAAACCACAACCTTGGGACAACGTTAAAAAAAAGCTGGGGGATGGCCTCTTCTTCGTTATTCTAAAAGTGGAGAGTGTCGTTTTCATCGCCTTTAATTGGCCCTTTTATACTCCCCAATTACTGTTTTTGGCCATGCGGAGTAGCGGAGAGCAAGGATCCTGCCACGGGGCAAAACGGACTTTTGGCGGCAATAATTCCCTAGCTCGCGAATCATTGAGGCTTAATAGGGTCCCGGCCCGTCGAATACGCGGATAAGGATGTATTCTTGACACTATGTTACACTATGCTGGCTGGATTGTGGTGTGATTTGCTACACTACAGTGTCATTATGTGTCGCCAAAATTGCCTTATTCGACGCTTGGTGCGGGACAGCCAGCCGTGTTCTCACGACTAGTCAGGAAATACGTACCGTTTCACCCTCACTGATGCTCCCTTTATGACACAATTGGTCCGTATGTATGTGGCTATGGACTTTGCGAGCGTCCGTGTAGGTATAACGTGTCTCCATCCCCATCTTTGTCTCCGTCTTGTGTCGGGTGCGGATAGCTTCATCTTCCCGGCCTGATCTCCTATCCGGAGAGACAAACAATTTGTCTATCACCGAATATTACGCCATACTGCTTCATGAATACTATTGCGTACCAATGACTTTATGAGATAACGATATGGGCATCCTGTTTGAGCCCAAGACAGAATTGTGATAGACTTTGTTAGTGTTTTGAGTTATCGACGCCAACTTCAACTATACGAGATGGATGAAAAACAAGATTGTCCCGTTACATCACGCTATTTTTCTCCCCAGGCACGAGTGCTCTACCTCGCTGCCCGTCTGATTTCGGGAAGCCTCTACACCTTTATCGCCTGCTTTTCAGTTAGGAGACTATGCGATGTATGCAACTTTTTTGACGGCCTCATAGTACTCCTGGTAATGTCCCCCCAATGAAATAGCATTGCCCTGGGTCTGATCTAACTTGTTCTTAGTGTTTGCTTTCTTTGACTTATAGTACCGTGGATATTTTTATTCCATCGGTTTTGGACTCGAAATCGAGCGTTCATACAAGCAGACGATTTCGTTGCGATATTATATTATGTCTTGGATTCACGATTGCATCGACTGCGTTAAGGAGATCTGTTCCGAAGGAGGTTCAGTATGAGGATTTATACTGGGAGAGAGATATTGGTCTGGATGAGATGCGGCGAATTTCATCACTCCTTGCTGGTTTTGTGAGGTGGGTATAAAAAGTCGAGTTATGTTAAAGGATACTAATGTGTTACAACAGTACCTTTCACATGGGCATGTGTGTGTGGCAACCCCTATGAGCCTCATGTGAGTATGCTGTTAAGGAGTAAATGTCTAGGTAAGCTGAAGATACTGGCTAAAAGACATGGATTCACTCGCTTTGTTTTCTGAAAACCCACTTTACAAGCTTGCGAACTATAACACGATTAAGATGTCAATATCTGAAATATCTCTATATGGAGCGCTGGAGCTGAGGAATATCCATGAGAGAGAATCAGTACAACGTTCACTTCACACAAACATGTTCAAATTCTGGTTTTAAATAATATCATGAACAGAAATCATTACTTTAAACGAGAATTTCTACCCTACTTGACAAAATGTGAGTGGAGAAAACGGTCACTAAATTGTCCTCAGTGGCCTCATATGGTTCATTGAGTGTGCGAAATTGCTTTCGTTGAGTTTATTATCCGCCACATCCCTAGCCTCGCCCTTGAAAAAGACCTCATCGTGTAGCGACTAAGTTGTCGATAAGAGAAGCATTATGAACTCTCAATCGAATTAAGATGAAAACTTTGACAATATTTGTCGTGACTGGTATTGATCATGCTTTAGGCCGTCACACCTCATCTGTTGAGATTCATGATTATGAGGATTCACTCCCAGCTAGCATCTGTCGATTCATTAACGATATTCATGCGGTACCGCAGTCATTCAGGTATAGAGTCTCCTTCACTTCATGACTATTGCACATCCAATCTTTCTGCATAAATAGGAATCGAAGTGATTATTTAGGAAATGGCGGTAAATAATCAGGTGCTCAAGGCCGTTATCCAGCAATATACAAATAGAGTCATGGAAATTTATTTAAAATATAGTAATAGATACTTAGTCGCTGTATCATCGCAGCAACGTCAAGCATGCGCTCGCAAGGCTATCTAAAGTTGCCGGGTAGGCTTGGGCATCAAGATAATGCCAGCCTCAGCCCTGGACGCGGCTGAAGGCTGAACCAACCACATCGAAGACAGGGGATAGCTCAGGCAGCAAAGCGGGGTTGTATGGTGAAATACAAAACCTTGAAGCTTCAACTATTCTCTATACCGTTGAAGTGTGCTAACGATAGCCCGTGATCGCTCTGACATGGATCCGGTGAGCGCTTTCGGTATCGCGGCGGCCGTAGCCCAATTTGCCGACTTTGGCTTCCGCCTCATAAAGAGTGCACATGAGCTGTATAAGTCTCCCTCTGGCCAAGCGCCTGAGTACATCGAGCTGTCCAGGGTGTCAGTGGATCTTTTACGCCTCGTTGGTGCCATTAAAATGAAGTTCGACGAGAATCAAGGGTTGGCAGGAGAGATTTTTCTCCGTCTCCACGACGAATGCCAGACAACCAACGACGAGCTTAAGAGAATTCTCGACAGGCTCAAGGCTCGAGGATCCACCAAGATCGCGCTGGCTGCGGATGGCTTAAAGGTTGCGTTCCGACAAGTCGCAGCCGCTGGTGATATTGAGAAGCTGGCACATCGTTTGGATAGAATCCGCCAACAGATAAACGTGGGTCTGCTGCATACATTGGTGTCAGTCATCTCCCAATCCTTCTTTAACATCCGACATGTGGCCTGTAAAGAGCCGAGCTGACCTGGCGTTTGGGGCTGTTTAGGGATGAAGCTGGGAAAAATGGCGTAGAGTTGCGCCAGTGCGCGAGGCAACAAGCGGACATAATTGCCGCTCTGGATCAGATTGACAGCACCACTAAGAAATTATGTACGGATATCATTGACTTTATCGACGGAATGCCCAAGTACAACCGGATAGAGACCGATGAGATGGTGCGTTACGTGCTCAGCGATAAGTGGGAAGCCAGCGAGTATGCAAAGAAGTCCGAGTTTGATAAGAGCCGGGACAAGGAGAAGCTCCAAAAATTACGCCAGAGTCTATACTTTGAGTCGATAAGCCATCGAGAAACAAGCATTCCTAAGCGACACTCGGCAACTTTTGAATGGATATTCCAAGAACCACGGACATCAGAAGATGGCCATGCTCTCTGGTCGGCCTTTCCACTGTGGTTGCGGGGAGAGTCCTCGGATATTTATTGGATTACAGGCAAACCAGGTGCGGGAAAGTCCACATTGGTCAAATTCGTCTCGCAGGACCGGAGGTTTGAAACTCTGTTGAAAGAGTGGGCAGCTGAGTCTCAGCTCCTTATTGCTCGCTTCTTCTCTTGGACGTCAGGAGGGAACAAACTCCAAAAGTCCCAAGAGGGTCTTTTCAGAACACTCCTTTTTGAGGCCATCCAGCAGAGGCCTCAACTTGCCATTGAAATCTTCCCTGCGCGATGGTTTCTTCTCCAGTCCTTCGATGGAAACATCAAATTGCCAGCCCTGACGACGGCCGATCTCAGGGTTGGCTTCCAGAACCTGCTGTCTGTAGCAGGGGATAAAATGAAACTGGTTCTTCTTATTGACGGCCTGGATGAGTTTGACGATGATCGCCACGAGAGCCACCGCGACCTAGTTCATCTTCTCCGTGACGCCAAAGCCATGCCTGGGGTAAAGATCTGCGCAAGCAGTCGACCATGGAACGTCTTTAGGGACGAGTACAGCAAAAACCCTATGTTACAACTCGAGAAATTAACCCGAGAAGACATCAAGGCATTTGTCAAGGAGAAGCTTCAGCTCAGCCCAGGCTACGACGACTTCGCCACCACCAATTCGCAGGCAGCTTGCAAGATCATCACCGACATTGTAGACAAGTCACAGGGCGTTTTCCTCTGGGTATCTGTCATTTCTGGCTTGTTAGAGACCGCGCTCCAGGAAGGGACCAGTATCTCAGACTTGCAAGCCACCATTGATAATCTCCCGAGTGAGGTTGCCGACTTGTTCCGCTACATTTGGAACCGAACCAGCAACCAATTTCGCGCCCAGGCATCGCAATATTTCCGGCTCATGAGGACTTGTCAGGATTACAAAACTAATCTATTTGCTCTGACTCTGTGGTTCGGTGATAAGGATTTTCCCGTTGACTTCAAGACAGCCGATGCCACAATCGTATTTCTGGAAGGCGTCATCAAATCCTTGGAGCGAAAACTGATGAGCCGCACCGGAGGCTTACTAGAGCTTGTGTCTAGCAATGGCGACCACACCAAGATACCGAAAGATGTGCACGTTTACTACATGCACCGGACAGCAAACGATTGGGTTAGTGAAAACTGGGAGAGTATCAGTTCTGCGACAGACCCTGGATTTGATCCTTTATTCTGGTTCGTCAAGGGTGAAGCGCTGAGTGTAGTACTTGCCACAAAGCCAACTACGGGCAATCTGAAGGGGCTCAGGGACTGGCAGAGAGTATTTGACATTGCCTCACTCGTCCCGGAGGATCACTCGGATAAAGGCATCCTCGCTACTGCGTTTGATCGCCTCAACGATCACATCATCAGCCATATGGGCAAATACCCAGGCTCATCAGGCGTACACTGGTTTAATTGGTTGGAGTTAAACTCTCATAATCAATCGCAATTAACAAATACGCATCGGGTTGGCTCTATAACGCTATCTGATACCAACTTCCTCGAACTTTCCGCCCGCGTGCCTATTCCTGCTTATCTAAAGCACAAGGCCCAAGAAGATCCCGACCTATTCTCAACGGCGGATTACTGCGTTGGAATACTGAACAACGCCATACTCGGGGAAATCTGGTTTCGCAATCCTGTGGTGCGATTGGCCCTCTTGGACTTCTTGATTCAGGAGAAGTACAATCATCGGCCGGAATGGCTTCGCCGGGCCAAGGAGAAGGTAGAAGATGCAAGGCTCTTTGTCCGCGGGACCTATTCGAGAGATCACTATATCGTCACCTACTTAACGCAGGCTATACGCAAGCTCGAATCCCGAATCCCTCCAACCGATTCGCAAGCCGGCCAGAACAGATCCGCTATTAGTGGTGATGGTGATAGTTCAAGGAAAGCATCGGTCCCAAGTAACCCACGGCATCAACCGCCGGAGCTAAGATTGCCGGCGCCGCAGCCAAGATTGCCAACGCCGGAGCTAAGATTGCCGACGCCGGAGCCAAAACTACCAACGCCGAGGCCGAAATTGATAGACAAGTCACGGGGTTTCTTTAGGAAGATTTTTGGCCGCGAGTAGATCTAATAAGTGCGGTGTGGGATGACTACTATTCAATCAGAGATTAGGTTTACAGAGATGACCGATCTTGAATGTCATAATAATCTGATACCAAAATGCAGTTATGAATTACTAGATATCCTGAACTATATTTATTCATAGACACTATACGTATCTTCGCCAAAATCTATACTGATCAATGACTTAAAATGGTACCAGACGTGATAGAAACAGTGTAAAAATCCCATATCTAATAAGAAGTAGAATGGTAGAGAATTAGTTACACTGGTAGGAACTTCTGGCGACTCAGACGCTTTAATTGCTGAAACCAACAAGTTTATAGTACCAGTTGCCAAATCATAGCTTTATCACTTTACCAGTACTTGAAATATCTTGTTGTGGGTCGCAAAACCTAGGATAACTTCCTTAAAAGAGTTTGTGCACCTTTGATCTCATACAAATACACTCTAGCTTCAGGCTCAAATCTTAGAAATTGTTTTGCCTTAGTCCTTAATTTTATTCTCGAATATTTGCCCTGTCTATAATTTTTTGGCACTTAGGTACTTAATCGATGGTCAGAAATCTCTCCTCAAGCTCGATTGTTCGCGAGTCCTGCCCGCAACCCCATCAGATCATCCATAGAAAGAGACTCCCCGAAACCCACAGGAGGCTTGAGCTTTCTGGGGTTTAGCTAATAATAGAATTTAGTGATGACGGGGTTCTATTTTTCTCCAAATGCGACAACGTCACAGCTTTAAAGCTCTGTTTCAATCTGCGTCACCACCCTTAAGTCGGGTAGGAATTATCGTCTCCGAGTCATCCTCATCTTCGAATGAACCTCCGTGCTCACTCTCTCCCTTGTCATATTCTTGTCCATCGCTGTTCCTTTCAAGTTCATCGCCATCATCATCATCGGCAACATCAATGGCGCGCCCTTCTAGGTCCGGCTCTTCGTAGCGATGGCCTTCTACAAGGGTTGACAAGGTAGCACCGGATGTGTTGTGCACGTATCCACCATTATATCCTTGTCTCCAGGAATCCAGGTCAGGGTACGAGTAGGCAATATATCTGTGGCCATTTGCCGCCATCATCGCCAGGCACCACAACGCGAGTTTGATGGTGAGCTTGCCCGGCCCATGGACATCCCAGGGAATGATGGCATATTCTGGAGGATAGTAGTCCCAATTTGTAGCTTCTTCATCAATGAATGAGCTTTCAAGCTCCGCCATGGAAGTATCGGAAATGTGCCTTTGGTGACCAGGGACGTTATCACGACGGGGCCGATCTGCGGCAATGCCACTTTCCACAGGCCTGCGAGTCAGTCTCAAAGCAACCATGTTGGTATCCGTTATAATGAACCCATATCGATTTTCTTCTTTCATCATATATGAGACAACTTGGTGCATAACCTTTTGCCATTCTTCAAAATTTTTGGCTTCGTGGATCATAGAAGGCCGCCACTTTGCATCAAGTTTCGTATCTCCAGGTAGAACATTGAGATATCCCTTCTCCACAACCCATGTGCTCGATATCACAGACCAATCTGGCTGATGCCTCGAAAAACATCTAGTTCCCCGTCCGTAATGGCATGAGCCGGGTTGGTTTGATAGGGCATAATTGACCACGGGGATCACGAAGCGACGCAAAAGATCATCAAAGGTAGCCTCATTGCAGATGCATAGGTCTTGTTTGGTCTGGAGAGCCATGGTATTCTTGAGCCAGCTCCTGTCGAAAGATTCGAGCCAAAGTCTCGTAACTGAAGTCAGTCCAAGGAGTCCAATTTTCAACATTAACGTCTTCGTCGGCACTGGTGTTGGGTCCTTTGATGGCGTAATTTGCAACTGCAACATTGGGCCTCGAAAGTACCTCTAGAAGCGATGGCATTGTGGAGCTCTGGAGAATGATCGAGGAAATCGAGTCAATTTACGTTGTGGACATGTATAGGATGATGGAGGACGGCAGCGGAGATATGAGTTCCTTTATACTCGCATTCTCAGCATACTCATAGGTACGCACGAATCCTTTATGCCTCGCGGTTTATTAACTGACAACCTTGCATCTGCGGCCAAGCCCATGGCGTAGCAACTGCTTCCCATTGCGTAGATTAATACCTATCATATTGACACTGGCGCAGATATGCGGGCCCTTTTCTTAAACTTATCCGCAAGTGATTGTTCAGTAACCTCTTTGAGCACATCCAAGCTAGAATAGCTGTAGCTAGTAGTGTTGTTGGTTGGCATCCTGCGGGGATTGCTTCACAATGTGGCAGACGAGTATTGGACCGCCGCCCGTGTCCAATCCGGTAGTCGCCGTTCCGCCTCCAAGGCTACTCTTCCTTTGGGATTCAGCCTGGCGAAAGCACATGATTTCGCCTTTGGCAAAAAAAAAAGGCTTGTAAACACCAACCTACTAAGGTGCCTACATGTGGCTAATAGTCTAATATGTATCTAGGAGTAAGCTTGTTGTTTTTAATCGGTCACGTGACACGGAGGACAGTACGCATCCATCAAGGAAGCATTCCTTGAACCTCGTTTTACCCTTGTTTCAACAACATCACGGCGCATTTCATTTACTTCATTCACTTCCATGTCCGCATATTACAAAAAAAGACGCCGCGATCACGGTCTGGCTGTGCAGGTGCCGTTTCGCGCCGACGAGTATCTGATAGGCGCGCCAAGCTACACTCTTGATGCGTTCAAGATACCGCGACTGCGCCAGTGCCCGTTTGATGTCGACAGCATGACTTGGGAGGCTCAAATCGACGGCGGCCTCGATGGCTATGTGTGGAAAGTCAAATTTGGAGACCAAGGGCCTTTTGTGCTCAAAGTGGTGAGTTGCGAATTGTATTGCAGTGATTCTTTGGATCATGTAACTGATGGGCTTCACCTCAAGTTCTGGGACACGGAGCCTCTTCCATACGACTCCATGACCTACCATCCCGTCCAGCGTGAGTGCCACAATGCGGCGCTTCTAGAGATGATGCAGGAATCGATTGCCCAGGCCACTCCCGAGTTGCCGATTTTGGTCAACGCCAACCCGACCACTCGCGAAGATGCATGGGCCAACCAAGTGGCCTTTTCCCAAGACCGGCGTCTTCTACAGCAGCAAAGATTCTCAAAGGCCTGTATTGAGACTAAGTCAATTTCCGCGATGCCGCGCATGAGAAAATGCTACGGCTGGCTCAGCATTAGCAGCAAGGTGCTACGCACATGTCCCCGGCCGATGCGGGCGCCACCACTTCGCATAGAGAAACTGAGACGGCAGATGTTATCGACCAAGGATTATATCGCCATTGTATATGAATACGTAGAACAAGGCGAGAATGACCATGCTGTTGTGGGGGATGTGCTTGAATTTCTCTGGCTCGCCGGCTTCAGTCTCACTAGCTCACCGCTGGAGAGAAACTGGGAAAGCGGCGTACTCCTAGATCTCTGTGACATTGTTTCACCAAGAGGCTTTGGCTGGAAGAAACATCGTTACGGAAACCGAGACGTGTCACGAATATTGAGATGTTGAAATACTGTTAAATTTTTCACGTTATGAGCAGCATATAGAGTCAGGTGAGCCACGGATGCTAATGAATAATAATACTAATGCCGAATACAATCCAGCTACGTCCATCAAATTGAACATGTCACGTCATGTGTGGGAAATCTGCCGTCCAAGTGGCAATAAAGGCCTCCTGAGGTAAATAGTAAAGCGACCTGATGCTCTCCGTAATCAAGAACAACCGAGCGAAAAAATAGAAGAAAGAAGTAAACGCAACAACCGCCTTTACTTTTCTCGCCGTCGGTTTCGTAACATCCTTTGGAGTTTTCCCCATAAAAGGCAAGTGACTGCCCACATATAGCGTAGGGCACGCAATGGTTATGATGGCGGATATCTTCCAGAGCAATCCCTCAACCGGAGTCGGGAAGTGGAAGTTCCATGCGAAGAGATGAATCCCGCCAAAGGAAACGACAGTAGCCAGCGCAACAAGAAACGATTTCGCATCAATATGTGATACTTTGCCATCTGTTTCATGAAAGGAAACGCTGGGCATGTAATAATGCTTACACTGCAGGTATGGAAATTGCATGTATGGGAAGGGAGCAGCTTCGGCGATTTTTATAAAGGCCTCTTCTGTCACACAATGCTCAGCAGCGGGGACATAGACAGGAGTATTGACGTCCTTGGGTTTTTCCCATTCGCTTGAATACAAAATAATGGCAGTAACAGAAAAGGCGACAGTGGTGAGCTCCAGGGGCGCGAATGGAAGTCCGTAGTAGACTCGAGCGCAGAGCTGGACGACAATCCAAACGACTTGCATCATGGCCAGTAACTTGACCAAAGGATCCGATTTATTCTTGTCTTCAATGTCAGCCAGTTGAATATTCGGCAGTTTGCTGATAACGCCTTCGCTTCTTGCAATGGCCAGTTGCTTCGAATCTAGTGTCCATACGCTTCCAGACAATGCGGCAATGTTCTGGGTCTTCCATTCTAGAGAATCCTTGGGTAGCAATCTTATGGCGTTTTCTGCGTGCTCGAAATGTGCCTTGTATGGCTCCCATGGTATTTCGCACCCTCCTAGCCAGCGATTCTGCCTTCTCATGAATGATTTGATAAACTCGTAGCTTTCTACCATTTTCTCAGACTTTTCTTTTGAGAGTAAGGCCTTGAGGGCTTCGGGGTCTGAGCCCGGCTTATGCTTTGAACGACCGTTTGATGGACGGCGTGGGAGCGGGCCAAAGTAGATGGCAATTCCTCCCATATCCGCAAGAATTGTATGAGATAGAGTCCATTCAACATCATCCTCATCGGCAAGTTCTTCCAAGGCCTTGACATTTTCCTTTGTCCCAAGCATTTTCTTTGTCATGAACGTTGTGAGAAACTCTGGGGCAATGAGCATCACGCCCATCCAGTAGACCTTTCGAAATAAGAGAAACAGCTTTCTGTAGATCCATTGCCATGAACCTCTCGTCATGAGCTCTGGCGGTACATTGAGATGAAGGATGGACCATGTGCAGAGCAGAATGACGCTGAAGCAACTCCAAACGATTTGCATGGTTGTGCGAATGTTTGGTGCATTGACAAAGCCAATGGGTGTTTCGTTGGGGAGAGTACAATTCGGAGAGAAGCGATTAAATGTGACCATTTTGTACTATTGATAGCCTTCAAAGCATGAACAATGCTGTTGATCCTTTGTTCAAGAGGGCGATTCCTCACGAAGCTTTTTGGACCTTTATAAGAAATACTCGATGCCTCGTTTGGCACTTGATGTATCGCCTGATTAGCTGCCATCCAATTCATCTCTGTGTTCGTTCTGTTCAGCTAATTGTGAAAGAGGTTCGGTGACAATATCATGCGGCAGAACAGGCAAAGAAGGTGATAGGCCGATACTGGCATTATGATGCAGTGAAACCCACACATGTGCAGCATTTTGTGATGAGCAAGATAACAAAACTGCATCTCGGACACGTGTATATGACTTATTGACTCTTTCTTTTATCTTCATGCTCGAATCCAGTATCTGTATCATCTCCTCGCATCGCTGCCCAATCGTGGAGAGCATCATCAGATGGTAAAGCATTGGGGCGACTGTGATTATTTCACTTCAATCTTTACTATCATTTTTTGTCGCAATATGAGAAACGAGGTATCACCTGGAATTAATTCGTGGGAGTTTCTTTGGGTGCATGTTGCACTCTCCGATGCATCTCAACTCATTGTCATGAAGGAATAAATTCATCTCATTAGCCCTTATCGATTAGAGCAAACCATCTCACCGGCTGCGTCTTTTCAATTCAATCTCATGCATTTCATCTCGTTATATGATTTTCGATGTGTAGCGGTGATTCCATGAAAGAAACACATGACGAAAATAAATGCCATGATTGTTGAAGTATTTACTCGGCTCACCATCAATTGAGTGAGAATTCTCATGAAATGGCACCGAGTTGGCGCAAGACCCACAGAAACTTATCTCAGCGGCAATAACCATGACATTGCCACCCACACGGTTAATTCTAAGTTTATTGCAGCCCACAAGCGGATCGACACTCGTAAAATGTGGAAATACCACGCAATTTCAACTGCTTATTTCTCGTTACATACCCACCCAACAAAGTGTCAATTGTGCTGTCAAATATCACATTTGCAGGGTAACCATACAATCTGCCGCATCGCACCCTTGCCCGGGATTTGCTGCCCGAAATGGTAAAATATCGATTAAGCTAAACTCCATAATCGAGATCCAAGCCTAAAAATACGAGCCCACTGAATTTTGCAAGCGCTTACACGGAGATGGGAAGGGATCCTTTGAGAAATGGGCAGCAAAGATGGCATCTCTTTTTTTTCGTTGGATCTCTAACACTTTGAATTATGCGATCCTTCGAAGCGACTCGGGTGCAGAATTGATAAGGGATGCACGTGTCGTTATCGCGTAGCTGAGGGCGGTGTCGCTTATCGCATCGTAGGTAGGCGAGGAGCCGGAGAAGAGAGAAAGAGAGGGCCGGAGATATTCGCACAATCCACTCTCTCGCCGTACAGCAGACGATTCATCAATTGATCCATCGTGTTATTTCCACCGCTTCCGTTGCAGGCGCAAACTAACACGTAAGCAACCGTCCATCATTCATCACCCGTCTTTCGATTCTGACCAAGCAAGGCAAACTGCTCTCTGTCGCTCTCCTCTTTATAGGCAGACTTGACTGCGGATACGGGACGCCACATGAACGACGGTTCCGCGCCTTAGCCGAGATGGCCGATCAAAAGGACTTTGCACTAGACGCAATAGGCCAAACGGGATCGAAGACAAGATTGCGGCTCCCCCTGCTGGCCAATCCCGTGGCCGTCGATGCTCGCCAATCTGGGGTCTTGGCTCGGCGAATCCTCCATGCGCAGCTAGTCGGACCACAGACCATCTGTGAGCGCGGAATACGGATCGCTCGGCAGGCAACGTGCGTGCTGTTGGCCCCGTTTGGGATCACGCATGCCTCTCTTAGGGAATCAGTCAATGCTGTGTATCCACTGGCGATGGGGCTTCGTTTTTCAGCCGGTCCAGTTTGGGTTACGGGCCAAGGCAGACTGCAGACTAAAGGGCGCGCGACTGGCAGATGAGCCGAGCCCGTGTTGGCTGCGGCTCTGCAGCATTTTGATGTCTCAGCCCGGGCTTTATTCTTCATATTGCCGGCATTCCCCTTGGTTCTGTTGTTTCTTTCTCCATTGTACTCGTACATTGTGCTCGTGCAGGAGAATCAAAAGCCACAACTCACAATGTTGCATCTAGCATTGCTTCCTCTCCTCTCTACGGCGGCTTTTGCTGCTTCTGACGACTTCAAGCTGACCAGCACTGGATGTGCCGATGCGTCTGGCTTCAGCAGTTGCCAAAAGCAGGCAAACGACCAGCTGAGCACTTGTATCGCCCAAGCCGACAAGGACAACAGCCAAACAGAGATTCTGGCCTGTGGCTGTCAGAACTATGTCGACAACTACAACTGCTACTCAGCCTTCTGCTGGAACCGAGTCTGGGAGTGCGAGTACCAGAATTACATTGTCGAATATTTCCTCAACTGCCCCATAGCCAAGCTGCCTGTGCCCTACTTCCCGACACCCAACAATGTTCCTAATGCGTGTTCATGCAACCTGGGCAAGGTCTTCTTCGGTTACCAAGATGCCATCCAGGAGACGCTAACATGCTCAAACAATGCAAACTCGGGTGATGCCATGAGCAACCTTCAGCAGATTCAGGGGTGCGACTGCTGCGAGATTAGCGGTGCCATATCAACGTAAGTCTTTGGGTTCTTAATCTTGCATTTGGTCTTTTGCTTTGTATTTGTACTGCAATACTAATCAAGCATCAGCTTCTTGAACATCTGCCCCGATACCGATCCCGCCCTCCTTGGCCTCTCAAATGTCAATCAGCTTGAATCGCAGCTCAACACACCGTTTGATTCATGCGGCTCTTACTTGGATAAATACGACTGTATCTCCGTCCTGGGATACTCTATCGATGGAGTCAGCACGTTCTACAAGCCCACCAACCTTCCCGCCACTGGAACAAAGACGCTCAGCAATGTTGCTGGAACCGTGACCGCGCCTGCCAGTGGAACAGTCTTCACTTACACCAACGGCGGCGACGGAGTTGTTTATACCATTACCGCTGCGGGCGTCAAGGGATCTAGTGGTGGTTCAGGTTCAGGCTCTGGCTCTGGTTCAGGCTCTGGTTCAGGCTCTGGTTCAGGCTCTGGTTCAGGATCGGGATCAGGATCGGGATCAGGCTCTGGCGACTCTCAAACTACGGGCTCTGGCAATGGAGCCGCATCGACCGGAAGCTCTGCACAAGACAGCACCGCGGCTGCGGCGAGCCCAACCAAGACTGGATCTGGCAAGAATGGTGCCGGAGTGGTTGGTGCAAGCCTCTACTTGGTAGCAGCGGCGATGGCCATGCCTATCCTTGCTTGTTTTTAGACGTTAAATAGATATACAATAGATCCGATAATCAATAATTTACAACGCTTCACTTTACAGCAAGAGTTTACGTACGACACTTTGATATCAAGCCGACAACGTGCAAAATAAACTAATAACTATTAAGTAACTCTACCAAAAATAAGGATTATCATGCGTTCAAGCGAAACATTCTATCAAACCGGGTCTTCTGGAATCTCTACAAAATCTATGCGTACTTCTCCAACTGCTCCAGCATTGTGGGCCAGATGTAACCTGGGAAATCAGCATTCAGCCAAAAGTTGCCCTCCAAATCTCTTCCCATTATAACAACAACATGTGTGGAAATGCCAGCCCTCTCGATACTCTGCGAATGGTAAAACACAGGGTGGCCTTGCTTCCCATCAGGGCGATCCTTTTCCGCTCTCTTGACAATCGCTGGGCTAAAGTCTACCTTTTCGAGAAAGGCAGCCTTGCTCCAATTGGAAAATACGAGAAAGGCCATGTTGCTTTCTCCAAACATGGGAGGGTTCCCGGTGGCCATCATGGATTTGTATGCCAGCGCGGCCACGGCTTTCATTTGCTCCTCGGTGACTTGCGTTTGGAGAGCCTTTCGACTCTCGAGCGCTAATTCGCCGATGCTCTTGTCTACTGCTTCCTGGCTGTTGTAATGGACAAAGGCTGCTGCCGGTGCATTGCAGACATAAGCGGCGTCTTGCTGAAAGACTGACTTGACACGGGTGCGAGGGTCAACTGCCTGCAGAGCTGTAATCGGGCGGCCGGGAGATAAGTTATGGCCCACCGTCTTTGTGGCCAGTGCTACAATGATGTCGTTTTCACTGATGAATGTAGCTGAGCCTGTTGCTGATTTCGGGATCTGATCTTTGGCCGTCTGAACAAGTGTATCCATTGTCTTCTTCGGGATGCAAACGAGTTTGGATTCGATAGGGCCGTTCCACCACGACTCGAAAATGAGCCGCAGTCCAAACACAGCAAGTCCCAAGCCCGAGAGCTGTTTATCGGCTAGGACGAATTTCTCAGTTGGCTGAGCCTTGTAAAGACCTGCCATGGTGTCCTCAAAAAAGCCCTTGAATGGAGGTACGGCCTCGGGCTTGCCGGCTAAAACGAGCTGCCATGCGTTGATGACGGCCATGAGGCCGGCGAGATCACTGATGGCGTGATTGAAACTGATGGAAACCAAAGTTGCATCCGTGAAGTTGACGACATGGAGACTGTATAGCGGATGATCTGAATAAAAGTAGTCATCGATGCATTTGGGTGCTCCCGGTCCTTGGCCCAGCGACTGGAAGTTTCGCGCGCTTGGAAATGTCGATACTTTGTCTGAAGCACGCGGCAGCTTGGATGCTTCAGGATGTTCCGAAATGCGCATGTCGAAGCTCTCCTTTGTAAAGTGGAGCGGCGGCCGGTCCTCTGTGAAGGGACACGGGATGTGAATCTCAGCCGACCCATCGGGCTGGAACTCGAGTCAGCCAAAACTGTCTTGATGCCCATTGAGCTTGAACACGCCATTTGACTTACTCTGCGCCGAAGTCTCCCGCCCAGCTTCCGCCAGCCCTCCATCTGGAAGAGCTCTGACAGCGAACTGCCCAGCTTATCCGCGTCCAGCACCTCGTTGAACTTCAGGGTCCACATGAGCGTGCAGCCCCGTAGCATCGTCGTATCGTCGAACAAGTGCAGGGGCGCGATCTCGTCTGTCGGCACGATTGCCGGCGGAGATCTCTTGGGCGCCATGCCGAGGAGCTGGTACAGATACGAGGCCATGGCCAATGGACGCTTGAAACGAGGCTGGACTTTTTCAATTGGATGTTTTTGTTTTTGTGAAGTTGGGATGAGTTGAGTTGCCTTCGTCTGACAGCTTCAGCCACTCAGCCCCCTGGTGAGCCTGTTGTGCTGATTGAGCTTTTCCTGATTTAGGTTGACGCCACCGCTTTGTGAGCGCGGAAGCTAATTAGTGTGGCGTGGGGGTTAGTTTTGGAGGAGTTTGTGATAAGTTTGTTTCGAAGGGGATTGAGGACGTGTTTGTGATGGTAATGGCTTGTTTTTTCGTGGAATCTGTCAGCTTTTTAACTCACATGTTGTCGCTTGAATTTGATGTCCTGCCAGTACATTTCAAGAATGCAGAAGTATGAAGTTTGTCTTATTAAAAAACGCTTGGTAACCAAAGCTCACCTAGAATTATTGATAATACCATCCTTAGAATTTTGTGTATAAAGGCAAATCGTCACTCGCTGGATCGTAAACCTGGTTTCGCACATGTGTGATGAATTTTGAAGCCCCTATTTTAGTGATTAATTATCAGGCCTTCTTGAGCGATGCCTAAAGATGATCAAAGTGATGGTATCATTTATCCCTAGTCTCTTAGCCGCACTGCTTCTGAAAGTTCAAAGATGCAACACATCACATTTCCCATCACATTCTTGAGTCACATCTTCTCCTTCCCAAAATTATATCATCACCAAAAAAAGGGCGGCTGAGCTAGCCCTAATTCATGTGTTCGACATTTTTTGTACTCAAGCTCGTACCTTCGCCGCCTTCTGATTCTGCCACTTGCCCTCATCACCTTTCCCCCGCTCGCTTCTTCGACTCACCCATCTTTTCATCACACAAAATCAAAAAAATAGTCGACAGAAAGGATTTTGGCTGAATCAAAGGCAAAACACTCGGTCCATCAATTGACGATGGAAGAAACAAAAATCACCGGAGATGCCTTTGACATTGTCATCGGAACGGAGAAAACATTACCAGGTCTGTGGCTGCGCTCGAATCCGCGAAACAAGGCAATTGCTACAGCTTCAGCCAGGACAAAGCACGCTTGAATTGTTTTGTTCAGCAATGAAACGCGGATGTCTCTGCTGTTCAATCTTGTCGCAGCGGTGGAGAAGAGTCTGCTCAGTGAATCGCCCGATGCAAAGAGATCTATCCACATATCTTCAGATGGCTAATTGACTATACAGTAGAGATATCATTTCAATGACTCCGTGACTCAAACTGGATATTCACCCTGCCAGACCGCTGGCAAGAGGCAAGAATCGCAGATGGATGTATCTTCCACTGTACAGCATGCGGAAAGAAATCTCCCTCAGTCGCGACACTTCATCGGACAAATACCTCTCGTGGGCCAAAGCACAGCTGGACAAATGCACCAAAGACCAAGATTGATGTACAGCCGACAACAATGACTTGCTACCCACGCGGCTGATTGATGTACAGCCACTGGGACCAGGCGGTGAGTGGTTCTTCTCAAGAGAAGGGATATTCCAGCTGGCTCAGCGTACGCGGCTCTGAGTCACTACTGACCCAATGGTAGGATCAAGATCCAATGCTGAACAGTATCTAGCAACTTTGTCTCACAGCTCCATCAAATCCCGTGATCTTCATTGTCGCGGACATTCCAGGATGCTGTCGATTTCACCCGCAGACTCGACCAGCGTTACATGTGGATTGATTGCATCTGCATCATACAAGAAGATAAGCACAACTGGCAAAAAGAGGCGCCGCATATGTTCGACGTCTATCATAATGCTCGGCTGACGCTTGCAGCTCATTACGCAAGGACCAGCCTCGAAGGGCTATACTCGAAGCACACGTCTGAAAGACAGACACACATAACTCTCCCTCGAAAAGTAGCAACTGAACTGATGAGAAGAGACAGTGGCAGCATAGAAGTGGGGCCAATCGAATGATTGGACTGCAAATGGACCCGATATGTCCCTTTCGCGGTAATGCAGAAGACAATTCCAAGCTGCTTAGCTTCGAAGTTCCCTTGAAAGGTAGCAAGCGAGATCACTACGGTTGTGGGCTTCTATTTACCAGAGTTTGGACTTTTCAAGAACGTCTTGTATGTATCACCCCGTGTGCTGATATTTATAGCAATTGATCTTGTATTAGAATGCAACTCGGTGTTAACATGCAAATGCAGAAGGAATGCCATGGATAGTTCAATCAAATCAGATTACAACAAGGCACTCGAAGGTTCAACCTCCAAGTTTTAAAGGGGGGGGGGCAGGCCATATCTAGAGAAGATTTGTGGTGGAGTCTCGTTGAGCAATACTCGCAGCTCGGCATCACGAATGCTACTGACAAGCTGCCCGCTGTCGCCGCCATTGCCCAACAATTATTATATGCGGCTTCGTGGCAGGACAAGACGTATTATACGCGTTTCTGGTACGGCTCGCTCTTTCAAGGCATGCTGTGGGTATCTGACATTCAAGATTATCAACCTCGAGTAGCCCGACCGAAGAATCACATCCCAAAGGACCGAGTGGTGGCCAACTCCAACTTGGTCATGGGCTTCTGTTCAGAATCCTGTCAAGTTCATCGGGTCTAAGTACGATATGAAGCCAAATGTGAAGCCGGTGGCTGAACTCATTGACCTCAAGTGCCACAATGCCGGTGGCGAAGCTTTTATGCGACCAGCCAAGTCTACCTGCTTCCTTACACTGAGTGGCAAGACAGTCCATGCACAACTCCAAAAGACTCTAGGGGGAGAAGGCAAGTCCTATTTACATTGCGACTAGGAGGAATAAGTCGAGGCAGTGCCGTCGCCTACAAGCAAAAACTAAATGAAAGCAAAACCTTGACGGCATAGTAGGAGCTGACGGAAATCGCAGATCTAACATACAAAAAAGACATAACCATCCACGAGACGGACCGCATCAGACAATTTTCATGATGCTCAAGGGGAAGGGCCATGATGATGATCGTCGATACAAGCGGCTTGGTCTTGTTATCCAAGAGATCGTCGCAAAGAGGATGGCTGATGGTAAGAAGGAATATGAAGTCAGATGGCTAGGATATCCAGACACCACATGTGAACCGGAAGCATCCTTGAGACTGAAAGTACCACGGATGTTGCAAGACTTCCTCGCCCGCCAGTGAGAACAACGGAGCTCTCATGGCGTCAGCCTTATGCCGTTACGCCAGCCGCCGACTGCCAACCTGCAGACTGTATTTGTTGCTAGCCGACTGACGGTCGTCGGCCAACAGACCTTGCTTCTTATTTACTTTGCTTGCTTTTCCCCCACTTGCATTTCAGATTTTCTTGTGATACCCTTTTTTTCTTTTCTTTCATTTTGTCTCTCTTTCTTCTTTCTATGCTCTCCCCCTTCATCAGCTTAGGTATGCTGATTCTGTCCCAGACCAGTTGCGTTAAACTACACCCATCACCACGCCAGAGATACTCACAAAGACCTGACCTCGCCAAACTTCGGTTAAAGTGTCGTGTCATCCTGACGAGAATTTTGTCAAGGCTTTTCGCGAGGCGGCTTTGAAACGGCAGAAGACGAATTATGCCATTGTTAGTTTCATTTTGAGGTTTCTTACCAAAATACTATGGTGAGTCTTTATCTATGGCTGGGTTATTACAGATTTCAGAGCAACATTGATGTCATCCATTGCCCCTGAAAACCATGACCTTAGCTCAATCTCATCCGGCAACTTTTTTATCTGCATCTATCTGCCGAAAAGCACAGTTGGATTGATCTTTCTGGCTGTAGCGATATACTGATTCTGCCGCCTTTGGTCAGTTTGCCTTGCTGGTTTCTTTCATAAATGGAAAATATCTGATTTTTGAATCAGATTTCTCAGGTCTCCTCGTTCTCCCTCATTTCGGAGACGTATATGCTGTCCATTCTGCTGTTTGATAACCCGGCCCTTCAGAAGCTTCTGCTCCGAGTATTTGATCTAAGAGGCTTGAATCTCTCATTTCTGTTTTCTCGGATTCGTTCCTCCAGCTTTCTGATCTGAGCCTCCAGTGTTGCTGAGTCGAATAGATGTTCCGGGCTTGGGCTGTAGCCTGGAATAACCAACTCGTCATAGGGCACAAGCTCGATATTGAACTCCATTGTTACTAAGCCAGGATTAAGCCGAGCTGAGCAGAGGGTTGGGAGGACCTTTTAGTAAGTACTCTCGAGCTACCATATTGTGTATGTTCCAAGCTGAAGTGAATAGAGGTCATGGCTGAGGCATTGCAGAGCTGAGAGCGATAGTGGCGTCTGCCATCGATCAAGACGTGAGCTTAATTCCACCCAACGACTATTTTCTCTAGGCTGTCTTCTAAAAAAAGCTCAGCTGGGTCGATCATTCTGGCAATGGCGTTTTTAGACTTAACATTGCGGGAAACCCACCCGCCACTCGTCTCCCTGCGCCATGTCAGTACCCAGAACTGCATTCCTAATAGCCGCCAATGAGGCTTCAATGCAAAAGAGGCGCCTTTGAATTTCACATTTTCACTGCAGCTGAAGAAAATACAAACGAAATGACGTCGAGGTGTTGAAGAAACCCGATGTTTGCACATATTCCGACTCTGTGTACCTGCCAAGCCGATCGACTGACCAAGATCGATCTATATAAGGATGCCAAGAGGTCAATAAATGGGGCTGGATCGTAAAACAATGCAACCTTGGCAGGCCCAGAAGATCGAAAGAGAGACAGATCCACATCTTTCATCTAATCAATCAGTGTTTACCGTATTCAGCCATGTCTCGAAAGCTCCTCAGCCCATTGCTGCTCCTCTTGAGCTGCAGCAAAATCGCAGCTCAGGCTCCTCCAAGTGGTCCCACTGGCCAAACACCGCCAGCAGGATGTTCAGCTCGAACTCTACATGTCAATGACCCTCCTTATGATGACTACTTTTACTCAGACTGCCACGTCGATGCCCAAGCCGTCGTCACCAGCCCCCTCTCGGACAGCAATCTATCCATCATTGGCCCTAGATTCATCGTCGCTTGGCCGGCTGGTAATAGTGGCATCTGCACATACTTCCAACCACAGAATGGCAAAAACGGCACACTCGCTATTGAGCTTGTCAATTCTACATTAGGGACTCCATTAGGCCCCATCAACAGCAGAATAAGAGGGTCTCCTAACCCCGTTGTCGGTGTCGAGGGCGTGCTCTCATTCAATAACTCGGCTGAGCTTTCTCTCGCCATCTTGGGCAGCATAAACAACATACTCGACTTCATAGAGGGAGGAAGTACTCTCACTCCCGTTATTCAACGTGGCATCAATGTCACTAGATTTCAGAACAATGGTGCTCAAATATCGCGGCTATGGCTAGACAATGTCACGACTTCGACGCTCACACTCGTGCCTTGGAACAATAACGATGCCCGGGTCCGAATTAACGGCACAAAGCTAAAATTCGGCTCCGGCTTCTACCACTTCTCAGCCTCATACAATTACCCTCAACTCAAGCAATTGTCACCAAGTCAGACGCTGAACAACCAGTCCCAAAGCCTTGTCCAGCAACAGCCCGCGACGGTCGGATCCCTCTCCTTCTTGTCATACTCTGAGAAACTCATTGCAGGAGGATGGGGGTCTTTCATATACTCTGGCCGTGACAGTCTCCTCACAGGACTCCTGCTTTCAAATGTCCTGAGCACCGATGCTATGGAGACTGTCATCGGAGCTGCGCTTGAACGAATCAACCGCACAGACGGGTCTGTTTGCCACGAAGAACAAATTGGCGACTATGCGACACTTGTGAATATGCAAAACGGCCTCACGTCCACGGCTCCTTCGTGCACATATGAAATGATTGACACGGATTACTTTCTTCTTATTCTGCTGGAGCGATACTTTGGCACGGCCAAGCCGGAGCGAATCCAATCGCTGCTACAGACAAAAGCTGGCAGCGTTAATCCCAATAACAAGAATCTGACCTGGGGTGATCTGAGTTACACCACTGCGAGCAAAATCATGAACGCTACGGCGCCATTTGAGCAAGCCCAAACAGTCAAAAACCTCATCGCCTTCAAGCCAGGCGAAAACGTAGGCCAATGGCGCGACTCTAAATATGGAAACGCCAACGGCCGCATTCCATTCGACGTCAACACCGCTCTAGCACCAGCTGCTTTGTATGCAATTTCCAAATTGGCAAACATGTCTGGTATATATCCCAACAACTCTGAAACCAGCGACTGGGTCGCAATCGCTGCACGAAGGGCAAAAGTGTGGGAAGACAATACGCTGCCGTTCTTCCAGCATAGCATTACGACTGACACGGCCGTGTCGCGGCTGGAGCAGTATACGCACCAGAGCACATTCTACAAGGGCCCGACTCATGGCGATTCGGTGACCAAGTTTTCAAGCAATGGCACAATCATAGACTATGGATTATCCATCCATAGCGTCGATACACCAGACATCATCCCAATCTCTCACACAGACTCTGCATGCCGCCATTATCTACTCAACTCGACAAACGATGAACAGCTCACGACGTTTATAAACGCCACTGCAAACGCAATCCTGCGTCCGTTCCCTGCCGGTCTGTCCACTCCACTCGGTCTTGTTGTTGCAAATCCGTCTCTGTCCAACGATAGCACCCTCTTTAAAAACTTTACAAACGCTGCCTACCACGGCACTGTCGTGTGCGGCTGGCAACTAGCGTTTGCAGCAAGGGGTTTGGAGAAGCAACTCGGGCGATGTAATGCGACGGACGGGACGACGCCTCCCGCGTTCTGCAATGACGAGAGTGTATATAACGCGTTGAGAGATGCGTACAACAAACTGTGGGATCAAATCGAACAAAACGAATCGCGGCTCGAATCCGAAGTGTGGAGCTGGCAATGGCACAACGGCAAGAATGGAACGCAGAAAGGCTACGAGGCCGCTGCTCTTGGAGGATTTAACCCTCCGCCCGGTGTAGCCGGCACGACTGAGAGCAATGCGCGACAGTTATGGAGCTTGGCCTTTTTATCTGTGAAGAGGAATAAGAGTTTCAGTTCGGTAAGTGAGCAAGCGAGTCCCCCGAAATGAAATATTTGCTAATCAGTGAGAAAAAAAATAGAAGACGTGAAAAAAAGTAATGAAGAAAAGAAGAAAAAGGCCGCACAACATTTCCCATGGTATACAAAAAGCTGAACAGATCTTTCATGATTTCGCAATCTGATGCCGAATGATTCTAGTTACTCCAACCGATGCTGTCGTTCTGTTTATGAAATGACGCGGAGATTCCAGATCTCTGTATTCGTTCTCTTGGGCTTCCAACTCCAGGCTGACTTGTGCCGTCTCGGGTCCGACTTGCGACATGATATGATGAGAAAAAAAAGGAGAAAAAAAACTGAGTGATGTATGCCCAAACCATTCCTTGCCCTATCCTTGCCGTTATCTTTGTCCATATTCCGCCTCTTTTCGTCTTGAAACTGGGCTCAATGCCTTCAATTCCGTCTGCTGCTGCGATGCCGCCGCTCGCGCTGATGCAATGGTGTTGACGTTCGCCTTTTATCCTTATCTTTATCCTTGTCCGAGTCCTCTCGAAGGCTGATCTCGGATGATGCAATTGAGGGGTTCACCAGGGTACTGCTCCCGTCATCGTCTTCATGAGGGGGCATAGGTGTTGCCTCAATCTCGAATGGAATCTGGCTGTATCCGAGAGCTCTAGGCTCGCGCAACTTGGGCGGCTTCTCTCCCAATCCAATCTTTGACACGGCCCACGTCAACCAGCCCTGGTTTGGCGGAACCCACTGGCCAATGTTGAGGGTATAATGTCTCTGGTCGTCGGGCAGATTCAGCCAGACAAATTCCCTGTTGCTGTTGATGCGGCCCTCCATGACAAAGTCGCCAATCTCCTCGGGAATCTTGAGGGCTTCGGCAATGAGGATAGGTTGATATGCCGGGACCAGGAGATGCAGCCGCGTTGGGCGCATGGAACGTCCTCGCCGGCGTGCCTTGTACTCCATCTCTGTGATGCGCCGCCTCGCTGCGAGCATAAAGACGAATACTGAGTCAATTTGGTTTGTGTAACCGCAGAACCTCGTACCCAGCGGCTTCTCCTCCAGCAGGTGGAAGAACTTGGGATACCAGTCGTCATCCGGGTGCCATAGGAAGAACCAGTGATTTACCGATGCGTCGTCCGACGTTTGCGTGAGCCGCTCCCGAATCATGCTGTGTACGTAGTCGGGAAACTCCTTTTGCGCGAGAAGAGCTGTCTGCGCTGCGAGGCTGACGGAAATGTCTTGCAGCTTGGCGGCGATGAGCTGCAGCGCCTGGATTCCCTGGTACGTCTGGACCATGTTCATCCCGATCCTGACCGTCGTCGCAATCATGCTAAAATACGCAAAGATTCTGGCGCTGTCGCACATGGACTGGCCCATGACCTGCATGGCGGGGATGAACCTGTTGAGGCCGTCGGCCATCTGGTTCGCCCTGGGGGCGAAGTCGTTGACCCTGCCGGCCAGCTCATTCGCCTTGGACAGCGTGTCGCCAATCTTGATGAGTCCATGGCCGGCCTCGATGGTCTTGACGATGGGGGCCGCATTGGCAAAGAGCTTGGCGGCTGCTCTGATGGCGCCGCTCTTGACCTTCTTGTCCTTGAACACTATGGAGAGGAGGTTGTCGCCCATGGTGATGTGACCGATATTTTGGGCGCCTTGTGAGATGTACGGTGTGTGTGTGTGTATGAAAGAGAAGGCAGATCCAGGGGTACCGCGGGAGTGCGAATGCAGCGCAATGAGGAGAAAAGGAACGGCTGCAAGCTCCGTAATCGCGGGGGATGGAGCAAAGTGTGAGTCGCAAACAGTCAGTCATACACGCATCACGTCGTGAGATTGAGCTTCGCGGCCCAAAAAGCGTGCAAGAGATGCATCTGACCGTTGCCGCTCCACTTTTGCTCCCTTGCCCATTAGCTCGTCCTAGACAGCACCAGCCCTGTCGGTTCCAGTGACGTGGCAGAGCAACCCATGCCGTGGTTTATCGTCCTTTCGAGTGGAGGCTTTGGCTTGGAGAACTGGAGCTCGTCCCGCGGCCTCTCATTGGAGGATTGCCAACTGTCGGTCTGCAGCTCAAAGAGGCAAATCAGGGTCAGGGGGTGAGCATGAGAAGCTTGCCGTGAAGCTGTTGGGCCGTATCCGGTTCGGGGCTAGAAACATAAGGGCTGATTAATGATGTCTAGCAGCACGAGACTAAAGTGAGGCGAGGCGAGGCACACCGGGATTCTCCTGAAGATCCCTGGGAATTGTGTGCCTGGCGAGAGCCGGAATATCTTCGGGGCCGGGTGTTCATTCTCTCTCTCTGTCTCTGTGTAAGAGCAGCTGAGCCATCTCTGAACATTTGGTATATTTTAACCTGCTTACGTGTCACCGCATGGTAAAGTGTTCGCACGCCCGACTTTGCCTTTCCGTATCGCATCGCCATGTTGAAGAGCTGCACCAAAAATATGTATGATTGGAGGGGGGCGGAATATCCTCGGGCCTAGTGTTTTAGCATCGAAACTGCTCCCATATGTTAGTGCAAAACGCGTACAAATGAAAGTGAGTTGATCGAGACTCATGATACCAAATCGCGTCTCATGACTTAAACACAGTCGCCATCATGGTCAATGTCGCCGGGCGAAGTAGAGGCTGCGCGACATGTCGGAAGCGCAGAGTAAAGGTGCGCCTGTTACTTGTTTGAATCATCATACTCATAAGCTTCAGTCCCGATAACTCACTCACACCCATCCCTTTGTCCAAATAGTGCGATGAGTCTCTTCCAGAGTGTCTGCGATGCCTCAACATGGGCTTGAAATGTCCCGGAGCCCGCACAGACGCCTTCTTCGTCCATGCCGTCCCCGACGCTCCGTTGCGTGATTCGCCGGCTGCTCTTACGGTCGTCAAGCTGAAGCATGAGCCATCGCCACAAATCGGTGCCATCAATCTTCATCTCTCGCAGCTGCCAGGGATACAGCCGTCTCCAACAGGGGCCTTTGACCAGCTCTTTGTCTCCCACTTCATCGACTGCTTCTTCGGATCCGTAAGGCCAGCTCTGCCTATACCCGGTGGGACTTCGAGGATTTGGTTGCACGAACTCCCTGATTTCCTCGCCTCTTCCTCTCCTTCTCCCGTTCAGAGCTCTATCCGGGCCGCATCGATGCTCAGCTATGGCACCGCCGTCGGAGATGCGTCTATCAAGACAGAGGCTTGCAGATGGTACATGAGGGCGCTGCAGAGCCTGCGACTTCTGATGGGCTCATCTTCTCCAGAAACCTCTGTGTGTGCAGCCGTCATGCTCACGCACTTTGAGACATTGGCGGGTACTAGTCCCAGGGCATGGATCAAGCACATCAAAGGCGCGGCTTCGTTGCTGGAAGCGCAGGGACCAGAACGCTGCCAAAGAGGGTTTTTGCATCAGATATTCAGCCATCTGCGTCTCCAGACGGTGCGTCTCCTTTCTCCCATGATGAGACGAGAAACAATGCTAATACTTTTTCTCTGGGACAGTTTGTGGCGTCAATGGCTGAGAATGAGCTTCATCCCTTTGCCTCGCCAGAGTGGACCACAATTCCTTTCGAGATTCATCCAAAGCTGATTTTTGACAAGCTTGTTGACATTCTCTTTGCCGTCCAGAGATGCTTGTCAGTCGCAAGCCGTCTAATCACATCTACAGCGGACAAAGCACACCAGCTGCAGCATAAATTGGACATTCTCATCCAGGATGCACGGCTTCAAATGCGCCAATGGCAACTAGAGGGACTCTTATACGCCTCTGCGGGGGGGAAACAAGAACACCGGGAGATGCCAGCTTCTATAGATGAAGCCCATCTTGATGCATCTTCCGATCCACACCACTTTATGCTGTCATATAATGATGTTCCATCAGCAGCCTTGGTCACGCTGTACGATACAGCCAACATCATTGTGCTGCGCCTATTATTTCTGGTTTCCACCACGGCAGCCTCGTATAGCTCGCGTATCCAACACCACGTGCAGTCAATCTTATCCGCACACGCCATGGCAAATGCAGCATCCAGCTCTGTGCCTGGCCGCAGCTCCATCATGATGGTCCAGCAGTTGAAGACTGTTGCCCTGTGGAGTCCCTCTTCAGATCAAAGGGCAGTGGCCGTCGAGATACTGCAGGGACAAACCGCTCAAAACAGAGGCTTTGCAGACATTTCAGCGCCGTCTCACGAATATTTTGCCGACGTGGCGGCTCATATTCCCGCCAATTACTCCGTCGATTGAAAGGCTATGAGAGACGCATCAGCTGCCACGTAACGAAATCGCACAGCTACACGAGACCGAGCTCCTTTGATTCGTACCAGCTCAATGGATCCGTGAACTATCAACTAGCCGCCGTGCAATTTCTCCGAGGATGACGTTGAGAGGCTCAATCTTCGGTATCTGGAAAGGCACTGCCACCTCGAAGTGGCTTGTCTATCGCAACACTAGCCAAGTTGGTAAAATCAGGCAATCAGGGTCACCTCCTTCATCCTCTCTGTTGCCGCTTGACTTGAGAAACCGGCACAGCCAAATTGCCTGGACCAAAACTCAATGCTTGATTAGGTGGGCCTTGTGGTGGATCCCTGGCCTATGCGCATCGATGCCGAAGTCTTTCCTAACTCTGTTAGGTTAGCTTTGCGATTTAGCGGCTCCACTGACCATGAAGCTCTCCCGAGATGCTGATGATGCGGCTTCGATGGATTGAAAAGGTGGACTGAAGAAGATGGTGTTGTTATTTGCACCAAAAGGGGATGTATATATATATCTCTCCTGCATCAACATCCCAATGGCCGTCACTATTCATCACCAATCACACAATTTGAGCACTTACACCTTGACACCTCGTTAGCCATGAAGATTGCCATCATTGGCGCTGGCATTGCCGGATGCGCAGTCTATCTCGAGCTGAAAAAACATCTCCCCAAAACCGAAGAGCACGAAATCACAATCTATGAGGCCTACGACACAGGCAAAGACGTCACGTCAGAAGATCGAGAAGAAGGACCCACACATTCATCCACGCTCATCGTCGGCGGCGGCGTGGGCATCGCACCCAACGGTCTCAGTGTGCTTCAGCGCCTCGACGAATCTCTTCTCCGAGATGTGACTCGCAACGGATATGTGATTGCACGATCCAACATGAAGAATAAGAATGGGAGCGTGCTCATGTCCATTGACGCCAGCGTCCTCGCTCCGGCTGAGCCAGGCAGTCCGTCGAAGAAGCTCAACATGGTGGCATGTAGCCGTCACGCACTCTGGAGATGCCTGCGTACCCGCATTCCGGACGCGGCCATAGTGAATAAGCGGGTGTTGCAAGTTGTGGCCAACTCAGAGGGGAGAAACGTTGTCCAATTCGTCGACGGAAGCGATCCCGTAGAGGCAGATCTTGTGATTGGCGCCGACGGCGTCAAATCAATTGCCAAGAGAGCTCTGTTTCCAGAGACTACAGAGGATCTATATCCTCCCCATTATGAGTAAGTAGCAAACACACATATTCCGACATCTCGTGCTAACTGTCTTGTGTTCAAAGAGGGCTGGTCGGTATTGGAGGCTTCGTCCCGGCGGCAGGCTTGGAAGAATTCGTAGAAAAGGGATCCATGAACTTTATCTTTGGAGGCAACGGCTTCTTTGGCTACTTCTTCCCCAACAGCCACTCCGCGGATCCCAACCGCGAATCCCCTTACGTCGTGTCTGAACCTGGCGAGAGTCTGGCTTGGTGGTCCACATACGAGATCAAAGAGTGCCCGGATCGCAACACCCTCGACATGGATGACGTTTCCAACCGGCTGCGTGAGAGACATGCCCAGTGGAAAGATCCAGTCATCCAGCGAGTCATCAAATCCGCTCGAGTTTCAAACATGTATCCCACCTGGACGTCGCCACCGCTGCCGACGTGGGAGCGCGATGGAGTTGTCCTGATTGGAGACGCAGCTCATGCTCTCCCTTCAAGCTCCGGACAGGGCGTGTCGCAGGCACTGGAAGACTGCGAATCCTTTGTGCTGTTCCTGGCTCATCAACTAGGCCGAACAGACCCAAGCAGCTCTGTCACTGAGAAACAAACCGTCACCAAGGCCGCGAGGCAGTACATCGACCTCCGGAAACCACGCGTCACGGAAATACTGGAAAACGCGCAGAGGATTCAGAACACTAAGCGCGATATGGGCATCATCCGGGAGTATGCAATGTACTCATTCTTTAAACTTCTTGGTAGGTGACACTCCGTAGCTTTGTGTATGCAGTGTTGTGTTGAGTGGACCGCTTACAATCATCGCAGGCTTCTTCCCCAGCATGGCAGCGAAACCGTCGCGCAAAGTGTTCGAGTACAATGTTGCCGAGCACGCTGCCCAGGTAATAGCTAGCGACAGTTAGCATCGTCGGAAGTATCCATTTTCTCCGACAGACAGCACGACATAATTCTGGTGTTTCGAGTCCTTCGGCTCTGGACTGTGTATAATAGCATTTGAAGATTTGAAAGCGTTGCATAGTTGTATCATTTAAAAATCCTCCACTTTCTTCAACCGATTTGCCCGTAAAAAAGGAAATTCGTAAAAAAAAAAACATTGCAAAGAATAAAGCGCTGCAAACTCCACGCCACACCATATCACCGTTTAAAAGACAAGCTTGCCAGGCTGCTTGTCAAACGGAGTGTCCTCTTCAATCTCGTCATCATCGCACCAAAGCTTAATCGCGACCACTTGGCCGTCCTTTTCAGCCAGGGCGATGGCAGGTGGCCCGCCGATACTGTCTTGGCCAACTAATCGACGGGAAATCTAGTCAGCACTTGCTCTTGGTCATCATCATCATCCTTGAAATGAAAACTTACAATGGAGTCCTCCAAAAGTGAAGCCATAGTTTCTCATACGATCTTCCGCGTTCATGGGATTGTCGTTGAGTGTAATCATCTCGAGATATCCGTCATACCCATCATCTTCGGTAAATTCACCTTCCGTTACGACGGCTGCTGCTTCGCTTGTGAGATATGTCGTGGAAATGACATTGAAAACCCCGCCATCGTCGTAATAAGTCCCGCCGTGCTTCCACGCCACACCATCATCCCACCCGACAGCATCGTCAAACTGGTCTTTGAACATTTGCTCCCAGGCCTGCCACTCGTCAAGCGAGACGGCAAAATCGAGCTCGGTGTTCTCGTCCAAGTCTGCCACCCACCGAAGACACGCTTCCATGTCGGCATTTCCCAGCTCCGCTCCGGGAATATTCCTGACTTCTGCCTTCCAGATGCCGGGCTTGCAGTTTGAGATGCCAGAATGCTGGTACGTCAAGTGTTCCCACTCCTGGCATTGCCCCGTCATGGCAAACGCGATGCCATCTGGTGGGTTGGCAGGGACGACAACATAGCGCGGGCAGAGGCTCAGAAGACTGGCGAGACGATCACCCTCTTCAAATTCGGCAAAGTCTTCGTCAAACTCTTCAGCGTCACTCATTATGGCTGCAGAGAGTGGGTTATGATTCAAGAGGAGTTGGTTCCGAGTTTGCTGTCAGATTGGAGACAACAGTTGGATTTTGGAGCGAGTCGAAAAAGCCCGGCAATGGCGGACACTCAACCCTTTTTAACTCGTGCTCTCCACGCATCAGCAGCAACGGGAGCTTGTATGTCCATCGTCGTCTACTGCGTCGGCCATTGCCTAAATGGTCCACCACCCAAGTGGACAAAAATTGGTCAGCGCGAATACGACCGAGAATGAACTAAATGAATTTATCCCGGACGAACCATTTGACGGGCGTGGGGTCAAGACCATGTGTAAGCAGGGGAGACCCCCAATTGCTGGTCGTATTATTGCCAAAAGAGGCGCTGTTTCAAGTGGAAATGGTTGGATATTAGTTTGTGAAAAAGACCCGTCCAGATGTTCTCAGCGGAGCTTTCGAGGCGGGTCATCCGGTTGAGTCGGCCGAGGGTTTTGTGCGGGAATAAAGATCGCGAAGAAGAGGTGCCGTCAAGTGTCAATTGATGTTCTGTGGAAAAGAAGATGACAGTTGGTGTATTCGGTAAGCAGAGTTTTGGTGCCAGGAATTCTCAATGGCTCTCAATGGCTCTCAATTGGCTGATCAAACGATGATGTCGTCATCAAATTTGGTTCCTTCCTGAATCTCTTCAGCTGTTGGGGGTCTAGGGTAGGGAATCAACCCGTCATATGGCATCATAGACAAAGCGGCGTGAGAAATAATAGACAACACAGCGATGAAAATGCACGCAACCAAGATTGTGCAAAGAATCAATCCATGAATTAATTGATTGATCGATTAATTGATTGGCTTCCCATGCGAGATTTTAATTTCGGTTGAAGATCAATCGCTGTCAAGTGCTGGTGAATCCGGTCCATTTAGCGGACTTCTGCCTAAGGCTGCCTGTTTGAATCCGCACCTCAGTGAATTAGTAGCCTTGCATCAACACCATTCAACCCACAGCATCTGCAATATAATTGGAAGGTTCATTTTTTTTTTTTTTTTTGGATACGAGGCACAAGGTATTTACAATTGGATCTACCTGACACTTGATGACTCAAGGCTAAGCCCGGATCTCCAACAGCCGATACCCCCGTCAATCTCATCCGTCAACAGCGCCATCCTCTTGGATTCTCACGGCATCTTTCACTCCTTGGTCATGAGCCATGCGAAGAACGCTGCGGTGGATGCTCCTCAGCGACATCCACTTCAGGCATCCTGACCGGGACCGAATATGGCACACGGCAAAGTGGATTGTCGCCGAGGCAGAGAGAAACAAGGTCAGGCGGGTGGTGATATGCGGCGATCTGCTGACGAGCCGTGCGATGCAGTTGACACACGTCTTGTCTGCCTGCTACCGCTTCATTGGCCTCCTCAGCGACGTTGTGCCGCGAATTCACGTCGTCCTGGGCAACCATGACCTCGCCTACCGCCGTGACTATCAGACCACGGCCCTCGACGCTCTCAACATTAGGCGCTTGGCCCCCTATGTATCGGTGCATAGCAGCATTGCTCACCACGAATGGGACGGCCGGCATGTCTTGATACTGCCGTTTCGGGAGGACCAGAACGAGTTGGCTGAGGCTGTGGATGCTCTGGACCCCTACGAGGCAAGCAAGACGGTTGCCTTTGCCCACCTCGCAATCAACAGAGCCATCACGCAGAGGTATGTAGTTGGTGCTGGCGTCGACAACCTCCGTGCGAGGAGCTCCATCACGTATCGAGGCTTGATGGGCCCGGATCGGTTCGCCTCGCTCGCCCGAACCTTTACAGGGCACTTTCACAGCCATCAAACCATCCGCAACAACGTTGACCTGCGAGGCAGCATCACGTACCTGGGCTCACCCTTGCAGCTGAGCTGGGCCGACCTTTACGACGAGCAGCGGGGGGTCGTCTTGTTCGATCCGGAAACTCTTGAGCACGAAATGCTCATCAATCCGCATGCTGTTGGCTACACAACGGTTGACTTGAAGCAAGTACTTGACGGCCAAGTGGATGAGAGCGTCGTGGCGGACAAGCATGTCATGCTTATTGGCAAACTTGGCCACCTAAACTACGTCACAGCTCGTGATAAGCTTCTCTCGCAGTTAAACGTGCGGAGCGTGCGTACGTGGACTCCCACGGGGTTTACACTGAACGCCGACCACACATCGTTTGGAGGCCTCGGCGCATCCGTACCTGAGAGTGATGCCGCTGTCCAGCTCTTGGAGAGACCTGCTGGGGATGGGACGGGCCCAGATACTACGGGCGATGGCTTTTTGAGTTCTGATGCTGATGCCGATCCTTGGGCAGCAAAACTCGATCTCGCTGAAGAGGCTCGCAAATATGTCGAGTCGCTTCAGCTGGATGAGACTCTTCTCTCGAGACGTAACGAGTTGGTGCGGGTTGGCCAGCGAATGATTCAAATTTCCCGAGAGATGGCAGACCAGGATAGCGAGGCCGAGCATAACCACCGAGACTTTCTCGACCCATCATCTCAAGTTGTCGGCACAAAGACCGCCACAGAGCTGGCTGGACCGTCGACACATGTTTTCGTAGCCGAGCCTCGCAAACTCACAATCAGCAACTTCCTTGGCGTGCAAGGAACCATCACTATCGACTTTCAAAAGGACCTTCCGCGCGGATTGGCCTTTCTGGTGGGTGAAAACGGCTCCGGCAAAAGCACCCTCGTCGAGGCCATAGTCTGGTGCCAGTTCGGGCGATGCATTCGTAGCGGATTGCTTGTTGACGATGTCGTCAATGACAATGTGGGCAAGAACTGCTCCGTCATCCTGGAGTTTGCCAACGGATACACCATCGCGCGGCATCGCAAGCACAAGAGCCAAAACAACCGCGTTGTTGTCTCACTACATGGCGAGCCGCAACCGCAATTCGAGCGCCCAAGCCCGCGCATGACGCAGGGGGCCATCAATGAGCTGCTTGGCACTGATTACGAAACGTATGTTAGGACGGTCGTGTTGAGCCACGAGAGCGCGGAGAGCTTTCTTAACTCTGCGCCGCCGCAACGGCGTGGCCTGATCGAGGCATCGCTCGGGTTGTCGATGCTGGATCAGTGTGGCCAGGTGTCAAAGTTGCTTCTCAAGGATATCGACAGGAATATGAACGAGGTGGAAGGCAAGTTGGAAGGCTTGCTCCGGCCTATGGAACATATCCAACGGCGGCTCACCGATCTGGACAAGAAACGGAACCGACACGAAAAGGAGGCAGAAGAGGCTGTTGCATCCTTGAAGGCGGCTGTTGAAGAGCATGCAACTATCGAGTTACAAGTGAATAGACAAGAACCTTCCAGTGAAAGCAGCACATCATTCAGATACCAACACGCCGAGATTTCGACATTGCAGGATCAACTTTACCTTGAACAAGAGAATTTGCAACGGCTAGACAGATCGTTTGCCCAATTAAAGGAACAAAAGCGTGCCGAGCCGGTGTCATGGCTTGCCCGGCTGCAGCAACAAATAAGCCAAAGGCTTGGAGTTATGGCTGCGACTCACGCCGTAGGTCTAGGTAAACTCGTACACGCGGCGAAAATGTTCATCTTCCGCTTGCGGTTGATGGCTGTTATGGCCCTCTTGCGCGTATCTGGGATCCCAAGTGACGGTTCTGAGGGAGTCATCGCCCCGAATCATATCCAAAAGGCAGCCATCAGTAGTCTCCGCGAAGACATTGAGAGCAGCACATCGCGGCTCAAGAGCCTGAAGCACGAAGCTGATAGAATCATTGCACTAGAAGATGTTGCCATCAACAACGCCGTAATGATCAAGAAGCAGCTCACGCGAGTTATACAGGCTCAAAAGACATACGAGGCCCTAGAGCACCAGGTCTCTCTCAAACGGAGCGAAGCAGCCACGTACACGAGCTTTGTCAAAGACGAGCAGTCGTCTCTGCACTCGCTTCGCTCAGAACACGACGCGCTGGCCGCCAGACTGAAAGAGCTCGCCGCCGATCGTGAGCTGTTTGACTTTTGGTCCTCTGCCCTGACGAAACGCACTCCTCGCGCCTCTTCGTCTTCTTCTGCCAGATCCACGGCAAAGGCAACGGTCAACTTCCGCGACCATGTCCTCGGAAAGGCACTGTCAGAGCTTAACGCGCTCCTTGCGCAAGTCCTCGCAATGCTGTACGATGATACACGCCACGCGCGCGACATGGCAACGGGAATGCTGCGTTCGTTGTTCGAATCTGACTCTGTCGACGCTACTATCGATCCATCGCTCTCTTCCTCGGGACCAGTTCTTGATCGCACCCTTGCTGTTCACCCCTCACTCGCCTACGGCAAACGCTCGGGTGGTGAGCGCAAACGTGTCGATCTTGCACTCTACTTTGCTCTGCTGCAGCTGACATGGGCTAGAAGTGCTCATCGAGCGCACTATCTTCTTGTCGATGAGGTGTTTGACAGTCTAGACGAGGCGGGCCAAGCGGCTGTAGTTCGATGGTGCGGACTCATGTCGCAGACGGTTGGTTGGGTTCTGGTGATTACGCATAGTCGATTCTTGGTTGAGCGTGATGTTGGGGACGATGCGGACAAGCTCATGGTTGTGAGGGCGAAGATGGGAGAGAAGGGGACGGAGCTGGCTGTGGATGGACGGAGGATTGGAATTTAAGATGAGAAATGAGAGGTTGTATGCTGTCCATGAAAGGAGCTGTGTCTTTTGAACCTTGGAGATTCAGGCCATATTACTGGCAGAAGCACAGAAAGCATGACAAGCTTATCAAGGTTCCAAGACCAAGCTTTGTGTACATATATACAACTAGGTACCTGACCTATCGGCTTAGCCGCCGAATCGCAAAGTGCAAGCTCAAAATGTATGGGGTATCACAAGGCCCACAGAGCCAGTCATCGTCCAACAGGTGCAACCACGCTGGCAATGTAAAGTTACGTGTACTCTCTACCTCCCAACCGCCGGTTTGTTGTACAACTGCCTGCCAACTGCAAAACCAGCACAACAGCCAACCTCAACCTTTTCTGCAGCATGAGCTGGCCGACATGAGTCACATGACTTGACAAGTATCTGCTGAATTAGAAAGTTCGCTCATCTTTTCAGTCCTCACCCTGCTTCAACCATCTATACCAACCTCACATCGCATCATCGCCTCACATCGCAACCACCACATGCTCTTGCGCCATCGCCTCTCGTCCAAAACAATCATGGCACCACTAAAGGACATCACATCTCTACCCGTGGCAAAATCCATCAACTCACAACTCCTCAACAGCTCAGCCGCCGAGTTTCGCAAGTCCCAGCCCTCCACCTCCGGCCAACCGTACGACAAAATCGTCGTTGGAGCAGCCATTCTCCAGTACGCATCCGACTCGGCCCCAAAGATGCCCCAGATTCTTCTCCTCAAAAGGACGTCTCATGAAGCCTATTTCCCAAACGTCTTTGAGCTGCCTAGCGGGAAAGTCGACCCAGACGACCCAACCCTCAAGCATGCCCTTTTCCGCGAGGTAAATGAGGAGACGGGGCTGGGTGTTGCTGAGATTCTTGCCGAGTTGAAGCCGATGATTTATACGACTGAAAAGACTGTTACGGGTGCTACTGGAGAGAAGGATGTTATTTCCAAGAGTGCTATTCAGCTCAATTATGTCGTTTTGGTGTCTCCTGGCGACGTGAAGCTTAACGCTGATGAGCATTCCGAAAGCTGTTGGGCCAGTGAGGGAGAGTTGGATATGCTGGACATTACAGATGCGATGAGAGTAGTGATTCGGGAAGCATTCCAGTGGGCTTCAAGCCAGTGATCTACGGGTGCCGCAGTCAAGCGGTACATTATGATGCATGAAATACAACGTTTCCGGACCGTGGGTTTCTTTCATGTCACAAAGAATGACAAAGCTGTGTGAGAGGCAAACAGACCCTGAGAGACTTACGAATTTTAGCCTTCCTGTAGCATCTACTCTAGATAACAAATTGCTGCTTCAGCCCAGTCGCGTAGAACATGCCCTCAACCTACCCCTCATTGTCTGTGCTCTCCATCTTTGCCCGTGCAACTTTACATATGACGTCGAGGTAATGGTCAACAACTGCCTGGTCTTTGTGGCATGTCCATACTGGAAGTTTGATAGCTCCCACTCCAGTGCAATGCCTCTTCCACCTCCCCAGAATTCAATACGCGCCAATGAGTAGATAGAGGAAAGAATTTGAAAAACAAAAATATAATAAATGAAAAACATCATATTTGTATGAAAATGCAAAAAAAGAAAGCGACAGAGGCAGGGTTCGAACCTGCGCACCCGAAGGTATTAGATAGCGAGAATCGAATTGATGATTCAAGTCTAACGCTTTAGACCACTCAGCCACTCTGCCTGATCCGTGTCCTGGCTGAAACAAAAATCGCACTAAGAGTCTTACACTTACGAGAAGAGCGATGTGTATTCAATTCAGCTTTGTGAAAAAGACAAGTTTTGATGAAAGAGATGATCTAAGTATGTAGTTTCAGTGAATTCAAACAAATGACAAATTTGTTCTAAAAAAGCGCGCATACACCCATCCGTATTAATCCTATCCTTCTCCCTCTCTCCATATTACTCTCGATTCTTCTCAATCCAGTTGCCATCTCTAACCCTTCTAAAGCGACGTTCAATCTGACCCGTCGTCAGATCAGTGATAGAGGTCTGCCCACCAGTTACATCTAGTTGCATTCACCTTGCTCGTCGCCTGAACAGCTCCCTGGGCAGTGATATTCACAATGGTGCTGTGAGGCCCAACATGAGGAAAGGCCTTATGGTTGATAAACTCGGGAACACCGCCCTGGGCAAAAGTGATGATTGCTTCTTGAAGAGCATCCTGGGCCTTGGGCCATGGGGCAGCAGTGGATGGATCGTTGAAGGTGTACTGGAGATCTTGGATGTGAAAGCCTGGGGAGACACCGAACTCGTCTGCATCACACGTTCTGGTTAGCTAAAGAATTCAACAAATATAGATGAATAATATGTCGATACTTACAAGCATATCCGGTGTTCTGAACCGCGTGTCCAATCCAGTAATAATTGCAGTCAATCACAGCCTCGCTCCAAAGCTTCATCTGCCTCGTGTTCTGGTCAACATAACCCAAAGATCCATCAAATTGCGGAGGATAAAGTGTAGTAACGAGCTCATCGACATCCTTGCTCGAAAGTCCAGCAAACGACCGATTAGTCCAAGTTTTGAACTCAGCATCAGTGGTAATATTAGGATCAAAGAAAAAGGCACCCTCAAACATGTTGTGGCCGGCCAACACCTTGACCGACTTGTCGAATTGTCCCTCCTTGATCATCTTAGTAGGAGAGCCAGTGATGTATTTGCCATCAACAACAGGGCCAAAAATGTATGTCGTAGTGGGAGCCGCTCCGACCTGCGCAGCATTGGCAGCAATCACGGCTTGCGAATCCGCAGCACGAGCCTCTTCCAAGCTGCTCACGTTGAGATACGACAGGAACTGGCTATAGCTGTCCGCCGCAATCTGCATTGTTGGAATAGTAGCCGGACTCTGTGCGATGGCCTTGGAAAACAGACCGGCGCCCTTGCCGTTGTCAGCAGTCAGGTGGAAGAGGACGGAGCCGCCACCAGCAGATTCTCCCATGACAGTGACCTTTTCTTTGGAGCCTCCAAAGAGGTGGATGTTGTCCTGGATCCATTGCAGCGCAAACCTTTGATCGAGAAGACCAGCGTTGAGGTTGCCGTCTTTTTCGACATCGGGGCCACCCAAGAATCCAACAGCACCAAGGCGATAGTTTAGAGCGACAAAGACCAAACCATCGTCCGAGTTTGCGGCAGCGTGCTGGAAAAGACCGACTGGATCGTAGCCAGGGTTGGGCGTTCCCGTCTTGGAGCCGAGAACAAAGCCGCCGCCGTGAATCTGTGGCACGCCAGTATTAGTAAAACTTGATTTGGGTTAGACATTCAACAATGAATTAAGCTTACCCAGACAAGTACAGGGGATCCTCCGTCTCCACATGCCTTGTCGCCAGCCTTTTGGAGCGTCTTTTTGGTCACATGGATGTCGAGGAAGAGACAATCTTCGCTGGCGCCTTTGTTCCAATCAACTGGCGGTGGCTGACCATCTTGGATGCTCGTCTCCCAAATCTGGAGGCTGAATGGGTTGGCTGGGCTTGAATACTTTGAAATTGGTCCGTATGCATCACCCTGCCAAACAGGAATACCCTGAGGGCAGAACCGTAGCTCGGACCCGGTTTGGATGACCGTTCGGTTTGTTTTCGGATGAGCTGGAGCACGGAATCGAAGGTCTCCAACGGGTGGCTGAGCGTATCGAATGTTTTGGAAGGTGTAGAGTTGTGTGGTGCTGTTGTAGGAGAGGGCTTGATGGAGCTCCTGTGGGTGAATTGGGATATTAGTGAATTTGTAAAAGAAAATTGAGTTAGAAAAGAGAATGATTGACGAACATATCCCAAGTCCACGACAGGGAGGCAGCTGGAGCCAGTGTTGGTTGGAGCTGCATTGGCTGTAAGAGCAGCCGACAACATGAAGCTGCCAAGGAAGACTTGACGCATTATGGAGATGGCGATTGAAACTTGTTGACTAGGGTGAATTGAGTTGAAACGATATTAGTATGGATCTCGAATTAATTGATGGGTTGCTTGATTGCTTTGCTTGATTGCGTGAGTTGATGATGCTTCTTCCCATCTCTCCCATCACCAGACTCTTCTTTCTTCTTATAATCATCTTCAACAAGTCTTTGACTCTTCAGTCTTTCCAATACCCTGACGAAATCCGTCTTGCACGATGGATCAGACTCAAAAGTTCGAGGCTGTGAAATCCAAGTCCTTTCTCAAAAGAGTAGTGTAACTTGCTGAAATGGCTTAAACCATGCAGTCGGGAATCATGTTGCATTTGTTCAGATCCTTTGTCGGTTCAACTGCCGCTCCGTTCAGGAACAGGTTCCATGTCTTGGGTACAGAACCGCCTTTATTCCCATTCTAATCCCAGCATCCCCCAATCATCTCACACATGGCCATCCAAATCTCCCTGCGGTGCAATGTTGGCCCGACTGAGAGTCATTCCCGAATAGGAACTGTATCTCCCAGAAGCGGTAATCAGCTACTGCATTATCCCTGCGTCTTCTCCATTGAAATCCTTTAGAATCCTCCGCAATGCATTTCAGCCCGATTCCCAAGACCGGCTCCTGACGCAGAGTACAGCCGCGGGGCTTGTGTCAAACCGGAGAGCCAAAGGCTAGGCGGCAAATGCTCAGCCGCAGGCACTGCCGAAGCTGTTGCTCGCGATGCCCTCAGACACCCTTGAGCGCTTTGGCGCTTATTAGCACCGACTATCGCGCCCGTGCAGCTTCTGTGGGGGACGTGGCGCGCCTGAGATTGACAGCAAGCCAAGAGCCGCTATGGACGGGTCGCTGCTGTTTATTAATAAGACGCAGAAGTCGCAAGTCTTGTCCAGAAGCAAGGCCGGTGAACGGGCAGCCATTTTGAGCCATGTGCAGAATAACCGACGCAAGCATGAGGCCGAAGCATCTCATCGATCGAAACCATGGTCTAAATTTGTCACCACTTTATCAACCTCAGATGATTCGAAAACCTCTGAAACTGATGCGGTGAAGCTAAAGTTCGTCGCCTTTGTCGAGGAAGCAAAGCCCAGGAAGCAGTGGGGAAAGGAAGACAACAAGAAATTCCAGTCCCTGTCCACGGCAGTGACACCCTCGTACAATTCCTCGGACCCTTTCCACTGCACAATAGCCAATATGGATGCCGGTACCCATGCCATTCTTCATATCACCTTTTCTCACGCATCACGGGCAAATTTCCTCGCCGAGTCTTTTGCCCCATCGTATATGCTCCTGCATCAACTCCCCACGCGGCACGATGCAATGTTCCAGCTTCGTCTAAAACGCTGTGTCGAGGATGAAAAGCTCATGTACTCGACTCTCGCATACGGCTCTAGCCTCTTGGGTTGGATGATGGGTCGCTTTGACTCTTCGAAGCAGCCAGAGTACTTTCTCGACAAGGCTCTTCGTGCTGTGCGGAATTATCTCGCTGTTCCTGGATACAAAGTTGATGACTGGCTTTTACTTTCCATGTATGCCCTTGCGGTGACAGAAATGTGGAATGGCCTGCCCGTCATGTGGAAGCGATCGCCACAGAGACACGCAATGGTTTCCAAGCTGGGATCCCATGGATTTGCCGCCTGTCGAATGCATCTCAAGGCATTGATCCAAATCGTCAACAATGCCGGTGGATGGAAGCAGTTCGATCCTTACATCCTAGACAGTGTTGTATTGGCAGACAGGTACATGGCCATCAGCCAAGGGAGGCCACCAGTTATTCCTATAACTTGGGATCCAGGGCCCTTGCCCACTTCGATTCGAGAGGAGCTCGGGATAACGGGGCAGTCGGTATTGCCTCTTCTCGGATCCAATCTTCTTTTGGAGCCGCTTTCGGAGAAACTCGACAGTATGATACGGGATCTAGTCGACTATTGTCGTATCGCGAGCGAGGCATGGGCGTGGTCGTCGATCGGACCCGAAGCCGAAGGTTGGCTTTTCAGGCGATTGCAGGCAATTTCATGTCGCCTTCTGCTCTATATCCACGATGAGCACATAACTTATATCCAAAGTTGCATTTGCTTTGCGACACTGACCTTTATTTCGAGCTCTATTGCTGCCAAAGGACCGCAGATGAGCGCGCAGTACGCAGCTAGACAGCTTTTTCTATTGCTCCAAGAAAAGCATCATTCAGAAGAAGAGATGAAAATGTCCAAGGGCTTGTATTTTTGGTTGCTGTTTATGGGGTCGGTCGTCGCTGAACCTCAGCCATGGTTCCTTGAACAGCTGGCAGAACAATGTGACGGGGGAGAAATTTCAGAGCCGAATTTGGAGGCAAGGCTGAAGCCTTATCTGTATCTACCATCGCGTCAGGGCACACGCATGCCTCTAATAGTCGAGCATTTGAATTCTGCGGGTTAGGGTATTGCGATAGCGATTGAATAGAACTTCTTTTTACTCTGGCCGTTCATTCGGCATGGAACATATTTTTGCGTGTTGAGAGAAATAAAGCTCAATATTTAAAGAAATCTAGGACCAAAAAGCTACCAACAGATAGAAGCTCCTGATATATCGGAGTAATAGTACATGAACAGCAAACGAAAATCATTGTCTTCCTCACCATGTTCCAATCCCTCCCTCACGACCCATCTCGTCCAAGTGTCGTATCATCTTACTTTCAACTACAAACTTGACATTTTCTGTTGATTGCCTTATTCTTCCCAAAGCCTGAGGTAATCTTGGCCAACCAGCCGGGACTTCTCATTTGGCCCATAAGAGGCGGTGCGTGAGCGAGAAATAAGGATAAAGTTTGACACTACTGTTGATAATTGATACTTGTAGGCAGCATGCCATTGGCCATGGACGCACGCGCTTCAGTGACGTCTGTAATTTCGTCTTGCTGGCCTGAGGTAATGCGCAATCTCTTGAGAGGCGCCATGGCCGGGGAAAGGTTCCATGTGAACAGCGGTTGGACGTGTGCTCTCTCGCAGCTGGATGCGCACTCTTGTTAGACACACATTCTATCTCGTAGCCTCTCTCGCGATACATTGTGCAAGCAGTACAAACCTCCATTGCGTCTACCTTGGCAGGTAGCCCTTCGAAAATAACGGTATCACTGGACAGCCCAGCCTCTCTCAACAGGCCACCCTCTTTAGCAGGACTGCGGGAACGACTCCCGCTATAGTACTCTCCGTAATCTTCATGCGGCAATCGGGACGTGTAGGATCTCCTATCACGTTGTACACACCGCCTGTCGCTACTACCGATTGAATGGCTCAGTGAGGCGTCCGGACTGGCCCAGAGAGGTGGGCAACTACCACTCAGGGCCGGAAAGCTCTTCAATCTCGGTCATTTAGAGGAAGTAAAAGTCGTAACAAGGTCTCCGTTGGTGAACCGGTAGGAAGAAGAGGAGCCATGGTCGTAGCCTCTGTCTTGGCCATTTCGCCCCCGATGATAGTCATCGTTATACATTCTGCCCTGGTTGTCACGGCTCCAGTCACGAGGGCTTGGGCTTCGCCTCGGGCGCGCGTCATGAGCGTCTCTGTAGTCTGGCGCACGATCTGCACTAGAGGGAGGCCGGGGATGCGGCCGGCGTGGGTTAGTCGATCCCAAGCCACATAGACGGGTGATGGCTTCGACGACTGTGTCAAACAGGGATGGTGCAACTTTCTCTTCGACGGGAATTTGAAGTGGCCATTTCCACTCGCCCATAGATGTATGGTTATATAAGACTGATCGAGAGCAGAGATGCCCATAGGTGAGGGCTCTATGGCAGCATTGAGGTCTGGACCAACCGCCGTTGTGGCCCTCCAGAGCCATTCTCTTTTCTTCTCAACAGTCAGTCACCCTGAAATCTGTCTGTCAAGAGACAGCCATGGAGGCCATTTGGAAGTGGGCGATCCGCAACGATTTGCATCCATGCATTCCGGGGGGTCAGCGTTGGCGCCATTCGCCTTGGTGTCCCACAATGCAACAGGATTCTGCGCGGGTGGCTTCTTCGGCGGCCCCTCCCGAGTCGCGCTTCTTCTTGGGCTTTGGCGGCTCCGGGTCTTGCCAGAGCTTTGGTATACGCACCTGGAGATCGGCCACCCAGGCGTCACAGTCCCACTGGATCCAGTAGTCGATATTGTTTCATCCGCTGGAGCGATTCCAAGCATGTCCCCCCAGGAGCTCTCTGGCGGCTTGGTGAAGTTGACAAAGACAACCTTGCCGCCCTTGCTGTGCACTGTCTTTGCAAACTCCCTGACCATGGCATGGAGGTCGGACAGCGGGTCTTGTGCACAGTCTTTGCAAACTCCCTGACCATGACCTTGAGGCCGTGGACCCGCTGTCCGACCGGGCAGTGCCGCGAAGCTACCATCTGCTGGATAATGGCTGAACGCCTCTAAGTCAGAATCCATGCCAGAACGCGGTGATAGCACCCGCACGTATAGACGAACAAGAATAGGCTTCGGCTTACTGTCTCAGCAGGCGATTCCTCCGTGGTCCTCGAAGCGGGCCGCGGTATTTCGCGTATTGCAATTTCAACACGAGCGGGGTTGAATCCTTTGCAGACGACTTAGAATTGTGATAATGAATTGGGTTATGACATAGACCTACAACTTGGGAGAGATTGTATTGGGGTAGCCCAGGGGGTCGGCGTTGGGGGTCGGCCAGGGCAGCCATGATTGCGATAATGCATTGGGTTCCGATATAGATCGACAACTTGAAAGACATTCCGTTGGTGTAGCATTGGAAAATCAGGCTTGCGCCCTCCGGCCCACCAGCGGCTTGTTTCATCCGCCGGAGCGGTTGAGTCTGGCCTGATTATTTGGTGTGGGGGGTCTAGGAGATGTGTCTTGGCTATTAACCTCGACGACGCTTCGCAGGGCGCGGCGGATCATCCTGGGTTCTCTCCGGTGCACTTTGCCGCGTCTAGGCCAGCATCAGCTCATTGGGGGAGGAAAAGGGCTTCAGGAACGTGGCTCCTCCGGGAGTGTTCTCCTCCAGGAGTGTTATAGCTCGTTGCATAATACCCTGCGGAGAACCCACTTGTGGCTGATACATATTTCCTGGGTAGCCATGATGCAGCTGATAAGGATTTTGATCAGGGGCGTATGGTGTTACTGGAGCCATGTGCGTAGTTGGCTGCTGCGATTGGCCTTGCGGTGAAAGCTGGTGAACTTGTTGATGCTGCGTGCCCACGACATTTCGCAGTGGAGAGCCCACTTGTGGCTCCACGCCCGAGGCGCGGAGCCAGGGCCGGATGGGTTCGGTGGGTTGCTGGCCCTCTGTGGCACGCGGCCTTACTGAGCAACGGGGGGAAACCGCCCTCAGCGGACGCCGCAACGATTGATGCTTCGGTCCCGGGTCCCTCTACCGGGGCTTCCGATGCCACGCCCTATGGCATCTTGGCAGATGATGGAAGTATTGTTGGCAGTAGGGTTGCATGACAGAGAGCGAGTCTTGTTTGCCATCTTGAGCAAGACATTCGAAAGTGTACTGTGTCAATATTAGTACAAGAAGAACACAGCAGTGGACAAGCAACGATGTATGGAAGCATAATCACACCTGTTTGCCAACAGAAACATCAGTCTCTTGAAGTACGGCTGCCAACAGCTGCACAAACAAACTCCGTGACTAGTAACGCGAGCAACAAGACTCCGAAGCTGAAACTGTCGTAAAAGTTAGTCACCTGCTGAAATTGTTCAAAGAGTCGCCACGTACACTTGTCTGATGAAAACATCATGCAGTTCCACCACCAAACTGTTTTCTGCCAAACCGCCTCAAAATCTATGGTATTGCAAGTGTATTTAGCAAGAAGAGAGAAGAGAGACAGAGAAGCGGGGAGAAAAGTAAGAAGACCAGAGAATTCCACAGCAGCAGCGCCCATCTACAGTCATGAGGAAATAGAAAGAGTTGCCATTGGATATGGGCAGGCTGAATGGGAGAATGTGCGAGATAGGCAGAACACTGTGGCATGGAGGAAAGAATTGTGGGTTTGTTTTGTAGGGCACACCAGTTGAAGTCTTGTGTACTTCGTACTTCCTCATCAGTCATCACACCAGGGCAACCGCCCTACCGCCTACTCTCCTGGAACTGCCCATTGCCGGCAGAGACATCTCGGTGTTTCTTTTGGCCGGCTCAATGCCAGAACAGAGAATTGATGTGAGTGTTGACAGGGATGCCGATTTGATTCAACTTGAGCCCTGACATGCAGCATTACTGATGGCCAACCTGTGCCATTCTTGTGGTTCTGTCCTCCTTTCCCTAAACCAGTGTGCTTTTCAACTACTTGATACGAGATAGTCACTCAAATCCCTGGTAAGCATTCGCCTTGCAAGCAAAACCTTCTGCGGCTCATACTAAAGTGATGTGTTCTACCGAGGAAATCCTAAATTCGTCCATCTCATCGCCTCTCCAAACATGAAACCGTCAAGAAAGACTTCGCCATTCACCTCGAAGAAGCCCGGATTCTCTGTCTGCGGAGACAAGAGAAGAGGCACGCTACAGCCACCAACGAGCCAAATCTCGTTGCCTACGCGGCTTTGCTCACGAGCAAGGCCAATATAGCCGCGGCCAGTGATGAACGGCTCCCAAGGCATCAGACGCTTCGCTCCCATAAACACCCTTTCCCCTTCCATGTCTGTTGCGTTCTTTGGTTTCAGCCTAAACTCTGCCAGCTGCCTGTCTAAGCTCGAGCCCCTGCACCAACGGCAGAACATGTCCGGAATATCAACTGGCAGAGGCACTGGGTCCAATTAGATGCCAAGAAGACTCAAAGTCAGGGAGGTGGTCTCAACTAGGTGTGTTTTGTCCCTGTATGGCATGGTTCGGTCGCCTATAACTACCAAAGTCCAGAAGTCAAGCTACTCTTGAAACAGCCTTGAGTTAGGGTCTGCTAACTCGGAGAGCAGCTTGCGATGACAGAAACTACCAATATTTATGATTCGATCGAGTCGCATACCCGAAACGCCCAGTTCATTGCCTTGAAACGATACGGTCATAAGGATTCCATCCGAGGCATTAAAGGACTTGAGATCAGTGTTGTAATCATTGAGCCCCAAGCAGCGCTGAAGACATTGTGAATGCCAGTTGGGCACCCACGAAGGGCCCGCAAAGGGGCGGGATATCAACTTATCCATCGAACCCGAACACAAAGCGTCGCGCTGAACGGCCGTACAAAGCCCAAGAAACTCCAGATTGTTATGCAGCCGTTTGTGAGTTGCTGCAAATGATTCGTTTACCTCCTCAGGCTCAAGATCATATCGAATTGGGTTGCCAGCAACCTCTTCAGGGCTACAGAGACCAAGTAACGAATAAATTTGGTCGAGAGCCATGGTTGTTGTGGTGGAACGAAAGTGTTCCAACAACCAAAGCAGGCTTGCATGATAATCAGCCTTGGCGAAATGCTTTCTGAGTTCCCTCAAAGCCGGTGCTGGCCTCAGCGATCCGGTGTTTGAGACATGGAGCATCTTGACTTTCCTTGGTCGTGCTATCAGCACAGTTGTGGCCATATCAATGCCGCTGAATACGTCATCAATCGAAATTCCATCCGAGTCGCAAAGAAAGACGGCATTCTTCGGCACTGCGGACTCTTGAAGGACCCACCTTCAATGGAACCAATTGCAGTCTAAAAGATACTTGAGGGCATCCCATCATTCGGGATCAAACAGAGTCCATAAGCTTGCAGCCTCCACTGCTTTCAAGGTTGTTTGCAATCAGGTGGCGAACGTAGCGAAAAGCGCGGCTAACGCGACTGTCGTCTTCATTGATTCAAATGATTACTGAGCTTGCTTGCGAGTAGATTTCCCGCATGAGGGGAATTTGCAACGCCTTTTCGCCAACGTCCGTCTGATTGATGCAGGCCATGTCAACCCACAAAGGGAGTCTTGACCCTTTCTCCCATAGTTGCGGTAGGATAGCTGAGTCAAGAGCGAAAAGTCTGTTGAAAAGCGCATCGAGATTCGCTGATATTTGAATATACATGGCCCCACACCCCGAATCAAGACGCATTCTTCGATCGCGTTTCCTATCTCCCCAGACACGAGAGACGGCTACAAACGGAGGCGCATCAGCAACCGTCGCGCGACTGATATATCCTTGCGCAGGTCCTTGGCCACTTGCTGAAACGAGGTCCAGTACTCGGAATTCCTTTGAGGCGTCTCTTGGGCAATAATGATTCGAGTTTATTCCGGTACACAATTGTTGGTTACCTCGCGAGGTCGAGGGAGAGATAGGGCTGGCTCTTTGTGACAAATATGCCTACATTACAAGAGCATTACCCACAACGAAGGAACATGGACAGGAAGAGGTCAGCTTTATGTCCCCCCTACCATATCACTCGTATCTGGCATCATCAAGTCTTATTTACGGGGTCTTTTAGGTACCCTTGAACCATTCACCCAATTAACAGCTCACCGCAACAGCCAAGAATATTGAATAGCCTGCAGCTAGATCCTTCCGACTCATCATAGCATCCATCGCCACCATCATGTCGAGAGATCCTAGTACCGGAGCCCTTCTACGGCTAAATAGACTGGATGTTGCTGGCATCAGCCTCTCGCACAAGTGAACACAAACAAGGGGTACGATGTGCCAGAGTCGTTCAATCCTAATTCCCTATCCTCCACACCTGTTCAAAATTGCTAATGGCTTTTCTTTGATGCTAATTACACCACGAGGGCTTCCGCCAGCCAAACGTCATTTACGACAACAAAAGAACAAAGCCGTCTAGGAACGTACTCCATGAACAGCCCTTTGCGGCCTTTCCAACTTTGCGATACGATGAATCTTGATAAACGTGGCTCGGCATGGCTTAGACGGGACAGGAGGAAGCCACCGCCTTGCAGCGGTTTTCAGATCTTCTCTATGGCCGTAAAGCCAACGTCAACTATTTGTATTTCAACTGAAGAGATCATTTTGCCAGCAAAGGCGCCCCCCAACTTGGCTGCTACGACATCAAAACGAACTACCCCGAATCTTCGACGCTATACCTCATGGCAAACCTTTCCAAAAGAGAGCACAGCTTTTCACTTCCTGCTTCTTCATTAGATACTGTGGATGGAGTATATTTTACTCTGTATCCCATCATTCTTGAGCCTTCTACAGCCTTGAGTCGATTGGGATCCGGCGCAGAGTGGTATGATATGGCTTGCTAGAGTCACCACAAATCAAGGTCAACAATGGTCACACACTCAGACACTAGTAGATAGACCAACACAATTCCACTCCCAATATAGATATCTCTAGGATCTATAGTCAGGGATTGACTATTCAGCACCCCAAGTTCGCTATTCAGCATCTCATTCTTAGATTAAAAGCAGCCTGGATAGTAATGAAAGCAGAGGTTGGAGTTATATATGGATAGTAGCAGATACTTCCAGGAACTGCGTAATATCTATTCAAGTAACGGTGATAAGAGATCTTCATTATACGTTGTTACTCCATTCGGAACTCCTCTTAGCCGCTGGGAGATCAAGTGAGTGGTATCCAATCGAAATGTATATTGATGCAACTACCCTCAGCCACGCAAACAACAAAAAGAAGAAAAGCCCCATGTCCAACGGAGACACCACACCGGACTCGAACAACGAAACCACAAAAGAACAAAAACAACAACAAAAAGAAAAGCCCACAACAACAAAAAAAAAGAAAAGCCCCATGTCCAACGGAGAAACCACACCAGACTCGAACAACAACAACAACAAAAAAAAAAAAAAAATCCCCATGTCCAACGGAGAAGCCACAACAAACTCGAACAAAGAAACCACAAAGATAATGATGACCAGCGACCAGCGCGTGCTTCAAACGATACTTGTCTAAAGTCGTTCCATTCATCAGCTCCAAAGACGTTCATTCATTCCGAAATCTAATTCCCAACAACAGACTCCCACGCCCAGAATCCAAAAGCAGCATACCCAAAATGGGCACCGAGTTCAAGCCGTGTGTAAAAGGGTTGCCACCCCATGTGAAATCGAATAGTGATACTTGCCAAAAGTGTCCATTGTAAGACAGCAGGCGAGGACAGGTTTGTGATCCTGGGATTCGAGAAGCTGGAGATGTCGCTCGGTGTGAGTTGTGCGGCCGTGAAGAGGCTGTAGGCTTTTTCTTGCCGACAGAAACAGTGGCGAGTTTTTGTGTAAGGGGGTCAAATCTTATCGGCTCTTTCGCTCGTTGTCGACTTTTCTTCACTTTTGTCTGAGAACCCGCCTTGAGTGACCGGCTTTGAATGTCTCTGCTGGCTGCTGGCTCGTTGGCATTCAACTCAGCGGCGGGTTGTGTTGGTACTCCGATTTTTCTCGGAGTGGAGTCATCCCCCCTACGCCGTCCCCTCCCAGCGGGAGAGTCATATAGCTCTTCAGCAGGTAAATGGGCCGGCGAGGACAGGTCTGTGGGTGGAGTTTGAAAGAGACTCTGTCGTCAAGAGTGACTGGGTCGATCGCAGTGCTGTATCTCCAGACCAGTCAGTCACACATGAAAAAGGTGAATGGAATGGAAAGTGAGAGCTCACGAACCATGTATTTTGGTCACTCGCGACCAAGCTCGGAGAGGCGGTTGCCGAGACCTCCCGGCTTTGAGGCCTCAATAGACAGTATGAGACGGGCTTCTACCCGGAGAACTGTCATCGAAATTCCAGATATCTTTCCCCGCGTCTACATGGCGACAGAAAAATGTTGGTTAGTCAAGAATTCGAAAAGGGCATTGATGTCGGAGAGTGCCATAGCCACCGATGCCGTCGCCTAGAGGTAGATAGATTGTGGTAATCCGGGCCCACATGTAGGACAAAAAAACGAGAAGGAAATGCAAGTCAATGGCAGTCGGATGTGATGGAAATGGTGGATTGGAGGGACCGAGAGAAGCAGGAGTTGGGTGTGGAGGGCATGGAAAAGATATGATGAAGTTGCAACAAGATGAAGATGAAGGAAGGAGAGGATGAACACAGATGGATAAGGGTGGAAGAGGGTCTACTTAGAGGTGAAGGTGGAAATGGAAGAGGAAATGGAAGAGATAGAAGAGGAAAAAGAAGAAGAGGAAAAGGAAGAAAAGGAAAAGGGAATGGGAATGAGAATGGAAATGGAAATGGGAATGGGAATGGAAGAGGAAGAGGAAGAGGAAGAGGAAGAGGAAGAGGAAGAGGAAGAGGAAGAGGGAGAGGGAGAGGAAGAGGAAGAGGAAGAGGAAGAGGAAGAGGAAGAGGAAGAGGAAGAGGAAGAGGAAGAGGAAGAGGAAGAGGAGATAGAGTCGAAGATAGAGATGGAGAACATGAAGATGGAGAACATGGGGATGGAGAACATGGGGATGGAGAACATGGGGATGGAGAACATGGAGATGGAGAACATAGAGATGGAGTCGAAGATGGACATGGAGATGGAGCCGAAGAAGGAGATGGAAATAGAAATGGAAATGGAAATGGAGTCGAAGATGGAATTGGAGAGGAGATGGAAATGGAAATGGAGCCAGAGATGGAGATGAAGATGGAATTGGAGAGGAGATGGAGATGGAGATGGAAATGGAGACCGAGATGGAAATGGAGATGGAGACGAGATGGAACTGGAGACGAGATGGAGCCGGAAATGGAGATGAAGATGGAGTCGAAGATGGAGCCGAAGATGGAAATGGAAATGGAGCCGGAGATGGAGATGGAGATGAAGATGGAATTGGAGAGGAGATGGAGATGGAGACGAGATGGAGCCGGAAATGGAGATGAAGATGGAGTCGAAGATGGAGCCGAAGATGGAAATGGAGAGGAGATGGAAATGGAGATGGAGTGAAAAAACGTGAAAAGAGAGAGAAATGCACTCACATTCTGTAATGTCGTAAAAAGTGAAGAAGAAGAAGAAAAAAGAAAATCCAAGGCGAAGTTGCATCGGGGAGGGAGAAGACTATATAGTCAGGCGTTCAGTCCGCCTTCCCAGTTCTCAGTGTTCCCAAAGGAAGCTTCCAGACAACATGTTGCGGTCTAGATGCGGTGCCAAGCAGCAGCGAGCATGAACTTGAGCCAATGGCAACTCGCAGATAGTGGCCGAGATGCCGAGAAGCGTGTTATTTCCTCAAGTAGAGACGATTCTTAGGCGAGGCGGTGTCTGTGGATGGCAAGCGTGTGGCTGGCTTTGCTTGAGATTGGTCGAGAATGATCCGAGATGACGCGGTCGGCCCCAAGAGCGAGGGAAAGCGAGCATCTACGTGACGATCTTGGACCGTTTCGATGTTGCTATCTCGTAATTGCTCGGAAGAGAGCATTGATGCCTCAGGATGCTGAGCTTTGTGGGCAGTTCCCATGGAGAATCAAGGGGGGGAGTATTTTCTTGGTGTGGCCTAGGCCGTTTGGTACATTGGGGCAGTGTTGAGGCTATCGCGAGTTTGAAGAACAGGGCGCAGTGCTACCTGTGATGCTGTGGCATGGTGTAGTTGGCTGCTGTTCGATGGTGATGAAGAAAGTCAGCTTTTGTCTGCAGTTCGTGATCCAACTGTTATGTCTTTCCAGCTACTCTATAGAGAGTCAGTTAGCCTGTAGCTCAATCCTTTCGTATTCACAGATTCTTTCGACAGGAATCAGCTGGAATTCCCCAGAATGTAGACACGGCGAAAGAAATTTGTCGATCCAACTGCTGCTGAGTCTATCAACGGCGTGCGCGGCTACGTGCTATGCTTGAACAGAATACCAGAGCTGATAGGGTAGCTAATTTTCGTGCCCTGAACGGAGCCATTACACACGGGCCCAGCACAAGTTGATCAGCATCATGATGTTTGAAGGTGGGCTTCGCCGCAGCACCAGAGAGACAAGTAGGAGCTGCACAAAGCTGTGTTCTATTCGGTCTATCATTTTAATCTAGGTCTTGCTGTACGGTGGCATTTTACAGAGGATACGCTCTATCGAACGAATTTGAAATATGAACACCTTCAAAACGCCATAAAACCCGCGAGTGGCCATTGGGTTCAGCTGGCGGCCCGCTTGGCGGCAGGAATTGGAAACATCTGGCTCGCAGTTATCCTTCGGCTTCCGTCTTCTACAAAGCAGATGTGTCACTGAAGCTATTTTCGAGGCTACGCTCGTTCCTCCGGATAGAACAGTTTTTTTCTGTCAACAAGGGGTAGCAGCTATATTCTGCCTTGTTACGCTGGAAAAGCCGGCTGGAGTAAGGAGCCACGAGAAGAGGGAAAACATGGCCAATACTCCCGGCAAAGATGCCTTCTGGTGGGGGTTGGAAATTTAGTCGTGTCAGCTTGTCGATTGCTTCAATTTCCGTCGCCAAAGACTCGACTGCACGAGCAGCAGATTTTGACGTTGCAGGCTGCAGGATACTTCCATCTCCAGCTTCATTTCTTGTACGGTATAACTGTAACACTAGCCAGCTATTCTATTCATGCCGAGGCCATTTTCGAGCGAAGAGAAATTCCGATGTCTTGTTGGGTCTCAATCATTCGAATTCGAGTGTCTTCGAGATTAGGCCATCTTCATCGGAATGCGAGAAACGGAGAAAAGGTCCTGTGAAATGCATCAGCACTGCATCAATCGTATTGGAAACTTTGAACGTGGAATAAATTGCCAAAAATGGAAAAACTCACTGTTTGAACAGGGAAAAGAGGAAGAATCAAGATGACAAGATTTGATGCCGCTGAACATCTCGGTGAAGGTAGTCGTAAATGGATGCCATCAATGGAGTCAACCACCAAAGAGCTCCAGAGCTATCAATAGCAGAAAAGCCACGGCCACAGCGCTGTAGCATCAACACGGTTACCCAGAAAGGGATCCCTGCGCGTCTCTAGGCTCTATTTTAGTGCTGAGCCCAAGATTTCCGAGGACGGGCAATCGTTCTCCGTTGATTCCAGAAATCCGCCATGATCTCCATAGTGGAAACCTCCTTGGCGGACGATCAGCACACAAACCCAGATAGCACGCACACAACGTGGCGGCATCCCTGCTTAGTAGTGTTGAGCGTATTGCTCCAGTGTACGCACGTATTCATTTTGCGGTCTATATTTTCTGATGTCCACTTGCCAGGGTATCTTCGTGGGAAGTGGTGGAAACAACCCCCACAACACCACTCGGAAATAACGTCGAGCAGCAATCCACTACTCGCCCCAGCTTCGCTAGTTTGGAATCCAGCCTAAAGTCCCGAAGCCAATTCAACGACATGAATCTCGTCATTTTGTTAGAGTCACCTCCATGGAATTCCCGAAATCAGTGCCCCGACGGCGGGCTGAGGGAGCACGCGGTACCTCTACTGGGACTCTCTTTTTCTTTGGTGGGACTTGCAAAACTAATTTTGGTCTCTCTAGGGCCGATGATTGAGCGTACCCTTCAAAATGCCTTTCGAATCAAGGAGGGAATACTCGCCAATGTGAGGAGAAACAGCTTTGGGGGCCCGACTTGTGGAAAACCTGGTTTGTCTGAGTCTGTTGGATCTCCAAAGACTGCGCAATCTTGATCCAGACCCGCAAACCGAAAGCAATCGAACTCCTATCACGGTGAATACACACGGAAACGATAAACGATTGATGGACGAAATTCCCTTGAGCAGACGGCATATTCTCAACAACGTCTATACAAGATCTTGGGTGGGCAAACTATCGATGATGGGAGAGGCAAAGAGGCTCGCCTTGCCCAACTGAAGGCTCTGCTACCTAGGGACTGGTGTCGTGGAGGAAAGGATACGTCTTGGACAGCTTCGCGCACCACCTATAGCTATATTACCGATGGTTATCCCAGACACAGATGAATACCAGAGCACCTGGCACATATGATACCAGAGAATAGCAGCGGTTTGTCCGCGTAATGAAGCACTGGGAAACTACATGAAAGAGAACAAATTGATCTGTAGCATTACTGCACTCGGCTTCCATGTGAATATAAAACTCAATGAAGACCAAGCTTCGGTACCTTCAATGTAAATGGGCTTGAGTATCTGGCATAGTGGTGATGCCACGTTGTCCTTGGAAAAAATATTCAAACATCGATCGGAAACGCACGCTGAGCGCACAAGATCGAATAAAGGAACACGCGTCAGGTACAAAGCAATGCCGAAACCATGAAAGTGAAAACGAGTAGCAGGTAAGTTTGATTCAGCTATGCTAATATGTACACGGAAGAGTTGTCACTGCCTCGTAAGACTTTACCGTGCACTTGACAAGGTAAACAATTATGAAGTTCCAGATATCTCTGGTCACACTGCTCACTCCAAAAGAAGAGCTCCTCCCCCTCCCCCCCCTCGTCCGTCTCAGTTTGTGGCCCGAGTTCGCCACGCGTAGGACTTTACCGTGCACTTGGCAAGGTAAACAATTCCCATGTTCCAGATATCTCTGGTCCCACTGCTCACCCCAAAAGGAGAGCTCTTCCCCCTCCCCTCCCCCCCCCTTCGTCCGTCTCAGTTTGTGGCATGATTTGCCACGCGTAGGACTTTACCGTGCACAATTGGCGCAGCAAAAATCTCACGATGTGAAGTCAAGGCTGCGGAAATTGTGAATGTGGTTGTAGCGCAGTGAAGGTTTGGCGTGATGGAGCGCGCGAGTGTCATTGCCCGTTGAGAAAGTCACAGAAGTCGCCGCACCTGATAAGCCAGGCCATATGAAACCACAACTGAGCCAAGTGTGTGAAGTGACAGTGGTGGATTTGATTGAGATTTTGTTGGGCTGGATGGAGAAAGAAGAACCACCTTGCTGTTGAAACGCCCCAAGAAGGGAAAAGGAATTTGGCAAGCTTCCATTTGAATGCTTATGGGGTGGCAAAGAATCAGATGTTGAGCAAAAAACGCCCAGAGTTGACATCCGGCCGATCAAAGACCACCACGAACAAAGGAGTCTGAAAAAAAAAAAAAATTAGCTGTGAACACAAGAAAAGATTCACCAGAAGCGTAAGATGCATACTCATGATTCAGGAGATGCCAAGTGTCAGTAAAAAGACATGTGGCCATGGATGTGGAAGAGACCATGTTGTAGAAACAGCACACGCCGTGGCTGTACAACTGTACAATATGATGTCGTGAAGAGGTTTGTTGAGTGGCAGGAAATCACTTCCAGTCATCCAGAAATTGAGAGAGCGATGTTTGGAGAAGAGTGCTTCCCAAGGGTTGCCAACGATAGCAGGGTTGTTGTCACTACGAAAAAGGGCAGAAAAGGTGAGCAACCATGAGAAGATGATGGGAAATCTCAGTGCCGTCTCCTGAAAGAGGTCAAAAAGACAGATCTCTGCTGTACAAGAGTGGGAGAAGACGGGTGAGAGAGATAAAGAGGGGGGGATCTAGACTTCGCATCAAAGCAGCTTGACCCCTTCCAGTTCGTTAAATTAAGCGGCCAACAATTCTTCAAGAAACAGCTGCGATCGTATGGCCAACTAGGCTCTTCCGATCTAGGCAGGTATCTGCAGCTGCATCTCGATCTGCGTCTGCATCTGCAAGAAGGCCTGAGGCACACAGTACATGTGCCCCTTTCTCTAAAGGTTCCTGTGCTAGGTACCCAGCTGCACGTAGCAGTGTCTGGGTGATGGTGAGATATTGCAGCCGAAATGCTGCTCCAAAGCCTTGTTTGGCAGTATTTTGTCTACCAGCAGTTTATAATTTCAGAAGCCGTCGAATGAGTAGAGTATCATGAAGTTGCTACAGCACAAAGATGTGCAGATTACCATTCAACTCCCCGGCAGAAGCACTATATTCTCCTCCAACTTGCACAAGGCTTTCCAAGTGAAGATACATCATGCTCCATGTACCTCGTGCCTTTGTGGTGTACTCCATCCCCCCCTTTCGTATTCGCACTCGCCTCCTGTCTATTTTGTTGAACCACTTACGGAACTTTCTCTCCCTCCCAGCCCACTCGATCCACTCCACCCTTTCGTTTCTCACTCTTCCCGATTGGCTTGATCTCTTCCAGTCATGAATAGACGGTCAGGAACAGTCAAAGCTTGCCTCTATCGGTAGATCGATCGATCGAGACCGGGGCTGAGCTGAGCACTTCCCGCCTTGGCATTGGTGAGAGCAGCCGTACTTCCGAGCAAAAGATTGCACACTCGCTTAGTGATGGAATCTTCCAGAGTCGATCGGACAGTTTCCGGCTCGTTACTGACGTTTATGCGAGCTCTTCTTACCTGGAAGATGGACAGTGTTGCCTGAGGCCGCTGCAGCTGGTCACGCTGGTCCCCACTCTTCCACCCTTTATATATCTTCTCCCCTCGCCGTTTTCTTTTCCTCTTTTCTCTTCTTTTTCTTCTTCTTCAAACCGTCGGCGGGGGGTCTATTGAGGCCTCAGCCGGCGGTTCCCTCCTCCTCCCTCCCTCCCTCCTCCTCCTCCTCCTCCCTCTCTTCCCTCCTCCACCATGGGGGGGGCTGACGAGAAGGATACCAACAGGTGTCCTCTTCCGTGCCTCCACCTCCACGGCGTAGGTTTCTCTCCTGATCAGCCCAACACATCTTCTTCCATGGCTTGATCGCAGCACTGACTTTCGTTGCAGGGCGTTGACGAGAAGGATACCAAAGGTGTCCTCTTCCGTGCCTCCACCTCCACTGCGTAGGTTTTTCTTTTTCCATCTCGCTTCCCATTCCATGTTTTGATTCTCACCTTGCTTGCAGCACCAGTCTTCGCGACAGGTCTGCCAATCACTTTGGGTTCATCTTTCGACCACTCGTCACTCCACGCACATTCGCACCTCGTCAAGGCTTGCCACCAAGGCCAAAGCCGGCTCATGCTTTTGAGGGCTCTGAAGCATTTTCATGGTAAGCAGACTCCTCACTCACAGCTTTCTTTGCACGCAACTGACGTGGTGATCGCTTCTAGCACACCAACGCGCGCCCCTCTTCGTCTGGCGAACTGTCAGTTCACACTGCATTCACCACTCTCTTTCACGGCCATGGTCAAGAATTTCCCACATTTCGGCTTTCTTTTTCTTCCAATTTCCGTTCATGTACATACGTGGCATGGCGATTTTCTCCTCTTCTTTGTGTCTCTTGTCGGAGATGTTCAGAGGGTGGTTCAAGTTGGAGTGGGATTGTTGATTTCAAGGGTGGTCGGGTTTCGAGCATTGGGTTCTGGACTATTTTTTCGGGGAGTTTGTTCATCAAATACATCGTTTTGTGCTTCATTTTGTGCAATCTTTTTTGCTGTGCTCCTGTGATTCTTTCCATCCATATGTTTCTGTTGCGACACACAGGCATTCGTAGATTTGCTTGCCATCGTCTGTTGACACGCCGTTGGCCGTCTCAACTAAGCCGAGCAGTGTGTGACCTTTGAAGCCTGACCAGTAGCTAACTGAACGCAGCTCTAGTTCAACGACGGCGTTCAGCGACGATCTCTCCTTCATCAACATCCACACACACAAGGTTTGCTTCAGCAATTTCGGTCGGCCTTATCGCAAGACCATGGACGACACTTTGCGTTCTTGAGACCAACATTGAGTAGGATATGCCTGACGCAATTTCCCGCGAAGATTTTCACGAATGCTAATTGTTTTCTCCCTATTTAGGCCCCGAACTTGTCAAATTTCCTTCCATCCATCTCCATCTTCAGTCTTCGACAGCCCAGTACGCACAATCCAACGACCTGGGGCGATGAGGTAGCGAAAGGAGACCCAAGACCAATGAGGCTGATTACTTTTTTCAGACATGTTGGGTGGCCTCTATTCACCATTGACGATCAGTGTGGTCCGAAGGCAATATCTATGGTTACCATACAGGCTGTTTAATCGTGTTGTCTTCATGATGTCTGCTAATTATTCCGGAGCATATTTGTCTAGAAAGAAAAAACTGCAATACTCGAAGTACCCTTTCCAGTCCTTCGAATCAAAATGCCATCGAACGAACACAACGACCGGTTGACCATTCTTAACCACCGATCGCAGAGCAGAAATACAAGACATTCGACATACTTGACGCGAAACGAGATGGTGAGCGCCAATTCCAATTGGAGAGTAAGAAGAGACAAAAAGACTCCAGAAAGCCATCAAATCTTCGAAGCCATTGTTGCTACAAGAGCTTCAAGTCTTCGGCAAGAGACGCATATCCAACGAGGGCCCGAAGCACGTCCACGATAGCTCCAACAGACACCTTTCTTTCCATATCGTGTTTGATTGGATCTCCCAGCCACTCTCTGCTCCCACTGCTGGAATGATAATTTTATCGGCTTGATCTCGTTGAACATGTGGATTTTGTGTGAATGACAGCATGGTCCATTCACGCAAACAAAGCGCAACGCTACTTGACGATATATAGCATAACCATCCAGGTATTTACTTCTTTTTACTCCCCCTTTTGAGACTCTTGCGTCACGCGGGCGAGGCAGATTTGAGAGATATGGGTAGCTTATCTGCCACATACCTCCCTATTATTACAGTTACGATTACTTCAATAACCCTGTTCACAGGGATTTCCACTGGCATAAGCACATGAGAGACAAAGCACTTGGGATGTTCAAACTGCTCTATTCGATCCCATGCTTCTATAATGACCGCCCGATTTCTACAAGGGCTTGACAAGGTACCAGTGCTACCCCTTGATGCCCGTCACAGTCAGATGGAAATTCAAGTACCGTGATGCTAATATGGAAGGTTTGACAAGCAGATATTTCATACTATCATTAAAAGAGCGTCGTTACAACTGTGCCGAAATCCAAATACAAGAGAGAAGCATGGAAAGGAAAACAGAGGGAGCCAAGATATTTTCAACAATCCCCCTCGATATCAGTGGCGATATCTGTTACCACAGATTGCCATATCCGAGTCCCGTTCCCACTCCGTCTAAGAGCCGATGCAGCAGAAGCCGAGGAGGAAAATGGCAATGATGCAGTTGCCCTGGTCACAGCCACTGCAGCAGCGCTTCTCAATGTCACGTTCAGCCTGTTTTCAGCGTCAGCATTGCCCGTGTCAACACCAGTCCTCCATGTCAGTGCGGTGAATGCATACCAGGGAATCGGTGGTATTTGGGGGAGCGCCGGTGGTTTGCACACCAATTGCTTCCAAGTAGCCCAGAGCTGCAGTCCGAGCATCTTCCTCACTGATGCCGGGATATTTCTCCTTTACCTGCCAAAGAGCAGTGGCATAGTGAGGATTAGTGGTCAGATCGGTGGTCAGATCGATGGTTGCAGTATTGGGAGTGGTGCTCGAAGTCGGTGCAGCCAAGACAAGGGGGGCGGCGAGAGCAGCAGCAGCGAAGAACTGAGAGAAACGCATGTTGGTGGTTGAAGCAGGAAGAGAAGAAGAGATGAAGTGGGAAATGATAAGAAGAATGAAGTAGAGAGGAATTCTTGTTGTTGAACTGAGTTGTTTGCTGGTGAGTGAGAACTTCCTTGGCAGGAATCTCGTCTCTTTATATACGTTTCAAGGGATACCATCGTGAAGACTTCAACGTCCATCCTCTCTAATCAAGATGTTATTTTAGGAATACTTGGTGATGGGTAAGCCCACCATGAAACCAATTCTCGCGCCATCAATACCTGTGATACTGCTGCGCCTGGTGTTGAGCTCCTTTCGGCACAAAGCAGCTCCGCTCTCACGGCCCATCGCCGTGTCAGCAATGCTTCCAGCTGACAGCCTCGCAGCTAAAACACAAGCGCAATTCAGTCAGCTTACCCGCACTGCTGCTTCTCCGCGAATCAGATGTGATAGGAACAACCGTTCAGGACTTAGTTGTCGGGATATTTGGACATTAGTTGGGGCTTATAGCAACCCCTTGTCCAACTTGGGCAAGCTTGAGCTCCAGGTATGTTCTGCTTGATGAGGATCCACAGGACTACAAATGACAGCAAACTCGGCTACTAGAACTCACTAGTGAGTATAACGCAAGCGTTTGTTCAGTAATAGTATAATCTGAATAAGAAATAAGGAGGCTTACAATGATGATGCCTCGCCGAGTAATCACTTGCAGATAACGAGCATCAGTCTGTCAAAAGTTCGTGCCCGGCAAATACTGTTAGCTTGTTAGAGATGGAAGAGGAATTTGAGAAGCAGAGCCCATTCTCAAGGCGAGTAGGTCGACTCTGCGGCGTGGCGGATGTCATTTTTCAGTCATACATCTACTCTGCAGCATCTTACTAGCCACTAGAACACAGCAACGGTGCTACCGGAGAGAAGATGATATTTTTAACAGATATTTCAATGTGAATCTCTTTGGAACGGGTTATATTACGACTACTCTACGACAACACTTGTTGGTTATGAGAAATTGTTCACAGCAATCTGTTGGGCCGCATACGCATCTTCAAGCTTGCTGCTCTCCAGTTTAGTCCACGTCAGTTCCCCATTACAGATATGTAAGAATTATTTAGCGGCTGCTACCACGCAAAATTTCAGTGAGGCTGTACGACTCTTAGTCGCGTGTACTAAATATACCAAGGCGGAGAGAGTAAGGATATCGAGCCATCGAAAGGGGGCTCCTCATACTAAACGGCAGTTCCATATGCGTTCTGCCAAATTGACGCAGTCTCTCAGTGTTGTGGAACAAAAATATCCCAAGTGATTGACTGAAGTTCTTTCCACTCTTATTCTTGATTTCCATTCATCGCTTCCCAGAACCCCTCAGTCCCCATCAGCTCAGCATCGTATCCACAAAGTTTGGAGTTTATTTCGCGGAGCAGATGCGAACCCTACTAGACGGTATTATTTGCGCGACCTACGCTTAATATAGCCCCCGCCTGCTATAGATAAAGGAGAACGGGCGAGCTAAGCTGCTAGAGCACCGTGTGGCGATATTCAGGACTGGGTCGGTCTTTGGTGCTCTCGGGATTGCACATGATGGTTTGCCTGAGCAAACCGGACGCCGCAAAAACCGCTCGTTCGTCGACAAATAGATTCCTCTTCCTATAACATCTCTTTCGTCAGTCAACGCTTGAAGAAAAGATCCCGAGTCGCCGAGTCTCAAGCCATGCGGGCCCCGAAACTCCGCTTCATACCTCGAGATGGACCTCTCTAGACGCTACCACCAAGCCACGACGCCACCAGCACTTGGACCTGGCCGAAGCCCGGCTAAACGGCTTCGAGTTGGCAGTGCTAGAACTGGAGAAGATGAGACGGATTGTTGACAGCCGTCTAAATTTAAACAAAGCATTACCGAGCAAAGAGGGCGGGTCGACGATACCAATCCCTGCGTGAAAATCTCCGCGCGAGAATCCCCGCGTGAAAATCCCCGCGTGAAAATTCCCCGCATGAAAATGCTCCAAGAAATGTAAGCACCTGATCGACATCGAGTTAGCACAAGAGTCCGTATCCGATGACATGCTTCAGCCTTACCGAAGTACCTAGGCGTGTGGTTATCCGTGGATCCACGCAACGCGCCATCCCGTCTTTTGTGAACACATGGAGTATGTTCCACAGCACAGTCTCTCGCAGCTTCTCTACGTCACATCCGACCAGTTCATCCAATCAAGAAAGCTGTTTTGTACCAGCCATTCCGATTGTAGAAATCCGGAGCAGGGGAGGTGGCATCGTTGTGGGTTCTTTAGTCGGCGCCATAGTGGAGGGGACATTGTAGGAGAGAAATTATAGCACGCATCAAAATATGACACGAATTGCTCAAATAAGATAAAGCGCGTCAGCTTCTGCTTCTAATTGCTCCTGTCATACAAGGCCATTTTCAATTTTGGGGACATTTCCATTGCTATTTTTGATATCGACAACAAAAAAAATACAGCAGTTTGTTTCTTACAATAGACCGTGAGCTCAAATCTGAATCCCCACCGTTGGATCTAGGGTAGCCAGTGTTCCATGTCAACCACATCGATTTGCATCTCGACACTGGGATATTTCGATTTTACGCGATACAACACTATCAGGCGTATTCAAAAGACCGGTCAAAGATGTGTATCGACATCTACCTCTCCGCCGAGGGTGAGGATTCCTTGATGGCTCAAGGCTACCTGCACATATACCGCGGCTCAATGAACGTAATAATTCTGTAGTTACCAAAACCCCCATTATCTTTAAATCAGTCTCAAACGGCCGCAATCACTGATACTGACGTCCATTTTCTGATGACAAAGAAAGTTCGCCAATGGTCCGTTTTAGATACCGTGAGAGATTTTGTCCACACCCACGCCCGGAGGCTGTACTCATTGTGATGGAGCCTATCCCCAAGTATTCTCGTCATTTGCTTCATTGTCTTCGATCTTTGCCACTGCCTTCGAAACTCCACTAACATCGCCAACAAAGCGTCCAGCGATGGTGTAACTGTAGTCAATTGATGAAATTATCGCGCTTTTCAGCTGCAGCACTGGCGTATAATGATGGTCAGCAAAAACGTGCGACAAAGACGATGTTGGAGATGTTGAACTCAACTCCTAAACAAAGGCGAAATCCTTGCCCCATCAGCTTTCAGTAAAAGCCCAGAATGCTCATCCTAGTAGCTACCGGGATACCAGCTATCGTAAATGCCCATCCCAAAGGCGAAGGCTTTGTAGTAGGTCAAGGCAGAGCCTTCGTCCAACGAGAATGGTGGTTTCTGTGAGGGCACGATATACAGCAGCCGACTCTCGACTGACACTTGAGGGAACTCGGGAGGGAGAGCCACCATTTCAGTTTGCTTCTCCTCCTCCCGGATGTGCCGGTCCGTGTACTCCTCGTAACTGGCGTTGGAGATCGAAAGCGCGATCACTTCGAAATAGTAGGACGTACTCCCATATCTGTCATCATTCCGTACTGTCACGATATCGTAACTATCCGTAAAAGGCCAGGTTCCCGGATAATGTTGCATCTTGTCCCCGGGGTACAGCATCGCAGTTGTCTCGTCAAGGCTCTCGTCGTTCATAAACGTCGTATCCTTCCATGACTTAGTAGCCAGGCTAAGCCCGCCAATGGCGACTGCAGCGCTGAAAGCTTGGGACAGTCTCTCATGTCTGAGAAGTTTTGATGCTTGTAGCGACAGCTCTACCGCGTCTCTCGCGGCGTTCAACGTTGCTTCAAAGGTGTGAGCTTGGCTGCTCACGCAGAAGGCCTCCTGTTTCTGCTCATCTTGATTCTCCGACTGGTTTTGCTCTTGCAGCTGCTGAATGCGCGATATGTTCGAGAGGGCAGACTTTTTGATGGCTGCTACCTTGGATTCCCAGAAACACACGCATGAGTCGGAATCAGGCTGCCACTTTTTGTCTTCTTTGAGAGAAGTGCCAGGGTGTTACCGTAAGATTAAACTGAACTGGTCCTTGGAAAATAGCCGGTTCATAACCCGACCACTCATCTGCCGTAAGCAAAGTGCGCATAACGACGCCCATCGTCGACGAGATCAAGGCAGGGGCTTGGCCATTGATCTGGAAGCGGGTATGAAGCACAGACATGTCTGTGGGCAGTTGTAGTATCAAACTGTTATGACTACAGGTGAGCGTAAATATTTTTCGTCTTCGGTAATAGTTATACACTCAACCACGGTGTCAAAGCTGCCATCGCCATCGTCACCAAAACCCTGGCAATTGACATTTTGACAATGGCGAAAGAAGATGACTGGAGCTCCTACGTCGATCTTTGTTGGTCAGAGCACGACGAGGAACTCAATGCCATTGGGTGTAACCTGGTCGACTAGCCCGTGGTAGATGAACATGGTTGGAGTTGAGGCTGTATTTCCAAGTGTCCGATAAACAAGTCTGATGCCCGCTAAAGGCGTTCATAAGAGCAAGCAAAGCAACTGCACCGATCGCGGTCGGCTGGTTCGATCAAGGTCAACCGGATCGTTTAAGGTCATCCCGTTCGTTTGAAGCTACCTTGATAGAACGAGGCCACCTAGATAGATCGCAGTCAGCTTGTTTGGTCAAGGTCTTCCGGATCGTTCGAGGTCAGCTAGATTGATTGGGCCTGCCTGGCTGCATCAAAGTCATCCCGTTCGATCAAGTTTCAAGTTATTGCTACCTACCGTACCTGTATCTGTCATAGAAACCTACTATGTGTATCCAACAGGAATTTTGTTATTACCCCATCCCTAATGTTCGGCTTGACTGCCACTGCTCGCCACCCTCTTCCTATGTCACATCCCGGTATATGAGCCTGTGACAGAGGAAAATTAATTCACATATTAATACTAATGAAAATTTGACCAAAGAATCCCCCCTAAACTGCTACGTGCCTACCTGTCATAGAGTGGGCTGGTGCGAATTGCCAGCCGCTCGTACGGGACGCCATCACATGACTTCCGTCGGCTGCTTCATGGGTCCCGCCAACATGCCATCGCATGACCAGGATATTCCCACATCAAGAGCACAAAGATGGATTCCTCTCCGTCCTTGTGTGGCCAACAGACGAAAAGGACACCAACCTCCAACGGCCTCTAACAATGCTGAGTCAAACAGCAGCTTCGGACACCACAAGTCACCCCTTTCCTCTCTTCTTTCCCTTCTTCATTGTTCTTCTTCTCCCGTCTCTCCGTTTGCGAAACGATCCTGCAATCTCACAGCAAGGCTTCTGATTCACTCTCGTCTTGGAAGAGCGCTCTGCAATTCTCCGTCGACTGGGAGATTGCTTTCTGGGAAATAAGGATCTACTGACTGCTGGAACAAATACTGTGACAGGAATTGGGCAAATGGCCTGGGGTCGTGTCATCGTAAGGAGAGCAACCAAAATTGGCGGTATGTGCAAATAACACTCCATCAGTACTAGGTCACCGCTAATAACTTGCAAATAGGAGAATGGCGAGAGGATACTTCGAATTTCTGCGATTTCCCGAGCCTCGCCCAGCGCCGCATTTCCATTCGACTATGTTGGCAGACTCCGATCGATTCCGTCTCGAAAATGCCCTCCATCGCACAAATCAAGATTACGAATTCTGTATTACAGATTTTCAAGCGCATTTCCAAACACCAATATCGCATCAAGGGAAGAATATGGATGCCATTGTTTTCGACCTGACTCGAGTTACGCATGTTTCCACCCGCTGTGGAATGGCATCCCCCCCCCTTCTGCTCTGGTGCCGGGCACCAATTTCGATCACGATCGTATCAGAATATGTTGGAATGTCAAAGCAAGGTATTGGAAGGGCGGAAATGCATATGGCGAAATAAATGTGGTGGTGACCATGTTGGGTCCTGTTCGCGAGAACAAAGGAAGTCTCCCTTGGTCGGCCTCGTCAACATCTCATTGAACGCTATGACGACGACGAATGAACTGGACGGACAGTTATATGAATAATATGAAAGAAATTAAAGAGAAAAAAAAAATAACGTCTTTTATTTGTAAATCATTCCATCCCATTGACTCTGTGGATGTTCCCATACTTGGGATCCCATACTACTAGGGGGTTCAATAGACAAAGAGAGCTGTGTTATCAATTTCAATTTTTTCTATCAACTTAATAGCTCCTAATGATAGAGAGCGAATGCGCTTTGCATCGAATGTTTTCTCTAGTTATCGAGGTGATTGATTCGTGTAGACTTTGCGAGTGTCGGTGCTGGCGTGCGCCCGACCTCGAAACGCCAATCTGCCAACCAACCCCAACTCCATAAAATCACCGTATTGCGAATAATGAAATGAAACAAACAGATAATTACCAAATATTCATTTCATTTTTATGGTATTCAAAAGCTCGGCTGCACCAAGTTGTTCTGTAGAAACAAAGGATGCCACTCGCCTCCTGAGGAACCCCTGATTCCATCACCGGCAGAGCAGGCTGCACAACCGCACCAGGAAACAAACACAACTTTTGATCAACCAAAAAACATCAAAAAACATCATAAATGAATAGAAAAAAGATACTGAACATTAAATTTGCCATTTCTCTATCAGACAGTATATTTTGGAGGCGCAACATCAAAGACTGACATGGCTACAAATTGCAAAAAAATGCGTCCCATTTCTACCGCAAGCAAAAGAGAAGGCGTACAATCTCGAAATCGAACCTGGATCTTCCAGAAATGGCAAAAAGTCGTAGGACTTTACCATGAGGGGGGCCGTTAGGCCGTCACGGTAAAGTCCTACGACGACAGGAACTCTGCAAACCGAACTTATATACCCTTACTCCTCCCTAGGACACTGATGCATCCCGGCGCATTGTGGCCAAGAGATATTGCCTACGATCGAGATCAAATGAAAATTTATCACCAAGGAAAAGAGAAGATGCTTCAAAGACTTCACAGAATGGACCGTCGGTCAGCCTCTCTACAATGAGCCTCGTCATGAATTGAAAAAAAATTGTAGTCAAATTCCCTGTCACGCAAAAGAAAGGACGCACTTTGGTGATCGAACTCGACTCTCCCAACTCTTCCAGAAATGGCAAAAAGTCTCGTAGGACTTTACCATGAGGGGGGCCGTTAGGCCGTCACGGTAAAGTCCTACGATGACAGGGACTCTACAATTTTACCCCTTAAACCCTTCCCCTCCGCTACCACACGTGCCCATAGCATGTACCCGTGCCCGAACCTCGTACATCTTGAGCATTGCCTGCCCATTCAATCACTGACCGCTCTCGAAGTGGAACGAGCGAAGCATCTCGAAGATTCTGCTGTCTTCCCATTCGTCAGAGCCTCGCTACCCGCTTGGCAGATGCCCTTCTTTCTGTTCTTCTTTCCCCCTTGGACTCCCTTTTCGCTTGTTTGAGTTTCTCTTCTCTTCCTCTGTGACCAAAACAAATCTTCTCTTTTCTCCCCACTCCCAAATCTCTTCTCTCTCCTCACTCTTCTCCTCCATACTCTCTCCACACTCCACGCAGAGCCTCGCTCTCCTCTCTCTTTTCTTTTATCAGCATCAATATCGTCATCAACATCATTACCAGCATGACTTTATCTTCGCTGCACCTTTGTGCACGGTAAAGTCCTACGCTCAGGTATGTCAGCAGCTCCAAGCTCCCCAGCTTGTGTTTGTCTATACAGTCTGCTAATCACATTCTTCGCAGGGGCCTTTGCCCAAGAAGGTGTCGAATTGAATACTTCAGTCATCGATAAATTGGCCGAAGCCCAACAGCAAATCGCCTCCCAAATCTCCGACTTTGCGGCACTCTCGTCTTCCATGTCAGCCGACATAGACGAACTATGTGCAAACTTGTCATATCCACTTTCAACAACCCTCTGTCACTCGAAGAATTTCCCTCGAGCCACCATAGAGGCTCATCTGGCAAACGTCAAAACCCAACAAACACGTGAGTATTTTTGACTCTCCTTTGGAGTTGTGAATGCTTGTAAATGGACTCTGACCATTTCCTAGAAATGACCTTTCACTCTGTGCATTCTTGTGCACGGTAAAGTCCTACGCTCCCCTCCCCCCAAAAGGGGAGACAGTGGCTAGGATGAAAACAAGGGTTAAACCCTGTGCCAACAATCCGTAAGTCTCCCTGATGCCGGATCCCAAGCAAAAAAACAACCTCAATTCGATTCTAACTTGCTCGTCAGTGTGTGGTCTTCTCCTTTCGTGCACTCAGGTGCACGGTAAAGTCCTACGCTTCCCCCCCTCCCCAAAAAGGGGGGACCGGAATACGAAGTCGTCGCGTCATACTCAAGAACTTGCCGCCCGACGCAACGCTGCCACTGATCACACGAGGCATTCGATGCCATGGAGGGCTCGTCAGCATAATGATCCTCAACACTGCTCCTTTTATTTTTTATTTTTTTTTATTCTTATTTTTATTCTTATTTTTTTTTTTTTCGGCAATGACACCAAAACCGCCATTCACGGTAAAGTCCTACGCTTTTCCCCCTTCCCAGGAGGGGGGAGTCCTACGCTTCTCCCCCTTCCCAGGAGGGGGGAGTGGCTGGGTTAAAGGATTTCCAAAAGAGTGTATACGGTACTTTATGAACGCCATTGGAATGAACAACATCTCTTATGCGGACTACGATCAGACCCTCGACGGATTCACAGTTGCATTTACGAGTCTTTTACAAGCAAACAAAGCCGATTGGCTCATCTTTTCAGGAAGATTTTCTGACTTTTACACCATCAACCCGCACTCTTGTGCACGGTAAAGTCCTACATATGGTCTCAACAACGGGACAGATCGATTCTCTGAGACGGCTTCCACAGTTCGTTGTAGCAGAGGTGAGTCCGCTTGATACTCATGACAAAGGAGTAAACATGGTGGCTTGGGTTCTGACTCCTTCAATAGAGGCTCTTGATGCGGTCGACATGCAATCCTGAGTTGGTCCAGGCACAGGCTGGGGCCGCTCGCGACAACAACGCTACTCTACTGCTCACAAGCTCGCCCTCATTGTGCCTTTTGAAAGGTGGCACGCGGCAGACTCAACGAGAGCTCGACCATTCTGCGAGGCGAGAAATTGGAGCTCGGCGAGTAGGGCGACGTGGAGAGAAACACTTGTACATCTCACATCATATGCACGGCTGGCATGAGGGAGGCTTGTGAAGGCATCAAGCGGCATGGCTAGATACAGCGTCAATATGTCTATCTCAGTCATCCACGATCTAGCTGAAGCTCAACAATAAATTGCCTCCAATTCTCTGCTTCTTGCGCTTCCTTCCTCACAGAACAACGTCTCCAAACGCATCAATCTGCCAAAGCCACTGTACAGAAGCCAAGCAATCGCCAGACAGAGCCTCCCATTTATGGAACCCTACTTCTGCCAGGTCGGGCGTTAATCCATTCAACTCTTCCTTCATGGCAGTCGAAATTCCCAAGCGGTATGCAAATACGCCATATCTGCTTTTTACCGCTAGAGTAACGAACCCCGCGCGAAGGATGGCAAGATTGCTCGCATGTTCGATTTTATTTATTTACGCAAGAAAACATCGATTTTTGCACTTCACTTGCGCTTATCAATGACAAAGAAAAAATAAAGAAGAAATACAGAGACGGGAACAAAAGAAGAGAGAACAAAAGGTGAAAATGTTCACCTTGGAGCTTGAGGAGTGTTTATAGAAATACGAAGTCAGAAACGCCTAAGATGCTTCAGCTGCTTCGCGTCCAGATTCTTGTCCAACACGGCTTACGGTGCCCCAGTCTCTTGGAAAATTCTCCGACTTCTTCAAACCTCCTGTTGCGCTTTCATCACCTCTATACGGCCTGTCCCTGTTCCTTTTGGTTCGCTGCTCAAAACCCGCATCTGACAAGCCTATCATCTACGTCTTCAAACACCCTCTGCAGCTCTCTGTTAGGGAGATGGCTTCTTCTAGATGCGATTGGGGTTCCTCCAGCGCCCTACAAGTCGTGATTGAAACAACATGGATATAGATGGAAACGTGCGTGATGGCGTGACGATTGGACCTTGATTGTGTTCAAAGCACACTCTGCCATTTAAGGGAAGCTCCACGGAGGGCCTAATCCCGGTACAAATTCTAATAGCATTCTCTTGTTATACTTTCAAGGTTTTTTTGCAAAGCAACAGCATCGTTACTGTAATCATCTACAGTTGCTCAAGAGCAAAGGAAACGGAAGACTACATGCCACTAGATGGAGAAAGGTCCATATCATGACACTCGACATCATCCAGAAACACGAATCTTGTTGCATTAGTCGACAGCCCAGCACAAAGCGCCACAGTAGGGTACAATTGAGACCCAGACTATAGAATCAAAGACGAAGATGCCGAACATCGTGGTAGGGCTTTCAAGACACGAGAATTGGTATAGTTGGGGTCTAAAGAGGCCCGGCTCCAATGTAAGCTTGAAGAAAACTCGTGGTTCTCAGAGACATATCTAACGCCCATGAAGCAGTAGTGCTTGCAAGCTCGGAACAATCTAGCGGAAAACATACCTCTGCGACAATAAGCTGTTTGCCACGTCACGTTAAAGTCCTACGCCAAGAATACGGTCGAACTGGACGGGGCCTTCGGGCCATCCGGGATGCAGTGACCGATGGGATGGACATTGTAATTTGATGGGTGAACATGGGACTAAATATTGTTGGGCGGATTCGGCAGCGGAGTAGCCAGTATGGCCGATGTCTATGGAGGCACAGCCAGCTGGCTACTCCAACCTCGATTGGGGATGGACCGTGAGAAAGATATTACGATGTGGTGGAGGGATGTGAAGTTGGACGGAGTAGTCGGCATGGCCGGTGTCTATGGAGGCACAGCCAGCTGGCTACTCCAACCTCGATTGGGGTTGGACCGTGAGAAGGATATCACGATATGGTGCAGGGATATGAAATTGGGGAGTGGAGTAGTCCGTATGCCGGTGTCTATGGAGGCACAGCCTGCTGACTACTTCCACTCCCAGAGAAGGTTGGCCCCGGCAGAAAGATGGCTCGTGGCCGAATCGGCCTTTCCTTTCACTCGCCTCACAACTTATACCCCATCGGCCAACTTTCCAGTGCGCCCATACTGGAGAGAAACCCTCTGGGCATGCTCGATAGCTGCGTGGAGAAGATCACCCCGGCCGAAGCTGTGCAGGCCTTGCTCTCTCATGAGACTCAGGAGGCTGCCGTTGCTGAGTAGCTGGATGTGGCGGAGGAAGTGAACGAGTTCTGGACAGTTTCGTTTACGGTAAAGTCCTACGCTTGGCAAGGCAAAATGCCAGGAGGAGTCCCAGCGGAACGACTTCCCAAGGATGGCGACGCTCGCAGCATCTCCAGCAAATCTTCCAGCAGCCTCATCCGCCGTGTTATTTCAGCCCACCGAGCTGGCCATCGAGAAGAGATTCAGAATTTTGCCAGCTAAGATGAACAGCAAATCCACAGAGAAACGTATTGAACAACAGCAAGGGGGCAGTTGTCAGATATCAAAACGAAATCCTCTCCTCAATGATCAAGATGCATGGGTGGCAAGGAACAGGCACGGGATACAAGGATATGGAAACGCGAAACATAGCAGCCATTTCAACTCCTTGTCCTGGCACGTTACCAGTGTTTCTTCCAGCGTTAGAATGTTGAGAGGGGGGGAATTAAATGGCATTCAATTCAATAAATCGCACCTCACATAGGCCGGGGAGTTGTTTGTAAATAGGTACTGATGGGAAGTCTGCTGATTCTGTTGTACGATGAGTAGGAGGGGGCTAGATAGGAAGTATATGCGGATATACAATCATTCATCATACGCAACACATTATGTCGATGGTCTTGTCCCATTTTTGAAGTAATATCACGCAATTCAAGCCCGTAAGAAGCTTCGTCCGGATAACCCATGCTCGTATCTCCAAGCAAGTGGATATCGAAGACAAGATGGGGGAGACTATGGCTAGTCACAGTTTATGTTCGCAGAATTCCATAGCCATAGGTTGATCCAATTTGTTCTGTTTTTTCCAAGCATTAAATAGCTTCTCTCTTCTCCCTTTGCCTTTCAGATCGACAAGTAGGATACCAAACCCTCTGTTGGGAGACACAGTTATTGCCCTGCCTTTAGCTTGTCGTAATTAACCACCGATTCGAGAAGAGCCTGGGCTCCAAGAGCACTATTCGACATGAAAACAATTAGCATATACTCCCAGGTCAAAGAAGGCAACACTATAGGCATGCAACTAACCAATCCTCCGGGCTGCAGTATTCTTCAGGGTGGTGGCTAACGCCGTCTTTGCAGGGGACAAAGATCATTGTTGTAGGGCATTGGCTGCTCGTATTGACGCTGTCGTGACCCGCTCCGCTGGTGATGTGCAACCATCCATCGGGTCCAACAAGGTCGGTCGCTGCCTTTTCGACCATTTTGATGCAGTCAGAGTCGAATTTTGTGGCTGGGGAATCGGTATCGAGAGTCCAGTTGACCTGAACACCGCGACCATCCTCTTTAGCGATGGCTTGGAAGGACTCGAAGCAGAGGCGCTGCACTTCGTCGACCACTGCGTCGTCGGGATGGCGGATGTCGAGCGTAAACGTTACCTCAGAAGCGATCGTGTTAGTAGAGGAGCTTGGGGGAATCTTAAAGACTCCGGTAGATGCCAGGGCACCGAGATTCTTTGCAATGGAATTGGAAGAAGCAATCATCTTGGAAGCAGCCAACAGAGGGTCGCTACGTGACTTCAGAGGCGTCGTTCCTGTGTGGGCATCGCGGCCATTGACGGTGACGGTGAACCAGCGGTAGGCCTGGCCACCCTGGACAACACCAATCTTTCTTCCAGTCTCCTCTAGGATTGGTCCTTGTTCGATGTGTAACTCAAAGTGAGCTCCTAGAGGATATCCGACTGACGAGCAGGCAACGTCTCCGATGTAGCCGAGCCTCTGGAGTTCTGACTTGACTGTGACTGAGGGATCAAAGATGTCGGGAAGTGAGTAGGCTTGTTCGAGAGGAATCTTGCCAGCCCATACGCCAGATGCCATCATGGACTTGGGAAATCTGGCGCCTTCTTCGCTAATTGATGCAGTTGGATTAGACAATGAGCGACAAAGGGAGTGAAGAAGCAACAGTAATATGAACAAAGAAGGTACAAAGACGCGAAATGAATGCGAGAATTCAAACATACTTTGTCCAGTTGACGGCTCCAACGTCGTTATGAGTCTTGTATCCATTCTCTGCAAGCGTGCGCAGTACCTCGACAGCAGCGACAACCCCCAGAATACCGTCGTATCTGCCACCTCGCGGCTGAGTATCGAGATGGCTTCCCATGGCAATCATGGGCGTGGGATTTGGTGCTGATCCGCGCTTACTGGCAAACATGTTACCGAGCTGATCTACGACGAGATTGCATCCCAGTTTCTGCGTCTCTTCGGCGAACCAACGCCTTGCTTGGGCGTCATCATCGGAGAGCGAAAGGCGGGACATTCCCGTCTCTGCTGGGCCGCTATTTGGGCGTCAGCATCCTTGGGATCTTCACAATCGCGAGATTTTCGCGACAAACCTTCCGTATCGATGAGCAGCACCCCATTGGCACGTGTGGTGAATTGTTTCCTGCAGTCTGTCGGCGTTGATGCGGAGGCCTGAAGCCGGTGCGGAGATGTGAGAGGCTGAGTAGAATCGCTTTGTGGCAGAAGACGCTGCCTTTCGCAGGATGAATGACATTTTTGCTAGGAATAAACTGCTGAATTTTAGAATATCAAGTCAGTGAATAGTTTGAAAGATGGACAAGCAGACAGATTGAAGAAATTGCAATTGTGTTCAAAGAGAGAACGAATGAATCGGCTGCTTGGTGGAGAGGTATTAGATGCTTGTCATTTGGGGATGCGCCCTCCGCCTTCCAATGACATGGAAATTTCTTCTCTACTTACGTTAAAAAAAGATGTGATGACAGATTCGAGCCGCAATGCTGGTTTTTCGGATGAATGAAGAAAAGTCGAGATTAATTCGTCATCTGCTGAAGGTTGAAGGTTGAAGATTGAGGAAGCTCCAAGTCGTAACCACGCCAGTGCCAGAAGCAAGATGATGCAGCGTCTTATTTTCATTCTGCGGTTGAAGAGACAGTAACAAGTATACGATACGCGGTGCTCTACTTATTTTAGCTGGTTCCTTGGGTACATATACCTCCCGGGTGGAAGTGCTGCATGGCGGGGTAACAGATAATATCGGACAGAGCGCTGGGGAGTAGAAAGAAATGAGCGATGAGCAACAAGGAAATATAGATGAGATATGATTGTACATCCGCGCAGCTATAAGTACCATCGATACAGAAAGCAGCTAGAAAAGTTGCCGCGTGCGAAGCCATCTGCATAAACGCTCAGATAGTGAACTTAATCACCTTGGGTCAATAGGGGACTGACTCTCGACCACTGCCTCGTCTATTAGATAAACAATTTCATACACCGCAAACGATATAATCATAGCCACCCGTCCTTCCACGGGTCATTTCTCACTTGTTGGATGATTTTGTCCTCATCTTTGACTGCCACCTCATACGAGCGCTGCATGGCTTCCTCAATGGCATCGTTCGTAAGATGTTCAATGCCGCCAACTTTATTAGCATCTGCATGAATTTGGAGCCTGAAGGTATGAAGTGTGTGATTCAACAGTTGGTATCCCGGAAGATCAACTCCCTTCTGGAGAAATCGCAACTTAAAGTATGCTTTTGCTTGTTCCATCACCTCACCATCCAATACTTCTCGAGCTATAGTTACCCAATAGTCATCGTGGACACGCCGGCCACCCTCAATGATACGGCAACCAAGTTGGCGAAATATGCTTCGAGCCCTCACAATGGCAATAGGATGATTTCTCAACGGTTCTTGCAGGATTTTTTGATCAATAAGATAATTGATTTCCTCCTCGTCGGTGACCAAAACCGCTGGTATGCTGCTAGCTGACTGATCATAAAGAGATCCAAGGATACTTCTGCAGGCATTCTCCAACATGTAATAATCATTTCCCCCATTCCACCGACGAAATGCTGGACAACGGTACTTCCGACCACCACGGAGCTCTCCAGTCACAGACACCTTCTTCTCTCCCTCGCTATCAAAACAATCTTCATCTATTAGTACAGCTGAACTACTCTCCTCTGCTACAAGAGAAGTGTGAGTAGCGAGTTGAATCTTGTCGGTGTTCAAAATCGGCGTCGCTTCTGGCGGTTCAGGCATGTCTCCATGCTGCAAATATTCTTTTGGTATATCAGCGCGCTGAGGAAACCAGGCTTTTCCCAAAATTGAAGGACCAGGCGACGAGAGGCGGTTTCCCAAAGGCGAATCGGAAGTTGTCTTTATTCCATTTGCGCGTGCAACGCTCGGTTCAACAACAGAATCCGCAGCGGTGACATCTTTGAGAAATATGGAACTGAAATGCAAGTGATTCATACAGAGAGATTCACTAAGTGCAACGTCTGCACAGCCATCAATAGAACACACAGATCTATGCGCAAATGGAATTGATGGCAGGGTAGAAAATATATCAGTGCCGGACGGAGCCCCAGATGACAGCACGTAGCTGGAGGGATCCCAATCATCTTGAACCGAGAGTTTTCGCTTCACCTTGCCCGTTTGAGCCATTTGGCCGGGCTCCTGTGGCAACTGTCTGTTTTCTTGAGTATCCGAAGAATAATCACCGCGGTGTATTGGACCACTCATTGGTTTTGGCGAAACCTGGATGCTGCGTATAGACCTTGGGGGAAGACCGTGACTGTGGTACTTCTCGGCGTGGCTTTTCAGTGCTTGGGGTGAGACAAAAGGTGGGAAATTGCAACCGGCAAAAGTGCATCGCCATCGTCGTACATGCGTTAGTTCGTGCTGAATACGAAGCTTTTCTGACTCAAATCCCAGTGTAGCTCGAGGGCAGGACTTGAGCCGACAGGTAAACGCCGAGGCTCGGAACTGGCTCTTGAACAGCTCCAGCTCCTCGGCAGTGACTCCTGGGTAATCGTGTTGGTCTAGCAATGATCTGACAGTGTCTTGATATATTATGAGCATGGCTGAAATGCCGTCCAAGGGAGGCAAATTCTTCGATGATCGGGACGTCGCATCGGGAGCTGGAGTCAGAGTCAGCAAGTTAGTAAGTAATGTCAAGTCAATACATACTACTTTCTAGAGAGAGCTCTGCTTCAAGTCGCTTGAGAGATCTCCCCTTCAAAGCTCCTTCAACATGTTTATAGAGAAGGGGATGTTGTCGCAAGAATGACAGCCGCTCATCCAAACCATTTGGCTGACTCTTAACTTCTTCACTCAATATGGAGCCGGTTGCTTTATTGAGAACATCTGCCAATTGAAAGGCAAGAAGAAATTGACGCGAATCCTCTCTTAGACACCCATTGGCATACTTGGCGCTGGACAACAAATATTCAGTCCAGAATTCTGTCGCGTACACATGAAACCCATGAAGGCCCTTGATGACTCGGAGGTATCTGGCCTGTTCTGAGTACGTGCTACTAAAAACCTGAAGCCCTGATAGAAGACAGCAGACAGAAGCTACTCCATGTTCTTGAAGCGATTCTTCTTGATTGATGATCAGGTTGGTTGAGGAAGTCTGTAGGAATCTGTACTTATGCTGTTAGAGGTCTTTTGCCAGTGTCTACCAAGGCTAAAATTGCTTACTCTTTCACCGAGACATGAATAAAAGTCAAGGTGGTATCATTCCTTTCTTCAATGAGAGGCCCGCATATATCCAATACGTACTCAGGGACAAGGTGAGTGACCTCGGATTCCCCAGAGCTAAAAGTAATTGCAGACAACAGCTCAAGCCTCTTCAGTGGGCGTTTTGCAAATGCAATCCAACCGAGAATGCATCTAACACGACTTTCCGACCGAGTATCCAGGTGGGTGAGTATTTGGAGGAGAATCTTGCGGTAGCTAAGAACAGAATTAGAACCCACATAGCTGCTCGGTCAGCATTTGGGGGGTAAAACCTACAAATCAACAAGCTTTTCAGGCAAATGATTGACGGATGTCATGATTTCATCGCCGCTATAAAAGATATTTGTCGAGAGATAATCCAAAACAAGTCGGGCATATAGAAACATCCCTGTTAGGTAGTCAGAATACCCGGTCATAAAACCTCTCGTCTGTGAGGACATACCGTCTGCCTTTTTTGCAATCCCACGCTCGATATTGTCAATTTCTTCGGGCGATATATGGAGTTGGTGGAATTTCCGTTCCAGGGACTGCAACCTTTGAGATGCATACTGGCGTATTGCCTCTTCTAGGCAGTCTTTTTCTTCGCTTAGGGAGATTGTCTGCTTTTGGCGTAAACAATTTGATAGGATTGGAGAGGTACGACTTGATATGAGGACTTTGCAGGTCGCATTGCCAGACGACGATCTATCAGACGCGATCTGATTCATCAAGCTTACTACTCGAGCTTGCTTGTCTGGCTCGCATTCGTCTAAACCATCTAGAATAATCCACACATATTCTACTTTGGATGGCTCGTTCGATATGCTTTTGAACAGGAGTTGTAAAAGCCTCTCAAGGGCTGGTACAGTCGGCGACTTTTTCTCCATAATAAACTCTTCATAGACGTGGGCAACCAAATCACCATCCTTTCGGAGTAGCTGCATGAGCAATGACCTCAGTATTTGCTCATAGGTGGTAGAAGACGTATATAAATAGGTGCAGAAATGGTGAATGACGAACATGTTGGATGCCTGCATGAAGGTGACGATTTGCGTCGATATCACACTCTTTCCAGACCCTGGCGTGCCCTGTAACCAGAGGATCGATGTATCCTGCTTCCTCTGCAGCCAGGAACTGATTTTGGAATTCTTGAGCACCCATGAGCAAGTGCCTGGGTGTTTACGTCCTTCAGTTGATATTGATTCGAAGATGGCTAGTTGGTCTGATTCATCCATATTTAGCCATGATATGATGGACTGGTATTGCTTAGCAGCCTCTTCTCCATCAAGGCTAGTCAACTGATCGAGGCTCTGCTCTCTCCAGCGGCGAATCTCTTGGCGCATTTCTCTTGCTTCGGCAATGTTGCGTGCGTTTGCTTCTCGATCGATCAAAGTCTCGTGCCGCTTCATATCTTCAAGGATATTGTCGAATCGTCTCTGGAATCGACCCCAAGATGTAAGAAATAGTAGTTTCCAACCTATGTGATAAGAGTTAAATGGGTCCAAAAAAACAGTGAGTATATAGCGGGAATTCGTACCACTTCGGCGAACAAATTTGTATGCATGTTTGTGGAACTGCAGAATGTCCGCATAAAAGACGGCCAAAGTCTGCTGAAAATCGGAATTGCCAATAAAAGCATTGCCCAGGATCTCGAACCTTCCCAGGGATTCCGCAAGTTGCGAGTATCCTTTAATAATCTGCTCAAACGCGTCGACATACTCCGAGGCGATTCGTAAAATTAAAGCGACTGGTGCCCATATCCACGGTAGATACGGGGTGCCGTTACACAGAACATCCATCACTTTGGAATAGTGCTCCATTCCCTTGAAGAGAGGCATAAGCCGACGCATGTTGCGAAGCGAGCCTCTCGCTGCAAGCTGCCGCTCAATCTCAAGAGCTGCATCTCGTACTTGTTGAAGAGTGGAAACACGAAACTCGCTCGAATCTGCGGGGGTAATTGCTCGATCAAGTTCCTCAAACGCAGTCCTTATTGTTCGCCCAGCAGGAGCGGATAACGGAGGTGGCAGAGGCATTTCGACAATGTGGTGTCTCTGTCGCCTTGATCCGATATCGTGGGCGGTATTTGATGTAAGGGGAGAGGTAAGTCATGGCAATCAAATAAAACGGCTAAAATTTGTTTGTGTAACAACATTGGGTACCCATGCAGATGGGCTGGCAGCCTCATTGGCAGCCTCGTTGACGGCCTCGTTGGCAGCCTTATGGCAGTGCGCGCTTCGCAAAACCGCATAGCCACCGCCAGTAAACAACGCGCGGGACCCAGATGTCTCTCCAGTTTCTATCAATTTCTAGTCAAAATTTCAGTCCCGTTCAACTGTTAGAGCCTTACCTGCAGTATACAGGCTGATTGTTTTGCAGCATCGCCAGTGTGTTGCTTCGTGGTCGCAGCAAACTTGGTGAGACAACTTTCTCGCGGCATTTTTCATGGAGCCCGTCGGTGGTCCGAATCGCCATGAAGCTAAGAGACAACGGCTGGACAGACTTCCAAACTCCCGTGCAGCTTCATGTCTTGAAACAGCTGAAGAGCCTGATATCTTGAGCCCAGCGACATACAATCATGCCTTTCCTCAATCCACAGCCCATCTGCAAGTCTCTGCCGCGGCTTTGCACGCAAATCCACCAGCGCAATATCCAATCAATGTCGGGTTTGGATACCAGAGCAGTTTTCCGATAGATTTCAACTTCCATGCACAGTCAGATGACTTGATAAGAAGGCTCAGCCTCAATGGCGTTGGCTCGTACGAGCTCCAATTTCCTACTGATGGATATCAGTGCGAGCTGCCACATCCAGTTCTTTGGGCCAATCCACCCCTAGATCAATTCTCTATGGGATCAGTTGCTTTATTTAATCCTCATCAGGCGCCAACGGGATTGCTTCAAACATCTTTTGAGTCATATCCAGCGGGTTCATTACAACCCCCGATCTTTCTGGAAGAGTCTTCGAGCCTTCTTCCTACGGCCGTTGTTGAAGATGTCACACAGAATAACGATAACACTGCAGTACCCCAGCCCAACACGGGTCAGGGGGTAATGGTTTGCTTCGGCACGGTGAGCAGGTTAAAATAGTCGTGAAAATTGACTCTAGACTAACCGTTACAGATCTCAGGTGTCTCTGGGAGATGCGAAACCCCAAATTCGGAAAAAGTCCCGCCAGTGTATGAAGTTCAACTAAACTCGTCAGCAAGTTTCAGCGCAATAGATGATCCACGCGTGAAAGGAATGATTCTGTCAGACCATGGACAGATGATTCAGGGCCTTCTTGATGAACCAACGATAAATCTCCACACGTCTTGTAGCCCACATAGCGGGCTTTCAACGCGTAAATCTTGCGGAAGTTCTGCACAGGTTCCTTGTGTCCTGGATATTACCGTATACGGTCCCTGGGAGCTATTTGAGCAGCTTGGAATCTGGTTCCAGGAGTATGGGGTGTACCTCCAGGATCCCCGAGCATGCCATATGGACGTCAAATACTGCAACCCTCACCGATTGTCATCGGATGACTTTGACTCGTGTCTCTTGCTTTCTCAAGTCGTATCTCATACGAACACATCGTCTTACCTTCAGGATATCACAGAAGGACCTGAGTTGCTAGATATGCTAAGCAGCAATGTTGAGCTGGCGGAGACTCCGCAGCCAAAGGCAATACAGGCAACTCTCCAAAGGTAGGTGGCCACCACTGTTGGAATCACTCTTCAGTTACTGTAAATTGACGAGTTCCAGCCACCAAAAGAAAGCATTGACATTCCTCCTCCGCCGAGAGAAGGGATGGGCTTTCGACGCTCATCCTTCGGATATATGGGGAATGGTAGATAGAGACCAGGGGCGAATGTGAGTATTACCCACGACTCAGCAATACAATAAAGTTAATATTCAATATAGTTTTGTGAACAAGATTTCCTCTACTTACCAGTCTGAAGCACCTCCACAGTTTTATGGAGGCATCATCGCTGATCCAATGGGCCTTGGGAAAACGTTAACCATGATTGCTCTAGCAGCAACAGACCTCGACACCAATACGAACGGCGAGGCCTACATGTCGATTGATGATGAGGGAAACTATGCTGTCCCCACCACTCTCATAGTTGTACCTCCACCGCGTAGGTCCATAGAAACGACACTGAGTGTTGCCACCGGCTGACCTGTACTAGTTCTAGGCACCTGGGAAGAGCAGCTGACAGAGTATGTTTCTCGATGCATACTTGCTTGTATATGCGACTAACATTTGAGTAGGCACGTTGTAGCGGGTAGCATGGAATGGCGTTGCCATTATGGGAAAAAGAAATTTGTTGACAAATATGAGCTCGATTCCGTAAACGTGGTTTTGACCACATATCACACCGTATCTGCCGAGTGGAAGACTGGAAATTCCATTCTTTTCTCAATTCGTTGGCGAAGAATAGTTCTGGACGAAGGTAGGCTGATATGAAGCCTGTTGTAAATCCACAAGACTAACATTAACAGCGCATTATATCCGAAATGGGAATTCGAGGATGGCTCAGGCAGTATGCGCTCTCGACTCCATCTCCCGGTGGGCTGTCACCGGTACACCGATCCAGAATCGTCTCGGCGATCTTGCGACGCTCCTCAGATTCATCAGAGCTCACCCTTATACCGATCCTAAGGTGTTCGATGCTGATATATCCCGCCTCTGGAAGTCCGGAGGGGATGAGGAAGCCGTAAGGCGGTTAAAGCATCTTTCGGCCTGTCTGTTGCTCCGTAGGCCCAAAGCAACAATTAATCTTCCCCAAAGAAGAGATATGCGATGCCCTGTCGATTTCAGTCGCGAGGAAAAAGCGCTATATGAGGAGATACGTGAGCAGGCTGCCACGAAAATCGAGGAGGTGCTTCAAAATAACTCGGAAGCGTCGCGTGCAGGCGGCTTCGTCAACGTTCTACAGCAGATTGAATCACTACGACTTGTCTGCGACTTGGGCATTCATTATCACTCAAGGCACCAAGATCTCCAGCAATTGACAGCTGAAGCCACTGATTGGGCCAGTGTCGCTCAGGAGACGTTCAACGTTCAACGAGGGATGGGTCCAATCGTCTGCGCACAATGCTCATCAACCCTAGAACTGTCCGAGGCTCTTTTTGATGAATCAAACCCAACGCACACAAGTCCAGAGTTTTCCCGTTGCTTGAGATTTGTTTGTGGCGACTGCATGCACAAGATGGGCCGGGCTAGCCGTATAGCTGTCTGCCGCCACAAGCCATCATGTCCAATAGCACCAGTGTCTACAAGCACGAGTGTCTTTGAGGATGTCTCAAGTCTCACCTCGCCGCAGATAAAATTTCCTTCCACTGGACTGCCATCCAAGGTGAAGGCCCTAGTCGCTGATATCAAGTCCCTGCCTCCAGGCACTAAATGGTATATTCTCCCTGGTCTTACCAGTCACCGAATGGTAGTTGCTAATGCGTCTTAGCGTTGTGTTTTCCACCTGGAGACTTACCCTTGACGTTGTCAAAGCTGGCCTCGATCAAGCATCTCTCTCCAGTATCCGCTTCGACGGCAAAGTGCCCCAAAAGGATCGGCAATCCGTTATAGAAAACTTCAAGGCAGATCCGAGTCTCCGCGTCATGTTGCTCACACTATCATGTGGTGCAGTTGGGCAAGTGACCCCCTAGCCGAATCATTCCGTCCACTATAACTGACATTTCATAGTCTCACGCTTACTGTGGCTTCGCGAGCGTATCTCATGGAGCCACACTGGTTAGTTTAAGACCAAAACAAGTGTCTGTAGCCATGCTTATTCACCAACAGGAACCCAACTCTCGAAGAGCAAGCTCTCGCGCGCATTCACCGAATCGGCCAGGCGCAAGAAGTGACGACTGTGCGGTTTTATATGCGGGATTCATTCGAAGAGGTCAGTCCATTGCATGTAAACTGACAGTCATATGCTTACGAATGTGGTAGCATGTCATGGAATTGCAAGAGTCCAAGAAAAACCTTGCCGGAGTCCTGCTCTCGCCTCATGACGGTGGGCGCATGGACGATAGCTTAGGAACACTGCAGGTAAGTGATTGGTGTAACATATTGGTACAGAATGGTCTGTCTGATGCAGCTATAGCGACTGCGTTTACTGCTTTAGTACCGGATAGATACAGAGCGCAGTAGGGTAATAACAATGAGGATTCAAGAAGGAGATGCGAGATCTGGAATAATGGGCCAAATTGATCATATATGAAGAGATGGATCAGGTTAAAAAAACAATTGGAGAGGAATTATCAATAAACTGACAATTGATCGTACTTGCTTGCAATCAACTTCCACATCTTGCCGAAGAGGTCATCATATTCATCAAGGCGCTTGAGTCACGTCTATCTGCTGTCGGCATCGTCGGTGAGCTTGAGAAGCTCCAGATGCCGCTGATCCGACTTTTGTCAGGATAGCTGCGTCGATGGCGGCATCACGACAGACGAGCCGGTGGATAGGGAGCTCTGTGCTTCTTGGCGGCATCAGGCCGGCAGCCGAGCGGCTCGTAACACGGAGGTCGGGATCGGGGGAAATTGATGGAGAATTCGGAGAGTGGAGCAAGGCGCCATCGCGGGGCCAAAAGCAGAAAATGGTACGCAGGCACTATGAATAATCAATCAGCTTCTCTTCGTTTATTGCGTGATGTGGAACAAATGGACAAACTCGATGAATGGGGCAATCTGGTTCGCCCCCAGGATTACATCATTGAGCCGTGCGGAGAGATGATGTCAAATCGTGAATCTCGAGTTTGGGGGTTGGAAATTGTCGAGAACATTGAAAAGCTGGAAGCCGGTGGGGCTGATAGAGCTGATAACATGACTGTGGCGCTATGGCTGTGGCGCCTCTTTAGGGGACCTGTACCTGAGTTTGCAGCTGGACGGGCGCTAGAAAACTTTGTAGATGCTACGAGGATTTCCAGCAGAACGATGGTGCGAGACCTTATCGATCAGAAGAGATTGATGGCCTCGAGGAGGGAAGGAACAAGAGAAGCGAGGGCTCGATACACAGATAAGGATTTTCCTTTCATCAAAACACCTTCATATTTTTCAACTCTACTGAACCGCTTCTTTGTGCAACTGCAACAACTCACGAAACTATCTACTTCAACATTGCCGGGCCTCTCTCTACCAGCCATCAAACCCAGAAGCAGCACCGATGCGATGGTGCAATCAACCCTCGCTATGAGCATCGACTCCTTCGCTTGCACACTTGCTTGGCCACAGCCAGCTAGTAGGCGCACAGATGCCTGTGGCAACGAAAGCTCTTCCATCTGTCAGCTTTTGGTGACGAGCGGCTCCATGACTCGGAAGCCAACGCCGAGAAAGCGCCTTGGTCCTTGATTAGCGCGGTGAGTCCTCTGAGACGTGCGAGTTGACCTGGACTGATGGAGCATCTAGACGCATCGCCATGCCGTCCCCACCAAGAGACAGCGACAATTTGCAACAGCGGAGCTGATTTGCCTCGGCCCCATTAGCCCAGCTGGCGCCTTACGATTACATACGCTGGGCTAAAAGTGTCGAGGCGCGAGTTGCTGGCCATGTCCGGGGTGCAGGAGAAGCTTCAGCTAACAGCAGATCACCTGCGGCAGTTGCACACCTCGACTAAATTAACGCTGCATTGAGATTCTCGCTCGCGCTCTCGAACGCCAGGGCTGCCAATGTAATGCCTGCCCTGTCAAGCCTTATCCGGGCTTCGTCATTCACTAAAGAGCTTCTCGCCACGCCTCATTGGAGGCTCTATCTCGCTCTGGCTCCCCAGTGGGGAATTCTCTCGAGCACGCAATTGCCTAGTACAGCGGCCAAGTCCGCTCGCGGAAGGCTCTCACACAGCCATCACCAGATTTTTCTCAGTTTGGATGGGTTTGCATTAGATAATGGCATGGTTCTTTTCTTCTCGAAGACGCTAATGGATGCAAGAAGCAGGAACCTACTTCATCTGCATCATCGCCGTGTCGTTGATCCTTTGCTTTCCACTTTCTCTTGTCCACAGCTTTTCTTCTGCTGTGTTGCCTTGCACTGAAAGCGAGTTGACAGTTAGCGGCTTGCTTGCAGGGCTGTTGATTTCAATACAGCGGATAGCGACGCCACAGCCGGTGCCAAGCCGCCAGCATCGGACTCATTCTGGAAGCCCGTCACGTTCACACGAAGCATCACAAGTCACGCTGCAAATCCCTCTCCTCTTTTTGGTTACATTCTCTTTTCTCATATACCAAATTGAATCATCTCCGTTGAGAAAATCACAATGGGTTATCGCCAGGACTACCTCGGCGATGAGCAGACGCCATACGATGGCAAGAAGGGGCATGACGATACCCAGGGCGTGCCAAACGACGATCTTGAGGGGTCAACACACATTCTCCAGGACCGTCTCCGCCGCTCTCTGTCTGCACGCCAGGTTCAGATGATTGCCATTGGAGGCACCATTGGAACAGGTCTCTTTCTCGGAACGGGCAAGTCGCTGGCAACTGGTGGCCCGGCTTCCATTCTCATCTGCTACTTCATCGTCGGCTTCATTGTCTTCGTCACAATGCTCAGCTTGGGAGAGATGGCCGCGTTTTTACCAGTAGCAGGCAGTTTCTGTACATTTGCGGGGTAGGCAATCTTCACCTTCTGGATTCGATGTCTTCGTATTTGCTGACAGGGCAACCTGTGTTTAGTCGCTTTGTTGATGACGCCTTTGGCTTTGCACTGACGTGGAATTACTGGTTCAACGACGCCGTCTCGACTGCATCTGACCTAGTCGCGCTGCAACTGATTCTTCAATACTGGACCGACAACTTTCCCGGGTGGGCGCTTAGTCTGATATTCTGGTTTGTCTTGATTGTTGTCAACATCGTTAGCGTGCGCGCATACGGCGAGGTAAAGAAGCACAGCAACCCTGTTCAAATCGTGTCACCTTGACTAACGAGAAAAACCAATAGCTGGAGTACTGGCTCAGTTTGCTCAAAGTCATTACCATTGTCGTAAGTAATCAGATGGAGTACTGCAAATCTACAGCAAGCAAACTAACATGCTTCCAGGTTTTCATTGTCATGGGTATTGTTGTCAACTGCGGTGGCAACGCTGAGGGTCGATACATTGGCGCTGAATACTGGCATATCCCTGGTGCCCCGTTCGTCGGCGGTATTGGCGGTTTTGCTTCAGTTTTCGTCACAGCCTCCTTTGCGTGTAAGTGTCCGGATACCTAGCATCATGCTATAACTCGGCTTTGTATACATTTCGGCTGACAATAATCGACAGACGGCGGTACCGAATCGATTGCCATTACGGCCGGTGAGACCAAGAACCCCACAAAGACGATGCCCAAGGTGGTGAAGAATGTCTTTTGGCGAATTCTCCTCTTCTAGTATGACTGTCCATCTTTCTGTTGCCTGCGCCATTGCATTGCTAACGCTTTTCAGTATCCTCTCCGTTCTCCTCATTGGCCTCAATGTCCCCTACAACTATCCCAACCTCAACTCCAAGGAAACACGCACCTCGCCCTTTACCATTGTCTTCCAGATGACTGGAGCCAAGGCTGCAGGCAGTGTCATCAATGCCGTCATCCTAACCAGTGTTTTGTCTGCCGGAAACCACGCTCTGTTCGCCGGAACAAGACTGTTGTACACGTTGGCCATGGAGGGCCACGCGCCCAGGTTCTTTGGCAAGCTTAACAGGCATCAGGTGCCCTGGGTGGCTGTTTTGACCACAGGCTTCGTCGCTGGACTCTGCTTCGGCTCCAGCTTCATCGGCGCTGGTCAGCTTTGGTCGTGGCTGCAAAAGTATGTGATGTTGCCAAATCATTTCGATGACGTATCGCTAACCGGATCATCTGTAGCCTTGTCGGTGTTTCTAATCAGCTCAGCTGGATCGCCATCGGTATCACTTCCCTCCGCTTCCGCGCCGCCATCGCCCGCCAAGGCAAGACACATCTGCTTCCCTTCAAGAACTGGACTTACCCATACGGCCCCTGGATTGCCGTTGTGCTCAACTCATTCCTCGTTCTGATCCAGGGCTGGAGCTGCTTCAGCCCAACATTCGATGGTGTCAGCTTCGTCAGTTTTTATATTGAACTGCCAATCATGCTGGTCATGTATCTCGGCTGGAAGATCATCAAGCGGACCAAGTTTGTGCACCTGGACGAAATGGACCTCGTGACGGACGTGCACACGGCCGAAGAGCAGGTGGAGGAAGAAAAGGGATGGAAAGCAAAGGCAAAGAGTGTTGTCGGGTGGTTATTCTAAAGCATAGCGTTGCTGTTTTTTCTGCGTCCTTTTTTCATTACACGATGACAATGATTCCCTTGGGTTGGCAGCCAGTAGGATTTGTACAAAGCCGTTGGATATGAACTACTCGGATATACTTAATGGTAAACATTTGATACGACTTACAAAGACATGCTATTACGGGGAACCTTGTGCTTATGACAAGTTGAGACTTTTGTTTGTCAACGGTGACAAAGGGGGCTCAACAGCCAATCGAAGGTAAGCATTTGGTTGTTAGCGCCAAACTGTCATGATTATGCAGCGAGTTGATTACATTTTTAATCAGCAGCGAGGCTATACCCAAAGCACTTGGAGCGGACAAAGTTAAATAGCCTACTAACAGGAGCCGGGCGCAACATCTCCATTCGGAATCCTTGTCCGCATGCTAGTAGCTGCTGAAATTCACGTATGAGGGCTTCCGGGTGGAGATTCGGAGCTTCGCGTCGCTTTTGAGTTGCAGTCGGTGTCCGCCGGCAAAGCTGGTAGCTGATATTAGCTGGTATTGGCTGACAACGGCATTGGATATATATCTAACGGGTATCCTATTCCTCCTCATCACTGAACACGAGGAGAGAGACAACGCCTATCCACTCCCTCGACCTTAAAGCCGCATCCAATCCGCCTCCAATCCGCCATGGAGTCGCTGCAAGAGAAGACGCTCCCAGCCGGCAACGAGTCGACGGGAGCTCGGGACCAGTCGGCGGCTTCAACCCCCAGAACTGCCACGGCCAAAATGGATCTCGCCGCGTTTGATGGTTCGTTTGCTCCGGGCGTGCGGCCCCATGCCGTGCGATTGACTCCGTGGTATCGCAGCAGAGACTATTACATCGGCCAGTGGCTTGACCTGTCTGTGTGGAAATCTGCTGTACGTTGTTTTCGATGCTCCCGGGAAAGTTCAATTGGGATTTCGATGGCTGAGGCTTGGCTGCTGACGGAACTTTTCTGGGTGGGTTTTTCTAGGTTGTCGAGTTCATTGCAACTTGTTGTATGGTCTTCCTGTCGGGCCAGATCACTGCTACCCTGGAGAGCTACGGGACACCGCAAGTTGGCGGCTACATTGGCATTTCCAACATTATTCTGCTATCGACATTTATTTACGCGACGGCTCCTGCTTCAGGAGGACATTTGAATCCGATGATTTCGTTTTCGGCAATTTTGACGGGCCTCTGTTCTGTGCCTCGAGGTATGTCTTGCTTTTGATTCTTTTTTGCCGATATGCCGAGTGATTCAGTTGCCTGATGCTACCTTGACTGAATACAAATGTGCCACGTAAATTATGCATGCATACGTGCTTGTTGCTATGTGGTCACCAAGAGCCCAACTTGATTGCCTGGATGCTTGGACAAGTCTCAGCTGACAAACTACCCAATCAGGCATTCTTTACATGTGTGGCCAGACTCTTGGTGGTGCCCTCGCCGGTGGAATTCTCTTGGGCGTCTGGGGTCCTGAAAGAGCAACAAGGTATGTGTGACCCAGCATGTAGTAATCCCGTCGCCTTGGCTTTCGAAATCACGTAATTTAGAGGTGCTAATACACAACTATTCTTACTACTAGCCTGAAAGGTGGCGGCTGTTGGTACGACCCATCCCAAGCAAACCCCGGTCAAATCTACCTCAACGAAGTCTTCGCCTCGTTTGTTCTCCTCTTCCTGTCCTTTGGCGTCGGTCTCGATCCTCGACAGGCAGCTCTGTTTGGCCCCCGAATGGGCCCTCTCCTGGTTGGGGCGTCGTTGGGCTTGGTTTCTTTTTCCACGAGCGGAATCATTCCCGGCTATGCTGGAGCGCAGATGAACCCGTCGAGGTGCCTGGCCTTTGGGATTGCGCGGCAAAACATGGCATGTGAGTATACTGCCTGAAATCTACCGCCAGGATTGAACTAGTCCTTGGCTTCAAATGCCATTATTTGCAGCTACAGTTGACTGACGAGATCTATTTGTTGCTACCTTTAGATCAGTGGATTTGGTGGTTTGGGCCGGCGGTGGGAGGTCTCATGATGGGCGTCCTATACAATCTGATCCCGCCTCATCATACGGAGCTGTCGAAGCAAAAGAGCAAAGAGTCCCATTCAAGCTCGATAGTTGGGCACACAGAGATACCTACGGTCTGAGAGGAAGAGTGCACATCCGGCAATCCGAGAGGGAGGGGAGAGACACTGAATCCAATGAACGGGCTCTCGGGATGGCATCGATTGCTACGGTAGCGGGAAAAAGGAAAAAAGATGGCTTGATGGTAAACGAGATGAGGCAAGCGAGGCAGCCAATCGAGACGGATTGCCCAGCTCACCGGTCAAGGGATTCCACGTTAGTGCTTGGGGGCTGCATAAGATGAGCCAGGATAAGGTCATTTTAACAGGGGGCATTGGGCGTCTTGGGCACGCTGGCATTGCAAGTGTTTTTGGAGGCGTTTTTGGGGTCTATGTTGATGGGCTGGAGTGAATTATGTCCATGTCCGATGGTGTGTTTGGAGCGGAACAAAGTGCAAGCTGAGATTTGAACAGCGTCCGGGAATTCAGAAAGCGTGTATCAGAACGCCAACATCATAGCATCTAGCGATCAATTTTGTTCTTGGCAAACCTCTATACTTTTTCACGACCGGTTTCCTCTGCTAGTCACAGCTTGAACAGCATGCCGACTAGCAAGAGTAGTTATCGCACGGCCACTTCACTGAGCATTGCGTATTTTTCTACAAATGGCATTCATGGGGAATGAAAATGAAATCAGAGTCGTACTAACGACATGACCTAGACACTATCTTCTCAGAGATGCAAGAGTCCAACTGGGATGTTACGGGGCAATAACTCCGTCGGAAGCAAATGAGACATCTAGCTCGCGCGGAGATTGCATCGGAACAGCGGTGGGAAGGGCGATGGAGGACGTGAGTGTTTCTTGGCTCGATCGACCGTCAATATCGGGAGTTTTAAATTAACTCGGCCAGGGCCAAGATCGCACAAACATCCAGGGGGTTTGTTAGGGCGATCGTGATATACGGACTAAGACTCCGCGATCACCAGGCAAATCGAGGCTGACTGGGGAGGAGAGCTGGGCGGCTAGCTCGCCTGAAGCTATCCATGACAGACACAAAGAGGAGAACGAGCTAAGCTGCCGATGCCCGATCAAACCCTAATCCAGCCGCGGATACAGGTCCGTGTAGCCTAGGCTTGAGACATGCGAGCACAAACATCCAGGATAGGACATACAGGTAGCACGGGCTGCTGCCCGACGAAAAGCTGCCTTGGTTTTCGTGCATTTAAGTACAACGGTAAGCCAGCATCCTGTGCAACTTTTTTTCCTGGTTCTGTACTCGTTGTGATATGAGCTTATTCTCTCGGCGAGAATTGACGGGCATCTTTGTGTTGCCTGAGAAGATATCCTGTTGACCTATAAGTATGAGTGATGAATCTGTCCATTTGCGAATCTAATTCCGTACCCATCACGCCCTTTCCGCTGCCTCATCCCAAATCCTGCCTCTTTTGTTTCAAACCAATTCTTCAGGGCGACTGCTTACCAATTTTGACTATGAAGCTCCTTGCAATCACGGCTCTCTTCATCGCCGGCACCCTTGCCGTGCCCGCAAGCTCCTACCCGCCGCCTCCTCCTGAATACGGTGACGGGCACAAGGGTGACGTCGGCTACGGCGGTGATCACGGAGGTGACCACGGCAAAGACCACGGCAAAGACCACGGCGGTCACTATCCTGGTGATCCCAATTACCCGCCCCCTCCTCCTCCCGGCTACCACAATGGAGGCTCTGACAAACCTCCCACCGACGGGGATGGCTATCCTTCTGACGGCGGGGATGATGGCGATGATAGTGACGGCGGTGGCCATGGCGGCGACAGAGAAAACGATCCTTCCGACCTGTGCCCTACTCTGCTTTATTCTAACCCTCAGTGCTGTTCTGCAAGCGTGCTCAACATTGCTGATTTAGACTGCGAGCCCCGTAAGTTGCGTTTCCATCACGAATGCACTACCCCGTTCATTACTAATTCCGTTTCTACTATAGCCAGGAAGAGGCCTAGCCGCAAGCACGACTTCAAGCAAATCTGCGCAGCGCAGGGCAGCGACGCCAAGTGCTGCGTTCTTCCTCTGGTGAGCTTTATTATCCACACATCTTTTCTCATTAATAGTCTGCTGACCTGTGATTGTATCTAGCTGGGCTTGGGTATTCTCTGCACCGACGCCATCGTCTAAGATGACGCTACAGGTGTCCTCATTGCTGGCGAAAGGCTTCTTCCAGCATCCTGACATGGCCTGTTGGAGCATATGATGGAAATGGCAGAGGGACATCAAACTAATATCACGGTCATTCGTCTGAGGCTGCTTTCTGGCACTGTCTTTTCTCTTCGGGACTGGGATTCATGAAGCGGGCTGTTGTGCGCTGCGTGGGTTTTTGGTCTAATTATATTCACACTTGGCCATAATCAAAGTATTTTGTATACGAATTCTTCGGAATGTCTTTGGAATGCCTTGTCATCATGTGAATTGTCTTTCTCTCTGTGCGCTGCATTCAAGTTGATGCTTGGTACCCCAACTCTACCGGAGGCGTCAAAAGTTGGCGCTACTCTGACAGCTGAGCTAAAACGAAGCCATAATAGTGCCGGCACGGTGCCATACAACCTTGGAGGCAATGAAATTTGCAAGTTTCGTACCATGAAGTGAATGGATTTCAAATAGAAGAAAAAAAAAAAAAAAGAAAGAAAGAAAGAACAACTGTTGTCTTGCTGGTGGCGTAGGAAATGGGAAACAAAAAAAATTGTAGAGTGCAAAATGGAAAAAACTGCAAAACGAATGGACCCGAGGGGAATTGAACCCCTGACCTTTCACATGCGAAGCGAAAATCATACCCCTAGACCACGAGCCCATGTAGTTACAAGGTGGTCTTCAATTTTTGTATATACAGCAAATGCTGTCTTTCGCCCACGGAAGTTCAGATCTATGGCCAATGTTTGAACCAGCAAATTGTTCAAACTGACGCAGCAGCGATGGTCTGGATCACTGGGAATTGCTTTAAATAGTGGCGTAGTACAGGTGCTCATCAAGCGCACTAAGAACAAAAACCAGAATTCTGTATCCATCATCTAATATCCGGAGAACGAACGGGCTCTACCGGCCGTTGATCATCAGTCACACAGCTGGGGAGAAACAACTACTAAACCATTGCTCAACTTTATGTTAATGGCAAGTATATATTCATCACGTACTACGATCAGATCGATGATAATTTCCGCTTAGTTCAAAATATACATGAGATTCTGCAGAGCCACAAGAGGAAGAACCCCCCAGCTTAGTGGACCCAAGGCATCTTGGTTACTGGCAGCAGCTCCTTTGGAAGTAGAGGATGATGAAGTAGGTAATGAAGTTGTCGTCGTCGTGGGAATAGTTGTGATTGTTGGCGTTACTAGGGTGGAAGCAATGATTGGTGGAGGAGCTGAGGTAAAGGTGACAGCAAAGGTGGACGCTGTTCCCGATGCAGATGTGATGGTCTTGAAGAATCCACTTAGCTGTTTTCATATCAAGACGGCCGACAAAGGACTTGCTACTCACCTGCTGAGACGGCGAGTCTATCGTGCTAACAACCGTGGGATCCGATGTTGGATTTCCAAACCCACAATGCTGGTAAATAAAGAGCGCCGAGGTCACGATAGTACGTCCCAGACACGACGCCCCAAAGATCTCACACAGCGATGCCTGGGATACTGCCTCATCTTGACAGGCACACGAATAATATCCGGATGCCGTTGTACCCTCGAAGGAAGAAGAACATTGGCTAGCGAAATACTTCATACTCTGACACGCGGAAATTGCGGTACTCGTGCAGCCGAGATCGCTGAATGTGTTATAGCCATAGTTCGAGAGGACAGGGGTAGTGAGAGGAAAAGTGATCTTGGGGACGCAGGTTTGGAGCCAATGTGTTCGAAGGTCTTCGTAATAGTGGTCGTTGTTAGGACTACGTGCGCACATACGAGTTTCACTTTCGCAACTATAGAGTCGCAACAAAATGAGTACGAAATTACCCTTGAGGTTGATGAAGGGGGCATGGTCTGCTCACTCGGTGATGGCATCAAACACTTCTTGGGTGCAGAAGCAAGCTGCATAATCTGAAGAGGTGGCTGACGATGGGAGGTTGTTGCATTCTTCTTCCTTCAATTCTAGCGTATCACAGCCGGTAAAACTTACAGGAGCAAGACATTTCGAGGCGGGAGGAAGAGCGGACTGAGCTGTGACAGGTGTTGTCAACGAGAGAACAAAAGCTGCAGCGACGACAGTCCCAGGAAGTGTGGAGAGAAGTAACATGATGGCCACTGTGTTCTACTTTTCTCAAATTGCAATGAGGATCACTCTCGAATCGTCTGAGGGCCAGCATTTATCCCGTGGAGCTAAATGGCGTGGTGTTGTGCAAGTGTCTTCGCGCTATTGACCAGTTCCACTTCTGTCTTAACTTTCCCTCCACCGTCTCTGGACCAGACCCGTCTAGACCTGCTTCACCAAGGCAGACCTCAGGGTTGACATCGCGGGCCTGAGTTGATTTCGTATTGTAGCGAGCTTTGGTGTACAATACGCCAGCCAACAAGCCACCACGCACGTCACAATTTGCGGGCTTAGGTATGAGCTGAGTGACGGCTGAAGAAAAAACGTTGATGCCTTCCCCCTCCGAGCCCCATGACGATGTACAAAAGCGAGCTGCACTATTTACTGCTGTCGTGTGATCGATTGGGTAAATAACATCGACTAGTAGATTGGCGACCCAGCCGCTTCACATCTATCTTTCCTAGCTTGGCTGTCTGTCCACCCTTTCTGTCTCGCTTGGCTAAACGAACGCCAGAATAGAGGGCACTCTACCTTAGGGAGTTTTAGCATCTCAAAAGGGCACTTCTTTAGTAGTCGACACAGCCTTCAGTTACTTCCTGCAGCCATCAATGCCGTCTCATGCGAGGGCTGGAGGCCCATCCCCGGGCTGCCGACCAAATGCTACACGCCGGTGACATCGGATCGGCAATTGTCAAAATGGGTCCTGAGAATGCGGCACGATGCGTGACAGGGGCGAGAGTGTCACTGGCTCAGAACCACTGCCTTCTCACCTGGCCTAACTGGGGCTATGGCTGTGGCTTTGGTTAGTTCCGCAGTTGTGGCTCCTCTCCCCTCGGAGTGTGGTGTGAGTGGACGCAGGCCGATCTGCCGTGGTTTTCGGTGAGGGCAGCGGGCGCAGCAAACAAGCTTGATGCGCAATCATAAACGAGTGCAATCTAGTACCTGCCAAGTCCACAGCCTAGCCTCGTGAGAGGAGAGACTACTCGGTAGGTGGTTTCATGCTGTACACCATCGCGTCGTGTTCGGGCAAAGTACAGTATGTTTGACAGAATCACTAGTGGTGTGGCTCAAATTTAGTGGCTAAATACTATCAAGAGCTACTGGACAATACTGGATGCTCATAGCTGACTATGGGAAATGGTGGTGAACTTAGATGTAGGGGCCATCTATTGCATCCAAGGCACCATACTGGTAATGCCGTCAGGGGCCATCCTGGTTGTTATGGCGCAGCTCAAAAGGACGGCGCCACACGATGAGTTCCTGAGAAAGTCTTCAGCTTCAAATAAGTAATCCGCCTCAGGCATCAGAGCCTAGAATTTGAATACAAGCGCAGTATGGGGAAATTCCTCTCAATTCTCCTCCGCGTTTGATCTGCCATATTGCCATAAGAGATCATCATGTTTAACCACATCAAGAAGGGATTTCAAGCCTTAGGGAGATTTCTATTCCCGCCAACAAATCGCGACAAGGGCTGGCTATCATGGAAACTCTGTCCTTCAATAATTTTGCTCTTTACAATCTTCGAAATCGGGCTGATCGTGAGTATCGAGGTCCTCCTCCATCTTTCTCGAAACAATAATGGATTCGTGACTGTCGATATTCCCAATCCCAACTCTGTCTCGAATGATTTCTTCAAACGCTCTCACTGGACTCAATCATATCTCTGGACTACTCTGCCCACCTTCGTGATCACACTTTACCAGCTGTGCTGGACATCCATATTCACAGAGTTCGCCAGCAGACAGCCCTCCGTTGAAATGGCAAAGACGACAGGTTCAACAGGCAAAAAGACTGTTCTTTTAGATTATCTGTCTTATTTCTCGTTTGTGTCATGGTTCTATGCGTTCAAGAACAAGCATGTTGTGCTTGGATTCACGATTCTGGTTTCGTTTCTTGCTATCGCCCTCCCTTCTCTCATGAGTAATCTTTTCAAGCCGGTGGCCATATCACACGTCTCGGCCGCAAATATGTCAATCACGACGTTTTTCAACGAGACTGCCGTCAACTCCAAGACCAATTACCAGACCGTGTTCAACATTGTCTCAGCAGCTCGCGTCTACAACGCGAATTTCCCTCCCTGGACAACCGAGGAGTATGCTTTTCCCATGTTTGTTCCAACCAGAGATGGCGGATTCCCAAGCTCGGGGAATAGCAGCGTGGAGCTCATGGCCTACTCTGGGGGTCTGGATTGCCAGGAGATGACTACCTATGACCAGATCATCACCAATGAGAACGTCTTCATCTTCAACACGACGGATCGCGGATGCCCAATCAGTGTTCACATTCCTGTCGCTGCGGGTGCCACCGTATACATGAAGACCGACTACATTGGCGACTGCAGCAGCGCCACTGGCCTCCGTCGCCATGTCTTTGTCGGGGCTGTTCTTGCGCCAAATTCTTCCTCATCCGCGGCGCAAACGTTGACGAATATTAGTTTCATTTCATGCACAATGAACTACTTTCAAACCCGCGGAGTTCTTCTGGTCAGCACAACGACGAAGAACGAAACGGCACCATCCATCGTATCCTTTGAACCAAGTGATGACCCCCAAGCATGGCTCCCTGATTTCTGGAGTGGCCTCGAGTTCATGATCCATCAGATTGACCAATTCGATCCCACGGGGACCTATGCCTCTAATAATTTGGGCCTGTTGATCCTCGCTTATTCGGAACGTGTGGTGGGATTATCCCACCGTCTGGACACCAATGCATTGATCCGCGCTATCCAGGACGTGTATGCATCCATCCTTTCTGTGTCCGGATCGATCTACCTCTTGCAGCCATTGGAAACTCCCGGTGATCCCGTCGCTGGTCAAATCTATACGTTCATCAACCGTCTCTTCGTCGCGAACAGCACAGCACGCCTGATGCAAGGATTGTTGTCCGCTCTGACCGTGTGGACGGTCCTCGTTATGGTATATTCCTTTGCTAAACGCTCGATTCTGAGAGAAGAGCCCAAAGGCCTTCTCGGCGCAGCGGAGGTCGTGTATGGCGGTGATCTGGGGTCGATTGTCGCCGAATACCGGAATGATGAGGAGGAGCTGAAGGAGACTTTTGAGGAGTTTGTCAAGAGCCATGGCTACGAGGATAGAGTGTTTAGGGTATCTGTTGACGAAGGTCAGAGGCCGATCATTAGGCTCGTTGATCTCGTTGATTAAACAAAAACTCGCAGTGCCTCGATTATCTCGGTAGCATTTTCTCAGGACTCGAAACAGGTGACGTCTTCCTTTGCCGATGATACAACAAGGATCTGGCGCGCTAACTCGGACACGGACATAGAGAAAGTCGATTATGAGGCTAGCTGCCGCGCTGGGTATCGTATTAGCAGAAATTGAGGCGGATTATGTGAAGCAAATACAATTTGCTCCGGCTTCCAGTGGAATTTTGGCCATCGTGCTGCAGGGTAGTAGCACAATGCCGGCAGCCTTGTGTGGCTAGATTGAAGTGACCTGCAGAGCCGGCTAACTAATTAGCGAGCAAATGTCACTTGGATGCTGCAGCCTCGCAGGCCTACGGAGTCAGCAGTCTTGCTGCAAGACACATCTGTATCCTGGTTCTCTCCTCCACTCTTCCATTTTCAATGGCTCGCCTTTGTTAGACTAGTCTCGGGAAACAATCTTCAACCGCACGAGCCACTTGTTGTTCGATTTCCCTGAACTTGGCCATTGTTCATTGTTTGGCAATGGACGGATTCACGATCTTACTGTTATTCAATTGATTTGGGCCACCTCTTGTCAAGGAGACTCGGGAATAGCTGCTTCATCCGCTTGAGTGTATCTCTTTCCAACAAAACAGCCTCCGGTGTTGCTATGAACACTGAATTTGATCACAGAGAAGCTAATATATTTTCTGCTTTCAGGACTTGCACGCGAGTTATACTATAGACGACGAATCGATTCGGCTCTACGTTGCTACGACTATGTCTACGCCCTCTTCCCCAGACTGTTCCTTGTGAACAAATAAAGACGCCTGTAAACCGGGCGTCAACTTGCCTGTCGGCACTGCGCCGCTAGTCATAGTTCGATTCTTGACGAACGCTTTTGGCACGAGCCGCACCGTTCACACCCGCTCCGCCTCCGCCTCCAAGGATTCCCACAATGAACTCCTTGCTGATTACGAACAACCTAGAGGAACCAAGTGGAGACGGAGTTTAATCCCGTCTTCAACTGTGCGCCATCATACATTCGGCCTAGTCCATATCTTTGGGTAAACGCGGCCTGTCTCTCTAGCTCTTTCTCCGTTGAAGTTGTGATGGCGATCCACGGGAGGACTGGAGGAGGAATCTCGCTGTCTTTCTCAGGGCTCTTGATAAATGCCTCAGCCAGCACGGCTCTCGACCTTCCAAATAACGTTCAGCTTATGTCGTACGGGGCAGTTGAAGATAGACATCTACTTGAATCTGCAATATATTTACGCGTTGGTCATGCAAGAGGGAGCTAGAACTTCTCCACCCACATGTCAAGCTTGACCCCAGCACCTTTAGCTGAATTCGGTGGTGGAGGCAGTCCCAATGCAGATATTCAGCTGTTCTCTGGCAGATGTAGAATTTTGGGTTTGCCCAATCAGCATCATATTCAACCATGTCTGCCTCTTGATTCTGCCACGTAAACGAGGGGTAGTGCCCCTAGTGGATCCAGAGCTTGATGGACGAGCCTCTCTCTGACCTCGAATCATACCTCTAAGCATTCTCACGATGCACCTCTAGACACGATGCGCTTCAGTATTGGAGCAATTGAGCCATTAGCTAAAATGGCGACGTTTTAGTGTCAAACGGCCTCTTCGGGAGCCAGCGTACTCTACGGTAGTCAAGACAGGGGACATGTCAGATTTGACCGCAGTGCCTCAGTGCAGGCCATATAAGAAGGACAACATCTGCTGTGCATCTCGCTGTTGCATTGCCATCGACATCTGCATTTTGAACAAAAAACAAATAAAGATTTCTTCTTCTTCCTGACCTTCAAGATGTGTAAGTTTGACCTTTCTTTAAGTCACCATTGGATTCAATCTTGTGGTTTGGATCCGCACTCTTCATGGCTAACACGAGACAACTTGATATGAATGCCCACAGCCGTGACACTGATCAACACCACCAGTGATAGCTTCAAATTCACTGGGAGCACAGATCACCTCCACAACCCTCCACAGGAGATCAACCCAGGTGACAGAGCGGTGATCAGCTACACCCCTGGAACGCCCAGTGTGATGTGGTACATACATGAGGGCCGAGAGGGCCAGATTGTTGTTGAGGTTGGCAATGAATGGCAGGGAAACAAACTGTGGGGAGAAGGGGCATTTCGGCTTAGGGAGACAGGGATGGTAGAAGAGTGGAATATTGTGAGGGATTAGAAAGAACTCGATTCTTGATTTCAGACAGAAGATCTTAGGGACGAAATTTCAATACATCAAAGCATCTACTGAGGTACTGCTTTGGGTACCTTAGTAGGCAGCCCCCCTAACAGCCGATGCCAGTCCACTGAGTGGTCCAAGCAGATGCCAGCCCTAGTGGCCGGCCAACTGAACCATCAGGCAACCAAAGCCTAGCACCCACGTAGCACGCCGTGCCAACTGTCTCTTATGTAATGCAGGTTCGAGAGGGTTCCTTCGCGTTCTTGACGGCTGCCTAGATCCTCCTTCTCCTCTATCCTTTTCTTCGTACTCAACACATCGTTGGAAGCAGCAGATCACAAAGCGGCAGCTCGAAGGTGCAGTTGGCTCAGCATGAAGACTTTGAGACTCTTGCTTGCCGCTCTTCGGTTTCTAGACCGCTCCTCTCGTCTATCTTGTCTTGATTGAAGCGAGCACCAGATTGAAGTCGTTTCATGCCCGCAATGGAAGGCTCTGGAGAGGAGATGATTCTATTTCGTAAGACATCACACCACCTTCGTTCAACCCAAAAGTGAGTCAATAACCATCGTTCAGGGAGCGATAGCACTCTGGTACACAAATTCTGTGTCTACTTTCGAGAGAGCTATTCATCAAGGCGTACCCTCAAAAGGAGAAATCATAGTATTTGGAGCAGCAAATTCGAGCAGCTAGCATCTTGCGGAAAGCCCATCAGGCCAACACCTGGGCTTGATGGCTATGCTCTTGCTTAAATCAGACCTTCTCCAAACACTAGAAGCAGTTTTCCCTCTATTCCGTCTTCCCCCTTCCCTTCCTTCTCTCTCTAGTCTGCCTGATCCTGCCGGGAAACTTCCTTCTCTCTGGAACTGGGTATTGTCCCCTTATTTCTTTTTGTGTTTTCCCGGTCTTCTTTGTTTTTCTCCAACTAACCACCGTCACAGACATCTTTTGGCCTCATTGATGCCTCTGCATGTCGCTCTTCTCCTGCAGCTCGCTCTGTTCCGCCTTTGTTTCTATCCTAGAGAGCCTTGTTCTGCGAGCATCGGTAATGTCTTCTGCACCCCTTGTGTTGCTATCTGTTGACTAACTGTTTCCCTCGAGATACATAACCACGTCCACCGAAGCGTTTGTCTGCCACCCAGGTGGAATGTTCAATAGGCTTGTATCTCTCGAGATCTTTCTCGTTTTATGGACATCGGTGAATCTCTCCGCCGCACTTCTTACTTTTGTTGACTAACTAGCATCCTAGGTCTTCTATATACCCGCCACCGTGTCTTTGTGTTGCTCTTGTCCGGGAATACCCTTGTTCACCCTCCAGCCTCTGAGCCAAGGGTTACATCTGCAACAAGACGCGTCTTTTTCAACTCAAGGAAGTCACGCTTTATATCACAAAGTAGACTACACGTCCTACATGCCATTTTCTACGCGGCATCTTCAGCAAGATTGTCAGGTAGCCTTGCCTTGATACAACAAATATCTGCAAGCCAGTTCTTACCTACCAAAATTGGCAATGTTTCTTTGACCACCGTCTTGGGCCAGTCACAATTCCTGTCATTTCATGCTTTCTCTTATGGAATACTCAAAAAAGATCATGAGTGTAACAGTCGTCGGCATGGCGGGGGGACTGCAAGAGGACCCAGCCAGTCGACCACTTGTGTGCAAAGAGCTGCGAAGAGTGAGCTTCGACGGATCACAGATGGTTTGATCCATACGATAGAGGATCAGTGCAATAACAATCGGTGAGGTGAGATGTCTACCAGAGGCCATACCCTTGTCGATGCGGCACAATTCAAAACTTGACCAAGATTCATCTCCCCTAAACTTGGATTCGATTTTCCCTCCGCCTTCCACCCCCTAGTCATGGTCGGGAATTTCAAGTCGACGGGGCGGCTGATATGGTGGGAGGGCTACAAGAGTCCTCAGCTTGCCAGCCAACCCTAGCACAGGGAAGAAGTTGCTCGTAGAAGTGCACCAGCAGATTAACAAGGTCAGCCTATTCATACACATGCTCTCAAGGTAGATACTAACGCAAACAGCTCAAGAAAGAACGAAGTGAGGCCACTAGGGGCGGCTGGTAAGGCGGGGGGGCTACAAGAGTCCCCAGCCTGCCAACCAAACCAAGAAAACTCGCTCCCGGCGCTCAGAAGTTCAGATCCCAACTGCACACTGCGGTTGTACGACATCTGTCAAGAGGCATTCTGGAGGTCGCAGCGAGGAACGAATTGCCCCAAATGCTCCTGGGAATGGACTGGGTACCATTACGTCGGAGAGAGAGCCATCACAATGGCCGAGGCGTATCGAAGGGGTCAAAGACAGAGCCGTGGTCATAGGAGTGCGCTGGCAGGTGAGATTGTGCATGAGCAGATTAACAAGGTCAGTCTACCTGTATTCATACACCTCTTTAAAAGGTAGATTCTGATCCGAAATAGCTCAAGAAAGAACACGGTGCTACGCTCGCAGAAATCCAAGCAGAGGTCAGCGCCCGTTTCGTCAAATTCGGCGGTGCGGCCGGTACGGCCGGGGGGCTACAAGAGTCCTCAGCCTGCCGGCCAAACCTAGCATGGGAAAGAAACTGCACGATGAGATTATGAAGAATGGGGCGGCTAACATGGCCGGGGGGCTACAAGAGTCCTCAGCCTACCAGCCAAACCAAGCATGGGGAAAAAATTGCACGACGAGATTATGAAGTGTCGGCGAAGTGGATGGGGCGGCTAATATGGCCGGGGGGCTACAAGAGTCCTCAGCCAGCCAGACCTAGCATGGGAAAGAAACTGCACGATGAGATTATGAAGTTTCGTCAAACTCGACGGGGCGGTCGGTACGGCCGGTGGGCTACAAGAGTCCTCAGCCTTACCAGCCAAACCAAGCATGGGGAAAAAACTGCACGACGAGATTATGAAGTTTTGCTGGATATGCCGAGCAAGAACAAGAACCCCAAGAAGCATATTTGAACCCTTCTTCTGTTCCTATCATGTCAACAACACGTCCAGACTCAAGTGTCCCGACCTTCTACTCCCAAATGTTCCAGGGTGTTTTCAAATTGATGAGCAGTCGCAGTTGCTGAGGGCCTACTACAATCCATATCTACGTTGGGCCTTATGAGCGGTGTGAAGGTGCTTTCCAAGATGTCGAAGGCAGATCTTCGTCTCTACAGTTGCAACGCATAATCGACAGAGGTAACGTCCGTTCTTTCTGATTTCTCAATCATCCTTCTCACATCTCAAGAAGCTGTACCAAGCTGTACCTACTCGTCCTTAGTGGTCACCATTTCAGAAGTTTGGGGTGTTTTACGGCTGTGGACGCGCCGCGCTCCCGATGAGAGTGTGCAAACTACTGCGCATGAGAGGCTGACGGGCCGGGGGGCTACTAGAGTCCCCAGCCTGTCGGCCTCCCAGAGAAGTCAAAGACGCCGAGGAGAGCTGGCCGCGTCAGCTAGGCGAGATCACAAGTCGCCGCCTTCAAGGAAGGTCAGATTCATGGACGCAGAGAACAGGAACATTACTATGACGGCATGATTATGAACATCTATTATCAACATCTATTATCGTCGCCGCCTTCGAGGAAAGTCAGATTCATGGACACAGAGAACAGAAACGTTACTATGACGGCATGATTATGAACATCTATTATCGACGATTGGTGACTTTGGGAGTATACCGGGCACGGGCAAAGATATCAGGGAGATGCTCTGCAAGCAAAGGCTAGTGTCTGGCTTGAGGACTGGCAACGTCAATGGTAAAGAAACACCTGATGTTTTCTTCAAACACGGACTAACTATTTATAGAGCACGAAGAACGTTTCAATGCCTAACGGAGATTATCGAATGGGCTGGCAGGCCGGGGGGCTACAAGAGTCCTCAGCCTGTCGGCTAAAAACTCTCGCCATCCTAATTCCCGCTCCTCGATGGTCCATTTCACACATTCATGACGACAAGGCACCGGTCCCAAAACGCAAACCATTGGTTCACAAGGTCAGTCAATTTCCACTTCTTCCTTCAAAGCCATGAAAGACAGAAGCTGAGACAAATCAGCTCAAGAAAACAAAAGATAAGGCCGCCAGAGTAGTGCCGAATCCGATGCCGCCCTGGGCAAAAGTGCAAGCAAGGGCTACGGCCCGCGGATCCTTCCACCCGCAATTCCGCCTTCAACATGCATAACACTATACGCCGCCGTGAGCCTAGGCCCAGCCTTTCGCAGGTCCTGCCACAGGCACCATTGAGGTCACTATGGCTGATATAGTGGCCAGGCAAAAACATTGATGGAAGAACTGGAGGCCATGTTGAGGGCTGAGTTGGCAGGGAGAGAAAAGAATGCAGCTGCAGTTCTGGAAAGTGTGGCACGACACCAGTATGGGAGTTGATTCTAGTTCATGTTCAATCAAACTGTCAAGAGTTGCATCATATCGACTCATGAGAAAACGCCCATCTTTCATCGGGGCTGCAAGAGAAGAGAACAAGCACAAAAGGAGAAAAGAAATTGCACAAAAGAAAAAGAAAAGAAAAGAAAAAAGAAAAGACATCAAGGAAGAAGAAAAGAAGAAGAAGAGAGAGAAAAAAAGAAAGAAAAAAGAAGGGGAGAGAGCTTCGAAGGAGGAGGAAGAAAAGAAGAAAAGAAGAAAAAAGAAGGAGAGAGCTTCGAAGGAGGAAATGCCTACCCCAGAATGAGGCAAACGTAGCCAAAGATCAACCAGCTTTGTGCTTGGCTGGCAGGCCAGGGGGCTACAAGAGTCTCCAGCCTGTCGGCCCAAAATCCCGCCCCCCCCCACCAGCGAGGCCGAGTCCAAGAAGGAGAAGAAACAGAAGAAGAAGCGTGAATCTCTCACTGCTTGGAACCCTTCGAAGAAGCGCCGAATCTGCTAAGATGTTACACGCATTATACGCTTGCATACATATATGACACCAACTGGAGAATCGATGGCAATCTGCTTGGGGAAAAAACACCGAAAGCAATATCTTCTCGGCTATCTGCGAAGCAGGTCAAAGACCCGCGTCGGCTTAGATAGCCTTATAAATTACCGATGAGGTTGTCATGTAGATATGCGATACCTGAGATTCGTGGAGAATGTCTGGCTGGCATGCCCGGGTGGCTACAAGAGTCTCTAGGCTGCCGGCGGAACTGTCAACTCCTCTGTCCAAATTCTCCATCTGTTTCAACTATTTATGACAAAGAATCGGCCCCAAAGCGCAAGTCTTATGGAGCCGCAAAGAGCTTTTACATCGCTGGCACGACATGAACCAACGCACGCCCGCTGTCAACATTGCGAACAAACATAGGCAAAAGACACAGAACGAACATCTACAGGGCAGATGAATGAAAGTAGTGTCATATACTGAAAACACATACTGATGGACGGGGTCTTCCAATTTCTCAATCTCAGACGCGAAGACTACCATGCTTGGTTTGAGGCTTGTGTCGACGAGTCTTTCCCAATATATTGATGAGTCCTGGATCTGTCAAGCAGACCTGGCGAAACAGCGCACACCGTGGTCTCTAAGACAGAGGGGGAAAGGCAACCAAGAAGAAGCAGAAACAAGCAGAGGAAGAGCAGCGTCTCCTGGGTTTTGTGGACAGGAAGCTCTTGAATTCTGACACAAACGCAAACAAGCATCGCCACAACCACCACCTCAATACACAACGACAAAACAAAAAGCACACCGCGTCGAAGTTGGGCCTTTGGTTCGTGCACGGTAATGTCCTACGCGCTTGGACAGCTATCAGCTCTGGCTTGGCAATATAATTAAAGACCAGCCAAGCTCAGAGCCGATAGCTGTCCTACCCGGAGAACCTAGCCCGTTCTCAATCATCTCCAACAATTTCATCTACCAATTTTGGGCCACGTTTAAGCAGCATCACCTCGCCGCCGCTTGCAGAGATGCAGTCATTAGACACGCAGGTGGAAGAGTTCAGCTCTATCCTACACTCCGTCAAGTCCAATCCCTACACCGCGGGGCAGTCTGGCCATTGTGCACGGTAATGTCCTACGCATTCGCAAGAGAAAGATGATTGACGGAGAGGAATTCGTATTCCCCGCCATTGGGAAGAAGCGCGACGTGGTGGATAGCCTGTACAAGGGCACCGAGGAGGACAAGAAGAAACTGCCCCCTCTACACCCGATGCCTGAGCAAGCACCTTGGCGTCGGCTCACGCCCTAGGCTTCGTCACGACCTCCACGTCCGCCTACTCCTCGGGGCATCGTTTCCACCCCGAGGGCGCTGCCAGAAGAGGAGCCTCTTGCTTCGATTTCGGTCAATGTACGAGCAGCAACGACATTTACGCGCCCAGAAGCATTTTATATCCAGGATCCGCTGGTGACGTTGCTGGAAAAGGCACCGCAATGGAAGGCAGCATCAATATGTTCATCAACCTCTATCAAAATATATAATAGACGACAAAAAAAAAAAAAAAAAAAAACCACCGAGGCCATTTCGTGCACGGTAAAGTCCTACGCTCTTGGACAGCTGTCGGTTCCCCTTAGCAATATCATTACAGACTAGCCAAGCTCGGAGCCGATAGCTGTCCAGCCCTCAGGTAAGTCGAGATTTCAGTATCACCACTGTTCATCAATAACGCAGCTGCTAACTCGTACCACAGGGATACAAGGAGGGGGTACAAGCTCTCACAATGAAGATGATGCAAGCCATGCGGGCGAATAAAAACACATTTTTATATTATTGGCAAATGAAGAAATGATTCTCTTCTTTGAGCAACCTACGCATGTATCTATTTTCCCCAGTTGGCGCTTCAAATCACCTGTTCGCGTCGATGGAAAACCCACTTCGATCGTCTACAAAGAAGGATTCGTGGACATGAATGGTTCGGAGGAGATTGCTGAGCGCGTGTTTACGAGGTCGGGGACAGACCTGACGAGATCTATTGAACGTGGTTGACGATATACAAGTCTGGCTCGTTCTCAATCATCTCCAGCCACATCATCTACCAATTTCGGGCCCACGCCACATTTCAAAAAGCTTCTCAGCTGCATTTTTGCCACCCCCCCCCCCCCCCCGGCAATTTGTATCAACCGCGAGAAGGCTCTCCATCATAAAATGTTGTCGAGGCTAAGAGCCGAGACATATTCTCCAGCTTCCCCACAGCAAACAGTCGGGTTTGATGTGGAATGAGGTGAACAAAAAGCAATGCATATGGGTGAATGGCCTCTCGACCCAAGACGCAAAGGCCAACTTCAAGGTCGGCTTTCACGAGTTCTACGTCCGCATCGAGCAGTCCCTGGTTTTGCTCCATCCGGGTCATGCACGGTAGGGTCCTACAAAAAGCCAACTGTCAGCGCGCTACGAGAATTCGCAAGAATTGAAGGGGAGAGATGACGAGACTAGAGGGGAGCAAGAGAGAAGCAGCCAAAAAAAAAAAAAAAAAAAAAAAAAAAAAAAAAAAAAAAAAATACACATCACTCAAACAGACATTCAAACAACGGTGCATCTCGCACATTTCCTAGAACTAGGGAGCATGCAGAGATCACAGACACATTGGAGAGAAGCGTGGATACAGTGGGAGATTGGGAGCGGGAAGGAAGGAAAACACAAGGTGCCGTTTATTGAAGGAGTTGGTATTTCATTTCAAAGAGTTTTTGTTCTTCAAAGAGTTTTTTTACAGTTCAAGGTAGCAGATTGCAATGCTGGTCAAGGGCTTTGTTTGATTCAGTCTTGTTGAGATAGAGGCGTGAAGGAGATGGCTGCTGAGTCACACCATGGGCGCACAAAAGTACCTGTATGTAGCAACAAAGTTCATTTGACTTGATTTCCCAGCTGTTCGTATAAGTCGTTTGAAATCTTCCCATCGGATGCATCTCTAGACGTGTCAAGAAAATATACATTGTATTGGATTTGCCATAACATCACGTTCCTAGCCCATTTCCTGGTTTCCTCCGACGCGGTCGCCTCTATAGAAGGCGAGAAAGGACAGCCTCGATCTGACGACGTCGGTCTCAGCTACTTTTTGCACAACTTTCCATCATCACGAACCTCCCATCTCTCATTACCCACACACGGCGCGCACCAGAATACATCAGTAGGGTCGATTTCGCGCTTGATGCGAAGCAGTCGCGCGTAGTTGCTGCCCCAAAACGTCTGCTGCCAATTCTTTTCGAACGGAAAGGCCTGCGGTAGAAACAAAAAACAGAAGTTAGTGAGTGTTATTCAACGACGACGGAAGAGATGGGGAGATGTCATACCTCGTTTATGTATGCGCCAGACTTGGGCGTCAGATCGCGGAGGGGTTGGAATTCCTTGTCTAGGCCTGCTTTGACATCGTTTTCTGCAGTCTTGTTGAATGGTCCGAACGATTGGCTGGTCACTAGTAGTAGAGTATAGTTAGTACAAAGAATTCAGCTCTGTTGAATGAGAAGTTAGATAACTTACGAGCATGAACGTATGCGGTCCTCCATGCGGGATTGACAGCATTGCTACCTCCTCTCGGCTTCGCTTCTTGAACACCCTTGCCACCTACCATGAAAACAGACATGGTTTCGCCATCGCCAATAGTCATGGCCGCTTGTAGGGCGCTCTTGAGCTTCTTGGGGTTGCCGGTTAGGGCTTCGCCATCCAAAAGTCGGGATACGAGGTACTGGCTTCCACCAGCCTGGCTGCTATCAAAGTTCTTGTCAAACCAGCCTAGCCATGAATCGTACTCGGTAAGGAGTGTGTAGAATTGGACTTTGTTTGACCAGCGCTCGCGAATTGTGTCGTTTATTGGGTTGAATATCTTTGCGGCGACGTCGGGGCTGTCGACATCTTGGAGGATGGACGTGCCCAGGAAGCCAGCGATGCGATCTGGGATACCTGGTAGCTGGATGGGCGACGGCATATTTCTGGTGACTAGATTGTAACCGGAAAGGCCTTGCGCCATCAGGCTAGGTATTTGGGAGATGATGTAGGTGATTAGGTCCATGGCGATGGATTCTTTCGGATCTGTGAAGATCATGTAGACGACGCTCAGAATCTTTGGGCTTGGATGCGTCTTGAGCGTGACGGATGTGATGACACCAAATGTTGAGCCTCCTCCCTGCAATGGCTATTAGTATTGCAACGATCATCATTTTAGGGGCACTTACTCCTCGCATTGCCCAAAATAGATCTTGATGTCGGTCCTCATTGGCAATCACGATATCGCCTCCGGGAGTAACAATCTCCATCTCCCACACGTTATCTGCTGCCAAGCCATACTTTGGTGCAAAAATTGAATGACCTCCGCCAGTGATGTAGCCGCCTATTCCAACAGTCTTTCCTCCTCCGCCAACAATGGCCTGGCCATGCTTGTCTGCGGCGACGTATATATCGTACATCTCAGAGCCACCACCAACAGTAATAGAATTACCTTGGAGGATCTTTCCAGAGCCATGTAGCTTGTATTGTCCCGGATTATATGTGATGGTCTTCAGATTATGAGTCCATATGGAGAGGGAGCCTGGGGAATTGGAGCGGCCGAGGTAATCGTGGCCGGTATTCTTGACGTTGAGACGAACATTGTATTTGCGAGCTAGAATAGATTGTTAGCCTACTTTGCTTTCCGTCAATTGGAAAAAACACGAGGGTTCATCTTACCAAAGTCTATACCGATCTTGACATGCTCTGCAGTTGATGCATTCACCACGTAGGCAGGATACCCAGCAGGAGAACACGGCGTGTTTTCCTCTGGAAGACAAGTATAATTATCGAATTTGTCCCACATGACGGAAATTGGGTTTCCAGCGTGAAACTCGTACGTCTTCCACTCGTCGGCTATCTTGGGACACTGGCTGGTGTCATAGGTGGGCTGGCCAGGGTGGCAAACCGCCCCAGGAGGAGGAGGCTGGAGGAGTCTTCCATTAAGTGTTTGATTGAGGGCAGCCCACGTATAGGCAGAAGGCCAAGAGGACGTGCCAGGATATGCTTTGCATGATTCTAGATAGGTTGTACAGAGGGCACTGACACCACCAGTTAGACAGAGTAGCAACTGAAGACTGGAGCCCAACATTTCGACGACTGTGTATCAAGAACTAGAAATGTGGTACGTTTGACCCGCAACGAAGCAGTGGCTATTCGAGAATTTGTGAAGTGAGTCCGCCATAATTTATAGTTTTGGTACTCTCGAGGAGGCACCGCAACGATATATGGCAGGATTCAATGGCAATCCTCCCTCCATGCATAGAGAGACCGACATGTTCAGCCACTCCCGCTCTAGGGAAGATGCCGCGAAAAGTCGACGTAATGCCCTGCCGCCGTCAAATGACTGCTGCATCGTGGCTGTGGCGATCGGCTATTTGTGGCCAATAGGAAGAGATCGCATTCCTCGCAATCGCAGGATTGTTGCGTAGCTTGACACTAAAATCCCCTATTTGGAAAGATGCTGCGAAAATTAATGACGGGAACAGTGTGGTTGGCCATTGAGCTGAAGACACGCCAGGATTAACCTTATACAGCACGGGTCAGCATTCAGCCGTATTCTGCGTATAGACAGCAACTGTACAAGCGCAGTACTTACCAAGAGAATGGAGTGGAAACTGGGCTGCGGCAGTGCAGCTGGTAGATGGAAGTATTTTGTGGACAAAAGACCGGACAAAGGCTGAACTGGGTAAATAGGTGGAACGGTTTGTTTGCAGGTGTGCCTAACAGGACAAGTAGCTTTGCTGACAGGGGTTCAGCTGGTAGGTTGGATCCTCTGGCAGGCGAAGAGCTTCTGGTCGTGGTGTTCCTTTTGATTGCGAGCCAACTTGATTATTGCTATCTTGTAAAGAAGATCTACAACCGAGTTGTAAGAACTTTTTGATTGGTTTGCGCAGGTCTGCGAAAAAATAGATGTGGCTGTTATTGCGAGCCGTAAAGGAGAGGCTGGCTCCAGGGTATCTGTGGCGAGAGAATATGTTGACGACCAGCTCTTCATTTTTTGGCACCTCTTGTAAAATATGACTGCGACCTGGGCCTCTCGTAGACCCCGAGTCGTGTCATCTGTTTGATCCTTGACAAATTCTGGTTCATGCAATACTTGAACCTTGGCGTTCTTTGTCATGGTAAGTAGAATGTAACCCTTGAAGGCATTGAATATCTGTTCAGCTTCGAGTTGCGATGTATCTTTCAGCGGATAGATAGTATCATTAGTAATCCAACGGCCGTTTCTGTCTTGATCAACGGTGTCAGCCTTTCTGTTCCATGTGCATGCTGGGTATTGTACCCTGCTGTCACAGCATGAAATCAAACATACCATTAATATCTGGCCACGCCTGCCAGTGCCACCATCGATGTAGCATGTGTGAGCAGCAGGGAGATGTCCGCGCTAGTTTGTGGTATTCATAGGACCTGTAAGGATGCTGGCGTATTGGAGGGGATTAAGTGTCTTATCATGATGATGCTCCCACCATAAACCCGATAGCTTGGGACCCTACTGGTATTGGTGGTGCTACATCTCTCGCCGGGTAGGGACTTGCTAACTGGGCGAGAGACTCCTATGTAAGTATCGGAGAACATCGGTCATGGGAGGTTCCAAAGATTGAATAGGGGGAGGCGGCGGCGGTGGTGGTATTGATGGCACCGTTAGCGGCGACAACATATGAGAGGAGGCCAGGACAGGCAAAGCGATTGGTGTGATTATTTGAAATCCTGGAGGGTGGGTTGAGCTCCAGCTTGGAAGCATCCGCTGGAAGTATATCCCAGATCACCGCCCTGGAATTTCTGCCGAGCCATTTCCTCAGATTGTTCAAGCTGGGCTGCGTACCTCCCGATGTCGCCGGGGACAGCAGATGTGGCCAATAGGATATGCTTGTGAAGGCCACGCTTGACACATCGACAGCCAAGGAATCGTCTTGTGTTCCGTGAGCCACTTTGGATCTGCTTCGGGGAACCGCTTAAACAGGAAGTCTACTACTGCCATGTCCAGCAGCACCTTCTCTCATCTAGTATGGTCTCATTGTTTGCGTGGCAAGCACCCTCTCACCCAGTATGGCCTTATTGTTTGCGTCGCCACGCAAACAACGAGACCTGCTGCTTGTTTGGCTGGGGCGGCACATCTGTAAACCATAACGCAGGTGTCCTAAGGGGGCTCTTGGAGAAGACGGCTTCGCAGATGCCGTAGCTTGAGTTGACACCCAGCGAGTAGGATGGCGATAAAAAACATTTCCAAAAAAATCCAAACTGTTTCCTTGGTCAGCATGAAGAGTTGAGTCGATGTTGGGAGAGTTGAGGAGGTTGAAGATGGATTTCGGATGAAAGAGAGGAAAACTCACATTTGTTGAAATGATAAAGCAATGATTGAAAGACCAAAAAAGACCAAAAGAGACCAATATGATAAGAAAAGACCAAAAATGAGCAAAAATTGAAGCAAAAATGTGATAAAAATGCTGGTCCAAAAATGATGCTTGGTAGAAGCACGAGGTAGAAGGACGAGGGAGAAGCAGCTGGAGGTGCGCCAAGAATTGTTGTGGTGGGTAAACTCGCTTGGCGAACGGTACGTACCTTGAGGTGGACGATTGGCAGTAACGCGGGTGATGAGGGAGTCACAATTCGCGCCCCACTCCCTTGTAACATGGAATTTGGTCGTTGGGCGAGCTGCAGAGTACATACAAGGCACTCCAGCGGTTTGCAAAACAATGACGGGGAATTTGCAAACGATGGGCACACAGAATTACGCAGTGCGCCAACATACTCCATACTGCAGTTATAAATAAGACGGGTTTGGCGGTCCTCCCCACCGAGTAAGGCGCCCGAGACCCCTGCACTGCGCCTCCAGTACTGTACACACCTGTAGATATTCCAACATGAATATTCCAACCTCCACCGATGCCTTCGACATCTACTCTTGACTTCGACCCCGCCTATCCCCCTACATTATCCGCTCATCATTTTTGTAGCAACCTGTCGCAAGCCGTGATTTCGTTCCAAAGCCTGCCATACACGCATGATGCGGCCGTTTGTTTCAACTCTCGATTAACCGTCGCCGTCTCCTTCGCCTCGTCTCTGCCACACCTCCGTTTTATCGTCAAGCCACTTTCACCACATTAAGAGTATCACCATCATACGCACCCAGATAGTTACCCTCAACAAGGGATAGTTAAATTAGCATTTTTCACCCAACAGCTTTGCTCCCTCCCAGACTCCTGGCTATGAACCGTGAAGACCGCTGGTTCGCTCGTGCATTAGCTGTCGCCGGGCCTTGTCCTTTTCTGCAATCAACCGCCGTTAGCAAATAGCCCATATCATCGTGTTACAGTCCCAGCAACTATAGCTTACCTCTATCATAAACCAAGAACTCGTGGAGGCCAGCACCTGCTGGTACCATAGGCAGGACAGGCACCTTCTTATCGGTAACAACCTCGAGAAGAGCTGGACCATCTGTGTTGATGAGCCACTCGAGGCTAGCCCGAACGTCCTCTGGCTTGGAGACCTTTCTCGCCTGCACACCCATTGCGTCGGCTAACTTGATAAAGTCCGGATTCCGCTGGTGGGTGTGTGCATAGCGGTCCTCATAGAACAGGTTCTGCCATTGAGTAACCATGCCTTGCTCCTCGTTATTCAGAATAATAACCTTGACGCCAATGTTAAATTGAGCAGCCGTGGAGAGCTCTGTTAGGGTCATGTTAAAGGACGCATCTCCGTCAATGTCGATGACGAGGGCGTCTGGTCTCGCTACTGCAACTCCAATCGCACTTGGCAGCCCAAAGCCCATCGTGCCTGCATCCCAAGGTTAGGATTAGGGTTGTAGCAAACTTCAATGACCAAGAAACATGATAAGATTTGGGTTTGGGGTTAGGAAAGGCCGGAGAGAAACGGCCAAGGTGCTGCAAAAACGTCACGTACCTAGTCCACCACTCGTGACAAACGATCGAGGCTCTCTCCACAAGTAGTGCTGTGCTACCCACATTTGCTACTTCAGGTCAGTTGGTGTTCGTAAATAGTGTTGGCTGCTCATGAGGAACTCACATGCTGGCCCACTCCAGTCGAGATGATTGTTTTCTTGTCAATTTTAGAGGTGAGATCGCTCAGCTCTTCAATTAGGGACTGAGGTTTAATGAGACCGTTGCCTCCAGGAGAGTCAGCGTGCTCATAGTTGGATAGAGGCCACTTGGCCTTCCATCCGGATATCTTTTTAAACCATTCGCTTCGTTGCTCCATGCTTGTAGGTGTGAGCATAGGCATAAGCATCTTGAGGTTAGTGGCAACATCGCCCTCAATAGCCTCAGTTGCTTGAATGACCTTGTTAATATTCTTTGGTAATATATCAAAATGAATAATGCCTCCTCGCTTCTCAGCCGCTGCAGCTTTAGCATTAGGAGCAAATTTTGAAGTATTCAGGGTAACACGGTCATCAAAGCGAGCACCAAGAGCAATGATAAGGTCGGCCTCCTGCATAGACATATTGGCATATGCCATACCATGCATACCCAACATGTGTAATGACTTCTCGTCACGCTCATCAAATGCACCAAGGCCCAGGAGAGTTGTCGTAACAGGAATAGAACACTTATCAGCTAGCTCACGGAGAACCTCAGTTCCACCCTCAGACTGGAGGATGCCTTGGCCAGCGTAAATGATGGGCTGCTTAGCTACTTTGATAAGCTCAGCAGCACGACCAAGGGAGGCATTAAGCTGCTTCTCCATTAGTCGTTTGGCAGTCTGAGAAGCGATGCTTGGAAAAGAGGGTAGGTTAGTTTGTGTTGGTATAGCCTTTCGAAGAATCCCAGCTGTAATGTCCTTAGGAAGGTCAATAAGAACAGGGCCAGGACGACCACTGGTAGCAATCTCGAAAGCCTCGTTAATTCGACGCGGGAGATCGGCAATGCTTGTAACCATGCAATTCCACTTGCACGCACTTCTGCTAATGCCCACAGTATCGCACTCTTGAAACGCGTCCAGTCCGATCGCACTTGTTACGACCTGTCCAGTAAAGACCACGAGGGGAGTGCCATCTGAGAGAGCATCTTGCATGGGTGTGATGACATTGGTCGCTCCCGGACCCGATGTAACGAGCACTACGCCAGGTTTTCCGGTGGCACGTGCGTACCCTATGATATATTAATATAAAGCTCCATTGTTCGACCAAGCAACTCCTACCTTGTGCCATGTGGCCGGCGCCTTGTTCGTGTCGAGGCAAGATAAAATCGAAGTGTTCCGAGTTGTAGATGGCGTCAAAGACGGGAAGGATGGCGCCTCCGGGGTAGCCGACTAGGACAAGTTAGCACGTGGGTTCTCATTTGGCCCTGCCGACAAGACAAGTTCGGTTGGACAAGGTGAGACAAACAAATATGCTTCACCCCGTGTCTGAGCATCATCTCATGAAAGATCTCGCCGCCGGTCTTTCCGATGAACCTGAAAGCACATGAGCAAGGGGCTCCTCGTGGTTTGAAAAGAGAAATCTTACGACTCATCCATCTCGGGTTTCGATCGGTTGACAAGAGGCTGAACATGACGACGAGATTCGGGTTCCAAGTTAAAGGCGGGGCTGGCCACAGGGCGAGTCTGACTGTAAAGCAGGTCAGCAACATGATTGACATGAGATTAACAATGAAGCCATCAATTGACTTGGTGGAGCGAGCATTGGGGCACTCGGTGTCTTTCAAGGTAGGAACACGGATAGTTAGTTGTTGGGCAGTGAAGCGTGACACCACGAACGAGGTTATGAGGGCGCAAAGAACCAAGAAAAACAGCCAAAAACTTACGGCGCGGCAGAAGTGGTAGCAGTGGCCTTTGTTCTTTGCGTCGCGGGCAGCTTTGACTGCGCAAGAGTGGCTGTAGGCGGCGTCGTCCAGGCCCTCGCCTGGCCAAGGGCGCGGATGGCCTTTCTCGAAGGGCGATTTCGGAGCATCGCCGAGGAGTAGATAGATTCGGAGGAGAGGAAAGCCGGGGGTGGGATGGGAAAGGAAAAATGTCAATTGCGTGCGTGAGCACAAGCGCTCGGTGAAGAGAAAAAAAAGAATCCAAAGATGCCAGTCTTTGCTTCGGGATTGAGGATGATGAAAAAGAAGTTAAGTTACTGGAGGAAGCGAGAGGCGGAAAAATAAATAAATGGCACCGCACAGTCACATCTTGTCACTATAGACTAGATGCTCCGTAGAGTCAAAGACAATCCCAGCCACGCTCCGACGTCGTCTAGCAAAAAATGCGGGGTGCTCTGTTCGTGCCAGGTACATACATGTCACCGGAGCGCATGGGTGCCACGTCCAGCTCTTCTCTCTCACTTACATCCCGCCTCCGGTTCCGGTACACGGAGCTGGCCCAGTTCTGCGAATCGGTCTGGGGCTGGAACGGAATAGACAGATCTACACACATCAGCGGGCCCAGAAGGGTGGGGATGCAGAGGATACTTACGGAGTACACACGGCTGTATATCGGCCACTGGGCCCATAAATCATAAATAGACATACTATGTACGGAGTAAGTCGTATCAAATGAACTCGTCTGCCAAGGCAAAGTTACACATCAATTGCACCTCTTCTTCCTTATTCCCCTCCTCTCGTTGCTCATCCTGCATCGCCATATGACATATAATACAACCAGAAATTGGCAATACTACTCCTGCAAAGCCACCTTCCCGTTCCTTTACTGCTGTGGCAGATCAAACCAACTGGGATCAATGTTGAATCCCTCCAAATGCGTCGCGTCAGTCGGCTGGTTTTGAAAGTATTGGTCCAGCAGGCCCTACGTCGAGTTAGATTCTTTTCCGTATCGATCAAAGCGCACCGATCCAAACTTACCCAATCCAATCCTTCTGTGCCGTCAATCATCTGGGACATGGGCCCTGCATATGGGAGGTCCTGCGCAGAAGAAGCAGAAGCCAGATCATTTGCCGCCATATCGGATGGAGGAATATGGCGGGCATCCTTTTCGGCCACCTTTTGAATCATTAAACCAAGAGCCAAAGCCGCAAGACGTGCATCCGAGGACGTCTGGCTATTGGATGCCCATATCTTCTGCGATGTCTGCAGCGCATGGTACTCTCGCCCAGTAAGAGGATCGTCGTCCCTTCCAGGCACTGAAATGCTTAAAGGACGCCGCAGACGAACGGAGAGATCCAAACAAATCACCATGGCAGCCAAAAGAAAGTCGTGCATGGTAAGGGAGGATACCATCCATCGGTCGTCATACAGACGCCCTCCAGGCTGAGATGCTTGACTTAGATCTGCCTGGCGGGCGAGAATGTCGAGAGCTGCCTCGGCACATGTTCGCCTGGAGTGCTCAAACCTACGGCTGTCAACCTCGTAGCTAATGTATCGCCGATGGAGAACGATAAGACCCTTCAAGTAGAGCATCTCAAGTGTGCATCTCTCGAATATGATACTCGACGGGTCCATAAAGGAGCGGCCAACGTCTCTCCCTCTCAATATTTCTGGCAAGGCGCTGTATGCTTCCCTCATTTCATTATCCAGCATGATCGTATTGTCGTAAGTCGGGAGAGCTAAAGACTGAGAATGCGCCACAATCTTCTTGAACACTGCCATGATGCCAGACTTGGCGATTGGGTATCTGATGGGAGTGTTTTCGAATAGAGGTCGCCCCGGAGGTAGCGCTGTCATGCCTATATCGAGATCAGAGAATTGGAGGTTCCTTGGCACCTTGGTGTCGCAGAATTCGGTGGGAATCATGCTCGGAAATCCCATCTGAAAGGACATTAGTGCGTCGACTTGAAATATGTTGTGCCAAACGCGCCGCCGCATCTCTCCGTCAAAGACTGACATGCCCGGCAAGCCATCTGGGTCATGATGGTAACCCATTCTAAAGGCAAGGCGAATCAAAGTACCCATCTCGAACCAATGATCCGAGCCGAGCTTGTTGAGAGTGAGGTAGCAGCTTTGGAGATGCAGTATCATAGCCTCTAGAGCATACGCGTTTGCATTCGGGAATCGCCCCAGAACGAGGCATTCCACTGTCCTCTGTTGCAACAAAGTGGCGGAAGGACCTGTAGATTTGGCTTCAGCCGGGCCGGCGACATTGCGAAGAGTTGTCGTTAGGCTGAGGACGGAAAAAAGCAGAGCGATCCAAAGGGGGGGTGCTTTCAACGGAGCTTCCCAGAACTTTTCGTACTGTATTTATCGCCGTATTGTTAGTGGCCTCGTAAAATGAAGATGTGGTTACTACTCTAGATGACTGACCTCCTTTTGGAATTTGACCGGATGCAAGATGCCTACATGCAGACTCTATTAGCGACCGAATGTCAATTGCAGAGCCAAAGCTGGATTCTCATGCACTCACCCAACACCATGAACCTCGCGTTGAAATACTGCGCAACGAGAGCGTCGCATATCGGTCGCGAAGGCAAGCTGCTAAGTACCTCTTCCAGGTCGACCACCGGAAATTTGCCAAACATAAATCCGACGCCTTCCTCCGGGGCAACGCTTTTGCGCTCCGGCTCGTCCTGAACCAGAGGGCGGTCAAAGGCTGAAAGATGCTCTCGAACCTCTTTGATTTCCTCCAAAATGGCTCTCCAATGGCTGGGATCAATGTAGTTGATTTGGCCATCTCCTGATTCATGGCGATGGGGCAGCTCAGGCGGTAAGCATTGATCATCCTGGCGACTTTGAGTTGATTTGCCAGATTCTTGAGGCTGTTTGTATGATGCTGACGTTGTGATAGCGTTGAACGAAGCGTGTTTGCTGGGCGCAGCTCCAATTCTAATACCAGCAGCAGTGGGATTCGCCGCAATCGAAGACAGCATGCTCTCCAGGTTATCCAGCCGCTCCTGAATGTTACCTACTTTGGCAGGGCGAGGCTTGTTCCGGATGGCATTGGGAGCATAGCGGCATAGTGATGCTTGATTTCGTCTGGTGCAAGCCTCGCATGGCTGGCCGCGATTGCACATTTGCCTACGAGAGGTGAGTGTGAGCTTCCTACCATGTTTTCGCTTTGGTTTCATCTGGAGAGCTACTGTGTGAGCGGATGCTTGCTTACTTTCGAGCTCGACATGGTTCGCAAGACACAGGGGCCCGATTCCGCTTTTCAATCTTCCTAGGACCAAACTCCATTGTGCGACTCCGAAGGACTAAGAAAAGAAGCGCTTTGTTCAAAGAGAAGAAAATACGAGATTGGTGGCAGGAATTGAAAGACTATCCCTAAGCAAGACCGCTCGTTATCGGAGATGTTTGCGGAGTATTTAATGAACCCGTCGGGGATATTATTCCCGGTCAGGTCCAATCACGACTAATCCCGTTTGCATCCTCCACAATACCAAATGATGCTTTCTTAGCTCATCATGTCAGGATGGAGCGGCTGCTTGAGATGAAGCGCTATAGCGGAGATATTATCCCCGCTTCTCCACAGCAACCAGTTCATGCCAGTTGCCGCTCGGAGCTGAGTCGGTGATAGGAGCGGGAATCCTGCAAGTCGAGATGACGATGCCAAACTTGGGGCGAATGCGTGCTCAGGAGGACGGCTCTGCTAACAGAGGTATGATGTTGAATAAATAGACAAGCAAAGACGACAAAAACTGATTATTCAAGTTTGGCAACTAGATCCTCCTGTTCAGTGAGAAAGCAGCTAGTCACCTTTGGATTTCCTCGACACCCAGAGCCTACTCCAGCAACCACTCCAAGAACATATATTTTTTTTTAGCATCGAAGCAGCCATTATTTCGCCATCTGAATCGCAAGCTCAAGCCAGCATCTGATTTGAGAAAGCGGTATCCATATCCAAGGAGGCATAGAGAACAAAGCAAGTCACTATGTCTGCTGTTCATGGCTTTGGCTCTGTCATCTATGGCAGAGTCTTTGTTAACCTTCCTATTCCCTCGACAACAACCGACCTCTCCAATCACATCATGATAGTCACCGGCTCAAACAGCGGCCTCGGATTCGAATCCACCCGTCATCTCTCTCGCCTTGGCGTGGGAAAAATCATCATGGCTGTGAGAACTCCCTCCAAAGGAGAAGCAGCCAAGCAAGAAATTCTCAAATCCACCGGCAAGCTCGACTCTTCCATCGAGGTGTGGTCCATCGATATGGATAACCAAGAGTCTGTCAAAGCATTTGCTGGACGAGCATCTCTGTTGCCTCGACTTGACGGTGTCTTGGCCAACGCAGGCATCATGACGAGCCACTACACCCTCAGCGAGGAAAGCGAAAAGACTCTCAACGTCAACGTCATCAACACGTTTCTGCTCTTCTTCCTACTGCTTCCAACCATGCGCAGGTCGGAGCAACAAACAGGCAACGCGTGCCGCTTTGCAATTCCCAACAGTGCCCTGCATTACATGGCTCCCCTTGCTGAGCTCAATGACAAAAACATCCTGCATCGACTAAACGACTCAAAGCAAGCAGACATGTCTGGGAGATATCCCCTTTCGAAACTCCTCGTCCTCTACGCCGTACGAGAAATAGCAAAGAGAGCGAAGGGCAGATTCATCCTCAACACTCCAAACCCAAGCTGGTGCAAATCCGACTTGGCGAGGGAGACGGATTCAGCCGGGGCCAAAATAGCAGAGAAAATCCTGGCTCGCTCGACAGAGGAGGGTAGCCGCACTTTGGTACACGGCCTCCTCACAGACGAGACTAGCCACGGGCACTACCTAACCAACTGCAAGATTCAGGTGTAGGTCTTTATCAGCCTCTGTTTTATACACATTGAAATAGCTAATCAAATCTGCCCCAATAGGCCAGCGAAACACGTCACAAACCAGTGGGGTCAACAAGTGCAAAAGAGGTTCTTTGACGAGCTCCTCAGCAAGCTCGACACGATTTCTCCTGGTGTATCATCCAACCTTTAAGAAGACGTTTCTGCTCCTTCCATCGTTTATACGCAAACTATAAACAGCAAAAATTGTGATTGTATGGGAGAATATTCTCAGACTGGAGACGGTTGCTACATTCTCAGACCAGTCAGCAAGGAGAAATCTCCAAGATTGAACGCTACTTGGATGTTCAAGGGTGAGATAAGGCCTGGGCAAAAATGCTCGCCAGAGTACTGTTTAATCAGCGGTGGCATATTTGGTTCTTCAGCATAGGGTGTGCGTATCAAGGTACCAAAGGGCGATATATTGTTCAAAATACTACATATACCAGGGACCGTATAACAGAATTCGAGATTTAATGTTATTCATTTCGATAGCTCAAGTTTAATAATATTACAGATTTGATGAGACAATGGTTCTCTATCCATGGTAGATGGCTTACATTCTCGCCGACCTTTCAAACCCCTTCCTAGGCCCCGTTTCTTCTCTTCTTCTCTGTCGAGACAAGCGGCTTCTTGTCAACGTCAGGTTTTGCGCAAGTTGGTCTCAAGCTGGAAGTATAAGAGCTTTCTACTTTGACTGGTACCTTGAAGTCATAGATTGCACATGTTGATTATACCAAGAAACGATGACAATAAGTGGAGATCAAAAATTGTTCAAAAGTATGTTCATTACGCGTTCAGGAGGTATCTAATGCCACAAAAAATCACAGTGCAAAATAATAAAACAAGAAAGGAAAAGAAGAAACAAGAAGAAAAAGAGAAAGAAAGAAAAGACAAAACCGATAAAAGGTAAAGATATCCAAAAAGGGATCAACCCATCCAGTGTACCGTCTCTTACTTTATCCAAAACCCATCCGGAAACACGAATGAACTATGTCTCGTACAGAAGGTTGCCCAATCAAGACCCCGGTAGGATAGCCCACCTCTGTCTTAGAATGGCCCTTTTGGCTTGCCATTGTTACTCTTCAAACCGGACTCGTGTGATGATGGCGACGTGTCTGGCAAACTAAAAGAGATGGTAATAGACTGTCTCAGATAAAGAGATCCGACGACTGGTGCTGGACTTGTGAACAGAAGGCAAATGACTCAGCACAGGGTAAGCTGGCAAAGCGCCTCGTCCTGGGGATGGCTCTTTCAGACTTCTCGATCGATTTTCGATGGTTGGGTATTGACCAAACATAGTGTATCTCCTTTGGAGGCAACGATGTCTTTTTGGAAGATCTGTAGCCTTATTTCTCTTGTCTTTCGTCTTTTCCCTTTATTCCTCCTCCTCCTCCTTTCTATCCACATGTGCTCGTATGTGATTACGCTGCGCCCGCTGACACGGCACCCTCCAGCTTATAGCCCTTGAATTGTCTTGCGGGCACCTTCTTGTCGAAGAGTAGATCGAGTTCCTCAAACGTGCGACCCATTGTCTCGGGCACGCGGAAGTAAGACCAAACGAGGCAGATCAGAGCAAGACCACCAAAGAAGAAGCCCAGTTTGCCCTGCAAGTTGGCCTGCTCCGGGTTGATCATGTAGGGAATGGCAACGGTCATGACAATGCCCAAGATTCCTTGAGCAGCAGTAGCGGCAGCAATTGTCTTGGAACGGACGCGGGTAGCTGAGCATTCACCGAGCAAGACGAAGCAAACGGGGCCGATGGAGATGTCGTAGAAGAAGTTCCAGATGAGCATGAGTGACGACTCGGCCCAGATGGCACCTGAAGGTCGGCCGGGAATGCAATCGAGGATACCGATGACGAACTGGAGGACGACGAGCCATGCGAGACCCGACACAAAGAGCGTTCGGCGACCGAATTTGAGCATGAGAACCCAAGAAACAAGAGTTCCAACAAAGCCGACAGCTAGAATACAAAAAAGAGTGTATTAGTGAGGGAATCCGATTGGCAGGAATAACGACGACACGATAACTTACCCAAGAATCCAACGGACATGTTAAAGGCTTGGTCAGTGGGAAGACCAGCTTGCTGGAAGAAAAAGGTGCCGTAGTTGATGAGATAGATGCCGCTGAGAACCTGAGTGCAGTAGACACCCATGGAGATTTCGGTACGGCGCCAGTTGTCACCCTTGAAGCAGTCCCAGTATGTGCTACCAGCCTCGAGCTCCTGCTCCAAACGATCCGTCTCGACGATGAAGGCTAAGGTAGCTTGGACATTGACCTTGGGCGATGCCAATCTCCGCAATGACTTTTCAGCGTCTTCCAAGCGGTTCTTACGGACCAGCCACCAGGGACTCTCGGGGATGAACCACATGCCAGGAAGAATGACAAGGATCCAAAACCACTGGAGCAGGAAAGGGATCTTGTAGGCCCAGTGGTTGTTCAGCTTGGAAGTGCCAGCAGTGACACCGTTGCCCAAAAGTTGGCCAATGACGAAGCAAAGGTTGACAAATGAGGTGAGGTGACCACGAAGCGCCGTGGGACAGACCTCGGAGGCGTAAGCCGGAGCAATGACGACGAACATTCCCAGGACGAGACCAGCCAGAAGCTCTCCGGCAAGAAGAACACTGAGACTCTTGGAGAAGAACTGAATAAAGACGATGCCGGCGGTAAGGATGACGCACACGCCAAAGGTGAGTTTTCGACCAAAGTAATCCATGGGGTAAGCAGCGAAGAGGGCGCCGACGACCTGACCGATGGGGTTGCCCATTGAGAGAGCAGTCTGCCAAGATGCTTGAATTACCCACTGCAGGACAATAAGTCAGTATTTGTGCTTGGGGTAGAGAATGAAGAGCAAACACTCACATCACCCTTGTATAGGTGTCCAAAGTCACGAGCAAACTGGGGCGTTGAGTAGAGGTTTCCGATGAGCTGAGGATCAAAGGCAAGCATGATGACACCAATAGACACAAAGCCTGACCAGGCAATGGCCTTGGGATACAGCTTCAAGGCCTCGCTAAAGGTGAGCTCATGCTCGGCTCGAATAGCCTCGATGGCTTCACTAGTAACACCGCCATGCTTGAGATCGTGAACCGAGTCTGGCCGCGTCTCTTCGCGTTTGAGATCGGTTTCCGCCATGGCTGTGATGATTTATCGAGTCGTTTGTGGCGTGAAAAACTGACGGGTGGAAATATTATGAGACAGAAAAAACACCCCTTGCCTTGAAGCAGTGCCTGTTGAAGAGGACTGAAGTCGTCACCGCCGAGGTTGAGAACCGCCAGATGCAACCAACCTTGAGCAGGTGCAGATAGGCAGGACAGCGACTTCCGAGCTGTGCGAATCGCAAATCAGAGCTAGGGAATCATGGATATATACCAAGTAAGGAGGTGCACATGTGCTAAGGAGTGGAGTGCCATGGCCGATAAGGCTCCCGCCACTGTGCAACTGCTTGGAGTAGCTCTTGGACCGATGTAACGAGATTGCCACTAGAGACAGCCTATACCATGGAACAGGCGATGTGAAGGGGACATGAGTGGTACAAGAGACGAGCTGGGAGGCGCCGATGCCATCAGTCAGCCAGCTCGAATTACTGTAACAGTTAGGTCGATCAGAACTACTGGGTTGGATTGCACACCTTGTGGCTCTCCCCCAGCTAGCGAGCGTCTAGTGTGGTCGTTTCGAGATTGGAGAAGACATGGCCGATCCCACACGTTATCAGTTCAAGGTTGCTAGCGCGGCGCAGAGTCGTGCAGAGGACTGCAAAGCAACCATTAGCACGGCTCCTCGACGATTGTTCCACCTATCAGGGCGGCGGAGAGGTTGGCAGGGATATCTCTGCGCTGAAGAGTCTAAGGGAAGCTTAAAAAGAAACAATTTTAGGCTTACCAATGGAGGAAGGCCCCTGAAAAACATCGACCCAGGGTCATTCCATCCATCATGTACGAGTACAAGCAGTGTTGGGGTGAGACAAGCAAGCCATTTCCAGGGCGCAAAGTGGCTTGTTGGAGAGCAATAGCCGTTCTGCCCTGGACTTGTGGAGGTTCTCCGTATTACTGTACAGGGAAAGCCAAGAATGATTAGCGGGATGGAGGCAAAAGATGGAGAGAGAGGCAAAAAGAGTGGAGATGAAGACATGAAGAGGCGGGAGAAAACCCCTCGACCATTTGCGGGGGTGGAGAGTGTGTGCCTTCTCGTACTATGTACTGTACCGGGTATGGGTATGGAAGAAGAAAGAGAGTACCTTAGTAATGAAAAACTCGAGACAAGGATTTCTCGTTTGCCTATGGATCCTCCACTCCTCTCGTCAGCCTGACAATTCCGGCATCTTCCTTGAGGATTCGATTCGTTTTCTTGCGACATATTTTCTTGTGGACATGGCCTGAGTCACCAGCCGTTATCAAACACCAATAGCCAAGATAACAATCAGCTCGTTATCTCTGCTTCAATCTGCTCTCCTCGTCTTTGCCCGATTACGGCGGCAAGTATTTGCGGATCCCAAGCGGGCTTGGCTCCAGTTATTCGCAGTTATCCCAGGCACTATGGAGTACGAGATACGATACGGACGTGCTTACTGTGCCGTACTCGTGGTTGACCACGGCCCCCCGCACTCTAAGACCAGCCACAGGGCCCTACTCCAGAAGAAGCTACTTGGTACGAGGTCCAGGCACAGAGTACGAGATAACTGCAGTGGGGGGAGCTCTTCAGGTTAACGTTGCATTGTGGCCGCTCGGCCTGGATTTGCTCAGTGACGAGACCCGAGAGCGAGCCGGAGGGAGGCAGTCGGTTTATACTACCAGTGGCCGGGTTCCGCAGCTCCTAGTGACGGCACTGCAACGTGTTTTGCAAGCCTCGGACCCAGCTGTCAAAGCTCAGCTGGGCAATGACATGGCAGCAAATGCCTGTGAAAGATGTCTTGGCTCTGGGGTAGCTGGAGATGGTGCTAGCCACAGTAGCTGTTGCTAGCAGGCGGCTACCCGTGCTTGGCTGTGGCCAGCCGAGCTCCGATCGTGATGGGTGGACTTGGCGAATTCGGGAAAATGAGGGCCTTTAGCACATGAAGTGGGAACAAGGCATCAATGATACGGCTTCGACTTGCAGCGCTTCACGCAACGTAGCCTGGCATGGTGCTGAGCGCTGATCAAATGCTGAATGCTGAAGCAATGGATCTCTTAATGGATCTCTTTCGCTGTTGGATTCAGCTTTGGGCACATGTAGTCATTGGCTTCACTGGCTACATGTACTACGTGGGACATTGGTGACCATTGGACGTAAATGGATTCAATGAGATCATCTCAAGCCGGGCGCAATTGGGCAACGTGACATGATGACGAGAAACGACTCTTCCGGGATCTTGGCTTGATTGGTCCATTGATGTGCGTGGAAAAGGAGACGGAGAATAAATCGTAAATGCTACCTAGATCCAAGTATTCTCCCGATCTCGGCGTTACACGAGATGGCGCATTGACATGTGCAATCCATTGTTTGTCGGCCTCAACAGTCTCACCTGAGATTCATGCAACGAAACTTGTATGAAGGAGATTCCAACAAGTCTGATGCCTGCTAAAGGCGCTTATAAGGGCAAGCAAAGCAGCTGCGCTGATCAGAGTCATGCAGTTCGACCAAGGCCGTCCGGATTGATAGAAGCTACCGCGAGAGAACGAGGCCACTTAGATAGATCGCCGTCAGCTTGTTTGATCAAGGTCTTTCGGATCGTTCGAGGTCATCTCAATCAATTAAGTTCATCCCGTTCATGTTCGTTAGTATAGATGGAACTAAGCTAATAGTCAAAATATGAACAATGTGGGATAGTCATTGACCATTGACACAACCGCTATCTTGGCATCTTCTACCCATGTGCTTACTATCTATGCGTATTCTATTATAACTTGGACTGCCCTCTCTGAGCTATAACAGGTCCAATTTCATCCGCTAGAGCGAGAAGCTTCTCATCTTCAAATCTTTGACCAATCAATTGAACAGATATCGGCAAGCCATGAAACTTTTCGGCATCATATAGCTTCTGGATTGAAAGATCCAGCTCGTCGTAGCAGTCCTCAAGCTGCATCCCAACATCTATACTCTTATCCGCATTTTCGTTCAATGGTATCGAAATACTCGTCCAGTCTAGCAGGTTTATAATGCTGGTAAAGCCAAGCCAGGTATAAGTGTCAAAGGGAACAGCAGTATGCGGCGCATTGACAAACAGAATACCGTCAAGTGGTTTGCCGTCGTGTCGCCAATATCCCTTCATCAGCATTGCCATGCGAGCCACTTGGAAGTTTAACTCGTGCAGATACTCGACTGATAGTTCCGGATGCGCTGATTTGCGAGTGATGAATCCCATTGCTTGGACAATCTTGGTGTGCGGCTCTGATTCTAGCAGTTTTCGCATATGTGACAAATCCCCAAACTCTGCAATCTCCTGCAATAAATCCCATGCCATTCGAAAGGGAGGAGGCGAGAGCTCAATGACCTCGTAGCCAGCTCTCTTGAGCCTATCAGTTGCAAGACGAAGACCTCGGGCAACGGGTGGGTGAAGATGTAGCTCATCAATCTTGAGCCACACGCCGATTCCTGGCTTGACGGGAGAAGCGATCTGCATCCAAGGATGAGGGTATAAAAATGGACTGTCGTTCCACGGCTTCGCCTCTGCCATGACTCTAGCCGCGAGCCTTGCATCTCTCACCGACCTCGCCAGAAAGCCGCTGACGGCTGGCGGTCCCAAAGACGTGATACCCATGATGCCTTTGCCCAGGATTCTCTGGCCGTCAATCGGGATCCTGTATGCGCTGGGCTTGTATCCGACAACTCCACATACCGCCGCGGGCATGCGCACGCTTCCTGCTGCGTCTGTTCCAAGTCCCAAGGCAGAGCCGCCCATGGCAATCAACGCGCCTTCGCCTCCAGAGGATCCGCCTGCTCCAAACTCGGCGTTGTAAGGGTTCACCGTGCGTCCAAAGACAATCGAATCCGTGTCAGCAGTCAAGACGGTCTGAGGAACGGCCGTCTTGCCGATTATGACGCAGCCAGCATCGAGCAGCATCTGCACTGCCTGGCTAGTCGATTTGGCTGGTTTGAAGCACAGCGCCGTGATTCCCATAGAGCTGTCGTATCCCTTGATGTAGAATTGATCTTTGATGCTGATGGGAAGGCCGTGTAGAGGGCCGACGGTCTTGCCATGTTTCTTGAACTCGGAATCCAGCCACTTTGCTCTCTCAATGGCTTCTGAAAACATGATTTCCGTCAAGCAGTTGGTTAGCTGATGCGCAACGGCGGCGCGTTTGCAGAATGACCGAGCAACATCTTCAGCCGTGACTTTGCCGGTGGAGAGCAGAGCAAGCAAGTCGGTTGCATCGCGAGCAGGGTTTGTGAGGGCCAGATCGTGCTCTGAAAGGACTCCGCATCGAGGAAGAAAGTCTATGGGTCTAGTTCCAGAGGGAAGAGGTTCTGCTAGACGCCATTCGGAGGGGATTTTGGAGCCCCGCTCGGCGCGTTTACGAGCAGTGATGTCCTGCCAGGATTGAGGCATCTTGTGAGTTTGAGAAGGTGAAGAGCGATGAAAGGATAAAGATTCAGGGGATCATTAATCTAATAAATCACTGTCTGTGTGTTGCTTTCAAAGAAGAGACAAAGTTCCCACATGCCATGAGCTTATAGGAGCACTTGGACGCTGGATTTAATAATCAGCTAGTGCCTCGGCAGGATGCGATGAGGCGTCGTCAGCATTTGAGATGGAATGTTGACATGGACAGGAGAGATGGAGCGGATCAACCATTGACCGATAGGATTGGAGCAAAGATCGACATGTTCAATGAGGCCATTCTCAAGATGAAGCGCAGTGAGAAATACTTGTCGCTTGGTGGCCACGCCGCCGCAAATGCAGGTACCGCGATGCACTCATTGGCCATGAGATGCACAGGTGAGGGTACTTTGTGAGTACAGAGACGCCATATGAGGTGAATTGAATCTCACCGTCAGCAGTACTGTGCAGCTACTTGGCATTTCATGCGATACAACACTATCAGGCGTATTCAGAAGACCGGTCAAACGTGACAGCCTGAGGGAAGTGTCGCTTCCAAATCTGCTTCTTTGATGAAAAAAAAAAAAAAGCCACCACACTCACTTATGGAAATGAACGAGTGAGTGCCTGGACACCGGGTGTGGTCGAACAACCCCTCTCATCTCCAACTTTTCTGAGGCGGATAGCATTGCTCTATCTCTAGACTTTGGTGTCGAACACATCTACGTCCTTTTCCCGTTCAGATATCCATGAATGAGCAGCTCCAGGAACAGATGGATCCCAACCTGTATGTACGGCTCGTGTCTGCTAATCACCATCTACCCAAGCAACTGAGAAGTTTCCAGCAGTAGCTCAGGAGCATCCAGTTTCATCGACAGGACAAGATGGAGGAATCAGAATGGTCTCCTGCCGCCCGGAGAAAGAGCTCACCTTCTCAGCTCGAAAAGAGAGGAAGATTCTATGCCGCCGAGAGGACACATCCGCCGTACCAATTTTGAACGTACATTGAAGCCTTTGCTTGTCAACAATGCATCCACTCCATCAAACGATAAGTGGCGCCAGACGCAAATGCAGGCACAGATCCAGATTTCAAATCCTACTTCGAGATTTCTCCAGCCTACCAGTCAAGCATCCAGTTCACGTTGTCAGAATGAGAAAAAAACGTACGTTGCCAATTCAGTATTCTGCATTGATACCCTGTACTAAATCTCGATTACTGACACAATCGCTCTAGGGTATCACGGCCATTCTGCAATTCGCTTCCCATATTGAAGAAAAAGGCAGACTCCCACATGAATGCAGCGGGTTGTTTGGCGCCTGCATTGGCGTTGGAGCCCAACGTGCCGTGGCTGTGCAAACGTTGATAGGTCAGCCTTGGGTATCCAAGGATTGTTTTCGGTGTCCCTCAGCTTCCTCTCCTAAATCTGCTGAACATAGTATCGACATTTGACTTGGATCAAAGTATTCCTAACAGTGATGGACACCGTCAGCTCGAAGCGCGGCAAAAGAATCCGGGCCGACGACAGCGACGATGCAACCTCACTGCAGACACCTTCCAAACGACCAAGAACTGAAGAGAGCCTCGTCAAACTGCGATATGACAGCTACACGATCGCCTGGATTTGCGCCCTCCCCATCGAAATGGCCGCCGCCAACGCCATGCTCGACAGAATCCATCAAAAGCTGCCTTTAGATGCAAAAGACTCCAATTCCTACATCTTAGGCAACATTGGACCACACAACATTGTTGTCGCATGCCTCCCCGCAAACCGCTATGGTACAAACCCTGCTGCAGTTGTGGCTACCAACCTGGCTCGCACCTTTCCCTCCATCAAGGTCGGGCTGATGGTAGGAATCGGTGGCGGAGTCCCCGGCAAGGTTGATATACGCCTTGGTGATATTGTCGTCGGCAATAGTGTAGTGCAACATGATCTTGGTAAAGTCGTCCAAGGTTCCCGGGTCCATCCAACAGGAGTGCCAAAATATCCTCCAACCAGACTCTCGACGGCTGTATCGAGGTTGCAAACAAATCACGAATATACCTTCAGCAGAGTGCCGACTATCCTTAAAGAAATGCTCATAAAGCATCCGAAAATGATCGAATACATCCATCCGAGCTCATCGCAAGACAAGCTCTTTCGCGCTACCTACTCTCATAACCCAGAAATTGTTAGCTGCGACAGCTGTGATACGTCCATGTTAGTTAGCCGCCATCCTCGAGAGGACAGCAACCCTGTCATTCATTATGGTAATATTGCTTCTGGGAACCAGGTGATGAAAGACGCCATCTGCCGAGATGAGATAGCTCGACACCATGATATTATATGCTTCGAAATGGAAGCAGCTGGATTGGTTGATACTTTGCCATGTTTGGTGATCCGAGGAATCTGCGACTACTCAGATTCACACAAGAATAAGCAATGGCAACGATATGCAGCAGCGACCGCGGCGGCTTATGCAAGAGAATTGCTGATAGAAGCTATACCGGAGATTGTGATGGAGCCGTCCTCGGGGTCTGATGAGCCATGTTCAGCCGGTATACAAATTCCTTTGTGCGTACTTAATGAAGTGTGTCGGCTAACCGGCCAATGCATAGAGCCAGAAACAACTTTAGCTGCGCGGCTGGCAACAGGTACACAATGGACTGCTCTCAAGATACTGGAATTCTTTCGTGTCTTGGCCCAGCAACAATTCTACAAGCAGGTGCCACTCAGCCCAGTACTTGTGATCGACTCTAGGGGCTGCCGCTTACCCTTCCATCTGGAGACGGTTGACTCAAAAGAGGTAATTTGTTTCACGCGTATGGAATCTGAGAAGGTGTCACGCTAACGTCTCTCTTAGCTCTTCGTCAAGATACTTAAGCATAGATTTAAAGATCTGGGGACCAACAAGATAGAACGGGGTGAATGGATTCTAGAAGATCAGCAAAACGGACAGCAACTTGATCTTTCCAAAGAATGGCAGTCCGTCATAAAGGTCCTGATCTTTTTTTGCACTTTAATGGTTGCAATTACTGACCGATCTGGACAGCCGAACCAGGTGCTTAGAATGAGCATGATATTCCGAAGGCAAAACAAAGGCTCCACGAAATGCCCATCTTGCGGTTTAATGAATCCTGGCCTCTCAACTGATACAATTCAATGGTATGCTATTGACAATTTCTCGCGAGCAGCACTACCTTGCCATGGCCCTTTCAAACCACGACCTTCACGATTAATAGGGTAGTACTAACGATGACAATAGTCGCAGATGCTCGTTGAACTACAGGCGAATAGAAGAGATACATGACATCCAAATAGACGAGGGTTGGATCGATACTGAACCAGAGGCTGCACAAGCCACGAAGAGAAATGCCCCAGGTTTGTTCCAAAATCCTAGGCCGCTGAAGTCTCAAAGTCCAGAAGACGATATCGGGCGATACAGGCACGTTCAACTAGTAGACATTGACTTCAATATTGGCCCAACAACGGCAGACCAACAAGTTATGGAGAAAACACGAAAATTTAGCTTGGTGGATCTGGTAGACACCGACAATTTGGCAGAAGAGCTCGCTCGTATGTACGGCTTTTCTGAAGCAGATAGCCTCGCTCTATCCCGGGAAATTGATTCACAGCAAGCTAGCATCCATTTTCCACAGCCACCATCATTTTATTGTTCTGGCAGATCAGCTAGTAGAAACATTTCTTCAAACACATTCGGCGCGCACGCTACAATTTATCAAGGAGATATCCATGATGATGGCGACGTAGAGATGGCACAAACAAGGAAACGACTCACTAAAGACGGAGAAGAGAGAAATGAATTCGAGGTTGGGCTGCAGAGACTGGTCGACACTTTGCCCGCATCAATTCACGAGCATCTGCAGAGCGCTTTGCACAAGCTTGTAGCTGATACCATCGCCGAGAAAAGTAAGTATACTTGTTTCCTGTATTTGACAGATAATGAAAGCTAACTCGAAGCTGAATAGACCTGTTTGCACTGCCATCAATTCCCTTGTCCCCAATCCAACATCACAACAAACCGTACAGCACATACCCGCCTTAACCGAGAACGATATCGTTAACTTTCTTCAGACGCCCAATCCAATCGAAGACCATGATTCATCTAGGAGATATCGACGACGACGACGACGACGACGACGACGACGTATTGAACCCGGCTGCCGAACAACTTACAATATTTTGGGCGTATTCGGCAATAACACTACAATTCATCAAGGAGATATCGATATATCTGCTATATATGGGAGAGAAATTGTCCTTCAAACACATTTGGTGATAATGTTACAATTTATCAGTGAGGTTTTACAGGGACCATGTCTTAATTTGCTTGTACAACGTCCGGGAGAAGAGACAAAGATTAAACACGGGCCCATACAAATGTGCCGGGTGTTCTTTAGCGAGCAACGAAAGCCAAGTAGAGAAAGTCTTCGACATTCAAGATTGATATAGTTATCACGCTTAAAGAGGCAGCATATTGGGCGGCCATGTTGGGCAGCCATATTAGACATCAACACTCCTCCCCTGCCATTCATACTGTCCAGAGTACAAATTTTCCCCCATGCAGCCCCCATGTACGGACTAGAAGATGCAGCTGCGACAATCGTTAGCCACATTGAAGTAGAAGCCTTCTCAGTACGATCTCCAATAGAGACGCCTTGATTAATTTATTAGAAACACAGCATATATTGTTGACCGAGTCGCTGTGTAGTCTGTATGCCTACTTAGCTGATCATGGATGCTATTGAGGCCCGACTGACGCCCAACGACTTTCAATGCCATATCTCTTTCCGGCTCCCCTAAGATATTAGTAGCTACTATACCCGAGCTGCTTGGAGCCAGACATAGGGCTTTCTGAATCAACGAGGCACCTGAGTACAGAGTTTCCTAACCAAGCAAAGCCGACAGTGGAAAGTTGACACATTCTCAGCTTCACTGCTAAGAACTTTGAGCCCAGATCAAGTTCACGTTTCTCCCTTCAAAAGGTACATGTAGGTAGGCTAATTGCCCTGATCGTCCGGATTACGATACTGACCGACATAATAAGGCCTTCACCATGGCTGCGAACGCGCAACAGCAACAGATCGTAGTTCCAGACCGTCCACATTTCCAAAGCTCCGACTCGCATATCAACTTGGGCAACATCATCGACATGAATAAGCTCCTCAAGATTACTGTCTCCAATGGTCTTAAAGCTATCCCAACGGTCGGCTCACTGCTGGGAGGCCTCATTACGGCGCTTTGGCCGGATCCACGCAAGCCCAGCCTGCGATGGGACGAAATTGACGGGAACGTGCGGATGATTGTCAAGGGTCTTTTAAACGACGACAAGGTCCGCGATCTCCGGCAAAGGATCAACTCTCTCCAGGACCTAATCAATAATTACAACCAGACGCCTTATGGGATTAGCCAAAAAGGCGAGCGGTTCACGTTCATCCTCAGCTGGCTCACCATCATCCGGCGCGAGTTCACCGAGAACGGCACCCCTTGGCTCACGCTCCAGTTTTTTATCCCAATGGCCACGCTCCATCTCGGCTTCCTCCGCGAGCAACTCCTGCACTGGGACCAAATCTACCCCAACCAACCCGCCGATACAGACCGTCTCCGCCGGGAACTCAGAGATGCCATCACCATCTACACCACCGCAGCCGACGGTATCCGCGAGAGATGTCTAACGTGGCGTCTGGACGAGCGAATTGTGGTGACGGAGAGAAAAGTCAAGAGCCGGCACCGCATACTTGGTTCTACCTACCACAAATTCGTACGCGACCTCGAAACCCAGTTCTCGCATGAGATCATATGGGGTCCAGAGTTCGGCCCGGGCCGAGGGTATTCCCCTGACCTGGAAGCGGAGAGATATGCTCAAGATCTGCGTGACGCGGCCGGGGCTGTCTATCGACAGCAGATTGACGACATCCTCGCGCCGTCACTGCAGTGGCCGCAGTTTGATCGGGAGGGGGCGTACGACCCTATCAATCGAGATATCATGGCCGGCACGACGGGTCCTATGGGCTCCGGCATCTCGCATTGTATGAACCACTTTAACGATCGCGAGTTCGCGAGGAAGCATGGGCGTATCACCAAGGTTGTGATTCATGCTTGGGCCCGCGTCGACGGATTCGAGATCTGGTACGGCGGTGTCAGTAGCGGTCTTCGTGGCATGTGCGGTGGCACGCCAAGGGTGCTGGAGGTTGGCGAAGGGCAGTCGATTGTTTGCATATCGGGTCGCGTGGGGGTTTACCTAGACTCGATCCGTTTCTTTTTGAGTCCCGAGACGCAGATCCAGGGTGGGCAGGGTGAAGATAATTTCCGAATCGGGTTCCCAGAGGATGGGCCAGGGGATGAACCAGACACGTTCCGCTTGCAGTATGTCTATGGTTGGTCGAACAACAGCTCGGGGTATATCGAGGGCTTTGGGGCAGCATTCCACCAGGTTGAGATTGTGTGAGACTGCCTGCTTCTATGGAAAAGATGTTCGTCAACTTTATATTTCGTTTAATCACAAGGACTTGTCATAGCTTGCCCGACGATGGCGTATTTCACTTATCATACTTGTTTTTCATCCCACCACGGATCCGTCTCATGCAAGTGCAGCGAGATTTAGTGCCAATACGGTTATTATGTGGTTGGCGTTATATAAACGAGAATTTAAATGAGAATAGAACTAGAAACACGATTAAGAAATAATAATACAAGTCTACTTCATGAATGGTTCAACTTGCTCCAAACACCAATCATACCAGATCTTTCCCAGGCCAGTTCCTCCTTCTTTTATACTCTTCGATCCCTTTTCAATATCTTCTCGAATCTTGGCAAATCTTCCCCACGGTATCGCTGTTGAGAAAAATACGATTAGCTCATGTCAGTTCAAAAGTTCGACGTCGCCGTTTCTCACCATAACTTCCCGACCTCTCCGCCGTCACTTCTGGAGAGAGGCCACAGAATAACTCAGAGTATGCACCGTTGATTGGGGGGAACAGGATGATTTTCTTGTTGATTTTGCTAATTAGCCCGTCTGAGTAATGTCTCTGGAGGTCGGATCTGAGGTTTCCCGGGTTCACAGCCTGCGACTTATCAGTATTCGTCAAATCTAGTCCATTGCCACATCTCAAACTTACGAGACTAATGACCCCATTGTCCTTGTACCGCTTCGCGTATTCTGCTGCCTGATAGTACACGCCAGCCTTGCTCACAGAGTACTTGTAGTAGGTGCTCTGCTCCTTTTTCGTAAAACCCAAGTTCTCTGGATCAATCCCCCCCTTGGGCGAACCCATTTCCGAGTATAGCGAGCTCACCCAGACAACTCTCACCGTGTTGGGCGTACTCGCAGGGTAACTCGCAGCAGTTTTCGCCAACAGGGGTGTCAAGAGTTCCGTGAACAGCAAATGGCCAAGATTGTTCACACCGATCTGAAGCTCATATCCCTGCTTTGTCGTGGATCCTTGCGGCGGATGCATCACACCCGCATTGTTGAACAAGACATCGAGCTTTGGCTCTCTCGTGATGAACTCTTTGGCCGACTTTGCCACGGCTTCCAAATCCGACAGGTCGAGAGCAAGGAATTCGAGGCGGCCGGTGGAAGTAGGAAAGGCTTTGCGGATACTTTCGATGGCTTCAGTGGCTTTGGCTTGGCTGCGGGCAGCGACATAGACGGCGGCGTTTTTAGAGTAGAGGATTTGTGCGAGCTCTTTGCCGACGCCCGTGTTGGAGCCGGTGACGATGTAGACCTGTGCTATCCATCAGCACTTCCGCAGACCAAAAGAGCCATGTTGGATGCTTCATACCTTGCTGGACAAGTCACCAAGATTATGCTCTGTAAAGGCCGGCTTCGGCGGCCACATCTGAGTTATAACGCCCATGTTGTCAGTGGTGGTTTTCCAACCTGTGTGATGATGGTGGATAGAGTTGCTGGCGAGGCGAAATCTTGGTTCAGCATATCCCTATATATATGCCAAATCCTCCCTTTTCAATCTGAAGCTGCTTCATCAATCCAAATGGAATTCGGGACACTAGTCGGCTTTTTTCTCCGAGCTTCTCTGCAGCGATTCAGCCTCCCGACGCAACGCCAACCACGGCATTCGGGCAGCCACGCGATTATCTCCACTAATCATGATCCTATTTCTCGTTATCGGCATGAATAGATGGTCAAAGTTCGAAGCTAGCCTGTGATTGAGATGATGGGCGTCCGATTGTAGAATAAATGGCTGACACCTAGCTCCCTGACATCGGGATTGTGGCGGCCGCTTTTGCGCTAACGAGCGGCCGCTTGATGGAAAGCAGATCTCTGCTTCGTTTCGCCTTTTATCGGTTGCTTCCATTGAAGGCCGATACTTTCTGAAGATGTACGCCATAGTGGAAATCTAGGTACCTCTTGGAGCAATCCTATTTTCACCGCGGTGCTCTACATCACAAGCTACGTACGTTTACCCCCAAATCGCAATCGTCACACCCACATACCAAAATACAGTATAGCGTATGGGGAAAGGAAACCTGTATCGTAATACAAAATCTCACATTACAACACTATAGACTATCAACCCATATCAATTCCTTTAAAAAAAAAAAGGGGGGGGGGGGGGGGGGGGCATTTCTGGTACTTCCAATTTAATATCAACACTTTTCACAGGCCGGCTCGTTTAACCAGCTCGTCAGCGCCGGGTTGGGTGACCAGAATAGCTTCAATAACTTCCTCAGCCTCAGACTCAGTCTCGGGGTCGGTCTCCAACGCAGCAGCAGCTATCGCAGCCAGCCTCACCGTAGAATATGCTGTCGCTAATCTTCTCGATCATTCTCTTATAGTTCTCGTAGCCCGCAAATTCATCATCGTCAAAGTTAACTTCAGCAGCCGGCGCCTCTGCCACCTCTGGCGCGTCTGACGAGAAGAAGGTGCAAATCTCATCGAGGCTGGCGCCGTGTGATAGCTCTGACAATAACGGCGGATCGAAGGGATTGTCGCCTAGGAAGGGATTCATTATGATGTGGAATTTCGTGTTCTTGAAGGACAAGACTGAAGGGCAAGGCTGAAATCATAATATCATAGTCTTGTGTAGTGTTGCAAAATATGTCCAAGTCTGATTCGATGGCATCTTTTTTCTTCCCCATATCTACCTTGTCGTAGCTATGGGCGCGTCATTCCTATTTTGGTTTCGCCGTAGGATCTCTCGAATAGCCCAGCGTCGTTTTCGCGTGGGCTGTGCTCGTTGATTGATTTGTCGCGTGGCTAATCGTTGATGGGAGGGAGCGCGCTCGTTCTCGTCAAACCAAGAAGACGATGGACCAACTCATTCGCGTCGTATCTAGAATCTAAGATGACTTGGCGAAGCGATCATTAATGGGGGCAAGTTTGGAGCAGAACCTGCGAGGTTGTGACAAGCAGTCAATGGCTGGCGTGCTTTTACTGTGTTGGCGGCAAAACATCAAAGAACTGGCGTCTCCAAATGACTTCAAATATCTAGTAGCTACTCGGAATACATTTACACGCCTCTCAATTGCCAGCGGAATAATTTACTTGCCTATTGGTTGCCCCATGCAATCTGCTTCGTCAGAGGTGGCAATTCTGGCACGTTCATTACAACGAAAGAGAGAGAGAAAGTGACGGCAAACAAATGTTGATTGAAAAAATCACCAACTACCAACTACCCTCAGCATCATGCTACCCGAGCCAGCAGTCCACTGCGCGAACACAGAACTTGATCAAATGAGGCCTCGTAGAATAAATCATCGACCACCAGGATAAACATGCCAACCAAAACAAACAGAAAAGATCAAATGAGGCCTCGTAGAATAAATCATCGACCACCAGTATAAACATGCCAACCAAAACAAACAGAAAAGATCAAATGAGGCCTCGTATAATAATCATCGACCCCCCGCCTGAAAAAATCCCAAACCCTTCAGATGCATCCCCACCCCCCCCCTCCCACATCAACCAACAACGAAGACCGTTGGAAAAATGCCAGGTGTCTTTGCGTAGCTTGGTCATGCCAAAGACGAGCGGTGCCAGGCAGCGAAAGAATTGTGTGAATGTCAAGTTGTGGCGTGGTGCGAGTGTGTCTCATCCGCTTGGCGTTGGAGGAGAGGCTTGGTATGTGGAATTGAAACAGGATTTGAAAAAGGAGCAAATGGCTCGGGTGTGTGGATTGACCAAGGTCATCAGTGTGATTGTGAGACAGACTGACCGGCAAACCCCGTCATGCGAAGTTCTTCAAGGTCGACTGGTGAGTTGTATTGTATTGTGTGTCGCTGACGCTGTGGCGCAGTGGAGGGTGCCCTGAGAAGTTGATTTCTTCGAAGGAAGGGGATGAACTGAGGCCTCAATAGACGATGGACTCTTCGAAATCCCAGACATCAATTGACTCTTCAAAATCCCAAACATCATCGGGGAGAGCTCCCCAAGATCACCAAGGGAATCTTCCCTGGCCGCAACGAGGTTCAGTCCTCTAGTAGTCCTCAAACCTCGCCACGACCAAGGAAGACGCTACTTGGTGATGAGGAGAGAAGAAGAGAAAAGGAGAAAGATTCGAGAGGGGGGGAGAAGAATATATGTATCCAGGAGGGAGGGGGGAAACAGGCCACGCGTCCTCTTCGCTAACGGGCCACCTACCTACCTATTTGCTTGGAAAGTACGCCTGAACATCAGATGAACGCACCATTCACTGGCGAGGAGGGGAGGCTGCCCCAGGCATCCGTGCAGCCTCCTGCTCGTATTCTTATTGCTCGCCCGCTCATTCGCTCGGTCTTCGCTTGCTGAGACGAGGTGAGCAAGTTTCTGAGAGACAGGAGCGGTGAAGATGATCTTGTTGGGGGGGAAAGTGAGTTGGTTTTGCCGAGTTTGTATTTGGTACGGATTCTTGGCGAGTGATTGCTTGTGTATCGGGAGAGCGGAGGGAATAACTCGGGTACTGGTGACCATACTGGTTGTTTTGTAGTGCACTGAGGCCGTAGTGTGTGCTGGTGTAGGAGGGGATGGACAGAATAGTGGCAAATGGCTTGGCGTTGTGCAGGGAGAGATGGTGTAAGTATCGATGCAGCATGCGTATCATCACCTTTAGGATAGATGGGTTGCAAGAAACATATTGATTCTGTCTACACGAGATCAGATTGACATGTTGTAATAATAGCACGGTTGGATTGGTGCTTGATTCATCGCAGTTTGCTTCAGGGGGCAACGATGTGCGTTACTGTTGCTAACCACTATGGTCAGCCATCATCAGGCCGTAGCACATACTGTAGATGGCGGAGATGAACAAGAGTCACTATGGTCTAATGAATGAAAAAGAGACGAAGATATTTTCGATTGGGCACATCAGGCTAAATAAATGACTGGTATCAACACATGGTGTAGCAGTATTCCAATCTACGCATTCGGCTACCCTGAACATTAGGGAGCCACAGCACCTTTGGATATATGGGAAGCTTCAAGTACTACTGCTCTACCCATTCCCTTCACCCTCCAAATTATTAACAAACATCTTCACAGCCTCATCCGCAGCCAACTGTTCTGCAAGTTTCTCGGCACTCAAGAGCCTCAGCGTGGTAGGCTTGCGGCGTCGACTAGAATTCCACAGGCCGACTTTAGCTATGCCAAGTCCCATTCTATGGCGATGGAGGGCATCATTTCGACAGATTATGTGTTTGTGAGGCTCACGTCGTTAACTTCAAACACTTTAGCGTCGCATTTACCGTGGATTCGACACCATTTGGCGTATGAATATTAGCACGGCTGCAAGAAGGGCGCATCTTGTGCACTCCTCGTTCCATCAGCGATGGAGGCCTGTAAACGTCCAGGCTAGCGGATGCTCCATATGTGTACCCCAGAGCTTGGATATCCTTTGTCTTGTCTCTTACGTTTGTGTATATCTGACGACACGGATCGTCGTAGCTGAGGTTGGTGTCGTCGACGAAAGGCTGGGGAGGGAAGTCGGAAGCGAAGTGGTTTTCGGAATGGAACTCGATGAACCGCCCGCCATTGAATCCTTGTTAGCGTAATAGGACAAGAAGATGGGATCAAATGCGGTGGATGTGTTGTCAGCCTGCAGATAAAGATGTTAAAACACAGTGCAACATTAATGATTTGGGGATGATTCTTACCATATCCGGTCCCCTCCAACCCTGGAAATTGACATAAACCTGCTAGAAAAGGCCATGAAGTCCAAACGACAAGGATAGCAACAGCCAATCTGATTCTTAGAGAGTTTATGGATATTTGTCCACGGGATATCAAAGTGCTTCTTCTTTCGGATGAGGCAAAGGTCGATTACCTTGGAGAATTGGTGATTTGCTCATGGTACAGCTTCATTATACCAATCTTTTCTTTCCACTTAGGTAGCGACGGCCCCCATCAAATTTTCCCTCTGGAGATGGATCGTACTTGAAGAAGTTTGGTTGAACTCTGGTGCTTGTGTGAATATAGATTTTCTCGAAAAAGCTTGGAGGATTTTCTAGAATCAACAGAAAATCCGGTCCAATACGGGATGGGAATACCGATGATCGTTTCAGCAAGGGCTTTGTGCTGAAGAATCTTGGCTTTCTGGCAGTGCAGACACACTATTCTGGCAACGAAATGCAAGTCTAGAGGGTTTGGTAAGTGTTTGCAAGGCCAATGGTCGTACTCGCGATCATTACTATCGAATGTCGTATTTGGGGGACATACAGAAATAGATTTGGCTCCAAAACCAAGCCTCATAATGGAATTGAAAGTATTGCCTGAGAACAGCCCAGCGAAGGTGCTGAAACTGACTTCTTTATCTTTCGAAGGAAGTTCCTCGAGTGTTTGCGTTCTCCGAACCCCATGGGAATCCCCGACCGATGCGTGTAGCATGCGCAAAGGGGTTTCGCCTTTGCTGGGCAAGATTTTCTTGGAGAGTACATCTCCATATATCACCCTCTTTGCTGTCGACTTTTCGCCTCCGAGAGACTGCTGAGGGAGTTGCAGGGTTTGGGCAGGCTGTTGCAGGGTCGACTTCCTGAAGGAACAACCCCCCCTGATCTTTGGCACCTGGGGGGTGAAGTTCATCGGAAAAGGATATGCTTAACTTGGAGGCGGCTATCCAAAACCGAGGTCAGAGGAGGCCAGGAGTAATGACATGAGGGAAAAGATTTTGATGGGCACTTACTAGCAGAAGTGAAGAAGTCGCTTGTCTCGAGAGCTTCTAGTTGTAGCGTGATTCTCGGGTATTATCCAGACGCCGGCTCTGGAATGCCCTTGCAAGCGTGTGCCGGAGGCAAATGACGACGCTGACTGTGTGTTAATCAATGATGTTGCATCGTCTGGGAATACCGAGGAGATGCAATTCCTAATGAGAATTTTGATGAAGGAAGAAAGTCTGAATCGGTAGCATTAGGTAGTTGCGTATTCATGGGGGCACAATGAGATGCAGCAGAGATTTTTTTTTTTCTTTAAGAAATGCAGTTGAATTAATTGGCGAAGATTGAACGAAGCTGAAAAGAAAAACAAATTGACAAAGAGTTTCAAAGTGGTTGGTGAAGAAACGGCGTTGAAAGATCGAGGTCAAGACGTCAAAGAAGAAATCAAAGAATCCGGCAATTGATCTCGAGCCTCCGAAAATCAATTCGAACGAGTGCCAGAAGTTGTAGCTGGTACGTACCTTTAGCCTCTAGCCTGTTATGGGATAAACGGTGGATTTAACCCACTTTTTACCCGCGACCGGTCGCTTTTAGCGCGTCGCTTGTGATGCGCTAAAGTTGGTGACAAATAACACCGCCGCTGATCACACATAAATCTAGTGCCAGACCGGCGGTGTTTTCTGTCACCCGCATGGCGCCTTAGTTAGCATCGAGTACTTGGGTACCTTTTAATTCTTCGCTCTGGCGGTGGATTTGAGGGTGGATTTTCAATGTCCACGTCTTCGCTCTCTCCAAACACAGCATCTATGCATTTTTCTTCTTTCTCTCTCTTTTTTCCCCCCTGGAATACAAGGAGCCCCCACCGGAATATCAACTATTTCGAGTTAAGGAATCGATGTTCCACACCTGGGTGTACGCTAAATGTGACACCGTTACGATAACCCATTCTCGAAAGAACGTTGTGCCCAAGGTCCACTACGGCATCATCGGTTGTTGCGGTTCGAAAGTGGAGAACGTTGTCATACGAGATCAACTAGCCCTTACGCTCGGGCACAGATATGGGCTCTCTAAAAGGCAGGTTGAAGGAAAGCCGGATCTGAATGTTATATGCATTAAGGAGGGAGCGGCTGGTTGGAACGATATAAGCATTCCATGGTTGGCGATCCAAGGAATCAGCAACTACTTAGATGGCTGCGATAATGCACAATGGGAAGGGTATGCATCTGCAAGAGTGGCGGCCTGTGCCAAAGAACTGGTGATGGAAGCAGTGGTTCTTCCCTTTTAATGACTCTATTCTGCCGGTAACATGAACTCATTCTCGATTAAGTGTATATCAGAAGGCGTATTACGTGTTAGCCATGGGGTATTGTCCAAGTTCTAGTTTTTACACAATCAAGATGCTACATGTACATGGTCATCCCACGATATTTGACTCTTAGTGACGCTTTGTGACGCTGATAATCCGGTTGGCCTTGATCGAACGGGATGACCTCAATTGAATGGGTTGACCCCATCTATGAAAGACCAACGACTCCAACCTGAAGGTATGTTGGCTTCTCCTCGAGCCTCTTCTTCCACTCTCCACTCTGGAGCTCGTTCACGTCCCATGCCGCCCAAGTGAAGCGTCCATGAAGAAACTTGGCCTCTTCAGAAGCCGCCCAAACAGCATAATGGCCTGGCAGGTTTTCTGCATACCTATTCAGCACCTCTGTTACATTGAATAAATGGAGGAAAGGGAGGAAGCTGTCATACCATCATCCCAACTCATAGCATCCTTTGGAATTCCACTCTTCTGCACCGACTCGGTGTAGATTCCTCCGGGGTGGTAGCTCAGGATCTGCATGTCGTCGGGAGACACTCCCTGGGCGTACATCTGCACCAGAAGAGTTCCTGCATTCTTGGAAGCACAGTAGGCGGGAAATGCCTTGACAAATTCAAAATCGTGAATGGCCATGGTTGAGATGTTGACGAGCCACTACAAATACCCTCATATTAGTAAAAACAAAAAATCGATAGATACTCTCGCTGCTCCAATCAAAAGTAACGCACCAGCTTTTGGCCTGCAGCACGCTTCTTCTGGTGATAGAACCGGTGAATCAGATCCATGTTTGCGCCCACATTCGTCACCCAGCTGGGCCACGCTTCTTCGTATTCCAGGTCGACCAAAGTCGCCTGTTTGTGCGTCACAAACGCAGCATTCAAAACCAACACATCGACAAGAATGCCATCACTGTCAAGCTGTGCCCACGCTTTCTCCGTTGCCGGACGATCAGAAGCATCCAGGACCTGGCCGATGAATTTCGTCTTTGGATGCTTCTTCGAGAGCGTTTCGACGGCTTTGTCCAGGGCGCCTTGACGACGACCAGTGAGGATGACGGTTGCAGCTTGGGCTTCACCGAAAGCGTGGCAAATTGCCAGGCCAATTCCTGCAGAGCCTCCTGTCACGTAGATGACGCGGCCTTGCTGGGAGAGCTCGGGACGGGAGGGCGATATGGCTGCATAGGGAGCAGCGTGGATGGTCTTGGGGAGGGACGGGTTTTGAAGAATAGACATGATTGCAGTTGAATTTGTTCTTCACTTGTAGGCAGAAGCTATTATTATCAGTCGTCAGTTGATATTGGTAGAAGATGATTATGGGATGAATCGAGAAAAGTGTAGTATCGCCACGAGCGTAATGATTGTATTTATACATTGTGTCAAGCAGCAAAGTGTCATTCATCGGAGTGTCGTCCATCGGAGTATCGTTTATCGGAGTTATCACTGTGGGTTGCTGAATTATTGATTTGATATCCTGGATCATGAGCATGTCGGATGGTGTTTTCTACAGGGGGGTCCGCATGTTTTTCCTATTCCGGGCCTGGCGGATCTTTTGCGGGAGTTTGGATCGCGTTATTTCGCCCATCCACTGTGCAAGTCTTAAGTCCGGAACGTTGTGCGAATCTAACACAGCGATTCAAAAGAAAAATCATTAGTATTATGACAATATATAATCGAATAAATACAATCAATCATTAGATACGTGGGCAATGATGGCACTCATGATCTGTTCAGGCGCGTGTGCTGACGGCGTTCACAAGGTGAGTTTGCCCCATCAGTTCGGCCACAGACAAATTTAATGGACTGCAACATAGAAGACGGATAGGATTAGAAACCACGATAAAACATATTCCTCAATATCCGATTCTGCGGCATCATCTCAGTCCTACCGAATCACACCCCTGGCAAATCTTTAGCTGCGTGCTACAACAAGGCTTGAATGAGAATCATTTTTGGTCGGAGTTCCGCAAATCTTCCGCCAGCTTATAAACTACCGTCACATCAGCGGGTACCCTTTTTCCGACTCCATCTGAGCCTCATCGTTTACTCATACAGCCGCGTGTACCGGTACATCCAGAGCATACAGGATTTGAATCTTCCGCAGACTCCATCGTCCAATACCAACAGACGCGTCCGCAGACATGGATCTCTTAATCAGCAGAGAGGCCAATGCCAATCCCGACTCTAATCCCGAACAGCGCCGAAGAGCGTGTATCCCTTGCTCGAGTTCAAAGCGCCGCTGCGATATGGCCCGCCCGTCGTGCAATCGATGCTTAGATAAACAGCTTCCATGCCGATACTCTTCAAGCCGCCTCTACGCGCGGAGAGGCGTCAAGCCAAAGACGGGCGGAATTACGGAGCCGGAAGCCTCTCTAAACTCTCCGTTCTCCGCCTTGCTTGAGAGTGGTGACGATGACGGCGAGGAAAGCAATTGCAGCGGCGGAAACTATCATAGGAGTGCTGGTACTCATAGTAGTACTGCCAATACGCCGTATGCCACTGCGTGGTTTCTCCAAGTCGAGCACTGGGTCATCCATCACGGTGACAGAAACGCAATTAAACCTCCCAACATCCGCAGCTCAGCTGTGCAGCAGTACATTTGCTGTGTGAGACAATGGCTTCGGCAGTGGATTGAGTGTGGCCACTGCCCTGTGATACACAAATCACTGTTTGCCGACACCAAGATGCCGTCATGCCTTCAAGATGCATATGCCGCTCTGGCCGTGTACAGCTTCAAGAATGAACACAACGAGGACACGGTGATGCAGCACATCGAAGACAAAGCCAATTCACTGTTAGAAGAGAATTCTGTCCATCAAGCTCTTCTTCTCGATCCCTTTGCCTCCGCATCTCCTCTCACCACTGTTCAACACCTTGCCAGAGTTCTCTCCTTGTTCGTATACCAGTTCATCCGTCTCTATGACGGCAATATCCGTCAACGAGCCCAGGCCGAAAAGAACATGCCCCTGCTAAAATCCTGGACCTGCCAGCTCTGGAGTTCGGTCAGCATCGACGTCACCGTGCAAAACACATTCGGCGGCGATTATCTCGTCACCCAGCGTGATGCCGATGCAACCGTCAAGCTGTGGCGCATCTGGATCCTGATGGAGAACGTGCGCCGCGTCTGGAAGGTGAGCACATACATGAGGTGCATCTACTTTGTATCTCGAGACGGAGCCGCTGCTTGCGAGGGGACCATTGATTTCACAGCTCGACGGGGGCTCTGGGATGCGCCCTCCGCTACGACATGGAGACACTTGCTGGAGCGAAAGGATCCTTTGTTTACTGTGCCGTTTATGTCTTCTCGGCTGTTTGACACGACGACTCCGCAGGATATTGATGTCTTTGGGCTGGCTACTATGACTCTCACGGTGGATTCGGACAAGATGGACTCGTGGGTCGCGAGTTCATCGGATATGCATTTAGAGGCGTTGCTAATGACGGCATGATTGGGATTCGGCATTGGCGAGGGGAGTAGTTTTGCAAGAGACGAGGGGCCGCAAAATGAATATGTGTATACGTTGAGACAATACGAGCACTATTTGGAGGAATTCAGCGCAGTTGATGTCGATGTATGCGTTACTGCGTAATTCTGTGTGCCGATCGAGCACCTTGGACGCCGTAACACACCGAAATTCCATGTTATACGGGAGTTGGGGAATGACCAGAAACAGCCCTGGAGCTGTGGCGCGCTTGGGTTTTGAACCTTGGACACCTTGCCGGCACCCTGTTGGCACCCTGTTGGCACCGCGCCTCTCTATGGCTCTACGGCGCCGTGCCCCTCTTATGGTGCTGGCAAGGGCTCGAGAATTCAACACCTCACAGCACCAGACCTCAATAGGTGACAGGTCCAATCCAATTCCGTCCTTAGCTGACCAGCCCGATCTGGAGCCGCGATCTTAATAAATCAGCCCCCTCACCCAAAACCTATCAGCCACGATCTGGAACTCGGAATCGCGACAAAAATGCCGCTCAGACTTGCGCTCAGCAAACCTGAAGATGTGCCGCTGATGGTGGAGACGTACTTTGAGGCCTTCTCTCAAGACGCGATCCATCAGCGCTTTGCCCCCAGAGGAACACAGTCAGCCCACGACTTTTGGACTGCGTCGCTGTCAGCCGAGATCCGCGACGGGCATAACCACTTCCTCTCCGTCTGGGACGACTCTTCATCGCCAGAAACGTTTGTGGGCTTCGCGAAATGGATTGTCCCGGGAGCTTCTCCGGAGCCTCTCCCTCCCGCTGACCAGTGGCCGAGCGAAGGCGACCAGGAGTTTTCGGTATTCTTCTTCGGCAGGCTCGGCGAGATGCACCATGAAGCCATGGGTGAGAGGCCGCACTGGTATCTCGAGCTGCTGGCCGTCAAGCCGCAGTATCAGGGCAAAGGGGCCGCGAGCTTGATGCTCCGGTACGGCGTGAACAAGGCTGACGAGGACAAGGTGGAGTGTTTCCTGGATGCTTCTCCGGCGGGACAGCCTATTTACGAGAGATATGGGTTCAGGGTTGTGCAGAGAGATACGTTTTTGGAGGGAACATATGTTCAGTGTGCGATGGTTAGGGACGCTCGGGTTTAATGGCAGTGGGACTGGGAGATGTAGCAGGCAGTCTTTTGTTTGCTTTCCGATGGGATTCTATCAGCCTTTGTTTCGTCTCTTCGCTGTTTATAGGCTGCATTGCTGTTGTTCTGGACAACAGTGCCATAGGGAGGAGCCCTCAGGAACTCCTCATTTATTTCTTTGACAGCTTGAGATGGAGTTTGAACATCCAACACGAGGGGGTAGTCTAATATGATTTCCTGGCACGATGCAGTCGATACGATTTGTATCGCGTCATAGTAGCAGAGGGTATATAGCTAGTCACAACGCCAAATGTGCCCTGTTTGGAATTTGTATTGCCTCACACTGAATCATCTATGATGTCCCAAATACATTGTTTGCAGATCCAACCTCTACATCTCCTTCGAACCCCAAGTCTCCCCCTTTCAAAAACGCTTCCATCATGAATTCCCGACCAGATGCCTTGTCAAGTCCTTTGCGGGTGTTCTAGTGTCAAACTCCTACAAGTAATGAAGATGAACGTAGGCCGTAGCTTCGGCACATCATCGACCCATCTCCATGTCCCGAACATTCAAGAGGCATTGTGTGCGGATGGTTTTTTTTTTTTTTTTTTTCTTTTTTTTGGAATTAGGGCTTAAAAAGAGTGCAATCGATTCTTGGGTGAGAGGGTCAAATTTGCTCATTGCCGACTCTTCTTTCCTTTTGGCTGGGAAACAGTCTTGACTGACCGGCCCTGAATGTCTTTGCTGGCCACTGGCTGTTGGCATTTTGTCGGGCAAGATCTCGACCGAGATGTCTTCCAAGGAGGGAGATGCATTGAGGCCTCAATAGATGATTTCTTGAGTGAGTGGATCGAATTTTATCGGCTCTTTTGCTCTTTGCCCATGTTTCTTCACTTTTGTTGGCCTTGTCTCATCAGCTGGATCTCGACAGCGAGGGCCTCGGCGTCTATACACCTCCTGCCACCCGGTGCGTCATCAATCCACCGAATTGTCATTAAGAGAGGGGATGTGTTGAGGCCTCAATAGACCACTCCTTGCGTAAAAGGGTCAAATCTTATCGGTTCTTTTGCTCTTTGCCGATTCTTCTTCTCCCTGTGTTGAGGGGCGCCTTGTCGGATCCCGGATCTCGACAGCGAGTGGCCTCGGCATCCATATACCTCCTGCCACCCGGTGCGTCATCAATCTCCGCATTGTGTTCTGGAAGGCCGTAAGAGTGACGTTTGACGTGCTCCCCAGCAGTGTAGAGTGGTTTCTGTTTCAAAAGGTCAGCCATCCGATCAGCACAAACGGAAGGAAGAAAGATGACTTACGTAGAATGGCAGGCAATGAAGCCGTGAAATGAGACGAGGTTGGTGATTGCATGTCAAAGAGACCTGAGGTGGAAAGTTGGTCTCTGCTGCGAGAGTCAGAAGCCAGGCTAACAGAAACAAAAAAAAAAATAAGAAGGAATAATGGCAACTTACGCAGAGATGATAGGGAATAAACCCGCAAAGGTGAGTGTATGCATGCCGACATAGCCTGCGGTGGCGTGGTTTCTGCTTCAAGGAGTCAGAAACTTGGCCAACACAAACGGACCAACACAATGAAAAAAAGAAGAAAGACAACTTACGTAGAAAACGGCAGGGAATGGGCCCGCGAGGTGAGAGAATGAAGTTGAAATTTGCATGCATGTCAAAGACACCAGCAGTGGAGAGTGGTGTCTGTGTCAAAAAGTCAGAAATCAGTCCAACACAACCACGAAAGAAGAGCGACAACTTACGCAAAAAAATGAAGGGAACGGGCCCACGAGTTGAGAGAATTAAGTTCAAATTTGCCTGTCGAAGCCGATCTGCTTCAAAAAATTAGAAATCAGGCCAACCCAAACAGAAATGAACAAAGACAGCTTACCGAGCAAGGATAGTGACAAACTCTCAATGTGAGAGTATGAGGCCTCAATAGACGAATTAGTAGAAACTCTTTGCATCCGAGCTTGCAAGGGAGTCGTCAGCCGATAAGTCACCAACATCAGTCGAAGTTTGCAGCTGACCTACCAGTCCAGCAAAGGCCAGACACATCGTATCCGGTAGTTTGTTTTTCTCCGGGCCGAGAACGGTTCGTTGAAGTGTGTTGCAACTCTTTGCATCCGCGCTTGAAAGGGGAGTAAGCGATTCTTTGAAATCCTAGGCATTGTCAGTTGATGTGTCGCCAATATCAGATGGAGCTTGCGACTGACCCGGGCCGGAGAAGGTGAACTATGCCTGTGTAGGGTGAAGCCAGAGGAAACCCTGCTGGAGAACCGCTGTGGCTCTGACGTGCAAATCGATGGTCAAATATGGGATGAAAGAGGAGAAAAAGTGTTCAAACATGACAGTGTCTGGAGGAGAGAGCCTTGGGCTTTGGCACATAGCGGTGGAATTCTGCAATACACCTGTGCGCCAGCCACTTCCCTCCTTTCCCCCCAACAAACAGGCACTGATTCTACCCAATATGGAAAATCATACAGCTCCTTCTGAGATTATCACTTAGGTTACCCCAACAATAACATAATAGCATACACACAGTACGAGTCTGCCTCCCTCATTGATTCGAAGCGAGTTGCCAATACCAACTCTTCTCACGGACTCTACCCGAGCAAATGCTGAAGCGAGCAGGCAGATGCCCGGAACGGTGAGCCTCGATGCACCATCCAGATTTCTTGACGTAACAGCAATACAGCTTGCAGAAAGAGTGCCGCATTATCATCACTCAGGAGACCGCCACATGATTCATCAAGCGAAGGCCGCGTAATGCCAAACATCTTTCATCTTCTATAGGCATCCATAGCACGTCACTGGCACCTGATCAGGAGAGCAAGAGCAGCTGGCAACAGGCCGCGGAGTGCTCTGATTGGCAGCATCGAGAGTGAACGCGTGGGTCCAGAGGGGGGTGGTTGTAAACAATGCCTATTGTTGACCGCTAGGTGCTTTTTCTCCCCTTCTTCCCCCTTCTCTTCTCTTCTGCTGCATCTCCCATCTCTTCCATCTCTCAATCCTCTCCAACTTCGTCTCTTTGTTGGTCAACATCGGCTCGTTTCACACACAATCACCAACGTAGCAACATGCCACCGGCTGTCTTTGCATTCATGCAGCCTGAATTTGCAAGTCTCCCTGCATCATGTCCTTTGCCCGAGACTGATGATGATGCTCAAGATGCTCCCGCCGCGCATTTCTGCAAAGCCCTACAAAGGGATTTGCCTTGTGCTGCGCCATGAACCACTTCATTTGGATAGTAAGTCTCGACCTCCTTGCAACCAGTGTCTCTTGATCAGCATGCGCTGACCTGTTTGCCCGAGTCGTTCAACCAGGAATATAGTGTTGCTTTCGCAACGCGTTTTCACACCTGCATTTCAAACTTTGCCTTGTTCTGCGCGCCTTGAGCCGCTTCTTTTGAAGAGTGAGTCATTGTCCTTTGCATCTTGTGTCCCAGAATCAACATTCGCTGACTTCATCATCTGAGTCAATCAATCAAGGACGAAGGCGTCGCCTTTTGAACACATGTCCACATCTTCTCTCCCAATTTCGCCTTGGGTTGGTTCCTGAACCACCCCAAATGAACAGGTATGCCCCGGTCCTCGTATCCAGCTCCTCGTCTGCGTCGGTTCGTCCACTGACTTGCTTCCCATGCCTATCAACAACATCAGAACTGACGGCACACCGGTGTGGCAGCAGGTATCTTGATGCCAATGCCTACCGAGCTGCCAAGAGAGAATTCGTCTGCCATGTCAGACACTTCTCATCAGTTGGTTCTGAACACCACTAGAGAGAGGTTGATGACGCACTGGGGCGGCAGAAGGCATCGCGATGCCGAGGCCGCTCTGCTGTCGAGATCTCATTGCACAAGAGATGGCGGATGCAAACGACCAAGACAGACTATCGATGACGTACCGAGTGTGGCAGGAGGTGTATTGACGCCGAGGCCCCTTGCTGTCGAGATCTCTGATTATATACCATTTCATTGTGTGACCAGTCCTCGGAAGACAGGAGTAGGAGGAGATTGATGACTCACCGAGTGGCAGGAGGTGTCGTGACGCCGAGGCCCTCGCTGTCGAGATCCTCACACTGCTCTAGAGATTCCACCACCACCTGGGGGCGAAGATCTTTCGTCTTCCATCGACAGCCCAGCACAACGAGTTGTCGAAACTGCCTCGGTATGTCCAAAAGACCTGTCAAACACAGGAAAGTGCTGACTTCTATAATGGAGTACAGAAAGATTTCAAACCACACCATTCGCAGAGCTAGGCGACAACGCGGGGATTGATGACGCACCGGGTGGCAGGAGGTGTCGTGACGCCGAGGCCCTCGTTGTCGAGATCCTCAGAATGCCTGAAAGACCTGTCAAACACAGGAAAGTGTGACGAACCCACAATGATTCATTCTGCCAGCAGTGGTGACTTCTTTAATGGAGTACAGGAACCAGGGGAACAACTTCGCCGACCACGGAGTGGCAGGAGGTGTATGGATGCCCAGGTCCCTCGCTGTCGAGATCCCGCGGGAATTCAAGTGACGAATAGAAGAAAACTCTCAAGAAAATTCGGTGTGCCGGAAGGATCCAATCCATGAGAATCTTGAGCCGATGCCGGACTACCAATTGCCAGTAAGTGATTCCCCTTCTGATTGATCGGTCTTATCTCAATCATCCCTTCTGGATCACTCAGATTGATAACAGTTTTTGATGATTCAAGGGCTTTCCCGTCTTGATGGTGGCCCATCTTAACCAAAGATGACTTGCGCCGCCCCAAACGACAATAGCAGCAAGACGGAGAGATTGATGCCCGTCGAGTGTGGCAGGAGGTGTCATGACGCCGAGGCCCACTCTGTTATTGAGATCTCCAACGTGTCTCTCCGCCGCTCGTCGCGTGAAGACAGATCCAAGCTGTGCGCTTCTCTAAACTTCAAATTCTTCACTCTTCTCCTCAACGCCATAGCCTTCGCTCGCTGAGCAATACTAGCGCCATTGGCCTCTTTTCTACCTTTGCGGTAAGCTTACACTGTACTATGCCCGTCAAAATTCCCAAGTCAATACTGACTGACAAGTTTGCCATCTAGTTGCTTGCGCTGTCATTGCTGGCCATCTCGCCAATATGGACTCCCCTGTCACCTTTTGGGAGCCTGCTGCTACACATCTTCGACCTACGAACTGGCTGGCATTACCTCTGACCCATTGGTTTATTCTTGGTCCATGGGCATCTCAGTGCATCTTTCCCGCGGTAAGAATGCTCTCCTTGACAGTTTCACGTCTTTAATCGCAGTTTCTTACGTATAATCACAAACAGATTTGCCCAGATATGCGCCATCTTCACAAATACGGAATGAGCGTTGACGATGCCTTTCGTTTTCTGTATGTAAGTCCCTCTTGCTCTCCTCTTTGTACATTTTACCACATTCCAATTCTTTTTCTCTCCCACCGCATCCCTTTCCCGCTATTCATATTTTGTGCGCTTTTTCACTAACTCGTCCTGCTGCAGCAATTTTCTCGAGAGCCCTCTCTTCACTCAGGTAGGTCATCTCCCTACCAATTCCCCTTTAGAGAAGATCTCCCGTTGTCGCCCGAGACCTGTTCACGCTACTGACCAGCTAAAAGGCTCTTCAACATCCATCCTGGAAAGCACGGCGGTTGATGACTGGAGACAAGAACGACTTGATGCGTCAAGCACATTTGGGACTCAAGTGCATGGTTTGTTTTCTACCCAGCCCCTCAATTCACACTCCCTGGTTTGGCAAGAATCTAACATTCGGCAGGAAGGAGAGTATACGACGAAACGGCAGCTGGAGTGTATGGACTGTAATCATTCGAATACATGTTTCTGCAACTCAATGAAGAGTAACACTATAGCGTTTGTATCATCACGAATAGGACTACTTACTCCTAATTTCAACAGTTCATCGTTGTCTACTCCGAGCACGTCTCCTTCATTGTCTCCTTCATACTCACTGCATAGGCGGTGAGAAGAAACTAATGGTCAGTTTACATATCCCCGCCGTGTGTGAAGGCTGGTGAAAGGTATAATACCACTGTCAATGATACTTGGAGAGCAAACACACGAGCAACTTTGGAGGCGTTTGTGGCAGTCACAAATGGTAAGTCTATGAAATGTCTCAAAGCAGATTCGAACATCGTTGTACTCATTCATGGACAGAAGCAACCGATGATGAGATCCTCATAGACAAACAAAGACTTCAAACAACACCATTCGCAGAGCCAGGCGACAACGCGGCGATTGATGACGCACCGAGTGTGGCAGGAGGTGTATTGATGCCGAGGCCGCCTTGCTGTCGAGATCCCGCGAGCACCGGAAAGACAACTTCGCCCTCCGCCTGCAGATGGGCCGCAATGCCCTTAAACTATGAACAAGCCAAAGGCTGGCTGGCAGGGGGACTACAAGAGGCCCGAGCCAGCCAGCCTTGGACGAACAACCCGGGTTTTACACCCGGATTATTTGTCAATGGCCGAAGTTCGATGCCATGTACGTTCCATGTTTGTTGCAAACCTCAAGGTGCAGCTCTAACAATATCTCAATAGTCACAGACCTGGTGTTCAACGACATACCATCTCCTGACGAAGGCCGCAAAGCAGCCGAAAGTGAACAATCCCCAGAACGAACTGCAAGGAAGCCAAAAGGAGATATTGACCGTCAAAATGAAATCGAGTTCCTCGACAATCCTCTACGGTGTCTAAAACAAAACTGCCCACCCCCAGAGTCCTCTAATACGCGCAACAGCAGAGCCGTTTTTACAACAGTCATCAGGCCAAGGCTGGCAGGCAGGGGGACTACAAGAATTTTCAGCCAAGCCGGTTACAGCATATCTACACCCATCTCTCACTCTCGGCATTCAAGGAACTCCGAATGTTGCAGTGCATCAACTACATGTACACAAACCACAACACGAATGAAGCTTACCGCTTAGTAATCGCGAAATACAAAACAAGACATGGTTGACTTGTCGGATATGGGGATTGTTTTGGCGGATGATGGGGAAGCGGCACAGAAGAAGCATTTAATGTACTGGCTAGTTCTCAACTTTCCTCGTTCAATTTTATACTCATTGCGTTTTGATTTGATTCTGAAATGTCTCGATATACCGTTCTCATCACTGGCGCCAGCAGAGGTGCGTACGTGTTCCTTTTGTGCATCTAGGTAGTATAAAGAGTTTCTAAAATATGGATGATGGACCAGGTATTGGGGCATCTCTAACGGCCAAATATCTTCTCCGGCCCAACACCACTGTGATTGCAACGGTTCGACGAGTCACAGCTCAGAATGAAGGAAGACTTCATTCCCTACCTTGCGGACAAGGCTCAAAGGTGATTGTACTCCCATCTGACATGAATTCTCCCTTGAGTGTTACAGATGGAATTACCCTTCTCAAGTCGGAGCACGGCATACAATCCTTGGACTTGGTCATTGCCAATGCCGGTATCTGTGATACCTGGGGCCCCGTGGCGAAAATATCTGAGGATGAGATGTTGAAACACTTCGAGGTCAATACACTGGGTCTGCTTCGACTGTTCAAGGCCACCATTCCACTCTTGAATACCGCAGAGAAGCCCAAGCTAGTGTACATATCTACACGTGTAGCCAGCATCAGTCAGCTCAGCACTTGGTCTGCCACGACGGAATACGGGGTATCCAAGATGGCTGGCAACTTCTTGGTGAAAATGATTAGCATCGAGCACAGCAATGTGGTTGCTTTTTCCATTGATCCTGGGTAAGATGGTCAGCATAACTGGTAATGACAGCAGCTGATTTCTAATATTCTGCTAGATTTGTACAGACAGACATGGGTAATCGTGGGGCCAAGGCTCAAGGGCTTGAGAAGGCGCCTGTGACAGTGGAAGATAGCACGAGTGGTATTATCAAACAGATTGATGCTGCGTCTCAGGAGATCACGGGCCGATTTCTGGGTTTGGATGGTGGAGAGATTCCTTGGTAATCGGGAAATTCACTTTATTGTTGCTTTTGTGATGAATCATTCGGACGAGATATGGGGTCACGATGTAGAAGCGGGAGTTGGAATGATACTCAATGTCCATTTTACATGTAGATGGTGTGGATTAGCAATCAGAATCCACATAGATTAATGCGTACCCATGTGCTTATACAATGTCTGAGATGGATACGGAGGAGTCTGTGTGGGAACGCCGATCTGAACACTAAATGTTCGCACAAGTTCCAAGGTCCAAAGCTGATGGCAGGCCCGGAAAAGCACAAAATCCCCAGCGACGAATATTTACGTCGCAAAAAGGAACCTGTAGACTGCTGCAACAGGATGACGATGGTGGTCGTCAAAGCAAGGTAATCAAACAGCCGATAGCCGCCGTCGGCGTTTGGGACCACCTTGGAAGATCTTCAGCCGGCGCTACGGCAATCCAATGCAACGTCAGGGGTCGCATTACAGAAGATTGGGGTCCTCGTGTTCCCATAATGAGTCGAGAAGCAAGGGTATACAGAGCGTCGGAAAGGCTCAACGGGGAATCTGACTCGGATCCCAAGCTGTCGGTAAAGCGAAGTTGTACGGCTTCCGCTTACTCTGTTGAAGTTGTGTAGTTGAGTTGTTGGGTGTTTTGGGATGGGGCTGATGGCATCTATAAAGATGATCTCCCCAGCTTCCGTTATATACAGAGTACCTCAAATCATCGGCAGCGGAAAACTATCTTCGGTCAGAATAAAGCAATAGATTTCTGTTGAAAAGCAGTAAATATCAGTCCAAAATGTCTTCTAAAACCGTCGTCGTCGTGGGTGCCACTGGCTTACAGGTTTGTGCCTCAAGCTCTCTTCCGCAAACATTCATCCAGCGTCTAACCTGAGACTGTGTTAGGGAGGATCTGTTGTTGAAGAATTTCTCAAGTATCCCAATGAGTATCGCATCAAGGGTCTTACCCGCGATGTCTCCAAGCCAGCTGCGTTGAAGCTTGCGGCAAAGGGAGTGGATGTTCAAACTGCAGACCTCAGCGCTGGCCAAGAAGCACTGGAAAATGCCTTTGCCGGGGCAAGCATCATCTTCGGCCTAACTGATTTCTGGGCTACTAGGTCCAAGGTCATTGAGATTGCGCAGGGTAAGGCCTTGGTGGATGCCGCTGCCAGGATTCCGACGCTGGAACACTTTGTGTGGAGTGCTCTGCCTGATCCGATGGAGCTTTCTCAGGGGAGATTCTACCATGTGCACCATTGGAAGAGCAAGGCAGATGTAACAGAGTATATCAAGGAAAAGCAGCCTGAGCTGTGGAAGAAAACGACGACGGTTTTGTTCCCCAATTACTTTGAGAACTGTTTGACTGACCCTCAGGGGTATTTGCCACGCAAGGTAAGCATTTGTCTACACCCACATCCGAAGATGCCGATAGAAACTAAATGATTCTCGTGTAGGTCTCTGGAAAGCTTGTGCGCGAGTTTCCAGTTGGTCCCCACACACTTTTGCCAAACGTTGCCATTGCCGACACGGGCAAGCTCGTTCGTACTGTTGTGGAGAATCGGCAGACCTATTTCGAAAAGTCAATCGCATTCTATGCTCAGGGAATATCGGAGGGCGACAAGCTGGTTACACTGGCGAAGGGTGCGTTTCGTAGAACTTTGCAATTGCAAATCACGGCCAAGGAGCTAATGAAAGGACATGGTCAGAAATTGGCATTCCATTCGAGTACAAGAAATCAACCCCAGAGCAGTTCCAGAGACGACTGGAAGCGGCTGGCATGACGCCCGAGACGGCTCTGGATTTCACGGAGCAGCTCTTGATATTCGAATATTTCGGCAACATTTATGCAAGCCATGATTTTGTTCAGGCTAAAGAGGTGAGCTTTGCTACTTACTTGGACGTGGGTAATCGTTGCGTATGCTAATAGCGGCTGTGCTGCAGATCCCTGGCCTGTCGTTGCAGTCGTGGGAAGAGTTTGTCCTTGAGAACAAGGAGGAATTGGTGGAGAAGATTGAATCAGGAAACGGTCCTTCTCGGTGGTAAGCACAAGCGTGCGCTGAATTGATTTGAGAAGCGTCATGGGTAGAGTATCGAATCGTGCCTTTAGCGAGCCAACAGTCGAGTTGTTAAAGCCCTTTGGCAGCATTGGTAACGTTAATGGGCCAGATTAGCCAAGATCAATAGACATGACAACTCACCCTTCTCCTACCCGAGAATGCATCCGGCACCGATTGAATGGAGCTCCTGGTGTGTCACACGACGACAGCCAGCCGATGCTTCTGGATCGTTGGGTGACATTGCGAGTAACAAGGAACATGGAACGTAGAGTATGTGACACCCGACGAAAGAGAAAAAGAGAACGCCGTCATTAGACTCGCTAATCTGACGCTTCCTGCGTGGCGTTTTCCCTTGTCAAAAGTTAAAAGAATTGAGCATGGGGGAAGAACTGAGGAGGTTGCGGAAGACAAGATGCTTCCAGATGTGGTTTAGCTTATGGAAGGCTCAAGCCAAGACAGGGCGGTAGGAACGGGAAGAAAACTCCCCTAATACAATAAACTAGAATATGCACAAAGTGGGTGCAGCATCATCAATCTCACCTTTCTCACTCCTCTGCTCTTCTCCCTCTTTATTTCTCTTTAACCTTTCATACCAAGCTTGACTCTGGCGTTGCTTGTGCGTATTCTCCTCTCTCTCTCTTTATCCCATTGGCCTTATTAATTCGTCTGCAGGTTCGCTCGGACGCAATGCAACTGTTCCTCTTACAGCACGGCAACAGGGGTGTCAGCCTTCAGATCCCTACACGGCAAATCGCGAGCCGCAGGGGCTGATTCCGAAATCCGCTGACTCAGCGGTCAAATCCCCAGACTCCCCAGGATTCAACGATTCAGAGAGTCATCTCTTGCTCCCAGATCTCCTGTCCTCTGCGCCCGCAGTCAAGTTTGAAATTCCGCGTTGACTCGGATCATTGTCTGATTCACTTCAAGAGCCTCGTTCGATTGGAAAATAACCGTGATTTGCTCCAATTGGCACGCCATGGCTGCTAGGGCGCCTCTCAAGTCCAACAGGGGACGGCGTGCAAAGGCGTGTGATTCGTGCTCTAGGAGAAAGGTGTGTTTCCACCCGGGCCTGTGGATCTTGAATGGAAGGAATATTCCGTGTCGAATTTATTGTCGACTTTATTTTCCGCTCTGGTGGGCCAATGGACATGACGATTGCTCCGATCAAGACAAGCCGCGTGCCGGGAACCAACTGACAGGCTGGCATGACAGATCCAATGCGATGCCGACGTTCCACAATGCAATTGGTGTAAACACCATGACCTGGCCTGCACTTACCACCGATTGGTGGCAAATACCAAGAAGAAGAAGAGGTGAGGCCATTCCCCTTTCGTAGCCTCGTGCCCGGGTCGTGCCATGTAGCCGGACAGGCATGAAGATCGACGGCTCCTTGGCATCATGCGCCTCAACTAACCCGCCTTGAAAAGCCCAGACCACACTATTGTCCAGCAGCCGGATTCCATTGAGAGGATGGAGGCCATCTTGGCCCAGCGATTATCCCAACACGAGGATGGTAAGTCTTGCATCTCCTGATAAAAGAGGCAAAGCCTTGCTCGTCAATCTCGGCCTCGTGTACGGAGTACATGGTTACTGCAACCGCAACGGTGGGTTGAAAAGAATTGCCGCCGGCGTATTATGTACCCGGATTACCGGAGTCATCTCCCTACCCTTTGTTTTCATCTAGCCCTGTCTGTCCTTGTACTTGGTCTTTGTTCTTTAGACGGTGTACTTGTTCATACGAGTATCTTGTAACCCATGCACTTTGTTCTTTGTGTACATTCTCCCCTCTGTGTTCATTTAATGTGTCTTTTTTAGCACAATTTTTTCACACCTCTGTCTAACCTCTCCGCAGATAGGCAGTTCGAATACCTTACTTCGTCTCAGTCCGACCTCCGCAATGCCACCTCGTTCACCGGCATCCCGCTCTTTTCTGAAAAGGGACAGGCATGGATCGAGTCGCGCACCGGGAGTTGTATGACACCTCAGAGACTCTGCTCGTTTGGTCGCCAGTGGCATAGTCCCCGCCGTTTGTATCTAGACTCGGATGCAACAGCTGCCAGCACTCAGCCTTGTGAGCTCCCCCCAAGATCGATTTTGGAGAGATATGCCGCCGCCTATTGCTCTTCTACTATATGCATCATCTTCCCCGTCCTGAGTAAATGCCTCTTTGTCAAAACTCTCGACTTGGCATACCGTTCGCATGACTCTCCTCCTGCCGCTGCTGCTAGGGCGTGTGTCTACTCTTTTCTAGCCATGGCTTCCATTCTGCATTTCGAAGACGCCACTGCTGCAGCTATGTCCTGTGAGTCGTATCTAGCAGCGGCTAGGTCCTTAGTCCCCCAAGTCGCGCAAGAAATGACAGGGGATGGCCTTCAAGCACTCATCACATTGGTATGTTTATGCTACAACCCCTTTCTAATGACTTTGATTTGTTTGGAAAAGTCTTTCTCTTCTTCCTCATACAGTGCTAGATCTTTCTCGCCCATTCAAGCGTGTGACAAGCCATGGTGCGTTCTGTCTAACATTTGATTTTCAACACCAGGCCATTGTCTATTATTTCCTAGGTGACCTTCAGTCTATGGGTCTTTTCCTGTCTATTGCTACGCGGTTCATCTTTGCCCTAAATGCCCACGCACATCCTCATGATGCTGCCAGACCATATATTTATTCCTCATCACCACCCTTGAACCAGCCATCTTCTCCACCGCCCTCTGCACCCTACGACAAGAGTGATCCCATTCACCATCTCCGCGATCTCTTCTGGACCTGCTACTCCCTTGACAAAGATCTATGCATCCGCACTGGCCAGCCGTCGTGTCTGTCAGATACTCACTGCGACCTTACACTCCCTCCTGATTATTCCGAAATGCAAAACCGCCACATCCAGAGCCACATTATCCCTAATCTCGGTAACTTGACTGTTCCCATGTACCCCTGGGAACTACTTCTCTCTCAGCTCAAGTCCCGAGCCTACGACGCTCTGTATTCGCCCATGGCCCATCGCAAGTCGCAGTGTGAGCTTCTCGAAAGCATCCGCGTCCTCGATGAATCCCTTGAGCAGTGGCGTTTGTCTCTCCCTCCAGATTTCCGCCCGACGCTCATGTTTGGGAGAACGACCCCTGTGAGCGCAGATGTGAGCATGCAGTCATCTATGGTTCGGCTAGCATACTATCATTTTGTCGCAATTATTCACCGAGCAAGCGGAAGGTGCATGGATCAATCGCCTAACAACTATCAGGAGGGCGTACTATCCAGCTTCAATCTCTCCCTTGAAGCTAGCAGATCGACGATAACATACTTGCGTGTAGCTCTCCATGTCATAACGGATGATTGCTTCTGGTATGCCTGACAATCTGCCTTCATCCCAGTTGAGTTCATCAAATACGAAATATACTGACACCATATTCTGCGTAGGGTCATCATCTATTACCCCATCAGCGCCATCCTCGCCCTATTTTCCAACATTCTCTCGAATCCTCTCTGCGAAACCGCTCCCGGAGACTTGGAAATCCTCAGAAGCGCCCCTACACTATTCAGAAGCATCCCCATACGAAAGCTCACGCTGGCGGAATTGACACATCTGAAACTTCTGGATGCCTTTTCGATGGAGCTTGCCAGACTGGGGGGGCTTGCAATCCAAAAAGCAGGAGGATCTATGCCCACCAATGGATGAGGCCTACATGCTACAGAGAGTTGATACATAACTGATTTTATAACTACCTAGTATATTCTTTTTCGCTTCACTGTTTAATATTTGTCAGTCAGCCTCTTTTGGAGAGCGATTCACCAATATCGTAAGCTTATTACGCAGCATAAAGTGTCAATTTGAAATAGCAATCTCCTTATCTTGAAACTGATCGTATCTTCTACTTCTTGTATCACGCATTCCCTTCCCATAACAAATAACAGTCAATCTTGGACGCTCTCTGACCAGCCTCTTAATTCGTAAATTCGTAAATTGTCTTCAGTTGGGAAATAGTTTGTCCTCAACATCCTTCTCCAATATTACCACGTCGTCTCCAGTCTGAACTTTCAGCCAATCCTCCGCCTTCTGCACAATCAGTTCCCACGAATCCTTTTCAGCTGCCAGTTTCTTCTTCAGGAACACCACGGCGCAAAGCGTTGCCAGCACATCCATGTGCCTGGTATATTGACTAGGGAGCTGAATCTGCGCCTGTGAAGTCTGCAATGTGATGCCCAGAACGCTTTCGAGACTTGGGCTCCACTGCCAGTTTCCAGCGAAAGATTGCAAACCGGATAGAATTGGCAACACATCATTGCTGCTTCTGTCAATGGGGCTCTTGCCGGTTGCCGGAGTAGTATCCATAGAAGAAAATACAGCACCAGTGGAAGAAGGAACTGCGGGACGGCCAAACAAAGCACCTCCGGACGAGGTGCTGGACGAACTACCAAACAAACCACCAGCAGCAGGGGTTGTGGTAGAAGCAGGAGAAGAGCTACCAAACAAACCACCTCCAGAAGGGGTGCTGGACGAACTGCCAAACAAACCACCAGCAGGAGAAGAGTTACCAAACGCAGCTCCAGACGTGTTCGTGGAATTACCAAATTGCACAGCAGCAGGAGAAGAGCTGCCAAACAAACCACCTCCAGTGTTGCTGTTGCTAGTGGAACCACCAAACGGTCCGCCAGAAGAGCTATTAAACACAGGCTGACTGGCACGGAGTTGGTTCCGTTGAGCACGGATTTGGTTCCGTTGAGCACTCTGTTGGGCCTGTAGCATAGGAGCGGAACCAAAAAACATCGCCTGACCCTGATGCTGCTGCTGCTGCTGCTGCTGCTGCTGAACCATCTGCTGCTGAGCCATTTGCTGCTGCTGAGCCATCTGCTGAACCTGATGGGCGGCAACCTTTTTGCGTTTGGTCGCTGAAAGAGTTTCCGGTACTGCAACGTCACGGTTCCTCGTAAAACCAGAATCTGGCACCGACATCCTAGCAGCATGCGATGCGAGTTGGAGGCGTGGCGCCCTTCCAAAGAAGGCAGCGCGCTCCATCCCAGAGCCACCACCCGCCATCCCAGGAGCAGGCATCCCAGAAGCAAAACGACGCAACCTAGTAGAAATAGAAACATCAGCTGCTGCCGGAACTTCTACTTCGTCAATCGAGATCTCTTCAACGTCGTCCTCCTCATCGTCATCTTCGCGATTCTCTGCATGCGCTTCTCTCGTGTTGGCATTTTTATCAGCATCTTGGATGGCAACAAACGAGCACCATTTGCTGCTAACTTGATATTGCGTTCCCAGGCGCACTGCCTCTCTCTTCACCATGTCGCTGAATTGGCCGTCAAATTGTTGCTGCAAGAGCTTCCCATCTTGATTCTTGACGTGGAATATCCAACCACGGCCGTCTTCGAGCTCTCTAGTCGCCTTTCGTGCTGCTAATTGATGAATAGTAGTACCTCTCTCAGTAAGAGTTGCGATCGGTATCTCCAGTGAGAGTGGGCCTTGTACAGAGGTTCCTCTAAGTATGACACTCTTGGGTTGACGATTTGGTGTCGAATCGGAGAGCAAGACGTAGACACTGGTGCGGTTGAACGGGAAAAGAGGTGGGATTTGGAACGGGGCTTGAAGATATCGAGGAACAGCCACAGGTGGAAGTTTTGCTTTGACCGAATTGGAGGCCGTGGGCATCTCCAACTCCATATCTTGGACGCTCTGGTCAAATAGAGAAATAGGTTGTTGAGTTGTTTCAGGGCGGTTTTCTTCTACTTGTCCAGAGGGATGAATATCTAGCGTCATCGCGTCCATAACCTTTTCGATAACCTCAAAGTCATCGTCTCCCTCATTAGATGGACCGTCATTGCCCTCATACTTGATTTCAAGGGAGTAATCCGTAATATGGGGAGTCAGAGCCCCCTTCAGCATTCGGACCAACATCTTGTCCATCTTTTCGTTCTCTCCTACTGTCTGGGCAAATCCATTGCCTGCGCGGGCGACACCTTCAACTAAGGCATGGCTGACATCTCTTCCCACGCCAAGAGTAAAGACTCGGATTGCACCTTTGCTTTCAGAGACTTCCTTATTGATGAGCTGAAACAGCTGTTCTTGACTCCAGATCTCTCCATCAGTGAGCAAAAACACTTCGAGGTTCAAGTCTTTGTAGCGCCGCTTGAATGCCTCTTGCATTGGCTCGTACATTTCAGTACCGCCAAAGTTTGCCGCAAACTCACTGACATGGCGTATGGCAGTTTCCAATGTCTCTTCCCCATATGACATGGACCGTTCCCACAGGAATGAATATCGTGATCCAAAGCTGCAAATGTTGAACTTGACTCCCACAGGTAAAGATTTAAGGAAAATCTTTAGTGCTTCAACAATGTTGGGAATCTTCTGCCCATTCCCCATACTTCCGCTTCTGTCGCAGAGAAAAACGACCTCTGTCATTTCCATGGGCAAGTTAAACCTGGGGACGAGCGTCGCCATCAAAGCCCGTTGGTTTGGGATGGTAGGGTGTGTCTCTAGGACAGCGATGGGGTCTCCGAGGCCGGTGGCGACAATCTGGATGATGAAATCCTTTTCAAGCTCTGCTGATCCTTGCGACAGAGTGGCGTGAGCTCTCTGTAGAGACGGTGAAGCGGAGGTGTCGGTGGAAAGAGTGCCTATATTGACAGAGATTGGATGGGACGGCGACTGGATGCTCTTTATAGCTGAGCCACTGGACACGTCAGCATCAACCGTGACGTTGATATGCTTTCCACCTTGGAAAGTATCGCTACCAGTGATGCAATGTTGTCCATATCGTGGAGCCACCCTAGTGGGGATGGTGAAGCGTAATCCATCCACTTGAGCATCATGCTTCAGCTCTCCTAGATATGTGATTTCAACCTTGACGCTCTCAGCCCGGCTGGGGATGTTGCCGAGCGAGGTGGTGAAGACGTCAGACGCCTCCAAAGACTGCTCGAGCAAACCAGCCATCTTGCCGCTTGCAACTGCATCCTTGTATTCTTGCTTGGCTTCTTCGCGCTCCTTCACAACGCCCTTGATGACGCGTGATCCGACGGTGCATTGGAACCCGACCACGGAGACGCCATCATAGAGAGGGAAGACATATTTCACATTCTTGAGCGAGCGGCCCGTGGTAGCGAACGTCTGCGTCAAGACTGTCCGCGACGTTGAGGCCACGATAGAAGTGTGCACATCAAGTGACACGATGGGAAGGAACTTGATATTGTTGTCGATGAAGATGTAGACTCCACAAGTGGGGATGGCGTTGGGGTTGTGAGGGTGTTGAAACATTGTGATGATGACGCGGACAGAATCTTTCAGATGGGGATATATGGAGGGGTCGAGAATGATAGTAGAGTCGACACCAACAGGGGTGTGATCCCGGATATCAGAGGTAGGCCTGGGAAAACAATAATAGATGATAGAATCAACGATAGATGGAAAATGAGAAGCAGTTGGATGAATATTTTGGGCTTGTAATTTAGTAAAGACGATGGGAATTATGAGGTGCTTCAAGTTCTGTGATGATGGGATGACGTTTAGCGATGGCCAACTGATGCTTGAAGCTGGCGGGGTAAAATAAAAAGAGAAGGATAAACCCTCCAGACTCGTGTCACCGCTGAAGTAAGCAAAAGACAAAGAACAGCTGATGGTGAAGATGATGATGGAAGAGATCAAGACGAGAATCAACGAGAACAACGATGCTTTATATACTTTTTCCCCTCGCCCAACAGTCATACACTGACGAAGACAAGGTCCACTGCCTCTGCCAAACCAGCCAACCATCTTACACCAAAATCCGGGTTTCAGAGGTTGATATGCTAATGACACACAGCGTCGAGATGAGAGGAGTCGTGGTCCAATTACAAGCGATGCCGATATTCTCCCAGCAAAGGCGAATCTTTGTTCCGTTGAGGCAGCCAGAGGGCTGCAACATCAGGCGAATCAGAGGTTTGGGCGAGCCGCGGGCGCTGCTGCCTGGCGATGCCTATCGAGAGTACCTGTATGTATGTGTTGGCTGTGAAACGGTCTTTGATACAGCCTAAACCACGGATATGACTGTGAAATTAGAAATGAAGCGATTTCTATTGGATTTGCCCCTCAATGGTGTTATTTGAGAGATTCCTTTGTGACGTGATTGATTGTGTATTTTTGAGCGACTATCGCTGTTGGTGTGTGCCTACCCTGGTATTGAAAATCAGCATCACACATCACGCAAGTATCAATAAACTCACGGAATATATTACAAATGCAGTGCTTTTAATACCCGAAAATACAAGTCAAATATAAATAATTTTGTTGAATTTTTTTTTTTATTTCTCTTGGTGGTACATTGGTAGCAAGAATGCAACTACAGCATTGTTCGCGTGGGATGGTAATATTATTGCCGCAATGAATCGAACATTTCGGATAATAACGCATTCGTGTCTACTCTGTGTCTCTATGTCAGGCATATTATTCTTGCTCATGTATACGATCACATACAAGTGTCACTAGTGGGAAAGTTGCGATCTTCCTGGCCAATATGCAGCGTTCCTCACCATGCAAGCATCGTCAGATTTCAGCCGCCAGTACGAACGAGATGAGGAACAAGGTATGGCGCCGAGGCCGGTTCTGACAACCTTTCACAACTTTCTGGAGTTGGTAGTCAGCATGCACTGGATTAAAAGCTTCGCATCAAGTTTCGCATCAAGTTTCGCATCAAGAGTCTATTCTCTACTGGTACGACACCCGCCGAACGGGGGTTCTCGAAAGCCAAAGCGAAAGGGAAATGGAAAACAACTTGAGGGATTGTCAACACCAACCACCAGCGGAAGGATGGAGCGAAAGGATGAAGAGGAAGCATGGTAGAGCGGGTTGTTTTCGTGCACTTCTAGAGCAAAAATAAATGAAGGAGTCAACTGTTCAGCACCTTGTTCTCAAATCTAAAGCGGCCTGGGTAGTAATGATGGCAGATAGTAGCAGAAAGCGGCGATAGTGGCAGAAAGCAGGGAGAATGCTTACAGCCTCGGGCCCCTCGGCACTAGATATTGTTACAACAGCACTAGACATCACGAGGTATCTTCCTTAAATGCGTGCCAGATCAAGTGTCCATTGACTACAGTCCCTAATACCATTACCATAACTGCTCAACAACTAATTACACTCAGGAAAACGCAACAGCCTGGCCTCCTAAAAACTGCCTGCCTTGTCGTACCTCGTTCTCCAGACAAAAGTTAGTGTTGCATCTCTGTTGGATGAAATGACAGCCTGGCCTCCAAAACACTGCCTTGTCGTACCTCGTTCTCCAGACAAAAGTCAGTTTTCCACCTCTGTTGGATGAAATGTACCAAGATAAAACATACCTCGTGGTATCGCAGTAGGGATTGATTTTCTTAGTGATCCCTCTTCCGCAGCCAATCAAAATAGGCATCAAAGAAGGGGCCATCATCCTCGTAGGTCCAGAAAAAGTTGCATTTGCGACAGTGCAGATGCTGGCAATTGACGTCAAGGCACAGTAGATTCGTATCGAAACACATGCCCGGCATGCCACAGCGGCAGCACTGCCAGTGCCAAGGCAACTGATTAACATCATATTTGAACTCCCATTTGTACATCGGCTTCCACTCAGTCATTGGGGGCTCAAGAGGAGGAAGCGTAGGAAGAGCCGGCAAATCAGCGGGCTGCTTCGCAGTGCGAGCCCGCTTGGGACGGCGCGGTGGTCGAGAACTTGGAGTAGGAGAGAATATACCAGGAGCAGGGGTAGAAGGCAGGCTTGAAGAACGTCCATGCCTACGACGGGGGGGAGTAGAAGGCGGACTTAATGCAGGGCATCGCAGAGGCGTTGGAGACGGCTGATACGGCGGAATCATCTGGTTTGGTGGTGTGCGAGGCGGAGGAGGCACAGGAGTAGGAGGACGCACAGGAGCCGGAGGAGGCGCAGGACGCAGGCGAGGAAGACGAGTTGGTGGAGGAACGAATCCCTCTGGCCTCGTCTTGGCTCCTGAGCCGCGGCCGCGCTTTCTTGCTTTTGGCATCTTCAGAGTCGTAGATGGCCTCTTTGATGCTTGAGGTGCCGACTTGAGTGAGGGGCGAGTTGAATGAAAGGTTGAAAGGGTGAAAGTTCGAAAGTTCGCTTAGGGTTGTGAAGAGGAGCTTTTGATTTTGGGGGGGGAGGCAGCTGCCAAAGGTTGCGAGGCAAGTGGCACCGAGAAAAAAGGCAGGAACAGCCAAACCTAAGCCACAGAGAACAAGATAAGAAAAATAATTTGGCGAGAGGAAAATCAAAAACAAAAAAAAAAGATAAGCCCAATTTAAGATTTCCATCTTCTCCTCCGCCCCTAGATCTCGATGACAAGGTTTCAATCTCGAGGACCAGGCTGAACATGCTCGTGCGGGCACTGCCTGACGAAATAGACATCATCGCGAAGAAGTCTCCTGCTGTCGTCTCCAGCGGTCTTCTGCGAGAAAGAGGCCTTGGGAGCGGCTCCATCTCATCCAAATATACCTTAGATAGGTAGGTACTCATTGAAGTTTCCCAAAGTACTCGTACACATTGCACCCTCTGAAAGCTTTGCCTAGGAATCCATCAACGCCGAGGTTTGGCAAACCTCCCCTCAGCTGTATCATTTGGCTCATGCCTTCGTAATGCTGTATCGAAGCGGTCACATTCCTACACAAGGCCTATAACTCTTCGCATTAGTCTCTCTGTCCAAGTACGTTTCCCTATCAAACACCAGACAGACTTACTTCGTCGGTGCACAGCATTAGCGCTTTCGCGATGGACGCAGTGCTAATAGAATATCTTTCCACAGCAATAGCCGCGTTTACGGATCTGATACACTCGACTTTATACCTCGTTGCCACTTGTGCGAAATCACAATCAAATGGCCCCCGGCGCCCATGTAGTGCAAGATTCCGGCATGCAGACAGCATGACGCCGGCTAATAAGCCAGTCTCCGAGACGATAAAGGGGAACCAATACAGCCTCGTGCTTTCGAAGAACACAAGGTCTCCCTCAGGGTGGTCACACCACTCCCGAGATTCTGGGATAACAGATTTTACATCTGCCAAGCGTTAGTGTATGCAAGATCAAACTTATTCTCCGAGATTCACCTACAGTGGTCCAAGAGATAGTGCTCAAGCTTTGTGATGGGTCTTATCCCTTGGAATAAGGGTTCGAATCCCGCAAGCCCGAGACTAGCGGGCCAGGTAAAAGCCAGTTGAGAGACTTCGCCAGTATCCACTCGCGTTCCTCTTCCATTCGAATCCATACATGTCGGCAGGGTCGATACCCGACGCGAAGCATGGACGCCGCGAGCTGCATGAGATCGAATGCTAGAAACAGCGGCCGATGAGGTAGCATCTCGGGGATGTGTTGCATTGATGAATTCAACTTCAACTCTTTTGGTAAGAGATGCGGTTGGATGTCCAGATGATGGCTCTGGTGCCGTCTCACCACCTCCATCTTTCTTGGCACGGTTTGTCGTTGGCTGGTAGCGTCTCCAGCGACGGATTCGCATCTTGAGATGCGGCTCGTTTACAGAAATGCTCCCTTCCATTTTCTCTGCTAACAATCTTCTCAACAACTTGTAGATCGCTCTCAGAAGATATTCGCGGTAGCACGCTGTTGATGGTGAGAGTTGGTGGTTATCCTACGTTGTTTCTACCTAGCATTCTGACTAATGGCCTCTTAGTCGACACACCAGCCGCAAAGCCCGTACTCCACCTACACATGCCAAAACAGGAAGTTTTCGAAGTGGAGGTAAAGAATCTGTGGATATTGACAGGGATTAGGCATGAAGAATATCCGGGCGGAGAGTCTCTTCATTGGGGAATCAATGTTTGACTCCGAAAAAGAATTGCAGCGGCGGAGGCTAGCAATGAGCAGAATCCAAGCTCTGATCCGACCAATGTTCGTTGGAATCGAGAGAGCGTACACTGTTTGAACTAAACTGTACAGTTCACACACGCACGGCGACTATCCGAACCTCGAACAAATAACAACGGCATCCCAGGATTTGAACAGACGGCAGCAGTATCTTTATCTGCTCTAGTTACTGGGACTATGAAACGGGTGGGTGACATTCTTGGTCGCCTAACCATTTGTACTGATCGACAAGGATCTAGATCGGAATTAAGGTACATGTATTCACGCGACATGGGCAACGAGTATCATGCATCAACTACAATGACATTCTCCGATAATAATGGTATTCACTATACTATTTTCAATTAAGTATATGATATCCATGGCAAGCGTGTCTCTCCACAGCTGCTACTGGCAAAGAGTGCGCAAATGTCCACAAGCGACCAAAACGGATCTAAAACCAGTCCTTATCATTGCCACGATGGGAAATAAATGCACCAGTGAGCTTCTCATCAAGCGAGTCAATAACAGACAGCTGGGACTTGACAGATTCCTCAGTCGATATCATCCCCTTGACTCTTGGGTCCATTTTCTGGAACGAGGCAAGCATCCACTGGAAGGCTTCGGGTGAACTGGAAATGCCTCGAGCTAATGGTGCAAAATACTGTCAGCATATATCGGATTAATTCGGTTGCCAGACATCGCAAACACTCACCAGCATCTGTTTCCACCCAACCAGGGCTGAGGGCGAGGGTAAGAATGCCCTTAGCCTTGAGTTCAACTGCATATTTCGCCATGAGGATATTACCAGCTGCCTTGCTGACGGAGTACCCAAGAAAATTGGGCATTTCGATGGCACGAGTGGTAGGTATATCTCCGATTCCTGATGAAATGTAGATTATCTTCTTTTGCTGGCCGTTTTCGATCAGAGGAAGCAATGCATTGACTGTATGCACAACTTGGAATAGATTCACATTCAACTGTTTACAGGATGAGCCTTGGCGAATTATTTATCATTCCACAGGACGCCTTACCGATTCGTCGATTTCTCGCTTAAAGATGTCTTCCTTTCCTTGGCTTGACGCAATCAGTCACTGACCAGTAGCAAAGAGGACAAAACCGCAAAATACTTACAAGGCAGAAGGAGTTAGAAGCCTAGCTTCGTCGGTTCCAGAAGAGTATGCGTTGTAAATCAGCACATCCAATTTGCCTGCTGTGACCTTGCTGATGCTGTCTGCAGTCTCTTTGAGACTGGTGAGGCTGGAGAGGTCAGTTTCAATGATGCGGATATTCTTGCGAGTCGCGGCCAGCTCATTCAGCGGACCGGCTGTTGCCTGGCTTCGAATCAATGCAATCACGGTATTCTTTGGGTCGAGGGACTGTCATAGGGGTAAGCATTTGGATCCTGAGAGTGGTGGTAGTGCTGATCAAGAAAGGATAGCTGCAACGCACCAGTTGTTTAACATATTCGAACTATTCGAACGATTTATTAGCCACGTGAAGGAAGACGAAAATTGATCTCGAAGTTCTATCACTCACTCCAATGCCACGAGTGGCTCCGACGATGGCCCAAGAAGACATTTTGTTGGTTTTATAGTAGGCGGCTTGTTGCAAAGTTTGGAGTAGGGAAGAATTGATTCCGAAATCTCTGTTGGTGAGTACAAAAGGGCATTTCGTCTCATGAGGAAAATGACAGCTTTATACAATTTCGAAATTTACATCGCCATATCTCCTGAGAGACGATTTATAAGCTGGCAACACTGCGAATCGCGAAGCCACCAGTTTTCGTCATAAGCGTCCCTCCTCAGCTCCATTCCACATAGCTCAGCTCAATTACATTACTAATTTGTTCACGACAGCGATGGCAGATAAATCAACATAATACCGAGCATTTTGATAATAACTGGTTCAACTCCGCAACTCCGACGCTGGCTCTGTCATCCAGACAATCGACCCCCATCAGCGCCACAATGATCGCGAAAATCGACCCACCTACACATTCCCAAATGGGCAATTTTGTTAGGCAAGTCTTGGATTCATCATCTCTGTTCAGCTTGATGACACAGATGTAGGCAAGTTATTTCGCGGAGAATGAATAATAGCCCATAGTACGACTATAGGCATCTCTATAAGCTGTGTTTCCTCGAGTTAGTATTACAAGAGGATTGGAAATAGCCAGCGCAGTTTTACTGATTGAGAGTGGTACTTTGAGTAGTACCATGATTGATCATATTTTTTGTATATCTTGGTGACTCAAATTCTAGTGCATTGATGAGGTTTGGCTCTGCATTATGCAGCCCACCATGTCGTTACATCGTTGCTGCCGTCTGATCGAATGTCGGTCGACATTGCGAATCCGTCTTTCTTATTTTCCTTCTCCTCCCCTCTGCCCAGCACTGGTTCTTTTTTCGTCTTCGAATGTCATTCATCTCGCTCCTCTATGTTCCATCGTCTAATCCTTGTCCAGTCGCACGGCAGCATTCCTCTCGATAAAGTTCAGGTCTACTTGGTGACCAAGCAGCTCACGGATATTTGAAATGGCGTACTTGATCATGGTCGGTCTCTCCAAGCTGAGGCCGAATCCGTACACTCTCAGGTCCTTGGGCAGTCCCATGGCCTCGAGCATTTCCGGTCGGAACATGCCACTGTTTCCAATCTGTGTGTAATTTCCTTGATTAGCACTCAGATAGCTTTGAAAGGGGTTAGGATAAGGCTGTTCTTACCTCTACGAGCTTCTTCAGGCCCTTGTGGTAGCTGAAAAGCTCCATACTAGGCTCTGTGTAGGGGTTGAAACTGTTTCCTATGTTAGTGGTGCCTAGGTATAGTCTATAACGATGGTTCGTTTCTTACGCTGGCTTGAATTTGAGACTATAAATCGCATATTAGTATTGAATCGTAGCTTTGATTAGGATCAAAGGATGTACTCACTCTGTCAGGCCCATCTTGGCGAAGAAAGTCTCAAAGAACTCCATCAGACCACCAAGAGTCAATCCGTAGTCGGCAATAACACCTAAACCGCGTGAGCTTTAGGAAAATAACCGAGGATCAAGTTTTAGAGTTGGATCGACTGTACCTTCTACCTGGTGGAACTCGCACAGATGTGTCGCGTCAACGGCCTCGTTTCTATAGATATTGTGAGCTATTACCATTAAATGCGATTAGACGAATAGATAGATAATTACCTGAAAACGCGGTCGATGGAGAAGTAGCGAACAGGGGGGACACGACCGTCTGGCCCCCTTTGCGCCGCCAACTTGTACAGCATGGCAGCCGAAACAGATGTTGTGTGAGTACGGAGGACAAGTCTGTAGCTCGTTAGCGAACCCTGCGATTCGATATATTCCACATTTTTTATCCCAGGAAGCACGTACTTTAATGACTCCTCCTCTGCCCACGGGTATCGGTAGCCGATTGAGCCATACTTTCCGTTCTCGTGCACCTGCTTTACGTTCTCAAAGTACTCGTCGTAGTTCTGTTTGTCGTCTGCGGAGACGGGCCCAGGTCGGCCAGCGGTCTTGGGGTCGGAGATGTAGAAGGTATCTTGCAAATCACGGGCAGGGTGTTGCTATCTGTCGTTAGTGGTGCTAAGAAAAGCGCTGGTATGGTTCGTCATCGACTTACTTGAGGGACGAAAAGAGCATCAAAGTTCTATTTAATTCACTGTATTAGTACTTGGAAGCTCGATGTAACCAGTATATTTCTTAAGGCGAGGATCGTAGATACATACCCAGAAACCAGACTCGATGTACTGGTTGGTAGGCATTTCTGTGAAGCCAGTCTCGAAGAAGATTTGTCTGTCGAGCAACAAAGGCGTCAGCGCTCCGGTGCACAAGCAAATATTCCTTCACTGTTAAAGGTTTGGACGACTAACCGGAACTCGTGTCGCATCTTGTTGAGAGGGTGGAGAGCTCCAGAGACCTGGTGCCCGCCCAAGGCCTTGAAGTTGTACGGCTCTATTGAACAGATTAATATTCGATTTCCGTAACAAACCGCAATCCAGGTCTAAGCAGAGCCACTCACTGAAGTTGGCCGTCTTCCACGATCCAGACGCCAGCATGTCGGCCGTCAGATCAGTCTCCTCCTTGACAATCTCCAGCGCAAACTTGGGTCCCTTGGAAATCTTGAAGGAAATGACCTTTGCGGTGGTGACCAGCTTTCGCTTCTTCAGGTCGGCAATGATTTTGCTCTCGTGCGACTTGGTCTCCTGGATGAAGCGGAGCTGCGATCTCGTAACGTCTTCAATAGAGTCGACCTATGGCAGGGTTAGATCGTGTCGCCAGCTCCCCTATCTCCCATTAAAATCAAAACTAACCAGAGCGACAAGCTTGCCATCGTCCTTCTTGATCCATTTCTCCCTAAAAGCCTTTCCTTGGCCAACCTTGGTCACATTCTTGTCGCCGATTGCGGTCTCCAGGTCCTGAATCGAAAGACCGCCAAGGGCCTTGTGCACGGCTTCAAAGACGCGGGCCTCGTGGCTTCCATGCTGGACAATCTCCTCGGCTTCGGGCTCTAGAATCGCTTCCTGTCTCTCAATCTGCTCGTAGACAACCATGGACCGTGAAGAGAGGCGGTCCAGAGCAGCCTTGAGGGTCTCGAAGGGCACGCTGGGGAAGGCCTCGGTGGAGAGAATCTGGTCGGCGCTGGCCAATGCCTGGAGCACCTGCAGGGCGAGATCGCCAGCTGGATCAGCGGATACGGGAGCCATGGTGCTGTGGTTTTTGCCGTCGTTGAGACTGGTGACGATCTTTGGCGCAGCCTTTTGTCGAAATCGGCCTCTCAAAGGTGACTCAATCTTTTGGCTGGGCAAATGGAGGGGGAGGGGCAGATTGCGGACAGTGTAGCAACAATATTTTTCCGGCCGCAGGGCGATTTGCGGAGGACGAGGTACATGGGTACATAATCACAGGGTAAGCCGACAGCAACTTTGCTCACCACAAAAAGGGAATAATTGAAACCTGATGAAAATAATAAATTAAATCGCATCTGCCAGGAGGCAGCATTAACTAAAGTACAAAAACGGGAATTGCAGCATCACAACTTGGAGTGAATCAATACCTAGGTAGCAGAATCATTGGGAAGCGTGGTAGTACCAAAGAGGCCCTCTAGTCTCCTTCATATTCCATTGATTTGATACCATCATACAAGGTTAACTAGGCGGCTCAAACCTGAGCTCTATGTCTAACTATGTGTAAAATTAGGCACATGCTTTTCATATAAATATAGGAAAAACATGCAAAAGTCATGTCGTCCATGGTACTGGTGATGTCGGCGGCATGACATGTCCCTATCATTTGCCGCGTCAATCTCATGGTGGCATCCCGGAGCAGCCTTCAGCCCTTGGACGACAGAATTGCACGCCGTCGCATGTTGCCGCTGCTCTCGTCGACAAGGTTGAGCTTGGCAAGGGAGCTCTCGATTGGAGGCACCACCAGGTCAGAGCAGAACAAATCGTCGGATTGCCTGCTGCTTGGCGTGAAGCATCGGCTTGAGGTCCGCGCCGCATCTGAGGATGAGGCGAAGCTGCGGTCTGCGTCTCTCTACTCCGCAGACCGCTCCGTGCCGCCTCTCCAAAGGCCATAGAACCCATCGCAGTTCTTCCACATCTTGATCGTTCCGTCTTCCGAGCCAGTCGCGTAAAGCTTGCCGTCGGGCGAAAAAGCGATGGACCAGATTGGTCCGTGGTGACCCTTGTGAATATCCATCTCTACCTCGTCGTCGTAGCTAATCACCTTGGCCCACGTTCCCGGCTCTTCTCCCACAATCAGCTTGCGGCCCTTGACATCGAGAGCCACGCTGGCAATGGTGTAGGGAAGAATAATGCGCTTCAATTCTTCCATCGCCCGGTCGCCTCCCCAAAAGTAGGCTGTCTTGCCGGCAGAAACAGCGAGAATAGGTTTTCCTCCACCAATATCCGTCATGGAGCTATACTCAGGCGACAGAGCCACCATCTCGCAAGAGCGGATTTCGCCGTCCAACACCTCCTGGTGAATGCAAGTTCGGCTGGGGAGATCGAGCCAGCGAATAGTCTTGTCGGAAGCCGTGACGATGACGTTTGGGTCTTGAGTCCAGCAGATGAACTTGATGGAGCCCGTGTGCACGCCCTCGGCAATCTCGAATCCGGCCGATGCAGGGATGGTGACTGGGTTTCCACTGTGGGCACCCGGGACGTCGGACAGGTCAAAGACGCGAAGTTTCTTCTCCATGCCGCCGGTGGCTACAAGATCCGAATTGTCGGGCGGATACGCAACGGCGCGGACGATGTGGTCGTGCTGCAGCGTGTACAGGAGCTCGCCGGTGTGGGTGTCCCAGATCTTGCTGCAACACATCAACAATGTTAGACACGTGCAATTCCCTATCCCTATATTCCACACTCGCAGGAGAGAAATGTCACGTACGCAGTAAAGTCAGCAGACGCGGTCGCGGCGTTGGAGGCATCGGGGCTCAGCCTAGCCTGCCAGACAGCGCCCTTGTGTCCGATGAAAGTGCCGATCCTGACGCACAAAATCAGCATGGGCCCGTCTGTGACAACGTTACACAAAAGGAATATCTACCAGTCGCCCGTCACACCATCACGAAGCATGGGATTGCCATCTGTAGAGTGAGAGGTTAGCCCTGGTCAAGTGACTGCCCCAAGTTGAGCTTGGACAAACGCATACCTTTGCAAGCTGATATCATATAGTAGGTTTCTTCCTTCTCGAGAAGAGAAAAGCTAATGTGAGGAACTGGTCGCGAGTGACCGTGGCACGTCAGCGGGACGTATTGTCGGGGCACCTCGGCAGCCATGATGACGGGTGATGGATTATCGCGTGAATTGAAGGAGAGGTGAAGAATTAGAGTATCGGAGTCTTCGCGTCGTGAGCAGAAGAATCAAGGTAGTCGGAAAATAAAAAGGACCGTACGAGGTGTTTCAAGTTTGAAGAAGGATTTGGATTAGGGGGCAGCGAGCTCGAGGCAAAATCGACAATCCCAGCAATGAGTGAGAGAAGATGTAGTCGAAAATCAAGAGAGAGAGAGAGAATCAAAAGGTTCGCCGAGCGCACGGGGTATAAATCGGCCGACAAGGACAGAGAGGAAAATCGCAGTTGGCAATCGAGGCGAGGGCGGTCTCAAACCTGGAATGCAAGGAGTCGAAGCAGCTCGCAGAAGGATCCGTTGGTCGGATAGCGGGCGAGACAGGGCCAACGCAGAGATTGCAGCGGGCGTCAGCGGCTGGATCTCGCCGGTTTGGGGGTAACGGAGCAAGGCAGAGGAGAGAGGCGATCACCGCAGCCCCTGATGAGATTCCGGGGCCACAAGATTGGGTTGCAAGGCGATCTGGATGATGATTTCTGTCCGCTGCTGGGGAAGCGGGGCAGCGCATAGAGAGTAGGTAGAGCTTTGGGCTTAGCAGGCGAGAAGCGCTATTGCGAGCGCTGTGGTTCAGGTGAAGCTGGTGGAATGGGAGCACCGCCACAAAAGGAGGGGTCGCTGAGGTGTGGCTGCGATGACGGCGATTCATGCGTTTTTGTTCTTGATCCAACAAAGTAGAGGAATGGCTCTCTCGGTGAGATTGGTACACTATGTCTTCTTCATTATAACATACACTATTTTTTAATGAATCCTTATGCTATATATACGATGGCTAAAATATTGTAGATGAAGATATCCATCAGTAGTAGCCGCGACTCACTGTACAGTCAAAAACACACCTGTAGTTCGCTGTTGCCCCTGTGCCTGGATACACTACTGCCCCCCTCCTACTAGCGCACAAGCCACACATGATGCTTACCAAAGCGCCCCCAAGTCCCCTAAAGCCAACTGGAGCTGCCCGCTAAAATACCCGCTGAGGCCATTGATCCTCGGTGGGGATCGCAGTGCAGTCACCAGCCTGAGTACGTACTGCAGCTGCCTCTACCTGTCTTCAAGCTTCCATTGTCATCCACTCTCTATCACAAACGCCCAAACGCCTGACAAAGCAATTCAGCTGCTTTCTTTGGCTCTCATCTCAAGCAGACCCAGCAGATCCATACCATCTTCTCCGTCTTCTCGCAACAGCAATTCAGCCGCTCTTTTGGCTCGTCCTTCCTTCGCTTCCATCAGTCGCATCATCGCTCCCCTCTTCCCCAGATTGAGGCGCAACCCCCACCACCGAGGCATCGCGATCCAGAGCTTGACATTGCCATGGCCGAATTCAAGCTCTCAGCGCAGCTTCTTGGCCACGAAGCCGACGTACGACATCCCTCGGCTCTATTTTCAAGTCTACCTTTGAATCCTTGTTGTACTAACTCCCTCTTCCGCTGCAGGTGCGCGCCGTTAGCTTCCCTTCTCCCGACTTCGCCCTCTCGGCATCAAGAGACTGTACCGTCCGCATATGGCGACGAACACAAACCACGCCCCCAGCCTTTGAGGGCAGCCTCGTCAGCCGCGGTTCCGAATACGTCAACACTGTGGCCTTTTTTCCGCCAAACCAAGATCACCAGAACGGTCTCGTTGTCTCGGGAGGCAAAGACACAATCATTGAGGTCAAGTCGCCCAGCTTATCAGCAGCCGATAATGCCGAGCGCCTTCTTATTGGCCATGCGCACAACGTGTGCACCCTCGATGTTTCTCCCAAAGGGACGTACCTTGTCTCGGGAGGATGGGATGGCCAGGCCCGTGTGTGGAACCTGAGCAAGTGGGAGACTGAGCTCATGCTCAGTGGCCACGAGGGCATGGCTGTCTGGAGTGTCGTTGCCTTTGATGAGACAACAGTGGTGACGGGATGCGCTGACAAAAGCATCCGAGTGTTTGATCTGAAGCAGGCAAGAGGCGGCGATGTCATGCCGGCAGCCACCATCTACACGCCCGATGTTGTTCGAGCGCTGTGCAAGGTTCCCAAGGGTCACCCTAGCGGTGCCGATATCGCTAGTGCAAGCAACGATGGTACTCTACGGCTGTGGAAGTTGAACGGTCAGCAGGTCGGCGAGCTCCATGGCCATGAAAGCTTCGTCTATAGCCTGGCAAGTTTGCCATCGGGTGAATTGGTCAGCTCTGGAGAAGATCGAACCGTCAGGGTATGGAAGGGAACCGAATGCATCCAGACCATCACACATCCAGCGATATCTGTGTGGACAGTTGCTGTCAATGCAGAAACAGGAGATATCATTTCAGGAGCCAGTGATGGCGTTGCGCGCATCTTTACCCGGCGATCAGAGGCTATTGCAGATGATGCGACTCTCAAGGAATTCCAAGCCTCGGTCCAAGCCTCGGCTATCCCGCAGCAACAGCTTGGTGGCATTAACAAGGAAAAGCTGCCCGGCCCAGAGTTCCTGACGTCCAAGGCAGGCACCAAGGAGGGCCAAGTTCAGATGATCAAGGAGAGCAACGGTAACATCACAGCACACACATGGTCCATGGCCCAGCAGCAATGGATCAACGTTGGTACGGTGGTGGATGCCGTTGGCAGCACGGGCAAGAAGGTTGAGTACAACGGACAGTCATACGACTTTGTCTTTGACGTCGACATCGAGGATGGAAAGCCACCACTCAAGCTCCCCTATAACCTCTCTGAGAACCCCTACGAGCGAGCTACCAAGTTCCTCAACGATAACGAACTGCCCCTATCCTATCTAGATAACGTGGCCAACTTCATCACTGAAAACACCAAGGGTGCTACCCTTGGAAAATCTGCGCCTTCTACGGGGCCCGATCCATACGGCACCGAGTCACGATATCGACCTGGAGACGAAGCTCAGGCTCAGACGGCAAAGGTGCTACCGCAGAAGGAATACCTCAATATCTCTGCGGCAAAGTATGAAGGTGAGTTAATTAACATTTTATAATTGTTTGTTTTGCAATATGATTATCTAACGTCAAATTATTATTAGCCATCCTAAACAAAATCTCCAATGTTAACAAAACTATGGTGTCGTCTGGTCGAAAAGACGTGGCCCTTAATCCAGGAGAAGAGAGTACCCTGCTTGCATCAAAGGCAGCCCTAGATGCTTCAAAGGCCATCTCAACCCCAACTCTCAACGTAATCCTCAAGATTGTCACTGAGTGGCCTTATTCTGATCGACTGGCCGGCCTTGATTTGCTGCGCTGTGTGGCGAGATACCCTATAGCTGCACAATTTAAGGGTCCTCTTAACGAGAGCCTTCTCGATATAGCCGTTGCTTCGTCGATTCCCGACGATTTTCCACCCAATGAGAACGCGGCTATGATGGGCGCTCGAACCATTGCCAATCTATTTGGCTCTGCCGACGGACGAAGTCTTGCCAGCTCTCAAGCAGACAAGGCTATTTCGTTCCTGGAACGCGTCACGGGGATCAAGGGCGGAGAGCCAATTGGCAAATTCAACCGCAATGTATTGGTTGCTCTGACAACAGTGGCAGTCAACTATTCTGTCCTTGTCAACAAGGAGAAACTCCTAGTTCCCGAACAACGACGACGCCTGGTGACTGTGCTTGGCGCTATCCTTAAGGAGCAAACCGATTCAGAGGTTCTCTATCGTGCACTTGTTGCGCTCGGCACTATCCTTTCAACTTCTAAGGATGAAGCCAAGAGCCTAGGAGTCGCAGCATGGATAGAAGGAGCCGCGAACAAGAGCTCGGAGGAGAGGATCAAGGGAGTCGCGAACGAGTGCTTAAAGGTAATTCCGCGATAAGCTTAGAGAAGAGACAACGATTGAGGGATAAGGGAAAAAAGATTATGAATAGAAATGAAGCACGATGGGATGACATCTCGGCGCATAAGCATAATATACAAGGATTTGGCAAGTGTGAAATCAAATCACATTGCTCTATATATATATAAGGTATAGATATATATATCTATATATACACGATTCGTTTATAAAGAACCACCATCTTCGAGCTCGAGCAGTCAAAGTAACGGTAATGAAATATACAAGGTTTAAGCAAACATGGCCTCGCCCCCAGTTTTCGTAAAACGCCAACAACGCCATGTCCTGTTCCCACGCTAGGAGAGAGGAAGAAAAAGAGAAGAGGGTACCAACTCTCGTCGACAGAGTGAGATCCAGGGGTATATGTTAATTATGCGGACCACAAAAAAAAAAGAAAGAATAAGAAGAAAAAAATCAGAAGAAAAGGCAGAAAGACCATCTGGTCATCTCTAGCCCTCCCCTCTGTCATCACAGAGCCATCCATATCGCTCCAGCAACGAGCGGAAGCCACCCCGCCCAGCTGTATTTATGCAGTTTCTCGGCGGAGGACGTCGTGCTGGAGATTACGTCGAGGACGGGCTCCTGGGTAGTGACGGTGTAGATCTGGGCGAAGCCAAATTGCGTCGAGTTGAAGCAGTTTGTCTCGTTGACGATGGGGATGCGGGGATCGCCGGGCTCGGCGAAGATGATGTCGACGCACTGTATTTTGAAATACGCGGTTAGCTTTGAATACATTATATCGATTTTTTTTTTTCTCTCCAAGTGGTGTCTTCCTTGGAGTATATAGATTGTGCAAAAAGGCTTACAGAGTACAGAGCTGCGCCGTGTTGAGCCAATTCAACGACTTGAATCGTCGCCTTGTCGCCAGCGGAGACGTTTGCGCCAGCAGGCAGGGGAACCTGGGGCAAGCAGACAGTTCCGGGATAAGGGTTGTTGGTTGGTCCGAGGAGCATAAAGGGCTTGACCATGATGTTGGACATGTTTGGCGGGCCGTTGTCAGGGCCATCAGTGCCGTATCCGAGGTTGATCTGTAGCTGAGCTTGGAGATGGCCGCGGAACCAGCCTGGCTGGAAGGAGACGGCGCCGCCGGTGGTTGGCCAGTATGTTCGGTTTCTGGTTGTTCCTATGCCGCCGCCTGGTTCATGGTTAGTTTGTCCTTTGTCTGGTTTGGCATGATGCCGGTGTTACTAACATGGATACATCCACTGCATGCCATAGGGAAACGTCTCGTTGGTGATGAGGTTGTTGCCGCGCCATCCCGGGTATACCATGATGGTATGGGCCTCGATGAGGGCCGTCAGGGCGAGCGTGACGAGTAGTGATAGCCGCATATTGGAGTCGTTTATATGTGTGTATGTATTTATGTGCGTGTGTAACTTTCTCGCGTGTGTATGTGATGATCCACTGGCTTGGCGAATGGCAAAATCGTGGCGTCTCGAAGTAGAACGTTAGGTCTCTTTGTGGTGCTTTCTTTCAAAGCTCTCGGGCGTCTATATCGAGATTGATAAATTCGGCGCTTTCAAATATACATATAACGTATATATAGATGATCAAATCGTAGATTGGCGAGTATGTCGCTTCTGATGTCGTTCGTCCTGATTGATTTTCTTGGTCGCAGGGTTACCCTCCTCTTTTCCTGTGTGGGGCGACTCCAAAGGCCCAGCCTTTGTTTTTCTCTCTTTGATATTTGGCAGCCTCAAAAGCCACAAATCTCGGCGCTCTTATCCAGCCAGATAGGCAGAGCCTCAATCGAGTTCTCTTTGAGACAATAGATTTGTCGTCGACGGGAGTCGAGGAACAGGCGGATAGAAGAAAAAGATGGAGAGGAGAGGCGTGCGCAACCAGGAGGTCTTAAGAACGGCCTCTGGGGGCCAAAAGAGAATCAAGGCCCGCTCTGGCACACACAACCGCACGAGAGCGACAAAAGGCGCCATTGCAGCCGCCCAACTTCCCTCGACAAGGACAGACGCCACCCGAGACGGGTCAAGCTAGGCTAGGGAGAAGCAGAAGGCGAAGAATTGTGAGTGGACAGACGGCGTCCTGTCTCTTGTTCCCCGCTGTGATTCGCGCACATTTTGGCGCGGGCTGGCCCAATCAGGGAACCTGGCCCTGGGCCTCGAAGATGCCGACCCTTGCGTGCGAATACCTCCGATTCACGGCTCCCATTGGCCGTTCCACAGAGGCGGGTGACAGCTGATTTTACGAGCAGCATCTTGGGCCGGCGAGAGGACAATGCTTGGGGTAGCGTCTCGTTAGCAGATTTGCTAGCATGAGAAGCGGGCAAAGATTTGATTTTGCTTCACCTTTTCTCGTGTCGTTGGATTAATCCAGCAACGCCATGCTTATCTGGAGCCAACAAAGTCAACAATGGCGAGGCTACGGGGAGAAATATTTGTAATGCGGAGCTTAGACCGCACCAGCTTGGTAGCACGGGTATTGCGGGAGTACTCCCAGATCGTGGGCCACGGCGCACAGGTACTCGCAAACGACAACTTCTCCTCGTTCTTCTTCGGCAAGCCAAGACGGACTGGAATCCAGCGTTGCCGGCAGGCCAATGAGCGGCGTGTGGCGCCTCGGAGGCGTCACAATGCTGATGTGAGAATCGTTCTTGGTTGGCCCACCGAGGAATTAAGCGCCCACGACCCTGGTCTCGCGTGCGGTGCCTGCGGAGACGCTCCCGGCCAATCGCATCTGGATGGAGCTCTTCCAGAGTCGCAAGATGCAGAGCTGTAGATTGTGATGCAGGGCCCTCGTTGGAGATGAACCAATGGCAAGCTGCAAGATGGACGGACTCGACAAGCTGTCTGCATCCGTGGATCGATATTTCGCTGCGGGAAATAGCACGACGCCTGGAGGTGCTTGGGATGGGACTAGGGAGTGCTATGTGACTGTTGGTGCCAGCTCGGCGCATATGCACAATCAGAGTGATGTGATGGAACCATGCCATGGCGATTTATTCTGCTCTTCCACGGCCTCGGACCTCGTTGACGACCGCATCGCAACATTGATCGGGCGGTCGTTCGATTTGTTTGCCGCCGCTAGGCTTGGAAGCGAGATATCCGGAGACACGCTCCTCTCTTCAGGCTCATCCTGGCAATTGTGACGAGAACTCTGATGCCGGAGTCAAGCGTCTGACACCCCTAGCTGTTATCGGAGTAGTCCCTCGCATCCAAGAGCAACGTTCGATCGGCCGATATGCGATTTGCTAGCGGGCTTGTATCCGCAAACCAGCTGTTAGTATAGCTGACATTTGCGAGGCGGAAGTGGAGACCAGAGGCCTGTCGTAGATGAAGTAATACTTGCTTGGGATTCCATGACGACTTCTAGCTTCTGCGGCGAGATTTTCTCGGCTCTGTCAGTTCTGTCGGGCTGGGTTGGTAGAGTGTAGAGTTTGAAATTTGGAGCTGCTTCGGCTGCCAGAATGTTGTCAGTTTAGGACAGCTTCCAGCTCCGCAGCACAATTAGACGAGAGGTCACATACTTGGCATGTACCTTCCATGTTGTCAGCTGGGTGCCTGATGGCTTACGTGACCGTTGGGGACGACCAGAGATCGGAAGAAGATTGACATGGAAATAAGCACGGTATCGAAAGCCAATATGGACAAGATATTTCAACGAACGACTCCACGTTTAATGGCTGTAACGACGCAATTGTCAGCAAATACTTTGGCATCCCAAAGCGAAATGAAAGGTTGTTGTTTGTGTATTGCATCGCCATTCTAGTTTGACTTTTGATTCCCATCCTTCCATCGCCTGCAAAATTATTTGCCCCTCCAGTCCTACCACTCCCACTTCCAATCTGAATCAACAGCTGTTCGCCTACCCTTCACCTTCACCGGAATAACACTACTGGATCCAGGGAAGGTGGATCAGCGCATCGCGCATCGCTGAATGCAATTGTTCCCCCCCCCCCCCCCCAACCTAGGACGACTGACCAAAGGCCTAAGTTGGTTGTGTTGATCGAGGGAGTGTAGAAACCATTGGCACTGGTTGTCCAAATGCCGTTGGTGGTTGAGATGGTTGGCCGAAAACAAGTTGTGACGGCTGGCCAAAGAGAGAGCAGAAAAGAAGAAGGTTGGAAGAAGAACTATGGAAAAATCCATTAGCTTCAGGGTCAAACTTCAAGATCTTGGGGGCGAATACTCACAATGCTGCAATCTCTGGACCATCTTGGCATCAAGCGCCTGGTTGGGCATGCAGGGACTTCTTTCGAAGTATGCGCAAACTTGTGTCGTGCTTGTACATTGTCGTGAATCGACGCGGACGAGTGGTTTTTCTGTTCAAATGGTTCATTGAGGTATCTGTCTGATCAATTTGTCAGTTCAAGTGTAATGATCAGGTGCTGATAGAACTTACTTCTGGAGCAGGAGGGAAGCACCGATATTCGCAACCAGGCTGCATTGCCGAGCCCCGGAATTGATCCTTGCTCTCCTCGAGAGTAAATCGAGATTGAGAGGCTTGATTGTGATCAAACTGTAGAAATCGCTCCTCTTGAGGAGTTCGCGAAGACTTCAGTAGCCAGTAGGCTGAGGGCAGCTGTTGGTCTTGTGGGCAATGGTGCATAGGCCACCAGCAACTTGAATTGAGAGCTCGTAGTTGTGGTTTGGATCTGTTCCCGTGTGAGATGCCAGCACCGCAAAGAAAAGTAAGTCAAGGAAGTACGTACTTGAGATGGCACGAGAAGCGTCTAGAAGACGTCTCGGTTTTGTAGGCAATGGTACATAGGCCACCAGCAGCTTGAATTGAGAGATCGTAGTTGTGGTGTGGATCTGTTCCCGTGTGAGATGCCAGCACCACAAAAAAAAAAAAAACGGCCGATCAAGGATGTACGTACTTGAGATGAAATCGAGAAGCATCTAGAAGACGTCTCGGTTTTGTTGCTCGAGATGGTCAGGTGTTGGTTTTGTAGGCAAGAAATGGTAAATCAAGGATGTACGTACTTGGGATGGAATCGAGAAGCATCTAGAAGACATCTCGGTTTTGTTGCTCGAGATGGTGTCGTTCTCCCACCTCCCCAAGAAGTGGGGGGGAAACGTCTTATGGGGGAGGTGGGAAGAAGGGGCTGGAAGCAGAAAAACAATCGAGGAAGAAGAATTTCCCACCTCCCCCGTTCTTTGGGGGGGGGGGGGGGGGGGGAACGTCGTATGGGGGAGGTGGGAAGTAAAGGGCTGGAAAAGAAGAAGAAGAAGAAGAGGGCAAACCCATTGCTCGTGGCAGAGCAATGGGTTTGAGGTGTTTGTGGAGGAAGAAAGTTGAAAGTGGGAGAGGAGGGGGAGGAAAATATGTATCGAGGGAGGGGATGGCAGTTGTGGGGGGCGGTGAAGGGGCATTGCAGCATCAATAGGGCTACTGTAGGGCTACTATTGGAAGAAAGAGCTCTCCAGGATTCATGAGTGGCTCGCAAATCAGCTCATTTGGTACGTCATGCTACAAGTGTTGGGGATGGAGGCAGTTGATGCCTGGAATATCTGGAATCTACCATCCAGACATCTAGGCAGCAGTGATGCCGTTAGAGTAAGTGTGGTGTATACCTAGGTAGGTAGGTGTCAGTCCAGAGGTGACACTGGAGATCTGCTGTAGCTGTATTGTCGCTGTAAGGGCCACTCATGTCTGGGCTGTGGCAGCTGATGGAAGTTGGTGTGGGACATCATCGCTTTCAAAGGTATTGCCAGCATACCTGTGACAGACGCATGCAGCTGAAGGTTGTAAGGGTATAGTCATGTTGTTTCTTAAAGCACTAGTATAGAATCTGGCTCGGTGTCAGCCGGAATTCCATGCTCTGCCACGTAGGTCCATGTTCCCTGTGATGGCCATCTCGAGCTTCCTCCACAACTGCACTTGTTCAAGCAGGCCTGCACCATCAAACGTCCAGCACGTAGCGTCTAGCAAGTACTCGATCCCCAACTCGGAAAGAATCTGATTCTGGTCTGACAAGTGTAGTGAACAGGAAAGTATCGGGTACGTCCTCGAGAACCATTGGCAGGCATGGACCACAAAGAACACACCACTGCTTGTGCCTCGTCATGAAGAATCTCCGTTTTCGTCATTGAGCAGATGTGATCTCCCTTGGCATGGCAAGTCCCATCCATTGATAAAAGGGAGCACTTCGACGACGCGAGCATGCCTTCCACTTTGTGCCCCAGCGGCCTTGACGATCCTTCAGCAGGCGGTGACGCCATCTCCCCCTCTTCCTACGTCTTCCTCAGGTTAGTATCTGGGGGTAGTAGATACTTCGTGGATAGCCTCAATCACACCTTGAAGGAGGACTGTCGACTAGCCCTCCAAGCACCCAATACGTATCCAAGCAAGCAGCCATCCTGATCCTGGAGCTTCCTGATGGTCGCGGCGGCAGAGCCATCTCCGCCTCGTCTCAAGTCCAGTCCGGTAGTCAAGTAGCCAGAGACTCTGGCGAGGGAGCTCTCGCCTTGCGTTCCGGTACGCCTCGTCAGCACATCTAAACTGCCAAGGCCTTCTTGCTGACTGCTGCCATTCAACAGTTCCTGACTCGACCAAGACATCCCAAGCCCAACACTCGACTATCCTTCCCTGATCTCTCTTGCGTCTTGACAAAGATGGTGATGATCACGCGCCGCGAGCCCTCAAGCATGTGTTCATTCTATAGGCACGACCCCCGCGGCTCCTATCTACGGACGGAAGAGTCTATCAATCTGAGAGGTCTCATGTGCACTTGGTATACCGAACTCGGCCCAAGAATGGGCGTCTCAATAGACCAGCTGCCCAAAGCAAGTCATATCTTCTGCCACCCGAGTTTGAGGCCATCACCAGTATCCCGACTACCCTACCCAAGAATCTCTCGGGGTAAGGCGGATACTCCAAAGAGGGCCCAAAGCCAAGGGAAGGTCAATCTCGACCTGGTATACGAGGCCACTTTCCTCAGAGACCAGCCAACTCAGTACCGGCTCAGCCGTCTGCTGTGTCGCCATTGGGTGGTGGGTTTCTCCCCAGCTCGCGCCATGACGGGGTTGCTCTGGGCGGGACTGTCCTTCCTGCCACACTGACTCTGCCTCAGCTGCTGCAATATTGTGAAAGAGAGTAGTGGGTAAGTTTCCTGAGCCGAATAGGGAGCCAATGGAAGTTGCAACTAACATCAAGCTGGGGCTGGAGCACAAGCACAATGGCTCTGCCACCTTAGACCTGCTCGCATATCTTTCGTCCAAAGAGAGCCCATGGGATCATACAGTCATCGAGTGGCCAGGAACATCTTCGCAGTATCAGACATTGCACGTCTCCTGCAAGTACCGCTCCAAGAATCGATTCGTCAATCAATGACTACATGTACCTCGCTTACCGGGCACGCGCAAAGAAACGACGATATGTTTGCTGGAGCGACGTATATCTCGCACAACACAAAGCTGCCCCTAAAGAGAAACCGATAGACGACCACACACAAGCCTTGCCTGTCTTGCCGGTCTTGCTTGAAGATGAAGGCAATGCTACGGATGGCGAAAACTGGCCGAAGCAGCAATCAAGATGGAGGTGATATACAGAGCATGATCTCTATGGATTGTTCCACTACAAGCAACATTTGCTGACAGTACCATGAACCGGTGTTAGGTACGACGAGTTTCGCCGAACGAACGAGACATTTGCTGACAACATCGTTCCGAGCACATGAGCCAGGAGCCCTGGTCACAATCCACGACCAGCATCTGATGCTTCTACCAGAACTCCTTCGACAGCGCCATCCAGGCATGCAGCATACACGTCGTCTTCTTCCTCGAGCTACCTTTCCGCGGAGGCGGGCTCGTCCCCTATTGTGTCTGCGAGAACAGATATTGGAGGGCATTCTTCTCAGCAGAGCCGTGCGCCGGCCAGCGAGGTCATCTTGGAAATATTGGAGCAGAGTCGGATAAACCCATGCTCTGATATTATCAACCCACCCAGCCAAAGATTCTGCTGCATAGGCTGACAAAATGCTGTAAATAGTAGAAGGCTTGGAAGCAGGTGAGGTCTTTGTGGCTTGAACAAAACTATGTAAAGAAGAGGTTGTCCGTCCCTCTTTGTTGAAAGTGTTCATAGATAAATACAGACAGTGGCCGTTTCACAGAGTGTTCGCCCCAATTATTCCATTACTGTACGGTGTTAGGCGTGATACGTCGCGGCAGTCAACAAATCACAGGTCACGGTAGGCTGGAATTAGATAGGACGTGGCATCATGACCAGTTCTCTACTTCTATGGGCGTAACTACCTAATATGTACATGTGCCAGGCGAGTAGGAGGCTATGTAGCCTCACAATTACCCTTCTCTCTACTCTCTATGTTCTCTGTATTTTCTATGTTCTCTGTATCCTCTATAACCTTTATATCCTCTGCGTCCTCTCTATTCTCTGTATACTGAAAGCCACCCTGTTGCACAGCCAGAGAGCTATCCTGGAAGGCATCTGGAAAGAGATGCATGTACTCGTCTTGTTTGTCATCCAGGTAAGCATCTAGAGTGCCATCCTGGGCCATATCTTGAAAGCCCGGTAGATAGACGTCGAGATAGGCATTAATAGAGATGCCCTCAAAGACATTCTGTTGGGTTTGAATCTGGATCGTGGTGTCGTCATTGCTATTGCATCCGAGTTCAGCTTCTGGGGGTGTTATGGGTGGCAAAACGGGAGCAGAGGCAGAGGCAGAGGCAGAGGATTGAGCCTCATGATTCCCTCTTGATTTCTTGCGAGGGTCTACCTTGCATAAACCACACCTCGTGATGAGCCAGATAACGTCTGTATCCTCTGTATCCTCTGTATCCTCTGCGTCCCCAGCGTGATCTGTGTCCTCTCTGTGTTCTGTATGATCCGTGCGTTCTCTATGTCTGTTTGTTCTGCGTGTTCTGTGCCTTGGCAAGGAGGAATGATTCAATCATCTAAAGCCCCATACATTGCACCTGTGACCTTGGTGTCCCACAGTCACATTGGGTCTAGGATCGTGCCCAAATCTCTGATGGTATTCCGCAAAGTCTCCATATTCTAATCTCTCCGTCAGGAGCCCGCGAAGAATACGGTGAGGGGGTTGTATTTGTGTTGGTTTGCTTAGCTAATCCAACCGCTATCACCATAGGCTTCGACCTCGATGTCTTGCAGCAGATTCTTTCTGGGCTTCTTGCATTGAGCTGCCGTCCAAAGGAAGAAGCCCGAAAGGGTGACGACCGGCGACCCCCGACCGATCAAAACGTACCATATCTTGGAGGCTTTTAGTTATCGTAGACTTTTCACAGGCCAGCAGGCACCGCGTCTTGCTATAACTAATCGTTGGCCCGCACGACAGCATTTCTCTGGTGATGAGACGATGGCTGAAAGTATGATAGGATGCTTTGTTGGGTTTTGATTTTCCAGACATGGCTGGGCAGTTGCCGCTCCCTGTTGGTGATGTGTATCAATCCATCCGCTTGTTTTTTCCATTGGTGTGGCGCGGCTGGATGCTGGTAATCTTGCACAATGCGCATAGTGAGATGCCTTGAAATTGAAGTCTATCATGAACGCCAGCCAACCAGCGCGTGTGGATGTTGCATGGCGGAGCATCCTGCCTAGGAGCATAACTGATCGGCAGATGTCGCGGCGAGATACAGATTTGGGTGGAAAGTCAAAAGATGACTCGTCCTCTGCGCGTCCAGCTTGAAGAGAGCTCAAGACTAAGGCTGGCAAGGACCGGAAACGCTTACCGCTTGCCTGCATCGCCTGTCGTTGCAAGAAGATACGCTGCTCTGGCGAGAAGCGCCTGCAAGCACTGCATGAGATCAAGGCTCGCCGTACGGACTGGTTATAGCGGTTGTATAGAGAGGTTGTATAGAGAGGTTGTATAGAAGTTGTATAGAAGTTGTATAGAAGTTGCATAGAAGTTGCATAGAATTTGTATAGAGCTTGTATAGAGGTTAAGTTTAACATCAAGATGAGAGGTTCAACGCTGTAACAGCTGGTTCAATAAAAGGCTATGCCCCAGCCTCTGATAGAGGTTATATAATCGGCAATGGGGACAACGTTGGGGCGCTTGGCAGCCATGGCGATGAGATCACGGCCAGAGCGGTTAGAGAACTCAACGGCGTAGACAAAGCCAGTAGGGTCAACCAGGTCAGCAACGTGTGAGACGGAGGTACCGGAGGCAGCGCCATGGTAGAGGACGCGCGAGCCACCGCGCATCTGCAAGGATGCTGGCGTAATGGTCACCAGCGACCCGTCTTGAAAAACGGACCGAGTCGTCTTCGTATGCGAGTGTTTGGGTGTCAAACCCCTGCGCGTAATGAAAGCGAACGCAGGTGGGAGCTTCGGCGCATCATCGATCGATCCTGATGTTCTCGGATGGGTTTGTAATATCATAAGAGGGCGAATGTAGATATCATCCGCACCACCGGCAATGGCAGCGCACAGCTTGCTTCGGAAGGGGTTCCAAAGTCGGTACTCGACCTTGGTGGTGGTGGTTGTGCCGTCGCTGTTCTCGACGGTCTCGTCAACGCTGATGCGCTTCTCGCCGTAGACGGACTCGCCGGGGATCATGTTGCGGGTTGCGATACCGCTCCCCTTGCCTGTGGTATGAGTTAGCAGCTGTGTTATTGCTGAAGAGTCTTGATACTGAAATCTCGACTTACCTGGGGGCGGGACGGGACAGCTATCGGCTCCGAGCTTGGCTTGCTGTAATAATATGGCCAAGCTGCAGCCGATAGCTGTCTAATTGCGTAGGACTTTACCGTGCACGACCCGGAGGCGCCACTTTGTCCTTTTTTTTTTTTTTTTTTTTTTTTTTTTTTTTTTTTTTTGTTGTTGTTCACCTATATATATGTTTGTGTTTGTGTTATTTATTGTGGTGGTGTTGATAATTGGTGCGTGTGCGTGCGTACATATGTGACTTGTAGCCGAGGCTGATGAATATGTATATTGATGCTGTGTGTTTGTTGACTGCATCTCCGCAAGCGAAATTTCTGAATTCAACATGGAAGCAAAGGAGAAAGGTGCTGCCACGGACGGCGAAGACGTAGAGATGACGGTGAATCAATATCTCTACAACAGCTGATTCAATAAACAGGCTATGCCATCGCCTTTGGCTCGAAATGTGGAATCAAGTAACCGAGCCCATCCAGCGGCGCCAGATGCTCTCCGGTATAGCTAGGTAGCTGGAGAAATGGAGTTCGGTGGTTGTGGGAAGGCTCTAAATGGAACGACTATGCAACTCGTAGCTGTCATGGTGTGGCGAGGGCCTATCCATGCATGTCCAAGTACAAGAGATTATGCTGCGAAAGTGCGAATGGTCCATTATAAAAGCCATCGTCGTTGTCTCCAAGCCTGTTTTGACAAGAGGATTTGAACGAGCCGTTATCAATCGACAGCTGGATTGGTGACCAGGCTAGAAGTGGCCTGACTTTGTGATATAAAGAGGAATGCTCCCTCTCTCGAGATAGAAAATATTTTCTTCTTTCAAAATGACCCGTAGTTGTGCCAGCGACTATGTTGTGATGGGGATGTGCCGCAGCTGAACCAAATGATTCCGTAATTTGTTCTCACGCTGTGGTCCACATAGTGGCCAGTAATGTTGTGGTGTTGTGTGTGTTTGTCGAACCAGCTCAAGGGAGTGTTTCCTGACTGTTAATGAACTGTTTTTGCACCTAGTAAGCGGTTTCTGAAGGTGTCGATAAGCTATAGTCCTTCAAATGTTTCCTCTGACGATGTCCAAGCTGCCGGTGCCATATCGTCCTAGAGAACCCATGCAAACGATGACAATGAGAATATAATTAAGCCCGTCAGGCCAGCGACTTGCCCAGCTCGATCAACCAGAGCAACGGCCTTTGCAGCTTCATCCCTGTTCTTATAAACCCAAAGACCATCGCAGGATGAGTGTTTCGTCGCTTTATGATTTGGCGATGTGGCCGTTAACCCATATCCATGGCCACGCTCATCATCTGGGCGTATAGTACCTCGGTGCAGTTTGCAAGACAGCAGGAAGAACTTCAAGTTACGCCTTCTAGGGAGGGGTGCCGATTGCCTGAAGCCCGCGCTGTAAGCACTGTGTACCACCAACTAACGATTCCCACGCGGGATGAGGAATTGTGTTTGGAAATCTCTTTCTTTTTTATTGATCCACCATGTAACGATGAGATGGTTAAATGTACCTCCGTTTTGGTAATAAGATGCCTGCGCATATGACAAGAGTTGGAGTCATTACACAAGTCTCTGCTTCCAAGAAGGCATCCGGCTCCTCGCAAATCGCACAGCATGTCCTGGTAGACAGAGCGAGTTTGCTTCACATCTTCGGTGCTCTCTCCCTGAAGCACGGAGGTAATAACACTGCTTTATAGCTTTCTTTGCCAACAGAAGGCTCTGCCACGCTCTTGGAGTGATCGAGGCCCTTGTCATTGCTATCGTTTGTGCTAAACTGAGCCATAAGAAGCGTTCCGAGGCTATCAGTAAACGGCAATTGGGCGAATCAATTGAGGTCAGGCGATTGTGAGCTGCCAATGCACTTGTTGGTCTGCCGCAGCGGAACCAAAGAAGTAGAGGTGGCGGCCAAGAAATCTTTGACTGAGGTTTTGGATGAAGAAGGACTGGTTGCAGCATCATCGGTGCCACCATATTGTACAAATCGTGCGCGAGGGGCGTGAGCACGATCCATATAGGATATATTGCCCGTCAGCGAGATAGCCATGGGCACCCATCATATCAGAGTTCAGCGGAACGGCTAGCAGCTTGGAGAAGGCCATGCGGATCAATGCCAGTAGCATGCTGCAATGACCCATTCAAGCGCTCAAACGAGAAAAGCCACAGTAATAGCAGTGGAATCTTTCGGCGTAATCCAGCGATAATTGGAATGAACAGGAATATTGCCCGCTTTGTAGCAGCCCAAGCATACATACGCAGCAGCAGACTTCTTTTGAGTGTAAAAATCCAAACAATCTGCATCGCATTCGTGTACATGGTCTGCGCAACCACCTAGTGGACAGACAGACTCTGCTTGTTCAAGGGATTCGGAGATGCTTCAGCAAACTTGTGAAATAACTCATCAATGCGATCGATTGACGCAGCAAGTAGGTCCGTGACAGTTTCAGACGGTGAATGTTTAGCAGTGCTCGAGGCGAGATGGCACAAAGGACTTGGTTTGGCCAAAAGACGTAGTCATTGACGCCCGCCCCTTCAAAATCCCCTCTCTTTCAATTCAGGTATGTATCGTTCCTCTTTCTCTTTGATGCACTCAGATAGTGGCTCTTGGAGCTTCTGCAGCTGGTAGACGCAGTCTCAGCCAGGGACCTTCATACTTCGGACAGTTTTGAACAGTTCTTGATCTGCATTGGCATTATAAGTAAGGCATCATCACCTGCGTGTGTAGTTCAGATCAAAACCTACAACTTCGTGCTCTTTTCAGTCGCCCTCTGTCATACCTTTGCCCTTCTTACTCAGATACATGGCCCAAATAGATTCTCTTGATGGAAGACATGGCAGTAGAACATCCACGTGAGATCGCAATTGTCGACCTGATGCTTCTCTGGAATGTTCTCCGTAGGCATACACCCCATTGACCTTCATCAAAATGCTCCTCCTGATGGTAGTCCACTCAGAGATGTGTCGAATCCCCATAGAGAGGTCAACAGATAGCAAAAAATAGGAACTCCACGATCCCCTAATTCTCCCATAATGAGAATGTCCACCTTGAGAATACAAATCTTTGACATAAGAAATGTATGTCGAAAACCGATGCGCGTATTGCCGCCGATTTTCTGTCAAGGATCCCTCGGTAATACGAAGCTTGAGTTGAGATGGCAGTGCCAATAAAGTAGCAGATGTGAGAGTAACGCAGTTTAGTGGTAGATAGGCAGTAAGGAGGAGTTGAGAGTGTCCAATGCAACATTAGATAAAACCGAGATGCTGCCAATCGTAGACTCGTTTCCAGCCTCAAATGGTGCCGAGGTAAAGGAGCAGACGTCTGAAAAGACTCTTGGCATCAATGGGATTTTGCTGAGAATGCCCCATTTTCCAACGTCTGCCTCTTGCGCCGCACCGCCAGGGTGTGGAATATGATGATCACTCGGCCACTTAGGCAGTCATTTGCATCCGTAGAGAGTCTGAGACAGCAACCTATTGGGGGCAATCCCTGAGCTGCTGCAAAGCAGGTACTCGTTCCAAGAGCTCGATCAAACCTGGTCAGCCAGATTTGAAGCTTGTATTTGCATTTCCTCGAGTCAGAACAATAAGAGTCCTTCTGCAGCCCATAAGCAGCACTTTTGCACATTCATTCCCTTCCACAAACGTCAGGCGGTCGAGATAAGCCGGTATGGCTCAACATCAGTCACAGAAACGGCAGTAATCCAGCCAGCCCGGGTCAGGTTGCTAGAGTCCTTGAAGCATGGATAGTCCATCTCCCGGTTCGCACCAGGAAAATTGAGCTTGAAGGTGCGTCTATACCAGGGCGGGTAACAGCGAACAAGGCCATCGCAGTCTTCAAAAGTGAGATACCGCCTGTGCATGCCCTTGACATGTGCTGTAAGATTGCCCTCTTCGTCCTCTAATTTTACGACCGAGCCGTCGAATACTTTTCCCGAAAGCCTCTTAATTTGCCTGGAGTGATTGCGCCATCACCGACTTGCGTAGCTACGCTGTCGGTAGACTTGATTCCAGATGCTGAAAATGGTGACCCTGCCATGTCTCTGCAGGCATACTCTAGTGGTGAGCAACGGTGATCAGATGGAACTGCCTCTTCAGCTTTTCGACTTGCCCAAATCTTGACGGTGAGTCGCTTGTTTCTGTACAGTAATCCCATGCAACGAGGGCTGAGGCAGTGGTAATTTCCTCCGATGCGAGAAAGGCTCCTGGAGGGCAAAGCAGCATACCAGGCATATAACTCCAAGAGTAAAGACAATGATGCCGGTAGTATTAGCAAGTGACAAATGAGACACAAAGTATCGCATGTCGATACCGAAAGGCCACAAAGCAGCAAAAGCCCGAATTTCTTTTTTCCTTTCTCTTTTTCTTTTCTTTTTCTTTTCTTTTTCTTTTTTTTTTCTTTTCTTTTTTTTTTTTTTTTTTTTCAGGGAGAATTGGGGATATCCTTCCATCCCATATAGAGATTTGATTCAAATCAGTATGTCAGGGCCAAGATGGTGTAACGGCTGGTTCAAGGATGGCTATACAGTAAAGAGAAGTCCATAAAAGACAAACACAGCCAGAGAAACAGAACCAGACCTCAGCGCATTGCGAAAACAAACAAAGGTCCGGAATGTCAAAGTCTTTTGGGTACCCGCAGATACGTGGCTTCTGGGCGGGCGTCGAAAGGGCCACTTTGTTATCCCAGGGCCATCGGCTTCATCGCCGGCGCAGACCATGACGTCGACGCCAGACACCGAGGCTGAGATTCCACTCATCTTAATTCCTCTGCGGGAAGGCTGGTTGCCGTATCCGCTGGTCGAGATCAGAGAGGTTGTCAATGCCGAGGGGGGTGGTGGTCAGGCCACGGCGCAGGGGTGCGAGGTGGACTTGAGGAATCTGGGGGAGACGGTGCGGGTTGTGGGAGACAGGAGCGGCATAACGGTGAGCCTGGATGTGAGCGGCCCAGGAGGAGGGCCGTTGGTGTTTGAGAGCGAGCGGCTGGGTTCAAGGGCAAGATCGTTGAGTGATGGCATCATTCGGTGTGTTGATCCTGCAGGGGCATTGGCATGTAAGCAGACAAAGCTCAAAATATGTCGGCTGAAAAGGGAAACGGCTCCTGTATATGATGATTTGGCATACGACAACGAATCCGAACTGGGCAGCATAGTGAAGAGGCAGCCGGCCGAAGGTGTCAGGGCTTTTTAGAGCACCTCGCTGGTTCTCAGACATATTGTCAAGTAGATATTCAAGGATATGCACAGTTTCATCGTCTTTTCCGAGTAGAACAGATTCGTGCTTGTTTATTTCCTTAACATGGGCGGCAGAAGAGACCGCAGGCCGCAGACGCCCGTTATTAAAATACGTGCCGACCAGGACTGGGTACGTGTTGGCGTCCTCGTTTGTGGGTGCAGACTTTGTGCGGCCAATTTGAATGACAAGGCGGCGGGTGCAATTTCGTCCGTTGATGTCTTTGGGCTCGTCGAGATCTTTGATGTTTTGTAGAAGATATGAGATACAGGCTCGAGATGGGAGGGGGGGAAAGGCGAAAGAAAGAAATAGAAAAGAAAAGAGATAGGGCGGTAAGGCCAATGCTTTCAGTGAAGTGTCCATTGATTCCGCAATTGAATTCGCTTAGGGGCAAGGTACGGCCGAAATGCAGCAAGTCTTCTTGCTGCAGTTCCTGGATCGGTTGTCTAAGTGAACCACTCCAGTACAGAGCAAACGTTGAGGCAAATCCAGTTCTTGTCCGTCAGGGTAATCTTGACAACGTCCACACAGCGCGCTTCTAGGTTGTTGTCGTGTATTAACTTAAGGGCAGTGGCGATCTGGCAAATGTGCCCCCAGAGAACCTGTTCGGTAATTGGCGGCTTGGGTTGAAATCGGCCGCCTGCCACCAGAGTTGGCGTGAGGAGCGTCTTAGACAGCGGGTGGTAGTCCTGTAGAAAGATGAGGGAGCTTTCTCCAAAGGCTCTTGTGGTGAAGGTTTCGTGAATGCTGACAACATTGGCATTATCAACCCGCTTCCACTCCTTGACAGATCGAATGGCATGGGGGCTCTTCGGCGTGATTCCCATCTTTGCCATTTCGAACAGGCTGGTCGTTTGTACTCGGAGCATTCTTCCCGCCCTCGACCTCCGCTACATATAAATGAAGGAAAAGATGCCGAGTGTAGAGAGATTACGAAGTCAATTACTCCGGTTTTCCGTTGAGAGTATGTCAAACGATGAGGAGAGAATTGTCAATGGTGACGAGAATGATGTGCAATTCTTCGCCTGGAAATCTTTAGTGTGAAGTTTGAAGTTCATTTCGCCGAGTCGCGTAATAGAAATGCTGAAGCATTGAATCTCCGAGAGGCATCTTCTTGAGCCTCTGTGTCCATCAACTGGGCTGCATTCTGACGAATCTTCTCTCGGGAAAGATGAGGCTGACTTTGATTTCTCCAAAGAGCCGCCAGTGGTCAAATTGCTATGACATCAGTTAGTACAGCCCTTCTCGTACATCAATCAAGTTGCCATGTTACCTTCGGCCCGCTAGCCCTCTACTGGAGCTTCCGATGCCACTGCCTATGACGCGGCGAAGGGTACCATGGAAACCTGCTTTCTTCGATGACTTTCCATCATCCGGTAACGCTGTTGGTTGACTGTTGGTTCCGAGAAGGAGGAAGAGGATGACTTGAGGCCTCAATAGATGGTTTTGGGAGACCGGGGTCTCCTGATTGGCTGTTCATGATTGCGATCCTATTTTGGATTTCCTCATCTGGCGCTGTTGCTAAGTATACTGACGTCCTATCATAGCCAGTTAATATCAGTCTGTCTCGCGCATGTCACCTCAGATGTTTGCGAACCTTTGCCACATCCTTTGCGTCCTGCTCCTATTGGGCTGCTTCGGTTGGCTTTCTGATATTTATCGAGTCTCGATTTGCTACTTCGTACTCAGCAATTGTACCCTGTAAGGATCTCGACAGCGGAGTGACCTCGGCGTCCATACACCTCCTGCCACCCCGGTGCGTCATCAATCCTACAAGGAAAAGACTTTGTGATATCTGTATCCGAATTTTGACTCGCGGAAGTGTGAATCTCGACAGCAAGGCGGCCTCGGCATCCATACACCTCCTGCTACCCTGGTGCGTCATCAATCCCACAATGAAACTGGCATGTCGTTGGAGATCTCCAAAGCAAAATGGCCTCGGCAACGTGATACCTCCTGCTCGCGCTTTCTCGGAAGAATCTTCTCCATTGGGCGACTGCCGTTGAATGGCTCTAGGCTTCTGTGTCGTGCGGAAATAAGGCTTTGATGCAATCATGCGACTTTTGATACACCATGTTCTGTGTATCGAGATCATCTTGGAGAGTGACAGTAGTGTTGGAGTTCAGTGAAATGCTTCCAACAGTGCCAGATCTGTATCATACAAATCCCAGGTAGCACCAAAGAATACTCAAAGCAAATATTCTAGGAGAACTCACCCAGCGTTATTGTAGTACTGATCCTCTATCATATGGATCAACTCGTCTGCCTTACGACGGATCTCATTCTTCACACTCCTTGAGGAAGACGAAGCCGACTTTGACTTCACGGTGTGAATCTCGACAGCGGAGTGGCCTCGGCGTCTATACACCTCCTGCCACCCGGTGCGTCATCAATCCACAATTTGTTGTGAAGATTGTGAGATATCAGCTTCTTTCGTTGCAGGGAATCTCGACAGCGAAGTGGCCTCGGCGTCCATACACCTCCTGCCACTCGGTGCGTCATCAATCCACATATGTTGTTGCGAAGGTTGTGAGATTCTCTTCATGGTGCTCCTCAAATTCTGATTTGGTCAGCAAGGCAAAGAACAAAATTGCAGGCGTATTGGGAACACCAACCTCTCTTTTGGGGTATTGGCTGCCACTTGCAGTGCGTTTTTCTCCGTTCTCAGTATTTCCTTTGGTGATGTTAATATGGCAGCTCTCATATCTAGTCTAAAACAGAGGAGTTGACTTACAATTTTGACTTGTAATTCGGCCCTTTGCTCTTCAAAGAGTCCGTTCTTTTGTCTCGACTCCTTGTACTCTGCCTTCATAATTCTACTTCTCCGGTGGCCTCTGTTAATCGCCTATTCAGCTCAATCTTCTCTTGTGTATGAGCGGACTGAGAGGTCCAGAATTTTCCCGGCTGGATTTTCTTTGATAATCGTCGTCACCGCATTAGCACCAGATTCCTCTTCAATATCAGCCACAGAGGACTTGAGTATTGGGGCTGCGGCGAGCCCTTTCTCGGTTGTTAATTTCATGACATCCCCAGGGCTCTCAAACATGCTCAAAGAGCGACGAAATTGCTTTCGGGTTCTCATGAAATGGTTCGATTATCGTCAAGAATGAAAGTTGCCTGGCGAGCCAAGGCGATAGCTCCCTCCAATAGTTGCGAATTGGGATCTTGAACGAAGGCCTATAGGGATAAGTGGGCAGGGGCTATTGGACGATGTAGGCTTTTTCGTCGACAAACCATGTACTAGGAAGCGAAATAGCCTCGGCGTCCATACACCTCCTGCCATTCCGGTTCGTCATCAATCCACAAATCTGTTGTGAAGGTCAAGCACTCCGGCGGATTTGCCTACTGTGCTGATACCTCGTATACGGAGCAATTGTCCTTGTTCTTCTTTTCCTTCTTTTCACTTCCAGAACTGCCAGCGAACACGGCATGCCACGAGAGTAGCCTCCCCTCCCTTGCAGGAGTCAAGATGGCAACAGGTAATCTCAGCGGAACGGGGCTAGTTGGCATTATCCCCGCCGAATAGATCTGCACAGGATCAGTCCGGACACTGCCACCCTGTTTGCCAGCACGCACGAGTAATGCCCCAGCAACGCTCTGCATAAAGGCTCGTCTCCTGCTAAGCATCAGCCAGTTGCCGACAAAGCTGTCCCTTGTCTTCCGCGAGCAATGTGCATGGAGGGCATCGATTTGTGCCTGTGCGGTCTGTCTCCTTATTTAGATTGAGTTTTGCCATAGACTGGAGCCATAGGGTTTAGGCTTCAGGGTTCTTGAAATGTTGAAAGCAGAGACTGAGCGGTGACTGACTAGGAACAAAGAGTACTGTGGACGTTTGGGGCGAGTAAGGCAAAGATTCTTGCAGCATGAAAGGTCGTGAAATCGCGTTTTGTGAGGCGGCCGCGCTGTTGTTTGCGCTGAGCCCATCCTCAGGGACTTCGCGCCGTGTGGCGAAAGGGGAGCCGGTCAATATTCCGGCACCTGGATGTGGGTTTTGCACGGCAACGCAACTGAATGCGGAGACGACGGCGGGGGCCCCTGGCAGAGTTCTCTTTTCTTAACAGTCTCGAACTTCTGCTGGTGTTTGGAAACACTGTTTCTGCAGCGATCTGCTCAAGGGAAGGACTGTTGTTCCCGTTACTCAGGTTTCTTGGATCTCATCTCAGGCAGACTTTTCTGTCTTACTCGAGAGAGGCCAGGTAAAGAACGCTGAGCCCAACATTGGCGCAGTCCGTAGACTAATCCAGATTGCTGAAATCATTGGAAGTGATGATGGTGATGTTAAAAGCGGTACTGAAACTCCTCCCGAGCCCGAGCTACAATCAAGTAGAGACGCCCTCGATGACTAGAAAGGTGGCCAACGAAACTTTCGCAAAAGATACTGTGAACTAGGAAATGAAAGCATGAGGCAAAGTTGGCCGACTGGCGTCCCTGGAGCGCATGAGATACTTTGGACACCCGCTCTTTGCCATCTTTTGTTTGGTTGGTAACCCTGAAATCGGTTTGTCCGGAGCTAGCGTTTCACGGCTGGAAGAGTATAGCACCTCTGCTGGGTCCGGTGCGCGCTGGGTAATCTATGTTGCGTGGCTGCATGTTTGCCAGAACCTCGATGTTGGCGAGCCTCACCAGAGACGCATTGTCGACACAGGAGCTACTGGTGCATCAGCTGCTCCCCCAGCGTGGCTTCAATGCGTGTCCAAACGCTTCGGGGATCTCGACAGCGAAGCGGCCTCGGCGTCTATACACCTCCTGCCACCCCGGTGCGTCATCAATCCCGCCTTAGGATGATGAAATCGGCTTTGCTGTGACCGGATCTTGATAAAGAAATTGAAGGTATCACGATGCTTCCTGGTCCCTGTTCGCTCTCTCTTGGACGAGTCTCCTGCTTTAGACGACTGCCCTTGATTGACTCTTGGCTTCTTCTGCGTGGCGCGGACAGTCTTTTTCGCAGGCTGAGAAACTTCTCCAGCTCCGGCTCTCCAGAAATTGGTTTGTCTGGAGCCGGAGTCCGGATCTAGAGTTTAATGGCTGGAAGAGCCCGGAACCTCTGCTGAAAGCGGCACGTGTATTAGAAGAGAGATGGTGAGGTGTAGCGGATCTTTGATCAAGTCGAAACGACCGAGAACAAAAGTATGATATAAAGTAAAGGAAGAAATGACATAACAATAGAGGGATAGACATCGGTCGCCCCAATTCTTCAAGCGTGCATTCAATTTCTTCCTCTTGAGATGCAACAATGCTACGCTTCGAAGGTGGAAGCACCAGCTTAATAGCGTCATCCAATTTCCGTGCCACATTTTGAAAGGTATCGTTGGTACGGTAGAGGTAAGTCCACACTAAGCGTGAGATAACTTGTAGACACAGCGGCTTCGTCAGTCGGTCCTTGGCCTTTGTCTGCAGAGGTAGGATCAGCTGTAGCCACTAGGCTCCGAAGTTGCCAGGCGAAGAAACACAGAGCATTGTGGCCGTGAGCGGAAACGCGACAGCTTCGTAAACATTTGTGCCAGTCGCGGCCCAATGGTTGCCACGACCTCCATCCACTTGGGATGCATCAGGTGGCTATTGCTCGCCTTGGAGGCAATCCCGAGCAGCAGCAAATTGATAATCTGGCAAAAGGCTGTTTTCACTCTTTGGCCGTGAGATCTATTGAAAAGGCGACCCAGTGATGCGACGAAGTCGAGATACCTCATGCTAGCCCATATGCATTTGCCATTTGTGTAAGTGATGTATAGCAGGTATCGACATACGGCAGATCTGTATGTCATCCAGACCTTTGCCGCCATGTCTTCCAAGAATCCCGGTGGCCACCATTTTCCAGCGGCAGCTCCTCGCCAGTTGCTGCTGCTGATGATGAGAGGTTGCTTGGGGTAGACGCCGGCGGTGTCTCTGGCGCATTTGCGGATGGTTTTGATACGGGCGGAGGGCCTTGCGTCGGAGTAGTCTCCGGTGCGTCTCCGTCAACGGACCTCGTCGCTTTTTTTACGGTTCTGGAGGTCGCATGCTTGGGGTCGTCTGGCTTGTAAGAACGGCCCAGACACCAAACAGGTTCGTCGCTGTTCACGTCGTTGGATGGATCAGATACAATAGTTTGCATCTGATGAAATTGTTGCCGCAGCGCATCCTAAATGTCTTGAAATCTTTCAAGACATTCACACAGTCCCGGTACTATTCGCTTCCACGTGGCCGTCGATCCCCAGGGAGGTTAAAAACAGGATTGTCCAGAATTATGTCATGGAGCTCCTGTACCGGTCGGTGTTGCGGTATTGGCGGCTGTGGGCTCTATTGCGGGTTGATAAAACGCTGCGAGATGGACGTAAAGTTGAAGTGCTCCGACTTGGCAGGGCTGCAAGTCCCATTGGGACTGCCTCCTATACCTTCGTAGCTGACTTGCTGGAGATGTGGCAGCGGCGGAGTTGTATGAGATGTCTGGTCAAAACGAGGATCGACATCTTCATAATAGCCGCCCTTTTCTTTGGTTGCGCCGTTTCCAGCTGGACGAACTGGATGAATCATTCTTGCCCAAGCATCGCTGACATATCTACGCTATCACAGGTGCGGATCATACACATCAGCCGTTGAAGGCGGCGTCAAGGGCGTCGACACCGTCTCCGTCAGTCTCATCATAGAGCGAGCCGTTGTCATGCATGATCCCCAGATGATCAGCGCCGAGTAGGTCCGAGAGACCATCGAGGATACCGGGTTTGACGCTGAGGTGCTCTCCACGGACCTCCTCAGCCCTCTTGTTCCTCAATTTTCGGATGTCAAGGGGGATGAGGACCTTGACAGCGGTTGCGATTGAGGGCATGACGTGCGGTGCCTGTACTTCTGCCGCCGAGGGCGGCTTCAAGGACACTCCAGGCGTCAAAACCTTTAGCATCTCGCTTCTTTCTGAGCGAGCCGTCATCGAACACGACCCAGAGCTTTTGCCAGCTGAGAAAATCGCCGAAATCATAAAAGACCACGGCTTTGCACTGGCTGCTGGTGTAGGGCTCCAAAAGTGATCTGGCGTAGGGTTACGCTGCGCGTTTGCCTTGAACAGCGCAGGAAATAGTCTCAAGGAATTGGCTGAGGCAGAAAGTGCCGAATAGAGGCCACAACCGTGATATAGATCCTCGAAGCTCCCGAAGAGCGTCTAGGTCTGATGACGGCGCCAAGTCGGCAGCAACACAGGATTGCTCGTCCGAAGCTCCGAAAGTAACGATGACCTTCATAAGGTCGGTGCTTCTATTGGCATCGCTTCAACGCAACTGCGAAAAATCTGGCGAGGTCTGGCACTGAATAGACTGCAGAAGAGTTCTGGCCTGCAAGACAAGCATGGGAAAAGGAACGATTCGCAACAGGAATCTGACTTGCCAACGGAGCCGCAACCTCCTCTGTGTGGCAGCAAAGATATGAGTCCGGTTTAGGAAAGCAGCCATGGTAATGCACCAGAGGGTCCATCTGTTGGTGGCATAGCTGAAGACGCTGCCCAAGCCTCGAACTCCGTCTAGAGATAAGAACGGCGCTGTGCCGAGGCCGTGATGCGAGTTTCTTCCTGCCTCCTGGCTCCACTGGGCCCGAGATGGGACATATTGCCTACGGTTCGCTAACTTAGTTAGTAATGCAATGAGGGAGAATGCAGTACAGGGTGATACATACTCGTCTTCTGAATACTTGCTCCTGTCACTGGCAAACGTCTCTCAAACGTCTTGAAAGATTTCAAGACATTCACAGAGTTCATCTTCGTTGGCTCGTCCGCTTCCCCCATAAGGGCTCTGAAAGTTGGCACAGGATGTCTTTCCAAGCTTCGAGGTTCCCTGTAAGGCGGATGCGGGTTTCCATAGGAAGTGACTGGAACCAACGGCAGCCGTCAGACGAGGCTGACAGTAAACCGGGTACGGTGTTTTCCAACACCTTGGCCGTTCCGTGAGTGGCAGAAAGGATATCCAACAGGCCGATGTAATCCGAGATGGGCAACTTGCTGGTGTCCAAAGCCAAGATATCGGCCTTGAAGGTAGCGTGTGGTCCTTTTGGAAGATTATGGAGCCGAGGGAGCTCGCCCACGCGGTGGGTAATTGGAGGAATGAGACAGCTCTTCATGCTGCTGGTAGCTTCGAGTGCTAATATATTCGGCAGAGATTGAATAAGAACGAGATCAAGGTAATCCAGCTTGGCTTCCTTGAGGGCAATGTCGACCAGATCGAGCGTGTTCTGGTAACCGAAGGGCTTCTCACGGACGAGGACCTTTGTGGTGAAAAAAAAAAAAAAACCTCTTCACGGGGGACGCCAGAGGCGGAAATACCTGCAACAGAGGGGCCCCGGTTGCAGTATGCAGAGGCAGAGTCAATCTGTAACTTGGTTATTAGTATCTTGAAAGCAAGAATCACCGCTTCATGCGTCAAAAGGCTGTACTTACGTGTCTGTATCTGATTCTCTCATCATGTCGAATCCCCGAACCAAGCGCCAATTCGCCGGCGCTGCAGCTGATCCCACCCAACGTCAAATCACCTCCTTCTTCGCAGGATCACCCAACACCAGCCACTCCGCAACTCCCCAGCCTACGCTGCGACCCGAATTGCCGGCTAAAGTCCAGGCGAACCTCCTCAGCGTTGGCATGCGGGTGCGCAAGTCCGTGCCCGAAGGGTACAAGACCATCGATCTCAGCAAAACCACTTCTTCCTCGAACGGCATTGCGCCCAAGGACTTGAGGCGATCTGTGGTGGCGGCGAAGCAAGCGTCGAACAAGCTGCTGCCGTTCTGCGGAATCAACAAAGTTGGTGGATCAACGCCTCTCTGCAGACATCGCTAGTAATAGCCGCAGCACTGCCAAAAGCGTCAATACGAATCACATGTTATTACAAATGCTCTATATCAAAAAGTGGCATACGTTTGGTAGACCTAAAAACGCGCTTGTAAGCACCATATCGGCAAGATAAAAAGGTTTGAGTGAGCTTGCGAGACTTACTCTAAATCCCAGGAGGGGAATGGAATAGCCCCTCTGGCTGGGCCAACTGGCGGCGATGACTTGTAGTTCTATGGTAAGGAGCAGGGTCGTCGTTCTCCTGATCAAAATCCAAGGCATGCATACGTGGCGGTGGTTGGGCCACGCGCCGTCTCTGGATATGAATGTCTTGAAAGATTTCAAGACATTCAGCTCTCTTCTTACAGTTTCGCTGATTCTCACTGACTTGACTGACAACCTTTGATTTCAGCAAGGCATAACATCAAATCGAAGAAAGGGTATCAGAAACTAACCTCCGTTTACTGCCCATGTAGAACTCTCTTTCATATGTCAGGTTTCGATTCCAGCTTGCTCCACGTGGATCCCAGATGGATAAGAGTTGCAAGTGGGCAACATCAGCATCCATATAGTAAGCCTCCATGAGCTAGGAGGCGAGAGAGGTTGAGTAACCATGGACACCGAGGATGGGGGCGTTTTTGATGATGCAGTAGCCGTGGTTTTCACACAAGGGAGAACTAGCACCGGGATACCAAGGAGGCAACGGCTGAAGGAGCAAGGTTGAATATCTTGACAGCCTCGACTGCGTCCTTGGCCATCCGGCGGTATGTGGTCCATTTACCACCGGCGCAGGTCAGAAGACCGGACGGCAAAAAGATGACGAGATGGTTTCGTACGAGGGACTCGGTGTTCTTGGCTTTGGGGTCTCGAACAAGAGGTCAGATACGTAAGACATGTTAGTTGAAGATAATAAGTTCACCAATGAGGCCCAGAACCCAGATAGCCAGGTGGACAACATTGGAGCCATTGCGCCAGTCAAACAACAAGAAGAGAATATAAAGATAAAAAGAGGTAGAACCGACAACATGAACCTAGGAGAGAAGCAGGTTAGTAGATTCCGGGGAAGGAGGGGTTGAGTGTGAGGCCATTGGACAAATTTCCAACAAGCAGATACTAGTCGAAGCTCGACCCGAGTGCTTGGGACCGATAGATGGAAGAGAGCATGGGTGATCATACCACAGTCTACTCGCCGGCCATGGGAGTCCTCCTTTTGACCACTTATAAGGGTTCTCATGATAGAAGGCATGGACAAAGATGGAAACACCAGTTGCCACATATTTTGGCGTTGAAGAGACAAGATTAGCATTTCCTGTTTCGGGCCGGAGCCGCCGACACAACAGACTGCTTGCATGTCCTTACGAGGGACTGTTCTCACTGGGCGTTGGCGAGCGTCGGATCCGGCTGGTTTGGATGAGGACGATGTTGAGGCCGAGGCTGGGGTGGGAGGGCTGGGAGTCAATGTCAACGACCCAGCTTCTAGCTTATAAGGCCTATTATGCGAATCCAGCAAGGGGAGAATGCTTACCAGACCAAGTAGCCAAAATATCAGATTGGCCAAGTTTGGCTTCGGCCCGCAGAAGCTTGACGGTTGCGCGAAGTCCATTACCAGCGTCGTGAACACACATGCCGGGCCATCCTAGCCGAGGAACGGAGCCAGTTGAGTGCATACCATAGTCTGGGGTGCCGCACTGGTGGCCTTTTCTTGTCTTTACGAACTGCGGGAGTGACATGCGTGACATTTGAAGTGTGCAATTTTGGCTGAAGAGATGGTTGTTGGATTGGCTGCTGGACAAAGATTATTCATGCCGTTTCCTGGGGTGCCATGTTTGTGTTAGCCACTGCCTTGGGGTTAGTCGTGGCGAGAATACGCACATGTCTCCCACACCTGTGCTCGTACATATGTATGCGACAGCTAGGTAGGTTTGGCGTGGCAGAGGAGGATCTTTAGCAAAGCTTCCCCAGGGTTCCTTCACCGACATGACAGCTGCCGGAGCCGAGAGGAAGAGGCAGACGCTGCATGAAGGCGTGTTTTCTCGCTAATGTTACCAGCGCAGACGTTGTCGCTGCGGTATCCAAGATCACTCGCTGCGCCAGCCTTTCGGCGCAGCGATATGCATATGCCCACTGCCCCTTTCTTTTTCCTTGCTCTATGTGTAGGTGTAAGTATTAGCTGTAGCTCCACCAATTGGCCGGACAAACTCACGCGTCAAAGGGATCTGTGCCACCGATCGCAATCTGATCGAAATTATGCTCTCCTACCGCGTGCATACAGGCCCAGAATGAGAGGTGAGTTCATGCGGGCCCTGTCCAGCGAGTCCACTGCTACTCGGTACATTCAGGTCGTCAGATCTCGTGGTGCGGAGGGCTGCGCCAACTCTGCAGTTTGATGAACAAGGAATGCCAAGCAGCAGGGCAGAATCACCAGACACTGTCGAAACTGAGCCTGATCTTTTGCTGGACTGCTCTGAGACAGGGTCAGGTCTTGCGAACTAAAGCAAACAACTCCAAGAGCCGTTTTCCTCAGCAACAGGGGAGCAATTTTCTGGGCGTACTACCATGATGAGGGCGTGCCTAATGGCGAATGCCCCGCGACTCTTCGCGCCTCGCAATCCCGAGAGTTCAACTCCCCTGAGAACGCAGTATTCCACTCACCTGAAGACCCTGAACCTCACTCCTCCACACCTTCAAGAAGATTGTTTAGTAGCGGACTCTCAAGATCACAAAACATGGAGGAGCATAACTCACTGTCAACACATTCCTCGTCGCGGCGGCGAGAAGAGCATCCTGGCTCATGTAGCGCGAGTCTGAGAGGGCGTATTCCTTCCACAGCTGGCCAAAGATGTCTGTCTTGCCGGCCATGTCAAAGGCATTGTAGGAGAAGTAACCTGCGCACATGTTAGCATTTGACTCAATTGAAAAGGCATAATTAGGTAATATTATATGTGAAGTCGTTAAACTTGACAAGGTGGCTCACCATCGAAAAATAGATAGATGCAGCCGCAGAGGGCAAACCACATGGCAACAGCCATTTCACCACTGCCCATTGAGGGCCTCATCCGCTGAATAATGCCATACGTGATGAGGAAGATGACAGCATATCCCGCTGCAAAGATCGATACCAGGACGGGCGCCGCAATTGTGTTGGCGACGTAGGTTGGCAACTCCATGGCAAAGGGAGAGAAGGGGTGAAGCGGCAGATCTGCCACGACTTGCTCGACGGTGTCGTCTTCCATTCACGGCGTTCAACCCCCCAAAGAGTTGTGGCCCGAGGACCAATACGGGCCAGTGAACTTTGCCGAGGATCTTTCACAATCCCATCTGTATACTCATGAGGAAGCTGAAAGCCTGTATATGAGTGCTTTCTCAAAAGCAGAAAGTCAAGCTGACATATTAGAACTCAAAATCTCTAAACACTCGCCCCCTCCAACCTTTGATTCAACATTTGAACAAACCTTTGAGCAAACCGTTGAACAAACGATCCAGCCACCAGAGTAACAAATGACAGAGGTCGATGTAGTTCCTGATCCAGTTTGTTGCAGCACAGTATCTTTCCAGTTGCTTGAGAGACTCAGGAAGACCCCATCGAGGCAGGGTTGCCACTCGTGCATCAGTAAGTGAAAAGCCTTCCCCGTTAGCCAGATGTCCCAATAGAATGACTGAGTTGTATCCCAAAAAGGACTTTTGAGGCGACAAACTAACCTTTGTCATGGAAAAGTGAAAACAATTGACGAGGATGAGAACAGTGCTCATCCAGTGTCGATGAAAACACAACTAGATCATTGGTATAGGCGCGTGCAAAATGCCGGAATGGGAAAAGCTTGCGGTCGATCTATCTCTGAACATATGGGGGTGAGTGACGGAAACCCATGAGGACAACATTAGTGGTCTCTAATCCTTGATGAATAACCAAGGTCAATTTCTCATGGTGATCAGGGTCGACTAAACATTGATGAAACAATGACCGGGCATCCACAATGGAAATATATTACGCACCCTTGAGCGCTGCAATCAGCTCCTCTTGACGAGGGAGAGGATAAATATCCGAGACTGTAACGGCAGCAACCAAACAAAGGGGCGGAAGTCCCAAGAATTGCTGCCGCATGCTAACAGGCAAGAAGCTTCTTGCTTGTTTGAAAGGTGAATGTACACGCCTGCGAAGTGTAGTTGTGATTTCTCTCTTGACCGCTTTGCTCACGAGAAGGAGGGAAGCGTGATTCTTTGCGCCTTCGCGGATGGCTCTGTTCCCCTGCTGAACGGAATTGGCCATGATGCAAAACTCCTCGCAGGACTCGGGAGACCTGGACTCTGCGCCGCGGATGCGCTTCCAGACGTAGGAATCTAAAATTCTGTCCTTTTGCATCTGCCAGCGAGGACTCTCTGGCAGAAACAGCATACTAGTTAATATACATCGTCAGCATACGCTTTGTACAAAGAGAAAGCAGTGCTCCAAAGGCAGAGGTAGAGACCACTCACCTAATAAACATAATAATAGAGAAAAGAAGCGATGAGCCTGGGATAAAACGCCAGTTGACAGGAACCTTGAGGGAGATGGCTGCTATGGCGCAACTGAGGACTTCGCCGAGCGTAATATTAAACTGGTAAAGAGATACGAGGTTGCCTCAAATACTGCTCTTAGCAGTCTCGGCGACATAGGCGGGGATGGTGCCGCCCCCAAGACCCAGAATGATACGACCAGAAACAATTATGTCAGGAAACATGTTAGTATACGGCATATTAGATTAGGGCCATGGGGAGATTTTCTGGGCTTACCAAAGTTGATGGAGCCAGCCTCCAGCGCGGCACCAATAGTGTAGGGCAGGATGGAGATGATAATGGCCCACTTGCGAGGTTGAATATAGTGAGGTGCTGGCGAGATTGTTTGGGCCTTGGTCTTGACACGCGCGGCTTGAGCATAAACTCATCGTCTGTGAGGAGCGCGCTTCCACCGCTTGTTTCAAGGGTCAAGCCAGTGCTAGTGAAGCTGGCGGCGGCCTTGCCAGTGTATGCGGCGGCGTTTGCGGTAATCTTTCTGTCCTGTACCATGGATTGTCAAATAGCAGCGAAGCTGACTGCTTGGACTTTTCCAACGCACCCGGGCATGGGCGACAAGGTGCTCAAGGCCAAAGCTGGGGTGGAATGGGCGCGCAAGGCGAGAGAAGGCGGCGGCGGCATCAACAAGAGCTGCCCAATGCACCGGTGTTGATGTTTCCGGCCTTGCGCGCCTCTTGCTGCCCCCTTGGCAATTGTGCCTGTTAGCCATCTTGTAGGGACATGAAATGGTCTGGATTCCGGCTCACCATGTTCTGGGGATCCTGAAGGGTGATGATGTCGGCGCGCGTGAATGGCTGATCTTCGACCAAATCCTGTGAACTGCTAGCAACCTGGCACACAATTCAATCAGAATTCCATTCATCTGACAACATGAACAGGCGACTGTTGGACATAATCACCTTACACATACAGAACTGGAGGGACTTGGAGGAGCCTTTGCTTCCCCCATCATGACAGGGGATATGCCGAACTCTGGTGAGCTCAATCCAGTCAGCAACAGCCGATCAGGATATTCAGGCCATACTACAGGCAGAAGCACAGAAAGCATGGCCGCTTCCAAGAAGAAAAACAGATTAGCAATGGTCTCTCATCTTGGGGAGGAAGTTGATATGATGTGGATGACTTGCATCAAGGTTCAAGACCAAACTCAAACTGTTTCCAAAGATAAAATATTAGTGCATGTAGTGTTCCCATATATGGCATGGGGAATTGTGGTAAAACAGCCAAACGTACATACACGCGCAAAAAGGCCGGAAGAACAAAGTTCAAACACGACGCAACCACTGCTCAAGAAACACGTAAGCAATATACCCAAAGCTCATACAGTATTAAAGTGTACTTACACTTCGAATTATAGTTCAATGACTCAAATAATGCAGAAAGGCTGCTTCAAAAATATGTTAGTAAAGAGAAAGATGTTGATGAATAGGTAGAGGTGACAGCGTCGTTTTTCGTTTCTATCGTGGCGAGAAGAAATGCTGAATTGCCTGCGCCCTCGTCTAACCCACAAGAGAAAGTATTAGAAAGACAAGGTAATAAAAATAGTTCTAGGCACCCTTCTAGAAAAATGATAGTGATGAGGAGGAGGCGGAAGAGAAAGAGAAAAAGAAAAGGAAAGAGAAAAAGAAAGAAAAAAAGAAAGAGAAAAGGAAAAACAAAAGGAAAAAGAAAAGGAAAAGGAAAAAGGAAAGGAAAAGGAAAAGGAAAAGGAAAAAGAAAAGGAAAAAGAAAAGGAAAAAAAAAAAAGGAATAAAAAAAAAAGAGAAAAAGAAAGAGAAAAAGAAAGAAGAAGAGAAAGAAGAAGAGAAAGAGAAAGAGAAAGAGAAAGAGAAAGAGAAAGAGAAAGAGAAAGAGAAAGAGGAGGAGGAGGAGGAAGGTAGTGATGATAGTTATAAAGATAAGGAAGAGAAGGAGAAGGAAGAAGAAAAAGAAAAAGAAGAAGAAGAGGAAGGGGAAGAGGAAGAGGAAGAGGAAGAGGATGATAATAATAATAATAAATGTCAGATCTGCACAGACGACTAATGATCGGACGCAAACGACATTGAGGATGATAATGATAATGGTGATAATGATAATGAGGATAAGGATAAGGATAAGGATGAGGGTGAGGATGAGGATGAGGATGAGGATGAGGATGAGGATGATGATGAATGTCAGATCTGCACAGACGGTTAATGATCGGACGCAAACGACATAATGATGATAATGATGATGATGAATGTCAGATCCGCACAGACGACTAATGATCGGACGCAGATGGCATAAGGAGGATAAGGATGAAATGATGATAATGATGATGACAATAATGATGATAATAATGATAATGATGATATGTAATAAATGTCAAATCCGCACAGACGGCCAAAGATCAGACGCAAACGACATGCTCATTTGTCTCTGCTGGGTCCGGTGCGCCCTCGACGTCCCTTGAAAATCCGCGGGAAGGAATATTCTCACGCCAGGTCGTACTCCTGTGACGGGCCATGCTGCTGACGAGCAACGGCCCGTCAGAGGGGGGTTGAAGGGCGGAAAGATGGGATGAAGGGCAGAAAGAATCAAGGCGGCAACCGCCGCAGGTCTCCAAGGCGAACAGCCTCTGGTTGATAGAGCAATGTAGATAAGGGAAGTCGGCAAAATAGATCCGTAACTTTGGGGAAAGGATTGGCACCAACAGTTGTGCAGGCTTCAACAGCCTCTGGTGAAAACTTTCAGCAGCGGATCTCTCAGTTGATCGTCAAATTGAACTCGATCAGGCCAGCTGGCCATCAAGCTCTCTGTTGAAGCAGACCTGACGGCCAGTGTCTCTGATACGACAATGATGGCAGGCGTGGTTGGCTCCGCTCGTCTCTGTTCTCTCCAGTTGGAGGAAAACACAATGCGATCAGTAATTTGAATTGCAAAATGCGGTGAATTGAACTTACATTGCGCCCACCAATGTTCTGGTGGTAGAATATCAGCACCATGCGAGAGATGATTGCTCTGCTTCGAGACAGCATAATGGGCGAACGCGACGCGTCAGACGAGGTGAATGGATGAGAGCCCAGATCCAAACACCTGGTCTCAGGGAAAAGCAAAGGAGATTCTGCCTCTGCTTCTACTGCTTCCACAACTGTCGCCGCTACCATTCCTGAAACGGTCAGCTTTTCCGTGCGCAGAACGAGTATTGTTCAAGGGAAAGGAACAAAAGGTCAGGGTTCATCATACCGCGTGAGAAATGGGATGTATTCTGAGCAGATACAGGCTGTGGAAAGAATCACCGCCCATGAATGTATTGAGCGGGCAGAGATGCAGAAGCTGCGTAGATGAAGAAGCTGCGTAGATGCAATAGAGACTCTGGAGCAGATGGCTTTTGCGAGAAGACTACCGGCCGAGTTGTTGATTTGGAGAATCGCAATGTCTGGAAAGAGGAGAGGTTAGTGTCAATGCAAAAGGACGATTTGACGGCGAAATACTCAGCTTGAAGGTAGAGCTGTAGAACAGATCTGGCAGCAGAGAGAGCCGAGCAGCAAAAGTGAACGGAGTGGCAATGATGGAAGAGTAGCAGGAACCAAAGAGTGGAAGAGCCTGAAGAGAGAGAAGAGGAAAAATTGCTGCGGTGGAGCGGATTGCACGCACTACCACCCCCAATCTGTTGCAGCGGGCGTTGTGAAGAACTGGAAGAGGAAGAGATTCCAAACTGCCAGCGCAGCACAAGAAGAGAATGAAGCAGTGGTGTTCAAGAGAAGAACAAGGAACAGCTGTAGAGGAAGAAAACAACGGTGATGGGGAGATGTAAACAAAGGAGAGTTCAGGCGAAAGAGGAAAAAGGAAGAGGAAAAGGAAAAGAAGAGGGGGAGCAAAGTTTGGAGCAGGCAGCTGCTCGCATCTGTGCACCCTCTTGCTCAGTCGGTTATCTGACCGACTTCCAGGCAGGGCAATCATTGATGCCAAGACGCAGCAGCGCGGTCAGATGGGCAATCACAATCCCAAAAAGACGGTCAAAATGCATTTCTTTCCCTTTCTACACTTGTTTCTTATCCCATATGACGCATCAATGCTTGGCTGCCTGCTCATTTACCCCTGATTTCGAGAAGGAGTGAAGAATCACAAGCGAGGCCGGACCACTCGCAGCCAATCGATCGATACTATGAAGTAACAGAATCCCCGTCTAAGTTTCCAAAAACCTACAAAGAACTTCAGAGATTCTAATGGAAGCGAAACTGCCCAAGCAGGTATGACGATAGTATTGAGAAAGTCAAGATCCGAGTCTAATACGGGTGGGTCCCAGTGCCATGCAAACACCGGTCCAGAACAAGTCGATTCTACTCTAATTCTCGCCGTACCCATACAAGCCTGCCTCTATTCCCTTGATCTGCAGTGCCAGTAGTCTTGAAAAGTACCGGCATAGTGCCAAATTGCCTCCATGGATCCAGAAACCAGGATGACCCGTCTGCTGCCAGATGCCGCGAAGTTCTCCTCCCGCACCGATTCCCCATACGTCATTAATCTTGTCTGCAACAGCATCTCCAAGCATCAGCCGCGTCTTGTCACGCATGTTACCGTACCCTGTTGCCAGAATAATCTCGTCCGCCTCTAGTTCACTGCCATCTGCGAAACGTAAGCCATGAGGTAGAATCTCTGTAACCTCCTGTCCCGACTTCATCTTGATCTTGCCGTCAATGATGAGTTGAGAGGCGCCAACATCGATGTAGTAGCCCCCTCCCCACTGGAAATACTTGAAGAAAAGACCGGCTCCGTCTGGCCCAGTGTCTACTTTGAATCCAGCGCGCATAAGCCCCTCAAGTATGTCACGATCATTCTCTGCTTGCTTCCTGGCAACGGAAGTCTGAAGGGTCTTGAGAAGAGCCAGGGGAAGGCTGTGGGTTAACAAGTCTACATCTTCCACCGGCGGGCCATTTTCTGAGTAGCTGGCCAAGACAATGTCGGTGATGGTTTTGGATTTAGTAACAAAGGTGCTCGAGCGCTGGACCATTGTCACGTCGTAGCCCTTCTCGACAAAATCCTGAGCAATGTCGTGGGCCGAATTGCATGATCCGACGATTACCGCCTTCTTGCCTTTGCTGTTCTCTTGAGCGCCTGGAAATTCCGAAGAGTGGCAGATACGGTCACCTTTGAAAGTATCCATTCCCTTGAACTGCGGCACGTGTTTAAATCCCGAATGGCCTGTTGCTTGAATGATGTGGCGTGGGCGCAAGTCGTGAGTCTCTACAGAGCCGTCTTCCAGACGCCGGAGCACTTTGACAGCCCAGCTGCCCTTGGTAGAATCCCAACTGGACCCTCCAAGTGATGCATTGGTCCACACGTTGAGCTCTAGCAACGTTACGTAGGCTTCGAAGAACTGTGCCAGCTTGTCCTTGGGCGTAAAGATGGGCCAATGGGGTGGAAAGGGAAGATATGGCATGTGGTCATACCAGACAGGGTCATGGAGAACCAATTGATGGTAGCGTTTCCTCCAGCTGTCTCCAACACGAGCACTTTCGTCGATAATCAGGGCATCGACGCCAAGCATTTTCAATCTGGCCGCTATTGTCAGTCCGGACTGTCCAGCACCTGGAGAATGTTAGTGAATTCGGTCTCCGTTGTGATGGAAGTCAAGTGGTAGCAGTTGGTAGCAGGCCAAGTCAAGGGCAGGGACATATCCAAAGACTGAGAGAGAGGGGGGAGACTTCTTACCTATGATAAGAACAGCTGGATCGGCATTTTTATACAGAGTTTCTTGCTCTCGTCGTTGCGCCCAATTCTGCCGGCCTTGCTTCATGCCGTGCTCGACTCCATTGGGCCGTCTTTCGTTGATCTGCTCTTTGTGGTCTTTGAGCTCCTCGAGGACCGTGTAGAAGGAATAGAATTTCCAGGTTCCACTGTCGTTGATAAGTCTACCAACGCCTTTCCCTGAGCCGATGACGGTCTCGAAGTTGATGACGAAATGGATTCCAATGACCTCGCCCTCGCCATCGAGAGGCGCAACTCTGGGTGCTCGTAACGCGGAGCTTGTGTCTAGTGTAACGTGCTTCAAGCGAAACCCATCTCTGGATTTGGAGCTCGTCTCAAGCAGGCTGAGAATCTCCTGCGGTCCCTGTGCTGTGCGAAACTCCCACGTCAGGGCCAAATGGTCACGCCAGAAGCCTTTGTCGACGAAGAGCTTCGAGACGGATGCGTAGTCTGCTTTTGCGATGGATTCGTTGAGTGCTGTTACCAAATCAACGGCGGTCTTGTTCGCATCCAGGTCTGGAGATGGAGCCAGCGCAGATTTGGGGAATTCAGCTGGAGGAAGGTTGACTGATCCGGGAGCAAAGCGTTCCCAAGTGGGAAGCTGTCCATGGAGTTGAGCAGAACCCATGGCGAAGTTGCCGGGGCCAGATTCAAAAAATGAAAAGAGCAGTTGAAATTGGATAATCAAAAACCAGCCAGTTTGCTTGATTCTGAGTATCGTTGTCTTGAGGGGAAGCGATCACTTATATTGCCAAGGTGAGGAGTACATGTATCTACTCCGCTCCGGTCTAACGTTATGACGACAGCGACAACCAACTGATGCCTGCGCGGTGAAACCTCGTTATCTAAGACAATTGCGTTGAAATCGCCGCCAAATTCTGACACGTAATTGAAACATACAGCGCATTAGGCTATTAGTTGCACTGCAGAGGACTAACTGGATTGGTTGTGCTTGAGCTGGGGGAGTTGAGTCCCGTAATTGATTTCAAAGTATAATAGAGTTGCATTGGGGGCTATTTCGAAGGCAGCGGACTCCGATTTAGGAGTTATTGGCTCGGCCCGGCGCGAAAAGGCCGACAAGAATGATTACGCCACGTGCTGCTTTGCTTTGGCAATGGTCATGTACTAAGAGCTTCAACTGAGCGGGGGAAATTACTGGAATGTTGATGGGTGCATAGTAGTGAAAATCCGGGGTATAAAGTCCATAAGCACTTTTAATGATTGATCGAGGGGCGATCAGATCTGACTGTAAAAGTACGCTATTCCCGGCAGGGTACGTGGCTCGTGGAAAATAAGCCATGCTGCCAAATAGAGAAGATGCACTTGATACGAATATGACAGATCATAAAAGGTCATGAAAAATCAAGATATAGGCGTCAGAAATATCAAAAAAGGCATCTGCACGTTTTTTTCTGCTCCCGATTCCGACTGATGATGGCCACTGTATTACTCCAACCGGCCTTTTGAGTACATGTAGTGCCATTTCTTCGAGGTGCAAGCCAAGGTGGCCCGTGCGCGCCACATTCCATGTGCTCTGGTGCTGTACAGTAGCGCATCGCTGCCGTCCAGTGGTCTCAGTTTGTGGCCATTCAGTGCATGTGGTCTTCAATGCGGCCCCTCCAATGCACTGCTCTGGCTCTGCCGCTCTGGTACTGGCACAGGACACAGCCAGCATTCGGCGGCCAATGGGCGAATTGCAGTTCAGCTGCATCACGCGGGCAGTCAAATGACATCCAATTCTTTTAATGAAATCTCTTCCCAGCGCCTTGCTTTTGCATCATGTACTGCATCATGTACTATCCATATTAATGGTTCAATCACAGGTGACAGGATTGTCTCCCGCCGCAACGGAGCAAGAGCGAATGCGAATGGCCACCGTGATGCATCAAATGATCCTCGTACTCGTACCTGGTGCGGTGTGGCCACCCGAGAGGCCCCACCTTGTGCACCTCCAGGCTCCAGCAGCGTTAAAGCGCATCACTGCAAAGTTGGAAGTTGCAACCCAGATCAGTACAACTATTGGCCAATGGCTCGCTAATTGAGGTGCACGCCAAGCTGGTCCGTGCGCACACGCGAGATCTCGTCTATCCGCTATAACACCCGCTGTAGCATCGCCATCGATCGCTAAAGTTACAGCGCAGCCACCCCACAGCAAGGGCTAGGCAGAAAAATCAACCTTTGAAACATCAAATCGAATCTCAACCTCTCCCACTTTCAACAATCCCCGTTACACATCCTGCCCAGAAGTCCAAAAAAACCCCTCAAGACATGGCGGAATCCGGACCCTGGACCGTGGCCAAGACTAGATCTCGTCGGCGCGGCCCCGCCCCCAAACTTCCCGCCTCACCATCTCGAGCCGTCCCAGAGCTCACACCAGAGGAGATCAAGAAGGATTTTGACACCTTCAAAGCCCAGTTTAAAGCCTCGCCATGTCGTAAGGCTCTCCATAAAATCGTCTTAAACTTTGTCCTGGACAGTTTCAATGATGGAAACTTCGAGCCTGTTGATGAGGCTATTTGTCTGGGCATTGGTTCCTTTGACCCGCCTGATGGAAGCTGGCAGCTCAAGAAAAGGGCACATACGCAACTTGCCGCCATGCTGCATATGGTCAAATTACTAGGTATTGTTTTATTTCCTACCTTTCTATTCCTCAATCCGAGATTAGCAGCTCGTTACTCCTTTTCATATACGATACCTCTCGCTAACATGGCCACAAGAGAAAGAAACCTGCTGCGAGCCCATCAGCTGCATCTTCCAGGAGCCCGCCTTCACCTCCAGCGACATTGCCTTTCTCACTGCAATGGGCCATAAGGTGGTCGATTCTCCCATTGCCAGTGACTCAGTCGGCGCTGGCACCTTCTTCTTCGGACCGCACTTGTATAGAGACGTCTATGCCATGTCTCTCAAGGGTGATTTGCCAGCAATCTGGGTGGGCACTGGTTGGGATATCTGGCAAGAGTAAGTCTTCTTTTTCTTTTACATCTTCAAAACAAAGTGAAAGGACGTTTGCGTGCTCGTTTCCTAGTAATTATAAAATGCTAATAACTTCTAGTGTCATCATCGGGTCATTGGAAGAAGACGAAGAACCCCTACTCGCTATCAAGGAGATGGAAGAGACGTATAAGAGAGTCCCGTTCCCAGAGGTTGATAAAGAGAGTACAATCTTTCACGGAACTTCAGTCTACTTCCGAACTTCAATCTGCCTCCAAGGCCCAGGGTACTTGTACAAGGGGGTTGCAGCCGTAGAAGAAGAAGAAGAAGAAGCTGCCACCGAGACCAAGGACACCGGAGAAGCCAAGGAGGAGACTCCTACTACCAGTGGTGATACCTCGACTCACTAAAGAGGATGTGGCATCTCTCAGCAATTTTGACAGTTCATCAGCCCAAGCAGGGCGCATTTACATTTCGTCTCAGCACTCTAGCCTCTGTATCTTATATACAAGCCCTTTGATGCTCGTCATGACAACCCCCCCTTCCACCAACCATTATTGATACCCCCTGCCCTAATATCTGTCGCACAAAGTGTCATCTTCGAAATGCACATCTTCGACGAGTTCGGAGCTTCAGCTTGAGAGAAAGATAGAAATCGTACAATAAAAATTTACACAGTAAACGCGTTTTTTAGTGCCTGCTTCGCATTGAATGATGTATGCCACCGCCTAGGGGAAAAAGAAGAACGAAAAAAAAGCTGCTTCCGCATGCTGCCCTAAAACGCCCAATTTCGATTCGAAGTCGAAGCCATGTGTACCATGCCGTTTCGCAGGAAAGGAAAAGAAGAAGAGCAAACGTAACTTGACACAGTGCCGTCGATATGTTGTCCCCGTTTGGGTTTATCCTCCAGCGTGGTATGGCAGAGAAAGAAGAATAAAGACTGGCATATTAAAAGCATGACAGAAAAAAAAAACAATGAACAAAGAACAAGACTCAAGGTCTACCAATAGAGAGTGCGCAATAGCACAAAGAATCGTCATATCCGTCATGCATCATCAGCTGTAAAGACTTTTGTTCAAACACACAAGGCAAATCTCAAGACGCTTGTCGAGAGAAGTACAAACCCTTGGCTTTACTAAACAGTCTTGCCGCCGCAGTCGGGAATCTTGACTCCATCCTTGAGCTTTCGGTTGGCGTCCATCAGTCCCCATTTGTCCTCCCACTCCTGGCCCGGCGTGTTGTAAACCACCTTCCACGGCTCATCAAAGGCCTCAAACCAAAAGTAGTTTGTGCCGTTCTCGAGCGCCTGGCAAACCCAGTCGCTCATGAAGGTGTTGAGCTCGTCGATTCCAGCCACGGCCGGATGCGGGCAGGTGCTGGGACCTCCGCAGTACTGGCCTCCCCCTGTAGGCCAGCCCGTCTCAGAAATCACATTCTTGGACTTGTCCGACTTCCAGAATTGACCGTCGTGGTCGCTCCAGAAGTTCCAGGTCCAGGCAGCGGCATCCGTCGCCTGTGTTCCACTAAAGAAGGGGTGAACGTTGGCCATGATGTAGTCGCTATCAGCAGCAAGAGCTAAAGTCCAGTCATCTCCCAAGTCGGAGGTAGCGACTGGGAGATTCAGATTCTTCTTGGTGAGATTGGTGCGCACGTCGTCAAGGAGCTCGCCAAGAGTAGTGACGGTAAACTGCTGACGAAAGAGCACCTCGTTGGCAACAATAATGCCCTCAAAGGGACCGTCGCCGTATTTGTCCAGGATGTTCCACATCTGCTTGAGCTGGCGAGCATTGGTCGTGGCGTTGTTGTCCTGCCAGACGCCCAGCCAGACCTTGATGTCGTTGGTCATTTCGAGCTGCGAGATGGAGTGAAGGACCATCTGAGTCTGGTTGCAATCAGTACCATAGAGACGGATCTTGTTGGTCAGCTGGCTGAGCACGGCCACGTCGCGAGTGATGTTGTTCTGCGAAGGAGGGTTGGTCAGACAGTCGGGATACTGAGTGTTGAGGGGCGTGTAGTCAATGCCGGGGAAGATCTTGTGCAGGTCTGGGTTGTTGAGCAGGTCCTTGATCTCCTGGCTGTTGATGTTAAGGTCACCACTGTCATCAGAGCTGCTACCACTGCCGCCACTGCCACTGCCGCCCTTGGAGCTACCGCTTCCGCTGCTGGATTTGCTGCCGTTGTTGTTGGCGGCTCGGCTTCCAAGGACGCCACCAACAACAGCACCCGCGATGATGATGACAACAAGGATGGAAATGGCCCAGCGCCATCGTTTGCGGCTAGACGTTTGCTGCGCCATCCAGGCAGACTTTTCCTCGGTGCTACCGTTGTCGAAGAGCATGCCTCCGCCTTCCTCGCTTCCGCCATTACCTCCAGCTGCTGCTTGTGCTATATCAAGCCGTCAGTGATATTCATCAAAGCACAATTATCAGACTGCAGCTAAGTTTAAAAAAAAGAATTAAAGAAAAAATTAAAAGAAATTAAAAAAGAAAAAAAGAAAGAGAAAAAAAGAAGAAGAAGAAAAGAGGAGAAGAGGAGAGAAGAGAAGTCGCGTCTCATGCAAAGAAACTCACCATTACGGCCCAAGGCGCTCTTGATGGCGCCAGCAGCCATGGCTCCTCCAGCTGCCACAGTCGCAACCGCAGCTCCCTTGGCTGCTCTGTCCGAGTTGGAAGCACTGAGAATCGAGTTGCGCTGGCTGCGTCGCGAATAGTCCAGTCCATCGTCGCCGTCATCCACAATCTCATTAGGATTGACCATGCCCAGCATCGGATTGCTATTCCGCGAGTTGGGCGGATACATCTGCGGATAGTGGTCGTCGGCATAGGGATCGCGCGTGCTGCGAGAGGGCGATCGCGAGCTGTGGGCCGCAGTCGGCATGCCCAGAGGGTTGAAGCTGGATCGCGAGCCGCGTTCGCCGTCTTGGTGATATTCGAAGCCGCCGGGATATCGAGCGTGGGATGGCGGGGGCGGCAGTCCGCCATGGGCCGCTTGCATGCCGCTCTCTCGGGCGTTTCGCTCTGCTACTCCATAGGCAATGCCAGCCATTCCTCCAGAGGCCATGTCGCTGAAGTTGTCAGCACCGGGGGTCACATTGTTTTGGGGATATCCTCGGGAGTTTGTCATGTTCTGTTGCGCATACCCGTCATTGCGTGCTCCGCCGGCAAAGTAGCCATTGTCGCCCTGGCGATGATGCTGAGGCGGAGGAGGAGCCTGGACATCGTAGTCGTAGTCGTAGCCCTGGTCGTAGCCGTAGTTCTGGCCCTGGTTCTGGTGAGAGGGCACTGGCGGAGGCTGAAGCTGGTCGTGATAAATCTCGGGCGGCGAGTAGCCGCGGCTGTCGGGGGAAACTCCTCGATGCGACTGCCCGTTGTAGCCATCGAGAGGTTCTCTCTCGGGCGAGTGGCCGTGGTCACCGTAACGCTGCATGGCGGCTTCGATCTGAGGCTACACAGAGTCAGTTGGATTCGTGATTCTGGTTCGCGCCTTTGGCAGCCCAAGAGAAATTGCACGTCGAACCGCTTCTGCGTCGCAATCGAACAAAGCCAATTGGGTTGGAGCTACGTAGGGGGGGAGAGCTTTTGTTTATTAGGAAGCCAACTCACTGGCGGGCCAACGCCGATCAATGGGCGGATGGATCAATGAAAACCTTGAACGCAACAACCAAGTCGACAGGGATCCGGATTCGCAATGAGCAGCAGCGCAAGATCAAAAGCGCATGCGGGTAAGCGCTGCCGCGAACTGCAGTCTGCAAGATGGGAGAAGTGAAGAAGGGGAAAAAAAGAGGGCCTGGGGGGGAAGAAATGATAGATATCTAGATGGCGGTGATGGGACCTGGTAAGCTGGTCGAGTAGCCGTTTGAGCGATCGTGGGACTATTCGAAATAACGAATGACTCTCTTCCTCTTCTGCTTTGCCTCCTTTATGAGCTGTTAATTGGGGCTTCGTATCGTTAGCCTCGTAGAGAAGAGTGAAAGACTTTGGCTTGGAGATGAAACACAAGAAAACGCAAGACGAACCAGGAGGGGGGTAACAAAGCACCAGAGCAGCTGCCAACGCCCGCTCTCTCTTTTTCTACCACTCGATTTCCTCAAGCTGCGAAGAGGGGAAGATGAACAAGAGAGAGAAGCCTCGTCAGCTCACGATGCGTTCGAAAATCGAAAATCGGGATCACGGCAAACCGCGTTATGCACCAGGCTAAAGCACATCACCCCAAACTACATTAGCCTCGCTCGTAATATCCGCGTGGCTTCAGCACACATCCGCTGTAGCTGAGCGCCGCTGCCACCCAAGAATAACCAGCAAATGCCACTATGGCGGCGGCTGAGGCCCTTCTGCCCCCCCTCTTGGCTGCCACTAATTCCCAATGGCGCAGGTCGCCCGCCTGACCTGCTAACTGAGAGTGGCTATAGCGTCAGTTGGAGAGGCAGAAGCAACCAGACTGAGATTATTGTGGCGGCCAGGGGGTGGGAAATTGGGGGAGATTTGATGGACGAGACACTGTCTTTCAACTGCACTATGCCCGAGTTGTCTGTGTTTCTCTCGGGCAATTTTTAGTAGTAAATTGACATACGCAAGATGAATTTCAGCCTCTGGATACTATTACACAACTCTTTTCGAGGCCCCTCAGTTGAGCGTCGAGGCGCGAAAATCAAAGCCGGATGCTGCGAGTATTGGTACTGTCTGGGTCCAGGTGGGTCAGGCCGGCATCCCCATCTCATCTCCCCAGGTTTTTTTTTTCTCGTATGTCTCATCTCATCATTCGTATTCTCGCAGACAGTAATCAGCAGCAGAGCTTGAGGCTATACTATGTATATGACTGCGGTTGGGATAAAAAGCTTGGGTGCGGCACTATCGGAAGTCGTCAGGACAAAGAGATGAAGCTTCCCAGCAATGCCCGCAGCCCCAAAGTATATTGCTATTACGATTGCTCATACGAGGAGTCTGTCAGCACTTTGTATGGCTCGCGGGCACTAAGAATAAATTTCTGGATCAAGTCTCTGTCCGCTACGCCCATTGTTTTACCCTCTCGCTGTTGATCATTGACGCTCCGTGACCCCTCACGCGAAAATAGGCGGGGAGAAATGCACTCAATAATTGAACACTTGTCACCGCCGGCTGAAGCGGCTCTTGAGAAGATCATGCCCGTTATTCGATGGTCGCTGGCTATTATGAAAGGAAAAAAACGCCTTCCCTCGGCTGGTTCAAGGATCCCTCGGAGGCACCACGGCAGCATTAGCCGTGAAGAATTGGCCCAACTGTCGCTCCCTGCGTTTATCATGCAAATGACCTCTTTTTGTGATGTGGTCCATCAGCGCTATTTGTACTCGTTCGGCGCATCCTCGTGTTGAAATGAAGGATGAAACTGGAGCGCCGTCGAGTGGCTCATTAGTTTAGTCCTGACAAGCAGATCAAACACAGACGATCGTCAAGAACCCATGCGATAAAAGTCCAAAGACAGCCCAGCGCCCACGTCTCTATGCCACATTGAACCAGGCTAGACCCAAAGGGCAAGACGGCAGACGTAAATTTCAGACAAAACAAAACCGCCACGATGCGTGAGATTTTACCCACCAAACGTGATTAGCGCAGCCGCACAACTCCACCACTTGACTGTGTTCCCGAAATACTCGGTGCCTTGCCCACTCTGCCATCGCCAGGTCGGCAGTGCCTGAAATCAAGCCTTGCTTTGGAGCAACCAGTCAAGCATTGTTACCCACTCCCTAGCTTGCTCGGTGCCAAACTAGTATCCTTCCTGCAGGGTGTGGAATCCGTTTACCGAGCGGTGTCTATCTAAGACTGTTGCAACGGTGAAGAAAATGGACTCGATGAAGAGGGTGGACTCGAAAAGGGCCTCGGCGTCCTCCGTTGGTTCTTAGCGGCGGCATGGCGTACAAGCACAAGCACAAGCACAAGCACAAGCACAAGCCCAAGAGACGAAGTCCTTGTCACCCTGCACGTTACATGTGCATACAGAACGCACCGTTGCCTTGCTCTTTATTGCCTCGTACCTGCAAAGATGGCGGATCAACAGCCCCCTCCTGATCTGGCCAGCGCATGCTCCGAACGAAGCACCGAGTCGAGCCCAGAGTTATGCCGCTACCTGTCTGTCTGCATCAACCAGCATCGTATCCCTGCCACGGGCCAGATGTGGATTTTTTTGGGCCGTCTCATAGAGGGGTGAATCCCAGTAAATAGTATCAAAGAAAAGAGAGAGAAAAATAATCATAACGCCTAGATCACTGACTGGCTAAGCTGCGATCTCGGGGCGAAGCGGCATGGGGACAGACTCGGCTCTATTAGTGTCCCTGGACTCGGGACTTTGTCATGTGTCGACCGATGCCACTTTGGTGTCCTGTCAAATCTCGCCCTGTGTGGCTTCAACTTGATTCGTCCTCGGCTGCATGCGTGCGTGCATCGCCCATCACACCTACGGCGTAGTCCGTGATGGTCCCTTGCGCAGAGTGATATCGGCCTGAAGAAACCCATGGTTAGCTCCTGTGTCAATGCCAACCATCCATGCAATCCCATGTAGTACCTATTAGGCACAACTAATCCAGAGGACGTCCCTCTCCCACTACTGACCGATATCACACCCATGAAAGTCCCACTTCCCGCGGCATCGAGCCACGGCCTTGGACGACTACCTGGATGACGGGACTTGCGAAGAGCAGGTCCTTGTCGTCAATCAGGCAGTTGTGTCTTACTTTATCATGACAAATGCCGTTTGAGGCTGATCAAGAATCCCTTTTGTTTTCTCGGTCGTCAGATGCAATCTACGTTGCTGATCTTGGCGAGTCGCATTATGTTCCTGTCTAATCCAGAACAGGGCATACCCACGCAATAGAGGCGTCAGAAAGCTGCGAATCGGAATCTTCCTTTGGCCCTTGTCATGAACACTTTGTATCCATCACTCAGGTACTCGCAGTGGGGTTGGAAGAGACGGGAGTTTTAGAAAAAGAACAACACAGAGATTGGCGAAGATAAGCCAGCAAAGGAGCAAAAAGTCAAACGTTTCAGTATCGTTCATCCCGCCACCTCTGTTAGAACAGCTGCCGAGGGTTCGGTATCCCCTTTCGCCCGACGGTCAGCGCATAAACGACGCTTACCGCACTGGTGAAATGTCTCCGCCAGACTCAAAGATCTTATTTGTTTCTGAGGCAATTATCTGGGGGAGAACGGCATCGATGCCAATTGCAGTAGTTGATCAAAGGTAAGGTAGCATCATGAAGCTCGGCAGAGCTAGTAGTATCCACAAGTTTCTCGGTATTCGTGGCCTTGGTCTCGCCAGCTCCGTGCCTGCACGAATATTGGAGCATGTCCAACTCGTTAGAATGAGCCGCAGCAAGTGAGGAGAAAGAGTGCAAAGAAAACAGAAGCAAACATATCCTCCAAACGCAGGTATATCGGCCCAGAAGTTTCAGATCCCATAAGCACGATTTCATACCCATCTTGCCTTTGCCTCTTCCCCCTTCCTCATAGCATTTCGTTCGGCCGAGGAACCGAGATGGGTTCAATGTTGTCTTCGCCTATCGGTGTCTAGAAGAAGAAACTACCGTTGGCCCGTCTCAAGGATTGGTAGTCGCTGTTGGAATCGTACAACGTGGCCGGAGCCGCCGATGTGAATCAGCCCTTTGGCGTCTCCTCTGGTGGATAGTCCTCTGAGCTTATTATGCGCACGATGTAACCGAAACTCGACTTCTCAAGAGAGAGAGCTTGAATTTTCCACAGCTCCATTCGGCAATTAACTTCCCCCTGCGTTCGGCTTTTAGCTCAGACCAAGCTCCGAGTAGAGTGGCAAATTGTAGATGCTAGGTAGGAATAGCTCGTCCTCTCCCCGGCTCTTTTGTGCCTTGGCCCTGGAATCCGTTCGCTCGGTTCGTCGACTCCATCCTCCCCTGCCTGTTGCCCGATGTGGAGTTTCCTGGGGTTCACTGGAAAGGGATTGTTTCAGTAGTATTCTGACAGTGGCCAAAGGATCGTAACTACCGGGCTCAGAGTTAAGGATAGCCGTAGAACTTCCTGGGCTCAGATACGCCAACAGGAGCGTCAAGGAGGAAAAGAACACTTTGATAGCATTCCAGCGGCGTCTATGGTAGCCACGTGAGCGTTTAAAACAAGTATGGCAGTATTGAGCAAAGCACGTGCATAGAACTCCCGAGACACACAGGAGAGGTAAAGCGGTGAACCCCTCTCCTATTCTCGCTTGAGATATTTTGAGTAACTCTGCACCCTTTCCGAGACATTCCTAGGCCTGTTTCTAAAAATCTAATTATATCCCTAAAAAGTGCGGTGTCATCTTGCGTGCAAAACGCTCAACGGGAATGTTGGTGCAGACTAGCTTGGGCGGATTTTAGACATTCCTCGGCTTAATTAATGGCGTGGCTGAGCCGCTTCAACGTCCGCTTAGCATTCAGCCCATTAACGGAAGTTGACTGGAGAAATAGTAGGTCATAGCACAAACATGGCTTATCATCTTGTCTGGCATGGGGAAGAGGCGTTCCACTAGGTATATCAATTAGGTACTGGAGTTGTCAGGGAGTGGACGGTCTGCTCGACGGCGCCATTTCAGGTTTTGACGTGGCGCTAATTTTTTTTTTTTTTTCTTCTTACGTGTAGACTCTTGTCAGACAAAGGGTGGTTATGGTATCAAAGGGCAATACCCTATGTCTCGTAGATTTTCTTTTGCTCAGGAATTGCCAGTAATCCCCGTGGATAGGCGCCGTTGAAGAGCGAAAAATAGAGTGTTCAATATTGGTGCATCTGACATGTTTATCCTGAACGCTTACCCGACACTCGGAGAACAAAAGAACAACACTACTATATCTCGTTCTTTCGTCTGGCTAGTTTCACTGGTGCCTGGATGGCTAAGAACATCGCTTCCCAAGCGGGAAGAGGCGTCAATCTTATTGCTTTTGGCAAATCGGCGCGCCTCTTGAGAAGATCCGGTTGTGGCAAGCGGCAAACGTACCCGGCTATCGCTCTGTCTTGCAGTCTTTCCTCGATAGCAATGGGCATTTATTCGGCGGTTGAGACAACTAAAATGGTGTAAGGCTAAGCGTGATCAACATGAGACGTGCAAGGCAAATCCAAAACTGGAGCAAGTGCCGCTCCTCCACTCTGTCACGATCAAGGCCAAGGCAATCTTCAATATTGCTCCATCCCGCCCCAGTTTAAATATCATCTCCATCTTGGGACTAACGACGGCTATTAGTACGAGTACAGACAAGTACAGAGGACAAGACTCCGTCGTCATCCCCCCAGCTAAAATATCCCTGCCAGGCTCCGGTCTCTGCTTCCGACTCAACATCCTTGCCCGAAGCGTGGGATAGCGGCATGCCATCTTGCTTAAACAGCCCCCCTAGCCTTTCAATTTGCCAACGGTTAGACTATCGTTTGTTTTGCCTTTTTCTTGCCATTCTAGTTTTTTTCCGCCCCATGCCGACTCGCTCCTTTGACCATCCGAGACGAGTACAAACGTTACATCTGCCTTGTCCAGATCCAATCCTGGCCGCTGTGGACTCATTGGACCACTCGGGGTTTGTGTCAGATTTGCCTGGCTGCGCTATATTCCCGATCCTATTTCTATTCTTTAAACGCCACTTCCCGAGCCGGCACTTCTGAGGCAAGGACCCGTTGTCCAAAAATCCTTCTCGTGTGGCTAAGCGCAGACAAGATCCTGAGCTAATATCTGGCAACGACCCTGGGTTCGTTCTGCCTTTTCTTCTTGCGCGTTTTGCTCCTTTGACAATCGTCGCAGTTTAACGTTGGCTAGGGAGGCGGAAGAAGAAAAGAGAGGATGATATGAATAAATGAAATCAAAAAAGTTCAAAGCGATCGAGCAAGTTATTGCGTTTAGCCGTCTTTGTTGATATACGTTGGCACAATCTGTCAAAAACGACACGGCGCCACCCCATCTCCATAGCCGCTGACCAACCTCAGGAGCAACACAAGGATTCAACACTCACGAAAGCCCCGCTGATGCACGATTTCTCCGCGAGACATTCAGGCACAGGCACAGCCGCGACAAGATGGAGATACAATTCACTCTGCCGCTTAACCCTGGTAAAAGCAATCGTCCTGCCGGGTGAGTCACGAGCCGTTTTTGCCTCTGATGGGGGGGGGGGGCGAGTCAACTGGTCGGAGTCGTCTTCTCGCATGACCTTACGATTCTCTCTCAAGCAACACGTCCTTCTTATACACTTACACCTTTGTGCTAACGAGGAAAACCCCTGAGAATAGCCGTCCAGCTCCAGCACAGAGAGATTCCGAATCGAGCGGCCAAGGCGGCATCCATCGCTTTGCCCTAGACTCGAGAGCGAGACACACTCGACGCAGCTCGACTCGTGCGCGCACTGGCTGCAACACCTGTAAGTAGAGCAGACTGACTCCTTTTGCTTTGGCTTCCTTTGATATCGTCCTCCTGCTAATCAGACGTTGTGGTGACGAGCAGGCAAGTAAGCTGCACCGTCAGACTATTTCCCCTCCCGCCAACAATCGTTCTTTCGTGCCCCCTAGCTACTAGGACTAACTTCCTCCTCCCCTCTTCTCTAGAAAACGCCATGTCAAATGCGACGAGACTCGGCCAGCGTGCCTCAACTGCATGAAATGGCGCGGCTACTGTGATTCTTACGCAGACAGCACCACCACCTCCTCCTCCTCCGCCTCCTCTTCCGCCCCCTCCTTACAAATTCAATCTCGTGCCCAGTCGTCCAAAGGCAAACTTATCCATACCAAAAAAGCACCTCTACTCATCATCGAGCCATCCGTCAACACTATCCGCTTCGCCAACAGCGACCAGCACGACTACTTTGTGGAGTGGTCCAATCTATCCGTCACCTTCCTGGGCGGATTTCTCGATCAGACTCGCCTCTGGACTGCCACGATGCCTCAGGTCACCCTGGAAGAAAACACACTGCGGCACGGGGCCATGGCTGTGGGAGCCCTGCGAAAGGCATACCAAGTCCAAGGCTCAGAGCTAGGACTCGATAACAATAATAGACACTATCTGAACGCCATTGTCTACTATTGCGAAGCCCTCCGAATGCAGTCAGAAATGAAGCCTACTAGGGAAGGTCTGCGAACTGCTCTGCTATCCTCCCTGCTGTTCATCTGCTTCGAAACCCAGCGAGGAAACCTTCCAGCCGCCCTAAAACACATAACTCACGGCTTCACGATGCTCAACGAGCTTGCTAATTGCACCGACAAAGCACCTGATCTTGTCAGCATTGCTCCCGCGCCGCCGGCCCTAGTGCAGGATATCCTAGACTGCTATAAACCCCTGGAGCTGCAATCGCGGTCCTTCATGGGGTCATATAGGAAGTTCTTCTTCCCGCCACAACCTCCCCAGCAATCCTCATCACCATCTCCATCAGCATCCGCATCATCGCCTTCCGCTTCTACCTCATTGCTGTCACCGCAGAATCCGCAGCAGCAAAACCAAAAGAGACCCGAAAATTCAAGCACAGCCCAATCAGCAGCCCAAAGCCCCTCGAGCCAACCCGGAACACCCCCCATGAAGTCACCTCATAGCCCCCAGGCCCAGCCAACAGGCCTACCGAGCCCTCAAAGCCAGGGCGATCCTTCTTCTCCTCAGCCGGCCCCTACTCCTAGACGGCCGCCAGGAATAATCCCGTTTACAAAGCACTCTCCGTATTTTCGGCCAAAGCTAACCAGAATTGTCTCCCTAGACGATATGCCGCGCATCTTTAGCTCATGGGATGAGATGCGCGACTACTGGGGGCTTGTCCAGAGGCAGATGGTACGCCATGTGCCTATGCTAACCAGAGTGACGTCGGATCTTGCTCTTCACAAGACGACTGATCCTGCCGAGCTTGATAGGAAATTCGGAAGCCTCAAGACGAACGCAACGCTGTCGAAATTCATTGCAGAGTCCCGGTACTGGCTGCAGCGCTGGACTGAGGCATACGAGCCCATGTATCAAGCCGTCCTTCGCAACGCCACCAACGATCGAGCGCTATACTTGCAGGCCATGAGCATTCGAATCGAGTACCTGATTCTCTACATTTACACGACTGTCCCTCGCTATTCCAGCCTTATTACCGTCAAAGGTCTCACTCCACAGTACCGCGAAATCAATACCCTCGCCGAGGAGCTGCTACAAGCTCGACCAAACTGCGGCTTCGCCATGGACGCAGGGTGGACCTGGCCCCTATTCGTCGTCTCCTTCGGCTGTCGAGATCGCGCCGTTCGGGAAGACGCAATCCGAATTCTAGGCCAATACCCTATCCGCAACGCCTTGCGCGACAGCAGAGTCTTTAGGGCCATTGGCATCAAGAACAACGAGACGGAAATCACAAACGCCATGGAGGGCGACGAGAATGAGCAGTGGATGCGTCTCAGGCGGCGCGAGCTCGTCTTTGAAGACTTTGGCTCCTGCATCATCTTCCGGTTTGTGCAAAAGGATCCTGTGACAGGGAAATGGGAGCTTGTAGAAGAAGCGAGCGAATTTTGTGTTGGACCTGATGGGCGGCTTCCATGGCGAAGGCAGCCAATCTCTGAATCAGAGTCTATTCTTTCTGGCGTATGTTGATTAACAAACACAAATATAAATTTTTTTTACCCTCCTTTCTCTCTCTCTCTCTTCTGGACTGCATACCCGATATGCTGTTGCTAAGCGTTGTTAGGTAGTCTGGCTTCCGTTTCGAACTCAATTTTTTGAGGTACTGCCGGGAATACGAGGAAATGTTGACTTGCCTGAGGCTTTGAGGGAGATGGCAGAGGCAGGAATTTGGGTATTGCTTTCGTTTTTTCGTTTTTATTTGCTTTATTTAATCTGATTTTAATCATCCCGTGGGAATTATTGGGGATTTTACCAGCCGCCAGGACCTGTGTAGAGGCCAAACACGACGTATGCAGTGCTTGGATTATTGACTGCAGACTCGCTGGGTTTTGTATCACAGGTTTGAGCGTTGGTGTTTTTTGATTTTTACACTTTCAGAAGATAATATATTGCGAAAGTTGAGAGCCTCACAGCATCTACAAGCGTAATTGGTTTAGTGGTAAAATTCTCCGTTGCCATCCGAGCAACGTCGGGGAGCCCTGGGTTCGATTCCCAGATTACGCACTGAAATTTCATTTTTTGAAAAATCTCTACGAGAATCTTTTTTTTTCCTCAGCCAATATTGTCGTTGCGTGGAGAAATTTCCTTGCTTTATCGTCATGTTCAGTTGCATTGGTATTTGCGCGGCGTGGTCTGTTGTGAAATTCAAAGAGGTTCCTGGCGCTGAGCACAGACCATTGCAGATAAGACCCCCGCTGCAGATACCCGGCCACAAATTGCAGTACAGCGCCGCAGATCATCTATCGATCATACTGGCTCCAAATACGCTTTTCCTCCAAATTGTAAAATAAAATTTAAAATATACTATTTGATACGCCTAATACTTTCTTTTCCTTTTCTTTTTTCCGGTCTAGAGAGTGATGCTTAAAAAGTGACTTCTCTCCAGTACTAGGCTCTCAGTAATACGAGCTGAGAGCAATTGTCAAGATCGCCAGGATAACACCACTCAACGGAGGGGGGGAGAAAAGCAAAGCAGCCTGCAAGAAAGTTTGCCAGATAGAAAAGGGAAGGAAAAAGACTAAAGAGAAGGAGACTCTGCTTTCTGGGCCCAATTGTTCAATTGTGAAGAGTGTAAAGTATTACTTCATGGCGCCACGGCAATGAGGAAAATGTTCGCAGAGATAGATTGATCGATACCCAAAAACCGGCAAGGCTGATGCCCAAGGCAGAAGGTCAGTCTTAAAGGTCCAAAGCCTTGCAATGATCACCGTACCAGCCCTTTTATCGCCGCAATCGAGCCAGGAGTCCTCTGCTTTGCGCTCCCCACCACTGGGAGTCGACTTCTTAGGGGAGGCAGATTGTCTGAGGCTGGATGTATCTCTGGCTTGGCTTTCGCTTGCGGTCTAGTGTGCGGCTTGGACTGCCTTTGAGAAACTGCAAATTGGGAATTCGACGTTTGGCCAATCTTTCAAAGAGCCAGTCATTGGCAATCGCGTAACCGTGGATCTAGGATGCAAAAGGTAGGATTCGCCATCATTCCAGAAGGTGGAGACCAGCACTTACAGTATTGGAGTCTATCATTTTTGTCAAAAGGGCAACAGAACTCGTGATACCTTGTGACAACCTAGCTGTTTGATGAGAAGTAAATAGGTATCTAGGAGTGCAGATACCCGATATCAAAGAAAAGCTGAGGTGGTACCTACTTAGTAGTACCATCGCTTCCAGTGTGTACAGGGAAAGGGTCAGCAGACACCATCACCGACTTCAAGTACACGGAGCAGATTACAATGCACAGACAAGTAGTTTCCAACCATCTTGCACTTGCAGTAAACATAAAGTCATTGTTGACTTTCCAATTGACTAGGAGGTCCAATATTTTGTGATATGATGCGGCGATATGTGATGAGAGTCGCTGCTCAAGGGTAGCGCCCCAGAGGAATTCGTCTGCTATCCAAAGCTACGTGGAGACTCTTGTGAGAAATATAGAAGGAAAAGAGATGACTGTGACTGATGATTCATTGATGAATTCTTTTCAATAAGAATTTGATATTTGCTTCGAACTGCTTTTTTGGAGGACCAGGAATGTGGTGCATTATTCCATCAACAAGGAAATAGGCATCAACTATCGCACAGGCCTCGATATAGAGTCCTTCAATTCAAATCGCTTCGAGTCCTCATTGTCTTCGATTCTGGCCAAGGTCCTATCATGAGAATATGACTGTCAGCTGGCATGCTGTTACAGAGCATTGGGAAAAGGCTAATCGCAATCGCAGAGGTTGATGTATCAATCACAAGGAAACAGAGGCTGTGAGGCTTGAGAAGCAGGAGATGAGGCTTCGCGCACGGGCCACGCGAAAACAGCAGGGAGGCGCCTGCTGACTAATCAATTACGTAGCTTGCTGCTTCCCCATACAAACGGTCCAGGACAAACCGAGCGATTGACTCTGTATCTTGTTCGTCAATTCTGGCGTGTTGCGCGTCTCTTTGTTTTGCTGACTTCTCACTTCTCCTTTCTCCCAGCCGAGCGATCATTGTTTGCTCGTGCTCAACTCTCTGCGACTGACCAGCGCCATTGCGACGACGACATGGACGAGGAAGACCAGTCACGAGCCAGCTCGCCCACCTCGGATCGCGACAATGAGCCCGACGAAGTGATGGAGGATGCCGACGAGGGCGATAGAGAAGAAGAAGGCGACGGCGATGGCGATGGCGACGGAGACGCTGACGGAGACGTTGACGGAGACGCTGACGCTGACGTTGACGGTGACGGCGAAGTCGAAGGTGACGGTGACGGCGATGGTGAAGGCGACGGTGACGTTGACGGCGATGGCAACAACGACGAAGATGCTGCTGGGGGAGACGACAATGGCGAAGACGAAAACACCGTTGTCGTGGCTGGCGAAGACCAAACCGCAGAGTCCAACGCCGACAGCGACAGCAGAGTCCACGACAAGCAGCCCGAGTCGCCCAGGAGAAAGTCAGACACGCCGCAGCTCGATCAGCTCCCGTCCCTGTACCGAACATGGCGGCCCAAGATCCGGTCCGAGGTCTACAGCGCGCGTCTGTACGACATTGTTCCCACAATGGCAGCGCCCATGTCGACGAGCATCAACGCCATGGCCATCACGCCAGATCTGCGATACTGGATCACGGGCGGTGCCGACGGCTACATCCGCAAATATGACGGTCCGGGCACCATCAATGGCAAGCTGGCATTGACCGTCGCACAGAGACACCCGTTCGTCGACTCCGTCACTAAAGCAGGCATCCTCATGTCGTACTGGCCCAACGAGGAGCCAGCCGTGCCGGGCCGCAGCGAGCAGGAACATGTCTTGTCCTCTGTCTACTCGCTGGCCGTCCATTCTGAGGCTCTCTGGCTTCTGTCTGGTCTCGAGTCTGGCGCAATCAACCTGCAGAGCGTACGCCATGATGAGGGAAAGAGGATCGCCTGTCTCCAGAAGCACACCAATGCTGTCAGCGTGCTTACGCTGGCGCCTGACGAGAGAAGCGTGCTAAGCGGTGCGTGGGACAAGAACATTTTCGACTGGGATCTCGATACAGGGCATATCAAACGAAGCTTTGACGGCAGTGGTGGCCAGATCTCGTCCATTGAGCTGCGACCGGCAAGCGGCGCTCCCATTCCAGCCGACGCCGATGAGCCTCTGCCTTCAAGTACCATATCCACCAATAACGGGGCTCCCATGGCTGGCTCGAGTTTCACGGGGAATGTGAATGGCATCAGCCCCAACGGGCACGACAGGTCGATTACCGTTGCAATGAGGGAAGAGAATGATGCTACCGTCGCGGCTTCTCCCGCCCACGAGAGTCTCTTTGGCGGTAGTGATGCCGGGAGCCTGTTCGGTGAGACCGCGGGAGAGCAGCCTTTTGGGCAGGACGACGACGAGTTTGGCGGTGGCATGAACATGGAAGCTGGTAACGAAACGGGACTGGACCACTCAGCCAACACCGCAATGGGCAGCATGAGTGACGCAGAGACGGGCAAGGAGCTCAAGCAGTCAGGTCTAGAAGACGATGTCATGGACGTGGATCCCCCAAATCCAGATCCAGCTCCAGCTCCAGCTCCAGCATCGGCTGAAGTTTCGACTTCGGCTCTGGGCCTTGGAGATACCCAAGTTTCGACCCTCTCAGGGGTGACAGAACAGACAGAGATGGCAACGGATACTGATACAGTCAAGGCGGACGAGTCCAGCCAGACACAACAACAAGACCAATCGCTTGAGAGCCAGAGCGCAGCTGACACATCTGAGCGGCTCGGCGTCAAGAGACCGCATTCTCCAATGATCATCAGCTCACAGCCACCTCCAACGCAACATGATGCTACGCAGGTGTCACAGACAACCTTCTTGTCATCAGCCATTGACGGCACGATTCGCGTCTGGGATAGACGAGTGCCCAGTGCGGTAGCCAGGATTCCCAATCGCGTTGGTGTGCCGCCTTGGTGCATGAGCGCTTGCTGGAGCCCAGACGGCAACAAGATTTATGCAGGCAGACGTAACGGAACGGTAGAGGAGTTTGACATTGCCAAAGCGAGGAGGGGATGGCAGCCCGAGAGGGTGCTTCGATTCCCAGCAGGGAGCGGAGCTGTGAGTGCCATCAAGCCCATGGTCAACGGGCGACATTTAGTCTGGTAAGTTGATGCAATTGATGGTGAATCTGGTTTTTGTAATGATGGTGGGGAGAAGTTGCAAAGTAGAGGGGGATGGAACGTGCAAAGAGGAGGAAGCAACTTTGAAGGGCAAGGAAGAAATGCGCAAAAGACAAAGGAAAGGGGAGAGAAGCGAGCAGGGAAGAGATGCGAAAGGAGCGAGAATCACCTCTGGGGTTCATTCATGCGTTTGTTCAAGGCTGACAAGATCTCTCTCGTTTAGTGCGTCACACGACATTCTCAGGCTGTATGACTTGCGCGAGTCTCGCGCTTTCAAGCACTCAACCGTCCCGTTCCTCATCATCCCCGGACCCCCTAGAGCGGGTGTCATTTCGAGTCTGTACGTCGATCCGACGAGCAGATTCATGCTGAGCGCAGCGGGCAATCGTGGATGGGACGGCACAAACACCGAGGTGTTGATCGGATATGAAATTCATGTTACGGGTGCTTGAAGAGACAAGCGGCGACGCTTCTTGGGCAACGGGATAGATAGTATTCGGTTCTGGCAACAGCTTAGTCAGCCAATGGCGAAGAGCGGCGTTTTGGGGCTTCTTGGGATCTGGCATCTGCAGATATTCTGTTTTGGTGTTTTGGAGTCGGTGATTTTAAATGGGCGATACCATGGAGAGGGAGAACTGGCCTATTTTATGCGATGACGCGAATAATCAACACGTTAAAGTGGTTGAATTGGCGAGATAAATCGATAGAGGGGGTTAGGAGAGAGGAGAAACGCATTCGAGGAGTTTCGACTGGGAAACGCCAAAGGCGAAAGTCGATGTGCGAAAAAGAGGAGAGAGGGAGAAGCCAGAAGAAATCAAAATGAAGATAGCAGTAGGAAAATAATTAGACCGGGGCAGGCGCAGCGATAGAAGGTATAGGTAGTGTAAACAACCTAGAATTGACCTGGGCGAAATTTCAAATCGAAATGGAGGAGGGAGAAAAACGTGCGCGTTCGCGTAGAGTGAAAGATAGCTGTGATATCACATCCAATCGTGCTCCTTCCTTAAAAATATTACAACACCCAAGGCAGAAAAACCGCCCAGCAAACAAGAATATCATTACTACCAAAGGACTCAAGCATCTACCTCTAAAGGCTTAATTAAGCATCATGTTATTTTCCAAATAGATGTCCAGCATCTATCCCTATCTATCTGCACTCCTTTCTTTCAGTCTTTCTCAATGTCATTTCCAATCAATTACGCCAACCCAGATACCATGACCTCGTATCAAACGACTAGCCAAAACAAATGAACAACCAAGGAAAGGGGGTTAGGAAGGGGAGAGCACAATAGAGAGGGGAAGGGGAAGGGGGAAATCATCAAAAACTAGTAAAGCCAATCAGTCAAACAGTCAACCCGGGTCTCCTAGCTGAGCTTAATCTCGGTGGCGAGTAGTCAAGGTTTTGTGGGAGTGGGAGCTCCTTTTGCCAGACTTGGAGGAAGAGTGCTTCAAAGAAGTTCTCCTGATGATAGGATGCTTCGACGAAGAAGAAGAAGAGGCATGATGCGAAGAAGAATGCCTGGATGAAGAATGCTTAGAAGAAGACGGCTCAGCAGAATGCCTCGAAGAATGATGATGCTTGGAAGAGGAGTGGTGCTTAGAAGAAGACGGTTCAGCAGAATGCTTAGAAGAGGAGTGGTGCTTGGAAGAGGACGGCTGGGTAGAATGCCTTGAAGAGGAGTGGTGGTGCTTGGAAGACGAATGCCTGGACGAGGAAGCTTCAGCAGCAGAGGGTCTAGAAGAAGAAGCTCTAGCAGCAGAGGGCCTAGAAGAAGCCTCATCACCGCCAATTCGGAGGGCCTCTCGAATGTTGGCATAATCCTCCGGAATCATGCCTCTAACGGGGGGAGTAACAGGTCGAGGAGGCATTTGTCAAAGCTGCGCCAGATCGACGTCCGAGTGCCGTCGCATAGGCTCTTTGCCCTTGCCCTTGTCCTCTGCATTGTCAGGTTCGTTTTGACGTCGCACAGGCTCCTTGCCCTTGCCCTTGTCCTGTGCACTGTCAGGCTCGTTGTTGTAGATACCAAGTGCGTTTTCAGGGGATTGGCCTTCTTGGGGGTAAAGAGTGTCCTCTTCGACGTTGTAGCCATAGTCCATTTCTTGAGGAACTTTGCGTCGCCACTCATCTATGAACTTGGTCATCTGCGGCTCAGTCATGTGGTTGAAGTTTGCCTGCATCTGTTTGCTCATCTTCCTTTGGTGCTTGGTCAGTAGCTCCCATACAACATGGCTCTCGGCTCTGTAACTAGGTTCGCTGAGCTTGGACAGGAAATCCACTTGTAGGGCTTCCAAAGTCTCTGGAGATAGATCTGCGCAAAGCTCCTTTGTGGAAGGGCCATGTGAGGATTTGGACTTGGATTTGGACGAGCTAGACTTGGACTTGGACTTGGATTCAGACTTTGACTTGGAGTCGGACTTGGAGGGACGCGACGTAGAGTGTCGAGAGGAGGCGTGTCGAGAAGACCGCTTGGACTCCTTCTTGGACTCCTTCTTCTCTTTGGAGTGTCCGCTACCCATCTTGACTTGCGACTGTTGTAGACTTGAGACTGTGGTGCTTTTGTCAGAGTATCAGCCGAATGCTGTAGGTGAGCAGGTGTTTTTGTCCGAGATTGTCCTGAGAGTGGTAGCGATTGAATCCCCTGATTTTCCACGGAGGAAACGACAGTTTATATGTCCTTCGAGAAAGTCAAGCAGATAGTAATAAAACCTTCACCGCGACACAAAACTTTGTCGACGTCTGTCTGTATTTGAACACGTCAATTGTATTCTTTTCGTTTTTGAATGCCTGGAATTCTGCAGTTCATGTAGAGGAAACAAAGGCATGGCTCAGAACAGGTTCGATGTCCATGAAATACCTATTTGCACAACAACGGGCACTTGAACAAATCGATCAATACAAACCATAGTCTAGAAAACGAACTATACACTCGGTTCATTTGACCAACTACACACAACTGCCGCAGCCAACAAGCCCGTTGGCATGGCAGTTTGCAAGCCATCGATCCGCTGTGGCTGCCATGGGAGCAAAAGCCAAGGCTCCACGCCCACGCCTGGAATCTTCCGAAGAAAATATCTTTCTTCTAGCTTTGATCCAGACCCGTTCTCGATGCATGCTAGAACAAATCGTGCCAAGGAAATCATTGTGTTCGATCGCATTTCCTAGGGGGGTGAACAAATAGTGTCCTCTTCGACCTCCGTAGAAAGCATTCGAAATATGAACCTAAATTGTATTCATCAGCCACCCAAAAAAAACCTAGTCATTTCGAGAGATGCGTACATTCAGATTATTGAACGCCACCTTTGACCTTCCCCATGTCGAAAAGAAATCCCTTTGGTCAGAAAAGAGGCCAAAAAACAGAGACCTAGAGACAGGCCTGTCAAAGAGTTGTAGCTTCCAGAATCACAGAGTGGGGTCGCCGTAGATCGAAAACACAAAGTCCAGCATTTTCACCATCCCAAACTCAAAACAATTAAATCTTGTATAATGGCAATTCCAGCAATAGCATAGAAAGGAAGAGAAAAAAATCTCAACAAATATAATCATCATTGTATCCGTCTATTCCGCTGCACTAAGCTACATACCCAGTCCTATTGCAGATTCCATCCCCTTCCCTCATACCTGTGTACATGGCCGATTAAACTGCTAGGAACAAACAAAAAAAAAAAAAAAACAAGCAAATCCAAATCCTCCCTTTTTCGTCCGCGCGCATATGTTTTCGAGCATTCCAAAGACAAATAGAACACGAAACTAGCCATGCAAAGCTTGCTTCAAATAACGATAATGACAAGACCATTAACCCGGCTCGATAGATTACCTCCCAACTCCTTCCTCGGGTGGATTCCACGGTAAGTGTATATATAGGACAAAAAAAAGGAAATTATACGAAAAGATAGATAGGTATAGACTCAGATCGATTGGCTCAAACAAGACGGCGGATAGATAGACGCCCACGCTTTTTCGTTGGAGAAAAATAGGGGGGATTATCATTATTAGTCAGGGCAGCAACAATATGTATGAGAATAGCGTGTGTTGCTGCCCTAGATGCTCCATGCCCGTTAAAACAGATGTGATATGATAGACAAAAAGACATGTAGGAAAAAACGTTCGTTGTGTAGCGCTGAGTTGCTGATAATACATGGGATAAAAAAGAGATGCCGCGCGCGCAAGTGAGATTAAGGAAAATATCTTGATGTAACGTCAACATAGACTCGATGCCGATATGGCAGCAATAGTAATAAAAAGAGTGTCGGGTTTTTTTCGAATTGATTGTTTTTTTGTTCTTCTTTTTTCAATTGGTTTCGCTTTTCATCAATTCACATTCGGATTGCCATAAAACTGGGATATTCCCCAGTCACCGCCCTGATTGGATTGCTGTTGATGGTGTGCCGATGTGTCTAGAAAGGTTGAGCTCGCAATGCTCTCCCAGTCCTCAAAGATGACGGGAGCGGGAGAATATTCAAAGTCCATCATGCCGTCTGTCAGGGATGGGGTGTGACCCTGAGGAATAGGTGGTAGCTCCCGCTTGTCAAGCTGAGTCTGCGAAGTGTTCATGGGAGAAGGTGTTGATAGGTTGGGCGAGTGCTGCTGTTGCACTGAGGAAGGGAAAGCCTGGGAGGGAACAAAGGCCGCCGAGGCTCGATAGGGAGATGTGCCAAAAGGATTCGAAGTGGCAGAGGCGGGAGACGCAAGCATCTGCTGCGGTGCTTGCGAGGGCAATGGTGCAAAAGATATGCGCCTATCCTGCTGCTGCTGCTGTTGCGGAAAGCCGGAGGGAGGAGCCATCGCATTGGGCGCAAACTGTGGCTGCGGTGAAGGGGCTGGAGCTGGGGTTTGAGCGCTCGCAAAGGCCATATCGGACAGGTCAAAGGCAACGCTGACGATCCATTGGGCCTCGCCTTCATCGCCAGAGAAGAACTCGAGCAGGTCCTGGAGCTGGCCGGGATTCTCCTTCTCCAGGAATCCCTGAGCACGCCCCGTCTTGCTCGGGTGCCAACTGAACTGAGGGCGGCGTCCGCCAAACTCAGCTTGCTTAGCCGTCACAAGAGCATCCCAAGCGCCGTGGATAAGCGGCTGATGCAGGAGACCGTAGATGACTCTTGAGTGCATCCACTCAGCCTTGCCCAAGCCAGACTCAAAATGCCGAGCCACATGCTCAACGTGTCGCTCGCGCGCAGGGTGAAGAGCAGAGCAGAAGCCGCAGGCCCAGTACTTGCGCTTGCGGAGGAACTTGACCACCTTTTCTGCGTGAGGGCAGGTCTTGCAGCCGTGGCACTGCTTGTGGTGCTGGTTAAACGAGTTGGAGCCCCAGAAGCTGCGGTTGCAGCCTGGCTCGGGGCAAGGGTATTTTCTCCAACGCTCGTGGAACTCGTCCTCGTGGCGCTTCCAGTCATACTTGCGCTTGAAGCTGGTCTCGCACGAGGTACACCAGTAAATGTTGGTCTTGTTGGCGGAGGAAGAGGCGGGAGTCATGGGAAGCGACCCCTGAGTGCGCGAAGACGAAGCCGATGCCCAGGACATGGACGACCGCGCCGAGTTGACTGACCACACAGAAGCATGGCCAGAAGATCCAGAGCTGGTTGAGGAGACGGAGATGCGAGGACGGTGGTGAAGATACTGCATCGACGGCGAGATGAAGGTCGAGGCATCAGACTTGACGATGCCGCCTGCCGGAGCCACCCGCGATGCCTGGCCCTGAGGGGCTCCGGACATGGAAGTCGGGGCTTGCGGCAGGACGGCTGCAGCAGCCCAGGCCCTCGACACATCGTCAGCGAAGGACGAGGGCTCTGTTTTGATTATTGCGATAGAAGGAGGCGCGCCGGGCGATGTCGAGCTGGCAATAGTGCCAGAGCTGGAGACGGGAATGGGAGAAGTAGCGGCAGATGAGGCCGACAGAGATGCGACGGGAGAGCTGTGGACGGCGGCGGAAACGGGCGGAGTAGCATTCTGGCTCTGCGGAGTCGTGGAATGGAGAGGAGGAGCGAGAGCTGAAGCCTGGGGAGACTGCAGCTGATGTGTGGGCGAGACAGAAACGGGGTGAGACAGCAGCGGCGAGGGGATGGGAGTGGCGGTAGAGGCCGGAGGAGTGGATGTAGGTGCGGACGGCTGAGCCTGGCCGGGGAATGAGAGCTGGAGAGAAAAGGTATCGTCGTCAACCCATTGATGGAGCAGATCCTTGGACAGACCCGAGTCGATCAGGACCTGCAGGTTCTTGCGCGCCTCAACGAGGACATCCTGAGGAGTGGCCGAGTCGAGCTGCTGCTGTTGTTGGTGTTGTTGCTGCTGTTGCTGCTGTTGAAGCTGCTGCAGATGCTGCTGCAGATGCTGCTGCAGATGTGGCTGCTGGAACTGAGACACCATTTGAGACTGAGGCTGGCCCAGCTGGTGGAGCTGGTGAGACTGCAGAGTTGGGTCCATTGAGAGAGCGCCTCACATCTGACGGCGGTGGTGAGCCCGGAATGGTGTTGTTCCCCCTCTTGTTCCCTTGGTTTTTCTTCTTCTTGGTCGTATGTTCCCCCTATGTTGTCGCGGCAAACAGTAAGCGAGTGGCGGTTGTTGTTTTGATTTTGGTTTGGTTTCGAGCAAGCGGACAGCAATTGTTCGAGGCGCAACACGGAATTGAACGAATTGGGAGAAGCGAACGAGGAAGCAAAATCAAAAAGAAGAGCAAAAAAAACAAATTCAATAGAAGAAAAAAAAAGAAACGAGCGAAGTGAATAGTAAAAGAGCGAGGAGTTTGGCGAGACAAGAGACAAGAGAGAACAAAGAGGGCCAAAGGGAGAAGAAAAGCAGGGCGAGGTTTAAGGATAAGGATAAGGAGGAGGAAGAAGAAGAATGTGCGTGAGCGCGAGCAATGGGAAGGTGAGGCCGGGCGGTTGTGGCTGCGGGAGGGAAAGAGAAGAAAGGAAGGAACGGCGCCTGTACGAAGTACGCCGCGCAAAGTACTGCGAGGTACTTGGGGAGGTACTTTGCAAGGTACTCCCGTGGTCTGGGGACCGCTGCGGAGTAGCAAGTACGGGGCCGGTACTTTGTCGCAGGTACACGTGCTAACGCCTGGCCAACGCTCCGGCTGCGCAACGTGCTAGCGGCCTTTAGCAGGGCCCAGGTAGCTTCTAGTACCTGGTTTAGCGCTGGAGCTGGCCTTCAGTGGGCAATCGCAGCGCCCGGGACAGCCCGTGAAATTGTAGCAGGATTAGGCGAGGCCAGAATCAAATCAAAGCAAATCGAGCAGGAAAAGGCCGACGAGGGGCTGCGTAGCAAATAGAGTGGCGGGCAGCGGAATCGAGGCTAGCGTGGGCTGTCTGGCTCTCTGTCTGTTGTGCTCTGTTGTGCTCTGTTTTGTTGGCGATGATTTGTTATGTTGTTTAGGTAGTTGCTTGATGGTTTGATTGCTTGGTAAATAACAGGTAGGAAAGGTAGGTACCTCTCGTGGAGCTGGCAGGTACTCGTCGAGGTACAGGAGGTACTTTGAGAGTACTCGTGGGTCGTGTAGATGTCTCGTGCGGCGTCGTACAAGCGGTACCACCGGCCGAGGTACTGTACTCGTGCGACCAAGCCAAGGCAATGTATCTCCTTCTAAGCTTCAATCTCTTGTGTCGGAGACCGGAGAGCGCGCCCAGCACCGGGGGGGTCAGGCTTTTCGGGCAAGGGAGATGAGGTAAGAAACAATATCAAATCATCGTGTTAATCAAAGCAACGCCTACCTAGTACATGTGCTTGTAGGCAGAAGAGGCAGTCATAAGCATGATAGGATGGGATAGTAGGTAATATAGAATATAGTAGGTAATCACCGGGCTGAAACAGCGTGCTGGCAAGTACGGAGCAAGTAGCGCCAGCTAGCACCACTAAGAAGCAGCACGATACGATATGATACGGTGCTGGGTGGGTAAAAAAAAGACCCGAGGTTTGCGAGTATCGGGATAAGGAAAAGCTCAGAGGGAGAAGGAGAGAGATGGCGAGATGGAGACGGAACGGCGGAGAAGGAGAGATAAGAAAGGGCGCGGGAATCAAGGAGGCCGAGAGCTGGAGAAGAGAGGAAAGGATGCGCAGACCAGACTGGGGGGGTGGTTCAGGCATAAGACTGAAAAGATCAAGTCAGTCCAGTCCAAAGCAACCGTACAGCGTACAGTACATGGATCAAGGCAAGCTCAGAGGCATGGAGTTTGCCTTGCTTGGGGCCAATCCATGTCTCGTTTTGGCGTGGAGAATGCGTGCAATCAAAACCCAAATACCCCCGAAGGGATTAGCGGTGATGTGTTTTCCCTCTGCAATATGTGAGCTTGTATGTGTATGTATGTACGAGTATTGCTACAGTGATGTGATTGATGCATTGGGCTTGCTTGCTTCTGGGGGGGTGCTTGGGCTCTGGCTGGGGAGGGGGCTGGATCAAATCATTTGCAAGCAAGCAACAGAAGCACCAAAGCAGGCAATGCATCAGTCGAAAGCATGTGCGAGCGAGGGCTCGATCGCGGAGATGGGACGGCACTGGGTACATGTACTCATACATGTATGTATGTAAGTATGTATGTGTATGAGTAGATGGGGGGAGCGAGACGCAGGCTTGGCCGCATTACGATCAGGATATGTGTGTATATTATACAAGCCCTAGATGGCAGCACAGCCAATAGATCTGCTGCGGCAGCCGGAGCAAGGAGCAAAGAGGAGCAAAGAGGAGCAAAGAGGAGACGGTGAGGGCCAAGAGGAGAACAGACCACGCGAGAAAACAAAAGGCAGACAGCGAAGCCGCAGAAGGGCAGATGCAAGTCGCAGAAACGAGACGAGCCAAAGACAGACACTAGACAGAGGCGAGAACGAAGCGAGCCGGGGGAGCTAAATTTGCATTTCTGCTTGCCCAATTGTTTGGATTTCTGAGCAGAAGCATGCACGCCTCGACGGGTTATTGGCGGAAGCTGAAAAAACAAAATGATGCATCCAGGCTAGCTAGCCTCGAGGGACAGAAAAATGACAAGGTCAAATTAAAAATACCATGTACCAAGAAAACAAACAAAGACAAACTGGCGAGAAGCAAGCAGCTAGGGCACTCCTCCAGAGCTAATACAGGTACCACGCCCTCACTCTTGCCTCTTCCGGGCCAAGTGTTTCTTCTGCTGTGCGTGCTACTGCACCAGCTGATGAATGGATTTGTAACTTTGGATCGCGTCGGGGATAATAGACGCAGTCCGTGCTGGCTAGCTGATGCCCCCCGTGAGATGCTGCCTCTCATAAGTTATTGCTTGTCTGGGCAAAGTGCGAGGTCCGGGGGGGGACAGCACTAGCACTCGACTCGGGTTAAATTGCTCGCAGCTCTGGGGGTACAGGTACGAGGACAGGTACAGGATAGAGGATGTGCTCTGCTGCTCTGCGTTGCTTTGCTTTTTCTCATCTGGGAGGTATCCGTAGCGTAGACTAGGACCGGGCTTTATGACCTTGTGCTCTTAGTCTCGCGGGTCCCTAGGAGGATTGGCGGATCCCCTCCCCCCCGTTGAAAATGTCTTGGATTTGGGTCCTTGATGCTGCTGCTGCTGTTGCTGCAGGTCTTCGATCGGCATGGAGGAGGGCAGCACGGCATATGAGGTGTGTGAGATGTTATGGATCAGTGCCAGCGCAGAAAAAGAGGAGAGGAGAGAAGAGAGCGAGCCAAGAGGCTGGAGAGAGAGAGAGAGAGTCGGCTGTCGCCATGGCCGCGGCGATGATGCGGTGCCTGATTCGTGCAACACGTTCCTACGAAAGCACAAAAACCTAAAGTACCTCTGCGTCGGTGCTACTGTACCTTGGTCTCTTTTTGTATTTAATTACTATTATTACGCTTCCTCCTCTCTGGCTGGCTGCCTTGCGATGGTAGCATGGATGCATCTCAACGTGTGATTACTGCAGCACCTCTTGTCCAGCCAGACGCGGCCATGTCTCAGCTGCGTACAAGCTACTAGGTAGTATTACTCGTCCAAACCCATCGCCATCTCCAGCTGGACAGCACTAGCCTTGACACATTGATGTCACCTCCATCGGGCTGTTCTGCTCCTCCATCTTACTGCCCGCAAATCTCTGTCGATCAAATCAAAGAGCCACGGCCCACGACAAGGGCAGAACAAAAGGAAGACGGGAAGAAAAAGAAAAGAAACCACGCCATGACGATGTTGTTCCCACTTCTTCGCGATGGCGCCCCCCGTGTTACCAGCAATAGCAGCAATCCGTGCGCCCTCTAGCGTGACAAGCCATCAATTCCCATCTCCGTTGGCTTCTCCATCTCCCATCTCCCGTCCCCATGCGCTCCGTACGTACTGGAGGTAGGTACTCGCAAGTACGCGGTACTCGTATCGGTACATGGAGAGGCATGCAACCATACTTACATGTACTCGTGCGTTGAGTATCGCGCCTGTGCCAATCCAAGGCAACGTGAGGTAGTACTTTATACGGAGTAGACAGTGCATGGGCGGCTGCGAAATCTTGTTGGTCCATGTGCAAATACGCGTTTACAGTGCAAGGCAATCCGCAGGCTCGTCGGATGTCCGTCCTCACCAAGGAGTGCGTCTTGTCTCTCTTCATCTTAATTGATGTCTCTCTTTCGGTGTTTTTAATCTGTCTTTCACTTCGGCGATTACTACGGAGTTGGACCAAACCTTGACCTGCTGAACGGCTGGAAACGGCGCAACGTGACTGGTTCGGGTAGAGTGATATCATTCCCTCGTCCAGACACACACTTTTTTTCTTATTTTCTTTTTCCTTTTTTTCGTTTTTGTCTTTTTTCGTCTAGCTCAGGGGTGCGGGTGTCTCGAGTTGTCTGAGCGTAAAGTGTGCGTGTGATTGTGTGTGTGTGGGAAACAAGAGTTGTGTGGCAGCAGGGATATCCATGGCTTTGCCACGACACAAGAGCGAGAGAAAAAAAAAAAAATAACAACAATTAATAAACCGGCACTAACACGCTCGAACCAATGACAACATGCAGCCCCTGTCCCTCTTCTGCGCCAGCATAATTTCATAAAAAAAAGCAATGGAACCAAGACAAGAGGCTCGACGGACCAGCAGAGAGGGAAACAAGCCTCCCCCCTGCTCTGTTAGCAGCAGCAGCTCGCAAAAGCCCGCGAAGGCGCGTCTAGCCATGGCCCGGAGGAGGAGACGGGTCGTATTAACTGAGATGGTCGATGCTCATATGCATCTCATCTGTGCTTGTGCCTGAGCCTGTGCCGTTACGCTCGGGCTTTCTTCTGCTGACCTGCTGCTTTCTCTCTGGTTTCTTTTCCTCTGCCCTTCTTTTCGGGCCCCTTCCCTTGCGTGGAACGTGAGGAGAAACGGACAGGGCCGCTGCAGAACGGCACGCTGGGGAAACGGTTCCGCCGCAAGGGGGGGAGATGAGCAAGGCGATGGTCAGCCAATGTCTCAGTCCGTTCTGCCACTTTTCTTTTTCAAAATACCAGAAAAAGAAACGAGCAGAAAATTTCTTCAACCCACGAGATCTGTTTCAAACGGGTGAAACCTTTTGCGACGATCTCTGGCCAGAAGCAGCAACGAGCCAGGCACATCGACGCCATCTCGTTTTTTTTTCTGCTCTGATCTTCGCCCACACTAATGCACAGTCAACACCACACAAGCTCGGCTCACCTTTGTTTCGCTTTTTCTCGCTTGCTCTTTTTTTTGGTTTTTTTCTTTAATACGATCTGCTTTAAACTAAAAGGTTTAAAAATAATTCATGTCATCAAAGTTGACTCCTCCCCAGGCACAGAACTAAGTCGCGCATTCAGGAAAAGCTGCCGCAGATCGAGTGGTGATGGCCCTTTTTGAAACACTTGAGCTGCGGCTGAGTTCGGGGCTACTCGCCTTAGCACAGCAAACTATTCGCGAGTACCTCCAAGTAGAGCCCAAGTACCTCGTTGGTGACGCCCGTATTTGGTAATAGTAATCACGAGCAAACTGGCAGTAGTTGAAACATCAGAGCTGAAAAGGCTCCGTCATTCTCGTTAGCTACTCCGTACATCACATGGACTCACGCGACGAGGTCGTGAGATTTCGTCAAGAACAAACTGCTGGACTGACTGCTGAACCCGCGTCATAAACGGGGATCCCCCCTGGTCGTTTGCGTCTTAGAATACGGAGTGCTCCGTATTACCATCCCATCCCGCTCTACGCCGAATCGAGATTTGGCCCAATCCCAGCATCATGTCATGTCATTGGCATCTAGTTCCGCAGAAACCGAGTCTCTCTCTTCGGATCTGGTCGGACTCATGATGTGATCCCCGCAAGCTATTGCCGATGATAACAGTTTTACAAAATGCAATTGTCTCTACTCTGTGATGCATCTCTAAGCTCAAGTCCCGACTTTCACAGGCTCAATTACAAGCTCCAGGCCTTGCAAGCAACGCAAGACGCCAAGCAGTACTGCAATCATATGAGCATGGGATCATGATACAGTCCAAGGTTGCATCTCAGCACAGCCTCACGCCGCATTCTCGTAACGGACTCAACAAGTCGGCTCACTCTCCATCAAAAAAGAGACAAACAAAGATAGACATTCAGACAAAAACAAACCAGAGCCAAAATCAGCTCCAGAAAAAGAACCAGACCCCATGCCTGGCTAAAAGCCCCTGGCGCAGCCCGCCCTGTCAGAAATAGATTGGGCTTCCCATTTTTTATTTTCTTTCCTCTATCGAAGCCACCGGTTGGAAAGCCGAGGCTCGCCCACACCCAACGATGTCGGCGATAGGGTGTTCTTTTTCTTTTTCTTTCTCTCGCTCTTGTTGATGAGAATCCTTCGCTTGCCACCGGATAGTGTTGTGCTATGCTCCATGCGGAATGCAAACAGCTGCGAATCCTCGGTGATATACAGTAATTAACAGAGAGTGTCATAAGAGGAAGCTCATCTAACGGCTTTTGCACACAATAAGCATCTTACACGCATCAAAGCGTTGCATCCCCAGCCCAGGCAATCCTTATCATCATTTGCAGCACCCATCATTCCCACGAAACCGCCACCTTGACCACGCCCCTTCAACCACCAGAAAATAAGAAACCAGAAAAGATAGAAGAAGAAAAAACGTGGCTTTCGAGATTGGATATCCCCCTCTCTCTCCACTTTGGTCGCGAATTCTACAAGCCAACCGGCACGTTTCCCTGGGGCTTTTGTTCTTCTGTTTCCCCCCCCGGGACTGTCTGTCGACGTACCCCTGCCGGGCTGAAGCTCCTGTCATTTCTTGTATCATCATTACAAAGCACGAAAGAACACAACCGGCTTTTCCTTTTCTTTCTTTGCCTTTTGTTTTCGATTTATGATGAAGCTAGTAGAACAAAAACCCTCGTTGGCATGTCTCTCGCGTTTCATCATCTACTCCTCCCCTAGTCAGGGACATTCCTCCCTCGCTCCCCATCACAAGTAAAAGAGCCCAATCTATCTATAGACACCACGCGTTTGCCTTCGTTTGCTCCAAACCGCCTTCTCGAGATCCCTTCATTAACGCATGAAAAGCAATCATTAAAGATCCACTTCCCGCATGGACCCGGGTCGGGGGTCCTTCTCCACGCAAACGTGTCAAAGTGGAAACCCAGGGACGGACACCCTGACGTGAATACGATACAGTACCGAGCAGGAAATGAGAAAGAAGCCACATGGGGATTTTACACAGAAGAGCCGCCGATTAATAATGCTGCGGAGAAGAAGAAGGAAAAAGCAAAAAGTCGATGATTGATCACAATCACGTTCACAGAGAGATAGCAAGGTATATGTCCGAGGCCTGGCATGAATGTCAAATCGGACCACGATAGTGTCCCAGCCAAGGGTTCGTAATTTAAAGCTCCTCGCTACAACAAAGTAGACGAGAGAAATTAAATAAATTAAATCACGTCACATCACATCAACATCAAATCATCTCAGTTCCTTGATACACATGTTATCAATCTCTGCTCTTTCGCATCTTGTTGTTTTGACACAGGAACTAGCACCGCCGCCCCCTGAATTAACACAATGCAGCAAAATCGTAAGCCGAGAATAGTTGATAGATGATACAAGTTTACAAAAGAAAAGAACATCAAACATAGTCTTGTCTCCCCCCCAATTCGTATAGGTATACAAAAGCATTCCCCTTCTTTCACAAGCAAAAATAAAGATACAAATAAAAATTAAGCAGAAAGAATCCAATCCTACAGTGCAGCATCAAACATAGGAAAGAGACTTCTCATCACATGGACAAAGCCTTCGTTTTTCCCTCTCAAAAAAACACAACCAACACGAGCATCATGTAAATAGTAGCACCGTCCGGGATAACACCTCGCCTCTATGACGAAAACAGCTCTTCTCGCGCTCGCTGCCCATGGCCTTCTTTTCCTTTCTGTTCCGTGATATCCCAAAAGCTTGTCATCTCCGTTCGACAGGGACAAGGGGCCCGGAGCACGTAGAAACGAGCCGGGATATAGAGTAGTATCCTCCTCCTCACCCTTGCCAGCCTGCTGCTTCTCGTTTAAAGAAGAAGAGAGAAAAAAAACCGCAACGGAGCAATGCCGCGCATCTGCCAAAGTGGCCCCCAGCCAGACCCCGGGTTGACATCCATCCTCTCTCCACTCGCATCTCCGCGTATGCCGGATGCGCCAGAGTCGTCTGTAAATGCTTCCATCACAAATGCCTGTGCCTGTATTACAACGGTCCTTTTCCATCTCTCGGTATTGATAAGATGGAACCTTTAACGAATTGTCTCGAGATTCCCCCTCCTTCATATTCAGAAACAACAACCTATACGCCTTTCCCCCCTCAAGTCCAGATGAGTCCAGCCCGGTCCAGTCCAAATCCAGTCCAAATCCGCTTCGCTCCGAGAACAGAACCGAACCGTGACACAGATATATCTCGCCAAAGATAAAACAAAGTTGCGCGTGCGCTTCGGTGGCACCAATATATATATATATCGCGAGAGAGATGAACAACGCCACCGCGCCATGGCTGGCTCCGCGGTCATCAGCCACTCGTGCTAAAGTAGTAATTCTCCCACAGATATTCGTAGTCCTGCAGGATCCCCCCGATGAAGCCCGGCATCCTGCTCGTCACTCCGTTGACGGCCCCCTTGGTCACGTTCTCGTAAAAGGCGCCGCGCATCATCCACCAGATCATGGCCCAGCCTCTCTTGTTCCACTCGTCTCGCTCCAGAGCCGAGGTTCGCAGGCTGCGCTGGCGGAGCTGGCGAGCAACGTATTCGACCGCCACGCCCACTAGCCACGGTGTCCACGACTTCTTGTTCTTTGTCCTGGCCAGCGCCACTGCGTAGATCAGCGGCGTCAAGATGTGTAGTATCTCGGCAAACTGGCCGCCCCCCTGCAGCGAATTCAGGAGCTTGTTGGCAGGTTTGATATCGTCAGCCGTCAAGACACGCCCCAGCAGGTATGAACCAACATCGCCAGGGTTGGGCAACGAAGGCAGACTCATGCCCGTCCGCGGCATTGTCCACTCCTTTTCGTACGCAAGCTTCGGCGGCGTGCCACTGACGAGAACGGCGGATCCATTGGGTGATGTCTCATCCATCAGCTCGCTCTCGCTCCTGGCGGTGATCAGATCCTCATCGACGTCGTCGTCCTCGGGAATGGGCTCTCGCTCCGGCAGCACCGGTGTGACGAGCGGGCGCGAGCGCGTCACGCGCAGCAGGATGAGGCGGCAAAAGGCCTTGATGGCCTCGAGCAGCACAATGACGTTCCACCGGGACTTTTCGCCGCCGCGCCGCTTGGCGCTCATTTCGCACAGCAGCTCCGTGTAGACGACCATCTGCAGCACCATGGCTATCCTGCGGTACGTCTTGCTCTTCTGTGTCCAGTATCGCGTGTAGCGCGCATGGGCCGACCGCACCGGCGGCGTCGGCAGCTTGGAGACTGCCTGCGAGAGGATGCCGTCGTGGTAGAGCGACAGCAGCTGGACGCCCGAGTGAATCGACTCGGAGGCGATTTCGGCATCGCGAAAGCGGCCTTTTTGGTGAGGCAGCAGTTAGCTTGGTGTTCGTTCTTGAGGTGTCATAGTCAATGACAAGAAGAGAGAGAAACAAACCAGGAATAATATACGTCAGGCTCCTCAGCGCGCTCTCAATCTGCGACACCTGGCCGGCGTTCTTGGTGATGAATTCGTCGTACATGCCCAGCCATTTCGGCGGCATCGACAGGATCTGGCCGGCCGTTACGCGCCGCTGCGGCCGATTGGGTGCCGGCTTTGTTGCATTTGCCGGCATTGCATCTGCTTCTCGTGTCTGTTTGCCCTGTCGTATCTCCCCCAGGTGTCCTCGGATGTGCTGTGTCTGTATCCTTTCCTGCTATCGCGTGTCGCTGTAGCTGTAGCTGTGACTGTAGCTGTGGCTCCGGCTCTTCTCAGGCGCCGTGCTCTTGTTTGCTTCGCGTCACGCCTATTGTGTTCCCTTGCAGCCGCCGAGCACCATGTCGAGGCGGCGATTGGCGATTGACGGTTTTTTGTTGTTGTTGTTGTCAAGTTCAGATTTCAGCTGCTGCGGAAGAGGTACAATGATACCGGGAGATGACGATCAGTGGAAGCCGAGGTACGCCATTCATTCGACGCCCCTTGTGGCGCATGCCGAGGAGCCCGGCTGTGGCTGTGGCCGGGTGCTTACCCTATATCTAATAAATATGGCGGTTTTCTTGCTAATATGAGGGTTAGTGGTGCTGGTTATAAAGTGTTGGTAGTTGGAAATTAATTGCAAATGAGATAAATCATATATATTGTCTAAAGTAAGGCATATGAGTCTTGGCATGTGAAGATTAGTTACGGATTACTCACCTTGTATACGCCGACTTTGGTTCTGAGAGGCTGGGTCAACAAGGCGTAATCCAGCAACCTGCTCATATTCAACGACGAATACTCGAAACACTTCATTAAAAGACCAAGGTTACATAAAGAGGCCGTAACAAATTGGTTTATTCCTTTTACTATATACCAAAAATCCTCCATGTCATAATAATCCAAATGGTATCCTAACCCAAATTGCGTCCGTGAGGCGCATCGCTTCGTTTATGTACGCAACCCCCGAAGTATTCCTACAAATGTAAATAAAAAATGTAAAAAGAAGAATAAATGAAAATCAATGAACCTTTTCAAATTCAATCAGCAGCAGCAGCAGCAACAGCAGCAGCATCATCATAACATGACGAAACCTGCCTGTTCCAACTCCGCGCCTGTAGGCAGCAACGGCCTCCCCTGCATTGGAAACGGCCAGAAGAGCGGGTTCTCCGCCGTCTCGGCCGACTTCTTGATGATGGGCGCCTGCAGCGTTTCCACCATCTCGGGGCTGGGACCCCAGCCGCACATGAAATCGCTCTCCTGAACGTTGGGTGCAAAGAAGTTGAGGCTGCTCGAATAAGGCCTGACCAGGTTGTCGGGATCGTCCGGCGGCACCTTGTCGCCGTCGACGTTGACCTCAATGTTCCACTTCTTGGCCAGGTACCGCAAGATGTTGAGGGCCTGCTCGGCAAAGTGGTGGCACGGCGCCATCTCCGTCAGATCCGCAATGCCCCGGGTGAGGGCCTCGGACACACGCGGATCCATCTTGGCTGCCTTCTTCATCTTCTCTTCGCTGGTTTCCGAGCCATCGCTCTTGACCAAAGTAGCGCCTATGGCCAGATGCATAATGGCCGACGTCAGGACGAAATATGGGACAAACGACGGTGTCCTGCGAAGAGTGTAGAGCTGGGCATAAGAGGTTAATAAGCCCTGGATCGCGTCCGCAGCCTGCGAGCACACGTCTCGCGGTGAAACCTTGGACCCGATGATACGAAGCTTGATCAGGGGCCTGAATAGGAGGAGTATAGCAAAATGATAGTACATGCTATTTTAATGACATCACAGACATTAGCATCAAGTGGCAGCAGAGGGCCAAACAAGGTAGGTAGGTTTCTGCTTACTGAGCAAACAAGACTGCTGGGGTAAAGTTATGACCCAGCCTCAAAACTTCGGGTATGCGGTCGTACCAGTTCAGGTACTGAGTGTAAATGTTCAAGAGATCCCGTGCAGTAAGGGGCCTTCCTGGAGAATGGAGAACATAAAGAGACTGGTGAACAAGCTCACTGAGCTCGCAAAAACACTTGTAAACTGAACGTACATTTGATGGCTGTTCGCAAGACCGCTGCAACGGCTCGCCTTCGGATATATTAACGTCAGCATGCAGCCCCTTAATATTAACTCCAAAGGTAGTCGTGCGATCCTCACCGTCGTCGGTATACGGTACCCATAGCGAGGCCTCAATGTCGCCGATGATGGCCGGTTTAGGTGGTAGGTGAGGAAAGCACGAGCACTGAGGCAGCGAGCCCGTAGCTAGAGACCATGCACTGGAGGTGACCAGGTTAGAATTGTTCAACAATAGAGGCAGTTTCCGGATCCAAACTCACTGATCCAAGGCAAAAGCCCCCCAAAAGGTCGCCGACTGGACGGCAAGCTCGTCCTCGTCGTCCTCATCATGGATGCGATGCAGACCCATCTCGACTGCGAGCCTTATGCTCTGGCCAGCGTAATACCAGCTCTCCGAATCACGGCCGCAACTGGCCTCGCGGATCGACATGATACCCAAAGCCTGAATCGTCGTCAACGAATGGTGGTCAGTCTCTTCGTTGAAGAGCCGTTGGCTCTCTTTGAAGAAGTGATCACCAGACGAGTAGGGGTCGTTGGGGTTGGCTCTAGTCATGGGCTGTGTTGAGAATCGACAGCCAAGGGCGAGCAGCGCGTTGACGAGTATTGGGGAGCAATACCGATGTCTCCCATCCTGGAAGTCGCGGAGAAAGTGCTCCTTGCTGAGTGAAGCAAAGGTGGGATACTCCCAGCAAAAATACAGGGCCAACAGGTGCTGAACCAAGTCGAAGTCGTTGGTGATGCTGGTCCACGTCCCCGCCGGCTGCTTGAATTCAGGCTCGTTCAGCGGCGGAACATGCTCGAGCCCCCGAAACCGCTGCAAGCCATCGGCGAGGTGATCGGTGTGCATGCTTTCTGCCCAGGAGCCAACCCGCGACTGTGGCGCGACACTCATCTCGGAAGTAGTCCAGTTCATCAGGTCCGGGTGAGAGCCGCTCCGGGTAGAGCCGCCCTGGCTTTGCGACGAAAAGTGCCAAGGGCTGGCCGGACCCCCCATATCCAAGGGAAGCGAGCTAGGATCCATTGTGAGGGCCATAGTCGGGATTGAAGCTCCAGATGCACCGAAGGCTGCCATGGCCAGGTCGTGGCTCATCATGGTAGGGTCGGCATGCTGCGTATATATCGAGGTCGTTGCGGGCCCTGTGACGCTGTTGACGTTCCCAAGCCAGTCGGCGATGCCATCGACCGACTGGCCTCCGCGAAGACGCGCCAGCACCTCCTCCCATAGATGGGGCTGTATCAGAGCTCCAAAGACTTGGTCGGAAGAGCGCTGACGCAGGCGCAGAGTCTCGATTTCAGTGCGAAGGGTTTCTTTGGATTGGCGGACGGGGACCTCGTAGACGCAGTCGGCGTCCTTTGTGGTCTTGCAACGCGCGCAAGGCTTCTGGCCGTCGCACTACAACATACAGCGCCGCGTTAGTATTCTTGATGCGGTCCTTTGCGTGTTCGAGTGAATGGGCAACAAGGAGTGTGCGCAACGAAGCCACGGGAATACATATCCGCACACGTCTCTGTATGTGGCCACAACAGTCGGCCCTCTGCTCAGAAGCTCTCTCTCACCTTGGCTCGCTTTTTGCGGCATTCCGTGCAGGCATTGGGCGTCACAACCCCCAAGCCGCGTCTGCGCTTCGACAGCTGAAGCAGCGCAGTCGACGTCGTCGGCCCAACATGCGTCGTCTGTGACTGCGGCGTGGTGCCGCTCCCCGTGCCGGCGCTGGTGCTGCCATGGTCCTCGTCCGCAGCAGCCTTGGCCCTTCCCTTCCCCTTGTCGGCCGCCAAAGGGCGTTTGGGAGGTGGCGAGCCCTTCCTCCGCATGGCTGTAGGGCAAAGTGATCAACGCTGCTTTCAGCGATGGGGAACCAGGGCGGTTGCAAGGCTCGAAATGCGGTAGCTGCAGCCTCGTGGTGGGATAGACATGCTGCGGGGGGAGCTATCCGTGGACCGACGAGTTCGGGAGAGCAGGACGAAGCTCTGAGAAATAGGGGGTCGTCTTGCGGGGACCGGCTCAGTGTCGAGGAGGCATGAGAGCAGGTATAAGAGGGCGATACGGGTGAGGATAAGGAGGAGGATATTTGCATGCAAGGGAGAGGAAGCGTCGAGGTTGATGGAGGCGAGCTTCGCCAAATAGCGGGGCACGACAAGCTGTAGTGGTTCCAGCACGTCAGAGCGCATTTCCATCAGCCGCTAGAGCGGGTGGGCTGGCCGCTATTCGACCACTAAAGCTCGGGGCCGATTCACCACTACAGGGGCCCGAAAGCCGCTAAAGCCCACGGGGCAGCGAAGCTTCCAGTGGTTTGTGCTACTTTCGGCACTTTGGCCGTTGAATGGATTTTGGTGTCCAGTCCAGTGCTTCTATCACTTTCAATATCACTTTGATCAGGTGTAAGCCGGCCAACTTGGAGCCTCGCACGCCAACCACCGCAGATGACGGTGGCGGAACGCTGCAACTTGGGTAGCATCCATGGAAAGTCAATACGAAACATGGAAGCAGGGAGAAAAAGAGGCGCTGCAGCTCGGCTCGGCTGCCAGAAACAATTGGAGCGCTTGGCTGCTGTTAATCTCGGCGAGCACTTGTGTCTCTGCCATTGGTGGCCTCGCGACTCTGAAAATTGCAGGCTCATGCACGCGACGCCATTAAGCTGATAGCCCTCCACAGCGCCTTGCGATAGGCCTTTGTAGCGATCCGCTAGCCCCAATAGCTCTCGCTGCAGCCGCCCCCAAGACGCGGTGGGGGAGCTGGTACCTGTACAGTGGAGGTATCACGTCAAATGCTACAGGCGATGTACTGGGTCATCGGGGTATTATTCGAGGGCCAAGAAGACTGTAGCCGAAGGGACGCATGGAGTCAAAGCAAGTACAAATACAATGTAAGAAACAAGCGTTCTTTTCTCATTGACGTGTCATTTTATGCCGTGTGCGTCTGCATTTCTCATTCGGCGTTTCTTTGCGTTGCTGTCTTTGCCATGGCCCTGATTCAAGTGCTACGAGGTACCTCTCCGTACTGCCTTGATATTAGTCGCAATGATGAGGCATGAGGTCATCTGAGACCTGAGAGCGACTAAGCTGTACCTCTTATTAAGCTCATCTCGCCCTAGCATGTCGCGTACCGCTAGGTAACAGTCATGTAAGTAAGATGGAAAACATGAATAGCTTGTACCGATACAGTTCCCAGCATGTACTGCCAAGGTAGACATCACACCACACGGCTTTTACTATCATATCAGTCCACTTGGATAGCCAAAAGCCACACACCTCAATCTTGTATTTTGCTAAAATGCCAAGCACCATGCTTTGTAACTCATCAAGCGCTACTCCATGGCTCGTACTATTGATTTCCATCTGCTCATTTGACGTGTGCAGTCCGTTCACTGCAGTCCAGTCCATTCATATCATGGGTAAACTTGGATTATCGCCTTACCCTAAAGCTGCACTAAATCACGACTCAAGATCTACACATCGCGGAGACGACAGCTGCTCTAAATGCCATTTCTTAAACATACTCAATAACACTATTGCATTTGCTTTTTAGAGCTGATGCGTGATCCTAACTAGCTAACTCATACATATAATTCCAACAGCTATCCCACCAACGCCGCGAATGATATAAAAAAAAAACACAAGCCCGATTCCTTTTGTACTCCTTAAAAATGCATGCCCAATCCGTCATTAGCCGTTACATGTACTACCACCGCAGAGACCCCCCTGATCTTTCAACACTCTTGCCAGGACTTCGGTGATACTTGATAGGGCTTCGCCGTCCTGTAGAAGAGTATGTAAAGCCTGCATTTCCAGCTATGTCGTCCTCAATAAAGGCATATCGCTGTGACATGGGCGTCTCGAACCGCTCTCTGTAGTGTGCTGGCGTGGCGTCTGGAGCCATCATTGAAACATGGGAGTAGGCGGGAGCATGAGTTGGTGTTACTTGCGCATTGGACCGTCTCTCCGTAGGCTTGATCATGGTAACGATGACGAAGATGTAGAGGACGACACATGCAGCAAGCGTGATCTAGAGAAATAGTTAGCGACGGAGTCGAGATCTATCAAGTTCTGTTATCTTATGCTTACCGATGCTCTGAAGTTCATTGTGTTGAAAAAGGTGTTGATTATCTCTGCAATCTCCTGGATTGTGTTTCTGACTCGCATTACGGCATCCTGATCTTGCGACATGCAGTCATACCATTTCTGACACAGGTCGCGCAGCGCCGGCAGGGCTCCTTTGGCGCACTGGTTGCTGGTATAGTGGTTTGTGCAATCTGTGATGCTGCTCATCATCGCCATCCGGGCCTTCTCGTGGGCATTGCGAACGTCTGATCGCACTGCGTCGAAAACAACCCAACCAACGTATATTGCGGTACCGATTGTGAAGCAATTCAGAACAAGCCGCAACCACCCGTATATGTGGTCGGGAGCGCGTGGATATTGATCCATTGTGCCCAAGGCGGACACAAACCAACCTTTGGCAGGCTGAGGGGTCGGCGGTATCTGGTGCCTCTGCTGTGATGAAGATGGTTGTGATGCGCCTTGATACGATCCTATGCTCGCGTCTGAATCTGTCGCATCGCCCTCCCATTCCGAGGGCAAATATCTGATCACATTGCTGACGTCTTTGTCGAAATTGTGCCGCTTCCGCTTCCTAAGGACCTGCAGTTCCTTGCGCGGAGAGTCCCTGCTAAGAGGTCGAATCTCTCCTCTGCCCGTCGCATGCCATCGTGGTGAACTCCTGCTGTAGCGAGAGTTCTTGTCAATCTTGGTCGGCGTCGTGTTGCCTATCGTTGCGACGCTCATGCGATCCGACTCGGGGGTATCATTGGGAAACGCAGAGGCTTCGGTTGGCGCTGGGCTGCCTTCGGCGCAAGAGACGAAGGAGGCGTCGGTAAAGGAGGTCTCGACGTCGGTGAATGAAGCATCAGATATGCCCACCTCGTCGAGTTTTCTTGGCGTTGTGAATGCTGGGTTTCGAAATGGTGGTGCCACAACTTTGGGGGCGAGCTGGGGAGTAAAGAATGATGTCGCGGGCACTTTGGATGGTGTCCCAAAGACGGAATATGGAGTGCTCTGCGTTGTCGATGACTTGTGAGGCGAGTTGAACACTGCATTTGGCATCATGGTTAGCTATCGTGGATTCGACCAATTCACACCTGAATTCTCCCAGCGCGAGCACCCACAATTCTCTGGTTTCTTCTTGGCCACTTGGGCAAATGGGCTGGTCAGATCGACAGGCCCAGAGTTCTGGTACTCCCATTCCATGGGAGCTTCAAAGGTTCGGCGCTGCATGGCGACGGGGCGAAGAGATGCTGGTGCTGATGCAATACTCGGTGATGTGATGCGACGCGATCTGAAGAGAAACGAGCGAGTTGCAGAGGTAGTACAAGTAGATTGTGGTGCATGAACCGAGTTTCAGGGTTGCTGCAATCAATATGTACTCGTAAGCGTCAAGTTGCATGGGTTGTGTCATGGAATGTTCCAATGTTGTTTAGTTGCCTCGACTGCCGGCCCTTATTTTGTTATCGCTATCCGCTAGCCAATTGTCAGTGGCAACCAATATACTTTGGCCAGAGTAAACAAAAGCCAGGCTTGTTGCCTGAGGCTACGACGGGCGAGTTCCACCCAAATGCGCTTATGTCAGCAACGCGCTGCAGCGTCTCAAAGGCAACCAGATGGAATGAACCTTTTTTCCCAGCTCAAGATTGTCTCACTTTCTCCTCAGGGTCAACGCTTCGCCGGCGGCAAGAATTCCTTCCGAATCTCGGATTCATTCCCACGAGATTGCGTTTCTTACTGCAATTATCAACCCTCGCCTACTCGCCCGACCAGCACGAGCTTCGAGCAATGTCTGACCTAGATTCGCCGGCCAACGAGCCAGTTGACGATGGCCAGGAGCAGGAATTCCAGGATGAGGCTGCCGATGCCGACTCTGACCGCGACTCGGATCTCCTGTCGGAAATCGACGAGAACCAGTTTGAAGATTACGACCCCGAGACGGCAAACATTGAGGATCGGCCGGTGGAGATTGACGAGGACATAGCACGTACTCTCAAGGCCACCAAACGCAAGCGTGCCGAAGGGGAAAAGGCCTCCAAGAAACCGAGAGAGACCCGCCGCGAGAAGCGTAGAGAGCGAGATGATGATGCGTCCATCCACGATGGCTCCAGCGGCGAAGCAGAGAAGAAGCCGCGAAGGAAGCGGACGGAAACCGAAAGGCGCCCAAGGGTCAAGCCCACGTCGCCGCAGCCCGAGGAAAACGACGAAAACCTCACCCCCGAGCAGCGACAGAATCGCGAAATTGATAGAGCTCTGGATGCGGCCATGAAGAATCGTGGGGCTGCCCCGAAGCGCCGGAGAAAGGATGAGATTGTAAGTTCTCGTGCATGCTGATTCTCACGGAGAGATCTGGAAATTGACTGCCGATGACTAGGATCTCGAAGATGAGATTGACGAGCAGCTGGCTGCGCTCAAGGTCCAGATGGAGCGTGCCTGTCAGGCAGATAACCAAGCGCGTGAGGCTGGGCAGCCTGCCCTCCACAAGCTCAAGCTGCTCCCCGAAGTCGCTGGCCTTTTGAATCGCAACAACGTACAACATGCCGTGCTCGACCCGGACACAAACTTCCTACAGCATGTCAAGTTCTTTCTGGAGCCGCTCAACGATGGCTCGCTGCCCGCCTACAACATCCAGCGGGACATTTTTACGGCTCTGACGCGTCTTAACATCGAAAAGGAGGCTCTTTTGAGCAGTGGCATTGGCAAGGTCGTCCTGTTTTACACGAGGAGCAAGAAGCCAGAACCCAGCATCAAGCGAATGGCTGAGAGGCTACTGGGAGAATGGAGTCGTCCCATTCTCAAGCGCACCGACGACTACAAGAAACGCCATATTGAGACTCGCGAGTTTGATTACGAGTATGTATTCTGTACCCTTTCTCCCCCGTCGCTTCATCTCCATTACGCTTTTGCTGACATCATGATACAGGGCTGCCAAGTTGGCTCAGCGCCGCAAGACAGGCTCTCAGTTTACCCTGTCTCAGCGACCTGCACAGTCTGCCCGTGATGCAGAACGTGAGCGGATGCTTGCCCCTGTCGGTGGTGGTAATCGGGCTCGCATGGTTAATCTCCCGGCGAGCTACACTATTGCCCCCAAGAGCACCTTTGATGGAACTAGGAACACTGATCACCGACCTCTTGGAGCTGGAGGAATGGAAGCTTTCAGAAAGATGACACAAAAGAGCAAGAAGAGAGCTGCCTAGAGGGCGTTCTAAAATTTGTGTCTTTTCTACCTGTATAACATGCCAAACATGATGGTATCGACGCAATCAACCATGAGGCCAGGTTGTGTGCCAATGCGTCAAGGGATATTCATTTTTTATGCTTATTAATTCGGGGCATATCGTCGAAGACTCGTCTGGGGGGGGGCAACTGGCGTTTCGGGAACCAAGGGAACAATAAATACTACGCGCAAGGATGCTTATACGATGATGTTTTGAAAATCTAATACCAGATGACACTCGACAGATTGACTAGTGATGCCAACTGCAAGTGATTGAACAACGTACGAAGGAGTCAAAACACATTTGTGAAAGACATGATGTTTTATCCTCGTGAAAAGAACAACTATGTAAAGAAGTCATCAAGAGGTTATTGATAGGAGTGGCGGTCGTGGACACTGGCCGGGCTTTGGTTGTAGAATACCTCAAGCATTTGGGTATTCTGTAAACAAAAGTGGCTACGTTACATATAGTATGTGGGAGAGAGGAAAACTAGTCTGAATTGCACATCGCAATATTTTGGCCTTTTAGTATCCCGTTCAAAGGGATTAACTGGGGTTGTTTGAGCTTGCATCTCAATATGAGTTTTCAGGTTGATTTGCCATTTTCAATTGCACTATGAGGAGTCGTATGTCAAGTGCTTAAACATCCATCTCTACTCATGCGGTATAACATTTGAGAGACAGAGTTGGGGAAGCATATGCAATGCCGTTGCCATATTAAGCCCGCATCTTCGAATCCATTAATGACAAATATTTGCCCCGGAGAGGATGGCTGCCACCTCATCGCCCTATGATTCTTATCAAATGACTGGTCTAGGCTGCTGAGGAACCCATTTCCGGTGAGGTGTCCATGGAAGTCAACTGAGAAATCGCTGCTGTGAATTTTGGAAGTGATTGTTGCATCAATAGTTGACTTGAGCCAGCTAATCTCGTAAGTAAACTTGCCGGCATCCCAACGCCTGGGCTCTTGTAACGGCGTGATTCGTGGTGATTTCGATTTGTGGTTGGGGCGATGGCGAACGTGGTTCGGCTTCCAAAATGTCGAACTGTTGGCATTCCAGCATCAGCTGTGCCATATTACGCTTGGTGTCTTCCTGCGGGGGAGTGACGGTGAGTCCCACGACATGCCGTCTGTCGACTCTGGGAGTAGGAACACCATCTGTGCTTTTTGGGGTGATTTTCCGACCCAGGTATGTCCGTCCCGTGTTCAGCACCTTTGCCTTGGTTTTCTTGTACGCCGCCACTGCAACGTGTGCGTATTGGAAGATCTTGTAGGTGAGGATCATCTGCGTTGTACGCACCGTCGAAGTGAATGCGAATCCATTCTCTATCCCACTCGTTGTATGGTCCGCAATCAATATTCAGGATGACATAGATGTCGAGGTAGTCGTCAGTGAGGATATACTCGGTTATCTCCCACTTGAGACCGAGGTTGCAGATCTGGATTGGAACAGTAGCATTACCCGTGATGTGCATGGGTGATACTTGGAGATCTTCGTGGTCGTCGGCAAAATGAACATGAAAATCGTTTGCCCTGTCACTCCAGCAGCACTTGGTTACATGGGTGCCTTCAGGAATAGTTGGGTTCAAAACATGAGAGTCGTACTCGCATTTGCCTCCGGTGAAACTAGCCGAAGGCTCGCCATTAGTGCAGCAAGTTCTGCCATCGTGAGAATAGGTGACTTCAGCTGCGCCGGAATTGGCTCTGTTGGCGGTGCCAGCGCTAGAGAGCGAAGCCAGATGGAGCACGGCAGCAACAACGGAGAGCAGACCGTTAATAAGATCATGATGATGGATGGATGATTCTGTGCAAGGTTAGCTATTCGATCTGCTTGACGATAGATATGAGCAATGAAGCTGGAGACAAACCCTTGGGGCTATGAATCTCTAAAGGTATAGGGGTTTGTCGATGCCAAAGACTCGGTTGTTGCTGTTGTTCCTCCAGTTCACGAAGGACTATCCTCCCCCTTTTATATTTTTTTCACGATGCCAATCTCTTCTAGACCCTTTGCTCATGTGTCGCCTCAAGACTCCCTTGCTGGGGGAAATCTCTGCCAGTCACTTACCAATCCAGCATCAGCCGCAATGATTTCCTCCTTGCACAAGAAGCCTTGGCTCTGTCGCAGCAATCGGGCCTCTTCCTTGCAGCTGTGAATAGGCATTGAGTAGTGATATGCAGAGATGCCTCTGGTGGTTATCCACAAGGCTGCGACCATGTATCATGGGACCAGCATTTGATTCAAATTCCTCATTGACAATCACATTTCTGTGATGTGTCTTCTAATGCCATGAGGGTTCCTCAATTACAGTCGGAATCTCTGGTCAAGTTGAGTAAGCTATACCACCAGGCTGCTCTGGCCCCCAATCTCAACATATGCCCGCTCTGTTCACAACGACAAGCGGGAATGCTTCAGCTTGCCATTACTGCGATTTCATAATACATAGTCATCTGCACTATGCAGTTATTGATTCACTGCAAGAAAAATAAATATGGCTCCATACATCACACTATAATACCCTACATGTGCTTCTCCAGCCGGTCGAGTTGAATTGATAGGGTCTTATCTTTGGCTGAGGCATGGCTGAGACATGGCTGAGACACGGCTCATGGATTCCGCCACTTGAGCCGCCTTCGCATGTTGTAGCTCAAAAAAAAAAAAAAAGAGATCTGTCACCTATCTCATTACAGAAACGGGTCTCTTGCTATCCGTTTTCGCAGCAATTGAAGCAGCATGAGTGCCTGCTGAATTCTTCAACTCTGTTGAACGGCATCTCTCACGCAAACAAAAAGAGAATAGAGATACCAGTTCAAGATGATAGCCAAATTTTGAGGCTGATAGTGTTATCATAATGTCACTACGCAATACAAGATGCTTGTAATTTAAAACAGGCTGGATGATAGTAGCATTTCTGCTGTATCATCACCGAGCGTCACAGACGGGCATATTCGTAGCGTAATTCGACTGACAACATGAAAGCCTTATCTCTGTTCAGATGTAGAAATGATCCTCGAAATGAATATTAGATTCAAAGCTAATGGCCAAAGCGAGATGAACGAGGCTGGCGGAAAGCTGCAGTCACCGAATATTGAGACATCGCCAAGCGTCATTTTCAGCGCTTGGAATAATATACCCCTTGAGAATGCAGCTCGTGACACATATTTTTAAGTCACAATAAGATAATGGATAGTATGAGACAATATTATGAATCGCCATGTGAAATATCTAGGGATCCTCAAAGTTGCCTATGCCAAAGCGCCGGGTATAGAACGAAGTGAGACATTCGTAATACATGGTGATATTAGGTGGTGCTCACTGACGTGCTTTATTTGTCATTGAGTGGGCTGCTTGCAACTCGCATTTACTTCAATACAATGGCGAACGTTCAAAGCCTTGTTCAGTGTTTTCATGTTCATATCTGCTGGGACTCTGATCCGCTCCGATGCTAGCACTTCCATACACCGCGACATGACGCTATTAAAGTATATGAGGGAACTGATAGAATAAGAAATTGTTTAGTAATGACACATTTTGTAAATATACGAGGCTCACGAATTCATATAAAAACATGAATCTAGTCTGGGTTTTGTCGCCATCTAATGACCTGATGAGTGTTGGCAATGAGCTGTACAGTGTAGGCCTGTGTACTGTGAATCACAGCAAGCTTGAAGCGGTCTCTCTCACACCAAATCTCATATCATACGGCAGAGAATTGATGAATACAGTGCCAAATAGACGAGGATGATCTCAAAACTCATCAGGGATAGGGAATCGCCATCATGAAATGGAGCAATCTCAATGCAGCTGGCCTCACGTAATATGATCATCTTGTATTCGATTTAGTCGTTAAGCTTCAATGAGAGAGAATCGTGGCGTCCAGCTGTTCACGCCAAATGACTCATGCATGTGTTCCGGGCAAGCTCCATCTCGGTCGCTGTCCGACAATACCTGTATATACATGCATTCATAGTATTCCTTTCAGATCAAATTGCTGCTTCTTCCATCATACATCTTCATGTTCTAGCATGCGGTCATCTCTTAGGCGATCTCTCTGCCCTCCATCCCCTCTATAAATCGACAAAGCCCGCTAAAAGATGCCTAGTACAGGAGGTGGGGCGCTGTATCTGTAGCTGCAAGCTTATCGATTGCTTGGTGGGGGACGACGATGACTGACATCTCAAAATTTATTTCCAGCTAGCCCTTCGTCTTCCCATTATCAATACAATCGATCCCGATCCAACCGCCGCATCGTCGCCTCCCTCGGGCCTTTGGAATTCGATTCGAATATCATGTCTTTAGGATAACGGCCCAACTCCAACTCCGGCAAAGACGAATCCCAATCCAAAGAGGCGACAATGGCGCACGCCGCGTTTGTGAGCTCCACCAAGGAGCAGCTGACGGACAATCTGCCCAAGCGCTTCAAGGGGATTAAGTTTGGCATCCAGTGAGTGTTTGGCTGTTTCACAGGAGCTTCTTGGCCTTTGAGTCTTTCTAACAGCGACTCCTTGCTAGATCCAACCAGGACATTGTCAACCAAGGTGTGCTGGAGGTTTCCCAGCGCATGCTCTATGATATCGACAACAACCGATCTCCGCTCATCAATGGAGCTCTGGATCTGCGAATGGTGAGTACGCGACTGCAAAAAGCTACTTGATATTCGAATGGCGCCAGTATCGCACCTTGTGCTACACCCTGCTAACCCTCTTGTCCCAGGGAACCTCGAGCAAGTCCGGCAAATGCGGCACCTGTCAAGAACCTCTCAAGTTTTGCATCGGCCACTTTGGACACGTCCGACTGGCTCTCCCCGCTTTCCACATCGGATACCTTCGATTTATCCAGACGATTCTCCAGAATGTTTGCAAAACCTGCGCCAAGGTCCTCCTCACCGAAGAGGAGAGACGCTCTTTTCTACAAGATCTGCGCCGGCCGGGCCTGGACAATATCCGTCGAACTCAGATTTGCAAAAAGATCAACGAGCAGTGCAGGAAATGTAGGCAGTGCCCGTACTGCGGTGAAATCAACGGTCAGATCCGAAAAGTCGGAGTCCTCAAGCTCACCCACGACAAGTTCTCCGCGTATAAGAAGTCGACCTCCCAAAAGAAGCTGCCTCCGGAAAGCAAGCTCGCTTTTGATGCCTCGTTCGATGAAGCCAAGAAGCTGAACCCCGATTTGGATAAACACTTGGTCAGGGCTATGGAGGATTTGAACCCTCTTTGGGTTCTGAACCACTTCAAGATGATCACACCCACGGACTGTGAGCTTCTTGGACTTGACCCTTCAGAGGGTCGTCCCGAGATGTTCATCTGGCAGTTCGTACCCGCCCCTCCTGTGTGTATCCGACCTTCAGTCGCACAGGAAGGAGCCAGCACAGAAGATGATCTTACCGCAAAGCTGGCCGAGATTGTCTATATAAGCGGATTGATACGGACGGCCTTGAACAAGGGAAAGCCAATGCAGACCATAATGGAACAGTGGGAGTACCTTCAGCTGCAGATTGCCATGTATGTCAACAGTGATGTCCCCGGGCTTAATCAGCCGGGTTTCGGGAAAAGCATCAGGGGCTTCTGCCAGCGTCTCAAGGGAAAGCAGGGACGGTTCAGAGGAAACCTGTCAGGAAAGCGAGTAGACTTTTCCGGCCGAACCGTCATTTCGCCTGATCCCAACTTGGGCATCAATCAAGTGGCGGTGCCCCAACTTGTCGCCAAGAACTTGACGTTTCCTGAACGAGTTCAAAACCAAAACTTGGAGAAGCTACGACAGTGTATCTTGAATGGGCCAAAGGTCTGGCCCGGAGCCAATCATGTCATCAAAGACAACGGAAACTGGAAGCAAGACTTGCAATTCGGTGATAGGGCGCTTGTTGCCCGAGATCTTCGGATTGGCGATATCGTCGAGCGTCATCTTGAAGACGGAGACGTGGTTCTCTTTAACCGACAGCCATCACTGCACAAGCTCAGTATCATGAGCCATCTGGCAAAGATTCGGCCCTGGAGAACGTTCCGTCTAAACGAATGTGTTTGCGGTCCCTACAACGCCGATTTTGATGGTGATGAGATGAATCTCCACGTTCCGCAGTCCGAAGAAGCCCGTGCCGAGGCAATCACTCTCATGGGTGTCAAGAACAATTTGGCTACGCCCAAGAACGGAGAGCCCATCATTGCAGCCACTCAAGATTTCATTACCGCGTCATATCTTCTCAGCAGCAAGGACAGATTTTATAACAGAAAAACTTTCACTTACATCTGCACTCACATGATGGACGGCGTAACTCACCTTGACCTTCCTCCTCCGTCGATTATCAAGCCCGAAGCCCTGTGGACTGGCAAGCAAATCTTCAACGTGCTTATGCGTCCGAACAAGCAATCACCCGTCCTCGTTAACTTGGATGCAAGGTGCAGAGAGTATTCAGCCAGACCTGGACAATGTCCAGATATGGATCCAAACGACGCTTGGTTGGTCATCCGAAACTCCGAGGTCATGTGTGGTCGTATGGACAAGTCCATCATCGGTTCCGGTAAGAAGAACTCGGTGTTTTACATTATTCTCCGAGATTTCGGTCCCGATCATGCCGTCATGGCCATGAACAGATTGACCAAGCTGTGTGCAAGACAGCTAGGAAACCAGGGCTTTTCGCTCGGTGTTGGCGATGTCTTCCCCATAACTGAGTTGACCAAATCTAGAGACAGGCTCGTGCAGGACGCCTACGACAAGAGTGACTCGCTTATCGAGACCTTCAAGGCGGGCAAGCTCGAGAAGGCGGCTGGATGTGACATGGAGCAGACGTTGGAGATTTCCATTTCCGGTATTCTCAGCAAGGTTCGACAGCAAGCCGGTCAACAGTGTGTGGACACGCTGAGCCGTAACAATGCTCCGCTGATCATGGCCAACTCCGGATCCAAGGGTCTGCACATCAACGTCGCCCAGATGGTTGCCTGTGTCGGACAGCAGATTATTGGCGGCCAGCGTGTGCCTGATGGCTTCCAGGACCGCAGTCTGCCCCATTTCCACAAGAATGCCCGTCAGCCGGCATCCAAGGGTTTCGTGCGCAACAGCTTCTACTCGGGGCTGTTCCCAACAGAGTTCTTTTTCCACGCCATCTCCGGACGAGAAGGTCTTATTGATACTGCGGTCAAAACGGCAGAAACAGGATACATGTCAAGACGGTTGATGAAGTCTCTGGAGGATCTTTCCACGCAATACGACAACACTGTTAGGACGTCATCGGGAACCATTGTGCAATTCCAGTTCGGTGCCGATAAGCTCGACCCCGTCGACATGGAGGGCTCTGCCGTGCCTGTGCAGTTTGACCGCACATGGACTCACGCAGAGAGCACTACCTGGGATAACAATGAGAGATCATTGCTTCCTCACGAAATCCTCGAAGTGTGCAGCAGCATGCTGGACAAGGAAAAGCTTCGTTACCAGAGAAGACGCTTGGTGGATAACGCACTGCTGGACTATTCTGATCCAACCGACGAAGCTCTTGACGAGCACGAAAGCGCACGAGGCTTTATCGAGACGATTTATTCATACGTCTCTGAGCGAGCACAAAAAATGTCCAAGGCCCGTGCTCTTGTTGGGTTGGATCCCAACCCGAGTCAGGACGAGGTGATTGCGGATGCATCAGCAGATCTCAAGGCTCAGCTGGCTCGCGTCGACCGAGTTTCCAAAGTCTCCATGACAACTCTTCAGAGGTTCGTCAAGGAGTGCCTGGAGAGATATCACAAGGCCCACGTCGAGCCCGGCCATGCTGTGGGCGCTGTCGGAGCGCAGTCGATTGGTGAGCCGGGAACACAGATGACGCTCAAGACATTCCATTTCGCAGGTGTCGCCGGTATGAGTATCACTCAGGGTGTTCCACGTATCAAGGAAATCATCAACGCGTCAAAGAATATCAGTACCCCCGTCATTACCTGTCCTCTGTTGAACGACAAGCAGATTGAGGCTGCTAAAATCGTCAAGGGACGAATCGAAAAGACGTACGTCATTGATGTTCTGAAAGCGATTGAGGATGAGTGGGTTAGTGACCGAGGAACCATTGTTTTGTACATTGACATGGAGGCACTGCAAAACATGCACCTTGGTATTGGAGTTGTGGACATTGCGGAAGCCATTCTCAAGTTCAAGAAGCTCAAGATTCAGCCAACCGACATCTCAGTTGGCCCCAACTACATCAAGATCTACGTGCTCAACAGCTGGGTGGATCCTGATGCAGCCAAGAAGCGACAGCGCAGTCTTGCCTCTCTTACCTTGACGGAGGAGGCCCCTGATTTCCTCTTGCGAGTCAACCACCTCCGCCGCATGCTTCCCAAGGTTCCCATCTCGGGATACAACGAAGCAACGAGAGCCATCATCCAGACCTCTGAGACCAGCGAACACACCGTGCTGGTGGAGGGATACGGATTGCGCGCATGCATGACCACAGAAGGTGTCATTGGCACCAAGTCGCGCTCCAACTCTGTTATGGAAGCCCGCGATGTGCTGGGCATTGAGGCTGCTCGAACCACCATTGTCGACGAGATTTCCAGCGTCATGGCTGGTATGGACATTGACCCGCGTCACATCCAGCTGCTGGCCGATGTCATGACGTTCAAGGGAGAAGTCCTCGGCATCACCCGTTTCGGTCTCTCCAAGATGCGAGAAAGCGTTCTCCAGCTGGCCTCGTTTGAAAAGACGCCGGACCATCTGTTTGAGGCTGCCGCTGGCATGAAGACTGACCGCATTGAAGGTGTCTCTGAGTGTATCATTATGGGACAGACGATGAGTGTCGGCACCGGCTCTTTCCAGGTTGTCAGGAGGCTCAACATTCAAGAGTGGGAGGTCAAGCCAAAGAAGACGCTGTTTGAAGATGCATGGGCAGAGACAGTCAAAGCAAAGAAGGAGAGACGAAAGCTAAAGGGCAATTTTTAGGTACAGAGAGTTGAAGGAGGCGTTACTGTGTGCTAAATTTCACGAGGAAAATGCTAGAGGGGGCTATTTTTGTCCAAGTGGTGGCATCACTAAGAACGGATATTTCACTTGCCCAATTTTGTATATATAGCAAGTTTTGGCCGAATGATGCTTCAGGGGAAGATTCGTTGCGAAAAGCATATAGTTTACACGGAATAGTTGGCAACTGATCAAGTCTAACGTGGAACAGATCCTGCTCGTTTGTATCAGTGGCTTCATCTGTGCCACCATTGGTTTGGCCGCAATGGATTGCTTTTTGACTCTCTTCCTCTTATAGGGAGATTTATTATTCTCCCATAATTCGAATACCGGATATCAGTTTTCTCCATGGATATTTACTTTTTCTCACTCAACCATCTGACATCTACAACAAACGAGTAGTTACAGAGAGAGAAGCATGGATCCATCGTCCTACATCGTTTACCAGAAGCAATCGATTCGGAAGGGCTGATTCCTTGGTCAACAACTTCACCATCATGACATACAGGTTTGCCGAGATTTTGCTCTCGATACTTTTCTCCTTTCCTCTCTACTCATAAACTAGACGATATGAATGTTGCACTGCTTCTCTATCGGCAAAGGAGGTTAAAAGTACAAAAGATTTGCTGACCCTGCCAAGCTCATTACCTGACAATATCTTCAACAGGTTGGATATCACATTCCAGTGGAAGAACGAGTTGATCTTAATCTAATCGTCCACAGGAAGATATTGGAAGCGCCCATCGCAAGCATAAGTTCGATCTAATCACCAAGGATCATATATGCATCACACCAAAGATCAGATGTTCATCAGAAGCACCAAAATAGCACACAGCTCTGTGGCCGAAGCAGCAGAGACAAATCATACATATTGAACAACAATAATCTCAAATACGGACCTTCGGCCATACAACCCAGCCCGTACTTTTCCATATATGGCGATGAATGTTTCGTCGGCGTCCCACGAGGCACCGTGTCTCCGGGGTTCGGGTTTCGGACTTGGAAAGATGGCACATGCCATTTGGGAATCGCTCCAACTTCAACAGCTCATGCTCGTATATATACAGCTCCTCCCTGCCTCTGCAATCGCTTCTTTGGCATCTCTTCTTAACAATAACGACACCTTTGTCAGGCGAGTTTTGGCACAGCTGAGGTAAACGTTGTGAGCAGCTTCGCAAGATCATCATCTCTTAGCAACCGTCAGCAACTTCAGATATCGAATTACGACAACAGGCGAGATGCCGACTTGGAATCCTGCAAAGCTCTCGTCATCTCTACTTTTAAACATACGAAATCACCCTATAATCTTCACCTCTGCAATAGCCATTATCCCCTTGGCAGCTCTGGCCATGCCTTCATACCGTGGCTTCATCGATCTTGGCCCCGGTGGCCTCCCACACAATGTCTTTGGCTGGCTCCTTCAAGGCGCTCTACGCCCGCTGGCTCTGAATAGCACTGTTGACCAGAGCGCCTTTCAAAAACCCGGCGTTTCTGCTTCATACGAACCTCATGGCACCACCCGATTCCTTCAGGAGCCGCTCGCGCAGCGTCGAGGCGACAGGCCAGTTATCCCCAACTACGTGGCGCCTCAGAGACAGGCCACGGATAAAGGCGACAAGGACCTCATCGACCGGATGAATGGCCATCTACGAGATTTAGCGAGCCGTCGCTCAGAGGCACTAGCTGTGAAAGCATCCGGCTTGGAAGCCAGAGACAATCCTGCGCTATGGCTTCTCGGTTCCCCATTGCCCAAGTACTTGGCGAAAAGCACAAAGGGAGAAATCGTCCACGTCCACACAGAAGCCAGTTCCCACATGATCCTCAGTCTGACTGACGCGAAAGAAGCAATGGCAAAGGGGTGGGCTGAGTTCCATCCGCTAAGTGGCGTGATGGGGTGGATTCCGCTGCCGTATGTCATGGTATATGCGCCGCGGGATGAGGAGGAATTCGGGGTATGGACAAAGTTTGTGGATGCAGCTATTGCTTTTACTACTGCAGGACAGCATTAGCAACTTTGACGGCAAAATAGCAACGGCGTACTTTGCATGTACTCTGCATTGGGACACGGGAATAACGGACGTGATGTGTCACTTTTCTCTCTTTCCATACCCGAGGTGGCTCGAAACTTTCGTGGGCTGCTATCCGAGATGTATTCGCAACAAGGGGTCATTCATCTCATCAAGTTGAGTTCATTGCGTCTGTGGCATCGCCCCATTATAGTGCTCATTCCGCTGAGTTTCAACAATCTTCTCGAGCTTAGAGGTCTCAGTTCATTTGTCGGAAAGCAAGATGCGGCATCGCTTCCAACAGCTGGCTCTGTTGCGCCAGTATTGGAAACTGGCAAGGCTCGGGCCTAATTGGTTCATATTGGGCCTGGAAAATGGCAGTCAGAAGATTAAGAATCGATAATGGATTAAGCGTGGTAGGGGTAAGAGAGAGGTTAGTTTGAACAATTTATTTGCCGTATTGGTAACTACAAGAACTTTGGCTATGCAGATTTGGATTGACCTCAAAGTTTTGACTCTGCCTTCCATTCCGCAATCTCTTGCCCAACGCTGTGAGGATAATCTTCCTGCACGAAATGGCTCCCTGCTCCAAGAAAGATGGTCTTGACATTCTTCATCTGGCCACTCAACCTCTCAAAGTCTTGCTCCCTAATAAATGTCCCAGGCTTCACCCAGAAGAACAGTTTCGGTATCTCCGTCGCAACAAACCAGGCCGTATAATTATTGACCTTTTCTGCCACTTCCATTGGAGTTCCTCCGATGGGAATCTCGTTGGGGAATCTCCATGTTGGCTCACGATCTGCAGGCGTCTGGAATGGTCGGCGGTAATGAGCCATTTCCTCCTCCGTCAGCCCTCGAATGACCCCCATGGGCAGAAGCTTTTCCACAAAGAAGTTCTCGTCAATGATCATTGTGCGTCCGACCTCTGGGGTACGAAACTTGGTGAAGAGGTCTATGAACGTGGGATCTCGAGTGTTCCAGTTATTCAACGCCGCAATCCACTCCATCACCACGATGCCGGCGACGCGATCCTCATGACGACTGGCCCAGTCCAAGCCAAGGGCAGACCCCCAGTCGTGAATAACGAAAGTGATGCGCTCCGTTGGCAGGACAGTATCTAGAAACGCATCGATATAGCGCTGGTGGTCGAAAACCCTATACTCCAGGCCAGCAACTTTGTCTGAATCGCCGAAGCCGATGAGATCGGGGACAATGCAGCGGCTGTCTTTGGCCACATGTGGAAAGATGTTACGCCATAGATATGACGATGTTGGGTTGCCATGCAAGAAAACGGCAACAGATCCGGAAGAAGAAGTGCCAACTTCGACATAGGCCATATGGCTACCAAGAACCTCAACCTTGTTCTTCTCGTACGGGAAGGCTGATGAAATTTCGAGACCCCTGTCGGTAGCCATGATGAAGGACTAACACGAATACAACTGAAAGAGTTTCCTAATCAATAAAAAAGGACGGTAAGCAGAGTAATGTTGAGAAGAGACTGTTGAGCGACTGTGTCAAGCACTTTGTCAACACAACGGTTCTACATAGAGGCGTCCCAACAATCAACCTTATATACATGTTTAACAAGCCTTTACTGAGGTCAGTAATCAACTACGATTTTGGTTGATTACGCACCGCGTCTGAAACTAAGTCAAGTTGTGGCCCATAAATGCTTGGTGTTTACTGATCTATTCTCCTCCCCAGGGTGCTTTACTGCCCAGTTTAGTAATATTAGTATCGATTGCGACGGCATCATTAAAGCCCATGTTCTGCAATCCAAGCGACCATTTGCTCCCAGAGATGAGTAATCAGGCTCTCTCTCGCGAGCTTCGCAATGGCCCGCCTCTAAGAGCTTTGCTTGGGCTGAGCGCATGTATAAAGACGAGACGAGGCTTGTTGTGCGTAACTCACATGCCTGTTCAACTCATCGCTACCCATAATGTCTTCTACTCGGTACTTGACGAGTTCTCCCATGTGCTTGGGCAGACTGCTAACCATTTTCCAGCTCCAACCTTTTGCAAAGCGTCATCGAGGCCCATGGTGGCCGAGAGTACTGGGAGTCAATCCAGTCCCTCAACGTGGAGTTTGAGTTCTCTGGAGTGGCTTTGGACATGAAAGGACATCCTGGACCTCACGACGTCGAATTGGTTGTCAATACAAAGAGTCAAAAAGTTACAATCAAGAGATTTGGCGACTACTACGGCTCATGGACTCCTACGCAAACCGAGGTCGGCAAGCTTGGCTCTGAAGATCCCGTTGATGTTCGCAAGAATCCCAGAGACGTCTTTGACGATTATACCGCGGAAACGAAGTGGGACGTACACAACCTCTTCTGGTTTGTGGGCTACGCATATTGGAACTACTTCAACTTTCCATTCTACCTGGACGCTCCGGAGATCCAAACCGGCGAAGTAGATGGTCCGACGCGGGAGAATGGCGAGAAATGGACTTCATTGGAGGTTGTTTTCCCTGACGGGTATCCTACTCATACCAAGGTTCAGAAGTACGACTTTGATGGCGAATACCGGTTGATGCGGATGCACTATTCTGTGGATGTCATGAAGCGACATGTTCCGTCGTGGCACAATTGTTACAACCACGCTGTTGCTGGGAAGCTTCTTTACCCAACTCTGCGAGTTGTGAGCTCAGCCTCTCCGGGAATGGCATTCTTTTCTCCATTTACTTTGAGGGGGATCAAGATTGAAGTCAATCACATCTAAGCAAATATTCGGCAACATTGCAAGTGAGAATGGCAAAGACAATGGTAGTCAGGCTACGTGTAAGCGGTAGTTATTGTATCAGCATAGATGATGATACTGTGACGGCAGCTGAGACAATACCATAGAGTAACACTGTTTCCGCATGTGGTCAATGAATTAGTTGAACATAAATCCGCTTAGCACCCGTAATGTACACTTAGAGTTCTCACGCAACCGAAAAGCGCCAATCTTGAAGTGTTTGTGATCAAGATTCCCCACGGATCGCATTGCTAAGCACCTTATTACTCAACATGGGGTTTTGGGACTCCGCATTTGGCTTAAAGGGCGTCTTTGTTGACAAAACAGAAATCATTATGTCTACTCATTCTTGGTCAATACAATTAGTTAATCTCTTGGACTGGAATCTGAGGCCGTCTTTGTAAGCGATTGCCCGACATGGTTGTGAAGTTGGTTATGTATTCGGATATATGTGCCGGCTTGCTTGGCAGACAACGGGGTTTCTATTATTAGAGAGAGAAGAATGATTCCACATGCTTCTTCTCCTTCTCCTTCTCCTTCTCTTTCTTTTGGGGTATATTGCCCTCGTTGATCAGTTACGAAACTGCACGGTTCGGTATGTTGCCTGGTGTTTGATACGGCCAGTTATGCTATAATAGACACTATGATGGCTACATACGAGTGATTTCTGGATTACACTTCTGATGTATTAGCGATGGAAACAATCGCTAATGTTTAGGAACAGTAGAAGGTGCCTCGTCTTTCTCCAGTTTCCATTCTGCTTTCCCGTGATACTCTCTACGAAACTATTGAATGGCGCGTGCTGTAAATGAAGACCGACTGTAATACAGCTTTGGAAGATATGAAACAACTATCTTTTCCCAAAGAAGATATTATAGGGATTCTTTTGGCATATTCAGCCATCTGATGGCGAAAAGTACATGTATTATCTGGCCCAGATTCCGTTGTCACTGCGCAGCTTCAAGGCAAAAGACCAGAGCAGGCATACCAGTGCATTTCCAGAGCCCCCTTTCCAAACAATGTCTAGATATAAAAGTCTTCCGAAGAAGAGGAATATTGTAAAACCAAAGGCATAACGAAGGTGGTGGAATCTCGAATGTCGTCAATGAAAGTCGTGGCAAGACTGAGATCTAAGTGCCCGTACAGCAAATTTCCAGAGCAGATAATGTGAGGTCTATATATTCTCTGCTACTGCCGCTACTACCTTCCATCTTGGTCCAATTTTCTATACCAACCAAGCCTATAATGTCTCTCGATGGCTTCAATTCAAGGGATGCTCTTGTGTAGTAGGAATGGGATGGACACTTGTATGAAGCGACAGACGGTTGGAATTGGTGTCTAGTTGGCCATTTTAGTGGACAGCGTAGGCGCTATTGACGCTGTAATCCCTGCGAAGGGCGCTATGACGATAACCTGGGCCTGGTCATTGACATCCATCCCATCAGTATTATGCGTCCACCAGCCTCATTAACCCCGGATACTAGAAAAAGTGCATGTAGCGATAGCTGCAGATACTAGAGAAAGTAGGGATAATAGCGGTACTGGCGATACTAGTAGCAGCTGGAACTTTGCTGATCCCAATGGCAAAATATGCGTCAAGTCCAATCCTCCCAGCAGCCACTAAAGTTACAGTGCATTTCCAGGTCGTGTCATCACTGTGGCGTGTTGGGTAGCGCCAGTGGCTGATGCCTTGACGCCCATCCCGCGTTTTGTGCCATCACATGCATTTCCATGTTGCTTCTACAAACGCGTTCCCTTCTTCTTCCCCAGACCACAAACAGCCGGGGGGGGGGGGGGGGGGGGTTGCAGCCGTCATGGACGAGACGAAGCTGAAGATTATTGAGGAACACCCCATTGGGAATGGCCTCGGTGTCTTCCGCGCCGTGTTCGCATCGATATGCGAATCCCAGGGTCTCGTTTCGTCGGCGGACGCCATCGACCAGTTGGACCAACGATCTCTACAGAGCCTCACTATCAATCTTCTCGCAGCGCTCCTGGTACTCGAGGCGGCCCAGCTTCTTCGCTCTGCTGGCAGAGGCAAATATCTCTTTGACGACATATCAAAATCACTCTCTATCATCCGCTCAGACGACTTCGACTTGGATCGCTTCAAACCTGTCTTCAGAGCCGTCCTCGACGACAATCCCAACGATGTCCTCATTTGGACGCAACTCTCCAACGCCGTCAAAGAAGCAACTCCTCCTCCGCGGCCGACGTGGTCATCTGTGGCAAACACCCCAATCACCCGAAACACGAGCAGCATCCTCAACTCGTCAGAATTACGTCGCGAGGTCGACCAAGTCCTTAGGAAAGAACTTGACCCTCGCGTGGGCATTCGCAAGTTTCGAGAGTCATTCTTTGCATCCGTTCCCAACCTCGACGCAGCGTCCGATGCCGTCTTTCGCAAGTGTTCCGAAGGCGACGAGCCGCTCTTTGGTCAAGAGGGATGGGCAGGATGGCCGGCCGCTGCAGAGGAGAAAGCTGTGGTGGCTTGGCTCGGCGACATTATACCAAAGCTGGAGAGTCTCGCGGTCGATTTCGCTCCCTCCACATTGACTCGACAACGGAAACTGCTGGCACAGCTAAAGACACCTTTGCTGGGATCTACAGGAAAACGCAGCATGGATGTCGGCTTCGTCAACAGCGACTTTACCCATCAGCTAGGCAAACCAAGCAGATACCGCTGGTCGCACATCTTGGTGCCGGGCGAGCTGAAGAGTAATCCAAAGGCCGACGCGCCACCGGTGGCGTGGATCGACCTTGCAACGTATGCGAGAGAGGTGCTGTCAGCTCAGGACTCTCGGCGCTTCGTCTTGGCCTTTTCGTTGTGCGGGTCTCTGATGCGGTTGTGGGAATACGATCGGATAGGGGGGATTGCGTCCGAACAATTCAACATCAACGAACACAAGGGGGGCCTGGAGTTTGTGGCTACAATCCTCGGATTTCTTTGGATGGACGAAGAATGGCTAGGGTTTGACCCTACGATTGTAACCTCTGGCGACGACAAGCGCTTCATAGAGATTGAACGGAACGGTCAGCCAGAGCGCATCATCATCGACGAGGTCATTACACGTGCCCGGTGTGTTGCTGGAAGGGCAACAACTTGTTGGAAGGCGCATCCAGAAGATGATCCGGAGACGGCACTCGTCATCAAGGACTCGTGGCAGTATCCGGAACGAGACGAAGAGGGTGAGATTATCCAGGAGGCCACTGAACGAGGTGCCATCAATGTGTCTCGGTACTATTACCACGAAACTGTACGTATCCGCGGCGTGGATGATGATATTCGAAGCTGCGTTCGCAACGGACTGGATGTTACGGCGGCTACAGAAGAAACGGCAGCTACGGAAGATGTAACACCTACAGAAGATGCGGCGGTTACAGAAGCTACCCCGACTACGGACGATACTTCGGCCACGACAGTGGTAGCAAGAAGGGCATCTACAGGGGCTATTGATGCAACGGCTACAGTCGATGCCACATCTGCAGTCGATTCAGCGGCTACAACAGTGATTGTGAGAAGGGCATCTACACTATCCACAATGGTTGATATGGCGGCTACAGATGATACAGCGGCTACGACGGTGATAGTCAGAAGGGCATCCATAACGTCTACGTCCACGGCTTCTACAATAGCTGCCACGGCTAGCAACCGACGAAGACGTTCAACAGCCCAGCGGAGCAAGAGAACACCCAGAGTGCAGCAGCTCCGTCAAAGTGAGAGCAAAAGTAGCAAAAGCAATAACAGTAGCGATAATAGCGGTAGTAGCGATAGTATCGGTAGTAGCGGCCGGGCCGGTTCGAAGAGAGGATCCAGCGAAGTCAACGAGGCTGACGCACGACCAGCCAAGCGCCATCGCTCAGGATCAAGTAATGCCAATGGCAGCGGCCTCGAGAAAAAGCCGCCCAATCGGGTGCACCGGCGCATCATTGTTCAAGATTACGGGCGGCCAATCTACAAGGCCAGCTCACCGGCAGCGCTTGTGGCTGCTCTAGAGAGCTGTATTCGCGGTCACGAGTCTCTGAGGCAAGCCGGCTTCCTCCATCGAGATGTTTCCGTTAACAACGTCTTGATTGACGAAGACGGCCCCCCCTCCCGAACGGGATTCCTGATAGACCTCGATCTTGCTATAAGAGAGTCGAGGGAAAAGGCATCAGGAGCAAAGGGGAAGACGGGGACAAGAGCGTTCATGGCCATTGGACTATTGTTCGGCGAAGAGCATTGCTTCATGCATGATCTCGAGTCCTTCTTCTGGGTGCTTTTCTGGGTTTGTGTCAACTACGATGGGCCAGACAAAAGCGTCAAGAATAATCCATTTGACAGTTGGAACTACACAAATGACTATGAACTGGCGGGTTCTAAACTCGGGGTAATAACTGATTCTACCGTGTTTTGCAAGCGAGCAAAGGAGACGTTTACGGCATTCTATGAGCCGCTGATTCCGCTGATGGATAGACTGCGAGAGGTGGTGTTTCCAGGCGGGGTGAGATGGAAACGAGCTGACGAGGGGCTGTATTCCTCCATGAGGGAGATTCTGCGGGACGAGAAGGAGTGACGATTACGGAGTCTGATTTGATGTTTTGATGGTTTTAGATTAGCGAGGCGTCTGGGGTGATTTTTGGGATTGGTTACATGTGATATCCGGACGGGTCATGGGAGCGGTTTGGAGCGGGCTGAGAGGTGAGGAATTATTGGATACCAGGGAATGTCTGTCTGCGAGGGTTTAGCGAAGCATGAAGCATGCACAGGCGGTATGTAGAAGGCATTGATTGCTTTGATGGCTCGCAAAAAGATGACAAGTGACGGATTGCTCGCTTCAACTCTCAGCTCAGCCCGGCTCAGCTGCTCGCCTGACTCATTGGCTGGGGCTGGAAGAGGAGGAGGAGAAAGAGGCCATGGATCTGATGGCGATTGGGGAGATGCATTCTGCAAGGGCGTGCGATGCTTGCAGTTGTTTGCTGCAGGGCTCGAGGAGCGTTCTGCGATTTACTCTGGACTAATATACGGATACTTATATACAGTTGCATCGGGAATGGAGACACGACGGGGAGCATGCAGGATATACGGGAGCGCTATAATAACGCTGGACTCGGTATATAGTAGTCCGTAGTCCAGCATTTAAAACCAGGTCTAGCATGATGCTCGGTAGTACAAGTACTCTCTAGGTAGGCAGTCCAACAACCGGTGTGCGAAAGATGCGGCGGCCACAGAGTTGAGGCTATTCCGCTTCCATTCCATGTCGGAGTCCGTGCTCAAGTGGCGGCTTTGCGCGAGGCTTGTCATGTTCTTCCCGTTTGGGCCGGCCACATGCAGAGGGTGGCCATGGCGGCGGCATGGCTTGACGGTAATATTTTAACGCGGCATTCGAGAAAGAAAAGAATCCTGGAACCAACATGCATAATGAATTGACAAGCCCTGGTGCCTGTTGTTGTTGTAGCTGTAGTGGCGTTTGGTACCTTGGACCTGGCAGCTATTGTTCGGCTGTTGGTGCGCAGGTACCTGTACTGCCTTCCTGTTACTCTCGTACTCGTACACCGCTGTCGGCGAGCAAAAAAACGTGGTGCTCGACAACAAGATACAAGTCACTTTTTCTCTCTTCTTCTTCACCACCTCGTCCCAGCAGTGACACGATCCTAGTCCCCCTTCTCTTCCTCTTCACCTCCACTCCCCCCAAAAACCCGGCCATCCATGTCCGCCCCAAGCGAATCGGCATTTCCCCTCAATGCAGCCGTAGCCTCTTCATCTCGTCTCGTCACTTTTGCTCGCCGTCGCAGTCGGCAGTCACAATCGCCTCTGGTCGCTCGCCCCCTTTCAGGGATAAAGATACGCTTGGCCCCCAAGAAGAGTTAAAGCCTGGGACCGGGGTCGTGGCTTTTTTTTTTTTCTTCAGCGTCCACGGCAAGGATTCGCTGAAGAGAACTAGTACCAAGTGGTGCATCTTCCAAGGTTGTTTTTATCGATTTCTTATTTTCCCAAAAGGTTTGTGACTGCCTGCCCTCAAAGTCGCGTCGTGCGAGGCTCCGATCTGATACGATACGATACAGGACCTCCTCCAGAGTTGCATCTGCAGAGGACTTGCATTGCATTTATAATGAACCAGGCCCGCTCCATCTGAGTTGCTAGTCTCCCCTCTTCATCATCGTCTTCTATTCCTTCTCTCCGTCTCACCACCAATTGCCTGAGGAGAAAGAAAGGATCCCCCCCCCTTTCATCATCATCATGGCTACCACAAAGGACGAGGTTGCCGTCGTAGAGGCGCAGCCGCAACACCAGCGCCTATCAACATGGCGATACAACTCGTGCGTTTCACACCTTTGTCTCTGGTTACGCGTATCGGGAATTGCTGACTCGTGTGAACCCCCAGGCCATTCGTTCAAACCATCATCGTCGGCTTCGTGCTGTTCTGTAACCCGGGCACATACCTCGCCATCACCGGCCTGGGCGCCGGAGGCAAGCAGCCCCAGCTGATTGGCATCGTCAACAAGGCAAACGTCGTTCTCTACTGCTTGTTCGGAGCATCTGGCATTCTGGGCGGTAGCATCATCAACAAGATTGGACCGCGATGGGCGCTGATGATTGGTGCCACCGGCTACCCAATGTACGCCGGGTCTCTCTGGTACGTTTACAGACAAAGCTCCTCTTCCAACTCATCAAGATGAACAGAGGCTAATCGTTTCACGTTCGACAGGTGGATTGACAAGGCTCAAGGAAGCTGGTTTGTGGTCTTTGGCGGTGCTTGGCTGGGTCTGTCTGCAGGTCTTCTCTGGTCGACTCAAGGTATGTCTCGTCATTCTCAGCGTTGAAGAAACGGGGCCGTACTCATGCGAATTCAACTTGCTAGGTTACATCACCACTTGCTATCCTACCGAGGCGGAAAAGGGAAAATACATTGCCACCTCCTGGGTTCTCAACGCCATGGGCTCCGTCGTTGGAGCAGGTACGTTTAAACAATCCCCAGCTCGTCTTGAGCACTTGTGACTAACGAGATGCGAAATTCACAGCCATCGTCTTGGGTGTCACCATCAACAACACGTCCGTCTCCGGAGTGCCTTCATCCGTCTACATCATCTTCATCTGCCTCGAGTGCGCCGGTCTCTTGATTGCCGGCCTGCTGCTGGACCCCTCTAAGCTTCGACGCAATGACGGCCGCCCAATTGCTTCCTTCACGCCTCTTCCCTGGTACCAGGAGCTCAAGGCGCTCGGCCTGACCATGCTGGAGCCCAAGATGGCGCTCATCACTCTGTCCATCTACAGCAGCGAGATGTACCTGTCGTTGACGGGAGCCTTTAACGCGTGGTACTTTAACGCCAGAACACGATCCCTAGCCAATGTGAGTATCCTGGTCGATTCCAACTGTCAAGGAGAAAATCCTAACATGTGTGATTCCAGTTCTGCTACTGGATCTTCCAAGTCCTGGGAGCCCTCGCCATTGCCTGGATCTGCGATGCCAAAATCTTTGGATCGCGCCGACGCCGAGCCTTTGCGGCCGGAGCATTCGTGGCCTTTGTCATTGGAGGAACCTGGATTGCCATGATCTCGTTCCTGTCAGTCAACGACATTAACCGAAGCCAGACCCCGCGAGCTGTTGACTGGACCGAGACGAGCAAGTTTGCCGGCCCCTTTGTCATTTACATCCTGTTTGGAGCCTGCTACCCCATCTTCCAAAACTTCCACCACTGGACATACAGTACCTTTTCCAACGAGCCCCATGTTCTGGGACGCTACAGCGGTTACTTTAAGGGATTCCAGGCGTTTGGCACGGCAACGGCCTTTGGAATCGACACTCACGGCGTGCAGTTTATCAGGGAGGCGGGCGCCTACTTTGGCATGATGATTGTGGGATTAGGCCTCACCATGGTTGCCATCTACCTATACACGACGGATACCAAGTACGGACAAGAAGAGGGTGTTGTGATTCCCGAGGCATTTGAGGATGTCGTTGAGGAGCACGAGCACGACCACGACCACGATCATGCCCACGACAAGGCCGTTGACCAGAGCGAGTCGGCGGGCTCACAGAAGGAGTAAAGCGATGTGTTTTTCTCTGTTGTCTACTTTTTTTACGAACGTACAATGAAGCCTTGGGGTCTGGAGCTACTTGTTGGCCTTTTTTCTTTTTTTCACGGAATTTGTTTTAACGATTACACATATACATACTAATGGTTGCATGTCTGACACGGGCATATTATGGAAATGGGAAATATTGGGAAATATTGGGGCATGCTCATAGGTATGAGCTCGATGCCAGTAGCATAAATTGCAAGATTTTGAATACAAATCACAAGATGACAATACCACTGTTGCTACCACTTGCTCTCTCACCACCACTAACTAATCTATGGCTGACAATTTCCTGTCGCAAATAATTACCAAGAAACCAATATTAATTACCTGTATTATTCACAGCATCAGCACAATCACTGCTGTGTCAATGCTTGTAGCCGTCGCACCCGGGCCCGCGGATACCCTCGACGCCCATCCACTCGCCCATTCATTCAATCACATAGACGCCATGCCGTCTCGCATCTTCTCATCACCAACCAACACACGGTCGTAGCTCTGCAACCCACCAACCAACTCTTGGCCCAAGCCCCAAGTCTTGAACAAATCCCGGGCCCCATCCATAAACGAAACGATGCTAGCTTCCCGCGGAACCTAGGAACAATAAATTCAGCAACCATCTGGGATAAAAAATAAAAATAAAAATAAAAATACAAAATAAACCCCCCCCTTCCCCCGGGCTAGACTCCATTCCGCAGCGAAAGCCCCGCGCGGGAATGTCCCCGTCAAAACAAGCTCCCGTTCCCGTTTCTTTTTTCTCGTTAACACAAGTTTGTTGCAGATTTTGTTTTAGCCCGCGATGAAGTTCTGGGAAACCACCCGTTTCGCGACTAAGCTGCCTCCCGGCTTCGCGTGCCGGCATCAAGGGCTATGCCAAAGCGGGCAATATATACGCTAGAAGGGGGGAGGTTACATTTATAACTTGCATTGGATTATTTCGATGTCGTTTGAGCTGTTTTATTCTTTTTTTTTTTTTTTTTTTTTTTTTTTTCCCTTGGAGATGCATGTTGGGCATCCATGGAGGGGGAGCTTTAGGTAGTGTAGATGCCGTTTCGGGAGGGAAAACAACTGAGGGGGTTCGATGAAAAACGCTGGAACGATGGGCTTCAGGCTGAGGGTTTCTGTATCGTATCGTATCATATCGTTATCTTGACAGCCTCGCATCGCATCAATCCAATTCAGCTATTGTCTTCCCTCCTCGCCCCCGTCAAATGCTCCCCTCATAACCAAAGCAACAACACCAACCACAAACTTCCAAACCTCAACACCACCATAAAAAAAAATGTCTGAATCGCAGGACCACATCCGCACCGCAATCTCCCTGCGCGACGCCTCCCTCGACAAGAGCGTGCTCTTCTCGCTGTCGCAAATCACGGCGCTGCCCCAGGATGTGACCTCTGTCCCGCGGTCCAGCGGCCTGCTGTCCGACGCCGAGCTGCAGCTGACGGAGGACTACGATGCCACGGCGCTGCTGGAGATGCTGGCGGCCAGGAAGGTGACGGCCGTGGAGCTGTTGGCGGCGTTTCGCAAGAGGGCGACGATAGCGCAGCAGTGTGTGAGTTTGGGGCATGATGTTGATGTTGTTCTTTATTTCCGTCGATGGAGCTGGATCGAGTCTATTCGCTTTCATCGCCTCTGTTGACTCTGTCGTCGATATCAACACTCTCTTACCCCTCCATTAAACCCCTCCAACCCCTCTCCATATTCTCTCTCCTTCAGCTCTACTTTCCCCATCACTTTTATACTCTCCCTCTCCCTCTCTCCAATCTCTCTCCGTCTCTCTCTCCGTCTCTCTCTCTCTCTCTGTCTCCACTAAATCACCCATCATGCTAAATCATTCCCCAGACAAACTGCCTCACCGAGCTCCTCGCCGAAGCCATCTACGACGCCGAGGCCTGCGACGAGCATCTCGCCCTCACCGGCCGCCTCATCGGCCCCCTCCACGGCATCCCCCTCTCCCTCAAGAACCAGATCGGCGTCGCCTCTCACCTGACAAACGCCGGCTTCGTCACCTGGATCAACAGCACCAGCAAAGATGACGCCGCCATCGTCAAGACCTTCCGCAAGCTGGGCGCCGTCGTCTTTGCCCGCACCAACCAGCCCCAGGCCGGCATGCACCTCGAGACGTCCAACAACATCTACGGCACCACGGTGAACCCGAGAAACCGCCAGCTGACGGCAGGAGGCAGTACCGGTGGCGAGGCAGCGCTGATGGGCATGAATGCGTCGGTGCTGGGCATTGGAGGGGATATCGGGGGCTCCATCAGGGTTCCCGCAGCGTTCAACGGGGTAAGAAAGGGGGGAATTCTGTTCTGTACGATGGTTACCTGCCCTCAGTGATGCTGACATTGTCGTCAACTCATAGCTCTACGGCTTCAAGCCCACTCCCGGTCGGTTCAGCGGCAAGGGAGTCGTCGTCCCAACGCCCGGCCACGACTCCATCGCCGGCACTCTGGGCCCCTTTGCGCGCTCCCTCCGCGACCTCGAGCTCTTCTGCAAGGCCTACTCGTCGACGCTGCCCTGGATCGACGACGTCTCGCTCATCCCCGGCAGCATTCTGTCCTCCTCCATGGGCCGCCAGCTGGACGAGACACGCCCCCTCAAGGTCGGCATCCTGACAGACGACGGCGTCGTATCACCCCTTCCTCCCGTGCGAGCGGCCATGCGCAGGATCGCCGAGAAGCTGGGCCGCGCCATCGACGTCCAGACCGTATCGTTTTCGCCCATGGACCACGCCAAGGGCTGGAGCATCATTGCCGCAAACTACTTTGAGGACGGCGGCGCAAACATCCGCGCCCTCTGCGAAAAGGGCGGCGAGTCCGTCTTGCCCCTGACGGAGTGGATCATCAACGAGTGCCAAAAGAGCCGAAAAGCTGTCGCTTCTTCGCCCGAGGGCCTCAAGGAAGCCCGCGATGCTTTCCGCCAGGAGTACAGCGACCACTGGAACCAGTTCGACGTCGACGTGGTGCTGGCGCCCATCTACCCGAGCGTGGCCGGCCCCCATGGAGCGACGAGATACTGGGGTTACACGGCCATATGGAACCTGCTGCAGTACCCGGCCGTCGCGATGCCGGCGGGCAAGCTGGTGGGCAATGCAACGCCCGCAGAGCTCAGGGAGGAGTACGTGCCCAAGAACGACCTGGAGAAGCACTACTGGGAGATTTACTCTGCGGACGACGCCGAGGGCCTGCCAATTGGCGTGCAGGTCGTGGGCAAGCGGTATCACGAGCGGATGGTGATGCAGGCGGCGCGGGTGATTGAGAAGGCGCTGCTTGGCAAGTGAAGAAGCTGATTGATGGATGGCATTTGGTGTTTTAGAAGCGACATGGAATGGATCAAAGGAATTTGCTGTTGATTTGCTTGAAGAGCAAAACGATGTTATAGATATGTTACATAGATGACCCCTGAAAGAATATCACGAAGGAAAGACTTTATATCAAAGCTAGTAGTAACAAAGATGTACAAACAATAAATATCCGCCCACGTCCATCCCAGTTGCTCATGATTCATCGTCGTCGTCATCTCGTCTCGTCTCTTCTCCTCTATTCCATCCAGATATACATATACACTCAGCCATGGCGTGTATTGTGATATCAACATCAGCTCTATACACTTTACAATCCACAGCTCTACAAACACGTCCTCACCCTTTATTCACACATCGTACCTCATCCATAATTCAGATCCAAGCTTCCTACAGCTTGCTCCCAGGCACCTCGCAACACGCTGCCGCCTGCCCCGTCGCCTCTACCAGCGTCGACTTGTTGACCACCTGCTGCGAGCTCGGCACGTCCAGCGCGGGATTCTTCTCGTGGAACCCGACGGGCTTGAAGTGCACGCTCAGCCGCTCCACGGGCATCACGGGGAAGTCCTCGGGCCGCGGGTTGTGCGTCAGTGCAAAGGTGTGCCAAAACACCACGTCCTGGTTGACGATGTCGTCCCCCCGCGCCGCCCACGTGTCCACGCCCGTGCTCGCGCGGCTCTGGTTGGTAAACTCGCCCGCGGCAAACAGCTCGTCGTCGCGGTGCCGCGTCACCCACACGGCGTGCTCGTGGAAGCGCGCGCGGCGGGCGTTGAAGGAGCGGGGCGACATGAGCATGCGCTGGCTGGCGACGGTCTGCACCTTGTAGGCCACGGGCTTGCGGCTGATGGCGTTGATGACGCCGTCATTGCGGATCTTGAAGACGCGGCCCAGCTCGACGTTTGTGTCGGCGAAGCCCGCCTTGTCCAGCACCGTCGTCTTGGCCACGTAGCCCACGCCATAGGGGTCCTCGACGCCGTGCTCCTGCGGGTCGAGCGGCACGCTGTCCTCGTAGACGACGGTGTTGTTGAAGCCGTCAATCGCCGGGTCGACGCGCAGGTTGAAGATGTGCTGGTGGTACGGCGCCGACACTCCAGGGCCAACAGGCGTCGACCAGGGCACATTGAGCCCGTCCGCATCGTCAATCGGCATCGTCGACAGGATGCCCGTGGCGCGCACCTCGAACTCGATGCCGCCGGCCTGGTCCAGCACCCAGGCGAAGATGTACTCGTAGTTGGAGACGGTGCAGATCATCTGCACCACCAGCTGGCGGTTGCGCACGACCGTCGCCTGGCCGTTGCGGTAGTTTGTGTGCTTGTGCAGAATCCCCGCGTCCTGCTCGTGCAGACACACGACGTTCTGCAGATGCACCGGCCGGCCCTGCGAGTCGATGCGGAAGCCGTCAAAGTACTTGATGTGGCCCAGACAGTCGCACCCGAGGCTGAGCTGGTTGCAGGTGATGCCCAGCCCGACGTCGCCCACGTCAAACGCCTGCTTGCGATGGAACGGCCGGCGCGGGTCTCCGTAGGGCACCGTCATCTCGGAGAGAGCCAGGCGGTAGAAGACGTTGCGGCCGTCGTAGGTGAGGTTGTACAGCACGAGGCCCTCGCGGTAGTTGAAGCCCACGCGGAACCGCCACTTCTGCCAGTTGACGAGTTGCCCGTCGAGCGAGAAGGACGGGCCCTCGGGCTGCTGCACAATCAGCGGCTTGAGGTCCGTCCGCAGCGGCGTCTCCAGCAGCTCGTGCGCGTACTCGACGGCCTTGACGGGCTTCCAGGGCTGCGTCTCGGCGACGGCGTGGTCGCCCCCCGTGGGCAGGTAGTCGATGCGGACGAGCTCCATCGAGTTTGCGTCGATGACGGGCGAGAAGGCACACGGCAGCGAGTAGTGGTTGGACTGCGGATGGGCCACGGGCACGATGAACATGTAGAACTGCACCAGCCGGCGGTTCTCAGCCTCGTCGTCGGTGCCGTAGATCCAGGGGTCGGTGCAGACGGTGACGCCCTCGGGCAGCTGCAGCTTCGCAATCTCGGCAATCACCCGCGGGTGCTGCAGACACACCGTCTCGAGCCCAATCATCTCGTCCACGTCGACGGGGCCCTGGACGTGCTTGGGCAGCTCCTTGAGCGAGACGACGGCCTGGGTGTCGAGGTTGATGACGGCCTTGAGGAAGGCGTGCGTGTCCAGGCGGTGCAGGTAGCTGAAGGCGAGGCGAGGCGGCGGCTTGGGCAGCGGCTGGCCTGTCCGCTCGGCCTCGATGTAGGGGATGACATGCTGCTTGACGGGCTCCTTGATGTCGATGACCTTGAAGCGGAGGTTGACGCCGGGGAGCGCCGCCTTGAGGATGGCTGTGGCGAGGGAGATTTCGTCCGGGCGGATGGGGTCAAAGGGATGAGGCATCTTTGCTGTATAAGTTGGTATACAATGCCTATGAAGGGGGATGCAAGTTGTGTAATGCGTGTACTCCCTTGGTATAAGTGATATAACGGGAGTACACCGAGGAAGCTGGTAGTCTATCAAAGACTATGTGGTGTGTGAGTCGTCACACGGGAATAGTGCCAGTGTCCAGAGTAGTATCCGGAATAAGTAATCTCAATATCAACACACTTGTACTCTGCCACCACCACCAGCAGCAAATCAGTACCCAAGTCGTGTTAACAAGCCGGTAAGCAAGGATTCCCTTCTTTCTGCCTTTTTATTTCTCCAGCCGAGATCCCAAAGCTGACCAGTCAAGTCGACAAAGTTGACAGCTCGCCAGGGTCAAGGCCTCTTCTTATACACTTAACCACAGTAAGCCCATCATCACATTCCGGTTTCCGACAAGCCCTCCATTCCGCCGGCCTATTCGTCACAGTCACTGTAGTATTCCCAATACCCATACCCACAGATACATGATCCATACCTGCCCAACCGCCCGTGGTCCCAGGTATATAATCCAGTCTCTTATCCCGCCCTCTCCGTTGGCTCAAACCAGCAAAACTGCACTAACAAGCCCACGCCAGTGTACAATGTACGCTTCAACTTCCGAATCCGAGGTTCCCCTCTGTCCCCAATCATCGGACTATCTCTTTAGCTCCCCCCCTTGTTCCCTTGTTGAGTTTATCCAAGGTTTGTTAGAAGGGGAACCAACATCCGATCTGTCCATCGGGCCAACCACCATGAAATGCGGAGGTGACCGCCTTAGTTTTCCCTACCTACGCCTTTCCGATTCCTCTTTGGGCCAAAGATACGCGCACTAAAAGGAAAATCGACCCGCTGTGGAGATTCTTCGATGCCTCACTCCTTGTCTGCGAGCACAGTCAGAAAGGAAAAGAAAAGAGACTTCGGAGCCAACTCTAGATCCAGCAACCCTATTTCTTCGGGATAAAATCATCAGCACAAGGGCCCCCCATCATCCCAGCGTGGATCAAGCCATTTATTTTGCCATTGCGTTGGTTGGTTGGTTGGTTGGCTAGCACGTCTTGGTGACTAGTTCGGCTGGGCTGGGCTGGTTCAATTCACATTTAAATAGGACCAAAAGGCCATGGTCCTGTCCGTCCCCATTCTTTTCTTGCTTTTCTCCGAATGATGGGTTTTCTCACAAAATTACTAGTTTTGGTTATACTATACTATAGCTAGGGCGCCATCGTTCCCGTCATGTTTCCCATACCAAGTCAAAATGACACAATCCCACGGCGCGAGAATACCGAAACGACAACGAAAAAACAGGCTAAAGAAGATGAAAAGAGAAAAAGAAATGGGCCAAAAGAAAAGATGACAAAGGAAAATGGAATAAGAAAAGAGAGGAGAAGAAACACATCATTTTAGATTGGAAATACGCCATTTCTTTCGGTCATGGGAGTGTCTCTCTCTGAATGGATGATGGTCTCTCAAACGATCTCTCAATGGGTGATGATCTCTCAGTCGGCGATGGTCTCAATGGGTGATCTCTCAATGGATCATCTCTCAATGGTCTGTCCATTGGTGATGATCTCACAATCGACAATGGTCTCTCAACTGGTCATCATCTCTCAATAGGTGATCTCCCCATTGGGTATGGTCCTCTCCATTGGATATGGTCTCTCAATAGATCATCACTCAATGGATCATCACTCAATGGATCATCTCCCAATGGGTGATCATCTCACAATCGGCAATGGTCTCTCAATTGGTCATCACCTCTCAATCGACCTGGACCTCTCAGCAATCATCACCCCTCATCGAATACTCGTCTCTCCATCATCTCAAGTAATAATGAGATCCCACTTCACCTTGGCCAACAACCCCCGCCAGTCATGAAAGTCTTGCTGTTGCGACTTTCTAATCCACACCTGCTTCAACAACATGCTCGCGCACTTCACATTTCCAAGCCCAATGTGGCTCCCCAACGCTTCCACTCGCAGCAGCGCCTCCTTTGCCTGGTCCTGCCGCTCCGTCTCGCACGCGACAATGAAGAGCAGCGGAAGCAGACCGGCCTCTTCCGGACATCCAAGCGGGACTCGCGCCACCGCCGCCAGACAGTCAGTCAAAGCCTCGGGCTTTTCTACGGGCAAAAGGGCATGCAGGGATGCCCAGTCTATGGGGATGGGGATTGTGGATTGTGATTGCAATTGCAATTGCGTTTGGAAGGACAGCTCCATTGGCATCGGTGGGGAATAAACGGCGCCGTCTCTCTCCCTCTTCTCCAGAATTTCGAGCACGGCATGGATACACGCAATGACGGCACATCGGTACGCCTCAGCAATATGTGACGAGTTTTCAATCGTCGAGGGACCCATGCCCTCAGGAATGGCGAATCGATCCGCACTCCAGCTTCTCCTGGCGAGCAGGTTCAATCTATTGCAGAAAATCAATCAGTCAGTCTGTTGACCAGTCGGTGCGGGGAACCTCGTTGTGGCTGCTTGTTTTTCACGTACATTGCCTCCACTTCCTGTCTCACTTTATACGGTTCGTCCCGTATGTTGATCACGAGGAGGTCGTTGACCCGACCGAGAAGAATGATGAGGCTCTGGGAGAAGCCCATGTACGGGTCGACCGGAAACAGCGCGCCAATCTCAAAGGGCTCGTGCTCAAACTCTTCCTCTCTAACCTGCGGCGAGTACTCGGTGACGCGAGCTATATTTTTATGATACGACATGCTGTGTTTTTTTGGCTGGTTAGCTAAAGAAGAAAAAGAAGAGACAGAGGATGATGAAGGGGATGATGAAGAGGAAGAAAAGAAGAAGAAGCAAGAATGCTTTTTTTGCACTTACAAACTACGGACGTAGGCCAGCGTATTCGACATGGAAGCTGCCTGCTCCGGGTTCAGCGACTGGCACAGAGACTCGATACCACGCAGGTGGAAGCGCCAGTTTTCCACGCCGTCCTTGATAATCTCGTACTTGCAGAGGAAGATGGACGCTAGAATGGCCATCTCGGCCGTGTCTTTGTCCTCGATAATCACCTTCCTCCTGCTCTTGTTCTTTGTGCCGCCATGGCCTTTACTGTTGCTGTTATTGTAGTCACCGCTGCTCTCGCCCTCGACGGGACTTGATTCTCCGCCATCAGTTATCAGCTCTCTTCTTCTGCTAGACCCAGGGCTGCTGGAGCCACCGCTCGAACTATTCGTCACCCGCGGAATCAAGTCCCGCACCGCCGACAGCACGCGGACGTAATACCGCGTCGCCATGGTTGCGTATTCAGACCGGTCGACGTCGTTGGCACTCGCCCGGTGCACGGCGGCCGTGGCACAGATGGCGTCGAGCAGCAGGTTCGACGAGGCGATGCGCGGCAGGATCAGCGACTTGAGCGGGTTGGTGTGGCTGTTTGCGTTGACCAGCACGTTGCTCAGCCGCTCCAGGTAGTACTGCAGGAAGAAGTATTCGCTCGTAGACAGGTAGGAAAAGGCCGACAGCGACGGCATCAGCGGCCCGTCCCGTGAGCCGCCGTCGCGAGTCCGCAGGGCCGTCTGGTGATGCCGCTGGTGCGGTGGTTGTAGCTGAAACTGCGACTCATACTGTGACTGCGACTGCGATGACGACGACGACGACGACGACTGCGAGAGCCTCCGAGCACTCGACGGAATCAGCGCCGAGGAGCCGTCGTGCCACTCGGCCTGTTCGCCGCTCGACTCTGCCGCATCGTCTGCTGTGCTGCCGGAAGACCCCGACGATGTCGATGCCGGGCTCGAGAGATTCGATTCGTCCGGATCTGGCTCTGGGTCGGCGGCGTCTGTCACCGCTCTGGACGGCCGGGAATCGCGAGTCGGTGTAACGACGTTGATGGGACAGAAGATGTCGAACTGCACGCATTCGAGGCCCAGTCGCAGGCATGTCTGACACCTGCCATCGCCAAGCACGTCAGTGGAACAAAGTCTCCAGTAAGGGAAATGAAGCAGCGAGTCATCCCGTAGCCACAAGCCAGGTAAGCCCGTTGTTGGTTCTTTCGGCTAGTCGAGAGTATCTTCGCGTAAAGTGCTTCCAAAAGGACGAGACAAAAAGAAGCAAAACCCACCTCGGCTTTTGGCCATCACCTGTAGTTTTCCAGCGTCAGTCAAAAGTCCACATTCCTCTACGGTATTTGTTTCTATTCTCGTTCTCCGCCGTGTCTCACGCACACGAGCCCCATCCCCATACGCCCCCCAACTCTTCCCGCGACACCCCCAGACGCCCGCTCGGAATAGAATGGCAGATAAAGACTCACACTTCTTTCTCCTCCGCTTGCACGTACTGCATCCCGTGCGGCTCCACGGCGTCTTTCGGACCCGGCGCGCCATTCAGGAAGTGATGTAAAGGATACCCTTTTTTTTTTACTGACTCTCCATGCAGATCGGTTTCCCGAGAACTGTATCCCAAAAAAGTACCAAAACGAAATCGTAAATTAGGAAAAATAATTCAAAAAATCAAAGAAGACATGGCTGAGCAAAAATAGTAATTCATAAAAAAATAAATGTCAATATCGCTCGTAATGCAAAATGATGAAGAAATAAAAAGAAAGAGAAGCGAAACGCCGTGAAGATGATACGGCGATATCCGAAAGAAGACGGAAGAAGAAACGTTGCTGGGATTGAATTGAAGGAAATCGCCCTAGTACCGGGGTTCTGCGATTGCTAGAGGAAAAGCAGCCAGCCAGCCAATGCTCAGGCCAGGCATGGATATGGATATGGATGGATATGGAAGCCTTCCAGATGAGCAAATCAAACCTGGTCGGGCGCCAGAAGCAAGGAGCCACAGAGCACGGGAGACGCGGGGTAAAAGCGCCGTTGGCGTTGAAATGTCCGGTTGCCTTGATTGAGAGCCAATTCGCCATTCCTGGAGGGCAAGGTAGGGGGAGGAAGCATGATGGCCCAGAGACTGGATTTTGGGGGTGAGGAGCAGGGCGAAAAGGGGGCTCCAGGAAGAGGGCCGAGAACCAGCCAGAGCTCACAAAACCGCCGTCAATCTGCTGCTAGTAATCATGGCCAGACGCAGTATCAAGAAGGAGAATGAGCAATTAATTCCAGTGGAAAACCGCAGAGCTGAGCAGTCTAAGACGCTGGAAATCAACAGAAAGGGGACCGTCAGATCTTGATCGCGGCATCGCAAGCCATCAAAGCTAACTAGCAGCAACTAGCAACAACTAGCGAGCCATCATTCTCTATCTTCGCTATTCATTTCTGATTCCCTCTCGCTTCTCGGCCCCAGGCTAAGGGCCCTATCTCGGGACGCCCCCTATCAAAAACGTGCGCGGTCATTGATAAGCCAGAAACCTACGCGCCATACAGACACAAGACCCTGAAGCTGTTGCTCAAAGTGCTGACTGAGGCGCTTGTAGGGCGTCGACAACCGACCCGCCCCATGAGACTATTCGCGTGGATACACGCAATGCTGAGACCCAAGGCTCGGTGGCTGGCCGCTTTGGCGTCGCTGACAAGGGCTCTGAAGCCTTGCTAACGATAAGCTAGAGCCCCCATAAGCGACCGGTTGTTTCCAGCCCAAGCTCTTTTGTTCTCTAGCAAAGTTCGTTTAGAGCTCGTTTCCTTTGTGCTCGGCTCAGTTTCTCCTGCAGGTCGTTTGGATCTGCACGGCGACGATCCCGCGTAACTCTGATGAGATCCCGCGGCTGCAGCTACCCTGAAACAACGATTACTATTTACAAAATCGAATCGGGGATGGGCTTGGGACTGAAGCTGCTAATGGCGGAGGGCGACGATTTTCACAGTTGAGTTATTATGTAGTGTTGCGATGGGCCGCCAGCGAGAGAGACGATGACAACTTGGCTGCAAATCCTACGAATCCTACTGCTTACAAAACACCTCCATTGCTCAACATTGACGGATTCTCTCAATCCTCGGAATTATCAAGCATGACTCAAAATGTGACTCAAACTGTGAGGGCATCCCTCGAAGGATTACCAGTCTGTGAGATTAATAATCGCGCTTGTGCTCTCGGTGCAACTGTAATCGTCTTGGTGAACGGCCCATCCCACTCCCGCCCTACAGATCATGCGCTTGCTAATACTGCCCTTTTTGCATAACTTGGCTGCAAACTGAGGTATAACACCTCGGAAGGATCACCTCGGGGCCGGAAGAGATGCCGATTGTGGTGGGGCAAGTTGGTGACGACACCTCTAAGTTGTCCAGATGGTGAGCATATAAGATGTACGTGAGCTGGCTTGATACAGAGTTTACACCAGTCAGCCGGCCATTAACTCGAATGCAACAGAGTCAAACTCGGAAATTAACAAGATCAAGCTCCCAAGATCAAACTCTAAATGAAATAGAGACAAGCGGAATAAAGCTTCAATCTGTAACAACCATGTCAGCCATTCCATACGAGGAACACACCGTCACCTATGGCGAAGACTCCAAGTCCATCTTCTACCTCGCCGCAGGCCCTCGGCAAGGTCCCCTCATCATCTTCGTCCACGGCTGGCCTGGCATCGCCAAAACATGGCATCCCCAGCTCCAGGCCTTTGCCAGCCTAGGCTTTCGTGTCGTGGCTCCCGATATGCCCGGATATGGCAGATCAACTGCCTCCACCAACCCGACAGACTACGCCCAGGAAAAGATCATTCAGGGAGTCCTCGCCGTGCTTCACGACACAGGCCGAGAACAGGCCATCTGGGTAGGCCATGATTGGGGCTGCGCTACCGTATACATCATCGCAAACACCCGGCCCGAAGTCTGTCGAGCCGTCGCAGGGCTCGCCATCCCCTACGGGCTCGTGGAGCGCGGCATGACGGCGCTCCTCGCCACCGTCGACCGCCATGTGTATCCCAAGGACGAGTATCCGTACGGCCAGCTCGGCTACATGGCCTTCTACGAGCAGTTCTTTGACAAGGCGATTGCCTTCCAGAACAAGAACCCGCATAGCTTCCTGCGATTTCTCTTCCGAAAGCCAGAATGGCTCCCCGAGGGTGCCCCTTCGCGCCTGGCAAGCACCCTCAAGGACGGCGGCTGGTTCGGCGGCATCGACAGCCCTCCTCCAGTGTCAGCCGTCAAGGACGAGGACCTCATCATGAAGCTTGACGTCTTCCAGGAGCTCGTGGCCGCCATGGAAAAGACGGGCTTCCGGTCCGCTGGCTGCTACTACCTGAACCACGAGGCCAACGGGGCGTATAATCTCGCCAACAGCAAGCACGACGGCAAGCTTCTCATGCCGGTGCTCTTCGTCTCCGCAAGATGGGACAGCGTCAGCGACTCCGCGCGAAACCCAAGGGGCACCGTCTATATGAGGCAAAAGTGCGAGAATCTGACGGAGACGATCATCGAGGCTGGGCATCACGTCGCGGCGGAGAAGGCCGAGGACACGAATGCGGCGATTGCGAGATGGCTGGTTGAGGAGGTCAAGGATTGGTGGCCTGGGTTCTGGAGCAACAGGTTTGCGAAGCAGCCGTCAAGGACTTGATAATGGGTGAGCATTAATGTGGAACTTTCTTTGCAATGCCATTGAGTTGATTATATAGTTTTGGAAGCGACTTGTCATGGACACAACTGCTATTCATTCGTCAGAATATCTAGAGCGTCATGAATCACTAATAGTAAATGTAACTATCACTTTCACAAAAACTCTTTCAAAAAATGACCTTGTAAAAGGCTCAATCTCTTTAATCAAAAGGAAAACAAATAAATATTACAACGCCATGCCATCTGTTCCGCAAGCCACTATCGACTTATGCAAAAAATAAAAGTTTCTCCCTTTTCTCTTTAGCCAGCCTCTTTTTGTTGGAAGTTTCGTCAAACATGTCGTATACTGCCCAGTAAAATGCCCTTCCAATCCTGCGATTTGCCCGGTTCTACCTCTATACTCCATGACCTTGAACCCCCCGCCATCTTCCTCTCCTCATATATGGGAGGGGGTACTACCCTATTAATTTCGTACGTGTGTGGTGTTGTGTCTGTTTGCGTGTGTTGGTGTGTTTTCAGTCTTGCGTATGTAAGTGTGTATACATACCTATGTAATATAGGTACATAGATGTAGACAGCCTCAGTCCTTTAATTGCTGCTGCTGCAGGAGGATGTCGCCTGAGACCGTCCAGAAGCAATGCTCAAAGCATCAACCTGGAACTCAGTGTCACCCGTGCTGAAAAGCTCGAGCTTGATCCTGTCGCTGCTCACGCCCAGCTCCCTCAGGCGTTTAGCCATCTCCATCATGAACTGCTCCGGCCCACAGATAAAGTACTCGGTGGATGAGTGGCTCAGCCACAAGTCTTCCGAGTGCACCTTGGCAAGATCTACCCGGGCGTCGTGATCATACGTGACGCCCGCCAGATCGGATTCCGCGAGGCGTGTCTTGAAGATATTGGTCTTGATGTGAGGCTTGTCGCGGGAGACTTTGCGAACGTGAAGGTAGAAGGGGATCGAGTCGCGCGATCCTTGCACCCACGACACCGGCCGGTTGGGCTGCTTCTCAACAACGGAGTTGAGGATGGCTACCATGGGGGTGACGCCAACACCGGCGGAGATGAGAACCAGAGGGGAGCTGGAAGTGTTGTACGTGTCGAGGAAGAACTCTCCGGCTGGGTGGGTGAGTTCTAAAATGTCTCCAACGTTCTTCTGGTCAATGAGCATGTTGGAGACAACGCCAGGGTTGGTGCCAAACGAGTTTGACAGATAACTCGGCTGTCGTGCCGTCTGTGACCCTCGATCACGCTTGACCGTGATACGATAATAGTCCGGCTTGGGCCTCTCAGACAGAGAATACTGCCGCGACTGCAGATATCCCTTATCCGGAAGCTGAACGCGCACAGAGACATACTGGCCTGGCATGAAGCTTGGCAGTTGCTTGCCGTCCTCGGGGACAAGGTAGAACGAGTAAATGTCGTCCGACTCCTCCACCTTTTGCTCGATGCGGAACCGCCTCCAGCCCTGCCAATGCTGCCAGTCGTGGTACAGCTGAGCTTCTCGCCCGATGAGCATCTTTGCAAGCAACCAGTAGGCCTTGTTCCAGGCAATCTGGACGGCGGGCGTCATGGCTGGTCCGAGAACCTCTCCAAACGCGGCGATGAGATACTTGGCCACAATGTCGTAGTGCTCGGGCAATATGCCGAGAGAGCAGTGCTTCTGGCACATCCTTTCCATTTTGGGAATCAACTCTGTAATGTGGTTAATGTTGTTGGCGAAACTGAGAATGATGGCCGTCAGAGCACGAGGTTGACGGCCGTTGGCCTGGTTGACTGTGTTGAAGTAATCATTGAGCTCTGGGTGAGCCGTGAGCATATTCCGGTAGAAGAGGGTTGTGATGAGCTCTCCATGCTCCGTCAGAGCTGGAATGGTGTCTCTGACCAGCTTGACTTGTTGGGGAGTCAAGGACATGGCAAAGGTGTTGAGGATTGTCTTGGCTGCTGAAAGAACTAGTTGAGGGCAAGTTGATATATATATATATGTGTGTGTGTGTGGTATATACCAGTGTGTATATAAATAGGTGTATATATATCAAGCTTGGACAACCGAGATACAAACTATCAAAAAGGGTATCAAAGGTTTACAAGTACAGAGAAGGAAAAACTTGGAAAAAGTAAAAGTAATAAGTAGTACGTGAAAAACGGCAGCAATCAAGGTTATGTGGAGAAGAAGATTGAAGATTCTGGGGCGGACCAAGGAGTTTATGAATGAATACAAGAGCTCCCTTATTGTTGGGGCAAAAGCTCCATGGGATCATGGCACAATTCCCGTATTAACCCGGCAGCGCCGCATTGTGCCGCTTGACAGAGCCAATCCTAGTAGTATCAAGGGCTGAGAAAAATTGGATCATGAGGAGAAAAAAAAAAGCAAAGAGAAAAAATTTCCATCTCAAACCCATCACAACGTCACCGCGTTTTGGACAATATCGCGTTGACAGAGGTTTAAGCGAATCGTACGATTCAGGACAGGGAGGGTCATGGACTCACACCAATTTCAGGTGTGTTCTAGAATGGCTATGCCGCTTCGGAGCCCAATTGCTGGGGCCTTGCCGGCTCGGCGTCGAAGGAAAAGTGGACGGCAGTGGAAAGCACGCGAGCAGCTGTGCCGGGATCTGTCACTCGAGACAGACCATTGCGTCAGGGTTTCTGCAGATTGGGACTTAGCTCTGGGCTCATCGAACGACAAAAATGGGGATGCCGCAACACGCCACAAGCAGAAAATTCTTATCCAGACGGCTATTTGACCTGTTCCTGCGCGGCCGGATGCAGCGTCATCTGCCGAGAACCGGGAACTGGGGATCGATGCTGTACGTCGGCCAATCAGGCTTGGCAGAGATAGCAGACAGTTACCCTTTTGTCGTTGTCATGGCTTCGTCAACGCCGGCTTTGCTGAGGGACCTCGTTCAGGGTTTCTCCGGGTTTGCTCTACCCCGTACGACTCATACAATCAATCGTCCCGTACTTTAGCAGGTAGATTAGCTACATTTAGCATTGGCACTCGTCATGTTCAGGAACAGAAGCCACAGCCCTATCAAAAGTCCGACGGGAAGGATTCGACAGCATCGTATCGTACCTATGGTGGCTGCCTTTGCATCGCGGGCCGCATTTTGGCGGATGATAGTATATTAACGTACTAGCAAGATTAGTACATCGGCGTTCCCCCTTAGTATTAGTATTCCGGAGTCCGGAGCCCGGAATCCGCAACCTCTTCTCGCGCTCGCACTAGCAGTAGCCTCGCATTACTTCAAAGATTCAACCGTGCACCAACGGGCGGCGGAATGCGCTGGCAATGCCTGGAAGATGAGCAACTCCTTAAAAGTCTGCCATGGGAACCGTCATCTGTATGACGGCGTGACGGGTGAGCCGCCGAGTGCATAAGATACGGTGTGTGCGCTTACGGCCAGTGTCAAGATTGCGCTCCTTCGTTCGGTACGAGGACTGGAAGTTATCCGTATACTTGTAATATTTCCCCTTTTGAGACCCATCAGCTTGCCTTGGCCCACTAGCAGTACTACCTCGACTGCCTGATACAGTATGAGAATGGTAGTGACATTCGGCAATTTTCTGAAGCATCAGCCCAGTGTCTGGCATCAGGCATGTTGCATTCCGCGCTCCGTACAAGGGCATATGTTACGGCTAAAGATATGTAGCCCACGTGCTGGTAGCAACTGCTTATGCTTGTTAGAGGCTATATCCGTAGTCGTCATGCTCCCGGGATATAGGGCTATTAGGGAGAGACATAGGAGAAGGATGCAACCAAGGCAACGCTCGCTTGCGTGTCAAGCATTGTGAAGCCGAATGTTCCTCAACCAACGGTGTCTGGATCGTCCGCGGAGAAATTCTCGCCCTGTAGTCCCGTTTCGCATTAGTATCAGCCGGGAACTCAAAGATTCTAAGCTCAATCATGTGATGGTACCAACAGAGTTCCGAATCATGCCCCTCCCATTAGCATTAATCTCAGGCAGCTTACCTCGGGAATAGTTGAGATGCTCCACGCTTTACGGAGCACAAGAAGGTCCATGGGGGTCAGGCACAAAGTATGAAGAATGTGGAGTCCCGAGGATCCGCATCGAGCAGCTGGACCGAAATGAAAAGACGAGGCGCGGAAAGGGAAAGGAAGAGGAAGAGAGATAAATGTCCATGAGTGGAGTTGGCCTTTGCTTCAGTTGCGCCATTGATGCTCCTCAGTCGATCTATATCTGCACGAGAATGGCGTGCATGTGTCGAGATTAGTGCCGAGACCGTCATAAGATTCGCGCATGTCGGATCTTTTCTTGCCTTGACCCGCTCTCCAAGTTATCACACTTTTGTCTTTTATCTCTCTGCGTTCCTCGGAACCCGCATGTTTGTCATTTGGCGTAGAGAGTGCTGACCGGGAACTGACCTTTTTTTTTCTTCTATCAATGCCTCGTTTCTCCCTCGCCACCAACCGCTCGCTTCCACAGTCGGATCGGACCGCTCCTAGACCCAGACTACCGTTTAATCAAACAAGACGAGTCTGAGGCGAGGGATTTCCAATGACTCAAGTAGCCTTTGCCAGCATCTTCCAAGGCCTGTTGTGCCTATGTTTAGCGACACGTCCTCTGTGTTGCTGGAGCTCGGCTCGACTTCAACGATGACAATGGGTGTCGATACTTGGCCGCCATCACACTTCGTACCTATACGACAGTATTAGTGCTCTAGCGCTGGGCTGAGCCAGTCATCAACAGACCTGCTGTTTCTCTTGCGGAAATAAATTGCGCAACAGCCTTGCGGGTGAATAAGCCATGCTGCTACATTGGCGGCCATTCGTGGGTCGACCTCAGCTGACGCTTGTCGTCCTACAACAGGAGACAATTCTTTCGTGAGCCGATGCGTCCGTCCTCTTAGCTGCGTGTCATTGAAGGATTGCGCGTAGCCGCCGTATCCTCTGTCCGGGTGTAGAGCAAGGCCCGGCTGTTGTTTTCTTCTCCGTCCATGACTTTTTGCTGCAAAAGAGCTTTGTATGTTGACACGCTGGGTAGGACAGATTTGACATGATTCCGTTCGGGACCGATACAATCGCCGTGGTTCTCCAGCATGTTCTCTTTGATGTCGTCGCTATGAAAGAATCAATCAGAGGCGGTCAAGGTGTCACTGCCTCCAGTCTCTTTCCTTCCTCGTGGCCAGCGCTGCACCTCTGTAGCATTGCATCATCGCCTTCCACTTTGCAAGTACATGCATTATCAACCTAGTCTTTTTTTTTCTTTTTCTGTATTTTTCTTTTCATTTTCATTTTATTCTTTTTTTTTTTTTTTTTTTTTTTTTTTTTCAATTCTCTGTCCTATAGTAGTAAACGCAGGAATACGGTGAAAACAATGACAAGAGCGCGAGCAGCTGCAACACTCGTCACAGCGAATTCCATAATAGCTCATATAGAGGCCTTTTTTTTCCCTTTATTAAAAAAAGAAAAAAAAAAAAAGTCCCACGCACCTGCCATGACATGCATACGATAGATAGCCCGCATTAACCACGCGCACCGCTCTTGCCAAACCGGCTTCCTGCCAGACCAGCTCCTGCCACCTTGGACGGCTATCGATACCCAACTCAGCCTCGCCCTCAGACCAATCCTTGCCCTCCCATCGCAACCATCTTCCCCTCCGCCTCATCACTTCCCTGCTCATCTCTTCTGCCTGTAGCAGCGACGCCGTCTGCAGCTATGAGCGGCAGCGACGTGGATGCCAACAGCACCCAGAAAGAGGCTCCAGCTCCCCCAAATTCCAACGGCTCCGGCCTCAGTGTCAAGAAGCGCAAGAAAGACAGCCTCAAGCCCATAATCACCATGGAGGGGCCACCACCGCAGCGACCTGCAGACGCGGATACGGCAGCAGAATCAGGCAAGACGGCTAAGCAGCAGAATGCCGACATGCACGAGTAAGTTGGCGATTCGTTTCGTTTCGAGACTCTCTTGATTCCTCCTCTTCCTCCTCTTCCTCTTCTCCCTCCTCAACTCGTCTGTCTCGTTTGTTGTTTTGATTTTTGACTTTAATGTCCTCTGCCGCCTCACCTCTCGTTGCCCGTGCTACGTGACCCCTCCAACCCTTGAAGCCTTGCGGGCAACAAATGATGAGATGAGCATGGGGTCACGGCGCAAAGTTGCGTGTCCATCTGCCATCATTTTGATATCTGCCCTGCCATTGGCAAGGCCCGTCGGGTGCCTGACCGGCTTGTCCAACTCCACCGTCACATCCCTCATCCCCTCGCAGCCGCAGGTTCGTTTCTATTCCTGTTTTCGCGCTCTGCAGGGCCTCTGCATGCAAAATGGCCTCTTCATTCGTTACACACGCTATGGCTGCTGCCCCTCATTGTCTGTCTGTGCCCGCTCTATGACATGGCCGGCTCCACCATCTTGGTCTTCCCGTGCCCGGCATTTGGTCATGTCGAGCCAAGAGGGACCCAGAAGCTGCAGAAAAACAAGGCAAATGGCCTTGGTTACTTCATTACCTTCTTTCCTGTTGTTCCATGTCATCACCACCTAGTCCTCTGCGCTGCAACGAGGCAGTGATGGAGATGCTGGTCTGCTCGTATCAGCGGGGCCGCAAAGCACGTCGAGTGACGAGCTGGGAGGCCGCTCCGAGTCTCATGGTGCCGAGTCCTGCACCGACCCGGCCTTGAGCTGGGGTTCTGTTCTGTTTTGTGTTATGCTGTTTCCCATTTCACATCGGATCGCCTCATTTCTGCCTTGCTTTCATTGTTTGCCACTGCCATGGAGCTGTACCTCCATTTGCTGCATCTTCCCATGTGGCCAGGGTTCCGCGCGGTTGCCCGTGTGTTGCTCCGTGGGCATCCCGTTGGCTCCGTTGCCCAAACTCATTTTGTTTATCCGGAAGATAAGCTTTGCCTGCCCTCGCCTGCTTGATCATGGCATGGGAAATGGCCTTGGCACTGCCGGTATCCTTCTGCAATTTAACCCTCGTCTTCCCTCTCCCTCTCCGAGCTCTTTTGCCTCAATGATCTTCTCCAGCCCTCTTATAAGGCACTGCTTCTGGGCGCTTCGCCACTTGCAGAGCTGCCGGCGTTTGTGAGCGCCCCACTGGAGGGGCTGGTTCGGGCGGGTAGTCGAGCTGCTACGGCCTAAGTAGGTACGGGCTTCTTGCTGCCGCTTTCAGCTGCTCGCCGTCATCATTGGCAAGCCCAGCCAATGAAGACTTCGCTCGCTCTCGATGAGTGTGTGTGTGCTCAGCCAGTCTCACTCTCGCTGCCACGCCGTTCCCGTTCTTTCTCCCCTCTATCACCTTGTCACGATACCGCCTCTACCAGAATAACCCTCACCTTGTCTGCCCGGTTTGCTGCCTGGGCAAGAAGGGAAGAAAGCCCAAGGCCCTCTATCTTTTGTGCTCTGTGCCCACTTTGCCGTTCCTTGTTTTTTTCATTGTTTTCTTTGCATTTACATTTGTTTCTTTTTCGTCCTCTTCCTGGTTAGCCAAAACGGGCCCGTTTTATTGTCCCTCTCGTCATCCCATCTTTGGGATAAGCCCTGCCCGATACCAGCTGCGACTATCATTGCCCAACCATTTGCCGCGGAGAGACGCTGCATAATGTCAAAGGCAGCATGAGCTTTCTCAAGACCAGGTTCCCCTCACCTTTCTCCTACTTGTCTATACCCTCTTTTTCAAACCCCCTTTCTAGCGGCAGGACCCCTTTCAAGAGCATGTGCAAGGGGCTTTGGTTTTGATTATCGTGCCCAAGTGGGCGGCCCGCTTGGCTCCAAACACTCCTACTTGTTGCTACTGCTGCTGCCGCGAGCACTACTGCGGCCATGCTGCCATTGTAGCGTCAAGTACGTGATGTGCTTAGCATCTGCCTTAGTCGGTAGAAGCTACCTCACCTTGAGCTGCCGGTGTCACTTCACTGCTGCTGCTTGTGCTTATATTGTTAGCGCAAGAAGCTGTTTGTAGGCGGTAGATTGGGCTTCCAATCTTGATACCGTCACCCCGCAAAGCGTCTCTCTGGCTCGAGTTGACCACTAGCCTCTTCTCCCCCCCTTCCCAAATAGACCGCCCAATCAACAGCCGCTATCCCTGCCGCCCGCGCTGTCCTGTCTCCAACTTGGATCCTTTCTCTCCATTCCATCGTCTTGCTGCCAGGTAGTTCCTTGGCCATCAAATCTGCCACCGTTTCCCCTTGTTGACGCGCTTCCGCAAGTCCGAGTCGCGATCGCTAACCGCTCCTGCTTGCTTTGCCTTGCGATTTAGAACCCGCCAATTGCCCAGCGCCACCATGGCTCACTCGCCGTCCTCATCGTCGGCGGCTGACGACCCCGCCGAGAACACGGCCGACGAGGAAGATTCCGAAGACTACTGCAAGGGCGGTTACCATCCCGTCCAGATTGGCGAAAAGTTCAAGGACGGCAAGTACACGGTTGTGCGCAAGCTGGGCTGGGGTCACTTCTCGACCGTCTGGTTGTCGCGAGATAACACCAACGGCAAACACGTCGCGCTCAAGGTTGTGCGCTCCGCCACCCACTACACTGAGACGGCCGTCGATGAGATTAAGCTTCTCAACAAGATCGTCCAGGCCAATCCCAACCATCCCGGCCGCAAGCACGTCGTCAGCCTCCTCGACTCGTTCGAACATAAGGGCCCGAACGGCACTCACATGTGCATGGTCTTCGAGGTGCTAGGCGAGAACCTGCTGGGCCTCATCAAGAGATGGAACCATCGTGGTATCCCCATGCCTCTTGTCAAGCAGATTACCAAGCAGGTCCTGCTCGGCCTGGATTACCTGCACCGGGAGTGCGGTATCATCCACACGGACCTCAAGCCCGAGAACGTCTTGATTGAAATTGGTGATGTTGAGCAGATTGTCAAGAAGGTGGTCAAGCCCGAGACGCCTGACAAGGAGAACAACCGCAACGGTCGCAGACGACGTAGGACGCTCATTACTGGCAGCCAGCCGTTGCCATCTCCCCTCAATGCCAACTTCAACCACAACAACCTATTCCCATCATCTACTTCTCAGGGCAGCCTGGCCGGAATGCTGGATAGTATGACTGTTGTTCTCTCTCTTCTTTTAATATTCTTCTAACTCTTTTTTTCTTTCTAGGCAAGACCAAGGATGGATCGCCAGCCGATGATGCTCATAAGAGAGAAAAATCCGCGTGAGTTTTGACACCTCTATCCCTTCCCTTTCCCTTTGCGTTTCTTCAGCGCAATGGCGAACTGTCTAGTTTCTTTTCCTAACTTGAAGACGCGGTGTCTTTACACCATCTAGTGACCTCTTGACTCGCGAAGTGTCGGGGATCTCCCTTGACAAGTCCAACACACCCTCGGGCTCCAGTGACAAGCGCAAGGCGGATGATGCGCATGCATTTGAGGTGATTAGCGTCAAGATTGCCGACCTGGGCAATGCGTGCTGGGTCAATCACCATTTCACCAATGATATTCAAACGCGGCAATATCGATCTCCAGAGGTGATTTTGGGTGCAAAATGGGGTGCAAGTACAGACGTCTGGAGCATGTCTGCCATGGTAAGTACCTGCTATAGCCCGGTTGATTGATTTCCTTGCGTTATCAATTCTTGGCTCATCCAACTAACAAACCTCGACAGGTCTTTGAGCTGATTACGGGCGACTATCTGTTTGACCCTCAGTCAGGCACTAAGTATGGCAAGGACGACGATCACATCGCGCAGATCATTGAGCTGCTGGGACCCTTCCCACGCTCACTGTGCCTCAGTGGCAAATGGAGTCAGGAGATATTCAACAGGAAGGGAGAGCTCCGGAACATTCATAGGCTGAGGCACTGGGCTCTGCCGGATGTCCTGAGAGAGAAATATCATTTCAAAGAGGACGAGGCTAAGCGCATCTCGGCCTTTTTGACTCCGATGCTGGAGCTCGTGCCAGAGAAGCGCGCTAACGCCGGCGGCATGGCAGGACATCCGTGGCTGGACGACACGCCTGGCATGAAGGGCGTTAAGATTGAGGGGCTTGAGGTTGGCAGCCGCGGAGAGGGGATTGACGGCTGGGCCACCGAGGTCCGCAAGCGATGAGTTTGGAGCCCTATAGACGGACAGGAGCCATGGATCAAGCCATGTTGCGCAAGTATTTTTGGACCATACTACGCCGCCAACTAATGAAATGGATGGTAGAAGATTGGTGGCCCGGCATAATCGAAAATGCCCTGGGCAGCCTTCCGAAGTCAAGGTAGATATGAAAAATGATTCCCTTATGAAACAAGGAAGAAAGCGACAAAAGCAAGAAAAAATCACAAAAAAAGTTGGCGGGGAGCTAGCCATCACAATTTTGAGATGTGTCGAAACGGCGACGATAGATAGACTTGCAATGTGATGATGTCTTTTTTCATCATAGCTACCAATTTCAAACAAGTCGTGTGCTACTACCTTTTATCCTGTCCTGTCTATCTGGTCATGATGCCTTGTAGCGACTCAGGATGCCATCCAATGAAGGGATAAATAGCCAAACAAACAGACAGCCAAACAAACAAACAAACAAACCAATGGCCTGTTAAATACACAATCATACATGTCTTGCCGATTTCAATGCCGAGTTTCCTTTCCCATCTTTGTCTTTCTCACTCTCGTCTCTCTTGTCTCTCTTGTCTCTCTTCCCTGTACGGTTATATCAAGCACGTATATCTTCATGTTTCCCGTGTCCACACCGCCAAACAACCAATAGTAGAGTTAGGTTAGATAGATAGGTAGGTTATTGAAGGGAGGAAGGTAAGTGATAGGTATAGTACAGCAAAGGTAGGTAAAGATAGGTAGGTAGAGTCGGCCAATACCTAGGATAAAACCTCGAAAATATCAAGGTAAGATGCTTTAGAGCATAGAGAGAGAAGAAGAAAAAGAAAAAGGAAAGCAAGAAAAAAGACTCCGTTACAAAGGAAAGCTGCGTGAAGCAGTCGTATGAGAGAAAAAAGAAAAGGAGATAATACAACCAGCCAAAAAAGCAAAAAAAAGCAAGCAAAACCATGCGGGGAGATATCACTGCAAACAGTACGCCTTCCTCCGAGCCCTTTGTTTTCTCTTCTTCTTTTCTCTTTCTCCTTGCCTCATCGAGTTTCTTCTTGTTTTGAATCTTTTCTTTTTTCCCATCCTCCCTGCCCATGAAAAAAACCCACAACCCCCCCGAGTTTCCTAACCTAGGCCTTTCTTCGAGCCTGCAAAAAACCAATACGCCTGCCCCGTTGCAGAGTCATCCGCAGCCACTTACTTCTTACTTCGCGCTGATCTCCTGGCCTTGACTGCAGCGGCTGGCCCGTCGGCTTGGGAACTTGAGAGCCCGTTTTCCCGGCTTGCGTCCTCGTCTTGAAGGTCACAAACGTCAGTCTCCGGCGTCGTTGGCTCTTTGCTCGAGCTCGTGTCCTTTTCTTTCTCTTGTGATTTGAGGACTTCTCTTACGATGCGCTTCCCTTCATCCATTTCGCCGTTGGGCGTCCCGCAAGCCATGCACTTCCACATGCCCAGCTCTCCCAAGCTCTTGGTGCCGGGGGGTGCCTGCCCGTTGACCAGGCGACACGTTCTACAGATGAGCACGATGCGGTTCTTGGGGGCGGTTTCGTCCTCGCCCAGGAGGACGTCGAAGATGCGATCGTACCAATGAGGCTCGGAGGGGGTCGGCGGTGGCGGGATGCTGTACATCTGGCTCTGCGCTGACTGGGGGCGAGGAGGAAGCGCATGGCCAAAGGCATTGGGTGCGAATTCGGCCGTGGTGTCGAACGAGGCGACGCTCTGCGCGAGGGGCGTAACGGGCCGGCTGCTGGGGGCAAGCGAGGCGGGAGAGAATTCCCGTCGGGGGATGTTGGCTGTCGGGGGAGGGGAGATGTGAATGCGTTCGGGCATGGTCCAAGTTCCCTGCTGAGGCTGAGGCTTTTTCGCATCCGACGAGTCCTCGGGCGCCTCCTGCTGCCTGCTTCGTGGTCTGCCGTCGGGGCCGCCGTATTTCTCAATCAGCTCCATGGTGGAGTCGTACTTTGTCGCATCCTTGAGCTTCTGGATCGTCTTGCCGCGCTCTTCTTGCAAAGCTTTGAGCTTCGCCTCGAGACCTTCGATGCGGAAGTTGTAATAGCCCGTAATGACGACGCGCGTCGTATAGATGCTGTGTGACGACAACGAACGGGTTGGATCGTCAGCCAGAGCACGGGACAGAGGGGAAGGGAGAAGAAATCTGCGAATACTCGTTTCGTGCGTGCATGCGCATAACACGTAATGCGCTCTTCCATGTAAAGGCTCGACAAAAGCAAGGCAAGGCAAGGCAAGGGACAAACTCACAAGACAGGCCCGCCAGCCATGCCGGTCCATTCCCAGGGCCCCAAGTTAGGATATCCCACAACCAGGAGAAGGACAATGACGCTGACGAGGTAGGCGAACGAGGTGTAGAGGGTTCCCAGCACCTTGATCTTGCGAGACCGCAGGCGTGTCCATTCTAGGCGAGACTGGGTGGTTGTGATCCTTTTCGAGAGGGCCGACAGCGCTTTTTCGAAAGAGGCCGGCGACGAGTCGTCGCTCTGTTTGCGCCAGGTCAGCCGAGGGCTCGAAGCCAAGGGGAGCAGCGCAAGTACGCAATGCGAAATCAAGATCTCACCTTGAAGGGCCAAAAGGACACCATGGCGGGCAGTTACTTAAGGGGAGTAAAGGAGAGTCTGGTGAGGGTTGGAGTTGGAATTGGAGGTGCAAGTGGAATCGTGCCAGAGGTTGGCTTGGCTGGTTGTGTTCTCGAGAGAAAAAGGGACCGGGTACCGCAAGCATGTGCATGTGCGGGAAAAGGGGGGCGCGCAAGGAGCCGGCAAGTAAGCAAGAGGCTGGATCTGACGCTCTGCAACGGCGCAGCCGCAGGCAAAGACAGAGTTGAGGCGTGTTGAAGCCTCGTGAGCCCTCGCAGAGGAGAAGCACGAGACAAAGAGGCACGAACGGAGTGACTTGGGCCTAGCGAGTAGCTCCGGCAGGACGAAGAAGTACCTTTTGGCTAGTGTGGACACAGAGGCTGAAATGAGCTCGTGGTGACTTCATTGGGCAGGTGGGAGACGCGCGCCACAGTGCAGGTGGGCTGTTGAGCCACAGCATGTGCAGCATACTTGTACTATTACCAGCATACCCCAGATGACAAGCCACAGGGCGGGTGAAGTGACCTTCCAGTTGGAGTGAGGCTCGTGGCAGCAGTGCCTGTAGCAGTACCTGTAGCGGTGCCTGTATCGCATCATCACTGCAGCACCCGCATTTGATATTGCCGGTAGCCTGATGTCAAGATTACTACAGTACCTGGATTAATACATTGGCTAGATGGGTACTACTAAATACCTAAGCATCCGATTTGGGTACCGAGGCCAAAATATTGATTCAGTTTTAGTGCCTGGCAGCGAAATGGCCAGATTTCAGAACAACACGACCAATGCGCCACAGCCCATCTTTCCCTTTCAGCAAACAGTACCTTGGCAAGTACTAACTCATACCACCTGCGCCTCAGGCGGTACTACATTGCGATGCTGCTTCGTATTCTGCCGGCAGTATTGAAAATGCAACCCTTGAAACGCCATCCTCGTTTCAACGTCAGGCACCCTCCGCTTTGGCCGATCGGGAGTATCTCACGCACGCTAAGATAATCAGGGTCTTGGATCTTGCATATTGCCCATCTGACAAGTCAACTGATTCGAAGAAACTGAAATACGTGATCAGCTGTATCATTCTACGGTGGCGATGAATAAAAGTCCAACTTTTGAATAAAAACTCCAAGCTCCATCTGTCCTACATACAAAACCTTCATGTCGACATTCTTAGGTGGCTATTGTAAACGTATACATCTATATAAAATAGAACCTCTGTCTCAAAAATCAATTTCCCATCCTCATCATCATAGCTTCATTAGGAGCACCACCATTGCTATCAACGCCATTGCCATCCTCCATAACTCCATTCTCATCATCATCAACTTCGGTAATGTTGCGCAAATTGGCATTGGCCCGAAGAAGTGGCGGCGAAGAGCCAAAGTCGTCGTCGTTCCACAAACATTGATGCGCGCTCCAAACGTGGTTGGTGTTGTTGCATGTCTGGCCCGCGTTGATGCATTCCGCGCAAAGAACCATGCCGCCGTTGCAGTCAAAGCAGACATACGCCTGCTGCACATGCACGCTGGCTCGACCGCAGACGTTGCAGTGGCACGTTGCGTGATCCCACTTGTGCTGCGTTCGCTTGCCTGCCGGGTCCTCCAGCCAGATGGGGATGTTGGCCTGACGGCTGTGTCTCTTGAGGTATCTGACAAACTGCCTCCTCTTGGATCGCTGGGCGTGGGCAAGGAGAGTGCAGTTCAAAAAATCTCTCTCGGCAAAATCCGCAAGGCCCTCGTTGACGAGGAGCTCCACCACCTTGCGGTGTCCGTTCCTGGCAGCCGCAAAGATGGGAGTAGACCCGAACTTGTCTCTTGCGTTGGCCATGCTGGTCAAAGGCAACAAGAGCTTGATGACTTTTGTGTGCCCTCGCATGGCAGCGTGGAAGAATGCCGAACGGCCCAGGGTGTCCAGGTGATCAAGCTGGAAGCCGTGTGTCTTGAGAAACACGTTCAACAGGCGGTAGCTTCCTGCATGAGCGGCTCTGATGCCCGGAGTATATCCCGCGACCGAGGTGGCCATGATATTAGCACCATGGGTCAAGAGGATCTTTGAAGTCATCAAGTGGCGACCATCAGCAGCGCAAATCAGAGAGTCCCACCCTGTTAAGTTGCTGGTCTGCACATCAGCGCCGCAGTCTAGTAGAATCTTGGCCAGGGCGGCGTGGCCACCGTCCGAAGCTGCCATGAGCGGCGTCCAGCCCGACAGGGTCTTCATATGGATGTCAGCCCCGAAGGCGAGTAATAGATTGACCATATCCCGGTGGCCATTCGTGGCAGCCAGAGTTATAGGAGTCCATCCACCGAAAGCCTTGGCCATGACATTCGCCCCTCGGCTAACCAAGAGCATGGCCATTCCCAAGTCGCCGCGATTTGCGGCCATGCAGAGAGATGTCCATTGGTTGGTGAATCTCTGCTCGATGTCAACACCTCGATCGAGTAGCAGCTCGACCGTATCATAGTGCCCCTTGTCGACCGCGAGGGTCAGAGGAGTCCAGCCTAATTCGTTTGCAACGGCCGAAGGATCGAAACCATGGTTGAGAAGCACTTCCACTGCCTCGACGTGCCCGCCATCGGCTGCTATGTGCAGACAACTCCAGCCACCCGCCTCGGGGGTTGTATCGGCCCCTCGTTGGAGAAGATACGCTAGGATGTCTGCGTGGCCGTAAGTAGAGGCAGACCTCAGTGCCGACCAGTTGATCCCGTAGTCATACTCCATAGACACGCCATAGTCGTCCAACAGGAGCTTCGCAACACTAAGACTCCCATGGCAACAGGCTACGCTGAATGGCGTCCAGCCAAATCTCGTGAGCGCTGTATAGCTGGCCCCATGTTCTATCAACTTCCTGACAACGTTGGCATGCCCGAAGCTCGCAGCGAGGGTAATCGGCGTCCACCCTTGACCATCTTCAACCATCGGATTGATTCCAGGGGTCGACAGCACTATCTCGGCACAGTTAGGACTCCCAGTGCACGAGACAACAAAGATGAGATAGGGGTGGTCTTCTAAGCGGATGCCAGCTTTGATTGCTCTCTTGAGGGTTGCTACCTTGTCATGGGTAGCCGCCCACGTGAGGCAAGAATCTTGCTTATACCTATGATTCATCTGATCTCGCTGGTATAAAGCATCGCCAAACATGATGTTGAAGAGACGGCATGTCCTCACGAAAGCAGCAATGTCGCCCTTTTTTTCGAGGAATCCCCCGATGTGTCTGATGATTTCGTTTGGAAAGCGACGCAACCCAGTTTTCTTTTGCGATTCTTGCATTGTGATTTCAGTTTTTTCCATTGCCATGTTGCCTTCCCCCACGGTTATCTTGTCTTGCGTGGGAGTGATGTTGGCTTCTTCAGTAGCGATGTCATGTTCTTCCATAATCACCTCGCTTTCTTCCATGGCGATCGCGTCTTTAGGCATTCCACTCGTGCCTTGCGGGACAAAGAGGCGAGAGGTCGGCGCAACAAAGAGGGCGTTGTCGCCGTACGATAGTAGATGGAGACTACGCATGAAACAGCGTTAGACGAGAAGTAAGGGCAAAGATATAACAGGATAAGAACAGTACCATGTCCGAATATAAAAGAAAAGAAGGGGTCGAGGTCAGAATCGAAGCTGAAAGCAAGGACGGGATGCTCCGAGTACTGGAAAATAAAATAGCAACGAAGAGCGAGCAAGGCTGCCGGTCAGTATGTGGCTGGCTGCAGCTGCACAAACCCTTCAGCCTCAGCGCCAAGCTAGACATGTACCGTATTAGCTGCCATGGTATCTGATAGGCAGGTTGCCGTTGCGAGAGGGGGTGTGAGAAGAGTCTTGCGAGGAGAGCATCGTTGTTTTCGCACTCCAGGACGAGACGCAGGACACGGATATGGACGGCAACTGGACGAGAAATAATCGGTGCAAAGTCCCTTGAAAATCAAAAGGCGAATCTGATGCCGTTGATGGACATGATATTCTTTAGAATACTCCCCTATGATAGCTGTTTAGATTAGCGATATATTAGCTGAGATCCCAACTCTCCGGCTTACACGCAACGACGGGAGAACTAACAAAATAAGGTACGGCTGTGGTAGCAGCGGCTTCACCCACCAACTAAACTGAACTGAACGGAACGGAACTGAGCGGGATAACAGGTACAAAGGGCGTGTACCTTTTCCAAGGCAAAGAACCGGGTTGCCTGAGTATTACTACTTGAGTACATACTTTGCGCCTGCCTTAGTGGAAGTGGAAAGACCCGCGCTGGGTGGGGCTAGTTTCAGCCCCCCGCAGCTGTGCGGCTATTGATTGGCTAGGTTCATCTTCGGAGAAACTGCTCCGACCAGCCTGGACGGGAGAGTGTGGCAAGTGTGGCACGAGTGGGAAGGCAAGGAAGGGTTCGACGCAAGGGAACAGGAAGGAGCGGGCGACACAGTGCGGGGATCCGACCAATTAGCCCGTAAGTGACGTAAGTCCGCACGTTGAGTCTCTTATGCTGTTATTACGAGTATACAGCAAGTATAGTAGGTACTACTATTTGCATATCTACATGTAATCAGATCTCAAGTCTCGATCCCGTTTCTTGGCTGCTCTAACGAACCGAGACAGAATCTCGTTGTATTCCGTCCCCGTTATAACAAGGTAGCAATCAAACCTCGAAAAATCTCCGACTTGCTGCTTTGTCAACTCGCTGCTGATCTACCGAGAAAAGCTTTGCCGGATCGAAACAACGACAAACCATCATCGTGTCTCTCTCTCTCCCTCTCACGAAATTACGGAAACCCGGCTGTCCACCTGCATCAACTCACTCTGTCTTTTCCGGCGGTCAACACACGTCTCCTTCTCCCTGCTTCGTACAGCAGCCACCAAAAGCACCTCCATGTGCGACGCGATAGCTGCTCCCAGGCTGCAGACATGGCTTGACCAGCTAACTTTTGGTCTGGGATCCCCCCCAGTTTGTTTAATTAACCTGAGTCGACCCGAGCTGCCCAGATGCCCAACCATCAGGATTTCGGGCTCCTTCGCATGGTGGCTGCTGTGGGCTGGTTTATGCTTGAAGCTGCCACGGTTATCCATCCAATGGCAGCAACATCTGGTAATGGGATCGTGATGGAACTGCTGGGTACTTGTTCCCTCGAAAATGCCTTGCAAAAATGCCAACCCAATCGGCAGTTCCATCGCAGTCCATTCGCAATCTATTCGCAGCCCACAGCAGTCGCAGTCGCTTAGCCGAAATTGCTGCAAGACGAACCGGTGAGCTTGTTGAACCGCCAACCACGGCCACGAGCCTTCCGCTGAGGCTGTTGATCCCTGTACACACACGGCATTCGATTGGTTCGACCGGCAGTCCTGCTTTGCTGGCAGATTATATTGCGAAGCAGAGACATGCCATTGGCAGAACCCCTCACCAATTTCTGGATACACACGACGCCTTCTTTGCTTTTTCCTCAGCCGCGATCAGCATGGTCTACTGCTGCCGTGATTCAACTGAGACACTCTATCCTCCGGCTGCGGTACCCCGTCAATCTGCCACTGCTCTTCAGAAGTCACCAGAGGTGTTACTGAATAGATAAACAAGATGAACAACGTGATTCTATGTGGAAGCAGATCTATCAGCAACGAACGTAGTCTACCTTTTTGTAATCTGCCGCCAAGCACACAAGCCAAGTCAGACACACGCCATTTTCCAAGAACAGTACATAACCACTTCCTCCCTTCAGACACATAGACAGGGTAGATGGTAGATCAACGGCATCGACTTGGATCCTAACGCAAATCCCGGTTAATCTGACGTCAAGAAGCAGAGACACTAATTACTTGGCTTCCTGGTCAGCAACTATCAGTCTCAAACCTGCTGCGGCTGGAAAACGCCATCACTTACATACGCCCCTGCAATTTTGTTGGGAGCAATTAACCGCCCGGCATGAGAAGCTGCTCCTGTAAAGCTCCTCGTGAACAGACCATGCTGTATCTCATGAACCGCATAATGCTGTGACATAGTTACACCAACGGCGAGTCCGAGCTGCGTGTAACCCCTAGGGAAAGGAAAGCTGCACGAAACCAGCGCTAACCGCGCCTCAGGTTTGCAGATTGTAGCGAGGCGCAGGAGATGGCAGAAGAAGCGTTCATGTTGATCTTGGGACTCTTTCACGGGCCTCGACACGCAGTGCCATTCTCGTGATAGGCAGGTATGGTAGGAAGCGCACTCTCGTCTCTGCGATCCTGTAGGTATTCGTAGCCTGTGTACTTTATATCAGCATCCAATGATCGAGTAGCTTTTTGGTAGGATGGCGTAAGTACTGTATAGCCTTGACCTCCCCTTGTCCATTTAGCACCGAGGGAAGAGGCAGCTGCAGTAGTTTATCGTGATACGCTATCGATAGACCAATCGTCCTTGGAACGATTTCGTCACGTTGGAAGCATAGCAACAACCACACAGTCAGGATGGCCATTCCCTGGGCGCCATAGGAGGGAACGGGTTTTTTGTAGACAATTGTTGAATATTTTGCACTCCTAAACGCACTGCCACTTGCTGTGACGATGGAGATGTGGAAGAAAGCAGTTTGCATTTGCGCCACACCTTCGTATGGTACGTAGTTGGTTGATCTCGAGAGGCTTACCTGCAATCTCCATGGTAATTCTGATACGAGTACATGGAGTTTGCCTATCCCATGATTTTGTATTGTAGCCTTATATACAGGTATGAAAAGGAATTAAATTAAGGAATATCTTTCTTGTATTCTGGCGAGTATGAGGTAATATCACGTGGGTGTATTCCTTTCAGGTGCTTCCTTCTCCTGTCGTTGCGTTGTTGGCCTCACCACCATTTGCAAGCATCGATCAACAGCACAAATGCCATTTGACAACTTCCTCAACCATCGACTGGCCTACAAGTATATATTACGAATCCTCCTGATGCGATGATGCATTGACTGCTGCAGACCCTACTGCAAGGAGCCAGTCAGGAGCTTCTACCTCCAAACCCCCACTGCCCAGAGACTAAACATTGTCGGCCTCCCGCATCCTTCGCATCCCTTCCATTCAAAATCAAATCAATTCTAGCGAACTAAAATGGCCGCTTCTACCCATTGTGAGGACATGAAAATGTTCCTCGTTTACATACCATCTAGCAACAAGATTATGTTTCTGGACGAATTGTCCAGTGGTTTTATACCTAACATGTCGGCTCCAATTCCTACAGTTCTTTCGACCTTAGACAACTCCAATTATCCCCCTCCAGGTACTGAAATGAATCAGACAGCTCAAGAAGCAGAAAGACATGCAATCATCTGGGCTGAAGAGCAAGAGTACGCTCAGTTAGTAGCGAAGAAAGCTAAGAAGGGGGGGAGGCTTCTGAGGAAAGATCAGGATCGGATGAATGATCTTCGAAGGAAGGGTGTTCTTCGAAGGGACGCTGAGAGGCGAGAGGAACACCAGACTGCCTATACTATTGGAGGCCAAACTGTCATTGAATCAGCCGCTACCACAGGTCTTGAAGGTCAAGCAATCACCGAATCGACCGCTCCATCATGTCTTGAAGGTCAAGCAGTGATCGAATCCGCCGCTACCGCAGGTGTTGAAGAAGACTGTCTTGCGCTCACAGCTACTTTTTGTGTCGTTCCAGAAGCCGTCGTCAAGGACAAAGGCAGCACAACTCCAACCAACATCATTCAATCAGTGGAACATCACCCCAAGGCCGGCAAATACTTCATGATTCGAACCAGAGCAGAACCACACTACATCCTCACCGTTGAGGACGGAGAGCTGAGGCTCCTAACCAAGCCTACTCTTGGAGGTGGTACCTTTTGGCATTGCTCCAAGAGAAGCGGCTGGCTCACCTTCCGCAACAGCGTCACGGGTACATTTCTCGGCCAAAACGGCCAAGGTGGTTTTTCGGCGACGCAGTTTCACCAAGAGATGCGCGAATATTTCGTGACAGAGAGGCACGAGGATGGTGGCTATATCCTGATAATGAAGAACGGCGACGAGCTGTCCCAGGTTGCCATCTCGGGAGATGCGGAATGCTTGGTTGAGCAGAAAGAAGGGGGGACAGCCTGGGATTTTATTGAGGCTAAATATGTTTCTTCTTCTGTGACTGTTACGTATTCCAGCATGTGAGCAGAAATGGCAGAGTAATCCTTTGCTGCCAAGGTAACAATCTTCGAGTACCGCATTCATTCCGCAATATTGAATTCATATTCGTTGAGCTTTCTGCTGTCTGTGAAAGGTGTGACATGTCCTTTTGCTCTGGGTGCCGAAGAGCCATATCTACTACCATCAGGCAGCAAAGTATGCATATGTGGGTCGACATTCAACAGCCGAGCGAAAGACTCGACAGATGGGAATCGCCGAGCACGAGAACAGATGACCAAATCTATGTTGGTGCTTGCGATTTGGTGTTGGTACTCTTCAGAATCAGCTTTGGCCGTCATATAACTGGATGGCCATTCTCCCAAACAGCGTGATAGAATCTGCATCATACCACGAGAAACATGTTGCTCCCCGCCAACAAAAGCCAGCTGGCGGAGAAGAGAAGGAGACCACTGACCCGGTGGGTTGTTGACCTTTATCGAGCATGGTAGATGGCCTTGACCAGACAAGGTGAGCGTATTTTCCGAGCCACAAGTGCGCCGACAAAGTAGAAGATGTACTCGGAAGAACCAGCGCCAAAGAGCCTTTGTCCAGCCGGTGGATATTCCGTGGAGGAGTGCTCGAGGCACCGCAGCTCCTGGGCCTTCTCGTTGGAGCCGACAGGTTTGCGAGAGGGGTCGTTGAATAGAAAATACAGAATGAAGTGCTAATACTGATACTCTGGCTCGTTGGCTGCCGTGTTTGACCGGCCAGACATTCAGGAGGCATCTTTTTTTTTGCTCTAGTCAATGATCAACCACACTATCTGGGAGATGGAGTCATCCAATTGAATCAGAATCATGTATCGAGGCAATGTAGGGATTATATTGGTAATCAAGATGAGAGAGTCAATAAGCTGTGACAGCTGGTTCAATGAAAGGCCATGACCATGGTCGTCTCTTCCTCAACACGAACAAGTAATTCCACAGCTCATCCTCGCCCAGAATGCCATACCTCATTCTCGTCCTTGGTATAAACCTCACCTGGTCCGGAATACTACACTTCATCCTCATCCTGAATATACACCCACCGCCTCAAAATGCTGAACCCCCTGTCCACTCTTGCAATATGTATCTGCAACGTTGAAGACAGCCGTTTTGTGGGAGTGTGTGTTTTCTTGTCTTGTTTTGTTTTTTTGTTTGTTTTCTTGTCTTTTTTTTTTTTTTTTTTTTGTCATCTAAACGCGCAATCAATTGCTATTGAGCAGTCCACTATCTTTTCGAAAGGTAGTCTCCAAATTGCCACCATCTTGTAGGCACTGCTACTTCGGGTGTAAGCAGCAGTGCCTAAGCGTAGGACTGTACCGTGACGGCCAAACCCTGCTGCTTCAAGTGTGCTACGCTATCACGGCCTGGTGAGCAGTCAGTAGCCGATTCATCAGACAATGTGCTGAGTGTTGCTCACCCGATTGCTACTATCTTGTACGCACTGCTGCTTACCTGTCCTGAAAGGTAAGCAGCAGTGCTTAGGCGTAGGACATTACCGTGACGGTCAAGGACTGCTGCTTCAAGTGTGCTACGGTATCATGGCCACTTTTGCGATACGTCTCTGCAACGTTGAAAGTTGCCACTTTTTGTCATCTAAGCGGGCAATTAATTGCTATCGAGCGGTCAGCAAGTGATTCATCAAACAAGGAGATGGTTGCTACTCACGTCGACTACCCAGCGCATCTGTATTTTGGCGGGGGCTGGCCGCCAGAGTTGGGCCGCCAGAGTTGGGCTCGCGGCCGCATTCCGATTTTCTGCAGTTTTGGAACTATAGCAGGCGAGTTTTCTGGCTCCGTATTAGCAAGACAGCCTTGGCAAAACAAGATGACACCGCGATGAGGGAGCAGGCTGATCTGGGGAAGCAATGACTTACGTAGCGCAGCCTTGTTGTTCCGATCTGCTGAGGGCAAGCCGTCCTAGCCATCTTTCGGTCAGGCGGAGCGGATTGTTGCCCAGATTTGCCAAGGATTGAATGTAGACGTTGGACAGATGGTATCATGGTAATGTCTGGTGCTGGTCAGCATCTGCCGACAAGGACAAGAGCAGAGGGTTACCTACCCGGCATGGCGCCAGAACAGACGGTCTTGGGGGACAGTGAGAGTGAACAGAGGAGATTGTCGTCTTGTCCAAGAGAAGGGGTGTTCAAGGTAGAGAATTGATGGTGATGCCTTTGGCGCAGAGGCTATCAAGCTGAAGCATTGTCAGTACGTGAGCAATGGATGGAGCAACTGAGGAGAGGACGCACCGTGTAAAGCCACAGCCGAGCGGGAGGCGTATTTTGCGTTCATGGGAAAACAGTGAACGGCGGCTCTTTGAATTTCAAAGAACATGCAGAGGAGTGATGGAGAATGGAGAAAAGCCTTTGGAGTGAAAATTTTTCCAAGGTTTTTCTTGTGCGTGGGAATCTCGCTTCTCTTCAGGAAGGCACTGCCTGCAAAAAGTTAATTTGTAGTATATCGTGCCTCGCTCCTGCCTCTCCCTAGCAGGCCTCAGCAAGTCTCAGCAGGTCTCAGCAGGCTTCAGCAGGCTTCAGCAGGCCTCGACCACCGGAAAGTATAAGCATGACACCTCTATTTTACAACACCCGCTAAACCCAAAACGTGCAAACCATTGCTCAATTGTTGTTCAATACGAACGAGGCTGAGCCCATTCAACTTTCGGCACTCCAGAACCCTATTCTGACACGAGGCTACATCGGCCCTTTGACTTTGATTCTATCCTTTCCCCCTTTGCCGCGTTTTGCCATTTTATTCTTTTCTCTCTCACTCTCTATTCTGCAGCCTTTTATTGCGAGGCCTCTTATGATCTACAACTTTTAATTTGTATTCTGTCATCATCGGCCCTGGGGGGTCCCTCGTCGAATCCACCATGTTCCAAGTCAGTCCCCCTTGATGCGCGTGTCCTCTGTTGAAGCTGAGAAACTCGATCAAAAGAGAAAATGTATCGCAAAAGCTGACTGTTCGTCTTTGTCCCCTAATCACAGAGACTCAAGGGTGCCATCGACCGCACCCTTGCGGAAGAACAAGCCCGCCAACAAAAGGCGCCTGAAGTCAACGGATCTGGCTCGACGTCGTCGCGAAGAAATGAAAACGTCTCAGGAAGGCGGCCTCGGCCCAAGAACCCGACTTCTGATGCTGGAGATGCTGCGCCTAACCCTGACCCTGCCATATTCGAGGCGGCATTCGTAATCGACGACAGCGACGAGCCGAGCCGAGCGGGAACACCAAAGCCTGCGCCTGCTGAGAAGGAGGCACCTAATGGAGAGCCAGCCAGCCACGCTGAGGCTGGAGAAAATTCAAATCCCACTGCTGACGCTCAAGATGGCTCCTCACGCGATGGGCACGCTGCCAGCGATGGAGTTGCTCACGCGGCCAAGCCGGTGCTGACCCAAGAGGTCAGGCAAAAGCTTCGCAAGTTGGAGAAACTTGAGTCTACCTATCCCGGTACGTTCCACGCAAGCCAATTGGCGCTATCTATGATGGAGCAGAGAGGTTAATGACAAGTCCAACAGAACTTCTGCGCTCTTACCGAGTTGCACATCGGCGCGCCACCTCCATCGAACCCTTTGAAAAGGCTCTTCGCGAGAATACGCCGTTGGCTTCGATTGGCGATCCAGAGGCTCTCATTGAGTATCTCAACCAGCTGAAACTAAAGGGAGATATGGTCATGGAGGAACTTAAGCGGATATGCGCCGAAAAGGACGAGTTCAAGAAGAAGAGCGAAGAGAACGAGAAGAAGATAAAGAAGCTGCAAGGCGATCTAGATGCCCTCAAGGCTGAAAAAGCAAAGGAAAACAAGAAGCCAGAATCCAGTGGCGCGGCAAAGAAAGAATCTGGCGGAGATGGCGGAGATCTCTTCTCCTACGATGAAGAGATCCCCCAGCTCCAGACCGAGATTGCTGCGAAGAATGAAGAAATCGATTCTCTCAAAACTGAGAGAGACGGTCTCAAGGAGGAGCTCTCTACTCTCAAGCAAGACAGTGCAAGTTTGGCAGAGAAATTAGAGAAATCAACCCTAGAACTCAGCAAATCCCGCGAATCCTCTGCATCCGAGGAATCTCTACAAGCCCAGTTGGAATCCAAAGATGCGGATATCATCGACCTGACACTCAAACTCGACACGATGGTGAATCGGAGCAAGGGGCTCGAAGAGGAACTCTTGGCAGAAAAGGAGAAAGCACTTTCCAAAGCTCAGGAGGTGGAAAATGTGCTTACCAAGTCTGTCAAGCAGGCTAGCGAGTTGGCAGGAGAGCTTGCCAAAGCTACAGCTGCTACAAACGTCTCCAAGAAGCTGATTGATGAGCTCGGCTCCCAAGTCGATGTATTGAAGAAGGAAAAGTCTGGAATTCAGAGCAAGCTTGACGAGGCGACCAAGAAGCTTGACGAGGCGGCCAAGACGCCTGCTGCCCCCACTCCCGCTGAACCTGCATCAACTCTTGCACCACCTACGGCAGGAGGCGGAGGAAACAAGAAGAAGAAGAAGAAGGGTCGTGGCGGTGGTGCTGGTACTCCCGCTCCCCTGGCTTCGCCCTCTTCTTCTGTCGCCCCCAGTGCTGCTGATGCCAACCAAGGACCAGATACTTCAGCCCTGGAAGCAGAGATTGCCAATCTGAAGGAGGAGCTGGAAGCCAAGGACAAGGAAATCGAACGGCTGTCCAAGAAGAGAAAGGTTGAAGAAGATCTCCGCGAAGAGATTGAGACGCTACAAGAAAACCTTATCAACATCGGCCAGGATCACGTCGAGGATAAGCAACGAATCAAAGAGCTCGAAGTGGAAAAGGCAAAGTTGAAGACAGATTGGGGAGCACAAATTACCGCTTTAGAGAAAAGGATAAGCTCGCTCACTTCCGCCACCGAAGCCAGCTCAAAGGATAAAGAGAAGTTGCAGGCTCTCCAGAAAGAGCGTGATTCACTGAAGGAGAAGAATGCAGCACTACAAGCTGAGCATGCAACACTACAGGCTGACCATGGCGCCGCGAACCAACTGTCGCAGAGTCGCTTCAAGGACTTGACTGAGCTGCGTGAGGCACTGCAGAAGATACAGCCTGAGCTCAAGAGCTTGCGCAAAGACTCTGCCGATCTCAAGATAGCCAGAGAGGAGCTTGCAGCCAAGAAGAAAGAGATTAGCAACTTGGAGAAGAAAGGAAAGGACCTCGAGCGGGATTTGGCGACTGCTCGACAGGAGATAAGCATTCGCACTTCGGAGATTGGGGTCCTTAAATCAAGATTGTCCACTGACGCAGAAGAAAGGGCCAAACTGGAGGAAGCCCACCAAGTATCAGCACGAGACCTCAGACGTGCCGTTGCCGAGCAGATCGACCTAAGCGCGAAATCAGAGAAGTTGGAGCGAGGACTGCAAAAGGCTCAGGAGGACCTCTCTAAAGCGAGGGCGAGAGTGACTGAGCTTGAGGGGCAGGCGCAGGAGCTGACACGCCAGAAGACAGCAGCCCAGGAAGATGCCGACTTCAAATCCAAGCGGTACACTACGGCCCAGGGCCTGCTGAGCAACATGCGAGATCAGGTGTCTGAGATGACGGTGCAGCTTAAGGAGGCACAGTCTCAGGCTAGATCTCTGGAAGAGGAGCTTGGCGAAGTGCAGCATCTGTTGCAGGAACGCACGCGAGAGGGCGAAACAATGCGGCGGTTGCTTGCAGACGCCGAGCAGCAGGCAGAATCCAAGCTCCGAGATATGCGCAATCGCATGGAGACGATTACGGCAGAGCGAGAGCGGCTCGAAGAAGAGACCAGCTCCGTGGTCAGAAAAAATGTCAAGCAAACGGCGGAGCTTAAGTCGCGAGTCCGAGAGCTGGAGGGAGAGGTCAAGGATTTACGTACTGAAAAGGACGAGCTCGAAGAGCGAGAGCGAAGTTGGCGACGTCGACGGGAGGAGCTCGAAGCAGTAGAGCTCAGGACGGAGTCGGAGTCGACTGAGCTGCGGAACACCGTCTCATCGCTGAGAGCTGCGCTGGATGCGTCAGAGTTGCAGGTTCGAGACGGAGAGAAGATTAAGGCAAACCTCCGCAAAGAATACGACTCGCTGCAGCTGCTGCACGACAAGATATCTAAGGAACTCAAGGCGGCGCAGGCCAAAGCTGCAGCGACGGCGTCAGGCGTGGGCCAGTCGGGATCTTCGTCGGGCGTTTCCACATCTAGAACATCGATGGACTCGACACGCACCACTGGAGCGGCTGAGCTGTCCGATATGATGTATCTCAAGACGATTCTGCTGCAGTTCCTGGAGCAAAAGGATAACAGGCTGAGAGGCCAGCTTGTTCCCGTGCTGGGCAAGATTCTCAAGTTTGATAAGTAAGTTCCGAATAATCAACTCTTTGCGACATTGGAGACGTACGGCTAACAAATCCAAACTAGGACCGACGAGAAAAAGTGGATGAATGCAGTCCAACACATGGAAGTGCGTTAGTGGAGCCCCGTGTTTAAGAGCAAGCAGTAGCAAAAGGTCGGCTTGGGAGGATGACATGATGGTAATGGGCGTTTTTATAGACGCATTGCTCGCTTGTGTGTACCAATATTGTAATTTTGCCTTTTAATGGGCTATTCAGGGCTTGCTATGGCAATGCCAGAGGGAGGCCTGCTGATTGATTCTGACGTCTGAAACGAAAGAAGAGCTATATGCGTATGTTATTACCTAGGTAGCTTTGCCATAATTAGGTACCAATGCAGTCTCTGATTGACTGAGATAAAACTGAGATGAAGCATCGATGCGTGCACTGATGTATGTATGTATATATGCTGAGCACGGAGATGCAATGGCAGGGATGATGGTGTAAAAGGAAGATTGTGTATCGATAGCTGCCTCGCTTCTGCTCTCGTGATCACAAAACTACAAGATACTTGCAAGTTTGTTTACATCCGCCGCTCACTCCTCGACTAGCTGAGAGGCTCCGCTCAATCAAATACCCTCCAAGGAGCTATTTGATTTTGCAAATTGGGCTTTCCTCTGCTGATTGCATCACCGTACCGCCCAATAATGAACGAAAAAAACACAGCTCAGGCAAAATCACGTACACACACATCTACGCCCAAACATGACCCCCTCACGACTCTCCTCCCCATCACACATCACAACTCTCACCAACAATCCCATTTCACCAATCCTTCCCAATGCAACATCCCAATCTCACTCTCACTCCCGCAATCCATCTAAGCCTCATATAAAACAAAAGGACCCCTACAGCCTCGGCACGGTACGTACCTCTTTAGAAAAAAAAAAAAAAAACGATCGCGCCTCTCTCTCCACTCCAAATCTGTACTAAAAATGCCTCCTGTCCACTCACCTCCCTTCTTACACCCCCAATCCTTGCCCGCTTTGCCCACCCCGGCTGCAGCCCCCCTCCCCAGATCGAGATGCCACAGAAGGAACAGGCAGGTTTTAAAAATAAAAAGTTTTTACTGGAGTACCTGGCGTAGATAAACCTTGCCCGCGATCGATAACGGCCACGCGCCCCCTTTTCTAGCTAGAGCAAGAAACCATCCCGTTGATCCCGCTGCACGTTTTTCTGGAGATCCGTGCCCAGATCGATCCTCCCCCGGTTGGTAGGGCTGAAAAGCCATCGTCTGCCGCGTTGGACAAGGCCGTGGATGGACACGATCTACAAAAGCTATCGACAGCTATTACAAGCATTGGTGGTTGGGTTGCATCACGAAAAGAGAGAATCACAAGTCACTCGTCACATCTTGCAGACACGATTTTTAAGGAAATAAATAGCAATTGGTTTGCGCACGCAAACGTGAGCCTAATAAGACCATTGTAATGCGTAGAGCGTCATCTGCCCCTGTGAAACAACTAGCTGCTGTAGACCATGTCCATTACCCATTGTAAAAAAAGCCCTCTCGATGCTTGCTTGCTTTCCCTTGAGAAGAAAAAAAAGAAGCCGAGAAACTCCTCCAGCTTAGCTTTCCATGAATCAGCCGGGCTGGATGACCAATACGTGGCAAGTCCAAAATAAAAAGAACCCATAGTAGAGATAGCAAATTCAATCCTCCCTCCGTCCCCCAACTAAATCAGTCTCGTATGCGCATCTAACGGGGCTACCATCAAGGCAATCCCATCACCTCCAATCTTCTTCACGTTGACCGATTAGTTGGATGCAGGAAACAAAGGAAAGGGCCAGTAAAAAAAATATCAAACGCCATACATGCATACCCGAGTCCCTATCTTCATCCGAAACCATGTCCCTAGAAATCAAATGATTCTCATCAAGAGTAGGGTACTAATGCCCTCCCTGAAACGAAAGCCGAAAAGATAATTCGGACAGAGGCCGAATAGCAAGACTAAGTGATAAACCGAAATAGGGGAATAAAGCGACAAAAGGAAATCGTGGATGGAGCGGCGTCATGTCCTTTAAAGCCTGGCGCATTCGCCCACTGGGTATCATGGTGAAAAACCCCCTCATGCTTGGTGTATGTGCGTGATCCTTAAAAACAAGAAAGGAAATAAAGAAAAAGAATTCCCAGAATGCAGATAAGATACGTTGTATCGTGTAAAAGGTGAAAAAAAGCTAATCGAAAAAAAGGAGTAACGAAGTCGTAAAAGTTTGCCAACGCGATAGGGCTTTGTAGATTCAATTGCCGGACAAGACAGACAAAAAAATCACAAATGTCGGTAAAGCTGAGCCAAGCCGACTAAGGCGTTGAATAACGAAGAAAAGAATAAACCAATATGGCGAAGAAATGCAAAGTAGGTCGTAACGCTAAAACTGAGTGCTGATGGTCGTCAAGATCGTGAAAGCGCGGGGGAGAAAGAATGTCGGGGTGACAAAAGGGGGAGAGTTGGTGAGGGATTGATTGATTGAGTAGAGATGTCAAGAGAACAAGTCTTGCCAGCTTTACAAGAAGCGTCGCACCCATTCAGCGCTGAGCCAGCCGACCTTGTCAAAGGCAGTCCAGAGCTTGGAGGCCTTGTTGACGTCAATCTTGCAGGCTTGCTGAGCGTCAGTCTTGCGGAACTCCTTGCCAGTCCGGAGACATTGGAGACGGCGCTCAAACATGCGACGCTTGCTGGTGAGATAGGTGGCGCAGTCCAGACGCAGGTTGCCGGCGAGGATGATTTCGTCAGGGTGAAGCAAGTCGTGGTACGGGTCGTTGCTGAGGTCGATTGGCTGCCCCTTCCAGTCCACCTTGAGGCTGTTAGCCCGGTTGGGAAGAGAGTTGAGGGGCGGGCAGTAATCAGGAAGCGACTTGAAATCCTTATCCTCGCGGTTGGGGGCGACAATGCGGCGAGATGGCTCAGGCGTAGCGCTTGGGCGTCGAGCAGCAGCGGGTCGAACGACAACGGACGACGACGAGGGCAAGCCGTTGCCGGAGCGGATCGGACGGTGGCCCGAATTCTGTGGCTTGGACACTCGATCGGCGCGCTGGGATCGGGCCGGCTTGGCGGCGATTGGCTTGGCCGGAAGGATGGCGTGGAAGCGCTGGGCTCCAGCTTGGCGGTCGGCAACCAGGAGAGCACGCTCCTTGAGAAGCCATCCGCGGCGGTTGCTGGTGAAGTGCTTCATGACCTGAGAGCGGAAGGTCAGGGCAAGCTCATAGTCCTCGCGCCGTGGTGGCGACACTCCGCTGAAGATGATGGTGGAATTCGACCGGGCGCGAACATGGTTGTCGACGATGCGCTTGTGGTGCTCAATCTCGGCGGGAGCAAACAGAGGCGGCTGAGGCGGGCTCGCTGGCAAAGACTCATCAACCGGATAGAGAACGGGATCTTGGATGGCCTGGGCTGGCGGCGTGCTTGGAGAGTTGCTGGAGACGTGCTTGGTGTAAGGCGAGATGGGAGGCGACATTGGCAGTGGGTGTTTGTCAGCGGCCAGGCCGTTGTTTGCTCCAACAACAGAAGCCATGGCGGAGAAGACCTTTGATTGCTGATGGCCATGGCCGCGGCTGAAGGTCTCGAGCAGGTTATCAGGGGGAGACATGAGATTGCTAATCTCGAGCTTGCCGCCGTCCTTGGGCGCAGCGGACGAGTCGCCGCCGTGGGGGAAATTGGTCGTCATGTTGCGAGATTCAATTGCGGATTGACGATTGTTGAGGAATTGGTAGAAAGGAGAAGGGGCGGGAGTCGAAAAGAGAGAAGAAGTAGAAGTAGAATTCTTCCCAGAAGCTGGAATGCCCAGGCTCTTATCGAAGTTTGTGGAAGCTTGTTGAGCTTGGAACTGTGCGTGGCTTGCCGTGGGTTTGTCAGCCATTCCTAGATGGCGATGACCCGTCTGACGTGTTTCTGGGTGGCGAAGGCCGTATCGAGCCGGACGCAGGCAACACAGTGGGTCAGGCAAAGATGTCAAATCGGTCACAGCCTTTAGGGATTTAGCGCTGGCCGGAGATAGAATTGACTTGAGCTTCAAATTCCGCTGAGACGGAGTTTGGGGGGGATGATGTTTTGAAGAAGGCGAGGTGGCGGATTGGTTTGGGAGCAAGAGAAGGGCGAAGGAGCCTCTTAAAGCCGTGAATTTGACGACGGCAGATCAGTAAAGCGGCAGGCGGGGACGAGCCGATTGTTTGAGGGGATGAATAGAATAGGCAGCTTCCATTCAAATATGCGGGAGGCCGCGAAGGAAAAGGAAGAAGGCTAATTGTTGCTTGCTTCTCTCCAATTCGGTTGCGCAAACGAGATGCCGCGTGAATAGAGCAGGCAGCTTGTGCAGAGAAGTGGGATGGGGGAGGAAGAATAGAGAGTCAAAAGGAACAAAAGATGAATGGCTCCAAGAAGATCCTAGAAGAAAGGTGGCCGAATTCCTCGGGATATTCCAAATTGAATTCAAATTCAATCGAATTGGGACCGGGGAAATTGAGTTTCGAGGGTGATGGGGGATCCTTTTCTGGCGCAGATGCAGGAACAAGAAATGGCGAATTTGCCCCCCTCGGCAGCGGATATTACGGAGCGCCAAAAAAGACAAAAAAGCAGGCCGTGAACAAAGAAACCTGCGCGTGAGTGCGTGTCCAAATTGGCCTGTCTGTGGGATTCTCTCAGAACTTGACTTTGATTCCGCGTTGCAGCCTGGCGAAGGAAGGGAGGTGCCCGAAATAAATGCACGGCCAAAAGGGCTTGGGATCGATGACTCTTGGGAATCGAATGGCTTGACTGGACGCTAGACTGGTAGTTCCGGCGGTGGCTTTCCCCAGGGCAAATCAGATATTCACACTGTTTGTGGTCTTTCTTTTTCTTTTTGTTTCTGGTTTGCTTCAAGGGCAGGGGCACGCTTGCAGGGAAGCTGAGGCAGAAGCAGAGGGAAAGAGTCAGTCAATCAGATGCTTTGACTCTTTTGCAGTCCGTCAGTGTTGATACCCGATGAGGAGGAC